TATTGTATACGTGCCCAAGGTGACAGGTTGCTGCATCCACACAGCCAACCTTTATGAGAGATCGTCAGTATCAAGGTTCAGTCATAACGCAAAGGGCATTTAAACCCTCGCACCCCCCGCCGGACATCACTTAGACCTTCTAGTAGATGAATGAAAACATCAGCCAACGACTTCACTTATCATCTGCTCCCCAATTGTCAGTACCGAGCGTAGTACTTGTTATACCAACTTCAGTTGCTCAGCCACTCCATCAACTGATTCATCACACCTCACAACAGCCCAACATCATGGCCGTCCAAGAGTACCAACCTCTTGTCAACACTTGCTGCACCTTCTGCTGCAAGGCCGTCGATTTTGGCACCCACGACTATTGCACCCATAATGGATGCCATCGATGCCCCAATTAGACAATCAACAGTGGCTGCCTCACCTGCAGGGCATTGAGCGAGCACCGCAACACTTGAACTTTCAGCTCGCCTGGCTGGTTAATGTTCCATACATCCATGACAACTCAACGACGCTGTAACTACACTGAAGGATGCTTGCATCTCCAATATATGGGCGCCTGAACCATCCCCTCGGAACTCACGCAAATCCGCAAGGGCATTCCCAAGATGTCTGCACCCTTCCTTCTGCCGCTCTTGCACACCCTGCAAGCAAGGCTGAATTTTGAGTGAAGGCACAACCGCTTATTGGCCCTGCGTTGCGTCTCCTGCACCATCCATGCAATGCGATATTGTTCGGACATATTGGCGCAGCACGCCGCAATGGCTTTTTTCACACCCACTTTCAAATTTTGTTTTTTTGCCCCCCCCCCCCCCCCCTTGTTCAGCTACGGTTTACGATACCCATTTTTCATTTCCTCGTGTACTCATTACGATGTGTAACACTCGTTAGATGCATAGCACAGCGCTGCTTACTCTGTTCCCGACTATTACAAGGTCGGGGACATGATTGGAGTTGATTTTACTTGGGCAGCGATTGGGAATAGGATTTGAGACATTGGGCGCTAGGAGTTTCCTACTTTTCATATCATGTCGCTCTGCAAAGCAAACCCCCACTCGTCTTGTCCCTTGCGAGCAAGTACCACCTACCTGATTGGCTCCGCTTCGAATACCACGCGTTGGCTCTATAATCAGACGTCAGCAGTCTGCATTCTAAAGATAACCAGAAACACGGGTCGGTTGCTTCGGGTGGCTTCAGTGGACAAATGGAAGGCTGTAGCCGTCATTCTCCGCTGGTTTTGGGTCATCACATTTGTCACTGCCCTCCCTCTCGCACGTAGGAAACGGGGTCAAGTCTAGGATACTGGCTACATTGGTCTTGGAAGCGGCCCTGGGCCGAGGAGCATCGGAGGAAGCATGGAGTCCCCACATGTTCGGGGAGGCGTGCGGACGGGAACTTCCTTTACAGATTCCCCTTGAGATTGTTTCTTTTCCGGTTCCCGTGTTCTGCACAACAATGGGAAATCGGATCCAACGAGATTTGCAATACAATGCATGCACTACGCAACATACATGATAAACTCATTCAGTGACATGCTCTTCCCGCAGTAGAACGCTCGCTCTCTCGTATTTCTGTGTTATACCCGATTGGCTTTCGGACTAGCTCTGGTCATGTCCCTCATTCTGTGGGGCAAGCGACCATCTATACTCATTCAATATACCTTGCTAGTTGCACGACGTAGACCAATCAGCCAGTCGACTGCATGGCAACGACAAGAAGTCCAAGGGCCAACCGAGGAGACCTGGATCACCGATCACGTATAACCATGACGCCTCCAGACCATCGTAGCATAGACCGAGTGTGGAATCAGCATGCTTCGAAGCCGTAGAAGCGTGGGATGTCAGCGTCACTCGACTGCCCCGTACCAGTACTGATATACAACTATCGTATGTTACTATGGGAGACACTATCCATCATAGTCGCTTCGGGCTAGACATGACCAGTTGGAAACCCTGGTGTCGAGATACAGTGGCTCCAATGCCGCAGCTTTGTCCACGACCGAGTATCGAATCTTGCGAATACATGGTGCTGGCGGGAGACCTTTCGGGTAAGTAGGTACGGTACCTTGGCCATTCCGTCCGCCTGCGTGGATGATAAGTGTCGGATTGCTAACGAATATTGGACAGGTCCTGGTGGGATCGGCGTCACAATGGTGCCTTTCTGCTGGAACATACAGCTCCTAGCTCATTCGTGTGTTTTAGAATGTCATATTTTTATTATTATGATTATTATGATTATTATATCATTATTACTTCTGCACCTGGCGAGACATACATAAAGGCCGTACCTACGCGAGGTGACTCAGCCCTTTTGCCCTTCGCCAGCAGCAGGGGCCACGGAAAGCACGACTACCCAAATTCTCGGTGAACGTGCAGCTTTAGTCTGGGGCACGACGTGCCCCTTTCACCTGTATGCATGTATGTACCACGTACTTTGCTACGCATTTTGCCCCTGGTACGGTCAGCCCTGAAGGGTTCAGCATACAAGGGGGAAAATGGCTAGCAGGCTAGCAGGGCTCCTGGACAGAGGCGTGCTCTGCGCCCCTCCCCATGTAATCATCATCGGTGCATATGCAGCTATCTACGCATCTGGATTGGGGAGGGGGACAGCAGCGGCCAGCGCTGCCGGCTGGGCTGGTAGCGCAGGCGTGTGCAGAAACGATTGATGCATCGGGTTGTTTAAGGCACTGACCAGCTGTGAGCTTGCTTCAACCAGGGTAAGTGATTGACATGTCTGTGCTTTTCGTGGGTGGGCGCGCTCTTAATTGAGAGTAGCCCAGGAAACCACCGTGTAGACTTCCGCCAACTTGGTGCCTCGGTCTTGCTGAGCCTGTTTGTTTTCCTCAGGAGATGGACAGGAGCTCGGGAGACGAGGTACAACCTGTAGTTTGAGGCAGCATGGAGGAGCATCGGATGTGATGGAACGGAGTGGGATCACTTGGCTTTGCGTCTCGACGAACGTGCCTCGTCATCCTGTGCGACACAGCTAGGCCAGGGTTGGACCTCTTCTGTGCCGAACGCATGTATCAAGTAAGCTGAGCTCTTCTAACGTTCCCTGCCGTGTAACCTGCCTAGTATAGCCTGGAGTCATGGTGGTATCGCAAAAACGTATATTGATGACACTAAATATGATCAGTATCACAGCAAAGGCCGACGCACAGACAGGCGCCAGTGATTTGGGATTCTGATACGTGCCAGCCTGGACACGAATTCCCTGATGGGGCTCGGAGACTACTGCCCGCTGTGAAATCATGACGATATGTTGAATAGACAACAGGTAGCCTAGAGTGCTTGACGCATGCAGGGTGAGGAGGCTTCCCCTCAATGGCCGATTTGAAGTCTTTCATAAGCTCAGAGAACGGTTCGGTCTTTTCTTCCGGGATTGATGATCGGAGCAGCTATGGTGATCGTTGCCGGCCGGAGGACTTGCTCATGGGTACTGCTATGCAAGCCCGAGATAACCGGCAGTTCGACCCGGGAGTCCGTCCGTACTGAACCACCACGGTCTTCTAGCAGAGGAGCAAATTCGCTCTCACAAAAGTTGTAGAATGTGATAGCGCAAGGAGCTCTGGCACCCTTGTTAAAAATCCACCGCACCCCATCATGTACCTCGGTCTGTCAAACGCTCATGCAGCCTCAGCTCATCCTGGCAAATCGTTCCGGCACCTAGTTCATACGCACGTGGCTGACCTTGCCTTCATATTGATTCTGGTTCATTCGGTTCCACGATGAAGTACATCAGGGAGGAGGAAGACATCCCATGCAGCAGGAAGGTAGACGGTTCGAGCAACCCCTACCTCCCACCCCTGGCAGAGGTCATTGAAAGCTCAGACCTCGCGGTGAACCAAACCAGGATGAGGGGCAAATCATCTTCGGCGAGTATGGAACGGGGCGCATGAGGTCTTCCATGTCGACAGAGGGTGGGCCTACTATAATATGCATGCAAGTCGACCGAAAAGTCGATATGAGGCCGGCGGTATAGATCTAGGCCATGGTGAGGTTCATGCTGCTTGGGGTTCGATCACGCAAGTCCTGTTATCTTGCAGCGGTCGCTGTCAAACCAGGGTTCGCGTACCATGTTGACTAGCCAGGGTCGATTATGCTACACTGGAATCAGCATAGTACACCTAGGTGAGCATGCCAAGCATCGCCGTCTGTCCCCAACCAGCAAGGCCAGTTAGGCAATGTGCATGGCGGTGGAGCCCAGTATATGCAAATGTGAACACTAACGAAGTTGGCCTCTGTAGGGTCAAATGGTTTGGAGTCGCCAAGGAGCAAGAAAAGCATTGCATGAATGCAATTGCATCGTTTGGTCTTAGACTAGTAGCGCCTTTCGTTTCTATCACAACGCGGTACGCGGCCTCTGAGTTGGGTTGCCCGTTGTCATATATCATACTCAGGCATACATAATGTTTAACGCCGGCAATCGATAATCATGTGTTCATCATCAAGAATGTAACTGTAGTTGTAAATAGTCAGGCCACATTATAAAAAGGTCTTAGCTTGCAAACCCCATCCCGAACGCCACGCCGGCCCGAAAAAGGTATCTTTCAATGTTACATGTCGACGTTTCCACCTTGTTGGTTATGAGATATTGGTCCGTGAGAGCCACTAGACCCCTCGGATCATAATGGTACATCGCATGTGCAGAAAACTGTCTGCAGGGAGTATCATGTTCCCGTCTGCGTCACTATCGCATTTCCCCGGCCCACCCGCAACCCGACCCAGACTTGACAGGTTAATGGCTCGGTAGTTTGCCAGCAGTACAATCAAAAGATGCGTCTGGAGTTCTCAGTGGTCCAATGGCATCGCAGACTGACTCAGCCAGTTTGATCGCCTGAGGGTCGCCATGTCTGGGTCAACGTGCAGCATTGATATTGCGTTCTGTGTATTCAAAGTGTCTGCTGATGTCTTTGTTTGCGAAATTTTGGGGAGGCATCTTCGGGCTTTCTCCCAAATCGACGATTTTGTATCAGAAGCACGCCGTCCTTATCTTTAGAAGAGCGACAGGAAGACGGCAGCGATACTTGATTTGTCATATTTGACGTACTTGCCCTTGCCCTTGTCGATTTCGTGATAACGATCCCAGAAACGGTTGTACAGTGGCTCCAGTACCTGCTGAATATCCTTGGCAAACATGTTGCGAACTTCTCGCTCCATGCTGTAAGTCTTGTGCTTGACCACCAAGTCATCGAAACCGGCGTTGAAGGCGAGAAACTTGTTCTTGATACTCTCCTTGTCTTTGCTGCTCAAGCCCTTGACAACCGAGGCGGATTCGTTAGTACCCGAAGGAGGTCGCTGTGCGCGATTGGTGTGTATAACATCGAAGAGTTGCATGGATAGTTCTTTGCAGGTTTCACCGTACATGGCCTTGGCCTTCTTACGCCACGTGTCCAATACGCCGAGCCTGCCTTCCAGGAGTGGTCCTAGGCCAGATTCTAGAACCATGCGTTCAACGATAGTAATGCAATTGGCTAGGAAGACACCTTGGACCGACCTGCCCTTGAGCAGCAACCTGGCCTTGGCGTCCAAATTAGACAATAGTGCCTCGATGGTATCTGTGCAGTAATGTGCGAAGATGTCTTTCCCATCGGCTCCAATGTCGAAGGAAGCGAGACTCGGGATAGCGTCTGTGCTGTTATTCGCTGCGGCTGCAGATTTCCAGCCACCGTTCCCCAGCGATATGACGATGCTTGATATGGGCCGGAGGAACTCGACCATAGTCTGCATACGCTGCATGGTGGCGGACACAGCTGGGATGGGTGCTCCGTCTGGCGGCAAGGTCTGAATCATGTTGATCTTCTGTTTGGTCTCGTCCAGCAGCTCAGCCATGGAGAGCTTGGCAGTCTCCCTGACGGGTTTCAAGGCGGCTGCTAATGTGCTCTTAAGCTCTCCCGTGCGTTCCTCGAGACTGGACGCCAAACTTGACAATATCTCGACTATCTCATATGCAAGGAAGCAATCCGTGGCCAAGTGCGCTTTAATATGGTTGTTGAGCTCGCGAACGGTGCGCGCCAGCTCTGCCATGGGGACTTGACATGTCAGCTGCAGGACAGCGCCCCAGTCCTGTCTGGTAAAAATGTTGCAGATGTTTTCGTGTTCTGCAACGCACATGCCCTCGAGCGCCTTGGCGTACTCGCCGATACCATTGGTGCCCGCCTTGTAGAGGGTGCCGGGGCTAGTCTTCTTTGCAGTGTTGACGCTGGCAAAGGCCAGGTTCACCAGAGTCTTCTGGAGGTATTGGCCCCTGACCTCGGCGTATATTTTGACAAGAGGGTTCTCCGTGGTCGCATTGCTCCCCACGTAAGAATTGATCAAGCTCAGGCGGGATATCTTGTCCTGGGCAATGACAGGGAACGGCTTGCCCTTTGTGGTAAAGTTCAGAGGCTCGACGGATATGGGGGTTTCGCCGCGCAGAATCTTGTCGAAATGGCTCTCGAGGGAAGCGTTTCCATTCTGTATCAGCCTCTGCAGATCGGCCTTGGTCTGCTGATTTGCGCGCAGGTTGGTGGTTTCCATATTTTGCAGTGCCCTGGTCAGGCGCTGGATGGAGTTGAGATAATTAGACAAGCCAGCCTTGTCGGGACCCTGGCGGATGATTTGCTCTTCGTCGTTCTTGGAATCTGCGGGCTGGCGTAGGCGTTCTATCGCTGCGATAACGGCATCGATGTCTGTTATGGGGGGCGGCACCACATGCGTCAGTCATGCCATCTTTTACCTATGGATTGGCCGTCTTCAGCGAGCCGGGGGAAGGCGACTTGGGGTGGCGGACAGGAGGAGACGGTGATGGGAGATGGGGGAGATGGGCGAGGCAACAGGAGTACTGACTGTTCCCAAGGATCTGGAGCTTCTTGGTCTCGCCATTGAGCGGCGCCGACACGTCGCGCACGTTCTTCCCCGTCACCTCGAGTCTGCCGAGACATGATTGTATCTTCTTGGTCAGCTGGGTTGTCTTGTCCAGACGGGAGTTCAGGACGTCGACTTCAGCGCGTGCCTCCTCGTCCGCCGCATGCCGACCATTGGTGAGCCCGACGGCCATGGCTGATCAAACAACTTGTAACTGCCCACAAGAGGAGGCGCGTTTGTCTCTGCCCGCAGCGCAGCCTCACCGTGCATTTGCAGGATTGGCGGTTGCTATGTTCGCAGTCGCTCGTCGGCTTCCGCTGATGGGTGGCCTGGAAGAGCTAGCGCCACCATGTGTCCAGCGTTTGCATGTAGAGTGAGTATGTAATCACCCGAGTGAACGTGCGGGATCCGCACATGCTGTAGTTGCAGTACTGTAGGCTGCCTACATGGGGTGCTTTCATACATCGGTGTGCTCAAGCGTTGTGGCGGCAGTAGCCGGTTGGCCACCCCCTCCCGCCCCCCTACCTACCTCCAAGATAAGGCCACCCGTTAAATAAATGGCCCTGCGGGGTACCCCTACAACGGGCAGCCGACGCGCCTAAACCTTGCTGGAAACATCATCCGGGCTGGATCCATATCAAGTCCCCCGAGAGAAAAGCCGTTCAGTTGATACTGTCGCCCGTCGTATGAACCAAGCCGCCTTGAGTAACTTGTCAGGCGGTCATGGTGTGTACCAGCCAGCACGCCATAGCTACTATGCTGCCCTGGTCAAATCCAATCCGACCATGACGTGTCGTCTCATCCACAAGTTTCCTGTCATCTTGCATATGGAAATAAACACGGACCTGTATCCGCTGGCTTCTCCTTTCAACAACAGGGGCTCGTTCGGAGTTCGGAATGGCACAAATGGCGCTTTTATCTTAACTGCCGACATTCCACGGAATTATGGGATGGGCTGCATCATCTGGCATATGCCAATCTGGTTTGCATCGAGACGCATGCGACTGAGATCTGTTGCTGCAATCTGGAAACCTTGCATACTATCAATTTGCCGAGACAATCAAATCCATCGAAAGCGGCATATACGCTATATAGCTCATTACGAAGGATTCTTCAGCCACAACAAGTTTGTTCGCTATGGATTTTTGGCTCGAATCACATGAAACCCAAATTCAGACAGTAACAGAGATACTCGAGTGCGTAGCCGCAAAATTTCTTCTCAATAGAAACAAAAGAAACGCCGTCTTTCAAAGCCCCGTCAACTAATTTCCATCGACTGTCTGTCTTTCCGGGTGCTCATAGTTTTGCCTTGTTTCCACCGAAGAAATCGGTGACGAGTCGCTCAAAGATGCTCGCGATCTCCTCAACTTCCTCAGCTGTTGAATTGTAAGCCGGTGAGATTATCACGTGGTCTCCTCGAACCCCATCGGCGGTGCCAGTTCCGGGATATATGGCAATGCCATATGCCTCGTTGAGGCCCAGCTCGGCCATGTTCATTGCGACACCTGAAGCGACAGGGAAGGGTTCGCGCGTCTCCTTGTTTGCCACGAATTCAATGCCCCAGAACAGCCCTCGTCCTGAAATTCTGCCCACATTTGGATGACGAGACAAGCCCTCGATCAGCCTCCGAGAAAGCAGACTGCCCATGGTCTGAACATTCTCCAGCAGTTTTTCCTCTTTGATTATCTTTTGCACCTCAAGCGCCGCGGCGCAGGCAATTGGATGTCCTTGATATGTGTGCCCATGCACAAATGCTCTGCAAGCCATTTTTGTCAGTTCTCGCCATGTATTCTTGCGACATTCGCTTACCCTGTACCACTGGACAAAACGTCCACCACTTTAGCATTTACGAGTACTGCCGCAATGGGTTGATAGCCTCCTCCTAGGCATTTCCCCAGCGTCTGAATGTCAGGCACCACGCCCTCTTGCTCCCAAGCATGAAGAGTGCCCGTACGACCCATTCCGCACATTACCTCGTCCAGGATGAGTAAGGCACCATACTTATCGCACACTTGCCTCATAGCTTTGAAGTAGCCAGTGACTGCTGGGACGGCACCAAGAGCCTGGGCTATCGTCAGAAACATATGCCTGATACGCAAGGTAGGAACTCACCGCGCCCACTACAGGTTCGGCCACGAAGGCACAGACTGTTTCAGGACCAATCCTTTGGAATTCCGCGTCAAGCTCTTGCGCTAACCTGGAGACGTATTGCTCACAACTCTCACCAGCGTCTTGGAATCGGTAAGAGAAACATGGAGAAACTCTCGATATGTTTTTCAGTAACATCGGCTCAAACTTGGCTCGTCGGTACACGTGTCCTCCCATGGACAAACTACCTAGAGTCGTACCATGATATGAATGTTGACGTGCGATGAAGTTGACCCTATGGGGTTCTGGAATGGGTTTTTCGAGAAAGAATTGCCGGGCTAATTTCATGGCCGCTTCCATGGCCTCGGATCCTTGGTTGGTGTCAGTCAGCGTAGTCATAGCCCCTCATCGTGGGAGTTGCTAACCAGACGACACAATGAGAGCCTTGGTCATGTTTCCATGGGTTGAGCTCACGAGTTGTTGGCAGAGTTCTTCACACACATCTGTCGTGTACCAGATAGTTGCGCAATAAGAGATCTTGTCGAGTTGGGCGGCGATGGCATCTTTCACTCTAGGGTCGCCATGCCCGATGCAAGCAACGGATGCACCCCCTGACGCGTCGATTACGGACCGACCATCTTCGAAGAAAAGCTTGTTCCTCTTTCCACGGGACAGGCGGAGGAACTTGTGCGACAAGCTACGATGAAAGACGGCAGAGCTATCTGGTTCTGTTGCGGTAGTGCCTGGTGTGTTGGCAATCGGCTGGTGAAACGGACGCCTCCCAACCCCGCTTTGTTCGAGAGACATGGTTGATGACCTTTGTGTGAGGTTCGAGGAAGAGGATATGGCCCTTGACGACTTGGAGCAGTGGCTCACCCAACTTCTGCTCGGACTTTGCCAGAACAATGTTGAGCTCTTCACATCTGGACCTGTGCCTTTATAGTCCCCCTTGCATTAGGCTAGCCACGTCTAGGCTTATTCTAGTGCCAACTTTAAAGTGTAGGTGTGCCACATCAATCAATGCGCAACTTCAACATGTCGCAACCAATACAGCCATGTGAGCTTCGGTGGGAATCTTCATCTTTCACGAGGGTACCACATCATCGCCTTTCGTATGATCCACTAACTTCGATACCCATGCTCAAGGCCACCTCATAAAGGCAGTGCTACCCATCCCCGACCATCGCAATACCGACTTAACCGGCGATAATTCTGACATGTTTGGCAATGCTAGGCGATTGGGAGCGGAAGCTAGCGACACTTCAGGATACTGGCCGACATCCCTACCTTAGTGCCTGAAAGGATTGCTTTCCTGGCAGCAACGCCTCTCAAGATCAAATCAAGTTCTCCATATTGCAATACCCCTGAAATCTGGACAGTGATGGTGCTCACCGACACGCTAACGGAGGAGCATTCAAACCACTGTGTAACCACGGATGATGTGTCTTAGCTGCTTTCGAGGTTTGGCGCATGGTCAGCAACGACACACCGACTGAGTAATTCGGTTGCGGGCTTCCGAATTGAGGCAGGTTTACAATGGCTAGTGGGTGCATTACGCTCGTCTCTCATGGGCATACTACTCGAGCACTTTGCCGATGTTGGGGTCGATCTGTTACGTGATTGGACAAGTCACAATCTTGGAAAGTCCCGTCTCCATCCCGATCATCGGGCCGGGAGACCTCCTCACAGTCCCGAGCCCCACCGTCAGCAATTGCGAGCTCCGACGGACAACCAACGTCCCACTGCAGAATCGTCTCACCCTAGTGTCAGACGCACTGGACAGTTATCATGATCTATGCATTTGCTAGCTCTTGCTTCTCTAGCGAGCGAAGGCCCGCAAGCTGAGGGGTACTGTACCGCTCACCGCTATGAACAGAGTGAGATCAGTCGGAACTATAGACGAACCCTTTCCCGTCAAACACAGCCAAGCATGAATCCTAATCAGACAGGTCGTACCGAAGCACTGAAAATTTTTGAGCCATTTGAACATTGGGTACGGGGTACAGGCTCTCTGTTTGCCCAAGGCAAAAGATATTGTTGTGTATGCCAGGGGTTTGCGCATCGTTCATCATCCGGATCCCTGTATCACACCCCCTTCGATTGAGACCAATAAAAGATCAGATCAGAGACCTAATATTGCACCCATGTAAGCCGAAATTACAAGGGTCAGTTTTCTGCAGCACCGCCCTCACTCATGTATTGCAACCGTTTTGCAGCCGTCATGGTGGTGTCTGTCCGTGTTCGTGAGCCGCCCGCACTGCCTGGGGTATGATGAATGTAACCAGGCTCTGAAGGTATCATGGAAGCTCAGCATCAATCGCGCGGTGCGCTCATGAATTTAGAACAATGGCGTATTGGGTCTGAGTGATAGAAAACATTATTCCATGAACCAGCACCGCAAAAAGAAGCAAATAAGCGAAGTCATCTTCGCAGGTAGACCGCCTCGAGCCAAGCCCCTCAACATTCCGTCGTGGGACTATTTTTACATTACGGAGCACTGATGCCGCCATACTCCGATTCTTTGATGGATAGTATATTGCTTCTTTGAAGGAATGTTGGGCATAAACGTCTTTTGCTCCTATTCTCATCCTCGAGATCTCCACCCGACACTTTCATTAGTTCACGTGTGGCTTCTCAGATTGGCTGTATCTTGTCTGTAGGCGGAACAATCCCGTATGGGTGCGCTAAATCAACGTATCATATGATCGCATGGCATATAATGTTCGTGGAACCTGCTTTTCACATACACACCAACTACCACGGCCCGGACCTCGGCAGCAATCTAGTTTGCAACCAACACGTCTTCGTACGTCTTACCCAGAAAGCCTAGACCGCCCCAAGACGGGGACGGTCAATGGCAAAGCATGTAATACCAGGATAGAGTTGAACAAGGAGACCATTGATCCTGCAGTCGGCAGAATGCCACCGCTCTGGTGAAAGTGAGCTCGGCAACTAATCCGTGGGTAATTAGTGGACTAGTCAAATTTAGGCTGTGGCAAGTTCAACTTGTTGGTAAGATGGACCTTTTCTTCTTCTTCTTTTTCTTCTTCCTTTCTTCCTGGCCCTTTCACTTGCCTTCTTGACGTGTACATGACGTTTGCCCTGAATGTTCCAGACTCGGCAGACAGAACCTCCAACGCTATAATATCGATTCACCAATGTTTGTTTACGAGTGACGCCTTGGGGTGACAAGGTTTGAGTGGGGTTTCTGACCTGCACCTGTTCAAGATATCTCGCCCTGTGGCTTTAGAACTTGATTATTGGTTCGTTTAGTGCAGCAGACAATATCTGCAGCACCACACTTTTGTATCTTACTGACGGGTAACAATACCCGTTTAGAACATGGTCTAATCGGAATGCATCACCCCGAGCCTGGATAGAAGCTCCACGTGAGTGGTGCCGCTTACCTGCCCGCTTCTCGCGGCCCGTTGAAATTCTTCCTCAGCGACTGGGCCACTGGAATCACCAGCCCTATACAATAGTACTGTGCATTTCGATATGCGGTCAGAGGCCTTCACCATAATGAACAGGTTTGAGAATATTCCAGAAGAAGCCACACGTCCGACAGATCGTAGGATTTCGTGCAGCCTTTCGGACAAAAGTACACTGCATGTGTTGATGCCGAACGTGACATCCGAACATTCCACTCGAAAAGGGCTACATGCAGGTCGTAAACCGAACCTATCGCTCTTGTCCTGCAGCTCGCAATACCGTGCTGGAAAGGGGTCGCAATCACTTGAGGTTACATCAGACAATGTCCAAGGCTGAGCACCTGCCGTGCCGCACATTGTGATAGGCGATCCTAAAAAGATCAAGCCGCCTTGTCACATGAAGGGGGAAGAGGAGGGAGAGTATTGAAGTACTGGGATCGACCCGTTTACGGTATTCCGAGCCGTGACATCGTGCTTTGGAAACCATGCCTCGTGATATCGAGTGCGCCCAAGTAGAAACTGCCAATCGATCCGACGCCTGAAGCCATTGAGGATATCTGCTTGAGCACCGAGTCTTCCAATTTTGAGGGTTTACTGATTTTAGCAACCCGTGACACTCACTGATTTGTTTTCCTCATGCGGGATCCTGGTCATGTCGTGTAGAACTGAATGGCACATGGCAACAGCACTCATCAACAGCGAGTTGACCCACAGCGCAACCTTCGTGCTCCAAGATGCCTGAATAGTGATTGTCATCGATTTTCGACACGAAGAATGGTCAGAATCAAAAGTGGAAGGATATGGACCACAATAACAGTTAGGTGAAGATCCTCGACTCGGCCCGACGCCGTCACGACTTTGAACCCCCTTCGAGCTCACATACGCATTCATATAAGTAGGCAATTTGTGAGAGGAGCATCAAGAAAGATGGTATGAGGATATCGATTAACAATATATTCTGCGCACACAAACAGGAATGGATATCTAGTGGACTTTCTATGCCAAATAGGCCTTGGTATGCCAAGCGGAAGACCAAAAGGCCGGCCGCTAATAATTATTACAAAAGAAATATGCCAGACGCCAAGCACGCATTCAATCCAAGAAGGGGGTATCGCCTGACCTGCAACTAGCCGCGTCCAGTTCAAATTCATTCGTCCAACCGTGGCCTCATTTTGACCCATTAAGAGTCCGTTGCAATATTTAGTCCTCAAAGAACTTGATAAACTGCTTCAGATCCTGAACACCAACGCCGTGGCGGGGATAGCATATGTAGATAGGGTCACCTTTAACACCAAACTTCTCTCTGAAGCCTGCCTTGTTAGCCAGGGAGAGCTGCTTGACGAGGAGCTCGTAGGTATTGGCCAAAAACTTGGCACGGGCTCCGTGCAGCTGAGAACCAGGGGTCAGCTTCTCTGAGACGCCCGCACCGAAAGTTACGTTGCCAGTAACAGACGAAAGAGCCTTCTCGACAGTGACCTCGATGGTGCCGTTCGGTGCACCAGGAAAGTCCATTGCCCACTTCACTTGCCAACCGTGCTTGGGGGAGAGCTGCGCTAGAACGACAAGAGCAACGACCTTGTTATCCTTTTCTGCAGCAAAGTATTGACGATGTTCGGAATCGACCCATGGGCGGATCTCTGTCAAGTGGACTTGTTTCTTGCCTCGACGGGCTACCTTCCACTCTTCAATACTTTCATCGCATCGCTTCATGAAATCTTCTGACAACTCGACCTTGTGGACCTTGACGTTTTCCCTTTCGACTCTTCGGATGTCGTGGCCGCTAGGCTTGTTGTGGTTGTCAGCATCGACACGCTGTTCTTCCACGCAGCTCAACGTTCTCCACTTATGATGGGTTGCCAAAACATCCTGCACTTGCTCCGACACCAGCATCCATACAGGTGTAAGCTTAAGCTCGTGCAAAACGTAATTTTGGTAAGCTGAGATCACTTCGTTGTACTGGCTCTCATCGCAGAGTGGGTTACCAATAGTCATCGCAAACTTTTCATCTTGAATAGCATATCCAACGGCTGCGCCATTGGAATGTCGCCAGATCTCAAAGCGTTCATCCAACCACGAGGTGTTGGAAGCATCTCCATAGTTGGCGATGAGTTTTTCGACAGAGGGCTGTTCTGTGAACTGCCATGGCTTTGTTGTGTCGGCTTCAGGGTGGGGAAGTCCTTGTGGTTTCTCTGGTAGAGACTTCGGATCTCTGTGGAACAGGGTCGCGTTTCTCACGTTGCCCAAGTTGAGCATCAACATCACTACTCTCTCCAATCCAAGACCTGCACCTCCATGTGGGGCTGGGCCCAAGTCGAAGGCAGCTAGGTACTCTTCCATACCAGCCTCAGGTATCCTGGCCTTCTTCATGCTTTCCCGTAACTTTTCAGCATTGTGAATACGCTGGCCACCAGTACAAACCTCCTGTCCGCGGATAAAGATATCGAACGAGTTTGTGAAGTCAGGGTCTTCAGCCTTGTGGGTATAGAAAGGCCTCGCGTTTGACGGAAAGTGGTCAAGGATGTAGTAGTCCGTGCCAAACTTCTGCTTGACAAGTTCTCCAAGTCGGATCTCGTCACGAGTTCCAAGATCTTCAACCTCGACATCTACACCGTCGTCTTGCAGCATCTTGATACCCTCGGTGAAGGGTAGGACGAGAGTCTCGTCAAGCCACACCAAGTCCTCGCTGGGGAAACGTTCGCGCACGACATGGAGTTCGGGCATACTTTGCACAGCAGTGAAAATGTTCTTCAAACATTTGTCAACAGTCATCATGACTTCATGATAATCCTGCTGGATCTCCATCTCGATATCAAGACCGGTGTATTCGGTCAAATGTCTGTGCGTGTTGGAGTTTTCAGCGCGGAAAACTGGACCAACCTGTTCCGTTATTAGCAATTATCTTCTTCAAGTTCGGAATAAGGTACAACTCACTTCGAATACTTTTCTTAAATCAGCAGAGATGGCCATCTGCTTGGCCAACTGTGGGCTTTGTGCCAAGAAAGCCTTGCGTCCAAAATAGTTGACCTTGAAAACCTCGGCACCGCTCTCCGTTGCGGCTGGCTGCAACTTTGGAGTTTGGATTTCAAGAAAGTCTAGGTCCTCGAGAGTTCGACGGAACTGGCTGACGATCTTTGATCTAATCTTGAAAATAGCAATATTGGAGGGATGTCTGATATCGAGGATACGTGCTTGCAGGCGAGTATTTAGCGCCTCCGGAGGTTCATAGTTGTCCCATGGTGTATCATTGGCGGCGGCTACCAGATGCAAGGAGTAAACGTCAATTTCGACGGTTTGCTCCGTTGCAGATCGGATGTTCTCTGGTGGCTCTTTCAGAGTACCGGTCACGTAGACAAGAGATTCGGGGTGTAGCTTTTGCACCCATTTAATCATGTGGGTGCTTGTATGCGCAAGAACACCTTGGATGGAGTGGGTCTGATCTCGGAACAACAGAAAATCGAGCTTGGCCGACATACGGCGTTGCGTGTGTATCCGGGCTCGAAACGCAACTTTGGTGCCAACTGAGAGTTTATGAATGCCCTCAATAGTATTGAGCTTACCAGGCTGGACTTGGGCAGGTAAGTCTTCTGGTTCTGCGACCATTCCATAGCGCGTTAGCATCTCCTCATCCTCCTCGGACCGCGCGCGTTCTTGTTCTCTACGCCAGCGGTTCTCCCGCTCTTGGATATCCCGCGAGCTTCGTTCCTCCTTCTCCGCCTTCTCTATGCGTCTAAGCTCATGGCGATGGGCAGACTTGCCCAAGCCATTGCCATTGCCATTGCCGTTTGTTGTTGTGCCATTTTGTTGTTTGTTGCCCGGCTTGAGCTTCTCCTTTAATTGGAGTACCACGCCGGAAAAGGTGTGCGGTCGAGGAGAACCCTCTTTTGTCGGCATTGTGACGTAATAGCCCTCAGAAAAAGGCGGCGGAAATGGAGGGAGTGAGGCTGAATGTCAGGGAATGTCGCTTGTAATTTGTTGCTGAATGAATAGAAAAAGGTGATGGGGAGACAGGCAGTAGTATATTATGTATGGGAGGAAGTGTGGCGGTTTCGGCAATAAAGATTATTAAAAAAAAAAACACAAGCTTTCGCGGGATCCGATCAAGAAATGTGCCTGGCAGCTGCGGCAGGACTAACTAAACGTAGGGGACGGATGACATGTGGAACGTACAATATTGTTCTAATAATGATGTCGTCATCCCGTACTTAGAATCACGATTACGGATTCGAATCTGGAAGACTCCATGCGTCTATAAGTTATTATTGTGGATATAATGTGATAGACCGACCGCGCACGATGCCTTCGCGAGGATTTAGTCTAGCTAGTTGTAAACCTTTGATAGGCCGAACCGCCCGTTCGCCGCTGCCCTGACTCCTGACATATCTGGGGGTCGTGAATCAGATGCCGGAGAATCTGCTCCACCCCAGCCTTCACGAGTAGCATTTGTTGCAATCCAGCGCAGTACCTGCCGTCATATGCTCGCATCTTCCCGGCCCTGTCCGTGTGCCTTGGCAGAGCCCAGAGCCTTGAAAGGGTCTTCACCCTTCCTTGACTAGCATTCTAGCACTAGCATTGGCGGCTTTTGCTTGGGCTTAGTGGGGGGTTTCCAGCAGGGGTAGAACCTGGTATCACCGTGGCAGGGATTGACGAGGCCAGCGGGGCTTGACGTCATACCAGATGTTCCAGGCCGCTGGAAAACAAGCTCAAATCAATTTGAACAATATGAACCGAGAGTGACTCGTGAGCTGAGTATCAAGCCGTATGCTGTAGAATCGAGCCTTTTCTGTGATTGAGACCGTCAGGCTGTTATGTCAGACCTAAGCCCGCGATCCGGCTACATCGGAACCTAAAACTGAGGCCGTGGCCAGTCTACTGTTTGGATCCGTAACTTGTTCCCTGTTCCAGATAGACATGCTTTGAACTGTCACATTTTGGGACCATACAGAACTTCGAAACTACCATTCGCACGGCACGGACTCCGTTAGTCCATGCAACCTAGACAACTTGCAGGCTGCTGACCCAACGAAAAAGCGCCCGGCCTTCCGCGATGTCAGACGATACTACACAACCAGATCTCAGCGCAGTGTCTACTGCAAACTCTCTGAGGCCACCAGAGGACGAGACCAAACCAAACCTTAAAGCAATATCTGAGAACGGTAGACTCAGACCACCATTTTCAGCACGGAGAACTTTCTCCCAGCGCATACTTAGACGACATCGCAGCAAGGCTTCTCTCACGGGGCTTGACCCTGAAAATGAACCCGGAGAAGGTAGACCTGCTCTTGGCCTCAGGAATACTGTGTCAAACCTCGATTTGAACGATGAATACATAAACCCCTTGGAAAAAAGCGCGAGATGGATGCTATCAGCCCGCGCAGGCGCCGTTCGGGCGGGCGCGAATATCGGGTTCGGTATAATGAACAGGTCCGCTGTGAATCCCACTTCAACCATATGGCTTAATTCGACGCTAGGACCATGGAAAGGCCAGAAGAAGATCGAAGTCAAAATTTGGGACCCAAAGAAGAAACCGGAAACATCAACTAGTCGGATGACTTCGTCAAATTCAAGGAGGCCAGCAATCATCAACTTTCATGGAGGTGGGTTCGTGGTAGGCACAGCTACTGACGATGCACTATGGGCTGGAGCCGTCATGAAATCTGTTGATGCTGTCGTTTTCTCAGTCAACTATCGTCTCGCGCCCGAGTACCCGTTTCCCAAAGCGGTAGAAGATTGTGCGGACGCTATTCTTCAAATTTCTAGAAGAGCAGACGAATTTGGCATTGACGCTGATCGCATAATCATCTCAGGCTTCTCAGCCGGCGGAACGCTGTCATTAGCGAGCTGGGTACTTCTCCAGGAACCGCAACGATGGGGCTATGATATCGGAAGCCCACCGCCCAAGATTGCAGGCTTCGCGCTTTTTTATCCCCTTCTCGATTGGACTATTAGCCGGCCGGTCAAGAGGCAGTCGTGTGTTAAGCCAGATTTCACTCTGGCCAAGGGTCTAACCGATTTGTTTGATGCATCCTATGTATTCCCTAAAATTCCCAAAGACGAGCGCGACGACCCCAGACTCTCACCAGGTCTTATGTCTGACGAACTGGTGGCAGACCTTCCGCCCGTGCACTTAGTGATTTGCGAGTATGACATGCTCCATGCCGAAGGTCACACATTCGCAGAGCGGATACAAAGCATGGATAAGGAGATCATCGTCAGGGTTGTGAAGGAGGCGAAACATGCTTGGGACAAGCCAGCACCCAAGACACCGAAACCGAGTGTGCATGTTGAATACGGACATGCCGTGGAGTCGATGAGGAGATGGGTCAAGTTGCCGGGGCTTCCGGGACTGTCGAGAGAGAACAGCACAGTATCGCAGCATCTTCGAACAACAGAGGAAGCCGTAAAGGAGCAGTTGCCGGCGGATGATGAGCCGACACCGAATGAGAAGGCTGACTTTAGAAATTCGGATCTTCAGCTATCATAAAACATTGAGCCTATAGATTAGATTGTTGTATTCAGCTATTCTTTTAAGGTTTAGATTTAGAGGTAATTACATATTGAACCTATTTCACTTGCTCTCATTCAGAGATGATTCTAAACCCAGTGATTTCAATGAATGACGCTTGGAAGACATGAACAGAGACCGTTTTGGTTTTGTCATGGCTTTTGGTCCATATAATATCATCGTGTCAATGGATTTTGAAATAAGATCAATCAGAAAATAGCACGTTGAGGTATGTAGCTTGAAACTTCTGTACGCCGACTATTATTCCGTCATGGGCCGGAGATGGTTCTATTAGCTGCTGGCTATCGTTCTTTATTCTCTGGTGGTTTGTGCAAACTGAAAACCTTTCCTGAAAAAGAAGCGAACTTTTAAAGAAGATTCTCAAAAAGTCTTCAAGTGAAGCAGCCATTCCAAGTGTCTCAAAGCGAGGGGCTGGAATAGATGAGAGAGTGCGAGAATCACACAAAATCTTCATCTATTTTTAGCTGGCGGCAGGCACACTATTTCTACGCCCAGCACCCCCGACCTATCAATGCGAATACTGCGACCAGGTCAGCTGTCAACACCATGCGGGGAAGATAAATGCCTCCATCCATGGCTTGCACTGACTGGAATGCGCACCATTACGATAAGAATGGATTGGTGAGGTCCAATTGGATGAGCTTGAGAGCTGCCCGTTTTCCTGAAAACCCTCTTTCGGTATCCTATATGCCAAACCGCTTTTGTAAAGAATTTTCTCTTTAACTTGACATCTATGATTCCCATTCAAGTTCAATCACCGTCCAGTGGTTGATTTTCTCAAAGCCAGCTAGCACGACATAAGCTCTGCTGGCCGTGGCTGGCTAAATGCACGCCTTTACAAGCGAGCATGTCAATATTGACGGTCGGGCGTCGCAAGGCAACTAGCAGAGGGCCTCCAGGCCAATCAATCACGATCCTACGGCTATCGAATACAGTTTGACAGTATAAGTAGGTCACGACAGACCGCTATGGGGGCAAATGAATCCATTTTTGGTAATAGCCTTATCTTACTTTTCCCCGCCTGAGAGGCCCAATCGATCTTGTTGCCACCACACATTATGATGACTTGTTCACAGAAAGACATTGATGAGTGCTTGATGAGTTGATGTGGCGCTCCTCCCTGTTAAACACTTGTCAAAAACCTTCGAGCTCACAAAGGCCTTTTTCTTCATTCTTTCTAAATTTGGGCATTCTTAGGATATCTGTGCCGAGGGCCGCGTCGCACGATATGGGCAATAAATCTTGGCGTACACAACGTATCGATGCTGTTTAGCATGGCTTTATGGGTTAGGTGTGCCAGGTCGTGGGTTTGCACTCCACGAAATGGGTATCCCGGCATGCTTCACCGAAGAAGACAAATCAATAAGTACAGATGGCGACTCCTTGAGGTGGCATCACACTTTGTGATATTGACACCCCCGCGTTCCTCTGACAAGGCAGTATTGCACACTGAAACTTGGTAAGCGCTTCTTGCGCAACACAAAGACAAAATGCCCATGTATGCCGTAAATGGAGAATCTCAAGACGTTTATTGCTGCGCAAGAATCATCTCTTATGAGCGGCCACTATAATCCCATTCGGTGAGCAATTTGCTGCGGCTTCTTGTGTTGAGCGTTGACAGACACCGACAAGGCATAGTCTCATAACGCTCTGTTAGACATATAGGAAAGCAGCACATACCTGAGGTTGAGGAATAGAATTCCGCCACTAGTTCGCGAGATACAACCAAGCTGGCCTCAAGGGTTTGGAAATGGCAAATCACTTCACACTACGACGATATGTTTGCCACGCCGATGCTTATCCACATCTGCTAATCTCGCTTGGAGGAGTCAGTACCAAAATAAGTCTTGTGGGTAAGTCCGACTTGCTTTGCATCTTTCATAACTGAGCTAAGTTAAGAACGCCAGACTCGCCGCTGGTGTAGATAGAAGTGATCTCTAAAATGCCGAGCTTGAATCCAGTTGCCGGTGATCGTGCTGATTGTGGCAACTGATTGTTCGCAATTATTAGCTTCGAAGCGTTATTTGCCTTGATTTCATCCTCATGGCATATCCCGATGCTATAATATCTCCTCTTGATAGACACAACAATCCATCCGTGACTCACTTGCTTGATTGCCACTTCCGACCTCAAAAGCTCAGACTCCCCAAGAATTGATCAATTGCTGTACCAATTTGCCAGAGCTATCAAATTTATACCTAGCTCAAATTTCTACTCAAGAATACACTCCGAAAGATAGGAATTTACAAAATTGCACGGCAACCAGCATCTAGTGACAAACACGGTCAAACACAATCAATCATGTCGGCTCAAGTCTGGAATAGTTCAGCGGGCTCAAAAAGGCTAGCATGACCTTCCAAGGCCGTTCCCAATTGCTGACCCTTACCAGTGTTGATTGTGTCCCGGTCGGAAGAAACACTGTGCTTGCCCAGCTACGAGTCCAGAGATACCTTGATGAACCGATTCGTCCGCTACACGAGAAAACCACGGACTACAGGCAGGCAGAGAAGCAAGCTGAAGAGGAGATGAAAAATCGTATTCATGATATCATGAAGGGATATAGTCATACGTGACTTGAGGCTGTTGGTTGTCGCTTGGCTCTTAGTCTTCTTGTTATTGGACAGTCTGATATACTTCTCTTTAGATATTCCGTCAAGAGCAACATGATTTCGCAAGTTTCCTTCTTCAATATTCGTACTTTCTTCTCAAACTTCGTCATTTCCTTTAGACAGAATGTTGTGGAGATCTTCAGGACATTGACAAGCCTTGTCAGTGTGCGTTGGATCATGTTATACCACTGCCAAATTATCGAATCTCCTGGCAAGTTTGCCTTGTTCATTTCTGTGTATTCAAGCGACGGCTCTTCGCTCTCAGTTCAGTTCTGCCGTATGTGCCAAAGTACTGAGCATTTCATACATCAATACCGTGAACGGCAGTGATGCTGTGGCCAGTGATGCATCTAGCAGATGGAGGACTTGAATCACTAACGAGGCGAGCACTTATAGTCTCTGAACGCTGGCCGACAGTCTGCATAGCTCATATACCTAGCTCCGAGGCAATGCTGTCGTGACATCCCCCGCCAGCGTGCAACACCTCTCCCTCATTATCCCCCACCTCCAGAGCAGAGCTGGCCCAGCAACGACCCAACCGCAACGACCAGCAAACGACTGTCGTTCATTCCATTGGCCACAACTTATTCAAACAAACCTCTAGGCCTCAAAGTTCTAATCAATTCAAAGTTCTTTCGCCCCCCAATCCGGGGGGCTCGTAGGCGGCCACCCCCATCCTGGTCGATTTGGTAGAGTCCCAGCTTTCCGTGAAATTGTGATTCATCGTCAGGTGTCATGTTCAATTCCCACACATGCCAGTGATTTCTTTCTAATTTGAGCCCAGTCCTTAGTGTAGAGCCCAGTCCTAAGTGCAGAGCCCAGTCCCATGTGCAGCAGACGTAAGGTACCGGTTAACGTAGAAATCCGGTGCCTGAACTGTTTTGCAATTTTTTGCAGCTCACCTCCTCCCCCTTCTTCCATTGCTCATAAACATTACCGCCGCGAAGCAAAGATGATTCCAAACACGGGTTGTACTGAATCCTTCCACTTGCTTTATTTGCTATCTGTCTCATACAACCCAACGCGCTGGCAATATCAAGAGAGCCAGTCCTGCCTGATACTTGCCACGAAGCAGAACCGACGGTAGTAATGCTCGGCACATATTATGTTGTAGTACCACTATCAATTTATGACAGAGTAGTTGTGTAAAAGGTATTGAGCCAATGATGATTCACTGCTGTACGTAGCTCTTGAACAGCGGTAGCTCGGACGGGCTGTGCAAAGTATCATCATCTAGCTAGTAACGCTTCGAAGATGAGTTTCTAATCCGGAGAGCCGCAACAAGATCCTTCGAGCTTCCCTTCCCCAGATTCAATTAAGCCATAAAAAATGCGACCCAATGTCAGGAGTGATGATTGGCACGGCTGTCTTTTGAAATTCCATCGGTTATTTGAAATGCATGAAAACCAGTAACCACAAGGAAGAACATGATCATGCCCTTGAATGGATGAAGCTGCACATGTATCGTAAGCGGAGTTCCATTCTTAACAAGCGTAATAAGTGATAGGGATTGGCGCCAGTGCTATGACAGCCAGGCTCGCTCATACTGTATTAATACTTGGGCTTAATATAAACTCAATGCAAGGGACCTGATTTTCCACGGTGGGTAGGCAATTCAAAGTCTTAAATTTCACTTGCAAGGCCTTAAATATTGACTAAGTCCCACATGGCAAGCATATCATATGTGAATAGAAGTCCTGGAAAGACGTAGTTCAAATCTTGAGCGTCTCGATATCTTAGTCGACGCTTGACGCCGTAGAAGCGTCGAAAGATGAAGTCTAAACAGGATATACTTTATTTTGCAAAGGTCCGTATTAATAGTGACCACTTTCTGCCGTAACTTGAAGAAAGTTGATGCCATTGAAGAATACAAATGAAGTTTGGTGGTTCGCTCAGTGAACTAACTACGTTTAAATGCATTAGTTTGCTTAAAGGAGCATATGTCGTCTGCGGCTCACGGATGAATACATACGCCCGCGATAAGATAAGCCTCAGCGACGTCAGAACCAAAAGTTCCCTAACATGCAGTGTTATGCAGCCTTGCCTAGCTACTTCTTATACAATCCACAGCCTCACTACGCTCAAACCAATAACCCCCACTGATCTCGACGCCAAATTGCCGGGACGAGCAAAAGGAGAAAGATGCCTTCAGACATTTCCTCGTACCTCGCACAGCACTACCTCACCGCAGACCCCAAGCCCTCGAAAAAGCGCAAGCGCAACAAAGACCCCTCGGCTGGCCTGCTCATCACCGACGACTCGGAGACGGGATGGACGCGCTCCACAAACGCAGACGACGACGACGACGACAATCCCACCACCGTGGCGGGGACATCGGCCGAGTTCCGCAAAGCCAAGAGCTCAGGCTGGAAGGTCGTCGGAGCGCCTGCGCCCAAAGAGGCCGACGTGAAGGCGAACGAGGACGCGGCGGCGAACGCGATCCTGGCTTCCGCGGCCGCGGAGTCGGCGCAAGCATTGGGCGGAGGCGGCGATGACGGCCCGGCCGTCATCATGATGTCGGATGGTACGCATGCGGGACTCCAGTCCGCCGCGACGGTGTCGGCGCAGCTCGCGAGAAGAAAGGCGCTGGAGGAGGCCGAGTTCGAGAAGATGCGGAAACACGAGAAGGAGGCCGAAACGGTGTACCGAGATGCGACCGGAAGGCGCATAGATATCAGCATGAAGAGGGCCGAGGCCAGGAAACAGCTTGCCGAGGCCGAGGAGAAGAAGGCCAAGGCTGTCGAGGCGCTCAAGGGAGAGGTGCAGGTGCAAGAGGCGAGGCAGCGCAGGGAGCAGCTCCAGGATGCGAAACTCATGACAGTGGCAAGAGGTGTGGACGATGAGGAGATGAATAAGGAGCTAAAAGGAAAGACGAGATGGGGTGACACGATGGCCGATCTCATCGGAGGCGAAACCGGCGGGTCCACAAGCGGAACTGGGGCAGGCAAGAAGACGAATAAAGGGCGACCAATATACCAAGGCGCAGCACCACCAAACAGATATGGTATCCGTCCTGGATACCGGTGGGATGGCGTGGATAGGGGTAATGGCTACGAGGCCGAGAGGTTCAAAGCCATCAATCGCGTTGAGAGAAACAAGGACCTCTCGTACAATTGGCAGATGGACGAATAGATGACGGATTGCCAGTTTTGCGATGTGGCGACGGAGCGATAGCATGAATACTTTTGCTCGAGCATTATATATATGATGGTGCTTAAAAGCAGAACAATGATACCCTAGTTGATAATTACATACAGTACTCTTGCGCGGATAGTTATGCATTGCAATCTCGGGATGGTCATTGACATGTATTCGTCTATTCATATTGTATGAAAACGCCCGGCATCGCCCGGATCATGGTACCCTTGGTTGGATGGCACGAAGCAAAAGCGCAGGACCAGCTGATCTTTGACTCCATAAAAGCACGATCTCGCTCTCAATTTATAATTCGTGCCATGAATTTATGCGTAAAAGCTCAAGCGTCCGGATGGATGCCATCGCGATAGCCTTCCAGGGCATGTCTACGCAGCCTTGATCTTCCTTGAAAGCGTCTTGGTGTCTTTCTTAAATCTGCCGTTTTGCTTAACTAGGGCAATGAACTCTGCCTTGGTGGTCTTGCCCTCTCCATCGCCAATTCTCGTGTTAAACAACTTCAGCAGCTGACTGATGTTGAGGCCCTTTGCGGGATCTTCCGGAAGAGCATCGACAATTTCCTGAGCCGTAAGGGGTTGCGACATAGGCGAGCGAGCACCAGATGCAGGAGCGGGACTACCGGACCTGCTGCCGACAGGAGTACCTCTTGCGTTAGTACCTGTCGCGAGATTGCTACCGGCGATCTTCTTCTTCTTGGTTCTGCCACCAACGCCATCCGACATCTCACCTCCTGTGGCCTCTGCATCACTAGCGGATCCGGCACCAGGCCGACGAGGGATCGGAGTACCGCTGCGGCTGCCAACAAGAGAGGAGCCTGATGGACCGAGCTTCTTCTTCTTGTTCTTGCGGGTTGATTCGTTGCCACTGGAGTCAGAGACCATGGGCGAACCAGAACGCTTTAGCGATTTGCCCTTCTTAGCAGCATCCACCTTCTTACCCTGGGGTGTGTTGTTGCCCTTGGAAGAATCGCCAGTGATCTTATCCTTGGCCTCCTTTTCCTTTTCCTCCTTCTCCTTCTTGGCCTTTTCCTCGTCAGACTCCGAATCGGACTCTTCCTCGCTCTAGGTTGGGTTAGCCACACATGAAACTTGACCTGATGGGCCTCACTCACAGAAGAAGCAAAAGGATCTCGCTCTCTCTCCGAGTCGTCAGTGTCGTCGTATTGGAACTGCTTGTCCCGCTTCTTCAGGGCTTTCTTCATATTTTTGCCAAACAGTTTCCTCTCAAGCTCTTCGCGGCGGCGTTGAGCCTCCTCCTTCTCGACAACTTTCTCGTCTGCGTGTCCAAAGAGATTCGCTCCAAGTTGATCTCTGCGGACCTTCTCCTGCGCATCCTTGCTGTCTTCGTCCTTATCTGCTTCAAGGTTTGTGTTCTCATCATCGTCCTGGAACTCGTCACCTGACATGTCAATGTCATCATGATCAGCCTTCTCTGCACGCGAAGACTGCTTATATGTACGACTCTCCTGCTTGACCATACCCTGACCACGAGATGCAGCTAGTTCCTTCTCAGCTGCTTCGCGCTGCTGATCCCTCATGGCCCACCGTGCGACTGGTGCCTTCTTTTTGAGAATGGCCTCGACCTCGTCCAGCGTCATGGCGTTCACCGATGATCGCTTTGAAGAAAATTTGTACCATTTTTCCAAAGGCGTCACAATGAACTTGTTGTCTTTGTATAAGATGGCGACCTTTGTGCCGGAGAGAGGCTGCTCATACTGTCCGACCCATACATTCCCGCCATCTGCGTCCTCCAAATGCCATGGTAGAGCTTCCTCGTATCTAATCTCAGATTCTTTCTTCTGCGCTGCTGTCCGAGGTCCATGATTGACTTTGGTTCCTTGCGGCTTGTCCTTCTGCTTGGGTTGTTTTTTCATGGGACCACTGGATGGGGCCTTTTGGGCATCGTCAATAGCCTTTTGGGTGTCTCTTTCGGCCTTGGCCTGCGCCAGCCTCTCCCTTTCCGCAATCTGTTCGGGCGACTCTTCTGCTTCAGGCGTAGGCTCCTTATGCGAGCGGCCGGGTGGGGGCTGTCTGGGATCACGACGATGTAGCAAGACAGGACGGGTGAACTCGTTCTGATCTGAAGGATCAATGCCAGCTTGTGTCTTTCGAGGGGGCACTAGGCGCATGACATGAGAGCGCATGCCGTCGTTGTTGCCCTTCTTGGTCAGGACTAAGTCGAACTCGCCCATACCCTCCCGCATGGGAAAGGACCATCCACCGTTCCTCTGACGATCAGCTTCGAAGTTGGGTTGCGCTGGAGCACCGGGTTTTGCCTGTATTTTGGGGCCGGTAGGTTTAGGTGGTATTCCTTTGGAGCCGGCAGGCATCGGCGTCCCTGGGGCATGGACAGCTGCTGGGCGAGCATGTGCTTTCCCTACAGGACGGAAGGGGTTGGACTTGACTGGCCTGCGACGAGCCATAGGGCCTTTCCCTTGGGGAGGTGTCGGCGTCTGGCCATTAGGACCACCGGCTGGCGAGGCGCTCATTGTGGACAAACGCGATCGCGTCACGTCGCAGGGAAGTGGTAGCTGTGCAAGTTATCAGGGGATAGCCAGCACCGATGCCGCTGCAGTCAATGCTCTGTTGTTGTAGCGAGACTATGATAATCTGCTAGATAATTGCTGGCATAAAACCGAGTTGACAGATCAATGCCGTTGCTGCGTATGATGGGCAGCTTGAGCAGGAGCGCGTAAATCGTGACAAACGTCGAAAGGCCTGTGCGACTATCAACCAGCGGGGGGCCAGTGTGACGGCCGCTGAACCGTTTAGACGAACGAGTGAAACGAGTCAACTGCTCTTTCAGATGCGCAATGTGGGTGGTGAAAGGGAAGGCTGATGGTCGGGTGCGAGGCCGATGACAAAGGAGTGCCGCCTGCGCTGCTGAAAGTCCCAGTGCTCCAGTCTTTGAGTTGAGTGGAGGTTTCAGTACTAACAAAAGCTAAAAGCTTGCCTAAATTCTGGTCAGGGTACTTGCCGACGTCACACTGCACGTACCTACAAGGCCAGATTTGGGGCCAGAGCCTATGAGCGGTACACATCAGCACAGAGGACCAAGTATCGGGGTTCTGGGAGCTACTAGTAGTCTCCCACTTTAGAAGCTTTGAGGCTCTTGAGCTCGACTGCTGTCCGAATTATGTACATACCAAGTAGAGCGAACGCCCGTGCATACGGATATGGTTATGGGTGCGTCTATGTGCATAGAATCATGAACCGCGCCATCCACCATTCACAAATAGCAATCACACCGACAACAGTAAGTTATTTTGATCCAGTCATGGTACAGAACAATATCCTTGTCTGTTTCATCGTTTCTGAGCGGGTACGTAGTGTGAATGAATGAATGAATGAATGCATGTAGACGCTGCGACATTCTACTTGTACATAAAGCTGCGCTAAGCCTGATTAGTACTGTTCGATGAAGCTCCTCCTGCAGGACTTTGTCAACTTGAAGCTTCTACCCACCCACCTTGATTCTGGTAGCAAGACACACCCAATCACTGCAGCTTCAAATCACTGTTGTGACAGCGTGAACCGCCAGACTCGCCCTTTTAACTTTCGAAAACTCATCTTTGTCCATTTCGAGAAAGGCCGTCGAGGTTCATGGTCCCAAAACCATAGTTTTTGTGTCAATCCCCATCTGGCTAGGGTCCATATTTGTAAGGCTGTTCTGTCCAAATGTTTACCATTCCTTAATTGCGATCCAACAGTACTAACATCGTTGCCAAAAGCTGATACGCGTCTGGACCATCAAAAGTCGGTGTCCTTTCTCGCACAGAGAACATCAAGGTACGGATTGAAGGATCCGTTCTGGTGTGAACATTGATACTCATTGGATGTTCGTATAAGCCAGTCAAACTCAGAGCGACAGAAAAGAGTGAAGTTGAGACTATATCATTTCGAAGATCCAGACTAACGGCTTGAAATTTCCGTCTGTTTCACAAACACTTTCCGGTCGACTTTATCACGTCAATGGCACTTCATATCCGTGCTAGACCTTCACCCTTGACTGTATTCCAATATTTGAGCCAAACACCTGAACCAGCAAGACGCAAGACTTGAGCGCGGAGAGGAACTCCAGGACTGCAGTTGCCGAACAAACATGATGTCGGCCCCTCAGGATTCTAGCCGGCCTCTTGAGGACCATCTACGCAATTTAATTCTGAACAATGCTGAAGATGCTCCTTCAGACGCTGAGAGGCAACCACCGAATATCTCTGTCACAAACTTGACAGACCAGCCAAAGGAATCTTCTGCACCACTGAAGTCCGCCAAGAAACGTCCGAATCAGGCCCAGCGCCGCCAGATGAGCTCGCAGATCACCATAGATATTGACCCTAGGGCGACTGGCCCCAACTCATCTAGGCCTCCAGTCGGCCATCCAGGCTTCAATAGGGGCCCTCTCCATGAATCTCATTTCCCACCTGATCACCACCCACACGGACACCGTGGGGGGTTCCAACATTCACATCATCGTGGAAGCCATCGTGGGCACCCTCCTCCTCATCATCAACAACACCACCACCATCAGCAGCACGACCGCCCGTGGGATCAAAATCAAGGAGCCTCGTCGACACAATTCCATCAGCAACAAGACTGGAGACAGCATTCTGGACGTGGCGGTATTCCTACACGAGGAGTGAATGTCATGCAAGCAGACGCATTCGCTGCCAGACCACGAAATTCACGTGGGGGTCTTTACAATCCAGAAGGTCACAGACAATATGTTGTGAGGCCCGAGGAACTGGCGGCCCAATCCGAACTCCTGGAGCAACTCTGCGCGGCTGTAGTTCAGACCTCCGAAATTGAGTACAGCGAAATACTTGAGAAAGAAGATTTTCGCAGACATATCGAGGCAATTTGTCGTGCTGTTGTCTCAGATCATGAAAGAATATCTAATGGCGCTACAACGTTCCAACCACAAGACGTCCAGTTGAAATGTTTTGGCAGCCTGGCATCCGGCTTTGCTACTAAAGCTGCTGATATGGACCTCGGCCTCTTGTCCCCGGCTTCGCAAATTCCACCAGATGCTCCAGAATCTCCCGTACCCAGACTTATCGAACGAGCCCTTCTTGACGCCGGCTTTGGCGCACGCCTTTTGACCAGGACTCGAGTACCAATCATCAAGCTTTGCGCGATGCCAACGTCAGAACTTCGATCTGATCTTCTGGAAGAGCGCACGAAGTGGGAACAAGGTCTGATTGCCGATGAAACTGATTTTGTTGAAGAAGAGTCCTCTCCCCACATTGAAACATCGAAGGCGCCCAAAGAGGTTGATAAGGCGGACGCGACCGCGAAGATAAGCATTGAAGCAGCTCAGGCATCAGAGGATGCTGCTGCCGAGTCGGAGAAAGCACAAGACGTATCCCCAGAGCGATTACTATCTTCGATCAAGCAGTCTGGTGATCAATCCTTGCTTGCCTACCATAACCAGACGAAGAAGGTGCTCAGACAGTTAGGCGGACGCGACGTCACTCATTCGAACTTCGGCATCTTTACGGAAGGTGATTTCCTCCTCTTAAGCGACGTGAGTGAGGCTTTCGTGGAGGGCCTGAATGACACGGCGCTTAAACAAAGGGTCAAACTGCACCCATCATTCTCTATAGGAAAGCCGGTACCAAATCATCGAACATTGCATGGTGTCTGCAATATGGTCGAAGGTGAAAATCTGGTGATGCTTTGGGAGAACAGAGCAGTTCCCGATGGAGATGCCCGAGCAGAACAAGCACACGCCAAGACTGTTCGATGGTGGGCAGAGCTCCACCAGACACGGCACTTTGGTTCCGATCCTCTCGCTTTCAACAAGGAGATGTTTGTGTCTCTGGAGAGGCTGAAGAAAATCCCGTCGATCCAACTAATGCAGCTGCAGCAAGACCAGTATGAATCAGCTGCGGACTATCACGACCGTGCTGTGAAAATCATGGCCCAGCTCAGCGCAACTGCTCTTGCGGCCGCGGAGCCTGGTGTCTTGCCACCGCTTATTCAATACTATGTGTCCGGTATTCATCAGAAGGCTGTCCGGGAGGTTGTCAAGAAGTTTGTGCAGCGGACTGATACCAAGAATATAAGGGCTGTTGCGCGAAGACACAGAAGCTTGCACCTTGCCGATGAATATGCTAGGGCTCTCGACAAGGGCAGCCTTTACCAACGCGATGATATTCCCATAGTCAAGGAGTACATCCACTTTCTGAGAAGCGAAATGGTCCCGGTCAATTCCGGTCAGGTCAACGATTACCATCTGCCCGTTGAAGAGTCGTTGTTACACATCTATGACAGAATCTTGCAGTTGCCCAACCCAGCATTGTCAGCAGAGAATCAACCCAAAGATCGATACCATGACAAGCTCGCATTTCCACAATCGGGAGTCGGGGTTCAATGCGATATAAATTTCTCAGCGCACCTTGCTTTGCAAAATAGTCACCTCCTACGGTGTTATGCGGCAACGGACCCCCGTGTTAGGCCTATCGTACTCTTCGTCAAACACTGGGCCAAAGCTCGGGACATCAACACACCGTACCGGGGAACTCTTAGTAGCTACGGATACGTTTTGATGGTCATGCATTACCTCATCAACATCGCACAGCCATTTGTGTGCCCCAATTTGCAATTACTCACCCCGCCCGACCCTGATCTTCCATCTGAAGCGTTGGAGGGCGTGGCAACCTGCAAAGGCCGCAATGTACGCTTTTGGCGCAACGAGCAGGAGATCCAGCGTATGTCAAGTGAAGGCGTACTCAATGCCAATAGAGAGTCGATTGGCCACTTATTAAGAGGGTTTTTTGAGTACTATGCGCAAAACAATATGATGAGCACCACCCAAAAGAGGGGATTTGACTGGGGTAGAGATGTCATTAGCATGAGAACTCCCGGCGGCATCCTCAGCAAGCAGGAGAAGAACTGGGTCCAGGCAAGGACTACTATGCAAAGGCAGATGGGTGCTCCGCCAACTCCGATTGAACTGGATTCACAAAATGCAATGAAGTCATCCGCTGAGCCTCAGAGTCAGCCGATTGCAAATCCCGAATTAATGTATGGCCCCTTTGCATCGACAGATGGGCCATTGAAATCCGACCACGCCTCTAAGCCGCAGGAGCTCAAAGAAGTCCGGCACCGGTTTCTATTTGCTATCGAGGATCCATTTGAGCATGAACACAATGTGGCTCGTACTGTGACGCATCATGGCATTGTGTCGATACGCGATGAGTTCCGTCGCGCTTGGCGCATTATCAAGCTCGCAGGCAAGGACACAGTTCAGGAGGACTTGCTGGAAAATGTCAAAGCACATGCCCAGATGCTGGAGAGGAAGCAATTCGCTGATCTTCTCGCGGAAATCCATGGAAACAGTAAAAATCTGGTGTAGGAGAGATTTGTTACGATATGGTCAAACAATGGACCAGAGAATGTGTCGGAATGTGCTACGAAATGGTTCGGGCTCATGGCGATAGAATGAGACTGTGGGAGAAATCTTTGTTGTCGTTGTCGAAAAGAATTGTCATGATGGTTGGCTGTAGGGGTAATAAAAGCAATAGCCCTGAGTACCCTCATCATGTATTCTACGGTAGTAAAGCAGCTAACGTAAATCTCGAAAGTTCTATTGCCCAAATACGAATTTCATTATTTTAATCGTTTTTCAGTGGAAATATTACGTTGGAACAATGGCGGCGTGGGTTGAGTTCCATGGTGGGTGGTATGTTCGAGGCCGGTCTTGAAGTTTTGTGAGAAGCAGCGAAAGACACTCGAGCTCCCAGGGCCGCCATCTCCTGCCAGCCCGCAAATTTAAATTGATGGACCTGGCTAACTGTCTGAATGCTCATAGGAAACATGACATGTGCCACCTTTCTCGGCGATATTCACTAACCTAGCTTTGGTGATGCATCGTCATGGCATCAATCTTGCGATGGGGGTGGCCAAGCATGACCATGCTCTAACATTGTGCAATTGCGCTTCTACGCAGAAAGCCACAATAGACAACGTATTTATTAATAATCCGATTGCGCGTTGAATGTAATAAAGCCTGCATATAGTTCTTTGATGTTATTTTTAATTGAGATCCGGCTCGTGAGGCTTAGACGTGACAGGATCTCCATAAGGGTAAGCTACCTACGCTGCTCGAGAATAGGCCATCATGAGGTAAGGCTCGCTGGCATATGTCTTCAGGTCCTAAAGCTTTCTAAATATACCCAGTGCTCCATGTGTTTAAATGGCAACGTTTAACGGAAAATCATGAGAACATATTCTTCGATCACGAGGACGGCCAAATGGTCGTTAATAATAAGAGGCTCTTGAGCCTGTATACTTTATTCGTGCGAAGAATATACTATACTGTAAAGCAATGACAAGTTTTCTATACCTAACCTCATAATCATTTGAAATCATGATTAGATAAGTGCCATTTAAGTTGAGTCTTGTTAATAATCTCGAGTTACTCCTAATCACCAAGACTGAATCTCCCTAGCATGTGTAATATCAGTTTAACAAGATCAATTGACCCCAGTCTTGTCGAGTTATCGGGGTTTTTACTTGCTATTAACATCTATTATAGTGCCGGAAACCCTTTAACGATGAGGAACCACGTCACAACGAGCTCACCGTCGGCTTACTTTAAGCTTAGCCACCTTCGTAATAAGTTTGTCCAGCAGGAGAGTGATGTATATATAAACCCAAGAAGAATCTTCTGAGACACATGTAAACCACCATACCTCACATTTTACTCGAGGCTATAAGTCTAGATCTTTTTATTATATATTTAAACAGCTTCCTTATAGGTGTCCGAATGGGCAATGCCTTTTATGTTAGAACGTGCCTGCTCTCATAGTATTATAAACAAATAATATTGTCTCTAAGGGATGTTGTAATAAATAATCGCAAAATCAATCAATGAGCTCCCATTCGATTGATTCAATGGTGGCTGGTTAGAACAATCTAATTGGTGGGTCCGGATGAACAATCCACGAGTTTGTATATTAGCACGAATTTCCTCCAGGACCTTCTTCCTGTTTTCATCTCTCTCTTTCTTCTTTATGTCCAGTCCTGAAAAATTTGCTAGCATCATAACTAGCACCAGCTTTTGATCAAGTAAGATTCCCATTCCAACTTTCTCTCTCTCGCTCTCTTATTATCCTTCTTTCGTTGGCTTTCACCATAATCCCACCAAGAAAGGATAAGTAAGTTGATCTTTCTTCGTCGTCACCGTCATCACCGTGGTACTTGTTTTGGGTCTGCCATGAGTTCTTGCATCACTCCCCTCACTTCCCTTACCCTCACCCCAACCTCTTTACGCGCTTAGTCACATCTGCCTTACCCTAGCCTACTTCATATCGGAAACGACCTATCTCTATGGTAGATTTTTGCGAAATATCTTCAGCGTGGTTTCAAGACTCAATTCGTCGAGAAGAGTCTGACAAGAGGCCTCTCATCGACTCGAGCCTTGATGCGGCCAATTTTCAATCTACACAGAGCTGAGCGCAAATGAAAGTTCTCCAACAACAGATGAATTTCTCATTACCATTATCAAGGACCTGCAGGCAAATCCTGCAGACTTCTTTGCCATTTCTCGCCAACTTCTCAGTGTCGAATTAAGTTCTCGTTGTCACTATCAGATTTCCCCAACCGGAAGACCTGCCAGCTTTCTTTCATTTCTACCCACTAGAAAGTTGCTCTTATACAACTACCTTTTGGATTCGACCCCTCCATCCTGATACAAACGCATTGTGCAGCTCCCAATCTCATGAAATTACTGTTTGGGCATTCGACCTGCCCGGCCTTTCAAGATTCGATCGGATATGATTACAACCCATTCCCATTTCAAAAAGACTAAAACACTGCCAAATTCACCATCCTTTCGATCTTTTTCAAGCTTCAATCTCGCTAATGCATTTCTTTTTTACTCAATGCAGACAAGAAAAGATCACTGCCGACCACCAACCATCAGCCACTAACATGACTCCCACCATTTCCGCCGCTGGCGCTCCCAAGCGCGCGGCTGGCGAAGCGGGCTTGCCCGAACTTCACCACCCTCAGCCCAAACGGGCAAAGTGTCCCTTTCTTATGGACGAGGATGAGGATGACGCTCACCGTCGACTATCCGCAATTATGGAGCTCTCAGAGCTGCCATCTTCGCCGTCCCTCCCTCCACTCCCGGTCCTTGCTCCTGCCGCCGAGAAGTCGCCCTCGCCGGACTACCGGCCCAGCACCAGTCCTCTAAGCATTATCAAGACATCAAAGGTCATTACATCGGACCAGTTCTTTGAGTATGAGTCACAGCGTAAGAAGGACGAGCAGAAGCGGCAATTCGATGAGGAATTCATCCTCAACAAGATTGCCAGGTTCAAGGACCAGAACAACGGCAAGCTGAGCTTGACGCTCTTCCAGGCCCTGCAGTCCGAGGTCCAGCAGTCTATCTACGGCAAGGTTCCCATACCTTCATTCTCGAAGGACACTCATATCAGTGCAGAGAACTTCATGAAGGGTGCTGCTACCACCACCGATAACCTCATGAAGGACGTCGCTACCAGTACTGAACACGCTGCAACCATGGACAAAACTACCCAAACAGAAAAGCCGGTTGCCCCCGTGCTCAGTATCAGCTCAGCCATGGTCAATGCAGCCACAGAGACTAACGACAACGGCACCATCACTGCTGTTAAGTTCACGTACTGTGACTCTGGCGCCCAGACCACTCCCGTTCCGGCACCACCTCCCACGAAGCTAGAGTGGGTCGATATTTACAACAAAGAGCTATCTACCATTCACCTCAAGAACCCGTTTGTCACAGGAAAAGGCGTCATCACAGTAAAGACCATGCTCCGACCCGCTGCTAAACCCTCCACATACATCAAACCTCATCCGTTCTCTCGTAGGACCTGTACCAGTGCTTCATCTTCGCGTCGTTCCAGCAGCACTTCTGTTGCGCCCACTCGAAAACCATCTGGATCTGCTCCTTCTCAAGTCATCAGTCTGGATGATTCAGAAGAGGATGACCGCGCCCAGACTACTAATAAAAGCCATGGAGTTGGTGGAGGCTTCGTATCTACCCTCCAGTCCTCTACTGTTCAGCCTCCGCCCCCTAACGCAAAGTATCCTACTTCTCCTGGTCCAATGTTGCTTTCCGCTGCAGAGGTGAATATTATGAACGACTCAGATGACGAGACTCCCTCTCAGATCACCAAGAGTGGTCACCAAGTTGGCGGTAGTTCTGATCCCATGAGAGAGCTTTTTATTAGTCAGCCTCAGGCAACCATATTTCAGTCCGCAACTCCTGCTTTGCAGACATCCTCAGTTGCTGAGCAGTCTCGCAAAGTAGACGGCATAATTTCAGACTCTGAACCCATGCACATCGACGTAGAAGAGTCGGACGCCACAACCTCCATCCGTATCATTGACCCGAGCTCGTACCGTGTGGGGGGCGCCGACCAGGTACCGGGTACACATTTGCAACAGCAGCAAAATGGCCCGGGTCATAAAGGTCATAAGGGTCATGACAGATCTTCTTACGGCAGCGCCAGTACACAGAGTACCGTACAGAGCCCTGTCTTCGACGTCCAACAAGACACTTCCTCCCCTATTCAGCCTCCCAATCGCTCTACTTTCTATGGCTTCAGTGGGTTAGATAATCCACGCCAGATTCAACAGGAGCTACGCTTCCAGAACGTCGAATTCAACGATGGCTATTTACCGTCCCCTCAGGCAGGTCTGCGCCTTTTCTATGACGATTTCCTCTATGAAGTCGGCTCTCAGCTTATGGGAAACCCTCTGGCTCACATTATGCAAACCCTCAGAGACACAGCATAGGGTGCTCGTGTTACTCTCGATGACGATGCAGCTATCGCTGAGAACTGGTGCTCAAATCCATCAGCCTACGAAATTGCGAAGGGCTACCCCTTGGTGGAAGACGTCGAGTTTGTCATTCACAAGAATCGTGCTAGGCCCGATGGCGACTGCTACTGGCGCAGCATCTCCTTTTGTTTGCATGGCACTGACAAGCACTGGAACATTGTCAAGGCTGAGCACCTCGCCTATGTGCATCACGTCCTCGAACACCCTCACCATGCTCGCTACGGGCTCTATAGCGACCTCCTGAACAAGAAGTTCTTCAGAACCAACTCCTCTACCGCCGATGGCCAAGGCACCATGCCCGGCTTCCGTGCCAACATGTACCAGGTCCTATTTCTGGCACATGCTTGGACTCCAGCTCTGATGCAGCAAGTTACCGCGGATCTGTACAATATTTGCGTCATCATGTTCACCCGCGAGCGTACCGGCCAGCAAGAATGGACTATCTCGGAGACGGCAGTCCGAGGCAGCCACAACGCCCGTCACATCTTCATCCAGTTCGTCGACGGCAACCACTTTCAGCCAATGGTCCCAAACCATTACACCGCTTCCGAGTTCCGCTACCCTTACGTTACTGTGGACAAGACGGCCAAATACAGCAATGCCCCCAAAGCCACGTCTACCAAGACAAGCCTCCAACACCCCTGGCGTAACGATTTCACCAAGGAGGTCCCACCCCCTGTCCCTCGTCTCCACGGTTGCAATACTAAAGAATTGAGTAACTGGTTGGGAAGCAGTTGATTTACATCACGGGCACCTGATCAGGCATCATAACCTATCGGACGCTTCAACCACACCGAATATTGTTGCACACCCTTCAAGAAACTTCAAACAAGGACCAGGTTTCAACAACATCCAATCTGCTTTTCCTTCCCAGCTCATCATCTGCCTGTGCAGCCAGACGTAAGACATCCCAATAGTGTACGACCAGCCAGTGCTCAGCTGGTTTTCGACACAACCCTGCCCACCTCTCGTCACTTTGCAGAATATCTCACATCATTGCTCTCCTGCGCCGCGACTTCTTGCAATTTGTTACGACTTCGTCTTCTCCACCGCAACTTGCCAATTTCTTACGACTTCTTCTTCACCGCAACGGCGATTTATTTTTTCTTTTCTTTTTGCATGCTTCAGTGAAAGCAGCCGCTACGATTACGCAAAAGCCGTTTCGTCTGCCCACCGCTTCTACAATTGGGTGCTCGCTGATCGTGGCAAATTTTTGTCGTACCTTTCAGCATTTTCGCGTTTCGGCCTCATGTCACAGCTCTCTCTAGCATCGCCAACTCTTCTCCTTCATTGTACCGTCCTATTTTCGGTTCGAGAAGCAGGCGCCACAATACCGCCATGCTTCGCTCTCAAACCGCATTGCACCGGGGATCGTGAGGCATTCTTGCCAACACTTTCATCATTTCACTTTTGTCGACGTTAGTTTTTGTCTTTGTTTTTGTTCTTCGAATGATCGGTACCTTGATAGACAGAGACAGGGTAGGGAATGTGTTCAGAGATATATGCACACACACACACCTGCTTTAGAAAAGAGACGTCCAAGCTGGACTTGAGACTTTCCAACTTTCCATCAGAAGGTTGATGGAAACACTCAGGATATGAGAATAAAATCTTCTTGCCATACATTGCAGTGTCTGTTCTCGTATATGGGAAAGTGTAATCATGTTACTATTAAGACAGGAATCTAAGGGAGAGCTTACAGCTATATAATTTGGTAAATCGAGAGGTGGTCATGACATGTCCTTTCAGAAAATTCCTCTTACTCATCACCCATTGTTCAGGGGAACGTGAGCGATGGGCCTCTGGTATCGGTTCTTGTTTACAGCCGGTCCAGCCAGACATCATTGTAAGGACATCTGGGCGCATACTATCCACGAAATAGCAACGTTGGTGTCCATTGGACAGGTATCACTGATGTTGCATGATTCGACAACATACCTCTCAAGTAAGCTGGATTTTGTACCTGGATTGTTCCACAGATCTAATTCCTACCATTCTGGTCATGAACCTACTACTAAACTTTCCTTGTCGCATACCAAAACGCCATGCCATGGAAGCAACCTGGACCAGTCCTCATGATGCTCATCAAACGTAATATACAGCAAGCGTAAAACAGTGCAATGAACGCTCTGCAGAGCTTAGTTATCTGCGATATGTGCAAACAGTGGCGATATAGACTCGCCGTAGTGGTTCCTCCTGATGGCTTCCGAGAGCAGGAACGACAAGTCCAAGAGGACCAACTTACTCGCGCTCTTGCTTCGGCGGTCGCTAATAGGAAAGCTGTTGGTGACAATGATCTGGTCGATGCACTCACATGCCTGCAGCTGCTCCAGAGAGTCACCTCCAAATACACCATGGGTGGCAATGCAATAGACCTTCTTGGCCCCGCCTCGCTTGACTACAGTCTCGGCAGCAGCAATCCATGATCCAGCCTTGTCGATCATGTCGTCAACGATCAGGACTGAGCGGTTCTTGACATCTCCGACCAAGGTGATCATATGCTCCAGCTTTGGATCCTGCAGCTTCTCGTCTTCCTCGTCAGATGAGGGCTCAGCGTCGCCGGATCCACCAAGAGCATGCGGCTCCGGTACGAAGAAAGAAGATGCGTGGGACATGGTCATAGGGTCTTCTCCCTCGGTGGCCTGATAACTACCTTCACCCCCGGCTTCTGATGCGGGTGCGGAAGGATGGTCATCCGGAACGATGTGTCCCTGAACGAGTCGCCCCTGAATGACAGTCTGAGCGCGCTCGTCCGTGAAATCCTGCGCTTCGGTGTCCTCCTCTTCATTCTGTTCCTCGATAGGGGAAGCCTGGGAAGAGTCCTGCAGGGATCGACCACGCGGCAGACCGTTCGTCCGTGACGAGGGGGCATTAGCACGTCGCGGAGAGCCCTGAGAATCTGCGATAATGCGGGACGACCTCGCTGAGCCGCTGGCACCATTGACGTCATGGGGAGAAGTGGATGATAATTCGGCTGCGGTCGGTTGGGTTTGGCGGGCTCCGTTGATGATGGTTGGTGGTCCGTCGAGATGGTTCATGATCAGACTAGCCGTCATGTTGCCCGTGGCTCGCTTGCGGTCGGTGGTGACAATGCCAAAGTTCAGCTTAAGGGCATCTGCCAGGGACGTGACTCTCTTGGTGCCTCCTGCGTTCTTGGATACAACCACGGCTTCCTTCCAATCGGCAATATTCTGGCGTACCCATCGTGCGATCAAGGGTTCGGCGTGGAGGTTGTCGACAGGGCACTTGAAGAAGCCCTGCATCTGGGAAGCATGGAGGTCCACGGTAATGACATGCTTGACGCCTGCCACATGCATCAGGTTCGCCAGCATTCGGGCAGTGATGGCACCGCGGTGCGACTTCTTCTTAGACTGGCGGTTGTAGGGGAAATAGGGCAAGACGGCTGGAGGGGTAAGTCAGGTACATCAGCGGCGTTCTAATTCGGCAGGGTCGTGGAAGAGGTTGGCTATTACCGGTGATCTTGTTGGCGGAACCACCCTTGCAGGCTGAAATCATGATCAGAAGCTCCATGATAGTGTCGTTGATCTGGCGACTGCCCGACTGTACGACGAAGACGTCCTTCTCACGTACACTGGTCATGATGCGGACGCTCGTCTCTCCCTACATGGCGGTGCTCAAGGATTAGTGTCTGAAGTCAATGGCAACCGAGTGGGTGTAGCCGAAGCAAGTATGACGTGGGAGTACACACATTTGAGAATTGTGTCAGCTCGGCCTCGGCCGGCACCATTCCCAGATTCTCACATATCTTCCCGGTGAGCGGCGGGCAGGAGGAGCCCGAGAATATCAGCGTGTTTCTCATGATGCTAGCGGAGGACGGGGTGGGATGTGAAGATGTAAAGAAAAGTTTCGGTGGGGGGAGTTGAAAGCTTCAGAAGCAAATGCGGGTCCAGCTTTTGGCAGACGTGGGGTACTTGAGATAACTGAAAACACCAAAGATACTGGACTGATGAACAATAAATCACTGAAAAATAACAAATCGCGGAAATATTGGAAATCCTAAAATACTCAATTGCTCAAATACTGAACCTACAACGCCGACATCTTGCACCCCTGCTGCCCCGTGCTTACAGTAGACGAGTAGGTGCACAAGGCACACTAATTTTATGGTGCCTTCCTTACTGTACACACGCTTACACAATAGGTAGTCCGGTATAGCGAGCAGCGGAGCCCGGTCAACTTGCCAACTCGGCAAGACTCGGCCAAGCCAGAAATCTGCAATCGCCATGGGGATCAGGGGCCTTACCCAAGCTCTGAAAGCTCTGCCTGTGAGCCAAAAGGTTGAGCTGCGAGGAAAGGACATCGTCATCGATGGCCCAGCTTTGGTCCACCGAATATGGGAGCTGTTGATGCAAGACCAGCATCCCTCAAGCATTGCCCTAGGCCAGGTCGCATATGCCCAGCTGGGGCAGAGCGTTATTGGCTGGCTCGATGACTTGCGCGACCAGGGGGCCAACGTGTAAGCCATACGCACTTGTCAGACGAATCATACTGAGTTGCTGCAGGAGGAAGATCTACTTCGATGGCTACTTGCCACCTTTCAAATGGCAGACGAGAAAGGAGAGACTTGTCGCACAAACCATGAACGTGCAGGGCTTGGCAACCAAGTATCGCAACGGGGTCAGGCTCGGCGCTGGAACCCGGGCCGACGGCCGTCCAAACCATCCCGAAGAGGATGGGTTGCGTATAAGTGACGAAGAGGGAAACGGGGCTTTCCGCACATCAAGTTTGCGCTTCTCCAGACGCACCAAGGACCGTCTTGACAACCTACCAAAGCACCCATTTCTGATTCCCTCAGTCATTGACAGTCTGAAGGCCTCTGATGACTACGTCGACGTTGTCGAGCTCGTGCCAGGAGAGGCCGACGTCTTCTGTGCCGATGACATTAGGCAGAATGGCGGCTTATTGTTCACAGGCGACTCTGACCTCCTCATACAGGACCTAGGGCCAGACGGATCTGTGGTGTTCTTCTGGGACCTTTGGGACGGGTTAGCAGAGGATCCCGATGCCCCAGGGGCTGGCCAACACCAGTCATTGGCCGTGAAAGATAAAAAGGTGCCCTTCAAGGCTCTATCATACTCGCGCTATAATATAGAACGTGTTCTTGGCATCGAAGGTACCGGTGGACTGCCTAGGCTCGTATTCGAATGGCAGAGGAGGAGAGAAACTCTGCTGCAAGCCCAGGCACACATGGGACCAGACAGTGACAGTCCCTTTGACGAGGAGGGGTTCAACAAGTTTCTAAAGGAACATATCCCTGAGCAATACATCCCAGAACACCATCCCGTCGTACCCATGCTATTCCATTTGGATCCCAGGGTCTCTGAATTCGTCATCCAGTCGCTCACTACCGAAATGATAGAAGATGAAAAACGCTCATCCAGCCGCCTCCTGGAGTCCGTCAAGGGCCCCCGGGGCCCTGAAGAGCTCTCGATATTCCTGCCCACCATGATCGAGGATACTACGTCGAAAAGCGCCTGGGAGTACAGCCAGACAACCCGGCAACTAGCATATGGGCTTGCACGAACTTCTGCCCGTCGGCCGCGCAAGACTGTCATCGAGTATCGCACTCTGCTCTCGACCAAAGGGGGGCGCAAAATCGACGTACCCGAGCGCAGCACAGTGGACCAGTGGTGTGAAATGCTGGTCGCAACGCTAGACCAGATTGACGACGATATGCCGCGGTGGAAATGGCTGGCCTTTGCGCTCTACCAAGAGATCCAGCTTTCGGACGCGGGCGACAGACCCTCGATGGCAGTCAGGCTCGTGAGAGAAGCAGTAACCGGAGTCCAGAAGCCGGTCAAATACTCGTGGCAGCACATCCACCTCGGCGCTGTAATTCAGGCTTCGTTCTACTCTTTGAGAATACTCAAGCAACTCTTGGACGTGAGGACGGCCCTGAAACCCGAGCAGATGACTGACGCGCAAAAGTTGTTACACCAACATCTCATGAAATTCCCCCTCATCACAGACTGGCCAAGCGTTTTGAATTTGAGAAACGACCTATCTGCGGTCGGAAACGCAAGCGGCCTGACACTGATATCACGAATGCTTGGCATTCCGGAGATCAAATTATGGGACACCCCTGCAAAGGCGACAGGAAAGAAGCGAAAGCTGCCCGTGAAAGCCGAGACAGGCGAGTCTTTGCCGCCGAAGGCAGCCAGATCATCGAATCCATTCGAAGCACTGGAAATGGCGTCAGAATAGGGTCCACGCCACAAATCGCCCACACAGAGACTTGCACCAGGTATTCGGTGTTGCATAGCGCGGAATTCATCTTCTCATTACTACTATAACCAGTTTTTGTTTACTCTCCATCCAACGCAACGCCGAGTATTGATGAAACCGCAGTGCCGATCAAAACACCTTCGATGCTCTCCCACACCAGCTGCAATAGAGATACCTAAGCCTTTGCCGTCCTGTTCGCCGCTGACATGCTTGAGATGAGATTTCGTCCAACGGTGATCGTCTCATCCATTCCTTGCTGGCGTTGCCAGAAGCTGGAGACCAGTTAGCACATTCCCTAGAAGTTTTACGATCAGGTCATTCGCGACTCACGCTTCTTCAGGCGTACCATGCCCACGAAGGGATGTTTGTCGCGCTTCTTCTTCCAAAGCAGCTCTTGTAATCTTCTCGCCGGTTGGCACATCGGGCAGCGGTTTCTCCACGTGGAGATCCTGACCGATCGTCTCCTCAAGCAACTGCCGTCTCATGGAAAAGCGTTCAGCTCGCTCCTTCTGCAGACCGGGGCTGTCGAGGTGGTTTAGAGCGTGTCGAACAGCGAATTGGGCAGCCAGATAGATGTGCTCGGCGAGGAGCACGCTGAGAAGAAGAGCCCAACCAGAGATATTGTAGGGCTCACCGCCGGGTCCTTCAGGCCCGTTGGACATCAGATAAAGAATAGCAGAGCTGATGAGACTTCCAAACCAGGAGAGGAAGCCCAAGGCAGTAAGCCAAGGTCCAATCGAGTCGGCTCTCCAAGGTATCGGCCGCTGGCTATTGACGGCGATCTTCACAGCATCACCTCGAAGTTCGACCCAGTTGTTGATGAAGAAGGACACAGGCGCCAGGGGCCAGATCGCAGAGAACAGTGAGAGGTAACCTAGTGTGGTCAGTAAGAATACTGAGACAGCACGCGTCAGTCTTGGGACCTACCGAATTGCACCACCATCTCTCTGTAATCAGTTGACACATCGTAAACGTCCAATTGAGCCTCGTGTCGAACGCGTTCCAAGAACGCTGCCTCTTGAGGCGGATCAGAAGCGCTGGCAGTAGTAGTCTTGGCGCTCTTCTGAGTGATCTCAGTCTGAACCTCGTTGACCTTCTTGAAGACCTTACGCTTGATATAAGGGGTGAGAGTCTCGAGCGCAAAGTTGACTATTTGAGCTGTCACGGTGAAATAGATAACTTGTTTCTTCAGTCGATCAGGGTTGATGTGAAATCCTTGGGTGGTGATCTTCTCGCTTGATGACAGTTTCACAGCAGTGGCCCTCCATATGTCGAGGTAGGGGACCAGCAAATTGCCAAATGGCATGTAGACAAAGGCGCTCAGGAAGAGTGGAGTGTACGAGGTGATGAAGTTGACCACGAAAATCTTTGAAATCAGTGCCGCATCGTGTGCTTCGAAATTGTCAGTCTCGAGTTCCTTTCCAACAACTTAAAATTCTGCCTAAAACTTACCATCGTGTGTTTCATAGTTCTCCATATCAGTCAATCTTTCCGCCAGGTTGCCGAGAATGGTAGACAGGGTAGGCGTGGCAGCGGTCAGGATAATTGTTGGCAGGAAAGTCTAATGAGTCTAGTAAGTCTTAGTATGGGGAGCGGCAGAAGGAGGACCTACAAGATAAGATTTAAATGGGCCATTGTAGATCTCGCCGATGAATATCTCAATCGAGAAGCAGAAGACGTAGAGAGCTCCGAGTATGAGGAAGCAGACGACGGCGAATGGAATTTGTAGCAGCTGCGTCTGTAATCTCTTCTTGGCAGAATAGACCTTGATGGGCTCGCCGGTGACGGGATCGGCGGCTTCATGGTCCCATTTGAAATGCGGTCGAGGATGCTGTATCTTCGAAACACCACGGACACCCCATTGCACAGCCAGGTCAACTTCTTTCTTCTTCCAGTACTCGAAGAAGATGACAGACCACAACGAGTTGACTACTCCATATACCCACGAGTACTGGCCGAGGATGATCCAGGCGCCGAAACCAAAGGCTGCCGGGAACATGAGGAAGGAGAAATACGACTGCAGAAAGGCGAAGTAGAAAGCAATCCTCTCGCCGAACCGGTCACGAATCTCGCTGATGTCCTCCTCCTTCAGGACAGACTTGCTGCTCCATTGCTTGATCCATTGCTTGTTGAACTGGTGGTTATGTAGAGGAAATATGGATTCGACGTATTTCCACTGACCACTCTTGGGCGTAATACCGGCACCGCCTTCGTTCTTGGGGAGGGTCAGCAACAGATACACCACGCGGAGCCGCTCGGCCTCGTTGACAGGCTCCTCCTCAAACACTTTTTTGATGTCCTTCTCTGGAGCCTTAACGCGGACACCGTAGAGCCAGTCTTGTACACGTTCTCGGTAGATCTTGGACCTGAGATATTGTTCGGATGCAACTTTGATGAAAACGAGAAGGGAACTGTCGTCAACGCCTTTGCGAACTTCGGAAGCAACGCCGGCCTTTGTAAGGACTTGAACGAGTTGCGTAAATCCAGCTTCGGCCTCGGCTTGCTCTGAAAAGGTACGAGGTTAGAGTCAGGCTGGCGTTGTGGTTCATGCATGCGTACCTGAGGCGGGGATCTTGTAGTTGATCACAAAGTCGACACTAAAGAATCGCTTGTCAGTTCGGGAGGTTCGGACGACTTGGGACTGGCCGCATTGAGTGCATCTTCTGAGAGCACCTACTTCATGTTAGTCCGGAACTCTGGGCGGTTGTCGTCAGAGGCGTAGAGTTCTCGTAGGCTCGACATGATGTCGATTGTCGCCCGGAAGGTGTGGACTGGGCTGAGGACAGGTTGGTAGGAGAGGGGAAAGAGGAAAGGGATGTTCCAGGAATGAGGTGACGAGAGATCCTTTTTGGGATTAAAGTGAAGCCATCATCTCTCCAAATTCAAGCTTTTGCTTTGTGCAGCTTTCCTGGCATTTGGAGCTGAGCTTAGGTCTAGTCTAGATCAACGTCATCCCGCAGCACTGGGACATCCGGGTCAATGACATCTGTGTGATGTGACATGCAGGCCCGTGCTGCCCCTGTAAATCTGCCCTGCGCATCTTGTCTGCTTCACCATGTGTAGTTACTCTGCGTGTAGATCTTGGAAACTCGCCCGAGGTTAGCTTAGGTTACTCGCACGCTAACCTACCGTGCATATAGCACACATAACCCTGCTGGGTTATTCTACATATTCCGGATGAAACATGTCTGTACAGTAGGCACACAACTACTGTATATAGCTACTCATTTTACATACAACCTCACCGTCTCAATCTTTTTGCTTTTTAACAAAATATCCGTCGCCTGTGTAATACCCCGGCATCATTATATACAGCATTTTTATTCCATGCCAATGTCAATTCCCTTTTTTCTGGTAGCCCGAGTACAGGCTTTTCTATGCAGCAGCCAGACGTGTACCATCACGACTTCTTGATTGGCTAGCGCCAACCGTACCGCATTGATTATTCACTGCCAGGCATCAGCGGCACAGTTCAACCCTACAGAGCGCGTTTCCTTCTTCCAATCGCCGTTTTATATTCACGTGCATGTGCCAGCATCGAAGGTTTCCGGCAATTCTGAAATAAGTAACGCCAACTAGTCGGTAGCCAATGGGGCTCCTTCAAAAGCTGGGCATGCGCCGCCCATCGGAGTGGGACAGTCTCACACTGGTCGACCATCTGTTAAACTCACCACTGGAAGCCTTGACCCTTTGGATATACTGGGCTGTGGTCTGGATCCGGGGGAACCCCATCCGCCCACCACGGGACAAGAAGCCGATACGCATCGTGTGTCTGTCTGATACTCATGATGGTATCGTAGACCCGGTTCCAGAAGGCGACCTGCTGATTCATGCGGGCGATCTCACCAACAGCGGCACAGCAACTGCTATCCAGAAGCAGATTGACTGGTTAGCTGGTCTGGGACATAGGCATAAAGTACTGATTGGCGGAAACCATGACTGTCAACTGGACAAGTCTTGGAGGTGGGTTGACCCCCCCCCCCCCCCCCCCCCCGACTTTCGGTATGAGACGCTCTTATCTGACTGTATAGGTATCGAGATGAGAAGGCGATCATAGATCTCAAAGATATTAACCTACTGGACTCTGAGACGAAGAAAACGGGCGAACCAATAACCCTGCGCTTCGACGATGGGCGCAAACTGACACTTTGGGGTTCCTCCATATTGCCAAGATGTGGACCCGACACAGATAATGCTTTCATGTATGATGCCAACAGTAACCCCTGGGATGGCTTGATACCGCAAGGTGTTGATGTACTCGTGACCCACACACCACCGGCTTACCATCTCGATCTTGCGATTGGGTGCCCAAGTTTGCTGAAGGAGATATGGCGTGTGAAGCCCAAGCTCCATGTTTTTGGCCACATTCACTGTGGTCGTGGTACGCAGCCCGTGTACTGGGACGATTGTCAGAGGGCATACGAGAGACTTCAGCAACGGCAGCCATGGATTATCGGCCAGCTCCCCAAGCAGCTCAATAAGCTACTTCCGAGGGCAACGATGGATTTCGTACCGAGTTATCGATGGATTGATGCGGCAAAAGTCCTGGTTTATGGCTTCAAGAGCCTTATCTGGCATTTCTTGTGGCAGGGAGGCAGAGGTTCCGGCAGTGAAGGTTTGATGGTGAACGCCGGGTGCCAGGACCAGAACAACGAAAGGCTCACGCAAAAACAGCCTATTGTGGTCGAGATCTAACATGATTCCCTCACACTATTCCTAACAGAACCGGTAGTCGCATGTTTGTAGACAACGGAAGCTATCCCTCAGGTCTGTTAAAAAGATCAAATCATAAAGACTAGCCAAGTTGGTACTTGGGAGCTATCAGAGTTGCGAGAGACGCAATGACAAAACACAAAGAGATCATAAATAAGCCGCCAACAGGTCGATCAACCAACAAATAGAGCCAATGGAATGATATAGTGGGATTCTGGGGACGTTTGCGTTCGTTAGGTCATGAGATAAAATGAGTAACAGAAGGAATGGGAGAGAAGGGGGGAAAGAATTTCAAAAAGGTGCTGTCCCCAGCTCAGTTGAACTGAACTGGGCGCCTTTGGGAATTGAAACCCAACCAGGAGCCGCCCATGGGTGCGAACACCCCAAACTACCACTGCACCACGATGAATGGGACCGAGGCCCCAGGGCAATCAGTGTTCCCACGCCGGGGACTGGTTGATAGAATGGCTCCTTAGAACACCTTAAGCGTTTATCTGCACTGGGTGTTGGGGCAACAATCAGCTAGATACCTCAATCTCGTAGCCCCAAGCACCATAAAACAAAACGAAGCAAGTTTTTAGGCTTATTTGTACTTGTAATAAAATACAATAGGTTGCAGCTTTCATGACCTAGTCTACAGATAAAGGAACTACTCGTGCCCGTTCATTGTCGGGTGTTCAAGACTATTTTGGAAAATCTCACCTTATAAATGCCAACCAGCTTTTACATATCCATGACGCCAGGCCATCGAATGCACATGATGACATCCCAAATCATGATTTTACACCACAATCATGACACCGAAGACACCCAGCCAAAGCATAACGCCCCATGTCACAATACTAAACACACTGTCAGCGCCAGCTATCACAAGCAACTGGCTTGGACTCTCGATGGCGGACACGGCCGCACTCGTGCCCGCGACTGACCCATCACCGGCAGCAGCATAGCTTCCATTCAGTGGTAGGACAGTCACGACCGAGATGGCAGTGACCACGATATCGTCTCCACCAGTAGCTATGGCCAGAGGAATGGTAAGAGTCACGGTGCTCTCGCCTTTGGGGCCACAGGCCGAGCACGTCTCGACGCAGGTTTTCATAGGTACGGCGGTGGTGGGAACAGCCATGGCGTTGCCGAGTGAGGTGGAGGGGACGCCGGGCGCGGGAGCGGTGGTAGCTTTAGTAATTGGGCAGTTCTCGATGGTGATCGTAGTACAGTATTCGAGAATGACGAGCTCGGCAGGGTTGGTGGCACAAATAGTGGTGTATGATACAGTGACAGCGGTGGTGAGTGTGACATTTGCGCCGGCGGTGACTGTTCTAGAGCCTGTTCCGTTGTCACCTTCTATGCCAGGAGGTGGAGGTGGAATATCGTCAGTGAGATTGCCGTAGACAGTCAGAAGAATATCAGCAGGAGCATCACGGCTGTTGACCCTTTGCCGTGGCAAGATCGACGTTGTGTTATCTGGGTTGGTAGAGTTGAAGCCACCAGTGCTGATCTGGCCAGGGGCAGAACCGTTTACAAAGCCACCGCAGGTCTCAAGATCGCAGCCGGGGCAGGGGATGTTGCAACGGTTGTTGTTCGTTGCGGCAGCATCACCAAGGCTATCTGCACAGTAACAGGTCGTCACTGCGGTCCCGGCATATTTCTTACGGGCGCTCTTGCAAGACTCAACACATACGTCATTGTCCATATCTGGCAAGTCAGCGTATCGCTGAAAGTTCTGGTAGCCGCCAGCAGAGCCAAAGCAGCCAAGCAGAGAATACCCGCCAATCGCTTCATCGTCGATAAATCCACCATTCGCGCCAGTTGGCACAGCAGTTGGGTCAGCGGTCGATATAGTTACACGTGTGAAAGGCGTTGTTGTGCTATTGGCCGGGAACGGTGGCACGGTGCTGTTTGTTGCAGTTGTTGTGTTGTCCGGCACCATGTAAATGTCGATAGAATTGATTAGCCAGAAACTAGAAGGTCCAGGATTAGCACGGGTTCGTGGATTATGGAAGACATACTCACGAGTTGACAAAAGCTTGAGGGTTGCTGGCCACGAATGCAGTGCAGGATGAACCGCGTGTTAAGGCGCAATCGCTCTGGTTCCATAGGTTGCCAGCATAGTCACCGCAAAAGTTCTCACAAGGGTCAGCTATTGTAATCTTTCGACACCCGGCTGACTCACGATATTGATAGCAAGACTCAAGTTGAAAAAGTATTTATCAGTCTCGCAACTTGATTCACTTGGTCCTCCAAACAAGGCTTGAGGAGCGCCCCAAGTCGACGGGTCAGGAGTTTGTAGGGGCGCGAACGAAATATCGTCAGGAATTTCACTGCGCCTGAAGTGCCAGATCTTGATCCGTTCTTCGGTCCACTCCATAGCGTACACACCACCACCGGCAGCATTGAAGGTATCACCATATGATCCCTTGTCCGAGGCACTGTAAGTACAACCACGGTTCTGAACGATATATTAGAAACGTCAAATACTTCGTCTCCATCACAGTTGAACTCACATAATAATCATCATTGCAGTCGGATCGTGTTAAAATGCCATTGTACCCGGAACCAGCAACTGAACAGCCGGTACTGGTGTGCGCGGCAAACAAGTTGGTCTCCGCATCGTTTTGGCCCTCGATAATGTCGATTTCGCCTCCCGTTGGCCAGACGTTCCCATATTGATTGTTCAGAGCCCAGACTGCACCAACGCACATCAGCATTTCGTCTCATCATAAGCATTTCGTTGTTATATAAAAACTTACAAGCTGGCCACGAGCCACAAGCTGAAGCTGGCATACGCTCAAAGTCAGCAATGAAGAGACCATAGTTGAACACTTCATTGCTGGTCAAACGGACACTGGGCCTACCCACGTCGGTATTGGGGTCGTAAATGTTCGTGCTATCAACACCAAGTTTGACCTTGTTGTTGACGTCGACGGTGACGAGCTTTTGTGAAACAGCGCTCTCGTAGTCCTGATAACTGGTATATAGTCAATCGTAATTCGATCATGTAATCCCGATGAGTTAACCTACTTAACGAAGCCTTGCTAGGGTCGGGGGAATCAAGGAAGGTGAAGGCATCCAAGAGGCCTTGACCCGCCCAATGATGGATGAGGGAATAGTTGGCCATATTGACAACCCAAACTTACACCATACGAAGAGAGTGACTAGACTAGAAGCAAAAAAACAAACGAGTGACAAACCTCCTGCCAAAAGAGCGACTACCCCAGCTTTGAATTGCCCCTGCGAAGATGAGTTGAAGAATACAGCGCAGGCAGACAAGAGGAACATGGCTGTATTTTAATATAACTGATGGATACTTACTACATAGCAAGTGCGTCTAGTGAATTCCTAAGATATCAAGTCCCAGGAGAGACAAGAATGCAAATTAGACTGGTTAGCGTGCGACAGCGTCTCGACGTGCAGGCTGAGACATTTGAAGTCTTGACAACGGATTCTTGAGTGCTCAAACTAGGGAGCACGCGCCGATACCTACTCTCTGGAAACCCGCCATGGAATGCGCGCGCTATGAAGAGAAGAGAACAGACATGGCAATGATTTTTTGATTGCGCTAGACGATATAGCATGACTGCTATCATGGAAAGACTGTAGGTGGCTGCACTCCTACGTGTCCTAATGACTCTTACTGTGACTGTGTCAAGCAGAATATAGTGACACATGAGGCGTTATTGAAGGCTGCTTCACTTTCTTTCTCCTATAGCTGGTGTTCCGGGCGCTGCAGATTATATCGCAAAACTTGGCACCGGCGCAGCGGACGGCCCGGCGTCGCAGCTAGAGCCAGTGAACTGTAGATACAAGGGTTTCCGGTATTCTGGCCAACTGCTCAACGTTGACAATGGGCATGATGGTTTTGGCTCGTCATTCTTGATGACTCGTGAGGAAATGCATGAGAAAAAGGCGGCCTCGTGATGCCTAGTCCTACTGATTGCGAGCATGTGAATACCGCTTACATGATATTGGACAGATGCAACCCCCCACCTTATCCGAACGGATCTCAGGTCGCTGGACGAAAGGGCATGTCCTTTGTAGGCTAGCGTGTTTTCTTTGGAGTTCCAGGCTAAAAGCCAGGGCCCAGGATGGATATGAAATATTTTACCTCGGCTTGAGGGGCTGGTAGTCGGTGCTCGGTCGACTGGGGAAATGCAGGGGCATGACGCTTTGTCCCCCGTCGGACTCGCGGTATATTGCGCTGGGCCATCGAATATGTTGTCCGTACAAGTCTGTCCGGCTCCTCTCGTCACTGGGAACAGCTTTGTCTGTGAGTAGTGTCCGATACATCCATGGATCTCCACGACCACACAGCGAAGCTGCACACCACCATCAAGGCACCTATTCTCTCGTCCCCTTGAGTAAATTATTCCCTTACAGTATCTAAAGTCTGCCAAGTACCTACAAGTACCCACTCCCTGGCTGCTAGCCAGAGTAGCACACCCCAGACCATTAAAATAGTGGACACCCTTCCCCCCGAATTACCTAGGCTCGTGAGAGGCACTCGGTTACCCACCCACGGCTGACCCTCCATTGTCAGAAGCCGGTGCCGTCATACTACATTTTTTGGAATTATTTCCTTTTCTCTCGTCCCAGCCAACACTAGACTGTACATACTTCAAAATAGAATTCTTGTCATGTTGAGATCTTTGGCAAGGAGTCGGGCACAAGCTACCGGACTCAGATCTACAGCAAGACAGTTCCCAGCACCCAAGGTACGTGATATGGGCGTGTTGCGATTCATTCTCCCAAACGCCGAGAAGAAGCACAATACTTACGATAGTTGTTTTCCCCACAGAGCAACATATTAATGGCCGCCTCAAAAAGGAGCAGCAGCTCTCTGCCAGCTGGTAAGTCGCAGTTCATATCTTGCGGCCTCTCGTTGTTCGGCACAAGTCGGTGACTTACATGCGTGCGATCAGGATATGTAGAGGACAAGTCCAAGGGGCCAATGCTCCGCTTCGAAGAATCGCTGCCGAAACTCCCTGTACCAACACTCGAAGAGACAGCTGCTCGATACCTCAAGTCATTGAACCCTCTCCTTAGCCCGGTAGAACTCGCTGCCAGCAAAAAGGCCGTTGACGAGTTCATCAGACCCGGCGGCGTGGGACGCAAGCTGCAAGACAAGCTCGTTGCGAAGCGCGATGATCCCAACACCAAGAACTGGATATATGAGTGGTGGAACGAGGCCGCCTACCTCGCCTACCGTGACCCTGTCGTCCCTTACGTCAGTTATTTCTACTCGCACCGGGACGACCGGCGGCGGCGGAACCCCGTCAAGAGAGCGGCCGCTATTTCGACAGCCGCACTGGAGTTCAAGAAGCTCGTCGATAGCGGCACCCTGGAGCCCGAGTACATGAAGAAGCTGCCCATCGCCATGGATAGCTACAAGTGGATGTTCAATGCCTCCAGAGTCCCCGCCAAGCCCGCCGACTACCCTGTCAAGTTCGACCCTAAGACGAACAAGCACTTGATCGCAATCCGCAAGAACCAACTCTTCAAGATTCAACACGAGGTCGATGGCCAGCAGCTTAACACTTCGGAACTTGAGGCGCAGTTCGCTCGCGTGTATGAGCTTGCCACTAGGGTACCAGCCGTCGGCGCGCTCACGTCCGAGAACCGTGATGTTTGGACCGACGCCAGAGATATCCTCCTCAAGGCATCGCCCAAGAACAAGGCCGCGCTCGAGGCCGTCGAATCAGCTTCCTTCATCGTATGTCTTGACGATGCTGCACCGGTGACTCTAGAGGAGCGTGCGCACGCATACTGGCACGGTGACGGTCAGAACAGATGGTACGACAAGCCTGTACAGTTCATCGTCAACGACAACGGCACCTCTGGTTTCATGGGAGAGCACAGTATGATGGATGGTACACCCACACATCGCCTGAATGATTACGTCAACGACCTCATCTTCAACAACAAGCTCGACTTCAGCAACCCCAATGTGCGCTCCGGTCTGCCCGACCCTGCCACTGTAAACTTCGAGATCACAAAGGAGGTCCAGTCCGAGATCGACCGTGCCATCTCTGATTTCGCGACTGTGATTGGACAGCACGAGCTTGCCGTGCAAGCATACCAGGGCTACGGAAAAGGCCTGATCAAGAAGTTCAAGTGCTCGCCCGACGCATATGTGCAAATGATCATCCAGCTCGCCTACTATAAGATGTATGGCAAGAACCGGCCCACATACGAGTCTGCCGCCACCCGCCGCTTCCAGCTCGGTCGCACCGAGACCTGCCGGACCGTGAGCGACGAATCTGTGGCATGGTGTAATGGCATGGCCGACCCCAGCGTGTCGGACGAAGAGCGCATCAAACTCTTCCGCAAGGCCATTGACGGTCACCTGGAGTATATCAGCGCTGCCTCTGACGGAAAGGGCGTCGACCGCCACCTCTTCGGCCTCAAGAAGCTTCTCGAGCCCGGTGAGGAGTTGCCAGCCATTTACAAGGACCCCGCATACGGCTACTCTAGCTCCTGGTTCCTGTCAACGAGTCAGCTGAGCTCCGAGTTCTTCAACGGCTATGGCTGGAGCCAGGTCATCGACGCCGGTTTCGGTATTGCATACATGATCAACGAGAACAGGTAAGTCCGGCCCGTAGTGATTCCTCGACAATGCGCATATGGGCAGATGGGGACTAACGAACATCGCAGCATCAACTTCAACATCGTCTCCAAGGGCTTGGGAAGCCAGAAGATGAGCTACTATCTGAACGAGGCCGCAGGAGACATGCGCGACTTGATGTCGCAGACCTTGGAGGCACCCAAGGCTAAGCTATAAAGCCAAATTCTGCTCGCCCTGCCCGTTGAATTTTATTGTCAAAGTCCATGTAGAACATCCGTATTTGTCTGCTAGAGATTCTGTCTAGACTAGACGTTTTCAAATTTCAAGCATGTATCGGTGTTGGTGGAAACTGTTGCAGCTCGTATATATCGTATAGTTACATGAAAACATGCTAGACATGATCAGACGGTTTTCGGTTTTTAGTCATGCTTAAATTTGCGGATGCTCTCTAACGTGGTACAAGGTCTACATATGGAGGTATGATGATGTGGCGGAGCTCCGTTGTCTATCGTCCTCGAACGCCCACCGCTTTTCTTTTCCTACACCTACACAGGATGTGATACCTCGTCGGCGCGATCTCACCGTCAATAATACAGAAAGCTTGATATTGTCCACGCTTGATGCACAATAAGCAGCTCTAGCTTAGCCCGCGTGGTCCACGATCTCGTTAACCACTTCACGCCTGTTCTGGTCGTAGTAGCTACAGATCTGGTAGGGAATAGGTAACTCCTGATAATCGTCCTCATCCCCTGCGATGACATTCAGGTTAATGCCAGCACTCTTGGAGCTGAAAACGCGAGTGTCGCTGCTCTCCTTGCTAAGGTAGATTTGAGCACCGTCAAGCTGATCAAGCATAATGGTAGGCAGAGAGCCCATGACCTGAAGGGCAAAGTTGGAGGACTTGACGACGTCGACGGTTGACACGAGCGAGTCCACAACCAAAGATAGGCGCTGGGTGTTTTCGACAGTAACGGCGTTGGCCTTGCCCTTGATGATGATCGTTGTGTGGCTGCACTTGGATATGAGGATCGAATGCGACATTGAAGCCTCAATCTCGATTGGCTCCGAATGGCGCTCGAAATTTTCCTGAGATGTTCATTAATATATACACCTGACAGCTGCCTGAAGGTCCTCTGCTTACAATCGTCCACTTGTTTCCGTCTAGCTCCTGTCGCGGAGGCTTCTTGAGCCGCATGCTTTCCGGCTTGGGCTTCTTGCCTGGTGCAGGGCTCTTAGCGCGAGACGATTCTGTAGAAACTTGCGAGGATGTCCGCAGAGACGGGTTTTTGTGAGTCATTTCGGATCTGTCCACCTTTCTCAACCCCTTGGTGACATCAGAGCCCTTGTTAAGTTCGCTGAATACGGCACCGAGGCCACCGGCTGCCTGAGCATCGGAAGCCCTCTCCTCCTTGATCTGCAAGACCGGAGGGGGGCCTGGGGGCGGGGGCGGAGGAGGCAAGCCCCCAGCAGGCGGAGGCGGGGGAGGCGCTGCTGCTGAGGATGCCGGTGCTTGGCCCGAGATGGGAATACTCTTTGCGACTTCGGCAGCTGGCTTGCCCTGAGGATTCCAGGCGATACCGTTAGGGAAGTTGTTCTTGACGAATTCAGCCAAGTCCCGGAAGACCTGGTAGAAAGATTGTATCCAGACAACCTGATCCTGGTCCTTATCCTTGTGCTCCTTCAATACGCGGTTGCCAAAAAACTGTGCAGATCCCAAAGACTCTTCAACATGTTTGTACGGTCTCATGTCCACAGTGACCCAAGCGAGAACCATGATACCCTCGGCAACCGCGCTCAGCTGGCTGAACACTGGAGACCCGCGGTTCGACTCCTTGATGCTACCGACGGCCATAAGAGCCTCGTTGATGGGTTTCAGGAGATCCTGGTATGCAGCCATTTCGGAACCGGCGAGATCAGGCTTCTTGGCCTTGGTGGAAATGAGGAGGAAGCGACGCTGCTGCTTGAACCCCTCCAAGACTTTGGCAGCTTGCTCGGCGATAAGGCCACCTAGCTTGTTGCTGGCTTGAACATACTTGTTGACGGAGGTGTTGATGAAGGCATCGAAGTCCTCCACTACCTCAGGTAGAGGCTCCTGGGGTGCGGCTTTCGGAGCGGGAGGAGGTGCTGGGGCCGAGGAGATCGTCGGAGCGCTCGAAGGGCTGACGGCACCCGAGGGAATGGCATTGCTTTGTTGGTGTTGGAGAGCGGGCACGCCCTGAGGAAGCTCGTTGGTGGAAGAGGCAATGTCCTCTAAGCGCGACGTAGCAGCTTCTAGCCTAAAGCGCAACTTAGTACACGAGTTGGAAAGGCCCGGGAGGTGGCACGATGACGGGCGTGGTGTTGACGGATGCGGCAGAAGAAGGCATGCCGCAAGTGGAACGAGAATGGTACGTACCGCTTGATGAGGGTTGTAAGGTTGTGCATGTTTGTCGCCGCCATTATGCTTGTAATCTGTCCGTAGCTGGCAGTTACAGCCTGATACGAGGTATTATGATGATGAAGGAAGTCGCGAAGAGAGGAGGAATAGAGCCGAGCTGTCGGGTCAAGTTCAAGTTCAAGTTCCAGTTCAAGTTAGGAGATGAGACGAGCAGCCGAGACAGGGTGGGAGGCCAGCCTTGGGGCTCAAAGAACGGTTGTAGTTTACTCGGTCTCGCGTCAAGGCCAATGCAACTGGTACCGTATTTCTAGGAAATAGTTATCCTTCTGCCTAACGTTCTGGGCGTACAGGTTGTGGCAGCGGAAAAGCGATGTTCAGTGAAGGCAGACGTCGTTGCGACTTGAACGATTGATGCCGTGGTTTTCAGACTGTCCCCCAAGAGTACCCCTGCATTAGGAGGCTCCTGATCGCTAAGGATAGAACCAGAGCTCTACGGATCCGTGCTGTAACTTAGGTTAACCTGGGTTAGTCAAGGCACAGGCGCCAGCTTCGCAACTGGGGTGCCTAATGCAACGGACAGCTGCTGACCCCGACATCGTGGGACGGTGAGTTTAGTGCAGTTGAGCCGCCAGCCAGCTTCCATGTTGATCATTCTCTTTTGAGTATGTATATATGTATGAAAACAGGATACATACATAACCGTCCGGGGTCCGTACTGACGAAGTATGTACACAAGGTACCCAACCTTAAGTAGTAACTTAACCTACTTTAGTGAATTCAGTATTGGTTCCCTGCCGCCCCCAACAGTCCATCAGTGGAAGGTCCCGAATGCCAGGTGAGGTGAGTGAACTCAACTTGAGCGCAAGATGCAACCAGACACCGAAGCTGACCAGTGCCCCATTGCCCAGTGCCCACCCAAGCATCAACTACGGATCAAGCTTAGCTTAGCATCCGATGACCCCACCACTGCTGCCAGACCGCTGCAAGTCCCTTCCTATTTACACCACCAACACTGATATTCAATTCCGTGATCTGGATTCTGGTTTGCTGCGCTTGACTCTCTCGCAAGCCAAGTGCATGCCGTGCTACACTGAGCGCTGATTGCTTCTATGCACGCATCATTCGCTTGCGCTACATATATTATTCACGTTGCTCCTGCCGCCTTGTTTGACATTGCTGCCCAGTCGCTCTGCAAGCCTCTGAGAGCATGTGAAGTCCGAAACACCAGGGCCTTCTTTCTTTTCACTTCTCATTCCTCTTGTTTTCTTATCTCATTGAGACTTGATCTAGCTTGAGGCCCGCTGTATCGTCGCCTTGCTGAATGATCTTTCTTTGGAATAAATCAATCTCTTCTTACTGTCACGGTCTACCGTAGAAGTCGTGAGTGGCCGAAACATGGCAGCCGAAAATGAGCCCAAGTCGGATATCGAAGTCAAGGCTTCCGATGAACACGTCGAGGGTGACATAGACTTTGTCACATTGGGCATGTTCATCATTGGTGAGATTTCTGTCAACTGCGTCGGTCGCAAGGATAACTACTAAAGTGTGAAAACAAAGATGATATCGAATATCTGCAGCCTACGCCGCCGGTGAAGGATATTCTTGGTGGTGCTGGAACATACTCCGCTCTCGGCGCCCGAATTTTGTCACCCGGGCCGAAGGCCTCGTCAGTTGGGTGGATTATTGATCAGGGGTCCGACTTCCCAGAAACACTGACCTCTCTCATTGACACGTGGGAAACATCGGCACTCTTCCGGCCTACTCCTGATCGTTTGACCACGCGAGGTTGGAACGGATATGATGAGCAAGAGCAACGAGCTTTCAAATATATAACACCAAAGAAGCGGCTGACCGCAGAGGACCTGACGCCGTCCCTGCTGGCGTCGCGCTCCTTTCATTTGATATGCTCACCAGCGAGATGCCAAGAGCTGGTTAGGGAGATTAGGGAGCGACGAAGTGGTTTGGTGACGTCTGAAGGGAAAGGGTTGCCCAAACCAATCTTCATTTGGGAACCTGTCCCAGACCTATGCACGACAGACGAGCTACTCAACTGCACCAACACTCTACCTCTCGTTGATGTATGCAGTCCAAACCATTCCGAGCTGGCAGGGTTCATGGGCGACAGTGGTATTGACCCAAATACGGGCGAGATCAGCACTGCGGCTGTGGAACGGTCTTGCGAGCAGCTTCTGGCATCTATGCCCTTACAATCATTCTCCATTGTTGTACGAGCAGGAGAAAAGGGTTGCTACATAGCACGCAATGGAGGCAGGAAGCGGAAGATTCAATCATCCGGTCAGAAGAGAAAGAAACCTGCTGCTGCAATACATGGAAGTCTGCAACCAGATACAGATATGATGGCGTTATTCGCTGGACTGTTACAGGACCCAGAAGGCTCAGTAACAGAAGAGGAAATCGAGGTCGACCCAGGAGTGGAGAAGTGGATACCCGCCTACCATACTGATAAGTCCAAAGTGGTCGATCCTACGGGAGGTGGAAACACTTTCTTAGGTGGTCTGGCGGTCGCCCTTGCGAGAGGCAAAAGTTTAGAGGAAGCTGCTGTTTGCGGCAGTGTTGCTGCCAGCTATGCAATAGAACAGGTTGGGCTGCCGAAGCTAGAAAAAGAAGGTGGCACAGAGACATGGAATGGTGTCTCTGTAGACGGTAGAGTGAAAGAGTTACAGGAGCGTTTGTTTCAGAACTAGAGGTTTTGCTTACATCTTATGCGATTCAAAACGCAGACAGATCGAAACACAAAACACTGAAGAACTGCAATTTATGACACCTTTCATGTGTATGGAGGACATGTTACAAGCGCTATATATATCCACGGTGGAAGGTATGGATGATAGCCGACTTAGAACTCACTTACACGGCAAATTCGCGCTCCAGAGCCCACAATCATTCTTATATGATTTCACAGACCATGGCAGTATCTGCCGAAGACTTCAGATGAGAAGTCGAGCTTTCCGAACCATCTAAGCATAACCTTCAAGCTTTATGTAAAGCGATGCAGTACTGATTTCTCATAGCACGTCATGCTGCACTTGTTGTTGCCGTTGGTGAAATTGCGGGGATGGAATCTTGGGCATGGTGCTACTGCATTTGTAAGCGCATGTCAGACAAATTACAAATCTACGAGCATGGGATGCAACATACAAAAAGGCAGCTGGCTGATAGACTGTGTTCAGCTGCAGCTTGCTGGCAGTTTACTACATTATACAAACCTACCAAAAGCAACACCTCTTCCAATGGCTCCTATTCGCACAGCCATCATCGGCTTGTCAGCCAACGCCGTCACAAACTGGGCCAAGGTGGCGCATCTACCATATCTGATATCGCCAGCTGGGAAATCCAAATTCAAGATCGTGGCCCTGTGCAACTCCTCCGTAGAAGCTGCCAAATCAGCAATCACGGCATTCAAACTTGACCCAGAGACGCGTGCATACGGATCACCAGAGGATCTAGCTGCAGATAAAGACGTCGACTTCGTTATTGTTAGCACGAGAGTTGACAAACATTATGAGACCGCAATACCTAGCATAAGGGCAGGCAAGAACGTCTACGTTGAGTGGCCTCTAGCAGATAATGTTGTCAGGGCCCGCGAGTTGACCGAGTTGGCAAAAGAGAAAGGCGGCAGAACTGTCGTTGGCCTACAGGTATGTTTTTCCTCTTACAACTTGCTCCCAAGTACCCGAGGACGCAAGCTAAATGGTCGGTTATAGGGATTATTCGCGCCCCCCGTGGTCAAGCTGAAGGAGCTGATCGAGAACGGGCGCATCGGCAAGGTGCTGAGCAGCGAGGTCCGCGCAAATGGCGGAGGCAACGATCGAACGACACTCAACAGCGGTCTGAAGTATTTCACCGACAAGCGAGTTGGTGGAAATGTCTTTACCATTGGAGTTGGCCACTGTCAGTTTTCGTAATATCCGGCTGAGGGTGAAGTCATGTTTTAACCGAATCAACAGTGTCTGATATCGTCCAGTCCGTGCTCGGCGAGATACACGACGTGCAATCGCAGGTCCAGATCCAACGTCCAGATGTCAAACTAGTAGATCCGTCATCTGGTAAAGTCACAGAGGTTGTCAAATCAGACGTGCCGGATCTGTTTCTTATCATCGGCTCCATTTCAGAATCAGAGAACGTCGTTCAAGGAGCCTCGATCGGTCTCCGCTACAGACGCGGCCAGGCGTTCAAGGGCGAGCCGTCGTTCCTGTGGACCATCAACGGAGAAAAGGGGGAGATCCGGGTCAGCTCGCACACCGGGCCAGGCGTCAACGCCAACTCCGAAGATGTCGTGATTGAGTTACACGACTTTGAGACGGATGCTGTGGAGAAGGTGGACTGGGAATGGGGCGCCAATGCAGAGTATCCGGCCACGGCAAAGAACATAGCTTCCCTATACGAGGCGTATGCGGACGGAGATGAGTCAAAATATGCGACGTTCGCACATGCTCTGAAGAGGCACGAGCAGTTGGACGGCATCTTCCCCTATGCTTCATAGAACGCAACGGGCGGACGTTATAGTGATGGGCTAGTTGCTGTTGGGCTTAATTAATGGTGGCCATAGTTTTTGGTCTTGACACTGCGGGGCTTTGTCATTGCGAATGCCACCCTTTGAGAGTCGGTGGTCATACCCACAAGACTGGCTACACCAACACAACTTATATTCACAAACCACGTGAGCACAGATATTTGGACAAGTAGCATCGGCAGACTATATGGAACGGTTCGTGGAATGGTACATGACATGATTTCTTGCGCTGCTCGGATGGCGCAACAGAATAATTTGTAATTACAATAACGACTGAGCGGGTAGGACCGCAGGAGGACCGTCCCCGGGAAGACAAATCCGCCTTTTCCATCAATGTCTTGTCTGTGATTGAATAGGCCAGATGTGGGTCATTCGCTGACGACGCTGGGATTACATAGTCCAGTAGAGAGCTTCGTCGCAGGACAATCATTCGTAGGTTGCCTTGTAAAGCTCGTAGTTACAGTGGATTCGGAGATTATGAGCGAACAGGCATGTATTGCGCAATCCCGATAGGTCTATCAGGCCCGGTCATGACGAATATCTATTGCGGATCACGCAATCGGCGTTTGGCAGTCAAATCAGTATAAGAATACAATGACCAATTATATTAATTAAGTGCCGCGATCGGCAAAATGTTGTTCTTCGTAAGATAACATGCCGAACGAATTCATAGGAAGCCCTGAAAGGGGCGGTTTCAGCAATCCGGAAAAGCCCTTGGCACGCCGGAGCACAGAGTTACGTTCCGACGAGAGTGCGCCGAGTCCAAACCAAGCGCATATCAAGGAACACGATAATGGGAAAAATGGCCAGGCCGCCAAGAAGAGTGATGGCTTCTGGAGGACGGTACGTCGCTATGTGTGGGACGACCCAGACAAGCCCGAGTACGAGAAGAAATTCCTGCTGAAACTCGATTTCTTCCTGCTCACCTACACGTGTCTGGGTTATTTCTGCAAGAACCTGGATCAAGCAAACATCAGCAATGCCTATGTTTCGGGGATGAAGGAAGCGCTCGGCATGTATGGCTCCGAGCTCACTTATGCCAGTAACGTCTTCACTGCCGGCTATGTCATCAGCCAGCTGCCGACGGTTATCCTGGTTACCAAACTGCGCCCTTCATATGTTATTCCAACGCTCGAGGTGCTGTGGGCTATCTTCACGTTCTGCTCCGCGGCGGTCAAGACTGTGCCACAACTGTATGCTATGCGTTTCCTGGTTGGAATCTGTGAAGGTGCCTTCTTTCCATGTATCATCTATCTCATCGCCTCCTGGTACAAGTCGGACGAGAGAGGAAAGAGAACCACAATCTTCTATTCTACTGCAACTCTTGCCGGTATGTTCTCTGGATACCTTCAAGCAGGTGCCTACGCCGGTTTGAATGGCAAGCTGGGACACGCAGGCTGGCAGTGGCTTTTCATTGTCTGTGGGATCATCAGTCTACCTGTTGGTGTCATTGGGTACTTCTTCAACCCTGACTTCCCGGAGAATACACGTGCTTGGTACCTCACGAAGGAGGAAATTGAGTTTGCGAAGAAACGCCTACGTGATGACGGTTACAAGCCCCTGGGCGCTTCGGCCTGGGATAAGAAAAAGATTTTCAGGATCTTTGGCTCGTGGCAGTTCTGGGTCTTGTCATTTGGGTATTTCTTCGTCCAATCCAGCTTCCCTGCCCAGCAGCCCTTCTATGCGCTATATCTCAAGGCTTCAGGGCATAGCACATACGAAGTCAATGTGTGGCCAACAGGGCAATCTGCTGTGGGTGCCGTAACGCAGATTGTCGCCGGCATGCTGTCGGACTCGCCTCTACTAAAGGGCCGTCGCTGGCAAGCTATTGCCGTAATGCAGGGTGGTACCATATTCGCGACCATTGTCTTGGCCATATGGGACGTGCCAGTCGGGCTGAAATACGTTGCGTACTACATGTCGTATATGTCGGCTGGCGTTCCAGGGATTTATTACTCGTGGTTTCCCGATCTGATGCCGCACGACCATGAGATGCGTGGCTTCATGACAGCTTTCTCGAACTGCTTTTCGTATGTCAACCAAATCTGGTTCACTGATGCCTTCTGGAGAACCGCGGAGGGGCCTCAATTCAGGGCCGGGTTCACTGCTGCGGCAACCTTTGGGGTGGTTCTAATTCTGACAGCATTATTAATGCGATACCTTGAATCGAAGGATACAAGAAAGCGCAAAATCCAGGCAGTGAACGCCAATGCAGAAGATCCGGTTATTCCTGCTGGTGCAGTAGATAGAAACGTAGTGTAATGTGGGCGTAATGGGAACAAACAAGTTATGGGTTGATATGATATGTGCTACGCGATGACGACTTCGCATGCTAACTATCAAAGGATACGGGAACTAGAGCTCGGGATATCACCGACTGGCTTTCTTCTTTTCCATGATATGATAGTATAGCTGGATGGCAGCGAACATATTCTATACGCCTCCGTGTCTGGCTGGTTGAAAAGATTGGGGGTGGATTTTTGGGTGTGGGTCTGGTCAACTAGACCCGCGACTGTACTCACCTAACCTAGGTTAGTCTAAACCAGAGTTTGCTTATAACGGGGTATTAGAATCGCGTATTAAGATTCGCTCACTGTATCTAGCAACCAAGCCGAAAGTTACTGAACCGAACGCTGCCTGTATCCCATGAAACCACGATTTTCCAACACTGCCGGTCATGGCTCTGCGCGAAACATGGGGACGGATACGGAGTAGTCGCAGTTGGCGGTCTTACGGCGAATTCGGGTACTACATGTTCTTTTTCGCATCATGGATTCCTGTTGTAGTCATGTTTAACAATTTCGTGGGCGGAACGGTCCGGATCAATGGCCCCTCCATGTACCCATTCCTGAACTCGGACAAAGACTCAAGTCTGCGGAAGGACATACTATGGAATTACAAGTTCAAACCACAAGAAGGTCTGGCCCGCGGAATGATCATCACGTTTTGGTAGGTCCAGAGCAAGCTTCTACCACCGGGAGAACAATACTGATTTGGGCGGCTAGGAGTCCCAATCACCCAGAGAAAGCTGCGGTCAAGAGAATCATTGGGCTCGAGGGAGATATTGTTCGAACTCGCGAGCCATACCCGGCCCGCACAGTACAGGTGCCTGTCGGTCATGTCTGGGTTGAGGGCGACGGGGCCGCGAGGGACAGTGTGGACAGCAACACGTACGGCCCAATCTCGACGGGCTTGATCATTGGGAAGGCTACACATATTATATGGCCCATTCATAAAGCTGGGCGGATCAAGTGGTGGGAGCATACAGGCAAATTCAGGAACGAGTCCTGAAAGATGGGCCCTTCCGGCTGACATTTGTCACACCCTTAATCACCCGGGCAAACGCCATCGTCCGAGAGCTGTTTGTATTATCGATTGTGTTCTCGAATTGCTTTGCAGTACATGGAAGATAGTGTCATGTTTCCGACGTGAGGAGATACAAGAATGAATACGGAGGATGCAGCCTATGACTTGACTTCGGTTAGAGACAAGACGCACGGGCCATCATCAACGTCAGGGCGCGTCGACTATGTACCTAGGCTAGGTTAGGCCAAATCAGTCAATCAATCAAAATTTCCGGGGACTATCTGAGAAAAGTTGCGACGGGCCGGTGGTAGCAGCATTAGCAGCAGCAGCAGCGTCTTTGTTGGCTCCCTCAACCGCAACAGCCTGCGTCTTGCAGCGCAACCTCCCTTTCTTCAGTCTCATGTTTTGTACGAGAGAATGTCCTTGGCCCATCGAATTTCAAACTTCTTCTCCGGATCAACTGCCGCTACTTCCGAACCTGCCACTCACTCATTGCATAATAATGATGGACATTTTGAAGCATCGCGCCTCCTGTCGGATTTCAGTTCGGAGAAGCACTCCTTTAGAGAGATAGACATGACGCCAGACGACGAGCTGGAGGCACGCCCTCCCATACTGCACGTTAGTGTCTCTGAACGCATCTCACGCTTGTTGTCCCCATTCGCTAACTTGTACGCATCCAGTCCATGCTCGCTGGAGGCTTGGGAGGCACAACCGGCGACATGCTCATGCACTCGCTAGATACCGTAAAAACTCGACAGCAAGGCGACCCGCACTTCCCGCCGAGATATTCGTCCTTGGGCTCCTCGTACTACACAATCTGGCGTCAAGAAGGCATACGGCGCGGTCTTTATGGGGGGTGGCTACCCGCCATGTTGGGCTCTTTCCCCGGCACCGTCCTCTTCTTCGGCACATACGAGATGAGTAAGAGACTGTTCATCGACAACGGCGTCAATCCGCATCTAGCATATTTGAGTGCGGGGTTTTTGGGCGACCTGGCTGCCTCCGTGGTTTATGTGCCATCGGAAGTGCTCAAAACCCGACTACAGCTTCAAGGGCGATACAACAATCCTTATTTCCAGTCGGGCTACAACTATCGAGGCGCATTCGATGCAGCGAGGACGATAGTGCATGTTGAAGGCCCCATGGCTCTGTTTCACGGGTACAAAGCGACTTTATACCGAGATCTGCCCTTCTCCGCCTTACAATTCATGTTCTACGAGCAGTTTCAAAGCTGGGCGAAGCAGTACAAACAAAGCCGGGAGATCGGCATTGGGCTTGAGCTGCTCACCGGTGCTGCTGGAGGTGGCCTAGCTGGCGCTATCACATGTCCCCTGGACGTTGTAAAGACCCGTCTACAAACGCAAATAGAAACACCGCCAACCGCCGTCAAGACCAAAGAGCGAAGCGCTGTTGATGCCAAAGCAGGTGTCAAGGGTACGTTGACAAAGAAGCCCGGCGCACAAAGGCCCATATCCACTTCGTCTCCATCAACACATATGCCCAGACCTGGTGCGATAGTACTCGATACTTCTTCCGTCTACCAAGGGCTGCGCTTGATATACAAGACAGAAGGTATCGGAGGCTGGTTCAGAGGTGTCGGTCCACGCTTCGTGTGGACCAGTGTACAAAGCGGGTGCATGCTGTTCTTATATCAAACCATTTTACGAAAACTGGAGGTCTGGATGCCTCTCGAGACCGAAACACATTTGTGAAGGCGACGGTATGTCTTTTGGAAAGAAGTGTATGGGTGTTGGCTTCGGGATGGATTGTATCAATACCCTAATCTTGGGGAGCATTTGCATGGCGTTTGGAATATAGAAGGGTAGCCGACACTGAAGGCTGACTGTATAGAAGAAGACGATAGACACAATCGCCCATCTACACAAATCGATCACTGCTGTGGTCACTGCACAATACATGTATCATCAACTATCCCAACGCAGTAATGGTCATGGCTGTGCGTCGCCAAGAGCCTGGGCCGAATTGAAATTTACCTGCTCATGAAAATATGCCCCGAGGGCAAAGGTGCTACACAAGAACTATCCCACTCCAAAACTTGTGACCAATTGGCTACCCGCTATTATGATACGGGAGAAGAATAACAAGTCGTTAGAACCCAACAACTCATGTAAACTAGTTACTAACAGCCTTACTGGTATAACAGAATGCTGTGGGTGGATCTAGTTATGTCGGCATCATAGACAAGGAAGTGTGCCGACTCATTATCGTGATGCAGATGTGTACTACAAAGGGCAGGAGACAGAGACTTCGCAAAGACGTTAGGTACTGTCTGCGACGTCGGAGGGCATCAAGTTATCAATACCGGCTTCAGCAGCAGACTAAACGTGGCAATAGATTGGAGCCGGGACATCTCTCACTACTCCCAGGTGTAGAGTCGAAGTCGGCGATCGCGATATTATATCTGTCGTTATGTTGAAATTGTCCTTTTTTTCTTTTCTTTCCCTTTAGCATGCTTAGCACCATAACGTTCTCCCTATGCTACCAATACCAGCAGTCGTGTCGTTGGTCACTTCTATGACCACTTCAAAGAGAGAGATGAGAATCATGTCAAAAAGCTTGTTAGTTTCTGTATACTTGACACCGCAACTTCAGGAGGAACCCGCTCGGCCCCGCCGTACCTACAGTTCAGCACAACATCCGGCCGCAGTGTGCCGGGATATGCAATAACCCTCCATTAAATCCATGGTGAAAGCCAACCACTAGAACGTCCAGCTGAACTTGGGGGTAGCTGAGCTTGTCACTCGCGCTTAAGGGCGAGTCGTTGAGTTAGTGGTAGTCCGCCAGTTGGAGGTCTGACTTGAAGCCTTCAGGCTTATATGTACCCTGATCATAAAACATACTAATACCGTGAGATATCGTTTGCCGTGCAAGTACTCTATTGCTTTCGCCCGCTCGAGCCCGCATCTCTTGATTCGGTTGGACGACGAAGATCGGACTGATCTTATCAGACTGATATCGTTGTTTGAAGTACCAGCGTAAGACCAGCTGTGATCTTGTTGGACGCAAAATACAAGAGGTGGCAATATTGCGGAGTTCAATGACTTGCAGGTATTTGATGCAACGAAGGGAATGACCCAGTCAGCCATATCCTGCCTAATTCTATAGGATTGGCGCAGCGATCAATAGAAGTTTTTCCTAAATGCGCCCTCTGTTTGCAGATTCCAAGTTGCTGGCGCACATCACAGCGCAAAACGAACAACACTGTGCAAGAAACCCAGCTAAGATTCATTAGTCTAAAGAAGTGTTTGTTCATATGAATCACTATCCAAAGATAGTGCTTGCTTGGTTCCATGCCCAACATCATTTCAAGTCCGCCCCGAACCAGAGAGACAGCAAACTTGTGGGACCGGCCTACAGCCTCCCCGAAATGACAGCCTGGATCATGGCGAGATATGAGGGACTGGGTTAGACTGCCTTGACCTACTACCATGGTGTTCAAAGTAATTATTCGGTCAAGAGCGTAGCTTAAGGGGAATACCCTCACAATTTGGCCGACCCATATCACAGGAGCCAATGTCTCTTCCACATGCTGTACCACACTCTACATTGTCGTCGTGATAAGGGTGTTACCAAGGGAGTGCAAGAAATGTAGAGTTTCATCACTGGACTGTTCGGTATGTGATGGCTCCAGCAGATGGGATGCCGGAAAGACCCGATACTGTCACTCTGCTGAGGCATGCGTAGCGGCGATATCATAGCAACACCGTGTCAATGGCAAGACCATTGGTGGCAGATCAGTGAACCATAAATAGTCGGTTGGCGGCCTAGGTACAGGAGCTGGAAGAAATAAGAATGACAACTAAATAAAGCGTTGTAATAACTTGTTGATCCAAGTGGATGGTGCCTATTTTCTGCAGATAAGATTCAAAGGCGGGTCAACACTGAATAGAGACTTGCCAGTTTCTCTGGATCTTCGCCTGGGCGTTTGCCTCCTGTAAGTCAAGTCGGATGCCAAGGAGCCGCAAGCGTGGCCCTCACGATAATATACCCTTTTAGCGCCAGAGCAAACCCGTCTTCAGTGCCGATTTTTCAGTACGTTGCATCAACGTGGTGGATGGCATTTTAGAACTAACATAGTGCCGCCTTGGCTTCTAATATTGGCTACAATCCACTACGAAGCAGCCCGAGTCTATATGCACTTACTAACAGAGCGCGCCACCCCCGGATCGTCGACGGACCCCATGGGGGAAGACGAGACGGGGATCGCTAACATGAGTGTAGGATTTCTCGTGGGCCGTGAGCTGTGCCAGTAGCATGTCCTTGGACGCGAGCACGCCAAACGACCCTTCAGCAGCAAGAGCAACAAGACGGCTCGCCTTTGGCTCTGGGTCAATCCGGCAGCAGAAGCCATCCCGCTAACCCTGCAAAAAAAAAAATTTAAAATTTTTTTGAGCTGTAGATGAGTCCCATGGTACAGTCCGTGACTGCCCAGCTATCGTCTACTCAACTTAGCAGTGAAGGCGCCTAGAATTAGGAACGAAAACTAAAAGGAAGCCATCGAAGGATGGATTTCCCCTTCCCAGAGATAACAATATACCACGTACGTACGGAGTACCCTGCACACTGACCAGACCCAAGACCAAGTTGTTGGGTTTGTGGGGAAATGTCGTTACGCTAGAGATGGAAACTGACTTATGTGCTGCATAAAGTATGGGGTCGCGACCTCGTTTCGCGCCCGCATTTCCCCGCAAATGGTCTGGCGTGTCCTAAACAAGATTGATAGCAGTAGTTGCTGATAATGGGACAATGGCTGTGCCACTGGCACCACAAGATTTAGAGTTTCAAAGAGCCTTTCGACCTTGAAAAAGAGGCTGCTAGCTGCTAGAGCCTAGGAGCTTTACCGCAAGGCAGGCACGGATTGGGTAACATGACTATATTTCTCTTGTCCGGGTCAATCTTTGTCACACCTGGGAAGAAGCTGGTTGAGTGCTTGGCCCAGGTAAGACAGTCAAAATGTACAAGTAATAATGTTCTCAACTATATCGTTCCCAGGGAAAGAAAGGTACGCTAGCTACCTGACTCCAACTGCAAAGACTACTACTGTCGTGGGGAGTCACGGGACAAGATACCAAGCTCGGAAGCATAGTTGGCTTGGAACGAAAAGTGCACGGCTGCAAGATCGTGGAGAATGCAGGAGAAACTAAATTTCCAAGCTCACTTGGTACCCTAAGCCAGCTGCTATAAGCCGTCGTAAGTGTAGGCTCTTGGCGAAATAACGAGCCTCTAGCGATGCTTACACCTCGACATCACCTCAGGCATGAAGTCTTGGCAACACCAAGCATGGCACAAGCCATCGGCAGTTCTAGAGTTTCTTGGAACCATAAGCTTCCAAGCACTAATTGTCTGGGCTCTGCAGTGTATTGGACGGCCGAGACAGGCCTTGCCTTGGCCAACGAAAATGCTGAGGCTCATGACAATTAAGATTCGTCCCTGGACAAGTGGCGGCTCTCGCGCACGACACTATCAACCCAGATCAGAACCACAAAACTTGAGGGATTTTGTTCGCGGAGAACCTGGCAACATGCCAGCCAAGACAGCTAAGAGCTGGCTCGCCATGGCATCCGACTGTTTATCGTATGGCCATGAGTTCTAGGTTGGTGTGTTGCAAGTGGCATAACCATGTAGGCTTAGAAGAATCTGGGGCTATGAAATCTGGGGGATCTGGGCATCCGGGGATGAGAGATAGTGTTGATGTCACGAAGCCGAACCCCAGATCCAGCTGAACGGTTCATCCGTCCTTCGATGCGTATAAAGAGCCTTATCACGCACCCAAAATCTGGAGGTTCGTTCTTGGTACGCGGCAGGCTTCATATCATATCGGGCTGTCTGTTATCAAAAATCCATCCATACAGTTTTCGATATTGATTACCCGTCCTATGACTTTCATCATGACTGACACCAAAGAAAAGCCAGGCGTTGTTCACGATGACAACCCTGCCCTATTCCAAGTCGACACGAATACGTTGGAGAAGCCAATCCCGGCAGTACGGAACATTGACTACAGTGGTGCTCATGAGAAGACTAATCCTCGCGAGATTGCCCTGGTCAAGAAACTCGACCGATGGATCATGGTGAGTTGTTCAGTGTCGATACGAATGATTACAATGGACTGATCAATCTTTCAGCCGATGTTATGGAGCATGTATTGTAAGATACTCCTCATGTTGCTCCCAAGGTCTCGGCACATAACTTGGAAGAAGTAATTGCTCACTCAAGATCGTATAGGGCTCAACTACTTGGACCGCAACGCGATTGCTCTTGCTAGGATCAATCATATCGAGAAAGACCTCGGTCTTGATTCTGTTCAGTACTCGACTTGTGTCAGCATATTATTTGTTGGCTATCTCCTTGGCGGTGTGCCTGCCAACATGATCCTAACCCGTACAAAGCCATCCGCATTCCTCGTAAGTTGCGCATGTACACGTCTTTCATGTCACCCCACTCACAATCACTCTAGTCTATTGTCATGATGGCCTGGGCAGTTGTCAGTGCTGTGACAGCCCTGGCCCAAAACTTCACAGGACTTCTCCTGACCCGATTCTTCCTTGGCATAACTGAAGCTCCATACTACCCAGGAGCAGTCTACATCCTGAGCTTGTTTTATAACCGCAAGGAGCTTGCGACTCGAATCGCCATTTTATACACTGGTAACATCCTCGCTACTGCTTTCGCTGGTCTCATCGCCGCCGGCATCTTCCACGGACTTGATGATGTGGCGGGCATCTCAGGATGGCGCTGGTTATTCATTCTCCAGGGCGCAGTGACATTTGCGATTGCTGTCGTTGGTTTCTTCGTCTTGCCCGATACGCCCTTGACTACCAAGTGGCTCACCCCTGAGGAGAGACTTCTCGCCCACAACCGTATCGAGCTAGATACTACGCAGAACCAGGGAGATGCTGGAGTCTGGGCTGGTTTCAGGCAAGCAGTTAGCGATCCCATGGTCTGGATTTTTGCTGTAAGTCATTTTGATGTCATGATGAGGACGCCGTGCAGGCTTTACTAACAGTCGCGCAGTTGATGGCTCATTTGCATCTGGCGGCAAATGGCTTTAAGAACTTCGTAAGTAAATCCTCGACCTGGAAACCTTGTAGATAACTAACTTGCTTGGAGTTCCCTACGGTCGTGCAAACGCTCGGTTTCAATGACACGATCACTCTTGTTCTGACTTGTCCACCATACCTGATCGCGGGTGCCGTCACAATCGCCGTGTCGTGGAGCTCGGGCAAGTTCAATGAACGGACTTGGCACATCACGATCTCCAAGATTGTGGCGACAATTGGTTTTGTGGCTGCATGCTCCACGATGAACATGGCCGGCCGTTATGTAGCCATGGTCATTTTCACCATCGGTACGTACGGCGTCAACTCACTGATCCTGGGTTGGTGCGGTAGTGTTTGCGCCCAGACCAAGGAGAAGAAGGCCGTGGCCATCAGCATTGTGACGAGTCTTATGAACGTGTCGTTTATCTGGACCCCTTACCTCTGGCCCAAAGAGGATGGTCCTCGATATGCCACTGCGCTTGGCGCCAGTGCCGGATTTTCTCTGGGAACTGCAGCTGTCGCGTGGGTTGCTAGGGTCATCATCAAGAAGCGGAACGAGAAGTTGAGGCAGCAGGACAACGAGGACCAGAACCTCTACGTTTACTAGAGGATAAAATGCGGCGGCCCGTGTGAGAGACAAGGTCTTCGAGAAATAGCCGCCGGCGGTATCGGCCTCGACTCTCACCTAAATAGAAGTAACAATACCTATGACCACATGTATCTGTCTCAGTCCAGAAGTTCCACAAGGCAAAGCTTCCAGTTCCATACCATGACTTGACGTTTGAAGTTGAAATGATGGAGGTTGGAAACAGTCGCACTGACATCAGATGGAGAAACCTACAAAACCGAGAATTGGACGGTCTTAGCTATAAACCGTCATATGGTAAAGTTTCTATTTATTTATCGGGGCACTAGGGGCATCATCTTCATATTAATACTAGTAAGGGGGCGCTAAGCACTTCGCATATGGTACTCTCTACTCCGTGCTCCGTGCATGTTCGGCTTTACATTAATCCCTGTCAAGGACATCTCGAGATACTATTGGAAGTTCACTTTGGTCATTTGTTCTTGGACCCGAGCATCGAACGATAACGACAGTGGAGAGCGAATCCATACTTTCGGTGACCGCGTAAGGTACTGCAATCATCGGCTTGCCATCTTAATTGCAAAGCGTCCGGAGTAGACACGCCATGGCTGAGATACGCCATTCGTAACAATGTCGACACCCGTACCCGTACCATCCAAGGCGGCAATTCGTGCGCTCCGAGGTCTCGCTTTGGGTACCTCCTGTGCTCTCGGCTTGGTTGTTGAAGACCGAAGACGACGCATCAGCACCCTGCGGACCGCCATCGACAACAAGAAAAAGCTCAGAACTTCGCGGAAGTACCATGGAGCAGCAGAAGCCGTTAGTTACGCTGGCGACGATGCTGTCGTCTTGTCCGGGGATGAGCTGCATTGGCACTACCACAATGCCAGCTCACAAATATCGCAGGAACCACGCATAACCTCACTTCGCTCCTCCGTCATCGCAGAAACGAACCGCACAATTCGAAATGAGGCTGCCGGCCCTCCGGCGACACCAATTGCCCCAGACAAGAACTCCGTCGAACCTCGAACGCGAACTTCCCGCACATCCAGCTCTCTGCTTCCACGTGTGGCTCCAACAGCTGCCCTGCCAAAGCTTCGAGATAGCGGCGGTTGGGCTCAGACACCAGCACTCGCTTCCAGGCCAGCGCAGCGACCGAAAATTGCAGAACTGTTTGACCTACCAATCGCAACCATAAACAAAAGGCTGGACGAGCCCGGTGCCCTTGCCACCTTTACCGCTGCTTTTCTTAGCGCGGGTCAGGGAAAAGGAGCTTTCAGGAGGAAGCTGGACAAGAGCTGGCTGGATATATCACAGGCGCTCTGCATCCGCTGTCAAGAAAAGGGGTTGTTACAGGAGGCCCAAGACATTCTTGTCGCGACCGTGCGATCTGGAGAGGTTGATGAAGTGCGGTACTATGCGCATGAACCGTTTCCCATCATGGAATCAATACTGCGGACTATCGACATTGATCGAGATTCTGCAGCAAAGCGCCTTCACCTGGTGGCGCAATTGTTCCTGGCCAAGTTCAATGATAAACCCAGATTGCATGCTGACGAGGTACTGCATGTGGGGAAGAATCTGATATCACAACTTATCCGATTCAACCAGATTCAAATCGTCCACCAGGTCTATTGGAGGGTCTTAGGCCAGCAGGCGCATCCGGAAGAGTTTACGGCTTGGTTTCTGCAAAGCCTCTATGAGTACAGCGATTACAAGTCGGTCATTAAATATTTCAGGGTGAATTTCTCCAAGATGTCACCTGATATCTCTTGCTTCGATGCGACAGTGGAACTCGTCCTTGCCTCGGTCGAGGCCATGCGAGGAGCGCACGCTGAACAGGTTGCGCGTGCTTTGTCCAAGCTATGTAGCACTACTGGGTTACAACCACAAACGAGCTGGTTGAGCCAACTTTTGCAGAGTCATTGGAGCCGCCACAAGGACCTTGAAATGTCTCAGTGCTTCTTTGATGAATTCGTGTCGTCCGGCCTGATGGACCAGATCGACGATCGAGAGGAGGTCTATCAGATCATGGTGAAGCTCGCAGTTCTCGCCGAAGACAAGCAAGTCGCTCAGCGCTACTACCAAGAAACGATATCGCTCGCTCCGCGCATGGTGAACAATGTCTGGCTGAATGGATATATGACTCTTATGAAAGCCAAGGACAACGCCTGGGATGATGTCTTCACAGACTTTTCGAATATGAAGAGGTACAGTAAGTCCCAAATGGAAGCCTATGACCAGACTTTTGTTGCTGTACTGAAGGTGTTTGCCGATCGACACATAATCACACAAGTTGAAGATTTTATCAAGCTGTACAAAGCAGAGATGGATGTGCGGTTTCACCGCTACATCGTCACGTTCGTGGCAAACAAGTACGGCCAGATACACGATCATGAAGGATTCATTGGGTGGCTTGGATATTGCAGCTCCCAAGGATTCGCGCCGGATCCGGGCTTTACCAACGCCATCCTGCACAACTTCAGAAAGCAATGGAACTTCCCGTATTGGATCTTGAGAAAACTTTATTGTGCTATTCGGGACCTTGACCCCAATTCAGTCGATAAGGTTACCACAAGAATTATGCACAGCGCAGCGATGGAAGAAGGAAACTACTCTGGTGCAAACATGAATCAAAGACTGGGCATGCTGGGTGCTGCACCGAGCAAGCTTCCTTACTTCTTCAAGTCTGCAAATGAGCGGGACGTGTTACATGCCATGTCCGAGGAGGTCGTCCGCAGAAGACCTGCCAAAGCTGTCACCATTTACAAGCGGGCTGTTCGTTTCGGCATGCCGTGGTGTCCGAAATGTTTGCGCGTCGCGGTCGAGGCAGCACTGCAACAACAAGGCGACAATATTGGCACGGCTGTCGGGTTTATCAGCGAGATGCACGAAAAGGGCCACGATGTTAGTTCGGCCGTTGGTACACTCATCAAAGCTCAAATCCATCAATTCCGGGGATCGTTCGAAGAGGTCATGGGAAACCTGCAGATGCTGATCACTCGGTTCGAGGCTTCCGGCGTGCTCATAGACGCTTCAGTCCTGACCCAGGCAGCCGTTATGTCTGCTCAATTCAAACAATTCGATCGAGCTATACACCTCTGCAAGCTTGCAATGGAGAAGAGTGGTGCCACAAACCCTTGCTTCTCACGGCAAAGCCTTCGAGCTCTGCTCATGGCCTATTGGCAGACGCTCGATACGGACGGTATGCGTTGGCTTGTTGAGTCCTTGCTCTCAAGCCCTTTAGCAGCCGATAAGAAAGCTCTCAAATTGCTCAAGGACACGAGGAAGCACATGGCGGATTGGAAGCAATCGACGCGGGTCCTCGAGATCATTGAGATTCTGAAAAACGGTATCGATCACCTCAAACAACGACGCGAAATAGAAATCAAAGTTGGGTCCATGATGTACAAGGAGACCCTACGCATAATTAGTACCGCGGCTGGAGCTTCGGGAGACGGGCAACGAGAGCAACGTTATCGAGACGGTAACGATACCAGCATCAAAGAAATCCACAGAACGCTGACTTCTGAAACGCGATCCCAAGCTCCCGTTGAGGCGTATGGGTAGATTTTGTATATCATAAATGTAGACTATTGTTAACAGTGCATAAATATGAACATGCAACCATTCCGCAGCAAAAAAATCCGCAGCGGATCACTCCCGCTGTTGTTATCTACCGCCAAATATTAAATCCTAAGTCAACAGCAACGTCTACGAGAACAACTGCACGGATATAGCCAGTTCTTCATTGCCTCACCAGTCGTGCTTCAAAGCTTGGATAGTGATGAGAGTGATGTGTTCGAAGGTAAGCGACCACAAACCAACCCCTCGGTAATGCACATTGCCACTGGTCTTGTCATTCAAGTGGCATCGTCATGCAACACTCTCTCACACTTCGAGGATGCAACGTCGGTGCTGGTATGCGTATAGACTCCGCATAGACTCCGTATGGGCAATAGCGGACAGTGCGATTCCTCGGAGCTTTACGGATCTGCTCCTCTCCATAAGTCTCAATAAGGACCCCCGCACTATACCTCAAGCTGTCAACATGGCCGTTTATATATATATATATACATTCTTAGAGATGTGAGCCGCCCAAAGTGATGGGTGAAGGTGCATGTTTGTTCCTTGCAGGGCGACTGATCCGCATTTGAAGTGATCTACTGTCAAGTTTACACATGAGGTTCTGATTGGATGCATAGTCCACGTCCACACCCCCTCTAGGGATCCGTATCAACTACGCCATAGGCTTATCTTGCAGTAAAAGCTTAACTATGACTGCACATGTACGGATCCGTACTTGACGTGACCTAAATAGCCAGGACCTACGGAGTAGACTAACCCAGACTACCGCAGACTGACTAGGTTACCTAGTTTCCAAGTTATCCCTCTGTGGAGCAAATAAACCAGCCCGGATTCACGTTTCGCAAGCGCATCGCGACGTCAGTCCCTTTTTCTTTCTTTTTTTCTTTCTTTTCTTGTCACCATGTTCGAGCTCAATAGAACTACAATTTCCTAACTAGTTTTGTCACTTTAGCATCAACATCATCCATTCAATCCTGGGCATGAGGCAGTAACAGAGTGCGAATAAATCCAATTGCCTGCTAGCCGACCCCCGAGGCTGACGTCCCCGCCTGCTGCGAACCCGCCGCTCGAACTCGTCCCAGGAACAGAGCAGCAACTTCAAGATGCGCATCTATCTTCTACCCATCTCCACGCGGCGGACGCTGCTCTATTGCCAGAAGCTGGAGACAAAGACCGCGGACAGCAAGAGCTATGTTGACAAGGCGACTGCGAAAGCTGCGAAGCTCTGGGCAGGATGGGAGAAGAAGGAGAGTGGCTGGCAGAAGACCATAGTGAACTACGGGAACAAAGCCCTCCAGCGGATACCATACGAGGAATGGGGGTTGAAGTCGGTCCCTCCTCTGTCCAAGCGGAGGCAAGAGGAGGAGGCGCATGGGCTGGAGAAGGTCGAGGTCGTCTATCCCAAGTCTGCGATACCCACCACCAAGGCCTTAAGCGTCCTCCAGACCCTGGCCACGGAGCGGCAAACACTACACAAGCAGAGGTTGACTTGGTGCATCGTGGGTATGCCCATCAGCGCTCCATTCGCCCTGGTCCCTGTGTAAGTCGCGCCCCGTCTACTCTCAACTGGAACAAAGTGTCTAATGATCATCCAGAATACCTAACCTGCCATTCTTCTATCTGGTCTACCGTGCCTGGTCACATTGGCGCGCATTGGCTGGAGGAAAGCACATACAGTGGCTATCTGAGAACAACCTCCTCTCCTTGGCACCATCACCTATCTTGGACAAGATTTATCCTACACTTTTGTCCACGTCTACATTGTCAAAAGCAAACCCCCAGTCCAGCGAGGCGCCCGAGATCGATTCGCGCGCATCTGGCCAAGAAATACCCGAGGAGCAAGAGAAGATGCTATTGACACAAGAGAATGGCCGCCAGTTATTTAAGGAGCTGGATATACCAGAGCTTGAGGTCGAAGTGGAACGCGCCATCTGGCAGGTTGAGCATGCTCTTCACAAAGAGCACAGTCAGGCCCATCCTGTGCCAAATCCTGGTCCTACGGCTAAGAATAACGAGAGGAAGGATCAATAACGATACCGATAATCTGGAATTGTATACTACGGGCGGTGCTTATGTACGAGGTTACGGCATATTGAAGATACACGATCATAGACAGAAAAGCGCAGGTGAGAGACGGGTAACGACTCTCCTCAATTCATGGCATTGCTCCTCTTCAAGATCCCGCCGTCATTTGATCCTCCCTTGTGGCTATCTTTTGTTTGGCCAGAAAGTTGATACTAACATGATTACGCAAACTATCCCAACTACTAATATCAATCGCCGCCTTGTCAAGCTTGTCGGCCCACGCGGTCTGTGCTCGTAGAGAGGCAGCACATTCTGCGCTGCTGCTGCCGCTGCCGCTTTGCTTCTAGGTGCAGAATCGTAATGTCTAAGAAGGGGTTGCTTCTCTATGTCCATCGTCACAATACCCAAACCCATGTTCCCTCCGTCGAACGCGTCGAAAAATATCGGCTGCTCTGCGCGGCCGTCGACTCCCAGCTTTTCCTCTTCCTCCCTCCAGGAAGACCTGTCTGCAACTACAAAGCTCTGCCGCCGGCTTATGTCTACCATCTCCGGCTTCAGCCCTCGGATCACCGTGGCTGAGGTGGCGCTATGGACTGTGTTGTTCGATGACAAGGACCTCCATGCTTCCGCTGCCTTCTGCCGCATGAGTCTCTGTGTTGGACTTACTAGTCCGCTGGGTTTTCGTGCCCCTACCCGAGAGTGATTATTTCGTTTGTACTGGTGTGTCGATATTGGTAGACCACCTGTCGGGTTGAGAGGGGATGGAATCGGAGGTGCGTATCGTCCATCTCGCAGCAGTGAAGCCATCTCCTCTACCCCGAAATATGGGTGTGATGGGCCCGAGCAAAGATGCCAAAGTCCAGCACCGGTGCTATGATGAAGCTCTCATGTACGAAAAGGTAAGAGTATGTAATTCTCCAGTGGGTTCTTTTGTGCGCGATCTTTTGCTCAAACAATACATGCTCATTTTTGACACAGAATCAAGAGATGGGGTCTAGATTCCTGTCCGTGGCAACACATGCGTAATCCTGGAATTTGTAAGGCAAACCCGCCATCCCATCTGGACTGCGCATTTCTTCTTGAAGCAACTTGTCTTACATGCCCTGAACTGACAGATTGCTGTGTAACCTTGTGACAAGAGACACACATAGTCAAAAGTACGAGCGCTGTGGCACAATTTCGCACAGCGACAGATCGGTGTTACGAGATTTAGTTTGTTGTTCAGAGGCTATTGGTTGGATAAGTTGGTTGCGTATATACTTGGCAATACGTGTTAACATTTGTTACTTATGCGGTTCCATGCTTCCCTGTGCCCGACCTAAGCCACTGAGACCAAGAAGGCACACTTCAGCAAAAATGCATAGCGGTTCGTATCCCATCCAAATACTGGCTATCAAATGTTATAATGGTTTTGTGGTGTACCATTATACTTCTGCTGGTTCAAACTCTTCATCTACACAGCTAAGCGGCTCGAAAACGAGAATGAAGTTGAAGAAAGATACGAGATTATAGAGGAAATACTAAGTAATATAAGCAAAGACGGAAAAAGCCATGAAGAATCACAAGCGAACGAAAATGGGACCACCAAATAAACTCGGTTCTAATATTGTATTTAGCACGAAGTGGTCACGTACTTCGATAGCGGCGATGAGGGAAGCTTGGACTTCTATCGGCGTGGCTGCGGCTTTCTTCCCCGTCCCAGTGCCTTGTGGAACAGGCATTCGGTCATCTTTCCTGCCGAGATGCAGTTGGAACAAGCACCATGGCAGACCCCGGCCGTTCTTCTACATACATAGAACGGGCGTAGACTCTCCTTATGCGCCAGGGCAACGCGACATGTGCACAACCAGGATGTTCCCGGGCTCACGGCGTCAACTGATTCCGTTAGCAAAACATCCACATACTTCGTCGAACAAGTTCACCGTAGTCGGAAGCAAATGGGAACCCGTGTCGGACCAAACCGAACACCGTACCAACTTCACGTGGGAGGAAGAAACCCGTCCCTTCCTCGCCCAACAAGCACTCTAGGCCCTCATTAGCAGGCTGGCACTGCATGGGATCGTCTGAGTACATCAACACTCCCATGTAGGAAGTTTGTGTAGCGATTCCTAAACACTTTTTAGTGCCGAACAGTCGATGGTCATTCAAAGACATATCAATTTCTTCTGAAGGGTCTTAGCCAAGGAGGATCGGGTTTGATTGCAGTTCATTGTGCCGATCTAATCGTAACAGCTCTGTATATCGCTACACGCGGCGTCTTCCTCAGAAATGTTGCATGGACTATCGCCACCATTATAGCTGCTTCTGCTTGGGCCATGAGTTTCAGAGTAGCATTCATTCATAGGATAAAATCATAGCTTTTCTGGCTGGCCTTTGCACCCTGTGGTTGTCCTCAAAAGGTCAGACGAGCTACGTAAAACACTGTCACTGCCTGGTGACCATTAGCGAGAGAAAGAGACCAACTCATGGAGTAAACTCACACCCCACAATTGCCTTGAGAGACACGTAGGGGCACTCTTCAGCGCGATCGCTGCTTTTTGCCACAACAGTCCTGACCATGATCCGAGTCTTTTTCTTCTTTTTCTTTTTGGCTCACTTATGATCCACTCATACCTTTGGCTTCGATAGCTTTTAAGTACGCCTTCACTCCAACCATAAATCTCTCATCCATACTAACACTGTAAGTTGTGGTAGGAGTGGTGTTGACGTTGGGCGGGCACTGCTGGCACCAGCTTTTGACACACATGTGTGAACTGTGAACGATGAAAGCCATGATGAAATTCAAGGACGATCGCTGACGTACTAACATGTGCAAATAACGTGCACTGTGTCATATCAAGTACAGAGGATCACGTAAAAGTTCTAGCTCAAAGATCCACTCAGCAACGATTCATGATCGAAAAATGGTGACATAAGCTAGTATGGCTATTAAATGTTTCATATCATGACTATTTATTTATGTAATATATGCAGCCCCCAGCATTCGATGAGAGAAGTCAAATCAAAACAGTATGCGGGAGGTTCAAACACGAAACGCGTTCTATAACTTGTTCGCAACGCGTCATGTTGTACTATACCACACAAGCTGTGTTATGCCGCGTAAGACGACAGCGAGGATTGCTTCCTCAAGCAACGCCTGAGTAGCTGGACAGAATTTTTGAGAGGCAGCCATAAAGATTCCTGCTTGTCTGTCCCAGATAAGAATGGGATTCTTTCATTCAAACGAGGGCGAAAGGAAGCCGCTTACTGGTCTTGGTTTCCTTGCATACTAGTACTAGTTCAGAATGATAGAGAACGTATATAGGCCAAGCCCAATTAATGGCATGTATCAAGAAGCCTTCATACACCATTCATACGATTGTCGTTGTGCACGAAGACACGCTCGTATCTCACCCCAACAACTAGTTCAGGTAGTAAAGGCCAGTAATGTGCTTTCAAGACTAGCGGCAATAACTATATGACATTACTTATATACTAAAGACTACGAATTCATTTCATCAAGTGTACATTGGGAATATTTCAGCCCCTCTTCTTTATTGCCTGGACAAAATTCTTGCCGTTGACAACATAACCTTTTCGCTTCCCATTCTTCTGAGGTGATGGGATCTTTCTCCCTTTCTCCATTCCTCCTAGTCGTTCAATGATTCGTAAGAGACTGATAGTAAAATTCACAACCCAAAACACCAATCCTGTGAAGAGGCAGGCAGCTAGCGCCCTGACCAGCGCCTGATTCAATGTCGGGGTACTTGTTTCCAACGCCTGGAACGCCAGCGCAGTGCTGGCAGCCTTAAGGATGATGAACAGTACATCCAGGAGGGTGAGAGAGACCTTGATGATGGGACGCCTCAGCCCAAGAGGCGGCCGGAATACATCGTCGAAAGTCATGTAGAATACGTAAGGGATTGACAAGGAGTCGACTGTGATGGAGAGAATGACCTGGCTCCTCTGAGCTAATTCATAGGAATCTGTCGACCTCCACCACCAATGTGTCCTGTAAAGCACCGTAGCCATAGCTAGCGATGAAATAGTGCTGCCTAGCACGAGAAGCCGGAAGATGAGTTGGGGTAAGGGGTTGACGAAGAACCAGTTGTGTCTCTTGGGCTGGACAGCTGAAAGCTGCTGCTCTAAATCGGTGGGCGCGCCCTGGGGTTGCTCATTTAGCTCCTCTAGGGTGATTGTATGGTGATGATCAGGCATAATATGAGGCGCAGTTTTTATAAGGTGTCGCCATCTGGCATAGGGGTCCCCGCCATATGGCCTGAACCCCACCGCTTTGGGTATGACAGGAGTAGCAGTACGGAGGTGATCCAGTTCCCGGCCTGGACGATCACCTCTCTTCAGCATCCATGCTGGTCGCCTGTGTCTTTTCACTTGTCGCGCATCGACCCATGTTGTGAAGCCACCGTGGGAAGACACGCGCCGAACCATCCCCTGACGCGGTGGCTCATCCGGGATATCTTCCCACTGAACGTAATCGTCATCTTCATCGAGCCTTGCAAATGGCGGGACGACACGGACGGTCATATTTTCGTGTCCTCGCAGTGGCGGTCGAAGTCAGGCAGATTCAAATGTAGATGTGGCCCTTATTCCATCTCATCGTCCCCTATGCGCTTGACGTTGTCTCGGTGTGCCCCAGGCGCAGTTCCGCAGGGATGAAAAGGAAACGAGTGAAAGACTTGCGCAGAGAAGCGCGTCCGAAAGTGCTGTCGCCTCTTGGGAGATCCTGGCAACGGCGCTGAGCGCTGACCGTTTATTCTGGCGGTCGACCTGCCATGCCCGAATTTGAGAATGAAGACCCAGTCGCGACCGGATGTCTAAAGTTAAAGTTGCGTCACAATCAGAGCCGCGCAAACCTGGCAGCAGCTAATGTTAGAGCTAATAGATCGGTCCACTCATAGTCGTGCATGGGCAGGGCAATGGGCATGGGCAGGGGGGCTGGAGCTGGTCCCAGCCACGGAGATTCTGCACCGGCCACACGGTTGTCAATGATGAGAAAGACAAGGTCAACATTCATATCCCCCATACGGATCCGTACAATACGTACAGTACAGTATGTAGTCTCCACGAAGGTGTACGGAGTATAGTTAGTATATTATTCATTTGTTTACAGCTTTGGTAGGTCAAGTTGACATGATCGTACTCGAACTGAACAACCGTGCCATTTTGAGTCGTTTCGTAAGACCACTAACCACAGCAGGTGCGCAACACGCAACACTGTGACAAAACACAACTCAATCCTACCTTCTTTTTTTTTTCCGCAAGAAACCCCCCCCCCCCCCCCTTTGCTGCACTTGCTTAACATTACTTTGCACGCATCACTTCACATGCGCCTTCAACAAGTATTACCTTACACGATCTGCAATGGCAACGATTACCACCCCAGAAATCAGAACCCCAGCGCGATCTAGGTGCTGTTCTCACTGCTTTCGAGGATGATGAGCGCAGCATTGTCAAATACACAATATTGTATGAGTCCATTGACGACAATGACATTGCCTTCTTTGGGCAGCTGAAGAAGAAATACATTGATATCAGCATGGAGTTCGCCGCCGCATTGCAGCGCATTCCAGCCTAGGACATCTACCCAGAAATACGTACGAATGCGCAGTTGACTGACACCTCTGACACCTCTACGAACATGTTTCCAAAGGAATAAATCTACATTAAGCGACCCATCCTCTATTCGTACGAAGATGGCCTGGACGACCACGAACTCTGCCGAAAAATTCCACTCCAGGAGGCATTGATGATGGAGCGTATTAATAGACATCCCCACGAGAACATCGTCCCATATTATGGGGCCCGCCTTGCCGATGGGACGGTTGAAGGGAATTGTGTTAAAACGCTATGACAATACTCTGAGGCTTCACATGGATCAAGTCATGGCTAAACTTGAACTGGCAGTTTTTGATCTTCACTCGATTGGACTTGCACATGATGACTTGAATCCCAACAACCTTATGATAGGGGAAGGGAATTTGCCAGTTCTTTATCGACCTTGAATCTTGCCAGCCTTTGAGGGGAAGCCTTCATTCATGTGGTACGGCAAGCTGGTATGAAGAGCATTTCAAGGTGTCGGACAAGGAGCATGACCTCCTCTACGGGTTGAAGAAAATGCGCGAATGGTTAAATGACCTAAATCGAAGGTAAAGAGCTAGACTACATACAAAACCCATCAACGGATTGTTCATTCAGGCCAAGCCAATCTTACTAACCTAGCAGTGTGGGCTGCTTACATAGCCAAAGGGTCTGGTGACGATCGACTCCCTGGCAATTTATTGCGCATCTGACAGACAGGATCGCGATTGCAATTGCTCAATTCGCCAGCCCCGCGCCGCATACCGCGTCAAGGTCACATCTGTAACTTTTGAACAAACAAAGGAAGCAGAGGAAGGAGGAAATGACGACCGCCACTTATTAACATCTTTTTTAATCTATTTTTCTTCTTCTTCCCTCTCAACCTTCTTCTATTCTCGGCTCGCTGAGCTAGTTGCTCTCGTTTCTTCTTGTCCTCCCTAGCCAGCGGCTCTGGGTTTGTTGGCTCCGGGCTTATCTTCTGTGTACGGTTGCACGCGGCTCTACTCTACCATCGCTATCTCTCTCCAGGTCGGGGCCGTCCACCCGCTTGACGACATTTGCTGACTGCATCTGCTTCGAGACAAAGTACAAGCCATGTCTTCCCTCGAAGCCAAGATTGTTGTGCTCGGCTCCCAGGGCGTTGGCAAGACGTCTCTGGTTACGCGCTATTGCAAGGGAGCATTCAATCCGGCGCAGACCACCTCTACAGTGGGCGCAAGTTTCTTGACGAAGCGTGTTGTGGATAGTGACACAGACACAGTTGTGCGGCTACAAATATGGGATACCGGTTCGTCACATACATTTCCTTCTATAGCACGGCTTTACTGTCCGTTTGTTTTTCTAACTCTCCTCTTCTCTGTAGCCGGCCAAGAACGATTCCGCTCGATATCGCGACTCTACTACCGCGGCGCCAACGCCTGCATTCTATGTTACAGCATCACAGACGCCCAGTCTTTCGCCGAGATGGGCCTGTGGCTAACCGAACTACGGCGCAACCTTCCGCCAGACGTCGTGCTCCACGTCGTCGGCACCAAGGCTGACATTGTCGCCCGCGACCCGAGCCTGCGCGAGGTACCCTTCGAGCGCTGCATAGCATACGTGGCCGAGAACCTGGCGCCGGGCCAGGGTAACACACCACCGCCGACCGCGACTCCTGGCCTGATGAGCCCTGCGGCAGGCCTGTCTGGAGATGTGGGCTACAGCACCAACATGGGAGGAATGCTCGGCGAACCGCGAAGCCCGAGTAGTAAACGGAGCTCCGGGTTTTGGGGGCAAGAGGTCGGCTGGGATGCATGCCATGAAATCAGTGCCGAGAGCGGAGAGGGTGTTGAAGAGGTTTTCCGGGTCGTCACAAGGAAATTGGTCGAGCAGAACCGCAAGATGGAACAAGCGCTTCTTGCTGCGACAGCGACGCCTGGTACTCCCTACGACACCATGCAAAACGGTTATTTCGACGGGGTAAACCCCAGAGGAAGCTTCAGGGTTGGACGTGACAGAAGGAGCTGGCTCTTTTCACCCGCCTTCACCCCCGCCGTGACCATCGAGAATCCGGCGCAGAACAGTGCAGAACAGAGGATACAACAAGATCCAAGGAAGAGTAGAAGCAGATGCTGCTAAACGCAACTTTATGGCACGACAGGACAGTATTTAAGCCAACTTCCTGCTGGATCGGGAGGTCATCATGCGGTTCGTCGCCTACTTAGCAACTTCTAGACTTTTGAGCACGACCGGTGAGCGGTTTTGGCATTCGAGCATGGCGTTTCTGGCATATTTAGGGGCCTCGGCGTTTGCATATGGTCTGGTTTACGGCATCCTCTGGATTTTGAGCATTCCTTGCGTGCATCATCCTGTTTTCGGTCGTTTGTGCTGCACTTTTGGCGGTTATAGTACCTCTTCCACGAGACGTACTAGGCCTCGGCGTTCAATAATCGATTTTGATTCGGACACCCTCTGGCTCTACTGATTGTGAACTTCATTCATGGGCGCGAGGGAATAGTGATTCCTTATTTTCAGGCCTGACGAGCTTCGATTGTGTTTTCCCCCGCGTAATCCCTCAACCGTGCTAATCAAAATGTTGAGGTCAACTAAATCGATCAACAAACCTCTTGACATGCTGCGGAGAAAGACGGATCGGTCTGCAAACATCTAATTGGCCTCTATTTCTTTCTCCATAATTCCATCTTTGGTGCCACCTACTGCCGCAAGCCCCGGCTTCTCCTCCGTGTCCGTCGGCGCTTTGGAAATGTTTCCCTGTGTTCCTAGCTTGATGAACGGAGCAACCAACACACATGCTGCCGAGAGGGCTACACAAGCCTGGAATGTCCGAGTGTACTTCAGCAAAGGATCAGCCATTCCCGCGGGTGTAAGCTCGACGGAACTAAACACAGCTGTCGTGATGCCCATAACAGCTGTACTCGATAACCTGATGACCACATTGAAAATGCCGCCCGCCATGCTCTGTTGGTGAATTGGCATTGAGGACATTACATACATCTGTTACTGCTTAGTGACTGTGTCTCACCAGGTGCCATGATATTAAGGTTCGATAACTTACGTTTGCCACATTAAAATTAAAGTCTGCTCCGGCGACATTGAGTATAAGAGCTGGAAAGATAAAGGCCCAGTAGCTGCTATCCGGCCCCATGAAGGAGAGCAACAAGGCCGCAGCCAAGAAGCACAGGGAGCCACCTATCACGATAAGTGTATTGTTGACCTTGTGGAGGATATGACCAGCGACAACGTTCCATGTGAGCCCTGCAACAGCCATGGGAAGAAGATGTACGGCGACTGTTATAGTGGATAGTTGTTGGACGCTCTGCATATAATATGCGATCCAGAAACCAGAGGCGGTGAAACTCATCATTCCTAACAGAGTATTCGCGATGACCAAGCTGAAATTACGGTCTTTCCAAATGTACGGTGGCATCAACGGATTTGGGTAAATCCGTTCCCAAAGAACAAACAAAATAAGCAGAACGATTCCGATGACGAGAAGTGCAATAACAGTAGCGCTCGACCACCCATCGTCTGGTCCTAGAGTGAGACCAGCAGTAAACATACCTGTACCGAATATAGTCAAGATCGTGCCAACATAGTCAAAGTGCTTGAGCGCCTTGACCCTTTCCCTTAATGGTGCACGATCAAAGTTCTCCACGTTCGGAACAGCCCAGATGGCATGGGCGGTGAAGACAGCCCACAGGATGCAGAGAAATATATACGCCGCTCGCCAGCTCGAGACCGAAGATGCAATACCGCAGACGATCAACCCAAATACGAACCCCAAAGGATTTCCCGCGCTGAATGCAGAGAAGGCGATGTTCTTTCTCTTCGAGGGCGTCTTGTACGCAGCGCCCAGGATTCCGATGGCCGGCGGGACAATCATCGCCGAAGGAATACCTAGAACACCACACATGATGACCATCCAGAAGGGATTTTGCGCAAAGGCCAAGAGCAGCACGAACGCACTAAACGACCCCATGCCGACAACGAACATGACCTTTCGACCTAACAAATCCGCAAGCTGTCCCAGCGCGAGCTGGAACGCGCCGGCGACAAGGGAGGTCGAGGCTGTTATCCACGAGATCTCGCCCTGAGTCATACCGAGGTCGCGGCCGATATTAGCGGTCACAATCATGCCAACACCGGTCAGGAAAGAGGTAGTCGCCGTTGCGACGGTGGCCTGAAAGACGAACGACACCTGGCCATATCGTCGGGTTAGCTCACGATTCGTATATGATGCACCCCCTACGGAAGTATTTAACATATATATATATGTATATATTTACCTCTTGAAATGTGTTCTTGAAGCATTCTGGCCGATCACCAAAGTTCGTCTTGATGCGCTCCAGTGCAGTACCGCCTTGCTCGACATCTTCCTGGTTGCGGTCAGTCCCGTCGCTGCTGCCCACCTCCGTTGCCGGCCCCGTTGAACCAGTGGGCTTGGCTTCCGTGGTCGCGGCTTCCACCTCCGTCTCTACTGCACCGGGCAGCTGCACCGGTGCGCTCGCCATGACGTGCCGACTCGCCTCGATGGAAGAAGAGTCTAAATGGAGGAGCCTCGCAACCTGGGAAGAAGAAATGAGAGATGAGAGATGAGAGATGAGAGATGAGAGATGAAAGATGAAAGATGAAAGATGAAAGATGAAAGATGAAAGATGAAAGATGAAAGATGAAAGATGAAAGCTGAAAGATGAAAGATGCAAGATGCACAATAAGGAACGGCGTCATAAGGCAAGATTCCTTTTTTGGGGGGGTTCAGGGGTCAGCTCTAAGTTCGATGCCTGCATATTGCGCAAACTTCTGCGTGCGGCTAGAGCAGTTGGAAGCTGTCGGGACGGCACAGGCGGGGCCAAAGCACTACTATAATTCGTGTGGGTGAATTTGAGTTGTACATATTCATTCGGCTGTCACACAATCTGACTACGATTACTTTGTAAAACACCTAGGTCAACATATGACTCGATGCAATAACGTTATCAAAGTATATCCGAGTGGGTGAGGGGAATCAACACTGGTGGATCCGTACAACGAGGTACAGAGTCCGAAAGCAAGGCCGAGAGGTTTCCCTGGCGCGCTCAAGCTCTAAAGAACTAAACCTTTACATATCGATCTAGGACTGGTATATTATGTGTAAGGTCTGCTCAACTCCTTATCATGTATGCCAGAAGAAGGGGGTCCGGCAATCGATTGATTATGTACGCGGGCTTCTCAGGAAACCCACGACACCGCTGCAGTATCCCACCAGGTTGTCTAGTCTGTTACACTCCTCAGCTTGATGCTTCTTCCAGTCCTGCAAAGCTGCCATCAGGGTATCGCTCTCCATAATCATATCAAAATGCAATCGCAAGAATACAGTCATCCATGCTTGCGTCAGCTCGTAGTCCCGACGAGACTTCAAGCGGCTGGTCAGGGCCCGGATGAAATGAAGTAGCTCATTCGAATCATCCACTTCGTGTGCAGACAGCGACCGAAGCTCGAGATCAGCGCTTGATGGAGAAAGTGATTTGAGGTGCTCAATGAACTCGTCGTCTAAGGTTTGGGTTAGCAGCGTACTGAAGAGGTAAATATGTAATACGCTTACAGTTTCCGGTTTCGGCACCAGCCCGTAGCTTGCTGGTGAAAGCCTCTTCACTTCGAGAAGAGTGGTCGAATCTAGTAATCCTCGAGAGGCTCTGGTGCCCATTGCCAGCTGCTGTGGCGTCATCTGCCTTTGGCATAATTGAATTCGTGGTCGAGGGCAAGAAGAAAGGTGCCTTCTCGGGTAGCTTTGGAGCTTCCTTGGGTTTATTCCTCTGCTTGATGAGATCGAGGTGCAGTAGAGTCTGCCATCGGCTACGTGGCACAAGACTGAGTGTCATCATGTCGGAGCTCAGCTGGTCGATTGAAGGAGCAGCCACAGTATCTTCGTCCGCAGGGACCTCCTCCTCGAACGCAGCTTCAATCAATCCTTGGCCGCCTTCCCCAGAAGTGGTTGGTCCTGCAACTTGGCCTACCTCCTTTTCAGAAATCTGTCTGGTAGGCACATGCGTAAACAATGTCTTGTTGGTCCAGATATTGACCCCCAGCTGGCCTTCAGCCGCTGCAGCGAGATATTCACCAGTCGTCGAGAACGCTAGCGCAGTGCAAGGCTGTTCCAACCGAATGGCATCGATCAAGTGACTCGTAGGCAAGTCCCACACTCGAATGACAGCATCTTGAGAGGCAGCCACAATCCAGCGCCCATCATTTGAGAAAGTGAAGTCGTTAATCTTCCCTTGGCAACCCCAGAACTCTCGAATCGTCTGCTTCGTTTCGGTATCCACAACCCTGATCGAACCATCGTCGCATGAAAAAGCAATGAGGTCATTTGCGGCGTGGTATCGACAACCCGTGATTGCTGTCATGGGAGCCCAGCTGATTTCATGCACGAGTCTACCAGTCAGAAACTCCCAGAACTTGATCTTACCGTCCAACGAGCAGCTGATAATATACTTGTTCATAGAGTCAACAATGACACCTGTTACGGTTTTCGTGTGTTTTCCGACCCCGACACCGAATCCAGTTGTCGATCGCGCTTCTAGTTGCAAGATGCTATCAGCTTGTCTTAGTTGTTGCAGCTTGGCCTGTCTTGCTTGAGCTGGGGTTACAGTAGAAGGGTATCTCTGGCGGTGTAGCCCGGACTGAAGGTTGTACATGTCGATGCAACCTCCTTCAGATGCTACGACAGCGAAAGTACCGCATGAACTTATCGCCACTGTAGAAACATTCGTCCTGTCGCTCGTGGGGAAAGCCCATCTGCCAGCACGTTTTCGTCCCCAGAACCACGTTCGAGCATAAGAATCATTCTTGTGCGCTGTCACAACACTTTCCCAACCAGTCGCACCACTCAACTCTGCGTCAGATGGCTTATTCTTGCGGTCTTGTGACTTTTGCCACATGGCCTGTTTTCCGGGCATAGCTCCCATACCACCATCTCGGTTGAGGGAACAGGCTATGCAGGTAATTTCCGGAGCCTTGAGGTCGTCAAGTGATGTCGTTGGGCCGTTCTTCAGGACATTGTTATCAAGAACACCAAACTTCTTAGCTTTCTTGCGAATATTGCCCTGGCTAAGCTCGGTGCTTTGCCCATCCCTGCGAAGACTCCAGCCCCATAGACTGCGATCTTGGCCTGAGCTGAGCAGCCACTTATTTCCAGCATCTGCGCCATCGAAGTCGGACGGCAAGAACTGTAAAGAGGTGACGGGCCCAGCATGTCCGCTCCTTGAGTGAAGAACGCGCGGTATTGGCGAGAACGGTGATTCGTCGAAAATCCATGTTTTCAGTGAATTATCTCGTCCGCTGGTAACAATAACAGGTTGACCGGCAAGAAATTCAATTTTGCTAACTCCTCCGCGAACAGAAGGGCCGTCTCCAGACGGGGGGTTGTGCGCACTCCGGAGAACGCCCATGACCCTTCCACCTTTGTTTAGATCCCAGAAGGTAATGTCTCCACTCGAAGATGTTGCAGTAGCCATGACACCGTCCTTGCGACCATCATGTCCAGCACCTTGCCCATCCGTGCGGAAGGATATGGCAGTCACGGGCGCGTCCTCGGTCCCCGCGTTGACTTGTAAAACGGTCTTGTCCGTCAAGACATTGTGAATAATCAGCGATCCATTCGAGTATGCTATGGCCATGAGCGAAAGTGCCGGCGAAGGTTGAAGACAGGTCACTGCGCCACATTCAGGCGATGGCGGGAGGACGGTGTATATAAGTTTTCCGGTAGAGACATTCCAGATCTCTACCCAACCATCCCGTCGCGCCGCAAATACCTTGTTGAGGAATGTTGGCATGGTGGACATCCCGCCGGTGAGCTCGTTGTCGCCTTTCGTTGAAGCCATTGTGAACAAGGTCGTGTAGTGTTCCAGATTCTCCGTTTTCCATACTTCAATTCTGGTCAGACAGCAGGCAATGATCCAAGAGCCAGATACCAGAATTTGTTTTACCGGCTCATGTAAATCAAGCGGTATTTCTAACTCAGCAGCCTTCTTTCCCCGTTGAAAGATCCAAATGCCCTGAGTTTCTCCATTTTGCGAATCACCAAAAGCCGCAAAAACCTTTTGTCTCCAAGCGTATGTTGCCGTTATATCGGAAGGGGTCTGTGGTCTCGTTATGAAGACCAGGTTGAGGCCGCGCCGTAAGTCGTATGTTTGTAAGGACCGACCAACAGAGGTTGTCAGCTGAAATGTGGTCTTTCCCAAAGGCACGGTGGTGAAAGGAACGTTGGTCGGAGAAACAAGCCCTATAGTCTGCCATGAAGATCAGTATTGGCTGGAGTGCTTGAGTGCCATCTAAATATACGTACCCGATAAGGCGCAAAAATTCTCGACTGATGGCCCTGTGCGTTTGATTGTGATGAAACAGTAAGCCTCTGGCGCTTGGCCCCTCGGCCATCTTGCTCAGAATGAGGCATAGTCGATGCGCACTCGTTACGAAGTTGTGACTATTACAACACGGCTGGTACTATTCGCGACTATGTCGGAAAAAAAGTTCCCCAAACTTTTCCAACGACAATCCTTATCTTATCGCGGTCGGCGTGCCAGGAGCCCCGCGCCGACGGCCAACCCGCCCCTCATTAGTTAAGGTGCCATGTCCATTACTCAGACGAACACTTTTGTGTCTGCCACTTAGATGTGAATTTCGCCCACTATGACACTGTCAAACTAAGATTGTGCAAAATGACGCCCACACATATCCTGCAGATGACATTGCTTAGGCAAAAGCTCCTAGATCTCGGTGATGTGTCCCAGGTCACGCGACACATTGAATGTACTTGCAGCAAGGCCTGCAGTATGCACATAGCCCGATGTCGCTTAGAGGATTCGCTGGCCGTCAATTCTCTGATGGCTTAAGTAGTACCATTAGGGCAGACCGCCCGTTGCTGACGGCCTAGATTGCAGCTTCCTATTCGCTGAAGCTATGAACCATTCTGGATCCAGAATGTTGTGGCTTCCAGTAGCCTGGCATTTGGGACGTCATAGCATGCTTTTCAACGCCCATCCTTGGGCCTCGACGCTGTTTGGCAGCGCGCATGGAAAATTTACATGTGGTGCTTCATCGGTGTTGCAACTTGCCGTCTCTCTCGTGTATACCTTGCTAAGCCCTTGTTACATGCCGATGCTCTGGAGATGATTCAACAACGGAATTGAGTTGCTTTGTCGAGTCAAGTCCATCGTTACCTCACCTCACTGGCCGCTGGGCAGCATTACGCCACCGTCCAGCTATCTTCCTCAAAGTGCAATTGCACACTTTCATGGCGTCGTCCCTACATACCCAGAACTCCCCGAGGATGCCAAGAACCATGATGGACAACTCTCAAAACTGCTGTACCTGTGCTGTTCTTGAGTCTTGAAAGCGGCCTGTCTTAATCAAACACACTGGGAATATAGGCATCCTACTAGTCTACTTCTAAGCCTGAGGGGACTTCATATTCTGCCGGGGAATTCCGTGTCATCCATATATATCCCTAGATTCGCCCTGCGACAAGTGCCTTGAAAATAAGGACGGTGCCCAACGAAATAACATTTTACCTTTTGCAGGTACGGCTCCCTGCATAACCTGTGGAAAAGAGACTGCATAGGACATCCGTTGGTCCTGCCAAAAGTCGGTCACCAATCTAATCTTTGCGATTGAAGCTTAATTGCCCCTTGTGGTCTGGACCGAATACTACCACCGTACTGAATCGACTGGTGCAGATATCATCGAATGAGTCCATCTGGTACTGCCAAAACTTGCTCCACCTGTACCCATTTCCTTACAAACTAGTTCAACGTCACTCACTACCCGCATTTTCTGTGGGTGCGTTACCCAATGGAAACCAACTCAAGTCGTCAGGGAGGCGGTAGACTGCCATCTCGTTCTGTGTCACATTCCCACAAACTGTCCTGGGGCAGTATCTCGAGCGTTGCCAGCCGGAAAAGTCGTCACGCCGAGCCTGTAGGAAACTTCGACGTGCCCGTGGAAACAAGCCTATCCATGCCTCCCCCGCCAAAGCCCTCCAGCTTGAAAAGCCCTCGTTCTTCCTTCCCGCAGAGCCGTCGTGCGTCTAGCAATTCGGAAAGCACGTGGAGTGAGGAGTATCCTTTCCAATCAAACCATCCAACTTCTACCGAGGGCTTCTTTCCCTGTGATATAGATGACATCGCGGTGGATGACCACGACACTCCGAAGCTAGGACCCGCGACTGGAATCATAAGGGAGAGTAGTGGTGTGGACCGGCTTCCTGAGCCTGCTTTGACGTCAAAAGCCTCGTTCTCCGATGAGGGAGTATCCAAACGTCTCTCGGTTTCATCAAGCTATTCCTTAGCATCCGCGCGAGGTATTCCGAGTGCAGGTTCATCTGACGGTGGTAACTCGCGTTCGGTCTCAGGCATCATCATGGCATCCAATAAAGGAATCGGACCATCGCCTGGCCACTCTGAGGCTAGTCTGTCGAATGTAACAGTTACGACTTCGTCCGGCTCTCAGATCGTAACCCCAACCGGAGGTTCTCACCAATTGGCCCCAAGGGAAATGAACCCTCCGAATCCTCTGGACAATGTCAAGAGAAACCCCCCAAAACCCGATTCGAGTCCACGGCCTCAAGCCCCCACCAGGTCTCGTAGTAGGGCTAAGAGACGGTTCAGCGGGAGCACCGCGACTAGTAGTCACAGTCCTAGCAGCGAACGAGGCCTTCACTCTGAGAGCAGAAAGGAGAAGGCTGAAGCAAAGCCGGCACCGCTGGGCATTATCGGAGTGTGTGCTTTGGAAAGCAAGGCCAGAAGCAAGCCAAGCCGCAACATCCTTAACCGCATCAAAGGAAATGATGAATTTGAAGTTGTCATGTTCGGTGACAAGACAATCCAAGATGAAGGTCAGTATGAGGCGTATTCTTTGTATACTGTGCAAAACACTATCATGCTAACTATTTCCGCAGACGTTGAGAATTGGCCGATCTGCGACTACTTGATATCCTTTTATTCTGATGGATTCCCTCTTGATAAGGCCATCGCCTATGTTAAGGCCAGGAAGCCGTTTTGCGTCAACGATGTCCCTATGCAGAAAATACTGTGGGACCGGCGACTCTGCCTCCATATTTTAGATATGATTGGCGTCCCTACGCCCAAGAGAGTCGAGGTCAACCGCGATGGTGGCCCTTCCTTGGTCACCCCGGATGTTGCCAAGCACATCAGAGATATCACAGGACTAACTCTCGAAACTTACGGCCCTGGCAAAGTACCGCCTCCCAAGAAGGTTGAGATGCTTGATGATGGAGACACAATTAGCGTTGACGGCACACTTCTACGGAAACCTTTTGTCGAGAAGCCTACCAGTGGCGAGGACCACAACGTGATTATATACTTTCCAAGATCCATGGGTGGAGGCGCACGCAAACTCTTCCGCAAAATTGGTAACAAGAGCTCTGAATTTGTACCCGATTTGATATCGCCTCGCGCCATCACAGAGCCGGACAGCAGTTATGTTTTCGAGCAGTTTATGAGGGTGGAAAATGCCGAAGATGTTAAGGCTTACACTGTTGGTCCTAACTACTGCCATGCCGAAACGAGGAAATCTCCAGTAGTAGATGGTATTGTCAAGCGCAATACCCATGGTAAGGAGGTTCGCTATGTCACTCCGCTAAATGACGAGGAAAAGGAGATGGCACGCAAGATATCAACCACCTTTGGGCAGCGAGTATGCGGCTTCGATTTGCTCAGAGCCGACGGTAAAAGCTACGTCATCGATGTAAATGGTTGGAGTTTCGTCAAGGACAACGATGACTACTACGGCCAATGTGCCAGAGTCCTGCGAGAGATTTTTATCAAGGAGAAACTCCGCCGTGGTGGGCCAACACCTCCGTTGCCATCTCCCACAACTCTGGATCACCGGGATCCGCTCTATAAAGCCGCCATGATAGCGAAGGATAGGGAAACGCGAAGTGAGGCAGCTGATGTAAGTCACGTCAAATCACCACCACAATCCACCGCTCCAACTTCTGCACCAAGATCGATACAGGAGCCGAAGACTGCCGACGAGTTACTTGGGACTTCCTCAACATCCACGCCTGATTTGGCGTCGTCGGTACCTGCGTCCAAGTCGCACAGCGGCATAACGTCTCCAATACCAGCTACTCAAGCGGACTCTGTGGCGCCTAGCCTGCCGGTAATTGTGCCGTCCACACTCCCAGGGACACCGTCAATGGCACCGAGCGACAGTCTTGCGGAAGACTTGGAGCAACCGACTCCGCCACCTCCACCACCTAAGCATCAATGGAAGCTCAAAGGCATTGTTTCCGTCATCCGCCACGCCGACCGTACGCCTAAGCAAAAGTTCAAGTTTACCTTCCATACTCAGCCATTCATTGATCTCTTAAAAGGCCATCAAGAAGAAGTATTACTCATTGGCTCGGCCGCTTTGTCTAGTGTGATTGATGCGGTCGACTTGGCATTGCGGCAAGGTGAAGAGGACATGACGAAGCTGAAAACCTTGCGCAGTGTTCTGTTGAAAAAGGGTGACTGGGCGGGTACAAAGGTACAAATCAAACCAATGTTCCGCAAGAAGAAAACGGAAGAGATCATGGCCAGCACAGAGCCAACCACTCTCACAGAAGGGCAAGCCTCGACCACACCCAGAGAACCATCTATTCCAACATCTATTGATGAGCAAGATGATCAAGACGCCCAGAACGGAGACAACCCAATCCAAACTCCTGACGGCCAACGCCGTCCACCAAAGCGCAGTGACTCTATGTCTGGTGTAACAATGTCAAAGTTTACTGCTGCCGAAAACAGCCTTGTGCTTGATAAGTTACAGCTCATCGTGAAGTGGGGAGGTGAACCAACGCACTCGGCTCGGTACCAGGCACAAGAGCTTGCGCAAAATATGCGGAATGATTACATGCTCCTCAACCGAGACGTTTTGGACGAAGTTCATGTGTTCAGCAGCTCTGAGCGTCGAGTGACCACCAGTGCTCAAATCTGGGCCGCCACATTCTTGGACAAGAAAGAGCTTCCAGAAGAGTTTATCACGGTTCGGAAGGACCTTCTGGACGATTCGAATGCAGCAAAGGACGAAATGGACAAGGTCAAGAAGAAGCTTAAGGGGCTACTGCGTAAGGGCAATGAGCGTCCCTCGCAATTTGCTTGGCCCGAAAATTTCGCGGAACCATCCGAAGTGCAGGCAAGGGTTGTGCAGCTCATGAAATTTCATCGCAAGGTGATGCAGTACAACTTCAATAAGCTGGGGACAAACAGCGGGGCGGTCAACTCTTTGAATGCTATCAACAATCCTAGTGTGGACAAGCTTCCTGGAGAGGGCTCTACATCATCTGTGGCCTCATCACTGTCACAAGCCAACGCCGTCAGTCATATTCAACCCAGATGGTGTTGCGGGGAAGATCATGAGCTCTTCCGTGAGCGGTGGGAGAAACTCTTCAGTGAGTTTTGTGACAATGAAAAGGTAGATCCTAGCAAGATCTCGGAATTATATGACACCATGAAGTTTGACGCACTTCACAACCGAAATTTCCTCGAATGGGTCTTCACGCCACCTAAGCATATGCTTGAAGAAGAGTTCGGCATTGTGATTGGGCAAAATGGAAAATCTAAGGAGTCGGAGGACAGCAGAGACATCAAAATTTCCGATGACAAGTCTGAAAAGAACCAAGTGGTGGGTTCGCCCTCAAGTGACAAGACAGACAAGGCGGAACGGCCTGATCGCGCAGAAAAATCCGAGATCCAAAAGACTGCGAAGAGGATATTCAGAAGACGATCATGGATGAATGTGCGCCAACAAGGTGAAGCTGCCCCACCGGAACAATATTTCAAGTTGCAACAAGGTAGCGAACCTACGAAGGCCAAGACGGACGCGCGCTTCGAACCTTTGAGGGAGCTTTACAAGTTGGCCAAAATTCTGTTCGACTTCATCTGTCCTCAGGAATACGGAATATCCGATGCGGAAAAGGTTGGGTTTCACGTGTGACAGGAATGAACGCCATGCTAACATTATCTATAGCTCGAGATTGGTTTACTGACCACATTGCCCCTATTGAAAGAAATCGTACAGGATCTCGAGGAGATGCAAGCATCAGAGGATGCCAAGTCTTTTTTCTACTTCACGAAGGAGTCTCACATTTATACTCTTCTCAACTGTATCATGGAGGGCGGCATAAAAACCAAGGTCAATCGTGCCAGTATTCCGGAGCTTGACTACCTCTCTCAAATCTGTTTTGAGCTTTACGAATCGGAAACCAAACCTCCTGCTACCTCACCCGACGATCCCTCCACCTTTGCTTATAGCATACGTATCACCATAAGTCCGGGCTGTCATATCTACGATCCACTCGACATTCAGCTTGATAGTAAGCACTGTATTGGATGTGCGCCACGTAGGAGCCTAACCGACCACAATGACTGGAAATCGGTAATCGAGACTCTCAGGACCAAATTCAATCAGTAGGTTTATGACTTTTTTTTTTCTTGTGTGTTGACCTGAGATGCTGCTGAATCCATCAGCACTGAAAATCCTCGACGGCCCTTCAGTGAAGTCGTGTGACTCTTTGCTAACTGATCGGCTACTAGGGTCAAACTTCCGAAAACCTTCCTCGCAGTCAATCTATCGGACGCCTTTACGTTTCAGGAAAAGGAGCGCCGTGATTCTGAAGCTGATGTTTTGGAAATGAAGAATGTCGAGCACACCGCTCCGTCATCAATAAAAGCACCTATCAGCTTGCCCTAGCGACTGATCTTCTCGAGTTTGCTTGTTCTTTTTGTATTTGGTTTTAGTTTTGAGGCTAGACAGTTCTCGCTAGACGACGAGTCACTGCCATAGCGCAATAGATAGGCACCATATAGACCAGAATTGCAAAAAGACATGAAAAATGGCATGATATGGGACACTATCTCTATGATCATGATGCTCGTATTCCTTTTCACCGCAATGTAACATTAGACGATAACGTCCCGTCCCGTCCCTTGCAGGACTCTTCGACTTTGTAGGTACTGACTAACTGGATGCGCAAGCACGGAGTATAGGCAAGCGAGATTGCTCGTACGGTCGATATATAAGTGGATCAAGTGGGCTTGGTCTAAGCGCATGTCTATCCCCTTCACCGGCTGGACGTAGGACCAAAAATTTCAAGGAGATATGAATATGAGCTGTCAACAGTACCTGAGCACCAAAGTTCCCGGCAGGCCCATCCAGTTCCTGTCACCTGCGGGATCTCAGAGTGCGGCAAGGATCAGCCTTGCAACGCCCCTGCAGATAGAGGATCCAAGCAGCGTTTGGAGCAGACTGGGATAAGACATGGATATTTCGGCTCGTCAATGAGACCTTCAAATCAGCAGCAGCAGCAGTTCCTCGGCTTGTTCTGTGATTCGTCAAAGATGGGACAAATGCGGTTTGCTTGCTTGATTGCTTTTCCCCTTCTTTTCTTCTTCCTTCACTTTTTCTTACTCCACAGATGTGCAGGATCTCGCAGCTAATCATGCAATGCAGCAGCAGATGGGGCGGCTGAGAAAGAATTAGTCCCCTGGAAACAAGAAGCTAGAAGCGAGTAGTGAGTTCTAGCAGGCCCGCCATATCGAGTATCTCCAAGTCTTGACTCCTTGCAGCAAAGCCAGGTCACGGGAATGGTCTTTTTTTAAACCGACAGTGTCACCAGATTCTGCCAAGCTCGAGGGCACGTCGGTCGGAATAGGATCACACCAATCTCGCATACAGTAGCCCATACCTCAACCGCAGAGTCGTATTGAGGATCCTCAAGCTTAGAAGTTTTTGATGTCATTTCCCACGGAGGAAAATATCTCTCGAACCATGATCATCCTATAGTCCAACCCCGAATTGAGTGGCATGAAACGTACCCGGCCCCAAGCCTCCTGCCCTCAATGGCGGAGTTTGGCACAAACCCCACTGCCATGAACAGTCATGAGTGCGCAGCGGCCTGTCATTTATTACCTGCAAACAACTAGCGCTCATTCAAGCCCACATCGGAGCCCAGCCGCCAGGATTACAGCCACTTCAACCCTAGCATTGCCGCCAAAGGGCGGATCATTCGGAGTTGCTGTTTCTCAAGAGTGGACTGGAGTATAATTCAGGGTGTTCCGCTGAGCCGATCAAATAGCCAAGCCCCGCAAACACTGGCTACGAACCACAGGTCAGTATGCGTCTGGTCAACCGATGGTTCGAGGGTGAAATTGCATTACATCATATTTTGCAGACTGTGCGCTCTAGCAAAACAGTTCAACCAGGCCGCGACTGTGACGAAGCCTGCCAAGGATCTCGTCCACCGACACCAAGGCCGCAAACGTTCTGAACCAGGAGGGATGAGGGACTGGCACACGTCCGCGTCAAGCTCCCTTGCCTTGTCCATAACATGGGAAGTGAGGTATGCCAGGGTCAAATGCATGAATAACGCTCAGCCGAGGCCATTCGGTACCGAATGTGCATTCTGCAATGGTCATGAGAGTGAGGAGAGTGCCAATAGGCACCCAAGACCCTACCTAGCATGGTAACGTGTGCTATGAAGCGGCTTGTAATGAAACAATAAAAGCACACTCACGAGACTTTTACGCACTCTGGCCAATGGCCTCTACGAGAATTGACTGCCAGGGCTGCAACCAAGTGAATAAGACCTTCCTGATTGGAGCGGATATCGAGTATCTCTGAACGTCGTCGGTCTTGAGCATGTAGCGCCATGGTTAAGGCCTCTCTGTCATCATATACCCTTAACCGACCATGACTGCAACTTTTGTGGGCAATGCTCGCGCGTAAAGATCACCGTACATAGTGATCTCCATGTTGCGTGGCTTGTGGCAAGCCGGAAGCACAAACAAAGGTTGGCTAAAATGACCATCACCGATTAACGAGTGTATCAGAAGCTATCCTAAGACTTCCCATAATTCAAGATCAGTGTCAAATTGCCGACACTTGGGAACAAACTGCCGCGGGCATGAGGGATTCTAGCGACATTACCGATGCGCCGTCTTCCAATTCACCTGCTTGGCACCACGTGGAAAACTAAGCTTTGGCCAGACATGTGTTAGCGAGACTTCCATTCCTCCCTGCCACGAGTTTTGGTTGCGTGTGGTCCCAGCATTGTTGATTGAAAAAGTGGGCTGCCGGGACCCAGATGTCCATCAGAAACAACGTATACGATTGAAGATCATTGCTATCTGTCTAGCTTACTCGAAAATTGATAAGATGAGATGAAAGATCAGATAACGCAGGCAAAAAAGAAAAAGAAAAATTAATAACCTCAAGAGACTCTTGATTCTTAATTCTAGTTCGTTGCGTGCATGATTAGATGTGCCTAGACTTGGGACGTCTCGGGACGATCCGCCGATTGACGTCCGTGGTCAGAATTACCAGATGAATAGATGGTTTGTTGCAGTCTGATGTACAGTTCATCGCAAGTTCATCTCATGACGGCTTCCGAGGGTACAAGTGCGGCCATGTCTACTTCGTAGGAACCTGAGAGTATCAGGAGTGGAGTAGTCGCTCGCTGTGTGCAATGCGACGCGAATAGTGGTCTGATTTCACCTGGCCCAGATCTTCGATTCCTGTTTGAGCTGAATCCATAGAGGTAACCACACAGCAATTCTCCAGGGATGGAATTCTTCCCCACGGTTCGAACCCATGGCACATCCCTTGCAGCTTCATCTCTGTAATGCGAGCCAGACCTTACCGAGGGGTGCCTAAAGAAAACTGAACCTTGTTTATCGCTGTGTATCCGCGTTGCAGTCCTTAGCTCGCATAGCTGCCGAACGGCTATCGCGGTTTTTATATTCCAGCCAGCCATGCTTGGCGGATCGGCGCGCATAAGTGATACATATCGAAAAAGGGTTCCAAACAGGCGAAATGGCTTTAATGGCAATGCTGCCCAGGGAAATGGTAGATACTATACTTATATGAGGTATTTTGGATTGCTTCGTCCTGCATCAGCCGCATTGTAGCATGCAGGAGTGAGTACACAGAAACCGCCTAGGTTAGGTTAGTAAGTAAGGCGGTTGCTGCAGCGTAGGTCGCATAAAAGGCCGCATTGAAATTTGAGAGTTTAGTAGTGCTGCCGGCTAGAGCCGGTAGGTAGAGTGTTCAAAGAGTATAGTCCATGCGGTAGTTTAAGAATGTAATCTGAGCAAGCTGAGTTGTCGGGGTACTTTCTCAGAAGAACAGCTGTTGAGTATCATGGATTTGCCCGCACTCTCATCAACTGGCAGCACCTCAGCAGAAAGCTAGAGTGCTGCTGATTCATGCCGGACCAAACGATGGTGCTTGTCCGAGCATGGTTCTTCAATACCGTAAGATCCCGAGTCATGCTGCCCTACTTCATCGCTGGTGGTGTAAGAACATATCAAGGCAATGAAAGACTTTTAACCTAGGTTGGGCGACTCCTGCCGGCAGCCATTTCAGTTCGGTCTGGGGCGCCTAAGCGTAGCTAGCTCTGGGATAGCCAGGGGCTCCTCGTGGCACGAAGGCTTGAGACTCCACAACAAGGCTCAATTGAACAATGAGTTCAGAGCTGCAGGACCCTAACGCTCTACGTTGACACGCAATGCCATGGCGAAAGAATTGCCCATTCTAGGGCTCCTGCCGATGGGAACGAACTGCTCGCAATTCCGTTGCTTCCAGCATGATGCGCACCCGAGGCCATGAAACCGGAGCCGACGTCTTGAGTCAACATTTGATGAAAGCGTGACAGAAGTACCGCGTAGAAGTTGCTTTCCTCCAATTGTTGTCGATCATGTATGTCAAGTCTAAGGAAGTTTGACAATACTGTTGGGATTTGAAGTAAAGTTGTGATCACATGCTGTATATTTGGGGCTCACTCCCGAGATACCACAGATTGTCACAAAAGAAGAGACGCTAAACGTGCATTGAAAGATGGTCACAAAACTTTACAATCTTGGTTGCGGAAATCCTGTGTGTGAATTGACTTATAATAATGAACGACCCAGAAGCAGTCAAAAGAAAAGCTTCGACAGGGTCCTTTCATACCATACCTACACGGTGCAGTAATTATGCAATCTCGGCCCAAGGTTTCCATCACCCTATCAACCACAAGGTAGGGCCGCAAGCTCCCTACCCACCCTGCACAAATGGGTCTTCTGCAGCCTCCAAATTGGGTAGGTTAGTGGCCTACGCATGTGAAGTATCATCAAGCGTGCCAGGTAAAAGCACCGTTTTGCATTCGAATCGGCTAACGAGCGGTGTTCGTCTTATGAGCGCGAGTCTAGATGGTTGCTCTCCGTATATGACAATCATACTTATTAGTCATCAGGATGCTGGTGGTGCGATGCACAAGTTCATCTCTATGACATGATGTGCGCACTGTTGTGTGTCTCTCTTTTTGGTAACGACGAGCCTCGAATTGGAATACCGTAGCATTACCAGACTATATCAGATCTCCTAGATCCAACAATTTTACTTGTTACAAAATATATCCATGGTCAAGGAGCATCTGTGCCATATAACCTGCTTTCTTGCAGCGTCTGCTGGTGCTCATCATGTTTCCATTCGTACTTCATTTGATTGATAAGTTGGTAACGGCGGGTGTCGGGAAACTCCCTGTTGGGGTGTCAGATATGGGACCCCCATCTGCAAATGAGTACTATGTATTATCAATACCGTAGCAAGCTTGACACCAATGTCCACTTTTGAGAAGAGCTTAAGTCACCGAACCTGTTTGACATGAGATAAGTCACCTTGTCACGACACCCTTCAATTTCGCGCCTTGACGGCCCGCCTTGATCTTCACATGATAGATGGCCCCGTCTGTTACAATACTCTTCCATAGAAGGTGAGAGATGAACGTGTTCGGCGCCGGTGACGTGTGTCAACCAATATCGAAGCACTGAGGAGCCGAGTCTCACACCGGATCGCTTGCTATCAATGCCCGGGTGTATCGGTCTACGTGCCTGTATTCTGATTCGACGGTTCCTGACACATAGCACTGACAGCCTAACCCACGTAATCATGTTCTTGTACTTTGTAAATTCTGGATTCAGGCCAAAAGACGGCGGAGAAGGAGTCTCTTCTCACGCCAGCCTGGCGATTACAGTGATGCGAGGGGGGGGAATGCGGGAGAAAATTATGACAATAATTATATTAATAACATAAGATACAAAATAAAATAAAGAGGTGCGTGCCTTGATCAGACTGGCCCCTGCACAAGTCTTTTACTCGTCATACCTTGTTGCCGCCAATTGCCGACAACCAAAAAAGTCTTGGCGGTATTCGCAACCCGTACCGGTCACTCCAAACCTGACCCAAGTCCGACCAGGTACGAATTTTGGTAGACGGCGCCAAAGTAACTTCTCCCTGGAACAGATCCGGCTGGCGGGAGGCTACAAGGCGGAAACCGCTATCAAACTCTAATCACATGAACCACGACTTATAGCCTCCAAAATGGTGGTAAGTCCCCCGGGGCATGACTCCGGCTCAAGTGCCTGTTCCCCCGGCCGAGGCAAGGGGAGGTGAAAGAAAGAAAGAAAAGTTCTTATCATCTTATGCCTCTCGGCAAATGTTTTTATGGTACAACGTGAACATGCCATGTATTGCGAGACCGGTAAGGGAAAATGCTGCCCACCCACTCCGGTGCCTGGTCCCTCTATTTCTCCTTTCTGGAAGCTGTGGAGACAAGTCACCCCAATCTATCACCCACGCGCTACAGAACCACCAAAGGGTAAGGTTTCCAACTAAACGGCCGCCGTCAGTCAAAAACCATTCCCTTGATTCCCAAGATTCCCAAAGCAGCCTTTACTTCCTTAATCCCATTCGTCCGTGCCTTTTCGTCACAGACAGACAAATGGTAAGGGGGCCCGTAATTGTGGATCGCCGGGACAAGCCAGATTCTCTCGGCCGTCCTCCTGCTCCTACCTAGGTGTACAGCTTACGATCAAATATGCATCGACCAAACCAACACCATGTCACATACAAGTAGTAAAAGCTGGTCTATATCTCTTGAACCCACATTTCCCTTCCCATGTCAGGTTGAAGGCACAAGTCCCACCTCAAGCTTCTACCATGCCATTTAATGCGGTCGGTGCGACTTCTTCGGAGTCTATAAGCAGAGTTGATCTCGACAAGGGTATCGGCCTCTCTTCCGGAAGACTTTCGTCTAGCATTGTAGTTTGCGCTTCCAGGCGACTTCAGCAAAAAGCACGACGAGAGTTCACTGTGCTACTTAACTTGAACCTTCCGCCTCGCTGTATCCCTTCCAACGCACACGTCAGTTGAACCAAGTCTTGGATTACCGCTCTACCATTGTTACTTCCTCCAAGTCTGTTGTAACATCATCTCAACACGCCTGGTCTCTGTAGCTAGCCCTACAAACAGTTTCCCGAAGATCAATTAACAAACAAAAGGAACAAGTGGATCTTGGGTTTCAGAGCATACTGAGCACAGTCTCCTGGTTGACCATAAAAGCTCTGTGCTCTCGTCACATCTTTAAGATCTTGAAAACTGCTTCCACCGACCTATGCAACGCCCTCTTGCGATCAAAACTCACTGTTGACCGCGCCCTCATACATTGATACTGGCAGCCACCAAAATGTGAGTATAATCCATATAGCAACGCACTATCAAACGTGTCTGATCTTATACTCAGAACGCCCCTACTTCTATCAAGTTGAAGAAAACAGTCCGAAATCCACCGGATTTTGATCCAAGTAACAGCCAGCCTCGAAAAGTCTACCGTCACCATGGCCGTTGCCAACAGCTGTGCTCATTCTTTCAAGATGATCAAATCAGACAACACACTCATCCAATGGACTTGCAATATGTGCCACTCAGGTCCGCACTGGTGGATCTTCGAATGTCGGTACTGCAAGGTTCATACATGTCGTGCCTGTGTGCACAACGTTTAGGATGGGCGTCTTTTTGGGCAACCTGTCATACCCACAGAGATTCAGAACAGTTCGTTGTTGAGGTACGTCTGCGAATTAGCAATCAGCCAAGGACCAAGCGGTACCGCACTGATCCGCTCGCGGATATGTCTTTGTGCGCAAGGCCACCCGTCCTATCTGGCAGGATAATTCTGCTTGCCTTAGACAGATGACGAACATTGAATGCTAACTTGATCGTTGTAGTATCAAACACCTTCGTTTTGTCTCGCTCGAACATCAGCCTACCGTCAATGGCAACGGGAGCAGGGAAGCAGGGAAGCAACTGCCGCAGAAGAAACTCGCCAACCTGTCAAGCCAGCGCAACCCTGAAATTACGGTTCGACATTTCTCGAACGCACGGATACCCAGGTGCCTTTGTGTAACAACGTTGAGCGTCCCTGCTTGCTGTTTCTAGAAAATTTCGACTGTTGATTCCGCTTTCATAAGAACAACCACTTTCTAAGACTGTTTTCTGTCCAACAGCCGGACGATCATCTTCTCATTGTCTGTTTCCGTGCGCCATTCCACCTCTCCATCCCTGTTGGGGTCTTTTAGATGGACAAAAGCGCTCCTGTTGTTTTTGGGAGTTTTGTCTCTCTTTTTCTTTTTCCCTGGTTTTTTTTTGTACGCCACTCCAATATCCTTGCTTGGGTCCACGGCTGGTTCCAGCGCCGTTGTTTTAGGGCTGAGCGTTTTCCGGCAGCAGATCACATTTTTTTCATGTCTCAAAAGTGAACTATTGATTCCGGAGTTAAGGTCCACGGTGTTTCCAAAAGGAAAGAGCAAATCAACGGAGATTGGTGGCCAAAATTTGAGTCTGTTACTCTGATTTCTAATTCGTCGAGTTCAATTCCGGTGTCCTGGAAATATGGGGGGAAATAATGAAAAAAAAAATTACAGATCTCTTGTCATGCACAACGGGAGCAAACAGATTAGATTTTCGGTAGATGATATCCAGTGGTTTTCGACCGCTCATGACTTCAAAATGTGATAATAGGACATTATCCAGCATGTTCTTTGGCGTGCTGGTAGCAACGAAAGCTTGGTTGCTATCTTTTGATATCACAATACACACTTCCGTCTACCAGTCCTTACCACAGACAAGCGAATACGTGTCATTGATATTGATAGTCATGGTCATTACGTTGCAGACGGGCCAGTTCATTCCTGGTCCCACGAAGGCAGTGCTACGCAGGCTTCTTGCTTCCTTGATCTGTCAAAATTCTTGGAGGGCAGTTGGTGATGTCACGTTTCTACCTGAAGTGCATCCAAGTTTTCTAAAAGTGCCTGGTATGTCCACGTTGCAGTGCTACTGTTCATCCACGCGACCTGTGGTACACTACGGTTGTGCTGATGCTGGTGCTGTCACTCATCAGCTTGAAATCAACCCCCAGCCCAATGCGCCCCTGAGCTAGCACCGGGTAAGGCTGCAATACGCAGTGTAACTATGGTGGTCACTTCTTCCGCGTTCCTATCCTAGAGGTGCGTCAGAACACGCAAGTTGCCCCGTCGTGGACCACGCAATCAACCAAGAAAGACGGAAAATGCGTTGGATCTCGCAAAGCAATGATCAGGATGAAGAGGGCTTCCGATTGTGTTCTCTGATTGACCCTTGTTTGTACCGGCAACGGGTGACAGCATATTGTTCTCACAAGCTTTGACATTTTGGGCACCTGGCAGTCATTGCGCCACGCATGCTCTGTGACATGAGATGTGTAACATAAGGCGAGCCTCGTTGCAACTTCAGGTTTGATACCCTTCAGAACAGTGCTCGTCGCCATCAAAAGAGATCCGGAACAACTCAGGTTGGGCACTGCAAAATACCTAGGCTACAATCAAATCATGCGGCCCGGCTCCGATATCACCATGTTGCTATTACATTGGCGAAGATATCTCATGAGCTGCCCTTCGGCCAAGTCCAAACATCCCTCTGGGCAATGCGCTCTGTGACCGTCACATTATCTCCGACCGCGATATCGGCACCGTTTTGATCCAGGAGAAAAGCATAACGACCAAATATTGGCGACCATTTGTTTCCTGTGTCTACCCTACGGTCTTTCATGAGCTTTTTTAGCACGGCACCCGCCTCACCGTTGGCGACGCGGCCGGTGTCATAGTCAATGTTGATCGACAGACAACGGGCACAGTTGGCCGTCAACGCCAGCTTGTGCCTGCTCTGCCCGATGACCAGTTCGCCCCAAAAGTCTTCGTCCCACTTTTCGAGGCCGTCAACAACAATGTTTGGCCGGAACCGCTTCATATCCATGTTCTGATCGTCCGGGAGACGGGCGCTGACATCCGCGAGCGAGGCTTCAGATGTAATGAGCAGTGGCGCCGCTTCGTTAAAGGTCAACCAGTCTTGTTCAACATCAGGCTCCTGCATATCACTATTCTGTCCCGATGTGACATAAGACGTAATGGTCGACAGCCAGCCTTGCTTTTGCATTGTTGGCCTTGGTGGTGTATGAGCTAAGATCGGGCGCTTCCCATCTCCAAGGTATACAAGGACGACTTCATATCCCAAGCACGCGCTGAACCACTTATTATATTCGTCTGCCATTCGATACGCTGTACCTGTGCTATCCATGAGCGTGATGTCAATCGTTTGTAGGCCCACTGTACTTGGCCGTAGAGGAACTCTCAGTGCCGTGCTCTGCTCTGGTGTTGCCGGGATCAGAGGCACCTCCGGCGCCTTGTACCTTACGACAACATCGTCCCCGTCAATTTCCTGAAAGAGCCGAGTACAGTCGGGAAAATGAATGGTTTGCACGTTCTTCAAGCCACCGTCAGGCTCGACTTTGACAAGCATGAAGCGACGGTCATGTTCAAAACCTTGTTGATTGATGTACGACCTAGTAATGGATGCTGGACGTAGGGCTTTGATGGGATAGAGATAAAGCTTGATTTGGTCAGTTCACAATCGGGAGCTTTGAGACATTGTGCGCTTACTTCCGTGATCCTCATCATGATGAACAATAGTCTTGGTGGTGGTTGTTCCGCAGAAATGCCGGTTTACATGCCCTAGGACAAGCCAATCTATGGTACCTGTTCTGACCTGTTGTCAGTCTTGTCGAATGCGTATCTTATGATAAAGCATCCGTGACTAGAAGTTGATCGTTTTGTAAGCTCAAATTTGGTGGGGACATCTGAGCAGAATCCACTTCAGCAAACCCCCCACCAGTCAACAGTTTCCCGTTCACTTTACGCTTATGCAGACCTAAATAGGTTCAAGTATGCAGCCCTGCAGACCCTGTAAACTTGCGGCTTGATTATTGATACCACGAAATGGGGCACTCTGTGGTTATTCCTAATTTGTACCGAGCAGCATAAAATCATCAGTCAGTGCTATGATCAGCATGACTGAATAAAATGGAAATGATGCTCCGTCACAAGCACTCACAAGACTCACATAGGCCTAAGAGTTATGGGTGATCATCAGGGTCGTTGCCGGTAATGGGCATTTAAATTCTCTCTCGAGTCTTCAGAATTCTATATGCATCAAATCGCCGCTTGACCCAGTCTTTCCATCTTTTATTCCTTTGCAATCAAGGATTTCTCGAGATCCTCGAACTCTCCACTATGCTTCATCATATCGTAGAACTGTCCTTTGGCCTCATAAAGCTCCTTGGGTGAGCCGGTTCTGGGGCAATATCAGTATAAGAAATGCTCAAAAAGGCATCGTGATCTACTTACTCGATTACGCTACCAGCACTCAAGACGACAATCTTGTCATAGTCAATAATGGTCTTTAGACGGTGAGCAATTGTGACGAGCGTCCTGTCCCTTCCGTGTTCATTCAACTCCTTCCGCAGGACCTGTTGAATACCTTGATCGGTCTCGTAATCCATACTCGCCGTCGCTTCGTCGAGAAGCATGAGCTTACTTTTGCGCACTAAAGCTCTGCAAAGCGAAAGCACTTGTCGTTGACCGTGCGAGAAGTTTTCACCCTTTGCCTTGACTGGTGTTGATAGGTTGATCTTCTGAGCATTTGTACTAGTTCCACTCTCGGATTCGACATCGCCACCGCTGCTCTCCTGTGATGCATCTTCTTCTTGGTACTCAAAGGATGCGATCCCGGTGCAGTATTGTAAAGCTCTGATCACAGTGTCTTTTGGCACCTCGCCAGTGGGATCCAAGTTGGACGCAACGTCACCACTGAAAAGAACAGCTTCCTGTGGAATGATAGTCAATGCCTCACGCAAGCGTTGACGAGAGAAGCTCGTGATGTCGACACCATCGAATAATATCTTCCCGGAGACTATATTCGTAAAGCGCAATAGAGATAGCACTAACTATATGGCAACCATGTCAGCTTTCAACATCCTCTGTTAGACTCAATAGATATGACTTACAGTAGACTTGCCACTTCCTGTTCGGCCCACCACGGCAACCCGCTCACCAGCAGCAAACTTCAAGTTGATGTTTTTGAGAATCTCAGGGCCGTCTGCGTCATATTTAATTGTCACATCTCGAAACTCAACCTCACCACTTCTTGGCCAGTCTTGCGGCATGATTGTTGTATCGTCATCAGTATATGCGCCGGGCTCTCTGTACTCGTCTGGCTGCTCTTCAGGCTCAACTAGGGCATATTCTCGCACTCGGTGGAACTAGTGATGTAAGCAACGATCATGACAAGCAATACTAGATCTCAGAACTCACGCTTTGCATTTCTACCTCCAACTCATTCATCGTCCGTACAAGCATAATGATGATTTGACTTAAGGTCTAGCAAAATTAGCAGTCGTATCTCAAAGTCGAGGTTGTGCAACTTACTGTAGCGTTAGTAAGTGAGAAACCAACTAGACCGGCAGCCACAGTGCCGGCCTTTGACACAGCAATCGCTCCGGCAGCCACTGTCACAAGTGTTGTGGCCATATCGACTTTCAAGGCTACCCAACGGTTGCAGTTGTAATGAGACTCCGAGGCCCGTTCGAATATACGTAGCTTCTCAGCGAGTTGATTGCCAAATGTCTTGGGCATACCTGCACGAGCGCGAATGACCGCAATGCCTGACAAGCTATCCGCAAATTGCGAGAACAGGGGAGACTGCGACGAAGACACGATACGCTTGACCGCAACAGCAGTTCTCGTGTACATTTCGCCGGCAAGAATGCCGACAACACAACAAACCGCAGCTGGGAGCATGAAGACCGGCATGACGGAGCCGACAGCTCCAATCTGGAAAATTAGGCGGGTAAAAGCCTCGAAGCAAAATCGCAGATACATTGACAGGCTCATATCGATTGAGTTCATGTCTCGCGAAAATCTATTGACAACTCTGCCAATGGGCGTCGTCTTGTACCATGATAGCGGAACTTTCATGACGGATTCAATGAAGATACTGTGGAGCGTTCTAGCAGCATACCAACCACCACTCTCGTAAAACACGAAAGTAAGAGCGGCAATAAGTATCTCAGCAAAACTCCAGGCTCCGTAAATGCCGAGGTAGAATGCGATATTGCCGGCTTCACCACTTCCATAGGCGTCTACCCAAACAGCTATCCAAAGTCCAGTACCAACCGCGGATGCAGTGCCCAGAATGCTCATAAGGCCTGCCCCAACAGCAATAAGCGGGTTGCCGAAATAAGCCATATACTTGAAGAATTGCAACCGAGCAGTAGGCCCCGTTTTGAGTGCTTCTTGCGTTACCTCGTCACGACGTTTGGCTTCAGAAGTTTTTACAGCGCCAGTGTTGGACCCATGGGCTTTACCGTTGTTTTCATCTCTGTTCGTGTGGCCATTGGCATTGCCATTGGTTGCGTCCAACTTCGCTGCTGTCTCAACAGTGGTGTCGACATTGCCTTCGTCAATAAGTTGTTTGTCCAGCACAACCGGCTTTCTTGTAACACCGGGGTTTTCATGAATATCCTTGACAGTTCCATTTTCAAGGGTAATAGATAGGTCTGCCTGCGGTGCTATCCAAGGAAGTTGAGTGACAAGCACGATAGTCCTGTCCTTCAACATATCTCCACAAAAGCAGTCCGCCCAGACTGTGGATGCAGTCTTGGCATCGAGTGCGGAAAATATATCATCAAGCAGAAGTACGGGGGCTTTGGAATACAATGCGCGGGCCAAGGCGATCCGAGACTTCTGACCCCCTGAAAGCGTTGCACCGTTTTCCCCGACTTCTGTCTCGTCTCGCTCAGGGAATTCGTTGAAGTCGATCGGCAAGCCACATGCATTGATAACACGGTCGTATCTGTGTTGTTCGAATTCGCTGTTAAACAGGATGTTCTCTTTGATGGTCTCATTCTGCAGCCAAGCGCTTTGAGAGGCGTAAGCAATATCTTGCGGGCAAGTGATGCTACCTTTCTCGACCAGAGTTTCGCCGAGGATCGCTAAAAGCATAGTACTTTTGCCGCTGCCCGAAGGCCCAGCGAGCACGTTAAGGCCGCCCTCGACGAAATCAATAGAAACATCATTAAGCGAAAATGCAGCCTTTTTGTGACGCCTGACAGTGGCATTACTTACGCGAAGGGCTCCAACAGAATGGCGTGTAAGAGGTACCACGTTGTTGAAATAACGATCCAAACGCTTGATTGATACCCCGGCCGACGTTATGCCTCTGGACATACCAGTCATCATGGCAAGATTTCGGCGAATTGTCCTGATCAATGTAATAGAAGTGAAGGCAATGTCCGCCGTAAGTGGCTGTTGACGTACAGCAACATGGAGACTGAAGATGACAAGCAGGGAGATAATTGGGATTGCCTCTGTGAACTCGCCAAGAAGCATGAACATGACATTGATTTTCCAAATCTTCTTTTGCTCGCCACGTCGAATCTCCTTAACTTTGTTGATGATCGCATTCTCCCAAGCGAAATACTTGATGGCCCTGATCGAGGATAGATATTCGGTAATGACGGATATCCGGGAGTCTTGGATCTTTCTTATATCACGTTGAAGAGACACCATCCGCTGTGCGATCAAAACGCCAATAGGCGACATAGTCAACATGATCCCAACACCTACGGCGGCAGGCCAATCAAGCATTTTGTAGAGCCCGATGAATGCCACAATTGTGCCTGGCGGTAGGCCTGCGCCCACCAGTATAATATCCCGGCCGCTCGTAATAGCGTCGATATCCGCGCTCATCAAGTTGGCCAATCTGCCTGTTGATGTCGTGTTTTCTTGTTTCTTCTCCCCGTCCTTTGGCTTTTCGGCCGAAGATACGTCCTGGAAAGCTTCGTCATCCAATTCCATCGAGTTCATTGCCTTATAGTAGAGTTCTTGAGTCAAAGCAGCTTTAACGCGAACAATCAGACGTGTTGAAGTAAAAATATACTGCTGGAAAGCCACAGATCGAGATAGTGGGCCAATGAACAGCAAGACAAGCCAAACCCATGGCCGTATTGTTGCTGCCCCTGGGGCACCGATATACCCAAGTAAGTTGTACATTGCAAACGGTGATATCAACTCGACCACGAAGCAAATAGCAGCCCAAATGGACATGGTTACTAGTTCTTGAGGAAGGAACCGCAATAGCGTCCAGATAGTAGACTGGTTCTTTTTACGGGCTTCCTGAACTCTTCTGAGCAGTAAAAGAGGCTCATCGTACCAAGGCAATTGTGGCAACTCTTCGATTGTCATCTGGCGGCGTGTGCCACGGAACATGAGAGGAGTGAGCCACTCGTAAGTCACGTAATACTCAAGCCAGCTGCAGGTTTCCTCTGGTGATGGATCCCGGGAGACGTTTTCGGGAAGGTCTAGATCTAAGGAAGGTGGTTTCCATTCCCTTCGAGTGATGAACGCCACAAAGACGGCAGCAGTAAGCGTTGCGATGCTGGCAATTAACATAGGGTCCACGGACGAATGCCAATTTGCATCGATTGTCGGAAGCAATTCAGCAACCGCGATCACAATCCAACCGCAGAGGATAGTGAAATTCACCTGATGGAGCGCAACATGTCTCCATTCGATGTCGTTCACCAATCTAAGCAATCCAAGGAGAAATACATAAGCCAAGATGACAACGTTGGCCCATCTACCACCTTGACGCACAGCAGTCACCACCATGAAAGCCAATGCTGCTGCGCGCAAGACTTGAGCGCTGAGCTCGAATGGCAACGAGAAGCTGGATGCTTTGCTTTCAGGTCTTGTGATTTTTGCGCACGAGCGAAGCACCAAATGCCTAGCAACTAGCAACAAGGAAAGCATTGTGATGGTTATCTGAAGATAACCGGTTTTGGCCAACCAGGACAATTGGCGGATCCAAGTGACCTCTGCGCGGCTGAAACGAAATTCTCTGTTAGAACTTTGTCGCGATGTCAGCTTTGAGTGGCGCAAACTTACTGCTCCTGTGTTACATCCTTGGCAAATATATGTTCTGTGACTTGCGACAGAAACTTGAAGTCCCAAGCGCTGCCTCCAAAGGAGTGGAGATACTCCATGATGGCTGCTTACCAGCCGAACTTTTGTAATCGTATCAGCTTGAAAGTACGGGGTGCAATTTGCAGCAAGCAATCAATGGGGACAAGTAGGTAAAAAGTAATCGCTGGGTCAGTGTAGTTGCATTGCCCCGCGCGGAGCAGGTGATTCACTGATCTTGTGGGATGATGTGAATCCTACTTCTGCTTCAAGACATGTATATGTAAAAAAAAACAAAAACAAAAACAATGGCAAGTGGTAATGAGATTCCAAGAACGCCAAGATCTCAATAGGCATAGTCCTGTAGGATCAGAAAGCGGTCAGTTGATGCCTAGATATTAAGGACCTTGTGGGGTAGGTATTTGTCGTCGACATAAGCAGGTGCTTACATATGTGGTTCCAAAAGTTCTTTTGGGTCGAGGGCGCCCTGCAATTAGGACATGGATCACTCCTACGGCAAATCTTGACAAGCATTGCACTGAAGAGTGCCTAGGTAAGTTACGGATTCATACATCATAGTAGGTCGGTCTCAAATAACGCGATATAACCACTGCTCTGTGCTCTCCTAACAGACTCTAGCGGCCATCTAAGGTGAACTGAAGCAATAGGACAGATCCCCATCATCCTAAATAGGCAGGTCATGTCTGATAAATACCCGAGCTTACGGACGCACATTACAAAGTCGCAAGAGATCTTGGTCCACTCAACAAATACAATAACAGGATGCGCGCAGGAAAATAAAGCCCTTGGGTTGACGTAGATTGTTCACTCAGGCTGTACGGATCTGTATGTGTTTGCCTATCTGCATCGAACAATGCGCAGATTGGTGAAGAATCCTTAGTCAGAGTCACAATATTCGTCACCACCCTTGCAGCTGTTGCTGGGCGGTACAGTGGCAGATTCGCAGGGGTACATGAGTACCAAACCACAATGGTCCAGTCATCAATGGGGTTCATTTTAATGCGCAGTATTTCCGAAGGCCAGCCCACGCACACCAGTTGAAGCGGCATCTGAAAACGACCTCCACGGCGAGTATCACTCATTATACAGCAGTATTGGACAGTACACTGGACAGTACACTGGATAGTACATTAGGTTGTGCCTTATGATTTCATCGTATACCACTTATTTCCTTGTAGTGGCAGTTACATCTCTTGGATTGCCTTTGTTTGATATCTAGGTAATTCCGTGAGTAGCTTTACCTAAATCGCCCGCCCGTCACAAGCACCGACTCTACCAAGAATAGGACTATTTATTGACTTTGGTTATGTTCGGGTGCCTAAGAAGACAACGTCCGGAGTGCCCTGAGTCAACAAAAAGGTTGACCAACAATGGACCGGCGCTGTGGTAGATACCGCACCTGAAGACTGTGTCATGTTCCGTTTCTGTTTGTAAGAATGGCCCAGCCGACTCTCTATAGCTTAAAGAGAAATCAAGGGATCATAATAAAACTCTTTGGACTGCTAAACATTGAATTGTATGTGTTAGGAGTAAAATCCCCGGTTTAAGTAGCTCATTAGGCAGGAAAATTGTCCTTCGGCCGTAGCCATAGACCTCAAACTTTCTGGACTCCTAATGTTCAAGGGATCAACTCCAGATTCAATTTTTACCATATATCAAAGTCTCTGCGGTATCTCCTACATGGCTTAAATAGCTCCTCTCGACAGTAATGCATCTCGAACTGAAATCATAGACTTCTACGTGCTTTTACTAAGGCTTTTGAGTATATCCTCACCATAATTCGTGGAGAATATGAACTTTATATCCTGTAAATACTGGCCTTATGGAGTCGAGGATGCAATTTTGAAACCCGGTTTATAGCAGTCTTGAAATATATACCTCGTCGTAGAACTGGTGTACTCCGTTTGACAAGCTAATCATTAGGTATGTTAAGTGGCTTTTTCTTGTGCATGTACTCCTTCACAACTAATCTATTATTTACGTATTAAATGTGGCTTGTAAACTAAATGTGCTTGATAAAAGTCGCGTGGCTGGCATTGCCAGATTCAAGTAGTGTCCGGAAAGTTATAACTTTGCTGAATTCCACATGAACTTTCTCTTAATAAGAGTCGGTTATTACTACCGCTTCAGCCTCCAGGATGATGTGGGTTCAAGAAACAATTTGTACGTACGTATGCAAAACGAACATGTACGGTTTTCTTCACAAAGTACGAACTGCTGGAGATTGTTTGGGACCGGACATTTGGAGCAATGATACCGGGTCTAGCAAAATAATCGAAAACAGAAGATTACGCCACAAGAATTTTGCCTGATCGCACTATACGGAACAATTACTATATAATAAAAGGCCAAAAATTCAGCAATCGAATGAGGAACAGATCACATGTTGTGCAGAGTTCGTAGTCCTTGTCTGTTACAGTTCACCATATCCCCTTGATTGATCTGTCAAGCTATCGGACTGAGTAGTAACAAGCCGCCATTCATCGAATGTAACTATCTTGAAATGCCTAGACTAGTAATATGCAACGAAATAAAATCAATTATTCATATCTATAGGTAGAGCGATATAAATCGACTTTTAAAGAACAATATACCAGCTCTACCACCTATTCATGCTCAACACACCTTACCAGACCGGCTGTTTTCCAAGAGAATCATTTTTATTTATTTATTTTTATACCAGGAACAAATATCTCTGACTTACGATTCCCGTGTTTGTCTGTAAAGCCAACTCCTCTTAAGCTATCTGGTGGTGTAGGCGAGTGTTTAAGGCTTAGCCGTCCATTCGCCGACTGCCGTGGGTTAGGTGCACTTTTACAATTTGGGATAGCTCACGTTTCATCCGATATGCAGCCTGTGCACGAGAATTGAAAAATAACAAAGTGGTCATGAGGAAAGATTGCGTTACGCTGTTCGAACTATACCGTGCCCCAGTAAGAAGACTGTATATTTCGGAAGCCTGACTTCGTAGACCGCGAGTTAGGTTCCCATGTGTAAATGACAGAGTCTACACAGCTCCCAAATGTTTCCTTTGTCCAAGGCATCGACCCCACGGTAGTTGTACCTGAGGATCAAATTCGGCATTCGCCACCCAGAAAAGGAATACGGTTGTTGCGTTCAGAGGCGATTATTCCCGAGATCAAGATAGTCTTTCTTCCCCAATTGCTGATAATCCACTAGCACATCAAGTAACACGAGAAGAAGCCACGGCCCCTTGATTCGAGCGGCTCGGGCGATCGCAGGATTCTGCATGACCCTTCCACATATGTTCATACGCAGCAGAATCGTGTGGGACCGAGTTACACAAGCACAGGCGACTTTCCACTTCATGCACGATACATGTTGCCGAACATTGGGAACGAGATTCGGGTTGAGACTACCACGACGGTCTGCTCAATCATGCCTACGATGATAGAATTGTGGCAACTGGTCTGCTGCGCAGTTTTCCACAGCTCAATTCGGATTGAGAGAATGTATTCGATTGCTGAAAAGCTTGAAAGATTATGAGAGATATTAAAGTCTGAGGATCATGTATGCTTCATGGTTTGGCCATTAGACAACAAGTAGATCTGAGCGGTATTGTCTTTATTTATACCTGCCGATTCGGCCAAATGTGGTAGAGATAGCACCAAAAACGGCCAAATGATTCAAAGCGTTTGGGGGACCGTTCAGACTACTTAATTCTGACCAAAGGCTGGACAAATCAGTGTACGAGGTATCACAGGAATTACGCTTAGAATGCCAGATAGTCCCGTATCATTCAAATTTTCAATTATCGGTCCTTGATTTTGCTATTGGAGGTCTTGTGGGGATTCTTTACATCCTCTACGTCCAACCGTTTCTACCAAAATCTAAGCCGTAACCATGAGCCCTGGCCCTGGGTAAAGAGGCGTCTACTTAGAAACGTTCTTGAGATAGACATCGCTGCAAAGGCATGTTAGTAAGGATGGAAAATACGTGGCTGGGACAAGCACCTACAAGATCAGATCGGCATTGGGCGGGATGTGGCCAGTGAAACCGCTGTGGTTGATATTAGCAAAACTGCAAAAGCTCGAGACAGCTCTATCTACTATGATGGTGTCGTCGTAATGGCGCTCGCCCATTTGTATGCCGTGTTTCATGATCGTGCGGGGTGGGGATTCGAGAAAGATGTGAGCTTACCGAGCGCCGTAGCCGAAGTCACTGCCATGATGTTAGCTCAAGGTTCCAGGAAGCAAATGATGCGGAAGGACTAACCTGGAAATGTCCAGAGTAGCCTTCTCGCCAACCTTCATGGAGACGACACCCTCATCCCAACCTGAACGGGCAATGTGTTAGCCAGGAACATAAACAGCATATGACGAGCAATCGAACTTACCCTTGATGACCTGACCGATACCAATTTGGACGACGAAGTCACCACGGCCGACAGAGGAGTCAAACCTAGTAGGTCCCGTCAGCTTCGGATTTGAAATTAATTAAGCAAGCCGTCGATGCGAGATGGTGGTAACACAATGGCTACAATATTTTGCTTACTTGTTACCCTTCTGGTTAGGCTTGCTGGTGTCCTTCAACCAGCCGGTGTACTCGATGGTGACAGTGTCACCGGGGCTGGGTTGAGCACCTGCACCCTCCTGGAGGACAGTCTTGTTGACACCCATCGTGACAAATTTCTGAGAAGGTCGGTGGGCTTGATATGTAATTGATCGTTTGGTGATGAAGAGAAAGAGAAACCAGAAAAGATTGTGCCTGACGTATGGCGGGGTAAGTGGTTGTTTTGATGGTGGGATGTTTAGCGTGGAAGTTGGACACCTACTTACGGAGTAAGTCTTGCACGCTCTGATTTCAGATAGGGCGACCAAGGACAGTTGCAACCGGAATCTTTTATATATTTGCAACTCGAGACGACTTACTTGCCGAGCCAATGAGCCCAGTGTAGACTGCCAATTGATGTTACCGATTGCTTTTCATCCTGGGATAGTACCTGTGAGAAACAGTCACAAAGCACGTCATAGGCCTCGGCATTTTGGTTGACGAGTAAAACTGGCACCCTGAGCCTATCTCCAGTCCAATCGCTATGTCTACTGGATCCGACTCCTGCAGGTCCTCATCCTGCATTTCCCAACATAATAGGTAAGTACACCAAGCTATTAAGAGCAGTAGTAATTGGGACCATAAGCAATGTGTACAGCATTGAACTACCCCGCTGCTGTTGGTCTAAAGTTGTGTGTGAGCTGCGTGCGAAGTATCCATGGTTCATTAATCGAGGCAATTGTGATGGACCTATCGTCCTTGCCAAACGAAGTCGCTCCTAGCCGCTTTTGTAATGCTTTTCTGTCTGACAAGATCCCATCGGATCTGTACCTGTTTCTCATGGCTGCTCCTCGGTTTAAAAGTATTGCTATGGTTACACGACGTAATTAATGTTATATGGCATGTGGTTATTGGCAACTACACAGTAGGGGATGAGGAAGTCAATTCTAACGAGCGATTCGGGTAACGGCACGAAGTCACCTTTACTCGCCGACCTCGTTATATATGCACCAAAGTTGAGCCAAAGGGGTTATGAACACAATAGGTTGCCGGTGCTCATTTGTGTCATATTTTCACTCATACAAACATCTGTATACTGCCCTCCAGTCTTGCATTTACTACCTGATCTACCCTTGCGAGAAAAACTCACGGATGAGTCTGATTTGATTCTACGATGGCCATAAGCGACTTTATAGTTGCATCTCAAGAGAAATTCTACAACAGCTACCCTTACCAGCTTCCGACGATGCTTGAGGGACTGCCCGCAACGCAACGATATTTCTCAGCAATCATGACGTAGAGGGGTAAGAGGGGTTGCTTGAGGTGGGCTGGTGGGGACCTAGATGAGGTTCTCTTGTCTACTCCACCGGCAACGGAAGCTACAATGAAATTACAGTGCGGACTACCAACAATGCACGCCCAACACTTGTCTATGTATCATCAAAGTGTATCGGAGAGCTAAGATGGGTCATCGAGTATGTTATATAGTGCAAAAGAGCAGCAAGGCCACGACACTCGTATCTCATAATTGTCCTTTACCGTCAATTGACGTCGAGCCAACCATGTTTTGCGAACGTAGTACTAAGTACCTGGTCTGAACAAGCTCTTGCACTTAGACTTCAACGTTATGAAAAGAAAGCCTAACAGCCTCACACGAAGTTTCTGAGCTACTCAACGCCCCGACGATGCTTCGATGGGATTTTGGGTATCCCCTCAACCTCTTCGCGTCAAAGTATTCAGAGCTACAAGTCGGCCGCAACCGTGTCGAAACTAGAGACAGAGAGCATGCGGACAGGCTGGATAATTACACCCAGAGTTGATAGTCGCGGCTCCCCGAGATCGAGTCTCACGGCAATGACCATAGTGACCTGATGTAGGGTGTTTTAACGACTATAGCTGCCGAGGCAAGGCTGGTTTAGTTCTGGGCCGGTGTTGAATGCTTGGCGATACGGTGATCACGCGTCGAATGTGCCCAACACAGCTCGAACGCATTTTGAAATTAAGAGGCGCCGTCAGAGCCCATTCTGCTTTCTGTACGGATTAAGGAGCTATCATATTAGTTGGTGACTCGACAACTGGGTGAGCCCCGCAGCATGAAGCCAACTAAGTATTTCGGGGGTGTGATGATAATTTTGTCAACCGCCCATGCGTAGTTGGACATGGCTCCTCAACCTTATCCTCTTGTTCCGACGTCAAGGGACGCATTGTAGAGCCACATCAACCTAGTACACGCCAACGGTAAACCTGAAGCCTATCATCACAGCGGCCCTGAACTAGTCAGGTACGAGATCTGCCTAACGGTTAGCACGTCAGCATAGCGTTGGCTTTAGCAGGTTGGCACGTCGGCATTGCAGTTAGCGAATGGCACCAGTGGTTCCCCAGCAGAAAGGATCAACTACAAGATGGATAGCGCAATCCAATAGATGGCCACCTTCAATGTTGTAAACGGAATGCAATTTGCGTTGTTGATGATTTGAGCTGAGTGCAGAAAGAATTAAAGCTGGGCAAATTGCCGGCATGTAAAGGGTTGATAGCAGCCGATCGCTGCCCCAAATAACTAGTAGCGATTGCAACGACAAAACGTCCTTTACCATCCATCACACTCCGGTGGGTGGGGAGCGAAAAGGCGGAATCCTCCTGCACGTGGTGCGAGATGCGGATAAATGCAGGTTGGGGTTTACTACAGTATGGTAAGATCTCTAAGGCGAGGATTGTAAAACCCCGAGAGATGTACTATGTATTCCTGCGAACTGAACATTTTGCTCCAACAGGCAAATACGTTTCCAGTCGCGGTACTGCTGCAAATGCTAGGCTGATTCATGATTGTAAGAAATGCCGCAGGATGCTCGGGGCCGTGTATTTAGACAATCTATGAAGTCAATTAAAACTACGTACCCGTATGTCGCCCTTGGAAGGACACTTGTCCACGGAGTTCATCGAACAGCTTAAGCATTGCCAGCAACATGTGTCTGCGTTAGGCATTTTAACGTAGACACCACTTCCTCAGTCATATGGGCTGTACTTGCACATAGTCTATAATTGCATTTTCCATGAGATCCAAGATTTATGATTGATGTGACAGTCAAGCTTTGAATGCGACCATGTCCCATGTAAAGAATCGAAAAAGCGAATTTTTTATCGAGTTGAATTAAAGGCTCACGCCGTTCACGGTAAGGAACGGCGACCCGAGACGAGCTAGCGATGCAGGAGTTGCTCACTGATTCGCCTCGTGTTGAACCAGCAGGGATCTCTCGCTACCACCCTGCGAGAAGCACAGGCACCAGATGGCGCGATGGCGCTGGACTCGGGCGACCGTAGATGATCGTTCGTTCTGTGGATGGGTCTAGCCGCCTGAATCCCAATCTTAATTTTCCTGCAGTAGTATCCTTCGGTGCTAATCTTTGCTGAAAAGCGTAGTGTAAAATAGCCGTCATAGCGCCATATACGGAGACTGGTCTCGATTGGTAGTGAGATGCAGGTATCTGTACTAGTAAGAATGGGGCCCCGCCAACAAACTCCATGCAGATTTCTACAAACAAACAAAAGTTGCATACATAAGTTAGATAGACACTGGGTCTCGGCAATCAAACAGCACATCCGGGTAGGATAGTACGTTAAGCGTAAACCATTGCAAGAGGCAAGAGTATAGGTATGGTACCCATTAATCTTGGACTCACTGTGCTTTCTAGATCCGGACCTCCTACCTGAAGCTGTCGGGCGGGGTTGTGTAAGCATGCGCAATCGTCTTCCACGGCTTCCTATTCAAGTGAAAGAGAGGGTTGTCAGTCGGTAGTGCACCGAAACGAGGGGGACGTTCAATCCAACAGCTCAAGCGAGATTCGGTATGGAGTGTCATGCGTCAACCTTCGTCGCAATTGTGCGAGCATTGTCATCTCGTCCCAACGTGGCATTACTTTACACACGTGCACAAGGTTTGTTTTGTTCAATTTTGTTGTTGCTTTACATACATAGTACCTATAGTTAATGCCGTCCAAGAGCGAAGCTTCCCTCCTGCTCTAACTTAGGATAGGTTGTTGGTTGGTCGGCTGGCTGACTGATTCGTTTCGTCAATTGCCATGTGCCTGCGACCCACGCCCAGGGCATATGTGGGTAATCATGGCCCCAAAAAAGGGCCCGCTCTCATTAACATCAGAACGGACATGCCTTGTCACGCGCCTCAATACATACTGTAGTATGTTTCTATTACCTGGCACACATGCATTTTGACCGTGACCGCCCGGGTGTATTGTGCATGCAAGATTCCTCCTGCCAGCGTCTGCATCCAATTTACGCAGTGCACATCTTTGAAGTGCAAAGCGCGCTTTCAATACTGGTCCGCAGTTGCAGGTGGCTGCGAAAAGACCTATTTGGCGCTGGAAGCGGACTAGGTTAGGATATTGCGCTCCTTGCCCTGAGACGGGGAAATTGGCCGTTGGGACGTACCACTTGATCGCCCAATCGTGGACCCTGCCCATGTCCTCCAATGCACTGCGCCAACATGAGATAAGTTACGGCATCCTGCAAGAGTATCAAATTACGGACACACTACCAGATCATCTCTAATGGCCGGCGAGCGTGACATATTCCACTACTAGTTCTTGGTGTGGAGCGAAAGTACCTCTGTTGCACCAAAGAGTACTGAGCGTTAGTGCTGGAATACACCTGAAGCATTAAAGTCTCTCCTTTTGCCCAGTACGCCTTCCCCGTTCAAGGCACGGAACCAAAAATAAGACCACGGGTCTTTTTGTTGTGGCATCTGGCCAATCCAAGGAGACGCCAACCTCGAAGCCTCAAAAGTCAAAGAGTTTCTTTACGGTAGACGGTCCTTTCTTTGCTGGCCGACCAAGGAACACGGGAACTCTGTGCTTGTCTGGACACGTCGAAGAGGGCACTATATTCAGGTAAAGACGAGTGCTCGGCCCCTTGTGGAACCTCCCCCCGTTCCCAAGAAAGAGATGAAAGAGAAGAGTGAGAATGGGCTGCGATGGCCCTTGCGTGAGAAATCCCTTGCTCGCTCCAACAGCATCTTGGCTAAGAATAATAATACCACATACGCTAGGTAATTCTGGTGTCCTTTGGTCATACCAACTGTGTCACCCCTGTCAATAACCACACCCATCACCCCAGTCTGTTTCTCTCCTCTCCTCTCACTCCCTCGTTTCCTCCATCCGTTGTTTCTGCTGTCACCCACACTCTCTATTCGTCTTTCTTTTTCCTCTTTTACCTCACCCTCGCCAACCGCCCGTCCCTCCTTTGCCCTCCAGCTTTTCCGCCGACCTCGTCAGGTAACCCTTCCGACGACAACTCACTTCGGCGTCGACAACACCTTCATTTCCAATCTTGGTGTCGCCGTTTCGCCAAAGTCACAGTACGAGGCTCGAAGAGGACCTCTGGAGGCCACCACGATTGCCAATGAATTTGCCAGTAAACGCTTGAATCCAGGTCGTGGAAGGCATTCGCCGAGCAACCACCAATTGACGATTTCTCGTCGTGTCACTCTTTTCTCAACACCGCTGAGATTTGCATTATCGCTTAAAGGTACGGGAAATTGAGGCGCAATTCGCAGGACTGGCCCGTCGTCTTAACCTTGTTCGTGTTGTAGGATGATCAGTGGATCATCATTCATGCACAACTGTGTTGTCTCCCAACGAATGCTTCCAGGAAGACACTAACAAAGGATATTCTATAGCATACACACTCGTTGACATTATTGTCAATTACACTCGTTCACCAGATCGCCCTGACAAAGTGGGTGACCAAAGATCTATTCACGGTTGTGATAGATTGGGGCTAACACCTTGAAAGACCACAACTACCTTAATAGCTTGTTTACACCTAAAGATTTTGCTGGATTTATTTGGATATTAATTGAATCACGATGCATACCAAATTGGTTGCGGCTACCTTCGTGGCCGCCGCCTCTCTGGCTGGCGCTATCCCGGACCGACCTAAGATTTACTTCCCACAAAAGATTAAGCGAGAGATCACGAACAGCACAATCACGACTGCGTCGGCTCTGTCTACTACGGAGAGCTCATCAGGCAACACCCAAGATAGCACAAGGGACCCTTTCTCGTTGTCTCAGTTCTTCAGCAGCCTTACTGGCGACCGTACCTCATCTGCTGCATCGGACTCTTCCTCGACTACCAGCCCATCGACAATAACTGTGGCTTCGTCGACAGCAACAGCTTCGACCTCCGAATCCACGGCATCCTCGGACGTTGATACTACTGCGACGACCTCTGACTCCTCAGTGTCCACCAACAGCGACAGCGCAGTTTCCACAGCTTCCACAGCTTCCACCAGTGACTCGAGCAAAACCGTCGACGAAGTAGGCACTACTTCCCAGTTAATTGCGCTGCCGACGCTTAGTCTTACCTTGGGGTCGACGGACTCGACCACAACAACATCTACAGCTGCTAGCGAAACGACTGAGGCTACCACCACTGCAACTGACTCGATTAATACTACTGACACTACTGTCAGTGCCACAGGTAGCGCCGCCAGTGAGACACTCTCGACTACCGATGCCTCCAAAACCGCCTCCACTGCCAGTGAAGTTGCTTCGGCCACTGAGGTCAGCGTTACAGCGACTACAACTAGTGACGCCGCCATCACACTGCTGCCAACAGTCACGTCTTCATCCACCGATGGCGGGCTAGGCGGAGTTTTGACATCTGTGGTTTCCGACGTCACCAGTGCGCTCGATTCCACGACCAACGCAACCGATTCAACTGCTTCAGCTACTGCTACCGACTCCACGATCGTGGCCACAACCGCTAGTGCAAGTGATGCCGCTTCGACAACTACTCAGGACAGTAGCTCGAGCCTCAGTTTGACGGATGTTTTAAGTTCGGTTTTGGCCGACCCTACCACCACAACATTTGCTGGTACAGCAGCAACGACAACAGCAAGCAGCTCCGCCAGCGGTACCGATCTGACGGATGTTTTGACTTCCATTTTGGCTGATCCCACAACTACAACATTCGTTGGTACAGCAGCAACAACAACAGCAAGCAGCTCTGCTAGCAGCACCGACCTCTCGGACGTCTTGACTTCAATTATAGCTGATCCCACAACTACGAGCTTCTCCGGCACAGCGGGCACCGCGGTCACAACAAGCAGTTCCGCTAGCAGCACTGACCTCTCGGACGTCTTGACTTCGATTATAGCTGATCCCACGACTAGTTTCCCTGGTACGGCAGGCACCGCAGTCACAACAAGCAGCTCCACCAGCAGCAGCACTGATCTCTCTGATGTCCTGACGTCTTTACTTCCGACAATCACATCCTCCCCAACTGTCTCTACCAATGTCAGTGATTCAACCACAGTGGCTATATCGTCGTCGACTTCAGCCTCGGAATCAGTTTCGTCCTCGGCCTCGGTGTCAGCCTCTGCTTCAGCATCAGCATCGCAATCCATTCCAGCCTCGTCCACAGAGTCCGCGTCGGTTTCGTCGTCAGTGTCAAGTTCAGTGTCAGTGTCCGCGTCTCAGTCGGCTACGACAACTCTCAGTGTGCCAGCTACTCTCTCTTCGTCATCGGCTTCAGATACGATTACAATCATTCCCACTACGACCGGCACCAACACTACTCTGCCTGAAAGCTCCTCCACAATTACATCCATTTCTGTTCCCACCACTACTGGGACTAATATCACGACAACAGAATCCGAATCGTTGTCTTTGACTACAGCACCAAGCACCAGCGTTACCACTGATCTTCCCACCATTTCTGTGAACACCACAGTGCCAGTCGTCACCACCAGTGAAGCTCAATCTACGTCTACTGTTGAGACGTCGCCCAGTGTTACCAGCTCCACAACAGTGGTGACAAGCATCCAGCCCACTGCCACAATTACCAACTCTCAATCATGGCTTCCAACGACAATTATTGTCCAGCCATCTACTTTTGTCTCTCAAACTAGCGTTTCGTCGTCGACCACGTCTACAGGCATTCCTACTAGCCTACCCAAGGCTATCACCCCGTATGAGACGCCCCCAGCACAGCCTGCTGGCACCACACCCATTCAGATTTCTTTCGGGTATGGTTTCAACTACGAGTGGATTGCTCGACAGACAATGGCCGCCGCTCAACTCTTCTCGCTCGTTCCTCAAGCTATTGCATTCGACCGTGGTATCTCCGCCGACAATATCGTCATGAAGAGTATCGTCCCTTATGATACAACTGCACAACTTGGTTTCATTACCTCGCAAGCAATTCTTTACATTCCTAGTGACACTGTTGAGCTGTTGAGACTGGACCACAAGATTCCCTCGTCGGCTCTGTACACCAACCCCAACTCCCTTGTATACAACATGACCAGCCAGATCAACCCAGCCATTGATATTATCATTGGTTCTACTCTGGACGGCAGTGGAACAACCTCGACGGATGGTTCAAGCCCCAGCAGCACCTCCACCAATTCCAACGATGCTTTTGGATCTGGCAGTTCATCTAGTGACCAGACGAGCGGACAAAAGGGAACCACTGCTGCCATCGCCCTGGGTGCTGCCAGTGTTGCCGGAGCCTACGGTGCCGCCATGTTCATTATTGCCCGCCGATACAAGCGCAAGAAGCAAAGACACCAGCGCAGCAGCTCCGTCACCTCCCCTTCCGAGATGCGACAGGCCGGCAGTCCCGCCTTGATGGGCGGTGCGCTTCTCAGCCGCGACTTTTCTACAGGCAATTACGGAGGAGTTGCTGGCCACATGGGCGGTCCTCTGGGCGGCAATATGCGCGACAGCCAGGGCAGTGGCCGAAGCGGTATGAATAACTCAGCCCGCACCGCTTTCATTTCAGCACCAGTTGCTGCTGAAAACTCTCTTGGCTGGAACTAAAACCTGAAATATACTGTACGACGTGTACGACGTGTACGCCCGTCCATTGATTGATCCCCTTTTGTACTCTTCGATACCCCTCTGGGAGGCCCTCTGTCTGATAAGACGGCATGGCTACCCCCAGAAAATACGAGCGTCGCTCAAAATCTTTTTTATTATTACACTTCTTGCTGTCACGATCTGAGACCTGGACGGATCTGCCGGGCATAGTATTTAATCTGGACATTGTCGAGGATTCAGGCCCACCTTTTGCTGGTCTGGGTTCGATGGACAGATACCTTTTTTTTTCTTTCCAGTCTAATTCTGTGTGAAGGGATTGTAGGCTGCAGTGGATAGCGGCCCGGTGAGGACGGAGGCGGCATTGGGGATTCTCTCTATGGAGGGTTTAAATAAAATAGATACAATTGTACATCACATCAAGCAGCCATGTTCATTGCGCAAAGCAGAGTGACATGATATAGCTTCGGAGTTTACAACTTACTACTGCTTACGCGGGCTTTCCAGAAGCATTCCTGCCATAATGTATTTTACACAATGAATAGACAATAAAACCTGCGACCAATCATATATGTATTCTCAGAAGCGCGTCCATGCTGACTCGTTCACAAACGTTGAACGTGACAACAGCTTGGTGCACCGCTCAACAATGTCCCAACAAGGGCGGTGATAATATACTCCAGACGTAGTGATAACCAGCAACTCGATTTGTGTAATGCGTTGCTTGCTCGCTACTCCAATCGATTAACATTGAAACCGATATTTACGTTGGGTGATGTACCGAATGATCAACTCGTGGTCAAGAATCCAATGCTTAATGATTATCACTGTAATTATAATAATGTAGGATACTAACTCTGAGAATGAGGTTCAGTACGTTATCGTGTCGGCAGCCACTAACTTAACAGAACGGCCGCGAGTTAGGTATGTGCCCAGAAGTACTCCCCCACAATTCAGCCCTTGCAGCACGGCTCTAGCCGGCCGGGTCATCTTGCAACACCAAACGTCTATGAATCTTCCACAGTGAAGGGACCCTAATCACGTTAACACCAATCTCTATCGTACGAACCACACAGCTGTGATTCATCATCAAACAGCTAGGTGAATATTATCTTCGGGGGTTTTTATAGTCTGGCGAAGAGTTTACGGCAGTGTGCCGGACGCACTCAAAAGCGTCTACACCAACGCAATGTCCGACAGGTCAACGTCGTCTGAGCGAACAATGAGCAGTCACGTTTACCTCACTCCCGGCGACAGCGACAGCGATTCAGACTTTGGGGAAACCCCCAACGCAAATTTCCTTCATCCAGAACTAGGTGAAGTGGGTGAGGCCTATGAACTGCAGGAGAGACAAGACCAAACGCCTAATGTCGACCATGGACATGACCATGAACATGATGGTGAGGTTGACCGAATCGGAGACTACCGCCGGCGCCTCAGCAGCAGCACTGCAGCCAGTTTCCAACTATACACGCCAGATGAGGAGCAGTCTGTTGTGCGTAAGTTTGACCGGAAGCTTGTCATGTTTTTGTCGGTCTGTTATATGATGTCGTTCCTTGATCGGAGTAGTGAGTATGCCTTCTTGTCCTTCCCATCACCCAAGTCATCTGTCTCACCTGCTGCGCAGATATTGGCAACGCGCGGCTTGCTGGCATGGAGCAGGACCTCCAGACTAAACCTGCCAAGGACGAGTGGTATGATTGGTCGCTAACCTCGTTTTATGTTGCGTATGTTGCTTTTGAATGGATGAGTCTGCTCTTCAAAGTCATACCCGCTCACTTATATGTAAGTTCTCGACAGCCGTGGTTTGGGTTGGTGCTATAATAACTTGAGCATAGGTATCACTAATTATAATGCTATGGGGCACGACGGCTTCGCTGCAGTCAATCGCAACTTCCTATCCTGTCCTCGTCGTTCTCCGCACTGTTTTGGGCATAGCAGAAGCTGGCTTCTCCGGCGTTCCTTTCTACTTGTCGTTCTTTTTCAAAAAAGATGAACTGGCGTTTCGTACGGCGCTCTTCATTTCGGGTAATGCTCACTGTTTGAAAGCTCGATTTGACATTAACTGACGAAAGGAGTATGTAGCTGCGCCCTTGGCTACGACCTTCGCTTCATCTCTTGCGTGGCTTATATTGAAAGTGGGCGAGGCAAGCCCTATAGCCCCGTGGCGCCTATTATTCTTGCTTGAAGGCTTCCCTTCTGTCGTCGTTGGTGTCATAGCTTGGAATGTGATACCTGATAGTCCACAAGCCGCTTCATATCTCACGAGGCGGGAGAAAACAGTCGCACGCTTGCGACTTCGCCATGAGTTGCGACGAGCAGGTAAAAGTGCGAGCGGCCAGTCGAGCAAGTCCAGGTTAAAATTGGGAGAGGTTTTTTCTGTACTTGCGGACTCAAAAGCGTGGATTACCGCGTTCATTTTCTTTCTGACCAACATGGCCTACTCATCGCTACCTGTATTTTTGCCAACTATTCTTCATGAGATGGGCCATTCGGCATCACAGAGCCAGGCACTCAGCGTCCCACCCTACCTCATTGCTTTCTTTACTATCCTCATCACGGCGCACTTGTCCGACAAGATGCAGAAAAGGGGCCCTTTTATCATCGCTCATGCCCTGTGTTCCGCTCTTGGTTACACCGTCATGGCTCTTGCACGGCCTTTGAGTATCAGTCCGATGCTTCGCTACCTGGCGGTCTATCCGGCGGCTAGCGGGTTCTTCAACGTGGTTGTCCTGATCATCTCATGGACTATCAACAATCAAGCGACAGAGTCGAAACAGGGTGGGGGCTTCGCGCTGATGCAGGTAATAGGACAGTGTGGTCCATTGGTAGGCACAAGACTGTACCCCAAGAGCGATGAGCCATTCTTTGAGCAGGGAATGTGGGCTTGTGCTGGAGCAATGTTCGGGGTTGTGTTGCTGGCGGGCGTGTTGAGTTGTTATCTGGCACGGCAGAACAAGATACTTGACGCAGAACAGACAGGCCGTAACGGTAACGCAGGCGTAAGGGCGGAGGAAGCACGAGGGCTAGTAGGAAACCCGGAGGACGGGGGAAGAGAAGGAGATGGCAGCTTCAGATTCATGCTTTGAACTGCAAGCTTGCACGCTGCTCTCGCATCGCCAGAGCATATATTGTTAACGATTGCATAGGAATAATTCACCTGGGCCATAGGCCATAGATCTTGTATAAGGAGCTGCGATATGTGTCTGATTTCTAATGCAAGCAACATTTTGACATGCTAATTACCATGAGTTCTAACCATATAATTATACCAAGGAATTAACCTCAGACTAACAGCATGCACTTGTTGAGTTACAGCAGGTTGTCAATGGGGCGTCGTCAAAGAGCTCGAGCGAGTGATGGGCTATTTCGGACTTGAGGCCCAATGAGATCAACACGCTGTCTTTGGTATGTCTTCATTATAAGGACATCTGGAATTGGCATATGCCAGCCAGCGGCAACGCCTGCGGTACACAACGCTTGCAGCGACTCCTGCAGCGACCGGAAAGCTAACGGGAGGCGGGAAGTGGGAGGTGTTGCGGCGCTACGCACCTGAAAGATAAGTAACGTACAGCAGGTCAGCGGTTTGGTCAGTCTAGTTTAGTGCTAACAATAGGCAGCGTACATAGTAGTAAAAATAAAATAAGATAAAAATGTACCTGTAACTTAACAACTCCCTCCACTAACATTGTGTAAGTTAGTAACTCATGTAACCTACCTAACCTTGGACTAGACTAAGGTTAGACTAACCTTGGACCTTTGCCCGCAATCTCCTGCGCTCAAATCAATTATCATTATTTCGAGTCGTGACGTGACGAAGTCACGGCAACCACTCAACAATACGCATACTTTTCCCATCTGCCACAGATCCATCTTGAACCATCACCACTCGACCACTAGACAACGCCAAATACCTACCGCGCCTTAGATATCCTCCGACTCCGCAAACTAGATATTCCACGACTGTGCCATTCGTTGATGCACAGTCGCAACAACACTTGTCTAACCCCTCCCCTTCTATTTCATGCAACAAGAGTTTCCTGAGTCTTCCCACCACGCGCAAGGAACAAACACACTCGTTTCCCTCCAACCTTCCTCTCAAGATGGCTTCCACCTTCAACAGGGCACTTGCAGCACCGACCCTGACCCGGGCCAGCCGCAGCACCGCCATAGCAGCCTCTCGCCACACTCAATCGCCAGTCAGGAGGAGAGCGCCAACGCGTCTCACCATGACCATGGCATCAGTATCGACCAACTCGACGAGAAATTATGCCGACTGAACGTTGAGGGCAACTCCTTGACCCCAGGTCAGCGCATCGCTGAATATGAGAGAGCCTTGACACCAGTGACACCGAAACAAGCTTTGGGTTTCAAGGTCATAAAGCGTGCCAACCCGTCAACCGACGGCCCTCAGCTGGCTGACTTCCCTAATGGTTCGTCAACACTTCTAAGCATATGTCCAAGTGGTTGCCACATTATATTGACAAGTCTGCCGCAGAAATTCTGACCCATATCTTGTCTCATCTGCACCCCGATTCGCATACCGCTGTCGCTCTGGCCTCAAAAAGGTTTTACACTTTGGTGACAACCTCACATGCGTGGCGAATGGCATTTCAGCGTTTCTTCCCTGGTCAAGATGCCCTGTCGGCGACTGGAACCCCTGACCCTGCGGCAAACGATGACGAAGAGTTCATTCGATCTGAGATCCGGCAGTTCGCTCGTTTAACCAGCAATGCCTCTTGGCGTAGCGAGTATTTGCTTCGCACTCGCCTTTTGCGAAGTCTTGCTAGAGGCAAACCGAGCACCTCGCGTGCTGTTGGGCCCTCTACTCGCAGCCTCCAGACAGGCAAGAAGTTGAGTGCAGTCTTGACGTACAACTCAAAGCTGCCCTCCATGGTTACCAATGTGCATGCTACTTTTACCTCGAGCGCCAAGAAACCACCCCGTGTCGTGCATGGTGCTTCCGACTTGAACATTTGCAGTGCTGCCGATCCTACCAATGGCAAGGTGGAGAAATGGGGACTGGATGACCCCTTTACCTTTGCTCAGTTTGATGAAGTTGTACCTCAAATCATGCCGTATGGCGTTGGGGAAGGCCCAGCATCAGTGCCTAATGTTATGGACGTCAGCCAACCTCTAGGTGTTGTTGGCGGCGAGGGCTTCCCTGGTGGCAGGGTCTTTTTCCGCCCAACAGGTGTCTACAGGGGCAAATATCTAAGTCCAGACTCAAGCACGGTAGATGCCTATCCAGATATTCCCAAGATACCAGAATTGTCTGAAGGCATTTGCTCAGTCTGGATTGCCAAATCAACCGCCCTTCCCACTTTTACTCATACCATGGTTGGCATCCTGACGGGCTCAACGTTGGGTGTCATTACGGCCTATGCCCTCGGTACTGATCCAGCTGGACCACGATATGCTACCGGGCAGATCACTGCTCGATGGGTTCTAAGTCCTGGTGTACCCATCGTTGCTATTCAATGCGATGAGAGCTACAGCCTCAAACGTAAATCTTGGGGCCGCGTTTTCGCCGTGGCATTAAACGCTCTTGGCGAAGTTTTTTACTTGACGAAACCCCCGACACCGCTGACTGTCAAGGCCAGAGCCGAAGATGCTACCAAATGTGCTTGGTACGCCGGCCGCACTACCTACTGGCATTTAATTGAGGCTACTCGTCGCCAAGCACGACCCGACGAGGCTGATAAGAACGTACTTCGGGGTGCTTACTCTCCTCGGTCTCCATCCTATACTATGAACCTGAAGAAAGACCAGCTTATTGCAGAAGCACGAGAAATCGACAGGTTTTTACGATATAAGCCCAGTCATTTCCGCAAGGTGTGCGATGGATGGGACATGCGTCGAAGGCTGGAGGTCGACTTCTCGGCAACTTCTGAGGATGGCGCTGGAGAAGGCATCTTCGTCATTGAGTGTGGTCTTGAAGATGAACAGCACTCTGCCATCACTCGCTACTCGCGTCTCATGTTAAGGGGTAGCGTCGCTGATGTTGTCAGGACAAGTCCTGACACGGCTGCCGAGAGCGAAGTCACGTTCTCCCTCTTTGGTGGTGACATGGCCACTGTGCCGTCCCCAGATGACATGGCATCGACTCTTCCAAAGCCAGCCTTGATCTCAGGCGCCCCAGCGCCGTCGACCCTGGAGGAGTACAAACTTGATGACTGGCGTAAAAGCACATTTCTGTTGCCTAACGGTGGCACAAAAATAACCATTTCCAGCGTCGATTTGTCCCTTTATGCTATGACGACAACCTTCGAAGACGCAGCAAAAGAGGACGCAGGTACTCCAGCCGCACCAACGACCCCGACTCAGCATCTGGCATCGGACATCCCCGGTAGACGGGCAAGGATGCTGGGTGTGGGGACCAACATCGGAAGCATATGCTTATGGAACATGAGAGAAGGTCACCTTACAGACGGAATCAAGCCTCTACGAATTATTCAAACGGAGTCGCCCGAGATCACCTCCCTGGCCATCTCTGCGTTATATCTTGTTCATGGCGGCAGCGATGGGCTTGTACAATCATGGGATCCCCTGGCATCCACGCTTGACCCTCTTAGAACTATGAATGCTCGTTCAACGGGGCGAGTCCCACGCATTATGATGTCCGTGAATCCGGGTCTTCGTAACAGCAATTTTGCGGCAGTCGGTGCAATCTATCTAGACCCAGATCCGACTTTGCTTAGAGGCGTTGTCTGCTTTGGCACATTCGTGCGATATTGGGCCTATAGCTCAAATGGTCAACCTTCAGGCAGAAAACGCCGTTTACGTCACTCAGAGGTTCACGGTCGCGCAGACAGCAGCCGACGTTTTGGCAGTGGCGTGAAAGGCTATATCGCCGCTGAGGCTGAGGAGCTACGTGTGGAGCAGCATCACAAGGCTCAGGAAAAAGCCCATCTGCGTTCTCGGTTCGGTGTTGGTCTAGCAGACCTCACTGAAGAAGAGGCAATGCAGTATGCAGAGATGATATCTCAAGAGGCCTTCCAGTTCGAAGAGCTGCGTCGAACCAGTGCGAGTGAGACTGGCTCCGCATTTGATACTACATCCACGAGTGGGCGAAGCTTTGCCACTGTTACTCCTGATCCAAGCGTGACAGGTTTCAGCCCACCTACTGCCAGCAGCAGCGTACCCCCAAAAGTTACCGACGACGAGACCGACTATGAACTTCAGATACAACAGGCTCTGCGACTCTCCCTACTCGAAGGTGTTCATGACAGAGGCCATTCGCCACAAGGCAATAGCTCTGGAGATTGCGACAACGCGGTGATATATATGCAAAAGCGAGGCAAACAGACTTCTTCGACTCCATTTTCGAGTCACACTCCTGTGGTACAGCATACAGCTCTGCCCAGCGCCACCGCGGCTAGTTTGGATATGGACGATGACTTGCGTCTTGCATTGGAGCTGAGTCTCGCTGAGGAAGAGAGCCGAAAATCTTTCCAGACGAACATGGGCGCAGATGATGACGACTTCCCTTCCCTAAACGTTGGTGATAAAGGAAAGGGCCGAGCTTGGTAAAGGCTAGGATTGGTTTGGTAATTATCGTTTCGAGCCTTTGATATTTATTTCCCTTCATAGCTGATGCTTCATGCAAAGTTGTTAATGCTTTGCTATTCATTCTTAGTCTAATTAGTTGGGCCTTCCCAAACAAAATATATGCTAGTTTCTCATTCAACAGACAAATTTCTGGTTCTGAAGTCATTGAAATATTCCACGATTCACTACTGCCTGAGATAATACAGGGGAGCCAATTGGTTGCTGCAACCAGCCTCTACTTGAACTGAGCAAGCTCCATACATGAACAAAATTATGCTTGTGGCTCGGTGTCCTCTTCCCGTTCGGTATGCGCCATGACGTATGGCCCCTTCAGTGTCGGCAAATGCTGCCAGCTTCTTCTGCGTGTCTCCCAGCCCCCTCCCACCGAGAAAGAACGTTCGCCAGACCCCCCGTGTGTGCTGTTCTACTAGTTGCTGGAAGAGGCTGAATTGACTTTCTTCGCCTGCGGAGAGCGGGAAGGGAAGTTTTCTGGCTATTCCCGCAGTTGACAATTTTAGAATAAAAATAAATAAAAATAAAATTCCTGCTCGTCCTGGCGAGCTGTCATGCTAGCAAATAAGGTAATCGCAGCAGGTGGTGGTGGTGGTGGTAGAGAGGGGGGCCGGTCGAAGGCTTGGCATGTTGCACTATCAAGGGAACAGTCAATGACTAAGAAGTGCCGGCCTTTGTAGGGTCAAGTGACGAGGTTGCGGGATAATCTTGTTGGATACTAGAGAGAAAATTGACTCCATGTCTCAGATATCTTCTTTGCAAGTTTGTGTATTATTTATGGTATATCCAGGTTGGACTAGTTTGTCTGTATTATATGTAGCCAGGATCGATCGGCTGTGGTAAATCCTCAATGCTTGCGTCCTCCTAAAACATTGCTCGGCATTGCTGATGCCTTCAAAGAAACGACTGGGCCACCTAAAACGCCGTGTTTTGTTGAATACGCTGGCCATGGGCCAAAAGAGCACATGGTAATTATGTATGGCACTTTTGCGTGGTCCCTAAGTTCCCAAAGCAAGTCCCAAACTCCGTCGCTATCCGTGTAATGTACTTGTAGACTATCATGTAAATGCAAATGATGAATTATGACGCGTTCAGATGCTCGCCTTGAGGTGGGTGGCAATGTGCCCAGCGATCACCGGCTGCCTCCCTCTTCCCAGCTGTATCTCCTCTCGGCTGGTTGAGGAACATGAACAAGGTCGAAACCGTGCAGCCGCTGTGTGGCCGATGTGGGTACAACTGTTGGATCGACCGGTGTCGGAACGTGGACAAGGTCGATTCTTGACTCGAGGCGCCCGGTACTAGGGGTACCAGATATCGGAGTGGGTGGCTCAGGAATATGAATGAAGTCAAACGCCCCGTCCAAAGTCCCTGTAGTGTGTGCAGACTTGGGCTCTGATTCCTCTTCCTCTATTTTCAGACCGAGTCCGCCGAACCCCCAGTCGTTGTCATGTTCATCCCTCATATGTTCCTCCTCCTCGACGGTATAATTGCTACCCAGGGTATCCGTTGTCGACTGTCGGCGCGATTCGGCGGCCGAGGGTATCGTCGGCAAGACAAACGTTTGACCATTCGGCGTTATCAATCTCGCCATTGATGTGGGATGTGGGGGTCGAATGTTGTCTGGGAGCGGTCCCAGACAGACAACTTTTGATGGATCAATTGGCGTCCTCTGGAAAGAAGGCTTGGGCGGCGCAAGATGTGCCCTGGTGGACATTGGTGTCCCGCTGGACGAGGCAGATCTGCTCATAGATGGATGTTCCGTCGTGTCAGGCAGCGATGATACGTAAGCCGAGCCCGGGCTGGATAACGATCGAGGCAGAGTGGTGGAAGTAGGAGGAGTATTCGTGGCAGGCAGATATGACATTGCCGAGGGAAATGGTGGCCATTCGCCATGAGGCGTCATCGGGGACGGGATCGAATAGGAGTAGTTTTCGTGTGTGGGTGTCGAAGCGGGTGACAGGCTGGTATTGTCGGAGCGGAGGGACCGGTTCGATGGGCGGTAGTGTGGAACCGGGCTGATATCGTGATAGCCTTTCTCGAGGCCGTAGCCGAATCCATCCCCGGCCAAGGGCGAGTCCAACGGAGACGGACCGGGCGTATAGTGTGGCACGGGTCCTTGCAATTGCTTTTCCATTTTGCGCCGCGCCATCTCGTACGGGCTGAGATCGCCTGTGTCCCCCGTCGCGAAATCGGTGAATGCATTGAGGGAATGCGCATCCGTCGCATCCAGCTCTACCGGCGCCTGAGGAACCGCCAATTCGTACCTTTCCTGCCCAGCAGCTTCCAAGGGATGTGTGCTGTCTCCTGACATCTCATGCGCCGCGTCTCCCTTGTTCCTCCTGCCAGGAAATCTTCTGGCGAATCTTGAAAACATCCTGGCAACGGGGGTCCTTGGCGTTTCGGGCTCCATAGACGAAGTGGTTTCTTTCAGGCTGTTGACTTCAACCATCGCTCCGCCCTGCCTCCTCTTTCGCCTTCTAACACACCAGAAGACAAAAAAGGCGGACAGAAGAGCTAAAGAAGCGGCCACGACGATCCCCACAATTGCGGGTGTGTGTAGACCCTGCTGGTTGGTGGAACCGGAACCGGGGTCTGGATAAGGACTATCCGCTGAGCTCGTGACAGTCACAATTGACGTGTTGGTTGACGGGTTCTCCGGGAATAAAGCCTGGTGGAGGGAGAAGGAGCTCAGCTCATAGTTCGTCTTGAGATATGCCTCCTGCAAAAACGACCTCCCAATGATGGCCTGGGTGCCGCCATCCGCGCGTCTCAAAGGGAAATATGGCGTGGCTGCATCACCATATTCGAACAAGTTCATGAAAGGATACCGAAGCGTCTGCGCGAAAGCGTTAGCTGAGATGGTGATGTTCACAACACCCGCCACGTTCAAGGGGTCTCCGAAATTGTCGCGATTGTCGCTGCTCGATAACGAGAATGTGAAAGACAAGTCCGTATTAGAAAGGTTTTCGTACGTCTTGTCATTCGCGAACAGGTACAGACCAAACGTCTCATTCCAGGTCAAATCGAGAGCCTGAGCGAAGTGATCACACACCGCCGATGGAAGCCATAAATAGGGCGTTGAGCTGTCAATGAGAGCAACGACCGACTCATCGAACGTGGCGAGCGACACAGAAGTCGAGTTCCATGCAGTTGGTGCTTGATCGGCGCTCGAAACAGTTGCTGTAATGCCTCTGATTAGAGCCTCGGGTTGGCGTGTTGTGGAGTTTAAACTGAATGTCGTGTCATGCGGAACAAAGCGATTCTGATCATAACCGCCAAGAACTAAAGACATCGGCGTACCGATCGCACTTCCATAATATGCCCCAGCAGTATAACCGTAGCTGTGGCTCGGGATGATGGCATCCCGTTCAACCATAGCAGCTATTGGACTTTGCACCACGGTCGTCTTGAAGCGACCTGGAGTGATGCCGAGACCGAAGAACCCTGTGTAGTAGTCCGTGTCATTGATGGCAGCCACAACTTGTTTCGCTAAACTCGTTAGGTTTTGAGAGAGGCCGTTGTACACAGTGACTGCGTCCACAGCGTAGTCTCCATTGGCCACTTGGTCTAGATAGTTCAGTCCCAGTTCCCAAGCCCCAAGTGATGACCAGCTAGACGATTGACTAATGTTGAAAACGTTTCCACGAGCTGCGGTGCAGAGAGCGCCTGTGTCCATCATTAGCTAGTTCATGTTTACAAAATTCGAAGCCTTACTTGAGCCGCAGCCGCTGCTTTCAATGACCCATATCTCAGAGAGACTGGTACTGACTATAACGTCGACTTGTTGGGAAGGCTCTCCAACGTAGAGGCCTACCGAGGACCAGTTGCCATCAATTCCGTACCATTTGGAGGACGGTTCTAGCCATAATGCATCTCCGTTCGCTTGAATCAAAGTTAAAGTAGCGAGCAAGAAACCAGAAATGGCTGCTGCGTATGATATCGGTGGCATAGTGGCTAATCGTTGCGGCTCCCTTGCGTCGGACGCGTGCGTGGAAATCACCTACGTCCTTTGGAGAACTTCATACGGGGCTACTTTGAATCGAGGCGAACGTCACAATTTCCAGAATTTCTAGAACTGCACGGTTGAATATGGTCGCAAACACTATCGCATCTAATTGACGCGATAGGTGCTCTACCTCAATGTCGGCATGTGGCTTTCTGAACTTCAACGACTGCAAAACAAAAACAAGCAAGAAGTTGACGGCAGCACAGGCAGGCAAGCGACCAAATCGGCAGTGAATGAATGGCATGGAACATTCTCCGAATGCCAGCATCTGGTGGTGGCCTTTCAGGCCAGGGTTGTCGGCTGGCTGGATCCTTGGCGAAAGCCATGGGTGCCATAGGTACCAAGGGGGGCCATCCACAGCAGACGATGCCGCACCTTCTTTCAACAAGGGCCAGAAGTTGGCATGATGCCCAGGGGCCTATCAGTGGTTCAGGGTGCGCGTCAAGGGATTTCCGAGGAGGAGTCGTGGCTTTCTGGGCAGATGCCATCTCACGCTACCACAATCACAATGCAGCTTCCGTGTTAGAGTGCCCTGAAGCCTGAAGCCTGAAGCTTGCTAGGTTGCAGCTACAATAGTGGTTTGAGGCCGCTAGAACAATAAAAACATGCCGCTGACCTCCATCCCCGGCATCTATCCCGTGCTTTCAGAAGCAAGTCGAAGCATATCGCAATCTTCAATATCACAGATGATCAAACGCTGTGGCAGCATGTTCGACTGACAGGTATGTGCTGATCGCACTTGCGTACTGTGTATATAGCCAGGCGGCCTTAGTGCTGAGTACTGCTCAGCTGATGATTCTCACTTTGTGGTGCGAAAGAGCTTTTGTGCGCACTCGTTGAAGCACCTCCCGCTAAGATTAATCTGTCATCAAAGCGAAAGTGTCTTAGTCGGCAATTTACCGTAGGTGCCAGCAGCAGCATGGGCTCTTCAGGGATCAAGCATTGTTTTCATCTCGCGTCTGATAGGAGCATTCAAGCCTGCGTCAAAGGATACCTACAAGAAATATTTTCAACGCTCTCCCCAAACTGATGAGCTGTTCGTAGCCAACTTGTTACATCGAATGAGTAACATCTCAAATGGACCGTGGGGCTGAAAGTGCTGTGCAGTATGCATCTGATGCAACTCCCGTTATCGTCTCACAAGCACGGCATGTATGATATGAAATTGAAGAACTTCACTCGACAGTTCAGTGGGTGCAAAAGGTTGGACCTCAGAATCACCATTCATTTCGACCAACCATGCGGACCCCTTGCCAAGCAAGGAGAGAGATTGTGTAACATGAAAATCTGCAACCAAGTGACTTTGGATAAATGAACAAAATCCCGATTTTGCCGATATGCCGAATAATATATCTTTGCATGGAGGGTAAAGGTACCTCGCGTTGTGCAAACCCAAAGTACGGCGTGTTCGTAAGAACTTGATCAATCTTATGACCTCTTCCAGAACGGCAGAACGGCCACAGAGTAAGCTAAGGTTAGGTTCTTTCGCGATAGCGTAAGCTCTATGTAGTTATGCTGGAGAAGCAAAACAGAACTGGTTACCTGCATTGCCGTAGTTCTTTTAAATTCCACAGCTCTGAATCAGTCACCAAACAAGCGATTCACTCGATAGGCAGGCTAAACTAGTTCTGATAGATCCTGTGACGACAAAATACAGCAACAGCTTCGCATAGATGGAGTTTTACTTAGTAACCTTAGTACTTTGGCTCCATCAAGGTATGTAGGACCGTCATGACTTTAACAGTAGCAATGCGCCCATGCTTATGTCTTGTGACCTGCTACCATGACCAGAACCTTGGAATCTGGGGTTGCCGCGTTTGAAGACAGTATCCCGCGCAACCCGCGTGTATTCCATATCACCTTCTACTATTGGCAAGGCCCAGGAAATTAGCTGGCTTACCATCCAATGCAAAACATGTCAGCCAATCTGGCAGCACCAAGCCGTCAATGAGGAAAGCCAGCAGAATGCAAAATGGGAGCGCTGCTTGTCCAGCCGGGTCTGGACTGGAGCCATGCTTTAGGCGAGCGTTGCTGAATAGGAAGGCATTTCGCAGAGCATTGTTAACAACCTTGAGCTCAAGCAGCGCCGCGTGACTCTGGTTAAGTTCCATGTCTATATAACGTAGACAGCTTGGCTTCTATAGATGGGACAGCTTTTAAGTCGAGAAAAATTGGAACACCTGGGCATACGCGTCCACATCCAATGGTGCATCTCCCCTGCTTCGGTAATTGTTTCTCGGGTCTTTGAGGATCGCGCGATGAACGATGATGATATTCGAATGCCGGTGCGACGTGCGCCTTTCCCGTTTTCCTGAATCCTAAATGTGGTTTTTCTTGCCGGCTTTCAGGGAACCCCTGACCTGTAGGACATTCACCCAATGATTAGGGCGCGTTTATGGAGCCTGACATGCGATGGACCGCTGTAACCACCGCGTTGGGACCGTAAGTAACTAGATTAGTGGATTCACCTGATCATTCTCGACTTGCCAAAAACATGAAGAAAATAATGAGAATATCAAGAAACATAACCAACTTGGTTTGTCCGCAGCTCAATTAATTACTCGAGCGACAGAACACCTCAATCCCGCAGTATAGAACTGTGCCGCTTGTCTCACGGGATTTCTTTTCAGCATTCATTAAATCTCTCGAGTCAACGCCAAGACTACCTAAGTAACCCTAAGCCTATACCCACGCGTCAAGCTCATTCAGCGTCTCGTATTTTGGGTTCGCAGCGAGCGGCTTTCTGGCCCGTGCTCCACAGAGTGAATAAAGGGAAATTCATTCTTGATGAATGATGCACTAGAAGACAGTCTTGAACTCGGCCTCTTGACTTCATCAATGGCGGTGCCCCGCATAGCGGGATGTTTTACTCCGTACATGCTTAACCTTTAAGCATATCGCCACTTTTGGGCTAGGCGGTCCGAACAACCAGTTTCCACCTGCCATAACTTTATCTTCGCCTCGATAACAATCTCTACTATGTAGTCTTGGGTATGGGGGAAGCTCGTGAGACACTTGAACAGACCGGTAAGAAGAAGTCCAAGGTTGATGAGACTATTAGTTTCTATTCTCCAAATATATACTTGTTGCAGCTTGCTACATACATAGATACCTTCGTAGATATGCTGTAACTAGCGACCAATCGTAGATATTTCCCCTTCCAGCCCCCAATATCGATTCTAGTAACTAAGAAAGATGCGGTACCGATCCTCCGTATAGACCTTTAGACGTGGCCTATCCACGTGCACATGGTTCAATCAATGGTAACTCATCCGCAATAACGTGGTCGAACACGTACGCCTAGATCATCAATGTATCTCCCAGCTTTGATGGGGCAAATTGCGTGCTTGGAGCAGGCCTAAAAAGACCAAGGTTACCATCGTAGGTGTGCGCATTACTTTCCAGGTTAATTTATTGGCGATAACACCTGCCCGGTCGTTACTTGTCTCCTCCCTAAAAGCCGGTCCAGCTTCGAGACATGTTCATGATGTGCTCCGTGAAACCTCCAAGATAGGTATTGCGGACCGCCTGTAGACGCCCGCCGATCCCTTGAGCAAGTTTGTATGTAGCAACTCGCACATCTATGCATGAACCATTCCAAAACACATGAAGAAGAAATCCTCTACTGCAGGTCATGGACTAGCGTTAGCTCACCGGGTGCTAGATCCTGTGTGGGTGGCTACGCACTCGTTCATACACCTGGTTCATCCGGCACCATCCATCCCCTGCTATCGACCGCTGCAGCACTATCCAGCCCATCTCGGCTGTTTTGCCCCTGTGGCTCTGCTATTGAAGCTAGTCAGCATTGTCAGGATCTCTAATGAACCGTCCCATCAACTTCTCTGATCGGTGCTAATCCCCTTGACACTGGACACAGATGCCGGAAGTGCTCCGTGTTTTGCCAGAACCTTGGAAGCACTCGTTCGCATCAACGTTTATGCTGCCTTTCAGCCACTCTATATGTCGTTTCTCTTCTAGCTGCACTTACTGTTGAATATCGATACTTTCAGCTGAATAGTTTCGGTCAAGGCCTGCTCCGCCGTCCATTTTACGCCTGGCTTGCCATGGCTGCTACGTGACTTTTACTTCATCCGACCTTTCGTACGGTGCCCATGATATAAAACCTGCTCTTGACTTGATTCAGTTCGAGAGAGGCAGCGCCGAATAGAGTGTCACGCGGGAAGTTCATTTGAAGCAATGATACTCATCGATCGAACGCTGCTTTGCGTTGCAGCCTTACTTCTTTATGGTGTTGAGAAAACCAGCGCTGGTAAGTTATTTCACTGACAGAATGGTCATATAAGACTAATATCTTACCAGCACCACCCTGGGGTCGCTTCGAGCGGCGTCTGTTTAACGGTAATCAGACGATATCCACTGCAGCAGCCTCAAGTGATGCTTCAAGGGATGCAACTCAACCAAGTTCAGTGCTTTTGTCGTCGTCGATATTGGCATCTGAGACCAGCAGCTATACTGCGAGCGACGCTTTGACGGCACAACTCTCAATCGCATCTTTCTTACCTGGGACTACTCCAACATCGTCTTCCACTCAACAATTGTACACACTTCATGGCTTAGAAACCATTACCACTGCATCGAGGCCGAGTAGGCCTACCACAATCACTCTGGGATCCCTTACTACCACTACACCAACTCCTGTGCAAGCTAGTAGCGGACTTTCTAGCATGGTTTCCGAGGATATTAGTAATTCTGGTTCGGTATCTTCAAGTTCAGATTGGACCACCACACTTGCAGGATCATATGCCAACACCACAAGCAACGCCGCACAATCAAGCGTGTCTACAAGTAACAGCTCTGTCAGCGACTCTGGGTGGAATTCAACCACCATTACAATTACGAATCTTACAATAATCACAGGTGACGTACCGCCACCAACTATTACCACGTATGATCCACAAACTCGCTCGGTAATAGTTTCGGATGAACCCACAACAGATGCTTGCGATGTGACAACTAACAGTAACACCGTCACCGTATGGTCGACCATCTACACAACAACTATAACGTGGACACTACCGCCGGAGCAGTACACACCACCTTTTCCAACTACGACGAGTACGCCTGTGTTTTGTTCACAAACATCTGCACGTCTATCAGTCTCTGTATGTGATGGATCAGACTGTACACAGTATACATATCCTGGTGATGCAACAACAACAAGTGATGATGGGCATCGTCATGTCAATCCCACTGCCACTGCTGTCACCACTACTTTTTCCGGTGGCTCGGCTGATAAGTTGCCTACAATCACATTTTGGACTACAGACAAGAATCCAGCAGTCGTTTATTCGACGGAGACACCTCCCGACTATGGTGATCCGGGCACAACGCCTATTCAGGATCATCACACCCCTAACAGCGGCAACTATCCTACGAGCATCCCTCAATATGAGAAGCCTACACCGTCTTCGTCCGCTAATTCAGGCGGTAGCAATGGGGGAAGCAACAGTAGTGGTAATAGTGGCAATGGAGGCAGCGAAGGCAATGGCAGCGGAAATAACGCCGGAAGTGGTGGAAGTGGGGGAGGGAATACCGCTGGGGGTAGTGGCAATGGAGGAGGAGATTCTGATGGTTCTGGCAGTAACAATGGAGGAGAAAATACTGTTGGGGGTGGTGGCAATGGGGGAGGAAATACTGCCAAAGGAGAGGATGGCGGCGGTATCACTCAGCCAGTGTCAGAAGCAACAAGACAACTGCCCACGACGGCTACCGCTGTAACGGTAATCATTCAGACGGAAAAGGTCATTATCAATGATCGCACTTTTACCAACAACCCCAGGAGCGCAACTTCCACTGTCGTTGTTGGTACAGATACTTTCGTTATTAATCCTAGCCAAGTAATTGGCGCGGGCGCAACAGTGGTCAGACCTGTCATCGGGGGCATCTTCATACCTACCAAAACGACGACAACAGTCGCAGGTATAGAAGTTGTGTATACTGCTATTATCAATTCTGCAGTATCTGTGCGGTCTAGGATTGCTGTGGCAACAATTGACGGAACAACCTTCACAATCAATACTACCCCATCAACCGTTGTGGTTAAAGGTCAGACAATCACGTTGGGCCCGAGTGGCATCGTCTTTGCAACTCAGACTATCCCGGTCGTGACATCAGTTGGAGCAACTGAGTCGGCTGTATTGGGTGGGGAGATGATTACAGCTATTGGAAATTCAATTGTGGTGATAGAGGGCACTACATTCTCTTATGGGCCAGGGATGAGCCCTATTACGGAAGTTATTAACGGAGATACAATCCTGATCGGCCCATCCGGCATCAGTGTGCACGGAATCACTCTTGGGGGCATCACAGCGGCAACTACAGCAACGACTTATGAAATTGTGGGCGGAGCTACCATTACACAAATCGGTGGCGGTGCTGTTGTCATCGATGGTACGACATACTCCATCGGTGCATCTGCAACCAGCGCTATCACGACTGTCATCGATGGTCAAACATTAACGATTGGCCCGAGTGGAGTGGCAGCGTCGTCATACACATTTGCACAACCATATGTCACGAGTACGGTGATCGAGCCGGGAAGTACAGCTTCGGTGGCAGTATCAACAAAAATAGCAGACAGTTACGGCACGACTTTGCGGCCGGAATGGGATGTTAGGGTGGTGGGAATATGCATAGCGATCGGCGTTGGGTTCCTGGGAGGATTGCTTTTGTAAGCCGGAAAGAGGCTGTGGTGTCTGCACCTCGCAACTCTGGTCTTCATGGTGTTCAGGCAAAATTGGGAATTATTTGATTTTATGGCAATGATGCAACGATACCCCAGCACTGCGTATAGGTCGCATCTTACAGGATCGGGATTCCATGGCTTGTCTAAGACATGTTGTATATAGGATACGGTTCATATGTGACCACAGTAAAGCAGATATATAATCATAAAAACTATCTAACATTGATAACAACCATTCATAGTTGACCCTACTGTAGTAGAGTTCAGGGATTTGGCTAACAGGTCAGCCCTACCGGCGGAACACAAGCCCTCTGGAATTATATGGCTAAATTGGCACACCAGTCTCTTGCTGCTTACTTACGATCTCTTCCCAACTTCTAGCCTCGTTCCGTGTGTATGCCGACTTTCGCGAGATCCCCCCAGAACTCGTCATGTTACTACTTCGTAGAAAATAATTCGTCGATATATTTTTTGGGGAAATAAATTGCCGTTTTATCGATACGGAATGCACTGGTTTCATAGCACCGTGGTCTTCTATCCATCCCTAGAGCGCGCCCGAAGTCATTCAATAGCAGCCCCCGGGCATCCACAAGCAAAGTTGTGTCGTCGCTTACGCCGGCCAATATTGCCAGACATTATGGTGGTCTTCTCCTAGGTATGCGAGATAGTGACTCGACGGCGAAAGCTGCCATACAGACGCGTGCAGTTCAAATCACCAACCCGATCGCCAGCAGCTTGCAGATCTCGCGATTCTAACGCGCGGCAGCTCTGATATCGCATTCAATAATTCGCTCCTTGGCTGGTTTATTAATATAGCCATGGATGTTCTACCATCCGGGGCCCAATATTGGTCACCCCTATAGCGAGCACGGACGGAGCCGTAGGTAGGTGGTACCTGGGATACCGTACACGTCCACAGCCACACACGCCTCTTGCCACTGAGGCAATCATGTCTCCTGCATAGCTTCAACTCCAGAATGTGTTGGTAATGAGATTTGTGGCAATCATGCTCTGTTAATACCTTCCAATATTCCAGCCCACCCGAACTTTAGCTTTCCTGAGTCGGAGCATACTCAGAAAAATTTAACGAAGCCTTTCTAGAAGGTCTCCCCAAGGAAGTCTTCCGAGCCCCCAACAACAACTCCGTCCGATGGACCGAAGCCGTGAATATTCGTTCAGACAGTTCGGATATGGTGGTAAAGGCTGATGAGGGGCATGCATGACAGGGGTCATTGGTGCAACCAGTACCAGTGGTACTGGAGGAAACCTTGCAAAATGCTCGCCGCAATAACGCGACGCAGGGGTTTCGTGTCTTTTGGACGAGCAACGAACGATTTTTGGCCCTCCCTTCTGTCTGCCAGACGTCAAGGATCTGAATCGCCGTTTCCATATGTTCCCTTGTCACCATAACGGTCAGGCTCGCATAGCGGGTCGGAATGCTGATGAGATGGCGGGCCGAGAATCGAGTTCGTACTCCATGATAATACATTGAACACATACGACACAGCGATGTAGTATAAAGACTTCGTTATCAATCCGGTCCAGATAGACCTGAGGATATGCACTCATCGATTTCCCCAGACTGCCTACCACCACGGCTGCAGCCTGCGTCGTGATGGTACCACTTCCTAATACGGGCTCACCCTGACAATATGGGATTGGATAAATGAATTGCACACCTGCATGGCTACGCTACGCCCTCCGTCATCGAGCGAACCACGAGGTGGCTTGGATCCTCCCAACCTAACCTCCGAACCCGAGGTCTGTCTACCATTGGGTGCTCCACAACCTGTCGTTCACCTGCATACATACACGAACCCCTACCTACATTGGCGAAATACGGTACGTCAATAAGCCGGTCTCTGAACAGGGTTTCTAGACATTCTGTAGACAAAAACACCATTGGCCACGGCTCAGGTACAGAAAGAAATCCTGCATTACCACTTCAGGAAAATGATCCCCCAACCACTCACCAGCCAAACCGAGAGCGAGGAAGGCAAGCAGCAGCTGGCGCCTCGTGGTTCGGATAACTCGAGCGCACGAGGTAGCAATGCATCACGTAGTATCTGTCTCTTAGTTCAGCTTCAAAGGTTCACTACCACGGCTTTTGGCCTACACTTGGAAAGCACATGGTTCTTTAGGAGGGAGGCTTTCAGCTGTGCAAATAGCGGAACTGGAAGTCGGCAGGAGCTCCGATAATGTTTCAGCTTGGAGGACTGTGGACAGAGGATCCGAACCAGGGATGAGGGTGAAGTCTGATTCTACGAAAAGGTTGCTGTAGGCATCATGTCAACCATTTATGCTGAGTACTGGATCAAACAGGTGATTCGGTGGCGGTAAAGGAGAAACGCAGTAACATCTGACCACTTTAGGCTATGATGTAGTTCTGGCGCTACCGTTTTCTTCTTTGGCGCATCTTCTGTAGCGAGATGGTCTATGCATCGCGATTTCATAATGTGCACCTAAGTAGAGGCAGACACCAAAAGCTGAGATCACAGAATTTTCCCCTGTGATTTATGGGTGCTCTTGGTCTAGTTGGCTTCTATCAGGCAGCCTGTGCATATTCATGTCTACTGAGCTTTGCGAGGAATACACATTTTGCCTCCTGATCCAAACATGTATTCATGTAGTGTGCGTTCGTAACAATGTGATCGATCAGAACCTCGATAGTAAAGTCAAACTTCTATAAGACGCAAGAGGTCAATGCTGGACCCATTACCAGACTTCCTGCCAGATTGTGCAGAATGAATCGAGAAAAGCCGTCGCATCCTCGAGAGTCTTGCACAGCTCTCCCTTGACCATAGCATCAAGTAGAGCTTCACGGACAGCCGTCGGCATCTTGCCTGAACTTCCACAGATCATGATTGTAGCCCCCTCCTGGAGCATCCCACAGACAAGCTTGTACTCCCGGCGAATGACGTCCTGCACGTAGATCTTCTCTCTTTGGTCGCGGGAGAAAGCCGTGTGAACCTTGACTCGTAATAAGGACCAGTCATCTTGAAAGTAATAGTCGGCTGTTCGATTGCGCCCCCCAAAGAATAAGACGTTCGCACCGTGGGTCATATTAGTGGCGCGTTCCCAGAAAGCAGCGCGGGCTGGAGCGACTCCTGTTCCAGTAGTAATGCCCAGAAGGGGTCGTTGCATAGTATCGACATTAGCGAATGGTGCCCTACGCTCTCCGACACTGATTCGAATTTTCGTTCCCGGTCGTAGAGACTCAATATATCGCGAACAGAGACCTCTCCTGGTCTTGCGCAGAACGGTCTTGTATTTGACTAATGCAACTAAAAGCTCGACGCGGGTATCGTGCTTATTACCGTCCACTTCCATCAGGGGGCCTGAACTGGCCATGCTGTACTCTCGACCTCGAATGAGGGGAAACACCACGGGAATAAAATGGTAAGGAAGTTTGACGGATGAGAAATCTTGGAGTATTTCCAGTATAGAACGTCGAGGTCGCGTGGTGTAGTCATAGAACTCGTCGATGAATCTAGGTTCGGAGAATTCTGAGAGTCTTTCCTTCTGCATGTCGTCCGTGGCATAGTACTTGATGTTGTCAAAGAAGGAGCGTTTGGGAATTGCGGTAATGTCGTAGTTATTGGTCAATAATTGGCGCAATGTGCTTTCCTCCAAGGGGTAGCAACCAGGAGGCGCGTGTTCATATGGAAATAGGTCATACCTCTCTTTGTAATGCTTGAAGGGCTCATCAGCGACACCATTCCAACCCATGAGATCGATCAGAGCCTGGACATCCTCAGGAAAGTTCTTCGGATAGAGAAATACTGTGTCGCCAGCTGCCGTGAACAGACTCTCAAGTTTCTTGCGGTGCTTGGCTTTGACTTTACCATCAGACACTGAGGGTCCCTTCTGCGACCCAGACGACTCGTTTTTGGATTTCGCACTGGTTAGGGCGGTCTCGACCACGGTAAGGTTTGGGTGTACAACCAATTTGAGATGTCGGACGTCTTGCCAGTGACCTTCAGGCGTAAGCCGAGTGTTCTCTTCAATGGTAGCAGTCCATGCGTCTGGTATAGGCAACAGGTCCTGAGGCGGTGACCCAGAGGGGTGTGCAGAATCTTCGAGCTTGTACTTCTCAACATCATCTTTGAGAATGTTCAGGCGGTCTAGAAAATCCACTCCGCTGGGATGCTTGACGGCGTTAGCAGACGTTCGTGGATTCAGCCGAGCCGATATTTCCAAGCCTTTCTCGTGTCTATCATCTCGGAGATCGTCTTCTTGCCTCAGGGGATCGACGGCATCGACGTGACTGAAATGCGCTGCTCTGCAGTCGAGGTTATTTCGGTCGACACCCTCAAGTCGTCGTTTCTCGTTGAAACGGTCAACCATCTTCGTGAAGATCGAAAGTCGCTCTAGGATAATCTTGGGTGGCAGTTGAACGTCTTCTGGGATTACCGAGAGCCCTTCCGGAAGAGGATACTTGGATATCAGATGCGAGCGTAGACTGATTGACCACGGTAAAAAAGCACCGTCAATCCTGAAGATAAAGTCAGCTTTGTGGTTGTTTTCTCTGAATGCGTAGGTAACTGGAGCCAGCCAAGATAAGCGCGACTATCTGGGCAAGTTCACGGGGGAAGCCACAACTGCCAATAGATTCTGTTGTTGCCCAGTAACGGCATCACTACTCCAGTGCTGAAGTATGAAACCAGGAGCGATCGGTAAGTTATGTGGAAGGGGGAGCAAAAAGCCTCTCGATTGGAGATGTCTTTGCACATTGTAGAAAGATTGTGTCTACGTACCCATCTTCATGGCGTTCATCTGCTTCACCGCGAGGATAAAACTCGTTCGCTCCAAGCTGCAGTAGACGTTTATGAAGCTTCCTTGACGCCCAGTTGTATCTGAAACCGTGAACCAGTTAGTCTCTCATAATGTTGCCATCACTGAGAAAACGTACTGTTGGTATGAACTGTCGCCCAGCCCAAATGTGGTGAATTTCACGCCGCCGAAAATTGTGGCGGGCAGTCTCTTAGATAAAAGCTTCCTCCAGAAAAGACGCGAGTTTTTGGGCATTTCTCCTTGGCCAGTAGTTGCAATGACAAAAAGCACAAATGCGTATTCCGTCAATGTTTTCTAAGAGATAGTTATTAGTTGTCACTCTTGAATAATTTACTGGTTATATCCCATAATTGTATCTATCACTACAGCGATGAAAGTCTCACAATGTTCCCGAGCAGACTTCCCAATTGCAGCAGCTAAGTTCAATTTCAAGATATCCAAGGATTTGCACTGATATTGGGGTCATTGGACGGAAATAATCATAGCAAAAAAGTAGAAGAAGAAAAAAAAAAAAAAAAAAAAAGGTTACCTACCAGACCAACAGAGTCCATCGCGAACACATCTGCCCTGAAACGTAACCGTTCGGAGATTTTCTCGAGGTCTATAGCGAAATCCTGACTGTTTCCCGTTTCTGACCCATAGAGGATGAGAATTCTTCTGTCTTCCAGAGGCAATACTTCGCACGCGGGGACCGGATCATCGGCCGCCATGTTGAGAGGGGGAAAAAAAAAAAGGCGATTTGCTTGAAGTCGTAGATAGCGTAGTACCAGATAGATTTAGACTTGCGTCACAAGAGACTCATTTGTCCTGTTGAAGTCACCGGGCCGTCTAGCAAGTCATGAATTCTAATCGAGTTCAATACGAACCTGTTGCTCGTTGAAGAGCCGCGATCGCAAGCAGCGAGATTACCGATACCGCCGATGTGGGGGCATCTTTAGCTGAATATTGATTTAGGTTACTTGGTCACAATGCAAAACGCCACCCCTTAAGCAGCGGCCTTGCGGCTCTGTCCGGGCGCCTTTCGCAAGTGACCTCTTTAGATGGTGAGGTGTTTGATATTACTTACTAACGACGTTGAGAGCAGAGTAAGTGGCAGAAAAATGCTTGTTAACGGAAACACATAACGTCTTTGGTTTGATTTCAAGAAGAAAAACCTGGTAATTGCCTACATGGCCAGCATGATACATGCATCATATCATAAGGCTGAGTTGCCCACATGCATGCGACCCTAAAAGCATTGGTTGACTGACGAGGACTTGATGGCGCCGGTAGCAAAGTGAACTAACCTAAGAGACTTCAAATGTAGATGAGAAATACGATAGCCGAATGCATTCGTGTCACATGCGCAGCGGATTGCCTGCCATCAAGGCGACCGTGACTAGCTTTTCAAGCATAGGATAATGCAGCCTCAACAAGGCGACACCAACATGTTTGGTTAGCAGCATCTCACGAATGTCAACTGGGTGCGAGCATTGTGCTATATTGTCGAGTTTCCTAAGTATTATTAAGGGCGAAGCGAACAAGGCTTGCAAGGATGAATAAGTAAGGATGAATAGGGGGCTCCATCCCCTTGTGCACGTTCAAAGCTAAGTGCTAACTGCCAACCGGGGAAAGCTGAGATTTTGCAGGGTCCCGCATAAGGCTTTTGGGGGTATCTTTAGGGCAGCCCCTGCTGGCCTTGGCTTTCTTCTATTCTTCTAGAATGTTTAGCACATCGACTCCAGCATGCTCTTTTCAAAGAGAAGACCGACCGCGTGCACGATGCAAGCCCGTGGTTATGTACTTAGTGACTGTGCTATACAATGCTGGTCTTCCAATTGTTGATAGCTTGGTTGAACAAGGACCATTCCTACGTTTCCCAATCTCCCCAGCATTGGAAGACTTCCATTCGAATGCTACATTCGTGCTGGGTAAGTCATCCGAGCAGGTCCGAGATAATGCAATTTGCCTGGTTCATGCATGTTTATTTGGCAATTCGAGCACAGGTCGGACTCAATTGTAGTAAACTAATGACAGACGCCTAGCTGACTTGGAGAGTTCTGTGCTGGGAGCGTGCTGGACCTTACATGAGGTAGATCTCTGGATTACCGATTGTTAAAGATTGAGCCATCAACGGGATCAGAACAGCCTTGGTGATAGGCGGCTGAGAGTCCATAGCTCACCGTCTGTGTCATCGGCGTGGCTCTCACAAAGCGCCCCGGACCGACAGAGGCCACAGCTCCTGATCCTCCACCTCAACGGATCTCTAGCCGGCCTAGCTTCGAAAGTGGATTTCTTCAATACATGGAAGGGCTGGCTCCCTTCCATTTTAGGGGCAATTGCTTGACCACTTTATACACAGTATGACAATCGCAACCTCGTGATGAAGTCTTCATGTCTGCGCATACTGTAGGCTGTAGGTTACTCCTGCTGGAGCCCCATCCAACTGAGATAAGAGCAACTGCACTTTGTGGTCTGCATTCCTTCGTTTCCTTAATATTGTGTTGCTGCCCGATGGTCGAAATAGGGCTCACCATCTGTGAGTCTTTCAGAAGAGCGGTAGCCCAAATGCTTTGATCAGGTTTGCTCACATACAACAATGCCCCTCATTCTTGTGCCTAAGTTTCTGTTTGTTATGGGCGTGTGCTAACCCAAGCCATGGATATCTCTCGCCATTGACGTGATATTACGTCTCTTGTCTATCACGGCCAGAACATAGGGCGACAGCCCATGTCAATCAAAGAATAGTTGTGCCCTGTGCTGGATGCAGTTGACAAGAAACGTGGATGAAAACAGTTGAGCATTGTTCAACGTTTCCGCCTCATGGAAAACTCAAAATGCTGAATTCTTGTATGACTAGGCTCCTTCCGAAGCCAATGATGTAAGTACCATTGGAAAGTTACAAGTAGGCAGACCAAGACCAGGAACAATCCGGTATGGATGAACATGACAACTTACATACCTAGCAGACAAGATCCTTTCCCCACAACTGAAAAGATGGGCGATTGTCCTACTATGTATGTATGTATGTATGTGTATGAATGTGTGTGATGCCTGGTGCCTTCTTCTTGCAAGACGCAGACGCAGACGGAGAGACGCAGATCTAGATCCCAGATCCCGTTATCCCATGGATATCCCATTATCAGGCGCAGACTTCCCCCCATTTTTAGATCCCAATAAAAAGGGAGTTCAGCCCACATTTTGAATCGCTCCTACCATTCGCCACACGCCATCCGTGAACTTAGTGGGACGCACTAGCCCCTTCCCGGAGAATTAATTATTTTTCGTGGCCGCTTTCCACTTCCACTGACTGCCTTTGCCATCGACGACTACGACTACCTTACGACCCGAACCTGCTCCTCTCCCTTCCTCCTTCTTCACACCTCTCAATCACAACACATCTCAAGTCACTTGTGTCAACACCACAAACCCCTTCTCCAGTTTCCCTTTCACCGAATCTAGGGCACGTAGCCACCCTTCTCACTCCCCCGTTGATCAGAGTTCAATTTTTGAACCCGCGACAAAAACAAATCATCCTAACGTCTAGTTGAAGATCCACATCTCATCTCTCTCATCCACCAACCTTTGCATCCATTTCCCATCCATTTATCGATAACTCAAAATGGCCAGCACCGTGGAGAAAGTTGCTGATGTCGCAACCAACGCCGTCAACGACGTTACCAACGCTCTGAGCAATACCTCGATCACCGGCAACACCAACGGCAACAAGGACGAGAACAAGGACGCCGTCCACGCTAGTGCCGCTGAGGGTCGCCGCTTGTACATCGGCAACCTCGCCTACGCGACAACTGAGGGGGAGTTGAAAGAATTCTTCAAGGGCTACCTTGTGTAAGTTGTTCCCACCCTCTCTGTTTCCTTTCCTCTGTCGCAGCCTGGAGTCAGCCAGTCCTGCCACCCCCGTGCTCTGTGACATGGTACATGGACAGGACCCCCGTTCCTGAGGTGGAGCTGTCACACCCTGACCGCTCTCTTCCTGCATTCCGTCATGTTTGATACTCATTGGGGACCCAACACTGACATTGCTACACGTACAGCGAGTCTGTCTCCATTCCCAAGAACCCGAGAACTGACCGCCCCGTCGGCTACGCCTTTGTCGACCTCTCTACCCCCACTGAGGCTGAGCGTGCCATCTCTGAGCTTTCTGGCAAGGAGATTCTTGAGCGTAAGGTCTCAGTTCAGCTTGCCCGAACCCCCACTGCTTCTGGCGAGAAGTCTGACGGTGGCGCCAACGGTGAGGGCGCCGAGGGCACTCGCCGCAAGGCCTCCGGTCGCGGACGTGGCCGAGGACGTGGCCGTGGTGGCCGTACTGGCCGCGCCGGTCGATCTGTATGTTGCTCTTTGCTCCTGGACTCTCGCAAACCCGCACTGACTCTTTTCTAGGAGGGAGGAAACGAGGAAGCCCCCGCCACTGAGGAGGATGCTGCCGCTCCCGTCGAGGCAGCTACTACAGAAGAGGTTCAACCATTGAGCGACATCACCAACAAGATCAATGCTGACGAGTCTAAGACCGCCAATGAGAAGCAGGACAAGTCTCGCCCTGCCCAGAAGCGCGAGCGTGGACCCCCCGCTGATGGCATCCCCTCCAAGAACAAGGTCATGGTTGCCAACCTGCCCTACGACCTGACCGAGGAGAAGGTAGGATTCAACTCTGTATTGCTGTTGAGACCATTTTTGATTCTGACTCTCTACTATAGCTTAAGGAGCTCTTCTCTGCCTACGAACCCTCTTCGGCCAAGATTGCTCTTCGTCCCATTCCTCGATTCATGATCAAGAAGCTCCAGGCTCGTGGTGAGCCCCGCAAGGGACGTGGCTTTGGTTTCGTCACCCTATCTTCCGAGGAGCAGCAGCAGAAGGCTGTTGAGGAGATGAACGGCAAGGAGATTGAGGGTCGTGAGATCGCTGTCAAGGTCGCTATCGACAGTCCTGACAAGACGGACGAGGAGGCCAACGCCCCGATTGAGTCCGAGAACAAGGAGGAGGCCGCCCCCGCCACCGTCACCGATGCCGCCCCGGCTGTCACGGTTTAAGCCAACCCCACCACTACCTCAACATAACAGATTACTTATCCCGGATGAGAGAGGCCAGCTCGACAATTATCATGTCTACTACTGCGGCCCTCCAGTAACTTATCGACGCCACCAGGGAGATATTGGAACGGGGGGCGTTGAAGAGCGAGAACAGGTACGGCTCACGTTGATTTCGGAGGATAGATTCGCAAAATGAAAAACACAAAAAACAATAGCAGATGTGGGCTTCGAACCATCTGATGGAGGCGAGTTATGACTCCATAGATATTATGGGCCAATGTTTGCGGATTTTGGGCAGACATCTTCTTAATTCGCACGACCTTTCTCACCACTTGTGTTACTACTTGTGTTATTATCCCCAGGTATCTTGTCTTTCTGCTTGTGTACACTAGATGGACGTGATGCTGGAGTTTGAGCGGACTGGAAAAGTTCTGAGTGCATGAAGAATACCATGGTTTTTTTTTTGCTTTGTTTTGACGAAATCCACCAGGCTGTCCACGTATATCGGCCTCTTGATGATATGATTATGGCTACACACAGTGCATGTGCAGAACAGCTGATGAGCTGCCGGCGGCTCGAAACAGGAATTTAATATAAAAACAGATTTAAAATAAAAAGGCAAAGGCAAAACGGGGAGGGTCCTATCCGTTGAGGTCTGACCTGGTGCGTAAGGTTGTCACACAAGGAAGGGCCTGGGATAATGGCTCGGACGGGGTGCATCCAAAGGTGCGGGCTACACAGTATTGGAGGGGAATTAGTTCAATTGACGAATGGGACGTTCATTTCGCGTGCCCTGGTCAGGTTCTAGAACAAAATGGTACCGAATCGCACCAACTCTGATACCTACCGTAGCCTTGGGTTAAATACCATGAAAGCTAGAGTGAAGTTGTTGGAGAATGCTGCGAAAAGCGTCGGACAATTTAATACCATTTGTAGTTTCGAATACTTCTGAGAGTAGACTTTAATCGTATCTAATTTTCTCATAGAGGCACGATCGGTCGAAGTTTAGGTGATCTGCCGCGTACTGGAGCTGGAAGCTTGAGTTGGCACTTTTAAACTCAAGTGCCAGCCAAACTCCAGAGTCAGGCTGCCCCTCTATCGATCGCCCCCTTATCTGGCCAACTTACACAACGACCCTGGGGAAACAACCAATCGTGACATCTCGCCTGCGCTCCTCAGGCTACTGCAACGACCGAGATGGCTACATCAGCTATGTGGGAGGTCGATCCCGAGACAAAGTCGAAGGTGAGTGCCCTGATCGTCGGGTAATTCGCGCAGGCGCATGTAAAGACCTGCCCATCGTCACCCACAAGCCCCCCAACTGACTGCCATTCCCCTACCACAGCTCCTAGCCATCCAGAAAACGAACAACAATAACAACTGCTGCGATTGTAATGCCCCGAACCCGCAATGGGCGTCCCCAAAATTTGGCGTCTTCATCTGCCTCTCGTGCGCTGGAGTTCACCGTGGTCTCGGGGTCCACATCTCCTTCGTCCGGTCTGTTACCATGGACGCCTTCAAAAACGCCGAGATCGAGCGTATGCGCTTGGGCGGTAACTCGGGGTGGCGTGAGTTCTTCGAAAACCACGAGGACACCAAGATGATGGGCATGTCCTGGGACGACGCGACCATCGCCGAACGATACAGCGGTGAGGTGGGCGAGGAGTGGAAGGAAAGACTCAGCGCCAAGGTCGAGGGACGTGAGTACGTCCCCGGTGAGAAGAAGAGCGCGTCGGCGCCAGCAAATAAGGCGGCGCAACCGAGGCAAGCCAGTAGGACTGGAACGCCGCTGCAGGGCGTGGCGACAAGTGGGAGCCGAACTGCGAGCCCGAGCCGACCGGGAGTGAAAGCCAAGGTCGACGATAAGTATTTCGCCGGCCTTGGTGCCGCCAATGCCTCGAGACCGGCCGACCTGCCGCCGAATCAAGGTGGAAAATATGCTGGCTTTGGCAACTCGCCCATGCCAACGCAGAACCAGAGCCAGGGAGGCCCCAATCTTCAAGAGTTACAGGCCGATCCTATAGCAGCGTTGAGCAAGGGCTTTGGCTGGTTCACTAAGACTGTTACACAGACAGCAAAGACTGTTAATAGTGACTTTATACAACCTACTGCGAAGCAGGTCCGTGGTCCCCTGTCATTCCTACAGATATGCTTGCTGGAGCGCCAAGGTACAAAGACTGACACTACAGGATTTAGATCGCGGAATCAGATTTTGCTGCACAGGCGAAAGTGGCAGCCGCAAATGCGGGTAGAGTAGCACAACAGGGCGCCAAGAATGCCCAAGAAGGTCTTAATCGCTTTGTAGAGGGATCCGACGGCCAGAGGCAGCGCGGTGGCACCAACATGGATGAAAGCAAGAAATCATTCTGGGACGACTTCTCATCTGTTGCAGATCAGAGGCATGGGACAGGCCCCAAGTATAGCTCAATTGGTACTTCTGCTATGGGCAAGACAAACAAGGGAGCTGGCGGGCCTGCAGGTGGCAAGAAGGACGACGAGTGGGATGATTGGTGAACAGGACGAATCTTGAGCCAGGTTCGACGTGGAGTATCTCAATATTAGAGCTGGAATGCGCCATATGAACATAGACGATGCATGTATGACTAGAGGAGTCCTTGGATAGCGAATACATGAATTGCCGCTTGCGGCTTTGCCATATCATTACGCAGAAGCTGCCTGCATCAGATTGGTCCCAGCTTCATCTGATGCTGATGACATGTCGCAACGACGAGGAAACCAGCTGTGACTATGGATCGACCCTAGTCTCATTTGTCCTTCGACAGAGGGAGGAGGGAAGGGGGTTGACGATGATGAGGGGCATCACGTGCACCAGGAACCCGAGGTCAAATGGAGCCGGCGCTAACCGGTATCGCTCACGGCTCCGGTTGCTTTTCCCTGCGTCATTGAGACTCCGGATTCAAGGCTATCTCAACGCTCCCAGGTCTCAAACACGGAGAGTAAACGCCGAAATGTCTTCGTTGAGGATTCTCGTGCCCATCAAGCGGGTCATTGACTATGCGGTATGTGCAAACTTGGCGCCCCATGGAGCATTGGATCCCCCGCACCGGCAGAGAGACCCCTGGGATAGAAAGGGCAACCGGGAACCCAGGTAAAGCTAATGCGAGAGCCCGGTACAGGTCAAGCCTCGCGTCAACAAGGCCCAGACGGGCGTCGAGACCGCCGGCGTCAAGCACAGCATGAACCCTTTCGACGAGCTCTCGATCGAGGAATCCGTGCGCATCCGCGAGAAAAAGTCGGCCCCCGTGGAGGACATCTGCGTCATCAGCGCGGGACCGCCCAAGGCGCAGGACGTGCTCAGGACCGCCATGGCCATGGGCGCCGACCGCGGCATCCACGTCGACGTCAAGGAGGGGGAGGACTTGGAGCCCCTCGGCGTCGCCAAGCTCCTCAAGGCCGTCGTGGACAAGGAAAAGAGCAACCTGGTCATCCTCGGCAAGCAGAGCATCGACGACGACTCGGCGCAGACCGGTCCCATGCTCGCCGGCCTGCTGGGCTGGGCGCAGGCCACGCAGGCCAGCGAGGTCAAGTTCGAGGGCGACAGCGTGCTGGTCACCAAGGAGGTCGACGGCGGCGTGGAGACGGTCAAGGCTAAGCTGCCCATGGTCATCACGACGGATCTGCGGCTCAATGAGCCACGGTACGCCAGTCTACCGAATATCATGAAGGCCAAGAAGAAGCCGTTGGTCAAGATGAGCCTGAGCGACTTGGGCGTTGCGAATGAGAGGAGATTGAAGGTGGTGAAGGTTACAGGTATGTTTACACCCAGGGAGGGTTCTTATCTTTGTTCGGGGACTATATTTCTAGGCGGCTCATGCTGACGATTTACACAGAACCCGCCCCCAGACAGGGAGGCGGTAAGGTCGAGGATGTCGATGGACTGATCTCCAAGCTGAAGGAGTTGGGCGCGATATAAGACATTGTACAAAAGTGTGAAGACTAGATCATTGGTTCAAATACCCTTGTTTCAACATCGATATTTTGAGACCATGTCGATAGAGTATGATTGCAACTGCGCTGATCTGATCCAAATAATAAGACTGCTAAGGAGGCCACCAAGCTAGAAGGGCAAAAGGCAATAGACAGGCTGGTTGAAGCCGTTTCCAATATCGTTGCTCGTTCAGTATTTCTCTCTCGGATTCTGCAGCAGCACATAGATCCATGACCAGAATCTTGGTCGCCCTACCTCAATCCGGAAATGGTCATTTCATAGGTTTTCCAGTGTACGTAACTTGATTGTCTTGCATTGCTTGATCAAACTTGATTAAGAATCAAGTCATTTATAGTGTGTTGTGCTTAGAGAGAGCACCTTCATGGTGACGATTTCGTAGACATGTGAGTGAGCAGTTCACACGGAATTAAGATACAACAGCCTAGATGTCCGCCGCAGATCTGGGCTCAGTGTCTTCCAGAAAGTCGTCGAAGCCCTAATCATCATGACACCTAACTGCCTGGTGACTGAATATTCAGAAAGCACATCTGCTGAGCAGTGTTGGCATGGCTCTACTGTGTACTGTGTGTGTATCAAAGCTCTGGATAGCAGTACGTAATGGCACTAGCGGGAGCTTTACATGTTATGTTCTAATAAGCTCTTCAGCACACACGCGCATAGGACAGAGATAACCAACCTCATGTGCGGATTACACGGTAGGCTACGTATTTAGTAACCTACCGTAGTAATGGAAGTCAAATTGCGCATAGACCACACCAGCAGTCGATATTCCCCCCCCCCGAGACATTTTCTCGAGTAATGTGCCCGCTTGGTGCCGCACTGCAGATCCAATGGAGAATTACGCTTTTGAAAAAAGCTCACTCGCACTGGGAAGGCCGGTTGCGGACACGTTGGGACACGCTGGGACACGCTGAGACCCCTGGCGACGGGCTGCAAGGGGCCAGTGAGAGGCGTGACGTGGGCTCCGCCTACTGCCAAACCAGCGGTAGATCCCCGCCAAAAGGCGAGTTAGCCCTCAAATTTTCTTCCGCTAATGCCCTGCTGGTCCTGCTGGGGCGTCGCCGATATCAAAGACCTTGACACCGCTTCTCATCCTGACACATCCGGACCTGTTCTTGTTCCTTTTACAACCTCACCACCTATACTGATATCGTACGCAAAGTCGCCCTTATGAACGGGCATCCATCAGTCTTCACTTCACAGGTACGTCTCGCAGCAGACTCAGAGAGCATATGCCTTGCTCCTTCATTTGCTCCAATCTTGTTCCTGTTGGGATCACGGAACCCTTTCCCGGCCTCATTCTTTATGACGTGCCAATCTCCCCCCTTGAGCTTACACAGTCACCCCGCCATTGAGCAGTGTGCTTCTTAGGAAGCAATAAGCTTTCTGGCGCCATGGTCGACCGTGTTTTCCTCTTCAAGCCCGTCTACATATTTAGTCATGCATTATACTAATCCTCTTATCTTGCAGGATTATATCTCAGGTTGGTCCCGTCTGCACCACACAACCTTGACTCACCGCCCAGGAGACTAACATTTCCGATTTAGACCACTTGTGGCGGTCTCTTTCCGCTTAGGCAAAGGTCAATTGAATAATCCTAGCTTAACTTTACCTCAAACCACCCAAAGAGCAATCATGTTCTCCCGAATCGCCATCAGGGCTGCCAAGCCTGCCGGCTTCAGTCGCCCTCTGTCGACTACCGCCTCGTTTGCGAAGGCCAACCTGGGCAGCAAGGGCCGACAGATGCCCGCCTCGTTCTCCCGTGCTACAGCCCCCGTGTCTGGCACCGAGGCTACGCTTACTCTCCGAGTGAGTTGGACCCCACGACGTTGTGTTGGCTGAGGCATTTGGAATTGCTGACAGTGTACAAAGGACGGCCCAATCTTCCGCGGAACCGCCTTCGGAGCCGATACCAACATCTCCGGCGAAGCTGTCTTCACCACCTCCCTCGTTGGCTACCCCGAGTCCATGACCGACCCTTCATACAGGGGCCAAATCCTCGTCTTCACACAGCCTTTGATTGGCAACTACGGCGTCCCCGGTAACCAGCGCGACCAATGGAACTTGCTCAAGTACTTCGAGTCCCCTCACATTCAGTGTGCGGGAGTTGTCGTTGCCGATGTCGCTGAGCAGTACAGTCACTGGACTGCTGTTGAGAGCCTCGGCGAGTGGTGCGCTCGCGAGGGCATTCCCGCCATCTCTGGTGTCGACACCCGAGCTATCGTCACCTACCTCCGAGAGCAGGGTTCCTCGCTCGCCAGGATCTCCACTGGAGATGAGTACGACGCCGACGAAGATGAGAGCTTTGTCGACCCGGGCCAAATCAACCTCGTCAAGAAGGTTAGCACCAAGGCTCCTTTCGTTGTTGAGGCCCACAACCCCAAATACCACATTGCCCTGATCGATTGCGGTGTCAAGGAGAACATCCTCCGCAGCTTGGTCAGCCGAGGTGCCAGTGTGACTGTCTTCCCTTACGACTTCAAGATCCAGAAGGTCGCGGACAACTACGATGGTGTTTTCATCTCTAACGGCCCTGGTGACCCGACGCATTGCCAGGACACCGTCCACAACCTCCGAACTCTCATGGAAACCTCGCAAGTGCCAGTCATGGGTATTTGCTTGGGACACCAGTTGCTCGCTCTCTCCATCGGTGCTCGCACCGTCAAGATGAAGTACGGTAACCGAGCTCACAACATCCCTGCTTTGGATCTTTCCACTGGTCAGTGCCACATTACCAGTCAGAACCATGGCTATGCTGTTGATGCCAGCTCTCTGCCCAAGGACTGGAAGGAGTACTTCGTCAACTTGAACGACGGAAGCAACGAGGGCATGCGTCACGCAACCCGACCCATCTTCTCCACTCAGTTCCACCCCGAGGCTAAGGGTGGCCCGATGGACAGCTCTTACCTGTTCGACAAGTACATTGAGGACGTCATGGCCTTCAAGGCCACCCAAAAGGTCTACAAGGACAACAGGCCGACACAGTTCATGCTCGACATCTTGAGCAAGGAGCGCGTCGGTGTTCAACCCGACAAGCTTGCTCAAGCCGCTTCGGCTTAAGATGTGCAATGGTTCTGTAGCTTAAGGGGGGGTTTTGTTTTTCCTGGTTTGGGATTTGGCGTTATGTACATATGACCTGCACCAGAATAGCGGTGCTGTGCTCAATTTTATAAGATCCTTCGTGTTGCTATAATCGCATGACCATCAGCTGTTTTGAGTTCAGTTTGTTCAAGAATGTACCACCCAATTGCAGGGCGTGGTTGTTGCGAACCAATGCAGGCAACATCTAAACACCATCACATACTGTTCCATGGCATGCTTCTTTAACATACCATATTACTCCCTAGACTAGTAGCTTCCCGTGTTACGGGCAGGTTCAATCCTTGGGAATAGCACCTACAACCAATCCAGCAGCCCACGTCAGCGTGTCTTCCGTCGATGAAACTTCCGTCGGCTGTACCCATGCAGCAGGTACATTCGAGTGATACCATTCGTGGTTTTTCCATGCGTGTTCAAAGTACCAGGCTTGCCTCCAGTGCTGCTCTGGGGTCCTCCCTTTGGGATTAGAAGGTGACTGATCTCGGTATTCGGACCGAGAAAATCGCCGCAGCGCTGCCACCTCGAATGGTACCGACAGGAACAGCTTGACGTCCATTGCCTCTCTGACTCGATCCTGGGCAGCTCGTGCGTTGATCGCAAACATTCGGGTGACCTCGTCATGTGACGCAGGTAGTCGACCCTCGGCCGGCCGGCGCGCTAGCACCAGGTTGCCCTTAACAATCCTGATCTGGCACGAGGTTACGCCCTGCTTGAAGACGGCGTCAAAGCGTTCCGCAAGGGTGGCCGCCGCAGCCGCCATCTCTTTCTGGTATCCTTGCTGGCCTGTGATGGTGCCGCCGCAGTGGTTGATGGGCTGGCAGAGCTCCCGCTCGAGATCCTCGAAGCGGACGGCTTCGACCCGGTCACGATCGACCACGGGACGGGCCCCGGCGGTGGAGATCAGCGGCCACCTCTGCTGCGCCGCGGGGAGGAAGAAGTCATCCTGGTGGACCACGCGGACCGCGCTCGCCGGGGCCGGGGCGTCGTCGCCCGCGTGGGCACGCCGATGAGCGGCGGTGGTGAGGGCCCCGCGTAGCGCGGTGGCTAGGAGCTCTGCTAGTGTTGTCTTTCCGGCGGACGAAGGGCCCCCGATGCCGACTGTGATGGCGAGGTTACGTTGCAGCTTCGACATTCGTTCTCGCGAGCTCTCCCTTGTTGAAAGGAAGCAGGAATACTAGAAAGGAGTAGGGTTCTTTTGTTGTGGGGGGGGGGGGGGATAATATGAGATCGGTGTTGGGTGTCCTGCATTAAAAGAAAAAGGGGATTGATGGCCGAGTTATCAGAGTCGAGAGCATCTCCGGTTTGAAAAACAAATCAACTTTGTAGAGACAACAAGTGGTAGTGGTTCGGTCACCGAATGGTGAGTGATGGGCAACCTTCATTGACACGTTATGACTAAGTCTCTTTCTGAAAGCTTGAAGAGAATGTGTTGGCAGCATTCGCTGTGCAATCATAAACAACTGCACCCGTTGAGAGACTGGGACTCAGGATGGAACGCATCACGGCAACATGCGTGAGTGTGATGCGAATGGCCGACTGGGCTGGTTTGGTTCTTTACTGTATGAACTGCATGAGATGATACTGCGAGGCCGGATGGTCATAAATCGCAAACGAATCCATGCTAGTGATGACAAACCACTCGATGGTATGGCTGTATGCACCTAGCTACGGGGCAGCTACATCATCACACCTCATTGCCATTTGTCTCTCACCTTACAGTAAAGATGCTTAAGCTAGAGTGAGCTGGGTCGTTGTCGGCATATTTCAGGTTTTCGGTGACACGGGGAGAGAGAGAGAGAGAGAGAGAGAGAGAGAGAGAAAGAGAGAAAGAGAGAGAGAGAGACAGCGGTAGAGAAATGTATATTGATGAGCCATATGTTGAGCAAGCTGGCTCTCGTGAGCGGGCAAGGGCTAACAAAGTGTACTACTCCTTGGATGAGATGCCCATGGCCTCGCCCTGTTGCATATGCTCTCTCTCCCCTTCTTCTTTTCTCCTCGGTATAGATTTGGTGGACGAGACCATGTCCCTTCGTGCATTGATCCAACCTTTATTTGTCCATGGCTTCATGACCACTCATACATGTTGATCACGACACTCTTATACCTCAGGGTTTAATTTTTAATTTTAATTGTTTTGGTTCCCTTTTATATGTGATAATCCTTGCATATGGTTGCTTGTCCTTACGCCGGTCTTGGACGGGGGAACAGTTCTACAGTACATTTGCCGGAACAGGTGTTTTTGGCCATTGCAAAGTTATTACGATGACATGGAACAGAGAAAGAAAACCCCCTTCCCTTCCCCCGAGATGACTAACTGGTGAGCCGAATATTGTAGCTCCGAAGATCTGTGCGCCCAGCCCGAAATCATATGTGATGGATTAGATACACGCCTTGGTGGAATTAATATCTTGTTTGCGCCGATGTCAATATATATTTTTTGTCATTAGTGTTTTCAATATACATAGATGCTGGCATTCTTGCATATCCGCTGTGTGAAGCCCTCAAAGCCATCTAGCGACGACGGTAGCTATCACCGCCACGATACCGATCTCCACCTCTGTCGTCATAGCGAGGTCTATCATCGTAGTCGGCCGATGAAGAAGCTGTGCCACGATATCTGTCGCCTCCTTTAGGAACTCCATGATGCATGGGCATGCCTCTTCTGCCGTTCCGCCTCCCTCCACCGCCTCCACGTCGTCTATCACCACGTTCTTGGTCCTGACGTCGCTCCCGTTCGCGATGAGGAGGCCGAATGCCCAGGAAGATCTCAGGGCCCCGGTCGACCAGGTGGTCGCCGTTCTCATAGAAGTACCGCCGGTACTCTTTGTTCTTGTCGGCTGCTTGGTCATAGTCTCGAGACTTTGCCTGTCTGATTGCATCGAGCCTTCGCTGCACAAGTTCTTCGGGCACGGCTTGAAATGGTACCGAGGGACGTGCGATGGTTGACTTGTAGTCGCCGGATCGGTCCGTGCGAGCTCCTTGAACATGAGATCGTCCTCCGCCCTGAAGGCCTCGCGGCCCAGTCGGTGCGCCCTCGATGCCCGTAGAGCTTCTCGAGGGGCCTGTGGGAATTGACTGCGTGTGTTCGAGTTGTGGTGCAAGAACGGCAGCGGGCGCAGCTCCACCACTCTCCTCTAGCTTAGTAGTCACATGCCCCTCATGGTCATGCTCGTAGACAACCTCGTAACGGCTACCGGAACCTCGGGCACTACCAGCGGCTAGCTCCATATCTACAAAGTCACGATAGCGGTCGGCTGGAATGTAGTCGATCCAGAGAGGTTTCCGATTTGTCTCGTCAGGCCACACTCGGTTGTGGAGGGCACTGCGCACACGTTTTGCAGCTGTGATGCTACTGAAGAGCACGAATGAATGTGTGCGAACGCTGTCTAGGTGGAATGCCGAAATGGTCTGTTCATCGATTTGGACACCTGCGGGTGTTGCAAGGTCGAGCAAATGATCTTGTACGGCCTGTGGTCGGAGAGGTCTCATAAAATTCTTTATATACAGGGCCGGGGTAACTGGATGAATAGGAGGCTCCAGGTCTCGTTGGAACTCCTCTTCAGGCTGTGCGTCAACGACGGACTCGCCTATTGGTGCATCATGGTCGTGGTCGGGATCGTTTTCGTTGTTCAGGTGCGGTTGTGGTTCAATGTTGTCTACCAATGCAGGGCCTGTTTGGTACGAATCGTTTGGAGGCGAGCCGTGTGTAATTTCTGTGTTTGGATTCCCAAGGCCGTTTGAGTCGGCCTGTTGTGATGTAGGCCTCTCTGGCTGTGCACTGCCAATAGCGACAACTGCTGGGTCCTTGTGGGCAGAGTCGACTACCTGCGCCGCTTCTTTTTCGTTGTTCGTTTCAGGCATTTCGATATCGGCCACAACACGCTCCTCGTCGCTTGTTCTCGCTCGTTTCGCTGCAACATCCTCGGCGCGCGGTACAGGACTGGCGGAACGTCTCTTTCTTTTCTGCGAGTCCTGCACTATCTCGGTGGGCTGTACAGGAGTGGCACTCGACGACATAGTTGTTGAGCTCTGAGGAAGAGTAGGAGTGTCCGGGGCGGCAAAATCTGCCGTCGCAGTGGGTTGTACTGGCTCCGGTGCAAGATCAACAGCCGGAGCTGCTGGATCCTCTGGCAAAGATTCACCTGGAATCGGCACATCTATCATGGGCGCATCTTGGGGTGTATCCTGCTCCTGCTCCTGCTCCTGCTCCGGCTGTTGATGTTGCCCCTGAGCATGCCCCTGGCTCGAACTTATTTCGGCAACAGGCCTGGGTTCTTCCGGTATAGTGTCTCGAGGTTCTGTTGACCGTTCGTCCTCTTGCGCATCGTCATTGGAGTCGGCAGCAGGGGGATCCTCTGTCATTACAACAGGAGCATCGTTGGCGGCTTCCTCCAGACGAGCGACAAGATCAGCCTTCAGCCCGTTCTGCGGTAGTCCGAGGCGCTTCAGTTCGACCTTTAAATCGGCCACCTTGAGCTTGTTGTAATCGGTCGCCATGATTTCGTGTAATTCTCTATGGCTTCTGGTGCATCTCTCGAGTGGTATTACATGTGCTCGTGGACTCGGTGTGACGTAGTTTGGCTAGTCTTTTTTTAATTTTATTTTTTAAGAAATAAAAATACCTTGGGGAACTAAGATGCAAGGATCTGATGGACAGACTTGTAAATTTATCGCCAGGCCGTAGTTTCCAATCTGGACATTCACCAGTCAGACAATTAACAAATGAGGTAAGGTAAGAGTGAGGTTCAGCGGGTATCCAAAAAATCAAAGCAGAAGCAGCTAGGTCAGCTATAACTGGGCAGAAGCAAGCCAGCAAGCAACCTAAGCAACTATGAGTTGGGTATGTTCTAACCTTAGTGCAAGCGAACAAGGCTCACCTCAAAGTCCGGGCGCGTCGCGACTTCACTAAGAGGAAAATTCCAAACCATTTGACGACATTAGATCTTTATGACGGGAGTGCTAGGCTCGAAACGGTGTAGTACTGCACTAAACCTCGCCCATATGTACCATGTGTTCCCCGGCACCTAGTTGCTTGTACTATGTAACCTATCCTAATCTGACCTACAGTGAGTAACCTATAAAACCCTCTTGCTGCAAGGCTTGCTGTTGGGAGTTATACCTGTCAGCATCTAATACGACATCGCCACTTGTCAACATTGAATGATAGTCTGACTGTTGAGTCCGCATACTCTCCTATCCTATGCACGCCGAACAGTTGGACAATCGAGATTTGATCGGCAGATATTGGATTGCTGTCGATAAGCGCAGCTGTTGGTCCTCTCACACCAAGTCTCAGTTCCGTTGCTTTCTTGTCCGGTTCCGGTGGTGACGGTTGACGACAACATATGATTGCTGCCGCTGCTGCAGATTCCGATTGTACTCGGAGACAAGCAGCCGTGCAGAGGAGGGCAATAGGAAAGCTGTCCCCACTTCCGCATCCGGGGGTCTTATTTGACTGGCACTGGCTCAAACTCGAAGGGGCCCATGTATGTAATTGAATAATCGCAGCACAACGGCAAGATCATTTTCGCACAATCTGTGTAGATTGTCTTGCTGGAAAATTGATTCTTCATTGTTTCGCTTTGTCAAAAGAGGTGAAATGCCGTACAGGCCATCACAAGCCCGCGACCATGTCAATTGCCCCTACTTGATCCAAACCCCCACCCTTTCTCTCTCTCTATCAAGCATCGCCCTCACAAAATCTCCGCTTCATATTTTATTTTCTTGTGTGTTCTCCCATTGCGAATCAGTCAGCCAGAACTACACAGTCTCGTTGCGTTTGTACTATACTTGTAGCAGATTTGACAACTTCGCGACCACTTTTCCACAGTATGCCGCCTCAACGCTGGCTGCAGCCCATACCGGGCGGTCTCGAACTCCGAGAGGCACCGGATAATGGAATGCAGTCTTCCGGCGGAGGCGGAGCTACCACTGTGAGTACCTACACATTGCATGCACCCTTGCTTCTACATCGCCTCGAGGTTCCAGGCTGAAGAGAACATAGCACGACAAGAGTGGCACTCACATCCCCGTGTCGCCAAAGAGGGTAAAGCTCAACAGGCTTCCTGGCCAAAGTTCCAGCTTCACAACACCACCGCCGCCGCCGCCACAATTTCCTCCCACGCCAATTTCTGCACCACGTCCGGCAAGACCTGTACTTGGTGCAGGCGCAGATAGCAGCTCAGATGAAGGATACGGCCCTGCTCACGACGTCCTGGAGAACCGCAGAACCACACCCGCGTCGAGAAGACAAGCTTCTCGCGGCAGGTCGCCAAGGTCAGATAGTCAGAGTGGTCTTGGAAACGGCAATGGCAATGGCACTGGTAACACGAAGAAGCGCTCCTTTGGCAGTCCAGAGGGCCCCGGTGGCGGCGGTACATCAAGGCCCAGTGGGCCAGGAGGGCCAGCAGATGATGGTGCACCTTCCGAGAAGTCAGATGATGGTGATGGTGATGATGGAACAGTAGTCGAGCCGACTGGATTTGCAGATCTCCGGGAGGATCAGAAGCAGCTCCATGTTATCCGCAAATATCCTTGGCAGATCGCTCTATGTCCAGACACTTGGGAAGGCCACCTGGAGCACTTGAACGTTCCTAAAGCCCTCTTCTTCAAGAGAACTAGTGATGGAAGCAATTGGCCAAGAATCTACGAGCGCACCCCCGGGCAGGACTTCCATGGTAGGTCTTCTAGGGTACTCTTAGTTCGTGTGATTGATACTGGTTTATTGACTTGACAAACAGGTGGCAAGATATTTGCGGCTCTTTACAATGTCCAGACTCGAGTTCATGACATACATACAGAGTATGCCGAGGAGAAGATGGGTTTCAGCAAGGATCATATCGCCAAAGCTGCAGATGCAGAAACGTTTAGAGCAAAGTACTTCAAGGCAGTGAAAAAGACCATCGACAAGGCCATCAAATGGGCTTGGAAAGATGGTCAGATCGAACGATGGGTTGAATTTCCACCATCCGTTACAGTCCTCGATGTTTCGGACATGAACACTTTGACGCAAACCCGTGTGGATATAACAGAGAAATTGGAGGCGTTACGAACACGGTGGAAAATGGCAATGGACAGACACCAGAGAAAGTCCTGGCCGCAAGGGCGAATCCCTCAGTCTCCCGTCATTTGGGCCTTCGCTGTTATGGAACATAACGTTGTCCTACTCTCCCTGGACGCATCCAACGATGACGCATTGCCGCTCGCAGAGACGAACATGGATTTTTGCACCGAGACCCAACGCCAGTGGCATGCTGCACTCATCATGGTTACCATCTGCTTCGCTCGAGATCGGATGATGGCTTTGGTGCGGCATGTTGGCCCGCAAAATCTAGATTCACCAGTGAATCAGGACGACGATGACCCTGATGTTTGAGCTTACATGTTGCCACACATATGGACGTATCATTTGCACGAGGACGTACGTTGGTGTTCAGTTGTTTGCAATGAGCGATACTTGTGTTTTGATAGAGTATACTAGCTTGACCCCCACCGGGACGAGTGTTGTAAATGATTTCGTTTCACTGCTGCAGAAACAATAACGTGTGCACGCATCATATCGCGCAACCTTCCAAATGAACAACACAAATTGACAAGATACATAAATCCAAACAGGGCAAATCAATAGCAAGGCTGTAGGTTCGTCGTATGACAATGACATGCTGGGATACTCATGGTAGAACTCGGACAAGGAGATAGCAAGCCCGGTCTCGGCCCTGTTGGCGGCGCCCGCCGAGTCCTACTTCGGAGCTCGGTCTAGAAATGTCAGTTACCAAGCACATTAAGCAGTACGCGGAACACCAAGTGGGTGTGAAGTGGTTCTTGTCAACAGGAGGAGAGTTCGTTCTAAAGTCTTCTCCGGATTCTTTAGTTTGCACGAGTCAGTCCTCTACCAATCGGGGTTTTGCCATGTATGTCGCCGGCCTAACCACTTGGTTTGCACACGGTCCGTACAGTTGCTCTACAGGCGGGCAGAAAATGGTATGCTTTGTACTGTAGATATAAATATTGCGATGCCTCTCAGTCAGTCGGCGGATCTTCTGGCACGAAGAGATTGGGGGGAAGTGAGGCTATGCTCGATTTCCAAGCTGCCGTCTGGCCATATTTCCCTTGGGCCACCGTCAGCTCTAATGAGGTCAAGGTTTCATGAAGCTGGGTATCCCCAGTTTTGATTGAAATGGATCAATCTTATCTCTACCAGGGACAAACGACCATGCAGCTGATTGCCCTTGATAAAAAAGCTTGGCGCAGTCCGGCATTAACACACCTTGGCCTATCTGAAGGTGTGGTACCATTGCATTGAGCTCTGCAGCACAACACCCTTACGAACGGTCACGGATCTTCTTGGAGCCAGCCTTATATTTGACTGAGTACCAGTAGAGTAGCTGTGGTTTGATTGGAAGCAACAACAGTTTCAACATACACCGCTACATACTACTGCGGCGGTCCGAAAGAGATGCATGGAAAAGTGATGCACGTAGATAATAGTATACATACTGTAGGTATCTGCATGCTCCTCCTCGTCACCCCCAACTCGCCAATGGAGTCCTTTGCATCATGCCAGTAACCCCTCCGGAAGCTGGATCCGTCAGTTCCAATCAAGGGTGGACCAAGGCAGGATGAGCAATAGTGCAGGATTGGCAATCACGCGCGGTGCTTCCAGCAGCAGCAGCAGCAGGAGGCTTATCTCGACACAGTCCATGCCATGCTACGTGTGCAACAGTGCAGAGCGTCGCGGTCTTAAAGATATGCGCATCTTGAAGATCAGGGCGAATTGGAGATAATCACGTAATATTGATCAGATTCATCGTGACGTTCGCTCCACAATCTGTCTTTTGTCTCTAACCGAATCGCCGAAGCCGAGAAACTAAGCTTGCAACAGTAAAGCGCGGCAGCAACAAGGGCCCCGCCAATGCTTGCCATTACTGATGTTGGCGTGCATCCCAGCAGCGCTAGGCATGGTAGGCGGTCCATCCACCGCTTATCTAGCGCGGCTCGAGACTGAGAAAATGAAAATGCTTCGAAATAGTGGCGCTCTCATTGGTCGCGGTATGGTCCCGGTGGACGCTGGGGGGGCAGACAACAACAAAAACAGGGGTTCTGTTCCCATTTGGTGGAATTCTGGAATTCTGGAACCTGCCCAGCTATGATTCAATCACGCGCTGGCTGTACTTGGGCATTCTGGAGAAGTCGGCAGCTTCCATCCCATCCAATATCGCCTGCGCTGTGGTTTCTCCCATACAGGCGGAGGAAACCAAAAAGCCCTGGTGAATTGTGAACACAAATAGGCACTCCGGCATCGCGGTACTTGCATTTTCATTTCATAAAACTCTAAACGGCAATTGGCTTCTCGGTACTTGTCATACCACATATTTGCAGATCTCAGTACCCAGCGCAGAGTGAAAGACCCAGACCTAGACTCAGACCAGATCTACTTGCTTGATAATGCAGTGGCGGAGTTGACCTGATTTCTCACCGTACGATCTGATGCTGATGTTGATGCTGCTGCTGATGCGTGTGCGCCATGTGGCATGAGCAAAACCTGAGTAATCTATCCGTGCTGCCTGCCTAGCAATCCGATCTCTTGACCACAGCGCCTTTCTTCATTCGTCGTCCTGGTCAGCGCTTCCATCATTTCGCCCTCGCTCCATTGCGAATACAAGCAAAGTCCACGACCCCAGACTTTACGGCCACATTCTGTCATCAATCCCCGGCGTCCGACCTGACTCGGCCTAGACCACGACCTCTCTCTGGTGATTTTGCCATAACCGTCTCTCTGACAAATCACACACCAACTTTTATCGACCACTCTTTCGATTTCACATAGCCAAGTTCCCAGGTGGCTTACTACAATACAAGCAAACGACTCTCTCTGCCGAAGCAGTCGGCGCCATCCCGCAACCCTCGTTGTCACCCATAGCACCAGCGCCTGGAAGCAAGGCTTTTCGCGCATCTCCCAGGTTTGCGTTCGCGAGGTCTGGGTCACCTTACGACAGCGTAACTTTGTTTCATTGTTCAAGTTCGGTTCCTGTAATCGTAAACCCCGAATCGGCCTTGGACTTCATGAATCAGTGGGCGCACCTCGTAGGGCTAAGACAGAACGAGACTCTTATCAATCAACTCGTTGCCTCCATCTTATAGCAAAGGCGACTGAAGCTGGATTGCTGGTTCCCAAAGTATGATTCGAGTCGCCCATGCTTCGCAGCCGACTTTCCAAAAAGAAGTTATAGAAATCATGCGGACCGCCTTACCGACTCGCCCCATGGGGTCACAAGAGTCACAGAACCTTTCGCCCAACGACGCAGCGTATGCCTCCTCAGCTGGGTCGCGTAGCCCAGGTACCGACAGCTTCACGACATCTGGACGGGACATCGCAACATCACTAAGTCCGTCACCAGCACCATTCAGTACTCTAACCGAAGAGAAGAGCCCAAACTCCAAATCAAATATAGGCTCCTCCACGGGTCAGGGTGGCCAAGTCTGCAGGTAAGGCTTACTGCCATAGTTTTTTGTTTGTTTGTGCTTACCCAGATTGCAGCAACTGTAATACAACTCGAACACCGTTGTGGAGACGGTCTCCTCAAGGAGCAACTATCTGCAATGCTTGTGGCTTATACTTGAAGGCACGCAATTCACAACGGCCGACTAATCTCAAACGGCCACCTACGGTAGTCACCGCATCAACGACGTCGAGGAAATCGCCAGAGCAGGCGTCACCAAAGCCTTGCGGCCAAACTAACGGTGCGACATATGTGGCAGCGGATCAAACTCCGACAGGATCCTGTCCTGGCGGTGGTCGGTGTAATGGAACAGGAGGCGCTGTAGGTTGCAGTGGCTGCCCGGCCTATAACAACCGCGTCGCAAAGAGCGCACAGCTCACCGGTCTCCAAAATCAAGAGGCGTCAAATCGCGGGAGTGATCTGGGCGATGGCCCAGAACCCATCGACGTGGCTGCCCATGAATCACAAAGCTCGAATACCACTGTTGTTATCGCCTGTCAGAACTGCGGCACAACGGTGACACCTTTATGGCGCCGCGATGAGAGCGGCCACACGATTTGCAATGCTTGTGGTCTATACTACAAACTACATGGCGTTCATCGGCCAGTTACTATGAAGAAGGCCATTATCAAGAGAAGGAAACGCGTGATCCCTGTCTCTCTAGGCGGCGCAGAAGAGGGCACACCTATGGAGTCGGTCGAAGTGGCCAGCCAGTATTCTAGCTCTGAAGAAAGAGGCAGCACAAATGCAGATGGGTCCGTGAACCTCGGCTTTCGTCGAAAGCAGGAGCACCCGATGGGTCTTCTCCCCGAGCCAGTTCGACAGGGTCAAAGTCTAACACCCATGCCTCACTCGGACCTGGCCGCTTATCATACAACTTATACACCGCAGTCGATGGACAACAGAGATTCGTTGACAGACAACAACCGCCTTGCGCCCCTAACTTCAATCTCGATGCTAGGTGACCGCCAATCATCGCTATCGCCGGCCTCGTTCCTCTCGCCTTCCCGGAAGCGTTCTTTCTCTCCAGCTGACTCCGAACCCCCACAAGGCGAGCTGGGCCAGAACGCGAAACGCCTCTCGTCCATCAAATCGATTTTGAACCCTACGGCCGCGTGCCACAGTCCGGTCTCGAACCCCATGGAAGATGCCGCCGAGTCATTGAGGTTATTGAGATCGCCGGCGAGCACGATGTATTCCGCCCCAAGCCCTGGTGCCCTTTCTGTGGCGTCGACCCTGCCGCCCTTGAACGATGGCGAGAGATTCAAGGCAGAACGCCGGCTAGCCCTGCAGCAAGAAGCTGAGAGAATGAGGGAGATGCTGGCTGCCAAAGAGAGGGAACTCGCCGCTCTAGGTGATTGAAGGCAGGCATAATCAACCAATTCTGCAGCCACAAAACACAGACACACGAAAAATAGAGTATGCTGAATCACATGATACAATCTGAAACTCCTGGCAACGGGTACGGCTTTCTTTGCGGTGGCGTTTGGAGGCAAACAGGAGAGCCAGCACATGATGAAACGACGATTTTGATTTGTTTCCGAGCCGACTTGATTCGGACTGGACCAAAGGGGGGTGTTTTGCACTGGAATTGTCCGTCTGCCCCATGACCAAGTCTACTTGGCAGAGAATTCGATGGCCAAAATGTTTAGTAAGGAGTACGAGGTGACAAAACTATCACGGTGCGGTGTTATATCTGGCAGCCCGGTTGGCACTCATGATGCCTAAGAATGGTCTGCATTTCAAGGGGCTGTCACTCTTGTGTACGAGAGATGAAGAGAAAAGCGCCCAAGTAGCTTGGCACGCTCTTGCTCTTCTTCTTTCTCTTTTTGAGTATGTATATATATTGGTATATATTGGTATGTAAGGGCATGTAGTCCGCTTCAACAAAATGAACAGAGATCTCACAGCAATTTCGCCTTGGTATCTAAATTCCTAGCAAAGCAGATGGGCGGCCTGAGCAATCATGCCGTGTTTCGATGCCATGATCTTGACTGGGTCAGTAGAAGAATGCGTTATCACGAGACTATCTTGGTCGTAAGTCCTGGGCGTCCTCATTTCCAGAATCTCATATTCACGTACTGCATCTCTCTCTATGTTACACATATATATATATATATATATATAGATCGGCTCTAAGAGCTCCCCCACACTATATGCAAGGGTCCTTTTCTCCCAATGATATACAGATAGATGGGCCATCCATCCAGTTCTCCCCAACTCCCCAATTCCCCGTTTCCCCGTTTGCGATTTCCACTTGTCTTTTGGCTCCTGAAAATCTTGTTTTGCCTTGGTTGAGGGATCTTTCTCCTCGGGCGAACACCCCTCCGTTATCAGCGGTCCTCCATCTTGACTACAGAAGAAAAGAAAGAGAGAGAGAGAGAGAGAGAGAGAGTGTGTGTGTGTGTGGAAGAGTGGGGCATGGGCTCGCCACGCTGGCAGGTCTCTTAGACCTGCTCGGCGCCCCAGCCAGCATCAGCCTCTCTCATGTTGGCGGGAGGCTCGATCGAGGGGATGAACTCGAGGACGGCATAACCGACACCGACGAGGCCGACGATGGATCCGGCGATGATGCGGAGGACACCGTCGCCGAGGAGGATGGAGCCCAGGAAGATGTAGACTGTTGTGCCACTAATCAGCATGTCTGAACTCTTCTGTGTCTGTGCGGAACGGGAGGGAGGAGGGCTTCGGAGCTCTCGGGGGTCGTTGTCGAGCACACTTACAGATACCGCGGCCGATGAAGGAGAAGAGGAACGAGGCGTATCGCGAGACCTGGGGCGGAATCTGGAACTCGAGAAGCCCGATGACGGCGCCGAAGAGGATGACGTAGGATCCGATGATGAAGGATTGGCTGTTTGCCGGGTAGAGAGGCCCGTGTTAGTTATCTGCATGTTGAGTTTCTCTCAGGGCATTGCTGCCGAGACGGGCGCGGGTCTGGGGGGAATACGTACAACCCGTTGGCCGTGGTGAAGAACTGCGAGATACCGCCCAGGATCATGACAACACCGACGGCCAAGTTGACGATGCGACTGCGATTGAGAGTATCATGTCAGCGATTGCCCTTTCTGGTCAAGGTTTGCACGTCGCAAATGCGCCAATGGGGCCCTCGCTGCTGGTCTCTGTGCGACGGCAGCAGAGCTCCAGGATGAGCTTTCCCGGCTGTGGCTTTGCTTACAAGATATCGGAGAGCTCCATTTTGACGGCGATGTATCTTCTTTTGTTTTGATTTTCTTCTTCCTTAGTCGGTGGCGGACGTGAGTGTAGATAGAGTTGTCAAGGAGATGGAGCCAGCTACTGTGTCGCCGCTGGGTATCGTTGGGGGGGGTTTGCTGCTGTGTTCCAGGCAGACGGTTAGGTTGCTCTGAGGGAAGCTGGGCTGAAGCGCAGGCAAGCTCAGGCTAGGTTAGTCTAGGAGAAATGTGTTTCGTTGCATTGCGTTACGTCGCGTTGCGTCAGGAGGCTGGAGCTTTTTTTCTTTGCTTTTTCTTCTTCCCCCGTTGGCTTGGCTTGGCGGCGCCTGGACCCTCTCGCTTGTTCCAAGTTTTGCCAAGGTACAGGGGCTGCATATTTTAGTGCTCCATGTCAGGTGAAAATAAGAGCTTCAGACATTCACTCCCCCCTTCATAACGCGGTAGAATACCCGCTCCCAAACACAACGCTAGGTGACCTCACTGCCAGTTCCCCGTTGCGCCCTCTCCAACCGCCAACGCACCGAGTATCACGGCTGGGGAAATCAGGGCTGTGTGTAGGGCTTGCAAGGCAGCGTTCCAAGTGTCTTGTCATTGTTGCCATTGGACGCATTCGGATCGCCTTTTATATATGGAATCCACCAGCTACCGCGTTGCCGCTCTCTCGAGGTCGGTGTTGCCATTATCGTTGGCGCGCAAGCTCTGTTTTCAAGGTGTAGCTATCATATGTGAACGGCCGACTAGACGGTTAGCTTGTTCTGCCGTGGATATTAATCATTAGTTTACTATGGCATTGGTACAAGTATCAACGCCAACATAATCAAGTACAAAACTGGAGGTGAAATACAATAACTTTCATGCCAGTGGAACCTCTTGCTGGTGACACTATAAAATGTTCCGAGGAAGGTATCTTCAGAACTTTTGATTCGAACCGCATCACATCATTTTTCACTCTGCACGCCATCTCTAACATCACCTTTGGCCAAACTTTCGGCTTTCTAGAACGAGATGAGAACCCTTTCAGTTACATTCAGAACCTTTCGCAGTTCCCCCTTGTTATAATCGTTTTCGGTGTTTACACGGAACTCACCCACATTTTGAAACTTCTGCTGCTCAAACCTGCGCTTCCCAAGAATATCAACAAACGTGGCCTGGGTTGTGTGACGGGCTCCGCTACGGATCGAGTTCGGGAGCGATTTGTAGACAGCCCTGTTGTTCAACTAGATATATTAGGCGCTTCCATGAACAAGGGCCGTATACAGGGCGAGCTCGGTAGCCAGGCCCCTTACCCAACTTACAGCTGACTCTGACAGTACAGGTTCGTCTCTGCGTCTGACAAGTCACTTGATCTCGACACCTTCACCCATACTAGGAAGATTGCTTGTTGAGGCGAAAGCCGGTATCGCAGCCGGACGTATCACTAGGCATCTTATCAGAGACCCTCAAGCAAGGCAGCTACCCTATTTATAGGCATGCATGAACGAGGATCTTCTCATGTATCCTCTGATCGCCCGTCTGATGCCGGAGCTATTGCAGGTGTCTACGATATATGAGTAAGGGATCTTTGTCAAAATGGCATAGCACAATCTGACGAACTTGAAAGGTTACAACTTCGATCTTGCTTGTGACGCATCTCGCACCACGGCCCCTGCTGACAACTAGCCTGGCATTACTGTGCTATAAAACTCCAAAGTAACCATCTCGGCATTATACACAGCAACAAGGAAAATATTAGACTATTTCCAAAACAGCCAGAGCATCACATGATAACAAACCTATAAAGTATGGCCGCTAACCACCGAATATTTACTTTCGACTCTAGCTCGGCTCCACGTCTCTCTTGCCTGAGGAGAGAAACCCAAGGGGGAAAACTCAAGAGGATAGAAACCGTTTATGAGCTGATTTATAGAGTAGGAAATGGCAATGCCGTAGCAAGTCAATTGCTCTGGTCGAGTCCGATACGACCCTCATCGACCTGACTTGACCATACCTAGACGTCATCGAGCTCTGGTGCATTCTCGCAGTCGAATCTGTCAGCCTCGAGCCATCGTTAGGATCTATCTACATCAGCATCTTCGTCACATACCTTTCTGTTTGGCAATGCTGTCGAGTATGATCCGCGGACTTGAGTTCCTTCTTGCACGTGCATACCACAGATTTCTTCGCCTCCATAGGATGGAAATGCACCACCAAGAACTACAACGGATGGATGGGTTCTGAGCCCTTCTTGATAACAGCTTGCAAATATAGCACGGTTCGTGCTTCAGAACTACTCATAGAGCACGATATGAGCCGCTTCTTGATGGCTGTCTGAATCTCTGCTTTGAGAACAGAGCAAACCTAGGGCGCTGTCATATGATACAACAAAGTCGCGCAGATCGTCGTTGCTGTTGTGTCCGGTCCAGTTATAACAATGAACATCGTTTCCGAGCGGCCTCTTCTCGAGTGAGCCCAGAGTACCATTTCTCCGCTCCATGGTACAACCCTGGCCTGTCCAAATTTCTGCGTGATGACAGAGTTTTGACGTTGTCGTGGTATCTCCTCATTCCAAGGATCCTTGGACGGGGCAATTCCGCAAGCGCCCACCAGAGTCTTTGGGCAAGCCCATTTTCGAATGATATTTCAAAAGAGGTCTTCCAAGGATTGCTACAACCCAGATTGCTCATCTGAATTTCGGCCCGGTTTGGTCTCTATATCTTCCTTTCTCGATCCGAAATACGTCGCAGAATGTCTCATAGAGAGGAGCGTGTCTCAGCAGAGTGGACGCACAAAACGAGGCGAATAAATAAGCTCTATCGTTGCCGGGACAGCCAACCTGAGAACACTGTTTAAGAACCCTTCGTTGCCCATGGTAATCAGCAGGCAGGTCGAGACATGATCCAGACCCTTGTGGCCTGGCTGAGGCAACGTTGAATACCCACGAGCTGGATCGCCCTGCTCATGCCCAGCTTTCGAGCCCGGGTCAGAAGACTAAACCAGCGGGCAACGAGGGTTCATGCTGTATCGTTTTATCTGTCTGCGCGAACACTTGTCATAGGAGTGTCTTTGTTCGCCGACCCCGACCGACGTTCCCACGATGTCAAGTAAGATAAGACGTAGCAGTGGAGCTCGGGGAACAGAAAGAGGAGCAATTGATTAAACGGCTCGTTTCTTTCGGCTTGTAGCTCAGCGCGCGTATCACAAGCTTGGTTTGCTGATTGTTACGACCGACCGCCGACAACTGCCTCTATGGTCCTCGTGTCTTCTTTGTCTGTAAAATCTATTGCAACTGTAGGCCATAACTTCCATGACGGTTCGCTACGCAACCTTTGAACCTTGCAACCCACACTATCAAATTCAATGCACGATAGGTTCACTAGCGTCGGTATAAGCAACCTTTAGCGCAAGTCAACTTAACGTTAACGTTAGTCAGCTCTTCTTATTGTCATGCATTTCCTATTAGAAAGCATAACAACTACAGCTTCCAGTGCCTTGTTCATGAAAACCAAATGGAGCCACCGGCTTTCTGAGGGCGCCGTTACACACACGGCGATCGTTACTTCGCAGGGCTCTGAAAAGGCCACCACGCAGACCATCATAGGGCCTGGCTGGTAAGACAGCTCGAGCGAGCGTCCTGACAACCGGAGCTGCGACGGTCGTCAGAGTTATACAGCGTCCAATGTTTACTCTCAGTCGTTGTTGAAACAAATCGCAGTGGTCCGAAACTTGTGGAAAGATGACAGCCCCACAGGCCTCGGATCGGCGCTCATACCAATACGCACCGACCTGCATGGTCGATAATGGCAATACTGCAGAACTCGGCACCGACTTGTTCATGGGGCTTATTGGATCTGGAGTGACCAGAGGTACAAAGCTTGTTTCTTGTTAGTATTCTAAACGTCAAGGTTTTCAGCTTTTCTCCGGAGGGTGCTCAGGATGGCACGGGCGTAGGTGTCTGCACAAGATGACATGCGGTACACAGCTTGCTTCTTAATACCGGACTCCGTCCCGGAGGTTCGTCCAATATCTGGATTCTAACTTCTCTTCTTCTGCTTCCAACTCACCTCTATTCTTTTGCGAACATACATTCTGTCACTCTCCTTCTCCCAACCGCTCTAGCCGCATTATTTTCGAACAATCCTTGGGGAAAAGTGGGCGAAGAGAATTGCTGCAAGTGGTAAACGCTCACTATAACCCCCCCCCATTTTGGGGAACTCCGGGCCCACAGTCTTTGAAAAGATCCAACACGCTGCTCGAAGAGCAACACGATAATCTGTTCTGCAAATCGATATCAACATGGTCGATTGGACATCCATACTGCCTCCCAGCGTGGTGGCAGATACCGTAACACCAAAAGACCCAGAATTGGTAAGTTCTTGCCATTACTTTATTATGTCTTCAACAACATGTCTTATAGAGGTGGCTTGGCGGGCCCACTATTATTGAACGTAAATGGCGGCCACAAACTCCATCTGGGGTGACAATCAATCGCATAGCAACAAGAACACTTCAATCATAAAACCAAGAACTTTGCTGACGCGTTTACCAGGCACCAGCTACAAACACAACTGTACCGACAACATCGGGACTAAACAATGGTGCTCCGTATCTACCAAGCACAGCGCAGCTGGGCGGCGTGCCGACACCACCTATTGATAATCCAATTAGTGCTGTGCTGACGTTTCTCTTCTTGGTCGCAGCCGCCGCACACATGGTGGTATTTCAGATATTCAAGCGACGGAACCATCTCTTCGTCTTCAGCGCCATGATGTTTGCCTTTAGCTTGATACGTGCCCTAGCGCTGGTTCTACGCATGGCATGGGCCAGCCATGAAACAAACGTGCGACTCGCCATCGCGGCCGGCATACTCGCGCAGGCGGGAACCATTCTGGTCTTCATCATCAACCTGTTCTTTGCCCAGCGGGTACTGAGAGGGTACCACCCGAATTTTGGCTGGAGCAAGCCGGCGGGTATCCTCTTCAACTTCCTATTCGCCAGCGTGGTCATCTCGCTGATGATGATCATCGTGACCACGGTGCAATCGTTTTTCACGCTCGACGAGGCCACGAGGGAGAGGGATCATGCGGTGCAACTGTTCGGTGGCACGTACCTGGCGGTCCTCGCCTTTCTGCCGATCCCGATCGTGGTCGTCTCGGCCATCGCGCCGCGCAAGTACGTGGTCGAGAAGTTCGGCACCGGGCGCTGGCGAACCAAGCTGTTCCTGCTGCTGTTCACGTCCGCCATCATGTCGCTCGGCGCTGGTTTCCGCGCCGGTGCCAACTTTGCGCCCCGGCCCATTGACGACCCCGCTTGGTACCATGGCCGTGGCCCCTACTACGCCTTCAACTATGGCCTGGACCTCATCACCACATACCTGTACTTGGGCGTCGAGTTCCACAAGCGCTTCTTCGTGCCCAACGGCGCCAAAGGTCCCGGGTCTTACATGTCAGCGACTAGCCTCCCGACGGAGAAGGCGCGCCCGGCGCCCGCAGATTCGACGAAGCCAGCCATGATGCAGTCCGCAGACGACGGCTACGGCCCGTCCGTCGAGACCCTGGCCTCGCAGCACTACAGCGAGTCGGCGCCGTCGCCCACCGTCTACAGCAGCAAGATGCCGATCACGTACGTGGGGTACAACGATTCGTCCTCGTCCCTGAAGCCCGGCCAGAAGAAGTCGCAGCAGCAGCAGGGTAGGCGGCTCTCCAAGGCGCACTCGCGAGCCCAGCAGCGGTCCAACACCTCGCTCTACTCCCAGGACACCTTCGTGGGGTCCGTGGACCCGGGCCTCATGGACACGCCCCCGCTGACCAGGACCATCTCGGGCGCCACGGAGCACATCGCCGACGAGCCGCCCAACCTGCCCCCGGTGCCCATCCTGCCCGCCGCGTTCGAGGACATGTACGGCGGTAGCAGCAGCAGCAGCCGCGAGGGCAGCGGGAGCTACATACTGGAGAATGATTCCTCCAGGCGCACGTCCGGCAACTCCTTTGCCGGCGCGCGGACTGCTGCGGCCGGCGGCAACAGAGGCAGCGGGAGCACGAGCACGGACAAGAGGTCTAGCGACGTGCTGAGCGACATGCTGCAGAAGATGGACAGCGTGCGGCACAGCGCCGGGAGCCACGGCAAGGCGGCGTCGGTGGAGAGGACGAGCGAGGGGCTCCGGATGTGGTCGCCGACGTGGGTGGACTCGGCTGACATGTCCGGGGCCATGGATGCTGGGCTTCTACAGCAGCAGCAGCAGCAGCAGCAGCAGCGGGGGCGGCCGCACAATCCTGCTGCCGAGGAACCACCACATATACAGCAGCGCCGGCGATCGCAGCATCAGTCCTTTGAACTCGAAGTTGAGAGGTCGCGGCCGCCGCACATGCAGACGCAATACCAGCCACAACGACAGCAGCAGCCGCAGCAGGAGCAAGCTTTCGACCGACAGCCGCAGCGGCGACGGCCTCAGTCTACAGATGGGAGCGACCAGGTGGGCACGAGCGAGGACTCGAGCTCGTATCACACGGGCGAATCGAATGGATCGACGAGTGACGGTACTAAGTCGAGGCCGCAGACGAGGCAATCGTAATCGGGAATTACTATACTTGACATTAAGTGGGCAGGCATATGGAGTTCACCAACGGCATCACACCAACTTGTCTTTTTATTTGTCTACTCATTCAGCATGTAGTCAGACGACATGTCATGTTTCATAGATAACATCTGGGGCTGGAAATCTCAATCGCAGAGATAAAACATTCGGGGAAACATAATAGCATATACACATACCTTGCCCTTTTCCCATAGCCATTGGAATCCCCTCACAGCAAGTGTTCGATAGTCTATAATGTCGCCAGAGGGCTATACATGATAATTTACTCAACTCTGATGTGTTTGTAGAACAGCTGAGCTGACTAGTGACGTCGAAGTGAGTTTAACTTTATGCAGCGCGGGAGTACAACACGTTTGAAGACGGCGAACTTTTTCATCATGGGAATATATCATCATTAACTCTAGTTGTTCCCGGCTTGCCAGGTGTTGCTGCTTGATTCAGACGTGTACGATTTAAAACGTAAAATGACGGCTAAAGTAAACGAGAAAAAAGCGTGGTCCTCTCATCCTCGTACTTTGCATGCATCAACAGTCGCTTTTCGCCATCGGAGCGAACAAATCCCGTCACGCCGAAGCAGATCGACAGCAGGGCAATAGAGTTTGGCCGGTGGGGTAATCGTACAGTACACAACATGCGCTGTCGCTCTTCCTTCTTGTCCGTATTCCTGAAGGATTCTTCTGTTGTTGTTATTGTTGTCGTCGTCGTCGTCGTCATGAACCTGTGGGTCTACCAAGTTTGTAGCCCTCGGCCTCTGAGAGCATCCGTAAGAGACGTGATTACAAGAAGTAATCCGGCGTACCTGTGAGAAGCTTAGTACATGATCCGGCACGAAAAGGAGTGGGATCGGCGGCTGCGGTAAGGCTGTGTTCCGGTACACCAGCTGATGCCGGGAGGGACAGGAGGAGACAAGGCGACTTACGTCTAGAGACCATTGGCTCGCCAGCACGTGGGCAAGGGTCAAATTGAAGGCTGCGAAGGAGTCCTGTCAGCTTGTCGTGCGCACTGAAAGTTGTGGATGGGTGTTACTTACAACGTGTACTTGAGGTGCTCGTCAATTTCCATGATGGCGGCCTGGTTTCCGCATCTGTAACAGTAGTTTGGCGCTGAGAAGATGGTCACGACGTTCCGATCTTGTGACCAGTTGTATCCTTCCATGACCAGTTGATGGGCTCTCGCGATGAGGGTCAGGCCATTGTTGTGGTTAAAGGCCTCACTGATATCTTGGCCAAAGGTATAACCGGCACCACGGGGGGAGATTCCCCAACCGCATCGGTCATCGGGGTCAGACCACAACAGGTCGCACATGGGGCCCTCGTGAGGGACTTCTTGGATACGGTCGAGGGCGCGGATGTTGTCAAGAGTGTCGATGCTGGGGGAGAGACCGCCGTGGAGACAGAAGATCTGATTGTCGATGAGGGCGGTCAGGGGGAGGTAGTCGAAGAGGTCGGTGAAGAACTTCCAGACGTTGGCATTGCCGTATTTCCGCAGACACTCATCGTAGAAGCCGTAGACCTGGGTGATCTGACGCGACTCGTGGTTACCACGGAGGATGGTGATTCTCTCTGGGTATCGAATCTTCAGTGCGACGAGGAGGGTTACCGTCTCGACGGAGTAGTAACCACGATCGACGTAGTCTCCCATGAACAAGTAGTTGGTGTCGGGATTGGGGCCGCCAATCTTGAACAACTCCATCAAATCGTGGAACTGACCGTGGATATCACCGCACACTGTTACCGGGCATTTCTGTTCGCGGCGGGGTGGTTAGTATGCCAAGGCAAGGCCGCAGTGCTGTTGGGCCAGAATAAATTACATACTACCGGTTGCACATTTGACTCGGTTTGAAGGACTTCTCTTGCCTGTTGTGCTGGATGATCAGTAACGGTTTTGTTTTTCTGGATGCCGTGTCGATGGGGACGAGGGACAAGGGACATAGGAGGAGGAGGAGGAGAGAGGAGGACAAAGCAGCGGAGCAGAGCAGAGTAGAGTAGAGCACACACCTTCTCGCAGAGTCTCTGAACGTCGGGCTCAGCCAGTTGTTTGCAGCTCATCAGGCTCTCGATCCACCCGTCGAGGGTAGGTATAGTCGCAGGCTCGGAGGTGGGCAGAGGCGGTGCCAGCTCGGTGGGTTGGCTCACGTCCTCCATGTTGGTGTCCATGATTGCGGGCGATGGTTCTGGTGACGGATTCTAGTGCCGTGACTTGACTCTTCTGTGGCGAAATGGGATAGCGGAGAATTGCTTGGTCGTGCCTCTCCTCGGGCGTGGCTTGTTGTCGCGCGAGGGGTGTTGATTGAGGGCGTCGTGGGATTTTGTCGAGGCTGATGGTGAAAGTCGCAGATGACGTTGGGTTGAATGGGCAGGGGGAAGGGGAAAGGACTTGATTAGCGCGAGTCTGAGGACGGGTGATGACTTTTGGAAGACAAGAGGACAGAGGCCGGTTCGCAGGCGATCAAAAAGAGTCGACCGTCGGAGGGAGCTGCTGCGGGGGGGTGCACCTCCTAACAACTAACTAACTCAGTCTTCTCGGATCACAGTAGCTCGAGCAATACCCAAGTAAACACGCGTGCAGGCGGGAGCTTGAAGCAAATTTATCATCCGCTTCTAACGTGACCGTGACCGTAGCTTTCGCCCGTAGATTGGTTGTAGGGTTGCGTTGCTCTTCGGTCTGGTCTCGCAAGTTCGCGGGGTCGGCCCAAGATTGGGGGGCTGGCTACTATGAAGTTGCTCTTCGTCTAAGTTAGTCTAGCCTCCAGGACAGTTAAGTTACGCCCAGTTGAATCCAGTCTGCTTGCTGCTTTGTTTTGACGCCAATGAACAAAAACAGATGCAAAGCGGCCCGAGCTCACCATGGGAAATTCAAATGACCTCGCTTACTCCTACATAGCTATTATTCAATTTGCATCCAGATGAGACCCCTCCATCTCAAAACTACCACCTACACACAGTCTCCGTCCTCGACACACCCTTGCCCACCATTGGCCATCTTGGTGCCTTCTCCCCTTTTGGTATTCACCCCTTTTGGTATTCACACTACATTTATACGGCAGAGTATATTCAACAAGCACTCAAGTACCCGCAGAAAAACTAAGCAACATACTTGGAATCATTCAATGGACTATACTGAACCTTTGACAAGGCTACCTGAGACTAGTCTACGGCATTTCTTTCCGTTGTTGGGTCCTGATGGCCCATGCCTCTGCTCTGAAGAAGAAACCCCCCCCCCCCCCCCCGTTTTGGTACCTCATCTCTATGAATTGCGTCGGATACTTTCTGCTGGAGGACCAGTGTAAAACCCACACGAGCCCAACTTCAACCAATATATTCCCACTAGGTCAGACCATCACCATCATAATCGACCGCTTGGGCATGTGTGAGTATGCAGAGAGGAATAGCCCACTGCGAATTATGGTCGAGGTAGTGAACAAACCATGTTGCAACGTGAAAGCTCTCTTGGTGACAGTAGAGTAATGAATGGAGACCGCAAGAGAAGCCATTGGCAGCGCAGCTGAATCCTGCCGCCGCTATACGATATCAAATCAGAGTGCAAGAGTGGAGGGCCTAGGCTGGTGGTTGCCTTGCTTTCGAGGTATTGAGACTGATATTGTTGAGCAGAGAGGCCATGCTTATAACATTGCAAAAATCGCGAAAATACCACTCTCCGCTTCATGGATATTTTTGGTCCTAGAATACTCTTCAGGAGAGCTTTTGTTCTTTCACCCGCCTAAAGAAAACCGTCCATAACAATAAGATGCTTACAGTGAAAGTTGCGTTTGGCTTAGGGGCCTTGTTGAGGCTGGTTATTTGATCAACGTCAGGCTCGCTTTTGGGAGCTGTTCTCCTCGATACCAACATTCACATCGTTTGCGCTCTTGACCGTGTCCGTTGCTATCGAAATCCAAGGTTATTACAACAGGTTGAATCCTTGATGATTTGATTGATGTCTTGATTTATCTTGTCTCGCTCCGCCTTCCGGCTAGAGCACTGCGATTCGGCTGCGCTCGTTTTAAGCCCACAGGAGTTCTTTGCAGGCTCCTTGAATACAACCAGGTTACTCCTTTTAGCCTGCTCTAAACAATTGTAACTGGTTAGAAACATACTGAAGGATATGCCCTGTAGGTCGTTCCAAATGTGAAGGGATGTCGAGCAGCTTGATGATCTGACTTTTTGTAAGCTATAGTAAAAACAAAGAGTTTACAGGTTATATGGAACTTCAACGGCTTATTCTGAAGGACACTAACGAGCTGGTAGAGAAAGGCTTCATGTATTATAATATCCATTTAGTCTAGTGTTTGGGATTGCCACTTTCAAATCCACGTTTCTGTGCCCCTCAATGTGTGGTGGCTTCGATGGCTGTCAGTACATATACAGATAAGTAACGTGACAATGCCCACTAATCTGTAAGAGTAGAATTGTAAAGTTATGTATATTTATTTTGAATCTTACTTATGAAAGATTGATAATACTCGAATTTTTACCTCGTTGTAAATAATTGAATTACTGAATGGTTGCCAATCTGTCATGCTTTCGCACGCATATTTAACAAAGACCTTCGGCCACAGCGCCGATCATAATGTTACGACTTCCCCCGAGTTATAGAATAAATAAATGAAAACCTGCAAATTGCTCCATAGCGAATGCTGAGTTTGCTATCTTTGGTTTCGCGAGACTACCACTCGCGCATCATGGTCTTACAATCCGGGACAAAGGCTTCCATGCATGTTGTGCAGGCAAATACACCCATCTGTACACCAAGCGGCAGGGGGCCTGATCACTGTCTGTCAGGCGGCTTCCCTATTTAGAGACCTCTTAATCATCGCTCGTGAACCGTATATTTGACATCGTCAATATAAGTGGCTCCGCCTTGTTTGACCGTACTGTGATAGGTTGTCGCAAATTCAACCCTATCGAGATTTTTGAACGCGGAGTTCAACTGAGCCTTGGTCATTTTCGCATTTGTCGTTCGTCCCGGTTGGAAAGTGAGCTTCTGGCTGGTCACACATCGACCGTTGTTGTAACCGAAGACTGTGACGATGCAGACTGACAAGGCCTTTGCCGAGCCGGCACCGGGTCCGTACACGCATCCAAAGTTGAAGGATGCCACATCGAAGGACGTGACATTGGTTTTACCCGGAGGAATTGTGATGAAAGGGACGACAAAAGGATCAGTGGTTTGTATATATGCTGCAACATTTCGACCCGATGACGGTGCGACCCCTACAGGCACCAAACCATTACCAAGTCCTGGCTCTAACAGATCTGTTATGTAGACGTCAGTTGATAAATTGAAGGTATGTATTGCTTCGAAACGTACACTATATTATTTGTTGTCAGTAGATGATAACTTTCTATAAGTTTAGGGTCTCTGGGAATGTTTTGAGATAGTGACAAAAAGCTCAGTCATCTCTAACAGGCAATATGTGCCTCATAGGCATGCTAGAAAGGGTAGAAAGTGAACAAGAAAATTGCTTACCATTCTGCCAAAGAAGACTTGGTATGTTCTCACATTCTGACGAACCTCGAATCCAAGTTTGTTTGGTGTGCTGCAGGCAAAGCGATCAAAATTGGCAATAGATGTGACGCTCGTGAGCGCGCGTTGCTCGACAGCTCTCGCCAGGGTGAGAGTTGCGGCTAGCAGAAGGAGAAGGACGAGGAATCTCGGCATTGCGGTAATTGGAGCCCAACTGAGAACCACTTGAGTTATGCCGAATCAAAGTTTCTGTTTGCAATGATTGTCAACAGTGCTGGCGGGAATGATCTCATGCAAAACGGCTGCAAACGCTCGAGTTAAATATACAATGGGGGAAAAAAAAAAAGGCAACAAGATTTCGATGGTAATAGTAGTGGCAAGCACGTGGGACTCAGCTGTCTCAGTTGTCACAAAGCAGTTTATAGCTCTAGTGGAAGAAATACCAGTTTTTGCAATCCCGAAGGCATGGTAACTTTGGAGTATGAGAAAAAAGTGTAAAGTTAAAATGGTCGGTTGGCTTGATGTATTAGCAAGTGAGACAAGCAAAAGTGATGTGAAGCGCCTCCCAAAATTTATGGCGTCTCAATCAAAGACATGTCAAACCATTGGGCTGAGTTTCGAGCCTAGATTGCGCTCGTGGATTAATTTAGGCGATAATAGCTTCCTGCAGTTTCTCAGTCGTGGTTTCTTCGTACGTACCATATGAGTCGCATGACAACGTCCTGACCAAGCTTGAGACGTGAAAATACCAGTGACAGCGGATTACTAAGTCATCTGCCACAAATACACAATGTTGAAATGAAGCCGGCCTCATACGTTGTAGCGAACGACATGCATCTTAGTCGATGAGCTTGTGTCATTTGTGCTTCTACCTCAAACAGCCTTGACCAAACAGCTTCAACAAACAGTTTGCGATCCGCCATTCTCTGTCATGGAGATATCATGGGAAACCAAGGGTTTTAGTAGTATACCAGCACATATAAGTCTGGACTGGAACCATGTCGATTGAAAGGCCGCAATTAAAGCTACGGTCTCTTTGCATGAAGACTGTTGGACCATTAGCTAAGAACATATCTTAGAGTATTTACTCCATGAGGTTAACTGAGCCATAATGACCAAACAAACTGGTCATCCTATGCCTTTTACAAAGAGGTTGCAAGTCGTAGGACTTCTGGAACATGGTGTTTAATATCCTCAGGCAACTGCCTCGAAATCATATTAGATAGATATTTACCTGGGTCCGCAATCTTGATTCGCAGCATTAAAACAACAGAAATATTTGCGTTCTAAACAAGGATTATCCCGATCACTCTCTCAGACCATTCGTCATCTACATAGACAACCAGGGAAACAAACAGCTCAGCATAATATAAGATAGCCGGGACACGAGATCTTTGCATGCTGGCCATCCCCTTGGAAAATTATCCACACCGTTCTCAAACATCACATTGTACAGCCTACACCAAAAGTCGATGGTCGAAAATATTTTTTTGGCTGCGCTAGTTGCGTAAATTCCATTCCTCATCTTTGTGGAATGCGCGACACTGCTAAGTCATAGACATAATTCAGCACTGATATGTGCAATGGTGATGTTGAGGAAATCAGGAACTTTAAGAAACTGCCCATCACCAATTTCACTACCGCCGAGAAACAACTTAGATCTTCAAACATTGTGAAACCTATATCCAACATGGAAATTTCATCGGAGCTTGTCCAAAACGTCCTCAACGACTGTGACGTTCGAACGGTTGCACGCTTCAAAACGGGTGAGCCAGAATACAAAGGAGACCGCTCATTAAGATCTCGCCGAGCTGTCACGCTTAAGTTTGGAAGGCTGATAAGAGAGCCAAGAAGGCTGTAATCGTGGTTAGACGGGCCTGTAATACTGCGACCGTTGGGAACTTTGGATTGTATCAGTGGAATGTCCCACTGTTTCAAGGCAATTCGATGCCTAGAATTGTGCATTTTGTGGTCATGATTCGAGAAAAAGCTGATAATATTAAAGAGCAGTTAAGTCGTGCGGTCCATTGTTCAAATATGCAATGCCTGTGCCGGTTTGCCTTCGAGATCTTGGCACGAGTATGGAATATACGGAGGGCGCTGGAACAGAACAGGGGCTTGCGGTTGAAGAATGTCCAAATGACTAAGCACAGTTGATCGGCCCACAATTTAGACTCCCCTGGAGCCAGAGCACCGGATGGCAAAATTGCCCCTCCACCGAACGCCAACTGTGTGGCGTGCCCCTCCAACCATCAACCAAAAAATTTGGACACCGCGTGCATATTGAAGATGGGCATCGCGCAATGGATGAACGAAGTGCAGGCCGCCGGGCCTGTAGCCCGTGAGTGTTGAGATCAAGCCTTGAATTTTTCGACGTTGCTGACGATAGTCTCAGAGATCATTGATTTGTGGCATACTCATAGGACGTCAGTTCTCATGACCACCTTTGGTGTGTTGTGCTTGGTTTATTCATACTTGCTCTACACCCAACCCCGAGAGTACTCGGTGGCGTTCAAGAAGATCTACGATGACTCCGTAAAGGATGCGTCGACCTCTAAATCGCAGGTGCTGGATGAGAAACCATCGGTGCCACTGCTGAAAGAGCCTGCCACAAATGGGCCGAAGCGCATCAAGGGTGAACTTCGCAAGCCTGAAGTAAAGCGATCAGAATCTCGCTCCGACGAGCCCCGTCGGGTTCAGCCTCTAGTCTTCTTTTCGTCACTGACAGGCAATACCGAGAGTATCGTTAAAGAGTTTGGCAAGTCTCTGGAGGCCGTATTCAAGCAGGATGCATCTGAAGACACCAGAATCCTGACGCCCATGATTTTGGACCTTACCGAAATTGACTACGACGAGTACTTCATAACACCACCCAAGGCAACAGAAGGGGGTGATGCTGTGGACTATGTTTATCTGCTCATCATCCCGAGTTACAATATCGATACCATGAACGACATTTTCTTGGAACACTTACAAGAGACGCACAATGACTTCAGGATAGATACTGCGCCTTTGTCGGGACTTGTTGGTTATTCGGTGTTTGGCCTCGGAGATCGCGAAGGGTGGCCCACCGAAGAGGAAGGTTTCTGTTTCCAGGCAAAGGAGGTTGATAAGTGGATGGCGAAATTGACAAGCCGGAAAAGAGCCTTCCCACTTGGTATGGCAGACACAAAACGCGAGCTGAAAGAGAGACTGGATGAGTGGACCCAGGGTGTAGGAGATGTGCTCAGTACAGTTGCGAAGACCGGGGGCCTGGGCGAAGGAGTACCTGGAAGCGGAGATGCCGTTGAGAGTGACGACGAATCCGTGTCTGGAGATGACGACGGCGAGGTCCTCTTCGAAGACCAGACAGTTGAGATCAACCGGCCAAAGAAGAAAACCACCGGCAACCTTGAGGATGTTGAGGATCTTGGTAGGATCATGAAGTCCTCCGGTGGTGGTCAAGCGCCCATCGCAGTCGACTTCACAACCTACAGCAGACCCGCGAAGAAGTCCGCGACGCAGACCGTAAAAGAGATGGTACCGAAGAGCTCGCCAACATACAACTCCCTGACCAAGCAGGGCTACCAAATCGTTGGTTCGCATTCAGGGGTAAAGATTTGTCGTTGGACGAAATCCGCGCTTCGTGGCCGTGGCTCGTGCTACAAATATTCCTTTTATGGAATCGCGTCGCACCAGTGCATGGAAACTACGCCCTCACTCTCTTGCAGCAACAAGTGTGTCTTCTGCTGGCGACACGGCACCAACCCCGTTGGCACAACCTGGCGCTGGGTCGTTGACCCGCCCGAGTTGATCTTTAATGGCGTCAAGGAGGGCCATTACAAGAAGATCAAGATGATGCGCGGCGTACCTGGTGTTCGAGCTGAGCGCTTCGCCGAAGCGATGCGCATCCGCCACTGCGCGCTCAGTCTCGTTGGTGAGCCCATTTTCTATCCTCACATCAACGAGTTCTTGGCCATGATTCACAAGGAACATATATCCTCTTTCCTGGTGTGCAACGCGCAGCACCCAGACGAGCTCGCGGCCCTGAAGGCCGTGACTCAGCTCTACGTGTCTATCGACGCGAGCAACAAGGAGTCGCTCCGCAAGATTGACCGTCCACTACATCGCGACTTCTGGGAACGTTTCCAACGGTGTCTCGATATCCTGCGAGAGAAGCGTTTCAAGCAGCGCACTGTCTTCCGCCTGACCTTGGTCAAGGGATTCAACGTGGACGACGAGGTCGAGGGCTACGCCGACCTTGTCGAGCGCGGCCTGCCTTGCTTCGTCGAGGTCAAGGGCGTGACGTTCTGCGGCACCAGCACTTCTGCGGGCGCCGGTCTCACCATGGCCAACGTGCCCTTCTACGCCGAGGTGCAGGAGTTCGTCGAGGCGCTGAGCCGAAAGCTCAACGAGCGAGGCTTGAAATACGGCCTCGCGGCTGAGCATGCCCACAGTTGCTGCGTTCTGATTGCTAGTGAACGCTTCAACAAGGATGGCAAGTGGCACACTCGCATCGACTACAAGCGCTTCTTTGAGCTGTTGGAGGAACGGGGCGCGGATGGTGACTGGAAGCCCGAGGACTACATGGGCGAAGCAACACCGGAGTGGGCTACTTGGGGCAACGGTGGATTTGACCCTAGGGATCAAAGGGTGGACAGAAAGGGGCGGCCTATAGAGAGATAGCGAATGACCGAGGGGGTGGATTGGTGGACGGCATGACGAACTGCCACTCAAGACTGCAGCCTTTGTCGATTATGTACAGAGAGAAGAAGAAAAATCAAGGGCATGATTCATCATTTGTCTATGGCCCCCCTTGGCTGTGAGTTTCCGGACGTCCATGCCATACCATGCGCGTTGTGCTACAAAAATATACAAGTAACTCCTCCCTCGTCCCCTTTCACGGAGGGTTCTGGCCGAGTCGGATAAAGTGCCGCTCCAGCTCGCATTATATCTTACAACAAGAAAATATGTTTCTCTAGCCCTTCATATCATGCCTGGTCTTTTCCTGGGCATGGCAGGACGGTCCCGCGGAAATCTTCATAAGGGTATGTTCGTTGAGGGTGTGTGGAGTTGATCCCCAAAGTTGTTTGTTCAACGGGGGGTTTCCTTCTTCGGGCGTTGATGTTTAGTCCAGACCAGGGTGAGGCATGCTGCCAATGCCGTCGAGGTCAAGTGCCTTGTCGTAAGCGATCATCTCGGCGAGAACATCCAGAACCCTCTGTGGAAATCATGGTGGTTAGCAACTGGTGGGTTCCTTCTCGCTCTCGAATGGACGGCGTGAAGGCAGGCCACACAAACGCATGCTCGAGCGCAAGAGAAAGGGCAACGCAATGCAACGCTAGCTAGCTTACCTTGTCAACAGTCTTGTCGTAGATACCAATCAGATCTCCGGGTGTAGGGTAGACCTTGAGGGCCTTGTAGAAGGCAAGGGCGGCGTCCATGGTCTTGGACGGGTCGGCGGCGAGCTGCTCGCCGATCTGTACGTGCTCCATGAAGTAGCCCTCGCGCTCGTTGACGCCGGTGGGGAAGCCCTCGTCGGCGGCGGCATCGACGGCGGTTTGGATGTCCTTGACGCGCTCCTGGCGGCCGGCGGCGGCGGACTCCTTCTCCTTGCGCGAGGCCTGGCGCTCATTGCGCCGCAGGGTGCGTCGGAACTCGACTGACTGGCGGCGCTGGCTGTCAAAGTAGATGGCGTATCCTGAAATAAGTGAGGTTAGGGGCCGTTTGCGTTTTGGTAATGGGTGTCAGAGCTGTGACGGCAGATGGTTGCAGATGGGATAAAAAGGTGAAGGTGAAGGTGAAGGCGTTGCTCTTGATGCATGGTGACGTGACGTACCTAGCAGACCGGTAGCTATCGTCGCGACGCTTATCGTCGCTATTGTGGAAGTTTGAACCATTTCGAATGGGTGTGGGAAGGGGCAGTCCTATATCGTACGGAGAACCAAAGGGGAGGGAGGAGGAGGAGGAGGATCGGAAGTGGTGCCGGCGATGTTGTGAAGCTGTGTCGTTTAAACAGGTTAAAAAAGATATATGGAGAAGGGCTAGCTTTTCGGCGACGAGGAAGAGCTTCAATCGCAAGCAAGCAAGCAGTTGGGGGATTCTGCTGTACAGAGAGTAAAGCAAAGTAATTTTTTTCAGATTCTTATTTAGTCTACTTTGAAGGCCCCGGATAGCACCAAGCACAGCCAAGCATAGACAAGCAGCCTGACGATTGATCCCTGTAGCAAGTCCCCCGGTCCACTACGGTGACTTCACTTCCAACTTTGCCGTGTGCAATCCGCAGCTTAGCGACCATCGCTGGCAACTATTTTCCGGGTCCGCCGCCCGACCACCAGAAGAGAGCTGGGCTCCAATTCCGACGTTAGTGAAAGTGAGGACTCCGTCGGTATGCATGTATGTACTGCAACCAAGGAATGTGTCCAGTACATGTCCCTGCCGTCAAGCTAGTGACGCTCATGGGGTACCGATACTGGTGAAGCTCAACTTCCATTGATCGTTGTATTGTGTTGATTGCCGATACGACACGACACGATACTCTCATCTCGTCTCATCCCGCCAGGCTCCCGCCTTTGAAACCAACTTCATTGCAGCGCACCACGTTTAGATGCTGACGCGTTATGCACTGTCTTCCAATGTTTGAGTCCATGTTAAAAGTATCCCGCTTTCTATCAATCATAATCACAAGCGACGACTCCAACTTCCACGTCCACGTCCACGACCATATTCGAGTCCACTCCCAGCCTCCCACATCCCACGTACAAATTGATTGAGTGCTGGTCGCCCACCATGTCTGAAGATAGAAAAGGAATCTCCCTGCGCAGTGGAGGCAAGAGAAAGGGACGCCCGACTATCAGCGCACCCAAGCAGATCTCCGGCCCGATCCCCAACAATGGCGTCGACGTCCCACGCAGTTCTGGCGGAAAGGCTCCCCCCGGCGCTCAGCAGCCCATGGCGAGGCCCCCTCCACGGGGAGGAAAGACCGGTGACCTGGTTCAGCGCAGGTACTCTACTCGCTTCAACAACCTGCCGCAAGACTTCGACGCAACAGCTCCGCCCGTCCCAAACCTGCCTACCTTCGATCCATCCAAGTATGGCGCACCCCCCGGAGAAAGGCGGCCACCGCCCTCGAGGGGCGAGGGCGCGCCCCTGGGTCCCACGCGGTCGGTGGGTGCCGTACCTGTCGACGTCAAGGCACTGAGAGACCCCCAGCTTGCCCCTGATCAATATGTCGCCAACATTCTAAGCGAAGCCACCGAGGACGAGATACGCGATTACCAGGAGAGCTTGAGGAAACTCAAGGCGCGGGCCAAAACCGACCTGCAGCAAAATGTCTACCAGAACCGTACGCAGTTCATCAAGATCAGCAAGGAGGCCGAGAAGCTGAAGAGTGAAATGCGCTCTTTGAGGAATTTGATTACCGAGCTCAAGACGAACACAACCGCATTGAGAGCTGCCTCTGCCAACTCCAGCTCAACCCTCACTGGCGAGCTTAGCACCGGACTCAGTAAGAAGGACAGGCGAAGCTCGGTTGCCGACCGAACCGCACTGTGGAACTCTCAGATGCAAGCGTTGTACAAGAACGTCGAGGGCTCCCAGAAGTTCTTGCCCAACTCAATGGGTAGGCATGTCGTCCAGGATGCTGGTTACTGGATCGAGCTGGACAATGCAACCTACAAGTCCCGGAGGTCTATGCAGATCTTCCTACTCAACGATCATCTGCTTGTCGCTTCTCGCAAGAAGAGAAAGGCAGATCAGCCCAACGACAACCGCGCCCCGCTGACCAAGCTGGTCGCAGATCGTTGCTGGCCTCTACTCGAGATCGAGATAGTGGACATGGCCAGCACAAACGAAAGTTCTGGCAGTAGGAACAAACTTGCTGACGCTATCATGGTTCGCGGCATGGGCCAGGAATCTTTCATCTATCGGACAGAGAAGCCTGAGGACACCCAGAAGTCCGCCTTGACACTGAACATCAGGAAGGCTGTCGAAGAGTTGAGAAAGGGGCTGCAGTCTGAGATGGAAGCAAATAACAAGGCCAAGGAGACTATCAATTATTTCGCTTCCCGTGATCCTGGTCTTCTAGAGAAGACCGAGTTGCTGCAAACCCTATCGGACATCAAGGACATGCTCATTGAGGTGGACGGCAAGCAGCAAAATCTACGATGGGTAGAATCTCAGATGGACGAGCTGGACATTGATATCGCTCTACAGCACTTTGAGATGGCCGTTGCCAAGGTCGAAAAGCTTAGAGACTTGGCAAGAGGGTTAAGAAATAATGCCATTGCTCAAGACTTCATCAACTTCAAGGTGCAAGAACGCTCCACGAAACTAGCAGCACTTATTACCAGGAATCTAGTCGACAATCACGATCAGTCGCAGAAGGCAAAGCGGAATGTTAGCTGGCTGACTAGGCTTGGATTTGAAGACCGCGCACGTGAGGCCTATCTTGAAGCACGGGGTGAACTAGTCAAGAAGAGGTCAAGGTATGCCAGTCCATGTCGGTGACGTCGAATCAAACATGCTAACTGCAAGCCAGACAATGCGTATTTCAAGGCGACCTGCATCTATACATCTGGCAGCTTTCCTTCGTCTATTTCAGCATAATCCGCAACACAGTGGCCTGCTTCCAGTCGTGCTTCCCACAAGTCATGCTCAGCGCCTGCGTCAAGTGGGCCAAAGAAGAGGTCGAAAGTTTCAACGTCATCCTTGCACGCCAGCTAAGCAGCGTAGAAAGGGACGGCGAGGCTTGGAGGGAGTGTATGGATCGTGCAAAGACTCATGCACAGATGCTTGCGGAGGTGCATCTAGACTTCAGAGACTTGATCGGAAAGCATATCAGAGAAGAGTCTGCGGTCATCGGCGACAGTAGGCCGATTGGACTTGGCCTGAGCTAGCAGAAGGCAGAGCGGAATGAATGAAGGATTGTGCGCGGCTAAATAGTGACGATGATATGAAATACCAAGAGCTAGCAATTTACCTCCTTTCCCCACTCAATGTCCCCAAGTTGACTTAAACCGTGGGCCATCTTGCCGTCATGTTAAGGCATTTCCAAAGAAGAGGGAGTGCTCGAGTTTTAACCGTTCAATTAGCCTGTCCCCTGATAGATTGTATCTCTTTCATCAATGAAATAGGGCTCTCATGAACTAGTACAAGAACGGGCTGATGTTTAAGTTTTGGCAGATCAGACTTATAAGTACTATAGATCGCAATGTTTCTACTGCTCAAAAACACCGACATTGGCCAAGCGCAAAAGTCACTGCCAGAACCATCAGCACCATCGTTTTCTTCCCCTTATCGCATTTGGTACCTGTGGATATACGCTTAGACCCACGATCCACCATTTCAACTGGGATCAGCTGTTCTATTATGTGGAGGGGGAACATCCATCGTGAGGGACCACTGGGATATGCTTCGAGACTTTGAACAACTGCCCATACTCCCTGAGGACCTTGCAGCTGGGCCTTGGAATCGGTTTGGACAAAGTGTGCTCAAACTTAATCACATACACAGCATCCATGTCTCATTAGAGCAGTAAACAATGTATCCGATAATAAGAAATAGGCCCCGGCCTTCCCGGGGGGGGGGGGGGTCGTGAAGGAGCATCGTCAACCTTGATAACACCATTCTCGATGGCAATCATGCTTTCGAACTGGGCAAAAGATGACTCCCATCCTGGTTCAGATCACATTTACGACTGGGACGATATCGCGCTCAAACATCTCTTGGTAGCATGAGCAGCATTCTACGTCCCCATACCGATTCTCGAGTCGTTTTTAATTCCGATCGTCTTGTTTCCTTCCGCCGTCTGCCTTCGTCGCTACTTGGTCTTCTGAGCTGCCACACATAGCATAGGAGATGAGGCGGCACACCCGACCAGGTCAAATATATTAGGGGATCGAATATATGGCTTCATAGCTCTCGTATTATTGGGTAAGAAACAGTACCCAGATCTGACGACTTTTTTTCTTGATTTTTTTTCTTCACTGTCAAAGGATACCTAAAACCAATATCATGCACATCGGGGGCTACAGCCATATTACCACAGTGGCTGGTTCACTGCTTCACATCAATGTCAACGGCGCGATTGGAGTTATATCTTGGGATTGAAACGACGAACATCGATCCATGTTATATATGAAATGATACATATCAATGAAGACTAGATTTCCGTGGTGAAATAAGATCCACAACAGATTGCACAGTGTTCTTCCGCAATATCGAATTCATTTGATGAGGTTGAATTGTACATAGCAGGTGCCAGAGATCAGATGAGGCTCTAATCTGATTAGAGTATACCTGTGCACGGACCACAGTTAACTCAATCCCACAAGGTTATCACTGATGGACAAAATTCTCGCATTTCTGCATGCCTCCAACAACGTTTGCGCAAAAGGCACTCACAGCGCAGTGTTTCGCCAGTGCATAACACGATATGGACCACAGGCCATTCTGCATATGGTACACATCACAAGGCCACTCTGAGGCATCGACATAGTATATCATTACGCAGCAAGCAGGACGCAGTCTGACGAGTAAGACATGCACGGCATGGATTCAAAATCGCTGTCATCAACGTATTCCGTTGCACACTTGAATGCCGAGAGGAAAGTATAGGTAGTGTATTCTATTGCCCATATGCGCTACACAATCCCCAATGCAATAACTAAGTCTAGTAATGAACCCGACTCGTTGATCTTCAACGCCTTCATGCCCACATCCAACCCAAAGAGACATGTCCTGGTATTCATCATAAAAATCCTCTTGCAGGTGTCGCAAGCATGCCTCGCTGCTTACAACAACTCCATCAAATGCCCCAAAAGAAATGCAGAGTCGCTACACAATCACTACAGAGTCGCAACTAGAGTCGCGAAGAACGAAAAATCACACAGCCGATCAAACGAGCTCGAAGCCGTCATCTTCGACAATCGTGGACTCATCCGAGGGGCCTTGGTTCTGACCACGGAGGTTGCGACGAGCCTTTCGACCCTTGAGAGCATCTCCATTGTAATCAAGGATCTCGTACTCCTTCTCTACAAGCTTCTCAGTCTCCTTAGTGTTCGTCTTCACAAAAACGTCCAGAGACAAGGGCTTGCCGGGAGTGTCGATTCGGTCGAAGCTATACAGGAAGCCATCGGACACACTCGGCTTGCGACGATGGTTCGGCGAAGGAAGTAAGTCGATAAGCGATCGCGAAATGGTCGGATCGTTCAACTCCTCCATGGCATCGACCTTTGCGCGAGAGTAGTTTGGCTTTACATCGGCTACGTACTTTGCCTTGACGATGTTGTGGGAGTGGACGTGGGAGCTGCAGCGATGAATTTGTCAGCCTGGGATCCTACGGTTGGGTGAGATTTGTGGTTCTGGCACTCACTTGTTGTCGTACAGGCGCTGAGGTCGAACCTTGGCGCGCTGGGCATCACTGCCGGTTGTCATATCTGACTCCCAGCTGATGTAATTGCAACCAGCCGATGGCCGAGCGCCCTTGGACCATTTGTGGTATTGTTCCTTTGCTCTCTTCGGGTCTTGAGCGGCACCTCGGATGTCTCGAGTTACCTCAAAAGAAGCCATGATTGAAACTTGTGAAAAGACGGGTTCTTGAACGTGTGGGGTTATGGTAGGTGTTAGATGGCGGACTTTGACACAAGCTGCCGTTCTCAGGTGTGCTTATATTCTCTGTGTTCTTAGTCGTGGACCGAGCTGGTGTTCAATAGTGTTGATTCCGAAGCTCGGCTATGAGGATAAGATGGGGATTAAGTATTATGGGTAGTTCAACAACTAAATGAATCCTAGGGGGGAGAAGAGAGTGTTAAGAAAGGATGCAGCCGGGCCTTTCTAGAACGAAAGTGGTGATTGCGAAGCTACCGAGTCACAAGGTGGCTAAGCGAAGGTATGAGGTAAGAGCGGGTGGCCTTGTCACTGTTTGCAAGGATGCAGTGCGGTTCTTTGTTGCTTTCAACGTGGGTTAAAAGGTTAAGGAGTCGCTTCTCCAATCATGTACAAATCGTCAAACGGAAGGAGGCTTTGTTCTCGAAAATGAGCGTAGGCCTGCGTTGACAAAGGACGCCAGATCTATTGCTCAGACCGGTGACTCAGATGTTGGTCGACTATGCGGATGGCCGAGCGGACGCTTGCTCAGGTACCGGCGGTTATCGATAAGACGACTGATGCAAGTATGTATGCTTGTATAGGCGATGATAACAGTGTGCAGAGAGAGAGAGACAAACAGGTACACAAAGATGAGGTTGACTTTGATGGAAGTAGAATAACAAGGTGTTTGAACTTGTCGTTGTCTGCCTGTCTGTCTGTTTGCTTGTTTGTTCGTTCGTTATTTGACTAAATCGGAGGAAAAGGGGAAAGGAGTAGCCAGAACGCCCAGGTATATGGGGATAATGGTGGTCCCTTATCATCGTGTCAGGCTAGAGACTCAAGCCGTTGGCGTTGGCGTTGCGTGGAGGTCAACTGGCCGACCAGGGTCACTTGCTTTCGGATGCAATGCCAATGGGCGATAAGGCTTGGGGCGTGTGGGTTTCCTGGATAAGATGATGATTGCATCAAGGCACGCCGTGTGACTAGGTGACGTGCTTCTGCGTCCTTCAGTTGCTCCTACAGGACTTCTGATCAAGGCATTCCCTTTCCTTTCCACCATGTCTACTATGTACTTTCCATGGTGGTACGTACCTCGCCCAGCGCGTAATATCGTGCAGACGCATCAACTCATCCTAACGTCACAGCAGTCTCGAACCGCAGGTCTCGAGTGAAATCGTTCCAATGATGGAATTAGGCGGTCATCATGTTGACAAAGGCCAATGTCTGGACTATCACCGCGCACATAGATCTTTAGCCCGCTTGTCTCTGTGTTGACCAACAAGTTTGAATCAGCTACTTGTTGACAATATCGCCTTGGAAGCGCGATAAGTTATGAAACCATAGTACTTCACAGCGCTAGGATCTCCCCCACACTAACCTTAGTATCTCCAATGCTAGGTACGTTGTACTGAAAGTATCCGAGTGATCGGGAACCACCGGGCAGCATGAGCCATAGGAACAACCCGTGTGATGACTACTTTACTGACCTACTTTACCACAGAAGGACGCACGTTTGCACCTCTGCCTGTTCAAGTCATGTTTCAATGGGTACAGCCCCTCTTCCACCCTCCATTACGCTATCCAAGGTACCTTCCCCGAGGTTCGCGATAAGCCTGGGCGTATCAGAACGCCCATGTGCCTGCGTGAATGGGAGAGGCGTGGAATACAATCAACATTACAGGCCGCTGCTGCCTTCAATTCCTCACGTTCAAATAACCTCTTATGGACACGCTTGCATATGTACCTCTGTCGACATACATCAGAGGATGTGTGACGCCCGTCCCGAGCTTCGAGCAGGACAATCCCCCGACAGTGCAGTCCCATTGGCCCGAACCTATCATTGGATTCTGTCGACTCCTAACAAAAGATCTGCCTGATAGATGCGAACACCTAACAAAGTGTTGAAGGTTTACATAGAGCCCGATTCCTTACAAAGCTTATGATGGAGAGTAAACTTGATAGTGTTCTATTGATAGCAGTCGCGATATGCCCAACCTGATAAGGTATCGATCGGTCATCGGGGCTTTCAGTGCTGCATGTGGGCGGCAATGCCGTGCAGATCCTCTGCAGCTGAAGCGTCCGCGCCCGTCAATTGCACATGGCAATCTTACAACCACCTTAGTGGTCAGCAATGATTACCCCGAATATCAATTTGGCAGAGTCAGTCTTACTCTCTCCATCTTGCGATGGAGATGTTTAAGTCAGTCGCTCCAAGGTGCAAGTTAGGCCTAGGCTGAACATAAATGGCCCGGATCAAGGGTCGCCTGACTCCTCGAACCCACCACCAGCGCCTCAGCGCCGCCACTGGAGACCTCCGTACCAACCGAATTTGTGGCTTGGAGGATTTGTTGGCTTTCTGTCCGCCTGCCAGAATACTCACAGGTAGTGACACACGTCACTTTTCTCGGGTAGTGTTCTGCTGACTTTCGAGCTCCTAATAAGTTCCAGAAGCATGGCGCAGCGGGCAAGGAGTATGTATGCCATGAATTTGCACCTGCAGCTGTTCAAGTAATGATGGAACCTCTCTTTACCCGGTTTCTGACCTATCGGCATAGCCCATTTGTCCAAGTTAAGCCAAGTAGTCGACAACAGCCCTTGACAACATACTACGTCATATTGTCTAGGTAAACTGAAACAATTGGCTTCCAGGCATCAACCGCCGGGTCTGCTGCGAAAATCCGACGCATGAGAAACAGAGAACAGAGTGCGAAGTCTGCCCATATCCACTGCAACAGCTCTCCGCTAGTCTAGAGTAGGGGTTGACCTGCACCATGACTTTGCGAAACCGAGCGAGAAATATATCTTCGGGACGTCTTAACCACGATGGAAATAATCTGATTGAGACATGCTTCGAATATCCAGCGAATGATTGGACCGTCAGGTGTAGCCGCACCGCGCTAATTCACATTAGAAAACTTCAAGTATGTCCCTGTAGCCCAAGCGCTCAACAACCCAAGGTGTAAGATCGGGTATGAGCATACTCAACCCCGCCAGTTCTGTCATTAATTGCCAAACTTGACCAATTGATAGTTCTTCTGAGGTTTGTCAGGAAGCATCATGTGTTGCCAGACTCCTATATCGACCCGTTACGAAAAGCTCTTATGATCGAGCCTTAGTCTAATAATGCTCTATATTTTATGGTAGCGACTGGTGCATAAAGTTCTTCTTCACACTTTGGTTTAGTAAGTAGGTCAGAGCTATATTTTATCTAACCGTTCATTGAGAATATAATAAAAATCAAATCCAACCTGATCACCTAATCTTCCTGTACTATGGTGCCCGGGGTGTTGTATAGGACCAAAGAAAGCCTACACCTGTCCATGACATGTTGTGTAAGCCTCTTGAAATCTACGGCCTGATGTTAGGGGTGGTCACCATTCTAAATGAATAACAACTAGCTCTGGGTCGCTCCATTAAACGGCGGAATGATGTCTCGAGTAAAGGGGGCGGAGGGTATGATGGTAGATTGTATAAAGGGAATGGTAGTATCATAATACTTGCGACAAACATCAAGTGAGCTGAATAAGGGAAAATAGACAGTGGTCGGCTGAGTTGAAGCAATAAGCGTTTAGGCGGATTCGCCCCATTAGATCTAGAAACCGAAAGAATTTGACTGCGAACGACTAGATGCCGTAGATAGTATTTGATCCAGCATTAGCACAAACATATTACTGAACAACTAGATCCACATTGTATCTTATGTTTATCCTCGTTGTATACATAACACGTCATTTAAACCGGGCCTCTGTAGAACGAGTGACGTGTTAATGTATCAAGCGGCATTTCACGGTCACTAGGGCGCGAAGACTTGGCTTGCTGTTTACCCTATATATTGTGAGAATAATAAATCTAAAAGGCAAAAAGACTTTAATTGTGAAATACGTAAAATTACGTGGTCGCGTAGCTTTGTCATACTACATGGTTGAGCCTCTTAGCCCAAGGCGTCACAAGGCATAACGGTCTGGAGAGACAAAATAGAAAGTAAAGGAAGAGAGATGGGTTAATATATATCACGCTGAAGCGTCATTAGATAAAACGACCATTAGACCAAAAGAACTAAGAACAAATTCATATTACTGAATACCATAATCTCAAGAGGTTCTACATGTACACATTATATACCTTGATCCTTTGGGAACAGAGCAGCAAGGTGAACGCAGGGTGCCGGTAATGGGTTAAGTATTCGAGTAGATTGTATAACTTCCTGCTTGGAGCAGTTGCACTTGTTGACGCCATATATCAGCGCGAACGTACGAAGTGATATATAAGTGGCCGGTGGTTGGATTATATGGATATGCCATGGCTGCCTTTAGAAAGCGCTGATCTCCAAGTTCCTGCTGGGCAGACCAAATGTCGCATATTATTGGAGGATGATTCTCAGTGTCTGTGAAAGCTCAATGCTAGAGTGTATATAAAAACAAACAAGGATGCCCTGCTTTAGCTCCACCGCAAAATCAATCAGGGGAGGGATGCTTTCTTATTCAATTTTTATAAGTCTTTTTGTTCTTATAAGGGTTTTCTTTTTCTTTTTCTTCTTTTCACAAATATGATGTGTATTCTCAGCGAGAATCAATTGGTGATCTTGAGGAGAGCTTACAATATATTGAACAAGGATTTGTACAGTCATGATGATTAGCAGGTATCAGATCCTGCACTTTCACTAGGTCGAAATGCAACAGGACTATGGCTGGCAAAATGCTTAAACACATTACCTGATCGGATTTCTACACATAACCATGAAGACAGCAGAATGATACATCGAGTTTCTACTACAATCACAAGGTGAAGCATTGCATCCCTGACTTAGTACTTTTAAGGCAAGTATTACCGCAGCAAAGGACCAGTACTGTTACGCACAGGGTCACGACTACTATGGCCCAGATCAAGGTAGCCAGCTTCATCCCCGATAGGCTCTTAGAAATAGACACAGACATTGTGAGGAAGTATAATATCAACACATTTAAGTCGAGCCAGTCAAAGATAATTAAGATATACCCACAACATCAGATTCCAAAAGTCTTTACGCCAGCCCTCTAGTCAGTCAGTGAAGCAAGTTGAGACCAATATCAAGAATTCAGCGGTTTTCTTTTTAGCGCATTGATATCCCAATGCGAAAGTCATCAGCGTCGATCTGAAAAAGATACAACCAGACAAGCCCCCCTTTTCTTCGGGAGCGAGTGACGATGGCGACGAACCATGAATTTACTCGTTCAAATTTGGCCATGTCCATGCTCGAGCAAATTGTCAAGTGTTTCAACAAGCAGAAAGCAGCAATGAAGAATCATGTCGACAATTTGCATATCGGAGTCTGGATCAAATATCTACACGATTTCGTACTGATAGGCTGCCTCGACGGCACCATTGAAGATAAGCGTAGGAATACCATAGAGGCCCGACACTTATAAAACTGCAGGGCACAGCGTTGAAAAGACAGGGCAAACCCATCCACCAAGGCGGTTTGGCCCTCCGGCGTGATCTTGAGGTCACAAAGCATTTGCGGAGAGTGGCTTAAGGAACGCGGCTTGTAAGTATTGAATCTTTGGCCCATACTTTCCTATACCTCTCCAGAAGGTTAATCCCGGTGGATAGAGGATAGAAAGTTGGTATGGGCTTGCAGAGGCTGAAGACGGCAAGACGGTTCATGCAGAACGGCACTTACGAGCACGACTAGTTATGTGTTCTTGACCGGCGGTAGTTTGACGGAACATGAAGCCGACAAGCTAATACTAGATGTTCAAGCCGACTTGATGAGCCCAGAAATCTATCTGGTTAACCCCCTCTCCCCCCCTTCTCCCCCCCCCCCCAAAAAACCCTTTGCATCTGCGAATTTCCTTAGCCATATGATGCATGAGCTCTCTCAGAACCTTGATCAATGAGCCTGGTGTACTTGAATAAGACACAAGCCAGAAGGAGACATCTTTGGGCACGGAAAAAATAGACTAGACTTAATGGGTCGTTTGTGTAACGCAATGCTTTTTTATGTCTGTTTGGCTTATCTATTGCCGCAAGCCGTATGACAATGAGGCGGAGGTCAACTAGCTATCAGTCATTGGAATGTGACAAGGCGATTCTGAATACGTATTTTCCACAAAAGCCAGTCGTCACTGCCAATCCAAATTCATAGCAGAGAAGTTGGAGAGTAAGCATGACATCATATCCAATGAGATATGAGCATCGAAGGACATGCTCCTACGATAATGTAGTACAACCTTCTCGTGCGGGGCCAGTTCAAGTATAAGATATGCTCAATTCTTGAGATATGCAATAATCTGAAATGATATATACGAGCTATTTTGCCATGAGCCGGGTTGTGCTACCAACCCGCTGTCGCAATTTTTGTTGATTACCAGTTGGTACTTTTGTTGGTGTATCTTCAAACCTATCACGGCATTGCCGTGACGAGTAATCAGACAATGAATGAATATGCAACTTACCCGAGCCTTCGTGGGAGAACTGTGTTGATTACTGGTGGAGCTGAAGGTATTGGCGCAGCAGCAGTTGAGCTATTCTGTCTCCAACACTCGAATGTCATCTTTCTAGACTTTTCGAAGTCCTCAGCACAGAAGGTTGTCGATAGGATCAAGGACATTCCCGAGGCAACGCAGCCTACCTTTAAGTACTGTGATGTGACGGATCTAGACGCATTGAAGACTTGCGCGGAAGAGGTGCTGGAGGCACAAGGAACGGTCGATGTACTCATCAACAACGCAGGCGCGGCGGGAGCCAGGTCACGAGTGCCGACTCTTGAAACCACACCAGAGTCATTCGACGCGGATGTCAATGTGAACCTCCGGCATCAGTTCTTCCTAACACAGTACATCGTGCCGGCTATGCAGAAGAAGAAATCCGGTAGCATCATCAACCTGGGCTCGATCATCTGGCGAATTCCCGAGACGTCGGCGCCCGTATACGCGACTGTCAAAGCAGGAATTGTCGGCATGACCAGGGTTCATAGCAAAGAGTTTGGCAAGGATGGGATCCGTGTCAACAGTATTATGCCTGGATCGATTGTGACGGAGCGGCAGATTCGGGAAGTCCTGACGGAAGAGTACGAAGCAATGACCATGGCGGCTCAAAGTTTGAAAAGACGCGTCCTGCCGGAGGACGTGGCGAGACTCATGTTGTTTTTGGCGGCCGAGGACTCAAGCGCGATCACGGGAAGTAGCTACGTGATCGACGGCGGTTGGGTTAGCGATAAGTAGGGAGAGACTCCCGAGTGTTTCGGCAGTTTGGCTACTGCTTGCTCGTTTCTCTCAGAGGGTACTATGTCTGATGGTTGGGTTGCTTGCTTCTATTGCGGCTTGCTTTACAATAATCGAGTTTTGGGTTCAACGGCAAGTTATGGGGCGCCAAGATATTGAAGTAGGGTTGGGGGGGATATGAGCATCTTATACAGCACAACGCCTGGGTCTTGAGAGGTAACTTAAATCAGAAGAGTTCCATTAATGGCTGAATATCGAAATGTCCGTCCTCCAATCATGGCAATGTAGCCAATTCAAAGAAGAATGAGTCGTAATGAGGCAACGTATTACTTGGGTAGATTGATTGAACATTGCAAGTGTGTCCAATGATGCTGCCACTAAGTTAATATGCTCCCTTCACCTTACCTTGGTACAAGTACTTGTACTGCAGAAACGGGCGCTGCCAGAAATGTGGTAGCGGCGGCGGACTGCAGTGGAAACTTGCGAATGGGCTGCCTGCGCCCCACGAGTCTGACCACTATCGGATGCTTTCCAGTCAAGTAAGCCAGACCCTCGATTCGATAGTGGGACAATCTTGAGTTTCTGGAAGTCATCTTTACCTCAAACACACCGTTACCCCTTAACCTTTTTGCCATGATATTCTTCGCCTGACGTTCCGCTCCTTATTAGATATTTCTCGTCACATTATTATTTATTTCCTGTCTTACGCGTACACTCTCTGCGACTCGGCCCCTTTCGTTAATTTGCTTGCGATAGGCCTACACTTTTGTGCCACAGTTGCTGCTACTGAACCGAGGATTTGCGCGCCTTGCAAGAAACCCCCAACAATGGCTCGACACCTCTCTGTCATCGTCATCCTGGCGGTAGCGACGTTTCTCGGTATCTCGTTCCTTATGTCTTTCGGTGGTAGGACAGACACAGTCCCTCAAGTCTTTACTTCCGAGGGCAGCTACGGTGGAAATATACCGAGCGAAGCCAAGGCCCCGGGAAAAGCCATAGAACCGGTGCTGGAAGGGTCGACCGAATCAAAACTCGCCGGCCTTGATATTACCAGCGAGCTTCTCACCGGCGATGTTGTTATGCCCAAGCTTGAGAATGCGACAGCAAAGTAGGACTTCCCGAGAACTCGAGCCCAAAATTACACAGATGACAAGCTGACATATGCCGCTTCCTACAGGGCTGAGCTCGGTCGCGCTGCGTGGAAAGTCATTCACACCATGATGGGACGCTTTCCCGACAAGCCTAGCGAGGACGACCAGTTGACACTCAAGACGTACATCCAGCTCTTCGCGCGACTATACCCGTGCGGTGACTGCGCAAGGCATTTTCAGCAGCTGCTCAAGAAGTATCCACCGCAGGTCAGCTCGCGCAACGCAGCGGCAGGCTGGGCATGTTTCGTGCATAATCAGGTCAACGAACGACTAGGCCATGAAATATTCGATTGCGCTAAAATTGGCGATTTCTATGATTGCGGTTGTGGAGATGAGAAGAAGGAGGGCGCGGAAGGGACAGCGGGCGAGCTGAAGAAGGAAAGGTGAGACACCAACATTTTTTTTTCTCTCTGTCTCTCTCTCTCTCTTTGGCATCTATCATTTCAATGAGATCCCGTTACTGAACTATCAGCAGCGTGTCCTCATAATAATACCGACCTTGATACCCTCAGAGCATGGCGCGTGGCGTTTTCGAGTTAGGCTCGCTGCTTATAGTGCTTCAATAACAGCCAACTGGGACAATAAAACTGTAGCCCTGGCAAATAAACTGTATAATTACAAAATATATCAGATATGCGATGGTGGTCCCCTTTTGGTAACCATACAGCACCTCGTCAAAGCGGTCCTGTTCGAATGCGATGACTCGGCCCTTAGCAGAAGCACATAGATCTTGCTACTAAAATCCACAGGTTGATATAAGTGGATGGTGAGACAGGACTCTTTCGAATTAGAAAATACGGTATGCTGTGTACCTGTGGTATTGGGGTGAGCCAGTCTGGCCACGGGGTATGTAAGTAGCTTGAGTGAAGCAGGACCGGCTTAACTAGAGGTACTCGGCATGGCATATACCGAGTATTTCATACATGGAGATTAAGGTTGGCGTAGATGATTAATAACAAACTCGGCCCCTTATGCAATCAAACAGAATGGGATTTTCTGCAATCCTCCATACCAAAGCGTGGACTAAAGATAGAGCTGGGCAATGTGCAGCAGCCTTAATGGAAGAGAGGGACGGGCACGGACCATCGGGCGGATGATGCGCGCAGTGGGCTGCCCGCTGTTACCTGTAAGTGCAACGCGTGCTAAAGCTGCCTGAGCTCATCTAATCTAGCCTTGCTGGAGAGCTTCAGTACAGGTCGTTCGAACCTTACCCTCAGTGCCACATTACATTGCATTACGATCTTCCGCCTTTATCAACCACCCACTTGTTCATCCAGCGATTCTTTCTGTCTGCCTCTGCTACAGACGGCAACGTACTCAATCAGCTCCACGGACAGCCTTGATCACACAACATCCATCACGATGGAGTTCGGACAAAGAGGCGTCTTGAATGAAGGTATGAGGAGCTCGGCCTGGCTGGCTTCAGATGCTCTGATTCCACAACCTTGCGGTGCTGACCACCTGTTTCTCCAGATGGAATCCACGTCGATATGGATAGGTTAAAGAAGGGCGAGGTCAAGTGAGTTGAATCGCATCGAGCACTTCGTTCGGGCCTTGCTAACTGTTCGCCTCAGCCTTGGCACCTCCATGTGAGCCACCACGTCTAGCTCTGCGGAAGAGCAACAAACTGACTAGAACACAGCATGGCAGTCACATTCAAGGATGGTGTCATTTTAGGTAGGTGGCCACGCATAAGGAGCCCAGGTAGATGCTTGAGGAGTCGTCGCTAATCTGTTGAGCACGCAGGCGCTGATTCCAGAACCACGACCGGATCATACATTGCGAACCGAGTAACAGACAAGCTTACACAAGTCGCCGATACTATTTGGTGTTGCCGATCCGGTTCAGCTGCAGACACACAAGCCGTCGCCGATATTGTACAGTATCAGCTCGGCCTGTTTCACATGCGCAACGGAAAGCCCCCGACAACGCAGACGGCCGCCTCCATCTTCCAAGAGATCTGCTACTCCAACAAGGACCGGTTGAGGTGCGTAATATTTCTACTGTTGACGGGGAATTGGGGTCAAAAGCCCAAGCCCACGCACACGCCCAAGGGGCCAGGCACATGGCATAACACTGGTGGTTTGAGGCGGAAGGCTGACCTGACTATTCTATAGTGCTGGTCTTATTATCGCTGGCTGGGACGAGCGACACGGTGGTCAAGTGTACTCCATTCCTCTCGGTGGCTCACTACATAAGCAATCGTACGCAATTGGTGGTTCAGGTTCCACATACATCTACGGTTACTGCGACAACCATTGGAAGGAGGGCATGAACGAGGAGGATGCTGTCAGCTTCGTGAAGGGTGCTCTTTCAGAGGCCATCAAGTGGGACGGTAGCTCAGGCGGTGTCATTCGCATGGTCGTCCTGACCAAGAAGGGTGCAGACAGACATCTATACCTGCCTGACGAGCAGTACCAGGTCAAGCACTAGATAGAGACCGAGTACCTGGCTGGCAACCATCACGAGATAAATGTGTATAATATCTGCAGGTGCTGCCTGAAAGAGCTACGTGTGGTGGCTGGGATGGCAAGTGGCGCGCCGGCGTTTGGGATATCATAACTCAAGACAAGATCGCAATGTGTTCCGTATGATTTATGACAACGCACCATTTTGACCTGCAGTATACAAGCTTGGTGTGCAGCACCATCCGGCGGTGAAGATACACGGCAACAAATCACCGCATGGCATTAGGGTGGTGCTGCCGGTCCGACACGCATATAATTCCTATTATGGCATCCCATACTGGAAACAATAGATTAGCCCTCTCAAGATTTGAAACAACTACTGCGCTCCGTGCCGCCCCCCGGTCTCTCTAGACCAGAGGATTGTAGAGTTTGTAACAACGTCTGTCTGTGTATTCGAAAAGACGGTGCTTGGTCTTTGCCCAATCTGACCTGATAAAAAGGTGCTCGTTAAGGGCATTATTCTGCTCTGAGAACCTCTGGTTAGCGCCGACCATGTCTATTACAGCACTGGCTAACTCCGATGGGCGGATGAGTCGCGAAGCTAGATCGAGGAATCCTACGGCCGCGTTGAAATGAAAGCTGAACACCTAGCCCTATCGGAAGGCCCCCAGGGTTTATCACTGTGTGTATTCCCTGCATCTGGGAGTACAGGTCATCTAGCGGTGAAAGCATCCTGTTCAACTCATTGCATGATTTGCGATGACAATTGTAGCAACTAGTTCTCCACCCTCGCAAGCCTCGATGCGATGATGCTATGAATCTGGCAGACGCCCCGTGCCCGTCTTCTGGGCCGAGATTGGAGTGCACGGGAGCCAGTTGGATAACGCACTTGCCCAGGCCCAGAACGCCGCCAAATCCCAAGAGAATGGCCCAATCCCAGGATGGCTGGTTGTTGGGGGTGCCATCTGGCGGACAGGGCGTCCTCCCCTCGGGGTGGCATGGCACTGAGGTCGATTCCGAAGTGGTGGATCTCCCAGGTATCCTATTCTCGGTACATAGTACTGGCGTCTGCAACCCCCATGCTGCTCATGATCTCGGTGACGTTGCTAAAGGGTACGGCCGGACCGGTGCGGTGGAGTGGAGTTTGTGATAGAGTAGAGGAGGTAATACTACAGTGCACAACAAAACCAAAGTCCATTTGCACAATGGGAGTTGGGATAGGTCGGATCCTGGATTGATGAGTCGCGAACACCCACCCTTCACGAATCAAGCTAAGAACTAGTCGGTGGCGCCGCTTGATATTACCCGCGACCATGATGTCTAACGGACCGGTTTCTTGCGATTGGTACTGCATTCTTCACCCACACGTATCGATGTGTGCTGCATGTTTGTTAAAAGGCAATGAAGGCTTTTTTTTTTTTTTTTTTATGGGTGGACGGCTTTTCTACGCTGGGCTTGCATTTTTTCACCACTTCGTTGCTTCATGAGTAATGAATCGCACGCCATACCCAAGGCAGTCTCAATGGCCTTCTGCTTTTGTAAGGTTGATCTACGTTATGATCAAACCGTGCTGTAGTAATAACGGGGACCCCCCACCAAGTCGCTGTCCCATGTGAGAAGTGCGCATGTGGAAAAGGACCCAAGTGTCGCATTTGGATATACAATACCTTCCAGCAACGATGGAGATGCTTCGGGTTTTTGACAACTATATGATCTTGAACATGCCCATGCTTGTCAGTATTGTCTTCGGACTGGGTTGCTATGACCTGTTGATAATTGTACTATTCTCAAATACCGGGGGCCGGCTATTACTACTTACACAGCCTCAATCCGGCCCAACTCCTGGGATGAACCCCTTTCTCATGCGCCTGACGGTGCCCATGCAATGGAAACACGTGCTGGAAGCAGAGGACGCGTTTCTTTCTTGAATGAAAAATTAGGAGTTTCTTTCTTCTCCCTTTGCTCTGGTGTTTTCCACAAGGACTGTTCATATCCTTTGATGAGGCCTTGCATATAATCCTCTATTTCGTCGCCGAAACGCCTCCCTATCTTGGGCGTGTCGCATCGCATATCGTTTCGCATTGGATCTGACGTGTAATCCAGCCTGGCATTAATTGCAATTCTTGCCGAGCATCCCGCCTGGTGTTTTATCTATTTCCGTAACATTTTACAGTATTATATTTTGTTTGTTCCTATTCCTTTCTTACTGCGAAAAGAAGCACAGACGAATTCTTATCGCGTACGTACACCAAGGAGCCTTGACTGCATTCAAATGGGGATTTGCAGCGCTGCTGTGTTATGTCATACCCACCGTCACGCATAATTGCCTTGACGTATCCTGATTCAGGTCCCTCATCGCTGCCGCCACCAAGAAATTCGGGGTCTCCATAATCGAACCAAAAGAGCCCAGACTTTCTAGACCAACAACACCCCGAGCTCGACTTTCCCCTCCATCTGATTGAGCATTTCTGGCATCGCCCTTCCTTCTGCTGCCCTCCTTAATCGACAATCAAAGACTCTCTCCCGATACCACAAGACTACAAGACGACTTTAGATATCCTTCCTATTTGGGGGGAGTTTTTTCTTCTTCTCTATCACGAGAACCGGAATTTACTATTCTTGGTGATCTTAACTGATACATCAAGTCAAAAGACTTCTCCGGTGAATCTCTGGTCGAGCGTTCCATTCAATCAGGACCCCCGCGACGTCCCCAGTTCTGAACAGTAAGCTCTACCTTCCTCTTTCACCATGTCAGCCGTCCCCAACCTTTCAGTCGCACTTCTTCCTGCCCCATCGTCATTATGCATACATACATGTTGTTTGTTCACTTCTCTGTCGCTTTGTGAAGACAGCGTCGCACTTCTTAAGAAAAGGCATGTTGGTGCGTCCATGCATTATGAGCTACGGTAGATTGAATGTTCCAATCGCTTCACCCAAGGGACAACGACAGCGTTCTTGAGTCTGCCCTACCTGTCATGCAATTCCAGGCTCTCATGTCACCTCGAGCGTTTGTGATGTTCTTCTCCATCTGCTGGTGATACAAATCTGCCATGCCATCCGCAGCAGGCTTCTCGTTTGTCACTCACTATACTGGAAGGCTCACGTATAAGGCTGCCTTCCTGGGTTGAGTTCAACCTAGTTCCATCTCACTGTGATGCAGCGCATTTACAAGAGCATACTTCTCTGTTCCGATACATCTTCCCCGGGCCATGCCCGTTCTTGTTACTTGCAACAAGTTTCTTTCCATTTCAGAACCTCGGGGACCAACGAGCTAATAGAGCAACAGACGCCAGTTACCTGGGACCACTCTCGATATACGTTTGCTACTCTGCTGATTACGTTCGACATATTACTTAATATTCCGTCTGAAACAAGTGTTGCTATGGCTGCCGTAATTGGGGACTTTGCTGCGGATCATTCTCGATTCCACCATAACATGATAGCTTCTGGGCTTCAACACGATCATCGTGAACCATATAGATCCGCCTCTTCCTCGAGAGGCCGGCCAAGGGAATCGCCTGCGCCTTCTCAAATAAGATCTCCGACCTCTCCTATACACGCCAAAACCACGATTCCGAGCGCGACACCTTCGAAACGATCGTGGGAAGCAACAGAGGCGGGAGCGGCAGAGGGGAAAGCGGATTCAACTAGTGGCGGCGCGTCGCGCTTTCCATCACCGCCAGAGTCCTCCTCTTCACCGTCTTCCGCTCAACCCAGACCGGTGGAAGAGTGCAGTGTTCAAACGAACTCGATGGCGCCTCAGGCACAAACGGCTGCGCCTGCAGTGAACTCGACTGCGCCACCATTGACTTCGACTCAGCAACAGCCTACTCCCGAAGCTGATCCAGCCCTATCAGCCGCCTCGGTTCCAGCAACTCCCTATAATGCCTCTTCTCCGCAACAAGGCCACACTATCAGGGTGCGCGATCTGGCACATATTCAAAGCCTGGCACAGGCCGACATGATGAACGGCGGAAATGGACCTGGGATATTGAACGATCCTCCGCTTCAGGCTATGAAGTACGAGATCAGCGGCATGCCCATTGGGGACATCATCGAAATGGTTGCCGCCTTGTTGACCAAGATCACGACAACCAACGATCTGCAGCATGACGCACTGCACAGGAATGCTGCTCATCAACAAACTGCAGCTAACCACAACAATGATGGTGCTACAATGAGCCCACTTAGCAGTTCTGTTCTGGCATTTCACGGAAAGAACGTGCCAGCTATCACCATTCTCAGCTACCTGAGTCGCATTCACAAATATTGCCCGACGACTTACGAAGTTTTCTTGAGTCTACTCGTCTACTTTGATCGCATGACGGAGCGTGTCAACAACATGGTTATGCAAGCTGAAGAGGCGAGGCGGAATTCGCATCCAATACCTATGGTGCCCGGGTCCCGGTCTACTGTCTCGCTAGATGCAGACATGAAGGACGAAGAAAGTGATGAGAGCGACGAAACTGACTCGGACCTTGCGGATGACGACGACAAAACGCCAGAAACAAGAGAGACAACCGCGCCCCAGTCTACAATACCTACATCCGCGACATATTTTGTGGTAGATAGTTTCAACATCCACAGACTGATTATTGCCGGTGTGACATGTGCAAGCAAATTCTTCTCGGATGTCTTCTACACCAACTCGAGATACGCCAAGGTACGTTCACTGACAATTTCGCATGATGGACTCGACCCTCAACTAACATCTCACCTCACAGGTTGGTGGTCTACCTTTAGCCGAGCTCAATCACCTCGAATTGCAGTTTCTTATCTTGAACGATTTCCGTCTTGCTGTTCCGGTGGAAGATCTGGAAGCCTATGCAACAATGCTAGTCGAGTTCTATGCGCGGGAGGTTGTTGCACAGAGGGCGCGTCCTGGCTCTAATGCAGAATAGATGGCCATTCTGTCTTCAACGAGAAGAACGCAAAAACATTTGAAAGCGTCGTACGGAAGTGGGACTTGCCATTCGAAAAATGGCCGGCAAGCAGCAGAAAGGTTGCTTGGGTAGCTACGACTTTGGCTTATACCCGGGTGCCAAAGTTTGTTGCTTGGTGTAGCGTCCGCGTAATAATGGCCGATCGAAGCAAGAGGTTGTAGACGATGACGCGATCTTTTGGGCTAGACCAAGGTTGGCGGCGCCTGAGGACGGCATCGCATTTTTTTGATACCCGAATAGACTTCCTGGCCCGCGACGGATACTTGGGTGGTCATATGCACTAATCCTCAGCTTCGGAGCTTGTTGACTGGTGGCATATCTTGGAAGACGATATCTACAGGAGAATGAGTTAGACGGGACGTCTTTGATAATGACTTTGCATTTTGGGGGCGTGTTGCAATATTCTGCACACATACCTGGAACTTGGGAGTCTTTCACATATCTCACGAACGGCGTCATAGAGGCATGGGTTCTTTGACAATTTGGGAAAGAATCGGGTTTACTAGGCGGAGAGCGCGCTTCGGGCCGGAAATTGTTCATGTCCATGCGCCCGGTAGTCGTACGGCTTGAGCTTTATAGAATAGTACCGTTTCTTCGCTTCATAATCCGGTTGACATGGTGTTTTGTTGACATGATAGTAAACGCGTTGGCACAACAGGGGCCGCCTAGACTTCTCATATTGAGTGTGACTTGTAAGCAGAAGCGGCTTGGGACGGAAACCAAATTGCAGAACGGGAGGTAGTCCATCTAAAGTAGGTCATCGACCGCCTAATGAATTATGATCAGCTCTAGAACGCTAACATGATATTGCTTTTCTCCGGGTTTGTGGCGCCGATGTGGCACTTCTGGAGCGCAGTCTTCGTACGGCTTGAGATGACGGGTTGTGAACATAAATTAAGCTTGAGGTTGATTGGACCGTGGTTTTAGAACAACCTAGCCTTGTGCGCCTTGGAGGTCCTCCCAGAAGTGCAGCAAGATTCCAAGGTTTGATTGTAGAAACGGCACAGTACACCCTTGGCATCCAATAGTAGTACCGTATAGGTGAGTCAAGAGGAACCCTATTATCAAGGGGCAGAGAATCCCATTGGCCACACCAACCGGTTGATTCCATCCTCGTGTGTAGGTAGCGGTTTGAGAACTTTCACGGGTAGTAAGTGATCGAACACGGTTGGCGCCATGATCCTCTTTTTTTTTTTTTTTTTTGTTGCAATAGGAGCTGATGCCACTCAGGAGTTCCTCCAAAGTGAGGTTATATCAACCGACTACAAGTCTCCCAATGTACTGTTCTTGTTCTTTTTTCCTCCTCCTCAGGACTGACAACTTCTCCTTACATGACATCTCCTTAATACTGCTTACCTTTTGAGTACAGCGTCCTCTCTTTCCGGTATTTTTTTGCACTGCAGAAACATATCAGTCGCTCGCTCTTGTTTGCTTCATTTGGAATCGCATCATCGTCATCGTCATCATCGTTCGCGCTGCTAATCAGTCATCATCATGGTCTCCCAAACAAAGTCACTCCTCCTTACCCTGGGCTTGGTCGCCCTGGGCCAGGCCCGCGCCTACCAGGCCCGCGCCTACGCGGTCGCTGACCCCCCGGCCTACGAGACCGATGGGAGCAGCGGCTACGGCGTCACCGACCCTGCCTACTCCTCCTACACCACGTCCGCCTACAAAGCTGACCCCACTGAGAGTGGTTACGCCGTCAGCGATCCCAGCAGTGACAGCTACGGCGGCGAATCCGATGATGGTGCCGAGGAGGAGAACGACGGCTACAGTGGTGGCGCGTCTGCCTCCGGCTCTGGTTCGGGATCAGGCTCTGGATACGATGTTGAAGGTGGGGGCGGGAGCTACGAAGGTGGCAAAGACGCCTCTAGCTCTGGATCCGGATCTGATTCAGGGTCCGGTTACAGCGGATCTGACTCTGGTTCTGGCTACGGCGGTGAATCTGGTGGCGAGTCTGCTTCGGGCTCTGGTTACGGCGGCGAGTCCGGTGGCGAGTCTGCTTCGGGCTCTGGCTACGGTGGTGAGTCCGGTGGCGAGTCTGCTTCGGGCTCTGGTTACGGCGGCGAGTCCGGTGGCGAGTCTGCTTCGGGCTCTGGCTACGGTGGTGAGTCCGGTGGCGAGTCTGCTTCGGGCTCTGGTTACGGCGGCGAGTCCGGTGGCGAGTCTGCTTCGGGCTCTGGCTACGGTGGTGAGTCCGGTGGCGAGTCTGCTTCGGGCTCTGGTTACGGCGGCGAGTCTGGATCTGGATCTGGAGGCAAGGACGCTTCCGCTCATGGTGGTTCCAAATCCAATTCCGGGAGTGGGGGCTCTGGCTACGGTGGTGAAGGTTCTGGCTCTGGCTATGGTGGTGAGGACGAAGACGAGGGTGACGACGAAGATGATTATTGTGTAGAAGGGGACGACGAGGAAGATGGCGAAGGTGGTTACGGAGGCGGAGAGAGTGGTGAGGGCGGTGCATCTGGCGAGGGTGAGGGCGGCGCATCTGGCTCTGGCTACAGTGGTGAGGGTGAAGGCGGTGCATCTGGCGAGGGTGAGGGCGGTGCATCTGGCTCTGGCTACAGTGGTGAGGGTGAAGGCGGTGCATCTGGCGAGGGTGAGGGCGGTGCATCTGGCTCTGGCTCTGGCTACAGTGGTGGGGGTGATAGCGAAGGTGGTTCATCTAGCTCTGGCGAGGGCGAAGCATCCGGTTCTGGCTCTGGCTACAGTGGTGGAGGTGATAGCGAGGGTGGTTCATCTAGCTCTGGCGAGGGCGGTGCATCTGGCTCTGGCTCTGGCTACAGTGGTGAGGGTGAAGGCGGTGCATCTGGCTCTGGCTACAGTGGTGGAGGTGATAGTGAGGGTGGTTCATCTAGCTCTGGAGAGGGCGAAGCATCCGGTTCTGGCTCCGGAGGGGAAAGTGCCAGCAGCGAGGAACCTTGCGACGAGAACGGTAACCCCATCAGCTCGGGCGGCAGCAGCGGCGAAGGTTCTTCAGGTGGTGAAGGAGAGGGATCGTACGGCGGTGAGGACGCTTCTGGTGGCGAGGGTTCATCGGGCTCTGGTTACAGTGGAGAGGAGGGCGGCGACTCTAGCTCTGGCGAAGGTTCTGGCTCTGGCTATGGTGGAGAGGAAGGAGGTGACTCTAGCTCTGGCGAAGGTGGCAAGGGCGAGAGCTCTGGAGGCTCTGGATCGTCAGGCAGCGGTGAAGATTCTTACTCTGGCGAGGGCTCTGGATCGTCAGGCAGCGGTGAAGATTCTTACTCTGGCGAGGGCTCTGGATCGTCAGGCAGTGGTGAAGATTCTTACTCTGGCGAGGGCTCTGGATCGTCAGGCAGTGGCGAAGATTCTTACTCTGGCGAGGGCTCTGGATCGTCAGGCAGTGGCGAAGATTCTTACTCTGGCGAAGGCTCCGAATCGTCCGGCGAGGGCTCTTACAGTGGTGAGGGATCCGGCTCAAGCGATGACAGCTCTTATGGAGGTGGTGCCAGCTCTGGCGGCGAGGGTAGCTCGTATGGTGGCAGTGATGGAGGCTCTTACGGTGGCGAGGATGGTGGTTATGGAACCGTTACCACCACCGTCTACAAGACCGTTTACCCTGAGGGCTACGAACCTACAGGTGTTGCTGATGGCGGATACGGTGGCAAGCCAACAGCCGCCTACGAAGACCCCAAAACTTTTGCCACCGAGACAGTCTACGCTACGGTGGCGCCTGAACCTACATATGGTGGCGATAGCGGCAGCTACGATGGTGAGCAGGGTCAGGGCGGAGAAAACTACGACGGTGAACAAGGCGGTAAAGGTCAAGGTGCACCACCTCATGGATACCCTGGTCTTGGCTACCAGTGGTTGAAGTGGCTGTTGCACTGGAACTAGGAGTATAGCCCACCCCTTGTGAGCCAGAAAAGAGAAGGTGGAGCGGCATCACCTAGATGAAGTTTTGTTTGTGTTCTACTTAGTCCTGTACAATTGTAATATTTTAGAGAAGTTGTCAAAACATAATTTTTTCACGCCTGTTTGTAATTACGTGACACTAGCTTTGTTTGTTGACGTTAGATTAATACTATCCAAGTCTTGGCTTTGGTTATTAGCAAATTCAAATGCCGTTATTACATCTTTCTTCCACATCCCGGACTCCGTGATGTAGTAAAATCTTTCACGTCCACTTCTGCTCGTGTCCATGAGCGGTGGTTCGCACACCAGAAGAAGCATATTGATATCTCGTGGTTTGCCATTATTGAGCTGTCTTAGTAAGGTATCCATCCTGCCTTCAATTGTCAACCATTTGTAAACTAAGCAGCCATGGTAAGACAATGCCGAACTTTTATGTTAACAGCCCTAACTAGCCAAATGTATTTGTGCTACAAGACCGGATTGAACAAGAAAGGCATTGGAGATGGTTCTAAGACAATCGGCTTTGTCCAAATGCATGAGCCTTTGCGTCAATATATATAGTCTGACATCGCTTTTTTATTCAAGAATGATAGTATCTGACCATTCATACTATATCATAATTCAGCCTGCATCTAAAACATGAGAGGGAAATATGTCAATATACACTGTGAATGGTGTGGTTGTTATAAACAACCTGCATTCGTAGGCATCCAGACAGGACAGACAATCAATCCAATGCGTGGCCGAGTGCACATTGAAGATATTTCTCGGACCCCATGGCGTGATCTTCTCGCAACTTCTGGTAGAGGCTTCCGTCGACCGCCAGATAACCTCCGACTTGAGAACACGAGCTGTGTCCCGCCAGTTCCAATAGGTGCACAAGGCCTTGAAATGGATGGAGTAGTAGTAGTGAGTGGACATCATTGTCCAGTGTGCAATCGCGAAAATAATCATAAACCGAGCAGCTTAGACGTCGAGCAGCAGGTGAGATAAGGACTCAGCGAAGACTGTTACAGTGGCTTTATTCACTGTTCAGGAGAAAGCGAACAAACCCCATCAGAAGGGCCCCGAAATTGTAAAGACAAAAATCTCTAATACGAAGATAGCAGAATACCTAGTCCCCTTGTCAAACTCTATCTTTTGTCTTTGCTTTCTTTTCCTTCTGAGCTAGACAACTGTTGATTGCACAACTGAGCATCCGAAAGACTAGGTACCATTTGGGTGAGCCGGCACGGCGCCTTTAAGCGAGTACTCGAGGTTCCAGCATTCTGAAGCAAGTATCAAACTTACCCTCGCCGGCTAAGATGAATATAATTATCAAAATGGCGCTTTGCTCTTGCACCACAGCGAACTTCAGTTTATCAAAGGGGGTTAAGATGCTCTCATCTAGAACGCCTACTAGCAGTGCACTGCTTGGCGATGTAGACGTAATATACGCCTACAATTTTGTCCGGGAATATTCTTATGGGCATAGATACGAAACAACTGGTGAAGTTTGTTGTTTACTATGGATAGATCTATCATGAAGGCCAATCACTGAAACATTCTCTCAACCAGTACACGAGGGACTGGTTACAAATGTGCAAGAATGACGGCTGGCTGGATTCAGGGGATTTTCACCGTAATGACATAAGATAACCTGGTGATGTAGAAGATTGAGCAAGTATCATGTGATTGTCGACTGGGAGCCCGCAGTATAATATAGAATAAGATGGAAAATGACGGAAAATTCAACAATACCTGCATGTTCAGGCACTCCATATCTTGACAGTTTTTGATAATACTGCCCTTTGCTTTAGCACACACCTGGTATTTCACCTAGCATCTCTACTCAGCATCTACCATTGTCATCAACCACTCCACATCGCGTAGGGCCTGCGCTGATTACAGATGCTTTTTAAGTGAGCCATGGTGGCTCGAGTTATCTCGGTCGACAATGATTTATACTCGTCGCCGGTCAAATTGGGTCGTACATATATATCTAGATATTAAGTCCACAACACGGTACTGTTCATAGCTGCCGGTTAACTATCGGCCATCACAGAGTGATTCCTAGCAACTGCGCACAACACGCACAAATACGAGGCACTTGCCGACCATCTCAGCCCAGCCAGTACTGCAATCAAGGTTAGCAAAAGCTGGCAACACTGGAAAAGACACAGTCGGATGGGAGTCGTATAATTGTTAGGACGGTTTGTGAAGTTGAAGCGCCACAGCCGAACGCGGTTGAGACCTGGAAGCATAGCAGTGTAGGTGGGGGCATATGCGAGCTAGGCTCAAGCCCCACAAATCAACTCGTGTGTCAATACCCACCCTGCTTTCCCTGCTCTCATAAAATATAGTTATTAACAATTCCATTTGTCATCAGCTTCATCATCGGCGCATTCTGTCGATCCATCGCCCTGCTGGTCTAGTGGTATGATTCGTCCTTCGGGTAACTCCCATTCTTCTCAAGAGAATATGGACGAGGTCCCCGGTTCAATCCCGGGGTAGGGCCCAACTTTTTAATTCACGGTTTTGTCGACATTGTCTCTCTATATGCGTGCATATGTTGCTTTTATTTCCTTTTTGGTTTTTATTAGACCGCAACCCTTCTGGTTCTCAGATTGGGAAGAGAGTATGGGGCGTTCCGGGTGACATGTTGTGGAAGCTTGACGCTAGGGTTCAGGTCGGCCTGGGCTGTAGCATGCTCTCCACTTCAATCGCTGAGACTCGTCGTCCATCTGTTTACCTCACTGATAAACAGACATGCAACTTTTATCGACACTGCCCTTATGAATAAGGGGAAGTTCTTCGGAGAGATCGTTACAGCACACTAAAAAGCTGTAACATTTTGCAAGGCGCTAGTGATTGTGGCAATTGCTGCGACTCGAAGGTCATCGAAGGTCATCGCTCAAATGCTTAAACAATATGCTCTGCGCCCCCCACAACAACATTCTGTATCTCCCTTTGACTAAAACCTTGGCCTACCAACACGACGGTCAGATTGTTGACAGCGACCGACTGAAAGACCTGTCCTGTCATTGCCAAGCATATAATCGTGGATCTAATCTGGCTGATGTTCTGTAGACTTATGGAATTGATAATATCCTGGAACTCAACCTTCAGTGTTCGCGACTGCATATCCGAGCTGCAAAGCCAAACCTGTGCCCATAGCCGTGAGAATTGTGAAGCTATAGACCTTGTCTGCTGAAGTCAAAGATTCAAGATAGGCGCACAAAAGTGCACCACCTAGTATGATGGAGATACCTATATTAGAAAGAACGGCGTGCAGAATTTGATCTTGGACAGCGTCCAGCCAGAAGCTAGATTGGCTGATATAGCGATCAGCAAAAATAGCAACAGTCGAACGGCAGCCATCAGAGGTGCGTCTCCGGCAACAAATTGGGAGTACAGTGGGATGCAGTACGTGGTAACAAAAAGTGTGGTAATTGCGCAAGACGTTCCTATGTAGAGAAGAATCTGGGTCCGAGACCTGAGAAAATGACCGGGACAGGACCTGGTGCTCGGCGATGTGAGAAGAAAAAAAGTACCGATGGGCTGTGTAAAGGAAGAGGACAACCTCAAAGCACACCACTGTCGTGATCGTCCGTCTGTCTTCCCAAGGCCAAACGCCGCCGGCAAAAACAATGGCCAATGCGAATGCAACCCAAACAAAACTGATGCCGGTGATGTAAGTTCCTCGCTCCTCTCGACTTGTGAGAGCCGAGAAATTGTCCAGCCCTCCAATATATATGCCGGTCCGACCCGTTCCTGCAATGACTCTCCCGACAAGGAGCGCATTCTTTTTTGGTGTGACATCACAGATTACGGAGCCCAGTTGGAACAAGAAAATGTCAGGAACATAGAGCCACTTCATATCGAAGTTCGAAAAAAGGGCACCAAAAGGTAGGACTATAGCAACAGATCTAGGAGGGAAGGCCGCGCCGACCCAAGCAAGTTGCGAGACTCGGCCGAATGTCTCTAAAATAGCTGCCTTTTCTACCTGTGCTTCACTGATCTGGCGGGCGAGTATGTTCGTATGGGGTATCGTGTCGGATATTGGTATCGAGGAGTCCATCTTCGTGGACGATAAGGTGAAGACACATTGCTCTCCCTGGCACCTATGTTTGAGGCGAGCGTTTTGTTTTCTGATTGCGTCGATAGTGTTTAATTTCGCTACGAGACCTGATTCTGTCCGGAAATTACTTACACAATCACTTACTATACTGTCATATCTAGCAGCTTGAGGATTATATTTGTGCAAGAGGACGTGGCGATTCTTCTACGTGAATTCACCTACCGTTGTGGACGTTATTTTTCATGAAGTGTTCTGAACCATTAACTATAATCTGTGGATGGACAAGGATATTTGCCAGGGCCGCAGCAAATCAACCTAGATGATTGGCATTTAAGTTTCTGCCTATATGCATACAAGACACGTTCAACTATAATTGGATCAGATTGTTCTAGGTATCAAGATCTTACTGAGTTCAGTAATCTTAGCTTTCTTGTCACACCCCAATCGGCTTCTGTCTAGGAAAAGGTAAGGCTTGACTTGGAAGAGAACCCACTGTAATGAGCTTCTAGCGAACGAAGACTGATGTTGGTAAGAAGGGGTCACCTACGCCCACTAGCACCGGGTGCCCTAACTAAAATATTTACAGTATAATTGTCAGCTTCTAGGTCGGGGTCAATAGTAAGACCTACGGTCCGTCGATAGTCACTAGTTTCGGATTCGGCAGTCTCGTCAGCAATGCAATGGCTGCGGTTGGTCTCTTCTTACACGTCCCTGTGCCCTTCGCCTTCAGTTGCATATCAGACTATTTGTAAGAACTCTTCCCGCATGTGGTGATACTATCGCTGACGTCCTACCGCTAATTATATTTAAACTTACGTCGATATCAACAATCTGGCAGCGCTCAGCAAGTTTTTCTAAATAAATGGTCTCTGGAACTGTAATCTATTTGCGGGCAACCACTACAAACTCTCCTTATGATCATTGCCAACTTGCGAAAACTACCGCCTTATCGGGCGCAGAATATGTACGGTCAAAGAAAATCGTTCGATATGTCTGCATAGGGACTGGACCTTATGAAAGTCTAGATGACAGGATTGTGGTGTTTTTGTATGTGACACAAACGCAAGCAGTGTGGTCAATAGTTATCTACGTATGATTAACAATATATGCACCTTGCACCCGAGCCGTGCTTTCATAATGATCAACATAGTAAGGTTCTATACCGATAACGTACATCCTGCTCTAAACTAAATATATAGCGCCAGCATGAACGCTTAGAATAAATCTTCGAATACCATGAAATGCTTCGGCTATCTTTCTATGCGCAACACCAATCGTATCTATGAAGGCAGCGTATAAGTTCTTCACATCTTTGAACTATGTTTCGAAATTACCATAACGCTGACCTTAGGCAATCGCCAGTTTAAAACTCAACGCTAGGAGCTGACCGCCCTCACACGCCCGAGGTTCTGTCTCTTATGAGGAAAGGAAAACACGGTATTTACCGGTTACCTATAGCGTTATAACCACAACCAGTCTTGGAGCCTCCTTCCGGTAAACAGATTAGCATCAACACGAACACTGCCCATTAACCGGCACGTACAGCTATCGACAAGTATCGGTTTGAGGAACGATATCATACCAAGTCGTGTGTATTTCCAACGTGTGTTGCTAAAATTGGACCACTTCACTTCTACAAATTGTTCCACAGCCGACAATTGTTTATGTACCTGTAAGTAAAGGAAGACTGGCTGCTTCTTTATAGACGCTTGACCTTTCCCCATAGTTGATTAGTGCTTGTATATTGCGCCTTTACGGAGGCTCCAAGTTATCCACACCTCAGTTGACTGAACTTGACCCCCGATTGTTTACTAGCTAACACAGTCGCGGCAAGTACATTTGATGTCCAACTTATCGGAGTATTACGTGACTGAACAGACCGCAACCTCACGTCAACTGACTAGTATGAGCAATAATTAGTGATCATAAACAGCACTCACAGTATTATCTAGTGATATTCAATGTAGCTTGATACGCAAGATGTTTCAAGCACTTCGAAGCATGATTTGTCGAAGCGGACGACGGGCAACAATATATATTGATATATGTATATCCGTCGAGACTTGTTATGTCACAAATCATCGCTTGCTATCAATCGCTAAGCTTGAAACTGTCCCTAACAGCTGCACCAAATCGCTCGATCGCTACCCCCATTTGCTCCTCCGAAGCTGAAGCAAAGGTCGTTCTGAAGAAAAGGGCCGTCAGCGGCTTGTCATGTTCAGCCAAAAACCATGAGCCCCGGCATGCCAAGACGCCTTTCTCTATGCACGAGTTGAAAATCTCTTCTTCAATATCTAGTAGACTCTTGCTGGCTATCTCTGGGTGTTGTTCATGGTTGATTTTGAGCCAGAGCTATTCGCTATTAGTTGAAGGTTCTCTAATGAAGTTCTTTTCGACGCATAGAAGAATGTACTCACAAACATGCCTGCTGCTGGAGGATTCCAGGTCACTACATCTTGAGGAAGGTATTTCTCGCAAGCCCGCAGAAGAGCATTTCTTCGGCTTGTATATTCCAAACGAAGATTCATCAACCATTGGAGGTATCCTTCATGACCCCATTCTTCATCCAACAGCTTGTACATAGCAAGCTGTGAGAAGCCGCTGGGGCCTTGACTACAAGATTCAGCGTGTCTAATGTAACGCTCAATTATCTGTTCGCTTGCAGTGATCCAGCCCATACGGGCTCCAGGTACGACTACTTTGCTGAAGGAATCATGGCGCATAACTCGACCATCGACGTCGATGCTTAAAAAGCTGGGAATCAGGCCGCCAAGAAATTCGTCGACATTGGCTGGTGGGGAGACACTTGGTGAGTCTGAGCCAGTATATGGCTGCATTTGGAGGAAGTAGTACGGCTCATCCTCAAAAATAATTATATCGTGTTTCCGACAAACCTCATAGATATCTTTTCGCCTCTGCTTCCCTTGTGTAGCACCCGTGGGATTTTGTCCCGATGGGACAGTATAGAGGACCGTCGGTTTCCGTGCACCCCGCTCGCTCTCGTCCCATTTTGATAGCATAACATCCATACTTTCCGGAAGCAGGCCTTGCTCGTCCATTTTGGCACCGAACACCTTGATGCCAAGAGGTGCGGCAGTCTCCAGTGCCGTACTGAAACTGAATTCTTCAGTCAATACACTATCACCTCTGTTCCGGTCGCAGAACATCCTGTAGGCGCACTCCAGACTTCCAGTACTTCCAATTGTCAAAGCGCTGCGCCAGTCTGAATATGGGGGCCGATGGCAAAGCTCTGTGTGTTCCGTGACCCAACGAAGAACTTGAGCCGAGCCAATGGATTGGCCATAATTCAGGCCTATACTCAAATCGAAGACACCATCTTTCTCTACAACATCACGCTTACCAATGGTGACGTCTTTGCCGGAGGCATGCGTTGCCGCTTCCGAGAACTGAGGCGGCAACGGTATCTTGAAACTCATTGAATCGAATGGAAAGTGTTCGGCAGAAGGCAGCCCACCTCCTAAAGACACCAAACCAGGCTTTTTAAGGTGCTTAGCCGCTTGCTTCAGGACGCAAGGTTTGCGTGCTATGGACTCTGCACTCAAGAGATCTGCATTTCGTTAGAATATCTAAATAATCGAGCTCTTGCTTAGACCACTCACGATCCCATCTTCGGGCTTTGGGGTTCTTGTACGCATGCTGCACGACAGGTCAACGGAGGTGGCAGGTGTTTGGACGAAAGCAAGACTTACTGGTGATTTGAACATGTCGCTATCTGAGTAAGCTGCAGTGCCAGCAACCAACTTCCCAGCCAGTGCTCGCCGTGTCTTGATGCCCTCAACGGTGAGGGGTTCTGGAGCTTGCTCTCCCACTTTGGCATCTCTGGCTGCAAGACCAACGCCACCAACGTTGGTCGGCCTCCATTGTCGCGGTGTTGTAGAGATATTTCGCCTAATGCTCTTGACGAACCTAAGCGAACGTATAACGTGTAAACCCGTTATGGGCTGCGAACGAGCTAGGCTCTTCATTAGGAATTGAGCTGTATAAAACGGAGAAAGAATGCATAGAAATAGAGCTTCTAGCAGGATCAAATTTAGAGGGCTTCTGTGCAGGATCTGAGCACCTAATCAGTGGGTTTGGCGAAGTTGAAGAGGTAAAACATTCCAATGATACTGTGTTACTTACTGGTATGACCCGTACGCCCTTTGCGATAGCGGCGGGGCTGTTATGCGGGGACCGTTGATAACCGCCCCGCGTTCGCTAACAAGTTCCACTAATTTGTAACGATAAGTTAATCTTGATAGAATTGACCAATCAGACAATGAGATCATAATCACTGGACCATCTGGCTGTTGCACCTACGATGGTATGTCACGAATGTATCGTTGGAGCTTACGATTCGATTGAATTTCAGCAGCCCAGAAAGCTCCTATCTTGAAACATGATGTCTGTGCTAATTATGGCTTCGGAAACTGCACACCCATAAGGACGGCCTGACATCAATCTTCTATGCTTCAGTCCCCAATTGATTTGTCGTGTTTTTGGGTCAGAGATCAAGCCCAAGCCTAAAGGAAAGTAGGAATCAGGCCATAGCAGAGTCTGTCTTGTTATGTCAGCTATCCTACGAGGTTTCCACGACGAGGACAAACACATCGACGATGAACCAGGCTCTTAAAAAGTAAAATTTTGTGATTATCAATATTTATTACGCAGAGAGATATTACGAGTCTTGCGCCAAATACCCAAAAGGGAAAAAAAGGCGTTTCCCATCAAAACGCCAGCATAATGATCTGTTCGAGAAGCTGAGCTATCTGGCTATTCTTCAAATCACTTGTCACTTATGTTACGAAAGTGGTATGACATTCTTCGTTTCTTTGTTTCGTGATTTTGAGTTTTTCACAACAGTTGACAATATCCGTCACGATGTGGCTAACGAGAGAAGAAATGAGAAAAAGAACCAGCTAGTTGCTTTATCTCCGAATACGACATGTCCGCCAATAAAAGACTACTTCTGCTTTGAACAAACTCACCAGTCTTTACAACTATTATTAACATTCTGAAACAATTACTTTGCGCAAAATAGAGACTGGGAATCGAGTTCTACTGATAATCAAGACAAAATAGCACTAAATGAGTCCAGGTTCGCAAGTACAAGTGAACAAACGCGGCAAAGGATGAGCTCACCCCAGCTTGTCAAGAGCAAGGACAGAAGAAGAAGATACGCGGGAGGACTGGATCGCAGAGAAATAGGGCAGCTGGGAAGCAAGAAGCACAAGAACCTGGCACTGCACAATCTTCATTACCTCCTCAGCCTACAGACACGCTGCGATGGGATCTGAGCTCATTGGCAAATAATAACATGCCTTCAGAAGCCACTGAATATTATACGCCTAATTCGAAAGAAGCCAGCTAGCCATCTTTGCAAAGTCACCCTGCATCACAAACAGCTCGATAGACAGCAAAACCGCCGTTCTGCGGAAGAAGGAATTGCGACCAAGAAGTGATTCGAAGCTCTCGGCGAAGGCTAAAGTATTTTGTCCTACAAGTTCCGTCTTGGCACAGACAGCGACAATCGCAGAAGGACCCGTTAGCACAATTACAGCCTCTCAAGGCGACATCATAGAAGAACATATCCAACACAACCCAGTGACAGCCTCCCCACAGTCTCACTCAGTCACTGCTGCAACACAATACGTGGCACTTCAAACACATCACGATGGATATCAACTTGCCGCACTTAGTATATCAACATTGTATTCGCCTAGGTACACTCTACGGCCTACAGTCGGCAGCAACTATGATCTACAGCCAGGCTTCCCGGTGTTTCAACTTCGACCCGCTCCTCAGCCACGGAGGCGTTTCATCAATCCTCGCGAGACGATGGTCATAAGTCCTCGTCTACCAGGTGATAGGATTAGAAGACTTATCCCAGAAGAAGGTAGATACTGCTACATTAATTTCCATACACAGGAATCTCAGTGAAACGAGCCCACGGAAGCTGCCCTGAAGCCTACATATTGGGATGCAACGAGGGAAAAGTCAATCGAGAATAGCACACTTACCCAAGGACCAAAATCTGACACATCTGAGGACAGCCAACTCTCCGTGCCGATAATGTCGGGTGTTTCCTCTGGGAAACACACACCCCCAGACATTCGAGGTCCTATTCGTCCGAGGTTTAATTCATCAGACCTTCACCACATCATTAAATCCACCGAACCATCTATACGCATCATTGATGCTTGTACTGGCAGCACTATTGCACCCAAACCCTTCTGTCCCAAAAATATTGTATCCAGTACATATTTCATACCTAGCCCGCTCACGATTTTCCTAATCGATTAAGTCAACCATCTGATTTGCTAGCTTTGCACGGAGACCACAATGAAGCTCTCAAAAGTTCGATTGTAAAATCAGGGATGACAAGCCATCCATCATGCCCTGTGGTCATGTCGCTGGATTCCGCTGTCTACACCACTGGATGAGTGGTCGACGGTTCTACTGCCCATTCTGCAAGTTTTCTTTCCGTCATTCCAAATGCGGACATATAAGGATGCCTCATGTCCTTGACATTGAGAGTATTCTGACGGTTCCCAAGACTATACCGGAGGGTGGGCGCTTTCACGATTACTGCAAAGATTGTAGACTCCAGCGGGAGGACGTCAATGAGATCATCAATGTATGGGAGCTGAAGCTGAAGTTCATCCAGGCTCGAGAAGCACTCGAGCAGAACGGTGGAGAGCAAAATCGTAAGTTGATGGAAAATGCTTTGGAGAATTTTGAAGACATGACCTTTTGTAGTCGAAAGAAGATATTAGGCCATCTTCTCCTATTATGGTAAGCGCTTGATGTGTATGCTATTTTCAACAAAAGTTCTGTAGCTTTCGAAATTGTAGTTGTTGTGATTATAGAATTTTGTTACTCTTTTTAAAACACCTCTTAGTCTTCATCGAAATAAGACCAATATATAATGTAAATGGTACACGTAGTTGGATTAAACCGCGTTGACTCACTCACATCGTTCTACTCTCTGCCACAGATCAAGTTAAATCACGGGTTATCTTCTACGCTGAGGTGCTGGGCTGGAAGCATCCAAGCATTCTTGCGAATCATAATCTCGAGAATGGGAAGGCGGGTTGATTAGCTTTTAGTAATTTGAGATTTATGGGAGACAACGATTTTGCTAAGTCGAAACGACTGATATAACACCCAATCGTAGTAAAAGGAGAACCTTGTCGAGATCAAATGTGTTCAGGTTCAGGTTTGGTATTATCTTAAAATTATTCACAATATCAAGACCTAAGTATATTATTCGGGAAAGTATATACCATGGCTTATTACACAAACATAGATAACCCTGAAAATGCCAAATGGGCAGTGGTCTATTGGAAGTGGCACCTGTTACTGAAATTCTTTCCCAGCTTTCAGCCCCAATCAACGCGGTTAGGACAAGTAAATAATCCAGTATGAAACTATAGACAACATGACAGGGTTAGCTAAGATACAACATGAACTCCAGGATCGAAATTTGGACCACTCTGGCGGATTTAATGACGCGACCAAACCATCGAGATTCCTGGGTTCCTAAATCAGTCACACGAGCATTGAACACCCGCAAACTTATAGCGAATATGTTAACCTTTACGATAACACGAAATAAGAACGGCAAGACGCTGAAATCCAGCGGGTGATTAAGCAAAATCGATAATAACCGCACTGGCATAAGCAGAATACAATGTTGACATGATGTAGTGACGAACAAAACTAATATCTGAATGACATAGATGATTCGGTTCATGCCCGTGATTACAAGCATGAGACACATCACCAATACGTGTGCCCACTGCTTGCCCTCTTGCTACACGACCGAGCTAGAAAGTCGGGTATGAAGCCACACACGACACCGTTGTTACGCTTCTACACAAACACTAGGCATTTCCCAGGAAATTTGCTAATTGAAGATCCATGCTTTTCTCGCGGAACGGCGGTACAAGATCAATAGTATAAACGCCAACCATATATTCGCTAAGAAACATCCGCCAAGCCACGAGTTCTTGAGACCAACTGGGGTAACACAACTTCAGGCTAAATTGTACCTGCAAAGGCATACGCCACCACTTGCAGGGTGTCTGACGCTCAGGCCCTCTTAAAAAGAGAAAGCGTACGTTTGACGGCCGAGGTCATAAAATAAACCACAAAAAGATCATATGCTTGCCTGCCGTGGATTCTCTCGTAAGCATCTGTAGTCATACTTGGTAGTTCGCTTGTGCAGTGGCTTATAACCCGGCATGAGAGTCTTGCTAGGTTCGACGATTGCAAGTTTCATTCCGATTGCTACCCTCAAAAATCCACAACAGTTCCTCGGTTGCAATTGCTTCGCAATGGGATCTGTGCCGAGCTTCTCGACCAATATGCGAATGCTCCTACACGCTCGTCACAGTCCAAGATTGCTCTCACAGATCGATATTTGTTGTACAATACTTGAGCTATGGTTCGTGTATCAACATCAATGGCGCAGTGCGGTCTCTGGCAAGGGTCTAATTGCCGGAGCAATTGCCGGAGCAATGCCGCAGCGATGTTATATGCGCCTTACTGAGATAACTTTGGTGCGCATCTCGCCTGAGAAATGCAAGGTGAAGCCAGTGTATGGTCTCGCCAATCCCCGAAATGCCCAGTCAAGGGTTCGCTTGCCCTGTCGGGACGATGATGTTCTATTCTGGTTATGTGCTTTGCATTGCCGGTGCAGTGTTGCAGTTGCGGTAGAGATCATTGGCAAGCAGCTTGTCTGTCTGTACATCACAGGATCCATGGAACAAAGTGCATACAGCAGCCAAAGACAAGAAAAGCCTGTACTCTTTGGACTAAACTAGGCGCGGGTTGCTTTCCGTGCCGTCTCTCAACATGCCGCGCTGTCTATAGCATAATGGCCGGACCATAGCGGCCAAGCCTGGACCAATGTGTGATGCAGTTTTCTGGATACACTGAATCTACCAAAGAATCCGGTGAGAAAAACAAGATCTTGCTCGTTGTATCGGAATTTGACAATGCTCGGTGAGCGATACTCGTGATCTGCTCGCTACTGCAGGACATAGCCGCAGCGTGGCACCTGGTCCACTTCGTGCATTCTCAAGACTACACTCCAACGAAAGGTTGCGAGTACCGCGAGGTACGTAGTTTTGACTCTGCGCCATTGGAGCGAAATAGATTAACAGTTGAGTATCATGGGAACCCACTCGAAAATTCTCACAAACCAAGTCTCTCCGCCAAGAAATCCGAAGCAAGAGATTGAATGGTGGTTAGCCGTTTGAACCCCAACTCTCTGGATCTGTACCCTGCGTATGTACCCCCTGTTTGAACCTTTGCACCCTCAAACCGCCCCTCACTTCCCCACCATTTCCCCACACTACCTAACAACGCCCATCCATAAGGTCATCCATGGAGGCCGCAGGCGACCCCTAAATTTCTCATTGGCGTTTCTTGCACTGGCACCTGTCCCCAATTACTTGTATTTTCATACTAGACCCGAAGGAAATTCGGCCTACATCACCAACGGAGTCGACATTTCATGCACTGGCAGGACTGAAGCACGAGTCATTGGACATGACCGAGGCGCCTCCTCCACACTCTTTGATGTTGCTCCCGAACCAAGGCCCATCTTGTCCGGCTAAAGTCTCATCGCGTGGTTCTTCGAGGCAGCCGATTTCCTGATCAGGTAAATCGTTTGGCCTTCAACGGAGTCAACCTTGTTACGCTGTCACACTAGTAGTCTATTTCGCCGCGAAGCTTTTACGAAGCGGACATTGAATGACGATGTCGGCCATGAGCTCTCCGGCTACAGCTGTGTTGAGAAGGTTTATCTTCTTGCTGGGGACCTGCGTCTTAGCCTTGGTGGTTTCCCTCCTCATCGCTGGTCAACTGCTTTCATCTCTTTGGAGTTATCCTACCATGTTGAAAGGTCTAGGCTCGGCCGGGCTTCTGTCTTTGCCACTTGTGATATCGTCCTCGGCGACGCTTCTTTACGTGTCATCGTATGCCGGCACAGTCACCACGCTAAACCTGACCCTGCCTAGTGTCGACAACACCACCACTGCTGCACTTGAGGCTATCTCGAGTTCAACTGGGTGTGCATCAAGCCCATCATGGCTTACCCTTGACTCCACCAAATCAGTTCTCTACTGCACAGATGAGGGGTTGACCACACCCTTGGGGTCTTTGTCGTCTTTCCAAACCAACAGTGATGGCAACTTGGTTCAACTTGACCAACTCAGCGTAATTTCTGGTCCAGTCAGTGCAATCATCTATGGAGGTGGAGAAGGCTTAGCTTTGGCACAATAGTATGTTCGCATCCGTTGTCACCTGATATCTATATTTCTGTATGACCAATGCCCGGGTTCTGATTCCGGCTCCCCACCACTCAGTGCTCCCTCGAGAGCGGAATAGAATTTTGCTAATTTTACAATCAGTGGCGGCTCGAGTTTCAGTACTTTCTCAGTTGCGGACCCCTCTGTGTTGGAGCCCTTGCAGAACCGGACATTCAAGCTTCAACAGCCTGGTACCGTCCCTGACCGGCAGGATGCTCCACATCCCCATGAGGCTTTGCTCGACCCTACCGGAGGGTACATTCTCGTCCCAGACTTAGGCGCTGATCTGGTCCGAGTGTTTCGCGTGGAAGAAGGGGGGCTTAACTGGACTGCAATAGATGCTCTGGTTGCTGCTCCTGGCTCTGGTCCACGACACGCCACTTTTTTGGTCACCGGCAACAGGACTTATTTGTATCTCATCCAAGAGCTGGCCAATACGATCACTGGGTACGACGTCACATACAACAGTGACTCTACATTAGGGTTTACCGAATTATTCACAATAACCACCCATGGGGCTGGAGGCATTGTTCCTAGCGGCGCAGCAGCAGCGGAGATTACACTAACAGTAAGTTGCATTACCACTATACCCATACACATCACTAACACTGCTATAAGCCTGACAACAACTTCTTAATTGTCTCTTCCCGTAACGAGAGCTCTCTCACGATACCCAATTTCGATGTGAGCAACAGTACTGAGATTGTTTCCGACGCTCTCATTACTTTCTCTGTAGACCATAGCTCTGGAGATCTAGCCCTACTCCAGACCTTTCCTGCAGGTGGACGGTTCCCACGACAATTTTCTATCAACAAAGCAGGTGACCTGGTAGCTGTTGGACTACAATCAGACAGTCGTGTCGTAATCATTCAGCGTGACACTGAGAGTGGTCTTTTAAAGCGGTTCATAGCCAATGCCACGGTGGCTGGTGAGGTTACCTCAGTAGTATTTGATGAGTAGTCACGGGAAAGAATCTATACTTAGACTAGAATAAACAAGATTATACGGTCATATAACAGTGATTATGAGGCTCTACCCAGATTTTACGTGTAAGCGTCACTATCGACGCGTAGGATCGCGATGCCCACAACGATTTTTGCGGGGTTGGGCCACTGACATATGTTAAATAGATTAAGTGTCCGAAGCCGTTCGCCTCGCTTGGCGGAGTGTCGGCAGTAATATGCATTGGCGATATATATACTGATAGCAAGTGGCGACGCACATATTAATTGCTGTAACAAAAATAGAACTGTGCGATGTTGCGTCTGCATGCGGTTCGAGACGGAGCGAGTCCAGCCCCGAGATAGACGAGGGTGGAAAAATTTATGCAATACGCGTCACAGAAGTTGAAAGATATTCGTGATCCTGGCATATGGAGGCTAAGTATGTACGCCCATTAACGAAGGGTCGAAGCCGCTTCTTGTCTGTTCAATACTGCGAGGTAGTCAAGCACTGTATTGTTGGCATCGAGGCTATAAACCCGATGAGGTTGGATGATGTTATGCTTCCTAACACCAATCTCTATGTCTGGTTGACTGCATCGCACACTATTGACGTAGGGACTAAGATCTGCATCAGACCCGGAACAGAAAGCCGACGCATTGCTGGTTCGAACACTATGGCCGCATGTTGTACATGCACGCCGGACTTGCCGCGCTCTTCTAGGGGATTGCTACGCGTCAAGGCGGGCCGTACTTGCTGGTTTCCACTCAAACACATATCTGGATTAAGAAAGTATATTCATTCATCGGAACGTCAGGTCCCTAAAGCCCTCGCCACACAGAAATCCAAAGACTGTGGACTCCAGAGAGCGAACGGTTGCGGAGGTTCCTACCCGATGAATGCCCATCTGGACAAGCATATGACGATTCAGCTTCAAGGAAGACAGCTGAAGGTCATTTCATATGATCAGGGGTGAACGAGATGTTGTTGACAGTTGCCAAGTTCTCGGGGACCGGGAGGGCTGGATGGAACGAAACGACCGTGGGTTCCTTCTAAAGGTCGTAGCATAAATGGAACATCGCTGCTAAACGAACCGCAATAGCAAGGTTACTTTGCTAAGCCATCGAGTTCTTTTTCTCTCTCTCAAATTAGCTGTACCAGGCCAAGCGATGCAAGGATTGACGGCAAGTGGCTGCGACCGTTTCTAATGGAACAAATCGAGGCTCTAGATGTCACGACCGTCGCACTCTGTTTTGAATGACTTCATCGATTTGGTCTATAATGGCCGCCTGAACTGTCCCTTATGAGAGACAGAAAAAAGTGTAACGATGCCGCATTTATTAACACTTCCGTTTAGACTATATTTGAATTGCCAACTGGCATGTCGCATGTCGAGCTTGTTGTGTGCTGTGTATGGTCGAATAGACTCTTCTTGAAACTTGCAATATTGTTCAGGCAAGCAGCCCGTTCAAAATTCAATGCCATCTCCCCATAAGCAGCCATGCCTCCATTGATATGGGCAAAGTGCAAATATAAGTTGTATTAATGCAGTTCAATTAGATGTGTCAAGTAAGGTTCGTGCTTATGCAGGACTGACTGCCACGTTTTGACCATCAGTCATGACACCAAGCACTCCATTCGGGCCGTTGAGAGCCATTGTAATTCAACAGACCATAGTTTGGTACGGCCGTTATACATTGTGATAGGCTGGGAGAACAGGTCATTTGAGGTCATTTGTTGGCTTATGGCGCTCTAGCCTCCTTCGTTCTCATAACAGGTCGCCTTTTGGAGTGTCCAGTCTGCCACACTCAGCGTCAATCCCCTGGTCTTATCCTGGGAAACGTGCCGTGTCTTGGCGGACATGGGTGAGAGATATTTGTACTGCTTCACTTAACCTGTTGGGAGAGGCCGGCGATCCATGTAGCCACTTTTTTGTTTTTCTGAGTCTCGACAACATCATTTTCACAAATTGATCTCAGTGTCTGTCAGTGTCTCTGTAAGGATCTGTCAGCGGATAGGAGATGAAAGGGAACGGCATGCATGGAGGAATACGGGAAAAAATGACATAGGTTCAACCTGAACTCGCAGAATTACGCAAGATGAAAGTTTGCTCCACAGCGAACTAGGTTAGCCACATTGTGAGTAGTAAATGCCCCGACAAAATCCTTGATAGTTATCAGCGCCTGCGATCCTTCGCCAACAATTCTCGAAATGAGCTTTCCAGTCGCTTCGGAGACGAGGGGGAAGAAAAAAAAAAAAAAAAAAAAGGGCGTTGAAATTGAGCTTGCGGGGATTGTACCTGGAATACCCTAATTTGCGGGGGGACTGTTGCAGCAAAGTCAGGTTTAGTTAAATGATCATCCAACATCATGATATCCCACTCTCGTTGAAGTATGCAGTCTACGTTAGACGAAGACATGAAGGGAATGCAGGAAGCAGCTTACAGTAGCAATCGTCAAAATTTGGCATGTTCTCGGAGTTCGGATGCAGTGCGTGCTGCCTTTAACGATCACCTGAACGCTGACCTGCAGTGGATGGTTTGATGCGATAGGCCCCCGCTCACTTCGTTGCCACAAACCCACACAGTTAAAGTGGTAGCGAGTCTGACGGTCAAAGTTTGACCGCGGCCTACTGGAAGTGCCCAAGCAACGGAAATGCTATACTGTGTACATACATACTTGCGCTCATGAATTGCTGTTCAGCTATAGGTGCAAACTACACCAATCCCCGTCATTAACCGCTCTGCACACATATGTCCCTTTTGTTCCTTACTTTGGCTCAACTTATTCGTTTACGCTACGGCTTTTCCGGCCGTTAGGGACCGCCGCCCAGTGGTTTCCTTCCATCCGGTATTACACAGCTGGGCACTCTCACGACTCCAAGACGCGCAAGGTTCAGTGTCGGTGCACGTATGACAAGGAGCAGCAGCATGATGAACTGCACTAGTTTCCAGGCAATGGCAGCTTCCTAAAAAGATTTATAATCATTCCGCTATTGCTGTGGTCTTCTTGATGGACTTCCTCTTGAACATTCAGGTATGAAACCACTGTAGTAAATGATTGACAAGTACATCTGCTTCCCCGCAATCTGAGCCCTTGACTCCAATGATCCTAGCCTATTAAGACCAAGCAGGGTCTCATCCACCAAGTCGCAAATCTTGATGCAAGTCCTCAGGTTTTTTTTTTTTTTTTTTTTCTGGAAGGACTATTGTTCCACTCTTCTGCGGCATTTGATCGTTCTCGGTAATATTGAAAACAACAATCCCACGTGTGGATTGTACAAGAAAGTACCTTCTTCGGACAATGTGTCATGGTTGTGAATAATTCAGGTATTGAACCCAGGGCTGCCTCAAATGCTTCTCGTACCGCCATAGCTAATTCCGCTTCTGAGCTATACCCTATCGGAGAACCGTCTGGGGTTTTCAATGGGGCGTCACCTAATACATAGTATGATGAACTGGGGGTGACGAACTGGGGTGTTATGCATCGCTTCTGCACCTTGCATGGGTGGGACGGGGAGCAGACGATGGGAGAACCAGATCCTCCGGTTTCCAAAGCTCCGTTTAAATAACCAGTCAGTCTCTGCTGTGCCTTGCATTCACCCTCCCTGGACGGCCTTTCTTCGTCATCTCCATGGTTTCCTCTTCAGTGAATTACGTGTGGCGTCATGGGTAAATACTTTATTTTTAAGACTTTGTAGTTCTTTTTTAGTTTCACAGCTTATCACGAGTCAAGTACTCCCTCTCCTGCATCGCCAGACCCATGAGTTCAGCTCTGGCTACCGCTTCGCTGACTGCGTTCAGTCTGCAAAGCGACAGAATGTCACCTTCGTCGACAGGCGACTCTCCTCGCTCCATGGGAGGAATGAGCAATTCGGGAAGGCCCTTTCCCCTGCCAAATAGAGAAAATTTCACAGTCGATATTCCGTCGCAACCTACTGGTAGCACAAACGGGTCGTCTCTGAAGTCACCGAATGCAACAAAGACAGCACGAACTGCAACTTTCAGTAGGGAGGGTATTCTGGGATCTGCGCAGAAAACACGAAACCTATCTCAGTCTTCCGAGGCGCGACCAGAGCAGATAATGAGTGACTTGCAAAAGGTCTCCAGCGATGAAAGCATAAATCCGTTGAAGCGTCGAAACACAGACGCCACCATAGACTACCCTCGTAGGAGAGCGACGATAGCGGTATGTTGCGACGGTGGTTCAATGGTCGTCTGGTTTTGCTGATGATAATGCAGTGCGAGGTTTGTCGGTCCCGTAAATCTCGATGCGATGGGACCAAACCTAAGTGCAAGCTCTGCACTGAACTTGGTGCGGAATGCATATACCGTGAGCCCGGTATCAAGCTCGACGCTGGCGATAAACTCATTCTGGAACGGCTCAATCGTATCGAGAGTCTCCTCCAGATGAGTATAGTGAACAGTCCGAACGGCATGCACATTGCTGAGAACTCGCCACCGATCAGCAATGGTACTGGTTTGAGTGCTGATAATCTTCTCGCCAATGCCAGCTCAGGTTTTGTGTCGATCATACCTAGCGGTGGTCTAGGTACTTGGACGCAACATACAACGAATAGTATATCTACAATGCCAAAAGTGCACACCAATGCCGCCCTGCACCTGCTGCAGTGGCCGCTGATCCGAGACTTGGTTCAACGGCCCTATGATCCTCAGATATTACTGCAACTCGAAATGGCCCGGGAACCCCTTCCTTCTCTTGCAAAAACACCGTGTGTCGATCTCTCCAATACGCATGCTTATATTGAGGCATATTTTGACAGAGTAAACGTCTGGTACGCCTGCGTGAATCCTTACACTTGGAGAAGCCACTATAGAAGCGCTTTGTCGAATGGGTTCCGGGAAGGGCCTGAGAGCTGCATTGTTCTCTTGGTACTTGCACTTGGACAGGCAAGCTTGAGAGGAAGTATATCTAGGATTGTTCCTCAGGAGGATCCACCAGGGTTACAATACTTCACGGCAGCTTGGTCATTGCTTCCCGGCATGATGACCTCAAACAGCGTTTTGGCGGCGCAGTGCCATCTTCTTGCGGCTGCCTACCTCTTTTATTTGGTGAGACCGTTAGAAGCTTGGAATCTGTTATGCACCACGAGCAGCAAACTACAGCTGCTCCTTATGACCCCAACACGGATTCCGGAGGATCAAAGGGAACTGTCGGAAAGGATCTACTGGAATGCACTGCTCTTCGAAAGCGATCTGCTGGCAGAGCTTGACTTGCCACACTCTGGGGTTGTTCAGTTAGAAGAGCACGTCGGGCTCCCTGGTGGATTCCAGGGTGAGGAGTCTGAAGCAGTCGGCCGTGATGATCTGTGGTACTTCTTGGCCGAGATTGCACTGAGGCGGTTGTTGAACCGCGTCAGTCAACTCATCTACTCTAAAGATTCCATGGCATCGACAACTAGTCTAGAACCAGTGGTGGCGGAACTCGACTTCCAACTGACTCAATGGTACGAAAGTCTGCCCGTAGCGCTGCAGTTTCCATTTACGCGGCAAGCACTGGCGGATCCAGTACAGACCGTCCTGCGTTTACGATTCTTTGCTTGCCGAACGATCATATACCGGCCATACATCCTGGCGGTTCTCGATAATGAGCAAGCTGTTTTAGACCCATCAGTACGGGACAGTTGCCACAAGTGTCTGGAAGCCTCCATCCGGCAGTTGGAGCATATTGGTGCACAGTAAGTTGACAACTGCTCAGAAATCATGACTTAACCCACACTGTCTTTTTTCATGTTTTAGCCCGTCCCTTGGTATTTCCCAGATCTAACAAAAACATTACAGTCATGCCGGCCACATGCCATATCTATGGCAAGGTGCTCTATCCATCGTCTCACAAACCCTCCTCGTGATGGGTGCGACGATGTCACCGTCGCTTTTAAGCATCCTGTTAACTCTTGTACCCCACCGTGAGGTCATCGATCAGATTATTAACGACGTGATCATGGATATTGAGAGGATGGCAGTTCTTGCGCCCAGTCTGAGTCTCGGTGCTGAGATTATCAAAGAAGCTGAAGTCCGGCGACGGACTTTCCTGAATGGCTGAGTATGAGACCAGATCTCTGTACGACAATTACCGACTCAGCACTATTAACGAATCTCACATGCATCTGTTCCATGCACTCGCAGTTTAGCGACAATCGCCACAGCGTATTGACGATGACCGACCTTGCAAGCATACCAACTGAATCTCACTGCAGGAAATCATCGTCATTCAACCTAGCCCGGCAAGAGATACTGTAACTGGGCATGTACCCATCGGACGGATATTGCAAATCTCGTACAAGCTCGAACCTAGTGGCTTGGAATCAATTCCTCTATGGGCGCCTACTGATAATTGATCCATTCAGCCTCGTCGGATTCTCCTGCGCCCACCCCATCTATCCTGCAGCCATAATTCTGGGCCATGGCAATTTGCCATTTCAAGCGGCTTTGCAGCGCGGAAATTCAGGCTTACGACAACGCAAAAACCAAAACTGGGGGTTGCACTACTTCTATGCTGCACGCGACTTATCGAAATCCAAAGGATGGTTGGTGGGGAAATGCAGGATGAGAGGAACTTCGGCCCGCTCTACCGGAAAGAACCCTCTCCACCAATCAACGTTTTACCCTATGACCAAAAAAGGATATTACTAGCAACTTCAATCTTCTGGGGGGGACACCAAAAACAAGGCTGGTTATTGCCTTTGTTCTCGGATCTACAGGTTCACATGAAAGTCCGTTGCGCCAAGGGGCGCGACTTTGACTGTATATGGATATGCATTCAATTTTCTTCTTGGATGTTAAGTTTCGCCTCGAAAGAATGTCACCATTTCTCTTTTTATACGTTTCAGGACATCCAAGCAAGCTTATGCGCCATTGAATCCTACTACGGGAGGAAGGATATACAGGATCCTGGCTACTGTCTGGAACAGAAACTCCTATCGAAGATCTTTTGTTTTCTGTTCGCAACCTTGTCACGATGAAGGTCAATTTGCGGTATGGTAACGGTGGTGCATAGTCTTGGGGTCATACATATCTAGCATTGTGTAAATTCTTACGACGCACATGATCTTTGTACATATACTCATTACACATATCACTGCCGATGGTAATTGACGGAAGGACGATTGAATACTCCAGATCCCCACAGTCGGCAATGCCAAGACGACGATATGGGGGAAAATGCATGTCTCACAATGCCACCCCGGATAATCTGCAGTATTACAAGCGAACACGTTTTCAGGAACCGCTCTAGGTACAACCTGCATGCCCTGGACCATGTGCATGAAAAACACACATTTATCCATGTGCTTGCAACGCGAGTGGACCACTCGGATTGAGGCAAATGTCAATTAGCATTTACAGTGGCAAAACAGACGTAAAAGACACTTTGGCGAATTGTATTCATTCGGCATAGCTCGTTGCTGATCAAGTTTTGCCCTAGACTAGTCTAGCTCATATGAGAAGTGAAAAGGTGAATGCTATTCATCATTACTCTCGACTTTGCCACTTTTCATCCTCGAACCGATGAGTATACTCGTCCTTTCGTGATGGGATAATACATAACTTCCCGCTTTCTCTCATTTAGTATTAGGAAACCGTCTGGAGCAATTCTGGTCCAATATTCAACATGATATTTAGAGTAAGACAGGATGTCGTTGGACGCACTAGGACTACAGGAGGATGACTTTGCATTCACCTTAACGTTGGCTTCAAATAGTTTATCAGATGGGATTAACTATCCCTCTCTGGTCAGAACTATTAAGTTTGCATTATGCAAACCCAATAGCAGTCCCCTTCCTGCTATATTTCCTGTCAAGGGAATGAAGGGCAGCGGAAATTTGTTCCGACTCCCACGACTCGGGAATCTGCATAGCAATACTGGAAAATCGCGCCTAGTGACCACAAGCGACTACAGATAAGCGAGTCGTACCCCCAAGGTTCATCTCTGCCATACTACTATACATTGGGGAAACATATTGCGACTCGTGCCGCAATGCCAATCCTTTGTGTACAGTCTCCACGTTATGTAGCAGGCGCCTAGATGCAACGGCCTGTTTTACCTTGGTATATGGTGCCGAGACCTTAGGATCAGCGCATAGGCAAAGTGAACCAAGTAAAGAAGAGTTTGCGACCCTAGTTTCTTGTCCCAAGCCCCAGCTGACCGGACGCTACGCCGCCGGTGAGGCGCTGAATAAGTGTGGCTTCTTACTTTGCATAATCTATTGGATTCCTGCGAAGACTGGGATTGAACATAGCGCTTATTATCACCCACCGTTTACAGAGTACCATTCTTCCCCCTTTCAAGCTGACGCCAACCCCAGCATGGTTATAAATCATCAGCTCAGTCTCGAGCAAGGGATAGAAAGAAAGGTTTTCGCGAGCTGGGACTATTTGTCAGTAGACTTATACTGTCTGATGCAGAATAGGCTCAAAAGTCGCCGGATTTTACTAGGTATAATATATTTATCCAGTAGATATCCAGCTGTACTAACGGAGTATGATCATTGAACTAAGTGAGTTGACACAAGAACTTCTCACACGACTTGGACCATTTGTGCGCATGACCGGATTTAGGTAATATGACAATTACTTGGTTGGTTTCGCAAGATCAATGATTGCTTGTGCGAATATATTGATGGGTACCAAATCTTACACAACAACCTTCAACGTATATTGTTGCTTCGGACTGTACAGGAATTGGTATTACGCATCGTAATCCAGACTTGACCCCTAATGTACATAAGCCCGATGGCACTTGGCCCACGCCGGACTTGCCCAGGTTGTTTGGTATGAATCCTGATTCATTTTGACATCAAGTCGTAGCACGCGGCAACTTATGTTGATGAGAGAAGAGTCTTTCAATGATTAGTGCTTTTTCCCTCATTAAATGATTTTGTTCTTGTGAACAATTGAGAGTATGCAATCGTTTTGAGCTGAGCGATTTCTCGTACATCGACTTAGATTTACACACATATTGAATGGAACTGCCGTCTTCATGAGCCTGTTGCGGCAATAGAAAAGGCACTTAGTGTAGCGCTTGGCGTAGCTATTGTGAGATGTCCACGATCCCATCAGTTGGCACATCCCAAGTCAAGAAACGCCCGTCAGACTGCAGGGCTCCCATAACGGGCTATCGGCTGAGCGTATGGTAGTTTCGCCCTGTCACGGAAGGCGCTGAAACCCTACTCGGCACATTATAAATTGTTGATTATGCTTGTCATGATGGGCAAACCATCGCATCAGATCATGTTGTCATATTGCTTCTTCGAAAAGAATTTCCGCAATCCCAAGGTGCTCTTTCGGGTGCGCGGTTTTGAGTCCAACTGCATTGACATCTTCTGGTTGCCAATTTCCCGCAGATTCTCGAGGGGATCAGGTGGTGGAGTATAACGCGAGCGGTCCTTGTCTGGAAGTGCCGGCGGCTTATTTCTAGAACTTTGCCCAATCTGCGGTAGCTGTGGTTGAGGCTGTGTTTGAGGGCGAGCCCTCGTCTGGGGTCTCACTGGGAATCCGCCCTGGAGTTGTGGTGGTATAGGCGGTGTTGGGGGCGGCGGCGATTCTTCTTTGCTGCGTAGACGCAGAGGCTGGACAAATGCTGACTTGCGATTGTACCTATAATTATCAAATTCGGGTAACCGAAACTCGAGGTCATCCTCTTCCGGGATTTCGTGCTTCTTCCCTCCGTAGATATCATCACCCTTATCTCCGAGAGGGAAGGCCCTTTCCTCGTCGCCACATATCACCATGTACCATTTGATTGGCTCTTCCTTCTGCAGCTGGTCCCGAAGCTTCTCGAGCCAGCCTGCATTCTTGTTGCCAACGGTGTTCACTTTCCGACTAGTTTCGTCGCTAGGACCACTCATAGCTTTGATCTTTTCTGCCTTCATCTTCTGATCATAGGACTGCATCTGCTCTAAGAGCGAGACCGAGCCATCTACGCGCACCTGATAGTCTGAGACGTAGGCCCAGGGTCCATTCATAATTGCTTCGTCCGACGGATCGTATTCCTCTAGCAACTTGACACGTGACCATCCATTAAAGGGGCCAGTCCTCTCAGACTCCGGGGGCATCGGCGAGAAGAGCGGCGGGGGAGCCTGCATCGGTCGTGGAGGAACTGGCAACGTTTCGGGACGCTTGCTTGGCTTTCGCAATCGAGCCGTGGACATACTGCGCTGCCGTGAGGCGCTGAGACTCCGCTTCTTAAGCAGGTCGCTTCCGAGGCGCCCACGTCTTTCTTCATCGCTGCTACTCTCAATGCTGACTTTGTACATATCTGAACTTGAGCCACTCGTCTGTGTGTTGTATGCGTTCAGTGAGCTCGCAGCTCTCGAGTTTGCGCACGGGGGAACGAAGTCGAATTCGTCATAGAAGGTCTCAAGAATGGCCTCGGCACTCTTCGGCGCGACGATCCACTCGGGGGCGGCATCTTCGACATCTTTGAGGATCACGAAATAACGTATCTCTCTCCGATGCCAGCGGAAGCCGTGACAGAGGTAAGCCGGCATCTCAGCTGTGATATCGGCCTCGCGGCCACCAGGATTGCTACCGGAATTGGTATGACGGAACGGGGTTTAAGCGGGGTTGTGCTGGCAGCATCCGCTTCTGTCGTCTAATGCGATGTGTGGGATTTGGCTGGTTCAGAATCCGATCATCCTTATCAAGCGGTTCCATTCATTGGATTTTGCGGTGACGGTAATCCTGACGGAGAGGTTACATTTGATCAATATATGTGTGTATATATGTCACTTTACAATGCTAAGTCAGCATGTGCTTGTCAAGCTCTCAATTCAACATATCCCGCTGTCAGGAAGCATTTAAAGTTGAGGTTGCAGATCTTGAAGCATGCAGACCCACCATCCACAAAACATGAGATGTTACAGCCGTGCGCCAAGGAGGTAGAGTTCAGACGACGCACTGAACACATGCATTTAAACTTCTGCATGGCGGGGTTTGTCTCGTGGGCACGGCCGACCATGAGGGCCATGAATGGGTTCAAAAGGCGTAATGCTAGAACTCCTGCGTTTATCGTACCCGTTCGCAGGAGAAGATGGAAACAACATGCTTGTCTTGATCTGTGTTTTCGACAGCTTTTTACCGGCACATGTCATCTTGTAGGTCAGGTTAGTTATCGGTGGCACCGCCGCAAGCGCCGCTACGCCATTAAGCGTGTGAAATTGCAGGCATCTCCAGTTTTTAGTTAGTCAGTCCCCTCTGTTATTTTATTTTATTTTCTTCTTCTTCAAAAAAGGAAAGCACTTCATGATTGATCGAGCCTTGCACAATGACAACCTCAGTGAAGCACGATTTAATCGGTTGGTGTTATAGCTGTCGCGGTTGAACAGCGTTGTCTGACTGACTGGATAAGGTTTCCCCTCCAAACCATACCTGTCATCACCCACTAAACAACACCACTAATCAGCTGTCGGCAGTGCGTCCGTCCTGCGCATGAGGAAGGGGGAAAGACGAACAAGAGGTAATAAAATATAAATAAATATAAATATAAATAAAAAGCACTTTGGTTTTCAATTAATAGAAAACAAGTAAACAGATGAGAGAGAGAGGAGGAAAACGCATACAACAAACAAAATTAGCATTTCACAACACCCCAATCCTGAGATATACCATTACTCTCTCGTAAGCTTCAAAGCGCATAGATTTCAAGACACAGGACTAGACTAAAGCCTATAACTTGACTAGGATAAATCGGTCGGAAATATAGTGCCGCTTATGATTTGGCAATCCAAAATAATGGTGCAACCAAGGTTTTTGATTAAAATTTGTTCCTCCGTGTGAGTTGTCGCACATCTTGCTCATCTCTAATCCACATGCTTTTTCAAACACATCTCGCCTGGTGAACGAAGTGTTAGCAGCGTGGTTTTATTTTTAATTGTTTTAATATTTTTCCTATCCCTTCAATGACAATTGAAACACATGCTGTGGTATTTTTTGGCATCCTATGAAAAGCGAATGACAACAGGGTGCCTTGAGGTGTACTGGGACGTTCCACCTGTTGGCTTTTGGCACCAAGAAGGTGAGAATCGTAAATATGCAATCGAAACGTCTTCTCTTATCAAATGGTGAACATGTGTTATATATGTCGACCTCTTGTGGGTAGATGAAGGGTCAATAAAATCTAGTTGACATGCTTACCGTACACAGCTCTTGAGTGAACCCATAAGATCGTACGATATTGATGTCTGATACCTTTTTGTGCCGCCGTACTTTGTAAGCCGAATGACTCCAGAGGAGAACCGATCAGTTCAATCAACTTATGCTCGAGAAATCCTTCAGGTTGTAGTTATGGGTTTAGGACATCACTTGCGCGCATTGCGTTCGGTCTCGCCCCAGCTTTGTAATCCCCAGAAGCATACAAGCGGGGCAACGAGATATCCAAGCAAGCTTGGCTCAACATCAACCTTGCAAAGCGCCATGTATAGACGAAATGCACATGACCGGCTTCCAAAAACCCTCGTTTGGACAAGGTCCGAGCAGGGCGTCGACTTTAGGGTGCCCCAAAGGACCAATTTCTCCAGCCGGTATGAAAACTTTCCTCCACATCGGAGCGATTCATCGCCTGGGTGTTGGGTCCATGGCTCACCTCTTATCACAAAAGAGACCAGCAGGATCCATCGATACTACGTGACAGAATATGGGCTTCTAGGACCCTTTAGCCTCGATAGTTCTTATTCAGCTTTTTGTTGAGCCTTTTGTTCATTTTCTTTCATAATTATTAAATCGAACCTTTGTGAATGATCGAAATCTTGATGGTGATGATGATGAAGCAAGTCAACACAGCTGTTCAACATAGCCAGTCGGCTGACAACATCTTGGGTGTCGGCTCCGAGGTTGATTCGGATAACGCTCTACTGGAGAGTATAGGATATAGGCAGGTAAGCAAACAAGATCATGTCGAGGGATTGTTCTAAGTGGATTAGGAATTTCGGCGGGAATTCACGAGATGGTCAACGTTATCGTAAGTATCACTCGGCTCATGAAAGCTGTCTCACAAAAGCGCTGGGCAATTCTTCAGAATCAGGCGCTCAATTCCCTAGATTACAAAGTGTCTAGAAGCGAGCTGAACATTGTTGACCCTGTCATAGATATGCAATCTCTATTATGGGAGTGCTAGGCTCAGGTAAATTCTCCTAGATTTACAAGAGTTTCGTTCCCAAGCAACTAACATTATACAAGTCCCAGCATCTTGGGCATCGCCGTTGGCTGCTGGAGGCCCGGCAACTGCTATATGGGCTTGGTTCTCGGGTGCATTCTTCTCTTTATGTATTGCACTATCTGGTATGTGTTCTCTCGAAGCAATACGACAACGCAAAACCTGATTCTCATAGTTGCTGAGCTTATGTCGGCCTATCCCACATCTGGTGGCATGTATTTTGTTACGAAGCATGTTTTCCCTGAAGACAAAGTTCCTCTCGCCGCCTGGATTATAGGATGGTCCAACTTTCTAGGCCAGACTGCAGGCGCAGCTTCTCTTGGTTATTCGATAGCACAAATGGTAATACCTTCCTGTACATGAGTGTGTATAGCTTCTGAATTATCACAGATACTCGCTGCGGTAGTCATCGGCTCAGAGCAAGATGATGGAACATTTGCCTACACTCCGTCAGTGGAAAGCTCCTTGGCGCGTTGACTGTCACTTACAATAAACAGGACGGCAGAGGTGACGGTAGCTTTGAGCATTGTCATCCTTATTTGTCACGGAATTATCTGCTCATTTTCAACTGCCAAACTTTCCAGTATCATCAAGTGGTTTGCGCCGATCAATTGTAAGCCCAACCAGTGTAAGTAATGCCAATTCTTGCTGAAATTCGACAGTGGTCGGCTCGGTCGCAATTTCGATTGCCCTCCTCGTACTTCTGCCCAACAAACCACCGGCAAGCCGGGTCTTTGGTGAAGTGTCAGACGGATCAGGTTGGAACAGCAAAGGCTTCTCATTTCTGATTGGCTACTTGAGCGTGGCATGGACTATGACCGATTATGACGCTACAGGTCACATATCGGAAGAGCTTCATAGCGCAGCAATCACTGGGCCGGTAGCAATATTCCAGGCTGTGCTTGTGTCTTGGTTCTTCGGATGGCTACTCAATATTGCTTTAGGTTTCGGTGCCGGTGATGTTGCGAGTCTTCTATCTACGCAGATGGGAAATCCCGCAGCTCAAGTATTCTATAATGCCGGCGGCCGTAGGGGAGGATTGGTGATGTGGTTCTGGGTCATACTAATTCAGTTCTTCACAGGTATTACTGCACTTCTGGCTGATTCCCGGACTTGCTTTGCACTTGCACGCGACGAAGCGTTGCCATTTTCTAGGTAAATTCGCTGACAGGTTAGCTATGAAGAGTTACGACTAAAAGTCGAGCAGTGCCCTACGAAGGATGAATTCGCGCACCCAGACTCCACTCTATAGTGTTTGGGTAGTTGTCATGGCATGTTGCCTAATGAACCTGATAGGACTTGGCAGCTTTCAGACGATCAATGGAATTTACGGAGTGACTGCGCCGGCAATGGACCTTTCATACATTGCGGTCATAGCTGCGCGTATGTACTATGAGAAAGAACGGCCTATCTCCAAAGGGCCATTCCAGATGGGGCGTTGGCAAAAGCCGATCAACACCATCGCAATCGTCTGGGTTCTGTTTATATCGGTGATTCTATTTTTTCCTCCAACATATCCAGTCACACCCTTGAACATGAACTACGCGGTTGCTATCGCTGGGTTCGTTGCTTTGTTTGCAATTACGTGGTGGTATCTACAGGCGAAACGGTTCGTAAAAGCTCCGGAGAAACAACTTTGGGAAGAAAGGCTTTGCTGACAACTGATAGGTTTTATACGGGGCCCAGAGTTGATGACAGCTGAACACGCAAAAACACATTTCTTGGGAGGGCTGAAGACAGAACGTGAAAACCAAAAAGTCCTTGATCTGCAGATTGGGCTACACAATACTTAACACTGACTTCAGTATAAATGGCATAAAATCTGGTCGAAATTTCTTGGATCCCTAATTTGTTAGTCTGAAGGTTTTTTATGGCTCTCAAAGGCTTTATCCGCCACTATATCCATCCGTTCGGCGCACTCAAACGCTTGGTAGGAACTTATGTGACAATCCACCACGTGCAGACATCCATTGGTGGCCCTTTCAAGGCTTTATGAGAATACCTAAAACCTCAGCATGGCGACGATATCTTCAAGTACAGCTCAACCCCAACCTGAAGCAAGATGCCTCAGTAGTGCTGGGTAGTAAATTGCTGGGACATGAGCACATGCACCGTTTAGCTACTGCTAACGAGCCCTACGGAAATAACATAGCAGTGTTATTAGTGGAATAGACGAGCTACTGTGGTAGCATACTTTTATACTCACACCAGGAAACAATAGATCCATGTGTTCTCCAGGTAAAGGCAAGAGTCTATCAAATTGGTCTATGTTGATCCAGCTTATTTTGTACCCGTGCCACGTTATTGCGATGAGATGTATGGAAAATCTGTGGTCAAGAGTGAATTTTTATAAGACACTTGCTATCAGCGAAGTAAATTCCCAACGTCTCGCAAGCCTATGTTCTCAACCGAGGTTGGATTGCCGCCACGATCTATCCTTCCCCATCCAACACCCCAACCAGGAAACACACCCCCATAGCCTCGATTCTCTCTTTGCTGCCCCATATGACTTGGGCCAACAATCCCGGTCGTGGAGCTAGTGCTCTCGAAATCATAACCACCAGTATCATCGCTATCGCCCCTTTGCCGCCTCCAATTCTTGGCGGTCTTCCTCATGTCTCGCGCCTGTTGCGCTGCGATCTCAGGTGAAGTCATAATGCCTACACGCTGATTTTGTCCCCAATTGCCAGCCTTTGGGTAAAAGAACCCCGCGGGCCGTCCACCGCCGAACGGATTCCACCATTTCTTGATTGGAGCAATGATACTTCCGTTGCGGCCCGCGTTGTATGAGGTAGGTGCTTCACCGGCGAGCTCTTCGAGCGTCATCCCCTTCGTCTCTGGGATCAATAGAGAGACGAGCGTTCCGCATAACATGAACAACGCGAAGATCTGCATCAGTCTATCCAACCAAGGCGAGCAGTGGCTTCCGGTACAGTTTGGTTCAGAGTCTTTGCTCAGCAGGGGAATAGACACGACTTGTGCGATAATGGCCCCTATTTTGCCCATTGCTGCTGACAGTCCGTGACCTGTAGATCGGTAGCGTGTTGGGTAACATTCACCCGGGACAATGAATGTCGTGGTATTCGGTCCCCAATTAAAGAAAAATTGTGCAATCACATACAAGGCCAGCATTGCGCTTTGATTGAGATGCCAGTAATAGAATCCTAAAACGCAAAATATTATGGTCAGAAATATGAAGCCGAAAATCTGAAGTGGCTTGCGGCCGATTGTATCAATTGTGAAGATCGCCATCCAGTATCCGGGAAGCGAACCAGCGACTGTAAGGATAATAGTACCAAGAGCATTGTTGTAAAGCTGTTCGTACAGAGAGTTGCCACTGGCATATCCAATAGCATGCAGTACTATGGAGTTGTTAAGCCCGAGACCATAAAATGCAAGGTCCTAACTATGAGTTAGTAAAGGAAGTTTCAAAATGGCGGCAAGCATACTAGGAAGAACCAAGACAAAGTGGTGCCAATAAGGGTTTTGGCATTTTTCCACACTTTAAAATATGAGATGAGGTCCGACCAGGACGCTTTGGGGATGTCCAATGCCGGCGAGGCGACTTTCTTCATTCTTGCTCGCTTGAGTTCGTCCACCTCCCCTTCTGATTTGCTTGCCACGTATGCCTTGATATCTGCATCTGCCTGCTCGACGTCTTTTGCTACCTCGAAAGTGTAGCGAGGTGTCTCGGGAATGGTGATTCTGTAATAGAGGGCGAAACATGCTGGAATAGCTCCCACGCCAACAATAATTCTCCAAGACCGATCGGCGGCAGTTTGACATGCATAGTCGCATGAAGCAACGTTAGGCGCGCCATGGTAAGCGTCTTTGAAAGCGGTTGTTACGATCAGAGCGACGATGGCGGCTAGGAGCTGACCAAGTCCCTGCACTGTAAGCATTGAGTCAGTAATTACCTTTGGTGATACCTTTTGGAGTGTTTTGAAACAGCCACGAGAAGCTCAATTGCCTCTGATAGGCAGTATGCGCTCTGTAAATATGCTGGGGGGGGGGGGGGGGGGGGGGGTAAAGATGATTCTAGAGTATGCTTACTACTAAACACAGCTGCCATCATAGCACCTCGCCATCGTGTGGGAGCAAACTCGGAAGTGATGACAGAGCTTAAGGGATAATCGCCTCCAATTCCTACTCTAATGCATGTAAGCTTGAAACATATTCATACACACAAAGACAACTTACCCCATGATGACTCGCCAGAATGTCATCAATCCTGTGAAGCTCATTGACTGGCTTGGTGCAACTAATGTAGATGCCAGCGTAGAAACCACAATGATCCCAAGTTCCACACCATACATTCGCCGCCTACCGTATACATCCGCAAGCCAACCGAACAGCAATTGTCCGATCACTATGCCAGCACTGGTTGACGCCTTGAGGGTCGTACTGACCGGTGTTGGCAAGGTCCCGAAATTGCCGCCATATCCGTTCTTCGCATCGTCTGGCGACCCGTGCCAAAAGACAACACCAAGTAAGGTTGTAATCAAGTTGATCGCAAAAATGTCATAGGAATCCAAAAAGAAGCCAATACCAGCCACCACTATCGCCCTTATATGGTACAATCCAAAGGGTATCTTGTCTATTTCCGAGAGGGCCAGCCTCCTTCTCAAGTTGGGATCTTGTATATGACTGAAGTCGTTGAAGAAGTTGTGGAATGCCCTATTGCCACCATTTGTCCGAACGTGGGAGACCGGAACCGCCGGCTCCGGTAATATCTCCATTATGGTCGCGGCAGGTTTGACAGTCTCCAAGATCTGTGATCCCGAGAACCCTGAATTAAATGCGAGTTGCCGAGGCGCCTGTAGAGGCCGCTTGGCTATGAAAAGAGCATAGCACAAGGTATGCCTACTGAGATACGAAGCGACCACGAGAATGAGAAACAATTTAGTGACCACGCGGGTATGGTGTCGTCGTAATAAACTCTCAGCTAAGCAGAGCGTACTAAAAAGAAGAGTAATACAAAGTAATTGTGAGGTGGTGTAAGAAACTCTAAGTCGACGGATGCGGCCGGGTGCAAGTGGTGGGTTGGGTGGCCCGAAACCAAACATGCAGATCTTGGACATTAATAGGCCGAGGGTTACTTTGAAAGGACACCAGCACGAAGGTGACATGGTCTGCTGCCTTACCTGGCCGCATGCGAGTATTGAAAGCTAAAAGGCGAAGCGCCCTGCAGGGATACCACAACTACTGTATGAGGGGCCCTCGAATAAAGTGCATAAAAACATATTACGGGCCAGGACCTGAACAAGGTGGTCTCTTACTGTCGTAAGTAAGCAGAAACACTTGGAGAACTGCCATATCTGGCGTGCTTTGAGCTGAATATTCCTGCGTGGAATTCGTTGCTCAGCCTGACATTCTGTAATGCGATGCCGAACTTTCGACGAATCGCAATGGTACTAGCAAGCACGTCCACAAGTTTTTGCCGTGACTTCTGGCAAGTGGCTGAGCTTCATGGGTCTATTATTGACAAGTCCGGGCAGATTACCGAGATTCGGGACCTTACCAGGAGAAACGTGGATGCTAGAAGCCTATCAACTTCAACCTAGCTGCAGCCTTCAAAACTTCTGGGTTGTCTATAATGGTTTAGATCGTTCGAAGGACCAGTCTAACGATCAAAGGCGTCCCCGCAGTCTGTCACAGGGAAGCCTTGCGAGGCATCTCCATGCATTGTTGCTTTTCCCATTACATCGCGATGGGTGCCCACGGGGGATGCAACAGGACGGTGGAGGCTCGGTCCCAGGGTTGGCTGCAGTTGAACAACTTGTAACTCCCCTACCAATTGCAAGTCTGCAAACCCAGAAAGCATCAGAAAATGCACAGACGCACTGGGCTTGGTCCGTCAGGGCCGGTCAAAGCCACGAAAGCATACCCCAGTTTTGCTGTAGACGTTTGACATTTGATAGTTCAGTATGGACGCGCTAAGCCGTTTTCCTTCTAGACTAGACTAACCTAACCTAGTCAAATTTCCAATAGAGCCGCATCGTCAGTTTGTAATGCGACCACTTATTACGTTCAACTGGCAATTCTAAAATGACATTCCTGACAATGCCCCCTTACTGCTCTCTTGTACAGAGATATATTAAGAATCTCAAGACTGACGCGTAAATCAGCCTGGACGGTGACGCCTTGGCTTGACTGGGGGTTGAAGGAGCATTAGGGATGCGCTATCCAATCAAAACATCCGAACTCACAACGTGACTGAACAACACGTCGACAACGCTCGACTGTTGGTAAGCTCACCTAGCATTTCTAGGTTACGTTTGCTTAGCACTTGTCAAGGATCTTCAGCTTTATGCCGCTGGTGGCCAAACCGACTTGATTGCAACGGTCGGTGAAAAGTCCGCTTATTGGGCATTTCTACAATCTCATGAGACCCAAACTCCCGATTAGTATTGGCAGTCATGCAGTAGATTGCAGCCGATCGGACAAATGTATTCCGAATTTGTGCCTGGGTTCGCGCTCAAAACGGCGGCTTCTATGGCTGACCTGGAAATACTCTATGTTTGAGTCTCCGACTCCAACACACCCACGCACCATCGCTGTCGAGTATCTCACCTCAGCCTCGTCGGTGCATGGAATGGCACGATACACACCCAACTTCAATTTCACAACGGGCTCTGTGTCATCAGTAGTTGTGCAGACATATCGCCCAAAAGCTCACTGTTGCATGACTCGAAACAATCGATGTGCTTCTTGCTGGAATTCATGCCCACAGCCATTCTTGGACTTTGCGTCTGTCAGCATAGTCTGTTGAGGCAAGTATTTGTGTATCTATGCCATCAGATATAATCAATATCAATGACATTGTAATCGTCTTGTGCGCACACTGAAGCCACCCACCTCGAAGCGCAGAAAATAGCATGAAAACCTCGTACTAGGCTACTTCTCTTCTACGGTGTACTTAGTCCTCTATGGTGATAACTTACTTACTCATCAGTGAATCACAGCTTTTACACAGCCTCGTCTCGGTATCTGCAATGATGACCAAAGGGACAATAGCATTATAATCGTAGCCAGGTCAGCGTAAGAGTAATCAGATGAGTACAGTGCGCAAACCGAATATTAACGGTACTTCCACCACGTTGACCGGCCAACTAAACAGTGCGCGCTAAGTCCTCAAAGTCTTGACGTCGCTGAAGTCTGCATTAGGCCATGTTCAGCCCACGACCATTTTGAACAAAACCACATCAACGCCCGAGGAAATTTCTGCGCATCATTCCGATTCCTGGACTTCTTGAGAAAGAAGTTGACATATTTTACTTGACGTATATCACTCGATGGAGTCATTTGCGCTGGCGGCCACGCACTCTGGCGCCATCAATCACATTCATGCAATTCATGTTGGCCCTGCGGCTGCCAGCGTTGTCAGAGAGGTCCGGCTAGCCATCACAGTCATAGTGATCGGATGGGTTGCGGTTACTGGTATCAAGGCGTACGCCGGCCGGGGGAAAACCTAGTCCGATGCTGGGGGTGCCCGCCCGCGGATGAATGAAAAGATATAGGGTTAGGATGATCTAGGATAATTTGGTACAAGACGAGGACCCATTACCTGTGACAAGCTGGGTTAGCTCCAACCACACGGTGTATAGCTGGAATATTATGGGCATGTCTTCTCCTTATGCAGTAGGCTAGCATAACCTTGGATGAGCTGAATTCTGTGTATTTGGTTTAAGCTGGTCGAAGTCGTGTTACGAAAGATTGATCGATTCTCATCTTCAGCTTCAATCAATTGTATTGTAACTATATGTCCACTGTCAACTCAACACGGAGTAAGTCAGAGACAAGGATTTGGTTTGTCCTCAAAGTTATGAGCACTTGTGTATGTATCGTGGACATAGCTGTTGAAGTCTCTGCCAATTTCGATTATCTATATTGCACCATCTACCAAGCTGTAATATCTTCAACTTCCGCCTCGCCAAATACGCTTGACTTGGTCATCTCTCCCACAGAAGCGGACTCTACAATCTCGCCTTCTTTCTCCATAATATCCGGGAGAACCTCGTGCAAGAAATCTAGGACATATCTGTTGACCTGCTCGAACTGCAGCAGAAACGCATCGTGACCTTCCTGACTGACAATTTCCTTCATTCTTGAATCCTTGATGTGCTGCGCAATCTCTTGTTGTTCTGCGAACGTAAATAAACCGTCACTCTCGATGCCAAGGACAAGTGTAGGCTGCTCAATAAGAGCAAGGGCCTCGGGTATCGTGTCAGCACGATAGCGAGACACGTCGTGGGTGTCCAACTTTCTAGTAATAGCAATATAGCAGTTGCTGTCGAAACGCTTGACAAACTTCTGACCCTGGTACCGGAGGTATGATTGCGCGGAGAAATAGGTGGTCGTAGATGGCCTATCACCACCGGCCAAGCTCTCCTTGGGGCCAGAGAACTGTGGATCCAACGATTTCATCTCGACAGGCGCTTCTCCAGGCTGTGCTGTCTGGCTGGCGATGCTGTTGGTCCTCGATAGTGATGATCGCGTGACTCTGTGTCCATCATTGTGGATATTGAAGTGCGTCTCGCCAGGTGTGGATGGCCGAGGCCGCTCGGTGATTGTCTGCTTCCTAGCAGGATCTGGTGTGTTACGACCGAATCGCGCTTCAAAGGAATTTCTGCTGCGGTAAGTAAGAAGCGCTGACATACGAGCGGCTCCTAAACCAGTGACCGGTGGGTCATCAAAGCTATAATAGCCGTCGTCGTATTTGGGATCAGCATAGATGCTCTGACGCTGTGCTTCACCCCAGCTAATGCCCCAAGCACTATGGCGACTAGATGTCGCGATGGGAACAATGCAGCGGACATAGTCTTTGCCAAAGTACGCCCATTCGAGTACGAGCATACCACCCATGGATCCGCCGATGACGGCAGCCACTTGACGGACACCCAGGTCGTCTAGCAACAACCTGTGTAGACTGCGACGGGGTTAGCAAATACTGCACCACAGTGGGATTCATGCTTCAGGGCTCACTTGACATCGTCCCGAATCGTGGTAAGCGGAAATTCCGGACCATATCTCTCGTTGTCAGGGTTACCATCTTTGGCTGTGGTTGGACTGGCAGTGCCATAGGGACTACCCAAGCTGTTCATACAAACGATGAAGAATCTCGAGGTATCAAAAGCTCTGCCCGGACCGCCAAGGAGGGGCCCCCACCAGTCGCCAACATCAGCGCTTCCGGTCAATGCATGGCAAATGACCATGGCATTGTCGCGGCTGGGGGAAAGTTTGCCGCGAGTGGTGTATGCCAGTGGCACGTTGTGCAAAGTGACGCCGGACTCTAGAGTAAAGGAAGGAATAACAGCAATGTCCTGGTCTGGAATCAAGCTTGCGAATGGATTCTCAGACTGTTGCCGCGATCTTTCTTACAGGTATTCAGTCACCGTTCTTGGTGTGAGGTATCAAACGTTGGGGATGAACTGACCGTATTTCGGCTGGCTGCCGCCCCCAATCTCGGCCGCCATAATGATGGGGCGTTGGCTGAGAGTGTTTGTTGGGTTTCAGGGAGGGTGCGATAGGCAATGAGGCCACAGGGGATTCACGTTGGAGACTGGGGAGTGAAGCCTGAAGTGCAGTGACTGATTCAAGTCTTCTATGGTGCAACGCACAGCGCAATGATTTGATTCAAGTCTTTTATGAACTCAGCCAGTGTGAGAGTGATTGGTCAACAAATGACGAAGAGGTTGCGACCCCCCCTTGCCTTTTGCATGACTCAGCTTGCCATGTCCGACAAGCGGCCGACTGTTCGCCGGCTGGTCCGAGCACCCGGGCAAGTATCTTCTACTTCCTCCTGGCAGGAGAAGTGGCCGCAGACCAAAGTTTACACTACTCCGTCCTTCTCCACCACTCCAGAACGCAGCCTCGTCGGCGCCATTCCCGTGCTATCTACACTGTACACTGCACAGTATCTTGAAAGGGCTGAAGGCTGACTGCCCGTCGTAAACTCCATCTTCGAAAGCACCACGCGAAAGCTAGGACGCGACCCTGGCATCAGATCACAATCGCTCTGCCTGACCGGACGCTGACCCATTCCATTGGCAGCTTTTCGCGCACCGAGCCTGGTTTTTGAATCGTCCACGACCTGTCGCATATCCCAAAGGTCAAAGGTCAAGGGCCAATGGTCAAAATCTCTTCTTCTCATGATCAGCATCCCCCCGGTCAACTCCTTCCATTAAGCTTGCAACAGCTTCCCTTCTTTCCCCGTGGCCACATCCGGTCTGACGTGCAGACACTTCTTTGTTCTCAGCGCATGCGCCGTTGCAACTCAAACGACCACGCCCGTATTCAACAAAGCACACGTAGCAATTGAATGCGCGCAATTGCCGAGATCCCAAGCCAATGCAACTTCGATAAAACATCGCTGAAGTTCCTTTGAGAAGCTACGCCGGATGCACACTACCTCGATATCCTTGCAGCTGTGAGCTTCAAGCTACCCAGCTCAACGCCCATACCGACGAGCGCAGCGCAGCGCATCGCATCACATCGCATTGCACCCTGTCCCTCAGCCTACAACCCGTATGTCGCTCGACTTGTTCAGATGCCTGGATACCTGATGACCAACTTTTTGTAGTCATTCCACAGTAGGCCAGATGGCTCCTAAACGCAAGAGGAACGATCCTGTCGATGGAACCAGTCGCCCATCTCCACACCGGCCATCAGATACCAACTTGGGCCAACATGACAGAGACAACCAAGACAACCGCCGACGGTCAGGCGCAGGGGGCCGTAATCACAGAGGTCGGAACGCTGAACGACGACCTTCTTTCAATAACAACAGCAACAATAACAACAACCATCGCGGCCCTCAGTCGCCGACAGCACAACGACCACCGAGTTCTTCCTCACAAGCTGCGCCCCAGCCTCCCTTCGTCCCCTTATCGACGACCTTCGTGCCGCCGCCACCGCCGAGCCAACCGAGTCAGCAGAGTCAACAGGGTCAGCAAAGTCAACAGGGTCAGCAAAGTCAACAGGGTCAGCAAAGTCAACAGGGTCAGCAAAGTCAACAGAGCCAGCCCCGTCCACCGGTTCTGCTATCCAAGTACAGCTACGCCGTCCTCACGGATGCCCGTCTAGATGCGTGGCAGCAGAGCGGTCGCCAAGAGGTAGTCCAACATGGCATTGCGTCTCGAGAGGACGAGGACATCGAGGAGGTTTCCACCATTTCCCAGGAGTTCACGCGAGCCGTACTCGAGAATCGCCTCGACCCTACCGATGCCGGCACTTGCATGAAAGAGATTCTCGGACCAGATCCTGTCAACGAGGAAGATAGAACAAATTGTGGCTTTGATGCACACAGTTTGTTCGCAGATAGTATCTCTGTCTTCGTGGATTCGGGGGGAGACCATAATCGTGCTAAGGGCATCATCAACCCTCTTCTTACGCCTCGTCTTCGGGATTTCGTACTCGCTACTGATGTATCGGCCAAACTGCTACGCGAGGTTCTCGACGTACATGTTTTGGAGGAAGTTGGTTTGACTAGGGCCACTTTCGCGAAACTCCAGATTCGCCATTCCACAAATTCCTTATACCGCCAGTCAAACTACAATTTGTTGCGTGAGGAATCTGAGGGGTTCGCCAAGCTCGTTACTGAATTGTATTACACAGCACACACCATGAACCAGGAGCAACTCACCCAGGAACAAGTACAAGCCGGCTTCGAGCGTATCAAGGGTCTGATCGGAACTTTTGACCTTGATGTAGGCCGGGTACTAGATATCGTTTTTGATGTCTTTGCCTCAACCATGATGAGAACATTCCGCTACTTTACCATGTTCCTCAGAGTCAGTTCTTGGTGGCCTCGTGATCAGAGTAGCCGCTATGACCCAGTACTCACTGGCGGCCTGCCCAGATGGGCATTGCCGGGAGCCTCATTCTTGCCCACCATTGAAGAGCAAGCTGAGATGGATGAGGCACGGCTACAACGCGATATGGCTTTCTGGGAACGGGCTCGCGAAGTACATTTGGATGCTTTCTTTGAGCTTGGCGGGAGGCACGTAAGCGAAGCAGAGCTTGTGGAGTTGTCCAGTTCACCAAACTCCACCGGTCAGAAATCGCAACCCATCGATGCGTCCGAATGGATTCAAACGACCAAGACCATACCGCCACCTGGCAATCGAGTTGCAGCACAGTTATATGGGTTCAAGCTTCAATATTTTATTTCGCAAGCTAGAGACAAGGACGAAACTATACCGGCAAATCTCTACTTCCTCGCTGCATACCTGATCAAGATCGGATTTATCTCTCTGCCTGATTTGTATGCCCACATCTGGCCGTCCGACGACAAAATGGAAGACGTGAAAGAGAGACGCGCCCAGGAGCTTGAAGAAAAGGAAAAGAAGGAGAGACAAGGTGCTGAACCTAATGCCCTATTAAAAGCAGGGGCTCTGCCGGACGACACCGCCCCTTCTTCTATGCCCTCGACGCGAACTCGGGAAGCTCTTGCACCCAAGGCTGACATGAGTCAAAAAGACGCCGCCAGCACAAATAGTTCATCTAGTGAGGTTCTTCCTGAGCCCAAGGAAGTCCTCAAAGTCGATTTACTACATCATCTGCTCCTTGTAGGGGCCATTCCTGAGGCTCTGTTTGTTCTGGGCCGCATCAACTGGCTCACTGACAGCTACCCCGAGGAAGTGGTTGCACCAATCAATAGAATCCTGCTCTACTCCATCGATAAAGTGTACCGGCAAACTCTTCCTGAGGCCACCGACTTTGTGGATATACAGGCTACAAAGAAAGATCTTGCACAAGACCACGCATTGCCCAAGGGTGCTCTCAAACTTCTTGATCGTCCCACTGCCAAGGCCCTCAAGTGGCCATTTGCGGACGGTACCTCTAAGAACGTCCGATACGAGCACTACCTCAAAGAGTGGACGGACAATGTACCTGTTTGCCAAACGGTCGATGATGTTTTCACATTATGTGGCACACTTCTCAACATCTCTGGTGTTCAGATTGGGCGGTCTACCATTCTGTTGAAGAAGTTGACGTCTATTGGTTCCAAGAGTCTCAAAGAAGACAAGTCTCCCCAGAACCTCGACAGATGGCGAGACCTCCTCAAGCGTATCCTTTTCCCAGCACTCAATTTGACGACTAGCAACGTGGATATTGTGGACTCGGTGTGGGGTCTGTTGAATCACTTTCCCACCGAAGTACGTTACAATATGTACGCAGAATGCTACGAAGGCTCGATTTCCCGGCTGCCGGCAATGGCAAAGGCGTTCAAGTACGCCCGCCTTGACACTTTAGCTGTGCTCAAACGACTGTCAAAAGAAAACCTTGCCAAAGCAGCCAAGTCCATGGCTAAAGTGGCACTATTTTCTCCAGGTACTGTCTGTAAGGTTGCATTAGATCAGATCGAAGCCTACAGCAATCTCATTGAGGCTTTCGTTGAATGCACGAGGTATTTCACCGATCTGGGATATGATGTGCTCGTCTGGTCACTGATGAGCTCATTGGGTGGCAAACAACGAAGTAGAACGCAGGAAGGCTCAGTGCTCCTTACCAGCAAATGGTTGCAAGCCTTATCCAAGTTCTCTGGAAAGGTGTTTCGGCGTTACTCCAACATGGATCCAACACCTGTCATTCAGTACGTGAATGAACAGCTCGCACGTGGTAATTCAACGGACTTGGTCATCATGAGAGAATTTATCACATCAATGGGAGGTATCGTGTCAGACGTTGATTTCACAGATGCTCAGCTGGCTGCATTGAGTGGTGGAGAAGAACTTCGACGACAGACTTTTATCAATCTTGGCGACAAACGCTACGAATCCGGAAAAAGTGCGGCTCGCTTGATGCAAGCCCTCGTGCATACGAGGCTGGCACCACGTCTTTTAACAAACATTGCGCAATATCGACAATCTGCGATCTACAACTTACCAGAGAATGAGACGCATATCAAGTATCTGGCCACGGTCATTGACGATTCTCAGCAAGCACTGGTACAGTTTGTGGAACTCCTTCGAGGCAATCTCGCCCCAGAGCAGTTTGATGCTCTTGTACCAAGCATTCCGCGATTGTTGACCGAATTTGGACTCGACCCCAATCTCGCTTTCTTAATCGGTCGTGTGAGTTTGGCGTATTATCTAACCGGTCCAGGGGCCGTCGCTGTTAAAGGAGGAAAGCCATCAGGAGTCGCGGAGACGGGTGCAGATGCTGAGGGCGATGTAGCGATGGACGTGAAAGAAAACAGTGCCATCCCAACATCTTCAGAAACCCCTCCTACCGCCGACGACGCTATGGCTGTAGACGATCAGGAGTCCAAAGGACCGACGGCGGACGGTTCAAATCCGGCAACACATGGTCGGAAATCTGACCACTTCACCGAGGTGCTTCGTCCGATCGTCAGCACAATCCAGGAAATCCTGCCTTCAACGCTCTGGGATTCCATTAGTCCAGATTTTTTTGCCCTCTTCTGGTCGTTGCAGACAAGTGACCTTGGTATTCCTGCAAGCAGCTACAATGCTGAGTCTCTTCGCCTCCAGAAAGAACAAGACTTTATCAAAAAGGATAGGAGCGATATGAGCAGGACGGGACGTGCTAAAGCCGAACAACGCAAAGCCGAAATCACCCAATTAGCATCAAAGTTAGGGTCTGAGGCCACTCAATGTCAAGAGAGGGTCAGTAAGACGAAAATGCTGCTACTCAGGTCCGCCTCAACGTGGATCACAACCTCGATGTCGCAGTCGTATGAGGCAGCAGATATGCTGATTGAAGAATGCATCATACCTCGAGTCTTGCTTGCGCCTGGAGACGCGGACTTCTGCTACAAAATAATCAAGTTCATGCATGACAACCAGGTGCTGAACTTTAACATCAGGGTCTTGTACGATCGCTTGTTCACAGTTAACAGACTGCGATCTCTCATCTTCGGGTGTACGATAAGAGAGGCTGAATTTCTTGGCCGATTCATCAAGCTTGTTCTGGGCGATCTGTCGAGGTGGCACAAGAACAAGGATATCTATGAGAAGGAAGCCACGAAGGGTGGTAAGCATAGTGCATTCGCCACGTTTTCTGCTGAGGGAGAGATATCCACAGCTGTATTGGAGCACGGCCAATTTCAAGATCAGCTCTGGTCGTGGCATCGAAACCTCGCATCGGTCTTAAAGGCATGTCTTCAAGCAACGGAATGGTTACACATTCGTAATGCCATTACTGTCCTCAAAGCTGTTTTGGATCATTTCCCAGCTGTCAACTTCCACGGCAAGCAGTTTCTCTCTGTGTTACAAGCGATTGCGCAACGCGAAGCCGCTACGAAGAATGACGACGACGGACAGGGCCATCGTGTGGATCTCTCTGTGACGGCAAATACGGCCGCTTCTGCTCTAAAGAAGTATGAATCCAAGTGGGTCATAGTGCAGTCATTCCGACCGAATCTCGTAAGTCTCCTCGAACAACGAATCAAAGAACAGCAACTAAGCATGAAACAGGCGGGTGACTCTTCGGACGAAAAGGCTGTTGAAGTGGTCAAGAACGGCAAAGCAACAAATTTGCGAGCAAGCGCTGCGGAATTCAAACCCGGACCCGGTAATACAAGAGGTAATGTCACGGCTGAGAATGAAGACGGCGAGGTTACAGACAGCAAGGCACAAACTGCTACCGGCATCACTGTGCCAACGCAGAAGAAAGATTTCGATGCCGATCAATCTGCCAACGCGCAGAAGCAGATCAGTCTCCCACAGCGAGGTGACCTTGGCAAACCCACCAGTCGTCCAGCTACGCCTCCTATCAGGTCAAGTAACCCTAGCCCTGCACCTCATGGTCGACGCGAGCCATCTAGGTTATCGACTATATCGTCTCTCCCTCCTCCTCCCGGTTTACCAAGTCGGCCGGATGTACCCCTGCCTGCGCACTTCAATCAAGATGAGCGAGGGCAAATTCGTATGGCGGATCCTAGTCATTCTCGTGACTCTAGAGAGCCTAGAGATCCTCGTGGGCACAGAGAAACGCGAGAACCTCGGGATGCGCGCCCGCCGGAGAGTTCAAGGTCGCGTGGAAGGGAGTCGCTTGGTTCTGATCGACGTCCACTCGAACCTGAAAGAGAGCGTCATCCTCGACAAGATGGCCCACCCCGATGGGAGCCTCCGTCGAACGAGAGAGAGTCACGAACGCCACGGGATCGTGCGTCGTCAAACAATGGAGCGATGCGCCCCACGGAGCCGAACAGGCTGTCGCGCGAGCCTCAACCTGACAATAAGGTGATGCCGCCACCGACGCAGCCGGACGCGCAAGGACCAACGGTTAATCCTGAGCGGGCACGTCTGCTTGGTATCGCCGACGATGACACAAGATCGAGTAGTACCCCTGCTGAGATGGTCAACCCTGCGCGAGCCGCCCTCATCAACGATAGCAGACCCGGAGGTCGTTCGCGGGATGATAGCCGAGATCGCAATGCACGCCATTCTTCTCCCTCCCGAAGAGATCGATCAGATGTTCGCCCACAAGAGCCCGGCCGTGAGGAGCGAGGCGATAGGCACCGCTTCGACCACACCACACCGAGTCGTGGTCCCCGAAGCGAACCACAAGCACCTTCGGGCCCCCGAGGAGATCGTGACCAGGAACGTCCACGCGACGCGAACCCCTTTGTCGGTTCATCAAGTTCACGCAGTGATTCGGATCATGCGAAATCTAGCCAACAAGATCCCAACTATGGACGCCTCAACTCCACTCCCTCTGTTGTGGAGACGTCTAATGTACCAGATGCACCTCGCGGTCGTGGTCGTAACATGGCACGCGGCCCTGCAGGTCCCAATCAGCCGCCTTCGCGGCCTGATTCGAGACATCAACCCCACGAGCAAATTCATAGAAATCCTTCTCCCGACCGGACGCAACCACCTTCAGGGCCAGCTTCGTCTAGAGCACGTCGTGGCCCTATGGCACCGCCTCCTAACAACGGGCCTATGAACAACGCTCCTGCTGCAAGCTCTCCCACCACTGGTATCCACCCTGATAGACTGCGTCATCTGAACACTGGTCCTGGTGCTGTAGCATCTTCGCCACAACCTCCCTTTCCTGCGTCCAGCGCCAACTCCGTAGGCGTTCATCCCAGTAGGCTAGGCCGCATTGAGCCAGACCCACCGTCAGGCCCTGCTCAGCAGAGGCATGGACATGGGCATCTACCTCCAATTCAAACCCCTGAGCGGCCACCGATACCTACTGGCCCAGGCAATCGACAGCCATCCGGCAGTCTGCCTCAGACCCCGTCGAGCGATAGAGGAACTCCCATGTCCGCGCCGACTGGTCCCTCAGCTTCTAATGACCGTTCGAGGGGCGGAAGCCGAAGACAACTTGCGGGTATCAATAACCTACTTCAAGGCTCTCAAAACCCGACGCCCGAGGTCGTTAGCCGTAACGGCAGCCTCCGTGGCAGGAGCTCACGTACAAATCTTGTTGGATCTGATGCACAGGTTCTTACTGGCGCGTCACCTGTGTCAACTCCGGTTCAAGAAAGGTCTGAGCCTCTGGGAGCCCCCGGATCTGGCAGAGGAGGGCCGATCGGAGATGAGAGGTCTAGTCGCAGCGACCGTGACCGAAGCCGGAGGCATCATGAGCATGGTGAGCGCAGCTCTCGGTCGTCTCGTCACGGAAGTCGGGAACGAAGCCCTGGCCGCGATCGCAACAAAGAGCACAGAGAACACCGAGACCGAGATCCTGGTGCTAACCCATTAGGTAACGGTCCGCGAGATGAGTCACAGAGACGATCTGGTAGAGAACCTTCCGGTCCTGGGGCCAATAGCCGCGGACCAGAAGTAGTAGGAAGTGGACGAGGAGACGGCGTGCGTGAGTCGCGTCATGGGGATGGGCGAAGTGGAGGAAGACATGATGAGCATGGACGGAGCGGTGGAGGCGGACGAGGTGTAGCAAACAGTGGTGGCGGTATGGGTGGAGGACCTCGGAGTGATGAGCAACGTCCCAATCACCCCAGTGGCAGAGGTGAAGATCGGGGTCGAAATAGTCGCAAACGACAAAGTGAGGAAGGCGGCTATACTGGAGCGCCGTCTGACAGCCATAAGAGGCCGAGACACCAGCGATAGAACCGTGGAATGCGGCCTGAAGAGCATACAGCCCTTTCTTGACCGGCGTGTCATGTAATACAATGTACTCAAACGGAAGAGAGATCGAAATCTGCGGAGGAAAACAAGTGACACTGCCATTATACGGCGTGAATTTCGGCATTAAAGCGACAGATCGATATAAGCATCGCTGGGCGTTCAGGGTTCTTTCGGTCAACACAAATCAATATTAGCAACTCAAATATGGCATGAAGTGTCTCCCCCATTGCCTCAAATGAGGCGAACAGAGGACAGACCAGGCTTGGCCAGACATCTCGGTTCGCGCATATCATTATTAAACTATTTGTCTACTACGCATTTTGCACGGCGCACACAAGATACCCCCATCGAGCATGAGACATGTGACTGCTTACTTTTCATTCCCTTCACTTTTTTGGGGGGGGAGGGGGGGAGTTTCAAAAACCTGGCGCGGGAACGGGCAAAAGGTCACTTTGGAAATATAGAGTAGCAGATACTCACCTTGTGGCACGAAATCATGGCATGGCGGGTATGAACATCAAAACGTGATAAAACCACATGACCTCTTGCTCTGCGTGTACTGTTGTAATTTATGGTGCGAGAATAGCACATGGAGAGAAAGGACCGAGCGGGAAAGGCTTTGTGCATTCAGGAGGGCTAATGATCATGAACAAAAACAATTTATATATAAATAAATAAAAAGTCGCCAGGCATAAGAGCTACTGGGTGTTTGCACATTCAGCCTTGACTTGTCATATCCTGCTGCCTACTAATAGGACTTGGGACAACGTGAGATGAGAGATGACATCTAAAGGACAACATTACACCATACCATGTGATAACAGTGTATTCTTCAGTATTGCAGAAGCGCTAATGCGTTAGCAAGGTGAATATTTGAGTACAAGTTGAACTTTTGCATTTACTCTCTGGCCCTCACACAAGTTCGTAATGTTGAACGTATCTAAGGGATCACTGTCACGAAGCAAAACCTAATGAAAACCATGGCCCAGATCTTTCTCGTCGCGATGCATTCATAGCTGTAATACACAAGATGCCGTTATCCTAACTCGTCATTATACATCGCCGGTATCAATTCGCTGAAAAAAGGCAAACAAAAATGAAAATGAAAAACCACATTTTGTTGATATCTTCCGGATACGCCTCCAACGCCCATATCGCACGGGTCGCCTGTTCCCGGCGGCGAGATGCATAAATTTTTTTTTTTTTACACATGATCAATCGTCGCATATCGTATGCCTCGTACAGCCGTTATGTATGACCTTGATTCCGGTCACCCCACAACGCGTTCCCAAATTTTACTTGTGTCGAAGTCCTTGGGTTTTGTCTTCTGCTTCCGCTGCTGCTGCTGTTGCTGCTGCTACTGCTGGCGCCATTAGGGACTGCATATCTCATATTCCCGTTATCCTTTTCGGCTTCCGAATATGCCTGATACGGGCTGTAGACTGTGGGGGGTTCTGGGGTGCGTGGTCCTTGATAATATTCAGCTTGATTCGGGTCACGCCAGGGACTCGATGCTCCTCCGTCACTGCGTGGATTTTCCAGAGGCTCCTCAAGGTACGGACTTGGTTGTCTCTTTGGCGGTGAAATAGACATATCTTGGGCATTGTTGATTAGGCCGGCACTCTCATCATTGCGCCGTAGAGGGCGATATTGCTGGTTCACATCGTTATGACTGCTCGGATGTAACGAATCATCTTTTCCGTAAAATGTACTGGACCGGTACTGTGTAGCAATGGGTAGATGGTCGGTGCTTTTGGCGCCAGGGTTGAGTGCAAAGGGTTTTAAAGGATAGCTTGTATCGAGGCTGTTCCGGCCCTCACCCTTGGTGTAGCTGGGATCAGAGTGGCGCTTCTTGACGCCGACAAAAAGCCAGCGAAGTCCGCGGCCGAAGGCTTTCACTATATCCCAGAGGTTTATCGCATCAATGAAGGCCTTTATTCCCATGAAACCTCCCTCTGGCACGCCGTGCTCGTTCTCGCGTGCTGGCAGACCTAGTGCTGGATCGGCGACGGGGTAGAATGTTTGTTTGGCGCCTGGCTTGTACGGTGCCCAGGGGAAAGCCCAAAGGTGGAGCAGGGCGAAGAATGCCATTTCCACGCACAGTAACAGAGACGGAATGCCAACCTTCAAATCCGGATAGGCCAAAGTGGCGCTCGCTTCTACGAGATGAAGAGTGGACGTGCCGACTGAAATGGCACTTGACTGCCAAAATGACAAGAAAATGACCAACTTGATGGCCAGAACCTTCAAGAAAGGCTTGTGCTCGGCGAGCGGCTCTTTGAGTTGTATATAGAACTGGATGACACAGTACATCGCAATGGTAACTGCTACAGACTCGACAACCAAGACCTGGAGGAAGAGAAATCAGTAAACACATTAGGAAAATGGAACCAAGCGGGTCTACCTACCCATATGTGCGCAAACACCGGGCTGTTTGAGCTTTCGCAATAGCGGCCAAAATACTGCGTTACAACAGCAGTAATGGTCATGGCCACCCTGATGAAGCAGTAGTGGTAGATGCCAATCCAGACGATGTTGAACCAGGTGAGGCCACTTGTAGGGGTCCTCCATGGACCGCGGTCGCCGCCACAGCATTTCTTAAGCCAGTTGATGGGCCAGACCCAGGGTTTCACAGGGTGCATGTGCCTAAAATACTCCTTCTGCTCGTGTAGGTCGGGTGCCATGTAGTGGCACATGAGGGCGAAGAAAGACGAGATGGCAAAGGCCTCGTAACAGTCACTGATGACTTGGAAATAGACGGCATGCCAGTAGTACCATATGCAGAGAAAGGAGGAGGCCGAATATATGGGTACCATGAACAGGATACGGATGATGTGTTTTTGCTCTCTCGGTTTGGTGTAATTGGTCGCATGCCTCCACATCAAGTAGAGGCTCAGTAGTATGGCGATGGCGGCGCAGCCGCCAGCTATTATCAGTGCCAGTTGGTGGAATGTGAAAGGCCCTGCTATCTTGGTTTCTGACCCGACTGTAGGTGTGAATATTGTCAGCATTTCATGTTGGCTATTCTTGGCGCCACGGTTCCAAGGCTCGACTGGGCATGCAGGAACAGACACAGACGGGAGGATCGGGGAGGGGCGGGAAGCTTGGGGATGGAGTCTTGACCGTCACCATTTGAGGACTGTTTTACTAGGGAGTTTTTTTTTGTTGTGTTTGTTTTTTCTTGTACATACTTCGCAACTCCTCCAATGTTGAATTACACGTCAAATTCATCTTGTCGAAAGCGACGACCCTGCTGCGGTCGTCTGTGGCGCCTTCCGCAGCACTGTTGGTAGGAATGAAATGGAATGGAATGGAATGGACTGGATTGGGTTCGTATTATCCGCGACGAGTTTCGTGCTTTCGAGTGTCCACGGCTGAGGTGCAGGTGCGGATATTGAAATGTTGTATCGAGTTGCGCCTGCCTCTAGCACTGGCCGTGGCCTCCAGAGGGCTGGCTCTGAGGTCGACTAGGTGCCCGTACGCGGGACCCCGAGACCAACTGGATTGCTGTCCAAATTGTTCCTGCAATGCTTCTTGTTGCGCTGCCTCAGATACCACCGACGCGATGTCTTGCCTCATGGATGGTTGTTTTCGTGGGCGATCGGCAGGCCGTGATCGTGACGGGATGGTGCCGTGCAGACTTTTTAGAAATCTATCGTCTTGTGTTGGTGTTGCGTCGCTGGAAGTGCAAAGACGAGGACAAATGCGAAACAAGGACCTATTTTTCGCGGTAATCAAACGGTCGCATGGGATTTCGGGGATTTCGATGGGGTCGCCAAGGAAGCTGCGTCAGCTTTAGACTGGTTGACTAGACTGACTTGGCGGGTTTCGCTGCTGACGGGAGCTTTATTACAGAAGGTCTTCACCCGGCGAGATCCAGTTCGTGATTCAAGTCTCAACCGCAAATAGTTTCTAGGAAAGGGAAAGGGAGCGGCAGGGACCTTCGTCTTGCTTCTCCTTCTCCCTACGGTGGCTGCATACAGCTTAGTAAGCAGCAAAGCACCTTGTTCTTCTTCTTCTTCTTCTTCTCCTTCTTCTCATTATATTACCTTGCTGCTCGTGTGATTTGACCAGCGCACTGCCATCGCATCGAGTCCCTGGGTCCTTTACGTGTTTGCAGTACTTCTTCGCCCTGCGTTCAGTACTTGTAACTACATCAGGGGGGGCCGCAGTTCCCGAACCAACGAACGTTGCGTCGCGCTGGTACATGTGCCATCTGAAGTGCATTCCGACTCAGGGTTTCCAAAGCTGGCCCAATCACCGTTCTGCCCTGTCGACTCCGGGTCCGTGAAATTGCAGGGCCCCCTCGAAGGACAGGGGTCTTCCTGCAGAGGCTGAGCAGAGTGACGAAAAGGGCGTATCGTATCTACTGTAGCGTGGTGTAGCGTATTGCACAACCAAGCCTCTGCCGCACATCCACCCCTCGCGATCCCATTTATTATATTCCTGCGCAATACGGAAATAATATCATATCATTAATCACTCCAAGTTTAATGTCCGGGTACTTTATTCTGCTCCAATCACGAAAATTGCCCGGCGGCTCTGTGGCTTGCAATCAAAGCGCTATGTAGCAACATGCTGTGCAACAGCCAACACAGATCGCATTCTCCAAGTGATGTCATCATCATCCAACCCGATCCGCCATGCAACCAATTGTTTCGGTCGGTCGTCCTTCCCGAGCCCATGCAGGATGGTCCTTGAATATGATGCTATCCAACAATTCGATACCAGCTGACGATCGCCGTAACAGTGGGGGGAAGAATAAGCTCTATAAATTGGACTACATCTATGCGTGGCCAAGCCTGAAGCAACGAGCTGAAAGCGTCTTGTATACGAAAACGTAATTCCTATTTAGGACATGTGGATATTATACATCTACCTCGTGCAGAACCTGAACCGCCAACTTTACAGTAGTCACATCCCGAAGCTACGACCCACCCAGGCGCTAGACATAGGAGCTATCGCACTTGAGTCATAGTGTTTAAGATTCTCTCCAATACGAAAACCCCCAAGATCATATTGGAAAATCTAACTGGCCTACGTAAACTCTTGAATTGAAAAAGAAATTTGAAATAAATAAAAAATTATTTAAAAAAAAAAATTTTTAAAATTTTATTAAAAAAATTTATTTAAAAAAATTATTAAAAAAAAAAAAAAAAGGGACGAGGATTTACTACAAGGAATAGAAAGGGTTCAAATTGGTATTAAATATGGTGGGATAAAGATAACAATAGAAGTTTGTGTAAGACAAGGGGCATAAAACAAGAGACTAGGATATCCTTCGTGGCTACTGTCTATTAGCCATTATTTCGAATAAGTATCCAACTTTCGGGCTCATGTGTCTACTACATGTTGCCCCTTCTGTAAAGCTCCACAGTGTTTACAGTTCTACTGGCTACTTCCATCATCATAGTCATGTCAGCGGGCTCAAGACTGATAAAAAGTATAAACCACCGCGAAATGGACCAAAGGTGGTAGAATACCACCCTAAGCAGCGCCGCTGTCCATAGTTGGCATAGTCCACCATCGTTCCATGACAGTACTCGAGCTTCAATGTTGCACTGCAGTACAAGTTCCTGAACCAAGAGTTTGAACTTGAGAAACTCCTTTCTCCCCATCCCGTTTAGTGTAGGGGTCTGCAGACAGAGGTGGCTAACAGTATTTGATACTGTCTCCGATGGTGCCACGACTTTGTTTGCTAACACGGTAGACAGGCACGAAAGACCATAGGGTACTCGAGTATTACCAATGTAGAATCAGCAGTCCGGACCTAACAACCGCATGACTCATCACTTCAAGGGCCAGCCCGTATTGGAGCGTTTTTAACATCGACAACTATCCCACCATGGTTTCCCGTGTCTGCACAATGCTACGGTACGGGTTTGAAGGTCCAAGTGAGAGCAACAAAGGCCAAGACCTTTGGCAAAGAGACCGATCTGCAATATCTCCTCAAGTTCGTCACACGACAGCATCACCATTCGTCGTGGGCTCAGCTCATGGCCACAAGAGACAGCTTCGCAATTGCTCTTGGGCACATATTTGTAACCTGACACTATTAGTCCGACCAGCGGCAGAGTCTCAACCGTGTGTATAAGAAACTCCAACCATGATCTCGAGAATCCGGCGGCTGCGGATGGGAACGCGGACACGCGTATCAAATAGACTGATTTGATATGCGCATTTGCCATGGGGGATATATATAGAGAACCATGCTTGCTTACGTTGCAAAAATACGTGGACTAAAATCGTACTGACTTTGAGTGATACCTCAATTCCTGGAGGAGGTTTTCGTTTTTTAGGGATTCTGACGCAGTCTTGAGACTTCCCTGGGCAATTCTTTTTGTCAACTTGTGTGATTCAAATCTATCCTTTGATGTATACTTACTTTCATGGGAATGATCATCTCGCCTACAGGAATTACATCATCAAGTGAACTTCTTAAACGCAACAACGCCACGGGTGGTTCGACGAGATGCAGGACATCGCGTCCTAGTAGCGTATTACAGTGCATCATACGATTCTGATCGACATTCTACTCAACCTGACAAGAAACAGTCCTTCTTGCGCGAGAAGTGGAATATGAAATTTATCCATGATACATGGAAAGATGTCTAAGCGGGGAGAAGAGGACCTCCGTGCTAATAATGGGCGTCCGTTAGAGACAGACGACTTCGAGAACGTTTAAGGTGTCTATAATGGCATGCATGATATGCCTAACATCGCTTTCAGAGATAGAGAAGAAAAAGAAAGACCGTTTTGCATCCTATATAATGGTCAAATACACTCCCAGTTAACGTTGGATAATCGTATAGGCAAACTAGCACAACCACGCTTTCGGTCATAACGATACTAATGAAGACGCCGTTCAGTATTCATATTGCAATCGCGAATTTCTCGACGAGATACCGATATGGTCCCTACTACCGTTTGGTATCTGATAAACTCATCTATCATTGCTTGAACGGTAGTAATGAAAGTTAGCCGTGAATCTCGATGGTCCCATGTTGATTTTACCAGGCTGATAGCTTCTCTCCTATCATTTACCATCTTATCTCGTTAAATTCGTCATGGAACAACCAACTGCATTATTTTATGACTGTACCCAAGTCCAAGTAGATGAAAAAGAGGTACTTTTGCTTCATTGCAGGCTCGCAGAGCTTTGTGTGATGTTCGACTGCCTACTGTGAAATGAATATGTACGTCGTCTCCAGAACCTGCTCCAAAACTTATTATATACGTTACGAGCACAGGATCCCCTTGCACTGGGGTCCAATGGAAAGTGAGGGTTCCAGTTAATTGTGACACGTTATGGCTGCAGTTCGCAGTCTCATGTCCATCAATCGATAAGTTCTACGTACTAGGAGATGAATCCCAGAGGCGTATAGCCAGATATTCTTGTAATAAACGCCAGCCCGATTCGCGTATCTCGCTGTTGGAACTCATTTCCCGTCAGCTCTACAGAAGAAGAAAGAGAATTGCCAAAACTCAAAAAGGAGAACAAACATATTTCAGTGTGAGACATGTCAATAAAACCTTAAGCCGGTACAAAAGCTCAAATTTCTGTCCACATAGAGGCTGGCCAACGACTCAAATGGCTAAGGAGCAACTACAGTATTATTAGCCACGGACTACCAAGAGTAAAAGGAGTTTATTTGTTCGCAAATTTGTTCCACGTGTCAATGCAGCATGTGGCGTCTCAAACATTTGATCCACGCTGCCTTCACCACTTGGGGTTTCGTTCATTGAGTCTCTAGTTCAAAAATGTCTATAATCTAGCGCACACACACGTGCCTGTTTAGAACGCATTATCACGAGCTTGGTCAGTTGCGAAAATGTATCGTTTTTTACACATGTGGCTTTTTGCACACGTTTTATCTTTAACGGTGCCCCGATCGGTCAACAAGCACGAAGCTAACTCGGTTTCGCTGCCGCCCAGCGCAGTGAAGTAATCTTGCACGTTGCTTTGTCTGTGTCAACCCTTGTGCTGGGATCAAGTACCTGATATCTGCCTGCCGCTGCTGCCGCTGCTGCCGCTGAGGGACTCTGAGGCGGCCAGAGTGCATGCTAAGAATACCGGATCACTGGGTAGCCGGGCGGGATTGCGTCCAATCAAATTACCACCAGGGTCTATATTTCGTCAGCTAGTACTAGGTCCAAACCCAGCAGCACAACAAAGCGAATCGCGGTTGCGATCACAACCAGACGTGTCAAACTGAGCTCGTACTAAAAGATTTGCGTGTTTACATTGTGCAGCACACAAAATCGGACGCATCTGGTTTGATAGCCAAGCGTTTGGTTTGTTTGAGGAATGCGGGATGATGTAACTAGGGTGTAAATCATAATCAAACTTAATTTGGCGCCTCCAAATCTCGAGTAGCTACCCCTGGATCAGCAAGCAGGCCCGCTAAAAGGATACAGCTTGATCGATGATACTGGAGACTAGGTTGTTTCTGCACGATCATGGTACTGAATATGTATGTACAAGTGGTATAGGAATCAGACGCTGGACTAGCCTGTTCAGGACATATGTATTGTTCTATTATCAACGCTCGTTCAGTCGTATGCTGAGGTTTGAGCAGCCTCAAGTCTCTTAGAGAAGTGCCAAATATAGCGCTGCTATGTACAGAACTTGCCCCTTGAGTGGGCAAGCATGGTCGGACCCGTACAGCATCTTGTGGACGAGGTATTCGTCTTTCGCCCGACACGTTTGGCAATTAATTGAGCTGCGCAGTTTTTCGCATCTGGCCATCGATGCAACAGGCGTCGTGCCGGAATCGACGTTGTAGCGTAGGTGCTGCTTGGCATGCGAATGCCCTGAAGTGGACATCAACCAGTCAAGCAGCCCTGAATGCCCAACTCGCTCTAGTGTTATTCCAAACCCTTCGGAAACGCCATGCTGGTATCTCGAAAATGCAAGTTTATTGTACCAAAGCTGAGCTTATGCGATCTGAAAATGTCGTGTTCGTCGTCAAGCAACTCTCTTTCCAATGGTGAAAACCTTCCCGTTAATAATTATTATGTTCATTCGCCAGCCGTTGGGTCAGGATTGGTGGTTCGCAGGACTCTCCTCGAGTAGTCTTGATCATCCCGCAGAGTGTTGATGCTTTCACGGCTCTTGTTATCGAAGCGGCCGTATATGTTGGCAGCGTACGGATCCATTCGAGGATCGTGGGGCATCAAGCGGCTGCTCCTCCGCCCTACTGACTGTGCTTCGCTTTCCCAGACAGACGCCATTTCCGTCCTTGGCGTACCCATCATGCCAGCTGAGCTTCCTCGGAAACTATTCTGATGCTCCAACATGGAGCCTTCAGGGAGCTGGTTGCGCCTCTTCCGACGGAACCAGAAGAAAAAACCTACCGCTATTCCGAGAACCACAAATCCCAAGACACCGACCGCGATGCCAACTGCTGCGCCTGTCGATAGTCCCTTTTGTCCTGAGCTGACGTTGGCCGTGCTAGAGTCGGAAGTATATGCTGCCGTTGGCATAACTGTCACGGTCTGAAGTTGAACACTGCCTCCCTGGGTAATGGTCGAGACATATGTTGATGGTGAAGCCGTGGTCGAAGGCGTTGTGGAGGTAGCTTTGCCTACAGTAGTGCCAGTCGAATCCTATACAAGTTAGCAACTGCTATTCCAAAACTCTGTGTTATCAAAATAGATGCCATCGGATACTGAAGAGAAGAAAGCGAGAGCGAGTGCGACAACAAAGGAACTAGTTGTGGCATACAGAAATCTTTGAAGTAGTAGAGGTTTGAGTAGTAGGAGAGGTAGTGGTATCTACCGTAACAGTATTCTGTACGGTTTGAGTCACGGTGTCCTGATACCAGACACTGTTAAAATCAAGTATTCTCCATTGGCAGACACTTTGAAGACTGGCCCACAGGCCGCAAGAACAGTATTGAGGTCACACGGCGACCGTGTGGCAACATCCAAATATGGCATCGTATTTGCTGAGATAGAACTGGGAAACGTACCTGTGTAGTAGATGTTGCAGCTGCTGTTGTGCTCTTGGACCCTCCAGACGTCCCTGCTGCGGCCTTGCCCAGCTGCATATATCCATAGAGGCCAGAACCACCACATGTATCATCCGGGTAGCCTGGACAATCAATATTGCATTCTGATGTGTCGACTCGATCTCCTGTGTCGGGTGCGTAGTCGCTGCACCAGCAGTTTTTCTCTTGCACAATGGCGAAAGCGTAGTCGCCATTGCAGAAGTTGTAGCAGAGGCCGTCGGATTGAAAATTACTTGAATCTATAGTAGTACATGTCAGCAACGGGGGCCCGGGTATCTCCTAGCAGGGGCCACGGAGCAAACGTACTGGCACTGGAGCTTGTTGTGAGCAGGCTAGCACAATATGTCATATCTATCGAGGCAGCTGAGACTGCACTCGCTAGGCTCAACAGGCCAAGCAGGGCCTTGAGAGGCCTGGACCAATATAAATATGCCATAGTTGTATTCTTCAATGATATTATCTGTATAAACAAGTTAGTAAGAGGTTTGCTATTGTTGTTGATCGGCATCCCCAACGTTTTGCAGTCCATATGGCCGCTGATTTTGTTGCTGATAGACGCCAAAGCCGTGATTAAGTGTAAGATGACATGAGCTGGGAAACTCACAGAACAAGTCCTTCAGCGAATTGCTACCAGTGGGCAGCAGTAGTGATGGACAACCGGGTTGGATTGTCCGTGCAAATTGGTGTTGCAATTATCACAGACGTCTGATGGTGTAACTGGCCACGGCCATGGCAGTTACCCCCTGTCCCTATCAGGTGGACACAAATTGATCAAAGGCAGCAGTCAAAACCTGTATGTGTACTGCTACACTGCACGGAGCTCTCAAGAACAATGGCAGTTGGGGTGTACAGTGGTCCTCGGCGATACTGGCGATGATTCCACTGGTGTGACTGTGGTAGTGCAAACAGTCTTAGTGAGAATATACTTGGGCAATGGTGGAGAGTATTTGTATCTCCAATCTGCACGATCGTTGGTTGTCGGCCCAGACCGGATGTGACGAATAGAAGGCTCTACAATGCCTTGGAAAGCGAAGGCAGGGAGGTGGTTATGGTCACTGTGTTGTCGACACAAACAAACGAGCGATCAACAACACAACTGGCCACGAAGTCTCGAGAAGAGAAAAGCAGAGGGAATGAGTGGAGGAGAGGGCAACAAGGCGCCTAAATTGGCCGGAGCGGTATCAATCAAATGGATACCCTCCGGAGCTGCTGGACGTGAATTTACTTGGTGCTAAACGTGCTAGGTGCTGCACGACTGGGGGGTGTCTGTACGCGCCAAGCTGAATCGGTGACGGGTGGACTGAAGGCTGGTCGGATAGTATGCTTGTATCCTGTTGTCTGAGCCTGTGCCCGCAAGCCGGGTGGAGAGACAAAAGCGAGAGCTAGCACAGACACGAGAAAGAGTTGGAGCTTGCAGTAGCAGTGGTGTGGGGGGTGTGAAAGTGCGCAAAACCGTAATATCGGTCTTTTCGGAGGGGAAAGCAAAAATGTTGGACAAGCGAAACGAGGGAATGTAGTGTTGTTAGCGAGTGAGAAAACAAAAATAAGAGTGTGAATCCAATTCCAGTATGCGCAAATAGCCCCGCGATGCTTTAGAATAAAAATAAGATTTAACGAGTGTTAAGTAAGGTGAAGAAATAGAGATAGAAGGATGACTCGGATTGCGAAGTAACAATTTCAAAACAGGTTAACGGCAGGGAGTTGAAAACATTGGAAAATTGATGGAACGAGACGGGACATTTCCATGGATATTCGACTGGCAACAAACTTGGTCAACCTGACAAGACTTTGCTGGGCAAGGGTTGCTTGTGAGGCTCATACCCCTTTTGGCAAAGATGGCTACATTCGATAGTGATCGACCAAGATGAGCCGCTAGACTCGCAATTTGCCAGTAATTTCACAGCACTCTACTTGCCTACTGACAGTCTAGAGTCTTGAGTCTTGACCACACACATACATAACTTCGCCCTTCCCTTCAATTCAGGCACACCAATGCTCCTTGAAGTTGGCAAACAGGCAGAACATTTGGTCATGTGCACTTGATCCAGATAGTCTGATCATGATTGCTCAAGGGACTTAGTTAGACCTGGCTTCCAGCACCAGTACGTTCCATAACCTACCTAGTTTATTTCACAAAAATCGGCTATCATTTAATGGCCCCCATTGCTCTACCACAGTAGCTTTAGCAGTTCAGCTAGTGATCTGGTCCAGCACCACAGCTACCAAAAAAGGGAATTAGTGGGTCTGATCTAGCAGGGGCTTCAGCGGGAAGATGTCGTCACCACAGAAAATAAATTGCTAGAAACCTCCGGCGGCGGACGGGGACGGCAAGTCTACAGCTAAGTTTTATGGAATTCTACTTACAGTACAACCTGAAGCAGCTGGTCATGGAGTCAGTCCTGGATGGAATCGGGAACGTTCGTGGCAACAGCTTTATATGCATCCTCACAATCATCTGCGTTGGGTGGGGGTCACACTACATGCAATTGCAGCAGCACCACAATTTTCCCCAGCCTCTTGGTCATGTCAACACACGAGGAAATCAGGAATGTCAATTTCAGAACGAGAAAAGCACATGTTTATCTCTAGCTAAGCGAGCATGTTTGAAAGTGGGACATGACTCTCTGACTCTCCCTTTACACGTCAGCTGTGAGCTTGAGGGGTTTGGTGTTCATACCCAACTTTCCTCGCTTCTCAGGGAGGCAGTGAGGCACTAAAGGGAACACTTGCACGATGCCCATGTCAAAGTTAGGTATTTGATTATTGCCAAGTCTGCAGGATACTTCTTTGGACTCCGAAGCTTGCCTTAGCTTTTCCAAGGTTGTTCAAGGCTTACTTTCACTAGTGATTTGAATAATCCTAATTCCTACTGCAATTTACAGCAAGTTAACTGGAACGTCTTGTCGAATTTATCTGGGTCGGGTTTGTGTTATGGAACATCTCTTCTGTCTAAAGCACAAATTTCTTGGAATTCGAACTTGTGCAACGCTATGAATGCAGCTGGCTACCGTGCAGATGTGCGTGGTTCTTTCTGGAGCCCGTATACGCCCCCCATTAGGCGTGACAGATCAAACCAAGTCAGCATTCGTCACCGTATGGCTACACAATCGGTCTTTGAACCCGGTTGATCCGTCAGGAACCCGATTAAATGGCCGAGTTGTAAACAAACCTGATGATCTCAGGTGTTGTTGTTTCATCTCATTGCCGGTTCTTAGTCAATCAAGTTTATAGTGCATCCTGACCATGTAGTAGTATCAGATTCTAGGTTACGACAGTACTTGATCTCAATATCATCATCATGTCTCGACGAAGTCTCTCGGCACCCCACACTTTCACACCCTCCCAGCTCCTCACTTGTCAGGCAACCCTAGCACTTTTATATCGCGGCTTCACATGATTGATCAATGGCTCGTATCCTTAAACCAGGGGTCCAGTCCACCCTTGGCGACACGATGATAGGCCGTCAGATGTTCAAAATTTCAGCACAGCTCAAAGCTTGCGCCCGTCGTTATCAGCATTCAGGCCGCCGAAACAGGCATCTCGGTTTCTTGGAGGCTAGTTGCTGCGGCTATACAAATCTTCAAAACTGAGTTACTGTGTTGTGATTCATAAGTCTTTTGGCCCGACTCAGTGGGAATACTGCAGTTGTGGTCATCCATTGGTCATTATCAACGAGGTACTACATGGAGATTACTGGCGGCGTGGCTTCCTTGTGTAATGGTAGTAGGTTGATGACTCGGCTGTTCACGTATACATGTATCAAGTGGACGAGAGTCCACACCTTTTTTGATGCTTTGTGCAACCGTCGGAGTGACATACCGCTGTCAACGTAGCGAAAAAAATGCATGTTGCCACAACGTTTCTTGTTTGTCTTGACCAGATCCCCAGATTTGGAAGGAAACTCTATGCACGGCAAGTGCAATACATAGGCTCACATGCCAATTAACGTTCACGGCCACCGAGGAATCGGCATAACTTGATCAGATACCCGAAATGTGTGTGTGCCTACCGCAGTAGAAGTTTAAGGTGTATGCAACTTTTTATGGATGCAGGCGGCGCAAGCTAGGCAATCTGCAAGTCCACATCATCACAACCTCCTCAACATTACTGTGGTACGCCTATATTCAATCTAGCAAAATGAAATTGCATCTTTCTATACTAGCTTGATATATGACAATTGCGCGTGGCTATACATTACAGTAAGGTCTTGATGGCTATAGCCCTCGGTGCCAAGAAATGCCCGGTGCCGATATTCCAAAGGGCGTTACCGACCAGTTCTACCTGTTGGGCCGATGACACCGCCTCTGGTTTGTTTTGACACAAATATCGAGCACCCGGTAGTACTGATGTCAGCATTCATTTAATGACTGGCCAGCTCTCACACGGAAAAGCACTAGGAAAGTTGGTATATTCGTGTTTCCGGGTCTGGGTTGTACTTTCTGCGACAAGATATCAGCAATGATCCCACAAGTTCCTCTGAACACGTGCTGCCCATAACGGCGGTTTGAAGCAGCATGAAGAAGCCCCTGACTAGGTTTTAATCTTTTTGTAGTGGACATTGGTGAATTTCACCCAAATTCATCCAGTTTCTTCTGTCTACCTCAGCCCATTTCAGAAAATTGCGTGAAGAAATCAACGGTTGCAGCTGCACTTGCTACTACAATACGGATCCGTACTTATGGCTATTTCGCCGCTGACTAATGGGGAACTGCTTGGTCCGGCTTGTATCATTAAGTTATTACCACTTTGGCATCACACCTGCCCATCAGGAACGCGACGCAAAGAAATCGCGAAATGGGATCCAAGCGGATTTCGGAGCATTTAATCCTTCCTGCAGGATACAGATCTCGCTACCACCCCCGGATGGTCGGTTCATCTCGTTAAACACATTATCGGGTAGCGCTAGTTTGTTCACAAGAACGGCAACGGAATTGTGCTGCAAGATCTTGATGCGCTACCAAGCTGCCCGACATATTTACCCCTGACTAGCACGAAATTATGTACGTAGTAGATGATGGCTTGGATGACTTCGATGGCTTCGGGAGGCCCCCAGTATTTTTATGTCCCAGCCGCGTTGCCGGCCCTAGCCTTGGTTGAGGTGCCAACAATGGTCATCTTCGAACGAGCTCCGTTATGGGTGCTGAGGAGATTACGAGTTGTAAAATTCACAGTGCACAAAAGCGCGGCTCAGCGGGGCACCTGTCTGCTGTCAACTCCAGGGTTCAGTGATACCCACAAATATCTTAATTACATACATACATAGTAGCACACCGCGGATCCGAAATAATAGCGATCGACCATGTTCCTGGGTGTCGATCGTGGCGGAAGCACAGGCGCGTTCGCAGTGATTTGTGTCAATGTGGAGAACCGGACCACAACTTGTTCAATACGGGTCCAGGAGCATCGTAAGCAGTCGTCGCGTCAGCACACGGTAATGCCGATATCTACGAAAGCCGGGAACCTGAAACTATCTACTAGAAATTTTCTAGCGGGAATCATTACAGGGCGACTTTTCACAGCTAGTTTTCGGTCAAGCTCAAGTCAGCTTTGAGCCACCCATTTATTGATCTGAGGATAAAGATCAGCTTCATGATTCTATAATTTAAGTAATCGTCTCCATCATGGCCTGCACGCGTCGTAGCAAATTACTACATATATGAAACAATGGAAGTCAAGATATAACCCAACAAATGCACCATGATTTGAGAAATAGCCCAGGCGGCAAACATCGCTTGTGAAAATAAAATCCTGGCTCTACCCAAGCCAACCTCAGACATACAATGACCGTGCCAGGAACGCCTTTAGACCGTGGCCTTGTGAAAAACTCCCTTCCGTGATAAAATCCGTACAGTTGTATCCCTTAGCCTTCGAGCCTACGTGCTCAAGGACGGTCCGGGCTCGCACTCCGGCTTTGACTCTCAATGCTTTCCACCATTTCTAAGACTCTTGTCCGCGCACGTTCAGGACGCTTGATTTCCACAGCTTCTGCGGATAGAATTGGCGCGTCACTGTGAGCAGAATCATGCGATCGATGTCTGTCGCTACGGGCACCTGGGAAGGGACTCAAAGAAGTAGAAGAATAGGGGTCATGTCTCATCTCCAACGCCGAAAGCAAGCCTTGCGATTCCCCTGACAAGTGGTGCTCGTCCGGGATATCCAAATCCTCTACACCAAGTGCCGAGTCCATCATGTCCCGGTACGGAGGCATACTGGACATGACACCAATGTCAGAACCTATAGCTGAGTCGACAGTCTCTCTCTGCTTCCCCTTATCCAGCAGTTTGTTCTCGTCTCTCAAAATGTACTTTTCGGGGTCGTTGGTTGATAACGCAACTCCGATAGGCTCAGTCTCTGAATCATCCCCGAGTTCGTACTTCTTATTTTCCATCTCTTCCTCCGGGTCAATGATCATTACGCTCTTCGCGCTCTCGATGTCTGGTTCGCCATTCACCACGCGCAGGCGCTCCTTAGGCACCGTAAACATGACTTGAACGAGCCGTCTCTCGACAGCCTTCTCGATATCCCATTCATCATCATCACCATCCCGCCGCCGGCTTAGTGGTAGATCATCATCATTATGCTCAGCATCCTCGGCTTCCCAAGCGCCGCGACCAGCTTTTCTCCTGAAAAGACCACCAGCGGCGATCCCGCCTAGACCGCCAAGCCGAGGGTCATAATCTGAAGCCTCGGCCATGCTGTCCCGAATAGGACTGTCACCACGGCTACCTGACGACGACGACGGCGTTGGTCCGCTAAAGACGCGGCGAAGGCTGCCCAACCATCCTCGGCTAAGGCGTGGTTTATTTTTGCTGGGGCTGCCTGGCGTCTCATCCTCCCCACTGTCACGCTTGCCTAGTAGGAGTGATGGCCCTTCAGCTTGCAAAGCCGGAATGGATTTAGCGGTGTGATATGATGGTTGACTACCCTCGGAACTACTTGTTCCCGTCCTCTCCTCTGCGGCTGTATTCGACGCACCGATGCTGAATCCGGTACGCAGATGTGAGCGTTGAGACCCGGACCGGGACATATTGCGACTCGCCTCAGATAAATTACTGTTCGTCCGTGAATCATCGTCGGCGTTATAACCCGAACGAGCTGACACCATCGATATCACTGTGTTACGTCTTTGTGGTGATGCTCTACCACCACCGCCTGCGCTGTGAGTCGCCATTCGACCCGTAAGGAGAGCGTCAGCTGCGTCGACATCAGACATCCAGTCCTGGACGTCGGGGTCTGGGTGTAGACGTCCCTCGGGACTGGGACTTTGCGTTGTGCGACAATTTGGGGGGAAGGAGATTGGTCTCTCAGCTGTTGGTGTCAGGAACGGATCCGAAAACGTGCTTTCACCTTGAAAGTCCCTGACTGGACTCATGGGATCTTCGAATGCATGGGCTTCCTCATCTGCTTCATAAATGGGATGAATCCCGCCGGGCCTTTGCGAGCGGCCTCCTGGTGGGGAATCATAGTTGACACCAGTAGCGGGTATATAATGGCCGCGAGCTGCTCTCGGAGCCACCGGTTTCCTTATGATCGGCGTTGGTGCATACATAGCAGGAATTACATCCATGCTGCTCCGGTCGCCTTGGAGACTTTGGTACCCTAGGGATCTGCCACCAGTAACGTACGGATCATGGCCACCCGTATACCAACCAATTCCCTGTCCCTCATCGTGTTCCATCATTGGATCGTCTTGGAGAAAGTGGCCGTTATCTTGAGCCAAGGAGCGAATGACATCCTCCCGCTTCCCATACTTGCGCCTTTGGCGCGAACGGCAGAGAAAATACACCAAAACTGCAAGTAGGATCGCTCCTAGACCTAACCCAAGGCCAAGACCGAGGCCCAAACGTCGCTTGGCGGCATTATCCTCATCCGAAGATTTGTCACTCGAACCGTCTGTAGGAGCACCATGAATTGGATTGGTGTAATCGTCAGCCCAAGCCATGCTGGTTAGGTTCAAAAACAAGGGCGATCCATTTGTAGTCTGTCGTTTAAGTTTGCTTTCGGAAGAAGTGATCTCATAACCTCCGTATACCATCATGACATTGCCAGGTAGTAGTGCTGCTCCATGACCATAAATCCCAGATGATGGTTGTGTCTCTGGTATCGACCATTGCCAATCTCCTGTCCCGCCATATCCGACACCAATATTGAGAACAACAAGTTGTGGTGAAGCCGGCGCTGAAGTATTTCCAACCCATCCTCCTAGTAGCACGATGGCGCTTCCATCTTCGTTGAGAACAGATGTATGACCTGATCGTGGGTCCACACTCGGGGAAGTGCTCTTAATCGCCAGCTCCGTGGAACTCGAAGAGCTTGCTGCACTTATACCAACATATCCCCAACTCTCTTCTGGCAGACTCCAAATAGCTGCGGTGCTGATGTTGACGAAGGCTGATTTCGTGTGACCACCAAGGAGCACGTAGTTTACCTGCTGTGTAACGGTGCCTGACCTATTCGATATTGAGGGTGAAAGTCCCGTTAGAGTGAAACCTGCCTCGGCAACCGGCGAGCCTTTACTCGACAATGATTCTACAGCATAGGCTGAACTACTGGAATCAGATGGCGAAAGCTTCAACATTTGATTCGAATACGTTGCTTCGCTCTGAGATGTTGGATCACTCCTGGTCTGGTTTGGGCACATGCCTCCATATACATAAACATCCATCGGATCCATAACGGGCTCCAGCGTTGTCGAAAAGCTTAGACCGGCACCGAGAAATCCCGGACTGGGACTGCTTGATCTCATTGAGCTTTGAACCCATGCTGCATCTAAAGCACCTTGCGGAGGGTCAAGAGTCCATACACTTGCGCTACTGAAGGACGAACAGTTACCCGCGTAGACAATAAGAGTCCCATTATCAGCGATTGTCGGTGTAAATGATGTGCTGTTGTTGACGAGGAATGGCAGCTCGGATGACAAAGTCTGGAATGCTACCTTGGATGACTGGATGGTGCTTGAGAAATTGAGTGCCAATAGTGCGACAGAGTTGTCTTGTGGTGAAAAGATGTAAGCAACATCAGAGCTGACATTTTGTTGTAGAGGCACGCTATTCGAGTCCGCTAATAGGATAGTCGTTGGTGTATCTGGTAGCCCTTGCGCCAGGCCGATTTGTAGTAACGGCGCCAGTGCAAAGAAGATGGAACACCGGATAGCTGCCGGCGGCCGCGGTGAGGCCGACCTTGGGACGCCGTGAGCGAAGGGCGATGCCATCCCGAAGGAAAGAAGCATTGTCGTATTAGCTCGCCAGCATCATCTGCCTTCTGTCCACTGCATGCAGCTTTATTCAAGAAGGGGACGAATAGAAAAGGCAGAAACGGCCTTGTAAGAAGCAAGCTGAGTGCTTAACTCTGTGCATACATAGAGCTGGGACCATCAACGTTTGGCGGGGCGGACGATGAGGTGTCAATGTCAATACGAACGGTTAGCGACAAACGCACGGCTCAAATGACGGACAATGGCTTATTATGTTGAAACGAAGATCAACAAAGCCCCATTCGATCTTGTCCAACGGTCGTACTGAAGCCTCGATCGTAGTGGGGTTATTATGAGTGCAAGATGGCCCCAACCTGCAAACTTCCGATTCTCGATGTCGCATCTAACGGGAAGCAAAGTTGTTAAAATTTGAAATCTGTCATCCAATGCTGGGGAACCAACAGCCCAAAACAGAGATGATGTTCCAAAATCCGGAGGCTGGCGGGGAGGTTGGCATAGCAACAAGCGTCGCTAAAATCTTGATAAGAATAGCAACAGGCATTAGATCCTGGGTATGTGTGCCAACTCCAACTTTTGGGTAGTTGGATATCACGTTCAATTAAAAGAGGGAAAAAAGAAGGATAAGAAAGGTGAAAGAAGAAGGAGAAACCAAATTACAACTACACGAATAAATTGCGATAATAACCAGTACCCACATGGGTGTTCAAGTGATGCTGCTTTCAGCTTCCCCAGAAACATTGCTAACACGATGAGCGGCCCTCGCCGAATCACCTGCAAAGGTTCAGACACGATACCAACCCAAAGCCGTTCTATCACCGCTCCTTACTGCGAACCCTTTACACTGCAGGAGCAGAATTTGTGCCAGTCTAAACGCTAGCAATGGCCTTCTTCTTTGCTTCGTCTTGAAGACTATTAATGGTTTTCTTCAGTTGGGCGTTTTCTCTTGCCTGGTTTTGAAGGTTGTGTACGGTATTGCTTAGTCGAACGTTCTCTCCTTGGGTTTTCTTGACAGCATCCAACAAAGCCTTTAATGCTTTTTCTGCGACATGACCTTCGATATCCCGTGGAATTACCCCAGCAGCCTTGTTTTGCGAATAGTTGTTCGAGAGCAAATCGTTGAGCTGTCTTTCAACGTCTTGCTTTTGTTGCTCCTTCTCTCGTTCTCTTTGCTGTGATTCCATTAGCTCTTTTCGCAAAGCCGCGAAGTCCTCAGCCGCCTTCTGTTGACCTCCGGTAAGAGTCGTTAGGACAGACTGCATTCTCGCGTGCTCATACTCGGCCTTTCCCTTGTACGTCTTGAGTTCACCTTCCAGCTCCGCAATGTGTTGATCCGATTCTGTCTTCTCCGCAGCCAACGCCCGAATTTCTTCCTCGTGCGCGTCTCTTTGCTTCGCTAGATGCGCGGGGCCCTGAGTTAAAGGTAACTCAGGGTCAACCACCGACACTACGGTTGGCCGATTTTCCATCACACGGGTAGCCTTGGTTCCTGGGCGGTCACCAAATGCCGGGAGCACGAAGATGGGACCGCGGTCACTAGCACTGGCCTTGATACGATAGAACCGTGTGGAAAGGTCTACAGAGATGATGCCACGTTCAAAATCCCCAGCGTAATCCCAGAGTGTATTTCCTGTAGTTCCTTCTTGTCGGTAATTCTGGATGGAAGCGTCTTCAGATATCTGCTTCTTGTCTAAGAGTTGGTGGATATATGTCATAACATCATCTCCAGCATTGGCCAATATCCAGCGGTCCTGAGGGAAAACGACCTCCCTCCCTGAGCGTCCATCAGGGCCTTGGACGCTCATGTGTTGCATGGGAATGATGGCTTCACCATTTAACACTTCCAGACAATTGCTGTACGCGATCTCAAGATCATGCATACGGGACACGAGCTGCTGTGTGAAGAGTAGCCATTGACCAATCAGCGTGTTCTTGGCAATATCGAGCTGTTCAGCTTCTACTTCATGCTCTGTCGGAAGTATCGAGAGAAGACCGCCTGTACTTGAGAATTCATGGTCAAGAATTTCGAGGCAATCATTGGCGTGTCTAAGAAGATTCCAGTGTCGCTTGAACGGCATCTCCTGGCTTTGCTCCTCATAGTTCTTAGACCAAGCTTTAGCTTCAGCGTCTTCTTGCTTGACAGACTTCTTCGTCTCGATTTTGCATAGGGGACAGAAGATGTCAAGCCCTGTTGTATCACTGTTGGACTTGGCCAAGTTGACAAGCGAATTCAAGGGGCGATGGTGGTTTGGGTCATCTGAAATGTAGACTTCCTCGAGGTTGTTGAGCCAGTCAAACGCCTCGTCCTGGACGAACTTTTTCGCATCAGCATCTCCCGAGTTGGCGTTGCCAATCTCTCCTGGTCCTTGTGATGGTGCAATGGTTGAGATGAGGTGTACGAGCGATTGGGCGTGCTTCTTGAGCGCTGCGAGAGTGGGTGGTCTTCCTGGAGTCGATAGGTAGCTGCAGTTCACATGTGAAAACATTTCATGGCTGCCAATTCTATTCTCGTCGAGGTACGAAGCCCAATACGGTATAGCCCAATCGGTTGCCTCGACATAGCCAGCTCGCGACTTGTATGGGTCTGTTACTTGATCTGCCATATTGACTACAGAACCAAGGAAGGGCGACTGATATTACTGCACACATAAAAAGTTTAAGATACAGAACGAGACAAAAGTCTGGGTGGATAAAAAGGAAGATTGAAGAAGTCTATGGGTGAACGACATCATGTGTCAACCTTTGTTCGGCATCTATTTACCAAGGGAGAAAGGGTCTTTCCTGGCATGGGAATGTTTGAGTGAATCCACGGCATTCCACACTCATAATAGGAGCAGACAGAATTCCGAAAACAAAGGGTACTTCACCGGACAAAGACCTGTGAATGAGTCCTAATAATATGATTATTAACAATAAGCCCTGAGGTCCGGTAGACTCTAATAATATTTGGTCCATCCTTTAGAATATGCTTAGATTTTGTGTTTTTGAGATTGGCTAATTGCTTCATATTATGCAGGTAAAATATGATGGCTGGACTATATTTTGTTGTTATAGATGTAGCTTTGTGATGAACTTCAAGTATGTCTATCTTCGTAGGACAGTTGTTATCTCAGCTTAGGCCAAGCTTAAGCGATGCGCTTACAGGAATTTGAAACAATTTCAGTGGGAGGGGGGGTTGAAACTCCGAAAACATGTGTTATGCAATACTATGTTGGAATCGGAGCCTTTGGAGGCCTGCAACGGTGATGCCGAACCATTTGATGCAGTTCGTTGAAAGATATAGTACATTGACCAACCATAACATTGTATCACCACAGTATGCAACCATGCATATGTATTCAACACCAAAGCCCCGCATCTTTATCACAGCGGTCTAGACTGCGAAAGACCCTGAAGACCCTCCAGGGACCCAATCTACCCAAATCCACCTTCAGGTAAAGAATTTGTCAATATCGAATGCATACCATGAAGAGGCCGCCAAGCACTCGAATGCACAAAGCCACATTGAGTGCCGACTAGTGATTGAGGGTAGCTGAAGAGATCAAGTGGTGTGGTATGACAACGGTGGGTACTATGCATGGTATTTGGACCACCACTAATCATTTCTACTTAACAGTTTCAGATTGGTTGCCTCCGCCGAAAAGCTTCCTGTGTCACATGCAACGACCCGTCATCATCTTTACGATTGCCGTGAGGGGAGTGCGATGCACACAGACGTATTTTGTAACACAAATCTTTACCAAATAGCCATTACTGCAGATGTCAAACGGCCTTGACCAACATGAATGAGGCCGATGATTACATACATAACATTCAAATCATTACTCAATTAGTGTTGGCACAGGAGACAACAAAGCAAAAGATCGCTAGATAATGTTTCCATTGAATTTCCTGTGGATGAGAGGAAACAGAAATTCTGACATACGTCAAAATGTCATGTCGACTAACAACATAGAGTCGAACCATGTTAATCGCAAGGTTTGGAGGGGGGAATCCAAGCATATGCTACGAAGCTTGGACGAATGCGCGACGGCGTTTGTGAGGTCATCTGGTCTTAGTCAATAGTGCAAAAGCAAAGTCGATCACCATTAAATAGTTGATGCCGCTATTCTCCAAGATCGCAAACAAGGAGGCTTGGAATTTCAATCGCAAAGAGTGATGCTGATTTACTCACCGATTCCCATCACTGTTATTGTTTCTTGGGAAGGTATTTTTTGGGGGGTTGCTTAGGGGAAAGTTCATCCTCTATTCCCTGCACAGGTCTGCCCTCATTTGGTCGTCTGTTCCTCTGTGCCCTGCGGCCGCATATTTCGACAACAGGGTCTCGTCAATCTAAGTTTGAGATCTCATTTAAATGATGATCCAATAGCGTCCTGTCATATCACGGCACGGCCACGACAATGAAGCTAAAACCGCTCTACTATCCACCGGCTTCTGCCATCTGTGAGTATCGCAGCGCTAAAGCAGGACTGAGCTGAGAATTCTTGGAACGGAGACACGATAGACTACACCACATTCCGCGCTTCGCTGCCGTGGTGCACCCCAACCAGACAGGGGTACATTGCAAACCCGCGTCATCGGCTCGCTATCAAGATCCTGTAACCAGCCTTTCATTACCCCAGTCTCAAAAGTCTCAGCTGCCCTGCAGTCTGAACTTTGAAAGCCTGGCCAAATTGAGGCTCAGTTCTTTTTGTCTCTTTCTCAATTGTAGAGAGGACTCTACTCTCGACGCCCTCCCGTCGAGTTAAGCGACTATATCAGCAGCGTCAGGACTGGTTGAAGTGTAGCGACGTCTCAGAAAACGAGCACGTTGCAACGCCTCTGTGGTCCCTCAATTTCAATTGCTATCCCAGCGGCATCCACATTCCTAGACGGCGCGCTGCAGAAACAATTTTCATTGCGTGGTCTCATAAAGCTTCGCCAACACCTACACATCAAGGCCCCGCGGCTTTCCATATTTCGATCTCCAACTACACGAATATTATCTTAGTCACGCGGACTCAATATGTCCAGCTCGAACGCGAGTAACGTGGGTTCGTCGCGAGATACGACGCCGGTCTCCTTGTCCAGTGAGCTGCTCATTTCGATTTTGCACATACCGTACGCCTTTTGCTCACAGGCAGTCTAGATCTTGTTGCGACATTGGTACCAGTTGCTGTTCTTGCTGGTGTCTACTTCGTCATCTTCTTGTTCTTGCGCAGGAGCAACAGACGATGGTATGCGCCTCGTACTTACATAGGAAGTTTGCGCGAGAGGTATGTCTCTTCCAACTTAACTCCCAACTCTTCGCTTTGGCAATATACTGATGAGCACTCCGCTTCCAAGTGAGCGAAGTCCAAATCTCGACTCCGGATGGTTTTCATGGTTAGGTCAAGTCTACAAGATACCCGACTCTTATGCGCTTCAGCACCAGTCATTGGATTCGTACTTGTTCTTGCGTTTCTTGAAAGTCCTCACTGTTATCGCCTTCGTTGGTTGTTGTATCACTTGGCCGGTTCTTTTCCCGGTAAACGCAACTGGGGGTGGCGGACAAACACAACTGGACATTCTCTCGTACTCAAACATTGGCAGCTCACAGAAGAACCGATATTATGCTCACGTTTTCTGTGCATGGCTATTCTATGGCTTTGTCATGTACATGATTCTGAGAGAGTGTATCTTCTACATCAACGTCCGACAGGCATTTCTTCTGTCGCCCTACTACGCCAACCGTATCTCCTCTCGAACGGTCCTCTTTACTTCTGTTCCCGATGCCTACTTGGACGAAGCCCGACTGCGGAAGGTCTTTGGGGATGCAGTCAGGCGGATTTGGATTAGCGGAGATACCAAGGAGCTCGAAGATCTTGTTAAAGAGCGCGAGAAGGTCGCCATGAAGCTTGAAAAGGCAGAGGTCAAGCTGCTCAAGTTGGCCAACGGTGCGCGCCTCAAGGCCATCAAGAAGGGAGGTTCTGCAGAAAGACATGAGGCCACTGCTGATGCCGAGTCTGGTAGCTTAGCTGCCCGCTGGATTCCTACTAAGAAGCGACCCTCTCACCGGCTTGGACCATTGGGACTTGTTGGCAAGAAAGTGGATACTATCAACTGGTGCCGAACAGAACTGGAACGTCTAATCCCTGAAGTTGATAAGGCACAAACCTCGTTCCGCGATGGTCACTACAAGAAAATCGCGGGTGTGTTCATCGAGTTTCACACTCAATCTCAGGCAGAGGCCGCAAATCAGGTACTGGCACACCACCAGGCTTTGCAAATGTCGCCCAAGTTCATCGGCATAACCCCTGGCGAGGTCGTCTGGAAGTCTCTGAGAATTTCTTGGTGGCAGAGAGTAGTACGCCGTTTCGCTGTCCTTGGCTTCATCGCGGCACTTATCATCTTCTGGGCTATTCCTGTTGGAGTCGTCGGTGTCATCTCTAACGTCAGCTATCTCGAGAACAACGTCTTTTTCCTCACCTGGCTTAAGCAGGTCCCTACCGTCATCATGGGTGTGATCACAGGCCTGCTTCCGTCGGTAGCCCTGTCCATTCTCATGTCCCTCGTTCCTGTCATTATGAGACGTAAGTTGCTTCATCAGTCATGCATATACCGAAGAAACAAGATATTAACCTTGTGCAGTGTGCGCCAAACTATCTGGTGAACCATCGCTATCGCGAGTGGAACTGTTCACGCAGAACGCATACTTCGCCTTCCAGGTGATCCAGGTCTTCTTGATCACGACGGTTACATCTTCAGCTTCCGCTGTGGTGCCCCAAATCGTGAACGATCCCAAGAGCGTTACATCACTGCTTGCTGAGAATCTGCCAAAAGCCTCAAACTTCTACATCAGCTACTTCCTTGTCCAAGGTCTTGCCATCGGAATGAACGTGTTAACCCAGGTTGTCGGCTTCTTCATATTCACGCTTCTTTACAAGTTTCTGACTGGTACCCCGCGTGCCATGTATAACAAGTGGGCAAATCTGAGCGCCATCTCCTGGGGAAGTGTTTTACCAGTTTATACCAACATTGCCGTAATCAGTAAGTTCTCGCTGATAGTCATTGGATAGTAGGGCATGAATTAACACATCTAGTGATCACGTATGCTGCAATTGCGCCGTTAGTATTAGGTTTTGCTACCATTTCCCTTGGCCTTTTCTACTTGGCCTGGCGTTACAACGTCTTGTTCGTAACGGATACCAAGATTGATACTCGCGGTCTGATCTACCCGCGCGCATTGAAACAGTTGTTCGTTGGTATTTACATTGCGGAGATCTGCATGGTCGGTCTCTTCGGTGCTTCCGTTGCCATCGGCCCGCTCGTTCTGATGATCATTTTCCTGATCTTCACTGTCCTGTTCCATATGACTGTGAACAGTGCCGTGAACCCACTATTGCACAACCTTCCCAAGTCACTTCAGGCCGAAGAGGACTCCCTCAGAAACAAGCTTAGTGACGGTCCAATCAGCGACGGCAAGAATGGTGCGACTGGCACGTCTGAGAAAGTGGCCCCTGTCACAACAGAGAAGAAACCTTCCGCGATTGTCAAGTTCCTGAAGCCTTGGGCTCACGAGGACTTCGCAACCATGAGGAACATTGTCCCTAGTGATGGAGCCGACTTTGACAATCTGTACAGTGAGGAAGTTCAGCATAACGCCTACTATCCTCCCGCGGTCACAACCCCAACGCCACTGTTATGGATTCCGGAGGACCCTGCCGGTATTTCGAAGCAAGAAGTGAGGGACACTGGTAGAGTCATTCCAATCACCGATGAGGGATGCATTCTCAACGATAAGAACAAGCTTGAGTGGGATACTGAGGGCGTCCGTCCTCCATTGTGGGAGGAGAAGATCTACTACTAATCATTACGACGAAATCGTTTCCGAGTCTTGACAAGTAGCGGATGGCACATGGTTATTGCTCAAGTGCTGCAAGCCTTTTAAGTCTGTGAGAGGTTATGGAATAGAACAATTCAAGATTGAGAGCATGGTGGTTCATTACGACATTGTTGGAAGTGGTTTGTGGAGTGCTGATACCCGTCTGAAAGAGGTTTCCAAGTTATTCTATTTGTAATTATTAATATTAAAACGTACGAGTTGAATGAGGTATGACGTTGGAGAATCGCTATCGTTCTATTACAAAAGCATCGTCTGCACAGGCTGATGACTCCAGGGCAATTTTCATCGTCCTCTTTCTCTTTTCTTTTTCTCTTCCCCCCTGCGTAATCGATGTAATGGGCATAAGCCGGATCGCCATGTTCAAGTGTGATCTGATTTGCACGCGAAGGCGCATTACGTTACTCCCATCACCATCTCTGCTACACAATTTTAGACTGTATTGAGTGGTGGTTACCTGAGGTACCGACATTGAGTAAGCAATGCAAGCGTGTCATGGCATAACCCCACCAGCCAGGGTTCGTGACATGCATCCTGATGTTTTCTCTCAGGTTGGTTATAAGCGATCAGTATTAGCCATGCGTAACTATAGCGATGGGAGTGACACCACAGTGCGGGATAGAAAAATGTGCTAAAAGGCACTTGGGTCTCTGCTGTGCCATCGTCAGTGACGACCTCACTTGACCGGGGGGGGAATGCCTTGCGGTAAAGCTCACATTGCGCTAAGTAGGACGTCATGGGATCGGTGGCGGGGAGCTCTGATTCGCGGCCCCAAACAGGGTGGCCAGTCTCAGGCACCGCCTTTGCCTTGCCTCTCTCTCTGCCTTTGAGTCAACTGGCTTGTACTTGTGCGTTCAAGTCTTTCCATCTAATCAATCACAACTGCACTGAGTATCTTCAGACATTCTAGGGAGACGGCCACACAGAAATAGGTATGTGCATATCCCGTTCAGTCCAGTTTGGCGCGTTGTATTTCACCGGGTTGCGGCTCTCGCCGATAAGGACCTTGAGCTTCTACAGGGCCCGAGGCCCGTACCCTTGACGCCAGCTCCGATTGCGAGCTTGCGTGCATATGTTGGTAGTCCACCAACCACCTATTGCAACCGCCACCTTTCGACATATTACCCGTGCAGCATTTATATTGTTCGGAAAAGACAACCACTGTGGTATCCTAATTGAACTGTAGACAACCCCTCGGCAAGCCACACGAAACCATGCGATTCAACGTTGCCTGCGTCGCCGCTCTGGCTGGCGTTGCCTCTGCCCGGCCTGGCTGGTTTGACGAGAGCCAGGAGGTCGTCGCTCTCGATGATGCTAAGAAGGTCCCCGGCGAGAACCCGCTCACTTACTGCGATGCGAACCACCCCAACGATATTGTCACCATTACCAACGTCGACCTGTCACCCAACCCACCTGAGCCGTACGTTCTCCCTTTTCTCAGTCCAGTTTGGTCTCGCCTCGCCTCGCATCGTACCACGAAATGCCCGGCGGTGAGCCATGCACTGTGGTTTAAGGAATCATGCTAATGCAAGTTGGCCTATAGTGGCTCCGAGCTCGTGATCCGTGCAACTGGTACCGTCTTCGAGCCCATCAAGGACGGCGCCTACATCAACCTGGTAGTCAAGTATGGTCTGATCAGATTGGTAAACACCAAGGCCGATCTCTGCGAGCAGACGGAAAAGGCAGACCTGAAGTGCCCGATTGAGAAGGGCATCTTGAGTGTTGAGAAGAAGGTTGAAATTCCCAAGGAGGTTCCCCCGGGAAAGTACACGGTTCATGCCGAGGTTATCAACTACGACGAGAAGCCCATTGCTTGCCTGGAGGCTCAGGTTGCCTTTGGTGGCAAGAAGAGCGTCGAACTATGAGGTTGTAATGTGCTGCGTGTCGATCAGGCCTTGAGAACTGTTTTTTTAGTTGGCGGGAAGAATAGTGAAGTGCGGCTTGGATTCATCTTACTTTTCTTGCCTTGATTTCTCATTCGGGGTTGTTGTTCATGGCATTTACACAGAGAGACATAATGAGATGATGGTACACGCAAACAACGCTTACGATTGGGGAACTAACACGTACCTATACAAGATTCATGGCATCGTATCTAAGCATCAGTTGATCAAATAAACAAACAAACATGAACTAGACAGCAGGTAATCCGTGGTATCTCTATGCCTCGTGTGATTGGTACAAAAGTGCTCTGTGTTGGACCTAACAGTGCCAAAACCATGTCCGCGTGGGATCTGCTGCCCTACTCTCCAAAGAGGCGTCTCACTCTCCTCAATACACTATCCTTCTCAGGGTCATAGGGGTGCTCTTTACTCGGGATCTCGAGGACGGTGGGGAAGGCGGCTGTGTAGGTATCGATGCGATATCTGATCTTGTCGGCAATCTGCGCATCGACGTTAATACAGCTAGGTAGGTAGTTGAGACGAGACTGGTGCTCTTCCAGGGCGGGTGACTAACGTGTTGGTTGATCAATACAATTCCAATGTCCTTGCGCTCTGTGGTGAAGGAGTCAAAGGCCGCCTCGATAGCCGAGTTCTCGGTCTTGTTGTCGACGACGAGGAAGTTCTTCTGGGAGTCCGGGGGGTTTGTGACATGCTGTGCGCTCCACGGTCAGACTTGCGGTCCTGTGCAGTTCACAGGAAGGGAGGAAGATGAGGTACATACGCCTATACCAGCTAGCAGCAGCCCTGTTACCGAATCCTGTCACGGTACGTATTAGCTGAGGCATCGATCAAGTTTGTCGGGGCACCATTCACCTCGTCGCCAATGACGGCGAGGAACTGCCTGTCCTTGTAGTCTGCCTGCGAGGCTGCCATGATGGTCGAGGATGATCTGATGCAGCGGGAGTAGGACGAGCGATATGAGAGACAAGACGAGCCGGCCTCGTCGTCTGCTGTAGGCTGTGGATATAGTGGGCTGGGCTGGGCTTCGACTGCGGCTGCGAACGAACGTCACTTGTAGACAGACAGGTAGCTTCCGAAGTCCAGTAACGTCCACTGAATTTGGCCTGGGACCTTGGAAGCTCAAGCTCTGACCGCCCGCGCAGCTTGCCCCCAACCCACAGTTCCCCCCAGCGCCCTCAGCCCGCTAACCTAGAGGATGCCCCACCATTGCCTTACCGTCTGCCGTTTGGTTAGGTTAGGCAACTGAAATTTACTCTGCCATTGGCCGCAGAGCTGCTGGAGCTTCCCCCAGGCTGCCTGAAACTTGTACTGATAACATTGCCGACGCCGATAAATTACTTGGTACCGGAGTCTAGCTTGACGCAAGTGCTGTACCTAGCAACCCGCAGGCAGACAATTTTTTGGAGAATAAACAGTCTCCACGTCGACGGAAACAGCAATCGCGACGAAAAGCGACGGCGCTTTGCCTGGTCCTTATTTTACAACCCAAGGGTATTTCGACAGGATTCAGGAATCAGACCAAGGGGCTCCCGATGTTACAGTGAATTTGCAACAGATCAACATCATTCACTTGGTTGTTTGATTCTAGTCTAGACTTATTTCCAGCTGGTCTTTTGGTTTCTTGTCACACCCGTGCCGATTAGCATCCTGAACCGATTCGTCTCCCGCCACCAACGTGCAACGCCCAGCTCCAACACAACTATCCGTGGCCATGCCGCCGACACGAATGGTGCGCCGTAAGCCGCTCGCTGAGCGCGTCAAGGCTATGCTTAATCCCATGGACTTCTTGTTATGGTTATCGGAAGAAATCGAAACTCGCGACTGGAATTCAAAGAGCGTGGGCTTGCAGTTGGGCATAGCCATGAATCTGGTCTTTGCGATTGCGCGGGCAAATTCTGGCCGGAGAACTACTGTCGACGATGTCTTCAGCGACGATGCTGGCTCGGGATGGTTGAGGTTCTTTGTGAGTCCCTACCACGCATCCGCAAATACATCGTTTATACTTGAACCCCCCATCTCATGCTATTTAATTAAATTAGGTCGGAACCCTCGTCTGGATCCTCGCAGGCTTCTCTACTCTAAACGCTCTTTACACGAATGCTCGAACCCGCAAATACCGTCTGTTCGAGGCTGACGTGGAGAAGGAGTACAACACTCCCTCGGCACAGCGTGTGAGAGTCCAGTCATCGCCTGCTTCGTCCTCGCCCATGCGCTTCTTGGCCGACTTGCTCAGCTCCGAGAGCGCCGAATCGAGAGCGCACCCGGACCGGACCAGGGATGTATGGGAGCTCTCTGTCTGGGACCCGCTGCCCATATCTCTGCAGATTCTGTCTTGGTTCGGTCCTGGGCACGTCCTGGTCTCTTGGATGTTTCTCCCAGTGTCACATCTGCATACGCGGCCTAGTATCGTCGTCTTCAAGTGGTTTGTTCTTCAAATGATCATCTCAGCCCAGATGTACCTCCTGCAGTCTAAATTCTCCCAGCAGAACAAGGATACTGCCATTATTCAGAAGGAGGTCATGCATGAATACGATACGAAATTCGTCCACCCGCACCTGTATCCTATCGTCAGAGATGCCTCCACCCAGATCTCTCAGGACGAAGATGGTAACGATCAGGAATTCGTCGGAGTTGGCACACCCACAACTGTGTTGCGCCGCGGCTTCAAGGCAAACCCGAATCCTAACTACGCCAAATACACTGATCCGGATGGCTCGACACCTTTTCGATCAAGCACGTCGAGTGCAAGGAACCCGGGACTATTCACCCCTCCTGTATCTCGCCAGACGGACGCGTTTGCGCTGACATCAAGCATCAAACAGCGACCATCGGGAATGAGGCATAGCACCCCTAGGGTTTCTTCTTCTGTAAGCAGAACCCATTCACCTGCCGTCTCGACATCCACCACCATGACGCAGACGCAGACCCAACCGCAAAGCAGCGGCGGATATCTGGGCGTCTACACACATCCTAGCTCGCCCTTGAAGAAAGCTCCCAGTCTCGGTGAGCTCCAGCACAGAACCCCTCGCAACAACAGTGAAATGGCACAACTAGAGCAATACCGAACTTATCAAGGCAGGGATCGCAGTGATAGTCCCACGAAGAGTGTAAGAAAGAGCACAGGGACGTTGCCTTCCTCCACACAGACCGGCCGGGGGCCCTTGACAGAGAACAGAGGGCAATCATACGATAGATATCCCTCCATGTGGAGGTAACCATGATTTGCCGAGACTGGACATATCAAGTTGTATTGAAATGGTGTATTTTTAGGCAGGACGGCGGACTATTATGGCATTTACTGGCGTCTGGACCATACCAAAGGGACTGCTATATCAACACGATCAAGAGGATAGACACCCCCAAAGCTTCAACCATCGTTCCCTTCTGATCCTGGCGTCCAAGTACCTTACAAGGGTTGTGCATGTGCTACTAACATGTATGATGGGATTCTTGAGGAATAATATGCAATTTGCTGGGGATGCGGCAGGGCCGTTCTTCCCAACCCTAGTGTCGTAAAGTCGTGCCTGCCAACCTCAAGTTCGTGCGTGTCTCAAACCTCTGATAAGGTAAACAGCCATGTAACTTCCTCATATTTTCAAACAAAGTCTAGCGCTTTCTTCGCTGGCGCTGAGCTTGAACCTCAAGAAGTCGATTTAACGTTGTCCTTGTAATTATTCGTGTATCATCTGCGGTATGCTTGAACATCTACGCTGTGCCTCTCCTTCTCGGATTGTACTCGAGGCCCAACATCTTGATACGAGCGCCCCCTTGAACCAAGATATCGATGTATTGATATCATTTACCATCGGAGATGCCTCGAAATCGGGCGAACTCTTTCGCTGGGTTCTTTTTCAAGCTCTTGCCCAGTCGTCGTCCTGAGCAAGGTAGTACGCTGCGGGATGAGGACAACAGCAAAGAGTCTGCATATCTGGATCTTGGCATCAAGCCTGAGGAGCTCACACATTGGAACGTTGCTGAGGACCTATCTCCTCATCGCTGGGCCGAGCTCGAAATTCAGGTTGATCGATGGAACACGAGTCCAAACCCACACAGACGGATGTTGCCCAGCCATAATCTCCATTCGAGACTCGAGGCCGGCAATTTGCCCAATTCCCAAGAACTACCGCAGCCTTCGTCGGCGGCACAAATTTATGCTATGTTACAATCGAAAGAGCAAACCCGACAACAGCGGCGTGAGCTCAAAGCCAGTGGCGATTTCTTGCCTGTGACTGGGTATGATCCTTGGACTGGAGAGTGGGCTGTTCTAACGCCTACGGACACGCTCAGCTCTGATGCAACATCGCCGTCTACTGAAGAGAAAATTGTCAAGCTAGTACAGCGCGTCTCCAACGCAAAGCAGGCATATGAACAAGCCAGGAGCCAGGAAGAATCAGCTAGGGAGCGGGTAGCGCTAGAAAAGGCACAAGCAAAGCTGGCAAAGATTGAGAAGAAGAAGTCTGATCTCAAACACGACGGTGGGGCCCTCAAATGGAAACGAAACAAAAGATATTGGTCATCTGCAGCTGAGCCGTTCCTGAGTCCCATTGCCCAATCTGTTAATAGCAGTAAGTCATTGCAATTGGATTTCAATAGAGAAACTAATGTTTAATGCAGCACAGAGTTCAGGAATATGTGTCAGGGTGGAAAAGCTCAATGGAATACACTATGGAGACCAAATGAATACTTCAGACGATACAACCATTCGCAGCCCAGCACTACAGCAAGACAATTATGTCTCGATTTCTAATCCAGTTGGTGCTTCTACTTCCAACGTAATCGCCCATGATGCAGGGAAATGTGGCAGCAAGGGTAATTTTTTATGGGTTCGCCGTCTGCGGCAGAAAAGCCCAGGAGATCCAACCGCAGACCAGGCTATTGCAATCTCAGCGTCTACGACAGAAATGACGAACATGAGAACGCATTCTCTCAATATTCTCACCGACCCGAAGCATTTCATCGATCTCAAGATACCGGATTGCCATCTGGGTATTATAGAGAGCCGGGTCGAGGAGCCGCCCAGCCTCAGCTCATCGGAAGTGTCGGCGGCCACTCCATGTCCGCCGAGCACCCCAGAGACAGAACTGAGCGAGTTTCCCTTGGAAGACAGCCTGGCTCTCGCGACTTCAGCCGGGGCAGAGAGCAGGCCCACGGGTTGTGGACGCAGCACAAGCGCAGCTATAGTGACCTCATCCCAGTTAAGATTGAAAGAGCTCAAGAAGAGTTTATCCAATCCTCACATGTTGGTTCCAAGCCAGCCGGGGATGTACCAGACCTCAAGGGTAAAAATGTGGCACTTTCAGGACGACTGGGACCATCAACAGGAAGTTCCAAGCAATCAAGTAGGGCAATCAGAAAAAACACTCGTCCCCACGACGACACATGTCCTGGAAAGGCCGGAGAATGTATCCAGCCACCAACGGACCAGAGAAAGAATAGGTCACGGCGATACTCACATGGAAGTAATAAACCGCGAGTCTGCCTCCACACCCATCACCATCACTACTGGCTACGATCTCGATCAGACGAGTTGCCCATTCAAGCAGGATCATGTCAGTCACCTCGACCGGCAGGCAGACGAAGCGTTAAAGAAGCCTATCACTACACTACCAACGCAAACACTGCAACAAGCACACAATCGGAGTTGCGACGCGTCAGTAGCGACGCAGAAAACTACCACGAGATATTCCGATCCAAGTACACCATTGAAAAAATTGCAGAATCACGAGCACCATCCCAAGACACAAAAGACCGATTCAGCGTCCGACCCAGATGTTCCACCGCGCAAGTCTTTTCTGCAAGATTGCTCTCCAAAAACACCACGAATGTGCCCCAGCCCCAAGGCAATGGAGCAAGGAAACTGCAAAGACTCCAAACTCGAGAATCTAAGAGCAGTAAAGTCCCACAAAGCCGATCTACATCACGTGTTCCAGCGCGATCAGAGGGAGGCTGCAGTACAGGCCGCGGCTCGCACGGCAATGTTGAGGTGCCCAGCCGCAGCCGAACACAGCCCTACCCAGACCCACGCTCATAGAAAGAGCAGCAGTGCGAAATCTCCGCACAAAAGTCTTTCGAAAGACAGAAGTACAGCCAGTCCCTGCAAGCAAGAGAACCAGCAACAGAAGTCTCCAAGCGCCGCCAGCGGAGGCATCGACGGTCATTCCAAATCCTCAGACCTAAGCCAGAAAACCAACACTGACGCGGTCACTATACCTTATATCATACTCTATTTGGTCATTCAAAATGTCTTGGAGATAAGCTTCGCTTGGTGGTTTCTGGTAAGGCCAGCTTTCAATAAGCAGAGCAGCTTGTGGAGAAGAAGACAGAAGGGCATAAGCACACTAACAGACTTAGCGATCTTCTTTTGTGCAGGACTGTTCTGCGTAATTGGTACACTTATTGCCTGGTGTGGCTTCAAGTTTCTCAACTGGTTGCACTTATGAGGTTGCTTCCAAGGGTCAGCTCAATATTTGGCTCCGGTAGCGGCGACCTTGGCCCGGATATAGGGAGGTCGCAACCGGGGCCTGACGGAGCGAATTCCGTCGACAGGACCGGTCTCCACACAGGAAACATCGGCGGTCAACCGGCAAAGATGCTAAGCCGTTTGCCCATGTCTTGTTTCATGCGGATATTATGCTTTGAAATTGCTGTAGCGTTCCACGCATACTTAGGTCTGTAAGAATACATGATGCTTTTATTATTTCTTTATGATTGGACATGTGCTCATACACTCAACTAGCCGGCCCAACAGCATACCTGACGTCATTTCCGATATAGGAGCACAAACATGAAGGTTCCAGCCTGACTACGCTCAAAGCGACAGCATCTAGACGCTTAATGCTCGTACTCAGCAGTAGTTTGAAAACTTCTTAGAGACTGCCATAGATCATGTCAAACGACGAATACTTGTGTCATCGCGCATAAAACTCAGTGAAGTGTCCCCTGTACGCCTCGAAGAAAAACTTGGGAGAGGTGGCTGCCCCGCCGCTATCCACATGTAACCGTAGGTGACTTGCACAACAAGATATATTGTGTGGTTGGAGTGAGATGCGAGGCAGCACTCGATATAGCGCGCGGCATTTCATATTTGTGTTGCTGGAAGACTTGCCGAGTATTGCGTCTTCGGATGCGATGATGCTGTTATCTGGCAGCTGGTTTTGGGTTCCCCAATGTTCCCCATGAAATGCATGCGACCATCGCTGCATAACCCTCGGCGATGGGTTCAAGGTACTAGGTACAGCTTACGATTGTCAGGCCTCCTAGACGCCGTTGCCGATACGGAGGATTGATAAACTCCACCTGCCCCTTCTGCTCATTGGAGCGGAGCCCTCGCAAAATGGTGCATCAGCTGCATCGCAATCCGCAAAGGTAGAGATTGCAGCGACTGTGATTGTGCGGCTCTGGGCTCCAGTTAGTGGACAGGCAGTCGTGACCGACTAGCAGGAACGGCTCAAGATAGTGGGGCAAAATGTCGCGCATTGCCCAATGAGCAAGGCCATATTATAAGCTAGGCCCGAGACCGGAGTGCGAAACCTTTGGGACTGAGGCTATCTCGGAAAGTTGGGTTCCTCTTTCGGCGTGAAGGTTGCTTTTTTCGCCTTCTCTGGAATTTGTATTTCAGTAGACGACTTCTCCCCCGCATTCTCTAGTTGTTCCTTTTGCAGAAACACATTCCCGACTATTCTTGGCGAAGAAGTTGATTAAGCGCAACCCACGACTCCCTCCGTCCTTTTGCCCCTCCCTCAATCTTAACTCTATAATCTTGACGGTACAAAACTTGCAAAAAGCAAACCTTAGAAATCAAGCTGCTCAACATGCCGTCGACCGCGGGAGGGCCTCAAACTCTCTACGACAAGATTCTCGCCGACCATATTGTCGATGAGAAGTTGGACGGTACTATTCTTCTATATATTGGTATGTAATTACCCGTGTACCCCCAGTACTAGGTACATTCGACTTACACTTCGACGAACAGACAGACATCTTGTCCACGAAGTCACATCACCGGTATGTTCTCCAATCGTTCGCGCTGTCTTCCATATTGTCTGGATCAGATACTGTTTTGTACTCGTAACGCGTATTCCCCCAAACTTTCATGTGCCTGCAAGTTGCTCGCGTGCTCACTCCTTACCTGCAATGCCGGGCCGCAAATCGTACACCAAACTATGACGTAGGAAATGGGCATTAACTAACAACTCCAATAGCAAGCGTTCGAGGGCTTGAGAAATGCAGGCCGACAAGTCAGGAGACCCGACTGCACTCTTGCGACGACTGATCACGTACGGAATACCTCATTTCGGCTACATGAAGAATTGCGACTAACACAGAATATAGAATGTTCCCACCAAGTCCCGCAAGGGCATGAAGGACATCTCCACTTTCGTCGAAGAGGACGACTCGCGCCTACAATGTATGACTCTTGAGGAAAACGTAAAAGAGTTCGGCGTCACATACTTCGGTCTCGGCGACAAGCGTCAGGGTATTGTACACGTCATCGGACCCGAGCAGGGTTTCACTCTGCCCGGTACGACCCTTGTCTGCGGTGACTCTCACACTTCGACACATGGCGCCTTCGGCTGCCTTGCCCACGGTATTGGTACGAGTGAGGTTGAGCACGTCTTGGCTACACAATGTCTCATCACAAAGAGAAACAAGAATATGAGGATACAAGTTAATGGCGAGCTGGCCCCTGGTGTCAGCTCAAAAGATGTGGTCCTCCACGCCATCGGCTTGATCGGAACCGCTGGTGGTACTGGATGCGTTATCGAGTTCTGCGGTTCCGTTATTCAAAGTTTGAGCATGGAGGCCCGCATGTCCATTTGCAACATGTCGATCGAGGCCGGTGCTCGAGCTGGCCTGGTTGCCCCCGACGAGATTACCTTTGAGTATCTCAAGGGCAAGCCCCTAGCCCCCGCCTATCCTTCCGAGGAATGGGACCGTGCTATTTCGTACTGGAAGAGCCTTCAGTCTGATTCCAATGCCAAGTTCGATATCGATGTCCAGATCGACGGTGCTGACATCATCCCTACTGTGACTTGGGGTACCAGCCCCGAGGACGTCGTCCCAATCACTGGTGTCGTGCCCGACCCCGAAACCTTTGACGACGAAGCCAAGAAGCAGACTGGACGAAGGATGTTGGAGTACATGGGTCTTACTGCTGGAACAAAGATGGAGGACATCCCTATTGACAAGGTATTCATTGGCTCTTGCACCAACTCAAGAATTGAGGATTTGCGAGCCGCTGCCGCCGTTGTGAAGGGCAGGAAAAAGGCCGACAACGTCACACACGCTATGATTGTGCCTGGCTCCGGTCTTGTCAAGGAGCAGGCGGAGGCTGAGGGCCTAGACAAGATCTTCATCGAAGCCGGATTTGATTGGAGGGAAGCGGGTTGCAGTATGTGTCTAGGCATGAACCCAGACATTCTATCGCCACGTGAGAGATGTGCCAGTACCAGCAACCGAAACTTTGAGGGACGTCAAGGTGCCCTGGGTCGCACTCACTTGATGTCGCCTGTCATGGCTGCCGCTGCCGGCATCGTCGGAAAGCTTGCAGACGTTCGTACCCTGACTGAGTACAAAACCAGCCCACACATTGATGCCTTCAAGGCTTCTCACCCAACAACAACAACAACAAAAGGCCACAAGGATGAGAGTATCGAGTATGACGAAGAGGCCAGAGAGAAGCTCACCGACCAGCCCGAGGACAGCGAAACCACAAACCATATTGTCGGTAAGCCGCAAGGCGGCCAGGGTTTGCCCAAGTTCTTGATCCATAAGGGTATCGCGGCACCCATGGAACGCTCTAATGTCGACACCGACGCTATCATTCCCAAGCAATTTCTGAAGACCATCAAGCGTACTGGTCTGGGCTCTGCTCTCTTCCATGGATGGAGGTACAACGAAGACGACACACCCAACCCCGATTTCGTCCTCAACCAGGAGCCTTACACCAAGGCCAAGACTCTAGTCGTCACCGGCCCCAACTTCGGCTGTGGCTCCTCGCGTGAGCACGCCCCTTGGGCTCTTCTTGACTTTGGCATTAAGTGCATTATTGCACCATCTTTTGCCGACATCTTCTTCAACAACACCTTTAAAAATGGCATGCTTCCCGTCAAGATTGAAAACAAGTCCGATCTTGACAAGATAGTTGCCGAGGCTCATGCTGGCAAAGAGATTGAGGTTGACCTGCCGAACCAGGTCATTCGCACTGCCAACGGAGAGGAAATCTGCAAGTTTGACGTCGAGGAGTTCCGCAAGCACTGCCTGGTCAATGGCCTCGATGATATCGGCTTGACCATGCAGCTCGACGATAAGATCGTGGACTATGAGAAAAAGGCCACTGCCCGCACACCCTGGGTTGACGGTCGTGGCTATCTGAAGAGAAAGGGCCAGGGCGGCAAGCTGGCTGCCAAGGCTGTTCCTGTCCCAACCACGAATCGTGGCGAGGAGATCAAGAACCCCATCGAGTGGTAAGCGGGGAGGATGCCTTGACGAAGAGGAATTTTAAATGTTTTTATTGCATTGCTCGAGCACGAGACGTATTGCGAGGAGTTCAAAAGCCATTCCGATGGGTCTGGTCTTGGTATGACATCGAAGAGTTATGAACGTGCACATATTGCACATATTTCAACCGCTTGAAGCTGAATTGGCTCGCGGAACACAATGAAGTAAAATCGAAGATTTAAATCCAATCACAATGTCTTATACATCATGGTGATATCTGTGTGCCTGGATATTTTCGGACGTAGTTCATATTCAGGGACCAAGGATGAAGGATTCAGTCGCTATGGACGCTGGACAACTCACGGAAGCAGTGAGGTACAAGCCTTATCCTGTTCTGCTCTTTGACGAGTTTGAGAAGGCATGTAGGGATATTTCTGCTTTGCTTTTGCAACTACCTGATGACGGGTACTGATGGACGCACAAGGTCACAAAGTTGACTTCCGTAATATCATTGCTGTTCTAACCTCTAAGCTTGGTGCTGATATCCTTGTCCGTAGGGACTCCTATGACTGTGGTAGCGAGCCGCAGCCATTCAGTATACCTCGTGTGCGAAAGGGCTTCTGACAGACGAGATTTAACAGATCCTGATACTGACATCAGCCCTGTAGCTGTCGGGCTTTGAATTCCTTACGTTTAAAAAGAAATCGTGGCACCTTGATGGAATTTGGCCGTTATTTTGTTGATGTTGTCTAAAGTGTATTGATTTATCTGCGTTGCAAAGCTCAATCCCTGACTATACTGTCCATCATGCCCAGACTAAACAACTACAGTGTCTTCGACAGCTGCGCACGTGGCTTCTGAGATAAGCGCTCTCAAAGACAAATATTCAATTACAACGTAGGCCACTACTCTGATCTGCACGCTTGAAAGAGATATCATGACCGGCGATAAGGAAAGTCCCACATCTACGATGGGTTTCCACGTGGTAACAGGCAGTCATTTTCTATCGCTTTGAACGACCTTTGGCTTTGACGGGGAGGGAAAAGTCTCTCGGCGCCGGTATGTATAAATGATTGAAGGTATGCTGAGAATGTGGGAACCCTTTGATCGGTGCTAGGAAATTGGCTACGTAAATAAAGGGACAAAGAAATCACAAAACTCACCAACTGACTGAATTTTGGCTCGACTTCCTTTATTAACTGCTAACAATCGTTTGACTACGTATCTTAAGAACACTCGATTTTTTTTATTTGAATTTGTGGTGTATCTTTCTTTTACATAAACCCAGACACTGAAAAGTTGAGCAGTCTCGGATACTCAATCATCAAGAGAGCAAGTAAAACCATAGTAGAAATCATGAAAAAAGACCGTGAATCGGAGGGCCATCTAATATCTTGCTGCGATATTTCCTTCAAAAACATGCCAGGACTCGCACCAGAAAGGGATGAAATCGATAATAGAATTTTGGAGTATAAAGTTTACGTTTCAGAGACGCACCATCTGGTGGTCGATATTTGTTCTGAAAAGAAGGCGGCGGGCTATACCCATGATACAGATTGCGGAAGCAACGAATTCATATAATTCCGGGAAGGGGGAGGGAGGGAGAATTCGGTTTCGGTGAAGAAAAAGAAATTCGACGAATCCTACCTTTAGCACCCTCGAGCAGTTATTCGACGCCGCGTGGAAGTACGAAAGAACGGCAAGGGAAGAATGGCGCGAGTGGTTTGATTCTGTTAGGCAGAAGAGAATAATTTTGACTTCCCCCGCGAGTTATATGGGCTACAAAGAGCTATTGAGCCAGTACGGTGATATGGGGAAAAACTTTAAGATTTATTAGAAGAAATGTGCCGTAGACGTAAAAGCGGTTGAAAAGGAGCTTGCCTCTCACAACAATGCTTTGGAAGCTTTTGAGCGCACGATATAGGAGTGAAATATCTTCATACGAGGATAGATTTAACTAATACTTTAATGCCGTATTCGAAGACTACATAATTAAAATTGATGTTGCTTGCAGATATGAATAAAATATCAGGTACGCAATAGTATTTCAATATCCAGAGAAGGGAGAAACCAGCACATATCGGCCAGACACTCTCATGCACCAAGCTCTATGACCACCTGCCTCACGGCTTCATCCAAATCCTCCTCAGGCTCCAGTCCCAACTCCTTATAGTCAATCACTTTGTCGCTGTAGTTCCCGCCAAACCCGTCGCTGAACATCAGAGCGAACAGCGACTTCGCACCCGCCATCGCATTGCCCTTGGCGGCCTCTGCCTTAGCCCATTCTCTGATGTCTTTGGCGCTTCCGTGGGTGATCGTCCATTCCTCCTTAGTGGTGCCAGTGACCCTCAAAGCGCTGTCCAGAATATCATTCTGGCTGACCAGGAACGAGCTGAAATAGACCCAACCGTTCTTGTGCTTGGCCAGATCGGCCTCCGGAAGGCTGAGCAAAGCGGCCAAGCTCTTGCCGACACGGTCCAGCGTGGAGAAGTTGGCCTTCACGACGCCGCCGTCCAGCAGGTTTGCGGTCCGCTTCTTGAGATCAATTTCAAAATACGCGCCCTTCATGCAGAAATCGAACCATGGGTTGTTGGTAACCCCGATCCACGAGCTGACCCCGAGCTCCTCGATAAGGTCACGGAAGGGTTTCTTCATGCTCATGAGGGCGATCTCCTCGTTCAAGGGCCCGTTCGTGGCATCTGAGCCGAACTCGCATGGTACGACGTATGGGATGCCGGCTTTGGCGGCAGCCTTGATAAGTGGGATCTGGGCGCCGTAGGCCTGGTAGCTGAGAGCCAGAATCAAGACGTCTTGATTGGCCAGTGCGGATGCCAGGAAAGCTTCGTCGTCGTATAAGCCCTTGTGGACCTTGACGGTTGAGGGAAACTCCGCTTTGGAGTCCGGACGAGTAACTACCGAGACGTTGTGAATGCCTGATTCGATAAGAGAGGCTACAATGGGTGTGCCAACTGTGCCAGAGCCACCAACCACAGTGATGTTGCGAGACTGCTTTGGAGATGCCATTTTATAAATTTGGCTTCTATGTTCCGAGTTGCGTAAGTGCAAAGCAGTTTGACGTTGGGACTTTTGAAGATTCGCGTAATGTCTTAGATTGATTCGGGGTTTTCTTTTTGTGATGATATGAATGGAACTTGCTTTAACTTATGGGAGGTACCTTGACTTATATCTTACTGTAATAACACTTTCAGTCAAGAGGTATCTGTCTACACATAACTCGGTCCTCAAGACAGACCGACATATACAGCTTAGTAACGATATAATTGTGCCTGAAATCACGGCCGATTCAGAAAGGTTTGTTTGTCAGTGGGTGACACTGGAGTCGTTCCAGACCCAACAGACGTGGTTGCTGCAACACATGTCCCCGAAAGAGCTGGTAAAAGCGTATGGGATCGATCTGTCAAACCACCACCGTCGCGGCGTAATCGCATCCGCGTCACTGGCAGCGCTGACAAATGTGCCCGGCTTATACTGTCAGACCCACCGAATGTGGATACTTTCTCGGGACCGAGTAGCGTGGAGTCCCAGGAAGAGAAGGAGTGAGTGTGCTATGGCTACGCATCTAAGAGAAACCCATGAAATCTTCACATCTTTTTGTGACTTGGCTTTTTCTTTCTACAATTAAAAAAAAAGTATACCAATAAAACTCACTCGAAAAGGACCAACTGCGCAAGCAGGCTGACTTGTGCCAACGAAGACCGGAGAATCTTGAACGCGAATTAATGCCTGTTCATTGCCATTACGCACTCTTGAGTAGTTTCACACCATGAATGTCTGAAAATCAATGTTTGAATCAACCGCATCAAGCAATGGTACTACATCATATCTTAATGATTTTCATCCCTGCTGCAATGTATTCCTTTGCTGAACGGCTGTGATCTGGGTCTGCTAGTAGCTGTCGATATCTTCGGCACCTGTTACTACTGTCGGTTCGAGGAGGTCAACGATACCTGCAAGTGAGATTTTCCCTTTACAGAATTCATGGAAATAATTACAGGCAGATTTGTTTTCTCCCGGATATTAGCACACGCAGTGAGAAATTCACCGGGATCAGATTATATCACATCATAAATGAGTTCGAGGCACGAATACGCAAGGTCGTTACGGATATGTACATGATATATGGAGCATTACAATTGACCCAGGCCTCTACAATGATTGAATTGCTAGGCACGAAAATCTGGAACTGGCTATGATCGGGCTGGAATTGCAACCCAACACATCCAAAGCTTGCTGAGCTTTAGCATAAGTAATATTTTGTGAAGTAATGATGGTCGTGGGTTGTGAGTTAGGCGCGATTAGGAGTGCATAAGTAAATGCATATGCCTATTACCATGAAGGCGATTTCAGGAATCTTCTGGTGATACTACGGCAGCACAGCATTTGACGTCATTTATGAGCCTATTATACGGAGACCTGTTCAATCTCTAGTTAAATTTGTGCAAGAATGAATGAACGACCATAGTTATTATAGTTAAGAGATAACGGGAGCGCCGTTCTGAAAGGCTCGTAAACAGCCATCGTCACGGGCCAGTTGTTGCTTAGCAAGAATACGACCATCTTTTCATTCCCTGATGTTTTTTATTAGTGTAGGCGGTTAAGTGACAATGGCGGTCGAGTACAGTAATTTGATACCGTAAATTAGCCAGAACTCGGCAATGCAACCATTCCGTTTCTTTGTACGCTGTTGGAGGACGACTTGGGTCTCCCTGTGGCACTTGAGAGCACCATGCACAACCCATGTGCTCTGCAATGCGTAACGCAAATCCCCAACCTTGAGTTACCTCTAGCGAATCATGTGTTTAATCGAGTTCCGCAACACGATATATATGTTTCAGTCAATACCAAGATTGTCGAAGAAACCTGAAGTTCCTGAAGCTGCAGCTCCCCTCCCCTCCCAATGCGTCCAATCTCAGCCGCACTGGCCAACAGAGAAGTTATGGCATAATGTAAAATACCACACTTCCTATGGTGTACCCTATCGAAATAATTTCTTATGTAGACTGGAATTTGCAAGTTGTATCGCTTGAATGTCGCGTGTATGCTATCCAAAACATCTGCTGCTAACGGAAATGAGTCTCTCATCTCAAAAAGGCATTGGCAACCACGGATCAATGTATCCATCTGCAACAGTCCATCCTCAGGTTGACGTAGGACGGTGTAAGCAGCGGTTCCCAGGCTGCTCGCCCTCTTTGGGGTAGATGAAATCCAGTGCCTCTTATTATTTCAACTTTGGATTTGGAGGGACGTCGGATATGCATACAACCAATAACCGACGCAGTCGGTTTATATAAGAGGGAAATCAGGCTGACGCCATGCCCTCCCAACTTTTGGCTTACGGGAAAGCTTCCTGTAGCCAAATTCTCGTGAAGAGCGCCTTATCAGTATTAGGAAAAGAAAGAAAGAAAGAAAGAAAGGCACAGGACGATCTTGGAGCCTGCCATTCTCGTAGGAGGCGCGCCTCATCCGCACCTTTGCGTCGGCTGGGTTATACTAGGACCATATAGTCTAAGGCTTTACAGATATCCAAGGACTGCTTAGAAATGACATACAGATCTGGTGTCTATACCAATCACTCCTACACAAGTAACGCATACATGCCTTGAAGCAGAGGGGTTATGTTACAGTACCCGCATTAGGGTTGTGTGTCATGACAGCTATATAGAGAGATCTCACAATCTCCACCTAGAATAGTTCTCTAGTCAAGACATATTACAAGCCCAAATCAACTTTACAGTTCGTGACGTTGTAGGCTTGTTGTCTCACACCATTATTGTCAACCCTTACAGTTTATTGCTATTCGCACCTGTACTCTCACAAAATCTTTATACTTAAGATTCTACCGATATGAATCTTTGACTAGCCTACCTTTCGTTAACTCTATACAGAATTTATCGTCCCGTGGATCTAATGCTCGTAAGTAAGCGAGGCATTGATCAATGCTTGCTTTAAGCTAGGAGTTCCGAGTTAGGCTTGTTTGGTCAGTGTGTTCCCTTCGAAGCCTCCGGAACGCGGATTCTCCCCCTCGCCATAAATTAATCGCATGGGAAAACCGACTAAGCCTAGCAAAGAATAAGTTCGATCTTCCGCTTTTGATGTTACTCGTTCTGTTAACTATGATATTCGTGTATCGAAATCGAGCTCGGATAAAGAGTATCCCTAACGAGCATCGATCGGAATGCGGGTAACTTCGTGGAGTGTTTCTCTAGTGATTGCTTGTCATCGAGACGTTGTTTATTTATAGAGTAGAACTCCACGACTACTGGCGCGATGAGTTCTTGACCAAGTGTGGGCGCGTTGGTTATGGAGAGCCTGCATGTAGGATGTATAGAGGCCCGAAGTGGGAGCCTCTAAACCAGCCAAAAACGGTGAAGCTCGCATAGTACAATAATATACGGTCTCAATCATTGTAAGACCGTATCTTTAGGGGCGCTCAACATGTCTTGTTTACATAGCCATAGCCAATAAGTAATGAATACGCCAGGATTACCCCGCTTGAACTGGCCGTCGTTAACGGCTAATAGACCTCGGATGCGACCAATTCCGGTCGCAAGTAGATATCGTGTTGTGTAGTATGGCAGGCTTTCGGGCGAGACAAATATGTAAGATCGTTATTTGAAGTACCACGACTTTCAATTTTGCAGACTCAGCCCGTCCGTTGCCGATAGTTCTCCGTGGCGCCACTATATGACGAACGTCAATTATACTTGGTCGATAATCTTTTTGGTAATGGTCTCTAAGGTTAGACAGGTCCATTCTTCACTAGGATTATAACCGACATTATCAACAGGTTGGTCAAATATTGCCTCTCTAAAGACTTGTTATTAGACGAATCTATTAAGTAATCGGACTATTTGATATTGGCCAGATTTATTTATTTGTCACCAAAGCCACTTTACACATATTTACATGAGCGCCAACGGTAGTAGTGAAATTATATAGAGACCGCCGCCTGTGCATGAATGTTTGTTCCTCTCCCCACTAGTTTGTTTTCTAGGCTCTGGATATGACCAATAATTGTCCCCATATTCATTGTCCAAATAAAGCGTCAAACCCATAGAAATCGTCTGGTGTTTTAGCTCCGATTGCGAGTAGATGCACCTCTATGTGGGAATGTCCTCCGAGAATGGCCAACTCGAGAGCATCTGATCCAGCAACATCAGGCATAAGTCACTGGTTGCATGTTGGCGCTAGTTGGGCATCCTGCGAAGGCCCACTGTGACTGAAACCTGGTCTATGCATTGGAATGTGTCGAAGTGAGCAGCGGCCTACTTGCCGATGACCCCTCCAGTCGGCATAGATGACACCCCCACAGAGCTGGGATGTGGGAACAGCTTGTTTCCAGCGGCGTAGGCGTTTCTGGCGGGTGGCGCACGCTCCCCGGGTTGCGCTTTTCTATATAGTGGAGCGATCCGCATACCAACGAGGGGCCGGATGAGGTTGTGATGGCAAAAAGCGAGACTAGACAGGAACAGAAGACGCTAATTTGCATTGCTCGTACATTTTATAAGCGTTTAACTTGCAGCCGGTTGTTTGATCCTTCGATGCCGCCGTATTATGTCTCTCTACAAGGGTCGCCTGGTCTTTAGACGACCACTGCATATGATAGCATGGAGGGGATTGCCTGGTAAACGAGATTAGCATATCAAGCCCCGGGTTCTGGCTGGCTATCCCGCGGCCGGTCGCAAAGGACAAATTGGCGGGGTTAATGTGTGGGCGTTTACTCAACGACATAATCAGATACCGACCACTTAGGCTATAGCACATCACATTTAGCAAATATTTGGTGGCTTGAAATGAATAACAAGTAGAACCCACAGAAACCAGCCAGATGAGGATCTACTACCACGCATTTCGCCCAGATAGAAATGCAGATATTGTTGCCACATGATTATCCGAACGATCTCAACCGTGTGATTGGTGCAGTGTGCGAGCAGTGGATTCGCGCGCTACTTCGTTCTATAGAACGCCCAGCCGAAGGTGTTACAAAGGCATGTCCCAAAGCTAATCAGACTTGCCGAGTTACGCTTAGACCCGGACAAGGGAGAAGCATACCAACACCAAGACCGCTCGCGCCCTGGTACCCAAGATTGTAAGATGCGCCCTGGATTAGGGTCCCATTGATCAGTATAATCACGGCGAACGCCTGGCCAACACTGTCACGACAAGGCCGGGAGGGATCGACAATTGTGGCCCACCCTTGCTTATCGTGACCACGTCACTCAATTTTAAGCAGCATAGACGACGTTTTCAATCCCCGAAGTCTTTCACATGTTATGGGATGGAGTACGAGGCTCCGATCTGCGCAGGAGTAAACGAGAGCGTTAGCGAGAGCGTCACGCCGGCAAGTGCAAAGGAAGCCTGCCAACCTGCTCAAGTCCGTATTGCGTGACCTTAATTGGTTAGTTTATTATTTCAGTATGCATCCTATCCTTCGCATCATACGGAAACCCCACTACGGGCACTAATAGTTAATAAGAGATCTACACATATCCCTTATAATCTTACCTATGGATATGTTAATAGATCGGTCGAACGAACAGCCTAAGTAGTTGCCGCTTTTACACTTTTATAAAACTCACATGGTCTTGGGGAGGCTGTCACTGTTAGTACGTCATCTTTGGTCGCTCCAGAACTAACATAACTTATATCCATAGGAATGACAGGATTACGGCCGAGGGGTCGAAATACCCAACCTCAAAATCCCCCTTCTACATCTAGTAGTCCTTGTATATTGACCCAAGACATGGGGCAGCCTACAAGGAAACAGTGGCTACAAAAGGAGACGGATTAGGATGGTAGTCCTACCACATCGTGCATTACAAGCCTTGTACCAATTACAGATCAATTTGCGCGGAATTACGCCGTACTTCACATTAACTGGACCGGATTAACGTACTAATAAGCGGACTTTCATTTATACTGTTAGTTCTACACGATGTGGCAAACACTCAGTTCTACATATAAGAGTAGCATTCGTGACACTCGAAGGATCGACTAATGTAGGTGTTAGCACTAACAGCTCCACTTCTGTTAAACGGCTTTTACCTCATGCATACCATGCAATGTAACGATCGAAGCGGTAAGAATTCTACCTTCTAGTCTTAGTAGACCCATAATATGACTTCATTCTTCCTGTATGAGATAGCCTTCTAGGTCTGCCCAAATCTCAATGAATAGATGTAAGTATTGGATGTTCAAGGTCGCACCTCCTCGCTAGACTTCCGTAATTCTTACTCGCGTGCGGCGTTAGAAAACTGGGCCAGAAAATCCTACAGGAAAAAATACGCTGGCAAGCAGAGGGCAAAGCTTCGGAGTCTTAATTACGGGCCATGAGTTACACTATTGCTTCTGAATTCATATAATCTGTGACCAACCCATTTATAATCGTCGGGCAGATACAGAGTATTTCTCCTCAAAGACCTGTATAACATGCGAGTTATTGTGCCGGATAAGATCTTATATAAGACCTACTCCTATACCCCCCTCGATTCATAATAGCCCTCCAGCTACTCAGACGCCACTAACTCACGCCTTCACTATACAACGGACACATCTGGCAACAAGCGCTTCTTGACATACCGTAGTCTTAGGTGATCGTATAATTAGATTGGTGCTGGCAAAGTAGGACCTAGGCGCCCCTGGCGCTACGACCACCATGCGTCCTACTTCAACGATCAAAAGTACGTGCTCTATGAGTTTAGTCTCTTTTAGCCAGTAAGACCAATTATCATTCAGGAACATCGGGTGTTCGAAGTGCGAATGGATGCTGGATATGCCGTTTGAGACGTAAGTCGCACATGAGATGACGTTTTTGCCTTTGCGGAGGCCTGAAGAATCAAGCGATCTCGGTGGGCTCAGTCAATAGATTCAAGACTCGTAGGCTGCTACAAATCTCTGAACACGCCCCGAAAGCCTTTTCAAAAGCAACACCGAAAGTAGACTTACTGAAATCCAACGCCATAGGGAAGAAATGCGATGAGACCCAACCCAACTGTCAAGCATGTGCAGATCTAGGCATAGACTGTGAAGGTTACGGACCACGACCGCCTTGGATGGACAGAGGTCCGCTAGAACGCGAGAAAGCGGAAGCGATTAAGGCAGAAATTGCCCGTGCGGGGGGAAAGAGGAGACGGATTTCAGTGAGCCATAAACCTTTGTCGCCTCAGCCGTCACTCAAGTCCCCAAGCGGCGATTCTTTCGGTCCACGACGCCCATCTACAGGCCGATTTGATGGAGTGGCGCTTCAAAATACCCCCGAGACAACGCCAAAATCTTTGCTGTATCCGCAGGTGGAAGACACACAGAGCCTGACAGATTATAGCTTTGGTCTGATATCTCCAGGTGATGAACTGTGGACTGATGACATGATCAATTGGCAGGATCAGGTTCTTCCCATACGACTTGACGATGGAAAATCAACAGTTTTGCCGCCACGGATTTCGTCACATGTACCGTCACTTGATCAATGCTCCATATCCGGCGAACTCTCTCTACAGGGCCTCCGATCACCATTGCCTGTCGTTCAAAACGAGAGACATCTGTCTGGAAACATGGGCCAGACCGTCAATGGTGGGATGTCCACATATTGGGAAAGAATCGGGTTCCAGACCGATTCCGTGTTTACTACAACCAATAGCCCCGGGGTTGTTCATCGAGGTCTTGATGATCTGTTACCAGGTCTCTCAGGTAACTCTTCGAGCACCTCGAGCCTCGACTTAACAATAAGCTCCCGAAAGCCCAATCTGCAAACAGCTGTTATGCTCTCTTATTATCTCAACAAAGTGCTTCTCGAGCAATTTCGTTTTAGTTCGAATACTAACATAATAGGTCAGCTGTGGTGAGTCATTGCTAAAGGCTATTGCTACTTCTTTAAGCTTCCCCCTTTGTCGTTTCAACAGACGCCTTTAGAAATAGCCTACTCATTCATATCTAGCAAGTTTCACCAGCCACTGATAGTTATACAGGCTACAAGTTCTGATATATAGTTCCGAGCACTTGCTAGAGATCACCCTGATACTCAGTCAAGCACATTATATTTGGGAGTCGAACCCGGATTTTGCAAAGACCTACGAGACCGATTTGAGCAAAGCAATGCGCATTCTAAGGACGCTGCACTCGCCAAATACTATGATGCGCATGCTCGATAAGGAGCAGAGAGCAATGCAAGCCGTCGTTGCCTGCGCATGTTTCCACCAGGTCATCTGTCTCGAGGTATGTGACCCCAGTATGAACCACTGAGTCTCGAATACTGACCCACAGGACCCACAGCTGCTGTATGGCGGGAACAGCCATTGGCAACAGTGCCTCACCCAGGCGGGTCCGTATACACAGATTTTAATCGATATAGTCGTGCGCGGCGGCATCGATGCAAACCAATCTGAACCTCTTTCATTAGCTACAGAACAGACATTGTTAGCTGCAGCCAAAACACTTCTGGCTCGTCTGATCTGGCTTGACATTATGGCGGCTGTATCGACAGGTAGCAGATCATACCTAAAGACTAATCACAGCTACCTCTTGAGCTTGGAGTTTGTTGACATGGCAGAAGTATTTGGATGCGAGAACTGGGTGGTCAAGGAACTACACGAGATCATCTCCCTGCATGAATGGAAGAAACAAGCAGAGGCTGAACAGAACCTCAACATCATGCAGCTGGCTACGCACGGGGCGGCCATCTTACAATCTCTGAAAGAGCAAATCGCACAGTTGGGCGATACTAGGCCGAAGACCGCAAGGACTCAAGCCGGAGGAGCCAACGACAACCACTCCTCCAATTGCACAAAATACGTTGACAGATATATGGCCAAATGTATAACAGCCACTTATGCTCAAGCTGCGACGATCTTCCTTCACGTGGTTTTGTCCGGACCTCTTCCGTATCTACAGGAGATACAGGCGGCGCAGGCAGAACTGCGATCATCTCTGGATGTCCTCGCCAGTAAAAAGCTGACTGGCTACGTCGCGTGGCCTCTATGCGTGGCGGCATGCTTCGCGACGGACGACGAGCAAGATCCGCCCCTTTCCCCCGCAAGCTTGGAGGTGCATGGCAACCCCAAGATGTCCAAGGTATGCATCGAGGCATTGAACATCGGCCAGAAGTGCCGTTCGATCAGAAAGGGCGGAGAAAGTGCTGAGTGGATTTCGGCCATGAAAAGTCTTCAGACGTGCATTTTGTTGGCCTAGAATAGAGATTCCGTGAGAAAACAGTATTCAGTACACCATTAATTCGTTGTAGACGGACTCCATATGGCTGAAAAATTTCTTCCCCAGGTGTGTGGACAAGTTGAAGCCGTTAAGCATGCAGCTTTAAGTCAGCAGATAGATAGACGTCGCAAGCGCAAGGATCCGTGTGTTCCGTCTTGCTGTACCTAGTATTTAGGAGGCGGCCAACACGACGACGGCGCTGACCGCCATGTTTGGATTGATATGCAAGGTAAAACGACAGCGGCACGAATTAAGGGAGGATATGCCCGTGAGAGAAATACCATGAGTCCGCATGAATGGAGATGAGCTCATCGAATTGAACTGGAGGATGGTTCGCGCTGATGACAGCTAACCACCCAGTCCGCGGCTGACATGTCTCCACGCCTGCGTTAGCATAGCAAGGTTTACCATATGGTGGGATCGAGGCATTGAGACGCAATGTAACTCAAACGCCTCGGATTCATTTGTATGGTGACTGGCATTTCCAACATTGCAGCGTAGATCTGGAGGGCCTTGGGTGTTGAGGCATCGTGAGTATCGCCTTTCTAGTGGATGCGGCACGGTAGGGTCAACCATACCGACGTTTCCGCCAATCTCAGATTTTAACTTTCGGATACTACCTGTTCAGAAATTCAAAGTACCTTTCTTATTGGGCAACCTTTCTTATCGTGTGCATAGCGTTATACGCGCGCTATAAGGATACGCTATAAGAATGGGTTCCAAGAAAAGATCGTATAGCGCCACGTGCATGTACTTATTTAATCGTTGGTACTTCTACGCTACGTATAAAATCTGTACCCCCTCGGTACAGGCGCGAACAGCTCGCGACACGCACCTAGCGGCGACAAAGTCATCAAGGACTCTGACAAGTGAGGTATGCCTACTTGACGAAAGCTTCCAACAGAAGGGATAACGTGCCAGTTGCCAGCTTCAAATTTCAATTTGCCTGATAATTACGGATGACCTTCTACCCAGGTATACCCAGGTAGTTAAAGTTGGAGTTCCAAGTACACTCTCGATGGTTTACAATTTAAAATCGCCCAGCCGTATGCTATACCCTAAGCAGTTGCTGCCGCGCGGTTGCGCCGAGCTTATGCCAGGCACCCTATTTGTGTAGGTTGTTTGCCGATCCTGAAGCCTCTCACGGCATCCATCCAATTTAGTTCTGGGTGCATCCCCCCTTCGTCTGCCCGCCCTCAATATTTCAACTTCATGAAACGAGCGAAGCAAGCATCTCTGTGCGGCCAGATGAACTGCACGCTCAACGCAGATCGGTCTTTTGGGCCACGCACTGAGCCCGGCTGCCGGTCCTTCGACTTCACCTTGCTTTTCGAGGACCTCTTCTTTGCTTGCTTACCTGCCGCCCTTTTCATCGCACTCTCGCCATGGAACTTCGTCAAGCTGCTCCGAAGACCAGCCCTTTTCTCGCTTAGCACCGTACTCCTCGCAAGCAAATTGGTGTGCCGCCGCTTTTTCTCGCCGGTCGTAAGAAAGGACACTCAGGCTGACATTCAATTGTCTACTAGGTCACGCTTACTGCCTTGTTTGCCGTGCAGCTTGCCTTCTTGGCTCTACGAGTGGCGGAACCGGTGACAAGCACGTCTGCATCGATTGCTGCTGATGTATTGAGCTCCATCGCTACTGTGGTGGCAGTGGTCTTGGCCGTGCTGGACCGCCAGCGGGCCCCTCGCCCCTCTACCTTGCTCACTCTCTATCTCTCGTCAGCCGTGCTTCTTGGTGTTGCTCGGGTCCGCACGCTATGGCTACTAGCAGCCTACAGCACCGTCTCGGCCTTAATGATTGCTACCTTCGCACTCACGTGCGTGGCCTTGCTTTACGAGTCGGCCGAGAGTCGTACAGATCTAATCACCACTCACAACCTGGGCAAAAACCCTCGCGCCCCCGAGGAAGTCAGTGGGTTCTGGATCAGGACTTGCTTTACATGGCTCGCGTCCACGTTCCGGCGGGGCTACTCCCGGATCATCTCTATAGATGATCTGCCTCATCTGGACAGCGAGCTTCGTTCCTCTGGGCTCGGCGAAAGACTGGCCTCCAAATGGGTTAAGCGTGAGCATGCACACCTCAAACTCGTCTCCCTGGGCTAATTTCAACCTCCACTGCCAGGTAGAGAAGGGGGCCGCTATAGGCTACTTCGAGCTTGCCTCGAGAGCTACTTCTTTTCGTTCGCGTCGCCCATAATCCCCCGGCTGTGCCTTACCGCCTTTACCTTCTCGCAGCCGCTCCTCATCAACACCACCGTGACCTTTGTGGGCTATAGAGACCCAGACGCCAATTACGGGAAAGGACTCATCGGCGCCTGGGCTCTTGTATCTCTAGGCATAGCGGTCAGTAAGCATTACAGGCAGACTCAGCGACCCATCTAATAACTGACCTTATACATAGGCCTCCAGCTCAGTCTATAACTACCAGAATTTCCGATTCACCACCAGGCTCAGAGGAGGACTGATTGCCCTCGTGTACCAACGCGCTCTGGGGACAAGAGACGTGGACGCGGGGGAAGTTACCGCGGTTGCGCTGCTCGGCGCCGATGTTGAACGCATCAAAGCCTGCATGGGGGCGCTCCACGAAGTCTGGGCCTCGCTCCTCGACATCACCATAGCAAGCTGGCTTCTCGGTGTGCAGCTATCGGTCGCATGCCTTGCGCCAATCGTCTTGGTCCTTGGTAAGTCGAATATGTCTCCAGCCATATCACAAGCTGACAGTGTCCGAATGTCTATAGCTTTTATCGCCGCCACCACCAAAGTCTCGTTGTTGAGCAGGACCGCGCAAATGAAATGGATCGAGAAGGTCCAGGCGCGGCTCCGGATCACCACGAGCTTATTGAGTAACATGAAATCGATTAAGATGTCCGGGCTCGAACAAGTTATGCGCAACATCATGCAGGCCACACGCGCCGACGAGATTAATACATCGAGCATGTTTAGAAAGCTGCTGGTGGCCACGCTCACACTGTGTATGTTCACGATCTTTTCCGAGGTACCCGGCTGCGATGGCTAACGCTAATGTCCAGCACTTGCTCCGATTAACCTAGCCCCTGTGGTCACCTTTGCGATCTATGTCATCATCTCAGTCTTCTGGAAGAACGGCACATTGCTGCCCGCACAGGCGTTTACTTCCATTGCATTAGTCTCAATACTCACAGTCCACGTCGTGGTGTTCATCCAGGTACTTCCGCAGGTCATACAATGTCTCGCTAGCTTTGATCGGATTCAGGAGTTCTGCAGTTATGGTGAGAATTCGGGCTCCGACGGCCCAGAGTACAGCCTTGCCCACGGAGATCCCGAGAACAAGCCCGATGGCAAGTCTTCATCGCTAGATAAAAATGGAAATGCCATTCAATTACAGCAGCAAGACATGGCGGTATCCTTCTCCGGCGAGTGTTTTGCGTGGGATAAAAATGCTGCTCCTAATCTGACAGAGTTGAACGTCGAGTTTCCGATTGGAACCATATCCGCAATTGTCGGGCCCGTCGGAAGTGGGAAATCATCAATCCTGAGAGCGATGCTCGGGGAGATGATCTGTACGACCGCAGTTTCTCAGACTGATGCCAAGAGAAGGAGGGAAATCGGCGGCATTGCATACTGCTCTCAAGAACCTTGGCTCGAAAACACGTCTATTCGTCAGAACATCATTGGGGCGTCGCCTCTCGACGAGAAATGGTACGCAACTGTCAAGACGCTCTGCGGCCTGGATTCGGATATAGCGCAGACCCCGAGGGGAGATGATATGCGTATAGGTAGTCAGGGCCTTAATCTTAGCGGTGGTCAAAAGCAGCGAATCGTAAGTACACCTCGAATACCAAGACTCCTGCCCAGGCGCTGCTCTTCGTCGGAGATTATCGTTGACATGACTCTACCCCGTGGAGGCTCTTGCACGCGCCATTTATGCGAGGCATAAGCTCGTCGTTCTCGATGACGTTTTTAGCGGCATGGACGCCCACACAGCGGAGACAGTGTCGTTACGCCTTCTGGGGCCTCAGGGCATTCTGCGCAATGCCCAGACGACTGTAGTGATAGCTTCTCATAACCGTACGTAAATAGCACCAAAGACTTTGGAGCTGACATCATGCTAACCATGTCGCAGGTAAGGTCATAGCATTGGTAGACAGAGTCATTGCCCTAAGACAAGGCAAGATTGCAGAAATTACTCGTCCCGCCGCCATTCTACAAGACGAGGATACAGCAGGGAATTTAGGAGCACCCACTAACTCGCATGATGACGCCTCGGAAAATCGACCAGATGCCGAGGCCACAGAGGCGCCATCGTCCGGGGACCCCCAGGAACACCTCGAGATCAAGGAAGATGGCGCAACCATGGAAGTGGACGGGAGCCGGAAGAAGGCAGACTTTACCGTATACAAGTATTACCTGGCAAATGCGGGCTACGCGGCAATCCTTTGTTACGTGGTCGCCGTCGTTGCGTGGATCTTCTGTACCGAGTTTTCCAGTAAGTCGAGCACGCTACCACCGATCCGAGACGGTGCGAGACTTACACAATTCCAAGCGGTTTGGATCAACTGGTGGTCGGAGGCCAATACTGTCCAGGTCAACCAAGATGTTGGTTTCTATATAGGTATCTACACGATGTTGGGCGTGCTAGGGACCGTTGGAGCCGCTTCGGCTGCCTGGTGAGCACTGCCATCTCAATGTGGCCATGTCCTTCTGTCGCTGACGTGCACACATCGCAAGGGTTGTTTTCACGTCCGTCATAAGCAACACCGGCACCAATTTTCACTCCCAGCTCCTCGAAGCGACTCTTTCGTAAGTCCAAGTGGAATCTCTACTTCCAGCAACATTCGGTCTCCGTACTAAGGCCACATCCAGGGCGCCACTTCGCTTCTTCACCAATACTGACAGTGGCGAGCTCCTCAACCGGTAAGTGAATATGGGCCGTAAGTCGCGGAGCCTGCACCAGCTCACACTACCCGTGTCTAGGTTCAGCCAAGACATGGAGCTTATTGATATGGAATTGCCTGCTGTAATGGTCAACTATACATCAAGTAAGTGCGCTGTACCCTCTGAATCCATCGCTCCTCGGCCCCGGAGCCCTTGCTGAACTTGCAACGAAAAAGCCGTCGTCTCAATTATCGCCAAAGCGATTGTCCTCGCGGTATTCTCGCAGTATCTTGGTATAGCGATTCCATTCCTCGGCGGCGCAATGTACCTACTACAGAGCTTCTACCTACATACTTCTCGCCAGGTCCGCCTGCTGGACATCGAAGCCAAGGCTCCGCTCTACACGCTCTTCAGCGAATCCGTCGCCGGCGCGCCCACGATACGCGCCTTTGGCTGGCAAGACGAATACCAACGGCGCAACCATCGACACATTGACACCTCTCAGCGACCGCTGTACCTCCAGAACTGTATCCAGGCCTGGCTGGCGTTCGTGTTGAGCATAATGGTGGCAGCGCTCACTGTGGTCCTGGTTGCAATTGTCGTCACTTGGCACGATAGTTTCAGTCCCGGTAGCATCGGTGTCAGCTTAACCGTGGTGATTGGATTCAGCGAGACCCTTTCACGCGTCATAGAGACCTGGACAAAACTGGAATCTAGTCTTGGAGCCGTGAGAAGGGTCAAGCAGTTCACAGACCAGACGGAGCCGGAAAACACGAACGACAAGAATGAAGATCCGCCACAAGGGTGGCCCCCAGCCGGGGCGATTGAATTTGACGGTGTTACCGCCTCATACAGGTAATTTCCCCTCGTAAAAGCCGCCAAAATCCCAGAATACTGAAGAGTGTCATCAGACGTGATGATCAGTCGGTCCTCAAAAATGTCTCGCTCCCCATCCTACCTGGACAACATGTGGCGATCTGTGGCCGCACGGGGAGCGGCAAGACATCACTTATCCTGAGCCTGCTGCGGATGATAAGCGTTGACCAAGGCAAAATTAACATCGATAACGTGGATACTTCAGCCGTGAGGCGCAGTACCCTCCGTCATATTATCAATGTAGTACCACAGGATCCTCTCTGGATACCGGGGACGATACGCGCAAACGTAGATCCTTTTCATGTCGCTCCGGACGACGCAATCGTTAGAGCTATTATAAGAGTAGGACTTGGATCCCTCCTCGAGGCCCACGGCATAGACAAGGTGATTGATGTTTCCGTACTCTCTACTGGTCAGAGGCAGCTCCTTTGTTTCGCAAGGGCCATGATAAAGACATCCAAGATATTGGTGCTCGACGAGGCCATGAGCAGGTAAGGACTTTCGTACCTTTCGAGGACCTGAGCAACGTGACTGACAGCTTGTAGCGTGGATGCCGAAACCGAAGCGATCATGCAGGACATCATCGACACTGAGTTCAAGGACTGTACAGTGATAGCTGTAATGCACAGGCTGCAGCACGTGGCGCGCTACGACAAGGTGGCACTAATGGAAAACGGTGTGCTGCTCGAGTTTGATGGGCCTGGGGTGCTGATGGCCAAGAAGACGCGCTTCGCGGAGCTGTACAAGTCGTATACGACCTGATGCGATCACAAGGAGTAAAAAATAGGGTCTTAGGTACAGTCTGGCTTTTGCTCGATTAGCACGACACATCAGTCTCAAAACTCTAGACTACTTCATTTGATGTGCCAAGGTGATTCTGATCTATAAAGACCAGCTTGAACTCAGCCCGAAGCCTTGCTAACCAACAATGCACTGATGATGGCATCTATTACGGGGAAATCATTTAGCAGCACCAACACATTCTCACTATAGCGATTTTTCCATCATTCAATAAGGTCTACCTATTCTGAACTCTTGGTATTAGATGCCACAATCCGGATACTTCACCCGAATGCGGGTGTTGATGGTGTCAAACGCGACGTCACGACCGCCAATCAACATCTGCTCACAGTGCTCCGTATGCTCGTAACTGCCTATGTAGCCGTCGATCGCGCGGTTTCCCAGGTCTCCCATGATAGCCCGATGCATTTTCTTCCACATAGCCGTGCAGTGCCGTACGTGGTACTCCCAATTGACGTACAAGCCTGTATATTTACCCGTCATGATCTCGTCATGGCTCAGAGGCTCCGTGCGGTTCGGGTCAAGGAACCACTCCAGCTGATTCTCGTTGTCGAACTCTTGCGACAGCTCGGCGTCGTAGCACTCATCCGGCAGCCAGCAGAACGAGATCACGTCGAAGTGGCAACCGCGCGCTGTCGCTTCTCCCGGGGTGCTTCCGCATGGCTTTACCATGATTCTATATTCAGATGTAATTTCTGGTTTAGATGTAGTTGCCGGCTTGGATATAAATGCTGGTTTAGATCTCGTTGCTGGGGGTGGCGGATCCCAATTCAACTCGAGGAGGCGCGTGATGCTGATACCCAGAGTGGCCAGGAACAAACTCAAGATGGTGAGCCTTGCGATGATGCTTAGGTACGAGGTAAGCATTTTCGAGACCCTTTTTGAAGTATTATTCGCGCCGAAATGGACGGCCACACCGCCCTCTTCGCCCATGAGGGGCTTCTCTTGCTCGTCGAAAGACTGAGACAGATCTCTGTCTTGCCCAGTAGCATACTTCCGAAAGATGAAACGGGGAGACGTGTAATGCGAGAACCAAGCCATTGTAGAGTTGGCTCAAAAGATAGTTCTGACGACAGTAGGCAGAAATGCTGGTGTGCGCTGGGCAAGGCGTGAGATAAAAGGTCCTCTCGCTTGGCAGACAGTGTCAAACCGAGATTTGTTTTTGGCTTACCCCAACAAAAATAAGAACGCAGCAAAGGCATGCTCTCAATACAGTATGAGCATCATCCCGTGCGAATCATCGATCGCGGGACGCCTCTTCGGGTGCCTGCCCTTTGCGCGTGCCGCAGGATGATCCACTCCAAGTGACAACACCGCGCGTCAGTTGCCGCCTACGTGGCCGCCTTGGCGCTGGAGATTTTGATCCCATCGGGCGGCATGTAACTTCTCTCTTTGAGCTAGACACCTGGCCGAGTCGACCATATCATCATTGTCAGTAGGATAGCCCACAAGTCGTAGGTGCACCATCCGCGGTGGCAGTCTAGTAAGGAGACGGGACAGATATACCGAACTTGACGCTTGCGAACACGAGATGGAAGAGTTGGGCAATGGAGTGTTACGTCTATTCTATTACTATTCTCAACAAGTCAACCGTAGATCTTGGAATACTCCCAGATCTCATCCCAGTTGGCACATTCATGCGGGTAATCCAGTCCATCCACCACGGCACGGCCGGTGCTCTGCGAAACAAACTCTAGCGACAGGTCCGCCGAGCATTGCACGCCCTGCCTCAGATAGTCCAAGCAGTGGGCATAGTGCCACATGCCATTGATAGCTTGGTCATAAGCTGGGTTCGTCACATTTTCCGGCCAAGTCTGCAACATGGCCTCCCTGTCGACCTCGTCATACATGAGCATCCATATGAACTTGCGCAGAGCACCCTACAAGACTGTTATTATACCGAACCATTTATGGTTTCTCGGAGATGAGGTTGCTGTACTCACAAGACAGTGAAGTTGGTGGAAGACTGAGAGGCCCGCTTTCGTGTCTGGAAAGTTGTAGGGGTTGTCGGGTTCCAGCTCTATAAAACCCCGGCCATTCGCTTCATACTTGGTTAACAATGGTTCTGGCGCTTAACAGTATGAAGGAGTTTCCTTACGTCCTGGCAAAGCCTCCCACGCTGCGGTGCTCTCCTCATCCGGAAGAGAGAGGAATAAAGGGTCTAGCTTGAATGTTCGAATCTCGCGGGAGACTGACAAGATTAGCCACAGCTCAGCGCGAAGATCATGGTACCTTACACTCTGGGACTGGTGTCGGCAAAAGCTTCTCAGGCTTGGAATTGGCCTTGAGTATGAAGTAACCCATAACCAGCAAGACAAGAAGAGCCCCGTTAAGGACCAGAGAACCGATGAATCGCTTCTGAACCCGACGCCGGGAAATGACGGAGACGGCCTCCTCCCTCCAGTTATCATTGTCTGACGACTCGACGTCCTCTTTCCCCTCGCTCAGGAAAGGGCGGAACATATCCTGGTCAGTTTCTCTGGACATCTTAGGTGTGCTAGAGGAGGAATAGTTGAGTTCTTGGGAAATCGGCGCCATTGACGAGATATCTAGATTGGACCCAAGGTTTCAGTCCAGAACCTGAATACCATGCGCTGAGTACTTTTTGAAGTCAATTGAACGCTTTCCATCAGAAAACCCCAAAAACCGGCGGACAAGATGGATAACGGAATTGGCGGCGCCGGACCCTGGCGCGCGGCAGGGGCGCTCTGGCGGGACGCCGACAGAATATCCATACGAAACCCTCGACCAATCAAAACCGGGATCCTCTGTCTATCTCTTGTCGACCCTCATCCTGCGAGATTACCTTGAACGACCACAATCTAGTTCAAATCAACTCCCGGATCTCCATCCCCCTTCAGGGCGGTTACCTTCCCAACACCTTGGTCAAGACAAGACAGCTACCATGCAAGCCACGGACGGAGAACTCAACGAGAAGGGCGGAAAGATGGAAAGTACTGCAAACAAGTTCAAGGCTTTCATGCCAGCATGGCTCAAAAACCTGAGCATACCCAGTCGCGGCGCTTACCAGCAGGTTGGGGGGTCTGATCTAACTCAGCCTGGGGCCCTTTCCAAGAAGTCAAAGTTGCCCAAGGCTCTCAGGATCGGCTTGGTGATATTCAAGGTATTCTTTGTCATTTTCTATTGCTACGAGACGTGGTGGTTTTGTCTGCACTGGGGAATTGACTATACCATCTTCGGAAACGAGAGTAAGTGATCGTCTCACTCTGAATGACAAGTAGTTAAAGTAACATATCGCAAACAGATATATTCCACGACCCACCGGTGGGCTGGACTAATCTTCGGCTTGAACGCGCCGGATTCCACGATTCCCGCCATGCCGTGTTCACCGCATACGAAGGCGCCCCCAATGCGCAGAATAATGCGGCATGGAATGACATACTGTCAGGTAATGTCTTCCAATCTAGTGCGGCCGTCCGTGGTCCATTTTTGCTGACTTGCGATTCGGTCTTAGTGGGAGTCGTTGCTATCAACGAGAAAGAGAACTCCAAGCTCACAAACGGGTCTGCGCCGCTCCTCGGCAAGCCAGGACAATACGTCGTGGAGCTGGAGATGTTCCACCAGCTGCATTGCCTAGTGAGGACGCCCCATTGTATTCTTCACTTCTTGCATAACCTAACAAGTACTCTGTAGAAATGGATCCGTGACCAGTTCTGGGAGCTTAACGCCGTAGTGACTGAAAACGGAACGATTGAGGATTTTCCTCAGCGCGTTGACCACACTGGTAGGACTGAATTGGTGTTGATCTATAAATTTTACGTACTGACTTGGACTCGCAGACCACTGTATCGACTACTTGAGACAAATCATTATGTGCCATGGCGACATCACGCCCTTAACAATGGAGTGGAACACAGAGATCAACGGTTTTCTCGCCCACCACACCACCGAGCACCACTGTCGCAGTTTCGATATGATCTGGAATTGGGCCGAAGGGCGGAACACGACCAGGATGGTAGCAGACGGGAGGCATAAGAACGTGGAGCTCAGCGTTCCCGAGAAGTCTGATAAGTAGATTCTCCAGCATTCGAATAATTACTACTTGAGATTTTCGACATGCTAGTTTGAATTTACCGCGATCCGGGTAAACTATATACAATATCTTGGCAGTGGCCTGCGATTTGAGTAAACTTGGTGGCGATCTTAAGATTAAACAAACACCAGATGCAGTAGAATATCTCCTACAATCTATAATCGATTAAAACTCTATAGGATATTTCAACACCAATAAATGCTCTTGAGCCCTAAAATTGTGAACTAACGGCTCGTTGGGACAATCTCAATACCAAACGCACTCTCGCAAACCCTAGAGTTGAAGAAGTTACATCTACTTCAAGACTCAATCTACTCATATATGACTATAGCAAAAAGGTTTATTGCTCCTAGTGATGCCTGCCTCCTGAAGTATTACAGATTTGCATGATTCCAGCTGCGCTGTTCGTATCTCCATACTTTATGCTCATCTGCCACCTGAATATTGGGCAGCGCATGGCTGAACTTCGCAGGCGCGCCCCATCCCGCAGGTAAGCTTTCTTGCCCTAATCAAGAAAGCAACTGACGGAAAGACGTCACTGTTCCTCCTGATGGGTCGATGTACTGGCGATCCCAGGCTGGCGTGTCGCAGAACACTGCATCCAACCGGGTCGCCGCCCACTTAGAGTCTATCCGGCGTCACGCGGCGTGACGTAGAATGCGTCTCACGGAGGCTGGACGCAGAGTTCGACGCAGTCGGGAACACTTTCGGGGCTAGGGATGTCCGAAGTGCGCCAGAATTGCCGTCTTCTGAAGAGATAAAGGACATCGTATGACCACGTCCCATCTCTCCCTTCGCAACCATCACCAACCATTGGCAACGTGTGGCAGCCTACGACCCGACACTTCAACGATCTCCAACTTTTTCCGCAACCGCGACACTTAGCAATCAAGATGAAGCTCCTCACCTGGCTCACCGTCCTCGTCGCCGCCGTGCAAGCAGTCCCCACCCCCGAGCCGGCCACAGCCTACGCCGGCGACAAACGTGTCATCGGAATCGGTGTTTACCAGTGGATCAAGCGCGCGGAGCCCTATGATGAGCTCCATGGGGTCGACAAGCGTGTCATCGGAGTCGGTGTTTACCAGTGGATCAAGCGCGCGGAGTCCTACGATGAGCTCCCTGAGGTCGAGAAGCGCGTAATTGGAGTCGGTGTTTATCAGTGGATTAAGCGCGCGGAATCCTACGATGAGCTCCCTGAGGTCGAGAAGCGCGTAATTGGAGTTGGTGTTTACCAGTGGATCAAGCGCGCGGAGTCCTACGATGAGCTCCCTGAGGTCGAGAAGCGCGTAATCGGAGTCGGTGTTTACCAGTGGATCAAGCGCGACGGTGAGGACGTCGAAGTCGCGCAGACCCAGTAGGCTGCTGCTGGCACTCCCGGACTAGACTCGTAACGGTGAGGTGAGGATGCTCGATGTTCCCCATGTCGCGATCGCAGGAGACTAATTTCCCGAAAAGAGAGTCGGTCAACACGAAGAGATGTTTACGACGGAATTGATGATGGAAGGGTGTGATCTGCCATGGAGTTTGAGACGCATATCGGAGGTTTGCCATCAAACTGGGTAGAGGCTGTTACAGGTGGCCTGACTAGTGTGGTAGAGGTAACATGCTCGTTCTCAAAGCCCTGATATTCCTTACATAACCGTATGTGACGCGTGATAATTGTCTAACTGTTCTGCACCATGCAATCCTTTTTCAAATTACTGCTTTCGTGTGAATCAGGTAGACTGCGAATTTTCAGTGCGAAAGGTGTCTTGTGTGACGAATATGCTTCGCTTGGATAAACCTAGCGGAGTATACTGGTGCTGGGCGCGATGCCAAAGACTTGACCAAACATAATGGTTGGTACTGAGCGTGCAAGTTAATGGAGTAAGTGATTGAACAAGTATAGTCGTCAAGGCTTGATAAGCCTCACCTATGGGTAAGATAGATGCTGAGATTGATCACTGAGCTAATGACTATCTATGTAGTTAGGAGAATCCTCTCCAATATATTTCCGTTGATTCCTTCACTTATATTGGTTGGATCATTTGGATCATTTGCACATCCGTTTGATCCTGTACTACATCATTGCCAAGGCCTAGTGATGCTGGTCACTTGACCTGCGAGCCTCTTTTCCTGTGCGTGGCAGGGCATCGTCCCAGGGTTTCTCCTTGGTTGGGCTGCCTTGCGCCCATGGCGGGGCAGCGGCTATAAAGGTTGGCCATGTTCGTAACATCTTACACATGTTTGGGCAAGCCGCCGAAGCCTTGGATAGTATTTTTTCTTCTTCCTCCTGCAAGATAGTCACCATATCCAGATCTTGCCAGCCTCTTCATGGGACAGTCGTTGGTTCGAAGAGTAATATCGACTCCAGCCCTTATCTCAAACTAACTTTCTCACTTCATATAACTAAACGAGCTAGCCATTGTTTGTCAAGGCTTTCGGCCTTGGAAAAGTAAATAAATGCGTAAAAGATCAATGTTGCGATGAAACATTTTGGACTATCATGATCAATTATGTTTATTTACTAGAAATACAACGCATGGCTTCATAGGATATGCTAACTACAGTCGTCTTTCATTTTTGTTGGTTATCAAGTCTTGATGTATTACTAGGGCTAGGGGAGGACTTCGTCAACATCGCTCATGACAGACTACGTTGAAGCTCCACAAGGTTCATACAGAGGCCAAGTTCTTTCAATGTTATTAAGCTATTGTATTTAACCTTGTAGATACCTAGACCCTACGGTAAATCCTCCTTTACGGGTAGTCTACCTAATTTATCCTTCTCCCGAAGCGACTCTACTGTGTCATTAGGATACAAGTTTGCCAATGTCCAGTCCATGAATCCTTTCCACCGAAATGTGTCAGCCCAGCGACGTATCGCGTTGAAGTCTCGACATTTGTGAGGCTGATGAATCGTGTAGTGTTCGTAATCTTCAGTGTCTCCCAGCGTGAGATCGGCGTTGCACATGAGGTTGTAACGCAGGTGCAACAAGCAATGCATGATGTGGGGGGATGGACTGATCTTCCCGTTGAGAACTCCCTTCCGGAGCATGGACTGAACGCGTTAATGGCTCTTAGCTGCCATTTTTCCATGACATCCAGCTGCAGATTGACTTACCAGACAGTGTAGGCTGTGGAAGACTCCAACCTGATAGCTCATTTCCCCAGGAACATCAGGGGTGAGTGAAGAAGGCGAGAATCCATGGTGGTCGGCCCATTCCGTACTTATTGAGATGATGCCATTCTCTACAACCGGAATGATGTCAGAGTTGCTTTGCTTTCTCGAAGCGGCATGATCCCTTACCGAGATAGAAATCGTCCCAGGACTCTTGAGAATCGTCATGTTCAAAGAGCCAGGTCCTGTTGAAGTCCGAGAGTGCGAAGTCTAGACTCAGAACTTAGCGCCCGGGCATTTGACTATCCTCGCAGTGCTAGTGGACACTTACATTCATCAGGCGTGTATGCACTCGGTTGCCGAGCTCTGGCCAAAATGGATGGTACGCCTACAAATAGCAAAACGTTGAGGGTTTCTAAAGCGACAAGCCAGTATAATGGAGAGAGGTAGCGCCTCCAGGATTTCTGATGTCTAGCCGAAGTTTGAGCATGGTCCGTCCCTACCAACGGAACATTCTCTAACTCGTCGTCTTCGCCCATGTCGGCCGCAGCGCGTGTTTCTGGGTATCGAGGCGTTTTGTCTTATGTGGCAGAAGTTGACAGAAAGATGCAGTAGCTTACTCGCTGAGATAGTTGCGAATTCAAGGTCGACTGGTGGTCAATCCAATACGAGGACCGACAAGTCTACTGTGTGATGACCCTGTAAGTATAGTGCGCATCGACAGTGTAGCGGCTGGGTTGGTCGTGACGCCAACGGTCCGGGTTTCCTGGCGTGTCGCTAAGCGTTACGCGAGAGCTCGGCCAATTAGCATTAACAGAAACTATACGGTAAGGTTTAATACCTTGTTATAGCGCTATTTAATAGATAGCCTATAATAAGAGCTAATCTCTTTTTTATTAATAAGCTACTTGATCTGGTTTAACTTAAAGTTAAAGTTAATAATAAACCAGGGCTACTGTCCTGTCCCTTGGTTATGGGCCTCATGATGAGCTCGCAGGCTCTTTCGTGGACTGATCAATAGATAAAGAGCAAAAGGATGAGTTTGACAATGAAAATATTATCAACTGGCGATAAGGAGCCATTCTCGTTGTCTCAAAGGCATCGATACAATACTAACGACTAACTGTGACAAAAGTGTAATAGCATGAGAAAGGAAACTATCTAAAAGGCCTATCGCTCAAGCCTTATATTGATCAGGCCGAGAGCAACTCTGATGAAGGCCGACACGATCCACTTGGCCTTTCCATCATAATAGTACAGCCAACACTCAATACTTCAATAAGTAAAGTAATAATAATAAGTATATTTTTTCTAAAGTTATTGTTACTATCACGATGTTCACTGTCACGGTTAGGTATAACCAAAATATAAGGGTGTATTACTGTTTAGACTAAATCTTGCTAAAAGTAAGAGTGTAATAAGGGCGGGAGCCCCGAATATACCTAGTAATGCGGGGTCACTATTAGGTTAGGTTGTTAACGTGGAAAGCTTCCAAGCTTAGTTTATCGCCACCTTATGACAATCATTTTATAAATAGTAAGTCTATTATTTTTTAACTATTATAACAATAAAATCAAGTAAATTTAAGTATAATTTATAATAATTATTTCATTTTTAAAACGCTTTATTTTAGTAACAATCACGGTAAAGTCACCAGGTGATAAGCTCCTCGGAGCAATATTTATATTCAAAGACTTATTCTTGAGGAGGGGAGTATAGGATGTCTCCATCGCTAGTTACGAAGCGGGGGTTTTACACTGACTACGCGCAGGCGTACTTTGTACGCTGCTCGAGCGCTAGGCTGGCACCTTGGCCAGGTCGTTACAATTTTATAGATTTAATATGAGTTTATGTTTCTTATGTAAAGTATTTTAACATGCTTTATCAAAAAGAATTTATTAAATGCTGGCGCTGACCAGGGACTTCTCGCCCTTCTTGGTGTCCTGATCTACGTTTTCTATTAGCGACCAGGCGACGTCAGTACGCTGTGAGTGACACAATCATTGGGATGGCATTGCTTGCCATCAAAGATGTGCTGGTTTTCTGGCTCTGTGCCAGCAAGAGTTAAGCCTTGTTTCGCCTTGTTTCGCCTTGTTGCCACCTTAGCGTACGCCTCCACAGAATACTTCAGCTAGGCTCGAAGCCGCACTGCAGTCTAGACGGCCACGTGGATATTGCTTTCGTGCCACAAAGAACAGAGGGGTGGCGGATGAGAGTATTATAGAGCCGGGGTCATCTTTTAGAACGTTCAGACTTGATTGGACGTGGCAAAACTTTGGAGTTTCTATATTCAACTTGGCCCGACGAACCGTTCTGCCAGCAGCAAGTTTCCTTCGAGAATGAGTGATATTCGGATAACCAATTGGAAATAATCAAAACACAACAGTTGTGATGGTTGAGGTCCTTGAAGCCAGTGTAACGAAATATGAGACAAATACCCAAATGTATGACTGAGTGGCTTGGAGTGACCTATGCACCCCTCATAAGGTTCAAAACAGCATTTCTTCAATGAACACCACCAATAATTTCATTCTTATATTGGAATATCCATACAGACTTATGATCATATCTGATGATCGATCTGTAAGATAATTGCTCTCATTCTCCATCAAGCTGGACCGGCAGCCAAGTAACACATTTCCTCGGTTTCAAAGCCTTCCCAACTGGGCAGGGACTCGAAGACTGCGCGCTGCAAACCAAGGAGACGCCTAGCACGAAGGCGTCGGAGTTTTGGCACTTTAGTGAGACAAGGCTAAGATGAGTCCAGCCGACGCCGTGGGACACTCACTTCAGATAGAACATGGAAAACTTATGCAGTTGATATCAACTTCATTCAATCCATATGAACCAGGTTAGTGAAGTTCTACAGCCACGATGAAGCACTACTAAGGATTGGTACGATCTCACCGTGTCTATATCATCGACTTGTATAAATACCACATATTGCCGTACAACACCGGATTGTTTTCTACAGTACAGTCAAAGAAAGTTCACCAGAGCTTGAGCTGATACGTTTGTTATATATATCAAATTTATAGAGCTATCATCTTGATCCTGACACCACCATGCTTCAATCCCAGTTTCACGGTATTGCACTTGCCGCCCTTGCACTTTCTCAGACAGTCTTTTCTACTTCGAGTTGCGACTGTTGGATGACTAAGGATGATGGTCTACTATTCACCAATTACAAGGGAATTAACTTCCGCTCCCTGGCCAAGTATGCCGGCCCGGTGCCTGCCCTCATCACTGGCTATAATGCCAATGCTCGGGCTGGGGCTACCAGCGCATACTTCAAGTCGTCGGCCTGGGCCAACTTTTTCTCCCTGCAGACTTGGGGGATAACAGACACACCCGTGAAGATGGTCAATTCTCCGAATAACGCCTTCATCCAGAACAACACTGATGGCAGTACCTATCTCACCCTCAGAACTTACCGTACCAAGAATTTCCAGTCTGCCGTCGAAGCTGATTCTGTGACGGATGACTATACAGCTGTATCACTGCGCTACAGATCCCGCGTCCATGGCAACGTGGGCGCCTGTGCCGGGGCTTTCACCTATAAGGCCAATAACGACACGGGTGTCCTAGTCGAGCACGAGTCGGACCTCGAGATCCTCACTAGTGGCCCCACCAACATCCTCCACTACACCACTCACCCAGAGGAAGAGGATCACGACAATGACGGCAGCTTCTCGATCGAGGCCACAGACCGTGGCAAATGGACCAACTGGCAGGACCACAGGCTGGACTGGACGCAGCCCAAGACGACCTGGTACCTCAATGGGAAGATGAACGGCGAGCTTGCGCACGAGGACGCACAGTTCCCGAGTTCTCTCATCTTCAATATGTGGTCAACGGGCAGTTCGGGCTGGGAGGGGACCATGCCTGTCGGCGGGTCGGCCTACTTTGATTTGCAGTACGTACAGGTTGCGTACAATACGTCGACATCAAGTAGCAGTGCTTGCTCCAACACTTGTACCCTGTCATAGATGCATTAGTAGCTGTGAGGTTTGATTGATATTCATGGCGTTGTTTCTAGTCATTCATTATTCGTTTGTATTGTAATAATATTAATCACTTTCGCTTTTTAGTAATTGTATTACGGATAGTTCAGCTCACCGTCGATAGTGGTTCATCATGTGGCCGATTGTGGCTTTGCGCCACACATGTCCATCTTCGAACCCATTCCTCCAGACTCCCGAAATGCCGTTAACCCAAGTTTTGAACCTCAGGACAATGAGGAGACGGAATGCATGGGTCGGTGGCAGAGAACCAAGATCCCGGAACTGGCCTCGAAACTCCCACGGATCCACTCCATTGAGCATTTGCATTTTAAATCCAAGCACGTAGCACTCTACCAGGTGGAATCAGTCATTTGACTTCAGAGATGATACTCCTAATCGCCAAGAAATTCACAGATCCACCCTCCTACTTCTGTGCCTATTTGGCAGTAGGAGTTCAGATGGACAATTCGACAGAACCACCTCCGGAACCTCAGTGGCCAAACCACGTTCTTTCATTTTGAAAGACATCATAAACGAGCTGGACGACACCCAATCTTTATCAGATACCTCTTGTACGCCAACGAGTTCAACACTCGCGGCACCATTGCTACGACGTCTATTTGGCTACAGAGCCAGACATACTCAGAAGCCATATTGTCCATCCTGGATACCTATGGCCATGTTTTTGACAATCTGAACAAGTACTCAGCTGTGTACTGCCGGTACGGAAAGCCAAAACAATTCAAGCTTCGTGTAGCTTCCGGATCCAAGGTACGTAGTGTGCCTGTACTCGCGTGATCATGACTCTTACATGCACAAAGGTATACGGTAAAGTAGCATTGGGGGAAGCTTTGAGTGATGGGACTGCTCTCTTGATCGCCTCTTTGAAAGAATCCACCAGACCGCTGTTTGTAAGTGTATGGGGCGGGACCAATACACTTGCCCAAGCGCTCGACTATCTCACCAAGACTCGTTCCGTTGACGAGTTCAGCGCATTGCGCCGTAGACTGCGGGTGCATGCCATCTTGGACCAGGATGACACGGGCGAATGGATCCGTCAAACGTTTCCAGATATATATTACATTTTTTCTAATCATGCCTGGGCCATATACCCCAATGCGGCCTGGCAAGGCATGGGTTGTAGTGGTATCGTCGGAGCCAACAATTCCATCGTTGGCGCAGATTGGCTCGCTGCAAACATTCAGTCCTTTGGACATTAGGAGCTGTCTATCCAGATGTGCATTTGAGCATGGCGGGCAATTCGCCCTCTTGGATATGGCTCATCCAGAATGGCCTTGGCGATCGGCATCATACTGATTGGGGCAGCTGAGGCAGAAGATACAACACTGCAACGGCGCCAAATTCTGCCAGCAAGCATTACGTTGATACTATGGACAGAATTATTAATCAGGAAGGCGACCTTATTTTCAACAATTACGCTACCATCTCGAGGTGGAGGGTAGCATTCCAGAAAGATTTCGCGTCAGTGATGTATTGATCCAACACCATCAACTTTAGTGAGGCTTCCCATCCTCCAGTCATCAATGTCAATGGTGATCATGTGTCAGGACTATTTGGATCCGCATCCCTACGGAATCTGAAGTTCCTTACCAGATCACATTGGATGCCAGCGGTACGATCGACAGCGACAGCCTCAGTGATAACCAGGGTATATAGTTCCGATGGTATCAATACTGGGATCAGATACTTTATACCCTACCTATCATCCCTACGTCCGGAGGCCTCGAGATCGCAGCCTTGGCTGTGCCATAGGGTTAGGAGAGCTCCGTCATTTCAAACGATGCAGGTTTCACAAACATTGTACGAGGTCAGATTGTGAGTGTCAATGCAACCAGGTTTGACGTTGCCGGGACACCTCCAGCGGAGAGTACCATGCCACAACTACAACATTTGATTCTCGAGGTAACCAACAAACGCGGCAATGTCCAATCAGGAGGTATAGATGAATATTGTTTTAGTTTATTGTCTAGCGTAAATTATTTACACCACGTAAATACAAGAGCATATATAGCGAACATTCTTTTCTAAAAGCAAGCTTATTCGGCCAAGTTTCCCAGCAAGGGACCTTTGACTCAAGAGTTACATATATAATATAAATTCTCATAATTAGCCGACTACTTATATAGTCGGTTAGTTAGTTGTTTGGTTTTGTGGTTAATAACTACTTCTTTCTATGTTCGCGATAAGTGGGTCCACCGGTGCAGTCAAAGATAAAGGCACCACTGGCAAGTTTATCATGAGACTAGCTTAATTACAGTATACACCATAATACATCTGGGCAATTTTACACTTTTATATGACTCTTGACGTTATTGCGAATCGCACACTAATGCACAGTTGTGTAACTAACATAATGCCATATGATGCAGCTTCGAAACCCTCCTTACCATAACTTAGCTACCACAATGATCTACACAGGCAACACAAGGCAAATACAGTTTATAGTTCTCATCTGACAATCCCGTTCTTCGTTCTTATTCCCAAACGCGATGTACAGTGAACTTGGACCGGAAATGCCACGTCCTAGATTTCGATTCGTTAAATGCGATGGCTTGGTTGATCGGCTTTGATAATAAGAAACCGACATAGAACGGTATGTGTCCGTACATGCTTCTAGTAATGAAGCGTACAGACGAAGGGCTGGTCCCATAATCTAGCGTGGTGAACAGGCTACACATTACCGTGTCAAAGGCTGTAAGCAATGTGATCCCCTCCTCACCAGGTAAGTATGTCCTTGAATGACCGGATTAGTACTCAGGTGGGTGACCACTGGGGAATTCCTGGTGCTGTATGTTTTTGTCACTTCTATAGTTTACATTGTTCTATAGAGGTTTGTTTCTTATATCAGTACTTGACAAATCCCGATATTGTTTTAGCTGCCTCACTCGGATCGGTGATGGGTAGTGGGTACGAATCCCGCAGTTGGCACACAAGGGGGTTAAGACAACCCTTCACGGCGCGCTGCCCACCTTGTTGGCTTCGCCCACCTAGTCTAGTGATAATAGGGAGACTGGTGCAGTTCGGGACCGCGAGTGTCCTACCAGTCAACCGTCAAAGCACTACGTCGACGGAATTCAAATCGACTGCTGGCTCAGAATTCGAATCGATAATACGACCCCATATCAAGACTCGCCCATCCGATAAAGCTTGTCGTCGCACATGTCCTTACCGCCTTCCGATATTAGGCATACAGAAGGCCCCTTCCCCGCGTATAATCGCGAACGTCTAGACTACGAAACGGTCCACCTACCCATCTTACCGAAGATCCGTTAATTGTAGAAAACTACGACTGGCCATGATCAAATAGTCGAGCACGTTCTGAGCACTTGTAGCATCCGGACCCAGGAGGACGAAATTGGGTGCCACATTATCTTGTCGGCAGTTCGGTCGGGGGATGTCGCTTATATCTCAGGGAAAGGACAGGAGGTTTAGCGGTTATCTGATCGCAAGTTTACCTGTAACCGCTCGCCGCCGCCTAAGGGTAACCTTATAGTCCAAGGCCATTTATGTGTCATAACCCCCTTAGGAATTATTTGTAAAGGTACTGATATCCTCGAGATCTACAGCGTGAATTAATAATAGTGATAATATATAAGTATTCTAACAATTGCAGAAGGTAATACATACGACCATAGCTCCTAGAGAACTCGGCATCCCGTCCGCTCTGCCCTAGATAAACTGGGAAGCGCTGGATTAGTACTCAGGTGGGTGACCACTGGGGAATCCCCGGTGTTGTATGTTTTTCATTTTTTATCTTTTGCGAAGCCGTTGTGAGTCTACGCAGAAATGATAAAGCTTTGATTTGTTTATAAGCCGTGCTATGTTAGCTAGCATTAAACTTTACTAGTCTAGCTCCTAGCAGCTGCTGCCAGGACCATGATCTTCCCTCGACACACAGCAAGTATGTATAGACAGGTTTGAGGCCATGGTTATAGAGAGAAAGACTGTCACGGTTACGCGGAGAAGCAAAAAATTGGCTTGCTGTATACCCTATGTACTGTGAAAATAAGAAAGTGAAGGGAAAGAAAGAGCTTAATCGCGAGCTTCGTAGTCGCGTAGCTTAGCTTACGTATCGAGTTTAGCTTAACTCTAAAGCTCCACTCGATTAGGTTACTGTGGTCGCTTAGTTGCAAAGGTCTCGTGAAATAGCCAACCCTTTATAGCTAGTACAATCTATGTAAATAAAAGATCGTAGACTGAACGATTCATAGGTCATGATCTAACATAACTCTTTATTGTTGCACCTGATTTTGTACTGGTGATCCCAAGGTTTGCAAGTCTATGCCTTGCAATGCGTGGGAGTTCGATTCAAGGCACAATATCCTGCCAATTCCCCAAGTTGGCTGCCATCTAGCGCCTTGGGCGCAAGAAATTACGTGGTGATCGACAGCGCTATGTCCATTTTCGCAGCTTCTTCCTACCCAGACAGGCAAGATCCGGACTCTTATCATCGAAGTCTCAAACTGGGCCAGTAGAGCAACTCTCGACATCATCGGTATCGCAGGGCTGGGACGTGAATTCAACATGCTGACGAGGGCGGAAGATCCAATGCTCGACGTATATTAACAGCTTCTCGAGCCAGCTCCGGAGACAATACTCTTCTCTGTCGCGTCATTCGCCTTGGGAACCTAATTCGTGCGGTACCTGCCTTGGAAGATGAACAAACTTTACAAAAGCCTGGCCGGTCGCCTGAACCAGATATGCCTGCCGATGGTGCAGGAGAGGAAGAAACTAATCGCCAAATCCGCTGACGGTCACCTTGATGTTCTGTCTTTGTTGATCGAGCCGGACAACTGACCTGATTCTGAGTTTAAAGATCAACTCTTGACCATTCTAGCCGTAGGGTAAGACATCATCACTCCACGATTTGCCTCCCTATTGTAAACTAACCAATTTTCGTCACAGCCATGAAACCACATCGTCGGCTTTCACATGGGTATGTTACCTACTTTCCAAGAATAAGAATATCCAGGAGAGGCTTCGAGAGAAAGTTCGCGAGGTACTATTAGATGAATCCACCTCCGACCCGTCGGTGGCTCTAGCCGTTATCATAGAACCACTGCCCTATTTGAACGGCATCATGAATGAGACACTATTTCTGTAAGCCACCGCTCCCATCACCATGCGCCATGCCAAAGCATGGTTTGTTTGTAAAATTTTGTTCACTCCGTTGAGCATCAAGGAGAATATAAATAGCACACTATCTCTGGTGCTTGGTGAAGCACGTTGAATAAATCAAACATCTTTGAATATCAAAATACCTTTTCTGAAGCTCGTACTCCAGATTATCTACGTTGCTCAAGTGGATGGATAAACTATTACAATAGCTACATTTCCTACAAGACAATTTCTTGTTCTCTTAAGTCAACTTTATATAACTATTTGAGCTTGCAACTTCGGTCCGTCCTATAAGCCTGAAATCTATATATCCTTGCGAGCACATAGGTGATAGAAGAGTCCCGCGGATTTCATCCACATTCTATTGTAAGCGTCAATCTAGAGAAATCCAGATAGGGAGGGGAGCTGTCCTCAAGTATGCCCGTCTATACATAATTCTCATCATGATTCACATCATTGACTGTTAGCCGCGATCCGGACTTTTCAGCCGGTCCTTCTCTGGCCTGGCTTATGTTATTAGCGGACTAGGCGTCGTGATGGGAAACGTGGTCGCCTGTCTATGAAGACCGTAGGTTTTGAATTAGGGATACAATTTCACATGACTGGATAGGCCTTTCGACGCAGGGCTTTGCATTTGAATCCGGGTAATAGCTTCCACTGATAAATATCTGTCCCTCTCTTCTAGCACCGTCTATTTTATGTCGATCGATAATTGGATCTCTTGCATCTACGGACAAAGGAAAGCTTATACCAGCTCAATCTCCACAATGGGTGCGCCGGCTTTTGCCTCGAGCCGTGCATAAATTATAATTATTAAATACTGAGTAATGAAATGCAAAACGAGTGGATTCAAGCACTGGTTCCATACTTATAACTAGCATCAAATCATTCCAGCCACCTAGTAATTTTAATAGCGCTTAAATTAATAAGAAGCTAGTTGCCATAATTGGGGGCATTTCAAGAATTATCAAGCTAATGAGCCGTTTGTTGGAATATATTATTCGCGGTCTCGTACGACGGTTGACTACGTAGTATAGGTAGTACCGGCGTGCTGACAGTAAGCCACCACAGCCACGATGTGGCTGTCGGCAGCCAGCAGCCGTACGGGTGAACCCCAAACCCCTATCTATAGACCACGTACGAGGGGAAGAATCCCTTCTTCTCCTTCGTACGACAGCGCTGAATAGATCTATTTGTCGCCCAAACTGTACGGAAAGAAATGAATGGAGAAGCCATTCCACACCGTTAATATTTTGTTAACATTTGCAATCTCGCTCTTTAGTTACATACCAAGGAAAAATCATCAGTGAACTTGCGGGTCGAGTATTTCCCTGACTTGTCAATGCCCTTGACAGCTGCCTGTTTTGCTACGTCTGCCAAGGCGGCGATGGCCTGGTCACAGTTGTTGTGGCTCTGGTGGGGACAAATTTGAGCTCGGCCGTAGCAGTTTTGTTGATGTTGTCTCGGTTGTCCAAAATTTCGGCTGGTTTCTGTCGGTAAGAGAAGAATTCAGTTATAGGTGGGAAGTACATAAGATAAGCCACGATGTGCTTCAGGTAAACGTGAAACGAGAAGATGGACAAGAGACTTATGACTCACCCCATCTACGAGCTCCTTAGAACCTTATATCACCCAGTGTCGCCACCCCAACCATTGCAAGCATTCTCAGCAGACTTTGCTATCTCCCTAGGTGCCCCTGGTTTATCCAGAACAGCGACATTCCCAAGAATTTCAGGAGGACGTATCTGGTTCATTCTCGATGTATGGCTCACATTCTTGGTGAACCTCAGCCCAGCTATCGTTGAGCCAAGTGTTACGAACTCGAGTGATCCGAGTTACACCCTTTTTTTTGGGTTGGGGGAGGGGGGAGGTTTCTGCGAATTTACTTTCAACGACTATCAACTATTCGCCAACATCAGCTACGTCGATTTCTTCAGTTTGCCTATTGCTCTTGAGCTGAAGAATGAAAGTGGCGCCGTGCAGTCTGGAACTATTAGGACTTAGGGCGCGCAGGTTGGCCCCGTTCTGCGCTCTGATGACTAGCTTGCTCCAGCCAGCACGGTCGTTGCTATTCTGCATGACGAGCTTGTTGCAGACGATGTCCAGACCGGCAGATATCGGGCCTTTGGAATAGTTGTGAATGACGGTTTATTCAATGGCTATTACCAGTCTTACGTTGACTCCGTCTGGCAAAAGTACTCCTCTGAGGCCCTGACCATCACCACTCAATGGGCCAACGTCAAAGGCAAGGTCATCAAAAAAAAAAAAAAAAAAAAAAAGTCCACCCCCGCCTACCCTCCCGCTAGCCTTTGAGGGCATTGGGACCTTTGCCCAGCACTCGGCGGTAGACATCTTCTCGTGCAGTACGAGTCCCTTTGGGGGGTTACCAAACCAACCAGGCCGAGATGGGCGTTGGCGCTGCTTACCATGACAATTGGCTGATTTGATACTGCGCCTGCTGCAAGTACTCCTGTAGATGCTGTCTCTAAACACAAACAGCTACAACAGAAACATAATATTATTAAGCAGAAGAATTAGCGGGGATCACTAGCCCTGGCTGTGGCGGCTACACTGACGTAGACGAGGAGGAAGTCAATTTCGAGTATTTTCGAGCGGTTCTCTTTGAATTTGACAAAGAGGTTCAATAAGGCATGGTATAAACTATCACAGTCTCCATTTTTCGCATTTTCTCGTTTTTTTGTGGTCGGGAGCATTGTCACATAATACCATTCGTATGCTTAAGTTCGACTCTTCAGCTTTGTTTTGTTCACAAACATAAAAGCTGCCTTTACTCTGATTTTTAGTCTAATATGTAAAGACCAATTCATTACACAGACTTGACGTTGTCGTACTACCACCATTCTCGGCGATCGAACCCATAAATCATAAGCCCATACGACAGCTGCTAACACTATGTACGTCATCATAATCGAGCTGACTGCGACACTTAAATCCGTAGTCCTATCTCGTCTGACGGTTCATCATGCTCTGTCAATTCAAAGCCTTTCTGGGTTTTCAACTCTTGTATCATCGAGCCCGCTAACCTCTGTCGCAAGAAATCCATCCTCATAATACCCAACAAGGACGCAGTGACAGTCGAAGAACATCACTGCTTGAGAACAAAGGTAAAGGAGAGGAGCATATGGTATGGGATACCGTTGCATATTTACAAGCGCACTCTTCAGGAAACATGTCTTATGGGTATCTTCCTTCATCGGCGTCAATACTTGCTACAAATGCGGCATGTCAATCCTTTGAAGCTAGTCAATTATATAGTCAAGTTAGATGATTGGCGATTTCCAGATGGATGGCGCCGCCAAATAAGTATGACTCAAAGCGCCATTGATATCACTTCCATCAATAGGTATGTACCAAAGCTTTACAGACGATGAATTAAGGTATCACTATAAGAGCAGGGTAAAGGTGACCATATGAGTCTATATGCATGGTAGTGTTGATCATCTAATTTTCACTCAAAACCAAGCCACCGAGGAACTAGTTGGTGGGCCAAACAGACTTGTTCTCTTCGGCGAACTTCTCGAGGCTTCTTGGAGTGTGACCTGTCACCCCATTCAACGACATCCCCTATTGCCATCTCAGAGTTCTTGGAAGCCGAGACCTCTAGGCGAGTAAAAAATCGAGCAAAGTAGTCAGACAGACCGGCTTGGACCAGGCCGTTAATCCGGCTAGCTTCGTCGAGCTTTACGTGCTCGATCTTGCGGCCGAGAGCTTTAGAAAGCTTCTCGGCAATCTATGGATACACTTTGTGTCAGTACTAACCTATGTTACTGGGCTTCCATTAAAATGTATAGGTAGACAGGAAGGATGATCGCACTGGATCGTAAGTCAAGATCTCAGGCCCGAGAACCCTGAAGTCATGGTTATAGGACTTCTCATCTGTCAAGGCGTGAAGGGCGACCTCAGAAATATCATCTACGCTGATAAAGGGGATTCTTCCATCCTGAGTGGCGGTAAAAAAATCTTATTCGGCTTGCCGATAGTGAATGCACTACCCGGCTCGAGAAAATTCTCTGCATCAGACGGGTTTGTTAGCGACTTAACAATTTAGATTAATCAGGGCAAACACTTAGGGCCACATACCCATAAACCAAGACGGGCGAAGCACGCAATAGTCAACACTTAACTCAATAAAATGCTCCCAAGCTCTGCCCATTCCGTCTTTGCCAATTACAGCCGACGTTCCAGCGCACAAAACGAAACGCTTGACGCCTTGCTTCTTGGCAAGATCCACGAACTTGTTCATGGGCACCCAAGGCTCGCTGATACGGGGCTCCATCAGGTAGACGGCTTCGATTTGTGTATTCTCGAATGGCTCCGTCCAGGTCGACTCATCGCCAATGTCAAATTTGACGGTGGAGTAACCATGAGACGCAGCATCAGGCCCTTGACGCAAGCCTAGGAGAAAGGGTTTCTTGCCAGAGCCAAGCAATGCCTAAACGCGTATTGCCGTCTCACCGCTGCCGCCGGTGAGGAGAATCGTCATGCTGGATAGGGAGGATACTATTAATTATAAAATTTGCGATTTGGATTTGTCTTTATGAGAAGGGTGGAAGAAAATGGAAGAGAGAATAGAACAACGTAGATAAACCATTGACAGCTTGCTGCTTATGCCATAACAGTGCTACGCCGTTGTTAGCAAAAACGACACTGCATTACTACTAGAACCCAAACGCGGCGGTCGTTGGATTCCCGCCGGAGATAAGGACATAAAGCTTCGGATTTCCTTCGGCTGACCGAGCCTGAACCAGTGATAGACATCGGAGCGTCGATTGGCAAGTCAGTATACTACTCTCCGATGATTAATATAGCCGATTGTGCTAGTTGATTGATCTACCACCATCTGCTACATACGAGTAAAAGAAACTCGGGTAGCTGATCGTACAAGTTCGTGATATTTTCCCCCGCTACTAGGGCTTGACGATTATACAGCGTATAAGAGACTGGAGGGGGCCTGAAGCACGTGTGATGAGTAGGCATCGATGATAAGGATGGAGTTCGAGCCCGGAAAGCGTGGGCTATTGCACTTTAGCCGAAGGCGAGCCGCATATACGCAAATGTACCCTCAGCGACGCTATTGTGAAGCCGGTAGAGTCGACACGCTTCCTCGGCGCATGGTTCGATCGGAAGCTACGATGGTGTTACCATATCAACAAAGTAAAAGGGAGGATGACTGTTCAGAAGTTTGCTTCAATCAAGCTCGCATCATCCGCGTGGGAGTGCAGTCTAGTTTGGGAGAAGCAGCTATATCGGATGGCAATACGCAGCACGATAGCGTACGGGGCGGCGGCGTGGCATACAATCGGTGAGAAGCCGACAAGACTGGCTCAGGAGCTGGCAGCGGCGCATACAAAATGCCTGCGCATCGTGTGCGGTGCGTTTAAGGCTACGCCGAGGAGATACTCAGAGTCGGAGACTACGGTCCTGCCGCTGGATGTATACCTGAATATAAGAGTAACAGACTTCGAGCTCCGGGTAGAGAAGATAGGGAAGATACGGCTGCTACGGGAAGCCTGATAAAGGCTTCCCAGCTAGTAGCTCGCGAGAGGATTGTGAACAAAAGCGAAGCCCGCCGCGGGCAAGCAGCGAAGGAGTGGCCAACGAAATACGAAATGGACGCCTCGAAGGATGCGCTATGGAAGTAGTGAGGTTGGATATGTGACGTGGCGTCAAAGCTGCGTAGCAACGGTGACCCAGCGGCAAAGGCGAGCTCCAGACTGACAAACCACGAGATTTATAAGAGCTTTCTCAAGCACGAGGGCGTTAATTTTGGTCCAGGCGAGGGCTGGGAGGGCCCGCCTGGCTGCATTTTAATTTGATGGCAAGGTTCCAGACGTAAGGACGCCGCTATACGAGCGTGCCGAAACTGGGGAGACGGCAAAACACCTGTCACTATACTGCCCGAAGCTGATGGACGAGAGGGACGACCTCTAGAGGGTGATCGTACCGCCACCGCTGGTTATGCAACGAGATGTTGAAGAAGCCACAATGTAGGCCTCGAGAGAAGTGGCCCAGTGGCTGTTGGTTATCAGAATGTATCCACTATACCACAAAGCAGTTGAGATTGACGGGACGTTGCACATCCGAAAACTATAAAGAAGCGACGGTCCCGGAGAGGCCACGGAGGACAGCAGTGGTGGCGGCGTCGGCGTTAAGGCTTAACGAGTGCTGGTGAGATTCCTTGCCGAGACCCCGGAACAAATGAGGATGAGGGTGTTTGGATTTTTAATGCGGTCACCAGCTTGTTGGAGACGAGACAATAGCGAAGCAGCTCCGAGCCTGTTGCGTATATAGTTTACCCGGCCGAAAGGTACCCGTGGGCTTTCAGTCCACGCGGAGTATTATAATATGTATATATATGAAGCTAATAATCGAACGCAGCGCAGTCTCCAGCTACGTTGTCCAGATTGGAATTGATAGCCGATCGGATCTTGTCTCCTCGGTCATAACCAGCAGGTCATCCACTATACCAATGGGTAGTCCATATACACCGTTACATGATAAAACAAGATACGTTACTCGTCATGCTTGCCAATGCAGTGATGAGCTACTGGTCAGGAATATTCATTTAGACTTGCAATCCCTTCTACATACTAAGTACCCCCGTGGTGACTATGGCCTTTTCCCGGCGTTGTCACGCTTGCATTGGTAAATAGCGATATATAGTCTTTCCTTGCCGACTCTATAACGTAAGAACATGTGAACTAGCAAGGCAATGAGCTCCGAGGCGTTTGCAATCCAGACAGATATCGAAACCGCCACCATAACAGACATAGCATTTCCAACATAAATCTTCCACGCTCACCATACACACATCACACCACCTTGTACCCGTACTAAATTGCACGGTGGTTCCAAGCGGCAAAACCAGATCAGGTATAGATATACCTAATGTCATAGCACAGTCAATGATGTATTTCGCGATTCGGTCCTGCTTCTGTGGTCTCGCCCACCATAAGGCAGTCCTGCCAAAATTGTCTTCGGACCTCAAGTCAGTGTCTGGTAGTGACGTTAGTAGTTTTACTATATCCTCCTGTCCAAATCGTGCAGCTACCGAGAAAGCGCCAGAGCCAAAGTAGTCCTTTATGTCAACGAGCTGGGAGGCTTGATCCAGAAGCATAGTAAAGAGCTCAATGTTTCCAGATTTGATCGCGTAGAATAAGACTGACCGACCCATAGAATGTGTTCTTATAATACCGGCGCAAATATCAAGGAGCAGCTTAACCACTTCGGCATGTCCGTTCCTTGCGGCTGAGTCTAACAGAGTCCATCCACCATTGCTCGGGACAGACCAGTCAGCGCCTTTACCGAGGAGCATCTTAACTACTTCAGCGTGTCCGTTATTCGCGGCCGAGTTTAACGGAGTCTATCCATTATTATTCGGGATAGACCAGTCAGCGCCGTTATCGAGGACTAGTTTAACCACATTAACGTGTCCGTTATTCGCGGCCGAGTTTAACAGAGTCCATCCATTGTTGCTCAGGACAGACCAGTCAGCGCCTTCATCGAGGAGCAGCTTAACTACATCGGCGTGTCCGTTACCCGCGGCTGAGTTTACCGGAGACCATCCTTCATTGCTCGGGACAGACCAGTCAGCGCCTTTATCGAGGAGCAGCTTAACCATTTCGACGTGCCCTCTTCTAGAAGCTATGTGTATTGCACTGTTCCCAGCAGTATCAACTATACTTTCTCTAGCACCTGATTCGAGCAAAATACTAAGGGCTTTGAGATTTCCAATCCTGCAGGCAGCTCTTAGAGCCGCTGCTATGGTCTTATGATCTTGCTTGTAACCGCTCTCTTGTAATAGATGTTGAACGGTTCCTGGCAACTCAAAGAGTGAAGCATAGTACAACGGAGTTCCTGCTTCTTCATGAATTTCCTGATCCAAGAAACCATTCTTGTTGACTGGCTGAAACCAATTTTTCCATGAGATCCAATTTGTGTTGTTTGGATCCAAGAATTTATTTATCAGGTCAGTCATTTCGTTGCCGATTGGCTGCACGGCTGCAGCATGTTTATACCAGGAACCTGCAGCATATTCGCGGAGAGACTGTTGTGCCTGGTCTGACTCGCGCTGTATCGGAACGGCCTGACGCCAGACCGTTGCAGAGTTTATGTACTGGAGGCAGATCTTGCCTAGTGCAAGACTCTGCTTTTCCTCATTGACTGAACCCTTTTCCTGCTGGATCGACATTGGTATGCCAGGGAGTGGCATATGGGAGACTAGATATTCTTTGATGGTGAAATGAGTCAAATGCACAGTATGAAGTTCATATGAACTTGAAGGGCTACGGCGCACTTCAAGCAGCGAGCCGCAGTCCTCTAGTAACTGGGCATTGACAACAGTGCTATCGAGCATGTCTTGTAGGTCGTCCACTAGAAGGTCCGCTACATTCGGGGCGGAGCCGTTTTTGAAGAACCTTGCTCATAAGGCACCTCAACCTAATCTCTCGTAATTTACTCACATGCATATTGTGTGACACAACTGTTGGACTGCTCAAAAAGCATTCAGTTAGCAGTTAGTTTTATATTTGTCGAGACTCATGTGCCTCAAAGGGCCAATTCAATGCTAGCCTCGAATATAAAGCAGGGGTACGTATCGGAGAGATGGTCTGGACTACCGCTCGCCATTGTCATGTCAACAACGCCCATTCCACGACACAACTTATCTATTATAGCTATAGAATTACTGGCGATACTAAACTTCGACGCATAAATAGAGGCCGGCAGTTCCACCATTGGAAGCATTGCATCAGTTCCGGGAAATCAACATACCGAATTGGCACCAACCTAACATCTATATCAAGCCGCCCAAGGCAAAATGACCGACACCAATCTTCAATTCCGGCTTACGACGTTAGAAAATGCACCACGACTGTAAGAAATGGTGCAAGCTGCATTCCGTGCAGAACACAGTCGACCCGACGTGATAGCACCATCGTGGGATCTGTTGAGATTCTCAAGCGCTACGCTAATTCCATCCGCTTTTCCATGCTGAGGACTACTGTCGGCAGGCTTAGGGGCGTCACCCCGTCGGGATTGAGCGCCCTACCAACGCGCAAGCAGCTCATTTCTCGGTACGAGCGCTGCGGCTATCAGAAGACCGGGGAAATAATGCCGTTTCCGCGCCTTTCTCCCGAAGGCGTCACCTTGCCGGATGATTTGTGCTTTGTCGAATTGGGGAAGAGCATAAAGTAGGGCATGGTTGCTTTAATAGGCAGACAATGTAAAACTATAAATGCACGTCAGCTTTGTCCGCGATATGATTGCCCGGAGGCAATCCACACGGTTGCTACCTATCCGGGCCGAGTGCTAACACCAGGACTTGACCAAGGTCTATGTCCTCGAAGGGAAGGATTCAACCAATATGATCGAGGCTTACTAGATCGGAGAAGGCTCTCAAATCCGCAGCCGCGACTGGGGACTTGTTACGATATAGATACATATGATGAGAGAATGTTATTATATTACCTGCCAACGACGGTATTGAACTTGTCATGTACTAATGTGCACAAATAGAGCCCCTTTCAGCACGTCTTTCTGAGGATTCACATCAGTATATAGCACCGCAGATCGCAGCTTTTGCAACATCCGAATTGCTGCTTTGCTCCTTGCTCAAGACTGAAATGATTTTGTCGTATAATCGCCGTGTAACCTGACCAGCAGCGAAACCATCTGCGCCCCAAATTGTCAAACAACGTAGTATTAGTCTGCGTCTCTCTCATTTCTGGGGCTCTATGTAGGTCTCTCGGTATATATTATAAACAGACTGCTCTAGCTCTGTTAATCGTACCAATGATTGTGTCCCAATGGCCCACCTTAGACAACATTCCATCATCATACCTCATTCACTCCGTCCAGCCCAGATGACTCTTGGTATTTAGACACCTGAGGATGGCCATTATAAGACCCACGTGACTGCGTTTCGAACAGACAAGTCTTCCCTGAGTATGTTCAATGCCACATACTGCTGAAGGCGGATGTTGTGAGTTGATAACGCCGCATGAATTGCGTGCCCCATGGTCCGTAACTCACAAGTTCGTTGCTCCCGTTCCCCAGTGGCTCATGTACAAAGGCTTCATATGTAGAAGTCTCCAATTTGATCATGGCGATGTCTTAATCCCAAGGCCTCGAGACACAAGTCTAGTCCCAAATCATTCCCAAGCGTTTCCATAATCCATAGTCCTATAGAACACCCTATTTTCTGACAAACAGCTGGTGCTCCCACTCAATGCATGTTTCGCAATGCCGTAATGCCGGGCCATTACAAACCAACACAAACAGTAAGCCCGTGCTGGAGTTCGCCAACAATCCAACGGCTTCACCAAAAAGAAAAAGAAAAGAAGAAGAAGAAGACATGGCTCGGCGACATTTGAGCCTAGTGATGACTCTCACGGTCGCTCCATGCAGTGAAAGCCGGCGTCGGGAGTGACAGATAGTCTCTTACCAGATGTGACTCGGACAGCAAGACCTACTTGGCCCGGTCTCTGAAAGTCACGAATTCACGTACCCGCTGCTGATGCTCATCGCAAGTCCTCGTCCACTGCTTACGCACATCGTGGTCTTGTTCAAGCTCGGCCTGGTACAAACTCGCACCGTCGACACCTTGAGCACCTTCGAGCCAGCCACGACCAAATTGTCGGTGACGTTTACCGATCTCACTTTGACGCGTTGCAAAGTGAGTTAAAACCTTCTCGTTGAAAGCCTCCCACTTTTCCATGTAGTTGTAGAAGTCCTGCGCATATTTCCTCCATTGGGCATTGCTGGGTCGTAGACCGGGAACAGCCATTGTAGGCGGCAGTCGCGGAGCAACTGGCGCCGTCGGAAAATCAAGATGGGGAACAGTCTGGACTCTGCCCAGTGGAATTTGATCCGAGGCCCTACTTTCAAATGGCAGGGTCGTCTTCAAGTCGGCGAAAGACTGTAGACCAGTAGGTTGAGGGTCAGTGAATGGCTCGACCTTCTTGAAATCGGCAAAGTTTGCTCGGAATTCCTCTGAGTCCTCGGAGCCGCCGTTCTGCGCGATGTACGGGTGAGCAGTAGATGGTGCTGACTTGGACTGAGTAGCTCCATTGCCTGCAGTATCCGCGGAGAGAGCAGGACGTTGTGGTAGGACTGGAGCATTTCCGTCCACATCGCCAGCTCTCCATTCGGGCCTGGTAGGCTCCACCGGAATCGTCCGGGCATCACTTGAGCGGGAACGCCCTGAGGCTTCGGGTTCTCTGACGATAGGTGGCGTATCAATGTCCATAGCCATCGGGCTCTGCGCGCCCGATGGAGGCTTGGGACTGTGTTGCCAACCAGCTGCCGCAATGGGGATCTCGTCGTCTTCGTCAACTATCCCAGCAGAACCGCCGCGGGTTACTTTGACGGGTTTAGAATTCTTCCTCGAATTACTCCGTCTAGTAGGAGAAGCCGAAGCGCTCGTACTGGGTTGGGGGACGAAGTGTACAGATCCTATCTTCTCACCCCACTTTTCAGCTGAGAAACCAGTCGTTGGATTGGTATTCGACTCCCCGTTGACGGTAGGTATTGAGTCTGCGCTTGGCACAGGAGGCACAGGTCGCCTGTGTATTCTTGTGGGTGATCGACGCCCGAGACGGCTGCCTGACTGCGTTCGGTTCAACTTGGAAGGTATGGGAGTATCATCAGTGGGAGGACCACCGGCCGTGAACTCCCAAGCCTCCGGCTGTTCATCGACGAACGTGGTGCTGATGTTTTCAGCGCTGGAGCTCGCAAATCTTTTCCCGGGTGTGCTTGGGGCACCAGTGAAACCGAAGCTGGTGTATCTGTTAGCATTGGTCTGAACTCTGCTCCTTATCTTCGAAACAAATTCCATGTCTTGACTGTGACCCGTGGTGGTGTCGTAGCATTCTCCCAATACAGCACCGTTCTTCTTGCGAATTAGATGGTCCATATTGTTTTTGAGAACTTGCTCAAAGGGAGATAAGCTCGAGGTGTTGGATTTGGCAGCTCCGCTTGGAGTGCTAACGTGGTACAGTTTTGCAGCTGTTGCAACGGCAGTTATTGCTCTCTGTGACTTTACAGAGCCCGAGGATATCGTGGGGCAGAAGCGTTCAGCTTCAGTTGCACAAGGTGTGGTAGCATACTTTGTTGAGCCGGCAGGCGACTGTGTTGTCGCACCATGGGTCGCAGATGCTGAGCTTGTTAGCACAACGTTAAACATGCCGTTCAGGTGGTACTTACAAGTGGCACCGGGACCGGCTTGCGACTGAGAAGGCTCAGTCGAATTGGGTCTGTATCGATCGCTAAATTTTGAGGATGATCCGTTGGTAGCTGTGGGTCGTGTACTGTCACCTTTGACTCCCGTGTTGGCCGCGTTGGCCGTGGTAGGGGCCTCGGAACCACCATTGTTGTTTGAACTTTTGGGTGTGCTGTTACTCCTCTGGCGGGGAAAGGGGAATGATGGAGCAGCATCCTGGTTGTCGGGGGTTCGACCAGTTTCTCGTGTGCTTTTAGCTCTGTTCAAGCCATCGCCAAAGAGACTTGTCTTCTCTCCACCCGGTGTCGCATAAGGTGAACTGTGACGGTTGAGGTCGATACTTTCTCTGAACTGTGCCAGAGGGTCGGGCATGGCTGATGTGTGGCGGTTCTGCTGTGCTGTGCTAGCGGCGTCATCAGGGAAGATATTTGGGCGAGTCCTGGTAGTAGAGTAGTTGTTGTTAGTGACGGGTGGTTCGTCTCCCAAACCCGGAGATCGCGGCGTGAAGCCGGTTCGTCTCGCGCTGTTGCCAAATGATGCTTGCGCCTTCTGTTTTTGAGAAGCAGTTCTTGGTATTCCTTCCGAGTCTGTAGTCTTGGACTCCCGTGTGGCAGATGTAGGAGGACGGCCGGGCGTCGGAGGTGGCTTTCGTGGAGCATTCGCGTTGTTATTAGAACGCATGTTAGTCCAGGCGTCGTAATGTGCTTTTGCGGACGCAGGATCGTCCTTCGGAGCTGTCTTGGCTGCTCGAGGGGTCGTTCCTGTGCCCCAATTGCTATACCTAGCAGCACCTGGGGGAGGACGAGGCGTTGTTCTTGCTCCCGATGCTGATGCTGCACCCGCGTTGGCACCAGTTCGCCTCGGTGGGGGAGGGAAGTCTGAGCCTGCGTTCGCCCATGGGTTTCCTCTCGTTCCAGACGATGTCGGGAATCTCGAGCTGGCCTTGTTGCGGGCTTCGTTGTACTGTCGTTTGAGCGTGGGGTCGGTCAAGATCTCAAAAGCTGCCTGGATGATCTGAAATTTCTTAGAAGCTTCCTCTTCGCTTCCACGGTTTCGGTCAGGGTGCCATTGCATTGCTGTTGGGCAGGCTAAGTCAGCGGGTGAAAAGGATGGTGTTTTGAGGTGTAGTCTCCTACCTAGTTTCCTGTACTGCTTCTTGATGTCATCCGCCGAAGACGACGATGTGACGCCAAGGTCGTTGTAGTAGTTGCGGGTGGCATCGACCTGGGGCATCTTGACTGAGCCAATGCCTTAGCAGAGGCCAGACAAACCAGAGAGATGTGACAAAAAGGTAATGAATGTTTCAAGATGACATGCCAGCAATTTTGGACCGACTGGCTCGTACAAGTCGGCAAGCGTTCCTCGTTGCTCCGCTGACTGCCTGAGGTTGGTGCTGATGTGCAGGCCTGCCTTCTGCACCGTGGTAAAGCGTGGATGTGAAGTTGGTGTTGGGCGCCGACCAAGAGAGAAAGAATCAGAGGTCTAGGTTTCAAGGGTCATTGTCCAAGGGTCCCTGTCCAAGGATGACTGTTGTAGCTCAGTTTAGTTTGTGTTGCGACGGCGACAGAAACTAGCAAGAGAATCTGCAGCGGGTCTCGTTGGTTGCCTAGTGCGATTTCCAAACGCCCTGCACGCGGCAGTGCAGTTGTAGATCAAAGGGACTGAAGAGCCGGAGTCGGAGTTGAAGTTGTCGCTGCAATTCAAGGAGGTGCAAGCAAGCTCTTCAGTAACTCGGCGATGCTGCTGCTACTGGACAGAGGTCGAGCTGAGCTGGTGGTTTCGGTGTGGATAGTGACTAGGTGTGCTAGCTAAGGGAATATACGCGAACATGAACGTTGGGATTCAAGTCACTAGTCAGCGATCAAGAACATGGAAATAGGCATGAACAGTCGGCCGGGGGGAGGAGAACATCAAGAAAGATGAGAAAGTGATGTCGCAAGTTGCCTGCCGTAAATGTGAGAGGCAGCTCATTCATTCATGTGAGTCCAAGTCAACAGATCCAATGCCAATGACATACAAAACTCACGTGTCGTCAATCAACCAGCCGCGTCAGTGGGGCTGTGAGTTGAGGTACATCCTTGGATCAGGGTCCGCGGCCTGCTAAACTCGCTATCTGCTATCATGTACTCCGTACTTAGCATCGGGGGTACTGTCTTTAGAGCCATGACATCCGATAGCAGGGCCTTATATACAGTTGAATTCACTTTTCACCAGCATTGCTTGTACGTGCTAATTCCTATTCCAGAATGGGCCAGAGGTCTCTCCTGTATGATCCTGAGCGGACCACGATAGACGGCCGAAAAACAAGACAGCAGCAACTCAATCGTGACACCAACGACCGTAGTTTCCCATGGTATGTACCTAGGTTAGCGAGTTTGCAGTTACAGCACCAACATACCTCAAAGAGAACAAAACAAAGAGCACAGCCCCAATCAGAATGACGAACGGTAGTGAGGCAGGAACCACAGTTCACATCGTTGCATGCACGTCTAAGAATCTTTCTCCTACCACTCAAGGTTTGCAGGCCCGGAAGCCGTCGAGCAGCGCACTGTCCCCAGGTGAAATTAATGCCGTTTAATAACTATAACTGTGTAATAATCTTCATGCCATTTGCGATCTGCATACTACAGTATAGCAAGCACTAATGACGTCAGTTCACGACATTCTTTAGCTGCCTTGCTCAACTTCCTTCAGGAACAAATATCTAGAATTCGTCGTGTAACACAGACATGGTACTAAGAACTGGAATCAGATGAAGGCAAAGTATTTTCCTAGTTAGACTAACTTGGTCTCCGAGTTGTCGACAACCCAGTCATGTGCTCCAAAAGTGTGCTACCCAGCTGAGTGGTCTAAGTTCGGTGACGTTCCTAATTGATTTCATCAAGTACAAAGGGTCTGTTCCCCACCCCCACCATGGGGCGACACAGCTGAAGAACTAGGATGTATCTCTAGTGTTGGTCTAACCTAGACTAGACGGTTTTGGTAATGTATATATAACCCTCCATGGCCCATGTGACCAACAGGCCAATCTCTACATTATGGTTCCTATTATGAATGTTATGACTTTTGTCGCGTGTTTTCATGGAAATGTTGGAGCTGGACTAGAGGTAGCCCAAGGCCAAGCGAGCCAGCTTTCTATACATTGTTCCTGGCGGTAAGACCTATGTAGGTAACCAGAAAAAGGGAGGGGCAAAAAAAGGGGGGAAGGAAGAGGAAGAAGATGAAGAACAAGAAGAAAATTAATGAATTTTTTTTTACTTCTCACCCAGCTAAGCAGCCTAGTAAGGAAACATACTGGATTAAAGAGCAACTTCAACAATGTTCAATCGTCTGCATTGGGCAGATCATTTATATGCGTTTGCCTTCCATACGTGCTTTACTAATGAAGCTCGAAACCGATTCCGTAGTAAAATCCCACAATACCAAACGCCGATGCCAGACTAGACAATCTACTCCTTCTCAGTGAGCATACTCCAACCCAACTCCGCACGCAGCCATGAGCGTCTTGTGCACCAGCCAAATTCAGAGACTGGCCTAAAGCAAACCGATGTACCTTATAGCATCTCCTTGCTCATATCATATGACCAACCACCCTCACGTCGTAACTTGTCTCTGGCTGCCAGGTCTTTTCGAATGTCATCCTCGGTGAGTCTGTCAGTGCCGCTCCAATTGGCACTGGAAGTTCTTGCACGGAACTTGTGCCAGCGATCTTTGCTCTTGCTGAAGACCTCCTCCATATTGAGCGGCGCAGGTGCACCGAAAACCCTCATTGGGTCCATAGTCTCCTGCTCCATAAGCGCCCTGCGGAGTGCTGGCGAGTCGGTCCAGGAAGCAAACATTTCCTTGTGCTCATCATCACTGTACTCATCCTCGTCGTCTGTGTTGATCTCGGGGAGCTCAATCTGTTCACCGTTTTGGAAGCGCGGCGATGATCTGGCTGCCGACTTGGCGATAGACTTTGCGCCTGCGACTCCAGTAGGCCGAGCAGGTGTCTTGTGAGCCGGACCGGCTGGGTTTGGATTGGGCGCAAAAGGAATAGCGCCTTTGGCGAACTGCGCTGTGTTGTGAGCGGCCTTCATGTGAGCATTATGCTGGCTAGTGAGAGTCGACTTGAAGATGTCCTTGGTGGCGCTTGGCGGCGCATTGGCATATCCAGGAGGGAACATATTCTTGCTCGTCGTTTCTTGAGGCTTGGGAGGCTTCTGCCCTTGCGAAAGCATAGACCCTGCTGTGACTTTCTTAAAGCCGCCAGATGGACGAACCGGTGCCCCCTTCAGACTAGGCTGGCTCTCCATGTCCATGTCATCATCGAACTCGTCCGTCATACGCATCCTCTTACTCTCCTTGGAGTCTTGTTGAAGAGTTCGTTTGGCGGTGTGTTTCGATGCATTTGTCAAACCCGTGCCGACCGAGCGCCCAAAGTCCTCTTGAGACTTTTGGGCTACCGAACCCAGGCGCGATGGTGGGCGACTTGAATTGTTACCGCTCTGTGAACTGGGCTTGTAATCGGGCTGTCCATTAAGGGATCGCGCAGCAGGAGGTGGTGCCCGTGTCTGCTTGGCCTTCTCCAACAGTGCTCTCTTCTTAGACTCTTCGCGCTGCTTGCGCTCTTCTTCCTTCTGCCTTTCAGCCTCTAGCTTTCGCTGCTGCTCTTGGCGCTTCTCCTCTTCCTGCAGAGCTGTCCTCTTTCGCTCCATTTCCGCCTTCATCTCCCGCTTTCGCTGTGCTTCTCTTTCTTCTTGCTCTCTTCTTCGTGCTGCCATCTCAAGCGCTTTTGGTCTGCTGCTCGATGATTGAGAGGCCTTGAAATTCTGAAGAGAAGGTTTAGCAACCGACGCTTGGCTGCCTTTGTTCTTGGGTTGGATCTGCGGCCCGGTTGGCCCGAGTGTATCAAGCAAACTGGAGCCTAGCGTACTGTTTGACGGCTGATATTGGGAGTGTTGAGATCCCATATTGACGCGAATCACTGTAGGTGCTTGCTTGGACTTGCCCAGAGGTTCCTTCATCGGCCTTACTGGCCTCTTGATTTCCCGACCCTTAGCAGCTGATGCTGGGCGTGCGACAGAAGGGGGAGGCATTGACGAGGGAACATCAGCCATGTCGACATCGTCGCCGACCTTGGCGTCGGCGGCCGGTTGCTGCTCCATTTCGACTTGAGGCTCCGCTTTTCGGGGGCTTCTACGCGGCGGCTTGACTGGTGCGGGAGTCGTGGTTGCTGCTTTATTATCTTGGTCTTTCTTGGCAGCAATATGCTTCTCCATAGCTGCAATTCTCTCTTGCTCCTCGCTGAAAACACGGGCCTTTTCTCGCTCTTTTTCACGTGCTCTTTCGAGTTTCGACATTTGTTCAGCCATTCGCTTAGCCTCCTTGGCCTCTTTCTCTTTTCGTTTCTCTTCCACTTTTTCACGCTCAATGGATGCTCGTGTCCTGCGACCTTCAGTGCGCGCAGGACTTGCGGTACTGGTCATTGACTGGATGTCAAAGGATTTCTTGGACAAGTCGGGATATAATGGTTGCGAACTAGACCCGAACGGCAGGTCCAAAGACATCGTTGAGGGGCCGGCATGAAGCCCAAGGCGGACGCTTGACGGGGAGAGAAGCGATGATTTGCCCTCGGCACTAATAGCGGCACTGCTGGCAAGCAGGCCCTTTGAGGTTTTTAGGATGGAAGAGAGTTTGTTCTTAACGTGCTTCAATGGGCTTTCCCTAAGCGTCCGCGAGGGTGACTTGGGGGGCGATTCGAGATCAGCAACCTGATCTTCTGCCACTGACGCAAGTGCTGGGTTTGAAACAGATATTGTTTTCTTCAATAATAAAACGTCATCCTGGTTCTGATCAATGACAGGGAATGATGGTACTGAGGCTGACTTGTGGTGACCCTTCTTTGCGCTCGCGTTCCTCTCTGGGATATCAGGTCTTTGGGGAGATTTGGAGTGGCTCTTGCGCTGTCGCGTCTTGGGCACGGCAAATTCGGCGCCGCTCACTGTCTCCTTGCCAGAGATGCCCTCCATCACATCCGCCGAGTGGCTTTTAAGTAAGTCAGGACGTGGACTAAAAAGGTTTGATGCGTTGTCCGGAGTGCCCAGTGGTTGGATCCATTCATCGTCGTCGTCCTCTGGAAATGCGCCAGGTGTGGTATGGGTCATGGGAGAGAGCATCTTGGACTTGAGTGGAGATCTCGGAGCTGGAATGGTCGTGACGACTGGCGCGGGTGCGGATGCTGAGGGAAGTGCGCTGTTGGCGATGGATTTCGATGTGCGCGCAGTGGCTGGTTGGGACTGGCCTAGTTTACTAATCTGATCTTGTAATCTCTGCGTGTACGTCTTGCTATGTGTAGTTGCGATATCTGCTTCGGGCTGCTCTGGATCTTGCGGCTTTGGCACTTGTGAAACGATATCAACGACGTCGCCCTCATGGGCATCTAGATCGTCGTTGTCGTCGTCGTCGTCGTCGTCGTCATCAGATGCTTCAGGTCTGACATTTCCTAGGCTCTTCCCACCCGTATGTCTGTTGTAGTAGCTATTACGTTGATCAAGGTGACTAGTCCGCGAGATACGGTTTCCAATACTCTTGTGCGTCATGGGTTCACGAGCGGGCAACGAGGCAAAATTCAAGCTGCTCTTACGCACGATTGGCCTGATCGGACTCGATCCTTCTGAAGGAGATCTTGTTGCATCATCGTCGCCGGTGTCCATTACATCCGTTTGCGTGGTCAGTTCGAGGTTTGGCTTTTGGACGTTCCCCGGTGCTTTGACGGGAGAGGTTTGAACGGGAGATGTCTTGAGCGGGGATTCGTCTAACGTGGAATGGATTGGCGAACCAGCTGGTGTGGTGCTCTCGTGATGAATTAAGTGGTCCTTGGGGGGCGCGTTTTCTCCTGCAGTGACAGCGAAATATTGCGTATCTAACTGGTCACCCATGTTGTCGATAGTAGCTGTAGGCTCTGGCGACCGTCGTGCGGGCGTCTCTTGAATCTCCCGTGCAGGCGACGAAACCTCGAAGGCAACATGATCATGCTTTGCTTTGGGACTCGAACAAGTTTCGATTGGTTCCTCTTCCAGAGGCTCTGTATCGTCAGTATCCATGAGATCCTGGCTTCCGTGATACCCAGAGTCCACCATGGACACGGAATTGTGTGTTGGTTTGTCCACCCGGGCGGGGCTTGGCCGAAGTATCGGATCTGTGGCGATCTGGACTCTGGACATCTGGTTTCGCTCGACATTAGACATGGCGAAGGGATTTGGCGCTCCCTTGGGGGTAGCATTGAAAATATCGGCCAATGGCTAAACATGAAGTCAGTACGAAGGGAAAATAGCAGGGTCGTCGGCTGCGATATGACATACTACGCGTGGTCCCGTCTGGTTTAGTTTCCGAGCTGTTCGCGGTGTCTTGCCGCGAAGTTTCCCAGGTGTCTTGAATAGCTCCGCGACATTGCTAGATGGCATCTCGTTAGACTTGATGCGTTGCCACGCGCACTTGTATTCCTGGAGATGGGTGCACTAACGTCTGGTTCTCGCTGAATATTTCAGCCATGTGCTCGTTCAGCCATTCAAAGTCGTTGCGCGCACTAAAGCTGAACTCTTCGATCTCATCGTGAGCAATCTTCTGGGCAGAGGAGCGCTCTTCTGCGATCCATGGCGCAGAGCCGACCTGCAGACGCGCCGCTCGTCCAGCCATCGCGGGGGTATAGGCGTGTTCAAGATGGGTGAAGCTCGAGGAACGTGTCAGCTCGGTGGCTAGACGCAGACGCGTTACCGGGCGAGACAGAGAACAACGGGAGGAGGGAGGATTAAATTATGAACTGAGCATGGCTTGAACTCGAAGCACTAAGGGACGCGACGGGACTGGATGATCACAGAGGAGTGTCAAACGATAGTCAATGGACGTTATAGAGCACAAAGTCTCGATTTACCAGGGCTGCTCCAGGTCGGTGTGGGTGGGCGTGGGTTGGAAGTGCTCGTTCGAGTCTTTGATTGGGCGAGTTGCTAGCATGTAAACAAAAAACACGCAATAGAAGGAAGGACAAAGGCGGAAGAGCTTGGAGAATAACTGGAGCCCACTGATTCAATGACTCTGGCAGGCTGGAAGACTGAAAGACCTCCACCCCCTGGCAGCCTGGCGCGTCGCCCGAAACACCTGAATTGTGTGCACGGACCATCATCTGTGCAAGGTGCAAGCGCCTCCCCTCTCCCTTTCAGACAATCGTCATCGGTTATACTTTTGTGGATCTACTACGTATGGGCAGCACTCCGTACCGTAGTACTGGCGAAGGCTAGCGCAGCAGCACTCGGAGATGTCTCACTTCCAGCACGGGATGGTATCGACAGCCAAACAAATAAATAAAACTGCACGCATTGCAAAGTTAGGACATGTCAAAAGCACACAACTTGTCTGTTCTTGCTCAAGGTTTTTCTTTTTGATTGGACCTCAAGAGTGCCTTGCTTGCCTGTTCCGGCTGTAACAAGTATTGCCACCTAAACCTGACCGTCTACCAGAACCTTGCAAACGAAGCCAGCCCCCCGTCATCATCATCATTCATATTCCTCCGGTGTACTGTATGAATACTCCAATGGCGAGACGCCAATTCGTTACAAAGCTCCAACGCCGGGTTTCCCCCCTTGACACGGTGGCATCGCACCTGTTATGAGGCGCCATTCACTACCGTCTCCAGTTCCGCGTAGACCAAAACTAACTCCTTCTGCAGCACGAGGTCAGTCCAAGTATAGTATAAAGACGAGGCATTCGAGCCATTCGAGCCATTCGGGGAGAACTTACGCGAGCCTTGCCCCACATGCTGGTATCCCAAACTATGTAGTATCCCTGCTCGTGTTGTGGACTGAGAGTGCGAGGCGTCATGGTTTCGTCCTTTGTCAACCAGATCTGTAGTCGCTTGTGCCATCTCCAGTTACGGTTGTTCCTAGCAACTGATAAGTACAGTACTAGTGGCCAAGCACGGCCAGGAAAAATTAACTCACAACTCCGCTGCAGCCAGGTGTTGCTTGATATCGCCTGGGCAGCTGTAAAATATCCACATCAAGGTCTCTTCATTGAAGCTTTGAATCTTGTTCTCCAAGGGTTGAACATTGGTTACGTTGTAGCACTCTGGGAGTTTGAAGCTTGGGATAGCTGGCCGCGGGGGTGTGTCGTTGAATAACGAGTAGATTTGTGTTGATATTGGCCTGTAGGTTGTCAACAAGGAAGACCATCAATGGGGAAGTGCCGACTTACTCGTTGGACTGGAGATTCAAGCCGAAATGGCTTGGATCTACGCCCGTCACAGCACTAGTGTAGTCCTGATAATTGTTCATCAGTGTCCGTAAGCCCTTGATACCCCATTTGTCAAGCGGTGGCATTCCAGCTAACGGGTCGTGTACGGCCGAAGACTGGCTGTCTTGGTCGCTCTCCTTTCCGCTTGGAATCTCGTTGCCAATGGCACCCAATGCAAGTCGACCTTCAGGTGCCTCTTGTGCGGATGACGGCGACGCTACACTATCTTGCCGAAAGCCCGGTGGCTTTTGACGTGGTTCGTCGCTACCGATTGCACTTCTGATCGAGGAACCTAGTATCAGGTTAGCGGTAGCCCATACATACTACTACAACAGGCTCACCAGGCGCACCAGTATCGGGAGATCGCGTCTCGTTTGCCCGGGTATTCGCGGACAGGGCATTCAAGAGACCATTGCCAGCTCTGCTACCTGAAAGTGAAGACCCGGGGCTCGACTGGGCTCCGAAACCGAGTTGAGACATCAAGTTGGACCCGCGTTCTTGTCCAATGTCGCCATTTCTGTTTCGAAAATCGTTGCCATTGCTGTTATTCAGAGGGGGGAAGTCATCTATGCTGCCTGGTTGCGGCCGTGATGCTTGGCCTGCGTTGCCGGAGCCCCCAAAACGGAAAGATTCCTGATTGGAGGCAATCCGCGATGGTGCCGAGAACATGTCGTCCTGTTGACCCTGCTGAGAAGATAGAGGGGTTGGCTGATTCCGTTGTATAGGGCCGACGTTCCTACTTCCTGCTGTCGACCATAAGGAAGAGTGATTGGCGGAAGGAAGCTGAGAGTTATTAGACAGAGATGGGAATTCCCTAAGTTTGTAGATGTCAGTTGGTTTCCACAAAAATCTTGTATATCATATGCTATCAGTTCAGGGAAATGAATAAGTGAGGACAGCTGAGATGATGAAATGAAAATCGGTTTGGCGGGCAGCGTTCATGGCGTGACTTGTGCAAACGGCGAGCGACAGAAAAAAATATTGAAAGAAAAGAAAGAAAAAAAGACTTGAAATACCCCTTCGCTACAGCAGCATACGGAACACCACTGGATGAATCCGCACGAGCTTCCGAATCGGTCCTCGCCTGATCCATCATCTGCCGGCGCTTAACAAGCCGCTTCTCCTTGACTGTTACCGACTCCCAAAGAGGTGCCATTTTCCTCGGCAGCGATGAGGACGTGCTTGATAGACGTCCCACGCTCAGAAGGGGGAAACAAATAGAGATGAAGGTGTCTCAAAACTCTATGCAGTTGGCCGCTGCAAGGTTGTGTGGTGTGGTTGTGGTTGTAGTAGCAGCTTTTGGATGCCAGGTGGTCAAGTAGGCCGCAGGATAAGATATAATGAAGACATCGACCTACGATAAATCAAGTGGTGTTGCCGGTGAAGATCCGCCCAGGCTTTGTGCGAAACTAAGATTTCCTCCCAGTGGTCTCGACGAATTCTGGAGTCCTGCACCGCTCATAGGCACGTTTGCGCCAAACGCCCACCCACTACCGTTATTCGCTACAATCCAGACACCTCATCAGCCACGGGTCCTCCAAGAAAAATATGTACTTTACGTCCGCTTTATCAACCATACCTAGTTTTCCGTTTGGTAATCGGTTCGATACTGTTCTGCTCGGTTGTTGTTGCTGTTGTTGCTGTTGCTGCTGCTGCTGCTGCTGCTGCTGCTGCTGCTGCTGCTGCTGCTGTTGCTGTTGTTGTTGCTGTTGTTGGCCACCAAATCCAGATGGCATCCCTCTCAGGGTTTGTGGTACTGCGCCTGGAATAGATACCATTAGCCAACGCTTTAACGCCTTAGATGCGCTGGGGATGCAGAGATTGTGTCCTTGGCAGACGTGTATAGGCGCAAAGTACATGGATATCGGGGTAGAAGATCTGGGCGATGCGGCTTCGGTCGCGAGTGGAAGGCTGGCAACTAGACCCGGGACAAGGCTGAGACAGTGGTATGACCCAGCTTCACCACAGGTACATGACACCCAGGGTTCCAATTATCGGACGACAGAGTCGCACATGTTCGTTCAAGACATGGGCGAGTTCGAGGGGCCACAAACGGCGTCGTGGGACTCGCGCGAAGAAACACAGTCGTCGGGTCGTGGAAGGCAAACAGAACAGCGGGGCACACGAGGCAGGATATGGGAGGGTGAGGACTACCTGGTCGATTCATAGTTGACTCAAGGGGTCACCGGGTATGTTCCAACGCTATCGGGAGCTCGAGGGATCGTCTCGGGGCAGTGTGCGTTGGCTATGATGCTCTCAATGATATCTACTTCTGCGAAATGGCATGGAGAATGCAGCTTCGCGGTCGCAGTCAAGTTTTACTGGGGTCAGCGGCCACAACCGTGTTAGTGCTTCTGCTGTGGGAGCATAGCCTTGGCCATGGCAATTTGATCCGTGCACATGGCAGGAACAAGGGAGCCCTCTAATACCCTCCATGTAACCTCTACGATGTCAGGCTAGCCGCCAAAAGTAGCCTCTTAAAAGTAGCCTCTAGCCTGCCTAATGCCTGGGCATGTACGTACATGGTATGTACGGAGCAAACTTTAGGGACAGTAGGTACTCATCATGCTCACGACCTGCATTGGCAATTTGGGGGCGCCTTCTGGAGGAGGACAGCGGATTGGATCGCCTACTGGCAGACTAAGTTCCCCCCACAACTTTGCTTTGAATCCAGTGGGACGTGAAGTCTTTGCGGTAGCTGGAGGTTAACGTATGCATCTAAAAAGAATTTACAAAAGAAATTTAAGAAAAGAAAATTGAAATTTAAAGCCCCCATTATTGCTGCATGCAATATATCTGCATATCTACCATATACATACATATACATACACTCATACAATCCACGTAGCGCTTCGCGGGTCAGTGCTTGTTAACCAATGGCCACTATGATCGGCTGCAAGATGCTCTTCACAACGCGTGACGTCGCTATAATTTGATGCTATCCAGGAAGCTCTTCTCTAAGTCTAGTATCTGTAAGTGTCTGCCAATAAGCACAATCTTACCGGACTGGTGGGAAATTGGGCTGGCATCTCCTTTTGGCGCGTCGAATATCTCAAAAATCTCTCTCACGCCTTGAACCATCTTCACATCCCCGTTATCGAAACTTAGCCGGGCTTTCATGCGATGAAGCTCCAGGGGCGTGCTTTGGCTCGTCTCAACACCTGGCAATTGACCTTCCCACAGGACGGACCGCAGCCATCCATCAACTTTCTCAAGCTGTTCTGGTGCCAGTAGAGGTACATCAATGGCAATGGTCGAGATTGTCTATCATGAGTTAGTCTCTCTGTACTTGAGTTTTCTGATCTTGACAAACCGGATCCAAGTGGCTATGGCCCTTCCCAGCAGTGTCCAGTCTGTCAACCTGATCATAAGCGTGCAGGTCGAGAAGAAAGCCTTCCAGATCGGGCACAGCACTCTGCGAGGTAACGTGAAGCTTTGCCAGGCCATTGATTGCCTGTATGCGCGCCTTCACCTTGTCGAGTTGTTCAGCATCGACCAAGTCCGACTTGTTGATGACTATCACGTCTGCATGTGAAATCTGCACGTGTGCTGTTGTCATCAAAGGGCCATGGTCCTGATGTTCTTCATGGCCGTCAATCTTGCCAGCAGGATCGTCAAGGCTGCGCAGGATGTTCTTGGCGTCCACCAATGTCACGATTCCGTCAAGATAGATGGTGCTTCCCAGGCCGTCATCCACCCAAAACAGAGGGGCGAGGTTTCCTGGGTCGGCCAGACCTGTCGTTTCCAGAAGGATGTAATCAAACGCTCCTTTCTTCTCCATCAGAGACTCTATGGCGTTCACACCAGTATCCCTACACTCGGATATCAGAACACGGGGTTGGAAGAGGCTTGGCAGATTTTAGTACTTGACTGAGCAGCAAATGCAGCCGTTGCCTACTTCGAGCCATTCTTCGACCTGCTCGTCCCCCTTGTTGACTGTGAGCGACTTTTCGATGTCAAGAGCTGTAAGTGTGTATCAGTCTCCGACTGTGTAATTGAAGGGCGGAATGTCATACAGTCACCAAACTCATTCATGATGACAGCAATTTTCTTGCCATGTTGGGCTGTCAAGATATAATTGAGCAAGGTGGTTTTCCCCGCTCCGAGATAGCCTAAGAGACAGTCAGATTGCTGTCAGGTATGAGGCTTTCCAATATGGGGCCTACCCGTGACGATGGTGATGGGCACTTTGACAGGCTTCTCCGGAGCGGCTTCTGTGTGCCCACCCTGGCCAGTCTCGACTAGCTCCGGCGGCATATCATCTTCAAAGTCCATGGTGTGACGAATCCCGGAAGGGCGTGACTTTATACAGTCGGGCCGTGCTATTGCTCTGGTGTCTCGCAGAAAAACTGCAATTAGATTCTGATCATGGATGATTTATGGGCGATGTTTGCATTATTTAGCCACTCAAAGGCTCCATACTGAACTTGTCGGCAGCAGAAATAACAAGCCCGTTTACGTACATGTACATGGGGGCGCTTGGGCTGATGCAGTGCATAATTACAAGATTTGTGCATAATTACATACCATGGTGTGTACTAACTATAAGTTATTGTAATACTAATACGCATGGATACCTCAAAGGATCAGATTAATCTCCTTAGTCGGGACAAGGATATAAGCTCCTCGCGCGTTCCCCAGCCGCCCGCAAAAGCTTCAGCGGAATGGCAGGCTTTCTTTTGGATCCGCTGTAGCGACTAACCTTAATCAGGTATCCAAACAATGAAGAAAGCGTCGTGATCCAACAGCGGTACTGTAACGGTTATCAACAAGCAGACAGCATCTTGTCGCTTTTCGCCTTTCGCCTTTCGCCTTTCGCCTTCCGCCCACTCATCAAGCAGCACGTCGACCACGAGATCGGGAGTCGACCACTGGACGGGGACTCACATTTCACAGAGGGCCTTAGAAGCACGGCACACATAACGGCACATAAGACGACACAAGACATCGTAACCAACATGTCCCTTCCTCCGAGCTCTCCACGGCTCCCAAGCCCGCCACCTCCCGCTGAGGATCAGATCGGTCCCAACTCCCCTGGTCTCGACACGCAAGCCGGCCAGATGGACCAAAGCATTGTCGACACAAACTCCAAGAGGCGCATACATCCAGGCACCAGAGCCGAGGACATGGCAGCTGGTCCGCCCCTCGTCCCTCTCAACGAGGTGCGCATGCTCCCCTTTTGCCCTGCTTGCCATTCAGTCGCTAACGGACCGCATGACTGTAGCTCGACTCGGCTTTCCAGCTTCAGGAGCACCTTGCTGCTCTCCACCACCACTACACAAACTCGAATACAACACCGATCACCCGCCAAACTGCCTCGCAGCTGGCTACACCTCCCCAGAGCATCGACGACACCTTATGGCTCTATGAGCTCTGTCGCTTTCTTATCGAGCAGTGTAACAAGCTGATAGTGGGCTTCTTCAACGACACCCCGCCGTGTTCTCAGGTTACATGTCCTGAAATGCGTGCTTCCGAATGGCAGTTTCTCTGCGCTGTGCACGACCAACCAAAGAGCTGCTGTGCCATCGACTACTGCTGCCATACTTTGGACTGGGCCGCCAACGTCGTCACCAATCCCAAGATCTTCCCGAGTCGTTTCACCGTCCTGAACGAGGGGCACGATAGTAACGCTGTCAAGAAGAACCTCGTTAATATCTTTCGGAGACTACATCGCATTTTCGCACATGCCTGGTTCCAACACAGGGGCGTCTTCTGGAACATTGAATCCCAGTCAGGGCTCTACGTTTTCTTCAAACGCGTATGCGACTTGAACAACCTTTTGCCCGCCGAGAACTACAAGCTTCCACCCGAGGCCGAGGGGTTGGACCCTGCCGACAAGGAGGATAGTCAGCCAAAGGTCACTGCTATCGCCAGGCCGCCTTCGCGTGAGAATGCCCACGAAGATGATGATCGTAATGGTAGTCTCCACGCAAGACGCAGCAATACGACGAGACATGCCAGCAGACCCTCTATCAACAGCTCAATCACCACCGTCACCGAAGAACAAGAAGACGAGCATTCTGAAATCAACAACAGACTAAGGGGCATCCACATATCGGCCCCCGAGACGGTAGAAGAAGAGGCAGGAGTAGAAGTGCCCGTCATCGTGGAAGGACAGGTGCTGCATGAGAATGCGCCGGCGTCTCCTCAACGCCAACATGAGCCTCGGGTTGATGTCCAGGAACTAACCCCAGAGGAGCCGGACACGCCAGAGATCGGGCAGCAGTCCGAGGACACTTTGGAAAGCAATGATGTACCTGCTTTCGAGCACGAGAAAGCCTTAGGGCCAAACGGTAAAGCAGAAGGTGAAACTACAGCGCCTGCTGATGACTCTAGCGTGACGTCTTCCTCGCAGTCTAAGAATCTTGCAGTAGACGGCGCAGTAGATACGTCTGAAACTGCTTCGGACCCAGATTCTCATGAGACTGTGGAAAAGCCCATGGATTCAGACGCTACGCTAGCAGACGAGGAATCTTAGAGTGGCCCACACAATTTTAAGTAAGGCGAGAAACTCGAAACGTACATCTGAAAAGAATGTTCTTGTTGATAGCTACAGAGTTTAACATGCGAAAGCTGCTGCAAGAATCAAAGAAACATCTGTCACCGTTTGGGAGGCTTGGATAATGAGAGAGATGCACCACCCTTTAGAGGATTGGTGACAGAGAACTCGGGGGGGGGGGGGTTGGACGACCTAGTCGCTAACAAGGAGGCCGCTGAAGCTGAATATGGTAATGACCATGCAACGAAACTCGATGTGGAATTCGAGGAAATCAGCAGGCGTATGGAATTCGGAATGAATCTCGACGGAATCATCTGCCGTGTTGTTGGAATTAGTGAGGCCTTGCGTAATATACACTTCGGGATGGGGAACAACGACGATCAGAGCTGAAATGGTTGATACGCAGTCATGATAGCCATGAGCTGGCTCGCCATGGTAGTGTAACAGAATCATGTTACGGCTCAACCGGACGAGACTTTAGGAAGTAGCAGGTTTTTGCTACAAGCATTAGGCCATCAACGCTGCAACTGATAGGGATTACAGTGGAGGGAAACGCAGGATGAGGAAAAGGTTATGAATTCATTATTCAAGATCTGGCAAGCGAGCATTTCCAACCACATTATATAGTATGTGGCCAAGCTTTGGGAAAAGACCGCGTTGCTTTAGACTGGTGGTCACTACATAAAGTCATCGCAACAGATATGCTCATGTTCAGAAGGCATTCCTCACGTTTGATAAGTTGTGCTTGCTTGGTGCGTATTTGCTGGCAAAATCCAATTCTGAACTTCATATAGGAGATAGAGATCGCATGCACGGTGTGCTCACTCGAGTTGTTGCGCATGTCACGGCGACCTACATCAAAACATGTCACATGGCCTGAGCAGAGTCAAAGCCGCGGAATGCTGAGTGTTCACACGATTCCTGGTTCGTGAGTATTAGTTTTAGTCAATATGGCAGAGCATCTCCAACGGGAGTTACTGCGCCAATCGCTCCGGCGCAGATCTAGTAACCTCTTTCCTACGGTTCACAAAAGCTTCAAATTTGTAATCGCGTACCAGACGTCACGACCAGAAGTATCGCGTTTGGCCATTCTTACGTTCTAGGATGGTTTCTCTCCGGCGTTTTCTTTACATCACTCGTATCGCGTACTCGTCGCGTCGGGTGGCATGAGAGATAATGACATTAACATTGAAGACAATACAAGTTATTTTGTACAGAATAGTAACCTATGTGTTCGTATATTTATAGGTGGTCCCAAGACCGAGGCTTTGAAAGTCTCTTTCCTTCCTTTTTTACCCCCGCCCTATGCAGATCTACCGCAATTCGCCGTACTTCTTCTCGTGTGAGTCTAGTGCCGACGAGCTCCTGTTTTTTTTTTTTTTTTGGGTACCTCGAAGGTCTTGGAATATGCTTTGGTCTTCGGTTTCCAGCCGTCTAACTCTATCTATTCGTGTCAGGTATAAAATCGTCCGTGTTTTAAAGCGTAGACTCTCTTCGCGTGATTTGTCTGGTACGCAGCACCAAGCAGATAGTTGTAGTGTGTCCAAGCAACCGTCGTTTTGTCATCGATTCGAAAGCACAATATGGCTTGAAGTACAATGGGCATCCAGTGTACTCGCATCATTCGATCGCATGCTCTGTACTGAGATATGAGACTCCACCTGTTTCAAAAAGGTATTTGCAGTACAATGTGTGGTACTAGCAGCTGTATAACAGCTTTGTGTAACAGTACCAGCACCCAGATATTTGACATATTGCGCCGACCAATTCGATCCTGCAGCAAAACACCTTCACATTTCAGGATGAGCCACTGCTGTCGTGTTGTGCGGCATTGGACCGTTCTTCCGTCATCCTGGCTGCCTGGCATGCAAAGTCGGCAAACTGAGGCCAAGCCGTTGCATCATATAAATGATCTGCCCTCCTTGATTACCTAACCCGGCCCGCCACGGCTGCAACACAACACCCTTTACGTTACAACCCGTCCGTTTCTGCATAATCCGTCCGATCTTCAAGTGACGGTGGCAGAGGGACAAAAAGAACCGTTTCCCAGGCCGGTGTATTGGCATATTTGTAATTTGTAGAATCCATGGAATCAAAGGGTCGTGAACGGTCCCAAAGCGGTACCCCTGCTCGATTATGGATGGAACCCTGATTCTCGGCTGGGTCCCGATCCGGGGCCGGCGGCGCGGCGGCTGTCGACAAGTTATGTCTCAAGACCCCTGACAGTGCCGTAGATGCCTTGCAAGTTTCGAAGTATAACAAAACTTTGTGTCCAACTGTTCCAAAATTGGCTGTAATCGAAGCGACTAATCCCGTGCATCGATCTCTCAGATTTCCATACTATTTTTGACATACAATCGATGGCTTCACGATCCTCATGTCTTCTTTGACTATGCAGAACCTGATAACCCAGGCGATCCGAAGTGGGCCATGGTTACATATAACCTTTGTAGGCTGGGCTTGTCTCTAACTCATAACGTTCTTGCCTTTCCTGGGAGGGGATGGTTCGAGGGGAGATGAACTATCGTCGCGGCTGCCTAGACCCATCTTTGCAAAGATTGAACTCATTTCCCGGAGATTTTCTGTCTGCTCAGAGACCGGGTTCGCATTACGCTCGTCTGCGAAAGAACGGATGTTTCGCACGATAGGAGTCAGCCCCTCGTCATTTGGGAGCCACCAGTGCACACAGGACGGATCTTGGAAGATTTGAGAGAATCGTGACCGCATAGTAAGCGGAAACACGTATCTACAGTTGCAAAAAGTTAGCTAGAAATTTTTTTTTCGATTTTCTTCTTCAGATGCGAATTGTGCGTGATCAAACTCGGGACTTCCAAGCTGTTGGGTTATATACGCAGAAATAGACTTACCCTAAAGCTTCAATGGCCGCAAACTTCTGCCTCATCCATAGCTGATGTTTACTATCCTTCGGAAGGAACAGCGTACCAATAGCTAGACCAGACTGGAGTATGATCAAAGCACCGCGCGGCGCGAAAGGCCATCTTGAAACGGTTTCGAAGATTTGACAAATTTCATATCCCAATTCTCGCAACTCCTTCGACGGTTCCTGCTGCAATGCAAAGGCTTCCTGGGTCTTATGCATGACAAGGATAGAACGCCATATAGAAAGCAGAATGGTGGTTGAGAAGAATGGCGGACGATAGAGAAACCGGCATTCGTAAGGGTCGACAATATCGTCGTCGGTCAAGGGCTTCCGGTGCTCGAAATTAGTCACGAGGTGATCCTGGTCACACAACTCGTGATCCTTAACAAGTTTTGCCTTCCAGTCTCTCAGTCGTCCCTCAAGACGCTGATGCTCCAAGGAGAAGTCTGCGCCAGAAATCTCACCTCGACCACCCTGAGCATAAAGAAGTGACATATCCACTGTTATCAGATTCATTGCCGAGGAGTAGAGCTCGAATTTCAAGTCCACATCACTCCCCTCGTTTGCCAGTTGATTCTCAAAAAAACTTAATATTGTCGAAAACCAATCGCGGGGGAGACGCGTTTCAAATCCACCGAGCATTCCAACAAACACATCGAATCTAACATACCAAGATAAGAGTGTTCGAGTAACATACGATTGCATTGCTGTTTGTGGCGTAAACAGTGTTGTGAGTATCTGCAAGGCGGCCTTCTGATGGCCCATCAGACTAACCCAATCACCAAAATATTCCTGCTTCAAGTCAGCCGGTAGTTTTGCAATTTTGTTCCAGTTTACCATACCTCGATAGTGGCAAGTTGGAGAATGGTGAGTAAAGTAGCGGTGTTCTGTTTCTCTTTCTTCCTGAAAGAAGCCAAGAGTAGGGTGACACTCTTGTTGTAGTATTTTAGAAAATCCTGTATTTGGCCTTTTGGGTTTTGGATCGTATAATGGTACGCAGAAAAACCCACGACTGCATACAGCAACGCGTCATTGCCCTGTCTAACTGCCGTGCCTGGCAAGAAAGTTCTGAAGAAGTCTTCTGGATCAACAACCAGGCCATAGTTGTAGTAAGAAATATTCTCGCAATAATAGTCCAGGAAAAACCGGAGATCTGGTGAAAGATGAGACCAATCTAGTGGTCCTGGTTGGATGGAAGGATCTGACGCCCGAAACGGTGCTATGAACCCAGTACTTGTGCCCGTTGAAAGGGATGGAGACGAGCTTTTAGTCCCGTCTGCGGACGGCGTTTCGGAATCGTAGCGCGTACTCGCTTTGGGCAATGTTGAGGTCGAGGCAGCACTTGCTCGCCTAAATGATGAGTAGATATGCCTGGGTGAGTCCTCCGTAGGTTCGTCCTCATCTTGGATTGACTCTAGCTTTGTGTCCCGCTCCGCTTCGTCGTCGTCGTCATCATCTTCCGGTGTATGCCCGGGACTCTCTGTCTGTCCCGAGCTTGTTCCATCCTTGGGCGCCGAATCAGAAGATTTGCTGTTTGATATCTCGGGATACACGCATTCTCGTTTGCCCTTTCGGCACCCTAATATCTGACATTAATATAAGCTCAAATTTGTGGTCATGAAAGATACACATACTTTCGCATGTGGGATGTGTTTCATCGCACTGTATACCGTTTAGCATTGTCAGACTTAATAAGGCAGAGAAAAGCTTACCTTAACACGTCTACTCCGACATGTGTAGCACCCAGACCTTGTTCGACGATGCTTCACATGATCTATACCTGGCGCGGATTTCCTTCGACTCCGAGAGTGTTGAGGCTTTGGAGGTTGAAACATGATAGGATCTGGGAATCCGGTGACGTAGCCTAAGCTTTCGTAGGGATTGATTATAGGCATCTCGCTGCCATCCAGTTGCATTTGGGGGTTGTGGATATACGAATGGGCATCCTGGGATCCTGGACTCGTTTCCTCTCCCGAGCCGCCGGGGACGTAGTGTTGATAGAAACCATCCATTGGATTTCGAAGCTTTGACACTTTCCAATGAGAGAAACCTTTTGTTACTTGAACCCGTACAATTTTCGTTCCAAGCGATACTTTCAAGCTGCGGGCGGTTGACCATACCTTTGTTGAAAGAACAACAGAGAAGGTTGTTCTATATCATTACACGACTGATGAAAACCTCAGAGTATTGATCTGTTAGAGTTCCAGCACAACGTGGTTGGAATGTTAGCGAACTGTAGAGTAGTGACTGTTCGAGGCAGTCGGCAAACGTTGTTTGTAGGAAAAGACACTGTTTTGTCTTGTGAAGTAGTAGTGGACTACAATGAAGGCGGTTCCAGCGGGAAGTGCGATTTACCCCTGCTAGGCGTGAAGTCGGGATTTCTTCGACCAATGAGTACAACAACGCAACACTACGGATTCGCGCCACGAATGTTTGGCTGTAACAACCACGGTTAGATAGAGGAAAGAGTCCGGGCACAGATCGCTGACTATCAGGCGAGACGCACAAGGTAGATGTTCTTCCGCTAATTACGTCTGAGAATCCAAGGGCCACTCGTCCTGAATGCCAGTGATGCTAAAGAAGAATGATAAATGGCTCTCTGATACAGGTTTGACGCTGATTGTGATGCATGTGCGCTTGATGTTGTGGGGCTATCCAGGGCTCTTGTTGTATGTATATGTTGTGCCTGTTATTAAAGTCAAGGCTTCTCTCGTAACTTAGAAGACAACCTCGGGGATCTGCTGACGGGATGGCTGCCACAGCGGGGCTTTCAGTAGATAGCTTGGAGTGGAGGATGTGAGGACCAGGTTCCACGGGTAGGCCAAATGGTTGGGTGCCGTATGTCTGACAGAAAGGTCGCCCTCCCGGTAACAATGGGTGGGTTTCAATGGTTAAGGAGTGACGGGCCCGGCCGGAACTCCCACCCTGTACTTTGTGGCAACCGAAACAGCTTGAACAGTTCTTTCTCGAAGAATAGAAGGAAGTTAGTTGTATCTGCCTGATTGGCGGGAGTGTCTGTATACGCGGATGCCGACTGATCCTAGTCCCAACGTTCTCCCCAAAGTCGTAACGGCTAACTCCCTAGAGATAGTCGTACAAGCAACGCCAACCCGTACAGGGGGTTTTCGTGGAGTAGGAGTCCGAAAGAGGTCGTTCGAGTTGTTGGAAAGAAAAGGAAGTAGAGTGGCTTCTAATGATACTGCTAGGTGGATTTCCGTAGAGCGATGAATAGTAGTCCCACTTAGACTCTCGTTCCGGGCTAATCGCTGAGCGCGCACAGTCTTACTCCTCTCACCAGGGAAATGTCAGATGGGCTGTAGTATCCAGGAACCGTCGACCAGGATTGACTCTTGCCTGAGGGAGCCAGATTGTGTACGTCAAGACGAGGGTGACCCCTGTCTCAAGAGCCCTATCAAGATAATTTCCCTTACTCTGCATAGATCGATGGGGTTGATGAAACTGATTGAATCAAGATTAAGGCGGGTAGACAAGCTCCACGAGATGGCGATGGCTGAAGTCACGATCCTGCGTTTGTATACCTAAGCATTGGCCAGGGCGTTCAGTAATCGGAGTAGCGGCGCGAATTCAGTTCTTCCGACAGGCAGGATGTCTACCTGGTGTTGCTGCAGGGAAGGCAAGCCCTAAAGAGTAGACCTTGCTCAACCAGGAATAGCTATATGTATGTACTGTATGGATGGGATGGGTGATGTGGTGGTGACCACCCGGGCGCCTTTACGGGTTTCCTTGGCACACAACCCCTTGTACCATATGTCTACACAGCAGACAGTCAAAGAATATTTGTTGCGGCTTGAAACCCAACACGCTGTCTGACGAACGCCTCGACCCGCAGGTACTTCTCATCGTCTGAAGATGTGATAAGGTCACGGCAAGCAAGACCAGGGTCCTCGTTAGCAGGGCCCAGGATTACAAGAAGCTCTTTGTGTGGTGGGGAAGTGCCAGACCGGGGCAGTCTTGCAGGGATCGCGAGAACTTGCAAGTTGCGAATTGCTCTCATGGGAGTTTGATCACCACTGACCAAAGGGAGTCGAAGGTAGCTGATTTTATGGCCATTGATTTGTAGTCCAGTGTGACAGGATGATTCCGCTATCGTTGATGGGCACGAAAGGCGTTCTGCTTCCTAGATGGCAAATTGACCTCTGGCCTCGATGTATGTAGAAAGCCAGCAGCACCAGTTGAATAGGTGGCGGCGCGAAAGATATGACACGCCCGTTCTGCGATTTGGAGCAAGATCAATTGTATGCAGTATGTACGCTCCAATCTGTCCTAAATCACTTTCACAATAGTGGTCCCCTGATTCCCGCAGCTGAACAAACCCCGCAGAATCTGATTACTTGGACAATTGAAGGCATAACACACATTTCAATAAAAAGGATTCGACTAGCCGTTCAAGGATGTTGCATTAGCCGCAGAAACCTTGGGAAGGGCATATGTGGGAGGCTTTCAAGGCGCCTTTTTTTTTTTAACCGCCAAGCCTGGCCCGATGGGGGTGTACCTTTTCCAACATGGAGACGGGAAAGCACAGACTAAAGTGAATGAGTGACATGACGATTGCAAGGGTTGAACAAATGAAAATACCGCCCCTCTGGTTGCTATACACAGTAGTTTGAAGAAGGTGGGATTGTGCAACGTGACGAGTACGCAGATCGATCTTCCCGACGTGGGAGAAATACTCAAAGGAGAAAAGCCTGAAAACCAGGGTCAAGCACTTGTAATTGCATTGTAGTTCTCTCCACTGTAGGCCAAAGATTTGGAGTGTCAGAAATTGGCATAGCAGTGTATGTCTGTCTATTCTGAAAGATGCTACATAAAGGCCCGCCGGATATCGGGTTAGGATGGAGTCTCTGAGATCCTAGCTCATTTGAGCTGAATGGAGATCGCTGCAACCAAAGTAAACACCCCCAGCGGCCAGAACGCGGCCAGACGCCAGAGCGCACGGCTCGTTGGATGACGATATGCTGGCTAGAAGTCCCCAAGAGTCGGAGCAGCGCCTCGACGAGGAAAGGTGCCGTCCATAACAAAGTAATGCAGTCATCCCAGTCCTTGCAGCAACATCAATCCACCAACCATGCTGTCGCTAAGGCTAACCCACCACCCGGCAGGAAAGCCGAGAAGAGACTATCGCTGCATGCCGCTCCAGTGAGTGGGGGAGAATTGCACAGTCAACCCCTGCAATGTACACAAGACGTTCTTGACGCCGATTGAAATCCGCACTGGTCTGTGGCTGGCTCTGCATATGTTCCCAGGAGTGGATGAAGGAAGACAAGATGAGATGAAAGGCTTATGATGGTATTTTGGAACGTGCTCTAGCTGTCTAGCCCGCAGCTTGACGCGGGCAGTTACACGTGGGACTGTGACCCTCAAATCTTCTCGGGTCTCTCCATGATTTAACCTTAACTGTGCTGACCAATGACGCGCTGGGTCTCAATCTCGACAGTGAGCAATCTTTGCAGAAAGTGGCGTAGTGAACGTCTCAAAGGTTGCAACACCCACGATTTGTGCTTCAAGTCTCCGACGTTCATCAGTTACTTCTACTTGTTTTAATTGTGTAGCTCACCGGCCGCTAAACGTGCACGTAGGCCTCGCAGCCGCATATTCAATATCGATCTGACTGCTGCATATGAGCCAAGTGGTCCCCCAGCGGCAAGCAGCGCCTATGTACGGTACCATAGGGTTGGGCGACAATGCATGCAGGTGAGCCATCACTAAATTACGAGGATACTATTTGCCCCTGCTCTGCTAGAGCCTTTTCATCGGAACCACCACAAGCTCTGAGAGATTGCACAAGTGAGGCTAGAGAACTGCGGCCGTTTCTGTCAACGTTGTGGCGTTCTGGAGCTACTGGATAGATTGCTTATGACAGATTGATCAGCGCGTGATGAGTGCGTCTTTTTTCAAACATGCTTGCGGCTCCAATAGCTGTGGACGGACCGTTTTGACTTCACGGGATTATGCCTGTCTTCTGCAAATCTGTACACATGCACCAGTGGACTATAGTACCCAATCCTCGAACTTCCGCGGCTTTACGGGTTACTGTGTACATTGTCGAATATTGGGTCCACAGCACTCTTAGGCCAGTACTGGATTTACATTTGAATACGGTAGTACGTACACACACACCTGAGTATTCAACTGTCATCGAAATGGCACTTCGGCGCACTACTCACGCCACAAGTTTCCAATGAGGAAAGATTTCAGACGGTCCTCAGTTCAGGGGGCTCTTGATCAGGTTGCAGTCTCGGTCATTGCACACAACGGCGGAAGTCTGACATTCAGCCTTCCCGGCCATCGTTCAAACCCTTCATTTCACGGCACGGAAACGGGGAGGTTTCAGAAGACCGTTCGGGCCTCTAACGTCGTAGATCCTAGCACTCCATCAAAGCCCATCTTGCTGACCCTAGCCTCATGTGGCGCACATAATATGACTCCTTGACGTGCGGAGACAGGCTCTAATGCGGTCAGCGGCCTGTAAGGGAAATTGCTTGGCCGTTATGGGCCAGTTTGCTGCTGTGCGAGAGGCGCGAATTATTTCTCGAGATAGAAACAGCAAGGAAAAGATCCACTCTAGCGCTCGGGGAAGTATTACAGCGGAATGCTATTGTAGATCGTGGCATACTTACGGTATCAAGACTGGTGACTTGAAATGCCCAGCTCCTGTTGATCTTTTGTTCGCATGTGACTACTGCACCTTGATGGCTATTCAAAGAAAGGGATAAAAAATTAAAAATAAATTATAAATAAATAAAAATAAAAAAGGAAAAAAGGCTTGATGCAGCCCAATCTGCAGTCAAATTAATTGCATGAACCACACTTAAAGAACTGAAGCTTAATGATATCGGACGAAGCCACCAAAATCAAAGTGGCAGTCCGGACAACGATATCCCTGGTTTATTCTTGGAAACGGGCATTCCCAAGCAGGCGGATATGCAAGTTCGAACCCTTGTCTTGATCATTACCCCTGTGCTGGTCTGTGCTGCATTTCCGTGTTGGTCACTGAGCGGGACGACGCTAACACGGATACGTGAATTTGATAGCCTCACCTTGCGGTGAAGACAACAAAATATATTAATTGCGAGGATGATGGATGTAGAGATTCTACTTGTATGATTCCTTTTTCGGAAACCAATGTATTTGGACTACCCTGCGGTTCTTGAGTAGTGCATCCCAGTATACTCTTGCTCTACCTGAAGACTCCATCAATAATAAACTTCTAATATGACAGGCATGATTAATAACGGACAGATTGCCCACACTGGATCGTTATATTAACCCAATTATATAAACATACGGGGGAAATGCCATTTCATGGAGCCATGATGGGTCAGCAATACCGGAATGTGCTGAGGATCGCCCTGACAATGCAACATCAACGGCACTTCAATATGCGGCAACGTCAATATTAAGACAAGGTCATGCTATATCTCCTGTCGCCCTGGCAGCCGCTCTGCAACTCAGCTAATGACATAAAGTATGTTCATCAACATTGGAAATTGAGACAGTGAAGGAGAGCGTTTGGTTGTAATGCATTCGGATCCGCTCCCACGCACGGCCCGTAGAACTATACCAATGTGACTATATCAATGCTGTGCATTGTTAGCAATGATAGGTTGGCTAGATTCGAAGAGCCGATGCAGCCTCATGCTTGAAGAAGTATCTTAACACCCACGCCCACCACCAACTCCTTTGTAAAACGCTCTGGTCAACATGGTAATGGAAGCTTTGATCCTACGTAATGAACTAATTTCGACGGAAATATGCGGCACCCTGGTGGCGCTTTGACAGTGAGCATCGACCTCACCACCACAGCCGTGATATGCGTAGCAATCGAAAGAACCTTGACTCCAATTATCACATGCCAGCGGCATAAAATGCAAGGAAATCGTAAATTTGCTCGAGAAAATTACAGTGTTCAACACGATGTAGGCTAGGGTCAATAGGATTGCTACTTCCTTGAGTGGAGCATTGGTCAAGTCCTTGAAGGCGAACAACCCGAACGCATTCCCATGTCACTCAATTGGCCTGACGAGGAAGCGCCGGAAACAGGCGGCAAATCTTGTAACCTCGTGTCAAGGGCATGGCAAGTATATGTGGAAACACTCCATTGGGTTCATGTGGCGCTTGACTTTCAGAGCTGTCTCGACAGCTATCTTAACCATACCGCCAGCATTCTGATATTATAATATCCCCCCCCCCCCCCCCCCCCCCCCCCCCCCCCCGGTACCCCGGCCAGGAAGCCTGATTCCCTGGCAAGTCTTGGCGGATTCCGTCAGATTATCTCGTTGGTTACCAAGTGGCTCTGACGCGGCACCCAATATGTTTTTAATTGAGACGATTGATACTTGTCACAACTACTCGACACAGTCCACCCTTAGTGCCCGGCGCCTGCAGAAGCAGGCTCATGACGGCAGCTAGCTCGTCAAGTCACGGGCAGCATGCTTCGAAAAAGTCAAGCTTCATCGACCGTTACAGTACATAGTAGTAGAAACACGGCTCGTGGGGAAGCAATTATGGACCCACCCAAGGTTGAATTTCTGGGTTTCGAGAATAACCGGCAATGCTTGGTAACATCATCGGAGATCATGTCAACCAAAGGAAGCTAATTACCGGGGATGGATGAATGGCAGGCGTATCATGGGCCTTGCTAAAAAATCGTAACGAAAATGCGACAAACGTCTATTTCCCTTGTCGAGCCTGCAAGGGGCAGCGCACAAATACGTGGGATATGAGATGTTGTGACAGGGCATATGGTATAGGTCCAGCAATGATCGATTGTAGGCGGTTTTCCACAATATGGACAGATCAAGATCTACACGAAGTTAACTTTACGAAACCTCAGACCATTTTGCTGTAACATGAAGTAGACTCCACCTGGCGCCACGCTCCCTCTAATCTGTCTCTACCTGAAGCGTTCGGCGCTTTCGACGTCGGCCTACTGCTACCGCCCGCTCGTGAGCTATACTTCTTCTGTTTAGGCTCTTTTCAACGCTCATGGACGCCTTTAGTGAAGCGGTTGGTGATAAAAAGCTGAATGCCTCCAAGAATAGCGTAAACCATGACGCCAATGAGACTCGGTACCTGGCATTAGCTTCGAATTGTCGGCGCCGATAACTCCGACAAGAAAAATTAAGTATTGGCGCTAGATCGTTGCATGATACCATTCGCCTTTCGTCATTGATGCTCATGGCTCCGTTTATTGTGCAGGAAGCGTCAACTTCCAGGTTTGAGAATCTTATTAGGCTTAACCTGATGACGTTTCGAGCTCCTTCATCATCAAGTGGTCGATCAAGCAACGTTTCAGCCTCAAAAAGGGCGAGCGATGATGTCTTCCCGTGGAAATGGGATAACTAGTTAGTGGGATCAGGGGCAATGGGCATTGCACCCCGTTAGTGATGTACACCAGTGTGACGCTGCAAATGTGATCTGCTGCGAAAAGAGGAATAAATGAAATGATGCCTTTCTAGCATTTGGTTCTAAAGACCATACGTCACGACCACCAGCAGGAGTTGATTCGAACATACGATGGTAATTCCAAAGGCCCGCAATGCAAAACTTTCTTTCCCAGGTGGCAGATGCAAAAGCGCGTACATTCCTCAACTGAATCTTGGGTGCTATATCATGGCAATAATATAGAACCAAATGGGTATTTCACTCACTCACTAACTTTTAGCGGTAAAATGTTGGCGAGTCTACGTATTCTTGGTGTGCTTTCAGTTTGCCTATGGTCGCATGCAGTGCATTTCTTTTTGACAAGCCTGAAAGTGGAAAGCGTGTCATAGCCCATGTTCGTTTTCTTGTAATGAGAGAGTCTCATTTGATGATATACGAGCGCTCATTGAGAAGATGTCTGTATTTTGACTTCAGGCTCAATAGATGAAATTACGACGCTCGCTAGCGAAAATGCCACCTAACCAAACCCCAGCCTTTTCCATGTTGCACTGCACGATAGAGCTGAGATTCCGGGCCGAGGAATGCGCCTCAAGACGGCTTCACGGTTTGGACGGAAAGCCGCAGCGTGGAGAAACTATGTGTTCATGCTTTCAGCCTTGGTCGTCTCACTGCCCTCGACTCCTGCACCTCATTGCATCTTTGGCAACCAGTGCCGTGCCATGGACCGTAGGCATGAATCATGCTCGCACAGCGTCATCCAGCCAGTGGCCAAGCCCAATAGCATAAGCTACGCAACTTTATACTCACACCATGCGACGTTGTAATTTTTCACTCCATGCCGACTAAGCACTTTATGTAGAAAGGCCGAGTCTTTCAGCGCTACCTTTCCACGGGGTTTCGAATCCCGTTAAGCCTGATGTGGTCCCTAGTAGTCATCAAATCGGTCTTGTGTGACTGGACTTGTTGGTGGACACATCAATTAAGCATTGGCTGTGAAGAAAGCAGTTACACAATAGATTGCAATAACGTGCATATACGTTTGTAATACAGAAAAGTGAAGAGAAACGGGAGTTCGAGTTCAGCCGGTTGCGCACGTGCCCTCACCTCCTGGGCGTCTCAAGTTTCATCACGCACCATGTCGCGCGTGCTTATCGTGCTCCTGAAGGAGCGTCAAATGTTTCAACAGGGAGGCACTCTAGATTTGACCTGATCACTGAATAGAAGCAAAGTTTTCCCTCTTTTTTGGAAGACCAAACGTGTTGCGTTGCTTTTGAGCCAGAGTTGAGCCGAGCTTCACTAAACCTTAACTTACACAAAGCCGGTAACCTGCGCGATATCGGCTCTGAGCTTACAGAGGCACAACACCAGAACTCCGACATTCAAGATGGGCGACCTCACGCTGGAAGCCATAATGAACATGGACTCCAGTTCCATATGGCTGCTTTCTGTAACCCTTCTAGCGTTCCTGATCCCGGTAGTCATAATACTACCTCCTGTATCACCGGCCAAGAGCGATGCGCTCCTGCAGACCCATTCGCTCGCCGGCCTGGCGCCATCCAAGAGCAATCTGAAATCACAATACACACCGCAGATTCACGAAGCCAAGGATGGACAGAAGGCCAAGGTCCAGGCCATGGTCATCTACCCGGTCAAATCGTGCAAGGGTATCGAGGTCTCACAGGCGCGCGTGCTCCCGCAAGGGCTAGAGTTTGACAGACTTTTCACGTTCGCGCAGCTCAAGTCGCGGTTCCCGGTGCACGTGGACCCGAGCGCAGAAAAAGACGAGAAGGACGGGCATTCGTGGACTTTCATCACCCAGCGGCAGTTCGCGAGGTTGGCGACCGTGACGGTGGAGCTGTGGTTGCCGGACGAGATGAAGCTGCGCAAGCAGAGCATGAAGACGAAGGAGGCGTTTCTGATTCTTCGGTTCCCTTGGAAGAAGCCCGGCTGGAGAGGTGTCGTAGACACGATCTCTGCGAAGCTCACGAAGGGGTGGCTGAAGGGAGAGCCGGAGATCGAGGTCCTGCTCCCCGTGGATTTCCCCGCGGCGGAGCAGGTCAAGGCTAGGGGCTACACCTACGAGGATGTCACCATCTGGAAGGACACGTTCCGCGCACTCAATATGGGCCAGGAGTTGCCCAGAGAACTTCAGTTATACCTGGGTGTCAGCAACAAGCTGGGACTGTTCAGGATCGACCCAGGTAATCTGAGAGAGGTCCATAAAAACGCGCCCAAGAAGGAGGTGATCGGATGGCAGCCTGTTGTCGCCTTCCAGGATGGAGTAAGCTTTGCCTTGCACAACAGATGCGGCCCACGAAAGTGTCAGCTAACAGAACACAGTATCCTCTAAATATTCAAAATCTTTCCAGCGTCCAGAAATTCGCTGCTGAAGTACCCAAGGACGAGGACCTCAAACAGCTCGATATCATGCGCTTCAGAGCCAACATCATCCGTAAGTTACACTATCACAAACGAAATCCTGACTGCCGGGTAATGAAATCTAATCATTCACCAGTGACCGGCGCGCCTGCTTACGACGAGGATACGTGGAAGCAGATCCGTCTCGAGCCCGGCTCTTCTGGTCTCTATAGCTCCGTGTCTCTGAACATCTCCTGTCACACGACCCGTTGCAAGCTGCCCAACGTGGATCCTGACACGGGCAATCGCCATGCAGTGCAGCCGGATAAGTCGCTTCGTGCGCTCCGAGACATTGATCCCGGTGCGCCGAAGACTGGATGTCTTGGTATGCAGGCGTGCCCGCTGTTCGAAGGGGGGCTGGCCGATGAGGATAGAGTGGGATGGATCGGCGTGGGAATGGAGATGCAGGTTGAGCAACGGGGAGAACACCATTACCTAAAGGACTAAGCACGACTAGATAAGTTAAAAAAAGAAAATAAAGATAGATCTCCACCGCATATAAGTCGTAATTAGAGCAAACTACGCAAGAGACCTAGCGAATGTTAGGTTGCATTCAACAGGGGCACGTGGACATGGTCATGGACATACTGTTATATGTATCTGGAAATATGGTGAAATTGAAGATCAAAATGTGCCGCCAACCCTTGGCTTTACCCAACCGTGCAATACTAATGCTTCTAACCTCGCTTGTGGAACCTAGGAAATACAATGGTATAGTGCTTCCAATAATCCACACACGACCTGTCCGTCATAGCCTTGTCATTACTCATCACTATGTGGTATCCTCATATTTACTTCAAATCCGCAGGCGTTAATGCCTGGACGTGACTTGTACCCTCGCTAAACCTCGTCCTGAAAATGCGGTTTGCATTCTGGAACATACCATCCTTGAGCGAGACTACAATGAATTGTGAACCCTTGAACCGCGTCTTAATGAGGCGACCGATGTTTTGTGTATGCGACATATCCAAAGCCGCATCAACCTCGTCCAGAATGTACATAGGCGCAGGCTTGAATTGCAGAAGGGCCATGATGAGGGAAAGGGCAACCAGTGATCTGCAATTTGTTAGCCTCAAGCCACAACCACCGTGCTACAGAGATTGGAAGTCACATACCTTTGACCACCTGACAACTCCGTCAAACTTTGCTTCCACACCTTGCCCAGGCACACCTTGACCTCGAGACCCTCGTTGATGGTCTTGCCCTCTGGCGGGTCAAGCTTTGCGAAACTTCCACCAGGCAATAGCTCTGCGAAAATATTTCCAAAGTCCCCATTTACCTTTTCCCAAGTCTGGAGGAGAGCTTTCTTCTTGTAATCGTCTAGACTGACAATTGTCTCTTCGATCTTGCGCTTATCTCGGATGACCGTCTTCATCATGTGTTTCAAGGAAACCTCTTTTTTCTCGACCGAGTCAATCATGTTCATGACCTTGGGGTTGATCTTCTTCTTCATGCCCTGGAAACGATCGGTGAGTGTCTTGAGGGTCGACTTGCACTCGATGATGTTTTGACCCTTGAAGTCGTATGGTGTGCCGGTGCGACCAAAGTTATCCTTCTCGTCCGCGATCCACTCATGTGCGTGCTCCATGCGCTCGAGTTCTTGTTTGGCCTGCTGCTGCTCCTTGTGGAACTTCTCCACGGTATGACCTAACTTTTGCATCTCAAGGCCTTCCTCGGCGATACGGGAGTTCTTGGAGCGAGTTGCCTCCTCTAAAGCACGTAATTCGTCGTCGAAAAGAGTAAGCTTGGCTCGTTCGTCGTCCAATTGCGCTTGAGCTTCGTCATGTGTCTCTTGCAGTGTAGATTGCTTCTTGATAAGCTCTTCAACCTCTTCGTGCTGGGACTTGATAGCAAGCTCGACTTCTTGGAGCTGCTCTCGCGCCGCAGCAAGATCGCCGGAAACTTGCTCAGAGTCTAACTGAGCACTCTGGAGCTCCTTCTGGAGACTCTTGACGGCTGTCGAGTTCTTTGCTAGCGTCGCTCTCAGCTTATCCAACGAAGCCTGAAGCTCGACTAGCTTGGAATCTTTGTTGTTCTCAAAGTCCTTCATATCCTTCTCAATACGCTTGACATCCGCGCTAGCCTCGACTTGACGTTTTTTCGCTTCTGTACTATTCGCCTTGAGCTGAGCAATCTGTTCTTTCATGTTCTCAACCTCCTGTATAATGGAAGAGGACGAGTTGCCACTGATCTGTTCTTGGGCAAGCTTGATTTCATGGGTCTTGAGGTCGAAGTCTTGTTTAATCTTACGCGCTTGATCAAGCTTAGCCTTCTCATTTGCCATCTTTCCATGAAGACTAGACAGCGATAGTTGAGCATCTCGGAGTTGTCGATTAATTTCGTTGAGCTTCTGGAGAGTAACGAGGACACCACTGGAGTTCGGCGAGCTGCCACCAGAGAGTGTTCCTGAAGGGTCGTAAGAGTCACCTTCAAGAGTAATACTCCTCATTCTCACATTGGGATCAAATGTCACTCTTTTGGCGGTCTCTGCATCTTCACAGACAAGAGTATTGCCGAACACGAACTCCATCGCTGCGGATACTTCATCATCGTAGCCAACCAATGACAAAGCCAGGTTGACTTTGCCAGGCGCAATTCTTTGGGCAGTGGCAATGGTCTGTGCCGATGCCTTGAAAGCCGAGATTTTGTTAAGGGGGATGATGGTGACTCGCTTTCGTAGCTTGCCTCCTTGAAGTAATTGGGTACCGGTGACTTCAGTATCAACAACCACGTTGTATAGGCGGCCGCCAGCACAGATCTCTAGTGCCTGCCCAGCCCGTGTGTGTACTTTGTCGAGGGTGAAAAGCTGGGCAACGAGACCTTTGACCTTCGAACGGTCAAAATTAGGCGTAGGGTCAGCGTAGTTGAAATCGATATTGGCCACCTTACGCCTAAGGGCATCCGCTTCCTGTCTCAGATTGCGGATAGATTGCTGTAATGTCGACTCTTGCTTGTACATATCCTCTTCTTGGCCTGGCTCGAAGCCAAGCTTTGCCCATTGCGACTCAAGTTTTTGTGATTGAGCTTGAAGGCCTTCGATGTCCTTGAGCAGCGACGCGTTTTGCTCCTTTGCTTTCTTGGCGCGGGGTTCTTCCTCCTTTATCCTCTTTTCAAAATGGATGATCTTGAGTTTTGCTTGTTCCTGCTCTGTAGAGGCAGCTGCCGCTCTGTTTCTGGCGTCTTGTAGTTGACCCTGGTAACCGCTTTCTTGACCTTCCTTGGATGCAACACCGGTTTGTAGTGTTTGCAGCAATTCCTCTTTCGATTCTGCCTCTTGGTGTTGCCTCAGATCTTCCTCCTTGGCGGTGTCGTACTTCGTCTTGATTTGCTCGTAAGCTTCAGTCTTTTCCTTCAACAAGGCTTCGAGTTCGGCAACATTTCGCTCCACTGACGACTTGCGTTCCTCCTCTTCAGTCTTACTTGAGTTCTTCAAGTCCATGACAGTCGCGAGACGAACGAGCTCGTTTGAGTGCTTCTTGACTTCTTCTTCAAGCGCTCTGGCTTTGCCGCCCTTCTTGAGCTCCTTGTCCCGCTGCGACTTTACCTTGTCGACCTCTTCTTGGAGATTTGCGATTTCGCTCTTTAATCTGGCAGCCGAATCTTCAAGATCTTGTCGTCGCTGCTTCTTGTTCTCCAGGTCTGTGCCAGACTGCGCTAGTCTTTCCCGATATTTGATGTAGTCGTGAGCCACAACGACCCTGGTCAACCTCTCGAGGTCGTTTTGTGTTTGTTGAAAGTCCAAGAAAGCGCGCTTCTCTGTCCGTAACTTTTCGAGCTTTGGTTCAATCTCATCGTTTAAAAGCTCCTTGAGTTCTTGCAGTTTCATCTCCTTCTTGGCCATGGTCTTGAGCGCCTTGTCCCTCCTGTCTTCAAACATTCGTGTGCCGGCTGCTTCCTCAATCATGGCGAGAATCTCAACCGCCTTCATGTTTAAGACTTTTGTGATCCGACCCTGCATGATCAAGAAGTTGGGATTGTTGATGTTGAGTTGAACTGACTGGAAGAGGTTCTGGACTGTTTGTTGCTGTGCTCGGTGACCATTGATCAGGTACTTGGTTGTGCCTCCAAGGACGATCTGTCTAGTAACACTGATAGTCGCATATTCCTCGAAACCGATCGGCGACTTCTTCTTATCCCTATTATCGAAGACAATCGTGACGCTCGCTTTCGTGACACCTGCTTGACCTCGCTTGTAGATCAGGTCCTGTGTGTACAGAGTCAGCATTTGCAGACCAACTTTTCGAGGATTGGGGCGGGCGTACCTGTAGGTTTTGCGCTCGCACCGTCGTCAACTGTGTAATGCCGAGAACGAAGCAAATCGCATCGAGAATATTTGACTTGCCCGAACCGTTCAGCCCGGTGATTGAGTTGAAGCTTTCATCCCTATGCGACCTTGTCAGCGCTGTCTGAACACATGCCCAGAATGTGTGCCTTACCATCCTGATATGACCGTTCGCACGGCATACGACTTGAAGCCGTCTATGATCAGCTCTATAACCCTCATGTTGTCGGCGGGGTGTCCGTTGCTGCTGATCTGACTGCTGTGTTTGTTAGTACATTGGTATGACTTCAACTCCTCGCTGCCCGGAGCCCACCATAGACACTTTTGCATAAAGATCAGTACGCGTTTATTTACCAAATAATGCGCCCACCAATCAGCACGGCCATAGCTCTCGCGCACAGATCATTTGTGGCCGACCTGTCGCCAGGAGCCCATGTGGGGTAGCTTACAGCCCAGCGGTGAGATTCTGCCGGGCGGTGGAGGTCGGCAGTAAGTTACCGCTGCCGAGGGTTGTTACCTGGGCAATTGCTCCCAGCCCGTAGAACTGCTTCAACCTTAGCTCTGTTCGTCACACTTTTCCCTACCCTATGGTTGAGATTTGCTAATGGAAGATATAGTCTTTGCCTTTTGGGTATGCTGTCCATTACTTCCCCGTGTCTTTGTAATTTCGCTGACTCCTTTACAGCTTAGATCAAGGTCGGTTTGCCGTTTCCGCCTGGGGCATTATCCAGCTAACAACCCTACAGTGTAGTATCTGTTGTGAGTTTGCACGACCTTGTGCTTCGTGGCACATGAATCTAATACCTCGACAGCTTTTCAGTTTAATATCTGAAATTTCCTAATGGAAAATGAATATTAAAGTTATTTTTATCTCCTAGGGGCCGTCCTCTGAGCTTGCTCATGATGGCTTTCGCTGTGTCCTTGGCCCCTCACTATAGCCTCGTTAACGCAAAAACCTCATCATTGCAGCTTCCAACCCGCTTGGGAATGTGAAGATGATCGCTTGTTCGCTGCCTTGGGACTTGTCTATGGGGGCAGTTCCCCACGTGTCCTTGGTCCCCTCGATATTTATCACAGTTTGTTTCATTGAATGTGGTTTGAGTGAGCCACATGCGGCAGTATATGTCTAATATAGCAAGCTTCTCCCAGACTAGTCTAGAATTTGGGTATGCTAGGTATGATAAGATGCAAGCTATAGACAAAGATTGGCGAAGTCACACAAACTCAACCTGCTTAGCTGTGATAGCCAGCCCAATAGCCCCTCGCGAATGCTTGCACCTACAACTCGAGACGGGGTGCTCACTGTTGGCGTACTCAGTCTCAGACAGCAACGCATAGGAATTCTCGTCCACGGAGGTAACAATTGTTCAGTGTCAACATCTAACATGATTGTAGTTGAAGTTCCCGCTCGAAATCTATACGTTTACATACGGAGTAAACTGTCCATGTTCAGATATCATGACTGCCTCTGAAGCCTAGACTAGTCTAGTCCATAATGTATATGATCGGTGCCAGTAAAGGCCGATGTCGTCCCCCTGCCGGACCCGGACCACGATATTACAGTAGCCAGATCCCAGCTCGCCAAGCCTCCACGCCACGCGACAGCTTGATTGCAGTCCATTACCAACTCGTTACTTATGTACTGAGGTCATTTAGCACATCGTCGCTTTGTCTCCTACACAATAACCCTTCCTCCGTTCAACACACTTCTACCACCAGCCGCCACCCCCCAATCTCACCATTTAAAGCCTGTGCTATCAACTACCGAGCAGAGTGCATCCAATTAAACATGGCAGATGAACAGATCTCGGTCTCGTCACTTATCTTTATTGTAGTAATCTCCGGTCTAGCAATCCGGTACTTCTTCTTCTCCGCATCTTCGTCCTCGCAAACAGGACAGAGACAATCAGCACGCGATGCAGCTAGCGCCGCGAGAGCAAGGGAAGCCGCCGTCGAGAGGATACAGCAGATGTTTCCCCAGGTAGACCGCCGGACGATACTGTGGGATCTGCAGCGCACAGGAGGCAGCGTGCAGAGTACGACGGACCGTATCCTGAGCGGAAGAGTCTCGACCGTGAGTCATTGTTCTAGCAGCACATTTCCCCGGGTCGTCCACTCGTGCCCCGTCATCACTAATCCCCTGCCAGCGGGCAAGGTGACGAGGTGACAAACATCGGACTAACAAGTTCATTACAGCCCCCCATCACCTTCCAACCCCCACCGCCGCCGAGCTCTCCCACACCTCCCACGCAGACACAAGCGGCGAAAGCCCCGGGCAAGCCGGCAGAGCCCGACCTGATCACCCGGTACAATTTGCAGAGCAAAGTAAGCCAGGTGGACGATGACGCTACGAACGACAAGAAAGGCTGGAGCTCGAATAAGGACGACCGCCAGTCAGCACTGCAAAGAAGGAGGGACGAGATGATCCTGGCGGCAAGACGAAGAATGGAGGAGAAGATCAAGGTTGAGAAGGAGGCGGGCAAAAGCTCATGATGGACGCAGCATTCCTTGATGGTGCAGTGCCCGGACTCGGGAATACCTAGCCCGGCAGTGAACAGACGTGATATTTGCCAAACCTGGTACAACGCGCAAGCCATGCAACTCATTGACACTTGGCCATACTCGCATTAATATGTCAGCCACAAGTCCGAGTAAAGAATACCCAGAGATATTATGTGATAATCTCGAGTTGGAACCCATTGACGACAGGTCTACACATTTCGTAGCGGAAGATGATGGTGTGACCATTGCTGCTCAAGGAGGACTTGGAGTGGTGTGGTCGAGTCTGTAGAATGAAAATTGGACAAGTTCATTGTTTAGAGTCTCATGCTCTGTGGTCGATCATTCGCTTCTCCGTCTTCAGCGGCGGCGTGGTGCTGTATCTTTGCCTGGATTTTCTTGACAATACCAAGAATTAATATTGGTAGCATCTTGTGAGCAACATCTATCCGGCCTGTTTGAGCAGATATATAGTTGGCGAATTCGCACAGGTAGCCGAACCTGGAGATGCCCAGGGACTAAACACGAGAGCTCGCATAAACGCAGAGGTGCCTAGCATCAAGCATTGGTGAGAGAACACTCATCTTGGCTATACCATGCTTTTGGATTCCTTTCCACGAAGATCAAATCCCCTAGCGGCTTGTTCTTTTATTCCAGGGTCTAGTGGTGGTTGTCTCATGGGCAGCCAATTGCGGGTATGCATAATACATTTTTGTATCCGCCCAAGGGAGGACTATGTCCATCGAAATGCAATGTTCTATTCGCTGTATGATGCTATCCTAGCCAAATCTATAATTCTATACGCCCAGTGATGCTAATTTCATGATTTGCGTCCCTATTCAACGCCACATTGCCTCCAAGTTTATGTAAGAAGTCATGCAACCGTGCCGGCAATATGCTCGACCGGAACATGCCATGCATAGGCGTCCAGGTTGTGAGAAAGGCCATTGGCTATAGATCTGTCCTAACGGGGATGAGCAGTTTTGGCGTTATTGGCGGCCAAATGATTTTCATGTTCTGGGCTGTTCCTTTCTTGTATCCTGCTGCCGGATATGGTCCATACCTTGCCCGTACCCATCTTCTATCCCACTGAGAACGCTGTCCATGGTCCAGGAGACAACATGTCCGAAGCGGCCATCGTTCATCGCATTAACCCAGGCGGTGAATACAACTCCATGTTTCACAGCCGCGTTTACTAATCCGTACCCGTTCGTTGTAAGCCATTGGATTATACTGTACTCTCGCTCCAAGTAAGCGCCAATCCGACATGCTGAGAGCAGGAAACTCCAGAGCACATGAGCGTATATAACAAAGACGACGACGGCGTACTTCACGGTGTCGGCCAGGAACGTCCTGCCCCTATCCGTGGGGCGGGCAATGGCGATTTGTGGCGCTGGATGCGGCTGCTCTGCAAGCCAAGGAGCTGCACAGCGAAGTTTGAGGGTTTCACCATGATCAAGCTGATCTGGACAAGCCCGCAAATAATACGCGACCGCATCTATGTAGGCATCACGTTCAAAAGACGGATCATGTCGCTCGTTGGATGCGTCCGCTGCAAGTTGTGCACCTGTGGGCTGTGTTAGTTGTTAAAGTTCCACAATCACATGTCAGGCGCTATAGCAGCTTAAAAAGAACGAATATCGGGCGCAACATACCTTGGCGTGCGTATCTCCACTTAATGCCGGAGGGTGACCATCGCTGATCGACGGCATCGTGAGGATTTCCGTTGAACTCACGCGGCAGGCGTGGTTCGCGAGTAGGGAGTTTGCGATCATATGGCTGCATTCGCGATGACGGTTCGAGCAATCGCCGATTGTCCAGATTCCGTCTTGTGTCTACCTCCTTCACATATCGCAAGAATTGATTTGCTGCGAATAGGTCAGCCTCTTAATCTCCTCTTACCAAAATGGCCAAGTTTCCAAGAAGAATCCAGAAGCTTTACTAGGCATTTATAACCCCATGAAGACACTGGGCAACTTGTAGAAGGCCCAAAGACAAATCAGACTATATATGACTACAGTACTCACCCAGTTGCTCGTAATGCACATTGCTCGGTGCTTCTTGGTCTTCCATGGCGTCTTCTGGGTACGCCTGATGATCCTCGCTTGTCATGATGGACGATAGTGAGGTCGATGCCGAGTGGCGGCTGAAAGTTGATGATGCGGATTCGGAAGAGGATGAATCTGTCGAATCAGCATAACTACCAACGTTACTGCTGCTGCTGCTGCTTGCACTGGCAAATATAGACGTAAACCTTGAACGGCGTGTTTGTTGTGGTTGTTGGTCATTACGAGACGTGCCACTCGTAACAGCAGACTGCATAGATCTGAGTAATTTGAGCTGCGCGGGCATTGTAGGCAACCTGGATTGCAAGGAAGCAGGCAGCATGCCAAAAACCTGCAGGCCGTAGTCGTCCACTGATTCCATAATCTTGTTGAGAAGGTAAAGGGAGGCACTTGGTTGTGCGCGCAACCTTGTTTTAAGGGATACGGACGCAGTATGTGCTTATAAACTTGACAGTGCCAACAGGTTTGAAAAATGTTGATTCTCTCATTGACGTACAGACTACATACAAAAATAGCTCGAAAAACCATGGGCTTGACCAGGGTAAAGTCGGAACTCATAAGGCTAGGCCATGGACTACATGCAACGATGAAACTCAAAGGGCCCTTGCACATGCTGGCTGGGTTGTGGTTGTGGTTACCAAAGAGCTCCTTCCAGGGGGTCCAGTTTAAGGTTTAGATTTTCTTTAGAGGTCCTACTGTATACTATCATACGAGCAGTGAAAACGTCGGCCATGTTGAGAAGAAAAGCACCCCGAAACAACGAGCACTCACGGGTTCTGCCAGGCCGAGGGGCAGTTGCTTCGCCAAAGGTGAGGGGCAGCATCACTTTTCTGATATTGCAACTATTCGCGTACAATTACGTGGGCGGACTTGGTTAAGGTTGGGAATTCACGAGACGCTTCAACTTAAGAAAGTTGCCGAGCACTCTCTTGCTCTTTGCTCGGCATGCGTATCACCTGGTACAAACGATAACGATACGCCTCGTGAGGCGCAGATTGAACAGGTGCAAAGAGGACAATCTCATAGTTAACTTAGGTAGCCGATTTCCACTGCAGTCGAGGGCTGTCAAATTGCTGCACTGGAACCAAAACCAGTCGACCCAGACTCCATAGCAGCAAAAGCAGCTAGACAAGCTGCAAGAAATTTCGCCAAATAAGCCACTCAAGTGTTATATACAGAGCCAATGTACACTTAAATCCCGAGTTTCAGGTATGGGCGCTGGCTATGTCGACGTTGTCGTTATCTTTGGCGCATGTTCAAGGACACTTGCCTGAAGTCTGTATTCTACTGTAGTTATGCTAGGTTAGGTTAGTCTAGTGCGATGTGTGATCATAACTTATCAGTTTCTCCATTGCCACGGCGGACATCATGCTTGGTAGCTCGATGCAAGATAGCCTGGCTTCCTGGGAGATAATTGGTTCAACGATTGCCTGGCTTTGAGCTCAGCTTATGGCATAGCGCAAACGTCGGCGTTGACATGATCTTGCAGATGAGATGCTTAGTGTAGATTCATTCGAATGGTTTGTAGGCATGTACGGAGTACGGAGTACTGCAATAAGAATGAGTGGGCAGCGAGGTGAACTCGGAATGTCGGGTGGATCCAAGGACGCTACTTGTGCAGATTGATTGGCTTGGAACAAGCGACCTGCAGTTTGTAAGGGGCCCGAAAAGCGTCGCAAAAAAGGGTCCTGGTTTGTTCCATATGGACCGTGCCCAAAAAATTTCATTGACGCAGGCGAAAGTCGAGGCAAATGGAACCCGATAAGGATTGCTTCTATCGCGCGAGAGAAAGAGAAAAAAAAAGTTGTTTTCTCCCATTCTCGTCTTGTTCCACATCCTGTAAAACAGGAAGAGACTACTTCCAACGATCGCCCTCAGTCCATTCATTTACTGTATTTACGAGGTCTACTGGTCTTCTCTTCGCTTTATTTAATATCTATTTGCCATGTTCAAGGCATCTTTTCCGCGACACGCCCGTCTGGGCAATGTCGCCCGTCGCCAGCTCTCGACCATCTCATCTTTGCGGCCTGCCCTGCGCATTCAGTCGCTTGAGCAGCAACAACCCAGCACAGCCCGCCTATCTCTGCGACCCAGCCTACTAAAAAACCTAGCCCCCAGGTTCTATTCTGCTGAGGCTGTTGCTGAACAGGAGAGCAGCCATGTCTCCGAGCCCAGCGTTAGTTCTGAACTCATCACAAAATTCGCCGATCTCAGTCGACTAGGTGTCCACGAGAAGCTCATCTCCTCCATCACCGAGGGCATGGGATACAAAGAAATGACGGATGTGCAGTCTTTGACAATTAACCCAGCCCTGCGCGGCACAGATTTGTATGTGAATCCCAAACTGCCATGTCCTAATGTTTGACAGTCTTACTGACTACGTTTTTCAACAGGGTCGCACAAGCCAAAACCGGCACTGGAAAGACTCTCGCTTTCTTGGTCCCCGTTCTGCAACGCTTATTACAGGAACACCCCGAGCTCGCAAACCGAAATGCTTCCCGCCAAGCCTCGGTCGGTGATGTCAAAGCCATTATTATGTCGCCCACCCGTGAGTTGGCCGAACAGATTGGAGTCGAGGCCAGGAAACTAGTCAGGAATACCGGTATCGTTGTCCAAACTGCCGTCGGTGGAACAAGAAAGCGGGAGTCTTTATACAAGATGCAGCGCGAGGGTTGCCACATTCTGGTCGCCACACCCGGTCGTTTGGAGGACATTCTTTCCGATCGCGAGACTGGAGTGGCCGCCCCCAACCTGAAGGCTTTCGTTCTCGATGAAGCTGACCGTATGCTCGATGTCGGATTCTCCGATGCGATCCGTAATATTCTTCAACTCGTGCCACCCATCAAGGAAGTCGACCGCCAAACCCTATTGTACTCGGCAACAATTCCCCGCGATGTCGTGCATTTGGCCAAGACCTTGGTCAAGACAGATAATTTCGAGTTTGTTCAGACGATTAACCAAGACGAGGCTCCTACTCACGAGCGGGTTCCTCAGTACATTGTGCCATGCGCTGGTTACGAGAACTGGTTCCCTTCCATCCTCGAGATTGCAAACAAGGCTACCGAGTTGGCCAAGACCAACCCAGAGGCTCCTCCTTTCAAGGCCATAGTTTTCTTCTCCAACACTGCTACCGTCGAATTCGCCTTCAGCGTCTTCTCCAACACGTCACTTGGCCGTACAAACGGTTTCCCCATCTTCGACATTCACTCCAAACTTTCGCAGAGCCAGCGTACCAGAAACGCAGATGCATTCCGTCGCACTAAGAGTGGTATCCTGTTCTCATCTGACGTTACCGCCAGAGGTATGGATTTCCCCGGTGTGAGTCACGTCATCCAAGTGGGCTTGCCTCCGGACAGAGACCAGTATATCCACCGTGTTGGACGTACTGGCCGTGCCGGTGCCGGTGGAGAGGGCTACCTTCTTTTGGCCAAGCCGGAGATTGACGAAGCCCGAGCACGTTTGCCAGGTCTGCCCATCAAGCCCAACCACGATATCGAGGCCGCGAAGCTTGACCTGGCCAGTGATGAGCCATCTGAGGAAGTAGCCAAGTATTTCCAGGACGTCGAACGGGGTTATGGAAGAACCCGCCCCTACGAGTTCAATGGTGTCTACCACGCTCTACTTGGCCAGAAGTTTGGCCGAAGACTCGATGCAGGAGATGTTGTTCAACTGCTGAACAACTGGTCTCAGCTGGGTCTGAAGAGGGAGCAAGTTCCTGCCATCAGCCCCAAGAGCGCCAACAACCGTGGTCTTACAAGAGTTCCCGGTATCAGGATTGGCCACGATGATGAAGCACCCCCGCCTTCCGATCGCGGCCGATCCGGTGGCAGAGGAGGCTTCGGTGACCGAGGTGGTCGCGGCGGTTTTGGCGACCGAGGCGGCTTTGGTGACCGAGGTGGCTTTGGCGACCGAGGCGACCGCGGCGGCTTCGGCTCCCGAGGAGGAAGCAGAGGCAACTCCTTTGAGGATAGCTTCTCTTCCGCAAGGAGCGATCGTGGTGGCAGCCGTGGTGGCAACCGTGGTGGAAACCGTGGCCCCCGACCCTCGTTCTGAGGGAGAAAGAATTACTAGTTCATGAGGCGTTCTGGAGATCCTCATGTGTCACACCTATTCGATTTGGGCCTTTTCCGGTGTTTTAGTAATTGAGAGCGAGTACTTGTAAATTATTGGCAGCGTGGGGAGGGGCTGCCACAGGTCATTGTATTACAATAGGGGATCAATCTCCGGAATCTCTGGCGAGAGCTGTATCTTTATTGTCATGTCGTTTGGCGTCAAGGGACTGTATAAAACGGATTGGGTCAAACAATGGCATCTCAACGATTCCAGACTGGGAAATCTCTACTTTACACATGTACGATGGAGAACGAGGACTGCTGTTGCAGTCACGCCTAGTATATGTACTTCACGTACTCGATTAATTCAAAAGAAAGTAAAAACGCGCTCGCCTTGCCTCAAAGAATAGTGTGCCATTACATAGCTATGTTGCATCAGTGTGCGGCAGTCCGACCATACTGTGGGCGTCTCGGAACCGCCGAAGTCAGCATTGCTACATATTATGGACAAGACGGCGGCATTTCGATATTCAATGGTCCTCGTTCAATCTGACCAAGCGGCCAGAGAGTCCGAGAAACCACCCCAGAGCCAAAGACAATGACCGATCGTCCCCACAACGCAATTTGTTCTTCTGCCATGGGCCATGGCGCCAGGCAACAATATTGCTTCACTAACCCATGAGTCAGCTTCATGCACCTCATTCAAGGAAACGTACGTTGCTTCACACATGGTGAGATCAACTGAGGCCGACCTGGAGCTGCATCAAATCCCACGGACAACTCGGGTATTCTCAGTACTACCGTGTGAGTCACCTGATAGCGCGGCAATATCGTGTTTAATTTCCTAACCCGCATGAATGGATATCTACAGGGCACGCGGCGCGAGCCAGTCAGGACAAACTCTCAAAGCCACTGACGGCTGAGCGCATGTGCTCAGCTGTCTCTCCAACAAAACCAATCCCCGCATCTACTGTAAGCGATCGTAGCTTCCTCAGGTGTTTGTGGATCGGTCGGTTTGTGAAGCTCAGCGTCTAAGAATCAGGCAGAAGTCTGTCTCACTTTTTTATTTTTTATTATCGAGGCGGTCAACAAAAATTTCAGTTTGATATGAAACGGTAATGTGGTGGTTAGCTTACACATGTAGGGAGAATTCAAGTATAAGACGAAGTTTGTGTCGCTCTGATTTTTGACAGTGTCGCAACCCCATGTTTCTTTCTATGGTAAATCCCATTGCCTTAATTCGTTTCACTTGTCCAAAACACGACAACAACCACAATACAAACGAGTTCCTCTTAAGTCATCATATTATTCTCCCCAACCATCAACATGGCTGACCAAGCAGCGCCACTGAAGACTTACCGTGGCAACTGTCACTGCAAGGCACACGTCTTTGAGGTCAGACTTCCGGAACTCAAATCGCTATACTCCTGCAACTGCAGCTCGTGCACCAAAAAGGGTATCCTCTGGTGCTACCCCGAGAAGCAAAGTGACTTTACCTGGATCAGAGGCGATGAAGGCAGTCTGGCCGACTATGCCTTTGGCAAGAAAGGCATGCACTACAAGGTGAGGCGGATACGAGAGAGGAGCATGGAGGCAGGGGAATATGTGAATTGATGAATTAATTTTTTGACAACATTAGTTCTGTCCTACATGCGGGGTCTCCCTGTTCTGCATCGGCTATTTCGAGCCTCCCCAGCCAGGCGAGGAGAAAAACCCAGCTTTTGCTCTGAATGTAAGTCAAGCTTCTCTCTCTCTCTCTCTCTCTCTCTCTCTCTCTCTCTCTCTCTCTCTCTCTTGCGCGCGTTGGACTTTGTGAGTACGTACTGAAGCAAGAAACAAAAGGCACGAACGTTTCAAGACCTGGACATCTGGAGCCTCGAGACTAAGCTGTAAGTGGCCAATATAACCTCTGAAGCTGCGTCCTTGCCCTATAACTGATCCCGCATCGCCAGCATGGACGGTGCATCATACGGTGCCCCCTTCAAACCAGCCAAGTACGCCGGTCACCCGCCGCAAGCTGCGCCGGAGAATGCATCAACATATCATGGAAGCTGTCACTGTGGTGCTGTCAGAGTTGCCATGAACTCGTCTCCCCTAGGCGAGACGCATGATGGCCGCGTGGTTGAATGCGACTGTAGTATCTGTGGTCGAGTAAGTATCCTTTCTCTTTGGGCCATCTGTCTTGGTGGCCACCGCAGGTGTTAGTGCGTGGAAATACTGACACGTTACAGTACGGCGCGATCTGGGCATACCCTCGCGAAGAATACGTCGCCTTCGAGGGCGAAGAGAACTTGAGCTACTACAAAATGGGCAACGGCCTCTTCAACAAGGGCTTTTGCAGAGTTTGCGGCGTTCCCGTGGAGAATAAGGCGGTATCGATGAGCGAGGAGCAAAAAGCCGCCTTGTCAGAGGTTCACCGATCCTGGCATGATCGCGGACATGTTTACCGCGGTCTCAACTCGAGGGTGTTGAACGATGTGGACTTGGGTAAGTTGAAGAAGGAGCGTGTTTATGGGTGGAAGGGCATCCCACCACAATACGAGAACCCTTGAGATCTGAGGTCTGAACGCTTGAACCAGGTCTATAGATTGCATAACAAGGTGTCAACGAGAGCTGCGCGTTTCTACGATCAATCGCATCGACTAAGAACCGTTTCATTACATCATATCTATGCTCCCTCATTTCGTGCTAATATCGATGGTCTCAAGGCTCACGTGCAGAAACCGCCGCCGAGTTTTGTGGCCCCTTTTTGTATTTATCCTTATCCCAACTCGGGTTGCCGTTGTCGTCGAAATCCGCCCACTGGAAGAATGAACAGTTTTCCTTTCCTGGAATATAACCGCCATGACACATCCAGAAATACTTTCCATAGTTTTCTTTTCTCTTCTGCACCACTTTGAGCACGGCCGGGATGCTACACTTGCATTTCGGTGTAAACTTTGGATGCAAGTTCGCCTTGTAGTCTCGATAGGTGACATTAATCCTCCGGTTGCCAGCTATTGGATGCGGGTCGATCGCCTGTGCGGGCGCGATCGAATGTTTCCACTCTTCTTGCATCTCTGCATGCATGACTAGCAACGAGTTGTGCGGGAGGTGAATAGCAATTTGGCCTTCCAAGTCTGCGTCCTCGGAACCGCTGTTATTGGCGTCTTTAGGAACAACCCTTCTGACACGGAATTCTCGTGCAACTCCTAGGGAAAGAGAGCCGATGACAGCTCGCGGGCCTAGATACGTGAGCTGATCGCTGTGATAACCAACGTTCTGCTGCGGACCGTCGTAGCAGTTCACAAAAGCAGCATTTGGCTTCCACGTGTCAGGGGATTGGAATCTGAGCTTCTCTCGATTGGGATACTTGGTTTTGATGCGCTTTTCTATCTCTTTGTTGACGCCTTCCTGGACCAAAGGCTTCACTCGAAGGAGCTCTGCGGTGATTCTCCTGACATCCTAGGTCCGCCTTTAGTTGTGATATTTGAGGGTAGAGCTGATCCGTCTCACTAACCGTCAGCCTCGCGCCATTATAGAAGTACTCATGCTTCTGAATATTGAGTTCCTCGTCCGTCTCCACGTAGAAGGTAGAGGTATGCGGGCTTTGCACAACATTGTCAAAGAGCTTGAAGGTTATCTTTTCAAATGTGACAGACTCTTCTAGCAACTCTCTGAGAAGATCGTTTGCAACGTCTGATGGCAGGAAGTTATGAATGATACTGCATGGCGTATGTTGAGCGATGTCATACGGATCATACAAATGAAGTGTTGCACCTCTCTTGGACATCGACTTGGCCTTCTTGGGCGATGTGAACTGCGGGCCGTCTGATGGAGCAGAGGAGTAGAGTCTCAAAGATGTTTGTGGGCCAAGGACGGCTCGATTTTGGGATTTCCTGTCTTCCCTGGGCGGTTCGTAGCTCAAGGCTCGCGATGCCGCATCCACAGATCCGTCGTGCTCGAGGAGGCACTCAAGCAGTGCCTCCTGGCCGACGTTCGGAAACAAAGAGGCTAGAATTGCCAGTTTGACGTCGGTTGATTCGTTTTCCTCACCTGGTGGCTGTTCTGATATCGACCCTGATTTCCGTTTCTTCCCCTTCAGCCATGCCTCCATGGTGATGGCGAGGAGGTGAACTCTCTCGATATGAGATTTGGTCTCGTGCGGCACATCACGTATGTATGTGTGCTGTGACCTCCCGAGGCCTGGAAAGCTTTCATGTATGGCGCGTAGAATGTTTACATGTACTTTACAGAGTGAGAGATTCTTGTTTTAAAGATTTGCGAGGGCATCTATCTAGTCTGACTAGACTAGTCTAGAGTAGACTAACCTCAGTATTGACGATGACATGACAGCCTGTGAAAAGACCTAGGTTAACCTAGACTGCCCTAGAGCTTAGCTGCATCCCCCGGGGCCTAAGGTCTAGGGTCTCGGAGCTTGTCGCCAGTGGGATGAACCCCCCCGTAACATCCATGAATTTCATCAGAATGGATGCCGAGGCCCCCGCCCCTCGGCTCAAATGCCACCCCAGAGTCCATTCCAAGTCAGACAACCTTCCAACACCTCAAGGTGTCCATTCACCATCTTCAAGCATCTTGCACATGTTGTCTTGCCTTCACCTGCCTTAGCTATGGAGGCGCCTATGCTGGAGTTCCGGACAGCCGGCTTCAACCCATATGCAGTGAAATACTCGCCCTATTACGACTCGCGCATAGCTGTCGCATCGGCCGCCAACTATGGCATTGTAGGAAATGGGCGGCTGTTCTGCTTAGCTTTGGGACCGCAGGGGATACAAGTCGAGCGAACGTTCGATACCAATGACGCTCAGTATGACCTCGCCTGGTCAGAGGTCAACGAGAACCAACTGCTGGTAGCATGCGGCGACGGCTCCATCAAGCTATACGATACGAATGTTCCCGACTTTCCTGTAATGAACTTCCACGAACATAAGCGCGAAACATTCTCGGTGGCATGGAGCCCGGTCACAAAAGACACCTTCGCCTCCAGTTCGTGGGATGGTACGGTAAAGATTGTAAGTCCAAGTGCTGTAGGCGGAGCATAGCTTCCAATTCTGACTTTGCCTTCTCCAGTGGTCACCGGCAAGGAAAGACTCGATCAAGACACTTCCCGTCGGCAACTGTACATACAGCACCTCGTACTGCCCCTCGAACCCCAACATAATATCCGCTGTCTCGACAGATTCACATCTTCGTATCTTTGATCTACGGACACCAATAAACGCTCAATACCACCTCGTCAATAAAATACCCGTACATGCAGCACCCCCTGTGCCACTCCCCCCAGGGATAGCACCGCCTGCAATGCCCGCCGAGATTCTGACACATGACTGGAACAAGTACAATGATACCGTCATCGCAACGGGCGGTGTGGATAGAGTAATACGCACGTTTGATATTAGAGGTACCACTCAAGGCCCGACATCGCTCATGACGGGACATGACTATGCGATTCGAAGGCTAGCATGGAGTCCTCATGCCCGCGACATCTTGATTAGTGCAAGTTACGACATGACTGTAAGGGTGTGGACGGATGGATCGACCATGTCGGGACCACACGAGGGCTCTTCGCCTATCAAACCTGGGGTACAGCTCGGCGTCATGAACAGACATACCGAGTTTGTCGTCGGTGTGGACTGGTGTCTTTTCGGCGTTGGCGGGTGGGTAGCGACCGTTGGCTGGGACGAGAGAGTATTACTCTGGGATTCAAATAACCTGATTCGAGGAAGAGGATGAGTCTTGGGAGTTTGAATGCAGCGAGAACTTGGGTGGGCTGAGAGAAAGGGCTTCGACATGATGACAAGCTGTTCAGGCTCATATAGTCAGTCCCCTGCATAAAGCGGGACTTCAGAGCACTCAGAGCAGAGACAAAGGGTTCTACAAGAACCCTTTGTCTAATGTTGCAGGAGGCTACAAGATACCAAATGGTATCATATACTTCACGACAATTTTCAGGGAAGAGGCGGCAGCATTCCAGTAGCTGTTCGCACCTTGGAAAGATCGTCGAAAGGAATGCCCTCGGAGGACATGCTAGCCAGGACCAATTGGCACCGGCCCATGTCCTCTCGATACGGTATCTTGTTCAGGGTTCAAGTCAGTCACGAGAGCTATATACGATGGCAAATCCCAATCATACGAAGCGCATCTACATTCAAACAGGCTTCTGGAGATCTGCTTGGTTGGAAGTATATGATACCTTGCCAACCTCTACCAACTTGTATATACTTACCTGAGTCAAAGGCCCAACTTGGGCAACTCATAATGGCCTCTCGTATATGCGCACCTCCCTTGCGATAGCTTGCACAATTAGTGAATTCAACTTGTCCACTTCCGTGTTCTTGTCTACGCAGACAGAGTAATGTGCAGAGGTCAATTATAGCTTTGCTGTGAGATCATTTCCTCCACCCCTAGACAATGTGCAAACCAAAAGGCCTAAATCGATACTGAAATTTGCAAAGCCCAGCCATGAAACAAAGCCAGGGCGACAGCGAATTTACAAGAAAACAATGACCCTCCGTTGCCTCCGGGGCTGGTATGCAACGTCAACCCGCTATGAGGGAGTCAGTACAAAATCTCTTGGGAGAGGAGGGCTTCAACACGATTGGGGGATCTGGTGGTTCCTCTTGTCTTTGATACCAGTATTTGCGATCTTTTTTATGGACACCCCTTGATACACGGTCCCAAGACCGTCCCGAAAAGCCGCAGCCGAGCACAAGTTTTCAACATCATATAGGGTGTCAAAATATTTCTAGTACGTCCACAAACATTAATCATGTCCCGATCGGTTTGTGGGGTCGAACACATCATCCCACCACCTGGGTAGTCTTCTCCTTCTGGCAAGACTTGCCAGAGAGTACCAAGGCTGCTATCTCAGGCACGGCGTCTTCTCTCCTCGACAGCTTCAAGAGAACACAAAGTTATGAAATGAATTCTGACTAGCTGGATCTAAGAGATGATGTCGATGACTATATTCATGCCGGTAACGGTAGGACTCGAGGCAAACATGTCACTTGTTTTTTTATAAGCTGGGAGGTGGAATATCTCATGGCCCTCACGTAGCAAACAGCAATTTCGTTGATTGGGTGGGAAAAGCAGTTTATTTTTATTTCGTTCTTACGTTTACGGGTTTGACGGAAAGACCCAATCGCGAACATGAAAAACTGGAACTGCGGAAACAGCAGTGGCAGTACAAACTCTTTTACATTACCTTCTTTCTTTAAATTTTTTTTTAACTCGAGGGTTTATACATAACTCATAACTGCCCAGAGACCGCGGGGAAATGAACATTCCACACATTTTGTCCGCTTGCTGCTATTGCTCCTTTACTGCTTTCTTTCCCCATCGAGGCGCCTCCCTGGTTAAGTAATCGTGGATGGAGGTGACAGGCCAAAGAAATAAGACGCCAAGCCAGCAAAGAGCAGTGTTCCAAAGCTGCAAGAATTTCCAGACCAAACTAGCGCCGAACGGTGCGATGAACTTGAGCCACTCCTCCAATTGGTAGTGGTCCTCCTGGCCCTTAATAAACCAGCGCGTTGCCACAGTCTGGTCGCCAGGCGCGGTTTGTCCGTTGTTGAGTAACATGCGTCCATCCTGGTTGACTGGCAAGTTCACCAATGTACACACGGTAACCAGCTTGACATGGGCCTGCCACAGCGAGAAGGGGACGAACCAGAGTGTGAAAGTCTGGCGCATCGTGAGGTACAAGAGGTTGGCCTTCTGATCAAAGACGGTCGACTCGATGGTCAGGTCGATGTGCGGGCTAAGCACACGATACCATTGGTAGATGTATTTGAGAAGCCACAGGGAGTTGATTTCAGTGCCGAGGACCTTGGTGCCCGAGAAGGACGGGACGCGACAGAGGGGATGAACAAAGAAGGCGTCCGGAGTGAAGTAATCGTCAAGCGCGGCTTGCTGCTCAGCGATGGTTTGCGTGCACAGAGCCTCAATGACACCTCCGATTTGATGGACCGGATGATCCATAATTTGAAGATGCGAGCTACAGTGTGCAGGGCCTGGTTTCGAAGATAGTCGGCCGTTTAGTCAGAAGATTCACTCCCGAGCATGGATAGAGGTTTAATCAGCTGGGCTGTGAGCAATGTTGATGGTCATACTTTGAAGTGGCATCAATTACAGTAAGAAGCGATGGGTTTAAGCATGTGATGTCATTAGGTTTACGAAGGCTGCAGTAAGTTCGAGCATGTGAAACTCCACTAATAAGACAAGGTTCGTGCTTCTCTGTGCCCTCCGCCAAGTCCGGACCTGACGATCAACGGAACTCAATCCGTCTATGTACTTGTAGGAACGAAGCACTAACTAGGGAGACGAAGAAGTTAGTGCACCTGCTTGAAATGTCAAACCACGACACCACGAGGAATACATGACATGACAAGACAACTAGGAATTATGGATTGTATGAATGTTACCGGAAAAGGTTTATCTAACTTTTCGCATCTGTTGGTCTTTGGAATTTTCGACGAGCAAACTTCGGTGGCTACTAAGTTATGGGGCGTTTACAAAGACCAGAATGTGCGCACGGGCTTAGCCTGGACTGCTGTGGGATATAGATCAGGTCCTGTTTACTAAGTATTAGTGATTATAGAATGATTAAAACAGAGTAAGATGTCACTTCACTATCAATGTGCCCGACCTTTCTGTCCTCCGGCAACGATTGGGGTTTCGATTGAATCACGACCTGCTAGAACTCGAACTCAGAACATGTTCCGGAAGTAAACCCAAACAGCTGCAAAAGGAATGTATGGTATGGCCGTTGGACAAATTTGTAGTGTTCTAGAAAAACAATGGATATGGATATTCTTATAGGCAAGTTGGATCGTTTATTCTTTCCGCCTATAGCTTTTACCGTGTACTTCACTTCGAGCTTACCTTGTTAGATCATTGGTGCCTCATGAAGCGAAACATAACGTATGGAGTGTTCTAAGAATCCGTCTACATTACTAACCTTAGTCTAGGGCGAATCATTTGTTCTTTTCTAGATTTCTTTTAGATGATTGCCGTAAAAGACTTTCTAGACAAATATGATTGTAACGACTGGCCGAGCGGCTACTATGCACATCATTTCCCTCTCGTTGCGTATTGTGGCCATATACCATCAGATGTTCCAGCTCGACAGTAGCCAGCTAGTTTAGACTGCTGTTACAAGAGCAGCTAAGCCATTTTGCAATTATCTACCGTGTCTGATCGTATAAACAACATTAAAGACCACCAAAGGTATATCGCCTAACACCATTCATCCGCCAGGTGTATCATGCAAACGCTAATCGCTGTATGAAGCACACCGCTTCCATACCATCCCTGCAGTTTCTTAGTTTCTTTGTGTGTACATACCGTGATTGTCTCTCTTTAATGCGGCCGTGAATCGTCCAGATTTCAACTGGTACAAAGGATATCATACCATAAACCGTACATTCCAAATTTCATACATTACACCGTCGTGATCCATTTCTGTGCCCAGCCTGTTCGCGCCGTGCTGGACGTTTCATTCCAAACCCTTCTTCAATATCCTCCCCTCGAAGGACTCCGCCTCCGACTCACGCTCCTCACGGAAGCATCGCCTCCAGCATATCTATAAGGATCAACCTCCCTATATCCGCCAGGCCTACTGGTGCTCCTGCGTTCGCTGCTCCTTCTGCTACTCCTTCTCTTGTGCTGTCTGCTCTCCCTCCTCCTCGGCGGCGAATTCTCCTCAATCACCACGACCTCGTCGTCGTCATCATGGACGACCCTCGGAGGAGCCGGTGGCATGGGCGGTGGCATAGGCGGTGGTGGGGCAGATGCGGGCGCTCTACTTCGAGTTGTCTCCTCCACGACAATCCTCTCACTCTGGGACATAGGCATGGAGACCGGGACCACGCGCTCGCGGCGAATGGTCTCGACGGTCTCTCTGGGCCGAGTGGATGCCGTGCGCCGAGAGCCCGAGTGCCGACGATGTCTGCGCGACTTACGGGTGATCACGGACGCCGTGTCCACAGTCGCCGTTTCTATTACGCGCTGGTTGCCATTTCCGAGGTTCGCAATCGTATAGATCAGCCACAGGACGAGCAGGAAACCGCCCACGGACCCGAGCACGATGCCCACTACGGTGCCTGCATCAGGACCATTCGAGGCTAAGCCGTAGGTCTCTGGGACGATGTTGGCGTTATCATTGAGCCGGGAGACGAGATGCGGCGCAGTTGCTATGCTTCTCCGAAAGCTTAGCGAGGGAGGGGAGCGAGACGGTCGCGGTAACGAGCGAAAGGGCGCGGAGCGTGAATCGAGTTCTGCCGTTGCGAGTGTGCGCGCAGAGGTGCGCGAGGAGATTAATGGCGCCATGACGACCAAGTCGGCTCGAGAAAGCAAACGGTAAAACGGACTTGTCAATAGGCAGTTGCTCTCCCGAATGTCATGGCCGTTGTGTTACGTGGACTATTCAGCCGGTTTAAGGTAGCAATGACGAGCAATTCCCGTCAGTGTAAGACACAGGAGGTCAGGCTTGTCGCGCAATTAAGCGAATTGCCTCTGTAAGATCACGTAGCCAAGGCAGATCAACAAGTGGTTGAGGACATGCAGCAGCGACAGCAGAGTGACAGGGTTTAAGACAAGGATGCTCCAATTGAGGGCCTGCAGGCAGGCCTGGTTGTCGCGACGCTTGCGCTGTCCTGTCAATAAGAACGCAGAAATAACGAAAGTGTTGCAGGTAATACAGGCTCTGCCGAGGCTGGAACGCGTGCTGCAAGAAAGAGTCGCCGCGAAAGAAACAAAATTGGGCTTCAACGGGTGATGTCAAATCTGCACATTAACTGCGTCTGGACCATGATTATTGGGGAGGTTGGACGAGTCGCACTCAACTCGGGACGATCCCGATCCTAGTGCTAAACGTGGGCTTTCCCCAGCAACACTCTTGGCAGCAAATTTAAGCCAGGCCGGCGCCCTGCCTCCAGCTCTTGTGGAGCTCATCCACAGTGGCTGCTGTCAGCGGCATGTCATTTGATGTTTTGTAAGTTATAAATATTCAACGTAGAACGACGGCATGAATGAGATGAACAGCTTGGACACTTTTCCGCCATGCAATCTTCTTCGTATCGGCGGGTGAAGAGCACGAGACCCGTCCCCCAAGGCGCAGAACTCAATTTCATCCTACTGTAATTATGATAATAACAACCGGTGATAGCACAGAGGGATATACTTGGTAGAAGTAATCGCCCGGGCACCTCGATGGGTTCAGCGCAAGACCACCCTTTTAGTGACTCAAGCCGGTGCCCGTTTCTGACGTGTGAGAAATACTCAATTCGGGTATAATAGAGGCCAGCCTTTCTGGTCGGGTGTCAAGAAGAAATGAATGCAGCTATTTGAGAGTAGGCATGTTATGTTTTACTAGAATATCGTTCTTGATGGCAATCACAGAGCGAACTCACTGTTCGCCATAGTGCCGCCTTACGTCATCTACATGACCGGTATTAGTTGACACTAAACATTAGTGACAAAACATTTCTGGGACAATTACATGCCGGATCACTGCTCGTCTTGAGGTGGAAATATTGTTACGTACAGACAACATATGAGCATATATAACGACGGTGTCGGCCCAGAGAATGAACCTCCCAAGATGTGCTGTCAGGTGAGTATCTTACAGAATTAAGCAGCAGGCTTGGCTAGATGTGCGAAAGCAGTCATAATCGTCGTATTTAGCTTCAACGCTGAGATACCTCGTGTGAAGGTGGATTGCACAACCCGAAATATTTCCCTGGGAGCACGCTAAGAAGGATGGAGTTGGTGAGCAGAAGGTGAAAGCAAAGGGTTTATGACCCTTCCATCTGCGCTGCAGAACAGAGGTCCAACATTATGGGATTGGTCGCTTGCGGTAATACAGCATAGGTATATCTGAATTCTACGACGATTTTGATCAGGCAGTCCCAGGGTACTGGAAACAGTAAGGTTGGGCAAGGCTCGACGTGAATGGACTGTCTCATCGGGCATTTCTTTTTTGATATATGAGCCGTGTTGTATTTTCTTTTCCAGCATCTCAACGTGGATTTATGTCATCGGCTTGTTCTCCGGCTGAGATCTCAGTTGACACCCTACAAAATAAAGGTTGGAAACACGGCGTTTTGGGTGTCGCATGGGCATACTGCTAAAAACTGCTTCTGCAGCAATTATTTTTACAGGTTGAGGAATATTGTGCGTGTAGAGAGAAGTATAAAATCTGCATCGATGCTCTGTGGCTTGCTATAAAACTGGGTTCTATGAGATGTAAGATAAGAGGCTTTATTTCAACTTTTTGGTAGTATGGGTGGCAAATTGTTACGTCGATATGAAAAAGTCACCTCCTGAGCATAGGCTAGATCAGAATGACTACCGCCTTGCGGAATGCTTCGTAGGTTGATCGGACCAGAAAGAGCTCATAGATAATGGGTGCCGTTGGTATATTCTAACGTTCTATAAGAACTGATATATAGGAACTGAAACCATGAAAGGTGCAAGTATCTCGCTGCGAAGACGAGGGGGATGACTGTCTTACATAATGAACCGTTCGTGATCTACACTTAATGCAGACCATACATCACTGCATACCTTCCTGCCCGCCGGAGTTGTTCTGCCCGAGACGGCAAACTTCTCTCATACTGTTTCAGATAGATTATTTTGCCCAATAGGTCTTCGTTTTCACCGGTTAGGGCTTTCTGTAATATCGTACAGTTTAATAATCTGGGCAGCCACCTACAGAAACACTAGGCGCACTTGGGTCGAAGAACTGGGACTGTATATAGATGAGACGCAACGCTTCTATGTTGCTCAAGGACCGACCGGCATATATTTGCGAGCTGTATGACCAGTATATTGACGCACCAAAAAATCTCGAAATCGGTCCAAGACTTATTCATGTGTATTTGTTGAACTATAGATTTATATCAGATAGAATTCTGCTTATAGCTCTAAGGACAACTAACCATTGATTACAGAAACTTTTCTAGTTACAATAGCCACTGGCAAATTACAGGATGTAATTTTCGCGAAGGATCATCGCTACGCAGGTGGAAACCCACCGAAGCCAGCTAAGAAGTCTAATGTCCAGAATAGAAACTGCCGCAAGCAACCATCGCCGTGGTTTCAAAGAGGGGTTTCGCTATCGACATTGGATGCGTTTGTTTCGTTTTTCTTCTTCTTGAATTCGGCTTCAAGTTGCTTCTTCAAGCTACGTATTGAAGCCAGATGACCAGCTGTTCATGCTGAAAAACTGTGCTTGTAGGAGGTTTGCATCTCGACCAACTAGTGTATCTTCAAGCACGTCCCAGCGTCCCAGCTGTATATAAAATGAGCATCCCAACCGTACGAAGACTGGTCGGCCACACACAGCACACAACACAGGTTCCTAGGTACTCCCAAGAAACCCTAAATCGCTTCAGCATCGCTAAACAGAAGCCTCTATATCAACACGTTTCAACCTATTGCAACTCGTGTTCTTCCGGCCGCCGCCCACGTCCAAGGCCTGCCTTTTTTGTAGAGATCATCCCCACCACCACGGCCCACTACATTTGGTCAAGGGTCTTGAGCTCCAGCATCAGTTCCATAAAGCCCCAGACTTGCACATTAGCAGCGTTCGGATACGACAAGGCCAACAATATCCTACAAACACTGCTCAAAGCCACCATTCTACCCTATTCAACATACCTATAAAGTATATATACCCTATCTCCGGCAACCGGGCTCTTGGTGCCTGGTTCAAAATCCCCAAAGGCTCCCCTTATCGACACGACTGCGTTGGCATGTGCCATCACACTCAGATGAGGCAGAGAGGTTCGGGCGATGACTCCTCGGGGATAAAGCGTGCAGGTTAGGAGATTTCAGTGGTTATATGGTCATGTTCAATAACGATTGCTACTGTTCACAATAGTTTCTTCACTCCAAATAGCCATCGGCTTGGGGAGGGGGAGGGCTATCGTGTACTGGACGCAAGCGAACTTGTGATACACTCACTTATGTCCTCACTGCGCGAATTCTTTTTAACTGAGAATTGGCCGCACAATACACTCTTTCTAGGAACGGTCAAGCCTTAATCGTGAGCTGCCCCAACGCAAGCAATGGTTTGCGTTAGATTGAATTTGTAGTACGATATTCTCATCGACCAGACCGCTCATTAGAACTAGATCACACCACGGGGTTTTGACTGACTTCAGCGGATTGCAATTGAAAATTGAGCTTCGCCGCCATAAAGAATAAACAACAATTGCTTATAGGGTATTTTGCTCTAGAGTGTCAATCACCAGACACGCATATCCTGGCCTCCGAGACCGCACATCCCCGCCGAGCCCCTAATGCAGGAACCACGTATATGTGGTTTTCAAAGCCTGCCGAGAGGCGTGCAAATCTGACAGTGATTTGCTGAGTCCTGAAAACACATATCTATATACTTTGCTCAGCAATTTTAGCCACTTACATCCCGCCAGCTCCGCCATTTTGCTGTCCACCAAACCAGAACCCGTCGAGCAAGTCGACTTGTTGTCCGTCATTGAAATCATGATGCATTCCGTCGAATCCGAATCCGAGGCCGCTTAAGTCTAGTTGCCCTTCACCACCTATATCACCATCTACACCTTGATTGCCTTGCAAGCCCTGGAGAAACTCCATCTCCTGAAGTCCCGAATAGCTCAGTTGACCAGGGGTATTCATTGCTGTTGGCGATTGTATATAATTGACACCGGTGTTTGCTGACACAGGCGTCATGCTGGCTCCTGACGCCGGAGACTGGCCAGAATGTTGTGCTGCACTTGGTGAAGGCAGCAAACTAGGATCAATGGCAGAGTTATCCGGTTCTTCTTGGATGCTACCTGTGTTGTTTCTCGACCCTGGCATCCCACGTATCATTGAGTAACCGTCTCGTTCAGTCTTAACGTTCGTCATGTTGAGCGGAAAGGGGTTGGTTTGGATGGGTGGCACCTGACCTATACGGTGAGTCGATGCGTACGCATCTGTCGCACCCATATCGTATTGTGAGTGGGATGACCGCGGTCCCGACTGGTCCAACGACCGTCTCTGCTGGTGATGTCGCTGTCTATTGCCCGACGCATCACGTGCTGTGAGGTAATCGTAATTGTTTCTTGCCGAGTTGGTACGTGTAGGAGGGGGTTGTCCAAACCCGCCAGTCTGCTGGACCATCTTAACAGTGGCCTTTGTTGTGCGCTCAAATGCATCACGACAAGCCTCTGCAGGGGGGCATTTTTCTATCAAGTCAGTGAGTACTGATGTTGCCGCCAAGATGGTGAAGTCGACTTCATCCATGGTCTATATTGAGATTAGCCTTATGTCGATAGGTAGCAAATCTAGCACTAGGGTACTCACCAAGCGACTTCGCACCAAGGGCGAATGCCAAATGGCATAGAGGTACGAGATGCCAGCCATGAATAGATGATGTGTTGCAAGATAGGTAAAATTAACCAAACCCTGGAGATGTAATTGCCGGTAGATTCGAAGAATTCTTTGGCCGGCTTCAGCTACCTTCATGTACACACGGTCCTCGTCACCTGTCGTCTCGGGTGGGTAAAGCGAGGGGCTGTTGACCTCCTTCGATGTGTTATACTCTCCCTCGAACATCTCGGGCACTTCCAAGCTTTGACGGTACAGAAGAATGACTGCCTGCCAGTAATTGAGGTCATAGAACTCGGGTGAAAATTTGACGCCTGATTCTTGTTGGCTCGGAGATTCCTGCTTCCAATCGTGAAGCCTCTTGTCAATATCGATGCGCCAAGATCTAAACGAGTCGAATCTGTTCAAGAACGGGGATGGCAGTTGGGTATGCATGAAACGGTTCTTTTTATTTTGCCCACCAGCTCGAGCCATCTGTGTCTGCTGATACTGGAGAACTTGCAAGATCTCAGATTGGAGGAGTCGAAGACGAAAATAATGATAAGAAACGTGCTTGAAGGTAGGCTCATTTGGTGATAATGGCCGTGTGAAACCCGATGGGGTGATATACCTATCTTCCAGAAGCGTAGGGAATTCGGTTGTTACTACTTGATCTGAGACGCCGACGGGGCGACCCACACAAGTGCTAACGAGTCTATCCAGAGAATAAGTGCACCACCAGAGCCTTCTTCGCAAGTCTCGCACATATTGCCGTCGTCCCCTCTGCCTGATATGCGTGTCCTGAAGCTGGGGATCTACTGCTGGATCGGGCTCTGGAACACTGGGCAACTCCTTGCCGTCTTCCAAGTACAGGCCCAGATCAACGGCGAGACGTACAGCCACACCAACAATATACCATAAACCTGGTGGAACAGGACGAAGAAGGGCAAAGTTGGCCAAAAGGAGGACAGCCTGTAGTTCATCAAGTCCGCCACCGCTGTTACTGAGGCAGGCCTCGAGATGTACTATGGCACTCGCATGATATTCTTCAGGCTGTGCCTCTCTCGGCAACCGAGGCCCCTCAGAGTTCTTGGACGAAGCAGTCTGAAAGATACCCTTGCCTATCGCGAAGACCATATTCAACATGTACAGTTCTCTTGGTCCTCGTATCCTGCCTTCGTCGGCGTATGCTAACTCAAACATCTGCATGAATTCAACACGGTGCAATATGGGTATTTGTGGATTGGCATGCTCGAAGTAAATGGTGACCAGATGGAAAGCCAAGTCCTTGTTTGGAAACTCAGCCGGATTGATAGTTGGCCTCGTATGTAAGCCGAAGAAGGAATCTCTCATAGAAGTACCTGAAGCAACTGCGCCATTGCCAGACACCGACTTGGTGTACGGCTTGATGCCGCCTCTCTCCGAATGCGACTTGTGATCGCTGACGGAGGACTGAACAGCGGCATAGACAACGCGAGCAAAAGATATGCCGTTGGTTGAGCCTAGAGACCGCCCTCCCATACCCCCTCCCACACCGTGGCCGTGACGGGCAATCTGTTTCGACCTGTGCTGCTCGTCTCCGTTGTGCTGCGACCTTGATGGCCCGGGTCGATTCGATGCGCTAGGTGACGCTTGATAGCTGCCATCTTTTGGTGCCGTGTCGGCTACGCTCTCTGCACCCGGGCGTGAACAGTACTCCAGATCTTCGGCCGGTGGGAATTGGATGTTGTTGGCCTTCAGTAGAGCCTCGAGCTGACCGACTCTTGTCTCGAGGTAGTACACGTAGCTTCGTGGTATCTCCTTCTTGGTGATGGGATCATATCCGACGCAAGCGACCTTGGCTTTCTCACAACTGGCGCAACTCGGCAGATTCTGGTCGCATCGGTTTTTGCGAAGACGGCATCGATTACAAGCGCTGACATTTCGAAAGTTACTGCTTTGGCCGACCTTTGAGCCATGTGCCCCAGCGCCCTCGCTTGGCGTTTCTACTGCACTTGGAGAGGTTGCTCCGGCAGCTGAAGGTCCCGAGTTTGGCGAGTCTCTGTCCGGCGAGGTTTGCCTGGCGCGTTTATGTGGATGGGGATTCGTCGTCGGTGTCGGTGGCGAGTACGGCGCCATCGTGTCTCTGTATTTGTATCTGTATCTGTGTATGCCTCTGTCTCTGTAGTCGCCTGACTGGCGTCTGCATTTGCGCCAATGTTGAAGCTCCTTTCTCAGGCCCTGGCACGGGAGTTTGAGGCTGGTACCGACTCTGACTAAAGTAGCTCGGGCGCTCGGGGTGGATGCACGGTGTTACGCGATCTGCGATCTTGGAACTGGGGCTATATCTCAAATGCAAGCCTTTGGCTGCTCCATCGCCCTCAATAAGATGGCATTTGCTGACAGACTCAATGGCAGACTGAGGCAGTGCCAAAAGGGATGCGACGACGACTACAACTAGCCGAAAGTTGTGTGAAACTGACGGACGATGCGGGGAAGGATGAAGGCAGGTAAGGTAGGTACTGTAGGTAGCTTTCTCAAATAACGGGTAGGCGTGTTGTCAAAATCGTGGAGGGTTGCGAATCCGAAAATGCGGACCAATGATGACTACAGTATTTTTGTTTTTTGTTTGTTTGGGAGGGGGATTTTTTTTTCTCTTGGAGAGCTATTTCCACCTGAGTGAGATGCTAACGTAAGAGCAGAAGATACCGAGGAATCTCAGCTTGAAGTCACAATCAGGACCGATCGCGCGCGTTGTGCTAGTGATAGCAACGCTCTCAATCCTCGGTCACGATAAGGAATGGCATATCAAGGACAAAGCAAATATTTCCGAGCAGTTGGGCCCCGGTAGGGTCTTGCAAGGTCTTGCTACTTGCAATCGTAGAGGGCATTGATAAGAGCCAACTGGCGAATCAGAGCCAATAACATGTAATTGTCGTTCAGCGTTACCATTCTGTGAACGGTATAGCGCTGATGAATCCCGTAGTTGCTTGAGCTTGAACCAAAAGCCTGAGAAAGGCCCCCAACAACCCCACGCTCAAGTCGACATCCAATTGCTTGGCGAGAGTGCCGGCTGCTGAGTGTTCATCGTTCGACTTCCTACTTGAGCCTCAAGTGTAAGACATCATTGGCTCTCAGTTTCGCATAGGTGGTAGGAATATACCGCTAGTTATGATCAAATCGAACCAGCCATTCCACCACATTCAAAGACAGCCAAACCATGTCGACCAAGTTGTTGAATGACTACAGTACGATACTGACCATGTCGCACTCAAAGTACTGTCATCGCATTCACCCTCCCAAAAGCTGGATCACCTCTGCGATACATATCAACCTGACACAAGAATCCTGCGGAAAAGAAATGCGATAGATTTGCGGAGAACGTCATCTATCAAATCAGCAGTGGTGAGTAAAACAACAGGCCGAAGTATAGCCCGTTTGATGTAATGAAATCCACCGAAAGAATAACTCGCTATCTGTGCTTTGCATGCCCTTTGCAGAAATTCCCTTGTGGTATCTCGAAAATCCAATGAGAGTCGCCTCCCTAACTAATCCTGTCTGCCAAGCCCTGTAACCCTGTTCCAACGCCATGTCCTGTCTTTTAACTGCCATGATTCCCGTAAAATTTCCCAGTGAATCGCCTTCAAAGTGTCCCAAAAGTCCATGATCCAGCAAAATGCCGTCATTCCAAATCCAACGCGCCATGCGTAATTCTATATCAATGTCCTTTGTTGGACGCTCCGCATCATTATAATTGCTTAGTTCGAAACCCAAAAAGAAATGCTGGTCCTGCCACGATACCTTGTCCGTACCGAAAATCTTCTCAGCAGTCGTCATCGTTGTCCTGTTGACTAATAACAGAGGAGGCTCGTAATCGTTGAAACGTCGTTAAGAAGCTTGCGCTTCGATGTCATCTTGGCTCTTTTCGCACATAGCAGGCGCTTCTGGAATGCGCAAGGCGACAACAGCTCCGGCCACAGCCACGAGAGCACTACACCACCAGGCCAAGCCCGAGTATCCTGTTTCGAGGCCCACGGAATAGAGCATGCCACCAATTATTGGAGCAAACCCACGGCTGAGACTTGCTGTCGATGCTGCTACGCCGTTGATGTTGCCGAGAACATGTTTGCTCGGAGCATGGTTGGCTGTAAGTATGGCGTTGCTGGGGTAAGACATGTTCGCAAATGTGCATTTCCAGATCAGGAGTACGTATATACCAGCAGTCCGGAGAGATTCCGTCGGAAGAAGTACGATGTAAGGCGTAATGAGATATAGCAGAAAATATCCCACTGCCAAGAAGCGAAAGAGACGCAGTGGTCCGAACCGGCTTATGGCCCATGGCACAACTAGCACGTTGAGAAGCAGTGCGTATATGCCCTGCACGCTAAGGATGATGCCAACCTCTTGTTGTGGCATTGCGAGTCCATCAGCGAATTTGAAAGGTAGTTGAACCGTTGGTTTCTCAACATGCGGAGTGCTCAGAAAGGTCGGAAATAACGAATCATAAGTCATTGTGTGACTACAATAAATGAATTAGTAACAAGACCAAGTTTTTCTTCTTCGAGTTGGCTGAAACCTACAAGGCCAAAATACCGAAGGCGGCAACATTGAGTATCACAGGTCGAGTGAAGATCTTCGAGTCGCGTTGCAGCCCCGCGTCCAGGTCCAGTAGCTCTCGTGGCTCGTCGACAGCATGGGTTGTGGGTAGGCGAGGGGAATTCTCTGGCGAGTTCTCTGTTGTCCGATAGCCTGGAAGTTGTTCATCTAAAAGTGGTTGACACTCGGATGACCACTCATCGTGTTTGAGTCCGCTGTGGTCGCATTGGGCGGATGGGCTTCGGCCAGCCGAGCAAGATGCTTTCGAAAGCAGCCATTGTCCAAACTCGAGTCCGCGATCCCGGTCGTGCTTCTTGGTAGAATGTGTTTCCTCCAAGAACAAGATGCCATTCACTACGCCAACGATACAGATCAAGGCACTGAAAAGGTTGGGCAGGAGGTAAGGATAACTATCCCAGACCGTTCCCTGTGCAAATAGACTAGGATAGCTTTCGACGGGCTTCGCAAGTGCACCTCCAATCATCGGTCCGACGATCGATCCAATGCACCAAACGACCGGCATGATCGTGTAAGCCCGTGGTTGATGAGCCTTATCCGTGATTACTTCGGCGATGGTAGACTGGAGGACGCCCATATTGCCATTCAGGAGTCCACCAATCGCGCGTGCCGCCAATGCGACATAGAGGTTGGACGAGAATCCGAATACCAAGACGCTTATTGCGGTACCCATCATTCCAGTTAGTAAAACCGGTTTGCGACCAATCCTGTCACTGAGTCGACCCCATAAGAGTCCTGTCGAGAACTCAGCAAACGTAAAAGCTGCTGTGATCATACCAGCGTAAAGGGATATCTTGCTGTTATCGTCGGTCATCTGAAAGTCCTTCACCATGAAATAGACGTAGGGAAAGATTCCCATGAAAGCAATTGGTTCGCAGATTCGGCAGATGGCCAGAATCAACATCTGCTTGGTAGGGAAAGGTTTGGACTCCATTGTTGCTGTACCGGCTCCTCCGCGCCCTCTAGATCGCCCAAAGTTGGTTCCCGTCATGGCTATGACCCCTGGAGCTCTGCTTGCATATAGACTGTGTCAAAAGTCGCAGCCGTCCTGGGCTTGTAATGTGTACTTGGCAGTCCTTGATTTTTATTCAGAGTCTTCTGCAGAAACTTCTCTCTTTAGATAAAGGATTTCGATATTGCTGTTACAGAATCTTGAAAGAGTAGTCTTGATTTAATAGAGTCAAGGCTAGGGTTGAAGAAATAATTCATGAACCGGACGGGTGCAAACTTGGGGAAGGTGCAAGAGAAGTAGTGTAAGATGATGTAGTAAAGCGTCAAGAGTTTAAGTTGCTTAAGGGGTTGACTGGTATGGTAAGTGGATAAGGTTTGAGTGAAGTATGTATGTAGAAAAGCTCCGTAGGGCAGAACTATCTGCTAGCTAAGGGGGAGGCAAGAGGATATTAATTATTTAAGATTGAATCGGCGGTGACTGGAGCCAAATGGAAAAGCAAGTGAAGCAACTTGGAACAGTCGATCCTTCTACGACGACGCCCGGTCACTCGGCTTGTGCGGTGATAGTATCAAAGGGTGTATGGAGACTTCTGGGTGATGTTGGACAACCGACATGGATTAAGTGGATCTATAATCATGGATATGAGCCTGGGACTGGGAATCGGTCGACAACGTGTGCCCAGCTGTACTTTGCCAGTCAGTAGGAAATCAGTACAATAATGCGCTCCCCCAGCCGTGACTCTCTGTCAAGGACAGGAATACGGAAGTACCAACAAGGGGCGGTGGGCAACTTGCAAGCAACACAGCTGTGAAGCTTACACATATTGGGGGAATCCCTGTTAACCTGATGAGCTCCGGCAATTGACTAGGGCGTCCAACGACTTGCAGGGACAAGGGAGGTAAACAGAAAAAGAAAATAGTCAAGAAAAGGAAAAGAAAAAAAAGTCTGTGAGCCCATGTCTTTGCCCAATTGAGTTTAGAGCCACTACCTATGATGCCAGAGAGAGGAAGAAAAGCTTAGGTGGTCATAATTGGGTTGGGCCAACGTGCCAGGTAGTGGAGCTTCTCCGGCTGCCGAGGATCTGAGCGAGTGAAAAGCAGTTTGGGGCGGTGAGAGTGCAGGCAGGAAAGGTGAAAGTCGAATGCAGTCATCCTTCTCCACGATGATATGACTTGGACAGATGTGACTCGTCCATCGGAGAGAAGGCTCTCACGAGACTTGGTTGGGAGTTGGGAGTTGGGAGCTGGGAGCTTGGAGCAAGAATGGTGGGTTCGAAGCAGGTAGATTAGTTCGCGTCGCCTGTCGCACAAGACTAAATAAATCACTAGCAGCGTGGCAGCGGAACAGCACTTTGAATGATATCCGACAATCTGGGAAGCCGGAAAGCCGTCTTGGGAGAAATCTGATCTCACAAGCCGGGGTTCAGTACATACGGCCATGTACATATATGCAATGCAGTTGTGGATAAGAATGCATCCTTGCATTTGAACCTCGAATCTGGAGCTTCGTTGCCGATGCGCTGAATAACGACAGGATGCTGTCAGAACAACTTGGACGAGCGTATGTAGTCTTTTGTGCCATGCATACGGGAAGGGAACATGGGCCAAACCGCCTGGCGAGGGCCGCACATATGTTGTGGGACATGGTTCGTTCTAACAAGCGCCAGTTTGTGACGAACAAACCTTCGGATGCCTGACAATGAAGAGAATCTTGTGGTACATGACGATGCACTTCGCCGCCTCACCAAGGCGTCCAAAGCCGACCTCATGCTGTGGACTGGCGGCTCTACGGATGCGATCCCCTACCAATGGCACTGTGGACCGGGCGAAATTAGAAGTCTAATACTAGAGCACTGGCGCAGCTTGACCGGATGCACTCCGCGGTCTAAATGAGCATCGCGTCAATGTTTCGACAAGAGTTGCTAGTAGTACGAGTTAAAAAAGCATAGTGGATAAGCTGGCTCGCAAAGAGAAAGAAAAATGGACGGTGCTAAAGGAACTAAAGAGATGCGGATCTGCTATTGAAGCAAGTGATTCGATGCAGGATAACCCCGCTGGACCGCCACCCCGTGGACCTGGCATTTACCTCAGCCGGCCAACTCAGGGGAATACCCATCGTTCTGGGAGACTAATCAGTAGTTTCTGCCCTAAGGAACTTCTAGAAGGCCACGAATATTGCCCTGTCAGGCCTCGTTCCTCAGTTTAATTTCCTTGCTACTGTATCATTCCACTGCCAGATCATGCCGAGTGAGGGCAACAGGGCACGGGACCGCTGGGGCAACCGTCTAATATTGAACCAGCCCAATCTGGGTATCAGATCAGTTGCGGCAGGGTATGCGTGTTACATTTCAAAAATGGAGAGTGTGTTGGACCATCAAGCCTATGGAAAAAGGTGCGAATTCAAATTGGTTGTCAAGATGGATAACCGGTCATTCACCTACAGAAATATGGTTGGCAAGGACGGCTACATATAAGCTCACCAATTTTGCGTGTGAAAAGGTAATACATGTTCATTCCGCGTCATGCCGCTTCCTCGTCAAGCCCCCAGAGTCACAGACTGGTTGCTGCCCCTGTCGAACTGCCGCAATGTCTGCTAACGGGATGGTAATTGGATGTGGCTGAATAAGTCTTATTGAAAGAGGCAAATGATGTGCGGATGACACTATTTCGCAGCATGATGCTGGCCTCGTACGGACTTGCAAAACCGAGAAGCATAGCTTCCAAAGAGAAAACTACAGTAGTCACGTACTAATGTCTGCAGCACTAGGCCTCATAAATGGTACTTGTAATGCAATGCAGCCCGTACGGGGATAAAAAGACATCGAGCATATCAAAACAGGGCTAATCCCTACACTGACCATGTGGCATTTGTGTCACGTCAAGCTACATAGTGCAATCCCCCCATGTGCGCTTAAGCGAGAGAGGATATGTACAAGTTAGAGTCCAACAGTATCAAATATAGGTTTTGATCGCGGGACTAGAGAAAATTTAATAGCGTTGTCATTAATTGCTAATTTCTTGCGAACAAGAAGAAACATGCACTGCTAGGGTAAAGTATGTTTATGCCAGACCGGTTTCAATCGAGTTTTTCTTTTGGGGAAAATTTTTTTTCTTTTCCTTCGAAAGCTTTCGCAACAGTAGTGTGGCGACTGTGCTTCTCTAAAAGCTTCCGGACCGGGAGCCCGGAATGGGGTTTGCTTCAAGGTTCTGGGGAGTGTGTCTGGGATTTGATCCCAGTCCAACTCAATCCATCATCATGGGATCTCTCGGCATGCGTGTTATACTTCCTGCCTCGCATTATTCCAACGCTTTTGCAACTTAGAGTGAGCGAATACCAATGCTAGGCTTCATCCGCATCGGGATTCACGTGGAGATATTTACCTGCAGTAAATAACAAAACTATCATGAAGACGTGTTGTTCCAGACGCTTCTCAATCCCTATTCTTTCCTGCTGGTCTTTTCTGAGATATTGCAGAAAACGAACGACCTGTTCCGAAAATGAATGGCTGAGAGACCCTGTTCCGACCGTAATGCCTTCATTTTCTTCGATGGAGGGGTTTGTGATCGGTGATTGGGACAGACTAGGACCCCCATGTTGCGTCGATATTTCCAGCTTGTCGGTCCCACGAGGCATAGTTTGGCGGAAACGCTGCCGAGCCTCTCACTCGTGCGTAAATACTGCACACTTTGAGCTTGCTAATCTTCCCCCTCCATGGAAATCAAGCGCTAGCATCCTGATGGTCAACTGCGAAACTCAATTCCTTCCCTTGGGATTGTCATCAAACTTTGATCCGGGTGGATTGATCGAATGTCTCTTCTAAATTGGTCTGGGGCCACCCTTCCCTCGCATGCAGATGGAGTCATATGACCAGATTTCCCGTTGAGCTCGGTATGTACTATTCGTAGATCAGAACATGCCCCAGAAAAGTTCTCCGTATGTTTGATCTGTGGCTATTTCAGGGATCTCGGGAAATTCCAATACTTCTAGAAAATGACGAAGCCAGTATCTGCATGAAACAACTACCACGCATGCCTTTATTTCTTGATGAACCCTCCCCCCCAAGATAGGGCTGCTGCTTTATAATGTACATAGAGTCCTGCACATATGTCGTGCAGTTTGGCGGTGGATTTTGATAATTGGTACCTATGAATGCCTCTTGTTTCGCTGCAGCGCAAGCAAGGGGTTCGCAGCCACGGACATACTGCACAATGGGGTATAATGAGCCGAGCGATCATATCCAGCTTGTCGAGTATATCAAGACTATGGGTGACTACCGTGGCTCACCGCTGATTCCCGTAGATCCCGATGCACTATTGGTGAACTGCTGTTCGTTTGACAGCGGTTAACGTTAGCATGAACAAGATTGTCATCGTTGGGAAGCAACGGAACAGGGCGGAGGTCCTTTGATTCGTGGCAGAAGGTCGAGAAGGTCTCATGGGTCAACCCGGTAGTCCGAAACAGGTCCAACTTGCCAGCGTTGGCAAGCGGACACAGGTACCTTGCGTTACGCGGAGCTTCTAGAAGAAACGTGCCAAACCCCGTCCATCATTTGAGGCTGGGTGCAAGTTTCATCTGAGCGTTGGGCCTGCGCACCCCCATGGGATCGACCCGAGTGGTCGGAATCTGCACGCCGTTACACCCTTGCCCCGACCGTTTCCTCGTTAGCTCGTGTCGCAAACTTTGAGAAAAAGGAGAACTGGAGAACAGTTCGGTCATCACCGAAAAGTATCACCATGGAACACGATACTGCTATGGAGTAACCTATGATGACATTTTGATCAGCTTAAATTTTTTTTTTCCCTGTATCATTTCCTTTACCGGCAAGCTTCGATGTGAAACTTGCTTATAGGACAACTGGTTCTGACCGAAAGTTCGGCGGATGCACCTGGTGGGTACGGGTTCTCAGCGAGTGTTCACGAGATTATTTTGAGATTATTGGTGCAAGCGGTGAACCCTCAATACCATCGCAATGGACTGCGTCGCTTTTGTCCAAAAAGGGACAATCAGGCCGCGAAATAAAGTGCACATAACATATGTTTACTTTGTACCACGATCGATCACGGGACGTTAGGGGGGGGGGAATCGTACGTCCCACGATCCGGAAAGCAACTTTAAGGTTCATCTAAAGAAACGTCATTGCATCTGCAGCTCACTATGCGGGTAAGAAGTCTTGTTAGGCTGCCGACACGCATCCGCATCCGAGAAATGAAGCCCTTCATCGGCTCCGCCACCCACGACCGGTGAAGGGGATCACGAGATCATATTTACAGGGGTCGCAGAATAGCAAACAATACTCTGTACGGGGCACATTTTATAGCAATAGCGTTATCGGCATACCAGCCCTTTGTAACATAAGCTGTCTGATGTGCAAAACAACTTAATAATTATAGCGTTTTGATATCTATAGAAGCATATAGTTGCACAACATACTGCGCTGTGTCGGAAGCCTTGCCCGCGCCCCGGTTGCGAACAGCCGCGTGGTGGTTCAGCCGTGCTCTTTCCTCTGTACCAGTATCAAAAACACCTCACCGTATGCGGCCTGTCACAATCACGAACCACTGCATCAATCTCACAGCCAATGGCAACTCAAATTGCTTGATGTTCTTGACCGATCTTTCACTTGCTGCCCCAGGCGTTTGCAATAATGCGGTCGGGTTGCAACTGGTCTGCTGAGTAGCCCTAGTTGCCTTAATCTCGTGCCGTGTCATCATCGAGCAGCCCAATACGTCGGGGTCGATTTCATTATATCATGTTGCCGATTTCAGCGAAACCGGTGATGCGCTGTCCAACGTGTCTGGCAAGCCTTGTTTGACAAGCGGCATTTCCGCTAATTGTGCAGCATTACGCAGCAATAACCAGCTACGGTAAGTAACCATATAGCATTGTTTTTTTTGGGGGGGGGGGGGTTTTTGGTGCGACAATGCCTACTGCCGCAACGCACATGCGCCATCCAATTTGAGATAAACCATATCTCGGTCACTACCAACATGCCACGTCTGCATGGAAATCTCTTAGATCGAACATCTATAAGCTCTACCAATAAGGGAATATCTAGTCGCGAATCAGGCAAACGTAAGTGTCAAAATCTTAGCTGCAGGAGCGGTTCGAAACCGTCCCTCAATGCAACCCTGTTGTTCAGTGCGAAGCACTCGGTCAAATGACCCGACCTCTTTTATTTATTATTTATTTTTAAACTCGCTTGCTTCTGTTCGTCACGTTGCATGATACACCAATGAACAGCCAGGGTGGGTATATCCACGGCATCGTGATAATCGTCGCCGGAGACCTGCTTCAATCCCCTTGGCCATGCATTTTAGACGAAAAGTGTCTTTTCTCCCCCACGTTGGGCTGCGAAGCACCGCCAACTTTGGGTATGTACCAATACATGAGTTTTGGTTTCTTTGGTTTTTTTTTTTTGTACACACAATACGACATGTGCACTTCAAGACGGCTTATATGATCACTATCCCAGCATGCATTTGCTGACCGCTTTACTCGATTGGCTCTGCGGCGTTCGACTTCTCAACACCGCCGTGGCACCGAGGGAAAATTTTAGCGACAGCCATTGTTCCACCAGCGGTACTTCGAAATGCCATGCGGCGATCCTGACTATTGAACTGTCCATACCTATGAACCAAATAGAGTCTCTGCTAACGGTCACCGCATCGAGCAGTCAAGCGTCTAGCGAATTAAGCAAAAGTCACTACCTAGGCTTCGCTGGTCGTAAACACAGATTAGAGTAAATACATCTTCTGTTTCATGTTACGCAATATCATCGAATTATCGCCGTTAGTCAATGGCATTGCCTTCATGTGGCACCCGAGCTCCGAGAAGATACTAAGCTGACAGCATATGTTACGAGTAAACCGATCACGTATAGTAGTAAATACGAAATATTTCGATACATACGCAATCGATCATTCCGTAGCATGATCTTTGTGTGAGAACCAAGTGTGGTCTGGTTAGTGAAACATCTCTCATGATGGTGGATAGTGGCATATAGTATCTCTTAGTGACTAACCCTGGTTCGTCATAAGTCGACGTGACTACCCCCAGTCGTTTTGCAAACCCCCCTGATCGTGGGTCTTTTCCTACAGCGGGCCTCTGGACTCAGCCTTGCAGGAACACGAAGTTCCCCCGGTCGTATATCAGTCCGCTGCTTTAGGAAAATCCCGCTTCGGGCCGCCACGGCTTCGATATCTTTTGTGCATGTTTGTGGGCCCCCATTGGTGATGACGATTGCTGACGATGTTGCATGAAGAACAGGTATGAGCGAGGAGACTGTTGGGTACCTCTCGGGTAATTTCTTTTCCGTCAATCTAGCAGTCTCCTTGGTCCCATTATATAGTTCTTACCTCAACACTTCCTATCCCAGCTTATACGCTACGCCCCTATTGTCTCACTGGCTCTTGGAGGCCATGGTATCCAAGTTATTTCCGCAGAGCTGGAGCTTTCATCCGCCACGTGCTTGCAAGGTGTATGAGGATGGGTTATATTGTCATTAGGCATACCACTAGCATATAATAAATCCTTGCATTAAAAGACCTTGCTGTCGACAGCTATTCCTACCTTAGCCAGAGCTTCGCAAACAATTTCCAACGGGAAAAACGGACCTACCATGGCGTAGCCTTGTTGAAAGATCGGCAGAGTAGCAAGGGTGCTCACCTAGTATCAATGCGCCCAACATGGCGCCGTGAAGTTTGGTAAGTCATGCGTTCCGCGACCGCCAGGCTTTGTGAGCGCACAGGTTACGTGCTTTCTCTAGGCGTGGACGAGGTTATCGTCGGAACAAGATTGTGGTGACAATTCTCTTGCCACCTGTGACGGAGAAATCTTTGTTATAGAACCCCCACGAATCGTCACACCGGTTTAATACCTTGCTCTCATATCTCGGATTCGAGAACACCAGATTAGTCGACGACCCCGCTCTTGCCACTGACAATGTCACCACCACACGTCTTGGTAAGAGAAAAATCGATATCGGTTGGCAATATATATTTTGGCTATCGAGCATACCATAAGCACTAAGTCTCAGTATCGCCTGAACTGGCAAGATGGTGGCAGGTCTTGAGATACGAAAGGCTACGAGGTGATCTAGACCACGAGCTCCGTGTGTCACCGCCTGCAGATATGCTGAAGGTAATCCATACTATGAACTGGCTGAAGGAATAAGTCCAGGCTTGGAGGATCAATAGCCTTTCCTTATCCCACGATGCTAGGATCACGATATAGTGAGGCTTGCTCATCACACTGGAAGCGACATTGGACCCCAGATTGTCATCCCAAATCGTCCACCTGCAGCTGTCTCGCCTCCTGGCCTGCTACCAGACCTGGTTTGCAAGACTTAGCGCTCCAGTAATCGAATGGCACGGGCCAGAGGATGGCTTATCATTGCAGCATTTCACTACAATCTCGAGCAATATCATAAACCCAGGTCGTCTAAACAGCCGTACATACATCCAATGACAAGGGTCTAATAAAGAAATTGAGAACCACCAAACCCAGACTCTACCGGGAGGCCTGATTTCTTCGCGTCGGAACCGAAAGCTGCCCTTGATCGAGTGAAAGCACGGTTCACGTCATGGTAGCTGTCGCGATGACCCCTAGTCATTATCCAGTCAGACAGGGTCATCGATTCGCTATCAATTTGACCTTGCCAATGTTACACGAGATTGTGCCAACGCATCGTTCGAGTTGTTGAATGTTAGGGCGAGGTCAGCAACATTTCCCTACTTTGTCGGAACCAAGTACACACCGAATGATCGAGGTAGAACGACACCATGCGTACACTCTGTTTGATATGGCCAAAATCCTGCAAGATCATGGTTGTCAGATGATAAGTATATGGAAACACTCAAATTTCTAACCGAACCGTTCACGACAAGCAGACGTACCGAATAGAGTATATTCCTCTATTAGCGGATGGAATCGTAGTATATGTTCCTCAGGAGAATAACACAAGCCTTACAGATGATACTTGTACTAGGTCGTCATACAGTATGTGCCTTGAATTCATCACCGAAAGTTTCGGCACAGCCGGGCCATCAAGAGCCACCTGCATATACCGACCTGCGCATCCTCCATCCAATGACGACAATGTCCAACACTATAACCTTGCCGCTTGTACGAGGTTGCATTGAACCAGATACCGAGCTCACGACTGCGCCTGTTAGCTGACGAGGCGGGATACAAAGTCTCTAGCAGCTGTAGAGCGACTACTTAGACCCTGGCTCCAGCCCTTGCCCCAGCCCTTGCCCCAGCCCTTGCCCCAGCTGCACATGGGGAGGAGAAGCACGCTGCATTAGGTCTGAGTAATGCCGTCTTTTAAGCAGCCTTAGTGCGTCAAGCACTGCTTGATGTAACCGATTCGAGCCCAGTAGTGTTATTGAGACCCTGCGCTGTCCCACCCAGACGGTACCGAGCTCCAGCTCGACGATTCTCTTTCCAAGTTTGAGGCTTGGGACTAAATGACAACACTTCTACCGGACTACGCCCCGGTCTACAAACCCAATAAACGGTCACTACCGATACCTGTCTACCAACAAGCGGCCTTCGCCTATGGATCTGTGACTAAAATAATCGCCCGCCTCAACGAGACACAGCAATCATTTGAGCGGACCCCCTGAGTACCAAGAACAGCGCTAGACGCTTTGAATAATCGATGAGAGCTGTACATAAGGCAGCAACATTCTGACCACATCATCTGATCCGGTTTATATAAGCACCACATCAAGAAAGTCGGTGGGGAAAAAAAGGAAAAAAAAAAAAAAGGCTTAGAGGTAATGATGTGGCGCAATAACCACTAGACATGGTCAAATTGCGCGGAAAGGTTTCATTCAAGAACGTATGTTTAATAGAGTGGTATGATACTTTCCGTCGTCGTGTATGTTATCCTCCATGATGTACCAGACTTGGTTCATTGCCGGTCACGGACCCTCAGATTCTTGATGGCAGGAAGGAAACCCAATCTAGCCTATTTGATACCCCAAGGAGAAAATCACCCTGCCAAATATTTCAATTATTCACTTAACAAACAGTACTTTGCCAACCATGTCTATTGGCGCGTGATGCTCACTGCATTTGTACAACAAAAATACACATCCATGTGAGGACATCGTGAAGAAACTATTGAATAATAAAGTGCCACACGACTTGGCCCTCGACACAATTGCATGTTCAAGAGGTGACCAGACCAGCATGACTATCTAGTGATCTGCATCTGTTCTACAAGGAAGGAAAAGGGCGAAATCTAGGTACAGTAGCCAAATGTGAGACAGCGTCACCTTTCAATCGTTCTCCAAGATACAACCCGGGCTAGGAGATGGGGATATTATGTTAGTATATTTTTCTCGTTCCTATATATATCACAGAGGCGGGACTATATCGTAGGAAGCTTATTTATCAACATTCCCGAACGGCTATACAGTGACGTACAGTGACAAACTGAATTACTATGCATAGCGTGTATCACAAACAGATTACCGTTCAGTGACAACTTTCATCAAATTCTTTTCGAGAAGGATTGTAAACACAGCGTGCAGGCAGAACATACAACTCGAGAGTCCTACGAGCTAATTGCGAGGCACGTTTTCTTCGCCTAGAACATTACCACACAACAGTTTGTTTTGTAGTTTCGTTACTATTATGGTAGCTAGGGATACGAGTACACGTAATACCTAAAGTAGATGGCTAAATCCTTCGGCCAACAAACTGCGATAAACAACGGGAAGAGAGAACCAGCCTCCTTTAAACAGTATGCCAAAGAGCCTCCCTTGTATGGCAGTTTTGTTACATAGTTACAGAGTCTCATCGGTAGGCCATGGACGAGAATGGTAACCGAGAGATATGAGAATCGAGTGAAGGTGCAATCCATATCAAGACAGATCAGAGTATCTGGGTATATTTTACTGCCTCCGAATGTAAACAGGAGGGACTGTATACTGTGCTAGCTAGATTTGTTGAGATGCTCTGAATGTATCGTGTATGAATGAGCATGGGCAGCAATGATTTATTCTAACTATACTGCACAGCAGACCAGACATGATCTGAGGTCAACTATTGTGATCAACCTGTCGCATGGCTTCGTGAATGTACCGGGAGATTCTAACCGCATAGAATCATCTTCTTTCTTCATAATAATGTAAAGGAAAGACCAATGGCTACGTATTGCACGGATTCTTTAGGTTATTCTAGGAGATGGCCTGGCACATCAACATGGCCAACGAGACCAATCAGATGGAACAAGAGCTAGTCACACACGAGATGAGCGAACCATCCAGACTTCATGATATTAAAGTATGCCTTCAAAAATTTTCGGTGTAATCTGTCATAGAATACTCGAGTACATGATCATGTTGCATTAATACACAAACGAATCATCATTTGCAATGATGATTGGTTGGCTTTGCGATTGACAGCCATCACAACATTCCTTACAGAAGTGACGAGAAGCTAGGAAGTTAACAATGACATAGTGCCTCGAGATCGAGTACATGTGTAGCAACCTTAATAGAATCCTTGCTTCATACCTTATCTCAGATAAGTCTTCCACGGAAATAAGATTTAGTATGGTGGTGGTTAGACTTGTCGTCCCCTTTCTGGTCCATTTACGCCAGTGAATTTAATTGCAGTTGGGGCAGCTATGCAGTCTGATCATGGTATCTGTTCGGAATAAAAATCAAGGCATTTGGGGGGCATTGGAGCTTTCTCGATGTACACGTGTTTTCCTTTCAGCGAAAGCGTGACTTGTTAGTTTACCATGTGGAACTTAAGTAGGCGGGTTTCAACGACTCAACTACGTTTGCATGGAGCTAATTAGTGCTACAGAAAGATTGTGCATTATAGGCCGAATGCAAATGCTTCATGGGTCGGTCTACCAATGACTATTTCGTGCCTTCCACTCAGCAAGTAACAATCATAAGATGTCGCCTGCTGTCCAGCACTCGGAAACATATCGGAGTGAAACCAAGTAGATGGCGATAAGGTTTACCCTTCGTGTGGGCACCGTCTCTTGATCAACAGCGGTGGCGTCTTGGTCCGGAAAATTTAGTTCAGCTTGCTGCACCAGCCGACGCTTGCATGAGTTCGCATCCGCACACAACGGTCGCTGTAGAGTAACAAGACCGGGGCGAATTTTCAAGGTCTCGATATTGACCATGCCTCTCTAGATGTCTCTTGAGCTGGTTGTTGTGCATTGAGTCGACGCTGTAGTTGTGATTATTTGGAGGCACGGATGACATGTGAGTTGAAGAGGAAGCCGTTTTGCCCGCAGTTCGCCTCCACCGAACTAACTCAGACCTTACTTACGTCGCTGGCTTAGTTAATGTGGATCACCAAAACCATTAACGTCAGTCTCGATCTGTACGGCATTCGTTGAAATAGTTGAACGAACCCAAAAACAGCGTTATACTTCAACTGTATTGCTGCAATGTGCTGTTCCTGATCGTCTGTCACCCAACCGGCCTGTCCTGAATTGTTATATATCATTGATGCGCGATCATTCCGACTGACGGGATTGTTCTCCGATTGAACGAAAGCCAAGAGCAAAGACTAGTCGCTCACGTTGCTGTCGTGGAGCCCTCCAAATTACCAGGGTCCGTTAAAAATTGCCCTGATAGGCTCGGAACGACTGAGGTGGTGGCTCACCAGCCGGATGGTGCTCGCACAATATTGCGTCCGATTGCTGAAAGAGAGAATTCAATCTTGCAAAGCAGCCAAGGCCAGCACCATCTCAAGGATAGCTGATAACACATCGAGTGTACAGCAAGCCAACGGGAGTGCAACAACCTCAGCGTTTTCTGCTCGCTAGATTCTGCTTGATCTACCAGAGACAAACAACCTCTTGTCCGCCTCTTCGGCCTGTCAGCAAAGCGGAGTCGAGGTGCATCCCAACAAGTTGTGAATTTGCCTCCACTTTAGGCGCAGTTTCGGGTGTCAGAGTCGGAAATATTGACAGGATGGCCTCGCAAAATCCAAACGTTGGGCGTCCTGCCACGGCAGACATTGAAGCAGGCACTTTGACCCACGAGAAAGACCAGTCACACTCATTTCTTACAGTCGAACCAGGCGCTATATACAAGCCAGAAGCTGTAGGCCATCCCAGATGGTACCAGCGTTTGCTGGACGCTGGTCTGGAAGAGAATGGCGTCAAGCCGGTCCCAGTCGAGGAAAGGACCAACACCTCGTACAACAACTTGTTCAGCGTATTTTTCACAGCTTTACTCTGCGTGCTCCCGTGAGTCTTTGCTGTTTTCCGATGTTCGTTCTCGAGCTGACGCACCACAGTATACCGACTGGTATGATTGCTACCCTGAGTTTTGGGATGGGTCTGAGAGATGCTTCCCTTACCATCCTCTTCTTCTCCTTGCTTTGCTGCACTCCTCCGGCTCTGATGGGCTGCGGTGGTTACAAAACGGGACTAAGACAATTGGTCCAAGCCAGATACTCATGGGGTCTTTACATTGTCACAATCCCCCTTCTGCTGAATGCTGCTACAATCACTGGGTTCTCTCTAATCGCAGCCATTGTTGGTGGTCAGACCATAGCTGCGATCAATCCGGGACACGTGAGCGTGAATGTCGGGATCGTGATCGTTATAGTGATCAGCTTTTTCGTGTCCCTCTTAGGGTTTCGATCACTGCATGCCTGGGAGAGATGGAGCTGGATACCAAATTTGATAGCGCTCATTATAACTGTAGGATGCGGTGGACGTCATCTGTTCCAACAAGCTGAGGCTGCACCGGCCGAGGCGGCAGCCGTTGTATCATATGGAGGTCTCATTGCTGGATATTTTATCACTTTCGGCGGTACTGCCTCAGATTATTCGATCTATCACAACCCAAAAGCCTCTAAGTTAGTATTTCTGTCCACAAGTTTGGGGTGTTTTCGCCGCTAACGATCCTACATAGGATCAAGGTATTTACTTACATCTATCTAGGCCTCCTGACGCCGTCTGTGCCACTCTTCATACTCGGAGCAGCTATGGGTGGTGCTGTTCCGTTGGTCGAAGGATGGTCCGATGCTTACGAAGCTTATGGCGCTGGGGGCGTACTTGCTGAAATGCTCAGTATATCTGGAGGTTTCGGAAAGTTCGTCCTGGTCCTTTTGGCCTTGAGTGTACTTGGAAACATTGCCATTTCCATGTACTCTATCGCCTTGAATCTTCAAATGATTCTGCCGTTCTTTGCCAAGATACCTCGGTACTTCTTTATTCTTGTGGTCATCATCGTGATGATACCCACTGCGATAAAGGCTGCTGAGCAGTGGGAAGAATCATTAGAGAACTTTCTCGCTTTGATCGGGTATTGGGCGGGGTGTTTCGATGCCATTTTGATAGAAGAAATGGTCATCTTCCGCCGCATGGATTTCTCGACTTATGATCACGCTATATGGAACGTAGGAAGAAGGTTACCCTCGGGCATTCCTGCCATAGCTGCATCCATTTGCTCAATGGGTTTGGTCGTACCGGGAATGGCCGAAGTTTGGTTCACCGGACCAATTGCTGAGAAGACGGGTGACATTGGCTTCGAAATGGCCTTCTTCGTCACAGCCTTGTGTTATCTCCCCTTTCGTTGGCTCGAAATCAAGATGAGGGGCCATCTATGACAAACTTCTGAAATTTCAGTACGTAACGTCAAGGAGATTATATGGAGTGTTTGCAACGACGGAACAAAGTCGAGCGGCAGCGGGAGGCTGCACATCGAAATTGAATCACGAGTCAAATTGTACCTTTGCAGGCTAAACAAATGATTCGATGATAGAGTGGAGCCAGAAGGAAACGGGCAAAAGGGGGGCATGGAAGTGTAGAATACATCCGGTAGCATGTTCAGAATATAAGGTATCTGGTTGAATGAACGCTCAACCGCCTCATGTCTGTTGAGCTAGTCTCCCACAAAGCACGACATCTCCGCCGAGAGGGATCCAGGCGATGCTGGTAAGCCGAGCCGCAGCGATTGGTTCTCCAGAGGGTCCAAGCCGTCGAGCAGGTGACACAACGACACCGCCCTGGCCCAGCCAGGTTGGTGCTATTGTTAGTATGACTGAGTCGACAAGCTGATGTGAGCCAGGCTCAAGCAGCGAGTTAATGATCTGCCCTCCCCCTTCGATCATGATACTTCTCAAGCCTTCGGCTCGCACAGCATGCAGGATTTGACCCCATTTGAAATGGGTTGGAGATGTGTCATCATTTCCGAGAACGATGTATTTCCCGCCATGTTCCTCAAGAAGTGCCTTTTGACCTTGCGGCGGGGCGTGATCCGCGGTGATTATGAACGGCGCGAGTCCACATGATGCTCTCGCAAGCTGGAGCACTTTACTCTCACGCGTAAATTGCCAACGCAACATAGGATCTATTACGATTGGTCTAGGTTGCCGTGCAGTCTCGATACCCTGTAGACGACAGTTGAGACCAGGGTCATCAGCAACTGCGGTCCCCACCCCGATGCATATGGCATCGTGTCGGCTGCGCAGATAATGCGTCATGGCCTTGGATTGGGGACCGGAAAGAGCTGTTCGTGTTCCGGGCGCGAGGGAGAGGGCAGAATCCAGAGAAGTAGCGAAAGTCAAGGTGACAAACGGTAAACTGGATTCAGGTTGCTGAGCATGTACTGGTGGTAGGTAAGGCTCAAGTTTGGCAGCCTCGGACTGGGGGAAGGACAAGTCTTGAACGCTCATTGTCATTGTGTATTATCAAATCTTCCGATGTGGTTCGAGGTAGCTTGTTTGAGCAGGTGAACGGCCGAACATCAAATAGGCCAGGTCGCCGCCGATCAACTTAAAGGACGGATCGTGCCGCAGTGACCTGATTGCGTATGCAACCCTGTTGAAGTTGGCGTCGTGTAAACAATCCCCCAGGGGGGCTGTTGGGCGAAATACAAATACCAGAGATTATGGCTTCTGCTGTGTAACCTGAACTGGCCGTTTCAATAGCTTGAATGGCGGCTTCCCCGAGACCAATGCTTGAGGCCGAATCTGGGTGAATAGGACTGGCAGAGATTGTTCGCAATAATTGACGCCTGGATGGCGTTCTTGCTCGAAGTGTTTCTGAGCAAGAAGCACCAAATGGATAAAAAAAATTAAAAATTAAAAACCAGTGCGAGTAACGAACAATTGTTTGAGCTGCCACCCAAGGTTGGGGGCTACTCTTTCGAGCTGCAACCGGTGGCCCCACCCGATTGGGTACCCATGCCCTTCACTAGTGCAAGCGCGTTCTCACCGGGCAGGCAACGGCAGAGTATACATACATACTTGAGAAATTAAATCAGATCGGGTCCTATGACACACCGATTTGCATAAGTGAAACCCCGCAAAAGAAATGCTTTTATACAGTACTTGGGCCGACGCCATGATCTATCTCTCAAGGCTTGTCTGCAATACCGGTTTCGTGCTGAAAATGACTTGGCGTTTGTCCAGTCCGATCTCCTACGACCAGATCACTCCAACGTTACTGCCAGAGCATGCCTGTTGTTTCGCTTACTAGATTGCTGTTGAGGTCACACGGCAGCGCAGCTCGAAACAAAAAGACAAGGCTTATTGCTGGAACCAACTTCCGGTCATCCCCGTCCGCTCGATTTTACACCCCATGTCCGTTTCGGTTGCAACGGATCTGATGTCGCTTGTCTTCACCCGAAGCATAGGCCCTTTATGTATCACTGCTTTGCTGCCGCCGAACTTATCTGAGAACCCTATTGGTCCTTTGGGCCTCCCTCCGAAACCTCGGTTCCAAGTTCTGAGCCTGCTTGGAATATCTGATATTGTTTGACAACAGTCAGGAACTGCTACACCGGATTAGGATAGGCCTAAGATGAATCGACGGTAAGGAACTGCCGCAAATGTAACAGTACAGAGTATGTAACACAATCCATGGCAGCGCCTGACAGGGCATGCCAGACCAGTATCATGATGCATCCAGCAATTGCGGGCGTTATTCACTTTTCCTTACACTCTTCTTTAGGCTGGAGGTCGCTCCGCACTTCTACATGCAAATCACGTATCGAGAACATGCGCTGTTTTGGGGCCATATGTAAGTACATTGTTGCGTCACATCGGCTTCACTTCTCGATTCGATACTTTGCATATAACATATTACCTGACCAGCGATCATGCATATTCGTCAACGTTGTTCGATCAACATCTTATCGGAGACCTTTGAGTTCATTTGCATATGCCCGCGTGATATCTCATTTGGCAGAATCACGAACTAGTCTTGTAATTCAAGAATTCAATCAATCAGAGCTCTACATCGGTCTAATACCCATCAACGATCAATTTCATGGTTGGCACAGCCGTTTCACAACGTAACTCCAGCCCAGCTGCTCTAAATTTAGCATATCCCTGCATGGCATGACTTGACGTAGCTCGGCCCGAAGCATTATATGAAAACAACTGCCGTGATAGAAAAGGAGAAGATCAGACGGCCCGCAAAGCTATAGTTTCAGGCATATAGTGTAAGGCAAGGTCTGAAATCGAGATACAATGACATGCGAGTAATCCTGTCGGCTTGCAATTGAATTTTGTTGTACAATGTTCCGGATAAAATTCAGACGCGTTTGGCGAAATGAGGATGGCTATCAAAAAGGGACAAGTTCTCCGTATCTGCGCTGTGCCGACACGACCCTGCCGCCGGCAACATGGCCGATAGGCTTTTTGGTTTCCTGGGTGCAGACCAGTCTTAGTTGAGACTGGTACGCCGGAAGTCGAACGAGTCCCTAAGATAGGTACTTTATTACCAGCGTATCCATGTCGACATACGTATGACCCACTTGGGCGATCCCTAGTGAATCACTGGTATATCTAAATCACAGACGACTCTTGTTGATAATGTATTCTGGCTAACCCAAGGAGCTTATTCGCCGCCGTGACTACATTGCATCTGTTCGGCTATTAAAGAACGACAAAAACTCCCACTAAACATCCATTATACCCCTACCGAGACTATCAACTTTCAAGACACCGATGGGAGCAATTCGACATCTAGAGCCAATGGCGGCTTTTGGCGCGTACAGTCGCGCAGCCTTCATGACCAGTCCTACAGATGAGGATCCGTATACATATCAAGTAGGCTTCGGCAATTTTTTCAACTCTGAGGCTATGTAAGTTTTGATCGCTTCGTGTCCGACGTGCGGCTGGCTAATATCACGGTTCGAAGACCAGGTGTCATTCCTACATCGCAAAACACACCTCAAACATGCAAATATGGCTTATACTCCGAGCAATTGACCAGCACTGGCTTTATTGCATCTAGGAGCACAATGCAGCATGTCTGGTTCTACAGAATCCTGCCAGCCCTCGTACAAGGAACAGCCACAAAACTGTCCACGAACGGGGATGTAGGTATTCCTCTACCATTATGACTTCCACTTCTGACCAGCTGATGTGATTCCACAGCTAGAGTCAAAATTCTCTACAAATAATGCAAATGTTGATTTTCCACCAAACGTCCTGTGTTGGCTCCCTTTCCAGCTGCCTTCTGATAATGAAGAAGTGGACTTTGCCCAGGGACTCAAGACGATAGCTGGTAATGGAGATGCAACTATGAAAGAAGGTCTTGCTATCCACATTTACACTGCAAATGCATCAATGAAGAACCGAGCCTTTTGCAGCAATGATGGAGATATGCTCATCATTCCCCAACAAGGTCGCTTAGACATCCAGACTGAACTTGGACTGTAAGTTGTATAGCTACCTTCGCGGGGCGCCTCGCTGACGTGGAAAGATTAATGGTACAGCCTGGCGAGTTGGTCGTCATACAAGCGGGCATCAAATTCAAAATTTCTCTGCCGGATGGTCCATCAAGAGGGTGTGAGTGAAGCTGCCCTGCCATTCCAATGCAAATCATAACATCTCGCAGATGTCCAAGAGGTGTTTGGAAGCCATTACGAGCTTCCGGACATGGGTCCAATCGGCGCCAACGGCATGGCTCTTCCGCGGAACTTTGAATGTCCTGTCGCCTCGTTTGACGAAGATCTCTCTGAGTGGGAGGGTATGGGTGATCCTACTACAGCGATACCCATCCTTTTGCTAACTACAACCTAGTCGTCGTCAAGCTAGCCGGTAAGCTCTGGTCGTATAAGCAGCAACACACACCGTTCGACGTAGTTGCCTGGCACGGAAAGTTCGTCACTCCCCTACCTCGGTCACGACATTTTCGTTATTGACGCTTGGCAGTTGTATTCCGTACAAGTACGCTCTAGGGAAATTCATCAGCGCCGCAGCAGTGGACAGGGATCAGAGCGACCCGTCTGCGTACACTGTGCTGACAGCGAAATCGAAGATACCGGGGATTGCCATCTCGGAAGTAATGGCATTTACTCCAAAGTGGAACGCGACGACAAATAGCTTCCGCCCGCCCGTGAGTGGCACGCATCTACCTAGAACGATTACAAATATTAAATTACTGACACGACTCTAGTACTACCACAGAAACATGGCTGCCGAGGTCATGGGAATCATCTCAGGGCCGTATGGTGGAAGCAGTCGTGATCTTCGTGCGGGTGGGCTAAGCTTCCAATCGAGCTATACACCGCATGGCGGTAAGTCCCCACGCCGCCGATGGTCTGCATTTGCGCGCGTTACTGATTGTGGCAGAAACTTACGAGACGTACGAGGCGGCCACGACTGCCGAGCTGAAGCCTGAGAGAGTGGGCGAAGGTTTCCTGGGTGAGTTAGCTTCCTTCTAAAGCCTTCTAGGTTGCACGCCGGCTAACGCAGCTTTCTCGGGAATAAGCTTTCATGTTCCATATTCCAACACATCTAGGTGTGACAAAGTACGCCCTCGAGCGTAGTGGAGTGCTCAACTGTAAGTTGGCAAAAATATTTGATCGGCTGACTTATCGATCACAACGGATCTTCGTAGCTAACTGGAGGTTCAGCACCGTCTCCAGCCCTGTTCAACTCCATGCGGCCCCATTTCCTTGAACGGGCAGAGGAGGTCAATGAAGATTTGAGGAGGATGGGGCTGCCGCCGTTGGGAACACCAAGATCATGATGAATTTGCCATGTCGTTTCTGCTGTACGAGAGATGAGAAATCACAAAATATTGTAAATGAGCGCCCTAAAACGTGTTGCGCTTCCAGTTGAGTAGCTATTTGGACGTGAGACTTTGCTAGTGGGGGTTCTAGGCTTTTAGTGTACTGACTAATGCAACCGTCACGTTGTTGCTCGAGCTTGTCTTTGCAAGCCATCTCAAAATGATTCAAACATCTCGGACCCCAACTTTTCCAGCAGTCATGAATGTCGATCTTGTGATGCCGGCACAATATCAAGGTGCTTGCGGGGTACCAGCTAAGGTAACTTGAGAATTAAACAAGTTCAAAAAAAAAAAAAGGTAAAAAAAAAACAAAGTCCATACGCAGATACATTCATCCTTGCATGCTATAAGACCCCCAGTTAGCCAACAGATCAATTAAATTTCACTTTCCCCGACATTACTTTTTGAAATTGGACAGAAAAAGTACGAGGCAGCATGGATTGATCTTGGATTCGAATGCATATCCTGACCTCTGATAGGGGATACTTAAAACCTAGTCTGATTCACATGCCTCGGAGTCGGATGTCATAACCTAGGTAGTCATGTTAACAGTCATTTGTCTGTGAAACCGGTACAGATAGTCCACCATGGACGCCTCAGGACTTTAGTAGGCAAGTAGGGTCTTCCAATTGTACATAGTACAAACAGGCTCGCTCCGCTCTGGCCTTTAACAAGTGTTCCGGCACTCGCTTGGTATTCACCTCGAGGGCCAGTCAGTTCCTTTTTAGGCAATCCAGTATGACGTCCAGCTCGTACCGGATATGCATTTTCCTTAGATATTGTTTTACCTTTTGGTACTCCCGTCAGCCAAGATATTGCTTAAGTATCATGTATGTATCCTGCAAGAACCTCAAATATCACATATCAGATTCCTAATCATGCAGCATCTGCCACAAGTACTGTCTATCTGCTATCTGGATATCCCGCCCCTCCCGCCCCCCCTCTTCGCGGGTTCCCACTTTGTTGCTGCCGGCGGCAATGCGCCTTGCAGTTTCCGCTTCGAGTGCGGCCCCCCTGGCATCGCTGCAAAGATTTTTTTCCAAGTGCACGCACGGAGCTGCAATGTGTTGACCGGTCGTACCCAGTAGATTTGTACAAAATCAACCTTGCCCTAACTAACACTTGTATACGGATCCGCACTGCCAAGACTTACATATTGTCTCTGGCCAGTGATTGCTTCTGCTCCGTCAGTTTTGACAGGCAGAAGCGGCTGCGGGTTCTGACCGTTGCTTCGCCAAGTTGAGCCTTGGACCCCGCGTTCCGGCTTGGCTATATATGGACTCGACGAAGGTGTTTTGTTTTGACCAGTTGTCTTCCAAGATGGAATTGAGTGCAATCATGGAGGCGCAGCAAGCACTGAACGCCACAGATGTGGCACAAAGCTCTTGGATCTTGGCGTCTCCGTTCAATTTCCCTTTGCAGCTCTCAGCAGCTTGTTTAGCCCCTCCATCTTGAGACGCAGAAGGTTTGTGAATGCAGTGTTCGCGACAAGGAGGACTGGAGTTACAGTAAGGCAGAGTACAGTAAGGCTCACATGGTATTTTATTTTCCCAATCTTTTAAACGAACATCTCAGGGAGCTCGTACGTATCCCAAATCTCCTTGTTGTACCCTTTCTTTCATTTCAAAAGCGTGTTTAATTGCCAAGCTGTTGTCGTAATTGCCCCGGGTCGCCCAGCCTCTAAGCTATCCGAGATATCCAGCTCCTACCTCGTGACCCAAACAAACAGTGCTTCGCCACAAACCCTGTGTTGCGCATACGCCGTAGGTATCGAAAGATCTCTCATCCATCCAAAAGTGCATCGCTGCTTTCCCTCACATCTTCATCACCCACCGTCGGTTTCGCATCGCAGCATAATCTGGTTGAAAGGCTCCATCAGTGCCAGCATACTATCACGCGGCGTTGACCATCGAACAAACGCCAGCTCCCTTCTACAAAACGCGTTCGATTCCCCGCAAACCACCACTTAAACACCATCAACCAATATGTCAAAGCCCAACGAGTACCCGCCCGCCTATGACGGCCCAAACCCGCCTCAGGCTGCGTACCAACAGCAGGGCTACGGCCAACCCGGTCCTTACGGCGGCGACAATGGCTACTACCAGTCGAACCCCAACATGGGCTACCAACAACAGGGCCCTCCGCAAGGTGGCTACTATCAACAAGGTCCCTATCCCCCACAGCAAGGAGGACCCTACCCACCGCAGCAGGGTTACCCTCCCCAAGGTCAACATCAAGAACAGAGCTCGAGTTCGAGTGGTTGCTGCCAGGGAATTCTTGCTGCTCTGGCATGCTGCTGTTGCTTGGAGTGCCTGTTCTAAGGAGAGAGCATTATGCTCGAAAGTATGGCGGGTTAGCCTCGCTGCTAGGAGAGAGTGAATAAGCATTTCGTGGTACATATGCCCGGACGAGACGGCTGATCCATCGGAGCTCTTGAACGGGCTTGGATGAGGGACACTCGATATATGCTTTCGGGTACCCCCTACCTTGCATGTTGCATTTGAACGAGGGAGCCTGTCATGTGGCAGAAGGCGCTGTCGTCTGACAGTAGAAGCATTGGGCCGGCGTAACGGACGAGCTCGTGATCTGCGGCACGTCTGGAACGTAGCCGCTCGCTCTTTTGATTTCCTTGGTCTTCCCTACCTTGTTGTAGTACACATTTAATAATATTTTTCACTGGGCAGGCAGTCGCGTTTGTTAATTAGTTTGCTGAACAAATAGCGATCCAAACTTACGACGGCGTGTGACGACGATTATCTTTATACGGTGTTTGTTCACAGCTGCTGATAACCACTTCCTTAGGTCTATATGATATAATTCAACGCACATTTTCAGATCGGTTGTCACTGCAAGATCGTACATACGTTTGTATATACGTTGATAAAAGCTGTAAAACGACTGCTATGTCGCTTGCCCCTCCCCCCTTCTGATCCCTCATTCCTGTTGCACCAAGAAGGAATGAATGCTACAAAATAATTAGCCCCCTTGCGAATCATCACAATCCCTTGTACAGCTCGTCAAACTTCTCCCCCGCGTTCGCCATGCAGTCGTGTGAGTAGATCATCTCCTGCACATCGGGGCTGGCCCACTTGTCGGGCACGGGCTTGCCCTTCTCCCTGGCCTCGGCGAACATGCGGTCGCGCTCCTCGCGCGCCTTGCCCTCGCCCAGGTGCATGGTCTTGCCGTTGAGCGCGGCGAGGTTGACCAGCGTCGTCGCCCGCTCCTTGCGCAGCAGCTCGTACACCCGGAGCGTCCGGGCCACGGCGTCCGGGCTGCCGCCGGGGGTGAGCGCGAGCGTCTCGGCCAGCACGGCGGCGTCCTCCATGGCGAGCGCGGCGCCCTGCGCGAGATGGGGCAGCGTCGGGTGGCAGGCGTCACCCACAAGGGCCACGTTGCCATATGTCCATTGGTCCAGGGGCTTGTGAGAGCGCAGGCGCCACTCGCATACCTCGCCGTCGGGCACAAGGTTCAGCATGGTCTGGACCAGGGGGCAGAAGTCGTGATAGGTATCCAACATCTGCTTCTTGTCACCTTTAGTCGTGTAGGTAGCATTTGTGGCGGCTGCAAAGTTGGAGTCTGGCTGTGCGGTCGAGAGGTTGTAGATGTTGTGGCTCATGATGGGGTAGCCCACTATGTGCCGCCTCTCGCCAATCCAGCGCATGGCACAGTTGGAGTCGAGAAGTTTGAGCAGTTCGGGGTATGGCTGACATTGCTCTCGTGTCAGCATGATGCGGTAGGCGGCCTGACCAGTGTCCTCGACCTCGGCATCGATCTTCAGCTCCCGCAGCATGGCATATCGTGTGTTGGACTTGATGCCGTCAGCGCCGATGAGCACGTCGGTCTCAACTTCGTACGGCTCTCCTCCTCGCGGCTCGATTGTGAACTTGGGCCTCGATCCAAAGGTGTTGACGTTCTGCAGGGTGGAGCCGAAGACGAACTTGACGGAGTCCTCCTTCTGGCAAGCCTCATATATACCGCCGGCTAAACTCTCACGGTGACCAGTCATGTGTGGATAGCCAAATCTTTGCTCAATATCGGGCATCTTGACGTTGGCAAGCTCTTGGTTGTCTGACCCCCGTACGATGCTTGTTTCTTGGATGTTGGTTGCCTCTCTTTCAATCCTGGTGCCCTTGAAACAGTCCAGCCTGTCCAATATCCGCAGCATGTTGGGTGCAAGCTGGATGCCGGCGCCGACGAAACCAAGGTTTGACGCATTCTCGTACACGGTGATGTTCTTGAAACCTTTCCTGGCGAGGGCGAGGGCGGTTGTCAAACCACCCATGCCTGTGCTGGTTAGCATGTGGAACGTAGCCTATAGCCCAGACCAGACAGAACTGTACTTGCCTGCACCGACAATGTCGATCTTGAGATCTTTGTAGTCAGCCATAATGGTCAATGGCAAGTATATAGTTCTATAGTACAAGGAGAAGTAAATCTAAATGGGAGAGACCAGCCGTTCAAGCTTGGAATCAAGGAATAACGGAACGACCCATCGCGAGATATATGAGTGGCCATCGGGGGTATTCATATATCCTCTGGCTAAAGCGTCAGCAATAACACGATAATGTGGGGTGAGGATTCCCCGGTGCGGGGTCAAGTCATCAAACGTGTTATCCCATCAAAAGGATCGAGTCAATCGTTGGAGTGCCAGATCTGAGCCAGATGTCCATGAGTCCCTTCATCATAGACGCGGACAGGAAATGCCCGTGACGGATGGCGGGCGAATAAATGCCCTCTCGCCTACGCCGTACAGGGGGACTTCCATATGCCAGCGGGGAGTTTAGCTCTGACTTCCAGGTATATTTTACTGAGTCGAGGCATCCGGCGTACGCCAGAAAGTCATGCTAGACATCAGCCCACCATTTCCAGGGGATCAGTGGGGTGTGCAGTGGACGAGCTAAATTGTTGTCGGGCCTCAAAAAAACATCCGATGGAGGAGATGAAGGGGGCTCTGAGAAGCCTACGTCCGTCACCGTCGGTTACCCTTGGTCAATCTTGGCTCACCATATTACCATAGTATGTGTGGAAGACTCTGAAGTGCCCTTAGCATCACGGTAGCATCAGCATTAGCACCCGTTGCAAGGCGACCATGAGATTGCGGGGTCGATTGAACCCCCAAAACATCCATTCATTCCCTATGTAGATAGGTAGGGTTTCTGGAGGGGCCGTTGTGGGCTGTTTTGGCACATGCCATCACTGCCGAGCGGGACATATATATCCCCCTTATAGAGTGTGTGTGTCCCCAACAGATCACCAACGGATCGTCAGCGACACATTCTACAGTCAGCCGATACGACCGAGCGGAGCACCAATTACATCCGAGTCCACAGCCTCGTTATCAGCCCTGCAGCTCGTCGAACAATCAATACGGTACCAGTTGAGCATAGCCATTCCTATCCGAGGCACGCGAACGCTGCCCCGGAGGCCACCGCTTCACCATGTTACCCAAAACACCCGTCATCACCGTCCTCGGCTCCCTGAACATCGACCTCGTCTCCTACGTCCCGCACCACCCCCAGCCGGGCGAGACCCTGACAGCAAACGCCTTCGCCGTCTCCCCCGGCGGCAAGGGAGCCAACCAAGCCGTCGCCTGTGCCAAACTTTCCCGCTCCAAGACCTCGCCCACCGACCCGCAAAATGAGACGGCACAGGTCCGCATGCTCGGCGCCGTGGGCTCAGACACCTATGGCGACATCCTCCGCAAGAACCTCTCCGACCACGGCGTGGACGCGAGCGGCGTCAGCACGCCAGAGGGCCTCAAGACCGGCGTCGCCATCATAGTGGTCGACGAGCCCACGGGGCAGAACAGGATCATCGTGAGCCCCGAGGCGAACCACTCGCTGCTGCCCGGACAGTTCACGACGCTGCCGGGCCCGCGGCCGGACCTCCTGATCATGCAGCTCGAGATCCCCATCCCGACGGTGTTGCAGGCGCTCAAGGCGGCGCGGGAGGCTGGCGTCGACGTCCTGCTAAACCCGGCCCCCGCGGTCGCGCTGCCGGACGACGCGCTGCAGGGGCTGGCGCACCTGGTGGTCAATGAGACGGAAGCGTCGATACTCGGTGGTGTGCCGGAGTCGGAACTCGACACTGAGGAGGGCCTGGCCAAGGTATCCAAGGCATTCCTGGCCAAGGGCGTGAGAAACGTGCTCATAACGCTGGGCGGAAGAGGTGTGTTTTACTTGAACGACAAGGGAGAGTCGGGGCTTCTGCCCGCCGAGAAAGCCAAGGTAGTCGACACGACGGCGGCCGGAGACACGTTTGTGGGCAGCTATGCCGTGGAGGTCGTCATTGCGAAGGCGAGGGGAGAAGATTGCGATATTGCAGCTGCCGTGAGGAAGTCGAACAAGGCCGCTGCAAAGACGGTCGAAAAGCTTGGAGCTTCGGTATCGATACCGTGGCGAGACGAATTGTAGTCGGTAACAGAAACCATCAAAGATATAATGAAACAAAGACGTCAAACACCATTAACTCACCCTAGGACATTGTGCATTGCCCAGTGACCGCGCCAACCTTCGATGATGCCGTTGCTTCATCCTACAAACACTCAGCAATTGCGTGGCCCCGTGCCAATGGTGTTTTAGAAGGTTTTCTAACACATCAATTGACCACATTACGTTTCCACCAATATCCTGGAAAGCAAATTAGAAAATCGTCACACTCAGCAAACAGTTGATTGAAAGCTAGCAGCTTATTATAGAATGAATCCAATTATTACATTGACAATGGTGGACTTTGCGTTTCAACGAATTTCTGAATTCTCATCAGGGTGAGCGTTTGCATTACAATCTATCCATCATGACTTGTGCTACTATTATTTCGTTCGTGGCTTGACACTGATATCCACTGTTCCTTAGAGGTTGGAGGTAACTTTTTTTCTTCCTTTTTTTTTTTATTAATTTCTTTTTTCTTGTTATCGTAGACAATGTTGAATCTTAGAAGACAAGACTCTGGAATCAGGAAAGTTGGTCGAGTTCACTCAATATATAACACTTGTTCCGTGAGCACGTTTTCTTGCTGACAATCGCCATGATATCGTTCCTGGCTATTCCCTACCGTTTAAGAAACCATAAGTGTCTGTATCGATATCCACTGTTCACCACCACCAATTCCCAATGTTCCACTTTCTCACAGCCGACTGCCTGCCAGTTGCTGATGATGCCCCTCGACCCTCTGCCATGTACCGTGTAACATCGAAAGCTCTCCTCGCACCCCAGTATGACTCAATGACGGAAAGCAAATCGTTGGAAACGACCGGTTGAGATGGCGACCACACCGACGCCGGGTTGTGCCTCTTGACGGACCCAACTGCCGTCGTCTCCAGTCGTGTCTGAGGAAGTCCCGAGTGGCGGTATGACAACTTGACCTCGAGGAAGTTGGTCCTCATGTCTCCTAGTTGGTACTCGAGGTCGGCGATGAGCGAGTCGGGCTCATCAGGCTCGGACACAGCCTTGGCTGGTAGTTGTATTGGGCCAAGGCCGACGTGCGCAAGAGTCAGATGGCTGGAGCCGGGGCTAAAGGTTCTGGGCGTATCCCTGTTCATCAGCTCGATTATGGTGTTGCCTTCCGTGGGTATAACCTCTAGCCGGACGTCGTGGAGGTAGCCATAGATCTGACCGGAAACCTCAACGGCCACCTAGACAGTTGCACATCCATCATTAAGCGTTGTTCTTTCTGGGACCATTCTGATTTGTGGTATAAGAAGACTTGGGTCCAAGAAAGGATTCCCGTCTTCATGGACAGACGGCAGCGAACCGCTTGGTTGGCGGAATCCATAAGTGTCAGAACCGTCGTATCCAAGAGGCATGACAGGGTAGGGATCATATGACCCTTCCGAAGAACTGCTCCCGAAAATAGACATTCCGCCCTGGCTGGATGTTGTCCGTCCTGGTTGATGGGACGTGAAAGAACCAGTGCTGGTCTCACGACTTTCAACACTATAGCGACGGCAGGTAGCCCTTGAAGAGGACATCCGTCCATTGGAGAATAAGCGCAGCTTATCTAGCAACTTGGGAGTTTGTGCGCGGAGGATATTATAGCTGGATGTCTTCCCGGCGGACGAATTCTGATTCGTAGCGCGAGGAGTGATGTCGGAAGGATTGCTGTCCCCATTGTTATTCTCGGAGCTTGTATTAGAACCTCTGAAAACAGGAGTAGGGCTCCTATCGAAGGAATGACTCGAAGTCCGGTTGCCCACCTTCACGACCTGTAAAGGTTGTGGGCTTAATGCGATGCTTGCCTGAGTAAAGTGCATAGTGATGCGGCTAAGACTGGCTTAAATGTCGTTCGTGACCTTATCTAAGAGGTTGATGATTGTATTTGGTACTGCTGTCTCATGGCCCCCGTGACCTGCTGCCCCTGGTGCAAGGTAGTCACTGTTGACACGGATTGCACTTGTCGCTGGTCGCTCATGGCAGCTCCTGCCTAGGTACGTGTTCAGAGGACGACAAGTCGTCCATATTTCAAATCAAAACCTCAACTCTTGTGCAACGATAAACAAAGCTTCATTGTCTCTAAGCTATTATCCAAGACTATCGTTACCATCATGGCTTTTAATCTTTCTAATCCTGTAGTACTGCCCTTGCTTCGGAAAACTGTCAAACCCCATCCAACACGTACATATAAGGACTTCTAGACGCGCCATCACAAATGGCTTGCGATTTGGAAACCCCATAGCAGCCACCAGCCTTGCCTCTTTTGTGACGATCATCATGTGGTGCGACTAAGGCTGGAAGTACTCTTACCGGAGTTATATAGTCGAAGAAGAAAAGCAAATGTCTCAGCCCATCCCAGGACAACAGCAAGTTCCAGCACAGTAAACCTGTCAGCTGCCCTTTCCGGACAATCTCGGGCATGTCGTGATTCAGAACGCGGTTGCGTTATGACCTTCAACAATGCGAGAGCAAGAGCCGCAATGGTCAGAGATATCGGATGGTAGCGGAAGGGTCGCTGCGAATAGCACTACGAATATGGGCGAGGCGGCACTACAACACAAACTGGACCAAACATGCGAAAGAGTGGTGCAGCAGGATGTCTTCTTACGCGGAATGAGCTAGTGTCCTTAGGAGATTGTCCTTTACAGCTTCAACATCATTATCTTCCATACTTAGGAAACGGATCTGGGTATGTCAATGTTAATTCTCCATGGAAGAAATTGAACAATTCAAACTTACCACATCTTCGGAACCGCCTGTGCTCCCATATAGTACTGGTTCTGACAAGCTCGCTGCAATACCTTTCTTCACCCTCTCCTCCCATACACCTTCCCAGTTCCACTCTCCAGGGTTTCTTATAGGAGCTGATGGCAGAGGGGCCATGTCACCATCGCCATCGCTAGCGCCTGTAAACACCTTGCCGTTGTCCTGCCTATGAGCACGCCATGCATGCCATGCTCCAGGGTTACCAGCTGCCTCCAGTGGAAGAGAGTCAAGGACATCTTCATCATCGAAGGTGCTCCGGATATACCTGAGCACTTCAAATGTGGATATCTCTCTCTTTTTTGTGTCGGCAAAGCCAGGGGAGTCACCGATTGCGGAGTTTTTAGAACTTGACTTGCCGCTGCTAGCCACTGAGGCAGCTGCTGCTTGACGAGGAGGCGTCTGGACGGGCTGCGACTGCGCGGCTATGTTCCTTGCGCGGCGTCCAAACCATTCAGAAAACCCATGGCGCAGGCTAAAACCGCCGGGAGGAAGGCGCTCTTCGTCCGTTGCACTTACCGTGCCGTTGTCTTGAATGTCGGTTGTGTACATATAGGTTGTCAGGGGAGTGATGAGCGGATGAAACATGTCAGTGGCGAAGGTGACCAAGGGTGGAAGTCTGGGATATGCATCAGGATAGGATATCTGGAAGCGTAGAACTGCGGGCGCATATGGCCCTTCTCTAACATCAGCATGGTCGAGCTTGTTGACGAGCTCCGGGACAAATGCTCACCATCTCGTACAAAGATGACGCCAGACCACAGAGTCGGGTCTCCTGGTGTCAGGCTGACGAATATGCCATCAGGACATGCCTGCTTGAGCCCAGCACTGTGCAAGGTTAGCCCCTTACTTCACTAGCGTTCGACGTTGTTCAGACACGTACAATTCAGCGAGAAGGTGTTGTTTTCTCAAAGCTGGCAAACTGCTCAGCTTGGCAGAAGCCATATGGCTTTTGAAAAGGGGGTGATTGTAAGGTAGGTTTAGGAACTATGTGGTTGACAGATTGAAACGGTTTCTTTGGTGTCAAACGCATTGGAGTGGTTCAACGGGCCCAATCGAGGTGGTGGGGCACTGACGAGGCCGCTATGCCGGTACTAAATTGTCTCTGTATGCTGGAGGTAGTCCGTATGTTGTGCCCATATTCGATTTTACTTGAGGTGGTCCGAGTGAGCAAAAAGCCGATACGTAGCATACATGAGGACGGATCCGTAGGCAATACCGAATAAGCCTAACAGTACGGTAGGATATCATCCCACACAGAATCTCCAGGTCTGGGCACACGACCTGAATTCAAGCCCATGATCTCTCTGTGCTAGTGGCTTACCTACACTCTAAATTAGCAATGCGTTATTGCTAGTGACGCTCTTTTTGACCACCACGGGTCATTTACTATATCCTAGACTGGTGATCTGTTATTGCAACGTCTTATCGATGGATGCACATGGACTTCAGGCACGGGGTGTGCTGGCTTCTGTATCTACTGATCGGCACTTCTGAAAGAAAACGCGCCAAGATTCCGCACCTGCAAAGTACCGCATTGCCCCTCCATCGCGGGGTCCTGAATGAAATGCATGTGAAGTCAAAACCATGTTGGTACCTGGCAAGCATATTCGAATACTGCTGGCTTACAAAAACAAAACGAAAAAAGTATATACTCGTCAGTTTTATGTATAGTATAACCGCAGATGTTGTTTGTGTTCGATTTGGAACCTAGTTCGACTCTGGTTTCCGTGGATTGTACAGTAGCTGTTTGTTGTACTTGATTAGATTCCACTTAATAGACGGCCGCCTTCGGGCGAATGACGCATATTTTGACAAAGCCGCCCACCCTTCATTGGGCTTTGCCTTTGCCTTTCTTCCCTCATCTTCACTACATACTGTCAAGTGCATCGCTCGGCCAGCATTTAACTAACTTATCTGGCGCATCATTCTTGTCACTCAGTGCCAGCGTTCTGGCCATTTAAGATCCGTACACTTGATACAAACGCCCCCCTCTAATCACTCCTACTATCAGCCATGGCCGGAAAGAAGGGCGCTGGTGAGAACACCAAGAAGGCTTCCGGCAACGCGAAGAAGGCCGAAGCAGCTGCGAACAAGCAAGCAGCTCAGGACCGTCAGAAAGAAGCAGCAGAGTCAGACCAGTGGGGCAAGGGTGCCAAAGATAACTCCAAGAAGTGAGTTCCTTATTTCATCCCTTCGTTCCTTCGTTCGTTTGCTTGCATTTATTCATCTACCTTACTTCTCGGGCTGTGAGTGGTTGCTGACTCGAGGAAATAAAGACAAGCCGAAGCTGAGAAGAAGGCCGAGGCAGCCCGCAAAAAGGCAGAGAAGGCCGCCCTCGAAGCCGAAGACGAAAAGGACCTCCCAACCAAGGGTCCCAAAAACAGCAAGACAGCGACTAAGAAGACGGGACGCGGCACACTCGACCTCTCACAGCTCGACGCCGCAATGCCGGCCCTCAACGCTTCCGGCATCGACAACGCTCTCGATGCCCTTGGTGTCGCCGGCAACTCGCAAGACAAAGTCGACAAGCATCCGGAGAGGCGATTCAAGGCTGCCTATGCTGCTTTCGAGGAGCGAAGGCTCACGGAGATGGAGACCGATGGCAGTGGCGCAGGCCTCAGGTTGCAGCAGAAGAAGGATAGAATCCGAAAGGAGTTTGAGAAATCTCCTGATAACCCGTTCAACCAGGTCAACGCGCAGTACAACTCGACGCGAGAAGACCTGGCCGATATCCGACAGAAGGAGAAGTCCAAGGTTGAGACCAGACTCGGGTCGAAGTAGAAGCTTGGCCACAAGTCTCGTAGGAGGCATACCCTACCTGGTGGGAGTTGCCACGGCGCGTCGAAAGGGGCCGTACGTTCGAGATCGTGCTGCCGGATACCGCCAATTGCCAGACCACACCTACCGGATGAATGCCTATCGTATGGCCATGAGGCTTGTGAAGTGCCCGGAAAAGGCCCTCGGACAACACGGCACGTATACAAGTCCTGGGGGGATCGAGGACCGCGAACCAACCAAGGAACACGGCGGAGTCGAAGGGTGTCTCATGAGTGGTATAAAAACTGGGCCGACGAAAAGAATTCCTCGGACGAATATGCCTTAGACAGTGGCATCTCGAAGCCCTTGAATGGAAGTGATGTGTCGTATCAGGTCCACGATATCGAGTAGGTATTAAAGCGTTCGTTTGTTACTAGAACAGATAGACCATGGTAGCGCCAATCTCATTTTCACTGACGAGTTCATAAGGAGACCCCGGGAGTCATACTGTGTAGACATCAGTGGTTGATAAGGGTGGAAAGTCGGCGATGCAACACAAGCTACAACAGGTGGTTCGTCTGACCACGCCAGTAGATGTTCAACTCATATGATTGTGTGTTGTGGACTTTTTATTTTCATTTTCATTTCATGTACAACTTGACAGAAATTTGGACTAATTCGCTCACTACTCACTGTTCACCCACATCACGTTGACTTTGTGCAGGTGCGGGTTTTGGACTGGACCCAGTGAGACTTGACCACCAGCAGAGAGGGTAGGGACACCAAGGCATGCATGCAACTATCATCTCAATGTCAAATGGTTGCAGCGGGGGAAAAGTGAATGAGTTGTGTGCATAGGAGCTCGGCAATGTTCGGCTCGCTACGGGAATGTGGAGGCGGCCAGATACGCAAGTACAGCGTGCACTCCGTAGATGTTATTATTTAGTCTAGCAGCGGACATGACGTCCGCGGTTAAGCAAGTCGAACTCCGGAACAGCAATTGTCGCCCAGCGCTGCGCATTTGCCTCGCCCACTTTTCGAGACCAGCGGCCCTCTTTCCCCGGACCTGAATCGCTGTGCATGGCCCTCGTGACCATTTATTTTTATTTTGCGATCGATTCCGAGTCTTGAACGAAAAGACTACCTTGACTTGCATCTGTTCTGCCGTAGTTTCAGTGTCATTGTTTAGTGCTTCGTCTTAGTCTTCCTTCGTCCCGAAAAGCCTTAAACCACCTTCACGATCGATCCGCCATTGCCATACACTATCGAGGCGAAGCGGCCAACCAGGACGCAGATATTACACATCTCCCCTGACGACCGGCCCAACAGCTCACAACCTCGAGGTGTACAGAACTGTTTGTCTCAGGAGGGAGGAACACGGCAAAGAGCGAGGGAATGCCGGCGCAAGATGCTTCTACGCCCGATATACCACTCTCAAGAGAAGGTCACGCGGACGCCCTCGTCGGCACGATGGACGGCATCGTCAAGAAGGCCGGGAGCGTCGTCATAGGCGGGAGCGGAAGCACGAGACCGGAAAGGTTACCACAGACACCCGACGACGTCGACGCCTCGGCCACGACAGCGCCCGCCAAGAGGAAAAAGCCCGACAAGCACAGCATGGACTACATGATACGCTCGGGTGTTGCGGGTGGACTGGCAGGGTGTGTTGTAAGTACCACATGAGCGGTTGGCCCGGAGAAGAGACCACCATTGGGGGGTTTTAGTAGAGAGGCAAACGTGCTAACGGGACATTGAAACCCCCCATCAGGCCAAAACCACAGTCGCGCCTCTCGATCGAGTCAAGATCCTCTTCCAGACCAGCAACCCCCAATTCGCCAAATACCAGAACTCCTGGGCCGGCTTCGCCCGCGCCGTGCGCGACATCTACGCCAGCAACGGCATCGCGGGTCTGTTCCGCGGCCACTCCGCCACGCTGCTGAAGATCTACCCCTACGCGGCCATCAAGTTCGTCGCCTACGAGCAGTACCGCTCCATCATCATCGGGTCCAGGGCACAGGAGACGTGGTTCCGGCGCTTCATGGCCGGCGCGACGGCCGGCGTCACCTCCGTCTTCATCACCTACCCCCTCGAGGTCATCCGCGTCAGGCTGGCCTTTGAGACGAAGCACAGGAGCTCGGGCCTCGCCGACATCTGCAAGAAGATCTACCACGAGCAGCCGCTACCCAAAGCGACCGCCGCCGCCGCCGCCGCGAGCACGGCGCAGGCGGTCACGCCGAGGTCGGGATTCGTCAATTTCTACCGGGGCTTCTCGACGACCTTGTTGGGCATGATCCCGTACGCGGGCATGTCGTTCATGACCCACGACACGGCCGGCGACGTCTTCCGGCTGCCCTCGATACGAGAGTACACGACGCTGCCGCAGCCCGCCAACGCGCCGGCCGACAAGCCCGCCCCGCTGCGCGCGTGGGCAGAGCTGACGGCCGGCGGCATCTCTGGCGCCGTCTCGCAGACCGTGTCGTACCCCCTCGAGGTGATCCGGAGACGCATGCAGGTCGGCGGCGCGGTGGGGGACGGGCACCGTCTCCGCATCGGGGAGACGGCAGGTCTCATTTTCAAGGAGCGCGGCATGTCCGGCTTCTTTGTCGGCTTGACCATCGGCTACATGAAGGTCATGCCCCTGGCCGCTGTGAGCTTCTATACGTATGAGAGGATGAAGACCGTGTTTGGTATCTAGAGGGAGCGGAGAAGGGGGTTTACGTGTGGCGAGGTTCCTCGACGGCATAAGATCATAGCGGAGTTGGGGCGTTCTTCTTTTCTTCTTTCTGGTGGCATACCTCGGGTGAAAACAAACACAGTCATGTGGGCACAGGTATCCTCATTTTCTAGAGGTTGGAGATTACAAGGATTGGAAACACTGCATAGCAAGGCGCGGCAAAGGAATGTCCATATAGACGGTCGTCTGCACATCAAGTATCCGCACACAATAGAATCGAACTGGTTCATCGTCCCATTTCCTGTTGACCTGGTCTAGGTCGTGATGCATCATGATGGTCCCAAGAAACATTTCGTCTACATCACGGCGGAAAGCGCCCTACTCGTGTATCTTTCCACACCAACGAGAAATGCAGTCGACTTATGTACAAAATGATACCAATTGGACATCTCCATCGAGCTGTGACGCTGATTCAACAGACATCCGAAAAGCAATTCCTCCTAACGCCTAGCCTGATCGTTCGAGATCCCGCGCCGAGATATGCTTGGAAAGGACAAGCTGCATTATATCCGTGTCTATCAATTACATCGTCCATTGTTTTGCGGTTATTACTCTGCCTTGTTAAAGGTAAACTCTGAAGCAGCACACTAATCTGCCTTGATGGCCCTGCATACCGAATTAGCATCACGCATCTGCCAAAGCACGCGCCAAGATAGACCTACCCATATATCCTCCTCACAAATGCATAAGCAGTTAAGAAACCCACGGTGCCTGTGAGGAGCCCATAGACACAGGAACCCATGAAGCTGTACGTGAAGAACAGCATCGAGCTGACGAAGCCCGAGATATGTAGTTTAGCAAAGTAGTACCAGATGCAGTACAAGAAAATCCAAAGAGCACTTCCTCCGCCGACCATGAAGGACTGCCACCACCAGTGGTAGTTTTCAGAGCAGAGCTGGACGTAGACGGTCACGACTGTTACCTCCGCGATGGTCAAAATCAAAATGACTGATACCACCGCCAAAAAGCCGAATACGTAGTAGTACCCGCTCTTGTCTTGCCACATAGACTGGAAGACAAACAGCAGCTCGATGAAGATTACGGCAAAGGGGATCAGTCCAGCGAGCAGCACCGCCTGCAGGCTCTTGATGTACCAAGCCTGCCGAGGAATCTGCCGGGGGATGCCGCTCGTCTTTGTCGGGTGTTCCCATGCCCCGCTTCTGACAAAGCCGTACCATGAACCGACGTACACGAGAGGCACTTGAATACAGAGCCAGAGCAGCAGGATAGCAATCAACGTCCCAAAGGGGATAGCCGTGCTGGACGCCTGAGCCCAGACGAAGAGGTTCAGTACGAAGATGAGGCCGAACAAGAGGCCAGGGAATAGCATTGCTGTGACCAGGGCATTTTTGCCGAAATGCTGGCCGTCAAAGCTCTTGTAGACTCTTGCAGAAAAATAGCCAGAGAAAACGCCGGCAAACACGAAAAGTCCAACACCTGCACTAATAAAGCCACCACGGAAGCTGGGGTTGAGAACACCGATTGCGCTCAGGAACACGAGACCGATTGCCATGAAGAGCAGCTGCATACCAGACCCAACCAATGGAGCCAGGAGGTATCCATAATCGGGTTTCCGGAAAACATCAGCATGGAGCAGCTTCCAGCCAGTGACGTCCTCGAGTCCTTCCTCGTCAGATGAAATGTCGTCCTCGCCATCCACTGGGCCTTCTTGGTCTAACAATCCCAGCCCAGTGGTCTTCTCTGATCTCGGAGTGCGGGCATCCGATCTGCGGGCACGCTTGACACGCAGCTTGCCATCCTCCGCCGAGACCTCTCTGTAGCCTTTGATGTCGGTTCGGATGGTTTTTGCTAGGATCATGAGGGTGACACCAGTCAACAAACCACAGATAATGAGCGAGTTGACAATGGCCAGCCAATGAATCTTGGATCCTTCTTCCTGATTTACAAAATACAGATCCCAGCGTCTGTTCCACTCAATGGAGTCGTCCTCACGGAAGTAAACAGAATAGGTATAGGGAATGGACAGAGTGGCATCATCATCCGCCTCCTCGTCCTCGGGATAGTAGGACGAGTCAGGGTACTGCATGGCGAAGTTTGTCGTTTTATTAGGGGTGATGTAAAGCTCAAAGTGCTCGTCGATACTGTGGAGATCGGCGGGACATCCGTTCTCGCGCTTATTACTCTGGCCGATGCTCTTTGTGTAGACTTCGAAGCCGACGACGACCTTTTCGCCCCTCTCGCCAGCACGGCCAGGTGCCTTACGCCATCGGATAACAATGGTGTGGTGATTGTTGAGATAGTACCTTGGCTTGCCCGAAGAGTAATCGGTAAAGCCAAGCTTGAAGCCAGCGGCGTAGTACTTTCTTGTCTTGTCGACCGTAACAAAGCTGGTGGCGCCGGGGAGATTATCCACAATCCATTCAACCACATATCCATCCTTGACAAGCTCCTTGGCTCTCTTGAGGTCTTTTCTACCGACTTCCTGAGTGCATAGAAAGTTGCACTCGCTGTCTTTTCCCACGGTCAGATCGACGTCGGAAGTGATAATGCGATCACCGCGCAGGACCTCGCCGAGGTTCAACGATATACTCTGTCCGCTGAGCAGTCCCCCGGCCGAGTGTTTCCCCGTGGGAGGGCAGACGAAGGGCAAGTCGTAGTAGGCGTATTGTAATTGGGTGTTGTCGGAATAGACCTTGTTGACCAATAAGGGGATCTGTTCGCTGTCTTTGTAACTCTTTATTGACCAGCCTGCAGCAGAAGGAAGAGAGTTAGAATCAAAGGTAGGACCTGCATCTTGCGAGCATGTTCGTTTACAGCCGCGCTGATAAGGTACGAAGGGTATACTTTACTTACCCGGGATATAAAAGGCTTGGGCCTGTGACAGCACAAGCGAAGACAGCAGCCATTTCAAGCCGGCCTTGCCGAGATTTCCCATGTTTGCGATGTGTTGGTGAGAATTACAGTGCCGAAGAATGCTGTCAAACACTAACTTTGGATACCAATCGAGCGAACACGGGTCTGTTCTGCAACTAAATCTGGGCGTTTCTATCCCGAGTTGTTATCAAAGTTTAGCGGCGTATTATCGTTCCACAAATAGTTGCGGCTTGTCGTTTGTATGCTGTAACCTGTCAAGTGCAGAGACAATTGAGAGTTTGCAGGGCGCGTTTTGGACAAGCAGATCTGTAAGTCAGACAGACAGACGTACGCCTCTTGCTCTTTGGGAGTCCAGCGCCGCAAATCCTTCCGGCTGTGGTTCAGTAGGTTCTTGTCCTGGTCCTTGAGTGAGACCGCGCCACACAACAGGATGACTGTGGGCTAAGAAGTGGTGTTTTCGCAGGGCGGGAGCGGCAGCGCGGGAGCAAGAGTAATACAAAAGCAAACGAGTGGAATTGGTACGGAGTACCCGGACGACGGTTCAAAGACAGTACGGGTAGGGACCGCGGGATTCTCTGCGCTTGCTGACAGTAAATACGAAGATCGGCGGCGAACCCTCACTCCAATAGCGGCAGGCAATGTGTCGCTGATACGTGGGTGAGCTGACGCGTGTTAATCCGAGCACAAAGCGTTTCTTTCTAAAACAATCCGATGATGGCTCTCCAAAAGGCAGCTAAGACAATTTTGTGAGGCAATACGACCATCGAATAGGGAAGGACCTAGATTGGAGGAAAGGAAGAACAAGAAGAAGAGGACGAAAAAAACTGGAGCTAGACTGTATGAAAGACTCGCAATGGATCAATACAAACTGCCACCCTGCACAGATACGACTCGGGGAAGGAAAAGGAGGAAACACTTGGTCCAAAAGCAATCGTGGAAAGGTAATTAAGGTTGAGTGCCGACGTAGATTGACATAGATTACAGTAGCGTACCCGCTGTCGTCGCTCAGTGAGGTTGAATCCGTCCAGGGGTCGTTCATATGCAAATATGCCCGTAATCAGAGCGCAGGCGCACTATTAAATGGGGGAGGGAATATGGAGAAACAGAACGGCCTCGAATCACTGGTTGGAGCTCGCCTGTGCTGCAGCCTACATGCCTAAGCTCACAAATTTGGCTTGGCAATCATTTCATCCCACTCTGGAGTTTGCAGATACGCTGGTGGGCCTATTCGCTGGAGCTTTGAACCCTGCATTCACTCTCAATCCCATATCCCAGGCAATCCCTGCAGGCGCCTTTATCCTTTGCGAGAAAGTCCGACATTGCCAATAATAGGATATCCTCCTACCCATGGATGAGTATGTAGGCGCTTGGACTGCATACGAAAACCTTCTGCAACGAACATTGCTGGTCATTTACTGACTCAAAGCTCGCAAAGACTCGACACGCTCACTGACCAGATGGACAGCTGTGCACAACCTTGAATACCACGCTATCTGGCATGTCTGTTGGGGCAACGTTAAGGCGTATCAAGAAAGGAAACCGAGTATAGTGAGACCAACCAACCAACTAACCAACCAACCGTCATGTTGTATTCACCCAGTCAAAGGCATCAACAACTAGTTTAACCGGCAGTAGCACAACAATCATCTGCGATTCAGCACTATTCTATTGCTATGGCCCAATTGATTGAACCTATACCTTCGTTCCTTCAGCCAACGCTGCAGCTTCTGCGCTCATCCATGATTTACTTTGTGGTGGTTGAGATAGCGTACTTGGACTTTGACCGGATCCATGGACCGTACTTGTAGAACACATAGGGAACCGGCACTGTGTTGCGCTGTTAGTTTGCCTCTTCTCTTGTCTTTCTGTAGATAGATACTGACCCAAAGCAGCACTGATACAACCTAGAATTGTACAAGTATACGCGACTCCCAGGTTCTGGTAGAATGGTATACTGGCAACGACCATTCCACCACTTGCCATATAACGAATCAAAGTAACGCTGGCCAGGGCGCTGGCCGAGTACGTCTCGTACGCGTCGATGATGTATTGATAGCAGGAGATGAACACACACAAAATGCCTGCCCACCAGTTAGCAAAATTTGTCTTTTCACGTCACCGCAATCGAGAGAGGAAGAATGGGGTCTAAACACTCACCATAGCCGAACAAAACACTAGCCGCCAGCGGACTCCAGATCGAAATATCTGGGCGTGCAGTCCAGCCCATCCAGAACAACGAGATCGGAATCGCGAAGGCGCCACCAAGCATACTGAACCACAACCGGAACTCTGGAGGAAGACGATCGCCTCCTGCCTCCTTGATCTTGTGCAGATCGTGCTTAGCCCACTTGTAAATGATCGGTACGAGCGCGGTAGCCCCAAATAGTCCAGCTATGATACCCAGGAAACAAATACCCGTGATGCCTTGCGACGTCCCGTACGTGCCAGCGAAGATGTAGTCAAATCCGTCTAGGAAGCCAAACAGCACAACATATACAACGGTTAAATAAAGTGCAATGAGGATGATGATGGGCTCCCGCGTTGTCAGTAATATAGGACGCCAAAGAGCCCGTTTCAAGCGACGCCCAAACGATTCTTGTCGCACCTCAAGCTCAGCACGATACCGGTCATCACCCGTGATGCTGCGGAGATGCGCCGCCTTCCACTTCAGCAGGATCGGAGGATAAGTTTCGGGCTGAAACAGGACGACAAGGCCAAGCACGAAGCCAGAGATAATCAGGGTAATCCATTCCGTCCAGCGCCAGCTGAGGACAGACGACTGCGCAATCCATCCGCCCATCACTGGTCCCAGGAGTGGCCCGGTGAAAGCCGCGTTCGCGAAGATGGGAAACGCCCAGACTCTTTCCAGAGGTCTCCAGAGATCTGATACGCTTCCACCGGCACACGTCAACGGAGTACTACCAAAAATGCCTGCAATGAACCGGAAGGCTAACCAGGCCCCAAAGTTGGGTGCAAGTGCCGATGCCATAATGAAGATCATGTATAGCACCAGTGTGGCGATATACACCGGATTCCGCCCAACGGTCTCAGAGATCGGACCAGCAAAGAGTGCCCCGGCACCAAAGCCGATGAGGAACAATCCGGTGCCCAAAGACGCTGCGACTTCGCTAACGCCAAACTCGGCAGCCGTCTCCGATATTGCAGACGAGTCGATGGCCGAGGCGATGCCGACTACACAACCGATACCCGCCACGGTGAAGGTGCATCTAATCCGTGTGGCAAAACTCCAGTTATGCGGATCTAAGGGGTCGTCGTCCCCCTCATATCCAACAACAAAGACATTCCCTTGCCCGCCTTCCCTGGTGTTCCGTCTCCTGACGTGTATGCCCGTCATAAGGCGTCCTAGGCGGGTGTTGTGCGTTGTCTGGGTAGAAAGGTTGGTCATGGATGCCCCATGGCTGTTGCTTTGAAGGACAAGCTCCTCGTCGTCATCCTTTCCGTCCCCATGGTCAGAGTCCGAAGGTTGATATCGCGGCTCTACTTCCTCCAGTGGTCTATTGGTCGCAACCATGATCTGCTGCGCCGCTCGTGGGACACTCCAGGCATCGTGCTCTCCCACTTTGCCAGGTCGGCAACCACGAGGCGCATGCAGTTGTTCGGAAGGGTGGCATGGTTTCTGAAACCCAAAATCGCTTCCACGCTCTAAATCTCTTTGATGATTTAAGGGGTTTTTGGCCAAAGGTGGCCTCCCTTCCGAACGTATCGGTTTCTCCAAAGTATGCGCAAGCCCTTGCTTGCGGTCAAGCTGTGCCTCGACAGCATGTCGGAATCGTTTGTACTGCAGAAACGATTGCATTATTCTAGATGCTCTATCCAAGGTAAAAGAGGAACAAAAGAAGCACGAATTATACACCCCTGAAAATTCTAATAAAGGAAAAGCAATACTCGGGATACAATGACTTCATCGCATATAGAAGGGACCGTGCGACGACTAAACCCAAATACTCGGTGTGATGACCACTGCTATTTGTCAACTGGGCAAACTTCAGCCCTATGGGGATAATTCACCCGCATATTGGTTTCTCTCTCTTCTCCCTTGTAGGACACAAAATATGGGAATTGTCATTGCAAAATTTCGGTGGAGAATGACGTTGATCTCCAATAGCGTCGCCGGGTCCAACGGCTATAACGGTGACCATTGTAGATCAAAGCTTTGCTGAAATACTAACTGACTAGCGTATTTCAGATAGTATGCTCATGCTATGTTCTTCCTCAATATGAACGAGTCAGCTACCACGAACTTACTCATGTACATCCTGCGTGTTCATTGTCGTCGTGGATCCCCTTTTGACGTTGGAACAGGACATGGTTGCACACAAGCCGTAAACGCTTGTTGTGATTGGTACGCACGGTTAACAGCCATTCTTTTTAGTGATTAGCAAGCTTCAATATGTTACATATGTAGCTCTATTCACTCAGTGGAAGGGGGAGGAAGAAGTCTCACGAAAGATAGAAGATATTGCGGCGTGCTTCTCAACAGCAAGAAGCGTCGGACTTGGAAGGTCAGAGTCAACCTAGATACATGAAGAACCCAAGAGAGAAAATGCAAAAATAAATGTATTACAAGCTGACAATGAGACAACGTTGCAAAGACTATGCGAGGGCTTTGTAAAACCAAGAACGCCCAAGTCAGAGACCTAATGAGATACCAACAATTTCACATTCAACGAGGAGATCCCCCAGCAGCAGTAACAATGTGCATGAGCGTTGTCGAAATTTCAAGCACCGTACGCAGGTGCAGGCGATTCGTACGTGGGTGCCGGTCTCCTTCCTATCTCACCCTCGACCTGGGCCTCCATTTCGGTGTTCATCCTGACCACGTCTTCGTATTTCTCTCTGTCGTCATCGGCGCTAGGTAGTTCGTCGAGAAATGCCTGGATCTGCTTCCTTTCTGTTTTCAGCTCGTTTGTCGGCCTTTCGAGTTTGGCTAGCGAGAGCGACGCAGGATTGGTTGCGCATGTCTTCCTCAGATCATCTGTAGATGTGGCGGCATAGGACGGCATGGCGAGCTTGTTTGATAGGAGAACACTTCGATATATGGTTCGGGATACGAGTCGGTCTGTGTCAAGCAGATAACTTACCAAAAAATACAACCTCGTCCGTTTATATATTCCAGGAAAGGACTTGTAAGTGACTGTATCATCGAACTGTTCACAAAAGCAACACAAATGAGTCTTTCAAAGGAGTATCTAACAACAACCCTGGTGAGTTTTAGTTCCAACTGGTAATACACAATATAAAGCAAAGGATCTGTTTAGATATCGTTGGTGAGATGTCTTTGTTTCTCGACTGGAATTTGATCTGACTTTATGATTAGTTGGCTTTTAACACGAACGACCGTGATATCAACGCGATTGAATCGTCACCTGGCCATACTCAAGACAAAACCGTCGATGGAAAGGATCGAATCCTGGCTCTTGAAATATGGGCCCGATTTTATTGCAGTACGACTGACGTAGAACCTACCGTAAAAGCTGTATTAGGAGAAAACAGAGGAGTAGATATAATTTTGAGTGCCGCATGGTCCAAATCACGCCGGATCTCATATTGAACGGTAGACATCAAGCCCTGTCCTCGGCTAGGTATGGTAGAGCTGTTATCAATACACTTCTCACGACGAAGATGCGTGCGGCTGGCCCGTCATTTCCATCCCATTCTTGCAACATCACGTAACAGAAGCACGAACCAGGTATCAGAAAGTCCAATCAACCGGCAATGGCAGACCCAACAGCGTGTCACGTTATGTCTTCCACTAAAAACCTGACTAGACCCGCCACGCACAACGTTCCACAAAGCAAGGGCAAACTACACTCAACCGTTATCCTCACCAACAGGCTGGGGACAAGGGATAACCAAAATTCGGCGAGGAGAAGTTATTCCGTGCTAGCGGCGGCCTCTTGGCGACTGATATAAGAGTGACAAGAAATGTGGCGAGCGTGTTGGCCTCAATCATTGGCTTTTTGCTACAATATCCAGTGCGTGGTTTGTGCATGTGCAAGATCATGCGAAAACTTTTTCATGTATTGGGGTTTCCATTAACAATAAACAATAACGCAATGTGTGCTTCTAGATGCTATGGTGTAATGCGCGTTCGCAATTCTGGGTATATACAGTGATGGAGCATCTTCCGCTCGGCTATGCAACAACACAAACCACATGCTAAGTATACAACAATCTGCCGGTCCGCACCTTTGCCGGCCCCATTGGTCATCAAAGTCATTCTAATCATATCATATGTACAGTCGATCCAAGCCCCCATACGAGACTCGCGGTGTTTCCCCCTCTTTCCCCTTGCCCTTTTTTGACCCGCGCTACAGATTGATCAAGTCTAGTTCACTGAAATCTGGAGGAGCGCGGCCATAGAGCACACGGACCTTACTGTCGAGGGCGGTACCCTCGTTTGAAATCCAGATGTGCTCGCTGAAAAGCTCTGTGCGCCTGATCTCATCGTCACTGACGCCAAGGTCATCACGAGGAATCCATAAGACCGGGCGGCGAGCTCTCAAAGCTTCGTGCTTGAAGGCGTGCTGCACAAGAGCATCCCTTTCTTCCGGAGTCAAATCCTCGATTTCGTCGTGATAACCGCCATAAAGTGCTTCACCAATAGCGCGCTGAGCTTCTAGGTCTTTCTTCCGACGTTCCTCTCGATACTTTGCCGCACTCTTTACGCCTTGCTCGGCTCTGTCGTATGTGTGGTTTTTCAATGCCTTGCCGCCCCTGATGGCCAGAGAACCGGCATGGGTAAGACCCTTGACAGGCGCAAAGTTTGTAAACTTGTTACCTTTGCGAGGCTTCTCGATCGCCCCGTCAGTGTGTAGCGCCGATTGACCGTTGCGGTTGTGAGAAGGTAGCCCCTCCTTTTCGACCGCCTCGTCATCATCCTCGTTTTCAAGCAAGCCCAAACGATGATCCTGTGCTCGTTGAAACGCCTCATCTCTGAGTACAGCTTCGTCCTCGAACGTAATGGGCAAATACCGGAACAAGGGGCCAAAGGAGTAGTTGAGCAATAATTGGTAGAGTACTGTTAAGATAGTTACCACAATCATGATGATAGCGTGTGGGGTACACGTCAGATTGTTGGCATCATCCCGTACAATAAAAAACAGCCCAATGAGACAGATCTCCATGATGTACAAGCCGGCGAAAGTCTGATTAATTGCGCGGGGGTAGAGCACGCCACCAGTGTCGATAGAGAGGCGGTTGACATACAGCATGGTATAGCGGTGGGCTATCCAAAGCAAACTGAATGTAATGATCGCAAATATCGAAATGAGTGGTGCAATGACGCAGTAGATGAGTCCAATACAAGCGAAATTGGTGTAAACTGGGAAGAAAGAACCCCACTTGACCTGAGGAAGCTTCGTATTTGTGGTCCACTTGTTACGTGCCGTGTTGTTCGTAATCTTCGCAATAATATACCAATTGATCAGGGCTCCGATTTGTAGCAGAGTACCAGAGCTTGTACTGAGAGCCTGTAGAATCATGTAGGAGAAGAAATAGTTGGCGGCCTTGGGAAGCGATGTCGCCAACACGCTTGTGATATTGGTAAAATCTTCCGCGATCTCTCCGAGTACGGTTAAAATACTGGCGGACAGCGAAACAACAAAGAACACCTGAACAAGCAGGAATGCAAAATAAAAGGCCTGTACAATTTCTGACTTCTGAGACCCAGTCTTGGCTCCTTTAAAGCCTGCGAGCGCGTCCATGATGATCGGAACCAAGAACAGGAGCAGAGCAAGCAAGATGGCAGGCAGAACACCGGCAAGGGACTGAACAGCGTTGTGCACCGTTTCATTTTGCTGCAGGAAACCGAGCCAAGGGTACTGCGCAATGAGAGAGTCGATCTGCGAGATGGACGACGTGAAAGCAACGGGTATAGCCCAGAGAATGATCATACCAGCCACAACTGCCATTGATACAGCCGTACGGAGCCATTCAGACCACCAACTTATAGCCATATTATCCCAGAGAACGTCGTTGGGTGAAATTTCGACGGTTCGAGGTGCCATATGTCGGGGGACATGGTGGATCACGCTTTGGCATGCCATGTGAGCGGCAACTTGGTGGTTGAATTGGACGAAAGCGGAATTCATCAAGGGAAAACGCTCGGGATGCTTCTGGTCCTCTTCGATTTCGAGATTCAAGCGTGCGAGCTCTTTTCTGCACCAGAATATCGTATCAACCTTTTCGTTCAAAAGCGGGAAGCCGGGGAGGAAGTCTGGTGTCCACTCAAATTTGGCCAATCGATGGGTAGGCCGGTCTTTTTGCTTGAGCCACTTCTCCCATTCTGCTTGTTCTTCGCCATCTTCCTTGTACTCCTCGTTGTGTGCGATAGGATATTCGATAGGCTCTTCGTCTTTGCCACCGATAAAGGGAATGGCCTCCTTGAACTTTTTCCAACCTGACTTTTCTTCAAATGGGAATTCGGCATCCTCAGCACCTTGAGGAATCGGAGAAGCGAACCCACCGGACGGCGGTTTCCAAAATTGAAACCAACGAGCCCGATCATTCACATACATATCCTCAATGTTACTAACCTTGCGGGTTGTGTTTGTGAATGACTTCAGCTCAATGCTCTCCCTATTCGGCCCAGTGAATTGAGAAGCAGCAGAAACATCGCGTGAATGAGTAAGACGTTGGCCGGCGGTTGAATGCGTGGGCACATGACCCATCACTCCCCGGCGGTCAGATACAGCAGTTGAGGGACGTGGAAGCTCATCTTCGTCAGGCAATCTCACGTGGCGGCGATTGGAACTGCGTGTATCGGGCCTGGCGGACGGTGCTATCGACACGAAGCCATTAGTCGTTTCAATCTGATTGTCGAGCCGACCGACAACGTTCCGAGCACCACCGAAGATTTCATGCCCGGTCTTACCCACGGCATCTGTTCCTCGGCCCAGTCCCTGAGTCAGCCTGGACAATCCTGTTCCCAGAATCGGAACTTTCATCAGGCCACCTTCATCGCGAGATGGACGGGGCTGCTCGTTCTCGTCATGGGTATGCTGATGCTCGCCGTGTTCCATCTCATGAGCTTCCTGTATTCCTTCTCGGACGTCATGAGGAACCTCGTGGTGATCTCCGCTACTAGCGCCTGCGCCGCTCTCTGCCTGCAGCTGGGCCGCAGCATCTTCTTCCTGCTTACGCTGGGCTTTTTCCTGCTTGGTTGGCCTCTTGTTCTTCGATTCCTTTCGGGCTTGCTTTTCTTCCGCCTCTCGTTTTTTCAGCTGTTTCTTCTTACACGCGCGGATAAGCTCCGTCTCTGCCCCTTCGAGTTGCCGGTGGACTTTGTCTCGCTTTTTAATCTTGTCGAGCAGTGGAGTGAAGTCCCGGGTCATGAAGATATTTCGAATGCCACCCGGGAACACATCAAACAGCCCCCGCATTGCATCTTCAGATAGCCATTTCTCGGGAATGGAGCTGACCAAGACTGTCGTTGCCGAAGCTCGCAAACGATGTTCGGCTGTGGTAAGCCAATCCTGTCGTATCTTGATGAAAACTCGTAGCTCGGCGAAAAAGACTCCGCATACCCATATAATAACACAAACAGCCAATATTAAGTGAGCCCAGTACCTGTGCGTCTTTTTGGGACTGACGTTCCCCCAAGCGAGAGTGTCGAGACCAGTAACATCGATGCTCGTATCGTTGTTCTTGACTTGGCCTGTAACATCTTTGCCAATGCCGCCCACATAATTGATGGGTATCAAAATGGGAATGATGACAACAGCCATAGGAATAAAAATGATCAAGAGTGTTTGGAGATATCGTAGGAAGAAATAAGAGTCTAGGCCACACTTGTTCATGATCTCGCGGTCTCGAAAGCGCATAAGGGCATTGACCATGCCCCACGGACTTTCTGGGGGAGGATCGGTTCGTTCGCGTTCAGGCACGAGGTAGGTCTTCGGTTTGCTACAAACCAGGGCGGCATTAGTCACACGGACAAAGGATTACTCACATGCATGGATGGACTTACAAGATTCTGGCGAGCTTCTGTCTGAGAAGAAAGAACAGTCCTGTTTGAACCCCGAAGGTTATCAGAGCGGCACTCAGGGAAGTCACGAAGGCCTTGAGACTGATCCCCTCTGACGCCTGACCCTTTCCTGCATCGTCGGATGTTGTATTAAGGGCAATTGTCGACATGGTGCTGGGTGTCGTTGTCGGTACGCCGACTCGTAGCACCTGGTACGAGGATCGTGAGCAGAAAAGAGAGGGTTGCGTTGCGTTTGCAAGAGTGGTTTAGACTGCGGGAGTATTTAGGGCGTGGCGGCAATGATGGCCGGTATGTTTGTATGGCCGGTGTGTATGTATGCGGCTGTCCGAAGGAAGATGGTTGGTTATCAAGAAGGGCAGTCGTGGATTGGTGTTGGACGCATGTGAGGAACCAAAACTGGGGACCAACTCAGCGTCGAGATTGTAGGACAAGATGGAGTGATTGGCGTTCGTGCGTGATTCAGTTAGAATACATAATGGATTCTTTCTAATGTTAGCTAAAAGAAAAGAAAAAACGACCGTAACCAAGATCCGGCAGCTCGTCCCAAGGGCGGGTCATGCCGCGCAAGGACAAAAGCGCCCCAAGGTTAGACCAGGTTAGTTAACCCGGGATACGATTAAACGAACGTTTTGAAACACGGCGTTTGTGAAATCATCGAGCTTGCTTCAAGACAATTAATTAGATTCGATTGGTGCAGATTGATCTGCAATAGGCAAACCTGGAACTGAAAGGGATGCGCTCAGTGGCCCCCCTGTCACTCTGCTTTAGCTCTAGTTCTAGCTCTGGCCCTAGCCGGGGGGTATAACTGCAACTTGACATCAGAGGCTCTCCTTAGCGAATGAATCTTGCCTCGCCACTAGTCGCTAGCTTGGTCCGGCCCATTTGACCCCTGAAATCCCTCTTTGATTTGGCAACGGTTCACCAGCGACTTTGGAAAGGGTCAGACGCGCGCTTCGACTTGATGCTTTTCTTAGATAGGGAGGTAGCCGTGTAGATTCAGTGAGCTTAGAGATTTGTCCATGGTCTTTAAATGCGTACTTCTTCTCCTTCCGGAAAATAGACGTAGGGTGCAGTTCTGCAGTTCTGCAGTTTCTTGGGGCAGTTAAGCTTAATAAAGAAGGAGAACTTAGTTACTGACATAAGTCACATATGGACGTCAACTTGGCTAGCGGATGCGCACCGCCTCCAACAAATTGCCTCTTCGGCTAGTCTGTGGCGCACCATGATTCCAAGGAAGGACCCTCGTCAAATATTGCATTTGTATCTGCATCTGCATCTGCGCATCTGCGCCTGCCCTGCTCTTATCTTGCTCGACGATCAACATGGGGCTAGCTTACCATTACAATAATTGCCTTGGCTCCCTCAATTTGCGATGGTCTTTTTGTCACGAGGCGCGTCGCTAATGATATCACGGGTAATTCTTGTTGTTGCTCCTTCCGATTACCTGATTGCGGAGCTAATGGGCCGGTATCCACGACGCCAGCTCACCAATTTTGGAAGGCCGGCAAAGAAAACATGATTGCCATTAGTCTAGTTGTTTCTGGCGTACCAAATGCCAAACGCGCATCGAAGCCCGATTATCTAGGTGTAACGTGGGGCTCCGAAATCTGGGATCGGATCGTGCATCTGTCAATAACCCTGGGGAATCTCGGCAGCCAGCAGCTTGGAGGCACAGCGCTGACATCACAGGCGCCAACAGCCCCCAAAGCATCATTGACTTGTTCTATACGAAAGTGCATCGACCTGGGGAATGCGAACACGCTTCGCCTACTGTACAATGGAGTCGTGCATACTCTTCGCGAACACAGATAGGTCAATCCTCGTAGTTGACATACCACGCTCGATTGAACTTGCACAGATTGTAACGCCACAGCATGTCGATAGACAGCTCATATCTTGCAAAGCTTTGGACGAGCCATGGCAAACTCGAGATCCCGGCCAGTCTCAGAACCCAAGCATGTCTCGGTCCGCGTCCGCAGCTATTGATGAGCTCATGATTGGTGCTGTCGTTCAGGAAGCACTTCAAGAAGTGCGAGGTGCCTACACCGGACCGTGGCTGCTTCCCAGGGTAACAGAGTCCCAGCAGCGAGGGAATACAAAGGACGCAGCTATGTCCCATAAGAGAAAGCCGTCAATCCATGACAATGAACAGATTAACGAGGTCCCAGTGCCCTATATCCCACCCGGTAGCCATTATCTGCTCGGAGCTATCGCTAGTCAAAGAGACGAGTTCCTGAAAACAGCTCCGACCTTTGACCTTATGGTTCTTGATCCGCCATGGCCTAGTAGATCCGTCAGGCGGAAGAAGAACCGCTACAGTACAGCCTACGATATGCAGGATACCCGTAGCCTTCTGTCTCTGATACCCATCGCCAGCCATCTCAAATCCAACGGTCTCATAGCTATCTGGGTCACTAACAAGCCGGCCGTAGTAGACCTGCTCAAATCTCCTGGTGGTATGTTTGATCAATGGGATCTAGAGTCAATTGCCGAATGGGTTTGGGTCAAGGTTACGAGCAAAGGTGTGCCGGTTGTGGACCTTGAGTCTGTATGGAGGAAGCCTTGGGAGCGATTGCTTATCGCGAGAAAGAAAAGTGGCTCGATGAGACTTTGTCCAGACCGCAAAGTCATATTTGGTGTCCCTGATCTTCACTCGAGGAAACCGAACCTCTCAAGCCTTTTCAAAGAAGTTCTACCTGAAAACTACCTAGCTCTCGAAGTCTTTTCCAGAAATCTTACAGCGGATTGGTGGAGTTGGGGCGACCAGACATTGATGTTCCAACAGAGACACCACTGGATTGAGGGGACCATATCGGAAGGTTGTGAAATAAACGATCCAAGGAGACATGATTGAAAGGATCTGAGAAGTTCTTCGGTGTGTCAAGCGAGTAATCGGCTTGAAGAGAGTGCTACGGTCATCTGATGATAGAGGACGTCTGCGAAATGCCGAATAACATTCGTATCATACTTAAGAGGACTAGGGAAACTGGTCTAGCACATGAGAGAGTATATACCCACGAAATACTTCAAGATCATCACTAATCAACTTAATGACCGCTACTCTATGCACGAGTCTGACTACATCAATATGTGGAGCCCATAGAGAATGAGAATGAGTGCTGGCCAACCCCTCTATCTAGCAGCTCCCGTCTGTTCTCCCGAACCAATCCACTGATGCTTATTTTCTTCCTAAAACCAAAGTTAGCACGACTGTTGAAGCGAGCTCCACGCTATAGTTGCGTCAAGGACGTTGTCGTTTGAACATCCTAACAGCCCTGCAACCTCTAGAGGGGTTTTGAGGCGCTTCAAATAATCCATTACAACCGACCAGGTTTCACAAGAATATGAGCCCAAATTTTCTACTTCATTCATTATACATCTTCAAAGGATTATTATTATCATCATGGCAGCAACAAAGAAGAAACATAATGGTTTAATCTCCAGCTTGACGAGATTGTTTCAGCTCCTTATCAGAATGCGCTACCTCTCAGCCGACGACGTCCCATTTCCACCGCACACATCGCCTGCGATTGACGTGCCACTGCTTCAGAAGGTTGGATTTGATGAGGACGTCATCGATCTGATGCAAGTGCTGCCAGCTTTACAGCCTCGGGTGACGTGGGGTTGGCAAATGAAAGCGACACAAACCGCTCCCCAGACGATCTTAGCTATCTATCTTAATCCGGATCCTGGCCCCGGAGATGAAGTGATCAGTTTCATCAGGAGTGGTGGCCCTGATGGTGGATACTACTACTGGGAAACTGATGCCCAGCTGCTACCGCCTTGGATGTTCAGGCTCACGACTTGCGAGAACTGGGGCGTAAATTTATTGTATAACGCTAAAGATGGTAAGCCTCTGACCAATTTTGGTGCCAACTGAATCCTTCCTGCGCTTACTTGATAACTCACGTTAATCATTTCAGCATCAATTACGGAATGGAAGCCAGTACACAATAGACTTTGGCAAGACGTTCCCAGTCGTCCAGCCGAAGCAGTTATCTCAGAAATGATAGGTCGATTCGAAACACTAGAGTGGGTGCCATACTATGTACCAACAGATGGTGGAGATGACGAGCCGTGCACAAGAGAAGTTGTCGAGAACCCACTGATTCACGAAACCCGACCATGGGAAGGGGGGCAGATTTTGCCATTGAATGATATCCAAGCTGCTCTAGCGATAGTCAAGACAGAAATTGGGCAGAGGGCTGTTGTCAGCATAAGTCAGAGACTAAATAGATACATCGTGCTCCGGAGGCTTTATCGGACTTACGGCTGGGGTAGCCAAGATGATTTCGATGGTAATGGCTTCGAGAGCAAAAGGCTCAAGTTACTCACCTTTGTGGAGAGGTTAGAAAACGACAAAATAGTCATGATGGAAGGTGCAGAGCAAGCGTGGCAAGCTTTCTGGGCAAAGCAGGCCGGATATCAGGCAGTCTAGATGAGAAAAGCAAATCTAACTGTCGGTTGATCAGACGCACGGTGGTATGGCCACGCACTTAGTAACGTTTCGATCACCGACTGCTGCGATGATTAGCCGGTCTCAAGTCACGCAAAATATTGTGTCGATATTTCTGTACTCATACGCTCATCAGGCACCACCCATACCCTCCCTCAAACAGAGTGGTCCGTTGTTACATTGGTTTACGGGAATGATCGTGAGTTATATCCTCTTCTTAATCCGATTTGACATACAATTGGGTCTCATTTACCTAAATTCGTCATAGATTGTAATTGAATATGACCTAGAGTAGATGAGTGTCGTTGTATAAACCTCTCCATGGAATTCAAGCACGCTGAATCCTCTATGTTACTGACTTGTAACAAGGGTTGTTTTAGCATAGCATCAAACCATCTGTGCAGCGCAGCGAGATTCCCATTCAGGTGGGTTAACACACCTTGAGGATCATGATTCTTAGTATTTCGGACCTCGCGCATTACAAGCAATGTAACTCGACGATGGGCATGGCCAAGTATACTCCTTTACAAACTCATAATGGTAACGCCACAACAGTTGAGTAAATATGTATTTTGAGAGTTACACACCGCATTAGACATCACCCTTAAGGCAAAATACCTTTGTTGAATCACAGACAACGTGAGAAGATTAATATAGCCCGCGCCAAAGCCCAGCATTGCGCATAGGCCCTCGCCCACCCCTTTTGTAATTTCAATCAAATATAAAGGAGCAAACATACCGATTTGGATACCGGGTATTGGCGAACCGTGCATTGCGATCCAGGTTGGAAGTGTAAAATTTGGGACAAAAAGGAAGGTAGGCAATCGATAGATTGCAAGGTGACACGGAAAGGTATGATGGTGAGGTAGTATATTAGAAAAGAAACGAAAAGGAGGATACTATCCGTGGACCTACGGTTATATATCCATATCCAGCTGGATGCCCTGGGCAGGCGTAGGATGCAGCCATGACCCCTTTTCCATCAAGTAACACAAGGAAATCCATGGCTCCAAAAATGAATTTACGATCGCCAGGGAAATCATGAGTCACGATGGCATATCGTAGCTATTTGGGAGCTGGCTGGTAACTGCCACCCCAGTGACACTATCATAGAAAAAAACGATATTGACACATGCCAGGCAGTGATTTTATAGAAGATGAGCATTACCCGGTCCCAAAAATTGGTATTTAAGCATTTCGATATTCTTCTCGTCAAATGAAGCGAGATTGATAGAAGGGTTGGTGTTGAAGAATCTTTTTCTTTCTCTCTGAAGACGACGAAGTGCGAACGCCCCAAGTCGCAGATGATGGCGCGATGGAAAGCGAACCAAATACAACACAAGGACTCATACCATGTAGTAAGACTCGTGTAATTGCATGCGAAGGAAATATCAGGATGATGTAGCCCTACCACAAAGCACTGGCCCCTAATCCACAGTCCATCCAACAAACAACGCCACTACTATGGAGTATAATAACACTTACCAATTGGCTAATGAAATGCTGGATTCAGAAGCAGCCAAGTTCGTAAGGATTTTCGGCCACCATATCTACTTGTTTGTCTGGACTCGTGTCTAGACACCTCAAAAACTATCCGTAGGAATTGCGGCTGAGATGGGACCGCCCTTTCTGTTAGGATCGGTCATTTGATATGCACGAAGAGCGCCTACGAATCACACTAGATCCTTATCCAGGTATAGACAGCCAGTAGACTTGTATTTGGATGACTCATGAGACTAAAATTGTCTCCATCTCTGGGAGAGGATGATTAATGAAAAGCAAGCCCCCCCTACTTGACGATAAGCCAGAAGACACCAATGAGTCAGCACCCACAGGTACGCAACAGGGTATAGATTAGTATAGACCCTGACTTGGAATACTAAGCCATGTGTGTCAGTAGCTGGTACTTTGGGGCTCTGCGAGACGTCTGTAATACAATGCATGGTAAGACTTTCAGGGGAGACACCTTGAGAGATAATACCAGCTGAGAAGTGAATACGTAAGGGTCAAAATCCCAGCAATATTTAAACGTTACAGGTAGATTTTGCGTCTCTCTCAAACACTTTCTGTGTCAGTCTAATAAAATGGCATCGTCACAGCTCGTGCGTGAGTACAGACGTACAAATGAAACCGTCCAAAAAACGCACGTCGATATCAAACTCAAGAAATATGATATCAGCTTGGGGGTAAGCCGACTTAATGCAGTGTTCTGACAAATAATAACTTCTTTCAGCTTGACATTCCAGATTTCGGAGTCGTTTCAGGCGAGATTGGAGTGAGCGTTTCTGAGTCGCTTGAAACTAGCAAGCGGCTCAAATCTTCTGCGTGGGTCCTCCTTGCCCATAGAACCTTCAAGGCATCGTTGCAGCCGAGTCTGGCGGGTCAAATCGGGTTTTCCGAGCAATGTGTGGCGGAGGTGGATGCAATTGGTATCTTTTTCCCGGACATACAATCAGAGGCCATCCGTATCTGCTTCACTGCCTGGCTAGGTTACGCATGCGCTATGGATGATGTTCTTGAAACCATGCCGCCGTTGGAAGGCGAAGCTGAACTTCTTCGCTGCATTGACGTCATGAGAACGGGCGCTTCATCTACCTTTGTGCGTAAGTCGATACAAAGCATATCTCATCTTGATGGATACAGGCCTTCCATAAGGCGCTGACAGACCCTGTAGGATCGAAAGTAGATCCAAGTATTCAGGATATGACAAGGTCTCTTCGCTGCCACTGTATTCGGCAACTATCTGAAAGAAGCTTCCATGCCTTTATGGAAGCTGTTTGTACGGTCCTACGAGCCCATGTCGACGAGACACGCTTTCTTCAAGGTCGAATAACCAACGAATTGTCAACTTACATGAAAATTCGCAGTCGTACCATTGCGTTAGACCCATTCTTCGAAGTTATCAAAACCGAATACCTGCCAACAGGGATGAACCAAGTACCGCATTATTGGCAGAAACTACAGCACACCGTGTCTACCGCAGTGGGGCTCCAGAATGATCTGATCGGTCTTGAGCGAGATATTCAGAATGGCGAACCACTAAATGCGGCGATCATATTGATGCGAGACTATGGAAGCGACTTGAAGGAGCTGGATGAGGCGCTGCTCTCCGAATGTATCAGCCGAGTGACTGTCGAGCATAATCGACACGTTGCTCAAGCTCTTGAGCTCGTCGCGGAGGTGTACGAGTTGAACGGCGCTACGGGTTCAGATTCTATCCTTGAGGTCGCTAGACATATTTTGATGATCTGCCAGACGCATTTGAGGTGGTGTGCGTCGGCCAAGAGATACCGCATGTTTTCAGAATAGGCTGGTGGATTTACTTGGCCACTTGTTGTTTATTTCATTGTAAAACTGTGGTTCTAGAGTCTCCTTCAAATCTAAGGGTTGCCATCTGACATCCGTGATTAAGCTGTTCTATTGGCTCTGCTCATGGTCTCTGCTCATGCCTTCTGGTCGCCATTTCGAATTGCTCCAGGGTCAAGTAAGTACTGCATATAATATGAAGCATTAGAGAATATGACCTGCCCACAGCCTAGTGTATGTACAGTCTGATGATCTTCTAGAACCGACTGTCGAACTGAGGGTCATACTGTTGTGACTGCTTGATATGCAATGTACTGCTGGGCACTGGGGTATGTTAGTTGTCTCAGACGATAAAAGTCACCCCTAAGATTCTTCATCTTTACATTGTCCCAACCTAGATATTAATATTTATTCTTCTTCTTCTCCAAAACTATAAATTGGTCCCTTAATCGCTATGTCTTTCAATTCAATAACTCAATCCCAAAGCCAACCTACTTATCACGTAACTTACCCAACAAGCATAGAAACTTTTTCGATCTTAGCATGGTTAGTTTGGGCAATATCCGGACAGGAAACCCTTGAAACAAAGATATAATTATGTTGCATTATAAAAGGTGTGGTATGTTGGGGAATCAGCCTCGTCGAGTTTCCAAGGCATTGAAGTCTCTCGCAAGGCTGTAATGGTTGTAGATGTGAAAGAGGTGGGTTAAGTGAGGTTGAGTGTTAAGCAAGCGTCAAGTAGTTAGTGGATATCTGGAAGTATAAGAGTTGAGGAGACAATATGGAGGTTATTGGCACCATGTATTGCCGCCCGTGTGCTGTGGGAGGAAGACACTGCGCCGCAGTATCACTTAGAGTTCGTAAAAGCATAAAGGAGCAAGCATTTGGGATTTGCAGTGACAAATCACATATATTCATTGAAGTTCATGTTGCATTCGATATGGCACAGATGGTCTGCTCAAAGCTCATTTTGACTCTTCTCGGTTTCGGGCAAGATACAAATAATCAAGGATTGGATTGTACACGTATGTATTGCTGGACCCCCTGTTCGATATACACAATAGCTTGGAACACAGCTTTTTGAGAATCATGGTTCATCATAAAACGCTTTTGATGTCCATTTCTGCTCTTGTTGCAGAGTTCTATATGCCTTCCTGGGCTCAGACGCCAGAGAAACCCGTCGTACACATATGACACACTTGATCGTACACCGCATTTCCACATACACCCATCTGCTCTGAGACGAGTTCGGGCATAAAAAGGATGCACTTCTTATTTCGAACTCTTTTCGGGCACAATTTTGCCCTCGACGCTCTCGGCGACCTCACCCGCGATCACGTCCTCGACCTGTCCTGGACTCGTCTCCCACCTCGGGTCGAGTTCCCTCTGGTTGCCCCACTTGACCTTGCCCTCAAGCAGATCCCTGGCCTGGGCGGCCAGCATCCTCCTATCGTCGTCCTTCCTCCTCATGGCGGGTGTGATGAGGGTTCCCTTCTCGCGGTAGCTCTTGGCCCTCTGTGCGTATATCTTCTCCATCTCAATGCGCTTCTGCATCTCCTCGCTGTGCCACTTCTTCTGCTCCTCTGTGGTCGGCTCCTTGGGGAAGACAAAGGGCTTCTCGAGCTCTACCGTCATGTACTTGATCGGGGGCGGGCGGCCGATGCGACCGGAGAAGGCCGATAGTCTGGGGGGGCGCTGCGCCAGATGCGAGCGCACTGTGAGGGTGTTCACCTTGTAGGCATGCAGGAGATAGTCTCTTATGTCGAGCTTGTTGAAGGTCAAGGGGACATGGAATGTTGCGAACTGGGGTGGCTGAGGCCGATGCGGCCGGCAGAGGGTCACCACATGATCGGGCCTAGGAACAAAGGGGTCAGGTTTTGGATATCGGATCAAGGGGGCCAGGGTTATTTCTTACAAAAACACCTGTTTTGTTCCTGTACGGAATGTCCTTGCTGCTGTTGTAGCCATTGTGTCTGGAATGGGGCGTTGCGGCGGTTTACAATCATTCCGACCGAATTTCTGGAAGCTTGAAGCTCAACCTTCAAAATCGCAACTCGAACTTCGGAGATGCGGCGGCTGAAAATCCGACAAGGGGCCCACTTCTCTCGAGTGCTAAGTTATGTACGGAGTACATGCTGTAATATCCCACTTTGCACCTGTGGACCCACTCGGCTTCGCCCGCATAACCTAGCAAGCATAGCTAACTTACATGGCAGCTGGCACAGCACAGCTGGGTATGCCATCGAGACAAAGACATGTTTATCAAATGCGACGTTTCAATTTCGCGTGATCTGTTCTTATCCTGACGTGAGATACCGTCAAGTCAAGGACGGCACTGGTTTGAGTTTATGTGGCAACGAATATATACCCTGAGATGACCATCGTTCTATTGACGACGGGCCCACTGTTTCTGGATGTCACAGTTGACGATATGAAAGTACACCCAGGTTTACAGCGTCGCATAACACTGGCAAGTCTAACTGCATCACTCGACATTCGTATCGAAATGTGAGCAACTCGTCTGTCTTGATCCCGCACCCGCCTGGAATCTAGAAGTGGAAGCAGAAGTGGAAGCAGAAGTGGAAGCAGAAGTGGAAGCGGAAGCCGAAACACCGCGTGTGCTATTCAACCTATAATTACACTGCCAATCAATCATCAGTCACATTGTGCTTCACCAACACAGCGTAGATATAATTAACTGAACATTGTTTTTTACTTTATTGAGCGAGGATGGAAACTATCATGACCTGTCCGGTTTGCATGCTTTATGCCTACTATGAGCGAGACTTGGATGATCTCGACTCATTCAATCGCTTTTGTCTATCCGTCTAAACGTCAAGACCGTCCACAACGGTACCCTTGACCCAGTTGTGCTGCAAAACACGAGCCGTCTCGTTGGCGGCCTCATCGTCGACCAGAATGCTGACAAGATACAAGGTTGCATCTATGCCAGCAGTTGATCCCCCACTCGTGATGACCCGAAGACCACCGAGTCTCATCGCTGCGCGCCTGGCAACAGACTCCCGGCGGGACGTCCCCTTGAATGAGATGCTACCCTTGCTGTAATGACGAGGTTAGCCACAGGTTTCTGAGCAGCAGCAAGCAGAGAATGGGAGGAGGGCAAGAGGAGAGGCATACCGTGCACCAGCGGACGGGCGTCTGCCAGCATCTGACTTGCGGCGAATGTAAGGGTTCTCGTCTTCGTCACCGATCTCGAATCGAAGGTTGTTGACAACGTAGCGAGCCTCCTCATCAACGTCAGTTCTGTCGGTACCGTCACGGACAGATGAATGACTGCAGATATTCTCGAAAGCCGTCATGAAGTCGGGATGGCACGTGGCTGCGAGGCCAGAGAGGATGCCCTGCTCAGCAAGGAAGAGGGAACCAGTGCAGATGGACAAGAGAGTTCTCTCTCGGCCAGTGTCTTTCATCTGAAGGTCACTGTAGGCCTTGACAATCTTCAGGGGCTCGGCCTTCTCCTTGAGAATGGCCTCGCTGTTACCGCCAAGAACGACGAGGACATCGTAGTCATCAAGTTGATCGTAGGCTTCCTTGAACGAGATATTGGTCGCAACAATGACGCCCTGCTCGGACAGGGCCTTGGGTTCGGCAGCAACAGTGGTGACTTCGAAAGCCTTGGAAGCTACCCATGAAGAAAGGCCGTCGTTAGCAAGCAGATCTCCATGTTCGTGGCCAAGTAAGCGACGTGTTGTGGTAACCTACAAGGATCGTCCTTATTGTGCAGAGCTGTGGTGAGGACCTCGGTGACCGCTGCAAAGTCAAGGAGGTCAAACTTGTTGTGCAGGACAACAAGAACATCAACCGGATCATCAGATACCGCGGAGTTCTTGGTGTTTGACATGGTTCTGAGTGTTGGGGCGTGCTAGTACAGGGGAGGGCGAGCTGAAAGTTTGATCACAGTGAGTAAGACAGGGATGGGATGGATCAGCTGTCTAGTCTACAAGCTGAAGGAATTGACCACGATGCTGGTGAGCGTGCTGGGGATTGGGGAATCGTCTCGTTCTTCTTGTTGTTGGGATTGATGAAGAAGGGGAAAGGGAAGGTTGAGAAGAAGCGAGCTCTTGTATTGAGTTAAAGTATGGACAGCAGAAAGGAGGGGTCAATTGAAGCTCAGCTTCCATCTGGTCACCTCATTGGACTAGGTTAGGTGTTGTAGGCCCTCATTTTTCGAGGTCACGAGTGGGCAGTGGGCAGTCATCCGTTGATCTTAAGATGTTCTTTCCGTCATGCTGCAGGCTGGGAAGATACTTGCTGCGCCCCACTATCTGCCCACACGAGCCAGGTACCTGCTCTACTGCCAGCTGCTCGAGCAAGTACTGCCCCACCCCCGGCGCGCGCTAAAGGCCAAAACGCGGGGAAGTGGGCCACGAAAATCCTGTGCTTTTGGGTAGGTTGTTTGTCCAATTGCACCAGCTGCACATCAATTGCGTTGCACAGTAGAGCTCCCGTCAGCACCCATGCCATTTGCTGTGCTCCGTATCCCGTAGCATGACAACTGCCAGTCAATTGCTCGGTCACCCAAGACGTCACAGCTCCCGGCACGGCATCGTCTGCTCGACACAAGGGACTCTCCTGGACTGATACACGGTTCGATGCAACAACGTACGACTGTGCGCTGATGACATCTATCTGCCGCTCTTGCAAACATCTGGACCCGCCCACCGTCCGATGGATCCGACCCCACCCCGTTATCTGATCCATCGATCCATGCAGCCAAAAAGAAAGGGCACATGCATCTCAGGCTGACGCAGACCTCCAGTACCCAACAGTAAGATAAGTTGTGCGAGATACTCGGTCTGGTGGAGCTCTGCAAAACTGCGCCGAGCAGAATCTCCAGCTCCCGCGCCGGCCCCAACCCCAGCGAGGCCATCGACAACCCACATAGGACCATATCGGCGGCCCTGATGTAGCCATCATGGCGTCAGCTCCGTATGTAAAACCCAGAATTTAACCCCTTCCCCCTTGCCCTTCCCTTTCCCTTTCCGTCAGCCCACATCATCCTGCTAACATCCCCGTCCAGGTCTTTCAAAGACCTCACGAAAGCGCTCCACAACTTCCTGCCGTCCGCTAGCCTGCCCCTGCCGAATGACTTGGTTGAGATTATCGAGGGTTATGTGCAGAAACACGACGCTCGCGAAGAGAGCGTCTCACAAAAGCTCCACGAAGAGCTCATCTCTGTCTACGAAAAAGACGTCGTCGGCCACCCCTCCCGCTACGGCCCCTTCTTGAATATTCTACGACGCTTGCGGCCCTTGATCGCGCATCCCGAACGGACAGCCAAGTGGTGGCATCTCCTACAACCATGTTTTGCCCATATAAGCGAAGAGAAGGGCTTGGCCGAAGAAAGTCAAGCTACCGCACTGGATGTTTTGACCGCAGATTTCGGTGATGACGCCAATAATCCTGGTGGCGGTGTGGCAATCCCTCTAGCAGAGGACATGCTTCAGCTGTGGCTGGAAGACTGCAAAGTCGCCGGTAGAGCCGTAGATGCTCTGGAAAACTTCCGCGAGAAGCAACTGCGAGAGACTCTCATCTTGTACGGAAAGAAGAGGCCCCGGGATTTCATGGCGGTTGTTGGCAAATTCATGGCCAAGAAGAAATATCGAGCAAGGACTCTGCACTTAACATCCGATTTTATCCGTAATCGACCACCGCATCTGTACCTGATCCTTCAGACGCCGCTGTTTGGCAACTTGATTAACTGCCTCCAGCTGGATTCTTCAACTACAATCGTTTCACTGGCCTTGACCGCCCTGACCATGGTCCTGCCGCATATTCCTAGTTCACTTGTACCACATCTTCCCACGCTATTTAACGTATATGCGCGGCTGCTATTTTGGGAACGAGAACTCTCTGCTGCAGAGCACGGTTTTGCTCTACCTATGGAACGGAGGCTAGCTGCTAGCAACACGACCTGGGAAAAGGCCTTCTTCTCTCAAGAATTTGACGGCACATCTATTCCGCAACTGTCCAATTACTTCACCATCCTCTACGGACTTTACCCTATCAATTTCATGGACTACATTCGAAAACCACAACGCTACCTGCGTCACGCCGAAGTCACCAATCCAGACGATATCGAGGTACAACCTACCGAAATACGACATGCTTCGGAACCGTTTCGCCAATGCCACACACTTCACGAAAACTTTTACACCCTCACGATAGATTCTGAAAAGACGGATTTCGGCAGGTGGATCAAGAGCGAACCTGCCGAGGTGGTAGGCAACTGCATGGCTCTGAGACAGCCTTTGGAGTTATCATCCGATTTGTTGTCGACCCAGTTCGGCGCACAGGAACTTCCGTCTCTATCAATCAAAGACGAGGCTGACGATGGTCCAGAGTCTGCCTTATTGAGCAGTTCTGTACCACTGCTGAGCTCGCCTTTCGGTGGACTGCATGGAGATAGCTGGAGGAGCACGCAGACTATACTGGTGGGGTCTCCCACAAGTAGTCGCGTTCAATCCGCCGTATTCCGCCAGTCCTCTCAGAGCAGTCATCAGTCGCACCGCGACTCATCAAGTACTCGACCTTCAGGAAATTCAGGCGATAGTCCTCAACTACCCCCAACCGGATCTTTCACGAATCTGCAGGATATGCTCAACTCTAATAAAGCAATAAAATCTAGTTTGAACCAGTCACTGGGCAATGACAGTGTGCCATCACTGGCCTTGAGTCACCAGGAGTCGATTTCTGAAAGACCGCAATCAATTGCTATACCTGCCACACAGTCCACGAACTTGGCAGCCTCGTCAAGTAGTGGTACCGAAGACAAAGATTCGCAAATCAGGCACCTGTATCGGCAAATTCTTCTACTACACAATGATCTTATATTTGAGAGATTCATGAAGCAACAACATCTGACGCACATGGGAGAGTTACGGCGCAAACAAGTTCGAGAAGCAGCGTCTGAGGCGGAGACACAAAACCTAATCATAGCAAATCGCCACCTCAAGAAACAACTTGAGAAGTCAAGGAAGACCGAGTCACAAGTCAAGAACGACTCGGAGAAGAGCAGAAATCTTGCTAAGAGATGGGAAGCTGACCTTTCGGCAAAGTTAAAGACCATCCGCGAGGAGCAGAAGAAGTGGACTAAAGAAGGTGAAACTTTAAGAGAAGATCTGGCCAAAGCAAAGGCGGAAAACATTGCGCTTGTCAAGCTTTTGTGTGATCTTGAGGTCAGGGAAATTGGAGTGAGCCAGCAGGTTCAATATGTCGAGGCGAAAACAGAAGAGACAGAGCGGTTGAAGTTGACGGTCAAGCGACTCGAAGAATCGGAGCGTAATCTACAGGCCCAGGAGGCTGAGCGCCAAGCAGCAATGACACGCGCTGTTCAGGCAGACGGACGCGCTGAGATGATACAGCAGAAGCTCGATGCTCAAGACGTGGAATTCCAACAGACACGAGATCTGTATGAGTCACATGTTATGGCACTAAACGCGAAACTCCACGATGCCCTGAAGAATGGAAATGAACGCCGTGTCGAAGGCTTGAAGGATCATATTGATAGCATCCTAGCCGCCAGTCGGGTTCAACAGACGGAGCTAAAGAAACGCATCGCGGATCTCGCAAAGAAAAACACAGCTCTCCATGCCACCATATTAGACCTCCAATCGCAAGCACAAGTACCCACACGATCTGCCTCAGATCCCATGCGGTCAAGTTCTCCCGAATCAGATACAACGCCTGAAAGCAGCAACGTTGCTTTGGCATTCCGCAGTCGAAAGCACCGCGGATTTTCCGACCCCGAAATCTTCGACGCAACATCATACAATGCAACCCCGCCGCTTGAGCCCTTTGAGGCAGTGCTGGTACCCTCAATGCGGCCTTCCACTCCATCCACAATCGAGGCTTCTAGATCCATCGGCGGTGATGGCAAGACAAGCCCCATTGCGGAACGATTCCACGGAAGAGGTAAGCTTTGGTCATCGAAGAGTCCATCACCCTGCTGACTGTTTCATGAGGGGGATTGCAAAATCAGAACGTGATTAAGAAAGAGAAGAAGGACAGGAAAGACGAGAAGGAAAAGAAGAAGTCGAGTGGCATTAGGGGAATTAGAGGCTTTGTTTGATACCCATTGATCACGATGAACGCAGACTGGGTTGAGTGCTTCACAGCCAGCGAAGTAGGGAGCAATTTCCACGTTTCTATCCTTGGCCACCTGTCCGTATTAGCTGGCCAACGTCAGCGAAAAACATATTGGATTTAGAGATGTCTTCATCAGTCCTGACCGTTTGGATTCACTGTCAGGTAGACCTCATCCTGAAATTTAGATCAAAAAGAATTGCGATGATTGCATGATTTGCCGCAACCCCTTCAAATCAATCGTCCTATGGCCCCGGCCTGCAAAAGAACCTATGCTGACCTTAAGGCTCAGCTTTTTATCGCTGTGTTATGTCAGCTGTGGACGTGTACGAAGTGCTACTCGGCATAGGCTCAGTGATGACGTCCATATTAGGACTTCACATCAGTCATGAGTCTTCCCGGGCCGCAAATAATGATATGACGCCCAAGTACAAAAAAAACCAAAGCGTTGGGTGTTGACTCATGATGATCTGATGGCGATATATCTCTTGCAGCAACGATCTTGAATATTAGAGCATAATCACATTCCTGCGACTGGAGGTGGAGAGCCTCTATTCCTGACCTTTGCCCGATAATAACACTTGAAATTATACAAGCCTGCATAAGAAGCTATAGTCATTCATCACTCGGGGTAGAAGTCCGACGATCACATTGCTTTTTGCTTTACAGCTTTTTCTTGCAGACGTCAGCACTGGGAAGTAGCGCCACATGGCCCGCTGCAACACAAAATGCAGGAACGACCGGAAAAGTAAGGCGCCACGCAAGCGCTAAGAGAGTCTTTTCATGGTTTCGTGTTTTTTTCCCGGCAAGTCCTGTTGAAATTGATTCCCAAGCGTCGCAGCCGGACTTCTGGTTGGGTCAGGATTTCAAGCGAGACATTCTCCGTTGTCGGGCTTTGTTTACCCGATTGGAGCGTGCATACGAAACAACCAAACAATCTCATCTGACAGGTGAAAGGTGAAAGGTGAAAGGCGAAAGGTGAAAGGCGAAACGTGGTAGCTCTTTTTTTTTCATCTCATGGCTGTCAACGCCACATCTCCAATGCCGTCCGCCCGACAATATTGGCAACACTGTTCGGGCACTGCAGAGTATTTCTTCAACGAACCGAGCAGCCGAGCAAGCCGTAATTCGATATCCACCTATTCAAGGGGGCCAGACTTGCCATACTGTAATGATTCCTGGGGTTCTGGGGATTATAAACAGTCGGGACCAAACCTTGCGACAAGAAAAGCTTGATCGCTGGCCCAATTGCTGCTAAACACAGATTCGGTTGGCAACTTTGGACAATACGAGCCCACCTCAGCGGAACTTCCTTCCCAATTTGGGGGGCCTGTCATACCCAAACAGCCCTGATTGGGTAGATGCTATGGCCCCCAGAATCCCAGATGGCGATCATTGTCCACTAGCCGTTGACTTACGAGGTCTTCCCCTGCATGCTGCTGAGCCTTTTCCTGTCAGGCACTGAACACCTGCAGGATCGAATGAAGTGATGTGGTGAACATTCGCGCGCAGTAGCATCATTTACGTGTCCTGAACGCATCTAACAAGCCGCAGAAGCGCTCCATGTATCAAGAATCATTCATGGGATTGGATTCGCCCAAGAGACAAACAAATTCAACCACGAGCTGGTTAAGATTTGTTCATGATTGACTTTTGACCTGCGCAGATGATCTCGGTTCGAGATCTTTGGGGCCAACGCATAGATTCCCACACGAGTTGCGCCAACCCTCTGCTGGAGCGGGATGAAGGTAGGGTGTGTGTGGAGAGACATGTGCTTCTTAGACGAATGAGCAACCGAGTTCATCCTAGCGAGGAATTTCCGTGTGCATGAGTATGACTGAGGAGCGGCGACTATGAAAAGCAACAAACGCTCAACCACGTCAGGGCCTTTTGTTGTTTCCTCGGCCTTGTTTTTGGATTATTGTTCCCTCTTTCCTACTGAACCACCGTCAGACCTGGCTTTATTGACGCAACAACCAACTGTCTTGTTAGATTTGTACACTTTCGTTCATATACCCCTTGATAAACCTACTAATCAGCAATTTTTCTTATACAAATTTTTTTTAAACCTCTTGAGTACTTTGGGCATTAGAACACCTCGCGATATTGCTACAGAAACAACGTAATATGTACGCCGCCGCATCGCTTTTGGCCTTGGCCACAACGGTTTCGGCCGCCGTTAAGGGCTTCAACTACGGCTCTACACTCACAGATGGTTCGGCCAAGCAGCAGTCCAACTTTGAGAGCGAGTTTAAGACTGCCCAAGGGTTGGTTGGTGCCTCTGGCTTTACTAGTGCCCGACTTTACACAACGGTGGTGAGTGCTGACTTATCTATTACCTCCCCTTCATCACGTTGAAACTCCTTACTCACTATGGACATACAGCAAGGTGGCTCAGCAAACGACCCGATCTCAGCTATACCCGCTGCTATTAGCACCAAGACCTCTCTCTTACTCGGCTTGTGGGCCTCTGGTGGGGACATAGCTTTCAGCAACGAAGTTACTGCTCTTAGTCGTGCCATCAAACAGTACGGCGATGCGTTTACTAGCATCGTAGATGGTATCTCAATCGGCAGTGAGGACCTCTACCGCAACAGTCCGACCGGAATTGCCGCTGGCTCATATGTTGGCGCCGAGCCCGCCACAATCGTCAAGTACATCAACCAAGTTCGTGATGCCATCAAGGGTACAAGCCTCTCTGGTGCTCAGATCGGGCACGTCGATACCTGGACTGCATGGGTAAACGGCTCCAACAGCGATGTGACCAACGCATGTGACTGGATTGGTGTCGATGCTTACCCCTACTTCCAGGACACCATGGTCAACGACATCGCCGCTGGGGCTTCACTATTCGATTCGGCTCTTGGCCAAACGCAGAACGCCGTGGGGGGCAAGCCTGTTTGGGTTACTGAGACCGGATGGCCCATTAGTGGCAAGCTCTCTGGCAACGCTCAACCATCTACTGAAAATGCCAAAACGTACTGGGATGATGTTGGCTGCAACAAGCTCTTTGGCAAGGTCAACACCTGGTGGTACACCCTTCAAGACGCCGCTCCTACCACACCTAACCCGTCTTTTGGCGTTGTTGGCTCTAGCCTAAGTACCACTCCTCTGTACGACCTTAGCTGCAGCGATGTCTCGTCTTCGTCTACTTCCTCCGTATCGCATTCTTCCACAGTCGCCAGCACTCTTTCCACTGCTGCCAGCTCAGTGGCCGGCCAGGCAACTAGCTCGGCCGACACGGAAGGCTCCCCTGGTGCTGGTGGTGTCCAGAGTTCACAGATCTCCCTCGAGGCTTCCGCTACTGGAAGCGCTACCCTCTCTTCCGGACCTTCGGCATCTGCAACTTCCACTTCTGGTTCAGAATCTGGTTCCGGCTCTGGCTCCGGCTCTGGCTCTGGCTCCGGCTCTGGCTCTGGTTCCGGCTCTGGTTCAGGTGCTGGTGGATCTACTTCTGGAACTGGAAGTGGTGCTGGAATTGGCAGCGGTTCTAACAGCACTACAACTGGTGCATCGCCTAGCAGTACTGGGTCTAGCGTTCCAGTCAGTTCTGCTACTGGTCTCCGATCAACTGGTGCTGCTTTCCTGGCTATTTTGATTGCCATCATGTCGATCTAGATGTGGGTGTAAAACAAACTGTGAGATGATTCCATATCAGCTGGTCAAGTGGTGTGATATTCATGGTTGGCGTTAAGGACAACAAAAGAAATGGCATTCCTCGTACATATGGCATTCAGCAATAATAGACTGGCTCCTACTCCACAGGAGGATCTTACCGTGTAGTCCTCCTTATTGTGTCGTGCAAGATATATTATTCCGATGAAACACATATTAGACACCAAAACACAAGCCATGAGACAAACTTTTTAATTTCTATGATCGTTAACACCGTCGTTTGCGTCGCTCACTTAGTAACCCCGGGGGTTAATGGAATTGTTCAGGATACCGCTACTGAGAGAAGTGCCCCTGGTAAAGGACGGTCCTCCGTAACGCAGATATCACGCTACCAACACCAACCGAAACATGGAAATATGGAATGACTGGATTGAATGCAAATGCAAAACACACGTGACGTCCTGCCCGACTAGCCATTTGCCTCGAACTAGTCTAGCCATAGATCTGCATCTTACGTTGCGTTGCGGCTGAGGTTTTAACTTCAGCCTCTGGCTCCCGTGGGCGTCGAGTTGACCCATGCCGTCCGATCATCTAAATTCCGTCTTCGGCCTGTTTTCTTTTTTCTTTGCCAAGGCTCTGGCACTTGGGATCCTCACGTTGCCATCCAGGCCCCTCCCAATGTGTTCCATTGTGAATAGTACATGATTTACTCCACACCGGACCTGTGGTCAGGCTCGGTGATGGGCCCAAGCCGGCCGTTTCCAGCACACCAGTTACACCGAGTGCTTTCCGATTACGGTTGAATGTCGACAGATCCGCGGAGGCGTGAGGGTATGAATTGTGCCGTGGCTAGGAAATCGAGAAGAACCAAATCCTCGGTGCTTGGCTTTAATCTGGCACACTCGGCACCGCTGTAGCGGAACTCGTGCTTCGGCGTGGTGCTCTAAAGCCCAGCCACGAGAGCGCAAACCTCTCAAGCTGCTCGGACGCCTTGGAGAGGCTCGATAGGGGCCAGTGACGTTGGAGACGGTCCCAGTGGAGCTGTTCCCTATTATAGACCGTCCCGCGCAGGGTTGCCCCGTGCTCGGTCGAGTGGTCATGGGTCGGCTCTGTGGCATCTGGGTGCAAGAAGTGAGGGGAGGATCTCGTCTGCGAATTCGACGATCCCCTGGCGTTCATCTGTTTCGAGCCGCAACATCCAGCATGAAACGCTGCTACCACCGTCCTCAAACATTCCTTTGCCAGCCAGAGTCTGGACAACGAGAAGGTAGTGTTCTGGCGGAAAACCTGAATCTAGCTGCCCGCCACATTTGTGGCAGTCAGACCAGCAATTCCAGCTAGGCGTCGATCAAAGCCTCTGGGGGCTTGGGCGGCTGACACTTGGGGTCGGTGAGCCGTGTCAATACGACGATAGGTTCCACAAACGTCTCAGAGCATTCTTATCAGCTTCGTTTGTTCTACATCACGTGCGCTGATTCTGGAAATTCTCGGTGTGGTCGTAGATTTCGTTGTTGTCAACTTCGCGATCAATGAATTCTGGTGATTTGAATATCTCCCAGAAGCTGGGGCACATCGGCAACGAAGCGTGCTTTTCAGAGGGCGCATATGGCCTATTCTAATACGACCGACCAGTGTGACGTGAGATCGAGGCTTTTGGGTTGCTACGTGGCGCCCAGCCTGCTTGTGTTTGCTATCCGGAGGTTCACCTGGTTGATCTGCATTATTGAAACGTTGCTATCAGTAACCCACCACCGCAACAGCAGGGAAGATGATGTAAGTCTGGCGCTACTCAAATCATTTAGTCTGATTATAACGTAGCTGCCGAAATTGTTCTCAGGTTTCCTAAGAGGTTCGAGATTGACCTAGAGCACAAAGAAAGCATGCAGGATCAAGACCGAGATGGACGATCAAAAGAGGAACGCTAGAGGCCGTTATGGTTGGAGTAGTAATTTGTTCCATTAGAGTATGTCATGACTGATAGAGGGTCTGGAGAAGGAGCCACTTCGGATAGCCTTCGATCCAATAATTCATACGGATGGCTCCGGCTCCAGCATCTCAGGTTGTTGAATGTCGACTCTTCAATGGCCTAGATTTCCCAGAGTGGATTCTGATTATATTTGTTTTGTCCTCATTTCCTCTGCCTCTCTTCACATCAAACCCTGCGGCTCGTCCGAGTTATGCGCTTGCATTTCCTAGATCTCGTCGTAATAACACTGCAGGCCATGGTTCTTTATCATTCCTTTCGACGAAGAAGTCTTTCTCCGCCGTGAACCCATTCAACTCATAAAGACTGTGGCCGCATCAGCGGTGTACTCTAGCCGGAATTTCCCGATCTCATCATGGTTCTTATGTGCAACCCAAACCCCCGAAGCGGCGCTCTCGCCGGCTGCATACCCAGAATCTTCGTTGCGAAAGGAGGAGGATAACTCACCGAACCAGCTTCCCAGCGTTCCCTGACCACGCATCGACAAATACCGTGCTCGCTCCCCTCCCGACCGAAAAGTCCCTGATGTAATCCAGCAGCGCGACACCAACTCCCTTCCTCGAAGTCTCGGGGGCACGAAAATCAGATATTATGACCTCGACATACACCCAGTCCCCCGCCTCCTCTGCCTCCTGGACTGCAGATTTCAGACGAGCCTGGCCCCGCACATACGGCGGGAACCAGTTCATCCTCACCATGGCGGCCCCGAGCTTGAGATACCTTGCTGCGGAGTGCTGACCGTCTCCATGCGCGGCCTCTGTCCTGTAGCAGAGGCCATCGTCCTCCGCGCCGCTGACCGGCTGCTCGGCCACGAAGATCCGCACGGCCTCCTCGCCCTCACCTGTGGTCCTGTAGCGCTCCGAGTGCAGCACGTCGTCCTGGGTGCTCTTCAGGAACCCGTCTTTGGCGCTGAAGGGCTGGCTCCCCCACATGCCGCCGGAGCCGACGGATTCGCAGTAGGGTATGCATGAGTCGAACGCCGCTACCAGGAACTCTGTATCTTCAGGATGGGTCAACTGCTCCCGTATGCGAAAGGGTTGGGCCATATCGAGAGAGTGGGCGGGGTGCCTCTGCGCGAGATCTCCCGTTGACACGACATCCAAGAGCGAGCTGGGTGTCAAAGTGATAGCCAAGCCTTTATGGGCCGACTACTCCTGATTAGGCAGGTATTCTAGGCACTCATGTCTGCAAGACAGGAGAGGCTCGATTTTCGTGCACTTCCTAGCCAGCTCTGTAAGAGCAAGTGCCAAGTGTGTTGAATATCTTATTCAGGGGTATACATAAATCCTCTACACTATTAGTCTACTTTGACTATTGCATTAATCCCTTTCCATATGCCCTCATGGATTTTCCATCAACGCTTGGATCGAGTCTCGACTCCAAGTTGCGATCCTCTTCTGGTCGCAGGTATTCCATAATCTGCTGATCAGCGCTCGGTAGATTCCATTGTCACTACTGCTGGTCGCTTTTTGAAGTTCTAACCAGCTGGCGGCCCCGAATCGAGTTAGCAAGGTGTCGCTACCTCCAGACATGGTGCTAGTTCGGTACAGTATCCTTAAGATTTGGCTACGCAAGTTCGGGCCCATATAGGGGTTGCAGTAAAGTGCAAATACCCGCTCGAACACTTTTCGCTTGTGCAGTAGTCCTACATCCTCAGCGGTCCGGATGCTGTCGAGCAAGTAGGAAAGCAGCCAGCTAATTTCGGTATAATAGGCGCCATCCTCAGTTGGCTGCTCTTGTACTATATCCTGTACCAATGGAAGCTTGTCCAGATCCCAGCTAGGGCCACGGGTGAGGAAGGTGTTGATCTTCGGATAGAGGCTGTGTGTAGGGTTCCTAATGATGTCGAGTGCTCGACAGACGAAAGCCAGAATCGTGTTAGGAACGGTAGCATCTCTGTTCTGTCGCACAGTCTCAATGAGTTCTGATAACAAAAGCCAGACTTGCGCATTCTCCTCATAGGCTGATTCTTTGACCTTTGCCGCGATCTTGACAATGCTCGTAAGGGCTTCTTTTCGAATACTGCGATGCTCGGACGAAAGAAGCCATACCACCGAAGCAGCATAACCTTCTTCAACGAGTTCTTCTGCTGACTTGGTAGCCCATTTAACCAATGCGCTGTTATCCTTGCTTACTGTGATTGGTACAGAAAGCGTCTCCTCTAATTGTTCCTGGCTTATCTGAGTGTTGTCGTCATTCAAGCTGTCGCTGTTTCCCTGAGGACTGGCTCCATCGATATCCATTGGTTCTGGAGAGACTGTTTGTTCCGGAATTAATAAGTGTTTTCGAGCCTTGGAATCACCGAAGGCTAGAGCTAGTTTGGTCAAAACTGCTTGAAGCAGTGATTTCCTAACCCCTGCCGCTTGCAGCTGGGCCAGGTAGCTCGACAACAACTGAGCCATCCTAGTCAGCAACACCTTCTCCGTCGTTGGCTTTACGAAGAAAGGCAGTTGCTCGGCAATAACGGTTATCAGAGGACTTAAAACCTCATCGGCTCCATCATCAGCCGGGTCGCTGTTCACTGCGGGCAGCTCGTATATCATTTCCAGGTACTTGATGGGCGATCTTGCACACCGTTCTGCGCAATTATCCAGGAATAACCAGATCTCTTTTTGCAGTCCGTCACAACCTCGCAAAGCGGACAGCAGAGGTTGTAGACCCGACTTTGGCGAATCTCGTGAGATTAGTTCGTGCTCCTCGGCTACAAACCGAAGGACCTTTGTGACTGTCGCTGCCGTGAGTCCCTTGGTGTTTTCCACATACAGCTTCAAGAGAGTTACAAACGGTGACACTGGGGAGTCTTTGCTTTTGGCGAACCATTTCATACCCGGTGAATACTTTGCCGTTGTGAAGAGATTTTCAAGCTCCAACAGCCGCATGGGCGCCTGTTCTTCCACCGCACCATCCTCAAATCTTTTGATGGCGGCCGAGAGCATAGGTGAAAAGTCATATTTCGCCGCAAGAGCTATCTGGGGGATTGCTTCATGATACAAGACCAGCAACCGACTGGCAGCATCTCGCTGTAGAAGATCATCATCCGACAGGCCTTTGTATGCAGTTACGACATCCTTGAGACTAGGTACTCTCTTACAAAATTCGTCGACAAGCCTACGAGCAGCATCGTGCCACAGGTTATCAGACGCCTTGGCAGCTTTCTTGTAAATCTCCAGGACATCCGCCAACTTTTCCAGTGCAATCACAAGCAGACGTATCGCAAAGAATGAGATAAGCTTGGACTTGTGGTTTAAGCATTTCGTTATAGCTTTGAGATCAAGCGGGAGCGGCAGAATATTGCAAAGAGCAGTAGCGGTCGGGGGTGGTATCCTTGCGAACCTCTTCGAATGGCCTAAAAATGGCGGGATGTCTAATCGGATAGTGTTGAAGAGCAATGTCGAGTAGCCTATCCAAGTCGCTGAGAGCGTCGGGTCGAAGTTAAAAGTCCTCTTGTTCACGAAGTAGTTGGCGACCAATTCAGGGCATGCCTTGAATATGGCAACAAGCAACTCATTCTGCTTCAAGCTCGACCACGGCTTGAGTGTCAAGATGAACTCTGAAAGCAAAAGATTGCGCACGGGAACTTCTTCACTAAACTTGTCCATCCAAGGAATGCTCGCCAAACCGTTATCATCGTCATTGGACTCTGAAGTGGCTGCAATATTTGCATCGACGCCTTCCGGATAAAACCCGTTCTGAGTGCGGAGAATGCCGGAGCTTGCAGTCGTGCAAGCTGCCAGAAGGAACTGATGAGCTGCCTCTTCTACCGACTGCTCATTGTCATCGGAGATCTGACTATGATGGTATGTGTATAACGAAGCGATGCGAATCAAGGACTGAGCGTTGAGTATCCTGATTTTGGCTTCTTTCGAGAGCTTCTGGTCGAGCACAACAGAGGTCTTCAAGGTGTTCAAGATCTCGAAAATCAGGGAGGGGGGGTCTTCCTTGATGCCTCTCATCAAGGCGGCCACAACATCCCTCTGGGACAGGAGGTCTCGCTTCGCTTCCGCATGGAGGAATTTCAGACTGGCAAGCAGGACTCTAACAGCGTTTGTTCTGACACTTGGCCTCTTGAGGTCCTCGATGCCTTCGCCGAGGAAGCGCAAGCCCATGTTCCTGGCCAGGGATTTGTAGGTGTAATTTCTGGCCCTGAAAGCCGAGACGGCCAATGCACCGCCGTCCATACAAACAACTTCTCTGATCAACCTCAGAGTGGGCGAGATTATGAAATCCTTGCCCTTGTCTGCGGAAAGATTCTTGGCCAGCAGCTCCTGCTGGCGCTTCTGAAGAAGAGTGCGACCAATGCCTAGCCCATATTCGACCAAATCGACATCCGAGGCAATGAGCTTCAAGAGAAGAGCGAGGACGACAGCGACAGCCGACATGACGTTCTCGTTGGCCATTTGAGAGGCCATGCTCCACATCTCCATGATGTCGGATAGGTAGACTGGTGGTTCGTCCTGGACGTCTCTCGGCTTGGTGAGCTCGAGATACTGAGTGACAATCTCGAGTTTGTAGGGGTCCTTGGTGCCATGTTCGTTGAGGACGCCGTCGAGCAGGTCCTTGAAGGACTGGAGCCCATGTCTTGCTTTGCGAAGATCTTGTTCGAAGGTGAGGAGTTGCCGTAGTTGCCGCGAGCTGTGTACCTCTTCGGAAGTGGGAGCCTCGACGACGATGTTTCGCTTGCGCTTGGGGGGCTTGGTGGTGTCGCCAAGATCAGGCGCTTCCTTTCGCTTCATCTTGGGAGTTTGCAACTGCGGCTGTGACGATGGAGAGAATACTCGGATAGGTATTCTGTTTGTCCGGGTCAGTGAGCACGGGTGCTAGCTACTCGACTGGGACATGGAAAACTGGCACTGGCAATGCTACAAGAATATCTATGGACTCGTGGAATGGGTTTTCAGCGAGTGCTTTTCAGCGAGTGCTTCTAAGCTTGCGGCCTGGAGGGCACCCCACGGGCTGCAGCGCATTGAAAGTTGGGATTCTGCCGCCGGTTTCCTCTCAAGAAATTTGACCGCCTTCCAGCTAATAAGAAGCTCCGGCTGCTGCTCAGCGGAACTGACCCCGCGCTCTCCACTGTGGCTCCTTGTGCTGGAAGGTTGTCGTAGGTGCTATGTACAGTACGGAGCAGCGCAAGTATGTACGTGCCTCACAATAAGGCCCCCACCAACCGTCCGAGTACTGATACAGGTGCAACACATGCAGTTGGTTTGTGGTGCCTGCCGCCGCCCCCGTCGCAACTTGGGCAACGTCAGATGAGAAGTACACTCATCAATCCTTCACTTGTTCAACACCACCCCATCATCGCAAGAACAGACAACTACGCGCAGCGTACTGGCTCAGACTCTTCATCTTCGCTCCCGTTACTTTTTTTTTGTTCATCACGTACAACAACAACAACAACAACAACAACAACAACAACAACAACAACACATCATGGGGTAAGTGCTCACGGTCGTAATTGTTTTACCAGTCGCTGATAAAGCTAACCTGTCCTGCTGAACAGTTCCGTTTTCCTTCCTCACTTGACCACTGGTTGGCATGTTGACCAAGCAATCCTCGGCGAGGAGGATCGCCTGGTTTGCATTCGTTTTGTACGTATAGAAATCAGCCCGTGTCCTTAGATTTCCCTTGTCCTTCGAGATACCATTCAAGCCTGCACGTCTTTCGAAAGGTGGGACCAGTGGTCTCAACCAAGCCAGGACCGAAAGCATACTTCCTATCATCATGGAAAGACTAACTGACTGGAATGTTCTGAGAACATAGGGGAGAGACAGCGACCCTACATGTATGGCGCAGGATGAAGTTCTCTACAAGATTGCCGACAGGGTCAAGAACTTCTGCGTCATCTACCTGTGCGACTTGGACCAGGTCCCCGACTTCAACCAGATGTACGAGCTCTACGACCCCTGTACCATCATGTGGTTCTTCCGCAACAAACACATGATGATCGATCTGGGAACCGGTAACAACAACAAGCTCAACTTTGTCCTCGAGGACAAGCAGGAGCTCATCGACATCTGCGAGACCATCTACAAAGGCGCCAAGAAGGGACGTGGTTTGGTTGTCAGCCCCAAGGACTACTCGACTCGTTACAGATACTAGTGCTGCATTCGTCTACACCAAGGCAAACAATCAGGCAGTCGGTGTACATGCATAAACCATCTACAACTGATCTCCCGACCGGGACACTACTCTTTTCGGGTCGTGCAGTCCGCCATCCCAGAACGACAAGTCTCTCAGCATGCCACCACGTAGGCCGAGATGGAGACGCATACCCACCGGTGGTTTTCGTCGATTAGGATCGGCGTCACTACGGGACGTGATTTCTTTTTGTTGCAAGGACAGGATTATCAGGGTTGGTCTCACAGTCAATGAACTCATGAATTCTAAACGTGCTAATGCTTCCTCCTAAAGATCTAACATCTTGTCCTCTCCTCAAACTTATAGCTATGAGTCGTCAGCAGTCGGCTGCCATGCCCTTGCCAGGCGAAAGGTTTTGCTCGTAACCAGGCATGATCGAAATCGTGAATAATGACTTCCGGTCGCTGACCCCAGCGTTAATCAGTGTCAGAACCCACTGATTTGGATTTCTGTTTTGGATATAGCCACTAATTGATTACACAGGCTTCGCTGTTGTTAATAATATAGGTGATATGCGCTATATCTGTCAACTGCACCAGAATACCGGCTTCGACTTAATAAGTTAAACATCTGATGTGTTTTGCGCGTTCAAGGCCGTGCCTACAACTGCGGATTAGTTGCAAACAATGCCTAGAATAATGATTTCGACAGGCGTGCTTGCGTGCACTTCCGGCGAATCATTATGCCTTCTGTGTGTGCGCGTAACTCATCCGAAACTTTGTAGATACAAGGCCTGCATCTGTGAGATATCTCTTGGTCTAAGTTACTCGCTGGTTTCTTACGCTACGTATGATATCCTAATCTCTTCGTAGAGGATAAAACATTAAAACAATCGCTCTTCCTTTTCCCTCTTTACCGCTATACACGATGTTGTTCATATGGCGTAAGCTGATACAATACGTGCTATAAATGCCCTATTATCCCAAGAACAATATGTGTTCAGATGACTCATGATAATGTATTATACAACCATCAGGGATAGATATCGGCTACCAACTGGCGCGGAGAGGCCAACAGGCTGTTTTATCAACCTTCTTTATTTCCCAGTGCCAATTAGGGAGATTGTTTTGATTCTAGTTCCAATTCCGTCTCCCGCTTCGTAAATCATCACTTCCTCGACCAACCACTGCGAAATGAGGTTCCTTTCAAATTCAACCATCCCGCTCCATGATGGATACTTGCAATAGGGGCTCTAGGAAGTAATAACCTTGGACAATACGACTGCTCCGGAAAGATGGTCGATTGCTGGCTCACTCGTTTACAGCTCTCCTTGCTGTAATGACGTCTTGACCATACCTGAACTGGCATCCGCAGTGTGACAACCTCATTGGGACAATCTGCAGCACATATGTCAGCATATCAAGTTCCAAGACCAGATGGGAGATGAAATTACTGTTCGCAAAGTTCCGTGATGTAATCCCACGGATCTCGTCCTCTTCTCGCCACATTTCGCTCCTCTTGTTCAGCTTGGTCACGAAGCCTCACCATGTCTTCAGCACTTGGCCCGCCACACTCCACCCCTCTGTCCTTGAATCCGTCCACATCTTGGTAGAAGTGATACAGTACTGGGAACTGCCACTTCTCGACCACACTTCTTTCGCCGGAATTGTCTACCCCGACAAATAACGTCTCTCGGTACCTACGGATGATGCTGAAGTGCAAGGCCGGGCTGTCTGCTGTGTAATGACGCAGAGGGTTTTGAAAATGCGGCTCAAGCATCGGAAGATCTATAGTCAGCGCAAAATCGCCATTTTCGGCGGCTTTCGCCAAGGGTGCTAGTATGGCCCGCTCATCCACGACGGCCCAGGGACACTTGTTGTTGTGGTCCAAGCTGACATGAAGGGCCTGCAATTGTCTGAGCTGGGAAATGTTTACAGACATCTCACGCCAGCGTTGCTGTGCTGCTGCCCAGTGCTCACCCACGGCAGAGACGGCCGGACCAGGGGTCTGGTCGACATCGTCGTTGGCCGTAACGCGCCCCCAGCCCTCACAGAAGTCGACGTCTAGCTTGAAGGTCATGCCCAGTCGCTTGACGTGTGAAAACGACATGCCGAAGAATTTCGGAGCAAGAGTCCGGCTGTTCACTCCCCGACATATTTGGGAGAGTGCCGCGGGATCTGTGATGTGGATGGTGGTGAAATCCGCGACGAAAGTAGCGACGTCGATATAACTGCCTTTGGTAAGCCCAGAATGGGGCTGGCTGGGCAGTCACATACGTACAGTCTTTTGCACGCCCGAGACATGGACTGTACGTAGTTCCCGGCTACGCCGTGACTATTGTGCACGCCCTTGGCCAGTTCTTCGCATTTCCAGTGCTCCCCCCACGATGATGCGATGCGCCGGGTCCACATCGCCGTGTCAGCCTTGGAGCGGTTGGCGTATTGCGAGATATAACTCTCGAGTTCCCGGTTCCGTAATCGCTCCTGCACGCAGAGAGATAGACGGATATGGTCTTGGTGCAGATAGACATGAACATCATGGTGGAAGAACTGCCTGTATATCTCGCGACGGGTTTCGTTTGGCAGAAGAAAGAGGGTGCTCTGTGCTTGAGCTTCAAACCCCCACTGGCTATGATCCGAGGTGGTCATGGTTAGGCAATATATCTCGGATGGCTCTCTCGACTCTACTCTAGGTGGTAGGCTAAGATTTGTGCGATTAAATCATGAATATATGGTATTGTGAGCGATGTCAGAATAAGTTGTGAACCTGGTCCCCCGCATTTCCCCCACCGTTAAGCCATTAATCAGACCAAAGCCTGGTACATTAGAATCACCAGATAGATACAAGACTAGGAAGGTTTTCAAGAGGTTTGGTGGACCGTGGTGGTTGTACTCACTGACTGGCATTGTAATTTCTTAACCAAGATAGCAAGCCAATCCTTCATCCGAACGTCCTCCACCTGACTAACCGGCCACTGGCTACCTGCGAACCACACTGGATCCTCACATTCTCATACAACCATATTCCAGCCTCGCGTATCAGCTCGCAATGATACTCTAAACTCAAAGTAGATGTGGCGTACATATATGTTGCGCGCTGTCTTTTCAACAAAATATATTGCCTGATATTATGGACACACTATGTACAACCAGCAAACCCGTATAACTCGCTTGCAAACATGGATCTTTACACAATTCTTTTTATGTAGATATCTTCATTATTTCTTTATTTGTTCAAGAAATTCTGTGGCACCTTTGGTACCTGCGGATTTGGAACTTGGTTCATCTGTGTCCTGAACAGATCCCTTTGCCTGTCCATATCTCTTGATCTCCCACCTGTCAGCCTGCGCATGTGTGTTCGTGTCGCCTGCTTGACGGGCCGAATCATATTTTCCAAGAAGAACGACCCGTCCCCAGACCCGTCCGTATTTTGCCTATCATCGTCGCCATCCGAGAAGACATCTTCGTTAAATTCGTCATCTGAGGTCACCTCGCCAATCTGCGAACTATATGTGGGTACCATTGGGGATGTAATTGAGCGATTGATTAACCCCGGGCGGAGTGTCGGTTCGGCACTGAATGCTGCCGGGTTCATGGTATTCGGAGGTTGTAACTCACGTGGAGAAGGACCAGGAGGCGGGCGATCCACGAAGCCGTTCTGGAACGAGGTGTTGCTAGATGCCTGGTGCAAGATTGGAAGAATCTGCTCATCGTAGAGCTGGGTGGTGCTTTCATACCCTTCGGGCGAAAATTCGGTCACCGTATGTGAGGAACGCCCTTCGCTAGGCGGACTCTGCGACATGTCATCAAAGAAGTCGTCTAAACTGTCCAGCTTTGTGACGAGGTCAGCATTTATCTGTGCTTCGCCGCGGATTTCATCGGACATCATCGTATCTGTGCGGTCCGGCATTTGGAAGTAGCCGTAATGGAAGTCATCATTGTGGAACTCCACGTCAGGCGTTGGCGTAGGATCTGTGGGAATGCCATTTTCCGCATCAGTTTGGCACATGTAGAAAGCAGCATGGATGTTTGCACGGGTGACATCGGTCTTTTTCGCAGGTACAGGTACAGCCCAGCCGGACTCCTCGGGTATGCCAAACAAGCTTTGTGTTCGTTCGTACTCCTTACGGGTGGCTTTCGACGAGGACTGCGTCATGCTCATCCGTAGATGGTGCTTGTCCATAGATGACCCTGGCATTGCCATCATGCTGTCAAGAACTTGCAGTGCCTCCATACAATACTGCGTCTGAAGCAATCGCAGGAGTGGTGAAATGAGATCTGATCCATGGCCGGCGATTTCCGGCCTGCGCATTTCAGTTTCCGGAATGACGATAGTCAATATGCGCATTGTCATGATCTTGACAGATGAGATACTGTTCGTGAGAAATCCCATCAACATGACTAGCATCTTAAAGTCCAACTGCGGCAAATACACATCCCGGAGTGCCGTGAAGAATTCCCAAAGGAACTCACTACTGTGCTGATATTGACAGGTCATTAACTTGTCGAGAGCCACGCAGATGCCATGAAAGTCTTGAGCATCCGCAACTGCGTAAAGAATCTCAGCTGTGTTAAAAACATCTTCGGACAGGTCATTAATGTTATTATCCATCGCTTCCAGGAACCGTGGGAAATTAGCAATGGCTGCGAAGAACAGGCGGTCATCGTTCCCAACAAGAGGATCGCTGGCTAGTACAACCAATTTAGCAAGGGTTTTCAGGGTAGGCTCGAGGCAAAGGGAAGACCGTAATCCTGTGTACATAAGTGGTTGGATGCCCTCAAATGTTCCGTCCCACCTTGGTGGGCGACCATCCAACAACGCCTGCCTAACAACTGGATCATGGAAGTCAAGCTTGTCAAGGTATTCGTTAAGCATCTCGACTGCCTCCAAGAATTCTCGTTCGTTGATCGACTCAAGACATGCGCATGCTGTCCAGAAGAGTTGAGGTAATTCCAGTAACTTTTCTGGCTCGAGCTTTACGATGAGCGTTTTTAGTGTTGTGAGGATCTCCATGGAGAAGGTCTGGATCTCGGAATCCTCATCTGCAATAGTATTGGACAGACGGGCGAGCATATCGCCAAGCATTAGCTGGTCCAAAGAGGACAAAACGCATCGGAAGATCTGGAAAGACCGGCATGCCAAGTGTCTTACAGGACAGGAAGTGGCCCATGTCAATGACAGTTTGCTCCACTGCTCTTTGATTCCGGGGAAAGTCACCTCGAAGGTTTTCACGACTTCAGAGGTAAGGTACTCCATGCTTTGAGGTACCTTTGTATCTCGGTCACCTGTTTTTCCATTGCTGTCCTCATAGCCCCATACCACAATTTTATCGTGGCGACGTACGGCATCAATGACATTCTCAATGGAATTTTTGGTCTCTGCTGGAGTAGCATCATCCATCTTGGATACGACCAACTCGTGAATCAAATGGACGAGCATTTCTCGTGCTTGTTCCTGCACGAGCGGCGTGTAATGATCCCAAAGCACTGTCACAACTTGCAGAAGTATGGGCAGACTATCCGCGGATAATTGCACCGGGGAAACCATTAGATCGACAAGGAGTATGAGTGACAGTTGCCCAAGAGAAAACCCTGCCTGTTTAGTACCAACGGGTAGTGCTTGGTTTAGGTCGGCACAATGAGGGAAATGGTTGATATCGGGGGGTGGCGGCGCGATATCTCTTTTCTCGTTTGGCACCATGGCTTTTGGTGTAATTTGCATTAGTAGAAACTCTACGACCTTAATGCCTGGGCTAGTGGGACTGCTTGACAGGAACACAACGATCTGCTTGGCGTATTCGACAAAGTTCTGCTCGCGTCGCTCAAGACAGAGCGAAATGATGAAGTCAAGGACAAGCCGAACGTTGCCTGGATGCGGTCCAGTAGCCAGAGCTTGCCAGAGTGCTTGGACTTCGTTGTGCAGAGCGGAGCCCGACTTGATTGTCAATTCTAAGAGATTGGCAAGAAGCACGTAAGAATTCGCAATGGGCCCGCCGTTGGGATCAACCTTGAGCTCGATAGTCTGAATCCATGGTAGAATGACGGCTACCATATTTTGCTTGGCACCATTGGAAATACCCTCGAAATAAAGTGCAAATTCCGAGAATATGTGGAAAGCGAGCTCAGGATGTTGCTTCGCAAGGCGCTTTGATATCTCAAACTGTGCTAGCTTATAAACAGCTTTCGTCTTATCAGAGATGCTGATGTCGAAGTCCTGGATTTTGGAGCTACGAGCTGCTTGCTGATGTTCTTCAAGTGCCCTGAGGACACGAGCTGACTTTGACCTTATATCACTTAGTTCGTTTCCAAGCGCAAACAAACATAGTCCAAGAAGTCTCCAGAATGGAGTCGGGTAGTTGATGTTCTCCAGGAGGACCTCTGTTATCACCGTGAAATAACTCTCGAGCACTTTCGATACTGTAGTAGTGTAGCATGCGCGAATGCATACATCCAGTAGATAGGGAAATTCTTGATTAGAAACGATCAGGTTCTTGAGTGCCTGTCTACCGATCAGGTTCAGCCTGTCACTTCCGGAATTGAATATAGACTCAATCCACATCAGCATGCGGCGCATGTCAAATTGAAGCACTGCACCACTTTCAGTTGTTACACTGACAGGACCTGCGCAGAGAGCCGCCATGGCGCTCAGGGCCGCCGTCCTAAGATTCCTCTTCTCGATCTCCATGGCGGCGGTGACAGTCCCGCGCTCACTGAGAGACTGCTGGTCGATCATGGATTGCCGCATACTCTCCTCTCGTTGGTGTATCTGAGACTGGTTTGGAGAAAATCCGCACCAGTCTTCCATTAAAGAGAATGAAGACTTTCGTGACTCGAATGTCATCCACCGAGAAGGATCTTTAGTGCGAGCAATGCCTTCAAATAACTCCTCCATTAACCCACAATAATGACGACGGAGCTTCTGAAATTCCCAGTCCATCTGAACTTCGCCATCCATAAGGAAGAGTTTGAGGTCTTTTGTGAAAACACAAAGATTGTTTAGGATCCATTCGTCTTGGAAGACATCGGCATCTTTCAGAAAGTGGGATGTAAGTTTGTACACGTGAGTCAACTCTGTCCGTAACAGGTCCATCTTTCGATTACGTCGAGGACTACTAGCGGTACGCTGATGCAGGCGAGTCCTGGCTTCATCGTTGCATCTAGATACTTGACCGGAAAGCTCTTCTAGTAGGGTTCTGAATATATTTTTATTGATTGAACCCATGGCGACCACAACCGCTTCTCTTACTGACGTGGACGTAACTGAGAGTAAGGGATTCAAATATTTGAAGAGGACGCGCGCTGAAATGATTTTGTCCAGTGACTTCGATGGTTTTCGCCCGTGCTGATTTTCTCGTGATGCTGCAGATGGGAAGGGACCGGTATCCACAAGAGTTGTACAAGCAAATATAAGATACAGCTTGAACTGCTCAACCAGTACGTCGGGTTGCGTTGTAGGAGTTCTAACGGTGTGTCTGGCACTACCTGGCTCACTGCCATAGTATAAGCCTCTTGTAGGCTCGGACAGAACGACAATACCCTTGTACATCTGCATTATGCGATTGCATACCAAGTCCCGGCTGATCGTCACCGTGAAAGGACACCGCTCATAGGCTATGCGGATAAGGTTGGGGAAAATTTTGAACCATAGTGTTGTGTCATATGAAACGTCACTAGTGCACAGCTCAACCAAGGCACCGCGATTGTTACTCTTTTGAATACCGCGCTGCAGTCGACTACGCTCGGCCACAGACAGATGCTCATCCTTAAAGCTCATGACGTGTACCGAGTCATTGTCAAGAATGTCAATGAGGCGTTGAGTATCATTTTCTGACCCACCATCTTTTCCAAGGGCTGAGTCGAACTCGGTGATTAGACGAAGGACCGTAACGGCATAGTATCTCACTCTTCGTGACTGAGAACAGAGAAAGAACAAGCCACGAGCTTCAACATGTTCGACTTCTGCCCATATACTTGATAAATCGAGCTTCATACCTCGCTTGTCATTAATTGCCTTGTCGTTTGGATCAGATATGGCATCTTTAGTCTTCTGTTTTATCTCATCTCTCCAGATCTGGAGGAGCTCAACATAAAGTCGTAAAGTGTTCTCGATATGACCCGGACCAAGCATACCACCATCGGACATCGTTGAATATCGATCATCGAAATTGAATATGAACCGAGCGAACCCCATGGTAACTTGATATGCATGTGATTGTCGTGCGATGGACTTCAAGGACTGTGCAGATGACTCGGCAATATTTGTTTGAACATGAGCAGTGCCCGTGCAAAGAAGATTGATTAAGGAGTTGAACGGAATGTCGGCCGGGAGACAACGAGGTAGAGCTTGCACAGCAACATGGAGTAACTCGTAGAACGCCTGTTTCTGTTCAGCGGGGTTCTGATTGTCGTCTCGTCTAGAGAAGTTGAATGTCTCAGCGATTGGGGTCTTCGGCCCTGGGCTGTTAAACTTCTCATCAAGAGCCGCTTGCCCTCCAAAAGTGTCGTCGCAGATAATAGTGATCTTGCCGAGAATCCCTGAGAACTTTTTGTAGTACTCCTTGACAGCGTCACTTAAAGCACCGACATGCACCGGCTTAGAAAGAGTCTCGTCGTGAGAGACCGGCGGGAGCGGGGAGCAAGGTAGCCCCCGAGCAGACTTGGTTGAAGGGGAAACCGGTATCGATTGTTCAGTCGTTGGCGGGCTAACGTAGTCTAAAGGAAAAGGCGGCCGACCTTGCTCGCCCTTTTCCAAGTCTGCCATGATAACTAGGAATGCTCTTATACCCATGACCATTCTGTCAGGGTCGAGCTGTTCTACTTTCAGTTCTGTGTGAGTGTTAAACAGCTCGGCGTTGACTAGTGGGAAAATGATATTTTTGAAACAATACTCGGGACATCTGAACCCGATGATTCTGATGATCTGGACAAGTGGCCCAGATACGGTGGTATCAGCCGCCGTGTAAATTCGTTTGTTTGGTGGAAGCACTAGTTTCATCACCTCATCCAACTTCCGTGCCACTGCAGATGGAGTATCACTGCAGCGGTACAAATATGCCCATAGCAATCGCGATATCACTTGCAGGCAAACCAGTCTCGAATTGCGATCCTTGAGCCGGGTCTGAAGAGGCAAGATCATCTGAAGCCATTGCGATGCGGACGTTTCCGGAGGGGACATACAGATCATAGTCGCCGTTAATGGGAATGCGGCCTGCCAATGACGTGGCTTGATAAACATGGAAGCCAGGCGAGGACTTATATTGCTGATGACCTCACTCCATTTTGGATGCGTGAGGTGGCTGTTGCTTGCTTTGCCTGCTATGGGCAGAAGGAGAGTCTCGAGAACTTGACAAAAGGCTGACTTGACTTTCTGTCCATGTGACCGAGCAAACTGCTGGCCTAATGCTATCAGAAAATCACAGGACTGATCCCAAGCTGTGTCTGGCGAGACCTTCAATCGAAGATGCTTCATACCACCCAGCACTAATTCCACCTGTCCTTCAGGATCGCGGTTCGGGACTGTTGGGCTCCTGACAGTCAAATCTTGAAGCGACCGCTCCAGGTCGACAATAAAACGGTTTGTGACGCTAACAAAGTTAATTCCGCTCATGACCCCTAGCAGCTGTGAGAAAAGATTCCAGTTTGCAAGCTTGAGTGGTGATACAAAGAGCTGTTCGATATCCGCAATCTTCAATTGGCCGAAGATTATAGCTTCGAGCTTGCCCTCCATCTCCTGGGTAATAGAGCTCAGAGAGCTCTGGCTAATGACCTCGAGCAAAACGCGACATAAAACGTAGATCGATACAATAGACCGCCGTTCGGCTTGGGCTACGTACTCCTGCTTTGCGGCAAGCGACGTTTGTCCATGGCTTGATTCGTTCTCCACAGGCATGCCATTTGCTGTTGCAATGTGCACAGGTTCCGTATTTCGCCGTAGTAACGGGACTCCAGGCATATTGCCCCTGGATTGCTGAAGTTGATTTCGTGCCTGACCCGCAGCTTCACTCTTTTGTTTCCTCCATAGCATTATCAAGTCAATTAGAGGCTTCGGCTTCTGACTCGCAATATGTCCCAAGGCGGCAATAAATTGATCAAAGGCAGGGTCGGCACCAGGGCCACAGATGTGTTCAATCTGCGGTTCTGGGTCAAAAGGGATCGTAATGCATTCATTCAGCTTTTCCTCCGCCAGCGCAATGAAATGCGTGAACAAGACGTGCAGTGCGTACTCGCCCACCGTTTTCTGCTCATGTTGATGGCGCGACGGGTTGGAGGACTGTTGAGAATGATCACGTCTGGACTTGCTTTGCATGCGGTCGAGCTTCTTTTGAGTAGTAGCAGTGTTGCTGTTGCTCTCTGTAGTAGACAAAGTCCTTTGCAATGAGGGGTGGACACTCGCGGTGGCGGTCGACCCCGAAAGAGCAGTCGAAGGGCGGGAACTCATCGTCGAGTCGGACTCCAAACGGCCTGCTGCATGCATGTCTAATCGTTCCGGCAGAAGGCCAGCCCCAGCTGCAGCTATTATCTGCGGGCTGAGCGGACTTGACGACGAACTGGCCAGACTTCCATTCCGCGAGTGTTGAAAGCCATGGACAATTGACGTCTGCCGGTGATGTCCATACGCAAGGCCTTTCGGGTCTCCTGCTCTTTCTGCTATACCACCGACAATGGGGCGCGACAAGGCACTGTTCGAGCGAGAAGGCGATGCGGCAGAGATGGGTGACTCGGGGATGCCGGCAAGGGGGCCTGACTGAAGCTTTTCAAGGGATGATTCGCGTGAGTGAGCGGCGGACCGACTGATGGGAGGGTCTAAGGCGAATGGTCGTTGAGCTTTGTCCCATGTGGCTTCATCGTCGTCGTGCAGATTCAATCGCAAAATCGACCGAGGAGAGTATCTCAATGTATCCTGCTGGATATGTTCTGGTAGCGCCTGCGACGGAGCTGTGTAGTAGGACAGAGTGGTCAGCATAGGAGTAGAACCAACAGATCATAAACAGTTATGTAGGTTACACCCCTCATTTGTGAAACATCGAATAGCGTAAGCCGAGGAGACTCGAGAATGCAGAAGCGTCAAACGTTCACTCATTTGGGCGCACAGATTCCGGCCAATGGGTCGCAACAGGGCGGGCGGCTTGCTCACAACTTTTTTTCGAGGATTCAATGACAAGGGTATGAATGTGCGACACGGGACTAAACTCACCCATCATCGAAGTCACCGGCACATCTCCGTTATGAGCAGCACGGGAGACAGCGCGCGTTGTCAGATCGTGTCTTTCGTGGTTTCAGTTCATTTGTGGGAGAAGAGGCAGCGCATCAATATGACGAAAGATAAGTGTCTGGGTTCAATCATGACCAGCCAAGACGTCAGTCGGCTTCTCCTGGTTCGTTGCTGAAGGTGGTGTTTCTGCGGAACTCAAGGGCCCAAGGAAACGGTGTACTGATGTCTAAGAGATTCTATGGAAGTTGAAGTGTGCTCGTAGCTGAGTCGTGTTTTCGAGCGTTTGTTCGTCCGTCAAGACTTGATCGACACCACTCTTGCTTTTTCAGCGGCACTGGCCTCATTCAATCAAAGCTTCTACGGTATCTGGTTGCGAATGTAAGCTAAGGTCGGCCTGCGAGGCACTAACCAATCAGGAATGAGACACATGCCAACGACCTGTCAGTGTCAAATGCTCGGTAAATGGTAGGAATTCGTGGGCTTGATGCGCCTATGGAAAAAAGCGAAGCAAGAACAGCATCTAGGAAACCCCACCCCAGAAACAGGTGTCAAGCCACCGCGAAATCACAGTATACAAGACCACTGAGGCTTCGGTGCACTGCACAGGTGCTGCCAAGTCGCTGAGTTGTAGCAAGAGGTGTGTCCTGGCGCAAGCGGTCGGAATAAACATTAAATGGAAGAAGTATCTTGATACTCGTACGCTTTTGATACACGAATCTACTCCTACTCTTTCGAGAACAAGCCAAGGACTGCATGTGGCCGTGGCCGAGTTAGGATGTAAATTAGGTTAGGGTCTGGATGGTTTGCTCGGGTTTTCTCTGCTGGACGCTTACAGCAATTCCGGGCGATTGCACCTTGAGGGGTGCATGTATTGGGTGGCTACTGAAAACGGTTCTGAAAGGATAGCAACTTCTGATGTGAGTCCGGAACCTCGAAACTCACGGTTTCGGCAATTCATAAGCTTCCGAGCCGTTCTCAGATACCCATATGGGAAGTGCCCGCAGCTGTTTGCTACACTGCTGCATACTAACGCTACATCTACTCGAACTTAGTGATAACCGCCGAATCAAGAAATATACTTTTCCCAACCTTTTATCAGGTAGGTACTGCCATTGGATGCAATAGAACAAAACAGCCTTCAACCGCCGGCAATATGCCCCTCAGCTACATCTGAGTATATCGCACATTAGTCATCCTTCACCATGAAGCGAATTTGGTGTGCTTGATCCACAAGCAAGTACCGCGATCACGTAACTCATCCCGATCGTTAAATTTCGCGGTGGACAAGCAACGAACGATATCGGCAGTGTAACACCCCACAGCAGAAATGTCGATCCTGGGGATTGACTGGACGCAGATGCGGACTTCCGGAGAATGAAAACTGCACGCTGAAGCAAACAAGACGTCAAATGCCGTTCCCACAGCCGATGGTCTGCTAATTTTTATGTGTGTGATAAGATTCTGTGTGAACCGATTCAGCGTCGTAAAAGGAATGGAATGTCTGCACTTGGGATGCGGCTCTAAATTGGAGGTCGCGCGGCCTTAGGATTATCATGACTAAATACGCCCAGCCAGAAGTCACCGGTTGTAATACCTTGTAGATGACACAATGGTAACATGCTCCAAGTCCCGACTCCAGCTCCGGCCCGTGAGGTTGAGAGTCTTTAATGGAACGCGAGTTTTGCTTTATTTCATTTTTATATGTGATAGTTGATGAGTTTCAATTATGTCCATGAATTATTCAATGCATAGATGACGGCTACCAAAGTATCAACAGTATCAGTCCAAATAGTTAGTTGACGGGTGTATTATAAGTGTGGTCAATTCCTTGAACTGTTAATAATCTATTATTATCTAAGCGGATGGATGCCTTCTCGTCTGACAATCTGAGCTGACGGGTTCCGGCGATTAGGTTCATTCCTACGGACAGCCACAATAGTTACTGCTTAGGCCCGACAGACAACGTTGTAACCGCCGTACTATACACGTAGAAAAGGATAATTTGAATAGTGGCAGATGCTACCACTTCAGGGCCGCAATAGAAACGCGAGCACGAGCACGAGCACGAGCACGAGACCTTGCAGTCTGCAAACGTTGGTTCGAGGAGGAGCCGCCTCCTCAAGCGGAAATGAGCTCGGGATGCCGGGGCTTTCCAATGGAGATGTGGCCAAAGTCCAGGTCCAATGGGGCGCTAAGATTGAGGCGACGAGCACATCGGTGGCCGACCTTCGCTCCATGGCATCCGTGCCATCCCAATCGAATGATGGCCCCCCATCACTGCCTTCTCGCCTTCTGGACCCCTGGCCAGCAGCCGGCTGTTTAGCTCGGCTTGGCCCCATCGTTCAAGGTTCACAAAGCGACTTTGCACTCTTCCATTGCTGTGTAGCAGGGGGGAATCTCACAAACCCCGGTAGAAAACCGTAGGATCCTTTACATAGTAAGGGCTTACTGACGGAGTACTTTATTGTGTGTTGTCCTTATCGAAATCTTCCGATCAAGACCGTTGATTCTCTTCTTTCCGGCGTAATCTCCAGGGTTTGACCGGTTTCTTGCTCGTTTCCTTGCGTTATTTGTCAGATTGTAAGAAGCGTGGCCTCGGGGCGAAACAGCTCCAGCTTTTTGCGATTCCGGAATCTCAATCCGCTGGTATTGAGCTGCGTTCCGAACAACTCCTACCGCTTGGTGGCAACCTACGACCCATCGACACATTTCATCTTTCATCCCTGGACCTCCTGCCAGCATCTCCAGGCGCAACCCCCGACGCCTCCACCGTTCGGCTGTCTCATTGGCTAGCATCGAAATAAGTCCCCGTACTGGTGGTGAATCACTGGGCAGTATTCCGTAAGATCCACCGCTCGAGAGATCAAAAGCCACCTTGATTCACAACGCTCACGATACCGCAGCCTGCATAGTTTCCAGCAACGAGCAAAATGGCACAACTCGACACTTTGGACTTGATTGTCCTCTCGGTCATTTTACTGGGTACCGTCGCCTATTTCACCAAGGGGAAGTTCTGGGGCGTCACCAAGGACCCCTACGCAAACTCCTTTGCCAACGGCAATGCGCTGAAGGCCGGAAAGACCAGAAACATAATAGAGAAGTTGGAAGAGACAGGGAAGAACTGTGTCATTTTCTATGGATCACAAACCGGTACTGCTGAGGATTATGCCTCCAGACTCGCCAAGGAGGGTAAGAGCCGTTTCGGCCTTGACACCATGGTAGCCGACCTTGAGGACTACGACTACGAGAACCTCGACGCCATCCCCGAAGACAAGGTTGTCATGTTCGTCCTTGCCACCTATGGTGAGGGAGAGCCCACCGATAACGCTGTGGATTTCTACGAGTTCATCACCGGCGAAGATGTTAGCTTCTCCGAGTCCGCTGATCCTGCCTTGGGTAACCTCAAGTATGTCGCCTTTGGTCTGGGCAACAACACTTATGAACACTATAATTCTATGGTCCGCAACGTCAACAAGGCGCTTGAGAAGCTCGGTGCGCACAGAATCGGCGAGGCAGGCGAGGGCGATGATGGTGCCGGTACTATGGAAGAAGACTTTTTGGCATGGAAAGAGCCCATGTGGGCCGCTCTTGCCAAGACTCTTGGTCTTGAGGAGCGTGAGGCGCAATACGAACCTGTGTTCGGTATTGTCGAGCGTGAGGGCTTGACCAAGGATTCTCACGAGGTGTACGTTGGCGAACCGAACAAGATGCACCTCGAAGGCTCTGCCAAGGGTCCCTTTAATGCCCACAACCCATACATCGCCCCCATCGCCGAGTCCAAAGAGCTGTTCAACGTCAAGGACAGAAACTGTTTACACCTGGAGGTCGACATTAGTGGCTCTAACCTATCGTACCAGACTGGTGATCACATTGCTGTTTGGCCCACCAACGCTGGCCAAGAGGTCGACCATCTATTGGATGTTTTAGGCTTGACCGATAAGCGATACCAGGTCATCAGCGTCAAGGCACTCGAGCCAACCGCAAAGGTACCTTTCCCCACACCAACTACTTACGATGCTATCTTGCGTTACCACATGGAGATCTGTGCTCCTGTCTCTCGTCAATTCCTCGCTACTCTGTCTGCTTTTGCTCCCGACGACGCTATCAAAGCGGAGACAGCCAAGCTCGGTAGTGACAAAGACTACTTCCACGACAAAGTCAGCAAGTATCATTACAACATCGCTGGTGTGCTTCGTACTGTCGGGAAAGGCCAAAAGTGGACCAACATCCCATTCTCTGCATTTATTGAAGGTATCACCAAGCTTCAGCCGCGTTACTACTCCATCTCGTCTTCCTCCCTAGTACAGCCCAAGAAGATTTCTATCACCGCCGTTGTTGAATCCCAACATATCCCTGACAGACTCGATCCATTCCAAGGCGTCGCTACCAACTATCTCCTGGCTCTGAAACAAAAGCAGAATGGTGATCCTAACCCAAAGCCCTTCGGTCTCACCTACAATATCACTGGTCCAAGAAACAAGTACGATGGCATTCATGTCCCTGTGCACGTTCGCCACTCGAACTTCAAACTTCCTTCTGATCCTTCGAAGCCTATTGTTATGATCGGTCCCGGTACCGGTGTTGCACCCTTCCGTGGATTCGTCCAGGAACGTGCCAAGCAAGTTGAGGACGGTGAGACTGTCGGCAAGACCCTATTGTTTTTCGGCTGCCGGAAGCGTAACGAGGACTTCATGTATGAGTCCGAATGGGAGGTTCGTACTGTCGCATTCCATGTACACGACGATCACTGACAATCATATAGGAACGTAAGAAGGTCATGGGTGATTCCTTTGAAATGGTCAATGCCTTTTCAAGAGAGGGACCCAAGAAGGTTTATGTGCAGCACCTACTCAAGGAGCGATCCAAGGAGATCAATGAGTTGCTAGAGAAGAAGGCCTACATCTATGTTTGCGGTGATGCCGCCAATATGGCGCGTGAAGTGAATACCGTGCTTGGCCAGATCATCGCCGAGCAACGGGGCATCTCTGAGTTGAAGGCAGAGGAGATTGTGAAGAACATGAGAGCCGCCAACCAATACCAGGTACGTAGCCACCTTCGCGGCGCAACTACTTCACTTTCACAAGCAGAGAATGAATTAGCAAATGCTGACACCCAACACAGGAGGATGTTTGGTCGTAGGTTTCTTTGTCAAATGGTTAACCGTGCCGACATTGGCGCTTTAGATGGATTGCATGGCCGAGGTGTTGGTTGGAGTCACAAGATCTTGGATTTAGGGCGCCGTTCGGTCCCTCGAGTCTACTTGGGCAAGAACTATCAGCTTTTGTTTAGCGTAGAAGGAAACGTGTTTTCATATATACACCATATAATGACCCAATCTTTTGAACTGCTGAAAATCCTGGAAAGATTCTAGATTCTTGCATCTAATTACATGATGTATTCCTCTCAAACCGCGTCATTGGTTCTCTAGCAAAATTCGGTATCCTTCATTGCGCACGTACGAGCTGCAGTGTTGAATAATCCAGGGTGAAGTCGTGGCTTGTTGCACTTTCAGACATGTGACAAAAGCCATAGGCGGCCAAGGACTGTAGTCATACCTTCGTCCATGTCAGCCAATGATTTGGTAATGGGGATGGTTTTCAAACATATGACAGCGCTGCACTTGCATTCAGTCTTAGCGTTTACACATCACAAACCGTTTTCGAAAAGGATTGAGTCTCATGCATGGCTTGAGCAACTGAAACTAGCCAAACAGCTTCTTAATCCCTAGAGACTCAACCGAATTTCATGGTTGAGTCTCTTGAGGTATCGTCCATTTCAATTGCTTGGGTCTGATTTACTCGGGACACCAGAAATCGATCTTGCGCCTTAGATTTACTACTCTAAGCCGCTGATATAAAGGTTCACCAAGTCACATAAATTCGGATATCAGATGGTCCAACTACCCCGCCCCATTTATCCTATATTTATGATACTGGTTGTATATCTAAAGACTTACCAAGTCAAGCGATTTCAAAAGTTCATCTATATTATATTCTTGAAAGGCTATTAGGAATTACTCATAGTATCGAGGTTAGTCAACTTTTGTATGCGCCCCGTGACATCCCTTTGCTCACTGCCAATCCAGCAGTTGCCAAGGATGGCATAGGCGCCATTGACAACGAATCCTACCACCCGGGATCATCCCAAGTATGTGAATAAGGCACTAGCGCCGTCGATGATGGGAGAGCAACCTAAAATAAACGATCACCAGTCTACTCTGATTGCTATTTTGACGATGCTTCGATGCACCAGAGTTGACTCAGAAGACTTCGAACACACGTATGAATTCTCCTCCTTCAAGGTACGGAACATGGCTTAATGTAAGAGATACTTGAGACCTGAGAGTCTGAGACACCGGTTCTTGCTTTTCAAATTTACACCAAAAGACTTGGATGTACCCATGAACAAGTTCATAAATACTTCAGCGACAATATGAGCCGGGCGGGTCAGTATCCAGTGACCCGGGAGCCTCAAAATCCAGCTTATCTGCTCATACTTTGTCGAGTTAGCTACCTCTTATATACTATCTTATTACACCAGGCAATACTACGAACCAGCACAGTACATTTACTTTACGTATTTATGTACTTTCATGCTCTGATACCTTCATATGCAAGCTTTAGCATCTGTGTACAATATAGAAGTTCAGCTATCGTCCGGCAAAGCCTGACGTGGATGGCGGAAGACTTTCTAACGGCTTCATGGAGTTGCTAGTTCGAATCCAGTGCACTTCTGAGACAGTTGGCGTTGATATGGCTGTCCTCAAATGGATTTTGTAAAGTCATCGAATCAAGTATTCGAACCCAAGAGTCCAAGCTGCAAGTTTGGTAGTCTAGTAAGTACTGTCTCCATTCGGCGTTTTCTTGTCGTACATCTTCGCAGAGAATGCTCAGTGTCTAACAGGAATTTATGTCAAGTTACCATATATCAGTTATCCGCTAGATCCGGCATTACACCGGGGCTAAATATCTGCCTGTCTACAGACAATAGCCAATTTCACACCGCGGCGACGATGTCCTGTTGGTCCATTTAGCACCGGAATCTATCCTACAAAGGCATATAGATTCTGCAAACCCTTTAAGCTTCCATCTTCCTGTCCCGATAGGCTGTTAATCACCCTAGTAGTCACACAAATCGCAATTAGTAGGCCGGGAATGAGTTGGTGCATGTAGATCTTATATGCATAAAAGATCACGATTCAAGCCTCAGACCTTGTGCCTTTCAGCTCACGCATTTATGGACCGTGTGAGCTAGAATAAGAAAAGGAAAAAGGGGAGTTTGTGTGATTCATGTATGCCACTTCTTCTAGCCACCCGCAACCAAGTATTGTACAAGTGTGTTTTGCTAAGTATGAATAGAATTAAAGATTGCTAGTCCTCATCAGATTATGGCTCGTCATTTTTACGATCATTTCACTCTATCGACGACTGGCATGTCAATGCAGTGATAATATTGCAGTGATAACATTGCAGCGTTGCCTAGGCAGGATGCTATCGAGCAATTTGTTGTCCATTGTGGTCTTTTGGAACTCGTCCCAACTCGCTACTCACCACCTCTGGTTACCTCAACGTTTAAAAAGTGTATAGGTTACCGAGGTGACTGATCACATTGTTGCAGGAGTGATTACACAAACGACTATCAGAAAAAAACAGATATCGCCATCCTAAAGATGTTGCCAGGCGCGTATGTTTCGAAAGGTCCAAAACGATCTCTTCATTTTGCTGTAGCTCCTTTTCTGTCTGGTTCATCCCGACTGCGATCATCTATAGAGACATCGCTCTTAACATAACGCATGTCTTTACGCACGAAGAATAATTTGGTTATATTTAGCCACTTCCAAAGTTGAATCCCCGTGGCTTTTGACATTCTTATATCTAAACATAACTAATGAGAAAAAAGTCTCAAGCGAGACGGTCTAATCTTGATCTCTTATTTGAATTCACAAAGCCACCACGAAAGAAAACATTACCCTGATAGTTGTCAGATCGTAGGAATTTGGAATTCCTCTTTGTGTATATTCATTGCAACGAGACCTGACGCTAGGAGAACGAGCTGTGGATAACATCACAACTTATGTTGACGGGGTGATAGTTGCCAAATTGGTAGCCTTATTATATCACCTGAAGACAGCTTGTCACAGAAGGCTTAGTTTTATAGGTAGCACCAAGGATCACAGGGGTTGGCAGAAACACGCAAAAGTACTGGACTCAGACTCGGTGGATGGAGAATATTGTCACCACCGTTGATCGGTATTCCCTAAACGCGACAAGAAGTCACAGTGCTTCAATGACCTTAAGCATGTTATAATGATTGCATCCTCCGCTGTGTGTTTGGCTGCTTCTCCCAAACTGGACACCCGTGGATTTGGTGGCAGTATTACTCGGATGTGTCTTCTTCTGGTTATTCAATCTGTTATGTGCACATATTGCGACTTCCACAGTCCGAGACAGTTTTTGAGAACTTGCAACTCAACATCAATTTCTTGGAGCTTGTCAATTCTTGGATTGACTTTCCTCCTCATCCCCAGACACAACCTCGGCCTCACCAATATCATCCAGCCTCTGCTGCACTGGACTTGCTCCTTCTTCAGCATCAACAGAAGGCATTTCATCGTGCGTAACGCAGCTTCCTGTTGAAGCAGTATAATTGCGTCAAGGTTAGTTCAGATCCCCCACACCCACCATTACCCGCTCCATGTCTTTGTCTTTGTCCTTGTCCTGGGGTCTTCAAGCTCCTCTTCTCTCCCTCCATCCATCCATCACAGCATCAACACCACATCACGACACCACAGTCTCTTCCGAATCTCACATTGCTCTCTAGCTACTCTATTTTAATTGTACTCGCTCGCTTCATACCAAACGTCTTGGTGTCATTGCCAGATTCTGCAAGGTTAGTCAATTTCCTTAGTACCGATTGTCGCCACTATCCTTCCCATATTCCCTCCCTTCCCCTGCGATTGAACTCATCCAGGTGCTGAAAAGCCATAATGATTCATGGCTGAATAAGCCAACGCCTATTCATATAGTGAACCGTTGATCTACTGTGGATTGCACTCAACCTTTGGAGGAATCGACCTTGCCCGAGAAACAATCGACGGTTGTGAGCGTGTGTGATTCTAGGACACAATCGACCTAAACTTATTTAAATACTGCTTCCACCCATCACATTACTTCTGCCTTTTACCATCACAAAACATCACTTTCTTTGGACTAACCCACTCCCATACAGAGCGGTCTTCTATCCAGCCCAGAACTCAATTCAGTCAGGCTATTGTACGAGGTAAGTTGACATGCTTTATTCCAAGCCCAGCCTATGTTTGCTCCTCACTCCATCTCATCTCATCCCAAGGTTGTTGACCACCTTTCTCCTGTTATCGGCGATGTTGAAAACCCTACCCCTATCATCGTCGATGTTGACCACGATTCCCCTATCATCGGCGAACATCAATTCCCCTTTCATCGATGGACGCTGTGGTGGCAACCATGTTGCCGAAGCTATCACGGCGAGGCCATATGGTGCCAGCATTGACGTGTTTTATGGTTTGACACCCCCAACTGTCGTCAATGCGTTCAACATCCTCGAGGCAACCTGCTGCATTATTCATTCTGCCCCCAAGTCACTGAACCAAGAGTACATCCTCTCTCTGTGAACTTGTTCTGCAGAAAAAGTCTGGGACTTACAATCTTGGCATCTCCAATTTTCTGAATGGTCCCCTGACCATACTTTCTTTTGTCTTTTTCACATACTAGTCACAATTCCGTCCCAGTCTTTGCTACATTCATTGCAAGCCGCCTTTGGCCTGTTCCTCATTTCCATGCACATTTTGTTCTCTTTTCTTCCCACCAGCATATTATCGCATAGTCTTTCATTTTGAACCTTACGCCTCATGTTACATGGGTTTCTCCAGTTTAGCATTACCAGCAGTTCACCACTGGCTGCTGTGTTCCTTACCTCTACTTTCTCTTTCGATTACTGACTCAAATTCATAATGGCCCATCATTATTATGTCCGTCACCTTGATATAAACTTCAGCTAACTTTAATGCTACAGATCTCTTCAACGCTATCAGTTACTCCTCCGCCACTATGTCGAACGATGACAGTAACCGCCGCGGTCCTGGTGCTCCTGCAACCGGCCCGCAGAGCGCAGCCCCTACTGCACCACCCTTGCCGTCCTATATGATGGCTACCACTGCCAGCCTAGCCGACCCTGCTTCTGGCCAGAACAGTGCTTACGCTGATTCTGGCATGAACTCTGTAGTCGATCAGTTTGCAGGCATGGGCCTTGGAACTGGCCTTCCCCCTCTTCCAGGTTACCCTCCCAGCGTTCCATTGATGCCCCATGGCGGCGGTCTCTCTTACTCGCCTGCGCTGTACAATGGACCGTTCCCTTCCCCCAACGGTATCATGCCTGGCACCAATGGTGGAGTCTGGCTGCAGAACGGCATCAAGTGGCCGACTAGTGACATTCCTTTCATCAACGAGTTCCAACGCGTCAACCAGCATCAACAGAATGCGGAATTCGCCAAGTCTCAGCGCGAACAACTTGCCAAGTACTATGAGAGCATTGGAATCAACTGTGAGCTTCCACCTCTGGAGAATCGACGCTCGTCGTACTCCACTACTGAGTCGACCCCCGCTACACCCTTCTATGGTAGTACCGCCTCTCGAGATGTCGGCACTCGAGTTGCTGTCTTCGACCGCGGTTCTTCAGCTTACACAACTCCATCTCCCCCTCAGATCACCTCCAATGATTTGATCGCTCTGCCTAAGATGGCATCTCCTCGCCTTCCTGCCCCTGACCGCGAGCTTCGTGAGCTTCTCGCTCTCGATCCGTCGATCCCTCCCGCTGTTCCCGCAGTTTTCACTCCTCGTGAGAACATGAAGACTCTGGAGCAGAGCTTGGTCAATCACATACCGGGCAATCGCAACGTTTACATTCGTGGCTTGCACCCTACCACAGACGACGACCTTCTTCTGAAGTATGCCGAGCGCTTCGGTATTGTCGAGACCTCAAAGGCAATCATTGACACCGGCACTGGTGCATGTAAGGGGTAAGTTTCACTTCGACACAGGAGAAATCAGCATGCCTGAACTGACATTTTCTCTGCAGCTTTGGCTTTGCCAAATTCAAGGACATCAAGGATTCGGAGGCTTGTATCAGAGGCTTCTACGCCAAGGGCTATGAAGTCGGCTTTGCACGGGTAATTACCCACCAAGATAAGCCCTCTGGAGGCCCTATCGATCCCATCGATCCCATCGATTCCATCGATTACATGTCCGAGGCTAGTGCCGATGCAAGTGCCTATCGTAGTTCTGATCCGTTGAACTCTGCCTTCCCCCTCGTCATGCCCCGAGCTGTGAAGATGTGCGGTTGCCACTGTAACGAGCACACCAGCTTCTTTACTAACTTTGACCCCTGGGACCAGGAGTCATTTAACTCCAGACTCAAGGCCGAGGGCGATGAGAGCTCCACAAACCTCTACATCTCGAATCTTCCCAAGTCTGTCAGCGAGACTGATCTGGCCACTGTTCTATGCAACTACACGATTCTATCGGCCAAAATCCTTCGCGATAACCTTGGCAACAGTCGTGGCGTCGGCTTTGCACGGTGAGTTGGGATTCCCATCATTGTTACAGCACCAACTAACACATTTAAACAGATTCGAGAGCCGTGAGATCTGTGACGAGATCATCGAAATCTACACTGGCCAGCCTCTTGGTGAGGAAGCTCTGCCCATGCAGATCCGATATGCCGACACTCCTGCTCAAAAGGAGCTCAAGCGTATCACCTCTGAGCGTCGACAGTTCCGCACAAACGAGTACAACGTTGGCGCCTATGGTACCCCTCTTGTTGGTATGTCTCCTACCATTTATAGCCAAGCGGGCTGGAAGCAACGAGGGATCAGCAGTGGCTCGACGTAAGTGCTTGCCGTCTGGTCTTGCTTTCTCCTGGTTTGCGTAAGTTCTCTAATGATATTAAGCTGACAAATCACGTAGACCCTTCCCTCGGTCGTCTTTCACTCATGTGAAGGATGCCAAGCTTGGTGCAGAAAGAATGTCGTATGCGGGTCCTAGTGGTGCTCTCAGTCTCGATGGTCACTAATCTTTGTCAGGTCGAGCAATATCACCGCTGGTGACAGCCCGGCCTCAGAGAACGGATCTGGAGACGAAGGGATTACAATTCATGTTGAGTCTCCAGTGGTAGCCAATGGTAGCACTCGCTCTTCACCAATCAAGAAGGAGAAAGATTAGATTATGCTGGGGCAGATTGTCCTGTTTCTCGCATACCACGTTATTCCTATCCGAGGATTTCGACATTCAGCATCTTCTACTTCTAACCGACAATTCTTCTAGACATTTGTTTTTCGTCTTGGAATCATCCCATATCGAACGAAGACATCAGCGTACCAGTGACCATCGTGGTTTTGTTTTGGCAGCAGGGGTTTCTTGTGTTTTATTGTTCACTATTCTTTCTGTAGGTGGATTGGTATTTCCGTCACATCACTTGGCACAAGGTTCTTAAATTAGGGAGACCATGTTTAGGGGTGAGGGGGTGATTTCTTTGTACATCTTGTGTGTATCAAGCCCAAGATAAGTTCCGACTTTCAAAGGCGAAATCATACAGATGATCATGTTCACAGAGGTTCACGTAGAGGTTCACATCAATGTACAGTTTTGCTAAGACAGGACGACTTTACACCTTGATGGCGTGGGTGATTGCCGTAAACAATTTAAACTGACCAGGTGTCGCCCTCCTGTTGTGATTGAGGGAGATGAAAGGGCATAATGGACCGCTGTTGTAAATTACTCTGTCCAGATATGTCACACTGCACATGGTCACACTCTCCCCCACTATTCTACAGAGGTTGGCGTTCTCGGATGGCGGAAAATCATGCTGCAAGGTTGGTTGGTTGGGTATCATTTCGTTCTATGTCATGGGCAGAGCTTTTGTCTATGTGTGGTCCTTGACAGACAACTTGGAAAAGTCCATCCTGCTGTCGCTTGCGGTATCTTCTTCATGGTAAGCACCACTAGCGTCAACTTCATCGCCGCCACTATCGTGGTCATTCTGCTCGTCCTCTCCCGCATCGTCCTCGTCATCTTCCGGCTCAGAGTACTCACCCTCGCCGCCTTCTGGCCGTTGGGCCTGCTGTTCTCGAATGGCAGCCTCAAGATCCTTGAGCATCTTTTTGGTAAAACCAGATGCTTCGACAGAAGCATCAAGACGTTTAGCACCATCACTGCCAACAGTCTTTTTGGCGTCCTTGAAAAAGGGACCTGGGGTTGTGGATACGAACTGGAACTTGCGCTCAAAGAAACGCTTGATACAATTCACATCTCTATCGAACTGCTCCTCGGCATTTGCGTGCTCAACCGAGATCATTTGTGGGAAATCGATCAATACGGGTGTTACCTTTATTGTCTCGTCTGCATCGGGGTCGTCGGATGAGGGTGGTGTGCGTTCTTCTTTGATGAGAAGGTTGAACTCGTTGAAGTCGCCGTGAATCAGACCGTGCTTGGCTAGTCGAAGGATCATGTCAATCAGGTCTGAGTATAAGGCAGCTGGGTCCCCAACCTCGGAGATCTGCCGCAAGGGGAAGGCATCGACGAGGCTCATGAGTATGGTGTGACGGTTTTGTGATATAGGTTCTGGGACAAGGAACCCCTCGTCTTGTAGAGCCTTCATGAATGCATACTCCTTCATGGCGGCCAGGCGGCTGAGGTACATCCAACTGCCACCCTGACCTTGTCTCGACTTCCTCAGGTAGTCTCGGTTGGACTTGACGGTGCGGAAACTTATCCGGCCCAGCCTGTGGATCTTCAAGACCTTCTGTACACCCTTATTGTCGGCAACTATCATGATATCACTCTCCTTGCCCACACCAATGCGGGTGCCGACGCTGTAAACGACGTCCTGCTGGGCATAGGCGTGGAGGGCCAGGTAGTCCATGCCTCCGTAGGTCAATCGGTAGCCGTCGTACTTGGCCTCCTTGATCTTGGAAATGAGGCCCGTCTTGGCGAGGGCGGATATGGATCTGTTTACATGGTTCACACCACCTCGCAGACGAGAGAGCTTCTCGATGACCGGCGTTGGGACGAGATCGTGGGTCTTGGTGCCGTTCTCGACAGCGGCAAGGACACGCCAGTCCTCAATGGTGAGGTGCCGGAGGGCTTTGGTGTCCAACTTCATGGTGGACGAGGCGAGGGCTGCACCCTTGTGTGCTGGAGTTTCCTATGTGATGTTCGGCTGAATTGAGTACTTGTATTGCAGACTTGGTCTGTGAAATGCGGTGGCGCGAAGGCTTCACACCAATTAATTGATACGGTGAATGAGTAGTGTATTGCAGTGTAGTGGGCTGGAGTCTCGACTTACACACCTCAGCAGTACCCATAGAAGACTGCAGCACTTCAACTGGGAGGGACGGACATTTTTTTGATGGCGGGGTGGTTGAGCGATAACGATAAGCCTTTTGTTTTCATCCAGATCAGTCATAAGTTAAGCTACCTGACATAACTTTAGTCTGCATTGCCTTAAGTTAGGTCAAATTTATGCACTGGTGGAGTCGGCGCAGGTCACAGCAGCTTCCAGCCAGCCAGCCTCACACCATCACACACCCAGAGTTAGGCTGCGGTTAGGTTAGTTGCATAGTTTAGAGTACTAATAGTTGCAGCAGGCGCACTGGCCACAGAGTACGGATCCGAACCAGAGAAGCGACGAGGCAGTACGGGTTAGGTAGGCAATAGGCAGGAAAGCCGTGCGCGTAATGCTGAGGCTCTAGCGTGGGCGTTACGATTATTGCTTATTGCGAGTGCCAGTCGCCCAGAGCATCTGGCCCGGAGCTCCATTGCTGTTCTGTAATCCATCATCTTCCATATTCTGCATCTCTCCACCCGCTTCGCGATCTGATACCCTCCCCCGTAGACGGTCTGATAAACCCCCCTTGGTCAACTTCAGTCCATTCTGTCCCGACCACTTTTTGAGATCACACACACACCCCGCCGGATTCGCTGTTGACAGCCACCCTCCAAACCCCGACCACCCCCCCAACTGTATCAGCCCGCCTGCCATCATGGCGCAAGACAGCGATGTTCCCAAGTCTGCCGACAAGGGCAAGGGCAAAGCTGTTGATGCTGACAAGGTCGACGACGCCAAGAAAGGCAAGGACCCTCAACAGAACGGCAAGAAAGACGAGGATAAGATCACTGATGGTGAGGCGCATTGGTCAGGTGCACACTTCTGCCTCCACCCCTTGCTGATATGCGTGCAGGCCCCGAGGAGCTGAGCGAGGAGGACCAGCAGCTCAAGAATGAGCTTGACATGCTCGTGGAGCGATTGACCGTGAGACGGCACCCCGCCCGACGACCCAGCGCCCGCGAGTCCGAGTATCAGCGCTGACTATCAACCATAGGAATCCGATGCGTCTCTCTACAAGCCCGCCCTCGAGGCCATGAAGACCTCCATTAAGACCTCCACATCCTCCATGACCGCCGTACCAAAACCTCTCAAGTTCTTGAGACCACATTACGAACCCTTGACCAAGCTCTATGACGAATGGCCCGAGGGCGATGACAAGTCGTCCCTGGCAGATGTGCTATCCGTCATTGGCATGACCTTTTCCGACGAGGACCGCCAAGACACCTTGAAGTACCGACTGCTGTCCCCTTCACAAGACATTGCATCCTGGGGCCACGAATACACGAGACATCTGGCTCTGGAAATTGGCGAGGTCTATGGAAAACGCGTTGCCGCCGATGAGCATGTGCAGGATCTGATCGACCTTGCACTTGTTCTGGTACCGCTTTTCTTGAAGGCAAACGCCGAGGCAGACGCCGTCGATTTGATGAGCGAGCTCGAGATTATCAAGAGGATACCCGAGTTTGTTGACGAAAACACATATGCTCGAGTCTGCCTGTACCTGGTCAGCATGGTCAACCTCCTTACCTATCCCGACAACGAAGAATTCCTGCGCGTTGCGCACGACATCTACATGGCCTACAAGGAGTACACACAAGCCATTGTCATTGCCATCCGTCTCAACGATGTCGACTTGATCAAGCAAGATTTCGATTCCGCCAAGAACCCTGCCCTGAAGAAGCAGCTGGCTTTCTTGATCGGACGCCAGAAGATCTGGGTCGACGTCAACAAGGGATCCGACGACGACGAGGCACAAGAGATTGACGAGGCCCTTTGCAATATCAAGTTGGCCGAGTACTTCAAGACCCTAGGCAAGGAGCTCAACATCCTCGAGCCCAAGACCACAGAAGATATCTACAAAAGCCACTTGGAGAGCAATCGCGTCGCCGGCATGACCAACCTCGACTCGGCCCGTCACAATCTGTCCGCGGCATTTGTGAACGCATTTGTGAACGCTGGCTTCGGCAACGACAAGATGATGCTTGTGGAGGAGGACAAAGAGAACTGGGTATGGAAGACCAAGGACGAGGGTATGATGTCAACAGTCGCGTCCTTGGGAACCTTGCTTATGTGGGATGTCGAGAACGGCCTCGACAAGATCGACAAGTATACCTATGCTCCGGAGCCTCAGATTCAGGCCGGCGCCATGCTTGCCATCGGCATCATGAATTCCGGCGTGCGGATAGATTCCGAGCCCGCCCTTGCTCTTCTAGCCGACACGGACAAGCTGGAACACAAGAACCCTCTCATTCGCACTGCTTGCATCATGGGTCTAGGTTTGGCATATGCTGGCTCTCAGCACGAAAATGTCCTCGAACAATTGCTTCCCATCATTACGGATCCGAGTCAAGACATGCAAATATCCGCCATGGCCGCCCTTTCGCTTGGCCTGGTCTTCGTTGGCACGTCCAACTCCGACATCAGCGAGGCCATCGTCACAACCCTCATGGACGATGAGAGAAAGTCACAATTGAGCGACAAGTGGGCACGCTTCCTTGCCCTTGGGTTGGGCCTTTTGTACTTTGGCCGACAGGAGGAAGTCGAGGTCATCCTCGAGACTCTCAAGGCCGTTGACCACCCCACGTCCAAACCGTCCGGTCTTCTTGCCGAGATCTGTGCCTGGGCCGGAACTGGTGCCGTCTTGAAAATTCAAGAGCTCCTTCATATCTGCAACGAACACGTGGAGGAGTCAGAGGAGAAGAAGGGCGACGAGCTCCTGCAGGCTTACGCTGTACTCGGTATTGGTCTTGTGGCTATGGGCGAGGATATCGGTCAAGAGATGGTCTTGCGCCAGTTTGGTCACCTTATGCACTATGGAGAGGCCAACATCCGCCGAGCTGTGCCTCTTGCTATGGGTCTCATCAGCCCAAGCAATCCCCAGATGAAGGTTTACGACACTCTCTCCCGATACAGTCACGACAACGACAACGAGGTTGCTATCAACGCAATTTTCGCCATGGGTCTGTTGGGTGCGGGTACCAACAATGCCCGTCTCGCACAGCTACTGCGTCAGCTTGCATCCTACTACCACAGAGACCAGGAGTCACTATTCATGGTCCGCATTGCGCAGGGTCTCCTCCACATGGGTAAAGGCACAATGAGCCTGAACCCCTTCCACACGGACCGCCAGGTACTATCGCGTGTCAGCACAGCTGGTCTTCTTGCTGTGCTCGTGGCCATGATTGACGCCAAGCAATTTATCACATCGCAGAGCCACTACCTGCTCTACTTCCTGGTAACAGCCATGCACCCACGATTCCTAGTCACTCTCGACGAGAACCTGAAGCCTCTGACCGTCAACGTTCGGGTGGGTCAAGCTGTCGATGTTGTCGGACAGGCCGGTCGCCCCAAGACCATTACTGGTTGGCAAACGCAAAGCACGCCTGTGCTCCTGGCTCACGGCGAGCGTGCGGAACTCGAAGATGAGGAATACATCAGCTTGTCCGGCACGTTAGAAGGATTGGTAATTCTGAAGAAGGTACGTTGCTCTTCACGAATGTTATTTTTCAACTAAATATTGATTTGCTACAGAACCCCGATTGGGACGCAGAGAACAAATGATGGATGAGGCTTGAGACTTCATGAGCAAGGGTACGGTCAGGGGTTCGGATCTGTCAAAGCCGTGTATTGCATAGCTCCCAAGGCTTCTGAGTGGGTAACCATGAAATGTACCATAACATAATCAATTAAAGAGCGGGCCGAGAACCACCATGTGTTCTGCCGAAGCAGCTCGGTCCATCCGCAATAGAGGATCAATGACGTGAACAAATACATGTCCTATTTGTCTTGTCAATCATGAGTCTACGAACTCCCCGTGGCACAAAATCTACTTTTTTCTTCTTCTTTCTCTCACACCATGACTGTCCGTCGGGACATGTTGCAATTAATAGTTGTACTTTGGTATCCAATAACGCTTCCCGGATGCTTTCCATAGAAACCTTGGTGTCTCGAACTTGCCTCGAGCGGCATTGCTCATAGTCCAACATTATGCTTTACGGCCAGTTCTCGCTCTAGTATCAGTGGAACCCCCGGCTTGTTGCGTCAGCAACATCATGGCCCGTTCCCCGTACGCAAGCCTTAATGGTGCCGTTTTTTTTTTTTTTTTTGAATCTAAGCCACACTTACACACCTCCTTTCGTACTCGTAACATCTGCCAGCATATTCGTACCGACTGTTCACCATCACAAAGATTTTCGAGAGAGCTCGTTGGCCTGTAGTATTTCACTGTACGTCGTGTGAGGTTGTAATTAGCTGCGAACAATATTGTTCTACTTAATCGCGGCGCTTTCGGTACGTTCTTGATCGTACAGCGGCGAAAAACTATTAAAACCCAACCGATAAGTACCAACTCAGACCGAAGACTAGTCATGCGCTGTACCAAACTGAGAGCGGAAAGATTTGGCGGCGTGTGGTTGACCTGGTGTCGTGGATGAGTCATTCGAATGCCGCCCATATTTTGTTGCTTTTTTTTTTTTTTTTTGTGTGGACGGGATCTAGAGCAATACTCGCAGCAGCGCGACCTGAACTCCACGGCCCTCCTCTGCAGGCCGGCTCAGGTTCGTATATGCGAGTCCCCGAGCAAGTGCCATGATCCCGAACTTGACTGGCCAATTTCGTCCTCCTGTGGACTGCTCATCGTGGCAATGAGACTTGGAGCTGAGTTCTGGATTTATGACCCCCGTAGAAGACTTCCGAAAAGTTGTCCAAAACTGGTATCTGATATTCCCGTGTCATCCACTGCGAGCGGCTGCAATGCCGTTGTCAGTAACATCATCCAGACTTCCGCTGATTCTGATCTGATGGTCGCCTAGTCGACGTTTGAGGCTCGATACCGCCTGGTGAACATCAACTAGAGCCGCCAGGTCCTCATGGTGAAATGCTGCTCAGATATAAAAGAGTTCCATCTCCTGCCATGGAAGGCCGAAGTCTGTAGATATGAAAATTCCGCAGATACATTTCTATGGTGTTCATCAAACAAATTAAAAACAATCCAGAAGAGCTACTCATTTCGCAGCACGATGCTCCAAAACCTGGCCTGGCTTCTGCTGTGCACACTCCTACCTTTGAGCGCAAATGCGTATCCCGTACTAGCAGTTCCTGGACAACCTGCTTTCCGGTTATGGCCTTTCAATTGGACATTGCCCACTCACGGACAGGGCGACTTACATCACACACCGAGGCCGACGACAATTACCGACTTACCAACGTTCACATGGAGCCGCCCAGATGGGCCGCCGTGGTTGACAACAGTTACTCCCACAGCAGATCATACAGATACAAGCACAGACCTACCGAACTTTACATGGAGTCGTCCAGACGGGCCGCCTTGGTTGACGACGCAAGCTTCCACGACTATCTCTAGTGACACAAGCACATTAGCCCCGGCAAGTCCCTCTCCCATATCAATAATTCCAATTGCAGGTACTAGCTTAGATTCAGCAGGCGACGCCACCGTGACAAGCATTGTCACCTCAATACGCACGATTTTCCCCACAGGGACTACTACCACGTCAACAAGCCTAACTGCATTGCCGGTCAGCACGAGCTTTTCGGTCGACCCAGAGTTAACTAAAAGCCCATTGGCCACTGCCTCTACTGAGACGGCCAACCCAGTTCCAATAGCCAGTCCGGTTTTGACTACTACTTCGGCTGTGGCTGTCATCCCGGATCTAACAGGTTCGACCATAACGAGAACTATCGTTTTGACGAGCACTGCAACAATGACTACACATGGCTCAACGATAACCCGCACTGCTACCGCGACAAGGACGTTGACAATAACTGGAAGCCCGGTTCTTGCAAGCACTCCTACTTCGACCAGCGTGCATTCAGAGATGAGTATACCTCCGACAACTAGCCCTACTCTAATCCCTATCCCGTCTTTAGCTAGTACGTTGACTTTGAGCAATAGCCTAGTATCGACCAGCAGTATTATATCGACTAGTAATCTACACTCTCCTACTAGCGCAGTCCTGAGTATAATCAGCACAATTATACCCACCAACCCCAACCCGGCAACCACATTATCGGCGACCAGCCTAAATGTGCCTCTTAGCCCGACTATAATCAGCAGTTCAACTCCAACCACTATTTTGTCCCCTGCTACAACTGCATCCCTAAGCAGCAGTAGGACGCAAAATGGCTTCATCAATGCTGCATATTTCATTAATTGGTAAATCAATATCTTCGTTTGGAAATTATAGCGCTGACATGTCTAGGGGCATCAATGACCGGAACTATTATCCCAACCAACTTCCCGCCGCTGATTTGACTCACGTGTTCTATGCCTTTGCTACACAGTTGCCCAACGGTACCGTGTAAGAGCAAACTCCGTTGTTCCCATAATCGATCGCTAAGAGAATGAACAGAATTAGCAGCGAGCCTGAAAAAGACGCCATCTGCATACGACAGCTGAAAGTGCTGAAGCAGAACAACCCTAGCCTGAAGGTGATCTTGTCCATTGGCGGCTGGGATGCTTCTCAAGATGGCTCTTTCAGCACATTGGCTAGCACTGATGCTAGGAGATATGTTTTCGCGTCAAGCGCCGTGCACATGATGCAAGCATACGTAAGTTTTACGATCGCATCATGTCCAGTCCTGAATCAGCTTACTAACAAAACGCCCAGGGATTCGACGGCATTGACATAAACTGGGAGTATCCGGCCAACAACAGGGATGGCGCAAACTTCGTCCTCCTCCTAAAAGAAGTCCGCTCCGCACTCGATATCCTTGGGAACCAGTATAACCGCCACCACTTCCTGCTAACTGTCGCTGCCCCTGCCGAGCCCGCCCACTATCGGTATTGGCGCGTGTCTGACATGGTCCAGTACCTCGACTTCTTCAACTTCATGGGCTACGACTACATGGGGGCAGGTTTAAGCACAATGAGCGGACATCAGGCGAATTTGTACAAGAGCTCCAAAATCCCGTCGTCGACTGCCTTCGAGACCGAGTCTGGCGTGGATTTCTACATCGCCTCCGGCGTCCCGCCCTTCAAGATCGTGCTGGGCATGCCTCTCTATGGTCGCTCGTTCGAGAACACCGAGCTGGGTGGGAGCTTCACAGCGCCCATCACGGGCTCGTGGCCCGACTCCTCCGGCGGCACCAACGGCGGTGGCGCCGGCGTCTGGGACTACAAGGTCCTGCCCAAGGCCGGGGCCACCGAGATATACGCCATCGACGCCGGCGCCACGTACAGCTACGATGCGGACACTCGAGAGCTCATCTCATACGACACGGTCGACCAGGTCAGACGCAAGATCGACTACGTGCTGAGCATGGGCCTCGCTGGCGCTTACTTCTGGGAGGCGTCGGCGGACCGTACCGGCGAGGGCAGTCTCATCCTCACGAGCGCGACGAGGTTCCGTGAGGCTGGGAGTCTGGATTCAACGGCGAATATCGTGCTTTGACGGACACTGTATATGAGTTCTTTTTTTCGGGGACGGAACAGACGGAGAGATCTCTGAATGTTACATGATGACGATTATGTTGGATGATTTTGTAGATGAGAGAGATGACATTTCTACTTATTTTTCATGGTTTATAGATGGGAGGAAACATGTTAGAGCAAAATTATGGGCGATATATTGTGATGAAAGTGGCCTCACGGCATTGGCATGGAGGGCAATACAGTGAAGGATTAATGGAAAGAAGACATGGGACGACAACGACGTAATGAAAAGGAAGAAGAAGAATGGTTATTTAGTCGCTTACAAGGCTTAATCTACCACAATAGATCCTGCGATTCTTCAACATAAACACCAGTATCTCATACTCTTAATGCCATATTCAAACAACGCTATATGTAGGCAATCGTAGAAAGTGTCTTCCAATAGTCAGTGTTTGACTTGCATATAATCTTAAAGTTCTCCGGTTGATGCTGGCGAGTACCCGAGACAGATTGACCTGCATGTCAAAAGCTGTAGCTCGCTGGGCCGAACGAGAAAACAGTGACAGCTGAGCGTAAAATATCGCAATCCTGAATAGCCTTGTCAAGAGATTGTTAATGTCGAAATTCTTTGTTCCTTTCATCCTAATTACTTGAAGAAAAAGGCGGTTGGGGTCGCACAGCGAGTTTTCATTGTCACCATCATTTATTGTGCTCATGTGAACCACTCGAACGGTTGAGCTTTCTTTGTCATCATCAGGCATGGTACTCACATATGAACAACGATAACATGGCATCCCAAGAAACCTTCATGACTCACTGTTGATGAATAAGCATCATCTGCTTCATTGCAAAAAGCAGACGCTTCCTCCAGCTAAGCTAAAGATTGCTCCATAAAATGGCCGACACTGGTTCATATTCGAACTCCGGCTGCCAATACATGCGCGTAACATGCGCTAAGACAGGATGTACTGAGCCAGCCATCCATGTCATCCGCGAGAAGACATGTTCTCTCGGACTGGCGCATTCCGTAGTCTGCTATCACAACTTTCGTGGCGTTATGCTGGCACATAACATGAGGGTAAGGATACCTACGCTCCAGAAACTCGAAAGCCCGATTAGGGCAAAATCCGGCGATACTGACAACAGCTATACGACGCACAATATGAAGGTGTTCTGTCCTGCACATATTTATCACCACAAGGCTCTGCCCGGCCCGAGGAAGGCACGGGACCTGGAATGTTTTGTCGATTTTTGGATGGACTACGCGTACGACTCGTTGGCATCTACGATTCGGCATCCTGAGTTATGGGACGAGCTCTCGTTCAACAAACCAACCAAGTTCAATGAACGGAGAAAGTCTAAGAAGTCAAGTGATGGATCCGGCTACGACGCCGGGGTTGACGTCTTGGACCCCACTGACGGCGAGAAGAGCAGGAACAGTGAGCAAAATTATGACGAGGAAAGTTGCGACGGTGGGCAGAGTGGTGATGGTGACGTGGGCGCTCCACATGAGGAGATGGATGATTCTCCCCGGAAGTTGGATGCGCAGCAGTTCAAGAAAATGTTTCGGGAGTATGCTGCTGAACTCTTACTGGACGGTATTGCTTTCGAAAGATCTTAGTGTAGCTGTATCATGAGACATACCCACTAATTGATGTATTCAAAATTCGTACTACTGGGAAGAACTATTGTTGTGTTGTCGCGCGTTTGATGTGTAGTGGCAATGAAACCTTTGAATTTCGAACTCGCACTCTGTAGTCTCATACAACTCTAAAATAAAGACTTAGCACACGTAAACATGAATAGAAGACTGCAAAATAGAAACATAATATCAAGACTTTTCAAACGTTCCTATCGTTCAAGAACTATGATAGTATTCCGAATGTCATATAATAGAGCTCAAGAAGCAGACCAAAACAAATGAAAACAAATAAGAAGGGATATCATACATAGACAAGGTAGACCTGGATATAAAATAATACATGCAAAATGAAGAACAAAGAAAAGAAAAAGATGCATTGGATCAAGTACCGACAAAAAGAAGATCTCTTAAGAGAAATAAAGGTTTCAAAGATTTTAGAAAGATGGTCGATAGAGGAATCGAAAAACCTGTCTACGGGCTAGGCTTTTTGCTCCGTGTAGGGCCGCGGATGATGACGGCTTCCTTCATCCTGCTAACTAGGCCATCTGACCTGAAAATGATTCACATAAACTGCATTAAAAGACCACCCCGCCAGGAAACCAGTGTTGAGAGCACTTGTCGTTGTGGGTTGCTGTGAAACCTTCATTAAAACGTCAAGTGAATCCCAATGCCGGTTGCACCTCACCGTGTTATGCCGACCTTTTCCCTGAAACTTATCCGCCTGCCTGCCACCCACCGCACACTGCTTTATGGCTCCCTGCTAATATTCAAATCAGCCAGGGTTTCTTCCAGTGTCTCTTGCTCGGCCTCCGTCTGTCTCTCGTCGCAGAACCCATCCCAAGCAAGCTGGATATCCTCCGACTCGTCAACTTCCGCTTGTCCCCAGACACTCAACATGCTGAGCTTCAATATTTGTCTCGCAAATACGAACTCTGGGTCATACGCGTTACTCAACCATTCTGGTCCCATAGCCTGCTCAAACACCCCCTTGATCGCGTCGTCATCTCGGGAATCCGCATCCATGAGCCTTTTGTGCAGAGGCTCTGGATCATATTCGGGCCAGCTCTTGGTCGCAACTTCATTGGTCCACAACCATCTCGGGGGCTCTGCAGTCATGAAACGAGGACCGAAGATTGCCGCCTCCCAATCAAGAATGCCCGTGATGTATGGCTCATGGTTGGTTGCATAGTCTATCATGATATTACTAGGCGTGAGATCCAAGTTCCAGAGACAGAAACGCGTGTCTTCGTCATTGCCGTCATCAACACTTGCAAAAATATCACCTTCATTCAGTTGTCCAAGTATATATAACAAGGGCTTGTAGTGGTACTCGACGATGTTCAGATCTGGGGTCTCTTGGTGCAGGGCCTGAGATATTCGTCGTTTGAGTGGCGCGAGCATCATTTCGCCAACTGGAAGTCCTGGCGGATCGGCGTAGAGTCTATCGAGAGGCAGCAGCCCGTTCTCCTCGTCTTCAAAGTCAGTGTGACGAGCCTGGTCACCCGCGAACGTAGTTCCAAAAGCAGAGATCTCGAGCAACTCATCGGGCTTCGGGGATATAGATTTCTCGGCAGTGTTGTGTGTGGGAGGGACGTTGATGATACCAGTCACGGCGCTGCTGATACTCTCGAAGTCCATATACAGACGCGCGATTTGTGTCGCAACAGCCATCCTCTGGCTCTGCGCCAAAGCCTCCCATTCCTTCCCTAGATTCATACCCGGGATGCGCTTCGTCATTATATAAGGATACCCGAGATCATTATCCTTGGTGCCATCCCACCCCACCACCTCCGGCAGCCTCAGCGCTCTCGACTCCCCTTCGGCCGGGCTTGTACGCCGCTCGAGATACCTCAGCACTCCTACGGTGTTCGTGACGGTGTCCTCAAGTTCCGGCAGCTTGAGCACGTACTCTCCGCATGCGGCGCCGTCTTCGTGGAGGACAGAAAGCCCAAAGACTTTGTTGTAGGTGCCCACGGCCAAGAAGGCGATATTATGCCTCGCGTTTGGCCACAGGGTCTTGCAGAGCGCCTGGATTCTGGGAAACCAGAACGGCGGCGGCTGGTAGTAATCGTCCCCGGTCTCGTATCGAATAACACTTTCAGAGCGTGGGGTGGTAGGTCTCGAGCCTGGGCTGGGGTATAATATGGAGGAGGGGGAACCAGGCGTGCTGGGAGTTTTGGTTGCGATAGCGGGTATATCCATGTTGTCTTGCGGGATCTGAAGTGAGTTTCTTATTACAACTCTACGGTGTCAAGTTTAATTGCCGACCCCAAGGAGATAGATAGACTGTGGCGACCTTGAAGTGAATACCCCTCGGTATAAAGACATTTGGCGTCTTTGTTGCTCATTGTTTGGGTTACGGTTGACGCATGTCAAGTACACTTGTACATCTGAACTTTTCGTGGATGTGCTATCCGCGGTAGAGAATCGAGAAAGTCGCGAAAGCGTACACAAGATAAGCATGACAACAGAAGACCAGGCGACTTTATACTAAATACCTCCATCCTCCTGCCCGTAACCGTCTGCGACCGCCAAGGATTGGGGCGGATGTCTCACATCAGATATCCCAGGAATGGCTCCATTTTTGGGAATGTAAGCAAGTTATCGATCTCGTGACATATATCTTACGGAACCAATTCCCAGCGCACGTAAAAGTCCATCGAGTAGCCTACCCTACCGATCCTCGATTGGTACTCCTGCTTCGTAAGGCCTCTTGCGTCTTGGTTGTCACCCCATGTCTTGATACCGCCGAGATGCAATGTCTGGCCCGGCGCTCCTAATTCTCTCGCCTTGACATCAATCCACCACCAGTGCCCGTCATGCTCCAAGGGTATATTCTCATCTTTCCTACCGTCTTGGCCGTGAATGCATAACACGAGCAGATAGTTTTTGCCCTGGCCATGCTTTTCACCTATCCAATGCTCGCAGACCTTGGCGAATTGGAAGCGAATTACTTCATTGCTATTCACAGAGATGTGCTTCTCAGGCGGTGCGAAAGTGAATTCGGAAAGGCCTTCCCGAGTGCCGATGCCATACCATTCCGCCTGTTCGCCGTTTGTGGGCCCGATGCTATACTCTTCCCAGGTTGGTATGCGACCGTCTGCGCGGAAGAAATGCCTCTGATCCGAGGGAAAGTGCTTCAGCCCGAATAGATCGTTGCTTAGATAGAACATGGAAGGATTAAATCCTGGAGTATAAGCGTTGTTCATCAGCGCGCCCGCGCCCCAACATGCATCGAGCAATTTCCACTCTCCATTGTCAATCCGCACGGCGTTCCAGGCATGCCCAGTCGGGTTTCTAGCGGGGGGCGGTTGCCCTTTCTGCAACGCCGTATGTCCGAATCCCTTGCCATGCCCGGTCACCATGACACATTCCAAACCAGCACGTTTTGCTATCGCCATATAGACCTCGGCATATCCTTGGCAAACGGCTTTTCCGTGAAAGATGGTCTCTTCGACACCGCGACTCTTGATACAGTTTCCGAAGAACTCCTCAGTGTTGTAGGCAATATTGTGGTGCATCCACGTAAAGATAGCCCGAGCCTTGTCCGTCTGCGACGGAAACGAGCCACACAAGACGTTGGCGAGAAAGCCAACTGGATCGTTCCGAGGAAGAGAGTGGGCTGGGTACTGAGCTGCGATCGCGTCAGGTCGGGAAAAGTCACGGCAAATCAGGCAGGTCACTGCATTGTTGGCAGTGGCACGAACGGCAATTGCATCTATCTGGGTCATTGACGGACGTGAGGAGGTGGGAACAGGTGGCGGTCCGTTGGGCCTCTTTGCCAGTGGTGGCCCCCTTGGCTCGAACGAGTTGGGATGCGTATACCCTCCCGTGGGTGGCGGGGGCAGTCGTCGAGGCAGAATAGGAGGGGCGTCATCAACCTGCTCTTGCGGTGTAGGTGGTGGCTTAACTGGCCTGGAAGGTAAGCGTGGAGGCAGACCTGGCCGTGGTGCGTTATCCTTGACTTGAGGAACTATAGGAGCTGACTTGATGGCTCGGATTGGAGCCTTTGCCGCCTCAGTTGCTGCCTGCGCCTCCCTTTCCCGTTTTGTCGGAGGAAGAGGCGGAAGTTTTGCTTGGTCCAGAGCCGGCGGGAGTTTCCGGCTCGATTGCGTCTCCGTTGAAGTGATACTGGTATATGAAGGTGCACGACGTAATGAGAGATTAGAAATGGTGGATATCTGAGACACGTCAGAGGAGTTGGAACCTCTCCGTACTTGCAAAGTCTGTGTCGAAGACCTCCGAGGCGGCAGAGATGGTGAGGGCTGTGAAGTATTGGTGTTGGTCCGCGAAGGAAGGGCAGGAGGCGCACGTCGATTAGCAACAGCGCCCGTCGCCTCGAGGACTGGCGCTACGGTGGTCGATCGCTGAGGCAGAGCCGGTGAAGAGTCTCCGTTTTGGGGCCGGGAAGGGATGGAATGAACTCTGGGCGATTGTGCAATCCCACCTCCGTCAAGATTTGGGATCGATGTCTCTGTTTTCGGCCGTCCTGGGGGAGGTGGTGGGGGAGGTCGTTTCTTCGGCCCTTCGCCCTGACTGCTGAAGTTCTTCTGCTGGTTCAAGGCTGCTATACGGTCGGCCAATGAATTGAACTTGGGCTCCTCTACTTCAGCCATGTTCTCCTAGCCAATTCGTCTGAATCTTGTGCGAATGTGTCTCGAGAAAGTCGCAAGGCGCAAGTATAGCTTGTATAGTGGGGCACCCGCCGGGTATGCGAAAGCGAATGTGGGAGTGAAAGGTAGGCTATATATGCTATTGATAACTTAACACATATGAACAAAAGGGTATCTCTCTGATTGCAAAGGAAGGGAAACAGTTGCGCCGAACGAAATGACGAGGTAAGACCGGGGGGGATTCGGTTTGGGAGAAAGAACACCATTTACAGGCCAAGTTTGCCTCACGGACAGCGGTCCGTTTTTGTTTCTTGGTAGCGGCGCTGTCGTATATATAGCAGTTCATCACCCCACTATGCACGGCACAGCCCTGCCGAGTGGAGCAGGCTAGGCGATCCTTCGACCCCTGCCATCACCACTACTCTAGTATGTACATACCTGAGCGATTTCGACTACCGGCAGCATTATTACAGTAACTAGACTAGTAGTAAAACTACGGTAGCAGACAGCATCTCTCAACGGTCTCTCTTCTCATTGGCTCCGCCGTGACCAGAATTTGATATCACACAGTCTACATACGTGATTGCTGCAGAGCTGTCGTTCAGGAGTGACTCGCTTCGACACCTTTCAATCCCTGCGTCGATTGTGCTCAATACTTGTATATAGCAAGGCCGGATGGGATGGGCCACTCAAAGGTCGGACAGTCATCACTAGTTGTGAAGGCTTCCATGGGTATGTAACTCCTGGATAATAGTGCGTATACATCATCGCCTGGTGAGTTCTCCATCAACCTGGTGAGTTTCCCATTATGCGTACGAGTTGTAAGACTAGCTTAGCACCGCTAATTCACTTTGCCGCCTGTTTGATTTGGGTATGTTTCCCATACATTTTCGGTTTCACTCCATGAACGCCGCAGCTCCCAGTACAACCAGTCGTTTTCCAGGCCACATGATTCAATGCAGCTTCAATTGGGAACGTTCTCCCACAACCCTGGTTTAGCTCTCACCTTTTCCTACAGAACGTACAACGTAGCACGGACTAACGTCATAGACTCTAGCTGGCACAGGCGTAAGCCTCATTTCTGGCCGAGGGCAAGGGGAGATATTTTGCTCAATGCGACTGCACAGAGTCTTGACAAGGCTGTCTGTGGTGCCGGCAAAAGAAGGAGGGAGTACTGTTGCGGCTCCTGTTATCAAGACAATCTCATTGAGAGGGGTCGCAACTGTCTACATGGTATGTACTTATAGTATGTAACTCCACCCCTGCAGCAAGCTCCTGTGGAGATGCCCCCAGATCGCAGAAGCCGTCACTGCCCCCTGGTCCCTCCTGGTCGAGTCTGCCTTGCAGGCCTTGCAAGCCTTGTGGTGTCGGGTGTCGGGTGGTGGAGCAGTCCGTAATAATCTGTCAGTCTGTGCTCAGCTCCCATCTGCACTACGGATCCGTATTAGCGCCAGACTAGCTCGAGGTGGCTAGCCTCTGTGCCAGCCTGTTTGGAGCATTTCTGGCCCCACATTGCATATCCAGTCCCCATACTCACCTTGGCATGTACATACACACACCAACTTCTTGCCCCGCAGGACTGTCAACTGTCAACCGTCGATGAGCGACGAGAATCACAAGCGGCTATCCGCACATGATTCTTCAACCGATCCTCCGTACACTGGATTATCTTTCACGTACCCGGTCTATTGTTTCGTTCCTCCCTCCTCGGACCTCATTCTTGACTCTTCTGATGCGCCCGGTATTGGATTGGGCGCCAGACCCAGACCCAGACTTAGGACTTAGACGCACACGCAGACTTTCCAGCGCGACATGGCGTCGAGCCTCGCGTTCCCGTCAGCTAAGCTTGGTATCCTCGGCTTGCCTGTAGAGATCATCAAGGAGATCTGCAGCCACGTATGTTCGTCCCGGTCTTTCATGATATACCATACCGCATGTTTACTTGTGTACATCTGTCTATCTGTCTATCTGCGTCTGATGCCGTGCCCCAGTGCTCACAGTCCGACCTCATATGCCTCGCGTTGGTGTCGCGGCAGTTTCATGAGCTAGCCGCGTCCCAGCTCTACCGTAACTTCCACATCGTATTCCCCGACGAGGATGACCCGACCTTCGACTCCCCAATTGATGGGCTCGCCAGTGGCCTGGATACCTTTGTCACGAGCGATTACGATTACGCAAAACATCTCCACGACCTCTCTCTCGATACGCTGAGCGCTGGCGCAAGGGCGGAACAGGCTTATAAACCCTACTTGTACAAAGTCAGTTGTGGCAAGTTCATGAACACACTGCTGCTCCTTGTCTTGCGGAGGGCCACATCCCTCGAGACCTTCAAATGGAATATCCGTGTCGAGCTCAGCCGCCCTGTCTACAAGGCCCTACACAACATCACTTCCCTCAAGCATCTTCACCTGCGCATGCAGAGTGGCTACTCACTCTACGAAACACCGCCGCCCCTGCCGTGGAGCGGTATCACCGCCACCTCACCCTCGGGTTCTGCTTCGCCTGCCGTGCCGCTTACAAGTAACACAGCATGGACAAATCCCAGCGCCCCGAGTCCGTTGTACAGCACTGGGTCCAATGCGCCTTTCTTTGGCCCCGTCCCATCCACAACCGGCCCCTGGGGTCTCAATATCCCTACGCAGTATACTACTTATGCGCCTCCCCCCATCATATCGTTGCCACCCAATGGAAGTCATGCGGCCATGCCAACACCTCCCAAACCCCCATTCAGAGCGAAGCCCATCAAAAAGTCCGCCACCACCAAGGAACCACTCACTATCGCCGGCTTCAACAAGTTGCACACCCTGAGCGTACTGGATATCGACAGTCTCGACATCATCGCAGAAATACAGGCTTGTATCCAAAACTCATCTTCCCAACTACGGAAGCTGAAGCTCTCCTTCTCAGACGGTCTTGCTTCTCAAGCGAGGAAGCCAAAGGTCGAAGTCGATCCTAATGAGTCCGACGATGACGACGAGTTTCAGATTGTGCCCATGACTACCAGTTACGATGACGGTACTGGCCCCGCTAGAGCTTTCCGAGCTCAACAGGAGCGTAAGGCACAAGAGTTGGTGCTGGGCCGTGTTTTCGCCGTGGATACTTTCACTTCAAGGACAACGCAATTGGTCCAGAGGCTCAAAACCAGAGCTACTGAGAAGGCTCAGCAGAGAAGTCTGCAGCAGAACCCTGTGGCGGACCGCCAGAACATGTTCCTTTCCACCATACAATTAGTCTCGAAGCGGTTGTGTGACAATACTGTACAGGTCGCCTCGGAGCAGAAGGAGATTTTGGACTTGATAACTGCAGCATCCAAGTTATATGTTGAAGACGTCGACAAGGACGTTGCCAGAACGTCTCAGGGAATTTACATTCCGCCGTCTTGGCTACCGGAAGCGGGGGAAAGCTCCTCATCTACTACACTGCTAGGCAATGACGCTGAAGCGGCGACGGCCTCCGCTCCGCCTAATGCGAAGCCCCGTTCAAGTTTGCAAGAAGACAATGACGACACCGAACCGGAAGATATCGATGTTGCCAAACCAGAGGAGCAGCTTAACGAGGATGTCCTGGACACATCCAATGATGATCTGACACCAAAGAATGAACCGTCCCTTCCAAGCACAGCATTCCCTACACCGAGTGCCACAAACTCGACTCGAGGAACTCCCTCCCAAGCTAGCTCTGCCACGCCAAGCATAGTTGCTGCTGCTAAGGCATGTTGCGTCTCATAGTTATTGGAGAAGACACTACTTACAAAGTAAGCAGGAAACGGTCGATCGCCCCAGCAATACGGACAATATGTTTGGCGTTGTGACAGAACCCAGTGCCCAATCGCACACAGACGACTCGCAACCGCACAGTTACCAAGACGTCCAACATGAAATTAATGTGATTGAGGCAGAACTCGAGGAGCTTGGAGAAGTTCCTTTATCTGCCTGTGATACCGACGAGGAGATACAGCGCCAGGTCAGCGAGTATGTACGAGCAACAAGGGGGATAGCGCTGAAATCATTGAGTATTCACCTCATTCCCGTCAAGGCATCAGTGCTTGGGCGCGCTATAGACCTTCGAACATTGACCAGAATTACCCTGCTCAATGTTGGTAACCAAGCTCCAATTTGGGCTTTAATGACCAGGGAGAACAAGGCAGGATATCTTCCACTGCGCAAGATCTTTACCGACAATGTTTCTTCTCATTTCTTGAACTTGGTGTCACAATTGGAGACGGTTGAAGAACTGTTTCTGCTTGAACGTAGTCTCAAGTACAAACCTGAGAGCTTTGCTCCAAGGACTGAGATTACGTTGGATCAGATCCGCCGAGCAATACTGAAGAAACACATGCGAACCATTAAACGTTTAATGATCAAAAACCAGAAAGAAGGAGACAATTCTTGGGATATGGACGAGAAAACCATACAGCTAATTTGCAAGCGTGGTAAAGGTCTTGAAGAATTGGCTATCAACACGGGCATATCTGCAATTCATGCCTTCCTGCAACATTTGACTGGTCTTTCGAACTTGAGGGCTCTGCATATCTTGTTTTTCCGGGTCGAGGATACATGTCTTTCCGTCATGCGCGAGACTAGACGTTTCATTGTCGACACTATTTCGCATCATCCCGAGATGTTGCTCGAGTGGATCGCCATGGGCGACGATAACCGCGCGGATCGCCTCGTTCGCAGAACCGACAAGCCTCGGCGGCCTATGAAAAAGAACAAAAGTAAAGAAAAAGAGTTGGTCCAAGGGTTGATGAATACAGCGGATCCTGCGTTGCCTATCTTACCGACCGATGCCTGGGATGACAGCTCGAGCGAGAGTGAGTTCGATGACGATGGGGGCCAACCATACCTGAAGCTTGATCTCATTGAGAATATTTGCTTCTACGACATCTGGGGCGTTCGTATCTTCAAGAAGGAGGTGGTCGCCGCCAGGCTATGACACTAATGTTCTTATATGATATACGAAATCGAATAATGACCGCGGCGTTGGGGATGGATGTATTGTTAGATGATGCCCATGTCTTTGGCTTTCAGACTCTCACGGTTTGGGGAGATATCGATACCCCGGTAGATAAACAACGATTTGTCCTAAGTTTTCCGGAGTCAGAATCTTCAGGATAGGAGAAAAAGAATGTCCTTGTTTTTACGAGGCTGGATTGTTGGCGGCTTCGTCCGTCCATCCGCCATATACTGCGTCTATATGATGAGAGTGGCAACACAAATTTTGCCCGTAACGATATCCGATAGCTGACAGAGTCCCAATTGTGCATTGATGCCAGACTTGACACGATCCAGCAGCGCCAAAGAAGGGTGTTTCACTAGAAAGTTTCGACTTCCGGAGCGGGAAATGTTGGGTGTGTCCGGGCTTTGACTAGATTTGTAATGTCCTGCAATCGCCGACGTACGATACGTCGATCTCGCTGCTTGTACCTTTATGCTACCTATTTTTATATACTTATTGTCTTCACTCTAGACTGAACCTCGTCATAACCGAATCGTAGGCAGCGCGGGTGGAGCTGCTAGCCATGTCGTGTCAAGGGCGGCATGAAGATTTACACATATATCTATATATAGTGTCGCCACGATCATGCTGACCACTCGCTGGTTGAATGGTCTATCGAAAATGGCAGATCATATTCCATACCTCCTGCTTGGCCCAGAAGAATTGAGCAGTGCTCAATGCCACCGTGCCGCCGGGTGTCCCGAGGGACAATCCTGCTTGCAGTAGCCAGGAGCATCCAGGCACGATGTGGTATCAATCAACCCCCATCCTCGCATGAAACAGGAGAAGTTTTTGACCATCATCGATGCTCCATTTGAACCACTGGACGCCACAAAGGATTCCGTACCACTCACTTTCTGGGTTCGTTTCGACGAGTACCTTTGTCGACGAGTTCCTTTGATTGTATGGCTGATTTGCCTATCGCCCAACGTCAGTACCATGCGAAAACATCTCTCGTCATCCAAGTGAGCGATATTTTGAAGAGAAGATCCAATCTTCGGCGCAGCCAATGGAGAACATCGTCGTCGGTCTTAACAAGAACTTTTGGCACGAGTGCAACGTCAAGCTCTGTACAGTATTCCAGGCCTGCAGCTGTGGAAGATGATCGGGCGACAACTCGGTGTCTCTCTTGGAAAACTCCAGAAGGGTAATACCTCATCTCGGGGCCGATGCTGACGAATGTTGTTTAGAATCTGAAGTCCTTATTTGACGGCGCTGCATGAGTTTGGCGCCATCCTGTATAGATGAAAGACGGAAATAGAATACCCTTAATCTGATGTTAGCATTGGCACGTAGCAATAGCATTCTTGGGATTGACTTCGAAAGGACAATGCAGCACCATGGGCGTATCAGAGGCTGGGCAGTGCGACGAATATAGCAAAGTATGTACCATGAGTTTGATGCGCAGGACTATAATCTTCCTTGTAACCCAAGCATGACAGGAAGGCTGTACAGCCGTCAGTCAACTCGGTCCCGACTCCCTGGGCCCGGGGTTTAACATAGAGCAGCTAGCAATGGCTGACAATGCCATGCGCAATAATTAGCACAACTGCATGATTGCACCCGCCTTATACTCGCTGCATATCGAAAGTTGAAGAAATGTAATCATGTCTTCGGCCATACCTGCTGACAGGATTTCTGAATGACGATCGAACTGCCGTATACAGTGGTGTTGTGCTTTCGCAAGTAATCTGTCATCACAGACCCACCATGGTTCACCTTGACATCAGCGGGCCAGACGTCAGAATAGTATTTAGTTAACAAGCTGGACTGGCTGTGTCTACTCAATTCATCTGCGTCTGAACCGTCCTAAAATAAAATAAAATGGTCTCAGGCGCGCCAATTTGCCGCAAAGTTTAGGAGCTTACTATATACGCTATCCCTTCTCAGGTGTAGCGGACATTCAGAGCTTCGTTCGGGCACGAATCTTCATAATCGGCCCCGAAGTCTTTCGTACTGGTCATCGGTCGGGCGCTCTGCAACTTGATCGGCGTTATCTCACATCTGTCACACCTATCCTGTCTTGTGTTACCATACTCGCAGCTGGCCAGCACCTTGTCAACAGTCCGTTTCAATCACACATCCCCCGTCGAAGGCGCAAGATTCTCCGCCATGCATGCGCATTAAGAGAAACATAGTGTTTCAGAAGGCGGATGAACGAAAGTCCCGCTGGTTGGGGTCCATGATCCTGTGTGCACTATCAACGGCTGAGTTCTCTGGGCGGTTAAAACTGTCTTCCTATAACTCATGTAAACGACCTTCACCGGAAACCAGACTGCTTATTTAGTGCTTTTCTCAACCCAGATCTGTCCGTCTGTCCGTCACGTCTGTCTCACCTCTAATCCACGTTGGCGTTTCACACAGAGAGCTGCTGGCTCGGTCCCGAAAACTACCCCAACTTATCCACTACAATTCATTCGCATGTTGTGCAGATTGGCCCGTCGCCATCTCGGAACCAAGCTCGGACTCATCTCCAATTGCTCGTGCCGTACTCCGTACGTACGCATACGTACTGAAAAACTCGGGACCGATAAACGAGTCTTGCGATGTCGGATACCGCGGAGTCCAGTATTCACACGGACGGGGATCCATATAGGCAAAGCTCATCTCCCGGATCATCCGCCCCACACGTTCAGAACGTCCAGAATGCCCAGGATGCCACCAAGGTGACGCGGGGTACATCTTGTGTCTTGTGCCAGCAGAGGAAAGTCCGGTGTGATAAAGCCAAGCCGTGTTCAAACTGTGTAAAAGCTGGTGTCGAATGCCGGGTGATACCTCCCCAACCGCCAAGGCGACGAAAGAAGCGTATCTCTGAGAGGGACCTTGTCGCCCGCTTAAGGAAATATGAGGCTCTCCTCGCACAGCATGGCATCGAGTTTGAGGCCCTTGGCCCGGACATAAAGATTACGGACCCTGGGACTGTCCACGAAGGCGATGAGTTGGATACTGATTTCAGGCAAAAAGACTCGACTTTGGGGTCTCTCAATTCTGAGCTGATATCGTCGCCGGGAGAGAATCCTCACGTACCAAAGTGAGAGTGTCTCGCGTCCATATATTTTTGCATACTAATCATTGTTCCTCTAGAACGTTCAAGTGGTTTCCCTTCCAGAAAGAGGTACGTATTCCCCAAAAGTTGTACATACATACACATCTGTAACATCTTGTGTTCAGTTCCGCGCGACGGAGAGTATGCTGCAAGACTCTTCCGACGAAGACGATGTAGGATCTGGTATCAACAAAGCTTACGACAAGATGTTCCAAAATTCTGATGGGTTTCCTTTCGTCGTAGGAGGAGGCGTTGAAAGCGTCGCTGACCAGCACCCACCTGCCATTCAAATCATCCAATTATGGCAGATATATCTCAACAACGTGAATCCCTTACTCAAGTTGACACACACTCCAACGTTGCAAGAACGCATTATCGAGGCCACGGCGAACATCAACAAGATATCTAAGAGTCTCGAAGCTCTGATGTTTGCCATTTACTTCATGGCAGTGACATCTTTGACCGATGAAGAGGCACAGCTCACATTCAACGAAGAGAAACACGAGCTCTTGCAACGGTATTATATGGCTTGCCAGCAAGCTTTAATCAACGGAGGATTCATGAGAAGCCCAGACTTGACTCTCTTGCAAGCGTTCTTGTTATATTTAGTAAGTTTCTCATTTCTGCAGTATATCTCCTCGGACTACTTGTCTTACATGGTGTAGATGGGCATCCGACACTATATGGATCCACGAACGCTCTTCTGTCTCACTGGTATCGCTGTTCGACTAGCTTACCGATTGGGCATCCACCGTGACGGTGCTGGCTTTAGCCTCGCCCCCTTCGAAGTGGAGGAAAGGAGAAGGTTATGGTGGACGCTCGTCAGCTTCGATCGACGTATAGGAGAGATGACCGGGTCGACCATTACCGCCATCTCCAACGGAGGTGACTGCAAACTTCCTCTCAACATAAACGACGCCGATCTCCATCTGCACGCCAAAGAGACCCCAAATGCGCACATTGGCGCCACCGAAATGGTGTTCTCACTTACCAGGCTCGAGTTTGCAAAAGCGCCGGGAAGCGATAAGATGAAGTCTGTGCTGTCTGAAACTGCACCGCAAGTGCCGAACGTAGCGGACCACCGCATGGTCAGCTACATTGAGCGCCTTGTAACACATCTTGAGGACATTTACCTTAAGCATTGTGATCCTAAGATTCCACTTCATTACTTCGCTTTGTTGATGACGAGAGCGAGCATCTGTAAATTAAGGGTAATCTCGGGATTCTATAAAATCGCGACCACAGCCCCTCAACCACTTAATCCTTCAGATAACGAGCAGCTCTTCATCGAATCCATCAAGATGATCGAGTATGATACCATGATTCAGAGCAATCCTGGTCTGAAGGGTTTCAAATGGTATACTCTGATGCATTTCCCGTTTCCAGCATATGTTGCTCTTGTCAAAGACTTGCGCACCCGAACATCTGGAGAACTCTGCGAACGAGCTTGGAATGCAATGATTGAACACCACGATAGCAGGGGCATTACGAGTAGCAACATGCGCAGCCCAATGCACCTGGCGTTCACACCTTTGTTCCTGAAGGCGTGGAACGCTCGTGAAGCATACGAAGCGTCACAAGGAAGAACTTTGACAGCACCGGCGATGATTATTGGTATGAGGCAACTGGCTGCTCGTTTAGGACTAAAGGAGAACAGCAAATCTCCGGAACCCATGACACCAGCAGTCATGTCACCAAGAAGCTTCTCCAGCCCTGAGGCTCAGTTGAACACCGACGCTCAGCTCAACACTCAAGAACCGAACATGCAAGCGTACCCGGCAACAACCGCAGCGTGGACCGGTGCACCAGCCATGGGCATGAACCCAGCTCCCCAGTATGCTGGTGCTTTCGCGGATATCAACTTTGGTGGCGAGGTGGATTGGAATTTTCTCTTCCAACAATACAGCGGTGTTCAGATGGGCCCGCCACCCAATCAGCCACCGCCTGTTCCCATGCCCGTTGCTACAAATAATGGCATGTTCTCGGTCTGGCGATGACCGTCTCCAGCCTATGTCATTTTGCGGCGTTCGAAACACAGAGTATAGGATCCGGCGTTCGTGCATTTCTCATGTTGACCGGTAGACAGTAGAGGGTCAATGTTTTGTGGATAGGGCTTCTTACGCTGAGCATGTAAATTGACGATTGTATAACGGCAATGGTTCTAGCTCTATAGCTAGTACTGATGGATGCTATTACAAGCAACAACCAATTGTTGCAGTCGGAGGCCCTTTGGACGGAATTAATGGAAACGATAATGATGCAGAAATGGCAAAGGGAATGGTTTGCTTTATGACCCTTCCTTCTGGTGATGAGGAAGTTGAATATATATATGAGCCACTGTATAACAAACGCAATAGCATGCGATCAATATTTGCTTCAATTACGTAGGCAATACCAAAAACCTGTCTTGAACGCGTAAACCTTCAAGTATGACAAGAAACATGAGAATGTAGTTATCCGTCCTCTGTTTACCAACCACTTCCGACCCCCCTCTCTTAGCTCTCAAGGAACCATACAATCACAAAATGCTTTCCCACTACTATTGTTTTGATGACTCTTCCAAACAATTCTGACCGAGCACAGAGGATCACCTTGGCATGTCTTCGAGGCCATCATCCGGCAACTCTCTACAGTCCACCACGGGCGCATAAGCAGGAGGCGCACCCAGGATGTGAAAATGCCCAGGTCAGTGATCGACCGCTTATGTATAAAAGCCCTCGACGAATTTTTTTTACCTTTTCTTCTTTTACCTTTTCCTTTTTTTCCTTTTGCTTTTCCTTGACTTTTCGTTTTCTTTTTGGTCTGTGCCGCTACGCTGACACTTATAACATTAACAGAGGGTCTCGCACTACGAACCCACTCTGGCGCCCCTCTGCCGCGATCCGCGCCACGCGCCATGCCAATACCACACACGTTCGAGAACCTCGAGGCGCCGCACGTGGTCTCCTCCAACATCTCGTCGGACCGCGAGGACGAGGAGCCCTGGCCGATGCGCCGCGATTACTCGGAGCCCGCGTCGACGGTTGTGGTGTGCTTGCTCGTGCTGTGTGGGCTCTTGTACGTAATCGCTACGGGCGTATACTCATATTGGACGTGTGGGATGGTCATGGGCGGCTGTTGAGATGAGACTCGGTGGTCGAGGGGTACGTCTTCGAGTTTAGCCTGTCGAGTGAGCGTTTGCGTTGTTGTGGTGGTGCTCCATTTTGGGAAATGTGCTGCGGTCGTTATCTCTGCGCTGTTCTTTCGTGTGCAGTATGCTTTACTTCATATGTACCGGAATGATGTTTAAAATATGACGCAATACTATAAATTGTATCAAATCTACTGAAGATACATCATAGCCAATCAGGACTTCTGAGGTATAGCGGTTGTCTCGAGATTTGTTCTGGTTGGGCTTTCCACATCAGGTACTTGCTTCTTTGCAGATCATATGACCAGGTAGTCTCAGGCGATGACTGCCCAAGAATAGATCTTATTTACACCAGTCTGGATCCCTTGCTGATGGGTCAATCAATACCCGGTCGCCATGATGACAAATGTCGTGGGTATCGCAAAGTAGGAACATAAGAAAAGTTTGGAAGACAGCAGGTTTCCTTTCCCATTCGAGCGGAGGGATTGAGAATACAGCGGCGAAGAAAGTCGCCGGCAGAAGGGCCATTGTCATGGTAGCAATAACTTTCATCTCAGATGCCCATTTCCTGTAGTCTCGACCGGTCAGTGCCATGACCTGTTGTATCATGTCAGTCTATCCCCGTTTCGACGATACCCATGACACCGGTACTGCTCAAAATATTCTATTGGGCTTTCATTCGTTCGCCAAGATTGTACTGGAACCGCTTACAGGACTCCAGCCTTGGCTCTAGCGCGATGACTGCCTCTCCGAACGACTCGACACAGCTGTTGTAATGATCCGTTGTACTACCACAATACAAGACCACAATGGCCCCCTTCCTATCTGATCTGTGTGCGTTCTTCAATCACTCGACCACGTACATGACGATTTGCACTCTTGAGTGTCGCTGAGGATATACCACTGACTCTGGCTACCCTCCAAGAAGCTTCCATCAGCTGCGCTCCTTTTAACGTGCCATCGTTGGTGCTATCTTCCGATGCTTTATTTGGCGGAGACTCTCGCATTACCTTCTCCTTCTCAGTCTTGTTTTCGGGGTTGAATATTGGAGACTAATGAAGTGTGTTAGCATCCGTGGTGTTTGTATTCTGCTCATGTTGCTGATTGTGGATTTGTCCCTCCTTGGGGCTCTCCTTTTTCATACAGCGTTGCTCAGTCCGTGTAGCCTGTGTAATTTTCAGTTTTGTTCTTTTCTTTTCCATGTTATAAGCTTTTCAAAGTAGTGAACTAGATCTACTGTCACGATACACTGAAGTATATCAGCGCCCGACGTACCCAGTATTGCAAGTTGTGCAGTCAGTATTGTACACAACTACACTAATCTCGGGATTCTAGCGACGACTTTAGAAGAACTGTTTGAATACTCACTGCAAGCGATGCTGGGTAACATAAATGCTGCGGCTGCCGGGATATCAAATTTACCGCCCTGTGTCCTTTGACAAGACCGATTATCGAGGTAATTACGTTCATGGACGAGTGCGCGTGTTTGCATAGTGTCACCGTCATAGGACTACACAAGCATATACAGTATGACATTGAGAGCTAGCAATTACTTCTTCATGGTGGGTGGTGAGTTCTCGAAGGAGATTGCGAAAGAATTTCAAAAAGCACAATTGTGTTGACCAGATAATATATGCTCTATAGAAACCCTGGAAAGGATAGAAAAATGATCCCAACAATTGCTTCCAATGATCTTTGAGCATCTACGTGCTACAGTTGGGGCAGGAGTTCCCAGTTCCTCAAAAGGCTGATCTTGAGGCCCGATAGAGAAAAGAAGCCGAGTGCAGCAGAAGCAGGCTTGCACAGCATGAAACTTGGCTTTCTTGCATGGTTCTGCAATTAAGTTGGGCTGAATAACGACTTGCATTAGTTTTATGATAGCTGGTTGTTAGCGTGACTTGTCAATTATGAGATACGAAAAAAGCACAAACACTGGAAATGAGCTTCAATCATGCAATTTCTCCCAAATCAGACGAGCGGATGAGAACCTCATGTCAAAATAATAACGCATTCAATTCATGCCGTTACTTCGCAACCGTAGCATGTATATCATACAAGCTCCAGGTACTGCTCGCGAGTACCTTGCCTCGGAGTCTCGGACTGTCCGCTCGCTTGATTGGCTGTTTTCCGCAGGATACGCGGCTCTCAAACACCCTTTGTGGTTCCTAATGCTATCTTCTCAGCTTTGACAAATAAGGGCACCATGACGCCTTCTCCCACACGGAACATCGGGGCGCCCACAGCACTTAGAAGTGCTGAGATGGCATAAGAATGTGTTGTCAGTGAGATGAATGGAGAAGCATCATGCGTGAAGATATCTTCAAGAAGCTTCTGCTTCCGCACAACATGCTCTTCCATTGACTCCGCCTTGTCAGCATGCCAGAGTACATCGTGCTCCCCAAAATCTTCCTCAATAATGTAATCAGGGTAGTTCTCATGTATCCAAGATCTCGTACTACGCCTATCGCAAGTGTGGTCGGTCAGAAATTCTCGGAGTCGTTCCTTGATGGTCGGTTGGAGTTTGCGTTGATGTGCCGAGAAAACAGGCGCATAGACCAATTTTGTGGTCTCAAGACACCGAGCTAATGGACTTGTATAGATAGTTCCTGGCAGAGGCATGGCCTCATTTTGTACGCCGTTGAGCCAGAACTCACCCAGGCTCTTGGCTTGAGTGATACCAGCGTCGACTAGGTGAGCATCGGCCCATATGAGTTCGCCATCACCATCACGATGCGACCAGTCGTGCTGCAGAGAAATTAGCAAATGGCTTCCTGCACGTCTCAAGGCAACTTACATTCCAAGCCTGCGATCCAACCTTTTCCATGACTTGGTTATGCACGCCGAACCCATGACGGATCAGGAACAAAACCTTATAAGACTCGCCATCCTTACTCTGGCTGTTCAGTCTCTGGACATAGTTGGCAAAACGAGCCCACCGTGCACTTTCATTGGCATCGTGTGTGTCCTCTCCATCATATGCTCTGTCTAGCAGTCCCAGACCAGGCTGAGTAATGACCTTACCGCCTTCGTACTGCTCTGCGGTTTTCGCGTAGTCTACGAAGAACCCCTCCACACACGAAAATTCGTAATTACAGGTTATTTCAGCTGCGTGATCGGTCAGCTCATTCTAATTCTAATAAATAAGAGTCCGAGTGATCATGGGAATGTACTTACAGGAAGGTTCGGGCATTGGGGAGATGCTCGTGCCACGAGGCTCAGAAGTAACATTGCGATCAACCGCATCTCGCTTCTCGAATGACTGGTCATCTGCTGTTGGCATCGTCAAGCTCGTTGACTCGTGGTTAGATTTTGCTGAATCTGAGTGAGAAGTTGTGTCGTCAGCCTGCTCAGTTGGGGTATGCCCTGGGGCTTGGCCGACGGGCTTGTGTTGATGGAACCATTCTCGTGCTATGTGCCAAGACATCTCTTATGGCTGTCGTCGCAAGTGGTTGGTGGATGTAGGCAGGAAAGATGGCTTAAAACAAGTTTCGAGATGCAATAAAGCGCTCTTGGGCGCAAAAAGATGTGGTTCTTAAGAATGAAGGCTCAGCTGAAACATATGCACAATGGGCAGGTGCTCAGTGTTTGCTACGGTGCGGCTGGGCAGCAGTGCTGCTATAAGAGGGGCACACACTTTGCTGCATGCAGGCTTTGACCTTTCTTCCCTAATCGCGGGCCTTACGCCAAACTCTCCAAGTGTAAAAAGTCGACGAATTTGGGGGGTTGGCAATCACATATTCTTGGGGTTCAGAGCGATTTTTGACAATTCTTGACTTAGTATAATATCTCCTGGTCCTGTAGTGATGAACGAACGTACGAAAGTGATGTAGTATGACTTACTAGGTTAGTGTGCTTCCTCATTCACTATCGTGGCTCAAGGTAAGAGAATCCTGTGTCACATACTCTTTTGTGACCAAAAGACGGCTATTTATGTGTCTTCGTTTGAAAATACATAAATCAGGCTTTCTTAGAGCATCATACTACTTGATGTTTTTGGGTAATTCAAGATTGAATAGCACATAGCCCTTTAATAAGAAGAGCTCAGACTAACGATCATTGCATAGGAAGAAATTGTCACAGATGAGGAGTCAGCCCTAGGAGAGGATACCTGAGCTGTTCTCCAAATAAAAGATGCTGCAGGTCTACTTCGGCTTGAAGAAGCATATATAAACACTTATCATCATTATGTGTCGCATAGCCATTCAGGCGGTACTGAGTACAGCAATGCGCAAAAGAAATGACAAATAGATAAAAGAAATAGTCCTCCCATACAGAGAATCGAACTCTGGGCTACGGAGTGAGAATCCGTAATGTTAACCACTACACCACATGGGACTGCTTCCATCTGTTGGATGGCTTTGGTCAAGGTTTGAGAGTAAACAGGCAGTAGAGCGGCGACACGAAGGGCACATTGTCTTCGAGGTCAGGTCAGTAAATCTCACAATCAGGGAAGGCGCATCTACCTTGGGTTCAAGTTGCTATACACGTGCTTGCAAATGTAACCCTCCTGAGCATCGGCATGCCGCGTATGCAAACTACCCATGGATCCGCACCGCAACGCCTTGCCATGCTCAAGGGCTATCTTTCGCAGTATGAAAGACTTTATCAACACAACAGACATGCCAACGACCTCGATGGTGATTGTTTTAAGTCTACCCTTAGCGTAGTTGTAATACCAGCCATGCCTTTATATACGGTCACCATCTCGCAATATGCCAACGTGTATTACAAATCCAGCGTTTGACCGTAGATCATCTGTCAGGGCAGATCCCGGAACACGCCAAGTCTGGAAACGCTCATGGAACTCCTTCATCCACCCTTCGAAGATCTCAGGATCTCGCAGCTGTTGAGCCACGATGCATATAGATGGCCCACGACTTTGTAGGGCCACTGGGTCTGAAGTCCTCAACTTACCAATATCAACGCAGGTCTGGACCAACGGTCGAATCAGAGCATCATTGTAGATACAATCGCAGGCAACGATGACGTCAAAGCTTCTAACCACATCTGAGCCTGTTAAGCTTGACGTGACCTCATCCAGCTCCCAGTCTAACGGACTGAAGATCAGATTTGTCTTCCGGACAGTAGACGAGGTCTTCCCTTTCCGCCGGGATCCAGTACTACCCGACATCATGACGCCAGAGTTCTCTGCCAGATTGCTCTCTACTATTTTCGACACGTAGGTCTGATCGGTGAGGACATACTTTGAAATGGACGGCGCCAGAGCCAGACCAGTGAGGCCGGATATACCGCAGCCCAATTCGATTACTGTTGAAGATGGACCCAGGATGCCAGTTTCCCGGAGATGATTAGTAGGGTTGACCATCCATTCTGCAAACATCGGCGTTATCTTCCAAAGCACTGTCTTGAATCAGCAATCAAGTCACCAACCTCTCAATCTTTATTTAGACTAACCGGCGCCAGTCGTTCCTCCGGCACGGTTCGACGAGAGAACCGTGGGGGACTGGTTAATGACATAGTCCTTGCCGGCAATGGTCAAGTCCAACTTCGATGCTCTGGAATCAACGAATCCGAGATTCTGAGAGGGGATGTCCTGGCTAAAGAGTAGGAACGTTTCTAGGTAGTCGTAAGCCGACCGTCCCCTATGTCGCATCTGTGGGTTTCACTATACCTTCATCTGGATCGTCTATCTCAGGTCCCAACTTATGCAGGAAACTGTTTACGTCCATTTTTGACTCAATGGATAAACTCATCGAGTGTGGCACTGCTTAGAGCCCACACTGGACCCGGCTTCTTGGCAAATCACCTGGACAATTCTAGGCAGGACTTGGCTGTGATCATCTGATAATGATAGGGCAGTGGTGGCATGGTGGCTGAAGGTCAAATGCCAACTGCTTGTAGTGGGTAGTTCGACCTGAAGAATTTAGTTACATGGGCGAGCTGACCTCTAGTCTAGGCCTAGTCGTTTACTGTGATAATTCGATGTCCCCGCGAAAATTGGATTTAGATAGTTAGCGTCTTACCAGTGGTATTTTGCTTGGGAATTCTGGGAGGCGGTCGAGCGCCGAAATCATGCGCGAAGTTTAGCATGTTTCGTGCCTCTCTCAACAGCTTAGCTGTCGCCAAGGAATAGGGCGCATGTAGTAAGATGAGCACACCCACCCTGGATGGCATCCAGGATAGAAAAGGAGACGCGTGCTGACTTTGGCGACATTTACACGTACTGTAGGGCGCGGTACGGCAGCAGTACACAATTGCAGTCAGATTCCTATCGGTCTACTAGCCTACCAAAGGCCCATATGTACAGTGGATGCAGGGGGTTGGGTCGGCGCGGCTGCGGTATAACACAGGAGCTCGGACTCATTTGGTAGTGCTACGACTGCAATGGTCGCTAGCTGTTTACTACAAGCTATGCCTTACCCGAAAGCCCACGCAAGGAATACAGAGGTATCTGGGTTAGATGTTTCCAAAGCTGAACCCCGGGTTGGACGGATTTATTTGTACTTCTCGTCGAGTAAAGGGTAGTATCCACCGGGCCCCGAGGCGCAGGTCATTCAGCAGGCGGGATGCCTGGGCCAGGCAGTACAAGCAGATCTGCCTGCGTCGGAGTGTGAAGGGAAATCTGCTGCATGATGCTTTCCATGCCTTCCAGACCTTTGATCCATGCTTTGGAAAAGCTTGGATGTTGGGGAGTGACGGGGATTAGCATTTGGTCTAGACTGTAACGGGCTTAGAATTCGCTTGATTGGCTCTCGGCATCCTCTTTAGCGGGCTGGGGTTTATCGCATTGGCAACTGTTTTCGTCATTTTGCCTTTGGAGCTCAGGCCAAGCAAGTAGGCAAGCAAGCAGGGAGTAGTTAACCGTAGTACTTTCAACAGGTTAGGTTTATGAAGGTAGCCAGTCACTCAGTCAAGTCAAAGCCATAAGAAGTCTTCGACGGCCTTGACCAATACCTCTGCGATCCCCTCATTTGCTGCCACGCTGTCCTGCTCAAGAGTCTCCCTTCCATCTCTGCCTCCTCCGCGGAGCTTTACCTTGAGCGCTTGTGTATCCCCCCCCCCCCCCCCGTATCTTCGCACTTACCGGGTATCTTTCCCTCCTAATTGCCATAATCTCCGAGCTCCTACTTTTTTTTGACTTCGCGCGACCTGGAGGTCCTCGAGTCAACATTCCCTCCTCACACCCCCTCCTCACCAGAACTTTCCTCCTCACTCTCTTCCTCGCCGTAATCATGTACGAGTGGGCAGACGCCAAGTTCAGACATGTGGCCCTTCAGCCCAAGATGTCGGCCAAGGGTCCATACTCTATCGAAGTCCCCGGCGCCGAGCCAGTCGAGGGTGAGACAATTCCTCGCCGCCTCCCTGCCGCAAAGGACGGTCTAATCTCGAAGCCTGTCGAGAACATCTCTACCGTATACGAGCTCGTGCGCGTCAGCGCAGAGAAGTTTGGCAATGCAAAGGCCATGGGCTCGCGTCGTCTGGTGCGGACTCACCAAGAAACCAAGAAGGTGAAGAAGATCATCGATGGCCAGGAACAGCAAGTCGACAAGAACTGGACCTTCTTCGAGCTCAGTCCCTACGAGTACATTACATATCACGAGTACGAGAGGCTAGTCCTGGACATTGGTTCCGGTCTGCGGAAATTGGGCATGGAGAAGGACGATCGCGTTCACATCTTCGCCGCCACCAGCCAGAACTGGTTGGCAATGTCCCATGCCGCAGCATCGCAATCCATGCCCATTGTTACCGCTTACGACACATTAGGGGAGGAGGGCCTGAGACACTCCATGGTTGCGACTGGTGCGAAAGCCATTTTCCTGGACCCTCACCTGTTGCCCACCCTGGGCAACGTGCTCAAGGATGCTACCGAGGTGCGCTATGTGATTTGGAACAGCCAGAACCAAGTTAAGGACGATCACATCAATGCTCTGAAGAGCAACTTCCCTCACATTACGGTCACCAGCTTCAAGGATCTGGAGAAGCTTGGCAAGGAGAACCCCTCGGATCCTGTGCCTCCTGCTCCCGAGGATCTCTGCTGTATTATGTACACATCCGGCTCCACCGGCACCCCCAAGGGTGTCCCGTTGAAGCACAGCAACGTGATTGCCGCAGTTGCCGGTGTCAGTGTTGTTGTGCAGCCGTACATTGGGCCTGGCGACGGTCTCTTGACCTACCTCCCCCTGGCCCATATTTTGGAATTTGTTTTTGAAAACGCCTCGCTCTACTGGGGAACAACCATGGGATACGGTAATCCCAAGACGCTATCTGATCAGTCTGTTCGCAACTGTGCTGGTGATATCCGAGAGTTCAAGCCGTCAGTCTTGGTTGGCGTACCGGCAGTATGGGAGAACGTCAAGAAGGGTATCAGCGCCAAGGTAGCTGCAGGGTCTTCCATCGTCCAGAACATGTTTTGGGGAGCCCTCTGGGCCAAGCAGGCACTCTTGTCGGCCGGTCTCCCCGGTTCCGGAGTCCTCGATGCAATCGTGTTCAAGAAGATCAAGGAAGCTACGGGTGGAAGGCTGAAGCTGTGCATGAACGGCGGCGGTCCCATCGCCAAGGACACGCAGAAGTTCATTTCCATGGCTATTGCCCCCATGATCAGTGGCTACGGTCTCACAGAGACGACCGCCATGGGCTGCCTGATGAATCCTATGGAGTGGACCTCAGAATCGCTGGGTGCCATGCCTGCCAGTATTGATGTCAAGCTCGTCGATTTCCCCGATGCTGGCTACTACGCCACCAACAAGCCCAACCCGCAGGGTGAGGTTTGGATCCGTGGCCCGTCTGTACTGGACGAGTACTACAAGAACGAGAAGGAGACCGCTGAGGCCATTGCACCAGGCGGCTGGTTCAAGACTGGCGACATTGGCGAGTGGGACCAGTATGGGCACCTGAAGCTCATCGACCGCAAGAAGAACCTGGTTAAGACATTGAACGGAGAGTACATTGCACTCGAGAAGCTCGAGTCCATCTACCGATCGGCGGCTGTGGTAGCAAACATCTGCGTGTACGCTGACGCCTCCAAGAACAAGCCGATTGCCATCATTGTCCCTGCAGAGGCTGCTCTCAAGAAGATCGCTTCGTCCGCCGGCGTGCAAGAGGGCAGTCTTGAGGAGATGGTCCACAACAAGAAGCTTCAGAGCGCTGTGCTCAAGGAGCTCCAGAACACCGGTCGTCAGGGAGGTCTGTCAGGAATCGAGATCATTGACGGTGTGGTGCTGTCCGACGAGGAGTGGACGCCGCAGAACAGTCTCGTGACTGCTGCCCAGAAGCTGAACCGCAAGGGTATATTGAACAAGTACAAGAAGGAGGTCGACGAGGCTTATGGCTCGTCTTAGTTACGTGGGGAGGAAAAGGAAAAACGAAGAAAAACAGGAAACACCTCAGCTGTGATGGAGTAGGGTGCGGTAATGCCTTCTTTTTGCCCGTTAGCCGACTGCTTGCGAGTGGAATACCAAAATTGCGTATCGGCGTCTTTCATGACCTAGTTCGCTGCTGATTCAGGGCTGCGCGGGAGGGACTGTTCTGTATATATATTATTGTAGCAAGACTTATTCCCTACTGACCCCTTTTTGAAATTCTAATCAGACGCACGGTCGCTTTCTAATGACGCAAGAGCACTGCGTGCTGTGTGGTGTCGGTGCAATCTGGTCTTGCATTCTACAGCGCAAAAGCATTTCAAAGGTCGGCTCTAATGCACGACGCCGCGGACCAGGGAGATATTATTGTTTCGGCGGTGCACGCAGATTCGGGGCAGGAACGAAATCAGGAGTAATGGTCCAGAGTAAAAGATAAAGACGGCGTTATCCCATCTGTCCAATCATTCATGCGTCCGCCGCGCCAGATCCATCCTTCTCACAAGCCATCCGAGCATTCTCGTGTTTTACATGCCCCTGTTTCGTTTGTGGGCATGTTCGTGTCGGTCATATCATCTCATATCCTTAATTGGTCATCGTCTTTCATGAACTATACTAAGCCGTCATACAATGACAAGGCGGAGACGATGGTCTCGTCGCGTTTGCTCCCCTCCTTGAACTCCTCCATGTCTAAACTTCCGTTCTCGTCCTTGTCCATCATGCGGAAGATCTTCTTGACGCGCTTCTCGGGGGTGTCCTCATCCTCTGGCAGCTTGACCATGGAACCGACCTTTTGTTGTTACGTCGTGGTTAGTACCAAAGTTGGAGGGTTAGAAAGAAGGGGAGGAGCATTGATGCCGGTGGGACATGGACAGACTTACCATCTTGTAGATGGCTTCCACAATCTTGAGCATCTCGTCGTAGCTGATCTTGCCGTCTCCGTCGATGTCGTAGAGCTGGAAGGCCCAGTCGAGCTTGTCCTCCATCTTGCCGCGGCTCGTAACGCTCAGGGCGCAGATGAACTCCTTGAAATCGATGGAGCCGGATTTGTCGCTATCAAAGACATTGAAGACATAATCTGCAAACGATGACGGGTCGCCGAACGGGAAGAACTCGCGGTAGATCTTCTGGAACTCCTCCTTGGTGAGCATGCCTGAGGGGCAGTCCTTCAGGAAACCTGAGACGAACAGAAGTGTCAGTGGCAATGCCCCCTTTCCCGCGAGAGTCGCGGGGGCTGGATGGTTTTAGCTTCCGCTGCCTTGCTCACCCTTGTACCAGTTCTGCAGCTCCTTCTTGTCAAAGTGTGTGGACTTCTGGAGTTCGGCAAGTTGCTCTTGCGAGAGCTTAGACTGTCTGAGAGAAGCATGTCAACGGTCGTCAAAGGCAAGGCCAAGCCAAGGGCGGGAGGGATTGACGATATGGCTTTGTGTGTCGCCAGAGTAATGTGTCGTCATGAGGAGTGTTGATTCTCGCTGCAGTGGCGACCAGCAAGCAGGGCGACGAGGGGTGTCATTCCGACCATGATGGGCGGTGGGATATGATGAGACTTACGATTTACCCATTTCTAGCTATCTATATGTTTGGCACTGCTGAGCAGGTGCGGCTCTTTCCAAATCTTGGCGATGTAATTGGCGCGCGGGCGACGTCGACTCCGTATTACCGGGGGGAGGGAGGGATGATCAGAGAAGGCTATTAATTCTGTTGGTGTCGCAAATTCAGGAGGTCTCGGCGCGAAAGTGGTACAAGTGGCTGCAGTGGCACGCGGGTGTTTTACCCAGCTATCTGATGCTTTCTATTGCTTGAGCTCAACTCAAGGATATCGGATGAGGCGGTTGGGCGCAACAGCTGGTGGGCGAAAGGGAGGACGACGCCGGGGAGTGCGCCGCTTTGTTGATTGATACCGTTCAGTCCAGGTGCGGTACAATCGAATCGAGCGAGGCTTTGCGCTGTCAGCTGGACGTGAGTTTTCAATTTGTGTTGCGTTTCGATGGGATTGACAGAAAGCGCGATTGGAATGAGTGGATCACGTACAGTTGTTGCTCGATCGCTGGCCCTGTGAACGCTTGAACGAGACAAAGCGCTGAAGGGAAATGAAGAAGTGTGTTGTTGTAGTTGTTGTTGTGTTGCGTGATGTTCCCAGGTCCAAGTTTCCGGAGGGGCAGAGAGGGTAGCGGTCGGGCGGTAGTGCTATGTTGCGGTAGCGACAGCGGTAATAGCAGCGGCAGCAGCAGTAGTATGTAGGAGTAGCCAGGAGCCAGGAGCCAGGAGCCAGGAGCACGCAGGTGGAAAAGAAGAGCGGCGAAAACACTCTAATGCGGCTGATTGATGATGCAGTGCGAGTACGTATCTAACCTACTCTACTCTACCTACCTGATGACGGCTTGTCACAGCAACGTAACCAAGGTCAGAGCAGACTATCGAGACTACGTAATTGTAATCGACGCAAGGTACGAATCCCGCGTAGAACTAGACTCTGTGACTATTCGCCGGGCACAGGTTCGAGGATTGGATTTACAAGCGAAAGTAGATTCCACGCGACAATGACGGCTATGGAGTGTATCCACCGGATTGTCTCTTTTAAGCCTGTCGAAAACCGTTCGGTGCCTACGTGAGGCAATCTGGAGGCCCGTCAAGCTCGAGTAACACAAACCTGGAGGACTTGGCGGGGTTCAATGTTTCTCAAGCGCCTCAAAACCCGAACCCCTCGCTGTGTGCCGTAACCATGACAAGCAGTGGACGCCCGTGCAGTCTGCCAGAGATCTACAAAGTAGGACTCGGCGGGCTCTGTGGGCTCAGTGGACTCTCTGCTGACATAATCGGGGCTGTGCATCATCCTGCTAGACCTCAAATGGTTTTAAAGCCCGTTTTTAGCGTAGCGGCATCGATCACCTTTGACCCAACCTCTTGGCTACCATTCTACTTGCCTTTTCCGATGTCAACATTCCCGCACTGCCCGAGTAGCCTCGTCGTAAGCTTTGCTCTGGCAGTTTCAAGCTTTTCACTTCCCTCTGGTTGGCTGCGCCCGCATCTCCCAAGCCAGTGCTTGTACCTGTGCCTGACCATCCTCGATGCTTGGTGCGGTGATAGCCCTTGTTGTGCATTCATCCTGTTGCTATAACATTTAAAAGACCGAGGTTACTTGACATATGTAGGGTTCAAATCAATATGAAATCTGAAACCGGAACCAGGCTCCAATGCTGTCAACGCTCATCAAAGTACTCTATCCGCAGTAGGGGGAGTTTACATAAATGCAATTCCATGCCCGACACCGACTCCCAAAACCCTTTCGTAGATCCGTCAAATGTATCATCATCTCCCCTCGCCATGTTTATGCCCCTTCACAGTAACAAACCCACGCCCTCCTCTCTCTCTTAACATTAAAATCGTAGCCAAAGCTGAATATTTAGCAAGGGCTGGATCCCTATGATCCTACCCAAATAAAGCACTGCAAGTACTTCTCGTTCGAAGACCGCGCGTAGGCAGAATCAGCCGACAACAGCCTTCGCACTCAAACTCTCCAAGAAGCCTTGGAGGTCGTCCTTCCGTACTTCAACGACGCAATGCTCAAAGCTGTCAATGCGGACTCGGGCGTTCGTCTCGGAAACCACATCCTGAAATGCGCTGCCGAACTTGTTGAGGCCGTAGCCCTTCTTCTTCCGTTCTTCTGCTTCCTCGTCGTCGTCCTCTGAATCCGAGTCCGAGTCGCTGGCTTCAGACTCCGTCTCATCGTCCTCATCTTCCTCGTCCTCTTCGCCGCGCTGGGCTCGTTTTGCGGCTTTCTTCTCCTCCCGAATTTTCCGCCGAGCCTCACGTGCCTTCTTCTTCTCTTCTCGCTTTTTGTCTTTCTCTTTAGCCTCCTCGCGGTCCAGGAACGCCAGATCTGGGCCTCCACCTCCTCCGGTGCCCACGACGACATAGACGCCCCTCTTCTCATTTAGACTGGCGACGACCAATGGTGTGCCTCGCCCTCCATGACCTAGCTTGCCTTTATCGTCTCTCTCCTGTTCCGCAAGGGCCTCGCCGATCCAGAGCGCAAGTTTGGTCAGGGCAGCTGGGTGCGTGAAAAGCGGCACGTCAGGACCATCTTTGATGACACACATGCGGAAAGCGTTGAGGTGCTTGATTTGCTTCTTGCCCATCAGACTGGTGCCGGTGCGGAATATGGCACGGTGCAGGTACTGAGCAGTTGGTAGGCCGGCCTTGAGCGCGTCAATGTTTTCCAGTGCGTCATATGCTTCCCAAAAGCGAGAGACCCATTCTTCCGTTTCCGCGATACCGTCGTCGTCTTCAGAGTCTAATATTTGGGAGGAGAACGACTGGTGGCTTTCACCATGCAATGACGGGGCATTGCGACCGACCTCAAGCAGCGCACCGATGACTACTCCGACGTCTTGCGCCGAAAGTGTAGCACGCCAGCCCCAGCTTCGCACAAAACCCCAGCCGTCTTTGGCCCCACCACGATCGCGTCCGTCGGTCTCGGCTGCAGGAACCATGTCGTCCAAGTTGTAAAGTGAAGCGTACTTGAGGAGCTTGGCGCGAAGCTCCTTTTTGAGCATCATGTCCATGTGGGTATAGCTTTGTTTGCATTGTACGAGACTAACACCCATCTTGGCAAGGAGCTTGTGTAGTCGCTTTAGCCCGCTTTCACTCCATATACGAAGTTTCGAGAAAAGGTAGGGCGAATGCAGCATGCTGTCATAGAGGGACCAGTGTCTGATAAGCAGAAACCTTGGTTCGGGCGACAGTCTAATGGAGGTATCTTCTGGACTCCGCGCTGTCGTCGGAATAACTCCCGCACTTTCTGCTGGAGAGACTCGACCATTCTGAGACACGAGTTCTGGTGGGTTCAGTCGCCGTACTTCGTCGCGTAGTAGCTGTCGTATCCTTGCACCACGAACACCCATCCAGCCCGTGGCAGATGTGGAGTCGGAACCCCTGACTGATATAGCAAGGCCTCCAGATGAACGCCCATATAATTCCATAGATGTGACACCAACAATCGTCAGCCATAAAAGATCATTGTCTTCACGACCCAGTTCTGACGCCAACGAATAGATCATGGCCGAAACTGGTTCCGAATATGAAGCACCCATCCTGTAGTATTTCCGTAGAGTGTTTTCGTGCTCTTGCTTCATCCGCAACAGTTTCCTCCGAAGGGAACGGGCAGAGGGTCCCCTCGGGAGCTGCGCTGCTGAAGGAGGATCTTGTGCATCGTCTGAGAGGATGATCTCTGGATCGCGTATAGATATGAGTCCACGTTGCGCGGGGCGTGGTGAGTCTGGGATAGGGGTGGACTGTTGAGACTGTTAGCCAAGTACTCGTCGTGGAGATGAAGGGTACCTACAGAATTGCTCCGCCGCCTCTGCCTTGGTCGATCGTCCTCTTCGTCACTGCTTTCGTCATCTCGATCTGACCAAGACTTCCTCTTCTGCCCGGGCCTTGGAGGCGCTTCTTCCTCACCTCCAGACTCGGAATCGCTGTCGCCGTAAAGGTCGCCATCCTCCTCATCAATGTCTGGCATATCCACGAGGGCAAGGTACGCGTCACGTTCTGTATCAAGCCCTTCTAAAATATCGCCATCGTCGAAAACAATGATGCCACCCTTGCCAGGCTTGTACGACCGACCTATACGTCCCGACGTCACACCTTCTGGTGCTCGTGCCTGGAAACTCGAGGCGCCTTCTGCCTCAGGCTCCAGCGGATACCCCCCAAAAACATTGCTCAAGTTCCAAGGCCGATGTGCGTCGAATACCCAGACCTCTACACCATTAAAACTCGACTCCTGGCCGTCGACCTCGAGACCCAACATGGTGCCCATGTCGACCATGCCACCGACACCAAGACACACAACGACACCACCACTCCCGCCCCGTGTCTCCATCATAGGAGCAACGAGCTCCTGGCCAGCGCGTTCAAGGTCTCCATAGCCAGATACCGGATGGATCTTGTGCGGTATGTAGTCGTGCTTCAGTAGGCGGGTGAGGATGCGACAGGCGCAAAGAGCATCGGGCTCGAGGGCGGCGAGGATGAGGACAGGCGGCGACAGAGGATGCCGAGTTCTCTGCAGGTGGACATATAGTTTCGACACCAATTCACGTGGCAGATACATCTTTCAAGCTGTATCCGGGGCGCGTTGCTGGGGTCTACAAGAAGCGATACATAAGGATCCGGTACGTGTGCGAGGTCGGTATGATGGGTTCCCGCTGCAACGAATCAAGGTCGTGACACGCGTGGTTTTCCGTAGCTCAGATGGGTGGGTATATTGGCACAAAAGTAATGGATGGTCTGAAATATGGACGAGGCCAATCGGCATGGCATAAAAGACTAGCAATAGAGATGCTTCAATATTCTGACAGAGTGGTATGTTCTGATAGTGTGGATATGGTGGGCGGGAAATACTTTGCCAAAGACGGGTGTGCTGTAAGTGGGTGTTTATGGGCAAGACGCGGTTTCCACTGCAAAAGACGCGATCTGGGGGGGAAATACCCGTCGTTGATGACATACACCGTGCACACATTGCAATTAGCGGCCTCTCACCTGTTCCGCCCAGGCTCAAGCCACACTAGAAGCACTAAGGTTAAGGAGTTATGGATCTGTGAATGCTACAGCAGCCACAATCAGCGGGGTAGTGCTGATCAACGCGCCCTGTAAACCCGCGTGCAGCCCAGGGACAGTGCTAACCTAGGCCCACGGTATCGCATGGATGCTACGCAACCTTATGGAGTACTCTGCACAGAATATACATATGCACACATTCAGACCCATTGATGCTTGTCCATGACTGTCGTAACGCCAGGTTGAGCAGCCCACCGTGCCAATCAGAGGACCGGGTATCTGGCGACTACATCTTGAAGAGCCACGAACCATATAAGCAGAAGCCACCCCAGTAATAGACAGCTGACATGTCAGCGTCGTCCATGATTTCCAGCACAGCTCGTTGAAGACATATCGCTAGGTCGATCAGACCAGCATCAGGTCGGAACTGTCTGTAGAACGCTGCCGAGAACGCGCGCCCAGAACTACTTGGGATCGGCCAAGTCGCACCAATCACCGTCGATGCCCCGGCGCAAAGAAGACCAGCAATAAGACCCATGGGCTCATCTCCGATGGCCACATCTTGTGAAGCTGAGTCGCAAGCCACCAAAACAACGAGTGGCGACGCAAGGTCCAACTTGAAGATGTCTTCTACGGTCAGGTCTGCAGCACTGCATTCATCCTGGCCAAGAAGGATGTCGTCTGTCGCCTCACGAGCTAAATGGCTTATTTGCGCCTTTGTTGCCGTGCTAAGCTCAACGGACCGACCAAACAGACCGTCGGACGTTTCTACTTGAGGCCTGCCTATATGATTTTCGTGCTCTTGCTCATGAGGTTCATGACGACTTGGCGTAGACAGTACCAGAGATTGTTTGAGTGCGTTATCGGTGTTGAATTTGCAATGTCCATGGTAGTGTATAAGTCTTGCGCCTCTGACTTGCTGGGGGAAGCTGTCTCGCGTCACATTCGCTCCGCAGTAACTCTCGCCTTGTGTAGACTTCGATAACTCAGCCATCTGGGCGTATATACGCTTTGATTCTGGCTCAACGTCGAACTGACCCAAAAACACAGGTCGGCCCACCGCAAGGTCGTGGAGACAGCGTGAGAGGCAAGCCTCGAGCACAGGAATACTAGGGGCGTAGACCACCGGGTTTCGCTCGATAAGATGGACGACGCGGTCTTCTGTTTCGTGAAATAACTTCAGCGCATGTAGTGGCAGGCTCGATAGAACCCCCGTCGGCGAAAAGACGAGCAGGTCGTCGGGTTTGCTAATCTGCTGAAGTGGTGCCACCAAGAAGTCCACAGCGCGGAGAGGTTTGGCAGGATCCGAAATACTATCGCGCTGCAGACATACTCGACGTTTGTCAGGAGTGGAGAAATGTTCGCTTAACCAAGCCATGACGCTTGATATAGATGTTGGCAAAGCGAACATCTGACATCCAGATGATCTGACAGCGACCAAATGGATTGCAGTTGCATTGATGATCCAGTCGACGTAGACCGTGTCCCTATGCTCATTGACGAGAGAGTCTTTTTCCCGCAGGTTCTGAATTTGTGAGGTCCCTACGACTATTCCATCACGTAAAGATATGAAATCTCGGAGGACTGTGGTTCGTCGCATCTCCATTTCCATGTCTTTTATGTGCTGTCGTACATACAACTTACTGCCCTCTGGGGTTGTCGCAACGGACATTGTCAAACTTTGAAAACGCTCGAATATTTCCCTGGCTTGGGGATCGGCCAGGATTGCCTGCTTAGTCGATTGGGGTACAACGACACCAAGTCCAAGCATATCACTCAAGCTACGAGCCTTCCTCTTCTGGCTCCAAACCCAAAGCATCTCTGGATCTGTCTCGCGAAGGCTCATCAATGTTCCCCAAGAGTACAAGTCCTGAAGTTGAGGGCTAGCAGCAAACCCCTGTTTCATCAACAGAGCTTCGAGAGTACCAAGAGCGGACAACTCACGGCGGAGCTGGTCAGCGGCGTCCTCGAATTCCAAGAGACTTTCTACCACGAGATGACTCGGGCATCGATGAATGCTCCAGGCCTCCACGTGTATTCGCGTTAACGCGTGCCTCGCTAAGAACAACTGCTGCTGGGATCCAATTGCCCCAAAAAGCTCAGCGGCTTTCTGCAAGTCTTCCTCTATATGGATGAGAATTCGCGGATCTCGCTGTTTCTGGTATATCTGGTGACGACACAAAGACCTGAAATGGTACTTCATGGCCGTATGAAACTTCATGCCTTGATTGTTGTACAATTCGATAAGTTTGTCGCACAAGTCTATTGCTTGTATTTCGGACTCATTGTTGGGCATCAGTTTGCCTTGGACAAGAAGGTTCCTAACTGACAGCTCCTCACAGTTGCCTATCGTCATAGCTTTCTCATCACCTTTTAGCCCTTGAGCAATCTCTCGGATCCTGGAGATTGTCCGTTTAAATTCTTGCTGAGCACTGTTTCTTTCTTCCTGATTCAGTCGGGCAAACTCAAACTGGATGTCCGCGATCAAACACAACTTTTCACACGCGAGTTTGGGATCCTTTGACTCCACGTCGTTGTCAACCATCGGCGAGAGGAATTCTATGATATCGAGACAATTTTCTAGCCTGGTGGCCGATACTGTGTCCTTCCTGGAGTATTTGATTATTGCCAGATTGTAAGCGGCCTCGGACAGGGACTTCAACCCATGTGCACGGCATAACTCGTAAATCTCTTGCGCAACCTTTTCCGACTCGACTTGCATTTCTCTTTGGAGAAAGGCCAGGGACAGGACTCGGCCAGTGAGGTATGCCAAACTCCAATACTGGTTGTCTTTGCACTCTAAGAACAGTCTTCGCGTCAATTCCAACACGGTCCCAAGGTGCCCCGTTCCTGCGTTTAGAGCTGCAGCTAACTGGATTTCGAGAATGATGCGCTCATGGTGGATTCCCGCAGTGTTACAGACATTATGAAAGACCTCTTGCAACAGCAAATATGTTTTGAAATCTCCGTTATTGAAGGCCGCAGTGAGGGGCGATATTGCTGCATGAAGCACGCCAAAGGGATAATTATCTTCGACGAATCGACTTACTATGCCGATCAAGTCGGACAGTACGTTTGATGACGGCAGGAAACCATGTGAGAGACGAAGCCGTTGGACCTCGGCCTCTCCATACATATGGCTACACTTTGCGAAGGCTGCCTGCGCTCGGTTTAAAGCCTGTTTCGCATCGGTGACTTGATCGAGTTGTATTGATATCTTTGCGAGATCCAATAGCAGCATTCCCTTGATTGGGGCCGGTATTTCGTCAGTAGCCAAGAAATCCTGTAGCCAGTCTCTCGCTGCTGAAATACCAGAAGAACGATAGAAAGGAGCCCAGAGTTTCCAAATATCGTAGTAGCGGCAGTGTTTCTTCAAGCCGTCAATCAAAGGGAGAAGTCTGTCCGCAATATGTGGGCTTGTATCATCTATCGATTCGTACAAGATTCGTCGCACCAGAGAAAGCCTGGCAAGATGGCCTTGCATCTCAATCTGAGATACTTCTTAGAAATGAATTCTTTCATAGAAAGTGTTTCTTACATCATTGCTGTCATGATTATTTATTCCTTCCAGACTATCAAGATAGTCCTGCGCTTGCTTCAACACAACATTTTCGGTCCAAGGCTGCCCACAAGCGACGACGGTCACATAAGCTACATGGACTTTAAGCGCTAGACCGCTGTTGGGACTGTGTTGTGCCAACAGTTCAAGTGCTTTCTCCAGAAGTTCTTTGGCCTGTAGCGGGTAGCCCCTTGACACAGATACTCTCGCAGCTGCCCGAAAGAGCTCGATCTTCTCGCAAATCAGTGTGTCCTCATCCTGGCACCTTTCCAGTGCTATCATTGCGTCATCAAAGCGACCGAGCAAAGTCCAATGTGCGCTGCTTGATATGGCCGCTGCTACCGCAGTTCTGGCCGCATCATCCACTGGCAAACTCATTACTTGTCTCCTCTATTTCGATTTTCTAAAGTCAAGAAATATCAACAGAGTATTGGTGGCGGGACCCTTTGCTTTGGCATGGGCCAAAGAGACTTTGTCTCTTACTCAACTTTTAATGCAGCGAAGGCGCTCAGGTTAGCTCCGTCGCCTACTAATCCCCCAAGCCAATATACAACTCGAAAAGTCTGTCGTAGATAGTATCACGAGCCCGTGTGTTGATGTAAAAATAGAACCGTGAAGTGATTAAGAGTCTTGGTCATACGCGAACAGGGTTCACAACCACAGAAAGAGCCACAGCCCTACGAGTACGTGGAATATCGCAACAAGAAATGTTAGGCAAGACCGCGCAATTGGTAAGGGCATTCTACTTGCAACGATAGTTGATCACGCTCAGTGGTCATTAAACTGAACAATCTCGTTCCGAAAGAGACGCAGGTTTTCTAAAGCAAAGCACATGTTTTGTGACATGTCACATGTGACCTCAGCCGCAGCTGAAGCGGTGCACGAGGAAGAACCGTCGTCCAATCACGGTCATTTGCGCCCGTCAGGCTGCGCAACTCCTCCTTTCACAATCCGAAGTCTCCTGGGTGTAGTCTTGATCGCAACGAAAAATCAAGGAGACAAAACAAAAAGTGGCTATTTGTCAATATGCTTGAAACAAGTGCTACAGCAGTGTTGGCTTCGTACGAAGAGCGAGACCTAAAGTTCAACATTGATGACTCCAACAAGGAATTGGGTCAACGCAACACAGATGACAGTGACTACAATCGGGTTAAGATAACGCAACGCGATCTGGGTGACTTAAGTGTTATCTCAAGCCTCCAGCGTGTGCAGTATGGGCTCTGGAAAGAGGAGCCCGCCTGCCTCATCAACTTCAGATTTCAGTTTCAAAAGGGAAATTCTCATCTGTTCCGTTTTGAGAACGTTCGAATTCTTGTTGAGTTCACCGCTCGTCCACCTGGAACCGCCGACCAAGATCCGGAGGTTTTCGAGTACGGGCCGAAGTACCTCACGGCCGCTGAAACGTCGGAGGAGCGTTCGTGGCATCTGAATGCAAGTTTCTCTTCAAAAGCAAAAGTTGGCGCCTTCGAGTCGGGTCCCGAAGTGGAATCTGGTAAAGCGGGTACCTACACACGCAACTATGCTGCCAAGATCGAAAGTGATGATTACGGCAATCGCAAGCATAAAAAGCCGAACTGCGTCAAGACTTGGCTTGCCGAGAACGAAAAGCAAAAGGGGGGAGTGCCGACAGAACTATACACAGCAATAGTTGTTGGACATAGAGGCCGGCCTGCTCAAGTTACGATAAGCATCAGAGCTGACTATGTCTTCAACATGCTAGCTATGCCATGGACGAAGGATGATCCATTGCTCTTAGAACATGGTGTTGCATTCGGGAATACTATTGGAGACGGATCCCCTTTGGACTTTGCGACCTTGAGTGTGGAACAATGGCAAGAACTGGTTACGCCAGACCTACAACCACGGTATGCATACCGTTTCGGACCGCAGATGCTATGCTAATCATTTATAATTGTAGTCAACTTCGTCACAAGTCTGGATGATTAGTAGCATGCAACTTGATACCAAGATTTGACCATCGGTGCAGGGGCACAACCCGGTTCAACTCCAGCCTTTCGGTCTTAGACAAACCGGTGGTTCGACCAAATGTCCCATCGACATAATTACAAAAGTGCTGACCAGTCAGTCATGGTCCAACTGAGTGTCTAGCTGATTTATCGATCCCATCAGTGCAAGCATAAAGCACAAGAAGTAGTTGTACAATATTCTGCGATTAACTATTAGCAAGCTGTGTTTAAAATGTTATATTTATTATTAGTGCCATTTAACTCTCGTTAGTTCATTACCATCTGTATGTGCCGCTGAATAGCAGTTTATGCCTCCAGTTTAATTTATAAAAGTTCTCAAGGCCCTAAAAAGTTTTCTTCAAAGCGATTGAAGGTCGATTGGGTTGTTGAATTTGCTGACGAGAAATTTGATTATGTCCTATATGGAATGGAATGTAGTACCAACACATGGGTTAAGCGAGGAAACACATTGGTCCGATGAAGGGACTAAAGCATTTCTGAACTTATGCTCTCGGTTCTATGATTGCAAGGTGCTGGTCAGGTGGGATGCATGCTTTTTTAGGCGATTCTTGTAGGTTATTTGCTGAGTTGCGCGAGATCTAGTATCTATAGCAGAGGAATCCCGCCTCAGTATCCATTACTTCTTGGACGCTGACATTGTTGGCCAACACTCCCAGGGATATAACGTCGCTGAGATACCTAGTCTGTTTTCCTTCATCTCCATTCGCGGAATATTCAAGGAGTCTCTGATAGGATCTATCTTGCTGCCATTGCCACCATACACGATCCAGTTGGCTGTGTGGAACATCGATGAGTTTGACAATCTTCAAGGGATTCGTGCTGAGTTTACACATACCCGTGGTGTAAAAAGAACAATGGATCGTTTGGAGCGGTAAACTCCATGAAGTTTCCTTTTATGCCGTTGGGAATATATACTTTGGCGTTTTTCTGCAGTTCCAGGAGGAATTCGTCATACGTGTTTTGTAGCAAGAGTTTATCCACTGCTGCTGGGCTCAGACTGTCTTCAGATAAGACCTGTTTGCTGGAATTCTGAGCGACTCGATGCACTGGCAAAGCACGCCAGATACAGTTTGGGTATTCACCATCGTAGTATGGGAGGCTGAGGTCGTTTAGAGGACCGTCGTTGACGCACGGGCTATCAATACCTGAAATACTGCCCAAACCACTTGTGTTGGTGAAAACAGGTGATGCGGCCAGATCTTGCCTGTAAATTGTTAGAATAGCAAGCAATCAAAATAAGGGTGAAAAGCCAAGGTTTACCAGTCCAAAGTCCAATCCCAGTATCTAGAACCAGTCAGTATGTGGGTAAGTCCTCCAGTTCAACGATAAAACTAACGGCAAATTACCATTATAACCACACACGTCTTTCAACTGTCTCTCATATACGTAGAGGAGATATCTGTGGTAAGGAAGGAATGCGGCAGAATCGTAGGCTTATACTGTATCAATAATTTGGTTTCGAGACGACTATTAGCCCATGACTTACAATCTCTTCCTGTATCTGTGTGCACATACGCGAAGTCGTCGTATAACGAGTCGTCCGGGATTTGCTTCGATGGTGCAGATGCAAGACATCTCACCGCGCTGATGAAATCAACTTTCTGGTCATTACTCAAACTTCGCCATTCTCTACGGAATGCTACATCTCGGCACAGCTGCGGGTCTGTGTGATTCATACTTCGGCTCTCCACGAGTCGCGCCGTTAGGTATCCAAATATAATGCAGAAGAATCCAGCCAGCACCAGTGCCAACCTACTGCATCGTATTGATTGATCAGAGACTGGGATGGCTGCTTCAACATCATCGCTATCATGATCCAATTGAGGCGTCTGGGCAAGCTCACGGCCTTCCTTCTTGTGGGCGTCTTGATCTTGATCCTCATCGGATCTAGAAAGTAGCGTGTAAGAGCCTCGCAGACGACCCAGCACACTCATCTTTCGGAGCATTATTTATGAAGCGATCAATAGGTGAGACAGATGCGTATTCGTAGCGGCCTTGAGATTTTGCTATAATCGCGTAGGGCGCCATTATTGTTAGCCAACACAACTAACCTTAGAGACATGGACTGTGACATTACATTTCTGGTCGCATGCTTTCGTTAGCGTACTATGCTCGGTTTTAGCGTGTTGCGAGTGCGATGATAACATCACGTCAGCTGGTACACGTTTGTAGTCTGACAAGAGCTTACCTTGCACACTGGCTGACTGCATTGCTAGATAGCTGGCCCAGGGTCATCGGATTAGAGCGAATTACCAGGTGGCGCATCTTACACAGTCATGGGCAACATGGCAAAAACGCGACAGCGAAGAATCGATCTTAGTACCTTCGCCATCAATGTATTCCATTATGTCACACTACGAGGTTTAGTATACTACATTTTCAGTGCATGATAGAAAGCATCCACTTTTGGTTCTCTCCCCAGGTATTCTGTCAGGTTTTGAAGGTCCCCTCGAATGCCTCCTTTCTCAAGCACGGCGCGCCTGTATCTCAAACTTTCCCTTGTGTTCATTGGGTCTTTCGCAAACATGGAGTAAAATATGTCAGCAGCGAAGACTTTCGAACTACATATTTTGTGAGTTATATTTTTTCTGAAATGAGTGAAACACGTAGTCGTCTTACAATAAGTAGGAATAGAAACCGGCGTCGTAGCCGTCCATGAGATGTCTGATTATGAGAATTGTGTTAGCCTTTTAATTGAGTCCTTGAGCGTTCCAAATGGTTCGAACATGAGAAACCCAGTAAATGCGTATCCTCTTAAAAATCATAGAAGGAAAATTAATTTCTAATAATCTGACGACTTACGGATATGTCGCGAACCCCGAGCCCCAGTCGCAAGGTTCACCTAGGTCGGTTGGATCCTGAAGTTGACAAACTTCTTTTCTTATGCTGTTGTACATACTTGAGGGATCAATGGCTGTAAGTACCTCGTAGTTTTCTGGCGAATGAATACTCATATCAAACAACGCAATAGTCAGCATGATCCTATTAGTGGCAACCTCGCCCATGTTTTTGCTTGCCAATAATTGGTTAATGCTATCCTCTGATAGATTCTCAGATGGCCGCTCTGATCCGTTCGGGGATCTTTCTATCCAGGATCTAAGAAACTCGCCACTGAGATATGAGTAATGGCGGCCGATTTTTCTTAGAACGGAGGGCGTCCAGAACCAATATTCTAACAGCTGGCTTGGTGCCTCGCTGAAGTCAACGGCAGTACCATCGGGTCCATGGAAGCGCGCATATCTGGGCTTCGAAGCCAAGTCATGGATACAATGCCCCAACTCATGGAAGAAAAGAACCACCTCGTCGTGCCTCAGTAGAGTAGGTTGCTCACTGACGGGCTTAGAGAAGCTGCACAGCAACGCTGTTGCACAAAATTCGTTGTGCGTACTCTACGTAGAATATCATTTAAAAATGCCGTCTGATGAGTATTCCGAGTATATACTTACCGGCTTCAAGTTCAGCGAGCACGCGTGACTAGCTTTGCCTTCGCGCGCAAATAAATCGAGGTACTGATACCCAACGAAGTGACCTCCTGTCTCATCGCTTTCCCAAACACTGTACAACTCTACATCCTCATGCCAGATTTCCGCTGTCATGTGATCGGTGGATATCCGTGTAAAACGAAGACCAAACAGATTCTGCATCATCTCCAAGATGGCGGATTTCACGGTATTGATTTCGAAGTATTCCGAAAGAAGTTGCTGGTCTACTGCATGCCACTCCCTGAGTGCCAAGCTGTTGTAAAAGCTGCTATCCCACAAGAAAAATTGGCCATCGTAGTTTTCTCCGCGGCTTTCGACATGTTGGCGTTTGAGATCTTTCTTGTGCCTGAGATCTTCTGCTGCCACTGTGATCAGGCCCTTCTTCAGATCGAGCAGAAACTTGTTAACAGTTTCCGGATCCTTTGCCATTTTATCACGGGTACTAAAAGCTGCATGACTTGCATATCCCAAGAGCCGTGCCGCCTCATCCCGAAGCAAGACTGCTTCTTGAAAAATTGGCACGCTCGATGCACAGATACGCTCGCTAGCAATGTACATGCGCTTCCGGGTTGCCGGGTTCTCCGCAAACTTCAGAGTCGGAAATAGATCAGAATTATTGAAACTGACTCGAAATCTCTGTTCTTCGTGGTCGTGCTCTCTCATCTCCAATCTCGAAATCAAACTCTCAGGTAAACCAGCCAACTCCGCACGCGTGAACCACAGACCACCGCTACTAGTTTTTGATTTCGCTAGGTTCCTCATAAACATCCCTTCGAGCTCGCCGATCCGCTTCTTGATCGTCATGAAACGTTCTCGTTCGGCGGATCCGACTGACAAGGACAAGCCATTCACGGTGTGGTCTTGGTGCACCTTTTCCAATAAGCGACGTGATTCTGCATCAAGGTCTAACAATCCTTCTTTTCCCTTTGAAACAGCGTCCACGAGCGCGAACAAACCCTCGTTCATAGCCGTCTCCAATTTGAAGGCTTCAAAAAGGCTCTTTGCCTGAGCTGATGCTTCCCTCACATTGGCATCTGGCGAAACAGACTCGTAAAAAACGAGTCTACGAAATGTTGTAATAAGAGCATTCTCGGCCTCCGCAAGAGGTACGAGAACATTCTCAAATGTGGCAGAGCTGGCTGACACGTCTCGAGTCAGCGATTCGTGTAGCTCGCGCGATCTTGTTATACTCTCTCGTGCATCTTTTAAAATTGAAGGTGGTGTTACCACAAAGGTGATCAAACCGGAAAGTTCCTTCAGTGAATCCATGGTGTAAGATGAATGACAGTTGCCTAGAAGTCAAACAGGGCCTGGTGATTCGTCGCTCCTAGACCAAATACCAGCACCGTGGGTGCTGGGAGTCGCTTCATGATCAAAGCAACAATAAGCCTTTCCCAAGCTAAGAATGCCATCAAAGCTACGTAAGCCAATGTATACGCGACGGGAATTCTACCAGGTATGTCAGTTATGAGAAGCCATTGATCTAGGCCTTCTAAAAATGGATGTTTGGGTCAGAGTCAGGGTCCTACAACGAATAGCAGGCATGATCCCCTGCATGCGCATTAATGAAATCCGCAATCCGGCCCCGTGGTCGAGCGGGGTTCAGTGGATAACGCAGAGCGACATTACCATTTCTGCAATATATATCTGCAACTAGAGAGGTAACCAACTAGTATTATGGGCTGGGTTGAGCGATTGGTCGGGATTACGACGGCTTGCTCAATTTTAATTACCTCAGATGAGATAACGTGAAATCGCCGCCGCTGGCTTGCAGCAGACTTCTACCATTGAGGCAGGAGAAGCCCGCATTAGACCGTCGAGTTCCCGGGTAAGAACACAGAATGCCAACATTTGTTGAGCACGATTTCAAGAGACAAAGTAGGATGACCGGATCTGACTCTGTAGTCCTATGTGGTGGAGCCAGGACTTGCTCATGATCTGACAATATGCGCAGCCACGAACCTACACGTGAGAAGGGATTCCCTTAGAGCCGAGGATGGATTCCCTTACAGCATAAGCATGGCACAGCAATGTCATTAAATCAAATGGCGCCGTGGTGTATGTCAAGCTTCTAGATTCGGCCGTGAAACCCACGTAATTTGGCAAAATATTGGATGGCCAACATGAGCGGCATCTCAGTGGGACCCAGTTATGATGTTGATGAGCTCGACAGGAGAGAGCGCAAGCGGCTTCAAAATCGCATGGCCCAGAGGATATATCGTAAGAGATCAATCATCCGAGTTTTGCTTCAGATGCATACATAGGTCCACCACTAAACAAGACAACGTTACCAGGCCGCAACCAGAAGCAACGACTGCAAGCACTAGAGGCTGCGGTTGCTAATACTGCTGCAGTGAACCGACTCACACCTCCAGAAAGCGTATTTCAGGATTCAAGGGACGATTTGCACGCGAGCCACATCACCGAGCAACCCCGACGGCCGTGCGAGGATCGGGACAGCGCGGAAGATACATCTGCTTGGATCGAAATTCTTGATGGTCCCTTCAATGAGCCCATGACAGCTTCATCGTCACCACCATTGCGAACAGCACTTCATCGTGCCGTATGTAACGGCAATGACTCCATGATACGAATTTTGCTCGACAATGGCGCCGATATAACCAAGGTAGATGAGAATGGAAATTCGATCTTGCATTTGGCAGCCGAATGTGCCAATGAAGAGACCATAAGCATTCTGCTTTCAAAAGGTGGAGACCCGAATGGAAAGAATTATTTGGGTCGCACAGCGCTATTCTCAGCTGCACAGGTGGGAAACGATGCAGCAGCCAAAGCTCTCTTAGCGCAATCCTCGCCCATCATTGACATCAATTGGAGAGATAGTGCAGGAATGGTCGCTCTCCATCTGGCGGTGGACAATGGCTTTGAGTCCATGACAAGATTGTTGCTAGCGAATGGTGCAAACGTGAATGCATGATGGCATAGGAAGAAGAGAACACTTGCATATTCAAATGCTGCTATGCGATGTGAAAACGACATGGACGCAATAAGTTATGTCCCAACTTGCGTATGGCACGCTTTACTAATCTTAGATTATAACCTAAACTAGCGGAGACGCAGGCCCTTGGCGCAACGACCCGTCAGTCCGTTCGCCAGCCTGACTGCAAATTCCTGGAGTCTTCACTGTTTCCTATTGTTGTCCGCCTTGGTTCAGTCGTCACCGAGATAACTACTGCATGTATACAATACATCAATGCAACACCTAAACCTAAATAAACGGAGGAAGACCAGCCTTTTCCCGGAGCCTCGCAGCATTTTCGCGATACTTCTCTTCATCCACTGAATCTCGTTCTGTCGCCCACTCTTTTAGCGTATTATAGTCACGACAAGTGTGCACGGTCTCGAATTTTGGCATAATTCTGTTTCCGTTTGGTGACCACTCGATCGGAATGAGCGTGGTATCTGCGTCGCACATAATCGTGAGTCTGAGACTGTCAAGGCAGTGCTCTAGTTTTCGTAAGTACTCCGTTCAGATACGCCAAATTGTTGAAAATCTGATGAGGTCATACCTATATGTGGTGCAAGTCCGTCATCCTTGCTCATCTCAGGATAGTAATCTGGGTACAAAGCCATTCGAATCATGTTCTTGGACGCGAATATCAGTCGTCATCTTCTTAGTTGCTCGCCTTCTTCCAACTTACGAGGCAATGTAGGTCATGAAAAGCAGTCACTCTATGTGTCAATTAGTTGTCAACGCTATCGCCCTAGTAGATCATGTACTCACATTGCCATCGGCATTCCTGTATCTGCATCTAGATATGGTTCTGCATCCAATCGCTGAGCTTCTTCGGGTGTCAAGAAGATCTGTATCACTATTCATCATTTTGAGTTATCCAATCGAGCAGTTACATCATACTGAGGAACCTTACCGCCAAGAATTTCCGCCCAAGCTGCATCGATACTGGGATTCGGCCTCCCAACATATGACGGTTCACTTTCTGGACGATACAATACATGACTCTCATTGTATTTGAGCTTTGCATCAAATCGTAATTGTTGAGTCGTCGTTGGCATCCCATGCCAGACAGAGCCTTTGATCAGAAGAAAAAAAAAACAATTAGCTTTCGCTCGTATGAAGTAGATCTGCACTCACTCAATTCACTTTCTTTCCAGTAAGTGTAATCGCGAGTTTCATACGCTTGACCTGGCTGCGTAGACTTTAAGGCTAAACTTGCAGACAAGACCAAAACCAAGATCCAGGGGAGCACGTTCAACAAGTGTAATTTTAGGGTTCGCCCTGTGCCATTACGCTGGTCGTAACCACTCCTATCATAATCTGTCAGAAGAGCTTCTTTTGATGCTTGGGCAGATTCTAGGCTGGACCGCGAGTCCATCTTCACTGAACAAAATCCAGGAACCGCCTTATACTATCAAGAGACAGAATAGAAACAAAAGAGCCGGATGCCGCCAATGGTGCTATTAACGTCAAGTGGTTCCCACTGCTTACCAAATAAGCAGATTTGTCCTGTTGTGACTTGTCTATGCTGCCAACGTGGTGCATCAACAGGGGGGGCAAGAAGTGGATACTTTTCGTGGTTATAATCCATGTGTCTCACGTAAGTTCAACGCCGAGGCAGACGTGCACGCTTGGCAAGGATCATGATTATTGGCATTTTTATTATTTGTAAATAGTTAGCTTTTGTGTAGTCCCCGATGAGAGCGGATATCATCTCGATACGTTCGAGATCGGTTGTATTACCCAATTCTTTCCAGAATTCCCATCCTTATTTTGCTTAGCATCCAAGATGCGTTCCATCTGGAAGAGACCCTATCACAAAATCGACGACGAGAAAGATGGATTGACATCAGGAGACGAGCTTTCATCTCTGTCGAACGACAGCGACAACGATCAGATTCCTGGCTCCAGAGGCCACAGGGCTATCGTGTACATTCTTGCATTATCAATTGGACTCAACATTATTCTATCAGCTATTACATTATGGTACACCATTAGTCACTCTTCATCTTCTAGTCTTAAAAACCATCGATACCACAATGGTCAAGACGAAAAGCCCCAGAGAGTCTGTGGCGATACTGCAACAGAAGCCCTCTCTCTCGGATGCACGCTTGACCCAATGACATGGTCCTGGCTGTCGCCCTCTTGTCCAAGATATGCCAGCTCTGAGTTTGAGACATCAGAAGAGCTACCTTACAAGTACTATGTCGACCCATACAACCTAGTACTGGCTGAAGGCAAAAACTGGACACTCGCTCTTGACAATCAGGTGCGATTGTACGCAGAGAGGCGTGAACACGTTACACATTGCGTGTACACATTCTTGAGTTTGGCACAGATTATCCGTGATGGTACGCAAACACACCCGAGACTAAGTGCCTATGAGCACATACAGCACTGCGTCGAAATTGTTTTGGAATCCGTCAGGAGGGACAGAGATTGGCACACTGTCGATGCAGATATGGGAGAGGTGTCATTCGATGAGGGCTGCTAAAGTCAAATATGAATCATGGGACTACAGTATGATATGCAGCGAGCATTTTATTCTCAATTAAATTAATATAAGCTTCCGCTTCAGGTTCGTCCAAGATACGAACGCTAGGTGATGCTAAACAACATCTATCCACACACGTGTATATTAGGCCTACGGCTATCCCACTGAGGATAACTGTATATAGATGCACAAAATCCTATCATTTATGACAATAAAGACTATTATGTATATTGTTGGTTTTATTGTGGCTATCTTGAAAATATGTTGAGAGCTGATCTTGCCGCCATGGGAGTGCCTCTGAACTCACCTGAAATCACCACTGTAGTTACGGAAGTAGAGCCATGCACGGTAAGCACGCTTGTGGGGGCCTTGTGACGTATTATGTAAGACAGCATGACAATACTCTGTAAATTACACGTAAGAACCGATAATCACGATGCACTACAGAGCGTGGGACGTGCAGCATTATTCCAACCTTTGTCATGACATACGTGATCTACCTTAACACCTCTATAATTAACCATGACGAATATACTCACATAATGTCTTACATAAGAAGCGTGTGTATTCTAAGCATTTGGTCTATAATACTCCCCCGCTTCGCTTGTGTTTATATGTGTATATATACATATAACTACCAGCTAACCCTCGCATCCGGAACCGTTAGCATAGGTCTTTACACGACATTACAAAATATAAATCCAATTATAGACCCAGTTACGGAATATATTACCATGCGTTTCTCTCAGTTCCTTCTTGGTGCCTTGGCCACCGTGGCCTTTGCTGCTCCCTTGAATCTCAAAGGTATACTCTAACGTACCATTGTGCTGTACCATTCTTATGAGCTAATTGGAACAAAGAGCGGTCAGCTCTTACTGAACGGGACCCAGCGCCAGGCCGTAACGGCACAGAATATACATCTGAGGTTGAGCCCACTGAGAAACGCAAGCGAGGCCGTAACGGAACAGAGTATACAGCTGAGGTTGAGCCCACTGAGAAACGCAAGCGAGGCCGGAACGGAACAGAGTATACATCTGAGGTTGAGCCCACTGAGAAACGCAAGCGAGGCCGTAACGGCACAGAATATACAGCTGAGGTTGAGCCCACTGAGAAACGCAAGCGAGGCCGTAACGGCACAGAATATACAGCTGAGGTTGAGCCCACTGAGAAACGCAAGCGAGGCCGCAACGGTACTGAGTACGGCAAGGTTGTCGAAGACGACTCGACTGAAGCTTCTGTCTAGACAGAAATGCAACCATCTTTAATCGAGTGGCGGTGAACGATTAGGAACACGATATGAAGCAAATGGAAATATGACACGTAACTAATGGTTCGTGACATTGTAGTAGATACAAAACCATCAACATGCAACATAAGCTTATGGTCCTATCCGTAGTTATCCTAGTTTCACAAGCTGCTTTGTGAGTTAATGATATGTTCCATCATTATTTCATGTGTCCTGCGCCTGACTCATTAATTTATCTCCAAAAGACCTCATGCTCTTTCAGCTGCGGTGCCCCAGTCCGACCTATTCTGTTTCAAGTAAATTTTGAATACTTCGTGTACCTATTGGGCAGTCGGAATGATCGAATAGACGGGGCCACGGCATTCATCAAAGTAACACCCCCCAAGAGCCAGCATCTTTCCGACAGACCATACCATGGTCTCAGTACTCAGAGTAGCCTAACCTTAGTGCAGGGGCACATTGACCTTTACCAGTAGTGCAGAACAAGCCAATAGCCCTCCTACGTCTTTCCACAGGTGACTATCGCCTTCGTTTAGTGCCTCTCTCTGTAGGGAGTATCCACATACTGTAGCGCAAGAGAACGGTTAAACTTACAATAATATCGCCCATCCGTTGTGAAGCTGGGCTTCAAGAGTGAACATATCCGTAGGCCCGGGCGATGGCGCGGCTGATCGCTCCTGGCTGTAGCGAGAAGACCCAACGAAAAGGTAATGCAGTCTTTATTGTCTCAATTCCCGGTTCTGAAATTTGAATAAAAAATAGAAATAGGTAGCTCTGACCGTTCAAGGGTAGGCGATTTACGATAGTGCGGCAATGATGAGTGAAGTAATGTTCAAGGTGGTGATCATGCACACATTTGATGTACTCCCTTCTCAAACATGGACCAACTATATCCTTACGGTGTTCTCGCTTGAGTATAAAATCCATCGTCTCCTCTATTCCCTGTTTCGTGATCGGGAGTAAGGTCTTACCTGGTTGACTCAATTCCAATCTCAACATATTATAATCCAGCTGCGCCCTGATACAGGTTTTCACCAGCAAACTCCAACAAGCGGAGCCAAAATATTAGTACACTGGGAGGTGATAATCCAGAAGCCCAGCAAGATCCTTGGTGCCCAGATTGAGGGACCAGCTAACATATGGACTGCCGAAGCTCAGTTTCCTCTAGCCTAGGTTGATAAATCCTTTGTTCTTTTCTCCCAACGTTATGATGTGTCCCATCCACCCTGCGGAGAGTTCTGCGGACTCGATGTCAGTCGCAGAAGTGAAATGCTAGACTAGTTGATACCAGAAAGAGTTTCGTGCTCCGATCCATGCGTCGCAGACCCTGAACGGTTTAACCTTAAAACATATGGAATATTGCGCAGACCAATCAGAAGACGAGGTCAACACTAGCTAATGATGCTTCGGGGTACGTTCGAATTTATACTTCCAAATTTAGTGCCTGATCGCGCCAAAGTCTGGTCTTCGTATGTACTATACGCAGTAGTTAGTTCCGTAGTGTAATGTCAAAGCTCAAGCGTACTCCTGCTCTCATTGTTCGTAAATCCATTCCTGCAACGCGATTGAAAAATGTTAGCCAAATCATTTGCAAGCCCATACCTCTCGAAATCCAGGTAAATTGACATTTCCTCCAAGGTGGCTGTGCGTTATGGTCAAGAATATTTTATCACAATTCTCGTACTTAGCGACCATGGCAGACAGGAGTGGGCAGGTCAAGGCCGTGGCCATACTTTTCCTCATAACCACCTGGGTTCTGGTTCCGTTAAGATTATATTGTCGCGGTTACATTGTGAAGTCCTTCGGCTCCGACGACTGGATCCTATGCTTCTTACAGGTTAGTTTGTTCAAACTGCGTTACTTCTATGAAGTGCATTGTGATTCACGCATATCTAGATCGTCTTCACGATTTACCTTATATCACAATTGCTGGGCGCTGTGGCGGGAACAGGTCGTCACAAAACCGACATCACGCCCGAGGCCAATACCGAAGCACTTAGGGTAAGCAATGAACGGAGCTCTGTAGTCGTCAGAGAATTTGGTGCTAATACAGCTGTCTTGGCGACTGGGCAGTGGTGGTTTATATGCGAGCTTCTCTACATCATCTCTACATGTGCGCTGAAAATCTCAGTGGGCTTCTCATTGCTGCGAATTTGTGTGAGGCCAGCTTATGCCCGCATCATCCATTTTTTGATGTACGCAACTGGTCTTGTGGGAATAGTATACTTTCTGATGGTTCTTCTTCAATGTCGACCCATGTCAACTTTCTGGGAACAGTCGCCCAGAACGAATGACCTTTGCTTCAAAAATAGCATCGTGCTCGGTTTAACATACACCATAGCCATCATGAACTGCTTGGCAGATTGGGCATTCAGCATACTTCCGATCCTCGTTGTCAAACATCTCAATATGCGACGCTCCACGAAAGTATCGTTAAGCGCGATCTTAGGTCTCGCAGCTTTGTATGTGGACTCTCTCACTCAAGAACATTCGTGTGGACGGACGACTAAAAAGCGTCTACAGAGGGAGCATAGCGACCGTCGTACGTTGCTTCTATATCCCCACCTTACTTGTGGGTGATGATTTTCTATGTGAGTCATTCTATGGTCTCCGGACGATCATCGGTTAACATGATCGTCAGTCGCTACAACAGAGGTGGCATTATGGAGTACGATAGAACCCGGACTAGGGATCATCGCGACCTCACTCGCTATACTCCGCCCGTTGTATCGCGCCATGAAAATTCGAATCGGATTATATGGCAGCCAAACGGCTGAATACCACATACGGGACACCGATGCGGTTAGCCTCTATAGTGCAGCAAAGACAGCTGGAAATCTCTCTCAGAGTAATGTTTTTGGATTATTCAAAGGTGCAACCAAGACGGAGTCAAGCGATAATGCTCATATGTCCGAGACACGCGAGCTTCATGTAACGACGGAGTTAACGGCCCCAGCAGTGGCTTGGGTTTCCCCAGGGTAACTGGGCATTCGGGCCAATGGAGATAAATAGATACCACTCCAACTGAACAGAGCTCTTAGGCATGTATAACGAAAGACTTCGTGCCACTTCTGTCAAGGAACCAACTTTCGGCGGTTGGTACATGTATGAACATTCGGTTCACGGTTAGTCCTGGGGGGGTAAAACTGGAGGTCTCAATCTATCTCTTAACGAATGTTGTTTGAAGAAAGCTGACCGGCACACTGCAACCAGCCTTGTGGTGACAAGTCCAATCCGGCATACCGATAGTAACTCAACATCACTAGCACCTTTTCGATCATAGCAATACTTCGTGCATTGGATCACTCCACTATCGAATGCATTCGCAAGTCAATTGAGCGTGAAGATAATACAGCAAAAGTGGACGCGCTCGACGTGTCCCTCTGTTGTCAATTGCCAAGACCGTTAAGGCCGAGGAAATCATGGAAGAGTTGATTGTCGAGAAGAACACCCCAACGTAGCCCCACCAGCCGTTGTTAAGTGGTTAAAATGCATATTTATGTATCAATTGATGCGATTGCGCGTAGATTATCGATGATGTCACGTTCACGTTCAGAGAAATTAGATCTTGATTGTCATGCAGGATCTTTCAATTCACTCATGGAAATGCGCCCGGTCCAAAAAAGACTAAGCGCTTACACATTTCAGAAAAGATTGCTTGATAGGACGATTCGGACCATGCGCAAATCGCCAGTGTTTTTTCAGCCTTAGATGGTACGCAACAATGAGGTTTCCCCAGCTGTGTCGCGTACAACAGCGGATATGGCTCTCGCGCAGAAGCTACCAATTGGCGCCGATCTCAGGCTGGGCAACCAAGCTGCACCACCCTCGACGATCAGCAGCCCTCTGCCGTGGTAGCCGACCTGTGGGCCTGAGCAGAACAGGACAGCGATTCCCGCGGACTTTCTTTTCGTTCAGTAAAGAGCAGCAACAGCAGCAAACTTCCGATAAAGGTATCCTCGCCCGAAGCGCGCCGGTAGTTCTGGTTCTCGGTGGCTTACTTATATACACCGTCTATCCAGGCGATGAATTAGACCAGGCCCGCCCCTCACGCGAAACCAAAAAGCGCTTGGAGAAGGCGCAAGGTCAGGATGGTTGGCCTCCATCATCAAGTGCCTGGTCGAGCTTTACCAGCAAGTTCAAAGATTTCTCGACGGTAACGGATATTGAATGGTCGGCTCTTTCGGATCGCATGGTTGAATTGATCCTGCCGGAGTGGTCAAAAACAATTCCAATCTACCTTCGCAAATTGCAGCGCGAACTTTCCTTGGCTCCTGGCTCCCTGGCTGACGAGATATGGAATGAGGCTCATGACCCCTTTATTCATCCGGAAATTCGATACAAGGCCAAGGTTCGTGTTTCAGACGAGATCTGTGATGAAGAGAAGGAATTTTTAGCTCGCCGGAAAAAGGTTGCGACAATGGCATTGGCCCGCTATCTGGGCCTCAAAGAAGAAGATGTGCACCCAGATGATGTGCCGACCATAGCCATGTGTGGTTCTGGAGGCGGCTTGAGAGCACTCGTTGCTGGCACGGGCTCAATGCTTGCCACTCAAGAAGACGGCCTCTTCGATTGTGTGACTTACACATCTGGCGTTAGCGGTTCTTGCTGGCTCCAAGCGTTATACCACTCTACTTTCACTGAACACCGGCTGGAAAATGTCATTGACCACCTGAAGGCTCGTTTGGGCGTTCACATTGCGTACCCTCCCGCTGCCTTTTCTTCGGTCCTTACTGCACCCACAAACAAAATGCTTCTTGCAAGCATGGTCGAAAAATTGAAAGGCGACCCCAACGCGGACTTTGGTCTTGTCGATGTTTACGGCATTTTACTGGCGGCAAGGCTTCTTGTGCCAAAAGGTGAATTGGGAGTCAGCGAACGCGATTTTAAGCTCTCAAACCAGCGAGAGTACATCAAATACGGACAAAACCCGTTGCCGATATATACTGCGGTTCGGCATGAAATTCCCGACATTGACGGCGTTGCCTCAGCGAGACCAGGTGACACGCCTTCAGAAGACGCTAAAGAAATTGCCAAACAGGAAGCTTGGTTCCAATGGTTCGAGATGACGCCGTATGAGTTCTTTTGTGAGGAGTTCGGTGCAGGCATACCAACATGGGCTATGGGCCGAAACTTCAAAGACGGAGCAGATGTGCCGCCCGAGAGCGGGTTTCATCTTCCTGAACTACGGATGCCGCTCCTCATGGGCATTTATGGGTCCGCATTCTGCGCAACGTTGAGTCACTATTACCGAGAGATTCGTCCTTTAGTTAGGAGTCTTACAGGATTCAGCGCCATTGACGAGATGGTACATGGTCGCAGCGATGATCTCTCTAAGGTGCACCCTATCGATCCTGCTCAAATCCCCAATTTCGTTTACGGAATGGATGATCAACTCCGCTACACAACGCCAACAGCCATTGCCAAGACGCCGTATATACAACTAATGGACGCTGGAATGTCCAACAACCTTCCTATCTATCCATTACTTCGGCCAGGACGTGACGTCGACGTTATGATTGCATTTGATGCATCTGCAGACATCAGGACGGATAATTGGTTGTCTGTAACCGATGGCTATTGTCGCCAGCGTGGCATTAAAGGTTGGCCTGTTGGTATAGGTTGGCCAAAGGCTGGTGAAACACCCAAGCAAATTGAGCAAGAACTAGAAGCTGCGCAAGCCGATTCCACCGCCGAGGCAGATTCCAAGCTGCGCAAAGCGAAGCATGCTGATGAAACTGGGCACGCGACAGATCCCGCCGACCAGAAAAACAAAGCTGAACATGATCAGTCACACCCCGAAGATTCGGACCTCGGATATTGTACCATCTGGGTCGGAACGACGGAGGAGCGTGGCTCAGAGCCCCCTCCGCCCAGCAAAGCACTGGATGAGTCCAGCAGTTGGCAGCTTATGCACCAGGATGCTGGCATTGCCGTAGTCTATTTGCCATTCATGGCTAATCCCAAGGTTGATGGGGTCGATCCGGCGAAAAGCGACTACATGAGCACGTGGAATTTCGTTTACACTCCAGAGCAAGTCGACAAGGTGGTCGAGTTAGCGCGAGCTAATTATGACGAAGGTAAGGAACAAATACGCGGTTGCATAAGAGCTGTGTACGAACGCCGAAGGAAGACAAGAGAGAAAAGGGAAGCAGGGTTGAAGAAGGAGAAGAAAAGAAGAGCGAGAAGGTTAGGAGTTGATGGGAAACTAGGCGAGGGTGATCACTTCAGTTGATAACCATTCATAACAGGAATGGACCTGCAGCCACCATGCAGAGGCACGCACAAGGATGAAAGGCGATGGAGGCTTTGATGCGATTTATTGTTTTGTGAAGTTAGCATATCATGACGACCCTAGCCTTGATACCATTGGATGACATGCCGACTATTTAATGGATTCGATTCAGACAGGTTGACGCCCAAAGGATCGTGTACACCATTTTACGTGTGTGACACCTATTCAGGGGCCGTGCTGTATGGTGTACACAATCGCCAGAGGTCGACGATCTTGCGTCTGTCGCAAAACTGCTCTTATTTGGATGATTGGATATCTACCGGGACCCTATCATATTGGCTGTGAAATGTGCTTCTTGCACTGCTTGACACCAAGGCCAAGATTCAAATTAACTTAAGTGGCAGCGTGGCAAGATATCTGTACGGATCTGTAGAAAGGGGGAAGAGAGACGACCTGCATGCACTGAAGCGGGGCTCAACGCCCGAGCAGCCGGCGCAGGTTCAGCGGGGTTTTCTAGGTTAGCTGATGCACATGCCTGCGCTACGATTCCCATTGGCCAAGAGTCATATCAGTCCGAGTCGATGTGTCATTCTGGGTCATCTTAAGTCATCTCTCCATCCTGAGGACTTGTATCAACCCCGAAACTCGACCTCTGACTGAGCATATCACCCTCGCTTTTGGTCCTTTACCCACCCCCATCCAATAGGTTTGTTAGGCGCGCGATTCCAGCCTACGCACTGCAACCAATCCCGATTCCTCATCGTTCCCCGCGAAGATGGCTATCTACTCGTCAGTGCCGCCACCCCCGGAGCTGCAGGGCTCAGCGGATGCGTCTCAGCAGCATGCGGAATTGCCTCAACCGCAGAGCGCAACTGTTGTTGCAGCGTCAAGTCAGATTGACATTGAAGCGTGGACAGTTTCCGCGCTTCAATCGTTGAGTGTATCAGCCGATGCACCTGCGACGATCCCGCTGTCAATCCCACTGGATGAACATGTCCGGAGCAGCCCTGCAACGAAGCGTTCCGTGAGGGTACAAGAGCCTGAACGGAGTGCTACTACGCCCTCTCGCCGCCCTCTTTCCCGACGCGATAGTATGGATCGCCGGGATGCTTTGCTGAAGGGCAAGGAGGGCAGCCGGCAGCGGCGTCGCTGGGAGAATGGTATTACAACTAGCTATCTCCCACGTGGTTCCGTGAGCTAATACATTTGTCAGATCGATTGATGCATAACCCCTACTTCCAGCCGCCCGAGCCCATCGATTACGTGCCTCGTCCCACGCATCCCGTGCAACATGTACCTTATCAGGTTGCTGCCGCGTGGGATTCACGCCTGCGGGCTGACGTAGAGGCCAAGAAAGCAGCCGCTACACTCCGCAAGCAGAAGCAGACCCAGACTCTCGGCGACGAGAACGTGTCGGGACGCGTCCCGCGCGAGCTCTTTGTGCGGGCCAAGAAGACCCCAGCTGTCAAGACATGGGTTCGCTCGCTCGAGGAACCAGTTCGCAAGTTCCTGGTTGACCGCGATGTCGCCAAGGAGGCCGAGATCGAGAGTGACGATACTGAAGACGAAGAGATCGTCTTTGTTGGTCGTAACGGCTCAATGAGAGATGGCTGGAAGAAAGCCAGGCGTGAAGGCCCAAAAGACGAATCTGGCATGTTGCTTGATCTCCTTGGCGATGACGATGAGAGCGGTGCGTTCAAGTATGTCGTCTTCTCCTGTCTAAAGCTGTTGCCGCTCACTGACTTGGGTAGACGATGGATTAGTCATTCTATTTCGGATTACTACGGGCTAGATTCGCGTTCCATTCTCGTGGGCAACCCGAAGCGCAAGGTTGTCTACGTTGGTGTAAAGCAGATGAAGACGGGTCATGCAGTGGGCCCACTGACAACTCTACCCCGACCATTGTGGGAGCTTTGCTAATCTGCCAGAAGCTTCTTGTTGACTCTAGCTTGACTTCTCGTGCAATCTTAGGTTGGATCACAACACATCATTGTTGGCTTGGTCATGAAAAACCGCATTTAGACATTGATAGATGGCAGCATACGCCTACTCAAAATTGTTCACAAAGACCCTCTTGTATGCTGGCAAGGAGACACCTGCTACTTTGCTTGCTTTCCACTTTGGCGGAATCATAGCGTATTCCTCAACTTGCATTTTTATACGTGTACCGGCCATATGGATATTCCACGACCATAGATGAGCAACTATGTCGGCAATGATTCCAAATCGCCTCGTATCGATGATCACAATACGACTCCTTGAGCGCTGGTCAAGACGCTCGAGTGCTGTTACTGTGGCTTGCATATATGCACGGTAGGAATGCGGATAATGCGGAGCGCTGTGGGGGCTCCACCCTACCCCACGGGGAAAGTGAGAAACTACTGGCTGCTAGGTGCCGATCAAAACGTCACCATAGCATTATATGTAAGGCGGACAGGTTATTGACCCAGTACCATTCTGCCATTCGAGCCTTACCTCCAGCGCGGGGTTACGGATTCGCATAGCTATGCGACGCAGCCAGTGGTCTTGGGTCTGGTCAGACGAGTTGGGGCTGCAACATACCGAATCCCGGTGCTTGGGGTTTCCAGCAAGAGGCATCTCCCAGATCCCATCTAGTTATAGCACACAGCTCGGCTTCCCGCACAAGGACTAGGCTGAACCGTGACAAGAAGTATAGCCACCATATGTGGTTCGATTTTACTCAATTTGAGCAGATCACCGCATGCCATTGGCCAACGGGTCAAAGGAAATCTGCCACTGAAGCCCGAACTCTATTTCAACTATCAGCACATGGTCATTTGATGGGGAGAAAGGGCCCTAAAGCGCCTAGTATTTCCTTATTGAGGAGAGAATGCATTGGAGTTGAGCCCTCGCCGCATCTCTGCACGCTTGCGCGGGTGCGGGGTCTTTGTGGATGTGTGACATTGAGCTGCATACATATATGCCAGACAACTCCCACGGGTATTCCCAAATCGCAATGGCATGAACAAAAATCATCATCTTCTGTGCAACCTTATTCTATACTCCCTGGATTGTTGTCATCATGACTGTGGGACCTATCCCCGTGCGCGATGTGCCGTCAACGCGTTCGGCTCGGACGAGGCAAATCGCCCCTGGGTCTACGAACTTGACCATGCCGGAATGGCCGCAGACAGCAAAGGATACATCTGTTGACGCCGACGCTGTTGCCACCAAAGTCATTGGTTCTTTGAACCTGGCCCTCAATCAAGGCGACAATGCTGCAGTAGCCAAGCTCTTTTGTGATGACGGCTACTGGAGGGACCACCTTTGCCTGACATGGGACCTGCGGACCATGAAGGGAAGCAGCAAGATCAAGGGGTTTCTAGACAGCGTACATCACCTCAAGAAGATCGATATTGATCGGTCCACTCCTCTTCGTGCCCCATCCCTCCAAGCAATCAACCCAAATGAGACTTTAACAGGTATACAGTTCTTCACCAAGGTTACCACAGACGAGGGCTCAGGACGAGGCCTCGTCAACCTTGTCGAAGAGTCCGGAGACTGGAAGATATTTACCTGTTTTACGACGCTCGAAACGCTCAGCGGTTTTGAAGAGCAGACTGGCCACAACAGGCCAAAGGGTGTCCAACACGGTGCAATGATATCAAGAAAGAACTGGTTAGATAGGAGAAAGGAAGAGGTTGAGTTTCAGAATAAGGACCCAGATGTTCTCATCATCGGTAGGAATTGACACCACCCTCAACTCTAGAACTGAATATGGCTGATATCATGCATCAGGCTGCGGTCAGGCCGGTCTCACAATTTCCTCTCGTCTCAAAATGATAGGAGTCCCAACTCTAGTTATAGATGCATGCGAAGAGGTTGGTGACGGGTGGAAGAACCGCTATCACCAGCTCGTCCTACACGATCCCATCTGGTACGACCAAATGCCATACCTGCCGTTTCCTGATTTTTGGCCTATATACACGCCAAAGGATAAGCTTGCCGGCTACTTCAAGGCTTACGCCGAGATGCTCGAGCTTAACGTCTGGACCAAGACTACCGTGGACTCCACAAGTTGGGACGAGTCCAAGCATAAGTGGACCGTGCAGCTCAGCCGCCGAATGCCAAACGGTAGCGTCGAGTCGCGCACACTGCACCCAAAGCATGTTGTCCAAGCTACTGGCCACTCGGGCAAGGCCAACAAGCCCGACTTCCCGGGTTGGGATAGCTTCAAGGGAGATGTGATCTGTCACTCTTCCGAGTTCAAGGGCGCTGGCCAATACGGCACGGGCGATCGCAAGGGCAAGAAGGCCGTTGTGGTCGGTTCCTGTAATTCGGCCATGGACATCTGCCAGGCGTTTTACGAGGAAGGTTACGACGTGACCATGGTCCAGCGGACGTCGACGGCCATCATAGGCGCCGAGACGATCAAGAACCTGCTGCTCGGCAAGCTGTATTCCCAGGACGGCCCGCCCGTCGAGGATGCCGACATGCTGATCTGGGGCTGGCCCAGCGAGGTCTTCAAGGCCATGCACAAGGAACTGACCCATATGCAGATAGAGCAGGACAAGGATATCCTGGAAGGTCTCGAGAAGGCCGGTTACAAGGTCGACTACGGCCCAGATGACTGCGGCATCTTCATCAAGTACTTCCAGCGTGGCGGCGGCTACTACTTTGACGTCGGAAGTTGCCATCTCATCATTGATGGCCAGGTAAAGGTCAAGCAAGGACAAGAAATTGCCGAGATCTTGGAGCACGGAATCAAGTTTGCCGACGGCTCGGAGCTCGAGGCGGATGAGATTGTGGTCGCCACGGGGTACCAGAACATGAGAACCACGTCGAGACAAATCTTTGGCGATAGCGTCGGGGACAAGGTTGGTGATGTTTGGGGCTTCGACGAGGAAGGCGAGATGAGGACCATCTGGAAGCAGAGTGGGCATCCCGGTCTCTGGCTTATGGGTGGCAACTTTGCCATGTGCAGATACTACTCAAGGATCGTGGCGCTGCAGATCAAGGCTCAACTGGAAGGCTACACTGGCAGACATGCAAGGCGGGACTCCAAGATGATGTGATTCATCTCGTGGTTTTCTAACGTCTATCCAGCGGTTCTGTTTGCAAATCAAATCGGCATACCCGATCCTTTTGTGCACATGGTAACATTTAATGCGCTTCTTCTGCGGAGAGCTTCCAATATATCAAACAACTTTAAGACTGCCGTCGGTGCCAAGCGAATGGCATATATTGTTGTACAATCAAATTTCTGAACTGGAAAAAGAAAAAGAAAGTGACATTTGTCTATGGCCCCACAATACATAGTAGTGCCTAATATGAAATCTTAGAAACCAGAACAGATGTGTACGTATTATAATTAAACCTCGTCGGTCCCAAAGAAACAAACAAAACTTGAAAACACCATCCCGCCAGTTCGACAACTAGATTCTTATATACCTCGACATACTAGTCTCTACCTGCAAAGAACGTTAGCACCTCGATGTTCTATTATGACAGTGATCGAACAAGCATGACTAACCTTGATGATGTAAGTACGGTTGCCGTAGTGATTCTGGTTGTCACAGCGGCGACTGAAGTCGCTATGGATGTCGAGACAGCCGTAGTGGTCCTGATGGTTGTACTTGTAGTCGCCACCCCCACACTAACGGAGGAACTGACTATTGTGTTCGATACCACCGTTGCGGAAGTGACCACAGCTGAGGACGTAGAAGTGAGAATCACTGTGCTTGAGACCACTGGATTTGTCACCACCGTGTTCGACAACGCAACGCTCGAAACTGCGGCAGCCGTTGTGATACTTCCAGTGCCCACAGTGACATCGGTACCAACATTAGTGGTCACACTCCCAGCAGCATTCGTACTGGTGATAACGCCCCCACCAGCAGCGGTTGAACTTGTAATTCCAAGGATCGACGATGTCAGACTGCTGAGAATCCCCGACGATGTAGCAGTTCCCGCTACGGCTGTAGCCGACGTGATTGGCAATGACACATCGGTAGATTGGACTCCCGTGAGCGCAGCACTACTCGTTTGGCTTAAGGATAATCCGGATGTCAGAGAACTAATTATTGAAGATACGACGTCCGACGATATGCTGGCGCCTGCGGATTGTGTTGGCAAGGTCAAGGATAAATCAGACGTTACGGAGCCGACAACCGAAGACAAAAGGTCAGAGGTTAGCGAGGCAATGACCGAAGATATGCCGTTGGTATTAGTTGCCGTGGGAAGAATACTGGAAAGATCAGAATTCAAAGATGCGATGATTGACGATAGACCAGTTGGATTCGTTGCGCTGGTCAAAACTCCGGAAAGATCCGAGCTCACTGAATTGATAATGGACGAGAGTATAGCTGTGTCAGTCGCAGTTGGCAGAATGCCAGACAGGTCAGAAGTCAACGATGCAATGATCGATGATAAAATAGCTGAATCCGTTGCTGTAGGTAAAACCCCAGACAGGTCAGATGTTAGCGACGCAATTATCGATGAAAGCCCAACTGAGTCGGTAACTGTAGGTAAAATCCCAGAGAGGTCAGATGTCAACGACGCAATTATCGATGAAATCCCAGCCGAGTCGGTAACCGTAGGTAAAATCCCAGAGAGGTCAGATGTCAACGACGCAATTATCGATGAAAGCGCAGCTGAGTCAGTTGCTGTAGGTATAGCGCCCGATAAGTCGGATGTAATTGATGCAATAATTGACGATAATATATTCGTTGAAACAGTGCCGGTCGGGTCACTAGTTGAGCTAGTGACCGTGGGTAGGATCCCGGAAAGACCAGAGGTTGACGATGCAGTTATTGAGGATAGACCAGATGAATCTGTTGCCGTTGGAAGTATTCCAGATAGATCAGAGGTCAACGATGCAATTATCGAGGATAGGCCGGCTGAGTCGGTCGCTGTTGGCAAGATGCCTGATAGGTCAGAAGTTAGCGACGCAATAATCGATGACAAGCCAGCTGAGTTCGTTGCCGATGATAGTATTCCAGAAAGTTCCGAGGTGAGCGAGGCAATAATCGACGATAGAATATTGGATGAAGCTGTGCTGCTTGGGCTGCCGGCTGTATCGGTTACTCCAGCTGAGGAAGAGGCTCCAGTTGCTCCAGAACTAGTTATTCCAGCTGAATCTGACGGGAAGGCAGTCGTGGAGCCCAAGTCAGAACTGAGTGCTGGCCCCGTACTTTGGCTACTTATCTGGTTGCTGGTGGCCGAAGAGCCAGCCGTACTGCTCACGTCTGTGTTGACGTCGGTGGGGCTGATTGTGTTACTGCTTTGGCCGCCACCACTGGACGAAGACGGGATTCCATTAGTACCTGTAGTTGACCCGGATACGCCAGGGACGCTACCGGTATCCTGGGACGTCGTAGCTGGTGGAGAAAAGGTCGCCGATTCTCCACCAGAGCTTGTAGCACTACTACCATTTGCAACTGTTGAGCTTTCAGTGCTTGATATCGACTCTGAAGAAGAACCCTGTGTGATTGGGAGGTTTGAGAAAGACGTAAACTGCGTTGGTGTAACAGCATTACTTGAGGTCGATTGAGAAGGTGCGCTCGTGTCAGTCGGTGTCGCTTGAGTTGAAGCGTCTGAACTCCCGGGCGTAGTGGCTTGAGTAGTGGACGATGCGATACTCGACGTAGTGTCAGGTTCATTTGACTGAATGCTGCTCGCGTCGAAACTACTGGAAGGCTGCCCACTCGAAGAAACTTCACCTGACACCGTTTGTGATGCTTGTGATGTTGTGTCCAGAGCCGTTGTAACAGCACCGCTGGAAGGACCGGCAGTTGTTGTTGGTGCTAAACTAGTGTTCTCTGTACCGCTCGTTGTGGTTATTATCGGTAGAGTATTCGAGTTTTCCACAGATGTTTGTGGCGTATTGGTACCGGCCGAGCTGCTAGAGAGTTGCGCAGAAGAACTGATGGAATCACTTGTTCCACTGGACGAGGGGCGAATCAGGGTCGCAGAATCACCAAGCCCATTCGATGACGAGCCAATAAGAGAAGTGCTTGTTCCTGAAGCGACCGTTGTCGATGACGACCCTTCATTTGATACTGGAATGCTAAGGCTGGTTACGGTGTTGCTGCTCAGATCCGTGCTTGTCGTCAGATTTGCACCGGCGGACGATACAACAGAGGAAGAGGATATGGCTGATCGTGTTCTGCTGAGCGATGTAGTCGCAGGATCACCCATGTTGAACTCTGATGAACCACTGCTGCGAGTCCTTGAAGTTATTGCACCGAGATCTGTGCTCTGAGATGCACCATTGCTCCCGCTAGAAACTTGCTGAGTCGAAATGAAAGTCGCTGAGTTGCCTGGGGACACAGTTGATTGCAGAGAAGAAATGCCTGTGAATGTGACAATGCCAGCGTCCGTGTTGCTTGCGGAAGAGCCCACGCTCACTCCCTGGCCATATGATCCACTCGGGCCACCAATCTTGGTAATACCATAACTTGGAACGGTCAAGTCATCTATATCACAGTAATCATCTGTCGGGTCATACGATCCAGCATCTGTACCGTATCCCGGCACATTATCTCCTGCAAAGCCGGCGGTACCGTAGAAAGCGCCTGGTAAAGGTTCGGTTGTTAGTTTCGTCGATGATAGCTGATGTGGACCTGCTTACCATTACCAGCGTTCTCGGTCGATGGGCCAATTTGCGAGTTTTGACCACCACCATTGCTTGGACTTGTGGCCAAAATTGTAGTGATATATGTTGTGAGATACGAACGGGTGTAAGTGTAACAAACTTGACCAGGCGCTGAGCTGACTTCGGGCGGAATCTGTTGGCCAGCAATGCCATAAAGCTCATCAGAAGAGCTCTGCCTAGGCACCCCGAGTGCATGGGATGCCGCGCAAAACGTGACGGCCGGAATGAGTCGCATCGTCACTCTAATTCATACAACGACAACTCAACTATCAAGGAAGACGAGTTGAGAATTGAACTCTTCGGGCAGGCAGCCGATAGTCATACACGGTCGTGTTGCCCCTGAGATCTGACATGCTCAGCCCACATGTGACTTCGAGGAATCACTTTGCAAAGCCAATATTATTATGTTCTAGGTCTACTACATGTGTCGTTGCTCATTTAAGATATAATCAAAGCACTGCTTTATGTTCGGCTCTGAGCTTAGAAGTTGTGTCTCAAGCCATGGTTTGAGGCTATGAGTTTATATGATGAATCTAAATTGTCACAATCTGTTTTGTCTAATCTGTTCCCAATCAGAAATCTAAGTGTGGGTAGCGTGGCTCCCCGTTTAGTTGAAACTTCAAATAGTAAGAGAGTAGCCAAAGCGTTGATTGTAACTTTGCTCAACGTTACCCAGGTATGAATCGTGAAGAATGCCACAGGAGTCTGTCGAGTTTCCCGTTTTGATCGAGATCGATTGAGTGTAGAACATCGGCGTGATTACACGTCAGGATATCTGAAGCGGCGCAGAAATACAAAACAGTCGCATGGGCTACGCATATCCGACAATTGCATTGCACCCAGTACTTCCCTGGATTGAAGTAGAGTACATTACAGGATGGTGTGTATCTTAAAGTTGGCAGAGCGTTGGCAATGCAGTAGCGTGAGGATGTCTCAGACAGTTGAAAACATCGGTACGGCCATGGCGGCGGAAGGCGCAGATAGCCGAAAACATTAAACCGATGACATTTGATCAACTGACAATTGGCGCATTATTTGACTTTTGGGGGAAATAGGGAGGCTGTCAGAGTGAAGGGCGTTCGAATCTAACAAGATATTAGCAAATCGTACTGGGGAGACCAACTGACAGGATTTGTCACACAAAAAGCATTCAGGTGGGAAATGTCTTAGTTTCAACTTGAATCCACGATCAGATCGATGACGAAAAGGACCAGCAGGCATTTTTTCATTCAAAATGCTTCGAATATTATTCGTAAAAATATGCTTGGTTCTGTATAAAAATGCATGGTTCATTGTCCAACTACTATAGACATGGGTCTTCACTTGAAAAGCTCGGGCCAACGTACCTTATTGTAGGCGATAAATGGAGCTGTGTCACCGCATATATACTTGTTTCATAATATAATTCAGCCAAGTACATACGTGCCAAGCTACGCTGAGATGTGACTATTCCGGAGCGAAAGATCTATGGCAAAGATTTGTGTTATGCAGAATGTAAGAGAAGGATAAGCATGTCTCTTCAACAGTCACGGACATGACTGTAATTTTTGAAGCCTTTTAGGGCTCGAACGCCACGACTGGATACTCTAGGAACTTTATTGATCACGATGGGACTAAATTTCGTTTGACAAGTGATTTAATAGTACAATTCAGTTAAGACAGTGCGAAGCGCCTGACGTCAATTCAATTTATCGTACACAACGTTCAGCTCGGCCAGTCTTTTTTGAAGACTTTCCACGCCATAAGCTGAGGTGTTGCACGCAGCAAGAGATCACTGATTGTTGCTCAGAAACTGTAAGCCAAGCTCTTTGATACGGAATTTCTCATCATATCAAATTACCTTCCCAAGCATCCAACAAAGGGTGTGCAGTCGGGGCTACCTTTCATTGGCATCCAGCTTCTATGACATCACGTCCTCATTAATTGAGTTTGTTATCATATCGCAGCCATCCTACAATGTATATTAAAAGCTAGAATAAAAGCACAAAGGGAGATCATTTCATGAGGCTGCATTAGCCCCCGGGCCATCGCAGTCGGCGTAGTTCTGTTGAAGAGCTGCTAACATCGAAATACACATGACCCACACATGCTTGAGGGCCAAAACGAGGAGATGCAACATGACCGTTCGTACAGTGGCACGCTGGTGCACTGCTAGTCTGGGTTTTCATTAAGTGCTCGCTAAGGCGTTACTGCCTAATAGAAAAGCTGACCCCTATAGTAGTAGTGATATTGGCTCCGAACTGCCAACCTCAGACTGGCACTCCGGAACGCAGGGTTTCGTTGGTCTCCAAATCCTCCCTTATTGGGACATTATACCGTCATATTCGGCAGAAGCGATGATGAACGAGAATTTCAATGCGCGTCACGCCAGTTATAAAGTCGTTGGCGATCCCCAAAATTAGCATGAAATCGGCCAACGAAAATTATGGCATTGGCGTAAACCATTGGTCATGCTGAGCGGATAGCAATCCATGCATGATGGTTGATTTTGCACTAGGGGCAGCCGTATTGCTCTCAACGATGGCAAAGACAATCGTTGCTTCAGCAGTTTGTGACTTTGACACTTTTACGAACCTCACTTTGGGTAATATTGAGATACTGTCGTTTGATGTCGCAGTTGCGCTGAACGTCTCGGCGGTTGGCGGTGTTGGACCATCGCTTGGCACTGACATCTGCCAGATCGCGATCAAGTACACTCATCCTGGGCAGTATGATGTAGTCAACACTTGGATTGGTCTTCCACATGATCCAACGAATTGGAACTCCCGCTTCCAAATGGTCGGTGGTGGTGGTTGGACCTCAGGTAGTCAGAGTACCATTGTTGCGCCTGTCGCAGCTGGGTATTCGTCCTCATCCACGGATGGGGGACACAACGCCACTCAGCGCACCGCTGATTGGGGCCTTGTTAGCCCCGGAAACACCAATTGGCCTGCGCTTTCGGACTTTGCAAGTGTGGCTCTGGATGAAGCTGCTTCGTTGGGAAAACTTGCAACCTTTATCTATTATGGGCAGAAGCCAACATATTCTTACTGGAATGGCTGCTCCACAGGCGGGAGACAAGGCCATATGATGGCACAACGCTACCCTTCCCAATTCGATGGTATTGTGGCAGGCTCCCCTGCAATCAACTGGCAAAGATTCCAGCTGCAACAATTTTGGTCGGATTTCAAGGCGCACGAATTAGGTAGGCAACAGTTCAAGAAATGAATTACCGTCTGCTAACTCGAGTGTGTAGGCATCGCACCACCGTCATGCGTCCTTCAAGCAATTAGCAGAGCTGCTACAGCGGCATGTGATAAATTGGACGGAGTGGAGGATTCAGTGATATCCTATCCCGGGCAGTGCACATTTGATGCCAAGACACTTGTCGGCCAGGCTATCAACTGTACAAGGCCTCAGGGACTCATCGTCATGACCGAGGAGATGGCCATTTTGGCAAATGCAATCTGGCAAGGCCCGGTTTCCGCTGATGGTGGGTTCCAATGGTATGGAATTAACCGTGATGCAAGTTTGACTGGCCTTCTTTCGACGACATGCACGACTGTTGACAATTGTACTGTGAATCCCTTTCAAATTGGAATCGATTGGCTCCAAATCTTTCTTGCCCGCAATGCCTCTTTTGATACCGACACCCTTACTCATCAGCAATGGGATCGTTTCTATCGCCAGTCTGTCGACGAGTATACTTCTGTCATTGGTACCGACAACCCCGATTTGACAGATTTAAAGAGCGCCGGTACGAAACTACTTGCTTGGCATGGCACTCAAGATCCACTGATTCCTTCCAACGGCACTATCAACTACTACGAGCGTGCCGCTGCTTTCAATGGGCAGGATTTCAGCGACCATGTCCGGTTCTTCTTGGCTCCGGGAGTCGGGCACTGTGGAGGCGGGCCGGGCCTTGATCCTAGCGGCACGGTCTTTGATGTCTTACGCAGCTGGGTGGAGAATGGTACAATCCCAGAAACGCTGCCTGCAACTGGGCCTGCGGTTGGTTCCTCGGATAGCGGAGAGGTTCGGTCTATTGACTTATGCCTGTACCCCAAGGTACTTACCTATAATGGCCCAGATCCTAATGACCAGGCATCCTTTAGTTGTGGTTAGGCTTATTTGGAACTAAAGAAATCCACTATTTAGCACCTGTGTTTCCCATGTCATGGTGGTCTTGCAATTTCCGTATTTGGTATTTTCTTTTGGTCGCAAAAGGTATAGGTAGATCCGCCAAGAATAATAAGTCATGTAAGGGGGAATGTCGCGTAGCTATCAGGTCATATGGTTGTACGGATGGGTTCTGAACATCGACCAACTGACCGTTTGATGTAATATCAGTCGCCCAATGCCCAAGAAGTTCCAGAAAACCGGGATCTTCGGCTGCGGTTACTGATTATTGAGCCGGCGGCGGTAGCCTCTTTTGTAAAAACTTGCATTGTACGTGTTATGAGTTGGGACGGTTTTGTTGGCTTGTAAACGGAAGCGATAGAACCAAAACCAGCGGTTCGTAGCAGGCGGTCCATAGTCTAATGGTGTATATATATTACTGTCTCTTGATTATTTCAGGGGTCTGAGCAGCTGATTAATCGCAAGTCATACTCAGGAATTTAAAGTTTCACAACGCCGTGATATCTATCCCTTTGACTGAATCGTGTGCCGCTTTCCTTGTACCTGATCGTTCCAGACAGCCCATGATTATCGCTATCATGCAAGTAAGGATGGTGCTCAAACGATATGATTATGAGTTGTCGCTAACTTCACCCGGTGTCCAGTTCAACAGATTTATCATGAGCATCTTATGCATGACTGCTGCTGCATTGGCCATGGGTCAGGTCTTGAAGAAGCTTCCTGCTCTATCGAAGAACGATAAAGAGTTGGACGAGATGGTCAGATACAGTCGTTCAAACGGGGATGACGATGGTAACTGGGACTACGGCAGAGATGTCACGATTTAAGCTGGCGAGGACGAGGCTCAGGACTGGGACAAACTCGTCGACAATGAAAGAGCTTGTTTATATATGATTTGGCGTGCAGGCCGTTGCCTTGGTATCACTTGCATGCAGTTATGGGTACGTGATAGTGGATATATGTTGTACAAGATAAATTACAAGTGCTAGCGACTACACATGGTTTAAAGATTATGTAATTTGGCCACTCTTTATGCAAGAAGGCTTTTTTTGCCTGGTCGGATTTCGACTTCCACCAGCCACGAATCAGTGATAAACTTCAGCGTTAATTCATAGAAGTTTTTAGTAGCAAGTGTTGAATCTGGATCCTCCGCACCAATACCCGCCTCACATAGGTGAAACAATCATCGAAATGCGTAGATAAGCTTTTTCCAGAACTCTCAGAACACACCTATGGCCCAGACTTTTAAGATTATCTCCATATAACTCCTCATATATACATATTTATACATAACAAGGAGAGGTAATCTATCTCTATTACGATGTGATCATCCAATCGATCCTAAATCTGTTTTGGTGAAATAGAATTGGTTTCGCTCGACCAGAGATTGGAATGTTGTCGTCCGGGAATTTTATGGACAACTTCTTTTCGAGTATTTGTTTAATTATTCCTTGCTTGTGACGCCCCCTAAATAAACTCTAAGTAGTGGCATCCGAATTGCGGCGTCTGACTTGTTAAGGTCTGATGTTTTCTGAGCGCACGTGGATGTGCCTTGCTGCAATTGTTTCTGGAAACACTCGATCTGTTGAGAGAAGAGCTTGATTCAGGCCTGAGGATAGACTATGGGGCAATCATAAGATCTATTCAACTTGTCACACGGCAGGTCAAGTTCGTTTAAGTCACTGAGAAGTAGTTGCTGTCATCGTTCAATATTAAATTTACTTTTACCGCCATCACGTTCTACGATGATTGATATCACGGATTACCGATTTCGAATGCCAACTGCGATTTATGAAGTAGTCGTCAAAATGCGTGAAGGAAGTTGTCAAAGATTACACTCTCGTACCAGCGTTCAGCCGGGAAATTGATAAAGGCCCTACCCTCTAGACTAGTTAGTCTAGTGCAAGAATGGTGGTGTATCAGTCTGATGGCGCGCAGCCACCACGAGCCGTGCAGCAATGGTCCTATCCATTTGGTGTTCAAATACCTGCACATTGGCTGCGCACGCCATGTATTGCCGGAAGATCATGCCGCCCACGTTATCTTAAGAGCACCGCCAACATTTACAGGGGGGGAGATCCACCAATGCGTGTCGTGACAGGTGATGGGTATGGAATAAAGTCATCACCAACTGCGCATGCGTAATCACTGCCAATAAGGGTGGTAGCGCAATTTAACCGGAGAGCAAACGCACGAATCTTAGCAGCCTTCGTCTGAGAGGAGATGATGAGGTGAGACACCAGCGATATTGCCTGTGCAATATTGAAAAGGAAGCCAGCTCCACATCCACGCACAGCGCCTTTCTGTAGCAGAACTATTGGTATAATACAAGGTGTTAACCAAGTCATGTAATGTTGAGCTTGGCACTGTTTTGGAAGCACTTCTGTTGATTTATAGATTTCGTAGTGAGCTATTGCAACCAATAGGTAATCCTCTATTGCCAGAGTTGGTTTTTAATTTCCATAAGGCAGATTAGCGCACTTGGTACATGCTGTTTCCACTCCATGAAGAAGCAGCATCCCTGCAACCCTCACGAGACTCCAACTTACCAATTACCTCCATGGAGTGGTAAGATAAGTGCCCAGAAGGGTGCATGGCGTTGAGTATTAGGTACACGTGAAGTGGTCATCTTGTAAGGCTTGCACCGATTTCAGCTATATAACATGCTCCACGATCCCGGCAAGCTAGATGTCGCGGAACGAAGCGCGCATCTTTCCTCATTTGGGTGGCAATCTATTGGGCACCGGCATATTCCCGTCACGGAAAAGACAACCGTTATGGCGTGCTGTGGTGTTTTGTTGGCCAGCCGCAACGGTAAGCGCGGATAAATATCGCAGCCTGCACGTCATGGAAGACCCCAACTACCGGGATGCGTCACACGCTGTCCAGTCTGACAGTTCCTGCAACACCGTTGCGTCGCGCCAAGCCCGTGCATCAGATTTTGACGATGATTTTTTGAGTACGGCGCTTTTCGAGACAATAATTACGAAAGTAGGCCGGCTTTGAGTGGATATATTCACGATAGATTAGGGTGGAGTCATATTATTGCAGTTGAATTTCGCTAGCGCGTCTGCAAGCTCCCCAAGAAGTCCGCCTTGAGACACGCATAGATCAGGAGCATCACAGTGAAGACATACTTCCACCAATCTTAACAACCATTGCAGGGAGATCTGATGGTTGTGAAGGATGCCAGCTAAGATTGCAGTCGTCCCCAAGGGAGTGAAAGTCAGTGAATACGGCAATTCGGCTCGAAAAGATCAATGGCAGAAAAGGGTGTACCATGTTGGGCACTCGGCCACATGTATGTACGCATGTATATTCTCTTTACTCTTTCCTCTGTTCATATGCTGTCTTACTGATATATCAAGGCAATGAGGCGCTATGTCTAGTTGCTAGATTATTTTCCGCTCAACAATCGAATTCTAAAGCCCTGATGGCGACGTTCTCCCTTACCCTTTTGTGGGGATCCTTTCTCTTTTTCTTCCTGTATTTTACTAGGAACTGTATTGCTCAACCCAATGTTGCAGGCAATTGCACTGCAGCTACGTTTAATTCGGTGCTGCCATCGAATGCTGTCATCGAGAGAATCGATTCTGTCGCTGACGGTGGCGCTTATGGTGAAGGGGCAAAAGATCTCGGATATCCAAACAACGTCACCGGCTTACCAGAGCTTTGCGCTATTATCATTAACGTGACTTCATCAGCCACCTCTAATTATCGCTTTGGAATTTTTCTTCCAGTCACTGACAACTGGAATGGCAGAATTCTGACTGTTGGCAATGGTGGCTTCCTAGGAGGCATCAACTGGCGCGATATGGGGCCGGGGCCGCATTACGGATTCGCCACGCTCTCCACTGACACCGGGCATGTGTCAGGAAACGGTGACTTAACTTGGGGCTATAGTAGACCCGAGACAGTTACGGACTGGGGATGGCGAGCTGTCCATGGCAGTGTCGTCATCGGTAAAATCCTAGTCGAGGCTTTCTACCAACAAGCCATTGACTATTCGTACTACAGCGGCTGCTCAACCGGAGGTAGACAAGGGCTGAAAGAGATCCAGCTCAACCCTTACGCATTTGATGGAGCACTGATCGGTGCACCTGCTTGGGATCCAGCCGCTCTCATGCCTTGGATTACTCGGCTTGCGTCATACAATCTGCCTGTCACCGACCCGGGCGCCTTCACTACCATTGCCCAGTTTCAGCTGGTAGCTTCGACGGTTAGAGCTCAATGCGATGCAGATGATGGGCTCCAAGACAATATCATCAGTTCCCCCGAGATTTGCGAGCCAGATCTATCAGTGATACAATGCGGGATCACAGGAGTGGACGCGTCGAACTGCATTACATCTGAACAAATCGAGACAGTAAAAGACGTCTGGACGGATTATTACACGTCCGAAGGTGATTTCGTGTACCCTGGGCTGGAGCATAGCTCAGAGGCACAGTGGGATATATGGCAGTTATATGGCAATCCGGCGAAATTTGATCAGGACTGGGAGAGATACTTTCTCTACAACGATCCTTCGTGGGGCATAAATCAGTTCAATGACACCGTTTACTACGACGCCAGGCGTCTCAACCCTGGGAATGCTACAGCAGATGACTTTGACATCTCCGGTTACCGTGACCGCGGCGGCAAAATCATTCTATATCATGGCACTTCTGACGGCTATATTCCAACAAGGTCATCAATTGATTTCTACAACAGTACACAGGAAGCTGTAAGGGGTGACATCGATGAATTTTTCAAGCTCTTTCTTATTCCTGGCATGCAACATTGTTGGTTAAGTCCTGCTGGCGTGAACGCGCCTTGGATGATCGGTGGTGGCGGACAGCAGAATGCCCTTGGAACATTCACTACCGGATACTCGGTTCCTAACAACATAAACCGTCAGCATGATGCGATGCTAGCCCTAATGGGCTGGGTTGAGGATGATACGCCAGTGGAGTCGATCATCGCGAGTGCTTTCAATATCAGTAGCGGTACTCTTCAAATCTCGAGGCAAAGGCCGCTATGCCCCTATCCACAGAAGGCTACCTATGATGCAACAGGAGATTCTAACGCAGCTAGTAGCTGGTATTGCGCGTAGGATATTTCCGTAGCTACTAGCTTTTGGCAGAGACACGTCTTGAGCACTAGATAGATTGAAAAGTCTCATGACATTATTTATGAAATCACCATTTTAACGAAGTGACTGTCGCATCTTTGTAGCCAAGGTTGTAGCGGTGCGTCTCCATTCGCGGCAGCCATAAACAAATCAATATAGGCTGGTAACTTAGTATCTTAGTGTCACCACTCGCAAGTGGCCTGATTAACTTTTCGAACGAAGAGCCGTCGGTTTCATAATTAGTTTGGAAGGGCATTAAGTTACAGTATGACGCGAGAAAACATTCATGGTAATCAAAATTCGGAGGGAAAGAGTCTGATTTCTCTCGAAAAACACCGTATAGACTAGCTGGTGAATTCGTTTAATTGACCATAGGAACACCACCTGCATCCTTTACATCGGTCTGGTCCACCCAGCTTGTGACAAAGTTGACGGTTCTTGTTTACTGCTTTGAGAAGATTTGGCTGTGAACTACAATAGCTCCGCTACTGTTGGTGGCAAATTTGTCTTCTCGGGAATGATAATGGCAGCCTGTTAAGCGCGACAGTTTCTTGAGTGCACAAAAGAATTCATCCCGGAATTCAACAAGACTAGTTCCATCAATCTAAACATTAAAAGCAGGTAGGAGTAGTTCGCTTGATGAAGGAAATTGGTGGAGAAAGACATACAAGCCCTATCGAAACTGCCCGAAGTAGGACTTCGTGTCATCATCTTGAGAGTGCATTTTAAAATACATATCAAGCCGCGTTGTCAACTCCGTATTGTCTACTTTCTTATAAAGTTTGTCTATCTAGTCCCTATAGCGGCCGTTTAAGACTGCTTCAGTCTCATCTGAACCCAAAGTCGTTTGTAGCAAAGCCGAAATAAGTACACCTTCAGATTGGAAGAAGAGTTTCACCTAGCTACTGGTCATGAATGATGTCGACTAAACTTCAAATGCAAATATAAACTATAAATGCCTTTCCATTCTACCGCTAGGTTATATTTGGTACCTCCACTGACTACTTAATAAAATAACGTGCAGACTGAGAAAACTCTGGACCGATGCGCATGCGATTTAAAATCCAGCGGCCTGTGGCCGGTCTAAGAGTGCAAGAGCTTGGTTGCGCTTGTCGGCAAGCATGTAGATACGGTCTATTGGTACCCTGCTACCTGATTTTGGCTGAAAATTATGGCGCTCTTGATAAGGTTTTTGATCTCACATCCATTGAGCTTGAGATTCGAGAGCTTTGCAAAGAAGCCTCGTTTGCCTCGAACTTATCGTGACCAGCACGGTCGATAAAGTTCCGCCAAGCCTAGCGAAGGGCCGCAGGAATCAAATCGCGATAAGGCAGGAACAAGCCAACGCGTGTCTGTAATGCGTGATCAATACTAGATATTCGGTTGGTGATAAGGAAAAGAACGTCTTGATAATATTCAAGTCTCGTGAGGAAGACTATAATCATTCCACATCCAACATAGTTCCAAAGCTTTTTCAAGAACATTCTCGATTTTAACAGGCTAAGTACCAAGATAGTCAGTCGATATTAAGTAGAGAGGAACACACGGGATCGTTCGGCGACTGTTCCTGCGGTAAAATATTTACCAAGGCGGCACAAGCTTGTCAAAAGACTCGTCGTTCCACACCATATCCTTGAGATCGTCAACGCACAGTTCACACCAAGTTTTGGACTACATGTCCTATTTTTCATCAGGGAGTAGTCAGCATGCAATGCTCGTTTGTCAAAAGGTCAGAGGTCTTCTTTACATCCAGCAGGACCTTTTGCTGTGGATATATTTTCAATGGTTGCAATGTCAAATTCTATTTCGTTAGCTGTATCGGAAAACTCAGCATCACCATAGACATCTGAAATAGTTCCAGTTTTCTCATGAAACAATGATCGTAAATTTGGCTGACCAAGTTGCACGACCGATAATATGCGTAGACATCCATACAGACTTTGCCTGCAACGGGGCGCTGTTCCGGCTTGTCACTTTCCAGCAAGACTTTAGTGTCGTTCCCAATCATGTAATGGTATCCACGAAGCTTTGCGAATCTACGACCACATTCTATTATGGCAGCCTTGGTCTTTCGACATCAGAAATGAATGCAAGTGGGAAAACTGGAAGGGCCACAATACGACTAAGACCTTTGAATCCCCAAATTCTGAGTTGGGTAGTGGTGTAGCCAATGATCTCACCATTCCGGTCGACATATTCCACTGCAGGCTCAATGCCATCAATCGAGTGCTTTCATCCGACTCGGATGAGCGATATCGTCCCGAAATACCTCTACTTATACTTTGTTATTCCAGATTTTGGGAGTACGTTAAAGTATGAGAAAAGTACCAATTCTAGAAGTATGTTTCGATATTTGGACAAAGGAAAGGTAATTCCCAGGATTTCTTACTGACAATAGTCTAGGCCGGAGGGAAATCGTCAGTCACAACTTTCTGATGCCTTCAAGACGCGGCAAATTGTTTCAACCCTAAAGAACTTGGTCAGGACAAGTGAGCTAGGTGGGAAGACTTGCCAGACACTGTTGAAGTTGATATTGCCAGTCTTCTTGGTCTAGTCTAGGCTAAGGAGACCAACGATTTGAGAACTAGAATATGAAGCCAAAGCAAGCCAGGAGCTGCATTTGTCAAAGTAGTGTTCGTCGAATTGTGCTGACAATATTTGAGCATCTCCCAGCGATGCACCAGTGGCATGAAGGGAGCCTCGATAATCCAGCCCCCAATCCCAAGGTCGGTATCCTGGTACTTCCGAAGTACTTTTACAAGAACAGCCCTCATGGAGGAATCCTGACGCATCACACATGATGTAGATATCTCTTTCATCAGATGTTTCAGGTGTATGTTGAGCCATGTTCGGAGCGTTGAGAGCATGAATCATGAATCAGGGCTAAGTTCAGCTACCAAGATGATCCCAACAGGAAATTAGCGACCGTGAATACTAACCTAAACTGAAATGGATGCTGTTAACCAGTGCATTTTCACATTCTCATGTCAATTAACGACGGGAATTGCCAAGCCTCTTTGCCTGCGATCCGCTTCCTCGTCGTTGATGACGGCGAACTCACTCTATCGGTCCTGACATGAGCCATATGCACACTAACGCAATCTGATTTTGTAATTTTTCGTTCGGGATGGGTCAAGAGGTCTTTGGAAGCAATTTCAAATAGTCACAAAGAGATCAAGTGCCTCTGAGAGACATTAATGGTCCTGAAAACATACTAAAAAGGTAGAAAATGGTTCCGTTAATTGCTTACTTTGTGATCGTACCAATTGCTGACTGGCTTCGTTCGGTATACAATCTAGACTGATTGATCCGTTCCATTGCTGTTCCTAACCTAAGGTGTTACATTTACCCCCTCAAGAATCCCCAGGCGGCTCTTAGTGTTGACTTGGTCTTCGACCTCCGAGTATGAAAGAAGTTCGTCATTGGATGAGGCATCTGCAACGGCATTTCTGGCAGCTTCTCTAGGTCAGAAACATACGCCAGCGTTATTTCAAGTGTTTGACACCTGCCCTTCCTTGCTTCTTACTCAGGTCGAGCCATTTCTGTAATCGCCGGCTCTTTGGAATCTCACAGGAACTTTCACTGTTAGTAATTTAATCAGTTGATAGACCAAACGGCGGTTTCTCTTGTAATGCAGTTGATGGTGAGTTCCGGTAGAACTGCTACATGATTCCTGCTTCTTTGTATAAACATACCTCTGGTCTGCCTTACTTCTCAAGTTCCTCTATGAGTGCCTTGCCTGCAGTTTGACATGGCAATAAGGCTATGCCACCTCAACTGCAAACAGCTATGCAGCCCAAACGGATTTAGGTTATGGCACACCAATCACTGTACGCTGGATTTGGGCAGCTTCGGGGGCCAGATTTGCAGCACGGGTATTCATAATATTTGTAAAAGTTCGTTTAAGCCCCTCTGTACTTGCGATTTGTCACACAACCAGGCAAGTGGTAGATTCCAGGTTCGGCTGTTTGAAATGTCGTTTTTACTGAATTTATCACTTGGATTATAGTAATGGAAGAAAAGCGTTTGGCGTCTGGTAATCAATCTAGAGGTATGCGGGGACAGTCATTTGCATAACCCTCGGCTATTGAATAAAATTGGTTATTTTGTTGCATTAGCGGTACAGGTTTCATTAACTGTAAGTAGTCATAAATAAAGCTTGCCATATGCCAATAAATTTACTCGTGGAAGTGAAATGGCCACAAGACTGAAAATCGCATAGTAGTCATCTGGGCTTGTACTGCAGGTGACAGACGGATGGATTCTTACGTCCTATATATTTGTAAATGGGAACCTGACAATGCAAGGAGCAGCGTCAGCGATCTCATCATTGCAGCCAATTTCATTCAAAAAATACTTTCGCATAGTTGATTTAACAAACCCAAGAAATGATTTGTTTATTGGGCAAAATGACATCACGTGTCGTGACCTATGAATCGCACCATCGAGGAGAGCGATTACAGTGACCACTAGTCAGTCCCAAATGGGCATCACCTTGTGCGCCCTGGAACTCCAAGTTCAAACGGGTTTGGGCAATTCTTGTAAAAGTTCTCGCAGTACCCATTCCTAATGGTATTTAGAGTAGTTATTACCTGAACTTGACGCACCTTGTAAGCAGTTATGCTATAGTGGCGTAGATTTTATCTGGTCACTTGCGCACATAATCCACAGTACTTAGTATAAATGCTATGAATAATCTCTTAGGGTAGAGGGGTATTAACACTGTTATACATATTGGCTAAATAAACGTCTTGAGGTGCTTGATACACAAGTTTTGTATTCTGTTCAGAGCCTTGCCCACTTCTCAAGCGGATACTCTGCAACAAGATAGGGGCCAAAATGTTATCAGTGAAAGTCCAGTTCTTCAAGAGGTCTAATAGACTCTCTAAGAAACCAAGGTTGCATGCCGTAAGAAGATGGCATCTAGTCTAGTAAAACTGTGATCATATATATATAACTGACAGGTCTGGAAAGTGGATATATGAGCGCTAGCGCAAGTACTAGGTCGCAGGAGGTATTCAACACAGCAATGTTACGGTGTCCTAAATCGTCCTAACCTTAAATGATTGCACGAAGATGAGATACTCTTAAGATATCGAACAAACCATACATATTTGAAACGGTTGGCTGAAACAATAAGTGGTCGTTCAATTTAGTTTCTGTTGATTGGGTCACGATGCCCATGCCTTTCGGGTCCACCGGCGATGGATTGCACCCTACAACATGTTCGGCCACCGCACCATTTTCAGCGAGGAAATGGTACACGCTTAAGTGTTTAATGTGCTTGACATAGTATTGAGGAAAGAGAATTTAGCGTGGGTTTCTGCTTTATAAATGTGTATACTGTTGCTTAACTTCTCTCTGCAGCAGCATCGGAGCTCACTATCGGTTCGAGGTCCGTTGTAGTGATTGCGCAATTATAGTGCACAATCACCTCAGTGTCTGACCAATTATCGAGCAGTCTGCTGACGAACAACACGACCTAAGACGTGGGATGCGCATTGATCGCGACAGCCATGCCAGGTATGGCGACACAATGTGGTTTAGTGCCACATGTTGCCCAGGCCGGTTGTTACCTCAAACCTTGAATTGTATGCACACACGTCCATATCAGTCCGCATCGATAAGCATAGCATCAGTTAAAAGACGAAGCGTCTCGGGCTGATTGTAGCCATGTCTTCTTCAAAGAGATCACACCCTCTGGGCTCTTCAAAAAACAGTAAAATCTCTCGTCCAGCCAACGACAAACGCTCGTCCTCGGAGGAGGAGACCCCATTACTCGGCATGAGTTCGACACAAGATGAGGCCTCTCCAACCAAGGAGGCCGTTCTGAGCAATCCAAGTTCTTTGCGGGGGGACAGCTTGAGTCTTGATGAAATGACTAATAAAAGCAAAACACCGTGGTGGTCATACATATGGGACTACGACCCAGGGAGGTCACAGGAGGAGCGCCGTTTTATCCGGAAACTCGACATTTATCTTATTACCATGCTATCATTCGGGTATTTCATCAAGAACTTAGACCAGACAAACATCAGTAATGCGTTCGTCAGTGGAATGAAGGAAGACCTGGCGATGAATGGGAACCAGATCAATCTGATTGATACAGCATGGACTGTTGGCTATGTCGTAGGACAAATTCCCTCTCAGATCGTTCTTACAAAGGTTCGCCCGTCGATATGGGTACCATCCTGTGAACTACTGTGGACGGTGTTGACCTTCTCGCTGGCGGCCGCTAAAACATCGAACCACGTCATTGTGATTCGCTTCTTTGTGGGGTTGGCCGAGTCAATATTCTATCCTGCTGCACACACGATACTTGGAAGCTGGTATAAGCCAAGTGAGCTAGGCAAGAGGGCGTGCATTTTTCATGCCTCGTCTGCGGCAGCAAGTATGTTTAGTGGATATCTCCAAGCCGGTGTCTACAAAGGACTAAATGGCGTTAACGGGCTCCCGGGTTGGAAGTGGCTGTTCGTAAGTCGAGCAACAACACAGTTCTGACCCTATGTTTCAGAGAACTGACCGAGACTCAGATTATGGACGGCATTGTCAGTCTGCCTATCTGCATTGCTGGGTACTTCTTACTTCCCGATCTACCCGAGAACACAAGGGCGTTCTACCTAAATGAGAATGTATGTCAACCAGGCCAGAACAGCATCCATCTACGATACTAAAACTTGCCAGGATCGTGATATGGCCCGAAAGCGAATGGCTTCTGTCGGCCGTGCCCCGCGCGCGAAACTTGGAAGATCGGCCTTCAAGCGTATCTTTGGGCGATGGCATATCTATCTGCTCTCCATCCTGTACATCATCTTTATCAATCTCGGACCGTCATCGAGCGTCAACCCAATGTCACTGTGGCTCAAGGCAACGGGCCACTCGGTCACGCAGATTGTAGGTCACAACATCATCTCGTTTCCCATCATGGGCTAACTTGCGTAGAACATCATCCCCACGGCAGCCAGCGCCATTCAGCTGGTCCTTACTGTCTCGTTCGCCATAATCTCTGATGCCATTCAACATCGAGCGCGGATCATGTCAATATCCACGTTCTTAGGAGGGTTCGCAGCACTTGTCCTCGCCATATGGTACGTTCCAGATGGTCTCAAGTGGTTTGCCTTCCTCCTGCAGAAGGCATCTGTGCCGTACGGGCCGCTGAGCATGAGCTGGGCGAACGAGATCTGTGGCGCTGACGCGGAGGAGCGCGCCGTGGTTATCGGCGTCATGAACTCGCTCGGCTATGCTTTCAACGCATGGGTCCCACTGTTCACGTACCCTCAGGTGGACTCGCCAACGTTTCGCAAGGGGTTCATCTTCACGACAGTCGCATTTGGGGCACAGGCGCTTATCACAGCCACGGTGGCTTTCATGTACAAGCGCGATCAGCGGAGAAACAAGATAGAGACGACAAGAGATGAGGAAGGAGTTGTTGTTATCCGGCCATCTGCCGAGGGAGCCGTGGCGCTTTAGATCACCTCCGCTTATGAGACGAGGAGACACGACTGCTCAAAGAGATGCATAGCGAGGAATTCGGCGTGTTAGGGATTCAGGGATGCTATAGATGGGTGTAGTAAGCATTTACCTATATATGGGAAACTCTATAGACGGATGTGTGACCCACATGATCGTGGCGTTTTCATCTAATCAAAGTCACAGAGCAACATTTTCCCACGTTCAAAGTCGGAGAAAATCATAATATGAAGTCTATGTCTGACTGAATTCGACTGTCCCACGCAAATAAATAATGAATTTCTAAATAACTCCGTCCGGATATCCTTTCGCTCTGCAACCGTAATTTTACCAAAGGGAATCTACCACATACAAGCACCATCGTAACCACCAAAAAACTAAGAAATGATGTTCCTTCATACTGAGTGTCTATGTTGCAGAACTTATAGCAGAGCAACACCAGCAATGGCGACAGCTGCGAGCAGTCCAATACCTGCCGTCGCGGTGGGAGCGCCAGCTTTACTCACGCTGGTACCGGTCGCAGTGCCTGAAGTTGTGCTGGTGGTGACAGCAGCTGCTGTCGGCGTCACCAAGGTCGAGCTTGTGATGGTGGCGGCGGCTGAGCCGCTCCCGGAGGTCGTAATAACGGTGACGCTGGCCGTCGGGGACGTAACTGTTGAACTGGACGACGTATGACTGGTGGTGAAACTTTCATGGTCGTCCGTCACGTAGATGGGGACGTCAGTAGCCTGGCAAGGCGTTCCCATTGCACTCCAGTGCCAACCGTTGCTGTCGTCGTAGGAACAGTACTGCTCTCCCGCTACGCAGCCCACGGTCCCAGAGCAACTTGCTCGACGAGCTAAGGCTTTCCAGTCCCACTTCTCCTCAGCACAAGCCGTGTGCAGATTTGTGAGCTGTCCGTTGTACGAGCAGTACTGTGTGCCGGCAATGCACCCAATGGAACCTGCGCAGTCTGCACGCTTCCAGTCGGACGCCCACGAGCCCCAGTTGTCTGTGCATGGGGTATTGAGATTCGTCAGCTGGCCGTTGTACGAACAGTACTGGCTACCGGCGATACATCCAACAGAACCAGCACAGTCTGCACGCTTCTCGGTTTTTGGGGTGTCTCTCTTGCGATCATCGTACCACTGGCTCCAGTCATTTGTGCAAGGCGTATGGAGGTTGGTAAGTTGCCCATTGTAAGAGCAGTATTGGGTGCCAGCGATACAACCGATTGACCCAGCACAATCGGCACGGGGAGCAACATCACGCTTCCAGTAGACCTTCCCATTGGAATCAATGCAAGGCGTGTGGAGGTTTGTCAGTTGGCCATTGTCGAAGCAGTATTGGGTGCCGGCAATGCAGCCTACTGAGCCGGCGCAGTCGGTGCTGACCTGCGATGCAACAGATGTGGCTGTGGCATGAGCAGCCAGTGAAGTCAAAACAAGGGTAAAGAGGCGCATTGTCATTTGGGTGATATAAGGTGTTGGAAACGGCCGAGAGAGTTGGTTGCAGGTGTTGCTAGACGCTGGTCAGTTTCTGCTGCACTCGATGACGATGGCAACCTCGACAGTTTGCTTGGAGCATCTCCCAGAACCGACGATTATTGAGGCGTCGATTGCATTTTGTAGCCAGAACTCAGGTCAACATTACTGTATAGAAATAATTAAACAACAGGGCAAGCTAAGTGGTTGATCCTTTCAGGCAGAATGACCATAACGCCGGATACACGAACAGAGACTGCTGATCGCACAGTAAGCATGTAGACGTAGAGCACAGGCATCTTTTGCTGACATCCACAGTCATGCCACAACACCAGCTTGTGTGACAGTGTTCTTTGGGTAGGTGAGCGCATTACTATAGAAACAAGTAAAATGGTGAGTTCTTGCAACTCTTTCAACATATCGCCTTGTTAGAATAGGTGGTGCAGTGGTACAGCGAGCGTGTGAGGCGTTGTCGAAAGGCTGTGAGTTCATCTTGGCCCTTCCACCATGGAACCAGCGTCAACAGAACGAGCCCAGCGGTAGGATAACCGCATTACTACAAGAAATTTTGGGGAAGAATAAGGAATCAGTGGAATTTTATCGCAATATGGTATAGTTGTCGTTGGCTTGCTTCAAAGTAAGCAGTTGATAACATAAGTTAGATGGATGATATTTTGCAGTCGTACCTGACCTAGTCTAACAGTACAGAGCCGCCGCTCTAGCGCCCAGCACCCGCTAAGTTTAGCCTGGCGGAGTGGCATTTATGATTTGGCCCATGTGATGCTGGAGCGGATACGTCATTAGTCCTAACTTAGTTAGTCCCCAACGAGCTACCCCAGATAAGGGAGGTGTCGCATGCGTGCAGAGCCAGAGAGCTTGAGAGTCAGTGCATGTCAGCATGTCAAGTAACTGTAATCGGGTATGTTCGCAAGCCCCCACCGCCCTCCCCGGTAAGGCACGTCCCCCTAACCTACAGTAGATACTGTAGCACCTCCCCCCCAGGCACCGGTCAACTGTCGCAGCTTATCGCGTGCTTGGGGTCGGGGCGCTTGCACCCACTCACCTTCGTTTGAAAGGCATCCAGCTCGAAGGTAACTTGAGCTTTACACCTACAGCATCGAGACACTTCTCACCCAAATTTACTAAAGCCGATAATCTGAACTATGAGGGCCTCCTTGTTGACTCTCCTGCTGCCGGCAGCAGCCACAGCCCGTTTCATTGAAGCAACCGAGATCAACAATGTCATTCCTTATCCTGAGGGCGTGCTTGGGGATGGATCCAAGGAGTCCTCGGAGAAGTTCCTTGTCGAGCTCTCTCCTGGCCAGACGAGATGGGTGACCGAGGATGAGAAGTGGGAGTTGCGCCGAGTAAGCACTTGATTGAAAACATTGCCGGGGAGCATGTCTTACTAACCGCCGCCGCATCAGAACGGCCAGCAATTCATGGACATCACCGAGCACGGCGGCCTCGGCTCATACCATGTCAAGACCAACGCAAAGCCTGTCTTCCCTTCGAAAGTCCACCTCGAATCTGAGATCAAGCCTCTTCTCAAAAACTTGACCAAGTCGCACATGAAAGATCATCTCGAGACCTTTACCGGCTTCCGAACTCGTTATTACAAGTCCGATTACGGCCGACAGTCATCCGAATGGCTTCTCAAGCAGGTCCAGAGCACGATCGAGGACGCAGGTGCTGATGAATATGGCGTCGCTGCAAAGCACTTTAAACATCCATGGGGTCAGAACTCCATCATTGCCACCATTCCCGGCAAGTCTAATTCGACTGTCGTCATCGGCGCGCACCAAGACTCCATCAACTTGTGGCTGCCTTCCATCCTACCTGCCCCTGGCGCCGACGACGACGGCAGTGGGACAGTCACTATCCTGGAGGCCTTCCGTGTCCTTCTGCAGTCGCAACATGTCATTGAGGGCAAGGCCCCGAACACCATCGAGTTCCACTGGTACTCCGCCGAGGAAGGTGGTCTCTTGGGCTCACAAGCCATCTTCTCCGAGTATGAGAGACAAGGGCGTATCATCAAGGCCATGTTGCAACAAGACATGACTGGTTTCGTCCAGCGCACCATTGACGCTGGCAAGCCTGAGAGTGTCGGCGTCATCATGGACTATGTGGACTCTGGCTTGACTGCTTTTATAAAGAAAGTCATCGAGGCCTACTGCGACATTCCGTGGGTAGAGACGAAGTGCGGCTACGCGTGCTCCGACCACGCATCTGCTTCAAAGGCTGGGTATCCTTCGGCATTTGTTATTGAGTCCGAATTCGGTGAATCTGACAACCACATTCACGGCACAGACGATCTCATTGATTACCTGTCTTTCGACCACATGCTACAGCACGCGCAGATGACCCTTGGTCTTGTGTACGAGCTTGGCTTCACCGATTTTGTGAAACTGGAGAGTAAGTCGGGCAACTCAAAGTTTGGCGAATTGTAACATCTTGACTAGGTTGGCGACGGGGGATTTTCTTCTGCAATTCTAAAATGAAATATATACTCGTCTTCAATATTGATTCAATCCATATTGCGATAGTTGAATACACTCGGACCAACGTCATTCAAGTACTCGTCTACTGTAGTCTCCGACTAACTTCCTGTAACTCAATCTGCAAGTGACCCCTGCAGTCCAATCATGCCTTGGAGATGGCTGTGCCAACAAAGTTTACTGGGCCAATCAGTGCTGTCGTCGTCTGACGTCATGAGTTGGCTTTGAGTGTCCCGGCGAGAGGTGAGCAAATCGACTGCGGGTGTCAACTCGGTGTTGGAAGATGGTGGAATTTGTACCTGAAGTTCTGTAGTGATGGACTGGGGTAGCACTAAGGTTGTATAATTCATTGCCAAGAAATCAAAACGATGATTATATCCATGTCGATGGATCTAGATCTCTGTCATTCGGAAATAGTGGATCTAGTGTTTCCGGATGGGCGGCACAGCCTCTTGCATAGTATTAGCTTGACCCTGTCAAGAGTGACGCAAGTAGCCGCATTTCTTGGCATTAGTATCTTCTAGGGGCCAGTTCCTGGATTTTGCACCACCATCACGGCTCTCGCGGCACCTACATAATGTCTTGGTGCTGCCGCTGTGCCATCAAGCAGACGAAGTATGACGATCCTGCATTTCCCCACTAGCTGCCATTGTACTGCGCCGGTTATTCGTGAAAGTATATGAACCACAACCATGTCGTCCACGGACCAGACCGGACTGCCAAAGCTTGGCAGTGTCCTCTATCAGGCCTTTGTCGAGTTTCCTTATAGTGCTTATTCAGTTCCCCGAGTTCCTGATCAGAAGAAACCCCTAGAGACCTCCGCGATGGCACAGGTAGATATAGGTACTGCGGGCCTGACAAACTTTTCTCTCGACGAACCTCTGGCTCGCTTCTGCCAATCAGATGATAGCGTCTCAGCACTTCTTGCGCAAGATCCAACGTTGTCACCTGGCCAGGCATGGAAGAAGTTATCTCATCATTACAAGAACAAGTCCCATGAGACGCAAGACATTAGGGACATCGGAAAAGGCGAAGTCACAGACGAGCAGCTCGAATTGGCTTTCAGATGTGGAAAATGGGGCAAAACTCGGCCGAGCAGACTTTTTCTCAGAGTAAGTCAACGCACTTGCTCTGGATCCGTGTTACTTACAGTATGAAGCTCTATCACGATTCGCTATGCACTTTGAATGACAATCCAGCGCATGGTATGGCTGACCCGTCATTGTTGGGAAGCAGTGGTGTCGCGCCGCTTGCTATACTTTCGGTGTAAGCTTCTTGTACTGACTAGCACTTGGGATTGCCTGCTAAAAAGAAAACCTTAAGCATCCCGGACATTGTGAGACACATGTCGAACTTGATCGTTAGGGCGGAGAAAGAAGTCATACTTGCCACGAACTTTTGGCAGAACAGTGCTGCTTCCAAATTTATCACTGATGCCATGAAAGAAGCTTCTCGCCGTGCTGGCGAGCGGGGCACCAGGCTTGTCATGAAGATCATCTACGACCGAGGAAGTCCCAGACAACTTTTTGAGCCGCACTATATCGTGTCGGAAAAGGAGTATACGGGCAAAGCCGTCGGACTACCGCATAAGCATGAGATTCCAAATATCGATCTTGAGGTCATGAACTACCATGATCCAATGCTGGGCACATTTCACGCAAAGTTCATGATTGTGGATCGCAAGATTGGCATCGTACAGAGCAATAACATTCAAGACACCGATAACATGGAGATGATGGTCCACGTTGAGGGTGCAATTGTGGATGGACTCTATGACATGGCACTGTTAAGTTGGCACAAGAAGCTTGATCCACCTCTGCCTAGTTACAGTACGCCGGCAGCTCAAGGTGGTCTAGGAAGCTTTACGCCCAGTTTCGAATCGATATTCACTGCTCAGGGCACGCTGAAAGGCCACGGCGTTACAATCGATCCTTCCAGAATTCAGCGGAGGGCTGCTCCTTATGGCCTCGGAGCTGATCATATATTGTCGTCCAGCCAAGGTCCCTCTTCAACAGAGAACACTGTACCCGCGTTCTCCTCTGCTGGCAACGCTTCTGCTGTAAGCGGTGGCGAAAACGGCAACAACCACGGTTCAGGTATTGTCTCATCTACAGGTGCTACTGATTTTGGGACTGAAGGATATCTCCGGACTGGCGAGCAGGCCGTGCCACCACATCAGATTAGCGAACCAGCAAATGGAGCTTCGCTTCCTGAGCACAATCATGACGACCCACATTACGACATTGATATTGCCGGCGAAGTAGCACGGGTACAGGCAGCCGTCTCAGCTAAGCCTGGAGAGTCACAGATGCAGGCTATCACAAGACACCTCAACCACACCGTCAACAAGGGGTTCAAGGGCGATGCGCCTGAATGTGATGCAGCGGATGAGATGACACCATATATTCCTCAACCTACCCACGAACCTTTTCCTATCGCGCTCGTCAACAGATTTCCATATGGCCCACCAAACCATAAGTCGGTGTCGAACCCCCAGAACGCCTCATGGTTGTCAGCCTTTCGAAATGCTGAGAAGAACGCCTTCATCCAGACGCCAACGTTGAATGCAGAGCCATTGATACCAGCTATCATTGAAGCGTGTGAGCGCGGAATCGATGTATATTGCTATGTCTGCCTTGGCTACAACGATGCGGTTCGTACACCTCCCAATGATTTATTGTCTTAGTACGAAATACTAATTGTAAGGCAGGGTGAACTTCTGCCAATGCAAGGAGGCCACAATGAGATGATCGCCGCACACCTTTACAAATCTCTCTCGCTCGCGGCACGCCAACACTTGCACTACTTCTGGTATGTAGGAAAGGATCAGACGCGCCCGATAATTGCCGAACACAAGAAACGCTCTTGTCACGTTAAGCTCATGATCGTGGATGAAAGCATCGCTATTGTTGGGTCTGGAAACCAAGATACTCAGAGCTGGTTTCACAGTCAGGAGGTCAATATCATGCTCGAGAGCCGCGATGTGTGTACCAGTTGGATTGATGGGCTGAGGCGGAATCAGAACACGCATAGGTATGGTGCATTGAGCCAGGAGGATGGGGTATGGAGAGACCCCAGTGGGAAGGAAGCCGAGGGTGCGACGGGGGCAGACCCTGGACGATTTAGCTGGGCTAAAGGTGTTGTGGGTGCGGTTCAGAGGTTGAAGGGTACGGGTGGGTTTTAACAAGTATAATAAGTATTACGGGTTGGCGAAAAGGATGGGAATAAGGCGTTTCGTTAACGGAGTATCCGGTATTTGGAGCTTGTAAATACACTTACTTGGTACTATACTTCCTGAACATTAAAGAAAGGCTTCAGCTTGACTCACAATTTTTTTTTTGTAGATCTTCGGCTACGTGGTTATGCAGTTGTGACTACATCAAATTGGGAGCTGCTAATTGGCCGGAAATGGTGCAATGTAAGCTTTTGTGAGTCACTATATGGAAACATACCACCAGGTATTCGTTCAGTCCAGTTTGCCTCTACCACACCCGGTTAATCCCTGAATGCATAAAATATTATCGATAAAACAAAAGTTTCATGGAGCAAGATGGGAATCTACGCCATCAGGAACAAAAAAGAAGTTACCATAAGACCCGAAGGTGTTTTTACCTCCACATATGGGGTAACACAACAGTGACATGGATGTAAATAATGCGAACATTAGAGCACCCAAGTCTGCTCAAGAAATCGAACACGATATACTCGGGGTCCTGTTTCCTACACCATTCGCCTGTGCTAAGCTGACAGCGCTGCCCCAGGGAACGACCAACTTTGTATTTCGCGGCACGTTGACAGAACCCGTCCCAGTATCGTCTGACGAAGACCACGCAGTCTCGGAAAAGATCGAAACGGTCATCGTCAAGCATGTGGAAAAGCACACAAGGCTCAATCCGGCTCTGCGGCTTGATAGTCTTGACGGTGTAAGCGGAACCCCATTGACCCCTGTTGCACTTTTTAATCTGCTCACATGACAAGGATAGTTCGAGCCTTCGATTTTGAGTCATCTGAGACAATTCCGATGGGAGGAATCTTCAGGTTCAACCTCCTCCGCTAAAAGCTCATCAGGACAGCTGGGCGGACATGTTCGAGTCCCACACGTACTTTTCGCCGGCCAAGATACCTTTGTCGTGGAAGACTTCGGCCAAGATACCAAAGACATGGCCGCCTGGCTCTTGGGGCCGGAACCTGAATTACGCCACAAAGCGAAAAGCGTGGGACAATGGCTTAAGGCCTTTCACCGCTGGGCCATAGAGCCAAGCCAGGAAAAGCTTGTGGCAAGATTAGCAGAGAACTCGGCAATGGGTGAGTTCAGGATCGACATCATGTATAGAGGCATCTCCGCAGTGTGCGAAAAACTCGGTCTGTTGGACGGGGATACCATTACCGCTTTTAAAGAAGTCGAAGCCCTGATTCTGCACGAATTTGCAGAGCGGGATCCAGGCAAGGCTACGGGGGAAGAATGGGGCCCGATTCATAGCGACTTCTGGACTGGCAAGTATGGCTTTGCATGTCGCGAGTATGTGATTGGTGAGAGATAGCTAATCACACGAATAAAGTGTCCTTGTTCCAACACCAGAAGGATCCGGCAGAAGGCCCTATTTCTCGGTCATTGACTGGGAATTCGCCCATCTCGGCTTCAGAGCATATGATCTTGGCCACATGACCGGCGATCTGATCGAAAAGCACCAGCTTGGAAGACTAGATGGTTTTACCGCAGCCTTCGGAGGATTTGTGGAAGGCTATAGCAATATAAGCAGAGATATGGCATTCCGTACCCTCATCCATGCAGGAGCACAGCTTATATGCTGGTACTTTAGAGGACCGAAGAAAGGGCTGCATGACGATGAAATCCGCCGCATCATCAAGTTGGGGAGAGACATGATATGCTATGGTATCAAGAGGGATGAATATTGGTTCCGTGACAACGGGTTTGGTCCTATTATATCTACTCCACACGTTGAACAGCAGTTATAAGTTGCCTTCGGCCATTGGTCTTGCACCAAATAACTGCCTCCCGTCAGATCTTTGGGCGCAGTCGTTTTCTTGGAGGAGGCAGATTGTTCGGCTGGTGGAAGATGCGACGGATGCGGATGACTGGGCACCGTTCAAATGACGATGGTTAAGAGGGAGGATCGAGCGAGTCGTTGACACATTTAATGTACCCTGGGTCGCCCAGGAAGTAGTGCTCAGAGATTTCGAAGAAATCGACGTTCTGGGACTCGTATCCCAGCATTCCCAGCTCCTCGAGCTCGTCCAAGAAGGCATCCATGTAGCCCGAAATAATCCGTCCGTCGCACGCGCGCCTGTTCGCTCCCCGTGCTTCTTGTTTATAACGCTGTTGGGCCAATTCATCTAACCATTTGAAAATATATATCATACGCCTAGCAGGCTGCCCTCGATATTCTACAATTCCATCTGCCCAGCCATGTTCTTTTCGTAAAAGCCCCTCCCAAGGGGTTCTGAGAGGGTGCTCGATTGTGTACCCCGACATAGGTCCACCCCAAGTCTCCGGCCCCTTGACCCGGTTCAAGGAATTGGTAACGGCATCCGAAAGGCTCGCGGGAAAGTAAACAGTCAATACTTCGCGAAGATTGTAAGGCAGGAAAAACGTCCCGTAGAAAACACCAAAGCCACCTTTATAAGGCAGGTGCATCAAGAGAGTCCTCCGCACCCGATTCTCCTCGACAATTTGCATAAAGCGCTTGGACTCCTCAGACTCGAGGAATTTCGTCCTGCCATTGTTATTGTGCCATTCTGTAGAATAGTTAATCTCGTTGATCGGTGATGATAGTTCTCATTCTATAAGCACAGGTGTTGACTCACCAATTACGAAGAACTCAGGAGTAGGCGTTTCCTTGCTTTCTTGGCGTAAAATTACGCGGCAGCCTGGGTGCCGACGAACATGTCGCAGAATGTCAATCAGCTCCAACAATTCTGCGGCATCCTGGAACTCGGAGCCCTCGACGCTGTACCATTCGAGGACTGGGCCTCCTGGTGGGTTCTCCCGCGCGTTTGCCTCCGGCTTTGGCGGCGGCGGCGGCTTTGCTGCCGTATTCACATGTTTGTCTCGTCGCGTTGCTGGGTTTTTGGGCGTTTTGGATTGCGGAGCCGCTCTAGTTCGTTTCCGAACGCTCGAGGTTGCTTTAGAGGACTTGCGGCTGTGATTTTTGGACGCCGACCGTGTCACGGGTACCATGATCACATTTGCGGTATGGACCAAGTGCTGCGTGATACCTTGAGATGTGCTGGAGTTACTGTTCCTTTTGAGCACAATGCATGTACATCCCGGTAGAAGAGGTAAGTAAGGCATCGGCCAACAGCTAAAATAGCGATAGCTTCCTTGGCAATACGGATACCTTTAGGTTAGCTAGCTACTTAAGATCGGGGAGCCGGTGGGTGGAGTTGTCAGGGGTCACTTACATGTAGTATTATAGCCGTTGATCCGATTTCTGGTTGGAGTTGGCTATTGTAGGCCCCTTGTTTTCGAATGTAGCTAGATCAGTGATCCAACTTTCCTGCGTCTTATTAAATCATTGGATACTGCTTTATATGCAAGGAAATCCATTAACTTTGGTTGTGCATCACATTAGCCCTTGTTCATATCCACCTTTCAATGCCAAGCGTGTGAACTAGTCTTAGAAGAACAAGAATGCCGAGCATCGCACCCCAATACTGGTACTGAGGAATGTGACTTTTAGTAGTAGAACAAGTTATCAAAATTTGTATTGATCGAGGATGCTGACGGGGAAAAGAATAATGATTCAATCACAACAAGCCGGCTGTGCCTCGTTGCATCAGAAACAAACAACGATAGCATGTTTGCGCTCTCGCGTAACAGACCGGAGGACTACAGTACTCATCCTACAGATTCATCTCTACATAGCTACCATGCCACAATTCCGTGCACTTATACCGCTCAATAGCGGGTACTGAGTAAAGTGCGGGGTATGACTCCACTAACTCCAGTTTCCAGGATCTTGGAGGTATGTAAGAAACCAAGGTCACCTATGTGGATAGGAGCTGGGGAGGTTGGACATGATGTTCGGTAACAATTCCGGCGACGGCCTTCGGTATATTCCACGATGATATCATTCGTCTCTTGCTGTTCATATAAAGGTGGTGTACAATCATGTACTGAGGCATCAGCTTTTGTTGTCGCTACCACTCAGTAACACTAGAAGACCTCGCTGGTGGTACCTGGATGTCACAGCGTACATCGGCCAACCTTCATCCCCACCATGATCATATCTCACCGTCTCAAGTTCTCTATACTGGCGAGTTGTGTAATAGCTAGTCAAAAAGTTACAGATTTTACTCAACATGTAAACCTATTCATTGGCACTGAAGGTCCGGTACCGGGAACCGCATACAGCGCTGGAAATGTCTTTCCAGGTGCTTCATTGCCATTTGGAGCTGTGAAGGTCGGCATTGACACTACCAGGTAAGCGAATGTGTCTGAAAATCTGAATTCAGGATTCCGTCGTCTAAAATTTTAGGTGGAATGTATCTTTTTCGGCCAATGCGGGCTATACCCCTGATGGTAATGTTACTGCCATCACGATGCTCCATGAAAGTGGGACGGGAGGTGCACCGACGTACGGTCTAATTCCTCAAATGCCGATAACGACCCTAGATGGCGTTAATCTGTTAGATAATCTCACTTACATGCAGCCACGAGTTGGCGAGGACATCGCTTCAGTCGGTTACTATCAAACGCGGCTTGAAAATGGTGTCACTGCCGAAATCAGCGCTTCAATGCATGCAGGCATCATTAAATACCAGTATCCAGAGTCGGGCCAGCGGTTGGTCGTGGTTGATCTCAGCCATTTCATTCCAAGCACCGGCAAGAAAGAACAATGGTACAGCAATGGTTTTATCGAGAGAAGTGAAGACGGTTCGTGGTATTCGGGCTATGGTGTATACCGGGAAGGTTGGGCTTGGGGTACATTCCGTCAAGACCCATCTGAACAAGTTTTATCGCTGACAATCCATTAGGCGGCGATTTTAGGGTTTACTTCTGCGGCCATTTCGATACGACCCCCTCAGAAGCTCAATTATTTTCCGGCAAGGCTACTGATCCGTACTGGCCTAATACGACAGATGCGCGCCCTACTCTTACTAGTGAAACAACGATTCAGGGGGGTACCATAGGCTATCAATATGCGGACCGTATCGGTGCACTATTTGAGTTCCCACACAATATCACAACCATTACTTCCAAAGTCGGTGTTTCATGGATTTCAGCTGATAAAGCTTGCCAGTTCCTCGAAGAAATTCCTGGATGGGATTTTAATGCCACTGTCGACGCAGCTAAGGACCAATGGAACACAGAAGTACTCTCCAAAATCGATGTGAAGACAGCCAACCAGACAAGGCTGGAGATGTTCTATACTGGTCTATATCATGCGCATCTTCTGCCCTCAGACCGCACTGGCGAAAACCCTAATTGGGTCTCCAACGAACCATATTACGATGACTTCTACACCATCTGGGACACTTTCAGATGTCTGCATGCGTTGACAACTCTTATATTGCCAGACAGAGTAGTAGGAATTGTTCGTGCTCTGATAGATATATGGCGCTTTGAGCGTTTCATGCCTGATGGCCGAAGCCACAACGTCAATGGGAGAGTACAGGGCGGCTCGAATGCGGATAATGTCCTAGCTGATGCTTACGTCAAAGGTCTACAAGGTGGCATCAATTGGACCGATGGTTATCTGGCCATGAAAACCAATGCTGAATTACAGCCATACAATAACTTCGACTTTGAGGATCCAACTGGAAGCACCAAAGAGGGCCGCGGCGCGCTTCAAGACTGGAGACAGTATGGCTATGTCACGCCAAACCGTGGGCGTTCGCTTAGCAAAACTACGGAATATTCTCATAATGATTTCAGTCTGTCTCAGGTCGCGAAAGGTGTGGCGCCAAATGAAGTTGGACTTTACCTTAACAGGTCGAGGTTTGAACTCTGTGCTCAACTTTCATATGCAAGGTCTAACTCGCTATAGGGGTTGGCAGAAGACGTGGAACACAAATGTGACATCGCTTAACTTTACCGGCTTTCTGGCACCGACTTATGGAAACCGTACCATTCAAAATTACGATCCGTTGAGCTGTGGTGCATGTGAGTGGAGCTCTATTTCCTACGAGGGCGTACCGTGGGAGTACAGCTTCAGCTTCCCTTTCGATATGGAGACACTCATATCTTTGATGGGCGGACAAGAAACCTTTGAGTCACGCCTTGACACGATGTTTATCCCTGGTCTGACGAAATCGAACCAGGGAGGGAATAGCGCAGGTACCACAATTTTCAACCCAGGCAATGAGCCGAGCTTCATGACACCTTTCCTCTACAATTATCTCCCACAACGACAACATAAGTCTGTGAAGCGATCTCGAGAAATCGTTGATCAATATTACAACACGGGACGCTCAGGTATTCCGGGTAACGATGATGCTGGCGCAATGTCAAGCTGGCTCGTATGGAACCAGATTGGCCTGTATCCTGTCGTGACTCAGCCGGTTTATCTGATCCTTGCCCCATGGTTCGATGACATTACTCTCAAGCTTGGAGACGACGGATGTATCCTAAGGGTCAAGGCCAGTGGATTGGAAGATGGTATATATGTCCAAAGCTTAAAGGTCAATGGTCAAGATTGGAACCAGAGCTGGGTCAGCCATCAGGATCTGGTCAGGCCGGGCGGCGAAGATGCCTTATTAGAGTTTGAACTAGGCCCTGTCGCTACACTTTGGGACTCGGGAGATGTTCCACCTAGCCCAGGCGCTACTAGAAGTCAAAATTTGACTTAGTCTAGTCTAGTCGAAAAAGCCATGCACGATACATAATGAGAGAAACAGGAAAAACATAATCTTTTTATGCGTGCGCAGTGCTCTACCGTATCGCGAATCTATCAGTACATGTATCCTTCCATGATATCGACGTGCCAAATTGCCAAGCCTGTCATGACGGCCATTATCTCCCAGCCTTTTCTCTGGTCTTCTGACGTGCTCTCTTCAAAGAAACGGAATCCAAATATTTTCTTGCTCCCTGACTCACTATATTTGGACCAGGCAGCAACCACTTTATCAGCTTTTTCTGCGCTACTGGTACTCGAGGCATCGCTGTTGCTACCGCTGAGACGAACGAGTTTCCAACCATAGTCCCTCAGCCCCAAGCTGCGGACTTGCTTGCCACGGCTTGGACGCCATTCAAATACCTGCCGTTCTTGTCCTTTCGCATTCTCTCCTGCCTCATTCTCGACCGAGAAGGTGTACTTTCGCGAGCCCCTTCGAGAGCTCACCTTTAGTCCCTCGGGGTTAGGTGGATAAGAACTTCCTGTCTGTATTTGGTATCTGTCCCCATCCGGCGCTGCCTTGACAGACGCAACGATAGGGCTGTCTTGGCTGGCATCCGCGTGTAGGACCACATTGGGTTGACCTGGGTCTAGCATCACGGTTCCTAGGTCTATGTGATACAGCGGTGACGACTCCTCCGTGCCAATAAATGCCGTGAAGGGCCGTACAAGGCCGGTTTTCTGATATATGAAGAATTGTGCCGGGAAAGCTATGTTCCTTTGCAATGGCTCGTATGTAGGTAGGCTTTGCTCCCTTGTAGATTCGTACGAGGGAAGGTTGTCATGGTCGATGTGTGCCATTTTAGTGTAGGTTGGTAGAGCCAGAGATATGAGACAGCCGCAAAATTGTCCATAAGGATGCTATGTGATGCTTGGCGATGCATATGCTTTATAGTCCAGCAGAGCGCCACCCAATTTGGCATTTTCCCTCCATTTTCAGCTGCCAGAAAATTGACTCATAGCCCGGTGCATCACTATTGGCTGTAAGGACGACTATTTTTGATATATGTTGCGCGTCTCCACTAGTTAGTGACTAGTCAGAGCAGGCTTGCATGACGGTGCTGCCTGGTCTCGATATGTAGGATGCCTTACGGTCGGTCATCTTCAAAAGACTTTGTTTTTCCCACTTGTTTAAGGCAGGAGTTTGCGGACCTATCCAATCAAGAATATTGGCGGTGGGTCGCATACAGCTACGCGTACCACAGGAGACTGAGACTGATACGGAATTATAGTGACTAGGTTAGGTCAGTTGATTAGTCACGCAAGTACTCGCGGCTTATTCCTCGTCAATCCGCCAAAGCTGACGACTTCTGATAGGCACCAGATCTGACTCCAAAATGGGACTGAAAGTCTCCGCGTCAAGATTGTGACCGTAATTTGCCGGTCCAAATCCGCTCACCGGAGGGCACCAATCAGCATCTGATATGCGTCACTGGAATGCTGCGTGCGAAACTTTTGGCAACCATACAGACGCAGGTACCTCATTTAATTAAAAACAAAGGGAGGGAAAAATATTAGCCAATTAGGACAACTCAAATACCGGAAAAGCCTAGCAACGGTGACAGACCCATATTTTGTTTGAAAGCAGCCAAGTTGTGTCGCAATGACTTACGATATTTCTGACACTTATAATGCATAGCACCAAGCCAGGCAACAAAGGCCACATTGGGATGACATACTACATGGCCCGCCAAGCCAAATTACACTCAGTTAGTACGAACAACAATACTATGGTTGTCCTCGCTATCGTATTTCTCACAGGTCCCTGCCTGCACAGCGGGCCTAGCAGCTATCCTGGAAATCCATCCTAGTAAATTAGGGAAAAGTCTCATATCCTCCTCGGTGGACCCTAGACTTTTGTATGCTCTGACATGCGGCCAAGTGCCTATATCAGCTATGCTGTATTTGCCGATTCCCTTCCCTGCCAACCATCAAGATGCTGCATCTACCAACGATAGCGCGTCAGCATGGTTTACTTGTGTGATCCGGCGCGATCTAGACCTACATGGCGAAGGTTCTGCGGGCTTTCCATTGAAATGCCGAGTCTGTCCTTGAATTGGGACAGCTGCATGCCAGAAGAATAACCACTGTAAGACCTGGCTTTTCTCTTCTGCTGAGTTGAAGCCAAAATGGTCATCACTGTCGTAGTGTTCTTGTATATACAACAGAATGGCTGAACTGTCCATGACAGAAACTGCAATATCTTTAATATTGTCGTACAGGACCGGTACTCTACCTGCTATGGGTTAGTATTACTTCTCCGCGGTCTCGTTCATACAGACCAGGAGCAGACTACCGTTCGGGTCCAGCCTAAGAAACCATGTCTTCTTCTGCTCATCCGTCTCCAGGTTGATCAGATGCATCTCCCAGCAAAGCCTACTTGCAAGTCGAAGTTCTTCTAGCAATATTTGGACTTTCTTGCCGTTGGGCATGTTTTCCGTCAAGAGGTGTATGCTCTATTGTCTGTGAGGACCCAAGCACTGATAATACGCGTGTGCTTCGCGTACCTTGGATTCTGTTAGCCGTACAGGCAGTCGGAAGGTACTCGATACCTCCATCTAACCTATTACTACTACGAGGTAGGAGCACTTTCGGAAGGTTGAGGGAAGTCCTGGTGTGAAGCGATGAAGCAGGGCAAGTCTAGAAGTCGTCGTAATTCATACGCAAGCTATGGATCAATCGATGTACTGCAACTGGATGTAGTACGAACAAGCTTTAAGAATAAGCCTATTCGTCTGTTCCTCCAGGAATTGCCGAATCAACGTTTCGTGGCTGCCTAAGTTTGTGCAGGGGGCCTTGTCATGTTTACAGTGGATAGAAATTGCAGTATAATAGCAACAAGGCTATAGGCCCCATAAAATCGACATATTGTCACTACTGATATGAGCGATTATCATTCTAAAATCAGGCTTCCATTTATTTTCTTATTCTTTTCACAATGCTCATGGTACCTGCCGTTCAAGGCCTTGGTAATCGGTCGTGTTAGCGAGCAGGTTCGCAGATCTTTGGGACCGTATGTTCTGCTATACTCATGGACAAGAGCTTACACTCAGCCGCTTGTTTAAAAGGACTTTCCAAGTACAAGTAGTTGGTATCTTCGGTATCCACCCGGGATATCTATTAGCGCCTAGAACAGAGGATAGCTTCATCCCTCGTCCGTATCACAAACACCATCAATAAACCTATGATTAATCCCATCCGTATTACGTGTCCATCGACAGGTTTCTTACTTTTGTATTCACTGTGGATATCAAGTCCACAAGTGTGCTTAATATCCAACTTTAGGCAGACATAACAAGCGACCCTGGTCAATTACCCCGCCTACCAAAGTTGTGTTAAACACTGACTGGCGTTTTGAACCTTTGGGACCTCATGTGCTGTGCGGTCAATTGTGTTTATGCTCAGCTTCAAGCCCATGATCAACTACACATAGATAGCACTTAGGGCCCTCCTGTAATTATCGAAGTGCACCTATCGAGATGGACGAGCACATTGAGGACACCGGTCCACCGGTTTTGAGGACCATCCACAGCAAACCGTTGCTGATATACGGAACATCTCGAAAGGAAAACCGGACAGCGTTTCTTACCGAAACGGCTTTGAATATCGGGTTCACAGCTGTTGATACAGCAAACTATCCGCCCGCCTATAAAGAGTCTCACACAGGCGATGGTATCGCAGCAGCTCTCAAGTCTGGCGTCGTCAAGCGGGGAGATCTCTGGGTAAGGCAAACCGCATCCGCCATAGCTGGTCCAACCAGTCGGTCTTGGCGAGACGGACGACTGGTTCACTATGGGATTTCTAATGTTCAATAGATTCAAACAAAGTTCTGCCCAGCTTTTGCGATGCCTCGCGACCAGCTCCCATACAATCCAGATCAGAGCATCGAAGGACAAGTAAAGGAATCAATCCAACAAAGCCTAGAGAATCTGAAAGTCGAATACCTTGACGCATTCCTACTGCATGGACCTTACCGCGATAACGAGGACAGCATTGCCGCATACAAAGCTTTCGAGCAATTTGTTCCGCATACCATCAAGCAGCTCGGCGTGTCCAACGTGAGTCTACAACAACTGAAGGCCGTATACGATGCAGCTTCTGTCAAACCCACCATTGTGCAAAACAGGTTCATGCGCGATACGTCCTATGACATTGAGGTCAGACACTTCTGCGCAGGCCACAACATCACGTACCAAGCATTCTACATGCTTACGCACAATCCCGAGCTGCTTGCATCAGACGTTTTGGCATCGGTTGCTGAGAGGTTAAACATTGAGAAGGAGGTGGCCTTCTACGTTTTGGTTTTGAGTCTCGGGGATGTGCAGGTTCTCGACGGTACGACGCAATCGGTGAGGATGAAGGCCGATCTGACGGAGATCACCTCAATATTCAAGAACGATAGAACGATATCGGATCTCAAGCCATTTGTTATCGAGTTTAAAAAACTATTACAAACGAGCGTTTGAATAGCTGATATATTTCTTGGATATGTGCTCTATTATACGCTCACTCTCTGTCAAACGTCGTAACATGTCGCGAATAAACTTAAAATGATCGACTTAAAGATCAAAAGGTTTCGTTTCATTCAAAATGGCGGCCAGCATTCAGTAGCAAGTAAAGAGATAACTACGATGATAAGGACAATGATTTAGTGCCTAAAGGTGATGCGAAAGAATATATACTTACTTCGCAGGGACTGGCACCTATGTGCATAGACGTCTTTGGCCCTTTTGGGTCTTTCTAGGGGTGGGTGCCGTTTTGGCAGATAATGTTATACTAAATGTGCTGCGAAGCATTGTGCTAGAGTTTGCAATCGGACGAACTGCAATGTCATCTCAGACCTGTGATTACATCATTCGCATTCTCGCCTCAATTTCCGTTGAGCCGGCGAACCAGGGTGTTGTCGTTGTTGGAAAAAGTTGTCGGTATCAAGCTTGAAGAGCTGACGGGCAGCTCCCTTGAAGCTCTCAGGATAGGAAGCAACTCAGCAGCTGTTCGCTAGACAACTGCACTGGACTTATGCTGTTGTAGTTCATTCATTGGCCTGAAGGTTCATTCTTACGGAAATTCACTATTCAATTATCCATTCCGCCTGTAACATCAAATGAGAATTGCGGCAGCACATATCCGTACAAAAGACTGGCAGTAAAGCAATTACTAATCAACACCAATCAGCATTCTGATTCATTATTCCCTTGTTGCGATACCTGACCACTCATTGATCCACGCAAAGACTTGACGATTCCATTCGAGTACATTCTCTTCTCTCGACACAACATGATTCTCATCCGGAAAACTCAAAAATCTCGTCGGTGTGCCAAGCGCTTTCAGTGTGTGAAAAGCTGCCAATCCCTCAGTAATCGGGCAGCGGTAATCCTTGTCGCTATGAACTACTAGCATCGGAGTTTTCCAGTTCTGGAGCAAATCGGGACGCGCTGGATTATATCGCTCCAAGCCATCAAAATTGCTCCATATGAAAGGCGGGCCACCAAATTCGCGATAGAATTGTGGCAAGGCGTCGGTCTGTAGAAGGAACGTGGGCAAGTGGAATATGCCATCATGGCAGACGAGAGCTTTGAACTAGCGAACCAATATTAGTCAAGTGATCTCGTAGTAAGGTGGATTGTGTAGAAGCCCTACTCGACGCCCGAGGTCTTGTCCCTGGATCCAATTCATCATGTACCCACCCCAGCTACCGCCTGCGGCCACCGCGTTGTCCATATCAATTCCAGGCATATGCTTGATGTGTTCGAGGCAGTTGACTAGATCGTCATATGGACGGCCTCCCCAATTATCTTGGATGGCTGTACAAAATCAGTTTCGATCTATACTTTAACCTTTTTAACATACCTTCAGCCATTTCCAAGCCAAAGCCATCACTTCCGGTGATGTTGGGTGCTACGACGATGTAGCCTTGCTCAGCCCATACTAATAGATTCCACTGTGGCCATTAGTGAAGTTCTGTCATCATATCCAGCGGGGCGACTAACCCACGCATTCCATTCATCATCCCAAGAATCATTGGGTCCTCCGTGGACTTGGAGACATAGCGGATACTTTTTCTTGCTTGGGTCAAAATCCCTCGGTTTGATCACCCAAGCGTGGACAAAGTAGTCTGCGGTGCCTTCAAAATATATCTCCGAGACCTGCTTGGGCGATAAACCAATATTGTTTAGTTTTGAGGTTTTGGAAACGATCCACGGATCAGATTCTATCATGGGGCAGCTATCAATGATTTGACAGATCCAAGGTTCGACGAAGCTGGAACTTGTCACAAGCAGCTTGGTAGTACTCCCGTCTTCTGGTCGAAACTGGTGATACGCTGAAACGGACCCGTTACGGAATATGATCTGAGGACAGGCGTTTGGCAGGAGGTTCAGCTTGAACAAAGCGACTCTCCCGGAATCCTTGGCCTGGATATAAACAGAGTGACCGTCCAGCGCAAACTCAAAATATGCCGGTTTCAAGCCCCAACTCTTGCCTGTCACCATCGCGCAAACGTCGATAGCACTGCATGACTCCACATGTTTTATCCATATTGATTTTTCCAAAGGCTTTTCAAAGGATGATCTCAGGAAAGCGATCATGGTCCCGTTGGGACTAAACCTAGGCTGGGAACAGTGACCGTCTCCTGTTGTTGATTGAGGATGGACGTCTTGCTGTAAGCAAATCTTTAAAGGGCCCGAAGTGCTGGCATCGGAGAAGGAGCTCAAGGGGAGATGGTAGATGCTGGTCAACCGAGCGTTTCGGGGATGGTTTACGTTTTGTTCGGTGGCAGAGAATATGATGCCCCGATCGCTTATGTCGAATTCTTTCCTGCGATCTCCTGGCTCATACATGAAAGGTGGTGCGGTTAATGTCGTATCCCGCAGGACATTTTTCAATGGCTTGTTTAGTTTCCAATCACCGTCCTCTCTGACCAAACTAGTGTACCATAGTGTAGAGTGTTGTGATCCAGGATACGAGTCCCACTATATGAAGGTTGAGAGTCAGTTCCTCCTAGAATTAAAGTGACAGGCACTTACTATACGAGGATTCCAATTGTCAGTGACTCTAGCTGTATGCGGTTTCTTGTCGTTTTCCTTGTTATAGAGGATACCCTTAACATCTGCAAGCCCGGCAACCACGAAAGCTATAGAGCCATTCTTCAGGGCCTTGACTTTGAGAGACTTTACTGGTGCTTCGATAAAGTCCACGATGGATGGCTCGGCCGCAGGTGTGTCAGCATCAATCGTCTTGATCCATGTATACCCTTCTTCTCTTTGACTCAGATACAGAACTGTATTGGTGCCATTACCAAGCCAGACTACGTCTCTAGCCTTCTCATCAGCAATCAACTGCTCTGTTTTGCCTGTACCAATATGCAGGACACGGTATTCTGTTGAGGTTTTCCCTCCAACTTCGTGAGTTGATTGGCTGAACAATGCAAGTGTCCCGTCATGATTTGGAACTGCCGGGCCCCGTTGGGGAAGGGCAACGAGCAATTCTGGTGTAAATTTAGGTACAACAACCATACTGACCACGGCGATATCTCACAGCAAAACAAACAAGGCTTGACTGCCGGTTTCTTGGATGAATTTGACAGTTGTATCATGGGTACGCGATAAAAAAAGACCCGTCTTCGATCAGAGCAGTACGCAGACCATTGCGAGGCCTAGGCGTAATCGTTTTGTTGGATGGCAAGCCAATGACGCGGCGGGCAGCCAAGAAAGGCTCCTTTTCCTTCAAGAATTCGGCTGCCTGGGATGGAGCTTGGTACAATTCCCACTAGGCCGGTTATTGCCAGCCATGTACGTACGCGAGGAGTGGTTAACAAAAGATTTGAATCCTACTCAGAAGCTTTTGCATTATATAAAGAAAAGTGTCAATATTTGCAATTGTGGTTACTGCGTGCTCGCGTAGGGGGTTGGAGGTTGCAGCAACAAGCACCACGAAACTGAACATCATGATGCAGTATGAGAATGACTGCAGTTGATTGAGTTGTTGTAATGCATGCCTTGAATTGCGTAGTAATTGAGGGTGAATATATATATTTAAATATTTCATTGAGCGAAATCTTTGTACGTGATCGCTGGTGCAATGTTTTAATGAATAGTAGAAATTTGACATAAAAAGTAAGTTTATTGCAAAAGTCAACGAACAAAGAAAAGTTCCTTGGCCCTGCATAAGTGACTTCTTCACCTAGTCTAGGGTCGCATTTAACGTGTTGATCTATCCTAAGTTAGTCTAGCTGGCAATCTACGGAGTCCAGGTGAACATTATTGGATACAGGCTATTCAGATAGCAGGAACTGGATATTGCTATGCGCAAAGGGTCTCTTGCATGAACAACCATCATGTCGCACAGCCAGCAGTACATGTAAGCAATGAGTATAACGTGTACACATAAGTGGCTCAAAAACATCGCCTCATTTATTATTATGCAATCATTTTGCTTTCAACCTCTTTGACGCCTAGGACACCACCACCTTCGCCTAAAGCCCCCATTCTAAATTCACAGCAACACTGCAGACTGTTATCACCACCACAACCAATGTCCACACCACTCTCAATTTGTCGACATATTTGCAATGTCGATACCTCCTTCGAAATTATCGTCATGGTGGTCCTAAGCACCATGAATACCTTCTGGCCACCCCAGGTGGTGAAGGCAGGAAACAGGTTTAAGCTCATAGGATATTTCAAATACACTACCCAATGCACCAGTTATCAGGCGGATGAGTTAGCATAATTATCATGGCACGTACAGCGTGGTCTTCCAAGATCATATGGATCACCATGTTTTATCTTGATTAACGTGTTTCTTGTCAACTGAGAGACTGCCTTGGTTGGTGGAATGAATAGTGCGACCGACTAGCTGCAGATCCACAGTCGAACCTCAATCCCAAGTTCAATATCGAGAACCTTTGATCCTCCTCAGAATCAGACCCATTTGCGTGGTGATAATTTACTACACGCAGCAAGTCAGTGAAGAAGGTAGAATATATAGTTCATATCATTATAACAGTACTCCGGGACACCCTTTGGTTAGAGTCTATCCCCATTTCTTGAAGTGAGCCCAGTATGTATTCTCATCGTCTTGTCAGTTTATTACCAAATATAGAGATAGGATAGCCACTGACGATACAGTAATATATTTCCCACACATGAGCTGCATAATATCTTGTACGTCTCAGCCTTGAGAATGGTCCAACTCCCGTAGTTCCTCCTCTTTCCGATCAATGTGTTGTATAGGAAAGCGTATTTCCACTGTAATCGTAGTCCTCCGCATGTAAGGAGAAATGAAGATGTGGAGAGGAAGAGCTCTGAGAATTTTCAGGCTATGAAGTAGACTACTTCTATTATATCACTGATAACTGCTCGCAACAGACATCAATCGTTTCAGGCGACACAATGGGCAATGAATATGATTGAATCGCCATTCCACGTGGCATGCCAGTTCCGTGCCCGGTGGGTAGGGGTGGTCTTAGATCTCATGCCGTTTCAAACTATAAGAGAGGAAGCTCAGTCCCAAACTAACATTATTAGCATCGCCAACCCTCACGGTCTGGCCAAATGCCACCACTAGTACAGCCTCAGCACACCTACCTTGGGTTGTCTGTACAGCGTCTTACGCAGTGTCACATAATTGTGGAAGATGCAATACCTGGCAAGTAGTCCTCCGTCAGGGCCTCTGCGGATGCTTCTCTGAATTTGAGCTCTCAGCATCGAGTGATTTTTGCCACAGTCCAGGTGCTCTGACGCTGACGGTGGGCATTCATTCGCCGTAAGAAGAGATAGAATTAACCTAGTCGCTCGTGCCACTAGGTCTGGATATCCTCGGTCATCCCTTCGAAAGGGACATTCCAAAAATCATAGGAAATACCATTATCCAGTCATCAAAACCTCCCAACCAGCTGCGCAGACGGCAGTGCTACAATTAGGCACTTACTCGCAAGCTTGACAGCTTGGTATTCAGAGAAGCGGGAACACGTCCGCCATAACTGTGCGAGAGTATGTATATATAGACTAGGAGTATGCACCGGAGGCAAGAGATGTCTTAGTGCAACACACCTGTTGGGTGGGGCAAAGCAGTATGTGAGATCTGCTGCAATCATTCCACGGGTACCATTGACGATAGTTGCCATCAATGCGGTAGGGCACCGCAGACAAGACGGTCTCAATTGAGTTTATTTTCTTTGTTTTCAAGACGCTGATAATTCATGTGTGGAAAGCTTTCATAGCATCCGGAGGGGCGCTCTGTAGGAGAGCCCAGCAAGCATGTTGGCCAAAACCCTGTTACGATAATATCCACTTAGCAATACATGCAATTTTCTGTTCTTGGACGATGCGAGGGACTTTTTCCTCACAGATACCACCTTACAACCTTAGTAGTATATTATAATTTCAGTTAGATTCTCGAGAATAAACCGTACCTCACCCGGGAGGTCCACCTCTGGGCTAACTTAATAGAAGGAAGTATGTCTTAATCGCAAAGCTAATGCACAATATCTATAATGATTATAGTCCCGATAGCGGCTCTCCCACTGCGAGATATCCCAGCACTGTGAAGCCTGCAAATCCGTATTTCCAGCGCCTTAGTAACGCCGCAGCGCACCCTTCGGCGCTTGATCTCGCGGTAATTGTCACCGAACCAGGCATGCTCCGGTAGCGGCTTCTAGCGACATCAGGCTTACTCTGGCTTAGAAAATGGATGGATATGAGTCGCCGAACTTCCAATCCAGCTTATCTCTAGGATATAATCATACGATAACCCGTAAGAAAAGCACGTCTGATCGCGTTCTTCGACAGGGTTGGTGATGGAAATGTCAACAGCTCGACCGTTACAATAGTCCCTTCTCCTGCAGCTTTCTTGTAGAGTACATCTTCAATTTACCAAGACATCTCTACGAGATTTGGATGGCGTCGTTCTCAAGTTTTGTGATCATCATCAAAGAAGCATCCCCGTGAAGCACTTTCCCACTGCGGAATGCGCAGAGCGTTCTTGGACAAGCTTACGAACACACAATAAAGGGGAAGAAGAGACCGGTGGCAGTTGGTTGGCGGGTACGAAAAGGGTTCTGTTTTATTTTACTTCATTCTTTTGGGCAAACGGGAAGCCTTCATTCAGTATGAGAGACGAGGTCCAAACCCAAAGACTGGCACCCTCGCTCGATCCGCGAGCGCCGCATATCGTCCCCATGTCAACGAAACCTCCAACGGAAGAAGTCAAGGCGCAGCTGCAGAAGACCTGGAACACCAAGAACCTGGGCACCCGGCTGGCCGCTGACTTTGCCAGCGCAGCTTGCGCCGCCTCCATGGTCGCGCCGCTGATTTCTATCATCGACAGGTAAGTCTTTGCGCGGCCCAGTCTACGTGACCGTCCCAACGCCACAAGGTCGTGAAAGGTCCCACGCTGACTTGTCTCTCCACCTCAGGTCGATCATGGAAAACGCCTCGGGTCGCCAGTCCCTCGGCAGCGCGCTCAAGTCCTCGCTCGCGGCCTTCCTGCGACGGCCCCATACATTCCTCTTCTCGAAGCCTGTGGCCCTGATCTTCATGGTGTACGGAGGCACCTACCTAACGGCCAACACGCTCGACACGGCCTCGTCGACGGTGTACAACAAGCCGGCGACGCACGTGGCGGCGGGCACGATCAAGTTCGCCAGCGGCTCCGCGGCCAACGTCGGTCTTGGCATCTACAAGGACCAGGTCTACGTGAAGCTGTTCGGGCCGCAAGGGCCGCCGCGGTCGGTGCCCCTGCCGTCGTACGTGCTGTTCACGCTGCGGGACTGCATGACCATCTTCGCGTCGTTCAACGTGCCGCCCCTGCTCGGCCCCGTGCTGTCGGACCACCTCTCGCACGAGTTCCAGAAGAAGATCTCCGGGCAGACCGTCGCGCAGTTCGCCGCCCCGGCCGCGATCCAGCTCTTCAGCACGCCCCTGCACCTGCTGGGCCTGGACCTTTACAACCGCCCCTCCCAGACCTGGGGAGATCGCTGGTCGGCGGTCAAGAAGAACTGGGCCGTCAGTGTGGCCGCCAGAGTGTGTAGAATCGTGCCTGCTTTCGGGGTCGGTGGCGTGGTGAACACGCGTGTCAGGCGAAACCTGATGCAGAAGTTGACTTAGGAACACAAGACAAGTTACCATGATAGAGGCGTCTTTTAGAGATAGACACGGGACTTCTGCGCCTGGCCTGGCCCGACTTCTGTTACCGTTGACAGATATGTCGTTCTTAGAGGATGGTACAGCTTCATTTTTTTTATTTGATTTTTCTTTTGGCGTTGGTGGTTTCTGGACCAAGACACTCTCCCCTCATGTCTAATGTCTAATGACCAAACGATGGAAATAGAAAGCATAGACTTTTTCTTTTAGAACAGAAGCTTCAGAGCATGTGTACACAAGTAGTATAGAGACGCTTAAATTCAATTGTTTGCAAACTCCTGAGACATGTTCGGATTGGTCTTGTCTAAAGGGAGCAAAACGGCTATTATCTGTTCCTGGAGCTAACTTGCTCTGGGGCTGACGTGGCGAGCGATATGAGTGCCTGGATTTCTCGACTGCTCGTCTTGAGCCTTCTAGTTCTCTTCTAAATGATACCAGACTCTTTCAAAGACTTGAGAATCTTATCCACCTCCTTATCTTGCTTAGGTCGGTTGCGGTGCTCGCCAGTATCAATGTAGTTCTCCCAGAACTTGAGGCCCTCTATGCCTTCTTCGCGGCACAGCACCCCACGTTCCTCGGCCATCTCAAGCTCTTCCTCGGCGACTCCAATGCTCCAGCCAAATCTTTCAGCTGCATCTTGTGCTGTGACGCCACGGCCAAACTCCTGCCAGTCCCACGGGACTTCTCGGTCAGGGGGTATGTCATGTAGATCACGAAGCCAGGCGAGAAGAGCCTTGATAGTGCTTTCATCCGTCCTGTCGCGACCCTGGACGACCAAGACACCACTTTTGAATGTTCTCAGTCGTACTGGGAGCTTGAGCTTCTCCCAGAGCCGTGCTGCCTTCTCGAAGTCGTTTGGGCTGACCAATTCCACACCTCCTCGAGCTCGATTAAACATTGCCCAGAGGTCGATCAAGCTGACAATGCCTCCTGCCTTCTTGAGCACGCCCCTGGCATCATCTGTGAGGAACTCGGCAAGATTCCTCGACAGTTCGGACAGATACAAATTCTCAGCACCAGATCCACCTCCGCCACCGACAATGTCCTTTGTAGTTATGAGGCCAAGTTGGTTTGCCGACTCTGCCAACAAGGCATTTGCCTCAGAGGTTGCGGCGCCTGTGCCGCTATTAGCTTGCCTAGCGAACGATTCTGCCAGCGCCACGATGTGCTTGGCAGATGCCATTAAAGCTTCGAGGTCTTCAAACGCGTTGCCAATAACTAGTTCGTTATTCTTCCGCCTATCGAGCCCCATTTTCTCGAGACCAGCAATACCGGCAGTCTTGATCCGACCCGCGCCAGAATCCGATCTTGACAGAGGACTCGATGCGTCACCTCCAGCCCTGCTACTGTTACTGCTAGGAACAGGAGGCGCTTCTTGTAGTAGCCATTTCCGTTGCGTCATGGATCCCTTGAGCCTTTCATAGAATATCTTGTCGCCACCCCCTCGGAATGAGATCTTGACGCTTTCCGGGTTCTCCAGCCCAAGGGGACTGCCAGGCTTCAGCACGGGCCCAGGCGAGTCACTCCTTGGTTGTTCATGGTCCTGAACGACATGCTTAGGAATGTCATGGGAGATCAACTGTGCTCCGCAGATCTCACAGGACAAGAGTGAGGGATGATTGAGGAAAGTGCACCTCGGACACTCGAAGCCAGCGTCCTTGTCTGTAGAGGAGAAGCGAGGCGACGACGATGGGGCCACCAAAGAACCGGGGGCCTCGTGCAGTACGTCCGGTTGCGGCGGGAGAGGTACTGGACCCTCTAATCTGGATACAGAGTTGGAAGGCTGCCTGTTGGTAGCGCTGGATATTGTTGCCTTCAGGACATGGGTCAGGGCGGGCTTGATGCCACATGCCAGGCATGGAGGTAGGGGGGTATGCGCGTTGGCTGTGGTCGGATCGAAGTTGGATGGCACCGGGTTGGGGAAGCTACAGATGGAGCAAACCCATGTGGCCGAAGTCGCCGGCGCCGAGGGGGTATTTGAAGAGCGGAATCTGGAATCGGCGGTCGGTGCTGGAGAGGCTGTAACGCTTCGCGACGGACTGGCAGTCGTGGGGTTTCGCGAGATCAATGAGCGTCGCTTGGGCGCCTTAGGGATCAGTGTGACCTTGGCGGAAGACTTGAGAAAACCGGCCTGCGCAAGGTATGAGTGATCCGTTTCGCCAAGGGAAACAGGTAGGGAAAAGAAGCAAGCGCTGTGGCTGGATGCCTACGTAGAACTCGTATCTCTCGACATCCTTCAGATCTAGTGCAAGGGAGTGCTTTCGGGGTTCTTGTTGGTCGACATAGCATATGCGATGCGATGTCAGGTACACCTGGCCCTTTTGATGGTCTGGCAGTTTATATTTGCTTTGTTACGAGGTCATGTTAGCGGTATGTGCGAAAGAGCGACTTATCATGTCAAAGGGGGAAAAAAGAAATGTTATGGTCATGTCGCCATCATGGGATGGAGTGCTCAACTCACCCCTCATATAACCCCACGTTATCCTGCACAAAGAGCAGCACTTCATCGGGGAGGTAGGAGGGCCGCAGGGCTGTCGTGAGGTCGATTTGTTTTAAAAACATCCGTCATGTCGTTCAAAAAGGGACGTATTTGATATGCTCTGCCCAGGCGACTTTAAAGTGTAGTTCAGAAAGGCAAATGTTGCGGCTGGTCCTGTGTCCTGTGTCCTGACGTCGTGCAGTCCACGTAACGACATTTGAACTGGAAATAACTGAAGCAATTAATTAATAAGGCATCATACATATTACCGCTATCAGTGACACATGAGTTCTCTGGCAATGCACAGGGGCAGGGGGGGGGGAGCTGCAAAGATGCTAACTTGCTGTAGGCCCCACCAGCGTTATCCGCTAAGGCGACCTAGGTTAGAGAGTTCTAACCTTACTACAAATCTCAAGACTCCGCAGGTATTGACGTTAAACTAGACTACTTGGTATTGTGCTTTCGAGTGACTGTTAGACTAGGTGAAGAGTTCAGTCGGATTTTCATAAGCCCGCAGGATCAGAAATAGACAAGACAGGCGCTCGTTGGTTACTGTAAGCAATTACCTAAAAAGAAAAATGGGGTCAGTGGGCTCTTTTTCCTTTTCTCCACTTCATTGTTCCCCGTTCTCTTCCATTCCACCCTTCCAGCCCAAAGTCGACTTCTTTCTTAATTACGTGCGCAACCACACAACTGGTTCATTCACACTTCTTCCACATCCTCCCGTAGTTCGCGTACGCCATCAAGATATTACCACCGCGGAGCTGTCTTTGTTGAAACTCGACGGACATCAAACACCTGCATCACAGCGACCGGGTTTTCGATACTGTTGATCCCCCCGTGCTAACTAACCAATATTCGAAAAGCTGAACCTCAACCCATCCACTTAAAATCGACGACATCGCCAATATCGCCATGTCGTGGGCTTCGATACCGCCGCCGCCCGGCATCCAATCAGGCTCATATGGGTACCCTCAAAGTACGTTCCGTGATAGATCACCGCATCCCAACCATCATTTGCATGGATACCCACCGTCACTTGGCTCCTCACACAACAACCCTACTTTTACATACCAACAGGCTCACTTGAGCATTGTCACAAATGCTAACTCGGCCTCAAACACAGCCGCTACTGCTTTCACTCCCGTTATCGCCCGAACAGCCGGCTTTGGTCAACCTTTTCCACCTCAGCCTCCGTACCCCAACGCATATGCCATGCCTGCTAATCCACCACAAAATGTAAATCCGCCTCCCGCCCTCGGGAATGCTCAGCAACAACAGCCACAGCAAGACCAGAAAATAGACTGGCCAGATTCGGTCCGTTCGTATGTCCAACGCTCCTTCGAAAAGAAGAACATGATACCCGACGTGTCCAAGGAGGAGATGCAGGCCCAACTGAAGGAAACCATCTCACAAGCCAAGGACAGCGGATCAATGTATTCCACCGACTGGAACTCCATGCCTCTACCGCAACATATTATCCAGGGCAACCGCCTCCAGGCTCTCTATGGACACGGAGGCATAGGCACCACTTCCGCCGTTTTAGCTCATGCCCAATTTCAGCCACAAACTCCTGCCAATGACAAGAAGCGAAAATCAACCGATTTTTCCCAGGCCGACCAGAGCTCTCCCTGGCGTAGTGCCACGCGGCCCTCTCTCCAAGATCGCATCTCGAAGCCCACCGCTGCCTTGTCGCTGGACGAGCCGCTCTCTGCTAAAAGTAAGTTCCAGAAGCAAGCAGAGAAGCGTCAACGTCGCTTCGACGGGGGTTACAAATCCACGTATCGCTCCCCTAGCCCGCCGCCCACGGCTGGACCCGTAGTGGGAACATGCACCGACCTGGAGAAGAGATATCTTCGCTTGACCGCTGCACCCAAGCCCTCCATGGTTCGGCCTGAACAAATATTGCATCAAACACTGGATTTGCTCAAGAAGAAATGGAGAAAGGACCAAAACTACAACTACATCTGTGACCAGTTCAAGTCTATGCGTCAAGATCTGACTGTCCAGCGCATCCGAAATGATTTCACTGTTTCCGTCTATGAGATACACGCCCGGATTGCTTTAGAGAAGGGGGATCTTGGTGAGTATAACCAGTGTCAGACCCAGTTGCGCGCATTGTACGGCATGGGTCTGAAAGGAAGCCCCGTCGAGTTCAAGGCCTATCGTATCTTGTATTTCATTCACACCGCGAACCGTACCGCGTTAAACGACGCCATTGCCGATCTAACACCAGCAGATAAGGAAGAGCGTGCCATCAAGCACGCTCTCAGCGTGCGCTCCGCGCTTGCTCTTGGAAATTATCACAAGTTCTTCCAGCTCTATCTCGATGTCCCGAATATGGGAGCATATCTTATGGATATGTTTGTGAAACGCGAGCGGCTGGCCGCACTAGCAAACATATGTAAAGCGTATGTACATCCGGCGATCCCACGTAACAGATCAAGACATCCTAACCCTATTTATAGTTACAAGCCAGATCTGAAACTGCGTTACATTACCGAAGAACTGGCATTCGAGCACGATGCCGAAGCTGCCCAGTTCATCATTGACCACAATGGTCAGCACTTGCTTGAAGAGCGTGATGACACGATCGTCTTTCTGGCTGGTAAAGCCATGGGACTTTTCGATACTGCGAGATCAGAGGCTTTCCGTCGAGTCGATCTCAAGGGCCAAATATGAACGGTCGCCATTTTTTCTATTGCTCTCTAATTATTCATTTCCCCTACCGTGGCAAGTCTGACCACAATGCCACCCCTGTGAACACACAATATCGAGACGACGTCCCTGTAGCCCCCACGAACTGAAATTGCAGTGTCTCGGCTTTCAGGCAGGTTGTCACGGTCGGCCTCAATAAATCACCATGATCGAGGAGCCGCTTGTATCGGCGAGCGCAATTGGATAAGCTTCCATGTCGTCACTTTTTTTGTGTTCAGCACGAATTCGATTGTCGATCACATGGTGCCACGAATGCTGCCAGGGGACGATGAACGATGCGATATCGTCGACGAAGATTCGTCGGTTTGGTGAAACCATACTTGAAATTCTCTGGAGGATTTGACGAGGTGGTCATGCTATACGGCTATGGACTCGTCAGGGATTCATTCGAGGCGTTTGGAGTTCGTGGACTAAGTGGTCCCGTTCTGTTTGATGATACCCAATGAAGTGCAGTCGTCTTCATGGGCACAAAGCTCTGAATTTCGGTTAATAGGCGTCAGTGGTCGTTGTGCCACAAAAGGCTAGGTGGAGATGGCAATAACTCCATAGTATGATTATCGCTTTTTCGCTATTCAATTGAAAAGTTCTTCTGACAGACTACTTTTTGTTCGTGCTCTCTGGGTAAGGAGGGTTTCATACTAATTATGATTACCGTCATCCTCCTCTTTGTTATCAGCCTCTTAATCAATATCGTCATCCTCTCCCATATCCTTCTCCTTTTCATTATAGCTATTATCGTTGGCTTATTTCCCATTTTGCTCTCCGTCGTCCTCTTCCTCTTCGTCATCCGCTTCCTTGTCATCCCCATTATCATCCTCGTCGCTAGCCCCATTTACAAGTAGACCTGTCTGTGCAATTCCTTTGATCGCTCGGATCAGTGATATATAAAAACTCGTCGTCCGTGCTTGTGAAATTTGCGATCGTTAGAAAATCTCGCTGTAACATGGGCGACACCCTTCCAAATTCAAGCCCGAGTTTCGTCTTGGACTCAGTTAACATCTAAAGACGTTTAAGTCAGACATTCTAGCTCTGGAAACACTGATTCGGTGACTTTTTGTGCTAAAATATTGATAGTCCTGGGTAGAGGTTCAAGATCTGAAGGTCACGCGCGCAAGATTTGGATTCAGCCAGCACATTTTGGGGGTTTCAGCATTTACCTGTCTAATACAGTCCTCCAGTCGACTCAGACTTCTACTACGGTCTCCCGCCAATGGTTAAGGCTGAGGCTTTGCTCCATTCCTGCCTTGGTTACGGTGCTAGCTGTCTTTCCATACAAGGATCGTTCTCGGGACTTGGATTAGTATGTACGATGTCCTGCGTTGTGTCGACGTTGCTAACTTTACGATTCAGATATTCTCCTAGTCTTCTCTCATCACAAGATTTCTATAAGCAGGGTCTGGCAGACTTTACTTATTCCTTCTCGACCTTGGAACTTTCTTAGCCTCCTGACCTGATCTTCCCTTAGCCTCACTGTCTGACAAACATGAAAGACTCTCTGACACGAGTGCTGGTACCACTCAGTCTACAGTCATCGGCGAACAATTTCCCCTCGCAGCATGATTTAGACTGGCGCAGCAAACGCAACTCAGAGTATAAGACTTTTGCATACGAAGCCAAATCTTCAAGCGACTTTTGATAGCTAGTAGCGCTAAGCAGAATCCAATATGTTAAATTTTAATTTCTTTTTGTTATCTAGCGAAACAACGGGCGAACGGACTCCATACGAGAGGGCGGTAAAGATTGTTCGGAGTGGACTCAGGTGTGTCAATGTCTTTCACAAAACCTCCTGAGCTTTTCTCCAGCACACGATTGGGATGCGCAGAAAGATAAATATCGTCCCTGAATCAATCTTTTTGATAACATTCTTTTCCACAAAATAAAGACACTCGGACTGCCGAGTACCAGATCAGAACAGGGGAGGACTAGCATGTCTATGCATAGACTGGTGATAGGTGATGTTGGAAAAGTTGCTTCATGGTGCGAAGTGGCAGAGAGTGGATGCTGAAGAATTCTTGCCGACTGGGCATGGCGTGAGAGACTTTATAAATACAGTGATATACAGACTTAGGAACATGGATCTCTTCAAAGTTAATCTGTCGGGCCTAGTCTTCTGAAGCGTGGGACGATCCCATGTTTAGACAAAGCAGTGAGATAATAATAAAAAAACTTTGCTTGCAATATACTTAAATGAACATAGCATACTCACGACACGAGAATCGAGCATCAGCAGGCGCTCTTCCCGCGCGCACTTGTCAGATGTTGATAGTCTCGCGGGCCACACCTTTTGAAACATTATTGAGTAACGAGCAAGGCCGAGGATGCACCAGCCACTCAACCATGAACTCACAAGGTCTTTGGCTTTGGAAGTACAAAGAGGCTCGCAATGGCTCCAGCTATCGTGAGGGCCGGAGCAGTTTTCCGGATCTGCCGTGGGCATGCCTTTCCCCAACCTCGACATCTTTTTCTCTTCTCTTCCCCCCCCCTCTCCATAAGGATAGATTATAAAGCCCAAAAAGACCACATGGTTCCGGAATTTCGATTTTGATAACTTTCGTTCAAATTTGTCAGTCTGCGCGCCGCGCTCAAATTCCAACTACCAACTTTTTTTTTTTGTTTTAAATTGGCTGGTGTCAGTAATGAGGAACATAAAAGCATGCACGGGCACTAGCAAGACACAAGCACAAGGTCAGTCATCCATCGATTCGTTTATGGTATGCAAGCTACGACACGCTAGCCATCCATCGCATTCCAAACCATACCTCATCTCGTCATACCGCTTCACATACCCACGTTTCCTCGCAGGTTCCCACGTCTCAGGACTTAGCAGTCCGGTACGACCAACGGTCCTCCGACTTGAGTTATTTTCGAAATCCGCCTCCTACCCAGTCATGATCTCAGAAGAAGAAAAAAAAGGTCGCCAAAAGAAGTAAAAGAATCAAAAAAAAAAAATAGAGAGGACTTCACTTCCAGCCACACCCAAGCCCATAAATATGTCCATATCGAAGGAGGAAGTCCAAGGTTGTCCAGGTTGCGCTTTGGCATCTATGCCGGTAATCTGAACTTGGAAGGTCCATCAGATGGCCCCTGACTGCGACATCCAAGCCAACACAGCTACACCAGAGAACAGACCTGGCTGATAGGGGTGGGCTCGAGTACTAGTAGCATTTTCGCCGTATGCAGGGATATATTGTGGGTCAATGAAACAACGAAGCTGTAGATGTCGCGTATGCTTTCAGAAGACCATCTAATGGACCTTTTATTCGCCTCGAAGTTATGCAGATGAAAGGTTCAAAGGGTATAATATGAACAGATTCAAGAAGTCGACCAAAGTAAAACAGTGGCGGATATCGTATCTCACGGATTCTCAACAAAGATGACCAGCTTCTCATTGTGGTCCAGAGCGTAGTTGAGATCGTTGTCGCTCATTAAGCCTAGCTTGTCACCACTAGCCTCATCTCGATAAAAGAGCTGTAGTTCGCCGCCCAACTTGACTCTTTCCCGGATTCTGTCGGAAAGTTGTTGGTAGTCGGTGTCTGACGGGACACGAATGACAAAGGTGTCACCGTTGAAGAAAAGCTTCACCTTGAACGCAGGAACTTGTTGCTGTTGCTGCTGCACACCAGGAGACAAGGAAGTTTGTGATGGCTGGGAGAGCGAAGACGTCTGACGTGACATTTGAGGTTGCCCGCTCGACATCTGTCGGGGAGCAGCTGACAAGCCGCCATAGCCATTACCGTTTAGATTGTTCTGTGAAGTCTGTAGTGAGGCACCGTCCCGTGCTGAGTCTGCGGACGAGTGCCCGGAGCCTCCAGATAGTCGATATTCGTCACCGCCATTTAAGTCAGCGTCGATTTCATAATCGCCTTCCCTTGGAGCAAAGAACTGCCTGACAAGATTACATCTTCCGATGTAGTCAGGTTGGGCCAAAAGATTCTTGACATATGCATCGAGGTTATGCAACCGGCCTTCTGTGATAGCGTCTGTGACGTAGTTTACCGGACCAGGCATATACGGTAACGTGCGCTTTTGTGTGTTTGTGTTGCCGGCCTCGGCAGGAAACTCGGTCAGAAGAGCAATTTGGAAGTCGTAGAAGTCCTCATAATAGCGAGATAATTCCCAGTGACGACCATCTTCAAGCTGGGCTTCAATAACAAACCAATACTTTTCCTCTGCAAAACAGTACCTCGGTATGCGCGCCTCGATAGGCGCCAATAATTGGTTGCCAGGCTTGGCGCTGTAAGGGTTTTGTTGAAAGTTTTGCTGGGTGTTGCGTTGCTGCTGCTGAGGGGATTGCGCGTTGCTCCCAGGTGATTGCTTAAGACGTTGTTAGCACATGTTGCCCCCGGTATCTAGTGGTGAGTGAATGCGAACCTGTTCGCTTGCGCGTCTGCCACCTGGCTGTATACTCATACGCTCCATGCCCTGTTCAAGTCCTTGCTGGCCTTGCTGGCCAGGTGCGCCACCGACCTCGAATTTGCCAAGAGTGATGCTGCTGTTCTTGTACTCAGCAGCCATCTTCTTCCACTCTTCGACTTTGGGGACACCCGCCCTCTTAATAGCGTCCTGGGGATTTTGAACTGCGGTATCGGTCCCCATGTCCCGAATTTCCACGAAAGAAACTGGAATTAAGCCTGGACCGCCGAGCCTGCCTATGGGCTTGGCAACGAACCACTCAGGGTTGGACTGGGCAATTACTATAATAGCCTCGCCGGCTTTTGCTTCCAACTCGTCTGCTCGTTCTGCCACAAAATCATACATGACAATACCGTACACCATGGCTCCGTTCTTTACTGCCAATTTCGAGTTGCGCTGACTTTGGGCTGGGGTCGGTGATGTGGTCTCTGCATACCCCGAGTCGTGATCAAGGTTCTTGGCAGAATTGCCCGAGTCGGATTGAGCACTGTCTCTCTCTGTGCGGCCTAGAGCCTGGAAAAAGGCAACAGGGACGAGGCCACGGGCATCCGGCAAAGCAGGGTTACATGCTTCGTACCAGTCGTTATCATTTTCGCGGCCAATGACGTGGAAGAAGTCTCCGCGAGAGAAGCTGAGTTCTTGCGAGGATTGCGCCTGGTAGTCATAGAGAGCTCGAATGACCTGTGGTGTGTCGGATATTAGCACGTATAACAAGGCAAGTGGAGGCTTGTGCAACAAGAGCGTGTAGCAAAAGGGCGGCGAACCTTCTTCGGAGGCACAATAGCAACTGCGGTCTTGGGCGCGATGGAGATCTGAGCCCCCTTGTCCTTTTCGCCTTTAATAGATCTCCTGAGAGCCTTCCTCAAACTGTTAGCAAATCCAAAGTCTAAACCGAACACAGAATCGCGCATGTATTCCGGGGTTGAGTGGTACATGACTGTAGACAACGGGAGAGCTCAGAGACAAGCGCAGGCAGGTTGAACTGGCGAGCAAGCAAGCAATCGAGCAAGCAAACGGACGACTATCCGCAGATGTCTCGCAAGCAGAGGGAAAGGTTGCGGGTCATGGCAGGAGAGGGGAAGCGCTGGGTTTAATGGCGCACCTTCATGGTAGTACCAGTGTATCGGCTGAGGTTTGTGAAACTGGGTCGATGGAAAAGCGAATGCCGATCGGAGAGGGAGGTAGTACGTCGTAAATGAACGCTTCCTTGTGTGTCTCGGTTCCTGGTCTTTTCACAAGCGGATGGACGTCATGCGTTGGCGCACCGAGAAATATGTGATAGAGGAATGGTGTGCTGTCTGGTGGGTTCGGCTCAACAGCAGGTCTGAGTCAGTGCGACAGCGTCTATCTTCCAAATGAGGGTGCGCGAGTGGTGGGGAGACGGATGGGCGAAATATCCCGGGAGAAGTAGTTGTCGGGTCGAAGTAAGACGCTCTGCCTCAAATGATGGTTGAAAGCCAAACGTTGCCGGTCTGATCTGGTTCCTCCGAGGATGAGGATCTGGAACTAGAATGCGTGTGCTTTGGAGTAGCCGGGTTTTATTTATATACCCAATGAAAAGTGTCGGCGCAAAACCACAGTTGCTGACCTCGTGGTGATGATCTTGCCTTTGTTCTCAAATCACGCGTGTCTTATTATTCCTCGTTCAAGTTCACGTTCAGGTTCTGGTCCCGGGTCAAAACGGCGACCGTCTCTTCGAATTCCCTACTGTGTTCCGACAGCGACCGATGCCTGATCCCGATGTAATGCGAGCGCCGTCGTATGGTATCGACTGTCGCTGGTTGTTGGCTTGTCTTCCTGCTGGGGAGAGGAAGATTGGGCAGGCCGGGTCGGATCAGGGAGTGTCTGTCAGGGTGAGGAGCAAACAATGAGTCTAGAAGACAAGCCAGAGTCGAGAGTCGAAGGAGGGGAAACCGTTCAATAGGCCGCCTCCAAATGAGCTGGGTACAGGTTAAGTTACTGGGTACTCTACTCCGTATTGGCATTGGCATTGGCGTGACTTGTGACTGGGGGTGGGCTGGGCTGGAACGAAAGGCTTTCGACCCTTGGCGGTAGGGATCAACAGGAGGTCAGGATTGGCCTGTCACTGATTTAATCAACCCTTTTTGGGGGAGGGAGGGGGAGGGTTTGAACCGCTGCAGTGTCGTGTGTGCAAGTCGAAAAGAAATGGATGGACGGAATCATTGGCAACCTCTTGGGGGCACAGTTGCAGTAGGTACCGCAGTACTATAGTACATGGCACAAAGCACATAGAACCCCGTGCGGATCCGTGCTAGGGGCTAGGAAGCTCCCTAAGCAAGCATTAGCCATGGAAGCTCTACTTGGTACGTAAGGCTCTAGACCAAGGTTAGCCCGCCGTGATCGCCTGGGCTAAACCTCTGCAGAGGATGCACGAACCCTGGGGCTTGGGGAGCGACTCACTCATCAGGTAATGCAAAATTGAATCCAATGCATGTACAAACCAAGTGCCCCGACCATCACGACCCTGCATCAGGGCAGGGCGTAGCTAGTCAATGTCCCTACAGTAGTCCATCTATCCTTAGTCACTGCAGACGCGGACGCTGTCGGGTCGCTGCGTTCTAGTCTCAGCCCGGCGCTGGGCAGACAAGATGCCATCCTTTGTTCCAGAAGCCTCAGCGGTGTTCCAGCGCTGACCTTGATTCATGGCTCCGAAATTCTATGCAGGTGTGCTGTAAGGTAGCAATAAACAAGGCTTGGTTGACTCGTGGGGTGTGGATTCTCTACCCAAGTCTTTAGCTTGATTTATTTCCCGCAATTGCCTCGAGTATATGTATGGTACCGGGATGCCCAATCCAATCCACGACGGATGGATTATGTACTCGTCACCATGGATGTCCAGGAAGCAATCTGAGTTACTGAACTTGAACTCTACAAACGTTAAATTTTCTTTTGCACTGAACCACAGACAGACACGCGTGGCTGTGGCAGCACATAAAACCTATAGGTAACCTTGTCTTCTGCGCGCATGCAAATCGACACTAAGCGTCGACCGGCACTTTTAATTCTACTGTACCTACTATAACCTAGGTTTGCGACTGTCTATTTCACGACAACATTGACGTGATCATGTTTGGTTCCAACTGTCTACCATAACCTCAAATGTGTTGCTTTTCAATCTGCTGCTCTGTATTTTCGATCAGGGGCCACCACCCAATCAACCACCATTACAAGCTTCGCGGCTCTATTCCCCGTCCTATCGCATCCATTCATTCCTCCTTAACACTAACTACTCCGTAAATGCACCTAAAAATCCAACAAAAGCAACTCCCCCCACTACACACATGGCACTGTTGCATTCGGCATTTGAGTCTCGAGAACCTTTCATAACGACATAAATGGTACTTGTGTATTCGGGATTATGCCATTCTGTCAGAGTCCACGCACTCTAGCAAAATCCCGAGGTGACTGTAGAAATGGCTGATCAGAAGGGAAGCCTCCATGAATATAACTGCTTTCCCATGTGATATACTCTTTGCGCAATACTTTTTGTTTTCATGGGTTCAACTACGATGGTCGCATTATACCTCCTCAGTTGCTGCTAAGGCGCCAATCCAGGCTATACTTAACTTGCCCCTTTGGGACTTTATATGCAGATCCTTGAGGTCAGAAACGGTCCTCAAAGTTTAGACAAACTATGCACAGCCCATAAGTAGACAGTTCCAAAGCATGATTGCTGCTCGCCTTGCCGCCCGAGTCGACGCGGAGAGCTTTGGAACCTTCCTGCCTTCCTGCGTTGTAGATATGCGCCGTCGTGGACCCGAAAGCCTTGTATTGAGACCGCTCTGCGGTCCCGTTCAGACTTTCCTGCATGCTCTGAGGCTGTTGCCTTCAACATTGCGTACATTCCCGTGTGCTTTGACATTCACTTTCTCCCCGAGAGGTCAACTACACCATTGGGCATAACGAACGCATCAACTTCCATGCGCCGGATCGGATGGCCATTAAACACGGTAACTTATCGATTGCAATGCATCGCGTGTCATTGGCTTCTTCAAGTACCAACTCGATGATCTGATGACGTTTCAAAAGCCATCCGATGAATCCAAACCCCCTTGGAACTACAGGATGCTAATATCAACGCCATTTCCCCAAACGAAGCCACAGCTTCATTTTCCCGAGTCAGCCCTAATTGCGCCTCTTTGACCCGGAGTCCCTGGCAACGAGCGAAGACCGAGTCAGTTACGAGTAAATACTTCTCTGCACAGCCTCATACACTTGAAATACCGATATACCCTACAGGTCTATTACTGATCAATCGAAATCCTCCAACCGACATCAAGGGACTGGCAGAGAAATGGTAGTTAAGCACTTGGAATCCGGTCCCAAGGTTTGGCCACCTAGAAATCTGCCTTTTCGCCAAAAGTCAATACTCGGTACCTTGCAGAATGCATCCGATGAGAGTTTGAGTTTCACTGGGTAGATTCACGTTTATTTTAGCCACGTTCGGCCATTCGGACGGCTATGCAGGACCGTATTAACCTAGGTACTTGAGATTCCTGCTAGATCTGCCCACCAAGGAACCTTGCGTAGCGCGGCTGTTCCGGTCTCCCATTCAGCCTAGCACAGCATTTACGAATCTTTTGCATTATTGGATTCAAATATGGTTACTCAATCCAATCATGCAGTGTGCGGGATGATAGCATGAGCCTGTAGTACTATGTGCAGCTTTCAGCTAGCTCTCTCCCCATAAAGGACCGCCAGTCATTTGGCATTTCACCTCACCCACGACAATCCGGAATATCCAAGCAAACAAACTGCAGCCTTCATGCAAATACAACCACGGTTGCAAGAAAGACTATGTCCTTTCATGGCACGGCGCTTCTGTCCCAGGCTTCGTGCTCAGCTGTTGACGTGCGCCTCAAGTTTCTTCCGTATACATTGGACTGTCTGTATCCATCCGGAGGATACGGAAATGCGAGTTCATCAAGTGGCATTTGCCTGAGTGGCACCCGGTTGGATGACGTATCTGAGCAGTTTTGGGCTCTTCTCTCCATCCTGCAGCGGAGTTTCGTCTCATCTGCTTTTCAACGGATGTCACATCTAAATTGATGGGGTGGGAAGCCCAGCTTAATTATCGCATTCGAAAAACCCCTCCACCAATTTAGACCCCTGCCACGACGATTTTCGGTGGTGGGGCCATTCTTTCTTCCTGTCAGACTATTCGGGCACCAGATACTCCACAACTACAACGCAGGGAGCAGTTCAATAACGGCGACAGGCCCTGCAGCCTCGGAACCGTGTTGCGCAAATCCGGTCATATTGTAGTAGCATCATGTTCTTGCAAGCGTAGACCGGCTACTCCTTCTTCTTTCATCAACTGGGTCTGTTCCAGGGGATCGCAGCGCGATACTCAAGGCAACTGATGCACTGTCACAAAATAACATTCACAGATGACGTAGGATCAGATAGAGTTTGGGGGCTTCATCTCTGCAAAGCAAGCTTTGCCATGATATTGACAGGGTTTACCAAGATATTATATCGAATTGTTCCAGAAGCAATCTCGGGGTTGAGGCCAGCGATTGGACAACTTGGCAGGGCGAAAGCATTGATTGCTGATATTTCGTGAGGCAGAGGAATTATGTGATTTGAAATCGCACATGGGATGAGAACTTAGTCGATCATGCAACAGCTCGGATCGCTTGCTTCCCGCTCACGGGAGCACCAACGGACACATGAAACTATGGATGGCAGACCCCGGATTGCTGAAACCAACGCCCGCTCGCAACCCACACGCGGCACTTGCCCGGAATGGCCTCAAGACCCCGCCTTGATACTCCAAATAAAGCCGGGGACAAATGTTTTGACTAAGGTATAGTAGCGGGTCTATCTAATTCTTCACCCCAGTGAAGAATTTCTCCTTCCTTGTCTGCAGAATACGTCGTCTCAATTTCATAGGGTCGTGATGGAGATACTTTCCTGTCGAAACTTTGACTGCATATAGTCTATCGAAGGAGTACATGATATGCTCATACCAACGGCTTCGCTATAGCTCTCCCGCCAACTTCTCCATTCCTCCATTAGAAGAAGAAAGGAAAAGAAAAGGCGTATAGGTGGACTTCTTCCTTCTTTCAGTAGTTGTCTTTTTAGTTGGTGCAGGGGGTTCATGCAATTTGTGGCCGTACGCCGAAACTTGATAACTATATTGTATGATCTCGAAAGAGCTACGCAAGTTTTAAATCATGGGCAACACCTAATACGATCGGATGTCATGAAGGTGAATCTTCGGTCGTGCAAAATTCGTAGACCCATGATTCAATGAAGCCAACGGCCTCGAGATATGGTATCAACGATTTTTTCAATATTTATAAGCCAGTCCGCTCGCTAAGTTCTCACAGCCGTAGGGTTTATGAACGTTGGCTCTGCTTTCCTCATGACATGGCCATTCTTATAAGTCACCTACATGCCATAGCAACATCTTTGAATATTAGGTATAAAACACACAAAGATCAAGGCGAGAACCTCAGGTTTCGATCAACTTCGAAAACCGCAAGCGTCAAAACCATAGAGCCAATTTACGGTCCAGCGGGCTCACTTAATACTGCCCAATTCGAGGACAGAACTTTTGTTAACACTTGCATAAGTGCCTGGGCTTTGGCAATGCGCACAACAACAAAGCCTGAATTCATGGAGGCAGGCCATCAGCTTAGCCATGCGTTCCAAGACAAATCACAACTTTCGTCCTAGTGGTACCAGACGATGAGTTCATTCGTGCCACGAATATTTCGAACACGGACCTGGCCATATCGAGAGCAGAAGCGCCATCGTACTGTATACCATAAACTCCTAGCCCACGGGTCGTAGCTGCGTGGTGGAATACGGAACAGAACATCTCGAAGCTGAACTTGTATCTAATCAATGTTCGACTCGAACCTGCAATGTATCAAAACATGAAAAACCCGGGTAGCTTCATATGTGTAGGGCAGTTATACCATGACGATGCTCATTATGAGAGGCAAGAATCACTGCAAAAATTCACACACTATTGGAAATTTAGCCCATCCGTTTCTGTCAGAGGAGAAAGTAGACTGGAGGGTGGGCTGGGTTGCGCGGGAGCTCCAGCACAATCTCATGAAAGCAGCAGAGCCGTTCTTGGCCTCGACATCGTATTTATCCATAGCTCGACTCAACAAGCGGTTATAGATCTCGGTGATGTATGACTTCACAATTCGTCTTTATTAGCAACAATTAAATCTTAATGGCTTCAATCCATAAATGGTGCCGGAAATTCTCCAATATCTTATCCCGTATGATTATGATACCAACCCACTGCCCGGTTTGAAGACATCTGCACGGTGGATAATCCACTGATAATTCGTTCTCGCCGTAAGTGGCAGATCGACTTTCTTACTCTTATGTCCATTCATAAGAATTAGTCGGCTGCTTGCTGATGTTTCTGCCATTCCTGGCAGATACTGCCTAACCACAGATACGAACTCGAACGCCGGCTTCTGTTGAGAAGAATTGAAAATATGAATTAGTCCATTTCTATATTTACATTGGTTTTCCCCCTCCCCCTAGAGCCACATAAACACAGCGCATCTGGCGTATGTCTAGGAGCTTGGTTGATTTTCAGCAACATGCATGCCGTCTGCAATTAGGAATATATTATTGTGTTTCACATACATTGTCTTCGTATAGACAAGAACCACTGCAGTTGTGCATTTTGTTGTCCAGACAGTACATTATAAGTAGATCGAGACAAGCTGATTCTGTTCATTGAGAATTCATACCGAAATGGTTTCTCTCATCCGGCAAAGCAGCACTGTACCCTGTCCTGCGCGAGCTACATGATCATTTCAGCCAGTGACCATCCCAAATATAACCATTACCCGTGTAGGCCCATGGCCTTTCTTTCGCCCTCAGTGCCGATTTAAACAACGGATATTTCCCTTCCCGTAAACTCCTGCTTAAATTTCACCTATGAATACAAGCAACGGGTTCCTGGATGAAATAGCACTGCCCAGTCATGACTAAACAACATCGTAGGGACCTCATCCCACCTCCCAGATCACACCCAGGTGTCGACATCACTCAAGCTCTACTGGCCAACAATCAGACGACAACATGAGTACTCATATGCTCCACAGTCTCTTTGATAGATCGCAGCATACGCTGGTTTACACAAAATGGACAACGCAAGGGCCGGTCGTTTTGTGGAGCGGGCACTCCACTAGAGATGGGCGTCAACGTTAAATCCTCAGCTGTGGTGGGTGTGAATCTGGCAGCAGCTCGCGAAGGGTGTGAAGGGGGTTGTTGGGGGGTTTGCAAGCCGGGAGGGGGGCCCGGCAGAGGGGCAATTCCTTGGTCCTGTCGCTCGCGTTGGTCTCTGACCGCAGCAGCCTCAGCTTCCGCATCGGCCTCTTCCTGCTGCAGAGCGCGCAGCGCATTCTGTAGAACGACCTCGGGATCTTCGTCGGCATATGCATCTACCTCACCCGGATTAGTGGCCAGGGGCGGACCAGGTTGGCCGGGGTTCTCAATGCGGCGAATAATCTCGTCGCGTACTCTCGCACAGATACCCAAGGTAGCCTCCACGCCGACAACTCGCAGGACTGCATCTCGAATAGCAGCAGGGCTCGTCTCTTGACTAATTGTCATGAAGCGCGGTACAGCGTCCACAAGATAGGGAATGTCGTCGGCAGGATTGGGCGCATTGCCGTGGCGGCGTTGGCGTCGTATTAGCAGCCCATAGCGCTTCTTAAAGCGATGAATCCAGCCAGGCGAGAATTCGGGAGGCGCCTCGCCCTTGTAGCGGGGTAGCTGTGAGAAGATGGACTTTGCCTTGTCTGCAAGTTCCTCGTTGGAGGGGTTGCGACCAGAGGCGACGACTTGCTGGTGCCATAGCAAGACTAGCTTCTCGACGTCGGGCCAGTTGCCGAATCGTAGGCGCGAACCGCTGAACTGGTTGTCATTGTCGAGTCTGGCGTATTTTGGGGACAAGGAATGCGAGATTGTGGACTGAGAGATGTTCTGGCCGTATTGGCCGAAGAACCACTCGATGCAAGCTTTGTGGCTCGGGCGGGTGGTTTGGGAATGTGCCCAGCGTCGAAGAGCGCGTCGCTGGTCTAATGTAAGTGAATGGCGCTCTTTGGGTGTCGAGGTGGACGTGTCTTCGGGGCCGGGACTGATGTCTTCGTCTACGCCGGCTGTTGAGACATCAACCGAAGACATGGTCAACTCGGGATCAATCACGCGAAGTGAATTGATAGCGGCATTCGCTATATCCGATTCGTTGGCCACGATGAATGAATTGGTCGACAAACGACGATGAAATGCAATTGGGAATGACTAGTGGGCTTTGCGTATAGCGACAATCGCGTTGTCGGGGGTTTGTGGGCGGACAATCTGCCTTGTGTATGGGTTTTGCTTGTATTTGCTTGTAAAGGAAGAAGGAATTATGAAGTGAGCGGGATTTTGGGGCAAAACCTGGATCGCGCCTGACCTTAGCGCCCCAGACTTGGCCAGTTTGCCCCTCTTCTGTGCAAGTTTCAATTGGCTAAAACCCTGCACGGCCCTGCTCGGCCCTTGCCGCAAGCCACTCCACCTGCTCGCTCCTCTCCGCATTGCATCTCGCTTGGTGATCGCTTGTCCGCTCTCTTGCATTTCAGCTCTCCAAATGCATAATTCTGCGAGACTCACAATTCCAAGCTTGAGAGTCTTGGTTTATGATTTTGCATATCCCATTGTAGTGCTCCAAACTTGCCCGACGTAATACAAGTTCAAGCACCTTACAAGCCGTTCCATATTGTTAATCTCATAAAATTTATGGCATTCGTTGCCATTTCATACGTGGTATGTCTTTGGGAGAAATACTGGTTCTCGCCATCCAGCTTACCGTGTGTCGATCACTCATCACCGCATCTGCTGAGCTATGATCAAAAATTGTAGATTTGGCGTGGTCATTTCATATCTTCTGGTGTCATGATCAACGGCTGAACATTTCGGGGGCTAAAGAATTTTGCCAAGCTGTGTAACGACGGTGCAAAGAGCACATGAGTAGGGCACGTCATTTCTGATTGACATACAACATTACATGTACATTTTACGTGTGTTTGTCTTGTGCTATGACGCCAGTTAAATCTGCCTGGCCCCATGTTGCTAATGTGGTAGCTTGGCCCGGTATGAGTGTGTCTTGCACCACTGACTTCCAGTGATGTGGAGGCAACTGGGAGCACTGCATACAGCTCCGTCACAGCCTTGTTTAATTTTAGCCACAATTCAAGTAGTATGGCTACTAACATGACAAATGGACGAGGATATGCTTGCGGGCACTTTGGGAATTTAATGCCTGGTGCTTCTATTGCGCGTTTTGGCCAAGATACCTGCCACCCGGTGGGACTGCGTCGACATTGGATGTTGAGCTTTCCCATCAATCAAAGACCCCCCAAGTTTATTGATCTCAGATACTATAATAAAGCGTTGCTTATCTTTAGTTTTCGGTCTTGAACATACATGTGTTATGTTTTCCACGGCTTATTCACCACATTAGACAGTGGTGTCTGTTTGACCCATCAGTCAATAAAAATGCATCCCAACCTATCGTCCCAAGACCTCGCTCTACTGTCCATGAACCGCATGGGAAATGTTAGTCATCATATATCAACTGCCTCAGAGTCAAGTGTCTCCGGAGATCCTCGGAGCAGAAGAAAACCTTTCTCTTCGGCGCATTCGTCCGTTCGAGTTCAAAACCCCACAGGGAAACTCGTGTGGGCTACAGAATGCTTTGGTCTTATGGTTAGTTGGGGCTGTCAAATTGGAGTGGTGGTCATTCTTGCACGTATGAACAATCATCCTCTTTCAGACTGGCCAGCCAATGTATCACTCAACGCCATGGTCGCTGTTCTGAGCACTATCTCCAGAATGACACTCCTCGCTCCAGTGGCGGCTTGCATAAGCCAAACGAAGTGGCGGACCTTTCAAGTCCCCAATAGACTTAGAGATTTCGAAATACAGGACGAGGCAAGCAGAGGATTGTATGGTGCTTTATTACTACTATTTAGTCGTTGGCCTTCAAAACTCGCGGCCACGGGTGCTGTTGTCACGTTGGCTGCAACTGCTTTTGGGCCTTTCACTCAACAAATTCTGAGCTTCGAATCGAGGGATCTGTTCTTGCCGAACACTTCGGTTTCTTTTGGGTTTAGTAGGGAATACGCAACATTGGCAAACACGTCTCAATCAGAATCATTTTATATTCCGGTTGGAGATCTCGATTGGACGATGCGCGGCGCAGTCACCAAGGCTCTGTACAATATGGATATTACACCCGAGTTCAACTGTTCATCCACATGTATGTGGAACGGCGTCTACAACACTCTGGGATTCAACAATAAGTGCGAAAATGTCACGGCAGTGACCCTGGAGACAAGACAATGCCAGCATCCTAGCCCTTCGTTTTATAATTGCTCAATGACCACGCCTGGCAACACCACGATCAAGACCAACTTCATCCAAACACAAGAGCAGACCACCAAATTCATCTCAAGCAGCACGCATTCGAGCTGGTCTCTGAGGAGATGGCAGTGGTACCCAGGAATAACAGATCAAGGCCTTGACTTTGTCCACATTGCTCAATATCTGGTAGAGCCGGACATCAACAAGTTTGACACTTTCGCGCCAAACATCACCGAGTGCACTATTAGCATGGCGGCATGGTCACTTAGCGATGCTGTCGCTCGTGGAAACTCTTTTGATACGAACAAGACTGAGATTGCCTTGGGTCAGAACCTGTCAATCCGCTCTTGCGAAAGGATCACGGACAAAAGATGCCAGTACGCACAGCTAAACGCTACCGAGAATGGACTTTCCTTTGAGATCAACATGTATGACTGGATGGCCATCACGGCGTTCATCACGTCCCAACTGTCCGACATCGAGGAGAAGACCACTGAGGTTTTGTCAGACTGGGAGAAGGAAGCATCCCCAATCTTGGCCTCGTCCGCCGGCGACATAACCGACTGGGTGCCACGAATGACCCAGAGCATGACTGACACCCTGCGCTCCGGCACAAACAAGCAGCTGGCTTATGGAAGCAGCCTGGAGTCGATCGTCTACGTTCAGGTGACATGGGTATGGGCGATACTGCCATTCGCTACAGAGATCTGTGCGCTGATCTTACTGGTCTTGACGATCTGGGAATCTAGAGCTAGCCGGGGCATTCCGCTTTGGAAGTCGTCTGCTGTGGCCATGTTGTTCCATGACATACATGAGTCCAGCCACGAGACTACGCCACTTGTGCTAAGTACCCGCCTGCAAAGCAAAGCAGATTTGAAAGCGGTATTGAATCAGACAGCAAGACTCAGCTCCTGGCAGCTCGAGCAAAATGATGATTTGGAGACCGACCTGGAATAAATACTAGAAGAGTCCCCAGTCAGTGACCACTCAAAATGGTGACCTTGCTCAATAGGCTTTGTCAGGAGAGATATTCGGATCATAGATTCAATATCTCTATAAAAGAAATCCAAGCACCCGTATTACTCGGCTAAGATAAATCAGGCGTGTTATGGATAGGTCGTGGACAAGTGGACGAATTCTTCGCGAACCATGCTCTAACGTGGGAACTGCCGGCTTATTCCTCGACAGGAGCTAATGGCCAACTACCATAACATGCTATGTTCGGGTCCTGAAGTCTGCGTCCCTCATTGCCAACCAAATCTATGATACAAAATAAACCGCGGCGACGTCGAGTTTCCTTTCATTACATCACACACGACCACCCTATAGTTGCCTGTAAATCTGATACTGTGGATAGAATCCAGGCCGAGATGGCCTGGTCCAATACCGCCCGGATAGACGAGAAAGTTCCGAAACGCTGTGCGCCATGTCTCTGTCATACATATAATACATATTCGCTAGGGCCTCTCAAACAGACTCTGCGTCAGCTTTCTAAGGCAAAATATCAGCCTCCTTTTCTTCTGGTTCATCATGAAGCGAACTCGTCAATGCCAGAACCACAGATTGACTGAAGTCTACAAGGCCAAGTACGAAGCGAAACAAGACCGAATGTTTTGATAGTGTTGAGGAGGATTTATTCGACTATTCGGTAGAGTGCTTTTCGTCCAAGTTCTTTGCTCTTTCTATCTATATACCTGCTGAACTCTGCTGGTCATATATATCTTCTATATCCCCAAGCATATAACAGTATGCGAAACCAGGCTTTGCCCCGACAAATTTGTCCATTGATGCCACCACACCAAAAAAAAAAAAAAAAAAAAACCTAACATGTCCAAGTTCCCATTCTTGTTCGCATATCCAAATACTCTAGCGCGATTACATCTTATACACTCATCTTCATAGCAATAGACTTGTGCGGGTTATAGTCTTTCACCACAAAGTCCTCTGCTTTCCATCCGTCTATGCTTCCGCTCTTTTCCCTCTTGATCTCTAGTCCCGGAAATTCTCTCGGTTGTCTCGTCATTTGTTCCTTTAGAGCATCCACATGATCAACATAGACATGTGCATCGCCCATGACATGTGTCAAGCTCCCCGGCACCAAGTCTGTAACATGTGCGATCATATGCGTCAGCAGCGCATAACTGGCAATATTGAACGGCACGCCCAGTCCCATATCGCACGAGCGCTGGTAGAGCAGACAATGCAGATGTCCCTGCTTCTTCGCCTCGCCATTTGTGCCGTTTGTTGTGCTGCCCGAGTTCCGCGGGTAGGACACGTAGAACTGCGCGAACATGTGACAGGGCGGCAGGGCCATCTTCTTCAAGTCGGCCGGGTTCCAGGCGCTCATGATGATGCGGCGGTCATAGGGGTTGTTCTTTAGTTTGTGTATGACTTCGGCCAGCTGATCGACGCCTTGCCCTGTGTAATCTGTTTTTGCGTCTTTGTATTCCGCGCCGAAATGGCGCCATTGGAAACCGTAGACGGGACCCAGGTCGCCGGCATCGCGATGTGAGAGTCCCACGGAGTCGAGGAACTCGCGCGATCCGTTCCCGTCCCAAATCTTGACGCCGGCATCGGATAGAGAAAGGGACGACGTGTTGCCCTCAATGAACCACAGGAGCTCGGCGACGACAGCTTTCAGGAACACGCGCTTCGTCGTTATAAGAGGGAGGATAGGAGATCCATTGGAATTCAGCGAGAATTTCAAGGGACGCGGGGCGAAAATGCTGTAGGTTCCTGTCCCTGTCCTGTTTATTTGTCCATGTCAGAATCTATACGCGCGAATCCCCGAGGTTACAAGTTGTGGACAGGGAAGAAGTCGTACCTGTCCGGGCGATGTTCACCGGTCTCGAGGATCTCGTCCACCAGGTCGAGGTACTGATATTCCTCGTGGCGCTTGGCGGGAGCCGCTGCATTGCCATTTTGTTGTTCTGCTGACGCTGCTATCTGCGCAGGTGCCGTTTCTGCTAGTACTGGATCCATGGTGTCCTTAATCTTTTCACCTCATAAACTTGGTATGTGAGCAAGTTGGACGGGGGGGTACGGAGGTTGCAGAAGGTGGGATGGCTGTTTTGACGCGTCCCTAAGCGCGTCGTATCTTTAATGGGATTTTGGCGGGGCATTGTAAGACAGGAAAATGGGAGGGGCGCGTCTGTGAAAGCCAAGAGGCTACATGCTGGAGCACAGTAACATTAATGACCTAACCTTAGCATGGTGCAGCACTTGGGAGCCCACCCGCCTGTAGCAACCGGGCACACGCCACATAACTACGATTCGGTGCAGTGTTCGGAATATGTAGTCACTATAACTTACATGATTAACCTAGTTCCGGATTGAACACGGCGCCCTACTCACAGATGTACACACATGGCGCCAACTGAACCTCCCTTCCAGACGACCATTATAATTAACCGCATCAAAGGGCGGCTCTTGGAAAGCGTCCCCTGGTCATCCTCCATGCTAAAGACACCCTCTATTGTTCGTCTAAAGCCCCGAGTTGCCCTGCATGTACATACAGTAGGTCAGGTCGGCGATTCCAAGTTAAGTGTGCACTAGACTGGGCTAGACTCACCAGTGGGCAGAGACGGGAGTCAGTGATATCTGGTTGCGATACTGAACTATTGAAGCCAAAGCGCACGTACAATACGAACTCGGATCTGGGCCACGGACCCGGCGGTTGGGAAACTTTTGGCGATGCTAGCCCTACCATGCGTTGCTTTAGGTTAAATTGCGATGCGTTTGCAAATCGTCCCGAGTGGATAGCCATGGTTACCGGCTGCGTGGGCAACCTGTTACTTTAAGCTCGTGGAGCTTGTTATTTGGCATGCAGCAGATGGAGAACCCGCTTTTCCCTGCACAATCACCGGCGGCTGTACCTACTGGCGAAATACCAATAGCGTTGCGGGAAATATTCTCGGTATGCCGCATTTGCGATTGACGGGTACACCCTGGGCCCCGAAGGTCTGGAGCTTAACTATCGATTCTCAGAATTATCTACTGTACGCGCATGTGGGTGAGGGCAAGTGGTGGGCACAAAGGCTTAGGAAGGCTACAATCGTTCACGTGTGAACTTTCACTGGCTAATATGGAATAGCCTCGAAAATTAACCAGAATTTAGCATTTATCACGAGGGTAGAACCAGTGATGCAATGCATTACGGGACAAAAAGCTGGGCCATCATTGTCACACCAACAGATATCCGAGTTATGTTGTTGCGTGGGCTTCTGCATGTACAGTTGAAGTGACAGTCGAGCAGCTTTTACGAGAGAGACATTGTATAGGCTGTTAAAAAGCTTAGATTCCATGGCAAAAACCTCTTCTTGTGCTAAGTCTCCAGCTCAATGTATCATTAATCATGACTTTTCGCCAATAACGCCACGCATACCCACCATGCTTTGCTTCCAGTGCTTATATGGCTTGCGCACTGCAAGATAAACAAACCGCCCATAACTCCTGTGATCCCGGTGCCGCTTATGCAAAACTTTATACAAGAAAGTCATCTACCCCCTGCGCTAAAGCGCATTCCAAGCAAAGCTAAATTACATCCACATAAGATTTCGACTTTGCCGCCGGTTTTGTTGCCACAAAGGTCTGTCTCCCATTCTTCTCGACGGGCTACTAGAGTCGGAACCCGAGCTGTGTCCATCAATATTCACTGGCGTCAGAGGTTGCCTATCCTCCTCATGATGTTGGATTTGGCCGACTGCGGCTGAATAGCCATGTGAGAAATCGTCCAACTCGTTCGCACCGTTTCTCGTGTGTGCGTCGGCAATTGGCGTGGTCTCAGCCATTGCTCCTGTAGCCGGTCCGGAGGGATAGCTATAATTCTGTTGTGCTGCATGTTGACCTCCCGTGATTTGTGTCGTATTGCCATGCGGAAGGTCGTGGGGGCTGTACAAATTGGCCTCCTGGGTCGCTTGGTTGTATGGCTGGTTATGCGGTTGACCATATGACTGATGGTACCGCGGCTGCGGAGTGGGCGGCTCTTCCTCCTCTTGCCACGTAGGTAAGGGAGCGAATGCTGCACCATGAGACCGTATAGGACTATTGCCAGATTAGCTAATGATCAGAATGTACACTTCAAAGGCACAAACCTCATATACTCGGATGAAGGTGGCGCCTTCGGTACGGGACCAGGCCCTAAGCGCCTGTTTCGCCGCTTTTGGATACAGAATATCGCAATGGCTACAATAGCAATGAGTATTGCGACACCACTAATAGTTCCTCCGACAATGGCGCCTGTCTGATCGAAGTGTGAAGCCGTAGCTGGTGCAGTCGTAGAGGTTGGGGATGATGAGCTCGTCGCTCCGGCCAAACTGGTGGAGGAAGTTGAACCCGTGGAGGTGGAGGTTGTTTGAGAAGAGGTTGAAGATGAACTGCTGGCAGTTGTGGATGGCGAGCTCGATAAAGAGGACGAAGTCGAGGAGCGCGTAGAACTGCTCCTAGTCGAAGATATTTGTGACGCTGTATCCGACGTACTGGAGAAGCTCCTAGTGCCCGTGCTCGGGTTTATCGAGATCGGCTCTGACAGTGTTGTTGGTGTTGCTGTCAGGGGCACAGAACTGGTGATAACCAGGGCATCGACACCGCTCAACGACGCCTGAACGCTCGTGGCCAAATCCGAAGCTGTCCCACATCCGTATTGGTATACGCCACCACCAAACTCGTTCTTGTAGCAGACATCGGATCCCTGGCATGTGTAGACGTAAGGGTTGGCCTCGGTCTGTTCTCCACTATTGTAATCGATGCATCCTGTGTATACGCCTTGCGTGCATGGGCCGCCGTTTGGACAGCAGCCCATGACATTATGTTGCTTGTCCAGTACGCAATGCGATCCCGCCGAGCACGTCGCCGGCAGGTCTCCAATATAACCACATATCGTATTGTCCTCCTGTCTCCGCAGTAATTCAAAAGGCGAAAGGGGCGCTTCTGTCGGAATGGGTGGCCAGGCTATAACATGTAGCTCGTGAGATTCTACAGTCGTTGTTTGTCGCGGTAAAGCGTGCGCATGCGCCAGGCTAATCACCGTCGAGAGGAACAGGGCTAGAGTCGCTGGCGGCAGCCGGAATAAGAGGTTGCGCATGGACGTTTTGGCCATTGCGGTGTCGCCCTTGGGCGTATGTACGGGATGTTCAAAATACTGGCGACAACTTCAAGTTCACATAAAGTGCATCCGGAACCAAGGGAGAAAGGATTGTGGAGGATTGAGCCAAAATGAAGAAGGCAAAAGAGGCGAAGCAGCAGGCCATCCTCCCAGATCCAGATCAGAGTTGCAGCTACGGAACAGGGCATCGCAACGAGGCTGAGAGCTTACAAGCACACAACCCATCCTTCAGGCCTTCTATCCCTCGTCACAACCGATGGCAAAAAGCCTTACAGGGTCCCTAGTTAGTGAGAAAGCCCCACCTTACCCGGGGAGTGCACCTCCCGCAGGCCAATTGCAAATCTCCCGAAGGTTTGTTTACTGGTCAAACGCATGGGAAAAACGAGAACGGAAAAACGAGAACGTTTCTCCTTCTTTGATTTTACCTTTTCTTTTTCCTTTTTCTTCTTACTTTTGTTATTTAGTTTTCTTTTTTATTTGAGCCAGCCCCGTGTACCTGGTCAATGTATAGAATGGCAACGCCGTTGTCATCAGTAACATGGAAGCTCAACCAAGCAGTGTTTTGCCACATGGTGAAGGCCTATTCGGGGAAACTGGATACAATTGAGACAATACGAACAAACCCACCGCCAATTCCAGACTGTGAGTTGGGTTTACAGTAACCCCCAAATCAAATTCGTTGTGAGAAGCATTGGAGCAGGCCCTCCCTTGCGTAAGCGGGGCACAGATCGCTTGCGCAGTGACCAACAGCGAATCACAGCTGCACCATGACCTGCAGTTGTTGCCATTTTTATCTTCAGACTTTAAGCGGTTGCGGCTGTGCTGAATTCACTCCAACGGCACCGCGGCTCTGGGTCGTTGACATATGCATGTTAGCCTACACGATGCAGGCGCGTAGTAAAAAAATAAGAAAAGAGAAAAAAAGGAACGCTAGCTGGAATTTGACTTTTGAGCTCTAGAAACGGGGCCGAGAATAACACCACCAATTCCACCCTACAAGACTTGAGATCAAATGTTCTATGAGATTGAGAAAATGTGCTCCGACTTCCGAGAATTGGATAGCTTGGTCGCCGAGTGCCAGTGTATTGCCTGCCGGTTCCATAACTTGCCCAGTTTATTATAAAGATCCAGGTTCTTGAAAAAACTATCCACTCACGTTTCAGCGATCTGCCATGGACAGATTGGCCCGTGTAGATCAGCGTACTATGTAGTTAATGCTCGGACTGGTGAGTAATGTTCAATTCTTAGCCAGGATTCGGTTCGGCGAATATTCCACGGACTTTATTCCCGTTGTAGTAATAGCGTGCCTCAATCCTCGTACTACACAGTCGTGCAATAGTTCAACTAAAACTCGTCAGCCGTACCCGTCAGCCAGTCAGCTAACATCAGACAGCCTTTGGGGTACCTCGATATGGCCGCACAGATATGCGTATTGGAGGCTTGGCTTACGAGAACTACAATCTATCGCCCTTTCTATGAGATAAAACAACATAGGCCCCGGTGACTCTCGTGGCAAATGTTTAGAACTCGCCCACAAATGGCCAAGTTAGATGCAAATACTCCTTGTCAAGTTTTCGTCAGAGACAATACCTGCATCATGTCTATCATGAATCTGTGCGTTCGAATCCTGCCAGCCACCCTTGCAAAAATTAGGCGAGCTTCACCTGAGTTCCCACGAATCCCCCCAGGCCTATTTCCCCTACCTGGCAACCTGGCTTCATGCGGAATTGGTCAACCATTGGCGGCCATGAATATATGATTTCCACGTTGGACTCCTGTTATATGAGGTCGTGCATCGGATGAGGTCGATAAGAAATTGAACAGAAACAACCTCGTAACGAACAATGACCCACAATGCATTTTGACTCCTGTCATTCGATTAAAAAAATAAAATTTATGAAAAATCAGGACAAAAAGACAGGAACAGTTGCGTTCAGGGCACCAAGGCATGGCTCCGGGGGAAACATCTTTTTGACCCTATTGGCAAACACGATGCAACTCTTGCCCCGGTTCTGCAAAGTGTCATGTCAAACGTCAATGCTTGGACCCATGGCGATTCAGAGATGTCAACTCCACAGCAAGGTCCACACTCATGGACGCGCAAACCAGGTGACTGCTATCCAGGGACTCGAACAGGGATCAAATACATGGGCACAGACGGCAGTAGCAGCCTACATGGGCAAGATGGGGTTTCTGCTACTGACGCAATATGCCATTGCAATTTACCTCGTTATTCTTCGTACATGGTAATAATATGAAGTACGGTGTAGCAAACTTCGTTTACTCTCCACTTTGACAGGATTACAAAATCAAATTGATCGAAGCTGAAAATCAATGATACAGCGGAACACAAGGTTGGATCCATCAAGTCTTTGACCGTTCTAGTCACAGTCTGGACCATAAACTGTGCTTCTTGAAAGAGGCACGAGTCCGAGTCCGCAAGCCTTCCGCTGCCCGATTTAACCTTCCGCGCAGCATGATCCGGGTTCGAGTCATGGCCCTAGGCGGCATTTGCAAATCTCTAGACTAGCTGCGGACTCCACGCACGATTGGATGACCAAGTGCCGGTCAGCCTCAACCGATGTATTGCATGCACGACATGTGGATTGATAAGATACTGTACATATTCGTTTTGTCATTTTTCACAAACGGAGATCTGCCTTTTTGTTTCTTCAAGCTGTCTGCGGCTCCCGATGACCGATTCTCATCTCGCTTGGATATCTAATGCTTGGCGGAGTTAGGTGGTGCAACAAGGTCTATAACCAAGCCTGTATCTCTTGCTAGATTCCACTCGGCCCGCAAAGGAGAAGCCCACCTGAGAACATGCCTTCACGTGGCAGCCAATGATCATGGCAGCCACACTGGCCGAGGCGAAACGTCTTTTTGCTTTTCTTCAGTTGACATTTGACTAAATGGATCGACAAGCACCCACTGTCACAATACATTAGTGCGACATGCCGAGAACCCAGTCAACAGTGAAGGAAACTTGACTCTCTAGAGATATCGTGCAGACGGCCTACTTGTACAAGTAGGAAGCTTACCGTAGAACAGTTTGTGAGTAAGTAACTGGTAACAATATTCATCATGTACATGCTTGCAAATCGGCAGGCCCGAAAGATACCGTATACCATTTCCCCATGTGCATGGGCACACTAATATCAGACCTATTGCAAACTCGATCACCTTAGCTCCTTAGTCATGGGAGCTAATTGACCAAGGCCCGGGTCTAAGCTGAAATACTATGTACCTTTTCCACCATGGCAGGGTTTCTGCTTGTTTCTCCGGACCTTTCGTTTGTGGAACCATTTGATATCTGCCATAAGTGGGCGAAGTGGACGAGCCAAGCGCTCGGCTCCTCATAGAAAATGAAGCTTGCTCCAGACGCCGTGACAATTTCCGGGCAATTCAGCTGCCTGTCCTCATGAAAGACTAAGACAGGGCAATCCCTGAAATATAGACGAAGGAGCATACTCCATGCTTTTAAGTTCAAGGCGACATGACGGTACATGCAATCACCATCCCAGTTTGGTGAGAATCAACAAGCGACATATCTGAGTCAAACAATGAGCAACAGTGGGCATCACGGGCCTTCATGTCTTCTCTCAAACCGGAAGGCACCGGTAACTGACTCTTGAAGGCCGCTGGGCCATGATGCGGAGGCCATTCCACGTGGGAACGCTTATGCTAGACCCGATCTAAGATATCGGCGTCCCCAGATATGGTTAGCTGTCAGGTTTAGTGTCATTCAAAGTGTCAAAGCACTCGCACATCTTCCAGACCCATTTTCAGCTGCAACCGGCCCAACTGGGGGGTATACCAAATATTGGCTTAGATCGCAATGTTAGATCGAAACGAGGGTCTATTAACCGACCAATAGACCACAGCAAAGCCCTAACAAGCGTTGTGAGCTCGTCAATCTACGTGGATGCGGAGAGTGGGAGCAAACTTAGCCAAACCCAACTAGCCACCAACGATGCCACTATCACAAGGATTTCGTCTCATCTAGACTGCATATTCAGCTAGTAGTTCGGATTGGCAGCCGAGGAGCTGGAGGCGTTTCCTAGCTTGTTTTCTGGCATAACCCCTTGCATATAGATGTCTTAGACTTGCCACATTGTATCCTCTGTCAACGTCGTGCCTGCCCATAATTCTTCTGCTTAAACCCCAAGTCTTCCGGCTGAGGAAATATTCTGGCCTGCAAAGTTCGCATTTCATTCCGGAAGAACGTCGAGCTTGAGAGACAGCATGGCACCCGCTGTCAAGTCTGAGGTCGTCTTCGACCATTGCCATAAGGCAACGGTCCTCGGCAACAGTATATCCATACATATGCTTGACTTCTTGAGCACTGTCAAAAGCCCTCCATTTGGCTTCGACGAGCTTGCCCACGACTTCCTAGAGGTATGCCGAATCATGTGGTCTCTGGAGGCTGGTCTCAGTGAAATGGGCAAGACACACCAGAGTCTTCCTGCAGAAATGCTTCTGGAGATGGACAAGAAATTCAAGACAACACACGGAGATTTTCAAGTTCTCGACCAGTGGATTACCAGATTTATCGAATATGAGCGAAAAGGAACAGTGGGAAAGATACAGAGAGGATGGCGCAAGATGTTTGTCGACACAGGCGTCGATAAGATGAGGGAATCGCTAGCGAACACCAAGGAGGCCCTAAGGATGAGCGCGCTGGTGTTCCAGTGGTCATTGGGAGATTCAAAGATTGACGAGACTGTCGGAATTGGCTACACTGGTCTCGCTGCTGCCTTAGATCGCATGGATCGTGGCAAGTCAGTGACAAACATCACCAAGCTCAAATCTATTGAACCTCACATGACTACTCACTCAGTGGACGAGATGTCTACCATCGGATCTATTCCTCGCTCGCTTGCACCTTCCCTACCGCATTCACATTCTCTGCCTCCTGTCCTGGAGCTGACCAGAGGGGGCTCTACAACGGATCTCTCTCCATTCCCCGGCCGAGAAGATGCAATGAGCGCTCGATCGATCCCCGAGCTCAATTTCCCCTCTCTGGTTCGCCGTACTTCCATATCTGAGCAGACAGTCTCGTCACGGGGTGCTAGAGAGCGCATGCTATCTGGAACAGAAACTCTCGCTACCCACACGTCTGGCCACTCACACCGTGGACGACTTGAAGAAAGATTGTCCGACCGCACCGAGCGAACCGCTGGAGAATCGACAATGATCAGTAGCGATGATGAGTATGATCAAGGACCAATCAAGGTCGTCCGCGTCAAGGCGGATCCTTTCACTATGCCTCGCTGGTCACCCAGAAACACCGTAGGCTCGAGCACACCGGCACTTAGAGAAGCCCTTGTATCTGCCGTCGAGACGAGAAATAGCAAGATGGTTGAACAATTACTTGACAGGGGTGTTTCTCCTGACACCGGCGCTGACGTTCACGCACTCAACTTAGCTGTCCGTCTTCATGATGTCGAGTCTGTCCGTTTACTCCTTCTGTTTGGTGCAGATCCTAACGCCCCGGACAAAAGCGGTGCCACTCCATTGTTTTCAGCTGTCGAAGATTCCTTCCTCGATGGAGCGAGTATGTTGCTGAAGTATGGAGCTGATCCTAATCTGAGCGTGGTGTCTGACTTGGAATCGCCCCTGGCTATTTCTGTACTCGAGGACAAGTTCAGTTTTACGCGTCTCCTACTTACATATGGCGGCGATGCCAACCACGTCATGACTGACGGCGATACCGTCCTCATCAAGGCTGTTTTCAAGAAGAGGCCAAAGAAGATGATTGATCTGTTCCTATCGTACGGCTCCGACGCCAACGGCAAGAACCGGGAAGGAAAGACAGCCATGTTTGACGCAGTCCAGACAGGCCGAGCAGACATTGTAACAAGCCTACTCGACCACGGTGCAAACCCCAATCTGCCCGGGCCCAAGATTGTGCTTTGGCCATCGACGTACCAGCCCGCCTGTATGAAGGTGCTCTTAGCTCGTGGTGCTGATCCCAAGAAAGCTCCAGGTATCATGGAACTGGCAGCTTCGATCAACAATATTGAGTCTGTGAAACTCCTTCTCAAGGCGGGCGTAGATCCCAACGCGAAGAAGGACGGGATTTTCACGCCCTTGTGCACATCCATCCGCGACAACCGAGCCGACATTTTTACACTGCTCCTGGCTAATGGTGCAGACCCAAACACGCCTGCTTCAGAATATCCCTGCTTCAAGTGTGTGACACACAACAGAAACCATTTCTTAGAACCGCTATCAAAGGCAGGAGGCGATCTCAATTCACCCAAGGGAATTCTCGAAACCGCAGTCCAGCATAACAACGTGGACGCTATCAATTGGTTGCTGGATCATGGCGTGCCCATCAACGACAAGACACCCAAAACCCACGCCACACCACTCACAACTGCAATTCGGGAGAACCGGCCCGAGCTGGTCGATCTGCTCCTGACACGGGGCGCTGACCCGAATATCAGAGGCCAAGACTGGCCCGTATGTATGGCTGTACGTCAACCCGCGGTTCTCAAGCGCCTCCTCCCCGAGCTCGCCGAACCCCGCGCCTTCAAGGGAGTAATGGAGATGGCCGTGGTTGCCAATCAGCTCGAGTCCATCAAGCTGCTACTCCGCGCCGGAGTCAGTGTCGAGGATCGTAACGGTGGTGTTTTCTCGCCGCTCACCACCGCTATCCGTGAGGACCGCAAAGAAATTGTCAAATATTTGCTTGATGAGGCTGGTGCTGATGTCAACGCTCCCGGCGAGCACTTGCCGATTGTCAAGGCACTCAGGAGATTGCACAGCGGCGATACTGAGATCCTCGAGATGCTCCTAGCAAAGGGCGCGGACCCGAATAAGGTTTACCGTGGCCACAATGCCGTTATTCAAGCACTGGAGAACGGCGAGACGGATGTCCTGAAGCTACTAGTAGACAAGGCCGGCGTTGATCTTGAGGCTCAGGATGAGTCCGGCAAGACTGTGCTCGAGCTTGCTCACAGCCGTGGTGGTGATGAGGCGAGTGAGATATTGTTGAGAGCGAAGAGGGCTACTCGGTAATTTCAGAGTTGGTGTTTCGATCAATTTCGGTTGTGATATCCCATGGTTCTTCTTTTCAGAACTTCCTTTCGTTGCATTCTAGACCGCGGTAATCGCCCTATCCCCATGTACGCTTAGTTGATTTATATGAGTTCGATGAATTACGTCCTAATGGTCTAAAACGTTCAATTTTCATAGTTTTATATTTTCATCACCTCTGTTCCTTGATGACCTTCTGACACCTTTCGCTGATTTGGCCTAGTATCAGTTCATCAGATACCATTAGCCAGGGCCTATACTTGCCGTACTTTCTATACCGGTCTGCCGACCGTATATATGGTAGATACTACGCAACCAAGAGCTATTCTTCAAGTTATCTGGGAACAAGCCTTGTCTCGTGGTAATTTATGTATCTTATTATCTATTTTATACTCTAGTAGGAGGTCTCACTGTTCACTGCTTCTCTTTTCCTATGATCGCATCTAGCAAGCTGTCTTTTTATTTGGGCGGTGAATTGATACGCATCAACATAAGCGCAGCGCTCATGAGATCGTCTTATACTTACACGTCAGCACGCGGAAGTTTAGGATTCTTTCACGTTATATTCCTTTCCCGATAGAATGAATGGATTGTAACAGGTGAATATGCATATCAATTCATGTCTCACTACAGTCCGACAGCAGTCACATGCTCAAGAGCAAGGTATAATTTTCGGCGGAGCCCCAAATCCTTGCTTTCAGGAAGCATAATCAATTCCATACTAAGTAGAGCAAAACCTTTATGGACACAAGCCACGCTAGAAGAATCCTAGTTTGCACCCATTTACCACACGGGTTGGATGCGCGGTGCAATGGTGTCATCTCAAAACGAGCGAACGCAATTTAACCTACGTAGGTTAGAAGTGTAGAGATTTTGCTGTTCATGAACTTATCCTACGGCGAGAATGCATAACAGACCACGAATTGATCGCTAGACTCTATCAGGACGATGTATTTGCCACATGGTGCGTGCAGTACTTTACACTTGTCGAAAAGCAGATCGATCTTCTTGTGCGGCTTCCAGTGCAACAGAGTTGTCGTCAAGTAGCATGTCCAGCTGAGAATTTGCGATCAAAAGTTTCGTCATAACGACAAATTACTTATCTGACCCACTGTCTTGGACATCTGCGAAAACGACGACACAACTATGCGACGCAAGTCTGGGAGGTGATATTCTTCACAGCCTCAAGTGAAAATCGGCTTTTGGCCCCGTCCAACAACCGGTGACGGCGAGCTAGGCATTTTAGTGGCTCCGTTTTCCTATGTTACCTGCACAGACCTCAATCAAGTTGAGACGATCAGGTCCCCCATCTCTTTCAGCAAAACTTCATCCCCATACTCAAGTCGCTGGTCGTTGAATGAGAGTTACGGCAAATACATTCTCAGCTCCTACGTGATCTTTCCATCAAGCAGTAGGGATGCCGATTCGCGTCAAGTCGCGTCCTCTTTCGCAAGGAGACCGTGCTCCTTCGCCCCACTGGATACAATACGATGGGCCAGAACTTCCTGATATTGGTTACGACGATACATTCCGGGATGTCGTCAAGAAACTCTCGAGGTGAGCGATGCAGACGATTGTTGTTGTAACATGGATTCGAGGCTAATTGACATATAGATATGTCGCTGACGTAATCTATCTGCCAAGCACTTTCGAGCAGCTAAGAACGACCTCGGCTGGCGACTCGCTCCGGCAGCTCGTGGACCATCTCGCCGCGAAAGTGACCAATCCAGCCATTGTCAATGCTCTACTGTGAGTTTGTTCTATTCAAAGCATTCGCCTTACCCTCATGGCAAAAACCGTTACATGTATGCGCGTTCCACAGTGGTTGGTGAAGGTACAATCCACTACACTGGGCTGCTGGCCTAGGGAACAGCTGTTCTTCTTTAGACGTGATGCGATCCGAGCATTGTAGATACGGTTGAGTTGAGAGGACTACGTTGCTGATTGAATTGCAGAGCTCTCCGTTGGCATTACGGAACAGGGACAGATGATAAAGGCATCGGCGAGGCTCGCGCGAATGCTTGTGAAATTGTCGCTTGGCGTTTTCTAACGCGTCTATCTGAGCGTGAAGCTGTTGAGTTCTGCCTTTACGAAATCCCGGATCCCAAATTAAAGAACGCTGGGAATGGCGAGGCACTTGACAGAGGTGAAACCAATGAGCGGACTTCGTTGCTTGATTCAACGACACCAACCCCGCCTGACAACCAGGATAACAGACCGAGCACATTTCGCGCGGGCTCTCAGCGGCGTACTCAGCTCATGGAATCACTGTCGAGATTGACGATGAGCATGCACTTCGACCCAGATGATGAAGACGAAGATGAGGATGAATCGGACCCTACGGCTCCTTTCATCAATTTGAACGCGCTTGAAATCGCTGCCATCGCAGATGCCAAACGCTTTCTCAGTCAGCATGTTGTTCAGAAGATCATTACCGGTATTTGGAGTGGTGAAATCATCTTCTGGGACCACCTATCGGTTGGCTCTGTGAAAAAGCCCAGATTTTATAATTCACACACTGCTGACCCATTTTGCCGACTGCGGGTCCCAAAGTATCTCAAGGCATTTGAGGTCGTGTTTTTTGGCGCTTTTCTCTTTTTGTACTATTCGGTACTGATTGAGCAGAACCGGTACGCTATCACTCCTCTGGAAATTCTACTCTATCTCTGGTTCGCTGCCTTTTTCTACGATGAAGTCAGCGAGTACTTAGATGCGGGTTCAATTTTCTATGCAGCTGATGTTTGGAATCTTTTTGACATGATCATGATTGCTATTGGGGCTATATTTGCCACATTGAGTAAGTGTACCACACTTCCGTAAATCTTCAGGTTGTTGCTTACAAGCTCTAATAGGATTTGTGGGCATATACAACAAGGATCTCAATTTGATTGATATGGCCTTCGATGTTTTGTCACTGGAAGCTCTGTTCATGGTCCCTAGGATTTGCTCGATTTTGAGCTTGAGTCCCTACTGGGGTACTTTGATTCCTTGTCTCAAAGAAATGGGCAAGGACTTCTTGAAGTTCATGGTATTGGTTGTCATTATCTACGTTGGCTTCTTGACGACGTTCTCTTTGATCGGAAGAGACTCATTCAGCTTTAATGACATGGCCATGATTGTAACCAAGATCTTCTTCGGGTCGAGTTATGTCGGCTTCGACATTATGGACCAAATTGATCCTGTCTTCGGTAAGTAACCTCAATACCATGAGTTCTGACTGATACTCACTATGTTCAAAAGGTCCTGCATTGATGATTATTTTCGTCACGCTGAGTTCCATCCTGTTGATGGGTTCGTTGACGGGTATGCTCAGCAACAGCTTCTCCCGAGTTATCTCACATGCTCGGGAAGAATACCTATATGTCTACAGCGTATATGTGCTTGAAGCTTCGACTAGTAACCGTCTTACACACTTTTACCGTAAGTTCCGAACTGCTGTGACGGGTACGATAAAGACTGACAGGCTCGAATAGCACCATTCAACCTGGTGGCGTTAGTGATTTTTCGCCCATTAAGGTTGTTTCTTCCTTCCAATCACGTCCGGCAAGCTCGAATCGTGCTTCTCAAGACGACACATCTACCAATTGTCGGCGCCATCCAACTCTATGAGCTTTTTGCGTCCAAGGTGTCATCGAAAGATGGATTTGACACATTCCGGGGACCAAGGCTAGGAAGCTTTAAGCGAAACCCTGCGCCACCGTTGGTCTCTAATGCACTAAGGCCGCGTATATTATCCCATCGAACAAGCACTGATGGTATTTCGCGGCCGTCGCCTTCGCGATCCCGACAGACTGAGGACGACTCTACAGAAGCACCAAGTGATATGGAAGTTCGAATTTCAGAACTGTCAGCGAAAATCGACAGACTTACAGCCTTAGTTGCTGCACTGCAGCCTGGTGCGGGAATTGAAGTCACAAGAACTTGAGGAACATGGACAGACAATTGGAACGATCGTGTCAAAAAAATCTTGGCTACTTCACTGACGTGTTGAAGTTTGAGGAGACAATGGATAGTTTTAGGCGTTGTCTTGTCTATGTTCTCCAGTCCTTTGTTTTGCATTTATCAGAGCATGCACGACTGCGAATGTTACCTTTCCTTTCCGCTATCTCTTGTATATGGTGATACTTTGGATCTTTTTATTGTTACTGTATTCTCTGAGTTTCCAATTCGCATCCATTGCTTACAAATACTCGATGGAGGCAGACTAGACAGCATAGTGTATGACTCAATTATTAGGCCATTATCGGAGCTGGGACCCGATTGTGAATAAGCCTATCAACACAAGTTCACAAGATGTAATTATACAGCTCGTCTTGGCAGGGCGCTTCATGGAGCAGTCTACTCCGGTGAGTGGGGCATGTAAAATTGACTCCAACATATAGGGTCCGTACGAGGATCAATGAGTCAACCACACTTTCCCATATAACAGACAGGTCTTTTTCTTTGCTACGGGAAATATCATATTCTGAGATATCGTTGTGAGATACGTGCAAAAAAAATGGAGTTAGAATTCGCCACACTCGATGTCTTCACAGCGAAGCGCCTGGAGGGCAATCCTCTAGCTGTGGTCAAAGTCCCCGCATCTCTGAAGGACAAGCTCTCCCAGGACCAAAAGCAACAAATTGCGAAAGAATTTAACCTGTCAGAGACTACCTTCCTACACCTACCTGACGATAGCGGGGCCAGTCCCGATGCGTTGACTGTTGATATCTTCACCATCGAGCACGAGCTGCCGTTTGCCGGACACCCCACAATCGGCACCGCCGTTCTCGCAAAATACCATCTGTTCCCGTCCGTGGGCACTCTCAACATCAAAGCCGGGCCCATCGGGCTGGAGGCTAGCAATGACGAGAGGCAGTTTATCCGTGCCAAGATCCCGCATAATGTCCATCTGCACAGCAAGACTCTTGCGGACGTGATCCCCAAGGACCAGGTCGCATCCTTTCCCGGCTTGTCTCACGACGATGCCGAGATCAGGGAGGCAGAGCTCAGGGCACCAGTCTTTAGCATTGTCAAGGGCATGACGTTCGTCCTGGTCAAGCTGGAGTCTCTTGAGCAGCTGGCCAGGATCGGACAGACTAGGCTCAACTTCAAGGCTACGTCGCTCCTGGATGAAGACTGGGCTCCCAGCTTCGTTTCGCGCTATTACTACGTCGACCAGGGCGTCGGCAAGGGCAGTGATGGGCAGGAGGTCAGAAACATCCGGACGCGCATGGTTGAGTTGGACTTTGAGGACCCGGCAACGGGTAGTGCCGCGAGCACTTTGGCTGCGTACCTGACGGCGGCGGAGAAGAGTAAGAGCGTCAGCTTTAAGGTCGTGCAAGGCGTAGAGATGGGGAGACGGAGCGAGATTTATGTTCAGACGGAAGCGGACGAGGATGGTGAAGGTAATTTGAAGCTAAAGGACCTTTGGCTAGGCGGCGAAGCGGTCATTGTTCAGAAAGGTCACATCACGGTCGACTAAAAGAAGTCATAATGTGTCAAGGCACACTATCGTTGGCAATAAGATTTGTTCTATCTCATGAATAGTGTACAACTTTTCCCGATGCGATGTGCACTTGCTTCAGTGCTTCATCACATGCCTTCATTCTAAAACTTATTTGTCTAAAGGCGCACCGTTTTGTCAGGCTATGCTACCCTCAGTCGGTATTGTCCTGATGATCAGTAGATGCTTCATCAATAGTATGTTAATCGCTGGTCACTGGAGCAGCTGGTGGTCCTGCAACATTTTCCTCTGCTCAGACCTTCTGCATCTTGGGAACCCTGTCCTTGACATAGTAGTCATGGGGTTTTAGACTTTGTGTAAGGCTCCCTGCAACATGTCCACAAAGACGCTGAGGTTGACATCTCGGGCAGTCTGGCTTAGCACACAAGACACCACCCCCGGTATTGCAGCTTGAGTAGGTTCTTGTTGCCAGATCGTTGCCAGTATGACAGAGACGAAGGCAGTGGCGAGCAAGGTGGATGATGAAGTCAACTGTGATCTCTGATGTCAATATTGCCGCATTACCTATGAAGAGTTTGGGGTCCTGTACGCATCCAGGATTATTGAGTATATCGAGGAAAAAAGATCGCAGAGGTGAATCAGGCAGCGTTGCCTCCCAAACTCGACGAGCAACATGGAAAGGCGGCACAAAGTCCCGACGCCAAGTGTCGCTGCCCCAGCACCATCCAAGCTGCACTCTGTTCACCATAACATCTATGACGTTGTTCTGAAGTTTGGGTGCCTGCAGGTAGTCGCCAAGAAGCCAAAGGTTGACGCACTCTCGCCAGGTAGGTCGCTGGTAATCCTCGTAGATTACCTCGTTGCCCCAAATCTCTAGAACCGGCTCAGTCAAGCTTGTTTTCTGGATCTTCATTCGAGTGATGAAATGGACGAATAGTGGAAATACGGAAGACCACTCTCGATCGATGAGCTTGAGCTTCAACGTCTCGGATTGCTTCCAGCGATCACTCAAAGCGACTCGAAAATAGTCCGAGAAGTGGATGAGAAGTTCGGCGTAGACGGGATAGACCTTGCCGTCAGGTACCTCGATGTGTACGATTGTCATCGGCTCAGTCGGACAGCTATCTTTGATAAGCCTCGTAGTTAAACGAGTGAAGGTCGAAATACTTACATGAATCCGTCATGTTCGCCATCAGCATAATACTCGCCCGGGTCGATGATATCCATGGTGGTGAATCTGGATGTGAGTATTCTACTGTGTGTTGTGAAATGCGAGTACTGAGGTTAGGAGAAGGTTCCGAATAGGCATGTTTTCTGAAAAAGAAAGGACTGGTTTACTCAGAGTGTTGGAAGTGGTTGCACTTATGGGAGCAAGATGTATCTATCTGTGATTAAGTACTCAATGCTCCCCCTTCCTCACAAACATTTGGAGCAGTGAATTCATGCTTTCATTTTTGAATATTGCCCGGATTTGGACTGTCAAAAAACCAAATAGTGCCCAAGAGCTTAAGGCTTGAACGTTCGGACACAGTAAAACTCGATTGAAAACCGACATTGCTCATATCCCCTAATAAGTCGACAACTTCCCTAAAAGTCAAATCTGTGCTGCAATGGTTTGCCCTGTAGAGGTAATTGGAACTTTGTGATATACCAGCGATTTATGTGCCAAGTGATTGGCTTATAACGACTTAATAAAATTGACAAGCACTACCGAGAGCAGCTTATCTAGCTTACCATCTCCCAGATGAGCAAGGTCTGCCTCTAGAACCGCACGAACAATTGGAAAAGCTGTGTGAGCTCCAGATTCTGTTGAATCCAGTTATTATTCAACAGATCCAACGGGATGCTGCTCTCAGTTCTTTCGCGTATGAAAAACCTCAAAATATAGTTCTGCAACCCCAGCATGAAGAGGCAATCCGACAGCAGCCATATGCCAATGAGTACTTTCCGATCATTGAGCCAATTGATTCGGTGGTTCTACTTAAAACCCCACTCTAGTTCTATGCTGATTGCTTTGTCTACAGCACTTTGGATCCATCCAATCACATGTTCAAATGTAACCTCTTTAGCAAAAGGCTTAACGAAGGCTATGCAAGGCTTGTGTGAGTAGTATGACTACCGATAATCCATACTGGTGATCTCGGAAATATCAGGAGAGAGCTGTATCTTCTCAAAGCATTTTTGGCGGAAGAGATTGACAAAAAGACCGCTGGGAGCCTGCAGGTGAACGACAGCATTTGAATAATTCATCATCTTAGATAATGATGGTAATCGTCTTTAAGTTCAACGTATTACTGTGTATGTCAATATGTTAATCGGTAGCGTTCCATTGCACCCAGGGAGAGAATGCAGAAACGGCTTATTTGGGATTTATTTGCGGGGATGGAGTTGACGCAGATAAAAGATTTATAATCGGCAGAGTTGAAGTTTCCATTCAGTCAAGTAATACTTGAGAACGACAATAGGGAAATCAATAAATTGAGAGACGCCAATCCGTCGTAATCTTATTTATATTTATGGATATATTGTCATCGGTGTGTCTGAGTTGTTTCGAGTATAAAGATCTCTTAGTTACATGTGCTCAAACACGACAGCGTCAAAGACCTGAGAATAATCACGAGTGGGAGAGGTGCAGTACTTGAAACTTCCATGGGTCCGAACTCTCAACTAAAAACGTCGTGTTCCCTCCGTCCTTGTGTGAACCACTAACATGATACTGCAAGTTTTCGTTCAAATATCACAAATGAATTTTACGACAGTTGGAGGGTTGGCCGCTAATACCACCATATATCGTCAGTTGTTGCCTTTGGCTTTCGGACCACTTGTAATCATCTCGAGGGTAAGTTGGATGAAATGATATTGGACACACGCAGAGCTCTGGCTTGCTGAGAAACGCGATTATCCTAGACCTTGACTTGGATACACGCAGACGGGTATCCACGGGTTTCGTGCGTAATCTAAAGGCTACCTGCGTAGGAGCCTGTCAAGATCTCTTGAAACCAAGACCGGTCTTCTTTGTCATAAGTAGGCGAGGAAATGAAACTTGACCAATAAGAGTAGAGCCACTACAGCGCCGGACCTAGTCCTGCAACAAGTGGGAAAAAAGGCCAATATCCGATAGTTTGCTGCTGTTAAGGGGGAGCTGCTTTCATACAACCACCCGAAATATCAGATATGATTATGCTTCCCAGCCCCAAGCACGTCCTGGAGGAAATTTCATTTGGACGCGGCAGAGATAAATTTTAAGCGGCGGTGGCTATAGAGTCCATGAAACCGAGAACTCTACGAGGCTTCCTGAATAGCTTTTTGAGTCCCTCAAAAGTTGGTTACTTGTAAACGAGAGTGGCATGTGAGATTGTGCCTGTTCTGGAAGGCTGGCGAAACATCTCGCAAGACACTTGGGTTTGCAGAATAACTGTTCGGATGATGACTTGTTTCAAAGCAAGTGTCGTATGCTAGGAGACAGATAATAATTGTGAAGGCTTACCATATTACGCTTTTTTATTTTTATTTTTATTTTTATTAATGAATATCAACGACTTGATATATGCCCTGTCAGTGTTCCAAATATTGTTGGGCATACTTCTGGCAACTCTATGTTACCTAACAGCAAAGGCTCCATGGAGACTACGTCACGTCCCATGAGAATACGGTTTCTCACCATTCGCATTACTGACCGTTTTCTTTTCTGCCGAGTCTCAACGACAAGAGGACAAGGTACGACCGAGAAGGCTGAGTTCAAAATATGGTATTGACCTTGCAACGTATTACTGTGGGCTTGTACTGAAAGCTGTAGGTTCCCACTTCCGGATAGGACCAAATCGAATCATGATCATTGACCTCGAGGCTCTTCACAAACTGGCAAAGATCGAATCAGACTTGTGTAGGGGACATTCTCCTTACTTCAAGAGATTTCTTCCAGTCCGAGAAATATATTTTAAGTCGTGCTATCGTGAGGGACAAGCGACGCAAACATCTTCACACGCATGCGAGCGGAGAACTAGCAGCCCAATAATAGACTCCTCCCTGCATATTAAATGTGATAGAGCTATCGGCTTTGTTCTTCGACATTTCTATTCCTCCAACACCGCATCTCGGCCATCCAGTGTAGCAGAGCTCGCTATGATCTATGCAGCCAATATTGTTCCTAGTCTATGCTACTCCGGCATAGAGACTTGTCTCAACAACGGACTGGATCAGAAGCGGAGACTAAATGTTTCAGCTGCCATTATCGAGTTGGTCAATAGTCTCATTCAAAAGATACCAATCACAATCCGCTCATCAATGCAGACTCAGTATGTTACTGGCAATGATGACGTATCTGACGTATCTGATGTATTAAGCAAAGCACAAACAATCGCGAAATTGTAAGTCACAAAGTATATTTTGTTTCAATTCTCCGAATCACTGACTTTTGGTAGCTCAACGTGCACAGTCTCGATAGCAAAGACACTCCAGCACATCTTGATATATTTCGTTTCAACACGTCGCATTTATCAAAAATTGCGAGCGGAGGTCGGCAGCATACCCTTAGATCTCGTTGACACTGAACTTCTTGAAAACCATCTTCGGGGCTTGCGATATCTGCACGTAATTGTCCAAGAAGGATTTCGGCTAAGGCCTGTTGGTGCTGACCTCTCCCTCAAAGTTTCAAAGACTGGCGAATTTATAACCGGGTATCACGTTCCGGGGGGAGGGGACGGAGGTGGAACTGAACCGTATCGGTCTCTCACGGTCGAGGGAGTACTGGGGGGCTGACGCCCATGTTTTCCGACCGGAGCGCTGGTTCGAAATAAGGCCCTGCCTCAGAGATAAGCTGGCGAAATTTCGATCTCCCCATTGCAACGCCGCTCGACCCGACTGTGATCATGAGCGCCTCTTTCTTGGAGTCTGATATACGGATGAGAATGGTACCTAGGTGATCATGTACAGAGCGATGCGTACTAGGACCTGTTCATCGTTCTACATTCACCTTAATATAAAATTTTAAACACAATTGAAAGCGAGTGTTAAGGGTACGCGCATGACTCATAGCTCTTTAGCAGATACTGCGATATAGTTTTATTCAAAGATCATGAACTAGTCTGATAGCTCGAAATCATCATCTTCGTTATCATCGTCTTCATCGGATAACTCGATTTTCCTTCGACTCCGGCGCCGGGTTGAAACTTTGCCTGTAGCCTTTGACTTTAATTGAGCAGCCCTACGCCTGGTTTGTGGCGCTGGCTGGACTTCTCCCTCCGCTTCTTCATCCCCATGGACTTGCGCACCATCCTCATCTTGTTGCTCATTAACCGGTTTCCCCTGAAATCGCACAATAGGAGACTTCTCTTCGTATCCGCCGTGATCAACCTCCAGCTGGTCATGGCCATCGTCACCGTGTGTAACTGGGAAGTAAGTCGACGTTTGCCGCTGTTCACTCTCCGGCTCTTCTTCGTCGTAACCTTCGGGAAGGAAACCACCACCCATATCCTCATCCTGTTCAGCCATTTTCATGAATCCTCCCTCTCCCTCTCCCTCATTACCGTCTGTATCGCCATTTGTTACATGGCGGGGTATCTCTTTGTCCTCCAGGTGTCCATAATCTTGCTTAATTCGAGCTGCGACTCGCATGCCCATCAACAACTTCCGCCACGTCGCCAAAACCAACTTGCGCTTCTTCTCGTCTTCTTTCCGCTGTCTTTCTGCCTCGTCTTTTTCCATCTCTTCGACCACTTTGTCCTCGTACTCCTCAGCCACAACTACTCCGCGAATCACTGGTACGGCCATGCGGTGACCAAACTCAAATCCTACGACGGCCTCTGCGTAGTCGATGCCCATCCTTTTGCACACCCTCACCCCACCGCGGTAAGGTATGTGCACCGCACCTTCGGGACACATATGCTCGGCAAACATATCGATGTTACCATAAGCATTCTTGGGAATGACGCCGTTCTCAATGGGGGGTGGGATGATCCAATCCGTTTGGTCCTCGCTGTACAGAGGCTGCAGCACCTTTTCGCCCGTTCTGGCCTCAGCCTCCGCAATCTCTCGGCGACGATTCGTTGTAGCTGCTCTATACGGTGCGTGTTTCCGAGGTTCGGCACCAGGAACGGGTGCTCGTCCTTGCTTGTGCCACGTTTCGGCGGATTTGACTGCCACCACGTCTTTCCGGGAATACACATCCTCTTCCTCGATCTTGCCGCCCTTGACCTTGTTGCGAAAGACCTTGACAGGCTCTGCTGAGGGAAGCAGTGCTTCTTCGCGCTTCAGATGACGTTGTAGCACATACTCTTTTGAAGACTTGTAATACTGCAACGTCTCTTCGCCTTCCTTGACCTCTTTCTTTTCTGGAACTGCAGGCTTGAGGTCTGTCACATCTTCGAGTTGGTCCAACTCAGTAAGTGGATGTTTGAGGCTTCCGCGAACATATCCGCTCAGAACGAACTTGAACCAGTCGAACTGCTCGTAGTGCTTCACTTTGCCATGCTTGTTGTATATGGGGATTTTCTCGATGCCCATACGCGTGCCCTTTGTCCGGCCTGGGAAGAGTTGCTTTCGCAAATAGCGGACTGTCACATCTTTGGCGGTACCGTCGCGAGAATGGGCGACGACATACGCCATTATCTGTTTCGCCTTGTCCGCCTTTGCACCACGCGGCTCGATGGACTCGATGAGCTCCCTGTTCGTACCTATCACAGATTTGACAATCGCGTCCACGGGTACCCACTTGTGGGTTACGGGAGACAAGACCTCCGTCCAATAGTGAGGAAAGTCAAGGTCCTTGTCATACACCTTGGGCGCTGGCCGAGGTTTTGTGTGGTCGGCTGTAACGTCAATGACCGAGTCGTCATCACTATCCTCACTGATGGCTTCTGCGTATTCGTCGGAATCGTCCAAGTCCATTTTGAGAGCGTCCTTGTCACTTTTCCTGGTGCGTCGGCTGGCGGGCCGAGCCGGTGTTTTTCGCGTTTTGGTCGCCTTCTTGGGCTCCTGGGCCTTCTTTCCATTCGTCTGGACAGGAGTAGCAGTACCATTAGTGGAAGTGTCCCCTGGAGTCTTTTCTTCGTCCGCTTCTTCAGATTTATTCCAACCAAATCCCAGAGATTGCAAGTTTGCGACCATCCGGGCATCGAGCCCAAGGCCCCTCAGCAAAGCCGTGAAGAGTTGCGCACCAACATCTCTGCTCCCTTCGCACATCTGCGCGTGCCGTCTAAAGTCTTCCAGATCTGTGATCTTCTCTCCAAACCTTTCTGGGTCGTGCTCGCCCTCCTCGAAAGATTGCCTCCACTTGGCCAGTCGTCTGACGTCCATGTAACCAAACTTCCGCAATCCAGGTGCCGTGATTTGAAACCTCTGTTTCCACCACGAGGACAGAGATTTCATGAGCCTGAATAGGGGATCGCCATGGCTCATATTGGGTGCTCCCTTCTCAAGACGATCAGCCGCATCACCCCAGTCCCTGGTAGGCTTCGCCACTGTTGGCTTGCCCTTTGACCTCGTGTTAGCCTTGCCTTTTGGCTGAGCCTTCCCTTTGACACCTTTCTTCGTCACAGGCGAGACGTGTTGCTCCCTTTCGTCCTCCGTTGCGAGCCCGCTGTGCTGCCGCCACCGATCAACCTCGTCCCATAGCCGTGGAGGTATATGTGAAATCATGACGGCTTGGACTTCTGGGTCACACAACCACGAATTGCGGAGCGCATTGTGCCACAGTAAGAATTGCACGTGTATGCAATGCGTGCCATTTCGTATGATCTTCTCCCTCTTGGACGGGCCCTTCTTTGACATTTCAGACGCCAAAGGGACATGATTGTTGCGGAATAGCGTTAGCTCCAGATCACCCGAGATGACCGGCTCCGCCTCAGGTTGCGGCTCATGATTCGGGACATCTTCAAACTCGATATCCTCGTCATCGTCGTCGTCTTCTGATTGCGCAGCTACTTTTTGCCGTTTAGCTGTCGGTACATCTTCGAATTCGATATCTGAATCCGAAAGTGAACTAAGAGAGCTGCTGTCATCTTCGTCGTCGTCATCGACCATTTGCTGAATTGCGGACTTGGTCTTTTCGGCGGAGCGCCCCTTGCTTCCCGCATCTAGGTCATCGAAAAGTGTAGACCTCCGAGGTGGTGCGACTGCTGCCTTTGGTGTGCTCGCCTGCCCTTTTTTTGTGACCTTGTTCGTTTTGTCGCCGTGCTCAGGCGTGGCTGACCGCATTCTCTTGCGTGGGAGATGAGGAGGCATCTTGGATCACTCCATCTGTGGTGCCGGGCTTCAGTATCAACAAATGTCAGACGGAAATATCAAAAATGGCTTCGCTGTAGGCCCGGGGAAACGCGAAGGGGCGCGCAGCCACAAGGCGTCATCGAAACGCGGGAACATGTGACCTCATTGACATTTAATTGAATTCCAGGCACGAATGCCCGCTAAGATCGAGGCACCCACGGCGCTGGAACGAGAAGGGGTTAGCGAGTCTTTAGCGCCCTCCGCCCCACGATCAGATGCTATTGATAGCGGGTGTAGCGCAGGGTCCTCCGTGGCGGAATGGGCTCCTCGAGGCGGATCATTCGAGACCCTTCTTTCTTGCCATTTGCTAAGCAGGCTGGCTTGACGCAGACAGTGGCAGCCTCGCAACCTCGTCTCTTTGCACCATATTCGCCCTTTTCTTTCAGCGCCGTTGATTCTGATCAGTCAGCCAGCTGACGACACTTCACCTGCCTGGTACATTCTTGCCAATCCCATCTGCCTCTCATACATACAAGTACCCCCTCCGTTCCGCCCACCCGCCTCGCCCGTCCCGAGATGGCCTCCTCATCAAGCGATATTCCAGAGTCCTCGTACGTCAAGATGGACACAGCCGACGACGCCACACTGATCGGCACGCACTGCCAGTACACGTACTGCAACCAGCTCGACTTCCTGCCCTTCTTCTGCCAGTCCTGCAAGGGCACCTTCTGCCTCGACCACCGGACCGAGACGGCACACGTATGCGCCGAGGCGGGCGCCTGGGCGCGGCGGCGGCGGGAGGCCGAGCTCGCCAAGCCCAGCGCGGGCGAGGGGAAGCGCATGCGCGACCTGGTCCAGCAGAAGCCCTGCGCCGGCGCCGGCTGCAAGACGACGGTCGGCACGAGCCTGGTGCCGGGCGTGCACTGCGACCGCTGCAACCGCGACTACTGCCTCAAGCACCGGCTGGGCGAGGAGCACGACTGCAAGAACCTGACGCCGATCGGGGCGCGGCCGGGGGCGGCGCAGGCGAACAACTTCGGCCGCGAGGCGCGGTCCGCGCTGTCCAAGCTCAAGGCCTGGGGCGCGTCGAGGAAGGAGGCCGCCAGCCGGGCGCTGCCCAAGCCCAAGCCGACGACGGCGAGCCAGCGCGTCGTCGCCGTGAACCAGCTCAAGAAGACGGCCAAGGGCGACGCCAAGCTCGCGCCGGAGAAGAGGGTCTACTTGTTCGTCGAGGCCGAGGCCGAGACCACCACGGCCAAGTTCCCCAAGGGCCAGCTCTTCTTCAGCAAGGACTGGGTTGTGGGACGATTGCTCGACTCTGCAGCCAGGGACCTACAGGTGGAGAACGTGAACAACTCGAGTGCCAACGAGAAGGACAAGCTCAGGGTCTTTCATGTTGAGGGAGGGAGGGTCCTGGAGTTCAACGAGAAGGTCGGGGCCGCACTGTCGAGCGGCAATACGGTCGTGCTGCTGAGAGGTGTTGGGCCGGCACAGGAAGACCTCATCACCATGTGACGATGGAAACGCGTATGGGGTTGGTTACGAGTTCCGAACAGACGATTGTTGCATTTTCAGGCGTTTAGGGGCATAGAGCATGTGAATCACTGCAGTACTGACCAGATGGTTCAGAGGGGGGGTTTTTAGCATTTGCATATTTTCATATTATGGGGGAGATGTTTTCCGCTTCCAACGATTATACAATGTATTTTCTGGCCAAAGAGGTCCGCTATGCCAGAGCGTGCTGAAAAATCCGAGCTGTTATACTCCGTAAACGCCATGGTGGTTCCGTAATCCAATTTTTTTATTTTTTTAGTATCATTCCTACAGCTCCTTCTCTTTGGGCTTCTTGTGCAGCTCGCTTTCTCTTCCAGTAGTAGGCAAGTTACCCACGGCCTCATGGCCACCATAGGCTTCGAATCCCTTGTGGAATATCCACTCGACCGCATTTTCAACGGGCTTATCAAACATGTACGGCAGAGTGGGCACGACGGCCAATCCCAGGCCGATGGGTCCCCAGGTACGTAGCTTTGTGTTCTTGACGTTCTTCAGCGCGCGGCCCGAGTACCTCACGACACTGTGGATCGTGAATGCCGGCAGTCCCATACTGGCAAGGCTCTGGAAGATACCTCTTTGCAGCATGACTGTACGGTAATCTTCCAACGGCGCAATGGTGCTCGGTTCTTTCGTGGTCAGGGCCCCCTCGACCGCCTGTACGACGTTGCTCAGCCCAGTTGCCTTGATGGCCTGGTCGCTAAGCTGCAGATCGGGGTTGAGCTTGCGCTGGTTCTGCCAGTACGCCTTGTAGCCCTCGTAGCCCACGTCGCCCAGGATGTAGGCCCACGAGATACCATAGGCGCTCCTCACCAACCACGGATGTGCGACGGGTCGGAAGGATTCGCCAATGTCCGAGGTGTAGGCGACATATCGGTGCGCGGACAGCATGATGGTCCGCACTCGGTTCGCGTAGGCAGCATAACGCAGATTCGACTCAGTCGAGTCGGGGACGTAGCCGTCCACTAGCTCGTCGTAAAAGGACTCATCGTGGTCTTGCTTGTCGACGATGCTTTGCAGCTTCTTGTTCAGCTTCTTGCGCTCGGGAAGATGGTCGGGGTCAAACTTTTGATGGCGGGCATCTGTGCGAGTGTCGGCCTTCCCAACAGGCTCGATGGGCTGTCCTGTCGTGCCTGGCGCGGGACTCGTCGGAGCTTGGGACTTGTCCTTGTCTGAACCTTTTCCCCACCACGACATGGTGATGGTTTGTCTGGCGTCTTGGATTGTATGTGGAAGTATGAACGGGTTGATTGTTGGGGCCAAGCTCGTCTTGGGACACGATCCAAACTCACAATAAATGCAGTATGGTTGAAAGTGCCGGTCTCGCGGAGGGGCTTGCGGAACACTTTGATTGAGAGCTTGGTAATGGGACGCACGAGAGCTCACCTCAAAGCCGGGAGCGTACAGGTACAGGGAAAGTCCGGGGATGGGTCTCTGGGTAGTGACGTTGTTGGTACCCGCCAGAGCGCGGTATCTATCCACTTGAGCTTCAGAAATTACATGAACCCGGTTGGAGCCGAGGCCTGCGCATAAAAGTGGCATGAGCTGAGCTCAGGGTACATAAAACCCCCCCTGTTGACACAACTTGCACAATTCTGGCAGCGGTCGGCTTTTACTTGTTCCGGCCACATCCGATCGGGGGAGTTGTGGTGGCATGGTCAGTGCACCTTCAAGTAAATTGGAGCTTTGAGCAGTTTTGAAGGCGTCGACCACCAACTCCATATCCCGAAGTCAACCTCATCGCAGCATATCCTCCCTCCGAACCAGTTTCCCGAGGTCAATTCGCCCACCAATCCGTCAACATGGTCCAGAAGTACAACATCATGGGTGCCCAGATCGGGTCGCACTACGTCAGTTCGCCTTTCAACTCTACATCCAGCGCCCCGGCAGACCCGAACTGCGATCAATGCATTGGCTAACATGCTTTCTCCAAATAGCTCGCCATGGGTGTCCTCAGCGCCCTCTTCGGCGGTACCTACTTGGCTGTCGGCGGTGGTGGCAGCAAGGCCTCAGCTGTCACCAAGGCCCCCCCGATCAACGCATCCAGCTCCGACGAGGAGAACTTCATCAAGTGCGCATAGCCCCGATCTCTACTCCTTGATGAATTTGAAAATAAGAACACCTGCAAAGGATCCATTGCTCACCATCTCATGCAGGAACTTCTTGGACGAGGCGAACAAGGGCGAGAAGACGGCCGCCAAGCACTAAATTCGGCAATGTATTATGAAGGAGTGGCATATGGGGTCGATACGTCGGGCGGCTCCAGTGTATATCTATAGACGCAGTCCCATCGGCAGCGCGCGATCACAAAGAAATCAAGCACCGAATTTCCAGCTCATCCTCGATGTACAAGATATTCCCGCGGCTGTATCAAATCTGTTTGGATGTGGTGTGTTGCAATTACTATCCCGGACGGAACCTTGACAGCCTCGCGGAAGAGATGCGCCGAATGATGGTTCTAGCAACAGTACCCTGGACATGTTCGATCAGTCTGAGATCTCTCAAATGATATACTGTCAAGGGTAAGAAGCAGCCAAGCTGTGTTATCTTTCTCACAGTGGGCTGTGCTTGTGACCATGACTTATACCACCATACTCGTTCGGGATTGGGCATTTCAGTGCTTGAATTTCAGTGCTGGATCAATCGCACAAGGTAGTCATGGGCGGGTATCTCCCGTTTGCTTTATTCTATGATAATGTACATTTCAGGTCCCTTGCTTAACACAACTCGCAAATAAGTCGCGATACTGGTCATGGCCAGCGAGCATTCAAGTTACCTCGGGCTAAGGCGTCCCACTTCCGCCTGTCGCTATTGCTCTCAGGAGGATTGGGTCAGGATGTGGTTCCTATAGGCATTGTAATTTAACCGAGACCCATGTAGCGCACCAAAATGACGAGTAGTAAGGATCACAATTTTCAGGCAAGTCTTGACTAGAATATATCAAGATACTGTCTCATTCATGAAACTCAACATTTACCGCTGGTTTTGGCCCTTGAATGAATGCGTACTATTTATCTCACCTGGTTCATTATGACGATGATAATTTCTCATGTTAAGTAAAAGTAGTAGCCCCCGCGCTATACTTAGTCGACACTTGGGTCAACCAAGTCAGGTAGATCAGCATCAGCGTCATCATCATCTTCTTCTTCGTCTTCCTCATCGTCGTCATCCCATACAGCTGGAACAGGTTCGTCTGGACTAAGAAGCTCAATCATGTGGCCCATCATTGCGTCTAGTGGATCGAGATGATGGTGGTGGTGACCGAAGCTACCTTCCATCAGCAAATGCGCCAGGAGTCCGGCGTCCATCTCTCCATATTCATCATAAAGTTCATCATCATAGTCGTCGCCGTAGTAAGAATCCTCGTCATTGATGTCGTCGCTGCCAATGCCGTCCTCGTCTTCAAAATCGGAATCGCCGTTTCCTGTCGAGACATATTGTTTGTAGTGTTTGTCAACGACTTCTGCCTTCAGTGGCACCTCGTCCGGGTACTTCTCCGGCCCACGACAATATGCATTGATGGAGTCGCGTATCTTGTCTGGACAAACATCAGGTGTCGAAAGATCCCAGTACTCGTCAGGCAATGATGCTGATTCGTCCTCTGCGTAGCCCACGATGTCGCCGCAGATGCACACTTCTTCCAGGTCAAGCTTGTTTCTGATGTCGGGTAGAAATTTCCACCACGAAGTTTCGCCAAGGCTGATGTCTCGGAGGCAGACCCTCCTTAGGGTGTCTTTGTGTAGTTTCAAGAACTTGATCACGTCATGTCGGTTGCTGGTGAAGCCACCGATGCAAACTTCTTGTAAGCAGGGCCACTTGTGATCGGGCGCGATGATGTCTCCCAGTGAAGCAGGCCATTCTTCCTCGGCCCATTCCACCGGATACAGCGTCACGTGGAGTGCTTCAAGATGCTCCAAGGGTTTCAGAAGCTTGCGGATTATACCACTCCCCATGACCTTGCGACAACGGGTAATGCTTGTCACCTTTTCTTGGGGGTCGGCATCGATGTGAAGCTCGATTCTCTTGAGGTATTTAAGTGTCTGTGCGAGATTACTCGGTACCTGAGGGAGGTCCTTGAAGAACTTCCAGTCCAATATGCCGGCTCGAAAGCTTTCAAGCCTGGCATTTGCACTTATGAGGCCTGCAGTCAAGGCCTTGAGGTGCCGTTTGCCTTCAGGTTTCAAGTCGCTACCAGGCCAAAGTGGTGACATTTTGAATGGTGAGTCCCTGACCTTCTGATGAACTTGGTGTCTTCCAAAGGTGGAAGGCTGGCGCGGTGAAAGACAAAGGGGGCTACTTGAAAGGGGAGATGCGCCCTCATACCACTCGTGGTCTGATGACATCGTCGCCTGCTTTAGACTTGTGAACTTGGGAATAACCTCCTTCAAACATGCCACATCAGTGAGCTCTTCGATTATGTGTTTTTGCTTCTTCATGATCTCTTCGTACTCCTTGTGGTGCATTTGCAGCTGCTGCAAATCGACTTTCCCACCAAGTCTGTTCGAGCAGTGACGGCCCATACTAAAAGGACCGTTCAGTTCTCGACGGTATTCGCGAAGAAACACATTGAAAGGTACCACCTCGTTGTCCATGACCTCTGCAAAATACGTGAGGGACCGGACATGCTTGGATATTATCGGATGATTGGCTATCGCCCTCAACCGGTCAAAGTCCTCATCAAACATGTAGAAGGAGACTTCAGGCAGCATGTACGCCGCGCCAATGTCTGCAAAAGCCTTGCAGACCTGGCGAAAACGTAGCACATTCTCAATATTGAGGAATGAGCAAATGATGTGAAGGATTTCTGGCGACAAGGTAGCCACTAGACAGTCTAGACTAGGCTCTGGTTGTGATGAGGCTTCCAGAGCGCCATCTATCGTCACAGGAGGCAATCTCCCGTCAGCCGTTGTGGTTGCCATCTGAAACCCAGTCCGAAGGTTTCTTGCGAAGGTGTGAGTCTATGTCAAAGGTGAGAGAGATTGTTTGGTTTGAATATCAACGGAACTTCGATACCTGCCTACGACACACAAACGCCACAAGTGCACAGGCCACTGCAGGGGCTTAGGTGCATGGCAAACGCACTGATTGGGTAGCGTGCTGGACTGCCAGAGGACTGCTTTGACTGACAGACCTCATAACGAATGCTTGCTTCTTTCTTTCTTCTCCTTTTAAAAGACAATCGTAACAATTCACTGTACGCACAGAAATCTTCAAACAAGGAAAGGGAAAATAAGCACTAATGCATGAAAGGTTAAAGCGGATTCAATGCACAATGAGATGAGAGACCGTGAGCCACAGACAACGCCAGTGTTCCAAGTATACTGTACAGGGTCTACAGCGTGTCACCTCGATGGTACACGGCCTGGACTAGATTAGGACTAATATCTTCACATGGTCACACTTGGACGATTGTAATATACCTCGACCTAACAATCCAATGTGTTTGAACTCGGTGTAATGTCCATGTCACAGCTTTATTCTCATCAATACTACCCGAATAGAATGACACCACCGACCGCATCTCCCGAGGCGCCGGCTTTGACAAGCACATCGACAACAGCGTCTTGACCGCAAATGCCAGCACTCTGCAATGCAGATTGGTTTCTCCATCCTGAGCCCGCGTCAATGTCCGCACCAGCTTCCAAAAGCCTCTTCACTATATCCACATGGCCTTTTTCGGCCGCAGCATGCAGTGCTGTACCTCCCTTGAATGAAGCGCCTTGCTGGTTGACATCGGCGCCTGCATCGATCAGTTTGTTGACCATATCGATGTTGCCTTTGAGTGCAGCCGCTTGAAGTGCAGTCTTTCCCTTGTGGCGTATTGCTGGGACGTTGACATCGGCTCCATGCTTCAAAAGAAGCTCAACGATTTGGACATCGTTTGTGGATGTGGCACCGACAAGAGCCGTCTCGCCTGCTGTCTTAGCTGGTTTGGCATTGACGTCGGCGCCACCGTCCAACAGCAACCGAACGATCTCAATGTGGCCTTCAGCCGCCGCTGCCTGCAGAGCTGTGCATCCGTCGTATCTTCCAGCCGGAGCATTGACTTCAGCGCCGTTCTTAATGAGCAAGGTTACAAGGGATCTCACTCCGGCTGTACATGCTTGCTGGAGTGCAGTGCGACACCCGTTATTGCCTCCTGACGCGTTGACGTCCGCTCCGTGCTCAATGAGCCACTTTGCCACATCTTCATGGCCGAAAAGACAAGCTGCCTGCAGAGCTGTATTTCCATAGTAGCCTGAAGGTGGCGCGTTGATGTCGGCACCATCAGATATGAGCTGCTCAACCTTTGCTAAATCGCCATCTTTGGCTGCGATTTGTAGATCCGTCCAGCGCTCATCTTCTTCTGCAACCTCGTCATCTTCTAAGAACCGTGTTTGAGCCGGTGGTATAGAAACCAGCTGGCTTGGTGTTCTCATCGTGATTCCTTAAGACCGTAGGTTGATGATTATCGTTGATATCTGGTGTTAGATTCCCATAAGCGAGGAATGTGGATGCGGCACAGATTGCGGGGGTAGAGCCAAATGCGTTTCGCCGTGAAGCTGGACCCCTTTTACGAGAACGATGTTCGGGGTCCAAAGAGGCAGAGTCAGGTCTTGCGCAACTGATGCCACTATAGCAGGTCAAACGTGAGAAAGGGCGTTGTGAAGGAATGAAACACTCGTATCGACCTTGCAAAAACCGAAAGATCCCTTGTACATATGAGCCAGGGTGAACATACATACCAACTCCATACTAGACCATTTTGACCCAATCCTGGCAATGCCATCGCATGGACAGTCATTCTGCTATAAAACCTGAGTAAACATGCACACGATCCCTCGAGGTAATGCTTCATTAGACAGGACGTGGCTCTACATTTATCTAACCTTAGTCAGTTGAGTCCTGAGCTCCGTAAGCCATAAGCTAAGTAGTGCTAGAAGTCGGCTTAAAATCCGATGCCCTTAACAGACCGTTTGCGGCATCGATTGAAGTGTGTAGCGTAGGAGCATTTGTCCTTGCCATAGTGTTTGCAAGGCATCAGAACAGGTTCGTACTCGAGGCAGATGATTGGCTGCTTCACAACACAGCTGAGAAGGTCTCTCTCGGAATGGCTCGAGGGCTAGCAAGTCAAGTCAAGTCATCGATACCGGAAGGTTTGTACTTGCTGATTTGCGAGCGGATTACTGTAGTTACCGTCCGGTCCACGTTAGCGCTATCTGTAACTTAACTTAGAGACCTCGCCTCTTCCATGGTCTTGCGATCAATTTGAAGCTGTAAAAGCCGCGAAAGATAAGCACATATCCATTATTAGAACGCAAATATTCACATGCTGAATACGGGAATACCTTCGATATCTATCAAGCTCCATAATAGAACTGCGTATTGAAGCATATGGTAGTACGGTCTACTCTACAAAACGAGCAATTGCCCCTGTTGCCCCTCTCTGCGATAGGAGCTAAGACTTTAGATAACCCTGAGTCGTGACTCCAAATCAAGAATACCCCGAGTTCTCAACGTCTCCAATATTTGCCGTGTCGGCTGGACTCCAACTTCACCAAACACGCTCCAATATGGAGACCCGCCGGGTCGCTGGGGCTTCGCGATCTGGGCGAGTGCGCAAGCGACGTGGGGTATTGAATGAACCTCACTTATGTTCCTATTGCGGACGCGCCTTCAAGCGTTCTGAGCATAAGGAAAGGCATGAGCGAACCCGTGAGTACTCCAATATCGCAGCATCTGGCCCTCCCCACATTATAGAGTTGCTATCCCCATTGGCCCATCTCCGGTCCCTGAGGTTCAGCCACGAAGATCCTTGGCTACATGACCTGGCAGCTAAAAAATTAGGTGGCAATCGTGGATAACAGTCATGACCGAGTTTCGTGATTGAGTGATTGACCTAACAAGCGATAGACACAAAAGAGAAGCCCTTCATTTGTCATTGCAGTGCCGCCTTTACCAGGCGGGACTTGCTCACGCGGCACCAACGTATCACATCTCATACGGCCCAAGATAACCAAATACATGACTCACAAGATGTTGAGCTGGAACAAGACGACCACCCCGTCGTTGAGGCAGACTTGGCTGCGGCAGTCTCGCTGTCAGACATGAGCATGGCCACTTGGAATAGACAAGTTTCTAATGGTCACATGCCTGAAGTGCCGCCTCAGGTTCTGAATGAGCCATTCCAGCAGCCAATTCTTCCCCAAGAATACTTTGACACAGGTATGTGGGCCCGATTAGGTACCGTTGCTCGACATTAACATATTCAGGTCAAGGATTCGTTGGCTACGACCACTTCAGGGATTTTGCCAACTTTCTTGACGGGGTTGGTCTTCCAATCGAATGGAGTCCATACTTTCAAGAGCCTGACCCGAACGAAGGTCTTGTTGACCCGCAGCTTCGCTATTCCAGAGCCAACACAAGCACGCCGAACCCTCGCAATGGTCGAACTGGCTCACCATTCAGCACTTGGCTTCCGTCCGCACCACATGGTAGCAGGATAGCCGAAGTGATTTCGGAAAGCAGTAAGTGCAATAGTCAAAAGAAATCGTCTTCACGGTTTGCAAGTGGGACTTAAGAAGCATATTCAATACCCTCCGAAGCCAGCAAATGATATTAATTCTTACTCCCTTGGCACAACCCGTTGCCTGGTTTTCTGGGATATCTAATCCCCCCCTTTTGTTTTCCTTTTTTTTTTTTTGTCTTGTTTGGGTAGTCAAATCTTTGACTCTTGAACTTACAAAACTTCGAAGCGGCCGTTCAAAACCCAATGGCTAACTGAATACCCTCTTGTTTTAATAGGACCTCGAGGAGCAGAAACAGACCCACAACCTTTTCGAGTCACTGAAGATCAGCATGCTCGCCTCGCATCTTACTTGGATGCCTTTCGTGACGTGGTGAACGATGACTTTGTCTTACCATCGCGACATGCATTGACTCGATATATCACGTCCTACTTTCAAGGATTTCACCTGCATATGCCTTTTATACACCAACAGACATGGCGCATACTTGATACGCCTTTAGAGCTTGTCCTAGCTATTGCAACCATGGGTGCGCAGTACAGCTTTGAACATCGAAACTCCGAGAGACTATTCCAAGCAAGCAAAGCAGTTCTACTACAAAGATTGAGTCATGAAACTGCGAAGTTTGGACCTATGACTAGCTCATTCTTGAGTATGCACAATTATTCGTCTCATAGCATTGGATCGTGCTCGTCGCCTAGACCTACTAAAGATGGTGGGCCGTGGGAACCGATAGATACAGTCGGCGCAGTCATCGTTCTGATGGGTTACGCGACATGGGAACGGAAAGCCAACTTCGTTGCCGAGGCCTTCTCACTTCAAAGCCTATTAGTACAACTTCTGCGCGATATAGGGCTTCTCGAAGGACCTGAGCCGACCAGCGTCTTCGATATGCCTTTGTCGCAAACCGCCTGGTTGGCGTGGATTCGACAGGAGTCAATACGTCGGACCAAGCTGATTGCATTTACATTTCTTCATACACATAGTGTCGCCTACAACGTATATCCTGTACTGAGGAGCAATGAGATCCATTTACGGTTACCATGCTCGACAGGCGAGTGGAGGGCGTCAAATGCTTCGCTATGGCAAATAGCAAGACGTGAGCTACGTAAAGAGCAGTTGAACTTCCAAGACGCGCTGTCACTACTTCTCAAACATGACGGGAATTCTCCTCTCGACCCGGTTCCGACACCATTAGGTAATTACTGTCTACTTCACGGATTATTACAACGCATCCACATTGTTAGGGATCTCTCGCTTCCCATTAGGGATCCTTCGGCTTCACTCCCGGAAGAAGAGGTAAAGAATCTAGAGTAAGTCTCTCAACATGCCTTATAACGTCTTATCACTGACTTCGCTCTTAGACGTGCTCTTCGCTCGTGGACCTCAGGATGGCAGCAACAGCCGGAATCAAGTCTAGACCCAAACAATGAAAATGGCCCCATCCCTTTCACGTCTAGCTCCTTACTCGCCCTAGCCTACGTCCGTATTTACCTTGACCTTGGACCATACCGTCAACTCGAGACACGGGAACCAACTCGAGTTGCACAAGCTCTAAGCCGGTCACCAAAAGTTGATAGGAGTAATGGCGTGATATCCGCCCTGCTCTATGCGACACATGCACTGAGTATCCCGGTGAGATTGGGGGTTGACAGGGTCGCTCGCAGTCAAGCCTTCTTTTGGAGCGTCCGCCATTCGCTCTGTGGCCTAGAATGTGCTGTATTATTAAGCAAATGGCTCAGTTCGGTGTCCGATTTCGTGAATGATGTCCCCCTGACTGGTGAGTTTATTGTCCGTACGATTTTGGTGCCTTTGTTCTAAGAAAGCAATAGATAGCGAAGAGCGAATATTGCACTGGGTGCGCTGCGTAGTCGAAGAAGCATTTGCCGTGGTAGACTTTGAGGAAGATGAGCCAGCACCACTAAATGATCCTGCGAGCTTGAGTTCGGCCGTGCTGAAGATATGGGCACATTTTTTCAAAAGTAATACACAATGGCCCTTCATCAATATGATTGGCTTAAGCTTGGAGAAATACCGCGAGATGCTTCGTCGAGATAGTACACAGCAAGTCAATACTTAAGTTTTTCCGGATGACAAGTCGTTCAGTTGGACGGATTATAAATTTTAGGAAAGCTGGGGACGTAACGAATCAAAAAGCTCGCTGTATATGTGGCGCTTCGCAGGATATCTCGTATTTTGCTTTTATTTTTGTTTTTGGTTCCAAAGCGTTGTCTGTGACTCTTCAAGGATATTTTCTAGCATTTGTCTTGATCAGCCGGCAGACCTGAATGATGTGAAACGACAGTTGATTTGACACCGTACTTTAGTTGATGGTATATCCGCCGTCGACCACCAAAGCATGCCCTTGTATAAAGGAAGCCAGCGGTGAGCATAAAAACAGAACAGTATCAGCTACCTCTTCCGGTCTTCCCATCCGTCGCATTGGCGCAATATCGATTGCCGGCTTGAACCTCTCGGCGGCATCCGGCGAACCCGCTGTCATTGGGGTCGATATCAATCCTGGGCAGACACAATTTATTCTTATGCCATCACGGGAATAGTCAATGGCGTCGGCGCGCGTCATGTTTATAATGGCGGCTTTAGAAGCACAGTACGGTGCTTGTGCGAAACAAAGTTAATCAACCAAGTCCAGACGGGCACACCCGGTGGCACAAACTTACAGGCAGTGGCGCGAGCAACGACGCCTAGTTGACTCGCAACGTTCACGACTGACCCCCTCATTTCTCGGTGTGCAGGCAGCGGCTCCTGCTTTAGCATTTGTCTGACCGCTGCCCGCGTGACCAGCCAGGTCCCTCTCGTGTTGACCCGAGTGACGAGGTCGAACGCGTCGGCGGGGGTGTCGACCGAGCGCGAGTCCTCCCCGAGTATGCCGGCACAGTTGACCGCGTAGTCGAGGCGGGAGAACGTGTCCCGCGTCTTGGCGACCAGAGACTCCACAAACCCCTCGTCTGAGATATCTCCGTCCAGGACTAGGACTTGGACTTTTGAGTCGATCTTTAGCAGTCCTTCGCGGACGACTTCTAGGGAAGCCCGGCGCAGGTCTGTGATCGCGATTCGAGTGCATCCTGCCCGGGCAAAGGCGTGGGCGATCGCGGCGCCGATGCCGCCCCCGGCCCCGGTAACCAAGGCTACACCGGGAAGTTCGATTGATACACCTGGCATTGTCAAGAAGGATACTTTCAGGGTGGAATGGTATTATGAATTGTTCTTGGTTAACCGCATCTTAACGTAGAGTAGTGTGATGAGACACTTCCCTTTTGTGCTTGGAATCTCCTTGCTTGAGCTCGGAACCTAGATGCGATAGCGGTTACCTGCTTGCTATACGGTTCGCTTTAGCTTGGCGTTTGTGGGTGAGTGGGTCGAACAATTGGAGGCGATAGCATAGAAATTGGAGAAGGTTGCTTGATTGGAGAAGGGAATAAAGTTGGAGACATCACGTTATGACGCAACATAATTGATGTTGATGACCACCAGTATAGCTTAGCATAGCAGGGTGAAAGTTAGTCCCCGGCTGCCCGGATGCTGCCTTTTAATACCCCTGTGTTTGTTCGTATTCATTTATGCTGGAATAGATCCTACGAGCAAGTAATTATTAAACATGTCTGCAACTAAGCCCCTGCTTTTGCATGCCCATATAACCGGGCCCAACCCGATCAAGATTGCCATCGCTCTGGAAATATTGAAGGTCCCCTACGAGATAAAGCTCTGGGAGTTCGGCGAAGATCCGGAAAATGGTGTCAAAGGTGCCAAGTTCCTGAAGATCAACGAGAATGGCCGCGTCCCTGCGCTTGAGGACCCCAATACGGGGGTTGTGAGCTGGGAATCTGGCGCTGTCATGAATTATGTTCGAAGAAGATACGATGTCGAGGGAACCTTGGGGCCCCGCGGTAAGGACGAACAATCCATCGTTGACTTCGAGAAATGGGAATACTTCCTGCTCTCGACGCTGGGTCCCATGACCGGTCAGACCAACTGGTTCAGGTGTGTGGTACACTATGGCACTTGACGCTCAACTTCGATTGACCTTCTGTTAGACATTACCATCCGTCAAAAAACGAAGACGCCTTGAGCCGTTATGAAGAACAAACGTACCGATGCTATGGTGTGTTGGAGCGGCAGCTAGAGAAGACCAATGGCGACAGCATCATCCCTGGTGGCATCAATGCAGTCGATCTGCATTTCTTCCCGTGGGTGAAGCAGTACGAGTTCGCTGGGCTCAGACTCGACGCTTATCCCCACATTTACAAATGGCTGAAGAAAATGAAGGGCTTGGAGGAGGTTGAGAGTGCCTATCAGCGGATCGGGGATGCCACGAAACAGAAGCCGAAGTAACCAGCGCACTTACCCGACCCGTTCAAGCCTATTCGCTTTGGTGTAGAAAAGGCGCCAAGTTGGTTTCATTGGCGCATACCTGGAGTTCTGAAAAAGGAGTGGAAATCCAAAATCCAAAAGGCCAAAAAGAATAAAGAAAGCAGTAAAAAAGGAAAAAGGAAAACGATAGCTCCCATGCAGGGGTTTGAACCCTGGCCACTACGGTTCTCTAATGAGTTCTTGAAAACGTAGGATCCTAAACCACTAGACGACATGGGATTATACTGATTGTTACAATATTTGTGCAGTATCCTAGACCAAGAAAGATTGCGGGAGTACGGGAGGGCTGGCAGTGTGCAAGGTCACGGGAAGGTACAGTCTTAATGGCAGGAACGCTCGCTTTGACTGGTTAGTCGAGCCAAAATTGAATGGTCGTGTATGGCGTCGAGGGGCGGATTTCGTGGTGGCCCCATCTATGAGCTTGCAGGTGCATAAGATGCCCAGATACGATGTTATTAGGCGAGGATTTCACAGTTTTGAAGAGTGTGTTGTCAAGGATATTGGCCTGGCTGAATCATTAGTTGCTATGAGACGCTGAGATTGCAGCAAATCTCCGTTTCGTCTACTACCTACTAGACATGTATATCACTAATGAAAATTTTTAAGCATCTCGCTTTATCTTGCCGTTGAGGAGGTAATCATCTCTTGTGTGGTCTTTATCCTCGATTCTTCATGGGTCACCACAAGCCATAATTCGGTGGTAAATAACTATAGCTGATCTTATATCATGGAGTAGTAGTCAAAACAACCCAAGAGCCTCCACCGTACGAGTGGAAAAACTCGGACAATGTGAGGAAAAGAAGCGGAGTGTCTGCGAAGGGGCATGATCTTCAAATGAAAAGAGACCCATGTAGTTAAGATGACTTTCGGTTTCGTTATGACAATATCTATCAGGTGATTGGACGAGCTTATACAGTGACTGCTCATTGGTGCAGTACGAACTATAACATCTTCAATGGAGTCGCTTCAACTCTTCCACCAAGTTCCTCATGGTTTCAATATCTGGACCTAAGCCGCTACAGACCTCCTCCTGCACATTCTCATCCATATCTATAAAACGCTCCAGCAATTCACCATCGATAAAACGGAATGGCCCAGCGCCTTCCCGTTGTTCATTGCGAAAGGAGCGATAAGTGTCAAACTGGATGTCCCCTATTGTCTTGATGACGCGGACGAGGTTTGCTTGGAATCGAATGAGTAAGTCTTGGTAGCGGGAGGAAATCGTCCCAAAAAGATAGATACCTCCTTCGACCTGTAGAGATCGTTGTTAGCCAGATGTTACCTCATATCAAACCAACGAACTTTGACAGTTCATCCGGAAATAAATAATTTACTCACTGTTGCAAGGAATGCTCGTGGCACAACAATGGCACTCTCGCTCGAATCAACTGTAACCTTACGGATCCGGTTCACCATTTCACCAAGATTCATTTCACCTAGGATGTCCATTCGTTTCTTGTCCTCTTCAGTTGCGCCTTGCTCATTGGGGCGTAACACCATGAGGTTGCCATTGGCATCAGCCTCGAGCCATGAGCTTCCCTCCACATGGCCAACAGCTGTGGCCCAAGCGGCATGGTGGTGCCGAGCGATTTCCTCTAGTTTTGCAGGCTGGTCATCCTGGGGAGGAGTGAACTCGATAAGCGTCATCGACTTCATGAGGTCCGCCACGGCAATTATACTCCCTTCGACAGCAAGATCTACCGGGTACGTGGACGGGCGATAAGAGGCCAGGCGGTTCAGCTTGGCAGAGGAAGATGTCACCTCGTTATACCGATAAACGACAACCGTTTTTGCCAGTGCTGCTACAATATTATCTCCGACGACACCAAGACATCTGCATGCTCCCTTGAGATTGTGCGATGCAATCTGGTACAGATTCCTTTCGCTGTCGATGCCAAACACTAGAATCCGACCTTTGACGTTGTCTTTAGAGCCGGGGTTAGGCTGCGTATCGTTCGGGAAGCTTGTGCCAACGATAAATCGCTCTGCACGTGTCTGCATCAGGAAAATATCTGAGTTAGTTTATGTTTCTACAACGAGGGAGACTCTTCGGGGTTATGTTTTGCTTAAGACCAGTAGTCTCACACTTTGTATGAGGCTGAGGCAGGTCATTGACTAGTATCGTCTCGAGTGACAAAGGAAAAAGGGGATACTGGTTGTTTTGTATACTTACACCGTAGGAGTCAGGTAGCTCGGCACGTATGACAGCTTCAACCATTTCCAGGCTAGAAGAGGTATCTAAGACGAAGTCGTGGCCTACTTTGTCAAAGATTACCTCGTCAACTAACTTAATGGTGCTGGTGATAACTTCTTCGTTGTTAACGACCTCTCGCTTGATGCAACCAAGCGCGAAGGCGCGCTCATTTCGTGAGTATGCTAGTCTTCTTACGGTTTGCCCCATCGGCAGGCTCTTGACATGCGTGCGGCGCTCGCGATCGAGCACAGCTATTTTCAACTGATTCTCAGCGGCCACAACGATGGAGTTCGGGAAAGCTTCGGAATCAAAAGAGCATACGCAGATAGCGTCCTGAGCCGTCACTGCCGAGTAGATGATTCGGCCTTCGCTTGCATATATCAAGCTGGGATGTTCGCTTGAGGAGAAAACATTGTAAATGCCGTTTTGTAGCGGCAAAAGTTGCAGGCGGGCATATCTTGTACCAAGAACGATGCTCTTTCTAGCCGAGAGAGAGAAATCCGAGGCCGCAACGTTAAAGGTTATCACTAGACCATCTTCCATGGCGACGAATAACGTGGGCCCACCTATTGATGGCGGCACTATTTGTGCCAATGCCAAATCGCGAGGAATTGAGGTGGTATCATCCTTGCGTCTCAGAGATTCGCTGTGCAAAGGCTGTAATGTCTCTAGGTTGACTATCGACACTTTTCCAGACTTCCAGAATCCCACGACTCCAATGTTCGAATACTGAGGAGGAAGATGAACACACGCGATCTGATCATTGTCGGCAGGCTCATTTTGCTGAGCTTCTGCCAGATCTTGCTGTATCTGCAGAGATACAAGATTGTGTCCGTCGATAGAGAGTAATATCCATTTGTCGTTTGCGGAGGCGTTTGTGATCGCTCCACCATTCGAAGGTTGCCAGGTAGATATAACGACACCACCTTCGAGGTCTACGAGGTACACAGTGGTAGGTGTGACTTGTAATAGGCGGCCCTGGGAAATGTTCAGGGCCAAAAGAGTTTGTTCCTGCAGCGATAGACCTTTGAAGCTATCGATTTCCTCAATGTCTCCGCTCGGTTGGAACACAAACGCTCTTGTCTCCAGCAGAAACGAGACGAATAGTGTATCAGCTTTTGAAGGAGCCTGTGATCGAATAGGAAACAGTGCTTGAATGCCCTCCATCTCAGCCAAGATACCAATGTCTTCCAAACCAACACCACTTCGTACACTACGCAGACTTCCATCCTTGAACACACCACTGCCGGCTACAATCCTGGCTTGTCCTGACGAGTATTCGTTAGTGGTCTGATCTTCGCCCTCCCGGTTGCCCATGTCCATGATTGTGAAATCCAAGACAGGCGAAATATTGGGTATCTCCTGGACTTGTTCCAGCGTCCAGTCCCCTTCGGCATTGACCTTGAAAACTTGCGAGTCTCCATAGTGGGCTCCTACGAAAAGTAAATCGCTTCCAATATAGGTTAAAGTGTTGGGTCTCGACGTGACGCCGATTTTTTTCATCTCCAGTCCACTCACGACTGCCCCACCGTCCAGTACGATCTCGAGAAGCCACATTGTGCCATAATCGTCGGCAACGAAATAATGCGAAACATCGTATTCGGCCCATGCAACGAAAATGGAAGCTTCCGTTAATGCAGATTCGACCGTCTTCTTTGCGGCGTCATCGTAGTAGAGTAGCCTTGTCTCGCCGACAACAATAAATCCACCAAGCTGAGCTCGGGCTTGTGCGGCATTCCGAATGATGTAGCGCTTGTGATCTTCTTGGCCGCGGCCAACAGGTATTAGCATAGCTGCACCGGGGTCCTGGATTTCGAAGCGGTCCACCTGATCTCGTGGCTCGAAACGGGAGACCTGGGTGTTCTTCTCGTCCGAGTAAAGGTTATATGTGACCACTTGGGCATCAGGAATGTCTGTACGAGTCTGGTAGAGGAAGGCGACCTTGGGCTTGCCGGTTTCAACGTGCAGAAAGGTAGCGGACTTGATGAAGAGCTCGTTGATCCTACACTGATCCTGCCATTGTATATCGAGCCGGGCGTTCTTCCGTGAGCCAAGACGCAATATATTCAAGACGCCCTCCCAGAGCAGAACTACCATGTATCGACCGGTCGGGTCCGTGATGCACTTGTCTTGGCTCTGGGAGTCTCGCATGTGCTTCTCGTTCATATCATTAAACGACTGGATAGTTTCGAGGGCTTTTGTCTCGGGGTCCCACCCAAGAGTGAAGTAATGGAACCGATCAGTCCCGACGAACAATAAATCCAGCTCCGCATCCTTTGGGCTCACTTTCTGGAGCATGGAAATTGCGCCGAAAATGACCTTGGTGTCGACAAGGACCAAGCTTTCCGATTCGTGGTCAAGCTTCCAGAACTCAAGGCGGTTGGCCTTTGCCACCACGAGGCACTCGTCTTCTTCGTCTTCGCCGGGGAATAGTCGAGCTCGCACAGCATGGCGGATGCTGTTCGGCCGGTGGATCGGCGCTACGTAGGCCATGATGTAGTTCGCATTGCGACCGGGAGCGAGAAATGCTATTTGTGTTTTCCGACAGTCGGCTGGGAAAATGCCCCTCCAAGATGATGAAGCTCTCAGGATTCAACGGATAAGCAATTGATTACCACTAACCTAGATACATACAGTAGCTAAGCTCTATGATGCAACGGCCGGAGATAAGACCCTGTAGCACTAACCTTGGAGGTTAACACCGATCTCGATGCGCGCTGCGGGGTGCAAAACAAACACTAAATGGGGCAGCGTTTCAGGGCTCAACCAAGCCAGGTTCGGCGAGTGACAGACAATTGGGTTCGGGCAGTCTTCCATTAACACTTGAACCGTGCAATCGAGTAGGTTAGCATATTGTATCTGTGGGAATAGTACGGGACAGCAAGATACCATTGACTTCTTACTTTCTGCAAGACTTAGAGCCTGGAACGGCTTGCGGTCCGCCCAGATGAGAAACCCTGTGATAGGCAATGCTCACGAGGAAATTGTTCATCCCACCAGGGTCAAGCTCCGCTCCTCGGGGCTTACAGTACACCATCCTCACGGTTGACTGCTGTGAGCCATCTCTAACTCAAGTTAGTCTACCGTCAAAATCAAAATGCAAGCTTATACGGAGTAATAATATCACAGAATCTCAAATACCAAGAAAATTGCTTTTCTAGACGTATACATATTTAAAGTAGGAGTTAGCCTAGTCTTAAGCAGCGACATTAGTGAGCGTCGCGCTTTCAATTTCTACCTGGAATGGCCGTTTTCCGTTCATGTTAATGCCCTTCGGAATTCCTGTCTCGGCCTCCTCTTTAGGCGGGTTAGACCTGCTGTATCTGATTGTTTTCCAGTCAAACTTAGACTCCCAAGCGTGGCCTATTTGTAAGATCTTCTTTTCTTGCCACAAACCCCCTACAATCTGCATTCCGATAGGCAATGATACATCGGGATCCTCCCTAGCTGGAGCGAACCCGATAGGAATTGATAGAGCCGGCTGTCCCGTCACATTGAATATCGCCGTATTTGAAGTCAAGCCAATACTAGGCTCGAAACAAGTTCGTGGAGAATCTCGTGTGCCATGTTTTGGCGCCACGTAGGGAGTCGTCGGCATGATGAGAGCATCGTACTCTTGGAATTTCTCTTCGTAGGCATCGCGGATCCGCCTGCCAATATTCACCGTTTTGCCGTAAAGACCAGGGAAGCGTTTTGACAGATAAAGGCCGTTGATGACTGTATTCTTAGTAGATGGGAAGAGCTTCGCAAAGTTGTCCGAAGTCCACGGCAACCGCGCTTGCTCGAACTCTGTAAGAGATAGACCCCTTCGTCCGTGTGCCTGTCCCAGGACCCCAGCTGCACCAGAGATGCGTTGCTGTACGGTCCATACAGCAGGGCCCTCCAAGTGTAGGGGAACCGATACTTCCTCAACTATAGCACCAAGCTGCTCCAGCCTCTTGGCTGCGTTGAGAAACAAATCCCTTACGCCTGGTTGCATGATAGAATGACTTATTCCTTCCTTGAGGATACCTATTTTAAGGCCACTCAGGTCGACTGAACTTGTTTGCTTAAGGCTTTCCACGAACCCGAAGGAGCCATGAGCCGAGGAACCAAGGGATCGATCATCAATTCCATCATAACCTGCTACGGCATCGAGGCAGACGGCAACATCTGTAACGGATCGTGCAATTGGTCCTGTGTGGTCGTCGATAGCATCCCCTGAGGTGACGCCGGTGTATGGAACCAACCCGTGTGTTGGCTTCAAGCCAACACCTGTAAACTACTGTCAGCATGGTTCACTCAAGAATCTGGAAATTCTGGCACTCACAGCCACACAAAGAAGCTGGAACCCTGATTGAGCCTCCTTGATCGGTGCCAAGTGCAAAATCCATCACTCCACCAGCAACCAGGGCGGCGCCTCCTGACGTACTTCCACCCGCTGAGTATCCATTTCGATGGGGGTTCTCGATTGTCCCCTGCGCGCTTGTGAAGGAAGAAGTAGAGTTGCAGAAACTTTCGCAGACAGCTGTACCGTGAATATCAGCGCCGGCATCTAAAATCCTGGTTACGATTGTCGCATCTGTGGAGGGAGTCCAGGCTGGAAAGGCATCGCTGCCGAAAAATTGTGGGACATCCGCTACGGCTATGCAGTCCTTCAAACAAAATGTTCTGCCTCCCAGAGACTCGCCCTCGGGATTGCCCTTGATAAGAAACCTGTGAGCCCAGGCGTGGCCGAAATCTTGCTCTGAGGATGATGGGACACGGATATTCTCACGTGGGTATTTCTTCTTGTCAGGAATAGGTTGGTAATCGGGCAAGTCCATGAGATGATCCGCTACATCATGTACCGCAGCCAGAAGCACATGATAGTCGTCTGCATCTTTTTCGTCTATATTCACGCCAATACTATCCAATATAGCTTCGGCCTCTCCCTTCTTGACGGGATTGTCGCTAAGTGAAGTGAGTAAGCAGCAACCCATTACCTTAGATGCATAAGGGACATACTCGCCGATAGCCTTGAAAAAGACCGACATTTCCCCAATCTATTGATAAGATAGTTTGGGCTTATGGGATTACGGTATTATTATGTATCACCCGCAAGATAACGCCGTCGCAATGAAATATATGGTACTAACTTCAGCAAGACAGAACTTGCGAAAAAGAGAACGACTTACCATCTTAAACAACAAACATTCACATACTCATCACCCCAAAGAGTTAAAGAACTATCCCAGTAGGGACATTTTACTGACAAACCATAAGATAATTCTATCGAGTAAACTTCCAATGTTGCAGAACTAATGTGGCTCTCTCACAGGCGAACTCCACTATGAAAGTTGGAGAACACTCTGCCAGTCTCCAACACGGTAGCAGCACAGTTGGAGCACTTGCATCCGGCTCCAAGTGGAGCGGAAGTGATGAACAGCAATTAACAATGCCGGATAAGCTCTGGGGCCATGGAAATTGCAAGGAACTCCTCCTGCGCTAGTAACTGCTCAGCTTAATCCTGAAGTCACATCAGTTATCTCTTGCTCCTTGTGGTCTTGACGTCTTCTTAGTGGATCAGTACTCAGGCAACTGTTCTCATATCGAGTCAGCTGGACGCTCAAGTAGAACCCTCGCATGTTTGGGTGAAACAGAATAAGTGTACGGCTGAGTCTAAAATTGCTACGTGAGCAAGAAGGTTCCGCCCGTGCGTATATTCTATTTCTGAACGCTCTGAAGAGGCCAGGCTCTATGAGCTTGCTCCAGTAACGCTGTCGAGGCTTCAATTGCTGTTGGTCCCAAGTTGACTCCATTAATAATGAGGAAGTAATTCGCATTTCTCAGAAAGCTCATGAGGTACCAAGATTAGTGCCTCTGGTACCTGTTTATTCTTCCAATATTTGTACGACAATTCTGCCGCTGAAAGACTTGTGTAGATACATATCTACAATTCCTGGCACCTTGTCGAACGGCACCAATGTCAACTGTGATTGAACATCGTTTTCCTTCACGACGGCCATCATCCTTTCAGTCGACTCCCTACTTGCAACATAACTTCCTCGCAAGATCAACTCCCTGAACACAATGATATCAGAATCGAACCGCCACTTATCAGGAGGTAAACCAAGGAGCACAAGAGTACCACCAATCCTCAAGAGGCTCAGAGTCCATTCATTCGCTGGTAGTGAGTCCGTGCAGACTACAGCAGCGGCGACACCTTCTCTGTGCGTGAAATCGAAGATCTTTTGCTTGGCATCTGTCGACATAGAATCTACTACGAGATCAGGTAACAGATCCGGGCTGGAAACGTTTGTTGCAAGCTGCCTGCCTTCGGGTTTGCTGTCAATCGCTATTGTTCGATATCCCAACGCTTTCGCAAACTGGACTCCTAAGTGACCAAGCCCGCCTATACCGACAACGGCGACTGTCTCGCCAGGTCTGAGTCCAGTCGTAGCTTTCTCAAGGGCTCCCCATACAGTAGCCTGGACCAGAATATCAGAATGATCGAACGACAATACCAAAATACTAGACAGTACTTACACCAGCACACATAAGTGGAGCAGCCTGCTCAAATGAGAGAGACTCGGGCAACTTCACTGTGGTCTCTGGATCCGCTACCATATACTCGGCGAACGCACCGTCATGCTTAAAACCAGCCATCTCCCGTGTCTCACAAAAGCGAGGATCGTACGTTCCATACTCCCGCTTCGATAACTTGCAACCGGTGCATGTTTTGCACGAATTCTTGAAGTTTAGGACCCCGACTCTGTCGCCGATCCTCCACTTGCTTCCGCACTTGGCCCCAACTTTCACGATCTTGCCGGCTGGCTCATGCGATGGGATCAGGGGCAACTTTGATTCAAATTGCCCATGCATGACTTGCAAGTCGGAATGACAGAATCCAGCCGCATATACCTGGACGAGAAGCTCATGATCACTTATTGTTGGGACCTCTTTCGTTCCCAGCTCGTAGGGTTTGTTATACTAATCAGCCTCATTGTTAGCACTGTAATTCAATTCAAAAAACTGTGATTATGCATACTTCGCACAACTTTGCCGCTTTCATCTCTCCCGGAATGTCAATGTTTGCAGTCATATTTTCGAATCCCAGTATGGCTGATTGGTAGGGAATTTCATCAATTTTCCCATTAATGCCACAAATTACCGTGACACTTAACGGTTATGTCATTGGCTTTCGCTGGTGCTCATTCTGGGCAGCATTCCATGCCTTATCGTTGGAGTTTCAACGGGGAGTCTCCACTTTAGGGACCGCCAATCCTTGGTTCGTACAACGTTATAGAAATCACTCCAACTGTACTCCAAAGGCCCGCCACTATCTTATCACAGCGCCCGCACCAGGTACAAGTTGGAGATACAAGCTGCTCACTAATGCATGTTAATGCCTTGACACTATGCATTCTGGCGCACCCACTTACTCCTACTTCCCCGCATCATGTGTGATTGAATCATGTCACGGATAGTATGTCGTTGATTGGAGTGGCTCATATGAAATAGTCGGCGCTAAATACTTGTTGTCGCGCATGCCTTCGGTTGATTCATATTGAACAATTTTTCTCTCTATGACAATTGCATAGTCGGCACCTCCTTCCTGCATTCTGATCATACTACACGAGCTCCAGCTAATTCGTTTTTCAACACTTCTGCATTCGCCGTCATGGTTAAGAAGAGAGTTCTCATCAGCTACGGCGTAGACGTCGATGCCGTAGCCGGTTGGCTTGGGTCGTACGGAGGCGAAGACTCAACGAGCGACATCAGTAGAGGTAACTTGAGCAATGAAATATTGCCAGCTGCACAACACTAATGGCTTCTAGGTATATTTGCTGGTACTATCGGCGTGCAGCGTCTCCTGAAGCTTTTCAAGAAGTATGACATCAAGACAACATGGTTCATCCCAGGGCATTCTCTAGAGACGTTCCCCGAGGATATGGCCGCTGTGCGAGATGCGGGACACGAGATCGGGCTTCATGGTTACTCACACGAAAACCCCAAGGACATGACAATCGAACAACAAAAGGATGTATTGGACAAAACATACAAGATGCTAACGGAGTTCGCCGGCAAACCTCCTCGAGGTAGCGTTGCACCATGGTAAGCGTGATCTGTCAATGTCTGCAATGACTGGAGTCAACATATTAATGCAAATACTATATATCAGGTGGGAATGCAGTAAAGAAGGTGGGCAGCTTCTACTTGATTATGGCATTGAGTATGATCACAGTTTCAGTCATCATGACTGTCAGGCCTATTTCCTTAGGACGGGCGATACTTGGACACCCATCAATTATCAGAAGAAGGCCGAGGAGTGGATGCGACCCCTGGAGTACGGCCAGCCAACCGGCCTCGTTGAGATTCCAGCCTCATGGTATCTCGACGACCTACCGCCGATGATGTTTATTAAGAATGCGGCGAATAGCCACGGATTCGTCAACCCACGCGATGTTGAAGACATTTGGCGTGACCAGTTCGATTATTGTTACAGGGAGTATGATGAGTTTATCTTCCCTATCACAATCCACCCAGACGTGTCAGGTCATCCCCAGGTGTTATTGATGCATGAGAGGTAAGCTTGACGACACCTACAAGAACTAACTCAAATGAAACATTGCTCATATGACAATAGATTACTTGATCACTTCAAAAAGCACGAAGGGGTCGAGTTTGTGACTATGGAACAGATATGTGACGACTTCAAAAGTAAAAATAAGCCTGCGGCTGGGGCAAAACTGCCCGCAGAACCTGGCTTAATTTTCAAGAAATAGATAGAAAAATTCAATGCAAACAATACAATCTGAATTGAGCATATCTTACCGACGATATGATAGGGAGTGCTCAATTTGTGATGCAAAGTAACCTAACTCCCCTATCAGAATATTAGTACTACTGCCACTGTGATTTTCATGATTTGTTAGAGGAGACCAGAAACTGTATAATGCCAGCGGCATAATTGCCAAGTGATATGACATGCTGCTTACTCGATAAATTCAACTGAACCTCATAGATGTCTCGTCATATGGCTATTCTTGCCTCATAACATACGGGATTACCATGGTTCCCAGCACAAAGGTGAGATAGACCGGTCGAGCTAATTCATTACAAGCAAATCAACAGCGTAATAGCAATCATTGAATAACATCATTTCTAGGTAATGTTCTGATTGTCCGGTATCTACATCGATAATCACCATGATAGCGAATAGTCCATTGGAGTCGAGACTTTGACCCGGTCCTCCAAAAGTCGTGTGGTTGGAGTAGCCTATGGTCTGTGGTCACATTTTGGAGTTACTCCAACGGACGCTATACATGACTCTTGTTCGACTCCAACGCGGGGTCCGAGATAGTAACCTTCTCCAACGTATCCACTGCTTCTATTGGCAATATCCACAATCCCCGGATTCTGCTCATGCGATGGGCTAAGAACACCGGTATCCTGGTACAGGATGACCCATCGTTATCATTAGACTGATGATTAGCCGATGATAAGGCTATGATGTTGGTAATTTGCGATAGTAGAGCGCATCAGGATGCATATAAGTGAAGTGGCCGACCGGCAGCAGGTATCATCATTCTGCATCGGGCAACTCTTCCTCGTCAACATTGGAGATTTGCTTCTGTACACGCTTTCCAAAGCCTAGTATCACCAAGATGACTTCCAAGGTTTCAGAGAAGGCTGATGCCATTAATTCTACTCCCGGGCGAAGCAGTGATAGCATTCAGGCCGTCAAGCTAGAGCCGAACGATGACGCTTTCGAAGTCTTCAAGAGGGAGGAGGGCCAGGTCGACTTTCGTACAGTATCTTGGATTCATGCCTCCGTGATCTTCCTGAAAGGTATGCTTCTCGATTTGTCTTCAACAGACTGGGGGATTGAGCGGCACAAAAGCTGACTTGCGAGATCAACAGTCATTTTCGCCACCGGAGTGTTGACCATTCCCTCGGCCATGTATGTCCTCGGAGCCCTACCCGGCGCGATCAATGTCCTCGGCTGGCAATTTTTGAACACATACTGCGCCATCGTCCAGGGCAACTTTCGAAACGCCCACGCGGGATGTCATTCCATCGCCGACATGGCGTTCGTCGTGGGAGGTTCCTGGCTCAAGGAGGTCGTAGGAATCTTCTTCCTCGTAACCTATGCCATTGTGGGTGCCTCCGGCATATTTGGCGCATCCGTGGCGTTGAACGCGCTTTCGAACCACGCCATCTGCACAAACTACTTCATGCTAGTAGCTATGATTGCTGTGTTCATCCTGGCCAGTGCCCGCAAGTTCGAGAAGATCGCCTGGCTAACCTGGGCTGGTTTCTTGTCCGTCTTCATCGCGGTATTCATTGTTGTGTAAGTAAAAATACCAGCACTCTGCGGCACACGGTTCTTAATAAGTTATAATAAGCTGACCTCTGATATTAGCGTTGGAGTCACAACTCGCGACAGGCCTGCTGCTGCACCACAAACGGGTGACTTCGAGCTTGGATACCGTGTCATCGGTAACCCGACATTCGTCGCCGGTATCACGTCCGTAGCTACGATCTTCTGTTCGGGCGCAGGAACGTCGGCCTTTTTGCCCGTCATCTCGGAGATGAAGAAGCCAAGAGATTATAACAAGGCCGTGTACCTCTGCATGGGCATCGTCACGGCGTCTTACCTATCCTTCAGTCTGGTCGTCTACCGCTGGTGCGGCCAATGGGTTGCTTCGCCGTCTCTCGGCAGCGCGGGCGACCTGATCAAGAAGGTTGCTTACGGAATCGGCCTGATCGGTCTTCTGGTCAGCGCATGCCTGTACATCCACGTTGCCGCAAAGTACATTTTCGTTCGCATCCTGCGCAACTCGCAGCATCTGCAGAAGAACACAGTCGTGCACTGGTCCGTCTGGCTCGCCTGCACCTTTGGCATGTCAGCCGTCGCGTTCTTGATCGCGTCCGGCATTCCCATCTTCAACTACCTCCTCGCACTGGCCGGGTCGCTAACTTTTGCGCCCTTGGCACTGGGCTTGCCTGGGTATCTGTGGGTCTACGATCATCAACACTACCGCAAGGGAAGCTGGTGGCAGGTATTGGTGTACTATCTCAACTGGCTTATGATCTTGTTGGCTGTCTTCCTGACGATTGGCGGAACGTACGGTGTCGTTCAGAATATCATAGATGCGTATGCTCGGGGCGAGATCGACCAGGCATTTTCATGCAAAGATAACAGCAACTCATCTTAGAGGTGTTGCGCAAACTTGGATTAGGGGTGTTTAATTATGTTATAGAACTTATCGAATCTAGAAATTTGGAATTGTGCGTCTCCATCATTAACTACCATATTTGTGTAAAGTGGTCAGCACACTACCCAAACTCCTTGACCAAATTTCAGTGGAATACACCAACATACGTGTTCAACTGAGACCCGGACTGGGACAAAACAAAGTGAGGGGCAGTAACTTATGAGCCTAGGATCTTGTAGTCATCTCTCCACAGTTCTGTATTGAGCGGGATTGATTCTTAGGAAGCTTCTTGTATATCCTCTCGCATAAAGGCATGATTGGGATATTTGGTAGGCGAGATACTCGCATGTGGGAAATAGACATATTTCCATTTAGTGCAGCAGGGGTGTGCTTGCATGCGCCCAGGAAGCAGGACCTTTCACTACAACATTGCCCAAGTGTCCTGGACTAGGTTCCAGTTGGACTGCTTGGAATTACTTGGACAGACGGTCAGCACTCAAGCGGATATCTATTTCTTCCTCCAGATTTGCCCCCTTATTTGCCATGATAATTCCAATCTAGATGATGCCTCGCGCGATATCTAATGCTTCCTTTCCAGATGATAAACCCAAATTTTGCATCGTTTCGACGATAAATACAACATGGCAGGCTCGTTCTTCTCGATCTTCTTCTTGGGTTGCGGCAATCATGTGTGTCCACAAGGTCAACTGGAGATCTAAGGAATCATTGGGAAGATCACGAATCTTGAGAGTTAGGACATTGTGGGACACTGAGACTATCATTCGTGTTATCGTGATGTCGTTTTGCCAGAAGACTGGCTCGTGGTTCAGTCTATTAATGAAATTTGCAACTTTGGCTATTTCGGTAATGAAAGACAGACGTGATATCACCAAAAATGGAAAATCGGCTGTTCCATCTTTTGAACAGAGCGTCAAGATACCTGCCATTTTCGCCCATAACATCTGGCGGCACGGCCGCTCCATTTGATGGAACAAAATGGGGCTCGGAGTCAAAGAAACTTGCTGAATTTAGATTCGACCTGGGTGCTGACCAACATGCCAATATGTAAGTAGCAAGAAGGATTATTTAAAACCATACCATAGTATTGCCAAGGGAAGAACGGGATTCCCGAGTTTGTTGAGTCCCCATCCTCTATCAATGACCCACTTGAGTCCGCTCAGATGGATCGCGGCGCTGTCAACCCTCCCGGCGCAATATTGGTGCCACGACGGCAGTTCCGTCTCCTCCTGGTGCACTCGCCAGATTCCTCGCGACCTAGTATTACGCCTAACCAACGAAATATAACCTACAAAAACGGAGGCTCGAGCTTGTTTTCGTTTATCTCAATTGGGTTGACCATAGGACTGATGAAGTCCTCAGCCTGGGAGTCACTGCGTGAGCTACGCAGCCGCTCATATCGCGTTCTTTTCTGACCGGGATGCTCACCACTCTATTGCTCAAACCCATCGACGGTTCTTGTTCGGGCATTTGGGCCTTCACATCATCCGTGCAAGGCAGTCTAGGCTTTCGCCTCGCCTTGCTGACGTCCTTCATCACATGTTTGCGCACTTTGGTGGAATGCTTCTGAGCTTCTTTGGGACCTGTGATACCCACGAACTCGAACACCGTTCCGATCTTTTCTTCTGCCGGGAGCACACACTCGTATCCTACTTACTAACCACGGAGATGGCGGGTCGGAGGGTAGTGCTGGCACACGTAAGAATGAAATAATCACATAACATACCCACCCCTGTCAAACGTTTCCGTTCATTGATGGATAGCACCAACTGTTTTGCTGCAGCTTTCTTCAATTACTTAAAAACTAACAATTCACATCCCTGTAGGTGAACTTCAACTTATAAGTTGGGTCACGAAATAACAAGAACTATCCACACATATCGCTGCTAAAGAATAGGTTCATATAAAATTCATTGATTCGTAATATGGCTGAAGGATTTTGAAATTGCGATCCAAGAACTGAAGCCGGTGTAAATCCTATCTTATAGCCGTCAAGTACATATGTCGTACATTGTTTCTATCCCCAGTCACGCGTTCGTCCTAGAAGTCGGCTTGTTCATAACTCAGAATCGGGGGAAAGCCCGAGCACGGCGCTTCTTGGAGTTTGCTGCGGTGCACTCCTGTTGCTGGGCGTCACAGTCGCTAACGGAACCACCCTCACCGGAGTTGGCGGCGTTCGCGCACTTGTTCTTCTGGACATCGCAGGCACGCTGTACGGCGGCACCAATGTTCAGGAAAGTATCACCATTGACGCTGAAGGGACGCTCGGCAGCGGAAGAGATGACGGGAATGGGAGGAGAGCCGACAGAGCCAGTAAAGGCGTTGACGTCGACACCAGCAGCAGTGGCGGTGCCCGTCGCGGTTGAAGTAGCAGCGGCGCTGGTTGCAGAAGCGGTGGCAGTGGCGGCATCACCGGCAGAGTCGTCAGCAGAGTCATCGCAGCTATCATCGGCGGAGTTGTCGGCTAAATCATCGGCAAAATTTGTCAGCCTCATATTCTAGAAAATTTCGGTTTATGGTGCACTGGGGAAAGGTGCATCAACCTCGACTTACCATCGCTTGAATTCCCGGCGGTTCCATTACCTGCGGCGGCGCCGTTGTCGACGGTAGCGCCACCTGCGGTAACCGCAGCATCTATCTCAGCAGCAGTGGCGTCCTCTACAAGAAGGTTTTGTTCCACAATGCAGCCGACGTCAACAATGTCGTCGCAAGCGTTACCCTTACCAGTCGGGTCACCGATAGTGCCAGGCGCGAAGGTACCAGATTGGAGAGCAAGCTGGGGATCAGCACCGATAGCAGCCAGCTGAACTGCCAGGTCGAGGACGATCTGCTTGTTAACGGCAGCGGCGTTGTCAGAGGCGGGATCCTGGTGCTGTGTGATGGCAGCAACCTCAGGGTTGGTGGCTGTTTCGTTGCAGATGACAGATGCCAGTCCAACAGAGCCGGTGTTGCGCTCGAGGGCACGGAACAGCAGAGCATTGGCCTGCGCGTCGACATCACCGGCCGCCTTAGCGTTGGTAAAGGCCTGGTCTGCAACGTGCTGTTGGAGACAATCCGTGTTGGTCACGGTTCCGGCACCTTTGATGGCAGCGGCGTTACCAAGCAGCGAGAACACAGCATCTTGGATGTTCTCGGGGTTGTCCAACTTCAGAGCAGTATTTACTGCTTGAAGGATAGGTTCGTGAGAGTGCTCCTCTGGGAGTCGGTTAGTTCTTGTTCCGTACCAAAACATAAATATGACGCTTACGAGGAACCTCTCGACGGAACTTGGTAACTCTTCCTGCGTGCGGTGGCCGACGAACAACGATGGCAGAGCCTGATCTAACGGCATCAGGGCGAGCAGCAGCCACGCTCAAAAGAGCCAGCAAAACTGTGCTTGTTTCGTACTTCATCTTGAGTGATTTTGCGATGAAACGATTGTTTATATAATATCAATAACTTCCAAAAGAGGCCCGGCCTAAAGATGGGAGATGATTCGTAATAATGCGCTTAAAAAGAGCGTATAGTTGTAATAGAAATGTTCACAGAACAGTAAAGAATGGAATGATGAATGAAAGACAGTGATGCTGGATGAGGAAGGAAAGAAACATGCACATGTATTGCGGGCACATCACACGTCTATATACTCGGCTAAGCGACAGTATCAGGCATCGTAGCAACTTCTTGCCGCAACGATTGACCCGCTCACTCACCTAGAGAAACCCCAACCGCTTGCGGGTGATTCAGACTGACGTCTGATGCTAGAGATGACAGGGCCCCTTGGCAGCTCGCTAAGATCCATGATCTGTAGATCATTCTTTGAGACGGGAGGTAGCTCAGGGTATAGAGCCTAGGTTTCCATGCGGCTCAAATTAGGGCGCTTCTTCGGATGAGCGTGACTCCGGGGATAAAGACTCCATTAAGGAGATGTTGTGTGCTTCAAGCGCCCAGTCTGGTTCTGGCAGGGCCTGCTCATGTTCGGACCAAGGGCCAATTAACCGATGCGTGGCTCAGTATGCAGAGCGCAAACTACGTGAGCCTTGCCATTAGGGCATAAGCGAGCAGGAATGTATTGATGACCCTCCATGACCACGGTTGTCAAAGCCGTTCATGTGCGAATTGACAGCGAATGGTGGAGCCCACACGTTGAGCTTACCAAGATTATGCCTGAGATTGCTTGCAGATGGAAAATTTGGTGTATAAATCGCACTGGGTCCAAAAAAATCTTCGCCGACTCCGTGTTGGTGTCTGAGTCTGAAGATGAGATGAGACTGGACATCCTACAGAAGCTGTCTCAGGTTGCTTGAGCCTCAAAGCTTGATAGATGCCATGCGATTGGCTGGCGGGAAGCAATGGCCCATGCGCCAGGGGTTGCTGCAACCCCCATGACAAGGATTCGGAGAATTCTTCATACTCCAAAAGTTTAATGTCACTGTTGTTATGAGAAGCGAGGCCAGTCTCCATATAGTATTGGCAAAGTATCGGCGACATGCACTGTAGAAAAATTACAATATACCTTGCCGTTGGAGTTGTTCAGACGACCGACTCCCGGATTGCTGCCAGGTTACCGCGCAAAGGTCACTTCAGATGGAGGCGGAATGGCCAGACCGCTTCAGGATGGTGGCACCCGTTTAGCCATGGTGGCAGCACTCCTGCAATGATGCGATGAACATGCAGTCGATCATGTTTGTCGAGGCTTCAGATGGAACACACATAGCCAAGTACTGATCAAGATGCCTGCGGAATATGTACATGAAATTTGAGATGATAATCAAAGCGGTCATCAGCGAAAAGTGATAGGTCTCAAGCACAATCAAACCCGAACTGTTGGTATCATGACTAAGTTGCTTGGAGTCATGGTATGGTTGTTAGTTGACATAAACCTCGGAGCACATTATCAACTACGCGTTCTGAAGGGGCCAACTCTCAACATTCGCTTACATGGCCATCTTGTTGTCAATCAGCGACTTCGCAAATCGTCCACGTCTAAGTGCGCCACCGTACTGCAAGGCACAAATGTTTGGACCATGTCTTACCAGCCACTTGATCTTGGCAAACCCGCATCATGCATGAGGACAACTAGAGCTTGATACACGGGTTTGCATGATCGGCATGTTGGCAGATTGGATCGGGCGACAAAGCGATCCATTGACACGCTATTGTAGCCGAAACATTCGTTCCTTGAGGACAGGTGATAGCATGCTGAACGTCAACCATGAAGCTCAGTCCTTTGGTTCGGCCCAGTCTGAAGTATTAGATCCGACTAATACCCCAGATATGCCATACAAATGACGTTCCTAGTCAGCGTGACAAACTCATCTCTGCTCAATCAATGATTGTGTTCATGCGCTGTCGCATACTTCATACCGTCAGAATGCATATAGCGATCAATAGAGAGGCATAACCAAAGCGAATATGAAAGATGGGTCGTTCTTTTCAATGTTGTCTTTTGTACAGGATTGGCGGACGCCAGGGAACGTCTAAAGATATGGTCGGGTATCGCGGTCTCTTCGCGACGTCTATCCACCAGATGTTGAGATTGTAGTACCCCTCTTGCCAGTCTAGTATTCATACAAATCCACGCTTAACCGATAATCAACTTCTCGTCCTCGGGGAACTCGTAGGTGGGAATTTCGAGGTTGAGAGGAGCAGGACCCTTTCTGATACGTCCGGAGATGTCGTAGTGAGAACCGTGGCAAGGGCAGAACCAACCACCGAAGTCACCAGCCTCACCAATGGGTACACAACCCAAGTGCGTGCAGACACCTAAATACGCCGAAACATGTCAGTATGTGTTTTGCAGATCATACATGATGCTTGGACTTGTGAGCGATGTGCCGTAGTGGCATATATGCATTCGTGAACATGCGCCAAGGCAGTGCACTGAGCCCAGACAATGCAGTTGATGGCTTGGAAACGCCCATGATGATACGTACCCAACATGACCAACCACTCGGGCTTCTGGACACGGTCCTCGTCGGTTTGGGGATCTCTTAACGCAGAGACCTCGACCTTGTTTGCCTCATCGATCTCGCTTTGTGTACGGTGTCGGATGAAGACGGGCTTGCCTCGCCACTTGATGATGACGTTCTTGCCCTCGGGGATGGCGTTGAGGTCAACCTCGACCTTGGCCATGGCCAAGACATCGGCGGATGCGGACATGTTCTTCAAGAACTCTGCAGATCTGAGTATTAGCCATTGCCCGACGAGGATTCCCTTTCTCCCCCCCGTAGTTTTGTTTCCTTGGTCCGTAACAGTATGGTCGATCGACAGTGTCGTGGGTTTCGCTTGGCCATCTTGCGCGGCTTCTTCAAGGTCCGACTTCAGTCGAGCTTTGGCAGCCTTTGCATCATGATCATGATCGACCGTCGCCAATCGCAAAAGCGTAATAATGGGCAACGACTGCTGCGGTGCCGAGTCGGATCCATACTCGTAGTGCTTCCCAGGGGCGTCTGCGGCATTCCTAGTTACGCACCTTGTACTGTGGACTTGGCACCGGCGGCGGTGATGGCACCCATGGTTCCGACCATGAAGTAGCTCATCATGGCGTTGGTGTTCCAGTTGCCCTTGGAGGCATATTTGCTGAAGTCGGGGACCTTTGTGGACTTTTGCTCGCCCTTGAAGGGGCTCGAGTAGGAACCGGCAGCGGCGAGGGAGCCGGAGGTTGAGATGGCGCGTACGGAAGTGGAGGTGAGAGATCGAGATACGGCCTCACGCGCGAGGGCGCGCGATGCGATGGTCAGGGGGGCCATTGCGATGAGGGGGGAGTGTCAATTGGTGGTGGATGGACGGGGTGTTGAGCTTTCGGTATTGAGGCTTTTCAAAATCTTGACCAAGGCAAATGGAACGACCCGGAGCTTGGACTGTTCTTTGTGGCCTCAGGCCGCCGATTCCAAATTCCTGCCATTTGATTGGTTGGTTTGTCACATGTGGGTCTGTTCACTCCCTGAACTCCGCGCCTCAAAGATTCATTATCATTCAGTCCAATTCAAGGCCTGCCTGCCAGTCCAATTGGAAAACCTAAGACGAAAAAGACGCTTACAATACCACGTGACCTGCATGCTTTGTCTCTTCACTTGACTTGAACTTCACTTGACTTTAGTCACTTACTTGATTATTATTGCACCTCAACCCCATTGTGCTGCACAGAAGCACAAGCACTAAATTGCACACATTCCTATTTAGAGAAATCTCGCCGTCAACTGTGTTGCTTGTGCATCATGGTCAAACGGCGCTAGAGAAGCTGGCCATCAGCATTTCTGTGTTTCAACACCCATTGTCGGATTTGCGTCGGTTTTTGTTTTACTATAATTAGAGTCTGGGCTACTCAGCAGCGAGCAAGCATGTCATGTTATGCATCCAGTATATCTGGTGAACTGTCGGTCAATGCTACGGCACCCGCCATGCGCCGCCGCATTGTGGCTCAGATTCCAATGCTGAAAACAATGCACCAATACAGCACTGCCGAACCCAAGCTGCTGATGGGTTGTGTTTGTTGATCGGTCCAGTCCCCCATGCGGGGTTCGCTACACATAAAGGTCCCGCTCAGTTAAGGGCACATGAAGCGGCATGCAGGCCTCTGCCGACTCTCTCTTGCTCTGTCATTGGCCAACACAGTCACTGTTCACTAGCGAGTCGAAGGAAGTTCGAAAAATACGTATAGTTCACGGAAGGCGTTTTGTTGCCAACTGGTTTCCCATGGTAATGCACTTTTAGCAATATTTGTATTCTCACTTGGCATACAATCCCTAGAGATTCCATCCACATACCACCAAACTGGCCAGTGACTCGTCCGTTTAACCGCAATGTACCCATGGATAAGAAGCCAGCCCGAAATGAACCTCGACCCCAATCTTGTCTAGTGTACAGCTCAAGCCGCCCAGTCAAGGTAGCTTGGGCACGATCTTATTCAACTCAGCAGCCACTCTTTCCTCATGCGCAGTGACAATAGTCTGCGGATGATAGCTACTGGGCAGTACGGTGCTCGTCGGGCCGCTTCCGTAGGGTGCTAGACGACGCTGCTGAAGAGAACTCCGATCCGCAGTGGGCCTTGTCGCAGGGTGATAGGTGTAAATGTGTTGAGCATTACTCATGGAATCCCTGAAATGGTGTTCTTCGTTAGCATTGCCCAAGAATGCAATCGATACTGGCACCGTACCCAGCATAATGGGTTGTAGTTGAGCTTGTAGTCATTGGACGGATGTTTTTGCAAGATTGGTTCGATGTAAATGAGAAGTTGCTAGAGTTGATCTTTGACAGTCTCCCCTCAGGAAGACGTTGTAGTGAGGTTACAAAAGATACGATAGCTTAGAAAAGTGGTCTAGCTGGCAACATGCCTCTTCCGAGATAAATTGGGGATCGTCTACTTATAGGCGGCGGGCTGGTGAAACTTAGCAGACAAACAACCAGTTCTTTCAAGCGATGGGGCCTACGAATCTCGAGGTACATCCTTAATGTCCCAGCGACCTGGTGTAGGCAACGGAACTAATACGAATTCGAGAGAATGGCCATATGTATAATGGCAATGACGGCGGCGCTAGTATTTCCCGAACACACAGCCTTCATGCGTGCAGACCATTGTGATGGATACAGTATTCTGCATCCAAGAAGTGCCTGTGGAGACGTTAGCACATCCTCGATAGAGACCACATGCTCATTGGCCGTGGGGGTTAAGGGTGACTGTACATGGTCTGGGCACTAGCAGATACATGAATGTGTGAGCCGAATCAGATATGCAAGAAAAGTGTATATGATTTTGCTAGCTACGATTTAGAATTTTACTGTGGTACTATAGATTTGATGCACTGGCCTTGCTGCGTAAGTCGAGCAACCAACGGTATATGACCCTGAATAACGAACGGAAGGACGAGTCGTAGAAAAGGAGAAATACTCTCGACACTGAACGGCAACGTGGAAAGTTCTTCTACTATGGCCTATCGACTTGACACTCGTCCAACGATACCTACAATTAGCTGCAAAAGTTCGAGTGATAATCACCCAGTCTCTCGTGGTAGTGTTGCAAATGCGACGAAGATCATCCTTCTTTGCCAAACACACACTAGAGCGTTGAGCATCGTAAGCTTGAAGCCGTTACAGTGTAGGAACAACTCCTCGCATATTGCACAGTTACTCGCGAGTGATTCGTATAAACCATACAAAGAGTACGAAGGCGTGACTCGATTAACTTGACGAAGTTGGCCTTGAAATCGGGCGTACCTGCGCCCACTCGTATATTACCTGAGGAAAGATCGCGACTAAAGCGTTGGATGCAGCCGACACTGTTCCACCAATGAGACGTTACGTACACCTTCACGGTGTGATAGATCCTGCTGAAGACCAGTCTGGCCTGTTCTTGCAGAGTGGTTCTTTTTGCTCAACAGTGAGGAGCAGAATTGAGAAGTGGAAGCATCCAAAATGGCCAACGGTGATAATCGCCGGAATGTCGATTAAAAACGATTGCGTGTATGATTGGCTCAAAAGCTTTTCGGTCAAAAGCGCCATTATTGCTACCTGCCCCTTTCGGTACGGATGCATAATATTGATCTGACGTGGCCATATTGAAATGTAGGTTCTTGGTCAGGCTGCCACTGCGCTTGCATATGCAACAGCCTCACTCCCACGACGTGGCGTGTCTCCCAACTATTTTGTGCGAAGAAGACTCGGTCCGCGAACCATAGAATTCTCCTTGGCATTGTATGTGTAGAGTGTTCGGGAGGTCCTTGGAAGCTCACTTGCTACGAGCCTCGTCTCGATATGGTCGTATAGTATTGTCCTCGGTCAAAGTAATCTTCCGAATGAATGAGTCAGCGTGTCCGTGAGCACGTGACAAAAGTCGCAAGTCTGTAAAATTTGGAATCATCTTGTTGATATGCTATCGATGTCAGCCGTATAATGAATGTGGTAGAGAAAAGGAGCACTCGAGAGCTTAATAGAGAACAAGCAGTGAACAAGTGGCGCCCACTTAAACGGTAGGTATGAACAGAGAGTCGAAGAAAGATGCAGCGTAATTCAAAAAACTGTCGAGATTATTCAGGATTTCTGCCGAAGATGAGGACAACTCCATGGAACGAATATGGAATCAAGTGAGTTTGGAAAACAAAGAGGAAAGCTCGTCGACTGATGGAACCCTACGATAGGAGACCTTGCCTCCATTTTATCGTTTGAAAAGTAGAGAAGTTCAGGACTCCAGGCAAGAGTTTGGAAAAGGACAAAGATGAGCCCTTGCACTTCACTTAAAGCGCTTCGGGGTGCCTCAGAAAAGGACATAACTCTTCGTGGTCGATTGACTTCCGCGCAAGATGGCTTCTGAGCATCTTATATATCCTGCTTCAGCCCTACGAACCGCACGACGGCAATGAGTGTAAATATGCTCAACAAGATGATTGGCTTAGGGATGAACGCTCGTGTAAGTGGCACGCTTTGGAATCCAATTCTAGAACATGATGGTGGTGTGGACAGAAGTGTCATTGGAGTTACGGACTTTCCTTTTCTCGCTGCCCTATGCCGCCTGTCACAACTTGTGCATGCAGGCTTCCGTGTCCTTGTCAATCTCCAAAGATGGTATTGGATGGTTGACCACTTTTGTCATGGAAGAGATTGCCCCATGTATGTTTTGCAACCAAAAATGTGGTTGTACAGGTTGTATTAACGGCGATGGTTAGAGTGTGGTGTGTATCCCCCACTTGATTCAATAGCTGATTTAGTGTTGGTGGGCCTCCGGCAGGGGCCCCCATCCTGAGCGGGCGTCATCGAAAATTCAGGCCAATGACCTATGGCCTTGTGTGCCTTCTGGAAGTATTTTAGACTATCATTTGTACGGTCATGTTAAGGCTGACCAGTATGAGCTGCACGTTACAGAGCACTGCCGTATTCGAGCCAATGGTACATCTGTCTTTTACAGGGGCATACGTTGCAGCCATGGCTGTTATTGACCCCTGTGATGCCCTCGGTCGCAAGACGAGGCAGTTTTCGCATTCGTGACTGACGAAAGAGCAATCCCCAAGAGGCTTGGGAACAAATAAACTGCTATTTGAACGCCATAAAAGGCGACATTCATATCTTGAGAAGTTGAATAATTATAAGCACCAGTTGATAGACATTTTTAGGTAAAAGCGGGTGCGGTACCCGACGTTGAAATTTGAGGGCTATGCTGGACGTGAACCCAACAAGCAGAGCTGAGAGTTAAGCTCGCCAAGGCAAATAGCTCTATATTGTATAACATAACTAAGATGGCCAGTATACGACAACCTCAGGCATAGTTAGACCATGTTATGTATAAGGGCCTTGGATGAAATCAATTCCTTGAACTTTGAGCTTTATACTCTAAACTAGTATCAGAGCGATAGATTTGGATTGTGCAAGGAAAAACAAACAAACCAAAAAGAATTTTGCCGTTACGACTACGAATACTACCATAAAATTACACCATCAGATTTTGAAATGCGGTCCATTTTCGATATTCGGACTTGGGCTTAGTGTCATTTTTCGCTTCCTGATTTGAGCATAAAGCAACGAGGATATTTTGTGAATGAGGATCATTGTTGCTGTTGGGTACAATGTTCTGCCCATGGCGACATTGTGACTGTTATGCAAAGATAACGATATTATCAATCCAGCGCCAGGGTTTCGTCCTTAAGAGGCCGGTCTATTCTAGGTCTGCAGTTCATTCTGGTCGAAGTCCGGAATGATCATTAATGTTTACATGTTAATCATCGCCAATGACCCCACGGCGAACATTAGAAGAATGTTGTAAGTGCACTGGCTGGTCACAGGCAATGACACGCGTTCACCCGGGAGATCAAGCAGATTTCCGTTGATGTATGACTATTCTCAGACTACTACAATTTAAGGCCAACATATTTACCATAAATGACCAGGTGTAGCAATGGGCTCATTTGTTGACAGTTGTATTTTCCTATGCTTGCAGGTATGTTCTCTTGAGAGTACGGGTTTCGCAGACAACTCAGGTAAGTGAATCGTTCCAGTGGGTGCATAGTCCCATATGTGCGATGCGTGGCTTGCTCTGATAAGTGTCAAAACCGGTGAGCTATGGGAGACCAGGTAGTATGCTGTCAAATTGTGTGATGATTATGTTTTTTCTGCTGACTTCTATAGCCGCTCTATCGCGATTATGTGATGTTATAGCCCTCGTCTGGTCGGGTTCGTATTAGCTCAAGCGACGTTGAAGAGGGGTTTAATTCGATGTGGGATATGTAACAGGATGATTCATAGAGACGTTGCTGAATACATTGGGGATACATCAAAAACAATATAGACTCGATAAGTATCAAATGAGGCTGTTTAGTACATACCTCCATGGAGTACGGGGCCTTTGCACAAATTTTAACTAATTATGGGACATCACAAATCTTAAAAACACAAAAACACAACCAAACACGCGCGAGGCTCAAAGACCAACAGGCCTACAACGGCCCAACCAACAAATCATAGCATTACTTGCAGCCAAATAACAAACCTATGGATGATCGAACGCCTCAGACCAACATGAAGCAATGCCTGGAAATCGAAATGTTGCGATGGAAGGGAGTGGAATGGCATCCTCTTGAAGCACGAGTTGGCCTCTTTTCTAATGTGACGGGCCGTATGGACTCTTCTTCACATGTATAACAGAACTGCTAGCCACGCCCTTTTGCCCCTGGCCGCGGTGGCAGTGGCACAAGCGGCACATCGACATCGGAAGCCGCTGACATGCTGGCATTCACATCTTATGCTGGCCTGGAGGTGGCCTCAATCTTATCCGCACTAGTTGTGCTATGAGGCAATGTCAACAGTCAATAATTCGTATTCAATTTGTATTGCATTGGGCATAGCGGGTATCTTGGGAATGGAGTCATAGGAAGACTGCATATCTGGTAACACAAACACTGAAGTACATATTTACACCTGTAGTTGAATTCTCATCTTGATGAGTAGATATTATAGCTTATATCTGGTCTTTTAGCTTGCATACCAATTTCTATACCTGGGCTGAGCCGCTCAGCAGGCGTGTACCCTCCCAGAAGAAAGAACTGCTACACCGAAGCTTCCAGACAAAGCTGTGAGGAAATTTTGGTAGTCAAGACAACAGCTTGATGTCGCGTACGTCCTTTGATCACTAACACCAAGGTTACTATTAGTCGTAGGCTAGCCTTCTTGTGAGGTCAGCCCGGACGGTGTCCATCGGATCCTGCCAAACCCTCTTCTTCGGCAGCAATATCCTTCAGTTCACAGTCTGGGGAACAATGCTGTTCTTGAATCCATTTTCGAAAGTCCAGTACTCGCTAATAGACTCGGTCAGCGGTCGAAATTAGGAGAGGCCGCCCGCGGTAAGCATGAAGTTCCTTCTTGTAGGCAAGAATTTAAGAGCATGGGATCATAAGGAGTGGTCGACTTGCCTGATTCGCCTCACCAACTCCGCCAGTGTGACACCTAACAACAATGTAGCTGTGCTCTGTCCAAAATCCCAAGAATTTTCGCTTTCTTCTCCTTCAAGACGATGCTGGTTGCCGACCTTGAGAGCGATCATCATATAGATATGCACAGGGAACTGCGCACTACTCAGCAAGAGAAGTATCTTCCTTAGCGCTTTGTACCCCCTATGAATAAAGTGATCATGCAGCCAAGCAGCCATGTTGCGGTGACCGCCACGTAAGTCTTGGCAGAGCCGGGCTGGGACGCGCTCGTTATCGCCGTTAAACCATCGCGGAAACAATTGCCGAGCTCCTCAGACTCAAGCTTCCAGTCGTTTAATCGAAGCTCTAGTAGTATCGTGAGCACAAGAAAACATAGCGCAAAAACGTATCCTGCTCGATGCCGAGCTGATGTCAAGGAAAGATGGTGGTTCTTCGACTGCTTGAGGCCGCTGCTGACCGGACTGCTCATATACGGAAGCTTAGCGGCCATGAAGGTCCAACAGATAAGGGCGGAACAATTAGAGACCCTGTTTTAGAGAAATCGTTGTGAGCTTTTGCAGAGATACTTCATAAGTAGAGACGATCTGGTACCTGGCAGGCTTACCCAACAAAGCTGACGGTGTCAAAGATGAGATGTAGGTGATAAAGATCGATGCGATCTTCATCGCCAGCCATACCGTACTGAGAGAAGGCCGTGATGAGCAAAGCGATGCCTGTGAGCATTTGCACGTCGTTGCCGACCATCAGAATGTCAGATACGAGCTTAAGCCTTTTCTTCTCGGCTTCATGTTCTTCGTACCGTCTTCGTACTGAAAAATGAGTCTGCCGAGTTTTGACAGAAAGACCACCCAGAAGGACAACACCAAGGAGATGAAGGCTTGCCCAGCGAAGCCTACTAGAATCTGTGGTACAGGAAGGTGTGTAAGTGAGCCGAATTTCAACGAGTCGTGTTTGCCTGCAATCCTAATTCACCTACACCTATGCCTGCAATGTCGGGCATAACCTCTCCCACCTTTTCGCATTGCAGTGTTTTCGGATCGACAGCTTCCATCCTAGCATTAACCCCCTGCTCGAGGCAGGTAATAGTCATGTTATGTTAGTATACAAATTACGACTTGGCACTCGAGATACGGTCTTGGCAACTTGGCGCAAGCCTATATAATGACCGATCGTGGTAGCTGTGATAGCTTCTAGTTGCGTAGCGGTTTCGGGTCCCTAAATGATTGACGAGACGGGGAAAGGGATCAGACGGAAAGACCCAGTCTGCTTCGTTGTCTCAAACTAGGCGTAGAAGGTAAAACGGACAAGCAATATTATTTCGGCAAATTTAGTTCTTACACCAACAGTTCTCTCATTTGTTATTTACAGTCCCAAGAGGATCCTGCGATTTTGTCGGCGTTTTCAGAACTGTCAGATTGGTCAAGACAGGTTGTTGTGGGGTTTCAGGCACTGCGCCGCAGAATTGCAGTGATAGACAAAGCTGAGGCATGGTCGTGGGCTCGCTAGACATTCTCTAGTACACCCGGAGAGCAACACTGAAGGTTGATGTCCTACAAGTCAGGTTTTTGCCCTGTAGTCAAAATTCGGCTGAGTTCACAGAGAATTTGTACTATCTGTTGGACATTATATCCCATGTAGAATCGCGGAATGAGAAGGGACAAGTCGGTGACGAGGATATTCGTTTCTCATGTCTCATCCATCTTTTAATTAGCGTTGCATGCATCTATGGGTTCATCCGTCTAGGTCTTTTCCATTGAACGCCCTGCAAACAGCATATTCCCCCTTCGTTATGTGGTTTAATGGCCATGACCGTCATCTTCCGCCGGTTGCTCCGGGTCCAGCTTAATCAGGGTATCAATTCTCATGATGGCGATAGTTGCCTCCACCGCACTCTTCAGCTGTCTGACCTTGCTGATCGAGGGCTCAAGAACACCAGCCTTGACCTCGTCCTGGACCTTGCCCCTGGCGAGATCGAGACCATAGTTCTTGTAGCCCTTGATACGTGCAATGGTCTTCTCATCTTGCGAAGCATCGCCGTCTTGGGTTCTTTGTGATACTGCGTGCCGTGATCGTAGTTGTGCTACAAGCTCGCTGGCGTCCTTGGCCGCATTGACTGCGAGGGTCTTGGGAATGACGAGGAGCGCTTGTGCAAACTCGCCAATGGCCAACTGCTCTCTCGATCCGACGGTACCGGCGTACTCCTCAAGGTAAATGTGTAGCGCAGTCTCAACTGCACCACCACCAGGAACAACCTTTCCGCTCTCAAGTGTGCGCTTCACAGCGCATAAAGAATCATGTACTGACCGCTCCATCTCGTCCAAGGTGAACTCGTTGGGTCCTCTAAGCAGGACAGATGCGGAAGAATGTTGCTTGGTACCCTTGACCAAAATGCACTCATCGTCCGAGATGCGCTCCTGTACGACCTCCTCTGCGTGACCCAGATACGAGGACTCAAACTTTTCGTCGCCGTTCAGGTCAGAAAGAGTGCTGAGAAGGGTTCCACCAGTCGCCCGAGCAATACGTCTCAAATCCTCCTTCTTACACCGCCTCACGGCCATAGCGCCACGTTCTATGAACATCTTCAAGCACATGTCATCAATACCCTTGGTGGTAAGAACGACATTTGCGCCAGCCTTCAGGATCATCTCAACTCTTTCCATAACCATGCCGGACTCGCGTTGACGAATCTGCTCCAACTGTTGAGGATCATCGACGGTGATTTGCACACCAAGCTTCATGCGCTCCTTTTGAAGATTCATGTCGAGGATGGCAATTTTGGCGTCTTGTATCCGTGTAGGCATGGCTTGGGAGGCGACTGTGCAGTTCAAAGCGTAGCCCTTGACCAAGACGGACTCGAGCGAAGACTTGCCGTGGGCCTTGAGGATATTTACAGCCTTGACAGGGTACTTGACTTCGCCCCTGTTTGTGGTTGTCTTGACGGACTGAATGGCATCCACGACCAGGCTGGCAAAGAACTCGGAGTCTGAGCCAATGATTTTGCTGGACATGGAGGTCTTTGCAATGTTGAGGAGCGAGTCTCGACCAAGCTTGGAGACGGGTATGCTGATGTTCTCGTTCATGTATTTGATGGCTTCTCTTTGGGCGAGACGGTAGCCTGTGATAATGGTAGTAGGGTGAATCTTGTTCTTCATCAACTCGTTTCCACGTCGCAGAAGCTCGGCAGCGATAAGAACGACGGAGGTTGTGCCATCTCCGACTTCCCTATCTTGCTGGTGAGCCAGGTCGACCAGGATCTTGCCGGCCGGGTGCTCGACATCGAGTAGGCTGAGAATGGTAGCACCGTCGTTGGTAACAGTAACATCCTACGTAAAAGCATGGGTCAGCTCCGCTGTTAAATGCCCAGAACTGGCCTCTTATTCGCGGTCACTTACACCAATGTCGTCCACCATCATCTTGTCGAGACCGCTTGGACCGAAGGAGCTCTTGACGACGTTCGCAATAGCCTGTGTAGCCGAGACTGGTCTCTGTCAGCTGTGAAAGCGGAATCTGGGGGTCCCAGACGAACGCACCATTCTGATCTCTGATGTCGGCGCCAGAGATCTTCTGGCCGCCCAGGAACAAAGTTCCATTTCTGGGTTGTTCGAACATGGAAGCCATGTTGTCTTGCAGGACAGAAAGTGGCAGCAGCAGGGAAAGGTCCTATGTTCAAGGTGAGGGATGGAATCGTGGAGGTGTTGTCGTCCGGCTGCCTGCTTAGCTCTTCGGACCCTGTGTTGACTTTGAGCTCTTCACCTACCCATTCAGTCGGGCCCTCACAAAAAAGTTGGCGGGGGTTCTAGTTTTTCCCGCCCCGGACGTTGCCATTAATTGCCTGGAGAGCTTTTTCCTGTAGGGAACACTTCTAACTGCACTCGGTACCCCCATAATTGTGGTTGGCCGCTAAATATCGTGCACAGGCCCGCTGATATGTAATTAAGCAGTCTTTTTACCCCTCTGCGCCCCCCGTTGGCCCCCTGCCCCTCCAAATTCCCAGCACTCACCAGCACTCACCAGCACAGGGCCCTCTTAAACAGACAAGGGTCCATTCCGCGAATCGCTCCTTCTCAATTGAGGGGCAGTCACCGTTCCAAATTTCGGCAGGACGCGTTGAGTTGATACAAGTGACACAAGTGACACCATCTTGTGGAAGTGACTCAGAACGGCAACAGGAACAGAAGTTGAAGACGTGTCACGCCGGTAAGCGTCGATTCCCCTATAACATTGCGCCGACTGAAAACTTTTTCCCATTTTGAAATCTAGAAATGTAGACGACTCAGTTTGGATGACAACCCACTAATAAAATGGCCCTGAATAGTGCTACCAGCAACCCCGCTGAACAGTCAGTGACTGCGGTCGACCCCGACAAGAAAGACACTACAGACATTCCCTCCAACAAGCTCTGGCTCAACAGTAACATACTGATTGATCCTATCGAGCACTACTGGGCTACCAATTTCGACAGCAAACACATTGAGAGGGTCAAGTCTTTACACGCCAACATGGCCGACACCGTAAAAGACGCCGTTGCGGCCGTCGCCGACAAGATCAAGGACGTTACTGTCGCATCTGCTGAACAGCCTGCCGAGGGAGAGAAGGGACCCTCCAAGAGCGCCCAGAAGAAGGCAGAAAAGGAGGCCAAGAAGGCTGCTGAGAAGGCCGCCAAAGCAGCTAAGCAAGCAGCCAATGCCCCTGCTGCTGGTGGAAAGAAGCAGGAGGACACTCTGGGTCTCACTGTCACCAAGGCCGAGAACTTCCCACAATGGTACCAGGAAGTCGTCCTCAAGTCTGAGATGATCGAGTACTACGCCGAGATCTCTGGCTTCTTCGTCATGCGTCCCGCCACCATGTACATCTGGAATGTTATCCGTAGATGGTTCACCGACAAGATCGAGGCCATGGGTGTTGACGAGACCAACTTCCCCATGTTCTTGTCCTCCAAGTCGCTGGAGAAGGAGAAGGACCACGTCGAGGGTTTCGCCCCCGAGCTTGCCTGGGTCACAAAGGCGTAAGTCGAATACCCATGAGCACTCATTCATGATCATCGCCCCAGCTGACTGATTCAATCTTAGCGGTGACAAAGATCTCGAAGTCCCCGTTGCTGTTCGCCCTACATCCGAAGCTGTCATGTACCCCTACTACTCAAAATGGATCCGGTCTCACCGTGATCTGCCTTTGTACGTATAGAAATCGTCCGACTCGCTCAAACTTGTTGTTTTCGTAGAATTAACAAATCTGCAGGAGACTAAACCAGTGGAATTCCGTCGTCCGATGGGAGGCTAAGCAAACCACCCCTTTCCTGCGAGCAAGAGAGTTCTTGTGGCAAGAAGGACACACTGCACACTTGACCGAGAAGCTTGCTGGTGAGGAAGTCTTGGAAATTTTGGAGTTGTATGCCCAGATTTACGAGGAGCTTCTTGCTGTCCCTGTTGTACGGGGTACCAAGACCGAGAATGAGAAGTTCGCTGGTGGCCACTACACCACCACTGTTGAGGGTTATATCCCGTCGAACGGAAGAGGTACGATTCCCGTAGCCCCATGACTCTCCTATCTCTTTTGTTGTCTGAGGGGATGACTTGAACCGTTTTATGGCCTTTTCCCCTTCCTTTTTTGCCCCCTCTTCCTTCTGCTTTTCCCCATATAATAATACTGACCTCCGATCGTTGCATAGGTATCCAGGGTGCCACTTCACACTGCCTCGGACAGAACTTCAGCAAGATGTTCGATATTACCATTGAGGACCCTGCAGAGAAGGGCAAACATCTCCATGTCTGGCAAAACTCGTGGGGTCTTTCTACCCGTGTCATTGGTGTCATGGTAATGATTCATGGTGATGATAAGGGCCTCGTCCTGCCTCCCAGGATTGCCAAGATCCAGGTCGTTATCATCCCACTGGGCATTACTAAGAACACCAGTGACGAAGTCAGGCAAAACCACGCCACTCAACTTACTGATATCAAAGCTACCTTGAAGAAGGCTGGGGTGCGCGTTGAGGACGACCAAAGAGAAGGTTACACTCCTGGCTGGAAATTCAGTGACTGGGAACTCAAGGGTGTCCCCCTCCGAATCGAGTTTGGCCCCAAGGACGCCGAGAAGGGTGTCGTCAGCTACGCTCGCCGAGATACTGGCGAGAAGGGTACGATCCCCATCCCTGATATTGCTGTCAAGATCCCCGAGCTTTTGGAGACTATCCAGAGCGATCTATACAGGAAGGCAGAGAAGTCATTCGACGAGCACCGTATTGTTGTGGATGAGTGGGACAAGGTTATTCCTGCTCTGGATGCAAAGAACGTTGTTCAAATCCCCTTCTGTCTGGAGCCCAAATGCGAGGACAAGATCAAGGAGCTCACCACTGCCAAGCAGGATCAGGATCCTGATGCTTCTGTCCCTCAAGCTCCTTCTATGGGCATGAAGAGCTTGTGTATTCCTTTCAAGCAGCCCAAGGATGTCGTTGAAGGCCAAAAGTGCTTGAACCCTGAATGTCAAGCAGCAGCCAAGAAATATGTCATGTTCGGCCGTAGCTACTAGACTCCATAGATCGTTCCTTTTGTTGGTACTCATGAGGGCAAGGAAGGTGGAGTCAGCGTTTCGGTCTACTTTACGGCTTTGTGGATTTGGGGGTGCGAGATATCCAAAGGTGTTGTAGAGGAGTTGTTACACATTTGGTAGCATGTACATAGCATAGCTGTTTCGTTCAATTTGCACTTACAGTTGATTTGTGCCCGAAGCGTATGGCAAGCTTTGCTACCCTCGGGTGCTTGTTCAACAAGGGGACGTCAAGATATCGTACTTATGTCTGCATAATGCGTAACGGTGGATTCGCAATCTACAACTGCAAACTGGCCTGGGCAACTTGTATACCTTCACATGATACATGAGCAATGCTAGGATCGGGGTGCAAGGTTAGCACCATCCAAGTGCTGCGAATCGTGCTGATCTGGTTAGCTGGCAGGTCGTCTGACCCTTCTGACCACCTACGCCGTGCTTCCTGCCGAACTTTCGGTTTCCATCGGCACCACCCAGCCTCCCAACCCCGAAGCCTACTGTTTCTCTTTGTCACAAATGATTAGATCGCCCATGGTGATTGGTCTCGTGTTATCAAACGTGAAAGCCAAAACAGTGGTAATTGACCTTAGGAACAAGGCCTAACCAGTCGAAGATGAGTGTCTACACGCCTGAGTTGTAGTCAAATGACTTGGGACATCGCACTTACAATGATCGAGTCAGTAGATGTGGGAGCTGAAATCCGGGGTAGAGCCAAGATAGCGCAACTCGCGGGGCAGACAAAACAAAGATCGGGGCCGGAGCTGGAATGAAACATGAATATTTGTTCCGCACTTCCCTGCCTGCCCGTCTTGTCATTCTACCCATGCGCTCGGACTTGTTAGTATAGCACTTAAACCAGGGTCCTGCTGCGGCTTATTATACTTTACGTCACTCGATACGAGGCGCATCCCTCGCGTAGGGAACCACTTGCTCGATTTAAAGAGTCCACGATACGCCCCAGACCCACACAGGAGGGGCTTGCCTTCCTTACCAACTTCTCTTCCTGAACTCGCTGATAACAGGGTTCTGCTTCACACGAGGATTATAAGTAGTCTCTCGGCTGTTTTCAATGTTATTTGTGGCGTTTTACAAAACTGTACAAACCGACTCCTATGCTTCTCATCTACACTTAGGAATCACCTCCTTGTCTTCAAACTGTCTCGGCATATTTCTTTCGCTCTGTGAAAATGGGATCAAAGACAGAACTGCCTGACGCATCCTCGCCTGAGCTGAGGCTGGTGTTCCCCACCGAGGACGAGAAAGTCCGGACATGGACACTGAACCATGTGGAATGGGGCGGAGCGCTGAGCCTGGAGGACTATCTCGCGCGAGAGCCGTTCCTGGCCACCATCCCGCTCGCCGAGAACGGGGGCATGAGATATTGGATCCTCACAGACTCGTCCGCGGCGCCGGGGAGCCGGCCGGTGCTCGCGAGCTGCGAAACGCTGAGGAAGAAAGTGTTAGTTACGGATCCCAAGACGGGAGAAGTGCGCGAGGACATAGCATACGGCATCGCTAGTGTTTACACGGACCCTCCGTACAGGGGTCGGCGATACGCCAGCCGCATGTTGCAGGAACTGGGCCGAGTGCTCGGAGAAGGCTTCGAAGAGCTTGATGGCCAACATGCCAAGCCAGCTGCCAGTGCGCTATGGAGCGATATTGGCAAGTCCTTCTACGCCAAGCTCGGCTGGGCCCCGTGTCCAAGTCTGCATGTCAGCTTTGCCGTTCCGGCTACGGCTAAAGCCGATGAATCCCAACCGGACAGCGAGATCATCACGTACGATAATCTGGAGTCCTTCTGCAAGTCGGACGAGGAGCTGATGCGGAAGCGACTATCCGGACACGCCAGGGACGGCAAGCCGCAGATTGCTTTCGCCCCGAACTACGACATCATACGCTGGCACCTGTACCGGGGCGGATTCATCGCAGACCGGGTTTTCAAGGGCCAGGAGCAGACTCCGGCCAAGGGCGCCGTCGCCGGAGCACATGGCAAGAGGGTGTGGGCCATCTGGACCAGGAACTACCGTGGCGACGGCGAGGATGCCGCCAAGAACACAATGTATATCCTCCGGTTGGTCGTCGAGGACGAGTCGGCTTCGCAGGAGGAGCTTGTTTCTTCTTTTGGCGCTGTTATGCACAAGGCTCAGTCCGAGGCCAGGCAGTGGAGGCTCGGCAAGATCGAGCTCTGGAACCCCAGCCCGGTGGTGGATGTCCTGATCAAGAAGAGCGGATTGGATCATGATATCATTGAGAGACAGAAGGACAGCATCCCGAGCTTGATGTGGTATGGTGAGGAGGATACCCAACAAGTTGATTGGGTTGCAAATGAGAAGTTCTGCTGGTGTTGATCTGACACAAAGAAAACCGCCATGAGTGTATGTAATGACGCCAACGAAATGGTATTTTAGAGCTATAATGAATATTTGTTGTAACGTCTCTGGTTATGTAGGTAACTCCCCCCAACCGTATAACTCAGATATTTACTGATGATTGGTCTATCTACCTATAAATAATCCATGTACTTATGATCACAGTTAATCATTGTAATCTTATATTATGCCACTATTTTTCCTTTTGTAATGACCTCTGAACTCATTAGACTTTTTGCGTTGTTTCATCCTCTACAATCGAGGTTTGCCAACTTAGCAGTTATAGCCATTATGAATGTTTGTACCCACCACTTAGCCATCACCATAATAGCATTTCCACACCACTTCTCTGCTCGAAGCGTCACGGTCTAGGTCAATGGCGCAATACGATTTTGCTTTCGCCATTTTGACCGCCATACTCCCTTGTCATAAACGAATCGGGTTGAGGCTGAATGTAGACCTAATTATATACCTGCGTCAACTCTAGACTCTAGCTCCTCATACTCCTTATACATCTATTTAGGCATACGGAAAATCTCTCTCTATGTGTTCGTGAAAGAGTCAAGTACACAATTCCTGTGTAACGCTTTCTCTTTCAGTTCCTTGATTTGAGCGGTGCTTCCAGAGGCCTCGCCGACCAATCTTGTCTGTAGACAGAGGTAGGTTTGCTATTTTCACAAAGAGATGAGCCACCTTGTATCGATAAAACCCTCTTACCTATCCTTGCAGCTGTGCCGCTAGTTTTCAGGCCCTCCTCCTATGCTTGCTTATACATGTTGTTCTTTTCCTGCAATTTTGTTTCTCAATAATTTGTCGTAGATCTCTTATTCGTGCTCCAGAGGTTTCGGTTGTTCGGTTCTGTCTGGTCTTGGTTTGAAGCATTAATTGACTAAGACATTGATCACTGCAGTTATGGGGTCGATAGCGGTTCCTCGCACCTGGTTGCATGCAGCGTTAAGTGCCACTGACGTTTTTAGGATATGCCTTTCCCGACTTCAGTACTTTTTCCCCTTATCGTACTGTCATTTCTTCCAAATGTCTCATGCATATCTTTTTTAGATCTGACTTTGGAAAGCGCGAGTGCTGTACAAGAAAAGCAACCCCACCAGTGTGCCTTATGGACAAGTTTGGCATTACCCGGAGATGGCACTCGGATTGTGGTTGGTAAGTAGATGAAAATGGCTGAGTGACATCTTACTGGATTGTACAGCTGATATTAATCAACACATGTGTATGTGAAGCCTTAAGTACCATTGCAGGCCCAAGGTGGATCCAAAGAACGATGCTAATGCGAATGCTGAAGTAATGAACTATTTACCTATCTGTGAAGTGCCATAAAAGTAAAATCGGAGGAAATAGCGACTCTGCATGGAATGCTCCTGATGAAATGAATTCACCAAAGGGGTATCGATATGAGATGCTAAAATCATCAGCAATCTCACCAATCCTGATCCTGCCGGTGCTTTGCGCTGGCCCCCACTATGACCAACAGCGATGAAAATGGGCACTATGCATCTCGTGATAGTGATGAATATCCTAGCTTGCTTTTTTGCTTCTGAAAATTTGCCATGCCCTCTGCCAAAATTTGCCTTTTAGGCTTTGCTCCCTTTCATTGATACAAGCGTTTTTCTATGCCTTGGCATCTTTCAACCTGTTAGTCTGAGTGGATGCTTGTGCTGCCTGTCCCACTGGCTGACCCCTAATCTGTCCAGCAGCACCATCGGGTAATCGTCTACGGACCGGTACGCCACCTGACAAGAAATTCTGGCGTATCTGACCATGAATTCTATTCACTGCTCTGGCACGATCCTGAAGGTTTGGCGGTCCTAGGTCCATATCATTATCAAAGAAATGGTGTTGATAGTTGTCGACTTGTCGTAATTCATCGAGGTCGCCACCTAGGAACAGTGGCAGAAAAATATTGTCGTTGCGCAAGTTCGCCCGTAGCTCAACTCCGATTCGAGCTGGGGGACTACCTAACAATATGGGATTTGCGGCATTGTGACCGGCAACTGGCTGTCGTTGAGGCTGATGAAGATGTGGAGGCTGAGGAGCATTTACCAATCCCGACTGAGGCCGTACTGGTGAATTCGGTGCAGGACCAATGATATGTGATTGAGCAGGGGCGCGCTGCAGCAAGTTGTTGTGTATTTGCCGCGCTGCCATGCGCTGAGCTTCGGCTTGCATATTCTGGTGTTCAATTCGTTGCCTCATTTCATTGTGGCGTTGTCTGATCTCGTCTCGACGCTGTCTTAGTTCGTTACCACGTCGCTGCAGCTCCTCTATTTGTTCTTCAAAACGCACGAGCCTCAGTGCACCTGCTTCTACCTGTGTATTAGTAACTCTATGACGGAGAATTTGTAGCCAGGGGTATACAGATTCCAGATCTATTAGGCTTGCATATAATCAAAACTCACCAAGGACATTGGGCGCCGGCGGGCGGACGAGGTTTCTTTGACCTGCTCGTGGTACCATACGTTTCTTCTCGTCATCCAAGACTCTAGCAGAAACCTTGAGCTTGAGAATCTCATCGTTCTATTCAGAGCTACGTTAGCATGAACCTGGACTTGAATGATAGAATCGCTAGTGGCTCTGTGAGAAGGGGTACTTGGTGCCTTGTGTATGTTCTCTTCCCAGTATCTCTAAAAGTTCATTAAATCCGGTGAAGCTATGCATTATACATATCTGTCTCTACATATGGCATGACAAATTTATCCTCGATATGATCGACTGTAGCTTCCCAATGATCTAATCCTGGATGGCTGGGGCGGTAACGCCGAGGGACTGTGATAAGGGATTAAAATCGGGGATCTGGGGTATTACCAATTCTGGGTTGTCCTTGGCAACTTGTGATCGGCTTGCCTCCTCCGCACGGCGGACCTCGTTTTGATGCCTCTCTTCTGTTGACAATTCAAAGAGTGGGCACTGGCCGTTTTTGCCCCCGCGTGTCCTGTCGTTGAAATGCGAATAATCCTTGACAGTCTGTCGACATACATAGCATTGGAGAGTGCCACACCTTGTGCAGGTTATTTTGTTACAACCGTCTTCCTTGACGTAGGGTTGGCCACCTTCCCCTTGTTAGTTTTGTAGAGCTTGAAAAACGGGACTGAAGCGACAACGGTCTGGAGACTTGAATAACTCACATTGGTTGCACTCCCGAACAAGCGCCCTAGTCATGGCCTCTTCAACTATGTGCCTAGCAGATTGACCCTCTTCTGCTGCAGCTTCTGCACAAGTCTTCGGCACATGAGTCGCCTTGCGACAAAGCCGGCAGCTGACGATTCCGCAAGAAAAGTCGGCGCATCGGAACTCCTTGTTCTCCTCAACTGGCGGATATTCCATTGCCATCGGACAAAAAGGACAGGTTTCGAGGTTCTCAATCCCCGCCGCCTCCAGCATTGCTAGTGCTTCGATCCGATTTAGGGCAATCCAAAGCTTATTGTGAAGAAAAGTGTTCTTTTGAGCAACAGAGAAGCCTGCTACGCATCCATCCATTGATAGGCAAGATATTTCGTACTTCGAGAACCCAATCGTGGTTTCCGCCTGCTGCTTCATGCACGGTCGGCAAAACCAATGGGCTGTCTCACCTTCGCAGTGCGTCATTCGGTTCAGTGGGAACTCATCACAGCAACAACCACACTCTCCTAGTTCCCCGTTTTGTCGAGCTTGTTCTAGGTTTCTTCTTTCCGCGTCTTCTGCTGCTTTCCTTGCATCTCTCTCGGACTTGACCTTTCTTGCAGCGAGGAACTCATCTACTGCAGAACGCTTGTCGTCCGAAAGTCCAGCCCGATTAAGTTCGTGGATCTTGTCGACCAAGTATTCTTGCGATACCTTTGTTGGATACTTTTTCTCTTGCCATAACGGCTGATCTGGGTTCCAATCTCGAGCAGCAGCATCCATGGCCACGTACGTTCGAAAAACAGAGGATCCATTATTGAGCAACAATTTGCTTTTGATAGTTGTTTTTGGGACGCGAGGGAAGTCCTGGCTGATAAGAAAGGTCGCCATCTCCTTATACTCTGCTGAGCGCATTCGATTCAAATAAGCTGGGTCATTCATCTTCGCTTTGATGCCGCTGTTAGAATCCTTGACTGTAATCTCCTGGCTCTCATCATTATCATCGTTGCGTTTGCGTTTTAAGTGGTTGGCTCGTTTTGGATATTGTTGACCTCGCTCCTGTTTGTCAAGGATCGCCACAATGATGTCTCTAGGCTCAAAGGTGTACTCTATGGCCAATTCCTCCAGATACTGCGCGTCAATGTCTTCGAAGATCAAGAGGACTTGAGCTCTGCAAGACTCTTTGTTTGCCTCTGATTTCATTGCGGATTCTTCCATTGTTATGACTGTGCGTGGGAATTTGTGTCTCTGCGCTGCTTGGTTTTGACGTGAGCTGTACCCAAAGAACACCCGGGGTACCTGTCTCTTGTGTTTTGCGTTTGACACAAACTTGAGGCATACAAATAGAGACTTGGAGGGTTACTGTACTCTGGGGGACTCTTCTCTGACGTTCTTCGATCTATTGGGGTGTTAGCTTTCTTATTCATGAATAGAATGATAAAGTTATGTAGACTATACCGTCCTAAGTAGGACGAATTATAGTGATGAGATAAATAAAATATATGAATAAACAATGATGTGCCTCTTAACGAAACCAGAAGTTTCATGGAAAGCCCGTCGAACCCCGGATTCTTGGATATGTGATGGCCCTCACCGACTGAGAATCTGTATACCTTCGATGCCTATTGTCCAACAGTAAGGTCATCAATGAACGAGCTATATGTATTTCGTTCAAGTGTGTTGATATCAGAGCACGCTACTGCAGCAGTTTTGGTGTTGAAATGCCCAGTGCTGTTGATCTCCGGATCCAGTACATAGTTTGGAAGCAGCCTGGTTCAATCCAGAGACGAGACGGGAGCCCCAACGGGCATACCGCTACTTGACACAAACGTGTTCCGTGCATGGTCCAGATGCTGTAAAAGGGCGATATACTGGATACGGTGCGGAAACGGCACAGAATAAGAGAAGATGGAGCGAGAGAGAAGGGGAGAGTGTTGTAACTTACCAGAAGTTTAGACGATGAAGTGCAGTCACCCAACTTGGGATTGGAACTCAGAAATGTTGAAATACTGAAGGGCAGAAGTCTGTGAAGCTGAGGACGCTGATGCAAGATGAATCCAGGCACAGCATTTGTGGAGAGAAGAACGCTTTGCGGAAAAGCGAATGTGTTAGTTGCGAAGGCGTTTTTAGAATACCAAATGAGAGGTTATTTCCTGGAAGGAACCATCAAGCTGCGCAATTCGACTGCTCAGAAGTGATAGTCGAATTTCAGGTTACTGAGGCTCGTGGGCAAGCAGCAACCACGTGTTGGCGGGGGATTGTGACCGAAGTGAGAGTTCACCTTGATGATTGGTGAAGTCGCTGTGTTGAAGCCCTCAGCCGTCTAGCTTGAAGGCAACGATATGACACTCATGAAGCAATCGGCCGGTTCTACCGGATAGGCAGTCTAGTCTAGATGGTTGCTGCGACTCCTCTTGACTGAGCATGAGCCTGAGATCAGGTTGCTGTGGTTCGACAGAGGATGGAGGGATGGGCCTCGAGGTGGTCTGGTTTAATGTGGCGCCCGCTCGCAGCCCCACCGACCACTCTATGTTTACGGAATACTTTACCTGACTTTGATGAACCGGCATCTTTTGAATCAGGGAAGCACAATCCTCGTAATAGAGTGAGGATGTGTTTTTGCTTCGGATTCCCCTTGCAAATCATCTTACATAAGTCCATTGAATACGCACACAGGAGTTCGCACGGAGTGGGCTGGCGTTACAGATCATAGCCCGCTGATCCCCGTCAACTACTGTGTAGAGTGCGTGCTAATGTGACGGCACTGCGTGCAAGAGTGTCCGAGCTAATCCGTATTCAGGTAAAACTTCATGAAGTCCACAATCTCGAACATTTATTAGTCTAACCGCAATAACCTCACCCTTGTCCTCTAGTGTATTACTGGATCTCCTATAAACCACTCATTAAATTGGTGACTTTTGGGGTTCTCCGATAGTGTATCTATGAACTGCTACTGAAAAACAAATGTAGTCCAGTATGAGGTTTTCAGCCATGCGCCACTTGAGTGTCCTGGGGAATTCAAATCCAACTGCTGGCAGGAACCGAGCTATAGAGCTACTGCAGCTGTTCTCAGCTGCAGTAGCTATGCAAGTAGCTAGTCAGTTGCCGATAAGATAAAGCTCATCGAAGCTACCCCACGTTATACAGAGGCAACCACGAAGATGACGCTTTACGTGCGAATGCAGCGTATAACAGGGAGCTACCTCGTCTTGAGTATCTCGTATGATGTCTTCCCCGTTTCAATTCTACACCTGGTCTAAATACCTTCCCTAACGAACGCTCCGCTCTCTCTTCCCCTCGTGCTTTCAATCTTTCTGCAGACACTGCAGCTCCTGCTCAGCTACTACGTACACAACACCCCGCTAAGACACAAGATGACAAACCCTCTCGATCCGTCGACCATCCTCAAGGGGATGGCCGACGCTCTGCCCACTCACCCGCACGGTGACACAACCTCCGACCTCAGCAGTTCCCATGAAGCGCTGGCACTGTTTGCACACGCTTGTATGATATCGCTTGGGTTCCGCCTGCTAGGCTTTGACGAAGACAAGACGGTCGAAGCAACATGTCGCCAACTTGCCCCACGCATGCCAGAAAACTGGAATGCATCTTTCAATACATGCGCTTTTGTATACGCGCATTCACAGTCGGCTCTTCGATTCATTATCAAGATAGATAGATTAGGCGGGAAGGCTGAGATTCGTGGTGTTGCTATCGATGATGACCGCATTGCAAGAGTCGAGGTAACAACCAAGGACTATGTTTCCAACGGCTCGCTGCCTGTCAGGATCACACTGACGGCTGATGCAACCGAGGACCGATCGGATCTTCCAGACAAACTGCAGGCAGTGTTCATTAACGAAGGTCGTATTACAGATCTTGCCAACCTCATCAAAGTCAACATTATTCAAAAGTTGCTTCCTTCGCTACAGAAGGATGGCTATGAGGAGTCGCCAGATGACCGCGCTGCTAGAGAGGATGTCGAGGACGCCGCGCGTCGTGGACCAAGACGACCAGTCATGCCCGATCCCATGCCGCAGCCAGCAAACCCATACGGGTTTGATGATCCTTTGAACCCTCCGCCAAGACGGCCTGTTCCAGCCGGTGATTTTCCACCTCCAGGCTTCGAAGACCCTTACGACATTAATCGACCGGCCGGTCGTGGTGGATTGGGACCTCTCAGATCGCCATTCGGTAACCTAGGGGCGGACGACTTGAACCCACCTGGTCTCGGCCCGAACGACCCGTTTCGGCCATCTCTTGGCGGTGGTGGCCTTCCGCGCCCTGGAGGGTCCAGAGGCATGCACCCGACGTTTGATGATCCGCTTTTCGGAGGAGAAGGGGGCCAAGCTGGATTTGACCCACAAGTACCGCCCGGAGCGAGATATGACCCTCTTGGTCCTGGTGGTAATCCACGATTTGGCAATCGCGGGCCTGGTTCGGGTAACAACCCATTTGGCGGCGGCGGTGGTTTTGGCGGGTTTGGCGGAGACATAATTTGAGCGCAACATATTGCAAAAAGGAGGTGGTGTACGATCAGATATGATATGTTTTAATATGGGTGGGCTGAAACATGTGTATTAAATTTTACGATGATCACGAACGGGCGAAAATGAAAGCCACTGGGACAAAGCTGGCACATAAATCAATCAATTGCTGCATCTAGGTGTAGGAAGACCCAAATTCAAGATATCCTGTTTGCCCCGTGAAAACCACAGTCTCCCATCCACGTCCATCACATACTGTAGTGAAACGAACTAGACCCGCAGCCAGGCATACCTCGACATGAGTCAAAGTCAGACAGCACTCTCGCGTTCAAAACCCTTTATTTGATCACTGAGGATATTTGAGGATGATTCGTTCATTAAAATCGCCGAAGGTGTTGATGTGCTGCTGATGAATACTGCCACAAGTACAACATCAGGTCGACGATGTCTTTGAGGTTGGCAATCCGTCTGTGGCTTTTCCTTCCTCGACCCAGCACTCAAAGAACAAGGGCCCGGCCTCAACAGATCTGATGGGAGTAGTCTTCTGACCACCAACATCTCTGCCCGGCTGTAGCCTGTCCTTCGATTGTGGTTGTAGATTGCGCTCAGAAGGAATCCAATGCTGTGGGTATCCGATGGGAGCATCTCCTTCACCCCTTAGCTCTACCGCTACCGTAAAGGTACAGCCATCTGGCAAGCTGTCCATCTTTTCGGCGGCGAATGCCATTCTTCGCACGGCACCCCGGAATGCCTCATCCACGTCTGTCCAATTGACCCGAGCTCCTCTCGCGGGCTCGCCCGCTTCTACGTCGTCATCAAGCATGGCCCGTTCCGGCGCACCTACTCCGTCGTCGTCCTCGTCTTTCCTCGACTCCTTAGGTTCCTTGAAGCCCCTAAATGCCGGGAATTGTGCAACGTCGATCATCCATCTTTCCAACACTTTGGAATCCCGGGCGTGGATCACCACCACGATGCGACTCACGGATCCGAGGACAAGCTGTGCTCGAACGGCATCGACGGCATCTTGGATCCAGGTGCAGACGGCTGGGTGGCGCGACTGGTGGACGGTAAGGTTGTAGGCCCGGGTTGAGAGGAAGGTGGCCTGTGGGTATAAAGACCGATAGAAGATGATGTTGTGGATAGAAACGGTGAGGAAGTGGGTGAAGGAGATCAGGAGATGGGAGGATTGGTGGCTGTCAAAAGTAGATGACATTGTTCGGGAGTGCGTGTGTCAATTCGACGGCGTGTGCTACGTCAGAAGTGATGGGGGGCCGTACACTAATTACAAACAACAAAGGCGATGGCAGCTTTTTGTCTGGGCGTTCCTGCAACAAACGGTCCCGGACAGAACACTATTTCTGGGGTCGGCTAAGGTTGAACTATCTCAGGCGAAGCAGGTGCCGCCATGTTCACATTCAGCAAAGCGCACAGGTATGCTAAGTCAATAATGCACTACCTCATTATCACCATCAGGCAGATGCAGTAGTCTCATGCGATGGCTGGCAGCAAAAGAGCCACCAAGTCATGAGTGGTGTCCGGAGCTCCTCCCGTTCGATTCAGTGCAGGGCCGTCAAGCGACAGATAGATTTCAGGTGTATAAAATAAAGATTTGGCATAGGCATGTGCTGAGGGGAGACGCGTTGAGGGGCAGAGTAGAGGGGTAAATTCCACGACGCGACCGAGAGACACGAAACACGGCCTCAGGAGGGCAATTTGTTTCATGCCAGGATTCCGATAAGTCCGGATAACTGCAAATAGGCTTTGTGGACCAAGACAGATGAGCGACGCCACGTGCAATTAAAGATAGAGTTTAGAGTACAAAAGCAAAAGCACATAGCACACATAACACTTAAGCACATGGCCAAATGATCTCGCTGAAATATGGGTGAAGAAATCGACGTGACGAGTTTTCCGCTGCTAGGCAATGGTGAAACGAACTGAGGAAGCTCCCAGAGCCGATTTATTTAGTTCACAGGCAGGGCCCCCGGCAGTTGCTACCTTAAAAAGTTGGAGGGGGCCGACGAGGCCCAAACGCGTCCCGCTTCTCGACCTTGACCTGGACCTCGACCGTATCCTGGCATGCAACGGCCCCTGATGGTTTGTGCACAAGACTTTAAAGAACCACCACCTCATCGTCTGTCGGGTCTGGCTTGCAAACAGTCTTAATTATATTGTACACTGCCGGCCGAAAACCACTCGTGCCGATTCGCCCTGCTGTTTCAGTCACCGGCTATTGCCCCCGACCACCGACTCCCCTGCCTCGAGCGTTGCGCTTCGCCTGGTGGGCCATTCACACCGACCGTGTTCATTTCAACACGCAACCCACCTCAAAATCCGCCTCGAGCGCAGACAGCTATAGACACCCACGCTACGCTACCACCCGCGCAGGCGAACCAATAATTTCCGGCAGCATGGAGGACCAACTAGTTCAGATTCTTGCCAACACGCAGTCCTCCTCAGAGGGACCACGAAAGCAGGCCGAACTGGATCTCAAGCACATCCATTCGAACCCAGCTTACCCTTCGTCCCTGGCCAACATCGCTAGTCACACTTCGCTGACCATCGAAATTCGACAAGCCGCACTCTCCTCACTGCGACAATTCATAGAACGGAACTGGAGTGGCGAGAGCGATGAGGGCCCGACCCTGCCCATATCAGATCAGGTGAAAGAGCAGGTTCGCACCGTCGTGTTAGACATTGCCTTGAGCTCCGACCAGGAGCGAAAAATAAAGACTGCGGCAAGGTATGTCAAACCCCATTCTACCGGGCTTTGCAGTTGTCTCGCGGCCAGCTGTGCCAGGCTGGTATCCCGAGATAGCCATGAATAGATTTGGCCTTGTCGGACAACCATCGCGAGAAGGAAAAAGCAATGTCGCTGACCCGCCAAACAGTTTTGTCGTCGGCAAGATCGCCAATGTCGATTTCCCAGAACAATGGCCGAACCTGTTGCCCACTCTGCTCAACGTCATCCCGACTGGAACTGACGGTCAATTGCACGGCGCCCTGAGAGTCCTTAGCGACCTTGTCGAAGAGAGTTTGAGTGACGAGCAGTTCTTCAGCATGGCTCAGAGTATAGTCAAGGTCGTCTACGAAGTCGCACTCAACGAAAACCGCAAACCCATTCTGCGTGCCTTGGCTATTTCCGTCTTCAAGGGCACCTTTGATCTCATGGACCAGGTCAAAGATGACCATCCGAAAGAGGTCAAGGGCTTTGCCGATGAGGCGCTGAAGGGCTGGTTCCCATTTTTCCACCAAGTCATGAAAGCACCCCTTCCGGAGCGAGATGGCCAAGTTATAGGTCAGCCCGAAAGCTGGAACGGATTGATCGCACTCAAACTCCAGGTTGTGAAATGCTTGATGAAAGTCAAGTCCGTCTTCCCGGCCTTGTTGCTACCAGAAACACCAAACTTCTTCGAATCTGCCTGGCATGAGCTTTCTGTGCTCGAATCAGCTTACGAGCAGATGTACATCGAGAATGAGGCTCAAGGACGACTGGAGGATTCGGACGGCTTGCCCTACACCTTGGACTTCCTCGTTCTCGAAGAGCTGGATTTCCTGACTGGTTGTCTTCGGGCCGGGCCTGTTCAAAAGCAGCTACAGGCTCAAATCGACCAGAGTGGCTCAGTACACGAGACGCAATGGGTGCTGGATCTTATGAAGCTTGCTACATCGTATGCAAGAATTTCGCGAGAAGAAGAAGAACTTTGGGAGATAGACGTTGGTCTTTTTCTCGCCGAGGAGACCTCTGTCAGCGCAAACTACACGCCACGTACAGCGTCTGGTGATATTCTCATCAAGCTGGGCGAGTGGTTGAAGCAGAGAGCCTTGGAAGGACTGTTCGCGCATACCAAGACATTATTTACAGCCGAGACATCGTGGAGAAAGCAGGAGGCCACGCTATACTTGCTCAACACCCTGATTGCAGACTTCCAGGACGTCGACACTCAAGTCCCCGCGGAGATCACTCAGGCTTACCTCGAATTGGTCAATTACGCCATCAATAGACCCGAAGAGCCGCTTTTGCGCGCTCGTGGATACCTTGTGGCTGGTGTACTGGTGCAGTTCAACGGGTCGGTCGCCAGCTTGGCAGAGCAGACCGTCAATGCGATCACCGCTGACGATTCTGAGCTCGTCCAAGCTGCTTGTATCAAAGCAGTAGAAGGATTCATTACTGGCGGCGTCATCCAACAGGCGGGGCAGTCCAGTGTTGTCAATGCAGTTTCGCAGTGGATATCCGGAAAAGACATGACCGATATCGAGGACGCCGATGATCTTTTGGTCACACTGGCTGAAACACTTCGTGCTGCTATCAATATCGACCGGCGAATTGCTGTGTCCCCAGATGTTCCGGCCCTGGATCTTTTGTTCCTCATTGCTAAGCATGGTGCTTCAAACTGGCAGGTGACTATGATGATCTGCGAGGCATTCGAGGACATTGTTCAGAACATGGCGGACCCTAATTCATACTCGGCTCTTTGTGCCAAGGTGCTACCGTCGCTCACGGGTGCATTCGACGTTGCTAATGTCACGTCTGACAACCCCTTGATAACTGTAAGTGTTTGGACTTGCATCCTTTTTACCATTTCGTCATAGCTAACAATATATAGTTTGCTACTGAGTTGATGGCCGCCTTGACTCAGTATGGCACAGAACCTCTCCCCCCTGGGTTCATAGCGACCACACTACCTAGACTCAACCGCCTTCTTTCCGAGAGTAACGAAGGAGAGATCCTGCGACCGGGTGCAGAATCTGTTAAGTACCTCTTGGCACATGATCACGAGCAAATGTTCAACTACCAGGATGAAAATGGACGGTCCGGTCTGGAAGTCTGTCTCCGCATTATTGACAGACTGCTTAGTACCTCGATCGAGGACAATGCTGCATCCGAAGTTGGTGGACTTGCAGCAGAGCTGGTGGAGAAGGCCGGCCATGAGCGCCTGGGCCCCTTCCTGCCCCAGCTGCTCCAGGCTGTTGCAAATCGACTAGCCACTGCGGAAGCTGCTACATTCATACAATCGTTGATACTGGTGTTCGCCCGGTTATCCCTCGTTGGAGCTCAGGATGTTGTCGAATTCCTCAGCACCATACAGATCAATGGACAAAACGGTCTCCAGGTCGTCTTCAGCAAGTGGCTGGAGAACTCTGTAAACTTTGCCGGATACGATGAGATCCGCCAGAAGTAGGTCCTGCCCCATAGTGTATCACCGCCAATGCTAATATATTGTAGCGTGATTGCCTTGTCGAAGATCTACTCACTCAACGACTCTCGAGTGGCGCAGACGATGGTCAAGGGTGATCTTATCATGCCGACCAGTGATCGAATCATGACTCGCTCGCGTGCCAAGCAAAGTATGTCAAATCACGATCTTCCCCAAGCGGCCCTGGCCTGGTCAAATTTTAACACGGCTTCAGACCCTGATCAATTCACCATCATTCCCGCACCTCTGAAGATACTCAAGGTTCTTGTGGATGAGCTTGCATCCGCATCCGGTTTGCAAAGTGCAGCAACTGCTGCCGCGGCCGCGGCAGCACAGTTCGTCGATGATGACGACGAAGATGACGGCTGGGAAGACGATCCTGATACCATTGACCTCAGCCTTGGTACAACCAAGAGCGACCTTATGGGTTACTTGGAGTCCAATAATATGCGAAACCGCGATGACGAAACTCAGCAATATCTAGCCGAGTTCTTCGTCCGGGCAGCCAATGAGAACATTGCCGATTTCAATAATTGGTACAACGGCTTCACAGAGGACGAGAAGAGCAAGTTACAGTCCCTGGCACATAGCCAGGTTTAGTAATATCTTTACAATGCTTAGTAGTGAACTGGTAGGATATACCACATGCGACATGAAGCCCAATGGATTAAGTCATTCAGCGACAAGAAAAGGGGAAATGTAATGTATGGTAGCATTGCAGATAGACTTGAGGATTAATTGAAAAAACCAGAACAGATAAATCATGATATTTCACCACAGCTGGGTTCGAGAAACTCACTGCCAGAAAATAATGTCAGAACTGCATCTTAGGCTGCAGCGTGGTTGCGGCAAGGCAGCTAACCAAGCTAGCTATTAGTGAAACCTGTTTACATATTCAAGTCGGCAACCCCACGCTGAGTAGTGTCATAAGATCCCAAGCTAACCCGTCGACTCCTCACTCTACCGTACAAATCCAAAGTCGCTTATTCTGCACATCTCAACCAGACGGTGGTGGTCAGTTGCTACTCCACACTTTCCCCTCACCAGCACAAACCGAGCCACTGACGTCTCTCTGACACATCTTATCATGCGATCCCCCAAGGGATCGTCATAGATACCATTGACTGGACGAATCTCATTCATCTATCGTAAGAGAACTCAAGCTAACACACGGCGGTTGTTTCGGCAAGAGGGTAGTTTTTTTAAAGGCTTATCACATAGTTGTGAGCTAGTGAGTATATAAACCGTCTACCCCGTCCCCAAACACCTTGATGGTCAACCTGACAACTTATTGCACCATCATCGTCCAATCAAAAATTGCCCGAGCGCGATCTCTGCTTATACTCTGTCGACGAATCAAGACTCAAGAACCTCAAAAAGAACAAGAAAGTCAACATGGCCTGTTCGTGCAGCACTTCTGGCTCCTGCCAATGCCAGTCCACCGGCTCCTGCACCTGTGAGAGCTCCTGCGGCTGCTCAAACTGCCCCGTAAGTGGACGAATTTGAACTCACCCATTAGTCGCAGCGTGGTTACTGACAACAGTATAGAAGAAATAAGTGGCCTTGACCTTATCTCTGGGGTTGGCAGTTTCCAAGACGGATGATTTATGAACTTTTCTTCACAATCATGAATTGGCAGGATTCGAACGGCTAAACATTTGCAGTATTCATCCTATGTAGCTACAACCTGAGAAATGAATGAAATCAGCCAAGGTCAATATCTTTTGATGGCATCATATGAAGAGCTGTTGTCGTCTTTTGTCCTTTGAACAGTAGATTTATCGGGCGTAATATCATTATGGTCTTGTAGTAAAGCACCTTGAGGACCCCCGCGTTCGTAGACGACCGGGCCCCACACAGCACGCTCTGGCGTTTCGAACCATTGATGACTGACTGCTCCAAAGTCGTCAAGAGAAAATTGTTAAAACAAGTCACAAGTCTTCCTCATTCGGAAAATGACTTCAAATAGCTAACTCATGAATTTAGTATTGGTGAATAGAGCTCAAAGATCTCAGCGTTCCGTAGGTCGTTGTGAACCACAGTATGCAGTGCTTTAAGGGGGTGTTTTCTCTGTACCTGCAGTTTCTTCATATACACCAGCTTCCACGTGGGCTTAGACCTGGGTATCCTGCTGAGGAGGGCCAGGTTTTCGAGGAGCTAGCCCAGATGCTTCGTATGGTGTTTGATTTATCTCTGGATCACAATAATTCTAGCCAATGTTTATGAGTCTCCTCCAAACACTTTAGCACAGGTGTAGCGTTCACCGCAACAGGTTCATTTATCCTTTACCCAGCAAACATTAGTGCTATGTCACATCGTTCGTTGAACATTGAATGGGTCACATATGATCAGTCTCTCTGGCACGTGGCCAAGATCATGGTCCATTTCAACATCCAACCCCTCCCGTCATACTTCTCCTTCAGATGCTTAATAACATGATCCCTCAAAGTGCCATGGTAGTTTTCCCTCTGTTCTTGGGTCCAATACGTCTGTGTCAACCAGTTGATCATCATCATAAACGCATCGGTGAAGCGCTCCGCACTCTCGATATGTTGATCATTCTGGATTACCTTGACGCTGACATTATTGAATCCGTGATCCCAAAGCTTCTGCTTGATCTCTTGGGGGTCTCCCCATTCCAGATGTCCGTTGCTTGCCATTGGGAACGGGTCGGGTAATGAAACCTCGAACGGAAGCCTGGCAAAGGCTGATCGGACATCAGGAACCCAGGCCACGTTATCTTGATGCATTGTGCTGAAAGCGAAGGTGCCGCCAGGCCTCAGTATGCGCAGAGTGTCTGTTGCCATAGTCAATGACAATACAGTTGGGTTACGTGCCGGCATCTACCTACCTTTCAGCACCAAGTCCGGGTTTGGAATTACATGAAGACCATGGCTGATCGTCACGTGGGTGAAAGAGCCGTCCGCTAGTTTTGAGTCCTGCCAATCTTATCAGTGCCTCACCATTGAGGAGGGTTGCCGCACCATGCAAATGGCCAACCTACCTGAGCATCAACTGTCGCTACTTCCGTATTGACCCAAGCGTCCCGCTCTGCCCTTTTCTTGAGGATATCAAGCATCGGCTGGTTGACATCTCCACAGAGGATACTGCTCTGCTCTAGCACGTCCTTGTTTACAACCCGCTGCAGCTGCGATCCCACAGCGCCAGTCCCGCAGGCACCATCCAGCAGCTTGAAAGGAATTTTGGTGGTGGAGCCAATACCAGCTTGGGCAAGAAGCATGGCAGCGGGCTTTGCCATGATGGCTTCAGCGTCCTCGAGAAACCTATCGAGCTTCTCATTCGTCAGACTTTCAGCAAAATTGCTATAGGTTTTTTGAAGCCCGTCTGTATTGGCTGTCATTGTGTCGCTCTGCGAACTGGCGGGGATCAGGTCTGACGAAACGGTTGTTGATCGCCTTTTAATTCACCTTTCGCAAGTTGCGTGAGGTATGAACTCGCCATGTGCTAGAATTTCTAGGCTGATACCTTGATGGCCTTTATAGTAGACAGAAGTCACCGGAAAGTCCCCGATACCATAAGTCACCGTAGAACACTGTTTACCGATGCCCAGGTCACCATTAGCAGACAAGGGGAATATACAGCAACGAATGCAAGGCTTTTCATTATGGTGAAAATATCGAAACATATGTCTCCGAGGATGGACAGAAAACGGTATATGACTAGGACAAATGATTAGGGCTCCTCGGCATCAAGTACCAATCCTGACCAATACTATATTTTACAGACATCAAGATTTCAATGTAATCAACTTTAAAGACGATATTCATGGTTTGATTCTGTCCCAAAACCGTTCTCCCTATTCAACATTTGTGCGCCGGATATTTACCCCAAAACCACCATGTGCCGCCATGCCAGCGGCTTCAAGCAGCAAGAGAACTCCTAATTCATGTTACTCCTTGTTCAGTTCTCATCAAAAGAATCTTCGACGACGCCTTCGCCATATCACCCGGCGAAACCGCCGGTCCATACGACCGCTATACTCAGCACTCACACGCCGTCTTACAACACCAGCAGATCTCGCAGTTATTAGGATCCTTAGAAAATCCACATATGATCTTTATCTTCTTCCAGAACGAGATGTGCTGCAATTTTACTGGCCGGCGTTTGGGCACATTCCAGTCAGGGTCCAGCTGGTGCAGGTACCGCTCAAATGCCTCTTGTCTATCGCCATCCTCATTGGCACCAACACTGCGAGATGTCCGGGCCGACGGTCTCGTCGGGGTGGACGAAGATCCTGCGGGGGTGTCTTGCGTAGTATCTGCCTCCCCCGAGCCTTGCGATGGTAATAGCCTCGACAGAGCTCTCTCGAGGGCCAGTCCCGAAACAGGGGCTGTTGGCATGGTGTTTCCGGAAGCGACTCTATTCGTTGAGAAAGCCTGTGAGGCCGTCGCAGCAAAAAGTCGGACATCGGTGATGGACGAGCCAAGGCTTTTGCGTCCAATTGTGTTTTGGTCGTACCCAGAGTTGGAAGAGCAGAGCGCCCTAACCTTTCTATGGCTCTCGGTGACCCGTGTCTGGCCGCGCGATGACATGTGTCTTTTGGAGTCGACCGTGGTCCCTCCCAGGAGCAAACGGCTCGTGGTCTCGCCGTCGTACGGACCGAAGCCCAAACCCTCAGACAGTGACTCCAACCCTCTAGGATACGGAGATAAAGCTCTGGGACGATTCCAATTTGTAGCCCTCGCCGCACCCGGACGACCTGTGCTGCGCTCCTCGAAGCGCACTCTTCTCGGCCCTAAGTTGAAGAACATATCCTTCCAGTCCTCCTCCAACGTCCATTCGGCCTTACGGGCCTCTGGATCCCGCCCTGACAGCGGGCTCAGCGCAAAAGCTATGCGGCGACGCAAAAGCTCATTGTGCTTCCTGTCCCCGGCTGTGAGGTGGACGCTTTCGAGCGTCGCGCCCTTCCCTCTGATACACCTGTCCATGAGCGTGCACGTGGAACAGGCCATCCTGTGGTTGAGGTGGCTGAGCCGGCCCTGGCTGTAGCGCGGGCATATCTGGTAGGGGAAGTACGGGTTGCCGTCCCGGGTGCTCGTGTTGATGTAGTAGACGTACTGGGCGCCGTCGGTGCTGCAGTTGCACGGTGTCTTTTGTGTGTCCCTGAGGCGTCCGCACGGACAGGTGGGCGACTCTGCACTGGGCTCGCTGGGCTGCTGCGTGGTGTTGTCGCTGGTTGAAGCCACGCGGCAGGCGCAACCTTCGATCCAGCAGTTACTCCAATTCCGGCTTCCCAGATGGTTGGGGTCAAGTCGTGGGATCTGCTCATTCATGATCCAGTGGAAGTATGGATCCCATCTCTTGGACGAGGTGCCCTCCACTACCCAGGTGGCTTGTACAGCATGAGGGTCAAGATTGAATATTGTGCAGAGAGCACAATATTCACAGTTCTGGATACTGCATGCTTGAGCCGGCGAGCTGGGGTGAGCATGGCGGAAGGGGTCCTGAGAGATGTCGGAACTTGGTCGGAAGAGATGACCGTCTTCCTTGCTGATGGTCTTGTAGACTGATCTGTTGGTGGCTGGGATCAGGGCAACAAATTCCGACTGACTGGATGGCGCATCACGATCATCGCTGGCTGGTGTTATGATGATCTGAGGCACTGGGGGCATCGAGGCAGAGAGCTGAGGCATGTTGCTGGTCGTGCCTCTTATACGATAAATAAAAGGGGTAAGTGGGAAAATGAGAAACTTGTCAGTCCTCAATAAGGTCGACAACAAGGAAGATCCCGAGCTAGGTTGTGTTGGCTTTGGAGTAGATGACCTTTGCAGTCTGTAAACTTGTAAAGACTTTGAAAATAACTCTCTGCAAAGTAAAGTGTCTTTAAAAGAACCAATATCTAAAAGAACATGAGTGAGTCGTTTGAAAGAGGAAGGGAGCAGAAAGAAAGTGCAGATCAAATGCATACATATAATTCACGTTCAAAAATCTTGCATTCGGAGAAAGAATTCTGCAAAGTCTCGTAAGAGTGTGGATTGTGGCTCTTAACAGAGTACCCAAACTACCTCGACTCTGGTTGTGCACGTCTATATTGATGTCTCAAAGTTTGTCTTGTGGGTTCGTACCTTTCTCCGGTTACAACTTGCGCATTTTGGAAGTGAGGGAAATGGAGCGGTGGATCTTGGAATTCATCAGAAACAGTTGTGCCGTTGTACTCTGGACGAACCAAACAGTCATATACGTCCTAATTATGATCAATAATGTACTTGTAAATATCGCCGCCATATCAAGTAGTTATGCTGCGGTTTGAAGCCATGTTTCTGGTGGTCTCGACGAGGCGGTTTGAAAAGGGTCCGTGTTTGGACTATTATGCCTTGCTTCCAACCACTTTGGGTCTCAACTCTTTTTTTATTTTATTTTTCTTCAACGGTCGGGAGACAATACTATATGTTCCGATGTGACAAATGCATTCATCAGGTTATCATGCTTCGGCGAGCCGGTGGCAACCAGCATTTCTTTGTCGATCATATCGTTACCAGACCTCACCTAGAAGTTTCATAAACTGTCTACTTTCAAGTAGGTACTGATAAAAGGCTTTCTCAAAAAATTATTATGGATTAGTGTCAATTGCCTACAGAAGACAAGCACAAGATTACAATCTCCAAGCCAGGGTTTGACAGTTTAATGAATCACCGCAAATTTCGTGTCGCACAGCTTGGCTGGGCCTTTGGCAGAGCACTACTCTCATCGCTATGAGATCAGGTACCTGTTCAATGCCGATATTCGGTGCTCGTTCTTAGGAAAGAGGAGGGAAGAAAAAAGGGTAGAAAACTTTTTTTTCTTTTAAACTTTAAACCCGTGAAAATTTTGACACAACCACACTTCCATGCTCGTTGGACAGATCGTGGGACCTCGCATTCATGATATTTAGAATCTAGCTTTGATTGCCAAGTCCTAGGCAGCCGTTCGAAAGCAGCATCTTACCATAGAAAGTAGGCATTATTGATTCCTAAACACGCCGCCAAGGTACGCAAGGGCAATAGTGCAAATAACGAAAACACCACTAATTGACGATTATACGCGATGCGTAAAGAACGGTCTTGAGAAATTCATTATTGGATGCCCACTAACCAACGCCTTCGCATGATTTCGCCAAGCGGTTGACTCCCTTTCTGGAAGACCACTTCCGTTTCTATACTACACTTATAGATTTACTCCTGCTTCCCTTTCATGACTAACTTGTCTTTTGTCGAGCAGACAAATTCAAAGACTACTCCAAATCCCGTGGTATTTGTCGCCTCGTTTTTCAAAGCTCTCCGTTTCCAAACGAACTGCGCACGCTTCTGTCATATAACATGTATGAGAGCAAGCAGATTGCCCATCACATCATGGTTTACAAGAAGCCCATGCTAGCGCGAAAGCTGCCTGCTCCAAGACCAGCAAAACCATCGACTGCCTTCTTGACTTCTTTGACCTCTCTCAGCAAGTCCTGAGACGATAAACCACCGTCGTTTTGTGCACGTGCTGGTGAGTTCTGTGCCACGGCTTCGCACCCGGCCATCAGTTCACTGACCCAAGGCTCCAGGCTGCGTTCAGAACGACCGGCACGTACGGCCTGCCTGGTCCAATCGTGGACAACATGCGTAATCCACTCGACGACTCTCAAGCGTGCACCATTGCGGAATGGCATTTCCTGGCCCTCAAACATACCTTCGAGGATGCGAGCAATTAGGTCATGGCTCACGCCAAGTTGAAGGAAGAGAATCACTGGCCAATTCGTGTCTGCACCAATTCTGCTATCCTGGACATTCTCATATGCATATGCACAGAGCTCTGGCAATAAGGTCGCAACAGGGAAAATGAAGCTGTCGTTCGAAGCCCGATGACAGACTTCTTGAATTACGCCAACGAGTTTCTCGTAAGGTTGTGGCGGCGCTTCCAAATTGTTTTTGTTCGCACTGCTCTCGTACCGGTCCCAGTCTTGCTGCACTTCATCATGTGTTTGTTGAATGAGATTTGACCATGTTTGATGAATAGTCGTTGGGTTGCGGAAATCAGCGGCGTGGTAGATGAGCAGGCACAGGTCATAGTATCCTGCCTGATCAGCGTAATTATTGAAAAGCTAGGTCAACATTAGTCTCGTTGTGCACTTTGAAAAACCTCAAAATACAGCATAACTGAGAAAGATAATAACGAGTGTTTGCTTACCTCCGTCAGTCCTTGGATCGGGCCATCCAAGGCTTCTTCGATTTCCGGGCGACGTTCGGCAGGAATTCGTGCATCAGCTCTGAGGCGTTCCAGAAGATCATCTTGGATATGCGCCACTTCCAGAAGCTCAGTCACTTCGTGGTTAAGCATTTGAAGTTCTTGCCGACCAACACCGTTGGTCATAACACTGACGTTGGTCTTGGCTCGGGATAAAAGGTTCAAACGGTCCTTGATTGGAATGTCAAAGTCAGACTTGGAAAGTTCTGCCTGGACTTGCGCCGCTTGATAATATTGGTTGCGCATCGTGAAGTATCGACATAAGAGATCGGCATGAACGAGGTTCGACGTAGCCAGGTTCTGTAGGAACTTGACAACATGTGGAGACTCTATCCTCAACAGCCGGTCGGTCCATCCCTGCTGAACATACCATTCGTAAAGATCGTTGTGGAAGACTTCATCGGCAGATGAATTAACGACGTCGTAGGCTTCATTCCGTTTAATGGCAATCGAGGTGAGTTTACCATCTATCGTCTCGGGCTCTTTACTCGATGCTGCATCGAGGCTTTGGAGAATGTGGTGGATGAGGTTGTAGGAGCGTTTCCGCTCTTCGAACTTGGCCGTTCTAGGGTCATTAGCGGGCCTACCCTCGTTAACCCAAGATTGTGCGGCATTGCCTCGATCTTTCTCCTGAGCGACGGTCAGGCAAAGCTGAATGGCGCCAGCATAATATCTCATTCCAAGATATTGATCAACAGCTGTCTCCAGGTTCGTCTGGGTGAGGCTGCCAGCCACACGCTGGAAGAGTTTGAGGCTTTCTCCGAGCAGGGTACGGGCAGTGTTGGGGTTTTGCGCAGGGTCAGAAGCTCGCTTGACTTGCTCCTGTGCCCTGAAGATGACCACGTCGTCGGGGCTACAGAAGCTGCCGCATCTTCGTCTGAGAGCGTCTGCAACAGTCTCAACATTGGAGCCGCTCTCGATATTGCGGTTAACAATAGCCTTTACGAGCAGCTTTGCAAGATCCTTTCCAGATTCTTGAGAAAAGAGACGTTCATATGTCAGTTCTCGTAGCTGTTGCTTGGACGTCTCGTCGAGACGCGCATATATGTCGGCGACACGCTCATCGAAGAGCATCTGTACAAACGAAATGCCTTCCGAGATGCCACCCATCAGTACGAGGAGTGCGTGCATCGCTTGGTGCTCGCCCTGGAAGGCAATTTGTTCCTGCTTGTTACCAGCTCTTTGCAGATCAGCTGGCCCAGAAAGACCCTGGATGAAGCTTTTGTTCACCTCAAGGAATGACTTGAGACGTTCGAGCTGCTCCTGGACTGTCCTCAGTCTGCCAAGGACAATAGTCGAGTTGATGACCAAGCCGTTCACAGCGTCACTTCCGATAGAAATGACTCGTGCCCCCCATACAGATCTGATAAGACGGCTGAGGTATAAGGCCAGGGCTCCGTGGCGTGAAGATGGCTTTACGCTCTCAACAGTTGGTTGCTGACCGTCCTGCTCTGGAAGCGTAGGGTTACCGCCATTGTTGACAAAAACGTGTCGTGCACGATCTTCCGTGCTTTGGTCCATGGCACCCCGACCGTTGACTGCCTGCTGATCACTCCCCTGACCGCATGCAACGGCAAGTGCCGCAGTCACTGTCTCTACGCGTCCATACAAGGTCGCAAACATGTTGTACACATCGTTCAGTCCGTCTTCACCTGAAGCATTCCTAATGGCAGCTGCAAAGATGTCGACGAGCCTTCTCCGTCGAATGATGTGTATACCAGTGTTGGTCAGGACAGCGAACTCACTGCTGGACTGATCAAACTGTACAGCTAATTCGTTTCCGAAACCGGCAGGAGAAGAAGTGGCAGCAAATGGTTTTGAGACGATGCCAATGTCCTCGGGTTTACCGCCGACATCTATCCACATGCTGTGCTCATAGAATCGTAGGCCCTGGTGAGCACTATTCTTGATCCGGCCGGTGTCTGGAGCTGAGGCGAAGAGCACATCCTTGGCGCCTCCGTCTTTGTTCACAGACGCAAGGAAATAACCTGGAGCAAAGCGGGAACCTTGATTAGTTGTGACGAGCGCATTAGATTGTGTGTCGAAATCGCTAGGAGCACCGAAAGCGTTTTGTTGCCGTTGCGACCTGGACAAGTTCGAGGGCGGGAATTTGATGGAGTGTAGTTGCATGCTTTGCGGTACCTGGTTGGACGAAGTCATGTAATAAGAGGCACCGGCAGCGCTCATGAAGAGCCGGCAGCCGGTGTTTGTCACAGCAACTAAATGGATCTTGGCATCCTCATTTGCTGTGACTGGGCAGATGGAGACGATGACGGTCTGATCATTCAACAGGGGGGAACTTCCACTGAGCGCATGCATAATGTCGCGCAAGCAGTCATGTCTGCTCTTCTCGACGACTTTGGTGAGCTTGTCTGGTCCTTCCATGTGGTAAATCCGAATGGTGGAGATGTTGGAAAGCGAATAAAGCAAGTTCCGAGTGTTGTCGATAACGATGTCGACAATGTATTCAGCGGTCTTGCTACCCCATAGCAGCGCTTGCGGGCCCTTTGCCAGGGGAACAACCGAGGACCAACCCGTGGCTGAATGGTTGATCTTGCCTGTCCTACTTGAGAACCATTTCTCCTCCTGCTGATAGTATAGCTCATAGATATCACTATCGACAGATCCAGCAAAGAAGATCCGGCCATTAGCTGCCCCAGCAATGACGTGAGCCTCGGTACCACGGAGGGGAAACTGCATTCGCGTTTGATATAAGTCGACGGTGGTCGCTCCATTAGCAGAAGACTGGGCGGCAACACCAAGCAGGAACATATCGGCTGATGTCGCAACAACCAGCATGTAGTTGATCTCCTTGACGAAGACGCCAGGTTTGGGCGCAACGAGCTTGACAGAGGTGATACTATGCTCGTTGTCCTCATAACCAATCAGTTCTGGGTTTGGGTGAGTGTAGTCCCAAAGGTATAAACAGTTGTCCACGGTGACCCAGGCATGGTTTAGCTCGGCAAACAAGCCCATGCTCGTAGAAACCTCGGCTCTTTCGTATTGCTCGAACACTCTGTCAGGTAGTGTGTACTGCTGAACTGTTTTATATGGTGCCCATGCAGCGTCGGAAACCTTTTGGTAGTCGGAAGACATTTCTGAGGAACATGTGGTCAGCGTCGAGTGACGAGGTCATCGGGTGCATTGTACTCACGCTTGACGTATTGCTCTAGTTCTGGGTATTGGCCGTCGAGCACCAAGGAGCTGTTGACATAGCTGGCAGCTTTGGCCAAGGGCGACTGAGGTTGCGCGGCAGTGGTGGTTGTGAGAGGCTGTCCATTCACTGCCCCTCCAGCGGGCTGTCCCAATGGCTGCAGGGCCTGCTGAGGCCCCGTGGGCGCGTCCAGTCCATTCTGAACGAAGGGGTTCTGCTGAGGACCGGCAGGTTGGGTGCTGTTTTCTCTGAATAGTTGCCTCCGAACGGGGTCTGGATTGGTTCCGAATCTGGAGGCGACGGCTGGGGTGTGCATGAAAGCGCCTGGGACAGGTCGCATGGGCGTTTGTGCGTAAGCCATTGTGCCGTATTTGTGTCTGTGTTTGTCGTTGCTGCGCGTCTCAATTGCGTCGAGTTCGCGACTCGGGAGGGAGCTTTAAAGAAAAGAGTGAAGCGCCCGTGATGCGGCCCAGGCACCGTTGATGGCGGCTTGTTACCGGGGCATCAATTACGACGAGCAAGATCCGGTGGTGTGAGGTTTCGGCGCGTGCAGAGCCCGAGAGGATGGGTGAGGGCCAGTGCAGGTCCGGGAAACGTCGACTTCCTTTGTGCGTGTGGTAGAAAGCGGTTGTGAGATTGATGTTTGGTCTCGCTGTTTGGAGCTATGGAGCTTAAGCCAGTAGCAGGCCTGGTGTTGGACGAGAGGCTGGAAATTTTTGGATGCAAGCTAGTAAAGTGCCCAAGGCCCAGGACCGGGACCCAGGACCCAGTACCCAGATCTGCCAGATGAGGACGCGACTTTTCGACTTTCGCCTCTGGTCCTGCTTGTACCATGTACTCTGTGCTGTTCTACAAGCAGCTGCACCCCAGTCCCCACTATAAAAGACCTGAGCCTGTCAAAGAGCGAGAGAGTTGCGCATCGCTACCACATTGATGCATAAGTTAATTCCAGCTTGACCTTTTTTTTTTCTTTTTTTTTTGTGGTGCATGACCGATCACTGAAGACATGATTTGGATGGTGGTCATGTCGAGTATCATCTTCAATTAATATGACTGGGTTTTATTTTTTCGTTCTTTCTTTCTTGTCTGTTTCTATCTCGACACTTGATCTCAGTAAAACTCTACGGTTTAAATACGACATCCGTTTGGCTACGTCATGGTATATTTCAACGTCTGCTTGTGTTACGAATCATGGCGGAGCTCTTGAGGCCTTCCAGTCCTTCCGACTTTGAAATTCAGAGCTATGAATGACCCCAGTGCAATGCCGCCAAAGTCATATATGTGTGTACACACATATATGTACATGCACATATGCGCACACACAACACGTTCTTCGAAAGCTGCGATTACTGCTTCTTGGCTTCTCTGGCGGCCTTGCGCAGAGCTCGGTCGCGGATGTCAACGTGCATCCTCAGTTGGAACCATCTCAGAAGTGTGCTGCCGGTGCCCAAGAACGTCTCAGCGGCCCAACCCATGAGGGCATGGCTCCACCAAGGTGTATAGGTATTGGGCATGAACTGCCACCCTCCACTGTTGACCTTGCCCAGAGCAGCACCAACGAACTGCTTGGGGTTAGGGATGAGCAGGCTCGGGCGGCGCACCTTGGACATGGCAGTAGTCACCAGGTATGAAAGGCAGAGCTGAACGTCGACCTTGCTGGGCCTCAGCTCGGCCGCCAGCGCAGATGACCATTGCTGGAGGAACGCCTTGGAGCCAGAGTAGGTCGCGAGGTAGGGCGAGGGGGCCCAACCACCAAAAGACCCCATGGTGAGGATAAGACCACGCTTGCGAGATGCCATGCCAGGGGCGACGACCTGCGTGACCTTCAACGTGCCCAAGCAGTTGATTGTGACAATGTCCTGCAGTTCCTTCTTCTCCGTGAGCAAGAATGGCGTAGGGATGCTGTGCGACTGTCCGACATTGTTGATAAGAATGCCAATTTCCAGACCGTCGACCAGCTTTCTGAGGGACTCGTAATCGTCGTCGTTGTCGGCGCTGAAGTCCATGGCCAAGACCTTGGTCCGAAGGCCACTGAACTTGGATTCGAGCTCTTGAGCGAGTGTCTCGAGCTTGGACTGGGTTCGGGAGACGAGGACGAGGTTGAAACCCTTGGAGGCTAGCTGTGTCGCGAACTCCTTGCCGAGTCCATCGGATGCACCAGTAACGACAGCCCATGTGCCCTTCTTGCCATATTTGCGGAGCTTCGCGCACCTGTCAGCAACCAAAGAGCTCAATTGGCACAATTGCTAAGGAAAATGCCACTCACATTAGTGCCGCTCAGCACGAAAACACTAAAGAAGAAGCGGATGTAGTTGAGGACCTTGCCGCCCATGTAGAGGGCTCCAATGCCAGCGAGAATCCATTGGGCATATGGTGGCACTTCGGCCACAATCTCGTCGATTTTTGCCATGTCCTTGACTCTTGCCGGGTGAAAGCACCAGTGCCGAGGGTTGAAGCGAAGAGTGGTTCGTGTGTGAGCTGATTTATTTAGAGAATGGAGAAAGGCGAGCTTCGGTACAAAATGTTGAGGCCCGCCAGCCGGTCGCTTCCATGTGACTACGGTAGGGTGGAAAGACGGAAAAGTCGACCGACTTGACAGTGTGGAGCTGCCAGTACACAACTAACCTTACGCATTGGAGCAACCCCCCCCCCCCCCCCCCCCCCCCCCCCCCCAAAAGCTCGAGGTCAGGGGTAAGCTTCCGGTGCTGCAGCCCGACCAAGACCACCCCCCGGTCTTCAATTGGTCTTGATCTTTCATAACGTCGAATGACCGCCTTCCTTATAAACAAAGTAGACGCCATTGACTTTTGCACGTTCAGCTCTGCAACCGTCGAACAGCTCGCCGAATCAATTGACTCCTAATATATATATACACAATTGTTTATATCTATATTAAAGCTTGCAGAGCTTATATTGCGCTTTACAGGCTCCAAGAAATCTGATCATTCTGTGCTGGATCTGCCCATTTCATCAAGATGGATGCGCTGAAGGAATGGATTCCATCCTCTGATGGCTACCTCCCATACTACATGTTCGGTGTGAGTACTCAAAGAATGCGCATCCGCCACCCGTCATTGCTAATTCAAACACACAGCTCTCGATCCTCGCAGTCGGCAACTCTTTACAGAACTACCTGACCCTCCACTACTCGCGACGTCTGTATAATGGCCAGTTCATCGCAAACCCTTCGCTGCCGCCCAAAACCTCGACCTACAACCCCGAAGACGCGACGAACAAGATCATTCCTGCCGGCTCCGCCAAAGTCAAGCCCGGCAGCACCACCTTTGACCAGTGCACACCCCTGGCCGCCCGGCTCTTTGGCACTTATACTCTGATCTCCGCCATCGTGAGGTTATATGCCAGTTACCATCTGGATAAGGAGCCCGTGTACATGATAGCGCTTTGGACGTACCTGGTGGCGTTGGGCCATTTTGGCAGCGAGATCTTTGTCTTCAAGTCGGCATACCTCTTCGGACCGGAGATCCTGCCGCAACTCTTCCCGCTGTGCTTTGCGACCATAGGCACGATTTGGATGATCGCGCAAAAGAGCTTCTACGTCCAGGTTTAAGATGATGGAACTCGATGCGGCAGTCTGTTGGCCAGAGCAGCAGGCTGTAACGATATGCTGAATGCTGCAGGCTGCGAGCAGAAGACCGACAAACTATAACACCGACAGCCACTGAAAAATTAGAAGGAGCTATATAGCCGCAAAGATTGGTACTCGTACTGACCGGTTGCTCATGTAATTGTAATATTGAACAGCATCATTGATGACAGATGAGTTATATACAGTGGAAGACTGCAGCTCAGTGCGAAGAGATGTAGATTCGTGAGATAATGCTAAGGGCGAGGCTTTTAACCATTATGATACTGCCATGCCGCTTAGACGAGGGAACAGGGGACTCGTCGTTATACCAGTAATCAGAAGAAGAAGAAGAAGAAGAAGAGGGAGTGGAAGAAGAAACTATCCCATAGCCGCATTTTTCTTACATCCGTTCTCTTGCTTTCATCACAGATCTGTATAAAGAAAAAGAAAAAGATAAATCAAAAGGTTATCAGGTCAGAAACGTACATTGCTCACCATCTTTGGAAGATAGCTATCCTAAATGGAAAAGTCAAGGCTGACTTGCATTACTGTTGAATACTTACTATTCCAAACTCCACTAAGGGCAGTGCCAATCGACCAGATATCTGAGAAAGCTACCACATCTGAATCGAATGTTACCTGGGATTGAATCATCATTCGACGCTTTAGCTGGAAGAGCTGGTCCACCCCGCCAACAGGAGATGCCCCAACAAGCTTGGAATTCCCTTACGTCGCTTTGAATTGGCAAGAGGGTCATGGGAACGTACTTTGATGAACAACAGTGTCGTAGTTACTAATAGTGCTGGTAGTATAGCTGCAGGATGCACGAACGACCCAATACCCATGATGTCGAAATGAGGCTCAGGACATCACCAAGCATATATTTAACAGAATGATAGCATCAGTTCAAGCACTGTCTGATTAACAATGCAATACCCTATGCTCTGCATACATCACGCGTCTAGAAAGAATCCAATACCCGTAAATATATAGTCTATCTAGCAACCCTCTCTTACAAGTATCAACGAACTTCCATGTACTATACTGCACCCGCCTTGCGCCCCCCCAGACTGTTTTTCGGCTAGAAACGGTCACTGTCTCACTCCTCCAAAACCACTATTTCCCTGCAGTCGCCTCATCGTCGCCCCCATCGTCGCCGTCATCGTCCATGGCCGGATCCATCCAACCCTCGACGACACAACCTTAAACGGTAACAGCCATTCGTTTTCCTTGGCCGCCTCTACCGACATCTGATCCGCTTTTCACGTTTTACCTACCGTTTTGAACGGGTTTGTTCCCAACAAATCCCGTTATTCATGGCTGGGTGGTGTAGTGGTAAGCACTCCGGGTTACAAATTACGTGTTTCAAGCATCTCTTTCTTGGATAACTCTCTTGGATATCTCCTGCTTTCTTCAAAGTCTGTCTCGAATTCTCCAAGGTCCAATAAGGTGCGGTATGCACTATAATCTAATTCCCGGAAGCGCAGGTTCAAATCCTGCCTTGGCCAATATTTTTTTTTATCTCTTTTTCTTTTTTTCTTTTTTCCTTTTTTTTTTCCTCCTCCTTTCTTTTTTTGAATTACTCTTCCAGCGTTTCCTTGGCTTCCCTCGTCTTGTGAACGGATAGCTTGTGATAATTAGTTTGTTTCTGTCTGCTTTGAAACAGCGTCTAATCTTTAGGAGAGAGGGTTATGTCAAATCTACGAAGAACGTAGCTACCAGATGGCTGAGATCATGTTCGTTCATGTACAACGCTGTATACCCTCTTTCTCACAGAATTGGTGTTTTGAGACGCTTCACATCAAGGCATTTTTTATTGTATGGGCCAATTTCCTCATCAACAATGCCGAGATCACTGACAACAAGCTCGCTAAAAGGATTGTGCAGGCTACCACTCTATAGCAAGTGCTCCTTCGGCCTTTGAAATGTGCACACCGTTTGACCCCGCTGGTCAAGGTCGAACGATGTCACCTTTCTTCTAACAACTCAGTGTTTGGCTAAAACGCTTCTCGTTGCGGTCTCAACTGGTGCACGTGACATGATGTGCACAACAATAGAATGCTCCTGTAAAAAACATGAATGCTAATGACAAAGCAAGTTCGGATAAACACGCGACAAGAACATTGACCAGAGCCCTACTGTGGTTGTCCTCTACTGAAAATGTATCATGTGCAGCCTCTCGCCCCCGTATCCCATGAAAACATATTTGCATTCAGCGGTGTAGACTTGGGTCTCTTGTGCCACAGAGAAGATATCCGGCTCCCTGGTAAGATTCGCTAAACAGACAACGGTTACAGAGAGTACGTCGAGGCGTGACTAAAGAGAAAAGCACTAAAGGTTGCTAAATTTGGTAACTGGAGGAGCTGAGTGGCATCAACGGCAACCATCCTTTGCACTCCAGCATGCGCCCCCTCCCAATATTTTTGCCAAATCAGTGCCGATCTGCTCATTGGTCGTGCTATATACCGGTCTCTATAAACACTTGCATACGCAAAGGCTCTACGCTCAAACGACACCCAACTCAATCTCCTTTCATGCTCTAGGCTACAACTTCTTTCTGTAGAGCTCACCACCAGAATCTCTCAGCCTGGCTGCTGCCTGTTCGGGAGTGATATCCCTCTGTGGCTCTGCCAACAATTCATACCCAACCAAGAACTTCTTGACAGTCGCGGATCTCAGCAGGGGCGGGTAGAAGTGCATGTGAAGATAGCTGTTCTCGACCTCCTCATCAGTGCCCTCAAGCGGAGCCTGGTGGATACCGGAGCTGTAGGGGAAGCTGGTCTCGAAGAGGTTGTCATAACGTCTCGTCACCTCGTGGATGGCCTCGGCCAACTTGAGCCGCTCGTCGGCGGTCAAATCGACCAAGGCTCGCGCGTGGCGCTTGGCGATGATCATGACCTCGAAAGGCCAGACCGCCCACCAGGGGCAGACGACCAGGAAGGCTTCGTTCTGCCAGACGACGCGCTCGTTCTTCTCGACCTCCAGCTTGACGTAGTCCTGTAGCAGATGGCGCCCGCCATGCTCGGCGCGGTACTTCGTCATCTGTACCACCTCGGCGGCCGGCTCTTCGGGCAGGGTGCTGGTAGTCCAGATCTGGCAGTGTGGGTGTGGGTTGGAACAGCCCATGGCCGCTCCCTTGTTCTCGAAGATCTGCATATAGCGGAGTTGCTCCTTCGGCAGAGGAGGCGCAATCTCAGATGGCGCCGCTTTTTGAAGCAGATCGAGCTTGGAAGCGACTTGAGACAAGGGGTTTTTAGGAGAGAGATGCGAGGCGTAGATTCGAGTCCAGGTGTCTATAATAGGGAGTGTCTCGGCGGGTGTCATGTCGGGTAAGGTCAGGTGGTGCTTGGGCGAGAAGGTTAGGACATAGCACTTGCCCTTGACGCCTTCAGCGCGCAGCAGGAGTGAAGACAGATCTGTCACAATTAGCTGCTTGACCACCGTGGGGTGCAGGTTGGATTTGCATACCATCGCTCGAGGCCTCGGCATCGTAATCTGCTTGTTCCTCCTTTACTGCGCTGTAATCGTTGACAAACGCGAAGGTCTCCTTGTAATCCGGGTTTTGCTCTCCACTGGCTCTGGAGTTGCGAGGGCATAAGTAGCACTATTAGTGGTCAGTAGCCGAGAGGTACTGTCATGAACCGCGACCGCTTACCTTGGGGTCATATTCAGGAAGGTCAATGACACCTGGACCTTCTTGTGCACCCCTATGCTGATTGTAAGCAATGGCCGAGGTTGTAGATCAGTTAGTACTTACTGCCAAGGGCGCTTCGTTCTGTGAGGTGAGACGAGCAGCCATGACCCTCTCAAAGGATTATAACGACGATGCGAAATGTCGTCGAGAACCTTGTCCGGCATGATGATGCAGAGTACTTGAGGTCAAAATTATGGTCACAATGACTTGATACAGGAGAGCGGACTCAGCAGCAGAACAACAAAACTATACCAGAATATATTTATTCACTTCTCGACGCAATGACCCGAAACCCCAACCTGAGCGTGGATCGGATGGCGGGGTATCTCGTACCACACAGACATGGCGGGGTTATAGTTATGGAGCAGCGTGAAAACAAGCTCATCGTGAGCTTCCCAAGGTTCAAAAAACGCGCGCCGGTGAGATTTTTTTTTTTACATGTCATATTTCGCGGTCTATGTCCCGCAGCTAACCTATGACGTAAGTAGTATTCTGCAACTAACCTAATAACAGAAGCTGCAGTTCAAGCCCGGTGGGTAGGTACAGGGATAACGTATGGACAGGGTAACAAGAGCACCGATCGCCTTGCATTTCCGGCGGCTTACGAAGTCTGGATGTGTTCACCAAAAAGAGCCTCATAGAAAAGTAAGTCTATCATGTGAGAACCAAAACCGAACGTTATTAGAAATATCACTCCTATCTATATCTTTCTGAAATATCTTACCATCCAAAAGCCTGATGGTGGTGAGAGTACATTAATAATGGAATCATGACAGGTTGAACCAACTATTTATGTAAGAGTGGAATACCTTAATAATACCATAATACACTCTAGCAGTAATGATTGGGATACCTGTAAACACTCACAGCACATCTCCTGCATTCAAGGTGGTAGCAAAATAAATTACTTAATGGTCTCCGACAAGTTTTTAGGCTGCCAAGGTCATGTTTCTAGTGGCGCTTTGGAGGGACCACATTTGTCACGATAATGTTAACCTATAATGCTTACTCATTTCAGGATTAGCACTCTACTTCGTTTCATTTCCTAATCTCTTCTGAAATGCTTTGTGCATCTACCTTCTTTATCAAACCTTTTTTTAAAACATGCTCCACCCAATTCTCTAGATCATCATGATCGTTAAGGACGGAAGGGTTGATGGCCTTTTGGTATCATCTTTGTGCTTAAGCACAACTCCAATTGTGCTTTTTTGTGGTGTTCTGAAAACATTTTATCACATCCAATCACGTATCGAGGCAATGTAAGACGACATTCGCCGTCTAATTCTGCTCTATCAATGCTGAACTCACTTGCCAAAAGACGACACGGATGATACGGGGGGTCATTAGATTAAAGTCCTAGGAACAGATCCTGGCGCTTAGTTGGAAAACCAGTGGTGATATTCGCACCATCCTTTGCCCGAGCTGGGAACAAGAGTACCGGGTTGTTATAAGGGCTCATTGCTTGCGGATTATTATTAGGCGCGCTAAACTAGAAGGGCGGTATGGGTTCTCACTAGCTGATGAATGACTGGAAAGCTTTAATGTTAGTCTCTGATGAGGAGCTGGCATGCAGTCCTGAACAGCATAAAGAAGACGTCTGAACGTTTTAGTCGTTCAATGGCTTGTTGCCTCGCTATGAGATTGAAGAAACCAAGGTTTGTAGGCTTCCAGTGAGAGATAGTCTGCGTCTGTAAACTCCTCGACTAAAACAAGGCTTTGCTCCTCTTCGGCTGAGAGGCGAGGCGTAATGTTACCCAATTGAACTATTTCAAGCTACGCACCCAAGAGAGTTTGTCAGGGGATCCATGGTGTCTGGTCGTCGTCACTCATCATTCAGTATTTTGCACGAACTTTCAAGAAACTTGATCTAGATTTCCCGTAACGTAGTCAAAATGTCTCAACTTCCGAGTGAAGGACGACTTATACGGTTCTATAGGGGTGGCTTGCGAGATCTGTGAGGGAATGAAGAAGAGCAATTTGGTCAGAACTGCTTGTTTTGCGAACAAGCTGCAATCAAATGTTATGAGCTTAAGTCGACACCAATACAGAACATGTCATGAGCAAGGATGTATTAAAACATGTTGAAGGGCAGAAGTGAAAATGCTGGTTGATGGCTGTGTTGCATATCGTAGCTGTAGTCAACAAGCGACAAAGGATTGAGAAGGTCTCACCGTGCCAGTATACTGCTAATAGCCATGATTATCTTAGAAACACACAGCCAGCCTACAGATGCGGTAATCGCCTAAACATTGCACACAATCATGGCGTCCATGTGACTGTGCAGTATTTATCTTCCTAGATAAACCTAGCTCATAATGAGGGCTAGGTATCCCAACGGCTGACCGAGAAGAATCCCCTCTCTGCAATAGAAGGGGTTTTCTTCTTAATTCTTTTAATCTTTATAAAATCCATGCATTGAGTACGGTAGCTAGAGCCTCCCACTTTCGATTGCATTGTCCCGCAGCCGAAAGTCATGTTGACATCAAGAGCAGAGTTGCGATTCTTGCTCGGAGGTGATGAACATCACCACAGCCTTGAATTGGGGAATCGAGGCTGCCCACTGTTTGACCCAAGGGTGTTGGTAGTCAAGAATCAACCCATCTTCATCTATAGGCGGATTGGGTCCATCTTCCGGCGCAAAGGGGCACCACTCCGGCACCCGGCCAAGCCAGTCGGCGCGAATACTACTTCTGAATTCCGTCCAATTACAGAGGTACCCATTGATCATACCCACCCCTTTTCGGTCATACCATGCGAGGGTGTCGTTCCAATGTTTTAGTAGTTCAGGATCTTCACCTAACGCGTCTTCCACGACTTTAACTGAGCGTGAATCCTCAATACTAACCACAAGAGGCAGATCGGCTTTTAGCTGCTGTGACAATAGAGAGCTAGCTGTTTCTCCTAGAGAAGCAGTCGCCTTGAGCAAAGAAACGGATTCGAGATCCAGCTTGTTCCATAGGGGCCCGAAGAGGCTGCGCGGATCATTTATTTTATGATGGGGTACGATGATTCTCTTGATAGGACCAACAAGTTTCTCCAACGTCTCAGCGCTTTCATGGTCGAATGCCTCGACAGCACTAGCATCGAGGTAGACGCTGTCCAACTGGGGATCGAAATATGCCCATAAGGCAGAATTCCAGCCCATCTCGCGTGGTGTTCGCCAGATACGATTCTCCGTGGTATCGCCCCAGTTATTCGTCCGCGTGTCTATACGTTGCTGCCAGCGCGCGATCGCGGGTTTTGCAACATCTCGGCAAAGGTCATTGGCTTCACGACAGGCACGGAAGACGTGTCCAAGGTGAACTCGTACACCGAAGTTCCGATCCTCCCGGAGTGGCTTCCGCTTGTCCACCATGAAGACTTTGGGCATTTGAAGCGCACACTTCCATATCATCAATCTTACTTCTGTCGGCAGATCACCGAAGCTTGAGAATCCTGTCAGCTGTGGTGCTCGCCCCTGTGCTTGAGCGGTAGCCATGACGCCTGCGCTCGCTCAGACGTATTTGAATTACAGGCGCCGTGGTTGTTTACGGTATGTTGAATAGCGAAATCTCGTTGCTTAGGAACCGTCGTTTGAGCTAACGTTTTTGGGTAAGAGTGTTTGGTTCTTTTGGGGTCTTCTAGGTTTAGTTGGCTGAAGATATCACGGGCTTCGAGTCAGTATTTATGGCGGACTCTGTAGAGTTGCTACTGTTCATTTTCTGCGCTTCCACTTGGTCACAATTATTGTAAACAGCTGTTAGGTTCGTTACCAAAGTAGTTGGAGAAGGCTAACCTAACCTTGGTCTACATGCAGATCCGTACTAAAGTAATCCGTAGATGAACTGAAGCGAGACCATCCCTGCAGCAGAAAAAGAGCGACAGTTTATGCTGCACGTGACCATGGCTGCCTGGACTACACGCCTCTGACACTTCGTTGCAAGTTGGAGTGCCAGGGAGCTTTGACCCCCTCACTAACTTGATTGAGATTAGCGCCTTCCACCCAGACCGGTCCCTGGCCTGCCTGACTCCCGGCTTGCATCGCGACAGCAAATCGCCATTTGTCCCTGGCAGCAACTGGACCTCAAAGACAGCGAGACTCATCAAAACAAGTCACTATAACCTCGAACTGCATCCCACGACGCGCATCTCCCGGTCGGCATCACTTAGCGCCACCTCATGCGACACAATCAAAGGCGACACTTGCTAGGATCGGGCTGTCCAAAGCTGGGTCTTGACTTTCCATCTCCGTCACCTGTGGCTCCATAGTACCACGTCGCACTGGTCCAGATGGGTGTCATTCGGAAGAAGACAGCGACCAGAGGAGGTGAAGGAGGAGTCAAGTATGTCTGCGACGTGTGTTCGGCAGACATTACGTCAACAGTGAGTTCTCGTACATCTCTCTTCTCTTTCATGTGTTGTTGTGGTTGCTCTCCCCCGGCCGGCTGCATCCCCGCGTCCGCCGGCCCCGTCTTCGGTGGGCGCATTCGCCTTCGCATTCCATCCCCACACCTTTTCAGACTCGCTGCGGCTCTGATGGAACTCTTCCGCTGGCTCTCTTCGGGAACTAACCCACGAACGCCAGGTCCGGATAAGATGCGCGCATCCAGATTGCAAGGAGTTTGACCTTTGCGTTCAATGCTTCTCAAGCGGAGCCTCGAGTGCTTCCCATCAACCAACAACACATCCCTACAAAGTGATTGAGCAGAACTCTATACCGATTTTCGACTCGGATTGGGGAGCCGACGAGGAGCTCCTTCTGATAGAGGGATGCGAAATATATGGGCTTGGATCTTGGGCTGATATTGCCGATCATATCGGTGGTTATCGCACCAAAGACGAGGTCAGAGACCACTACATCAAGGCCTACGTAGAATCGCCATGCTTTCCGCTGCCGAAACGGTGCCGTCCTACCGATGTGGAGCTCTCCCAGGAGGTCTCGCGGGAAGAGTTCCAAGCACGGAAGAAGAGGAGGATCGAAGAACGACGCGATGCACAAAAGAACGCAGCGCCGATGCCCCCCAAGACCAAACCAACGGCTAGTGTCCCATCATGTCACGAAATCCAAGGCTACATGCCAGGTCGTTTGGAATTCGAGACTGAGTATGCCAACGAGGCTGAAGAGGCTGTCCAGCTTATGCAGTTCGATCCTGGCGATGGCATCAATCCAAGAACCGGCGAGCTCGAGCCGGAGATGGAACTCAAGTTGACCGTCATGGATATCTACAACGCTCGTTTGACGCAGCGTGTAGAGCGCAAGAAGGTCATATTCGAGCATAACCTTCTCGATTACCGTGTCAATAGTAAAATCGAGAAGAACAGGACCAAGGAGGAACGTGATGTCCTGAACAAGGCAAAACCTTTTGCTAGGATGATGAACCACGATGATTTTGAATCATTGTCTCAGGGATTGCTCGACGAACTCAACCTCCGCCAAGCTATTACTCAGCTACAGGAATGGAGGAACCTTAGAATTGGTGATCTCCGTAGTGGAGAGAAGTACGAGAATGATAAGGCTGCGCGGATACAAAAGTCAATACCAATGGGCTCAATGGATCGAGAGCGCCTAGCCACTCAACAGCGCTCGAAACAGAGCACCCAACCAGAACCTCCTAGTGGGGCTGCTTTGCTTGTTGCGCCTGAACTGCCTATACGCATGGCCAACAACAGCCAAAACACTACTAATGGAGAAGCTAAAGCGCTAGCCAATGGCCATATCGATGGTGCCACGAATGGTGACGCAGCCAATGGCACTTCAACACCTGCAAAGCAGCGCTTCGTATCGCAGCCGATTTCGGGCGTTACGCCCCTGAACTTGTCACAAGACAACGCGCCGGACATTCATCTGCTTACGCCAGAGGAGGTTGAGCTTTGCAAAGTATCTCGCCTCCAGCCAAAGCCATATTTAATGATCAAGGAGCAAGTTCTCAAAGAGGCGTTGAAGGGCAATGGCACACTCAAAAAGAAGCAGGTGAAGGAGATCTGCAGGCTAGATGGCCAGAAGGGTGGAAGAATATTTGATTTCTTTATTAACTCTGGCTGGATTGGCAAAGCTTAGAGAGCTTGACTCATGGGATTGACGCAGCGAATATACCAACTTGAATGAATAAAGATAATATGTACCACAAACATCGGACGTCACCGTTTGCCTACAAGCGCTTCCCATTACGAACTGTGACACCTTACTTGTGTCTGATCACTCTCTATCTTGTGCTCGCAGGATTTGGACTCTGCTGATTGGTGGCCGCTGTCCAATTTACTGCTAAATCACACTGCACCAAATCCCATGTCTACCGCTTGTCTTACATCTCCAACATGCTGACTGCGAAGGGCAGCAAGCCAATTGTTGTTTTCTGAAATAGTCTGGCCCCAAGGATCCTTGGGACCAGATGTTATCTGCCTCGCTTCTTCTTGGAGCATTGCATCTGAAGGCACGGCGTCCGTCTCGCATCTTCTGCTGCGCATACCGCCCCCAGATGCAGCGCGAAGACCTCCGCAAAACTGATCGGGGTCGTAGCTCTGGGTCAGGAATGCTTCGATGTGAGACCGTGCTGGGAATGTCGATGGGAGTTGACAGAACAGGAACTGCCTCAGCACGGAGATATGGACTCCTCCGTCCAATACGGCCGGCCCGGGCTGTCTATAGTTGGAGAACATCCTGGGGTATGAAGCCCTGGTGTGTCTACAATAATACCATTGGTCAAGTATTGAGTGTTCATGGTGATCTGATATGATCACTGGCTGTGCTGGCTGTGCTGGCGTGCTGACGTTGAATACTAAATTCCAGCTCCAAGGCCCGAGGATAATGATGCCACCTGCCACCTGGTTGTGTTAACTTTCCTGTCTGTCTTATACTATCGACAGCAGCATATTTAGCACGACTTTGCCAAGGAACATCATATTCCATGCAACGTTGCTTACTCCAGCGAAGTGTTCGGACTTTGCGAGAGGCAGTTCCATGAACTTTGCCAATGCCCTTGCCGTCTGTTCGGAAGCATGAAAACAACTGGGCATAGATTTAGGTTGGACTGGTCATCTTTACAGCTAGGAAAGTTTACAAAACATTTTGATCCTTTGAATCAGGGGGTGCCATCCCAAAGTAGACCGACGCTGGGCTGCCCGGAGTTAACTTACTCGCAAAATATATTCCACAGCTGTACTGGGGGGTTTCACACAATAGCATTCCAGAAACATCACATTCAACAACTATACATAGTGCTAACTAGTGTTATGTTCATGATCAGAGAAGGATTTCACCCTCGTTATCGTGTAATACTGCATGACCGATTGTCAAATAATGACCGAGACTTTGGAAGTCACGCTCCTTAAGACAAGTAAGAATGATAGTCTATGCAGCTGTATATCGAGGTCAAACCCGACTTAGTTAAGCTGCCTTAATGCAATGCTGTCAGATATTACCAGAGCTTTTGGTGTCGTACACCAAGTATGGAATATGGATTAGATGAAAAATGAATTACTACCTTGCTGATCATGATTATCAAGGGGTTTCCTGGAAGCCAGGATATATGCTTTGAAGATCTGTCGTGACGGCTTGGCGCGCACCAGCGATCCTGCAGTCCTAACATGCGATGCCTGGGAAGTCGATGTTTTGTCGTTGTGGCTGGCTGCATCAGTGAAAACAAACGGTAGTGCGTCAAGTGTATTTCCCCATCACTGTAAACACGTAACTGGCCAGATTCTGTAGTTATATTTTCTTAACTATCCAGCGAGCCTAGTCTGAGGCTTGTTGGTACGGACAACTGTAGCGAAAAGTGTACTTCATATATAGACGTTATGATGTCTTACTTCTAAGGATCTGCGACACTACCTGTTTGCTCCAATCGGTCTTGGTGGCACTTGCCAAGTCGGCAAAACGGCGTGCCTCTTAAGTTTCAATGAAACGTGGTGGATCATTCACGTCATTGGCCGGAAAGAGTTCAAAATCCAAATGACGGGGGGTTCATATGTAACTTATGTATGTGTGTAACTTACGTGCTTTAGAACAGTCCCAAATAAGAAGGGGAAGGTGCTCTCCGCAAAGTTTGAGCATTTCTTGCGTATCTTCCTCGCACAACGCAGACCCGGTGACTTCTCGAGCTTCACTAAGAAGCTCGAATCTAGGCAAGCCGGCACTGTACATTCCCTTCTCCCATTGTGTTCCCATCACTGGCTTTCGTGGCGGAACGTGACTCGAGGGCTACAAACCCAGAGAAACAAACATTCCAACTCATCCTCTAGACTAGCCCTCAGGGCTTCTTTCTCTTTTCCTTGCTTGGGTGCAAATCCCATATTTTGAGTCGTTGATCGACATTCCTATACTTGGTTCAGCAATAACAAATTGCACCGGGGTCGATTCCAGTGCTACCACACGCGAGAAACCAATCACCCCACACGAATGGCAGTTCAGGGGAGGACACGCCACTCATAAGAGACGAATTCAATAACCGACGACTTTCATTGTTTCGTCCAACGACATCAGTGGGGATCTGTCGGGGACAAGGTAGAAACTGCTTTGTCCTTGTGCTATCCATTAAACTGGCGTGCAACTTTCAGCAATCATCCCTCAGCCAAAGCGGCCTCACTCTCAGCGACTTGGGCGATCCCCCCTAGCGCCACATCTGCAACTCTTCCTCTAGACTAGGGCCACGCCTAGAACACCTTAAACCAGCCAACGCCGACAGCTGAGACAGAGTTCCCTTTTCTTTTCAACATGACAATCGCCAACTTCGTGCCGCAGCAGATTGCGGGCTTCATGCCTCGACGAAACATTCTCATCCCGACGCTGTGCATCGTCAGTCTCTTTGCGGTATGGTGTTTTAGGATACCGTCCACGTCATTCGATTGGAGCGGTTCGAAAGGGGGCGCACAGGTCTCGACACTTCACCCACCATCCACCCTTGGCGATATCGACCTATCCGACCCAGATGCGCCCTTCGTCGGCTGGCCACTGCGCCGAGTCTGCGACGAGACAACATGGGTAGAGGGGCTGGTTTACATTTGCGATAACAACTCGGGCGGTGTGGGAAACATCAGAAACTACATCCAGACATGTTTGCGATATGCGATCGAGGCTGGCGCCACCGGGCTCATCGTGCCCAAAATCCGCAAGCGGTCTGAGAAGGATCTGGCCGATCTCTTCACATCGTATCTCCCACTATCGTACATGTTCGACGAGCAGCATTTCAGGAATGCCTTCACGACCTACTGTCCACAGATGACGCTTTACAATAATGTGACTGATGTGCCCAACATCCCCCTGACTATCGAGCGCAAGCCTCGCATCGAGGAGATCGCGCCGAAGGACTATGGCAACCGTAAGGGGTGCGACTGGAAAGACCAGAACCGCCATACTGACCGCTTCGGTGACACGTTCCGTCACTGGTTGAGGAACGAGACCAATGGCATCCCTCCATCCAAAGAGCACCCGCGGCTGATCAGATTCAAATGGGGTGTCCTGTGGGACTGGCAGATTTGGAGAGATGGGCCTGAGTTTGCAACGACATTTGGCAGTGTGTTAAAGTTCAACAAAGAGCTGCTTTATCTCGGCAACACGGCACTCAAGAATATGCACAGCTTTGCAAAGGGCCAAGGTGCCCAGAAAGGCGAGTTTCTAGGAGTTCATCTGCGTACTGAGAACGACGCGATGAACTTTTGGCCGGTGTACAACACGCAGGCTCGCGGCTTCCTACGCAAGGCCCAGGAAGGAAACTACAGGTCGGCATACCTGGCAACGGGCAACATGACGGAAGCGAAGAAGTTCGAGAAGCAAGCATTGGACATTTCCAACACGAAGGTGCTGACGAAGCGGGATCTTTTGAGCGGCAAGGATCTCGAGGCACTCAATGCGTTGACCTGGGATCAACAAGGCCTAGTGGACTTTGTTGTGCTCTTGGGCAGTACGTACTTTGTGGGCGCCATGCCCAGCAGTTTCTCTGTCTACATGACCATCAAGAGACACCTGAAGACCGGGGGTCTGTACACGAGACCGTACAAAGCGGGAACAGAGGGAGATGGCTACAGCTATTTAGTGGGCAAATATGACCAGTACTGGGAGGATTGGCTGTTCATGTTTGATGGCATGTGGCCATGAGCTGTACCGAGCGTATGCGGTGGTTGTTCCCAGAAAAGAAAGGTTGTATGTAATACCACGAGCTCGAATTTCATCTACTGGCGTGGCGTTCTGGGGAGAAGGGAATACTGTAGCATTTACGAGGACCATTCCAAGGACGGGGAACTTGGGGGCATACCGACAAATGGGTGCAATATAGATCATAGAGGCCAATTCACCCAGGTCCCGATATATAATTATAGAGTCTTGCAAAACAATACATGGATTGCCCGGTGATGTTGATATATGCAAAGAACTACCACTAACCTGGGCCAGTACCTAAGTGCTTGTCACAGCTGCGAATAATGAATAATTTAAGCAGCTGCGAGTATATGGTATATGGTGCTAACTAGTCAGTCTAGACTGGATTCAAGAGTGCATGGGCCATTGGCGGGGCATGCGAGAAGGCGGGGAGTTGGCCCCCTGCCCCCCACGCTTATACCAAGCATGTAACACATGAGTACTTGCAGTCAGCTCTCCTGCCGTACCAACTTTTCAAGACAGCAAGTTACAGTGCAGCAGCTCCCCTTGTCGGTGTACTCCAGCCGGGAAATAGCTTCAGCTCAGCTACTGTCGGCCTGCCTCATCGCTTCGGCACGGAGCCGCCGACTTTTTCCTCCTTGCGTCTGCCCGACCGCATGAGCTTTCTCCTCAGATCAGCACAATCCTGCCGCACAATGTCTTCGGCTACAATGGTCACCCTGGGTAGCCTCAAGCGCATACAGGCGCCAAAGCTGGCAGAGCAGCTCCTCGCCAACGCAGAGAACCCAGGCGACGACTCGGTCGCCATCGTCGACGTGCGGGACGACGGTATGATCTCTCTCTCTCTCTCTCTCTCTCTCTCTCCTTCTCCTCATTGCCGTGTCGCTCGGTCGGGGTCCATGCACCCGTTCTTTTTGTCCTCGCAGCAGCCAGAGCTAACTAGCTTGTCGTCGTCCACAACAGACCACATCGGCGGCCACATCCAGGGCTCGATCCACGCCCCCTCCCAATCTCTCGACGCCATGATGCCGACGCTTCTGCGGAAACTGGAGGATAAGGAGACCGTGGTGTTCCACTGCGCCCTGAGCCAGCAGAGGGGCCCAAGCGCTGCTCTCAAGTACGCGAGGGAGCGGGCGGCGCTGGTTGAGAAGATGAAGAAGGAGGGCAAACAAGAGAAGGTGCAAACCGTGTATGTGTTGGACAGGGGCTTTGTCGGGTGGCAAGAAGTATACGGAACGGATGAGAGGTTGACGGAGGGTTATGAAAAGGAGATATGGGCGAATGGGTATTAGTGTTAAAAGATTGATAAGAGAGAGAGAGAGAGAGAGAGAGAGAGAGAGAGAGAGAGAGAGAGAGAGAGAGAGAGAGAGAGAGAGAGAGAGAGAGAGAGAGTGTGTGTGTGTGTGTGTGTGGTGATCTCATTGCTGAAGCAGTTGGGCATCATATCCGTATGGATCGTTACTCGGCACGACGCCACGCGGAAAAAGAGATGACCTGGTGTGTGTGAGAAACATGCTGCTCAGGCCTTCAGCCCAGTTAACGACTATATGACTAATGACGCGAACCTAGTTCAAGATGTTGCACGCCATTAACACTGCGGGCTCGAAAGATTCACACATACGCAGCTGATAAAGATTTGGAATATACGAAATGGGTCAGGTCAGTGGACAGATCTTCAGATCATTCCCAACAACGACATAACCATTACCAATCTTTATCTCTTGTTGTAACAGCGTTTATCACAGGCTTGGCTGCGATACAAGTTGTGAAGATCAGGATTATTTCCGAACGTCTTGATCTAAGAACAAGAAATGTAATCACATTAACCGCTCCAGATTTAGGATGACTACTAGTCACAAGTTGATCGAAGATTATCAGGTGCGGGCAAACGATTAATGTAAACGCCTTGCGATGACCAGTGCCTATGCATAATCTTGACAATACAGCTCCCATTCTGGGGTAAGAATGATGGGAAATTACCGCTCACTACCTAATTATGGGTTATAATAACCCCTCATGGGTTGAACAAAAACACTTCCTCAAGGGAGAAAAAAGTTGAACAGCTTGGAGACACGGTCCGTCCGTGAATGTGTACTTACTGGAAAGCAAGTTTATAGTTAGAGATGATACAGAGGAAGTTTTGGTCTTATTCGTTGCTGAAACGTACGAAGCCGTAGCCGAGATTGGCCAGTCTGCTGGCCAGCTCAGCTTTCTATACAAGACAGGGAATAAAATCATCTGTAGAGATGCGCCGGGCCCAAAGGTCAGTCCTGTAAGCAGGAGCGTTCAAGTGTAGAGTTCAGCTATTAGATAGCTTGCAGTTTTTTCCGGTTTCTTTTGTGGATTTCTTCTGGTGGTATTTTCATATTTTCGTACTTTTTTAAGTTTTTCTTTTTCTGCTCGAACTCAACGGCTATCGTAGATCTACTTTGCTCTCTTCTGAATTGACCATGTCTTCTAATTGCTGCTGAATACTGACAGGTAATCCACACTTATAGACAAACAAACACTTTCGGTTGAACCGAGGTTCTTCCAAGCCAATTCTATAAGTACCGTATTCCTTAAGACTAGCAAGATTGAGCCAGGACATCGTTAATTTTTCGTTTGGCGTGTTGACACTCAATTCAAAACCAGTCATATTTATTCAAATCATTCCGTACTCCCTGTGTTTACATCTATTATATCCTACACTGGAGAGCTTGCTAACTAGGCTACTTCAACGACAGATGGCGATATCCTATGTAGTGTGTGGTGTCAAGACAGCATTAACGGAGATCCTGTACGTCATGAATTACTAACTGTATAAAAGTTTAGATGCAATAATGATCTTACCATGATAATGGGTTAGGTATTGTGATGAAAAATTAGAAGTGCCTAGGAGCTAACGTCCTCGGCATTAGCTGTATGTATTTCCAAAAATAACGCGCTTGCACTCATGGCGATATTGACCTACAATCATGACTACAGCAGTCCTAACGGACAGCAGATGGGCGACTTCGTTATCCTAACAGTCAGAGTCGTAGTTTCTGCTAATGGACACGATGTAATTAATTAAAAGGCGGAGGAGGTGGTGGCAGATATTGTCAACAAACACTATTCCATCCTCATTCACAAAAGCAGCCAGGTGCTTGGCCTCTGTATACTACGAGATTGCCCAGCTAGTCTAGACGGATGTTTGCTGATTTTTGACCAATTAATCATTTTACATTTTTGAACTTCCAGGTGCAAAATTAGGTGAAAACTTGGCCAATATTAGGTCGACAATGTTAATAAAATAATACACTCTTGATGAGCTCGTTCGTCTATCGCACGGAGTTTGATCAATAATTTGAATAATAAGTACGTATACTAAGTGTATATGGCTTTTCGTGCAACAGAGTATGGATAGCATTGATTCTGCCAACATCTGGCTCGGACCTCGCAGTAGGTTAGCACTTAACACCCTTGTTAATTGTGAACTGTAAGTAGTGTGAGTATACACCCTAAGGTTAGTTCACAGCAAACCTCCTGAAAGTGGGGTCTTAGTTGCCTAAAGTGGGACAGGGGTTATTAGGGATGGCCCATAGGATCCCAAGTCAGTGGTTGATACATAAAAGCCGTGCTTCCATTCAGGTTTGAACTCTGATTTCTCACAAATTCTTTAGAACAACGTGCCTGGGTGTTCCTCAAAGGCTGGTCGATACACAAAATCATTCATGGTACAAATTGCATCACCACAAAAACTCCAAAATGACTGTGATGAACCCGACGCTACCGGCGTTCAACCAGGCTAGCCACGCCCAACTTTTTCGGCTTCCATATGAGCTGCGCTACCGCATATATCAATACATATTGACACCAGCTCATGTGCATATCGAGAGGAAAGTGGATTACATGCTCACTCCTGAGGGTATCAAGGTTGTAAATCCAAACAATGGCCAGGAATTTGTCACAGCTAGTCAAGGACATACCCAAGGGTCAGCATCTCTGTTTGATCGGGATCCTAGTCGTGATAATAGCACGAGGAGAGTTGAAAGGACTGCCAGTCACTCCGATGAAGAAAGCGAAAACGATGAACATTCCAGCGATGGTGAAGAGAGCGAATACAATGAAGAAGGAAGCGAAGTTGGTGAGAACGACAACGATGATAACGGAAGCGATGGCGATGGAAGTGACTGGTATCAGGAGTCGGACGCAAGTCTTTGGAGCTGTTCCAAGCTCTTCTCTAACTCTAATTCTACAGAATTCCAGGGAATATCATCTACATACATAGATGGGGGTCTCACTCAGCAGCAAGCCCGCAGCAAGCTCTTCCGGATTTACTATTGCCGGAGCCAGAAGCTGGGAGGTCCCAGTGCCGTGCCACCAGGTTATCTGGACCATCAGGAATGCGACCACGAAAAGGAGCAAACGGATTTTGAGGGAAGTACGATAGCTGGACTCAGGGCAACTTGTCAGTGGGCATATAACGAAACGCTCACCGTTGCAGCCACTACAGCTCCGTCAGTATCGTTCCGACCCTTCCTCACTGGCGCCCAACCGAGACTAGAGCTACCATCACATACCCTCCATTTCAGCGACCTCAAGGATCTCGCGTGCTTCACTGGTCTCATTTCACAAGAAGTGTCGGAGTCTCTTCACAGTTTGTCTGTTCATGTCTCATCTATGTACAACGAGTATTGGCCATACTTTTGCAACATTTATCTTCGACCATGGTCTCGTATCACTTTATCTGACTGGCTTCGTGACCCGTTGGACAAGACAGCGAACATCACCTTTTACCACAACCATACTACACATGACCTTGCCGATCCAACCGTTTCTGGAGACGAGGAATGGCATGGATGGGGTGAGAGAACGGGTAGGCGCGAGATTGCTGAGGCGTTGGCGAGTGATTGGGTAGTCCCGAACATTCAAATCCAGAGCAGCTCTGGGAATAGTTGGAGCACCAAATTTCGTATGTCTGCACTGAATCAACGGGAAGGGGGCCCGCTGGATCTGCGTTTATCGTTCCCTCTGTTTCTCCACAGAGAAGAACTGCAGTCTCGTTATTGCTTGGACAGCATGAACGGCTGGGAAGAAGACCCTCGAGATTGCCGTCTTATATCCAATCCCCACTCAGAATCGGAACATCACAACCCAAATTGGTTCGATAGCAGGCGTTGGTTATCAGAAAGACACGGTGAGATGACGATTGCAAAGCGGGAACAACGGAAAACCTTGCGACCATTGTGGCATGGGTGTGAAGACGGTGATAACACGGCCGAGCAAGCTCTTTTGGAAGACGAGGAGGAGTGGCTTCAGCCCGGAAGTCCACATTGCATCTGTGAGATGGAACAGCAACTCTGCCTAACGACTTGGCAGATGAACGAAATACTTGAGCTGAAAATATGGCTAAAAGCCCACGAGGGTCAAGGACATGAGGACTGGCTGACGAAATTGTGCCTTTTTGAGAAGTCATTTCAGGAAAACTTCCTTGCGAAGAGAAGAGACGCACCTGGTCATGTAGCACTTTTGCGCCATGTACATCCATCATTGCAGCATATGGACGACTGCCAAGGTCTCGAGAGCCTTGATATCGATTTTTTCGGCGACGCGCTCAGTCCTGGGACTGCGAAGGAAATTCATACCACCGCGACCAGCATTTTCCGCGACGGGTTGGTTGAGAGATTCACGGGAAGAGAATGGCGTGGGCGCGAGAACCTTGAACGTCCAGTTTCTGTGTTCTGGGATATTGGGCCACATCCTGAACCAAATTTTACTCGCTGGGCAGACCCGAATCACAACATGGACGGGTTGAATATGGATGACCGATGGCGCTGAAAAGGCGGTTCGAGCAGGGCGGGCTCGCATGATCACCAAAACTATCTGCTGACATTTCGAAAACGGTACTGCGTCACGATGACCAAAGCAGAAAAGAAATCGTGGGGGGCCATGTTTGAGTGAATACATAAATCAGCAGATATATCTTCACTTTGCAGTTGGATTAGTCTTCCCATCTTCTAACATGACGTGTACTTCAAGCCTAAGCACAGCACTTAAGGAGTGGCCACCATTCATCACCCCAGTTGCTCAAAATTGATATAAAACTTAGTCCATTATCGAGATGAAGGAAACTTAGAGTGCGAATATGAACCTTGGCCTGCCTGTGTAGGTTCAGGAGCCCCCTAAATGCTGGAGACACTCTGCAACCGATCGCTCTTGGTTACTTACGGCAGTGAGCCACAGAACGGCTCTCTCAAGATCTTCGACAAAAGTCTTCGTTTCTTCACGAGAGTAATTTGCCACGTCCCATCGCAAGGAGAGCATGTACGTCGTTGCCGCCGCTCCGCCCAAACCAGCAACTACGACCAAACCTGCCGCGCAGCGAATTGCAATCTTGTCGACTACTAGATTGTCGTAATCGCCCAGCATTCCGGGAACCCACGTGGTGAATTGAGTGCGGTGGATATCTACGATAGCATCACCACTTCCATGCCCCTCGGCGTTCAGATTATCGATGACGCGTTGTAGTGGTGCGTGTGCGTGCTCGGTAAGACCTTCCTGCTCCGTTTGCAAACGGCTCAACAAGGAAATCGCAGTCTCGTTTCGGGGGACCTCTATCAGGTTACAAACTCCTTGCATCACTGGGCCGTTTACATCCGACGCCTCGAAACTACCCGGGTTCATTGCCTGGACAGCCGTAGGCAAGAATGGGAACTGTCTCCTGCCGGCTTCGAAGTTGCAGAAAGCAGCATGGCTATGGTCAGTGCGGTGGACATTGATGAGCGCCATTGCAGCTTTGAGTACAACAGCTGCGGCAATGCTTGGGTGCTCACGTCTCAGCTCGGTCAGCCCTGGTGCATCGAAACCGTAATCCAGACCATCGGGACTATCGGTATTGGCTCGTCGAGCTACCTTAGCAGGCGGATAAATGGCCTTCTTGTGATTGTGCAGATCGCGTAGGCGATTTACATGGAAATTGACGCTGGCAGTTGCTGCGGGGGACAGACGAAGAGCAGAGTATAAATCAGCCCAGACTTTGAAGTCTGTATGTGGGACAAGATCCTTCATAGGGGCGGAGAGGGCTTGGTCCAAGTCATCAAGGAAGAGCCTGAACGAGGTTGCATCTTGAACGATGTGGTGTACTAGGCCCATAGTTAAATTTATCAAGCACGAGTAGTATGTTGGGAGGCTTAGAAACTCACGGTAGAAAACAACGGCGGCTGAGTCCGATTCTTCGATGTGAAAAAGAAGGCAAGAGATCAGTGGTCCTGGTACCCTAGAAAGATGAGGACGTGGGAAATCAACAGCGATATTCTGAACGTCTTTGCTATTCTTGACAGACCCATGTCGAAAGATACATTGATCCCACAGGTTTTCGTCTGGCAGCAAGGTTACATAATGAGCACTTCCAGCATGATCAACGGCGATGAAGGAAGTTAAGATCGGATGGTTTGAAAGGGCTTTCTTCAGTGCTGTAACGAGATTCTGCTAGCGATCAGAGATCTGTTCAAACTATTCGGCTCCGAAGAGACAGGTACATACCGTGTCTTTGAACCCCTTGGTTACAACAGCAATGGCAAAGTTCCAGGTTTCAATAATCTGGGAATTCAAAAGAACTTGCAAATAATCATGCGCTGGAACGACCGATAAGACTTGCGGCCAGCTAAGCTGTTTGGCCTGTAACACATCAGAAATTCGAAGCATCATGGCGCGAGCCTCTTTCATCCCTCCAAATAGTATGCTGAGGTCCTCCATGCTGCTCTGACGTAGGGAATTTCCTGCGAGCTTATTGCTTCTCGTATTTGAAGCTGACCGGTCTCGAAGCAATTTGATTTGAGCGGCGATAGTAGGATGATCATTCATCTCTTTTGTTGTCAACGTATGGCTCAAGCTCTTGCGTAGGTAGTCGCGTACTCTCATGAAAGCAATACTATCCGCGAACTGAACGGTAGGAATGTTCACATCCAACTTCTCAATTGGCACACCGGTGGATTTGAAATAGGCAGCTAAGACCTTATCCTTTATTGCAACCTCGTCTGTTGAGCTGGATGTCATCACTTCGTCGCTCAGTAAAGCACGAACTCGAGCAATTAACTGTGATTTCTGAATTTTGTTAGAAGTCGTCCGTGGGAAGTCTGCGAAGCCAAGTTCAGTGAGTGTGATAGTGCGCTCTGGGACATAAGCAGCGCCCAGCTCCCGAAGGACCACATCTTGCACATGCCTGGCAGCTTCAAGGTGTTTCCCCTCCAAAATGAGAACTGGAACTTCCCCTGCAATGGGGTCCGGTGCTCCAACGACATAACCCTGTAAAATTGATGAGTGGTCAGACATTTCGTCAGGTCCAAGAGATCAGTGTATACTCACCTGAAGTTTACAACACCGGCTGACAACGGCTTCTATAACTGCGGGAGAAATGTTTTCCCCCCCTCGAATTATCATGTCTTTATATCTCCCGGTGATGGTGAAACGTCCATCGCGGTGCATAATTCCCTGGTCACCAGTAACGAACCAGACATACCCTTCCTCATCGTCATAAAATTGGTCAGTACCTACGTTCAGCCCGAGGTAAGACTTGATTGTACCTGGTCCGGTTTGATGGATCTCCCCTGGTTGGCCTCGTGGTAAAAGTTCACGAGAATTTGGCGCACAAACTCGGACACGAGCTCCTCGAGATGCGGATCCAACAATGACCGAGTTGTCAAGGATTAGATCCTCCGGGTCGTGTTTTGAGCAGGACCATATGGGGCTTCCCTCGGTCATACCAAAACCAGCAGAAGCGCCCCTGCTTCCAAGTTTCGTAAAGATCTGCTTGATATTCTCTGGAGTCAAGGAGCTTCCAGCTAGACAAACATCCTCTAGTGAGGAACTTAGTATAGATCCGCGAGCGTCAATAGCTTCAATGAGTGCGTGAAGGCAGGTGGGGACAACTGCTGTGTGTGTAACTTTCTCGGTTTCAAGAGCATTAACCAATGCCATTGCGTCGAAGATGGGACTAGGATACACAATAGCCCCGCCGTGCATCATGAAGTGGAGTGCGAAAAAGTACCCCATAGCGTGATTGTTTGGCAAGACAGAACAGAAAACACTCGTTGGCGAGGATTTTCCGAGTGAGAGATTCTGGCAGAACGCATTAATGGTTGAGTTTGTGTGTGGTACACCTTTGGGCTTCGAAGTGGTGCCGCTGGTGAACAGGACAGCAACGAGCTCTTCGGAGGCATCTAGGGATTCTGAAAGTGGCAACGCACAATCCTCAGTTGGTTTCTCCAACATGGCTGAAAAGGAAATCCACGACGCATTGGTCGGAATGCCTGACACGAATACCTTGGCGTGGTATACGCTTCCTCCTTTCTGCATGGCTTCGATGACATGACATTGTTTCGTATCTTGAAGAATTACGACTGAAGCACATGCCATGTTAAGCACTACAGCATTCGGAGTCAGTAATTGTTCCTTCAGGATGGGTTGAGCGGTCTGGGAGTTATGTGAAACAGTCCAAAAAGAAACAATTATCACTGACGGGCAATATTTGGTCTGTAGATACGCCAGAAGGGGTAGGATATGATCCCGAAAACTGCTTACTGTGTGTTGCTTCATCATAGTTGTTGAGTGCCCGAGGGTTGAGAGGCACAAAAGGACAGCCCAGTCTATGAGCAGCCCAGCATGCCACAACGAATTCGACTCCGTTGTCCAAAAACGTTGCCAAGGGAGCACCGTTCTGCGCGCCAAGTTGCGAAAGCTTATGAGCAAATCTTTCAGTCGCAAGTTCCAAATCGAGATATGACCATCTTAAGTATCCATTTCCAGATTGTCCTGAAGCAATACCATAGAGATTCGCGGGTTGGTAAATGCTAGCAATCGCAAGACTTTCAGGCCTTTCCTGAGTGGAATTTCTGAGTCGTTGCCAGACAGGAGGCTCTATCGGGCAAACCCCCCCAGTTGCTTCACTTAAATTGTCTGTTACGCAATCAGATTTCATGTTGCTTGAGTAATACATTCTGAAAATTTGATGATTTAAATGAGACTGGGAATGATTATCCTACAAGGATATTTCAAAACGAGTGCTCTTCAATTCATTATCATCATGATATATGTCTTCGCTATTAGCTTGACCTTCCCCATTTATAACATTTCCTCCGCCACTCAAATTTATTAGCGGCGTGGTAGCGTTATGAAAGAAACAACGCATGCATTTTAGTGTGTGTAAAATATTGGCATGCTTAATGCGATAATATGTACATGAATTTCGCGGAACGGCGAGTTTGAAAAACGTCAGCACTCAACGACTTTCAAGCTTACGGGCGGGGGATCGTTCTATACGAGAATGCACAACATCGCTTAGATATCGAATCCAATTCCTATCTTCTCGGAGTAAAAAAGTACCTATGTATTACTCGTTTCAGTCAATAGACATAGAAGGAAATACGTATAACGCGTATAATTTTTATTCTCCGCTTTTATATCCCTTTTTGTTGGAATATATTATTCGCGGTCTCGTACGACGGTTGGCTACGTAGTATAAGTAGTCACGCGGCGTGCTGGCAGTAAGCCACCACAGCCACGATGTGGCTGTCGGCAGCCAGCAGCCGTACTGGTGAACCCCTATCTATAGACCACGTACGAGGGGAAGAATCCCTTCTTCTCCTTCGTACAACAGCGCTGAATAGATCTATTTGTCGCCCAAACTGTACGGAAAGAAATGAATGGAGAAGCCATTCCACACTTTTACTCACTTTCGTTTGTTGACTTAGAAACCTTTTACAATTCTCACATTGTTATAAAATGTTTATGTTGGAATATACTATTCGCGGTCTCGTACGACGGTTGACTACGTAGTATAGGTAGTCACCGGCGTGCTGGCAGTAAGCCACCACAGCCACGATGTGGCTGTCGGCAGCCAGCAGCCGTGCGGGTGAACCCCAAACCCCTATCTATAGACCACGTACGAGGGGAAGAATCCCTTCTTCTCCTTCGTACGATAGCGCTGAATAGATCTATTTGTCGCCCAAACTGTACGGAAAGAAATGAATGGAGAAGCCATTCCACACTGATCAGTGTTCACTTGGCTGTGAACGCAGATTGGCAAGAATGAAGAGACGGCGTTATCTGAGTACGTACGGTAGTACGTAGCGAAACGTCGTGCTTAGTCCTACTCCCGACTTCTTCGTGCTGAAGGTGTTAATGTCTGCAAGATGTCCTCTCCCTTCCGCACGAATAACGAACGAGTAGAAGACGTGTAGAGATTCTTCGTAGTGCGAAGGTGTTAATGTCTGCAAGAAGTCCTCTCCCTTCCGCACGAACAAAGAGCTACACGTGCGTGCCATTACGCATCGACAATAGGTTCATTATCTCCCGCAGAACGCGTAGCTACCGGTGCGCGCGACACGGGCGATAACCTCGGACTACGACAAGAGTAGAAGACGTATACAGATTCTTCTTCGTACGGAGGTGCTTATGTCTGCAAGATGTCCTCTCCCGTCCGCACGAACAAAGAGTTATGCATGCGTGCCATTACTCACGACAACTCCGGTACCGTACCACGACAACAAAATATCCTCTCGCACAAGGAGATGGCGGAGGGGAGCGATATCTCCGTCCACGCTTGGCGAGCCGGCACAGCATTCAAATTCTGGGATTGTACGGTCGATATCGAACAACCCCTCGACCGAGTACATATGAATACGTATGTCGGTCAGCTCGTTACCGAATATCAAGGCATCTCAACGCTCCGATCACTCGTACGAGCATACCAGGAAGACTTCGAGGGATGGACTACGTACCAGTTCGAGTATACATCACGACCATTCAAACGTGCGATGCTTAAGACACTCGAACGAAAAGGGTATCACTTCCCGAGCGGTCTCACCCAAAACGAAAAGCTCGTCTACCTATTAGACAACAAGGAGGCTGTCAGAGCACCTTAACCATCACCCCGTACGAGTACTACAACTCTCGGTCCCTATACGAGTACTACAACTCTCGGTCCCTGTACGAGTACTACAACTCCCGGTCCCCGTACGAATGCCGCAACTCCGGCACCGACTCGTACACCACTACCCGGCTAGGAAGATAGACAAGAGGATGGCCCAGAGGATAGATAAGGACAGCCCGGAGGACAGATAAGAGGACGACCCTACGGGAAACACACTACCGAAGGAATTATTTTCAGTTGTTTACGATCGTACGAACCGCGAAAGAAAAGGTAGCTAGTGTTGGAATATATTATTCGCGGTCTCGTACGACGGTTGGCTACGTAGTATAAGTAGTCACGCGGCGTGCTGGCAGTAAGCCACCACAGCCACGATGTGGCTGTCGGCAGCCAGCAGCCGTACTGGTGAACCCCTATCTATAGACCACGTACGAGGGGAAGAATCCCTTCTTCTCCTTCGTACGACAGCGCTGAATAGATCTATTTGTCGCCCAAACTGTACGGAAAGAAATGAATGGAGAAGCCATTCCACACTGATCAGTGTTCACTTGGCTGTGAACGCAGATTGGCAAGAATGAAGAGACGGCGTTATCTGAGTACGTACGGTAGTACGTAGCGAAACGTCGTGCTTAATCCTACCCCCGACTTCTTCGTGCTGAAGGTGTTAATGTCTGGAAGATGTCCTCTCCCTTCCGCACGAATAACGAACGAGTAGAAGACGTGTAGAGATTCTTCGTAGTGCGAAGGTGTTAATGTCTGCAAGAAGTCCTCTCCCTTCCGCACGAACAAAGAGCTACACGTGCGTGCCATTACGCATCGACAATAGGTTCATTATCTCCCGCAGAACGCGTAGCTACCGGTGCGCGCGACACGGGCGATAACCTTGGACTACGACAAGAGTAGAAGACGTATACAGATTCTTCTTCGTACGGAGGTGCTTATGTCTGCAAGATGTCCTCTCCCGTCCGTACGAACAAAGAGTTATGCATGCGTACCATTACTCACGACAACTCTGGTACCGTACCACGACAACAAAATATCCTCTCGCACGAGGAGATGGCGGAGGGGAGCGATATCTCCGTCCACGCTTGGCGAGCCGGCACAGCATTCGAATTCTGGGATCGTACGGTCGATATCGAACAACCCCTCGACCGAGTACATATGAATACGTATGTCGGTCAGCTCGTTACCGAATATCAAGGCATCTTAACGCTCCGAGCACTCGTACGAGCATACCAGGAAGACTTCGAGGGATGGACTACGTACCAGTTCGAGTATACATCACGACCATTCAAACGTGCGATGCTTAAGACACTCGAACGAAAAGGGTATCACTTCCCGAGCGGTCTCACCCAAAACGAAAAGCTCGTCTACCCATTAGACAACAAGGAGGCTGTCAGAGCACCTTAACCATCACCCCGTACGAGTACTACAACTCTCGGTCCCTATACGAGTACTACAACTCTCGGTCCCTGTACGAGTACTACAACTCCCGGTCCCCGTACGAATGCCGCAACTCCGGCACCGACTCGTACACCATTACCCGGCTAGGAAGATAGACAAGAGGACGGCCCAGAGGACAGATAAGGACAGCCCGGAGGACAGATAAGAAGACGACCCCACGGGAAACACACTACCGAAGGAATTGTTTTTCAGTTGTTTACGAACGTACGAACCGCGAAAGAAAAGATAGCTAGTGTTGGAATATACTATTCGCGGTCTCGTACGACGGTTGACTACGTAGTATAGGTAGTCACCGGCGTGCTGGCAGTAAGCCACCACAGCCACGATGTGGCTGTCGGCAGCCAGCAGCCGTGCGGGTGAACCCCAAACCCCTATCTATAGACCACGTACGAGGGGAAGAATCCCTTCTTCTCCTTCGTACGATAGCGCTGAATAGATCTATTTGTCGCCCAAACTGTACGGAAAGAAATGAATGGAGAAGCCATTCCACAGTTTAAGTATTTGTTTACTTATAAAAAATTACGTGTAAAGGATCGAGATATAACGTGCACGAAATATGGAATAACCAGTCCGTAAGGCATGAAATAGCATCAGATATTACAATGTAAATATAGCTTCTCACGTCCTTTACCTAGGGAGGTTTGCGTTGTCTGATTTACAACAGATTTTAGCTCGACGTCAAGAAATCAATTAATCAATTAAACTCCATTAGCTATTTGAGGAAGCGCTATATGCTATTCTGCAAGAAGCGGTCAGCCCTCGGAGGCGGCACAGAACCTAAACCCTGCCCAATCGCGTATTGTCGAATGCTTGTTTCGTAAAAGCAATGAAGGCAACAGATCGCTGTGATTGTCTAATGTTCCATTAAGCTACGTGTCAGAGCATGAAACGGCGAGCGAATTTTGAGGGGAGGTCGTCTGTGTACCCAATTCTTGTGTGACGTTTCCTAACACGGCTGTCAAAGTATGCCCTGCCAACGCGGACATCTGCTTGAATATGCAGGCTCCGAATAATTATGCGGAACTCCGCTCTCCACAATAAGGTTAGGCAATTATGTCCACCTCCAAGGACTATGATTAGCACTTAAATTCTATGTATACAGTGTAGGGGAGGCATTGCCTAAATGTTCATCGGTGTATGCATGCAGGCCCCAGTAATCTCTGCCCAATCGGAGAGGCTGTGCTCTCTTACACACATCAAGGCCAAGAGAAAGCAGGAGCACAGCATATCTAATATCAACTAAGGCAACGTAAGAGTATTCTGGTTAAAGTGATCCAATAAGTACGTAAGCTATCACAGAGCAGTGGTTTCAATGACATACTTAACTTTCTTTTGAAAAAGTGAATGGCACAACAATTCGCTGCGTACCCTAGTGATCGAGCTGCGCTCCCGGGCCTGGCTGCATGACAGAAGTTTGCAATACATTTTCTAAATTTTCCATTCCCCCTAGACTACGAAATTCTTCGAACTCGCTCTGAACTTCGCTATGGACCCAAAACCAACAGCTTTCGTCCCCAAACACCTTCGAATTGTTGTCATCGGTGCAGGGTATAGTCTATCTGTTCCCACCAAGTTGGCATGGACTGAACCTGCATAATTTCAGAATTTCCGGAATACAGTTTCTCAAAGATGTCACAACACAACTGCAAAATGTTGAAATTACCATTTATGACAAGAACGACCAAGAAGGGGGAACGTGGGTTGAGAACAGTTATCCAGGGTGAGTACTCTAAGATTGAAAACTTGTATATGCTAAGTAGTATAGGTGCGCATGTGATATACCATCTCACGCCTACCAATATAGCTGGAACCCGAATCCTCGATGGAGTCGTCTCTATGCTGAGGCCCCCGAAATATTGAACTACCTGAAGTCGACAGTTGACAAGTTCGATCTACGGAGGCACATGATATTCAACACAGAATGTGTCGCTGCCACTTGGGACGACAGTCTGTCAGAATGGACCATCTCCTTGGAAAGGAACGAAATTCCTAGCCGAAAGATCCAGGTCAAGTGCGACATTTTCGTCAGTGCTGTAGGCCGGCTGAATAATTGGAAACTACCACAAGTGGAAGGCCTTGATCAATTTCGGGGTCCTGTTATACACACAGCGAATTGGCCGGAACATTTCGATTTCCAAGACAAGGATATTGCTATTATTGGGAATGGGGCAAGTTCAGTCCAATGTCTAGCGGCAATGTGCAAAGGTGAGAAGCAGCACACTCATACCATTATTGATGCTAATACTTCTATCCCGAATAGACGTAAAATCTATCGGCAACTTCATCCGTGGGCCAACATGGCTCGTGCCGCATGTGTTCTCCCAGAACGGAGAGTCACAGGTGATTTGTAGGCAAAGCTTGTTTGTTTCATTAATGGTAGCAGCAGCTGAACATTACTACAGACCCCAAAGAACTCATTAGGCATTTAGAAGATGATCATGAAGCCTACTTTCATTTCCGCCTGCAGATTGAACAACAGCTCGCTGGCAGCTTCAAAGGACTTTGGGCGGATTCAAGAGCCGCAGAAGACTTCACAGACTTAGCGGAAAGGCATATGAGCAAAAATATCAAGGATCCGCAGAGCCTCAAAGCTTTGCTTCCGACCAGATACAAAGCTGGTTGTCGGCGATTCACACCAGCTGATCGGTACATGGAGGCTCTGAATCAGGCGAACGTTGAACTCATTCCCGAGCCAATTGAGCGAGTGGACGAGAATCTCGTATATACAAGTGATGGAAAAGTCCGCAGATACGACGCTATTGTCTGTGGTACAGGATTTGACCCATATACTCCGAGGTTTCCAGTCATCGGACGCGATGGAGCCCAATTATCTCAGCTCTGGTCCCATGAGGGTGGGCACCAAAGCTATTTGGCAGTGTCAGTAGCCGGATTCCCGAACTTTTTTGGTAAGTCTATTGAACATGAATACTGTTTTCTAAGCTGGATTAACATATTCAAGTTTTCAACCCCCCGATATGCCCAGTGAATGGCTCAGCTTATCCTGGCATTAGCAGAGCCAGTGAATATATGATTAAGGTCATTGACCGACTGCAAAAAGACCGGCTCAAATCAGTCGCTGTGAAAGCTTCTGCTCAGGTAGAATTCAACCAGTGGGTTCAATCACGTATGCATGAGATGGTTTGGACTGGGTCATGTTCATCATGGTGTAAGTCGACTAATTCGTATTGTGTCTTATAATCAGACCACTGACACGGCCATGTAGACAAGCTTGCAAATGGTAAGGTTATTGTTCCGTGGCCCGGAACCATCTTGCATTATTACGCGGCGACTGAGATAGTTCGGTGGGAGGATTACGACTTGAGGTTTGAGCAGGATGGTCAGAAATTCGCTAGTTTTGGTAACGGTATCAGTATTGAAGGGTTCAATCCTAGCAGCGTTCCTTGGCTAAATCAGAGCTATACTTTGTGATTAGATCATACTCCATGGCAAACACTATATTAGCCCGTACCGAAAACAATGGTATCCATTAAAAGCAGTGCGAGCACACGCGGAGAGTTCCATGAAAAAGCAGATTTTCAATAACAGCAGCTGATAATTCAAGCATTCGATACCGATGCGTCCACAACATGATGAGTTACGGGCTACCTTCTTATACAGAGCATGCCATATAGACTGCAGGTGCGTACTGGTTAGCACAGATTAATGCTGTTATTAAATTTGCGAAAGCGGTCCCGATTTAGTGTACCCAACCATTGACAACTTGATATTAAGCAACTCTTGGGGAACGCGACATGATGTGATCGTTATAATACAAAAATTGTTCGTTTACAAAACCTGGTGTCCTTCTGTGCGCGCATCATCCTCACTTTATCTGCTATATAGTTAGGCAAAATCCCATAATCTACGGTATGTGGGAACAAATAATATATGAATCAAACTACTGCCAAAATTCTCTGAGTGGTCATCTGTCGTTACACAGATGCTTTTAGGAATATTTCAAGTTATCAGGAACCATTCAATTAGTTCAATTAGTACCATTCTCGTAAACCTTGAAACTGCAGGCGTATATGTAGCTTATTACTTAAAATAAAATCCCGGCAAGTACTAATATTTTTTCTTAGTTCTCGCATGCTCTCTGAGTAATATTTACAGTCGGGGGCATGCCTGTCTTTTCCAAAGAATTTCTTCATTATTCTGATAATACATAGTCATGCTGACTTATAACGGATCTCGGATATTGTGAATAAGTTCGCGTTTTCCACCACACCATTATGTTACTGAGGACGTGAAATAGTTTCACATTTACGGGTTTCCATTTCTTTCTGGCTTCATCTTGTCCTTGGTTCTGGGTGGGGAACTTGCTCACACTGTGGCACACAAAATGCGCGACAGCCTATCTTCAACCCTAATTATTTGCGAACATAAGCCAGCTCCAGATGATTTTCTTTCCTTCGAGATGATCAAGATGAATTTTCAACCTGGAATTCGGCCTTAGATCGCGCTTGGTGATCAACTTTTTGAAGCGGTTGCCACTGAACGCGCACTCGTTGTGCTACGCTTTGTTGCAACAAGAGCCGAAAGCCTAGACAGGAAAACTGTACCTTGGTTCTGTTCTTGCTCAACTGAGCAAATTAAGATCTTTCGGAGAAAATAGTGGTGGTGGATAAATATTTTGATGGAGTACCAGCCTTCCGAGATCACTGACCACGACTAAAAAGCTACACGTTCTTCCCTTACATTGAATACTCTAGAACTCATCCTTACAAACAGACTTCCACATAGCAACCTCGCAACTATACCACTTGCGACAGAGTTCCAGCCATACTCAGCCAAATTCCCAAAATGTCTGCCAACTACATCAACAACTACTGGGCGCAAAAACAGCATTCTGTGGCGACTGCGTATCCAACCGCGACTCCTATTTCTGTCAGCCCTTTGGGGCTCCAAATAGCACTTGGTCAGACCGACGCTTTCGCCATGACCATCATACTCGTGATGATATATTGGATATTCGGAAGTTTTTCACTATCGGTTCTCATGAACGAGCCCAAAAGTTTTCTCTCGAATTTGGCACCGCAAATCAAGAATAAGAGGAGCTACCTGTTCCACGTTTTGGCACTTCTTATTTGCTTCCCTATTCTTGCGTTGCTGTGGCCTGTCTTGCTCGCCGTAGAGCTTTACAGGGCGACTCAAAAACAGCGAGATGAGGATGGGACAGAAGATGCCGTAAGGGCATGCCTACTTGACGGAACATTGCGGCCTCTACCATACCTCGATGATCAAAACCAGCAGAGCTGGATCATAAATGCACACGGGGATGAGATGATCGCCCAATTGACTTGATTGTGAAAACTAGCATGGGTCTAGACAGAACTTTGCGATCAGGCGCAACATTGGTTGTTATACTCGTGTACTAGAAATGGTAAAACGATGGCCGAAAAATATGCAGAAGTATGGGGATGATACATAAGCAGCATGGTAGGCAACACGATTGGCGTGGTACAGAATATGGTAGACTTTCTCTTATATACTAGTGTTGACGGCGGTGTTATTGGACAGGTACACAAATACAGGGCGAGTAACGCTTAATGTCAATTCGACTTTAGCATGGCATCCGGTGAAGGGTCGGTTTTAAGAAAGATAATATGTAAAGATAGATAATTCACAGCTCGTTTGATGCAATTGCGTCTTCTCAGTGTACGTTGGTGAGGGAATTCCTGCTAAGTCCGATTGTGATTCGCATCTCCCGGAACCCTAACCGTCCAGATTCCCATCTACGAACCCGAAGTTTTCGATATTTCCTATGAGCCCGGCTTTTATCTCTACAACTCGCCTTACTTTTGCATTTCTTACTCGCTTTAGCAGCTCTATTAGGGTTGGTAGGGCGGTCTGGATTCGGTCCGTGGAAGCCAGTCCTGGCCCCTGATGATACGGCACGCTGTACAGGAGGTTTCCCATCCGCAGATTGTACTTACTGAATATACCCTCACGTCTAACTCTCTCACTTGTGACTCCTCAACTCCTTTCGAGTAACGATTGATAAATTGCCTAGTGGGCGAGAACCTCCCATCACCAGTATTATCGACATACTGCGGCAATTACCTCGACAATATTCTCATTTCAGCAATTTAAATTTGCTTTGAGGTTTCTATCAGTGCCATAAGTGATCGAGACACTACCCCCATCGTATACTGACGGATAAGTTGGTGGCGCCGAGGCTGCTGCGTCCCCATTCTATTTCTGCAGACTTCGATAGGCATTTTCGAGATGCCTTTTCTGTCGATCCGGTGTCTATAAATACATCGAGTCTCTCGACTTTGTAGAAAATCATATCATAGGTGGGGTGGTTTGACATGGTTGCGCTATGATAACCGATGTTGAGATTTAGGCTTCATCGTCAAGTTTTCTTGTTGCTCCGTAGATTTCTCTTCACCAACACGACAATGCTCTCAAAATATACTTTCCTTGTCTAGAAAGCCACACCGAAAGCAGGTAATTATGATGACCAATCTAGAGTAGACTATACCTACTATTAACAATGATTACTGCCCTAATATGACCTATTCTGTATCTCTTCCAGTTTATTTCCTCCACATATTCACCTTAGTATATGCTTCCAGCTATGTAGAGCGCAACCTCATTGAAGATACCAATCACTTTAGCTACCACAGTACCGTTGGGAGTATCGTATGTGTTGGATGCACCATTTCGGGTCGAAGGATATACATTGTAAAATTGTAATTTATGTACTCAATAATCATTTCACAATGTCTCGTCCGTCGCGATGTAATTATAAACGCCGTCGGCTAGCGGGGCTTCAAGAACCCATTTTATTCCGGTCATAGTGACAGCATCTAGCTGGTATAATCGACCCCTTATAACTTTCTGAGCCAGGTCTAAGTGAGTTCCAAAAATTAACAATCCGATTCTCGAACCAAGTAACTATTTTGACCATCTCAAATGATGTGAACGATGGTAGAGGTCATGTTGTTCCTGGGGGGCAGCAAGTTCGTTCGACTTCTGACAGTCGCGTCGAGTTCAGTATTTAAATCTATTACCGCTGTGAGGTTCGTGTAGGATGCATTACTAACTTTACATTTCCTAGAGTGCTAGCTGATTCCGGTTTAATATCGAGCGTCTCTAGAAATCTTCTTCGGTGACCTCACAAGAAAGTGAACCACCTATTCTCTATAGTCACAATCTAACCTACATGTGTCGCAAAGATATATTTCCCACTTCACTACAGCACGATGCTTATCTAACATCCCTCAAAAGTAGCAGCTCATAAGGCAAGTTCGCATGATTTTGTATTTAGTAGAGGTCGTTTTCATTCATCTGTGCGTGCTTCGTGTTTTCACTAAGTGTTTATAGAAGTCAATACAGTTTCTTGAGGTCTTCTCAAGCAGCCTTATGTCCAATATGAAATTACAAGCGGCAGATACAAACGTAGTCCTGTCATTTTAGAAACAAAGCCTCGTGTCAATTCCAAAGGTTCAGAGGAGTATTGACACCAACCGTATCCATACAAGCACTTTCACTCCCAAGAAATACACTTCATCAAATATGACATGGCGGCGACTCATCCGCCCACGAGCCCAACGGCGAATTACATTGACATACCGGCGGCGATCCTGTAAACAGCAGACTACCTAGAGGCCCAAGAAATGTGTTGCTGAGAATCCAAATAGGAAAATCCCAAGTCGTATAACAGATTGTTGTGGTCGATTGCGAAGAGCATTCCGCGTCATTGTCCAGATGAACCATCCGACGTGGATCTCGAGCACGCCGACAATCTCAGGGACGCTCCCATCATGTCTCCGGACCGGGTTACAGCCCGGGCTTTTGGCGTTTCATCGGTATTGGGTTTGCCCTATCCTATCGCGGTCGCATCATTCGGAGTGGGCTAGGTTAGTCGGTATATATCGATGATGCCGCTGCAGCAGTCAACGATTACTTGCTCATAAGTTGCAGTTGTGAGAACAAAAATTGAGCAACTATGAAATCTTAGTCTTCACAGGCCGGGGGTGTGCTGTTATGATTTTTCCAGCACATGCGGCCCTAGAGTGTGGTTGGGGTTTTTTTATCTGCAGCATAAAAAAAGCAGCTTTTCAAGTATGCTTTATATTTGTAGACTTGAAGTTTGCCTCTGCTCTACTTCTTCCTGCTGGGTCTAGCATTCTTCTCCATCTTTTGCTGTTTGATTTGTCGCGCCTTTCTTACGTCATGAACGCCCTTAAGCTCTCTTTTATCACCTGCACCATCTCTGAAGCGTCCAACTCTGTTCTCCTTAGCCTCATCAACCCGCTTCTTCCTTTCGTGGTAATCGTCCCTAAATTTATCGGCCTCCTTAGGCGCCTTGATCGCCTTGTGCTTGTATCTGAGACCACCAGTCTGACCTCCAGGACCGTTGGGCATGATCTTCTCCGCCTCGCCAACGCGTGGCATCCTCATGTGTTGCGCCTTCTTCCACTTGTCGAAACGGCCAGATTGGAAAGAAGCTGCGATCTTGGCGCCAGACTCGCCACGGATCATGCGTTTGCCCTTGCTTCCGTCCTCGTCGTTATCACGAGCCACATATCTCCGGCTCTTCTGGTCCCAGCGCATCTTCGACTTGGCTCCATCATCGGTCGTCAAGTCCATAGTAACATTTCGGGCGGATTCCACAAAATTGCCTCCCGAATGTACACCATAACCCCGTTCTTCAGCTGCGTTGATGGTACGGGGGGTATATGTCATGAAAATCTCTGAGTCTTGGAATGAATCCAAACCGGATTTGGATGATTTTTTGTCGTCTCCCACGGTGACTTCGAACTCCGAATCAGAGTCTTCATCGGCAAGGATAACTTCACCGTCCGGTTGAACGTCACCTTCCTCATCAAAAGCATCTTCAGCATCCTCCATTTCTGCATCTTCGTTCTTCCCTTTAACGGCCTTGTCCTTCTTGATCTGATTTCGAGGAGTGATATGCTTCCTCAGGTTCCGCATAACGATTGCTGCGGTTCCATCTGCTGCCTTGTTACCGTTTGCCAATTTGCTTTCGAAGATTGTCTCCGGCGGTCGGTAACCACTGATTCGGGCGAGCATCTCAGCCCTCGAGTTCTCCATAGCACCAGCATCTGCACCAAATACAGGATGTAGCTCGGACCATGCTTTTGAGGAAACCACCTCACGCGCACGCTTTGCGCTTTGGCTCGACGCCGAGTTCCTTGTTCTTAAATACAATTTCTCCGCCTTCTCCGAGACCTTTCGGAGCGTACTAATATCTACATCCTCAAATAGAACTTTGTTCAGCCATTCGACGTTGGGCTCGACCTTGCTTCGCATAGGCGCACCAACCACAACGTCGTCCGTAAATGTAGATGTCTCGCCTTCCCGTCCAAGGACAAGCTTCTTGCCAAGGAAAAGCTGTAGATCGATGAGGTATGGTGCATCGCTTTCTCTGACCAGTGAGTAACTCCATCCCTTCTGATCGTTACGTGCTGTACGACCAACTCTGTGGACGAATACCTTGGGTTGGGGGGGAAAGTCGTAGTTAATGACGTTGGCCAACATGGGCATATCAATACCTCTGGCAGCGACGTCAGTAACCACCAGGATATTTGATCGACCCATTCTGAAGTTCTCGACGTGCTCCAAACGCGCCGTCTGGTCCAGAGCACCGTATACGTAAGAGACAGCATAGCCAGCTTGGTTCAGCAGTGCTTGCAAATACTCAACATGGTGCTTGGTGGCTGTAAAGACAATCGTAGAGTGCTCAGTTGGTGTTCCCCTTCCGCTCTGTTCGGAGCCCCTTTTCCTCTTCCTTGACGCCTTTTCAGAGTCGGGCTCGTTACCCTCGGGCGAGCCATGAGGCATCTTGATGCAGTCTTGTAAAATGTGTAGAAGAGCACCCTCCTTTTCAGCGCCCTTGACGCTGAAGAAGGCGCTTTGGAGATTCGGCGATACTTTAGATTCTGCGTCCAATCTGACCAAGCTCGGGTCCTGCAGACCAGCTCGGGCGAACTCGACCAACGATGCCGGCAGTGTAGCCGAGAAAAGAAGAGTCTGCCTCGAGAAGGGCAGAGCGTGCAGAATCTCGGTCAATTGGGCGGCGAAACCCATTTCGAAAAGGCGGTCGGCCTCGTCAAAAACCACGTATTGAATGGACGACAGTTGCAGGTTCATCTCCATTTTCAAGTGTAGAAATCGACCTGGTGTAGCAATAATAATATCGGGGTTCGACGCGAGATCGCTGAATTGATCTTCCATACTGTCTCCTCCCACTACAAGAATAGACTTGAGATCTGTGCCTCGGCCGAATTCCTTGACAACCTTCATCGTCTGAAGGGCCAATTCACGGGACGGAGACAGAATCAGAGCTCTGGCACCAACGGTCGGACTGTGTGCCTTGAGGCGCTCGATCATGGGGATAACGAAGGCGGCAGTCTTTCCGGATCCTGTTCGGGCCATACCAACCACATCTTTCCGATCCATGATCAAGGGAATGGCCTTTCGCTGAATGGGCGTGGGTTGCTTGAAGCCCTTCTTCGTAATGGCTCTGAGCATATTCGCATTGAGACCTGGATGATTTGTTAGCCCTCGAGCCTCGCAGCCAAATTTGGTGCATTATACGACATACCCATGGCCTGGAAACCACCACCTTTCTTGACCGAGTTGCCCTTCACATTCGAGTTCTTTCTAAAAGCAGCGGCTTGCTTCAGCGCAATGAAGGCTGCGTCGCCGTCAGCGTCGTCGCCATCTCCATCGGCATCAAGGATGCCGCCGGCATCGAAGCCAAACCCGTCTTTCGCGTTGCCCTTGGGGAAGTTGTCGCTCGCATCGTCGGCACCGCTGGCGAAGAGTGAACCGGCGATATCGACTTCAGCCTCGGAAAGCGCTGGCGAAGCAGCGCGGCGAGGCATGATGATTCTCTGTGCCAGGTTGCGCGTTCGCAATCTATCAATCTGCCTTGTCACAGGAAGAAAAAATGTCGGTTGAGGTGAACTGCTTTCGGCTGGCCTGGCGCCAAAAATGAATGCTTTGCACTATCGGGACGTTCCTTCCCAGAACTTTTTTCCAATGTGGGGCTAGCGATGGCTATCGATTAGATACCTACGCTAGAGTACATGTGTACGTACATATAGTACATACGCTGGCGATACCTCCAGTAGTTACTGTAAGTTAACTATGTAAGTCCACTAATTCGGCCCCGCCAAACACATCTAAGACCCTTGTGCTTTAGCTTACCCGTCAGAGGTCCACTCGTCACCGACCGTGGACATACAGGCCTTCCATGGGAAATTTTCCATGAAGTCGATCAGTTCAGAGGTTATGAATTATTGAATTCCACGCAGCTATTGCAAACAACAGCTATTCGAACAGCTTCAACTTAAATCAAGGGGCAAAATGGGCAAATCGCGACGCAACAAAGGCACGGCCCAGAGGTCCGATCCTCTCGCCAAACCCGTCAAGCCACCCACGGACCCGGAGCTTGCTGCGCTGAGGGAGAAGAGTATTCTGCCCGTTCTTAAAGATCTACAGGCTTCAGAGCCAGTGTCTCGTACCGCCGCTGCAAAGGCTGTTGCAAATATCGTCCAGGATACCAAGTGCCGGAAACTGCTGCTCAGAGAGCAAGTCGTCCACATTATTCTCACCGAGACCTTGACCGACTCTAGCATTGAGAGCCGCGCAGCTGGATGGGAGATTTTGAAGCTTCTGACGCAGGAAGAAGAGGTCGACTTCTGCGTTCATCTATTCAGAGTCGATCTTCTCACGGCTATTGAGCATGCTGCCAAGAGAACCACAGCCTCTCTCAAGGGCTCAGATGCAGCTTTCGGTAAAGCTTCGAAAGCTGAGCAACAAGTTGGCTACGAGATTTGTGAATCTTTGGCCATAATCATAAATGCACTGGCTGAAGCCCAGGATGATATTCTTGAGGCCATTGTCCGCAATGAGCGCATTGTTGAGTTCCTGCTTACACTTGTATCAAGTAGTCTCATCAACAACGGTGCCAAAAACAGCGCCCTTTCATGCTTGATGACATTGACTGAGGACAACCGACAGTTCGTGGAGAGGATACTTGGCGATACTCAGAACAATGTGTTCAAGCATCTCATGTCCTTCAAAGGCGGGAATGACTTCAAGGCAGTCCTGGCCTGTGGTGTGCTACACAACATCTTCGTCGTCATGGAATGGGATGACTCGAATCCTGGCAGGGACAAGTCCAGTGATGCGTCTCTTGTGCCGACGCTAGCTAATGCCATTGAGTCTGCTCCTGCCTCCGCCAGCTCCGGAAAGCCTGCCAGTGACTCGAATCCCATCGAGGTTTTACAAGTGGCCCTAGAGGTTCTTGCATCGATCGGCACCGCTCTGCAAGATACTTTACAGCGAGGCAACAAGGCAGGAAATGATTTCAAAGGATTCGATGACCAAGACACTGCCATGGATGCTGATGGTGACGATGATGTATCAGACGATGATGCAGGGAAGGATGGCGACGAAATGGACGATGATGAGATGGAAGCCGATATGGATATGGTTACAGGCGCAGACGACCATCCAGATGAGGTTACTGGACTCGACGATCTGCCAACGCTGAAGTCACTCGTCCAGACGGCCATACCTACGATAATCAAAGTCGCGAAAAGCGCTAGTGGCAATGAAAAAGAGACACTCCTGATTCGTGGTCACGCATTTACAGCGCTCAACAACATCGCCTGGACAGTTTCCTGCATAGACTTCTCTGGCGGCAGCAACGCCCCAGTTTCAGCAGCCTGGACCCCTACAGCGCAGATGATTTGGAAAGAGACAATTTCGCATGTGCTTTCGAGCGACACGTCGGATGTGTCTTTGGCGACGATGGTGACGAGCTTGGCCTGGGCGCTCGCACGAACATTGCATGATAAGACGCCGCTCGGTGCTGAAGAGCCTAAAAAGTTTATGTCGCTTTACCATGCATCGACCGGCTTGCCCGCGGAAGTAGAAGATCCTTTCCAAGGACTTGGAGTCAAGTGTATTGGAGTGTTGGGGCAACTTGCTCTAGATCCTGCGCCATTGCAGCTCAACCGTGAAATCGGCGTGTTCCTGGTCACAGTTGTGGCCAAGCTGCCCGAAACGCCGGCAGCAGATACTGTTGAGGCATTGAACCAGCTGTTTGATATTTACGGGGATGAAAACCAGGCATGCGACAAAGAAGTTTTCTGGAAGGACAATTTTATCAAGTACTTGGAGGAAGTAGTCCCAAAGGTCAAGGCCATGGCGAAGAAAGTGGACAAGAGGAATTTCACAGAACTACGCATGCGCGCTGATGAAGCTTCGCTAAACTTGACCAGGTTTATCCAGTACAAACAGAAGAACAAACCATCGAATTAGGGTGTCTAGCTTCATGGCGAGGAAAAGGGGGGGATCGAATTTATACATGGTGGTCAGATGCGCCTGAATGGCAGGGAATATAGTCTGACCAGATAGATAAAAGAAGATTTTAAAAATTCAAACCTAACATAAAGATGCCTAACTCCGTTTGGTGTAAACATGGCTCTGGAAAGGAGACAACGGTACCACCTACAAATTGGCTGTCGTTGCATATGGATCTCCATCCCGAGGAACATGAATGAAGGCGAGATCAAAGAGGAGCACCCGGGTCGGGCCAGTGTGGTGGCTGACTGTCTGACTGTCAGACTGTCAGCTGTTCCGTTCCGTTGTGTAACCGCTAACTTACAGCAGACTAACCTGACTGTACTGTAGAACCAAAACCCCTGCCCGCGCCCCCTGCTGCCCTGCCCCTCCTGCTCCCCCCCATAGTCCTAGGCTAGTCAAGTAATTTCGGGGTCTCTCTGTAAAATTGCCCCTCCTGCACTATTGCGCCCTTACAACCGCCCAGGTGGGGGGTTTTGACCCCAATAATTTGCTGACGATTCTAAATACCTACATTGGCTCCTCGAGCACCCCCAGGTCTCCTTTCTTTCTTTTTCCCGGACAACTGCCTTGTACCCTTCTTCGAATAAACAGCCACCATGTCTACTACGACCACAGCCACCGAGACTGCTCCAATCTCCGCGGAGAACATCCTGCGCCTGTTCCCCGAGATCGATACCACCTCAGTGGCGCTTGAGGGGCACGATGAGGAGCAGATCAGACTGATGGACGAGGTCTGTATCGTCCTTGATGAGGATGACAAGCCCATTGGTACCGCCAGCAAGAAGCTATGTACGTTGCCATCAGTTCCCCAGCTCATGCGCCAATGCGACTGACCTAAACCCAGGCCACTTGATGACCAACATCGACAAGGGTCTCCTTCACCGCGCTTTTTCCGTCTTCCTCTTCGACGACCAGAACCGCCTGCTCCTCCAGCAGCGCGCCTCCGAGAAGATCACCTTCCCCGATATGTGGACCAACACTTGCTGCTCCCACCCATTGAGCATCCCAGGCGAGACCGGATCCGATCTACCTACCTCCGTCGAGGGCGTCAAGCGGGCCGCACAACGAAAACTCGACCATGAGCTGGGCATCAAGAAGGAGCAGGTCCCCTTTGATAACTTCCGCTTCCTCACCCGAATCCACTACAAGGCTCCCAGCGACGGGAAATGGGGCGAGCACGAGAGTATGTCATCTCCCCCCACCTTCGCTTATATGTCGTGGCCCCATCTTACCGTATCTTTCCTATAGTCGATTATATACTCTTCATCAAGGCCAACGTGGACCTTGACATCAACAAGAACGAGGCCCAGGCTACGGAATACGTCAGCCCCGAGGAGTTGAAAGACCGGTTCAATGACCCCAAGCTCAAGTTCACTCCCTGGTTCAAGCTCATCTGCGATACAATGCTGTTCGAGTGGTGGAAGCACCTTGACTCTGGTTTGGACAAGTATATGAATGAACAAGAGATTCGTCGCATGTAAGACGGAAGCACGAACACATGCACAGACACGGCGACAAAGCCGAACTGAAGAAGAAGAAGATGATGATGATGACGATGAAGAGGAAGAAGAAGCAGAAAAAGAAAAAAGAAAGCACCATGACGACAGAAGAAAAACAAGAGAAGCAATAATGACAGAAACATGAGTTATCATTGGTTGGTGGCAATGAGGGAAACTCACATTGTCTTAGATATCCGCTCTCCTTCCTCTATGGAGAGGCACCTGCTTTTTAAACAACGGAAGAACAGATACACACCATACTGCAGCTTTCCTCAATCAATCTCGTGTGAGAGTTTCTACAAAGTGTTGTCATCCCCGCATCGGCCCCCCGTCCAAGGAGAATAGGTCTAGGATGTCCGGTCTGGATGATCAACCTGCCACGGTCCCGAGTCAAAATAGCTGAGCATAAAGTTTGCTCATGAACCACCTCCATGGTGCCACAGTAGCAGGATTTGTCCACTTTTTCGCAGCACAAGAAGTGGCAAAACGACTCTAGCAAGTACGGACTGGGAGACGGATTGAGGCATTCATTCATCTGACAGCAGGGCTGTAACTGCATACAGGGATTCAAACCTTCTTTCACCTGCTCGCCTCACCTCAAGGCAATCCCGTTCAGAAGAGATAACGAACGATTGGTTGTTCTTGTCTTGATGGCGTCGGAAAGACAGCATATCATCGGCTCACCCCACTTTGGCTATCCACTAGCCGCTGTGGAATGCTAGGCGCATGACTTCCATGCAATCCGTTTGGAGCTATCATCGTCCTCTCACCGATCGCTCGGCCATCCAGACCATCGTCATTTCACTTCATGACTTCCAAGTAGCTCAGCCGACTACCAGTTTAATTTACGTACCTCTTAAACCAGCTCGCAGGTCTCGTGTTTGCTACGTCCCCAAGATTAAGTAATGTCTCGAAGCTTCGCTCTCCGATCGACGGCATTGTAAACCTGGGGCAGGACTGGTATCCCTGTTTGCCTTTTTACCATGTCTTACACTGCGTGCGGCTCTCCCCAGGTTGACGCCTGCTTATCCTGCACCTCATCCCACGCGCACGCTTGCCTTGTATTCATGGTACCATTGATCTACATGCTTTTGCCGTAATACCTTACGGACTCCCCGGTCCTACTTAAGTCTCGATTGCTCTTCGCCCTTTGTGCTTGAAACTACACTTAGTTGCTACGCTGAGGATTAGATTCGAGTATAGTCAGGACAAACATTGGACGATTGCTCTTGTCACCATCTAACAGCCCCATATATTTGGGTGTAGTTGCTTCAAGACGCTTTGCTCCTTGTTGCTAACCTGACCTCGCTCTTCCAGTTCATCTCCCAACACTATCCCATCTCAAGCCGTTCACCTGGTATCAATCACATAACTCCAGTCTTACTCTCCTCGTCTTCATACTCCCAAGAAGATCTTGTCACCCGTCTCCTCAGAACCTTTGACCCATTCGAAATCTACATTGATGTCTGTTGACCTACGAACAACCCTCTATTGCCTGCGTCATCCGGCGAGATTTATGCCCGTATCAAGGACTCAACTGTCTAAGGTCCACACGGGAGATTCCATCCAGAATATATCAAGTAGTAAAAGAAGTAGTAGTAGTAGTAGTAGAAATTGTCAGTTGGGTCCCAGCATCTACACTTACTTACTGCCCCACTCATTATACCTCTCCCTTGACATGGATTTGACTATACTGATACGAACATTGGATGCAGTCGATCAAGTTTGAATTAGCCCAGCATGGCGAATGTTCAGTCCGTTACCCTGACCACCAATAACGGTCCATGTAACGCCGCCATAGACCAAGCCCTAGCCGGGCTCGAACTCAAGAAGCAACGCTCTCTCCTGCCGGAGAAATGGAGCGATTACGTCCGCACTGTCAACCTCTCAGAGCATGTAGAGGTTGGCCGCTCCATCGCTCAGGCCTTCGCGACTGATGAGCTCGCTCATTACCTGCTTGATTCCGACGACATGATTGGGTTGTCGGACGAGGCTAGGTGGAAGCTTCATGTTGACATGATGAAATATATCGTCGCGGCTCACTGTATTAGCGGCCTTGTCACTACTATTGGACCGGACTACGAGGGGGTTGCCCTCTGGTAAGTTCGTCTTTTCAATCCCGATTTCCTCCTTTGGGTCATTGCATTTACACACAAGCACCCTATCATGGACAGTTGCCCTTTAACAACATCGGAGCATTGGATCTGATCAGAAACGGACCTACGTACCCTGGTTGATGCGCCGTTGTATTATATACAAAAGATCGATGAATTTTACTCTCCCCCTGAGGGGAGTAGCGCAAGTAAAATCGCTTTCTCGACCCGTTGAGCCCTCTTCCTTGTCTTTCAACATTTCTTCTTACACACTCTCACAGTGCAAAGGAAAACTAAGAAATCCCCATTCATAGCATCACCACTCTGACATTCCCACTAACATAAACCTGCCTGCTAGGGCTCCACCCGGCTCCAACACCGATGACTGGCTAACCGTCCTGCGTTCCGGGGCCTGGCGTCTATACTATCAGCTCACGGCCGGAGGCCGGTACCGCTACTTCACCGAGCTGCTGCCCCTTCTCCACCACACCATGCACGAGGTCATGGGCGAGCGCGACAACGACTGCTACTACCTCGTCTACATCGGTACCAAACCCAGCGGTCAACGCCGGGGCTACGCGCGGAAGCTGATCGAGGCCATGGCTCTCAAGGTATGATAATGAGGTCTCTTCCGTTGCTATATCTATATGTTCATATGCCCGTTTCTTCATTGGTCCCCTCAACCCCGATCGCCAAAGACTGATCCCCCCCCGGCCAATACATCATTTAATGAACAAGCACTCCCACTCAAAGAACCTTTTTACTGACGGGAGACCCCCAAACACGAAAAAAGGCCGATGCAGAGAACCGCGCCATGTACCTCGAGTCCAGCTCGGACAAGAACACGGCCTACTACCGCAAGTTCGGCTTCGAGCACAAGAAAGACATCCACCTCGGCGATCCGAACAGCAGCAACAGCAGCAGCAGCACCGGCAAGTCTGTCCGCCTGGCCATCATGGTCCGCGAGCCGCAGACCCTGAGCGGAAAGAACATCCCCATCAAGCTCGGGGCCGGGTTTAGGGGGCTGCAGTGACAACCTCCTCGCGTGTCGTCGGGTGATTGCTTGTCGCTCGAGGCTCAAGATTGCCGGCGGATAACGTTTCTTTTTCTGTTCTTTTTATGGGTCTTCGTTGACGAACCCCGAGGTAGGTTTGCTTGCCGATCTAGAAAAAAAGGATCGGCCGTGTGTGAGGTATGTCCCTGGTGTGTTACTGACGTCTCGATAGATTGATTGGCTTTCAACTTCTATGGTCGTCCTCATTCAACATGAGGAAGGGTGGAGAGCGGACGGCAGTTGCAACGAGTCATATTTTCATGAGTTTTGTTTATTATGTGGCGCCCAATTCATCGTTCTGTCTTAACTGTGTTTCTCGGAGCGGGCAAGGCATGTGGAGATTTTGGATATTCTTCCCCGAGAGACCTACAGCAGTCACTCTCTTCTCGCACATATCCAACTAGTTATCATACATTCGTTGACCCACCATCCGCCCTTCATCTTAGAAATAACGTGTAGTAGTGACCCAGGTCGGGGCTCAGCCTGCAGCGTTTCTGTGCTCCGCCTCCCTGACGGACTGTTCCCAATCGCTCGTGTAGATGTACCAGTACTCGACAGCGGCGACGAGGAACAAGCCCAATGTGACGCCAGCCCACAGACCCTCCAGCTTCCAGTCCAGCCCAAACGCCGTCCCGAACGAGATAGGCAGCGCGATGGCGTAGTATGCGAACAAGTTGGCATACCCACCGAAATGCTGCTTTCCAATACCGCGCAGGAGACCGTGCGCCATGGCTGCCATGGCATCGAAGATCTGCATCACCGCCACGAGGAACATCATCTGGGCCACGAGGTCGATGACTTCCTCGTCCGTGGTCAGCAGTTTCGGCAGCTCATATCTCAGGCTGGACAGGAGAATGACATTGAAGATGGCCACGCCGCCCGCGGCGAACACCGCAACCTTGGCGGAGGTCCTGGCGGCGTTGGCCAGCTTGGCGCCGATGAGGTTGGCGACACGGGTCGACGCGGCGATGGAGATGGGGAAGGGCAGCTGGAATGTCGTCGACGTCAGTGTCATGAGGATGGATTGCGCCGCCAGGTACTTGGTGCCGAACTGGCTGCTCGCGAGGGTCAGAACCTCGAATGCTAGCCATTCGGCTACAACCATGACCATTCCTGGAAGGGCAAGCTTCACCATGGGGCCTAAGGGCGAGATCATTAGCAGCACTCCTTCGATGGCAGAGATAGGGGTGCGGGGACCGAAAGAAACTCACCCCAATTCATGAGTGCTTTCTTGCTGAATCCTCCCCAGCACTGCGATCCATCAATGAACACAACATAGAGAAATAGAAGTAAAGGGATCAAGTTTTGCGAGACAGCCACTGCAATGGGGGCACCGATGAAACCCCAGCCAAAGTGCCATACAAATAGGTAGCTGATAAGAACATTGAAAGGTGCAGCTATGATCAGGACCCACGTCGTCGCTTGGAACAGACCCTGGGCGTTGACGAAGCGCTTTCCGCACTCTGTGCAGATAAAGCCGGGAACTCCAGCGAGCACTATCTTGAGGTAGACGCCGGCGAGCTCAGCGGCTTCTGGTTCCGGAACCAGACGAACCAGAATATCTCCGGCAAAAGACCACAGAATGGCGACCGGAACCAGGAGGGTGGCTAGGAAGTAGACCATCCTTTGCACTTGTAGTCCAACCAGTTGCTTATGGCCAGAGCCGTAGGCCTGTGAGCACAGTGTGTCTAGGCTCGTAGCGAGCCCTTGAAAGGGGGCATAGCAGGTGATGTTTGCCGTCATGGTAGCCACTGCCAGTTCTGGTTAGCAAACAGACAGCATTTGTAGAAGGGTGGTGGGTAGTACTCACAGCTGACGGCTCCCAACTCAACTGTACCAATACGCCCAACAGCAAATACACTCGCAATGCTGATACTATATTGCAACAGGAACGTCACGATTAAAGACCTAGAGTATTTGGCAATTGTCTGGGCTTCCCTCTGCCACGTCGTTTGGATCTTCCCAGACGCCACGGCGGCCTCCCACGTCTCGTTGAGGCGCTCATGCTCCAGAGCCCCCGACGTGCGACGATCTGGTAACAGGGGCGACTCCTCTGTCGGCATCTCTTCGTCGTCGAGCGGCTTGCGTACTTTCGTGCTAAACAATTTCTTGTAGACCCTGGTAGGGAGTCCCGGCCGCTTCTCGGGCACGTGCTTGGGAGGAAGAATATGGTTGTCCCTAAGCAGGCTGCGCTCCGCGGCTCGGGACTGCTTCTTCTCGACCCTGGTGACCACTGGGGCCTCCATTACTTCCGGCAGTACGCTGGGGCGGCGAGTGCCACCGAACGCGATGCCCTGCGGTTGGCGGTACAGTGTGGGACCTCCATGGTGGCCGCCGCCGTCGTGACCAGGATAAGATTCAGCGTCCGAGTCGTCAGAGTCAAAGGTAGTATCGACATTGATGTCCTCGTCGTCCTCATCAGAGCATTCCGCAACATCCCTTGCCACGATCTCTTGGGCCAGAGGAGAGCCCGGCATGAACGATGACGCCAGAGAAGTTGCCAGGTCGCCGATCCCGAGGAGGGAAGGCTTCCGTCCAGGGACATCTCTTGAGTTTGACATGATCTGCAACAATGTCTTGCCCTCCTCCTCTTCTAAGCTTGTTTTATTTTATTTTTTCTGTCCAACCAGCGAGTGCCCAGCCACATCAGTGAGCGAGATTGTTTGTTCTCGTATAAGCAAGTAAGCTAGCTCAGTAACCAGATGCTCTGGGGAAAAAAAAAACCTGATCGACAACACCTATACCCTTTTCCTGATCGGAATCACAGTGATAGCACAGCTGGTGTTTACTGGATGTTCTCACCGACGCCCTTTTTGTACTACACTACTTGGCGTCCTGACAATCAGTCAGTCATCAGCTCCGTCCAAATCTCTCGCTCCACCGACTCCACCAAGTCCACTAACCCCCCGCAGCCGCGGAAGCTAGGTGTTGATGCTAGACCAGGAAGCGATAAGACACGGTCCGGGCATTCGTACATAAGAAGAATAATGCCATTGACTCACCGTTCTGGATCTGTGCTTCTATCAGCAAAGCTGACATTGGTGGCCATGGGAATATAGTGCATTGTGTTTTCAACGAGGTGACCAAAAGAAAGGTCTGGATTGTCTGGAGCAGGGGTAAATGCAAATGCACTGCGGGATCGGCTCTGTACATACATAAATACTATGTATGCATGGAGGAGCAGCTTCGAGCTCGGTAATCCTACTACCCTAGTGGCCCTGGCGCAATTCTAGGCGCCGTTGTGCAAACGGGCGAGAGCTCCCGATTCGAATCGTAATGTCTTAAACGTAATCGATTCCAGGTGCAATGAACTCAAAATTTCAGATGCGGAACGCTAAGGATGTTCAATTGATCGGAACGAGAAATCGTACAACCCGACCGACTTGCTGTTGGGGTTTCTAAATCAAAAAGAGGGCAGCACCTTTTCTTTGTCTGCGAAATTCACCCCCTTGTGCCATCATGCAACAAGCAGAGCTGTTTGACGAGGAGGACTTCGGCGCTACGTCATGCTGCGCTCCGCTCCAACTATCGTACGCTCAGCTCAGGAAGCCCACTGAGGTAGAAGATCTGGTGTAAGTCTCGCATATGTTTGGCACTTCTGGCTTTGAGAAAGCCGACATTGGGCAGTATCAAATGGAGCGGCCTCTTTTAATCAATTGCATAGGTCAGATTGGCGGACGGAGAACGTCTTTTGGACATGGCCGTTCTTCGGCCCGCTGCTGTTCGAGAACAGAACCAGTGATGCGCGGGATCATTGCGCGAACGAACGTAGTACGTATCCCTATGAAGAGCTTCTCCGATCATACACTCCAAGTATACATCCTCATAGGGTATAAACAGCATTTCTATCTTTCCTTCGACTGTCAGTTTATATGGCCGTCGTTTCCGTCGCAATCGTCCTGTCGTTCCACCTGAAATCGCAACCTTCTAAATTAGAGCTACAAATGGCGCGGCCACTCGGGTTCATCTTCTGGTTGTTGTCACTCGCTTGCTTGATGGTCGGATTCTGCAACTACATGCGTATGTATCTTCCCGATATCCATTGTTTAGTTCATCTGCGGCTTTTGTAACTGAAGCTGGCCCAGAAACTGTCAATAAGTATAGCCGGAAAGTGGCAATAGTCCAATCAGGATGGAGAACACAATCAGTACGTGGTATGACAGTCCGTTGTGACTGCCAGGCTAATCAGATCATAGGTTATGTCAATGATAGCTTTGGCTATAGTCGGAACCTGTATCATTATGTTGGTTGTCGCGAAATTGCATGTCGATGTGCAATAATTTGAATAATATTGAATTTTCTCTTTTCATGGCCGGGAGAATTGTTAGGCCCCAGTCGCAAAAACTTGCTGGTACATAAAGCTGCTTGTTCCCCTCCCCCCTGAGATAAACCATTACTAAGGTTACTCTCAAGGCTAATCGTCCGTGCAAAACAGATCCTTTGCTGATGTAGCAACACGTTTGGTCTCAGTATCCGCTTTATTGCACCGTCCTACCTGAGTCTTGAAGGCAAGAGCAAACTTAGCGGCGAGTTCGTCTAGCCCTTGAAGATCCGTTTTGGTACCATCAAACGTGATCAATGGCAAGTTGCCAAATGCACGTAATGCGCCGGCTTCAAGTAGAGTCTGAAGAGACAACCCGGCGGACAGATTCGAGTCATGCGACGTCTTCAACTTCTTCATGACTTTCTCGATCTCCTCCTCACTGGCTTTGTCATCCAACTTCAGGGGTTCTTCCGTCTTGGCATATTCTTCAGGGATGTGGCTGAGATCAGTGTGAACTGTTACGAGACTTTTCGCTGTTTCTTCGCCAGGGTATAGAGTCCAATACCCACGTAGTCTTGATAGGCGCAAGGCATGTTCTAGCCAGGCCGGGTGTTGAGTACTGATCAGCTTCTTGGATAAAAGCGACGGAGTTGCGTCAGAGGTTTGTTGGACTTCAAGTGACCTCGAAACGAGATCATGGAGCTCCATCCATTTCTCGCCCATAAATAGCATGGCGCGACTAGTCGGTGCTTGCCACAGGAAAGAAGATGAGATGTCTTGTTCTGAACCTTTATTCTTAGAAAGCGGAGGCGACAATTGGTCTTCACCATTCAACTGCTTCAAGGGTTGTTCAAGACTGATACCAAATAGCCTGGCATCCCAATGCTGTACATGTGAAGCTTCAGAGTACCTGTACTCCAGCATCGTATATTTGAGGTCTAGAGAGCGTGTCAGTAAGGGCTAACGAGCCTGTTTCTAGGTAGCTACTGACAGTGGAAAAAGTCTGGTGCCAGTTCAACTTGAGGTGAGAGGACTAGGACATGAGACATGCTCGGATTTGCGGGCCAGAAGGATTCGAGGAACCGCGCTGAACTTTCCTCCTCAGTCAAACTTTGGCGTGAGATTCGATGTCTGATAGAGACATATTTTGCGCCCGTTGGGTTAGAAATATGCGCCGGTGGCCATTCAAATTCCTCCAATAATTGTTTCGTGGCAGGAGTTATGTCGCTGGGTAGCTCGATGGTCAGATGTGGAATTGAAGTAGCTGCGAAGTCTGCAGCGCTCAAAGACCTCAATAGTCTAATCAGCCCTCCGGATGAGCCTGGTATGGCCTGTATTAGTATGTCAATATGGTTCTTGTCCCACGCTGTCCAGAATAGTTAGCTTGTGTTCAAGTAATGCCGCCATGTGACTTTACATACCGCGCAACGAGCGGCTGTCGAGTTTGGTCATCCATAACAGGCTTTGTGATGAGTAAGGCAATTCTATTAGAGTGCTTCCCGTGGCCTTGGCATGTGCCGCGGCCGCTTTCGTGAAAAAATACTCCTCCCAACCAGATCCGTCTACGATGACAGCCTGTGGATGCATCCACATGAAAATGTGGTGGAATGCACGAAAGGCGGCATATTCCATGCGCTCGTCGGTCATGATGGCGGCATGCTCTGTTCGAGCATTATGAAATATGATTTGGCACGTCTCGTCGACCCCGTTTATGCTCTGTAGCTCTTCCATGTTGATGGGGCTGCGGCTCATGAGAGCGAAGTGTACATAATTCCTCGACTCTCGACCCATCTGGCAGGCAATGGGCAGTAGAATGGTCGCGCTCTTTAAACTCGAGGCTGTGAACAAGATGTTCTTGTTCAGAAGCATGCCGCCCCTGGTCCCGGCGATGGCATGCAAGGACGCCGCCAGGTCGAGGAACTTTGGCGGTCCATTGTATGTGGCTGTATTTTCGGCGTCGTCAGCAGTGCCAGAGGTCGGAGAACGTGTCGCATCGTGGGCTGCGGTGGCTCCAGGCTTCCTGGTGCCGCCATAGGCGGGTCGGCTTGTGTGCGCCGGTCCGAGGTCGGTTGGTATATTGTGTATAAACAAATAGACCAGGCCGATGACAAATAGTGCAATGGCAAGACGCTTCAGTGATCTTCGCTGTGGTCCTCGCTTGGGGTGCCAGCCCGGGCTCGGCAGACCAAGGTTAACGGCCGCGGGCTTGTGGTCATCGTCCTTCTTGCCCATTTCCTCGTCGCTGAGGAGGAAGCGCCGGGCTTTCCCCCATACAGCAGTCATTGCTCAGGACGAGCGCTGCTGAAAAAAGGCTCGATCCGTAGTCGGTTTGGCGAGTGATATCTGTTTTGACGTCATGTCATGTTGAACAGTTGCGCGACACTTGGTAACAAAAAGGTCACGCGAGTGTTGGCGCAGAAGACTCGAAATAGCCCAGTAAGAAGGTCGTGGCAGCGTGGGAGGTTTCTGGGCAATGCCGCTAAAGATAAGCTGAGCATGCGCTGCAGTAGAAAGCTTTAAGCTTTGAACTTTGGGCGATGATCTGAGCTAGACTAGACTCCTGTAGGCAATGCCTCAGCAGCACCCCCAAGACCCTGAATTGGCGCAGACCGCGGGCTGAAGAAGCAGTTCGTGATACAGATACGTGTCACCGTGCCGTAGAGAAGCACAGAGACAGCGCCATGAACAAGAAATTTGAGGAAATGTAGCATTTATCGAATTGGCCACCTGTACATATTACTAATATCGGCATGTCCAGCTCGGCAGCCTGAAGAAGTAGGTACCTGGAGCAATCATAACATGCCTGCTACAATATCCAAGTACTCCGGTAGTACTCAACCTAGTTACTTGATCCACCCGGAACATTGAACACACCGATCCCTGAGGCCTGAGACCTGAGCCCTGAGCCTGAGGATGAGACCAGAAGTTACCCTGTAAGTTAGTTACCTACTGTAGGGTTTAAAATGTTTACCGAGCACTTTACGGGTCCTTAGGACCTTATCGTAGCTTCCCCCGCGAACAGGGGACCAGGTCAAGGTCTCTGTAAAAAGTGCTTATCGCTGGGGCTGCATTAGCATTAGCATTAACTACCTGGCACCTCAAACGTAGCCGGCGCCCGCTCTTCTTCCAAGTTAAACCACCCGAGTTAAAGCAGTCCGACTTCCCATCCCAGCTCGACGCTTCTCCCTCCCTTTCACCTTTATCAATACCCCTCTGCTCTCACACCCGATCACCAACATGGCCGACGACATCCCGAAAGACCCCGAGAAGCTCGCAAAGGAGGACAAAGATGCCCTCGACTTCTTGGCATCTGAAGCCAAAGAGTTCGACAAGGTGAGCAATCGGCCCACAAACTTTACCTTTCCTATCTCTGTGAACTGTATTCGCTGACCGCGCTTGTTTTCTTGCTTTTTTCCAGGATGCCGAGATCGACCGCATCCTCAAAGCCTTCCGCCTCGACGCCTATGCCGTGCTAGACCTGCTCCCGGGCGTGCCCGAGTCCGACATCAAGATGGCCTACCGCAAGAAGTCGCTGCTGATCCATCCCGACAAGACCAAGAACCCCCAGGCCCCGGACGCCTTCGACCGCCTCAAGAAGGCCCAGACAGAGCTGATGGACGAGAAGCATCGTGCCCGCCTCGACGAGTCCATCGCCGACGCCCGCATGCTGCTCATCCGCGAGAACAAGTGGACCGTCGACTCCCCCGAGCTCAAGACCCCCGAGTTCCAGGTCCAGTGGCGGAGGAAGACGATAGAGGTCCTGGTCGACGATGAGCAGAGGCGGCGCAGACAGATGAAGGCGCAGATGCAAGAGGAAGGAAGAGAACAGAAGAAGCAGGATGAGGAGATTGACGAGCGGAAGCGCAAGAGGCAGCACGATCAGGATTGGGAGGCCACGAGAGATCAGAGAATTGATTCATGGAGGACGTTCGCAAAGGGCAAGGGTGGCGGTGCCAAGAGTGGTGGTGAAGGTGGCGCCAAGAAGAAGAAGAAGCTCAAGCCTATCGGCTAAGTCGAGCCTACCGGTCACAACACCATCAAGAGATCCTCGCGGTTGACATTGTATTCCGCAGCAGGGTCCGCGCGCAGTTGGTGTCCGAACATCACTTGGGAAACGACTATCTTCCACGAGTGTACAAGAAGCCGACGATGTGAGTTCATTTGATAGAACCTAATGCGTTTATGAACCTAACCCTCTTTTGACAGCCGACGTCTGCATTAGACGTTTGCCTTGTTGTCGCAATGTTCCTGCCTGGTTACATCCGCACAGAGTCTAGCAATTAAGTCGAGACTTATTCAGTCAGGTGAGTGAGCATACTGAAGATATTGATGCCTGTACTATATGACGCGCTCATTCGGCGTCTTGTGCACTGATCCGCTCACGAGCAACTCCAGCTTCATGGTGCCAGATTGTAGCTTCATTCGTGACTATAGCCATTGTACATGTGAAACAGTTGTTCTAGATCAGCGACTCACATCCAGCAAACAGGCTGTTGGTCCAGGTCTAATTTATTGCGACCATCATCTCCCTCCTCAACAACGCTCGAAGACTCTGTAAAGTCCCTTGAGATCGGCCAATTCCAACACCCCGCCGTTCATCAATGATTTTGTAGCCACAAGTCTTGCCTTGAAAGCAGGAAAGAAAACGTGTTCAACAGCGCGTCGCACATGTGCTCTTCTGGACTTTATCTCGTCTGATATGTTCTCCGCCTCCAACTGCTCTGCATTGCCTGGCAGAGGTGGAAGCTGCTCCGGAACATAAAAACTAGCCAACTCTCGCAGGAATGTCCCAAAGCAAGCTCGCTCATCAGTCCAGTCCACGTGCGGCCCAAGTCGAAGTAGAAATTGAGGAAGCTTGGCCATGGACGGAGTATAGCCTTTCGTTAAAAGTGGAATGCTGATCAGCTCGCCTGCTGGCGATACCTCAAGACTGAAGTATTCGAGCAGCATTTCTCGTCGCTCAATAATCTGCTCTGCTACGGTCTCTACGACCTCTTCGACATCGAAATCGTCATCATCTGCAAGTTCTCCTTCTGCTGCAGTGGCTTTCTCACGCTCTGCTGCAATGGACAAGATCTCGCGTAGATCCAGAGCGGGCTGGAAGCGAATTGTTCCAAAGTTGCCAAAATCGGTCAGACCTACTTGGTAGAAGTATTCAGAACAAGCACGACCATAGTCAACCAAGTAAAGCTTTACGCCTCCTTGCATCGCCGCCAGGCGCCGTCTTTCGTCAACGATGCCAACGAAGGTATGACCTGCAAAGACCTCGGTGAGAGAATGATGCATATCATCACGAACAGCACCACGAAGCTCCCGTACGCTTGTCAAGCGGCAAACGACCGCCTCCCGATCCGCATGTTCATATTGGGGCCCCATCTCGTCAGCTTGTTCCACAGCTGGACTCTCTGCATTTGCTGGCTGGAACATGCTAGTGATCTTACGGAGTGAGGCGTCAGTGCGCACCAAGTTATTTTCATAGGGTCGTACAGGAGCCTTGCCTTTGGCGGCCGGTTTCTTAGTCGGACCATCCACATCTGGCTGAGGCAGATCACTGGGGAGAACGGTACCCGGAAGAAGCGTCTGTGTCATAAACGTACGACTGGTGTCCACAGCAGCAAGTTTGTCCCGAACATTTTCGCAGATAGCCTGTACAATCTCGTCTTCGTTCAAGAAGTTGACCTCTCTTTTCGTTGGATGGATGTTTACATCTACTCGTTGCGGGTCGATTTCAATGTTCAAATAAACGAAAGGGTGTCCATTCTTCGGCAAGAAGGTTGAGTAGGTCTGCTCGATTGCTTTTTTGATGTTTGACGATTCCACTGATCGGTGGTTTATAAATAGCAGTAGAGTTGTCTTCTTGATGTGATAGTTTGCGTTTGTTGCCAAACCCTCTGCTTTGAGTCCATAGCGGTCGTCGGACGTGGCAAACTCGATCAACTCATTTGCGACACTCCCGCCATGGATTTGTCGGACGCGGTCAATTGTAGATGTCCCTGACTGGACAGCAATGGATGTTCCAGAATCTCCATGCTTCTTGCAAGAAAAGGCAACACCTTGACAATGGACTGCATATCGTCCGACCATGTCAATGATCTTGTTATACTCCTCGGAAGCAGAGCGGAAAGCCCTACGACGTGTAGGTACGTTATAAAACAAATCTTCTACTGTGATTTGCGTGCCGTTTCGCCCAGCTGTAGGCTTTGGCTCAGCCGGCTGGCCGGGTTTCGCAGGTGCCAGCTTCCCTCCATCATAGTGAGCACGCCAGGCACAATTAGAGCCTTTTGTCTTTGTTGTGACGGTCAAATGTGCTATGTGGCTTATACTGGCCAGTGCTTCACCTCGAAACCCGTACGTGGCAATGTTTCCGAGGTCCTCGAACTTCTTCAGTTTCGAGGTAGTAAATCTTTCGCAAAGGATAGGTAAATCCTCTTTCTGCCTCGTGGTAAGTTTCATGGAAAAGAGGCGGACTCGAGGCACTCACCTCGATACCATGGCCGTTGTCGGTGATCTGCAACAACTTCAAGCCACCTTCTTTCACCAGGACCTCGAGCGCTGTTGATCCTGCATCGACGGCGTTCTCGATTAGCTCTTTCAGAGCATGAACCGGCGCCACAATGATCTCTCCTGCAGCAATCTTGTTCACCACGTCTTGGTCCAAAGCCTAGTTGAACCATTTTCAGCCTTGCATAGTCTCAAGGCGGGACGAGAGCGCCTTCCTTACCTTGATGCGGCGAGGGCCTGCTTCAGCCAACGACGCTTCGCCAGCCTTTCTTTTCGTTCCTCTTGGGCTATCAATCTCCATTTCGGTCTCCATCACAATAGGCGGGTCACGCGTATAGGATAGTTTTGGAGGCGATACGATGCTTGCAGTGCAATACCGGGCGCGATTGTATCAGAATCCCACGCATGTAGCAGCTCTAGCGATGCCTAAACTTGACGCGAAGACAAAAGTGCACCGAAAAATCGTAATTATCTGGCACTCTACTAATTGTGAGCATGAATTCGGTATGAAAATCGAGTTAGCTGCGCTGGGATCGCTGCTGCTATCAGTCAGTTTTGAGTAGCTTGAAGGTTGTAGCCGTCATGTGACGGTGGTTGCCTCAGTGTTCGAATGCACAACACTTCGCGCAAAGCGCCGAATGCATTGGCCACTAGTCTCCAGCAAATGTTATTCGCAACTTCCCTGCTGGACAATTCTTGGGTCTCTCCTAGCTACGCTCACATAAAGGTAATTCGTTGTAACTACAGGATTGGATACAGAGACCAATGTTCTCAGAATATTTGATGGTCCTAAACTGAAGAAACAAGATTGACAGCTGGTTGGAAGCTGCGTCGAGGCTACAGATGTGAGGGGGCACCTGGCATCAACTTTTCGAAGACATGGAGCGTGCACCGTATTTACAAGCTGTATATGGTGTTTAGTTAATGACATATCAGCTTGCTAACGTATTTTATTTTTGCCTCTTCGTCTTTCAAAGCGAACATGGTCTCCAGGAGTCCTCAGCAATTTCCAAATCCTTCTTGCAAATTGCGCCACCTTGACAAGTTCGCAACAAATACGCCAGGCTTACGCGAACAATTTTGCATTCGAGCGGCCTTTTCAGCCTGCTGGGGGCTACAATCCTAGACAGCCATTACTCATAAGCGACACAGCCCAGATTGTGGTGGCCGTGACCCTGTTCAAATCTGAAATGGGTTTCTTGGAGCTTATTTGTGCCTCCTTGTACATATCAGACTCCGCTGAAATAATGCTCATATAAATGCAGTTACTAAAGAATGGCCGCCGACGAAGTCGCCTTTGCATAACGATGCGGACGCTGCAGAGTAAAAGTGGCTAATTGATAGATCTATTGTCTCGTGATGTTTGCAATCAAAATTCGAACAAGTTCCTGACCGCATGCTGTTATCATTTCCATTCGTTGTGCGTAGTCTAAAAGAGCCAGGTTTGTACAGTGCGAGTCAGCTTGAGATATGTGGAAGGTCTGGGAAACTGCTCAGGAAGTCGCTCAACAGGAAAGTGATATATCATTACGCTTGTCTTCAATGCCTGAAAGCTGCTAATATGACCCGATTGACAGCCTTTAGACCTTCAATTGTCAAGCAGAGCTGACAGGAAAAGCAGAGGCTTCAAGTTATAGTACTCGCGTTCGATAACGGTCTATTCATAGGGTACGCTAGATGAAACTCGGGTAAGGTTGGTCTAACCTATATATTGTTATCGAGAATTTAAAAGATGTGATCATAGCGAAATTCTGTATGTGTTCTTTCGATGGGGACCGCCCAATCGGTCTAGGATCTCTGGGTGTGGTGTGTCATGGACCCTAGCCGTGAGGCTGAACTTGGGGGTCACGCCAACGCATTACCTCAAAAACCATAGCAGGGCGCAGCTGGTCTTCAAGCTGCTAGTTTTCTCTCACACGGCTTCACTGCACATCCTGCCACCTGGTCAGAATACTGGGAACCTTGTAGTTATTAGTTGATGTGGGCTGCCTCGATTTGACGGGTCCTCATTGTCCCAGCATTAAAATGACACAATGGAACGAGTGTCGATCATGTCGATTCCGAGTACTCAAAATCCAGCAAAATTTTGTCTTCTAAACATATACCTACATGGTGCCCCAGTCACGAGACCAACGACAGGTATCGGGTGCGGAGGATGACGCTGGATCGGGATATGACGCAGAGGCCCAGTCTGGACTTGATGCTGATGGCGATGACTCTGCCTTGGCGACGGCCGGTAGTCAAAGGTGATTTTTTATGAAACTCTTTCCCTGTCCAATGTCTGACCAATCGATAGATCCGTCGCGAAATCACAAGCTTCTTCCCAAGCCGGGAGTACTCGTCTCAAGCATGTTACGCGGGCCCAGTCGCTGCGCGTCCAAATCCATCAAAAAGAGCAAGACAAAACTGTCCTTTCCGCCGATGACGTTTTGCAGACAGACGAGAGCATCTTTCTAGGGCTGATACCAGAGCCGCGGCCACATGATTCGGCGTCTAACAAAAAGCGTCTTAGAACGATCGAAGAGGTCATCAAGGACAACGACAGCCCAGTGGATAGAGACAAGCTTTTCGAGGAACTCGAAGACATGGATGAATCTCACAAGAGGAAGAAGCTCAAGATTCCTTTGCATCTAAGAAACTCTGAGGTTGAACCTGCAGATAGTAAGGATGGTACTACCACTGGCCCCCTCGCAAAGAAGTAGTGCTTCATTTTGGGGCCAATCGATCAAGCACCGTAATTCTTTGGACACGTGCCAAAAGATTAGACAACAGAAGGACTGCAGGCCTCACAACGACATGCTGTCCGTGCTCTCATTTTCAGGAACCAGGCCTTCCTATTGTGTCTCCGGGCACGATATCCAGACGACATGGTCTCATTCATTCGCTTTATACCCTTTGATTGGTGCTAAAAGGTACGGCGTCACAGGTCTTCGCATCCATTGCCGTAGGCTTTGGCTAGCACACATATCTCTCGGCTCTGTGGTCGGTAGTACACCATGCTGTGGACGACCCGTTTTCCGAAAAGGCCCTCACATGCATCTCTTGCACGCACAACTCGTAACTCACGTTGCTCTCGCTTATCGTCTTGCACTCTGTCTTTCCGGGTTTCGAGAGCTTCAGGCGGATTCTTTCTCTGGAAACTGTTGATCGATATCTCTTTTGTTACATTGAGGATCCGATTCGGCGAACAACTCGTTAGTGTTCTCAATGTCCAAGGTTTAAATCTTGCTGTTGGGAAAGGAATTGTAGGCGAGGTCTTAGTGGATGGGTTCCCGCATCGGTTCCTTGCAGGCCCATCCTTACCCACTAACACCTGTCACTGGCGTTCAATTCTCCGATTCGGCGGTGCTGTCCTTGGCTCCCAATCTCTTATGTTCCGGGTGACTACTATTTCATTATTTCTTTTTGGTTGCTTTTTCTTCGGTTTCCTTGGGGAATTCCTAGCAGGCAACAATACATCAGAGGATCAGGGAGAATGTTCAGTAATCAATGCAGAGAAAGATCGTTGTCGTTTCGACCAAACACCTTATTATTACCCAGCCACCCATCACCAGACAGTTCTTTATGTTAGAAATCAAGATAGACTTTCACATAAACCAGTGCAACCGTGCTGTGCATCCCCGTCAACCTCGCGGGGATTTTCTTACTGGCTGGGACTTGCCTTCTATCCCTGTGCTCACAGCGCCTTTCGCGCAAATTCCCACAATGGCCTGTCTGCATATGCAGAAGCGAACCTTGTGTGCCGAATCAGAGCCGCCATATCGCCATGCCTTTGTATTCATCTATTAGGCAGGGCAAAGGAATAGCTGCTGATGTAGCATCAATTAGGCGTTTTTGTAGGCTTGATTGTTGATGTGGTACTTACATCCCTCATGCAACTTGCAGGAGGGATACCTTGCGATCTGCCTGAATCCTGAACTGAAGACCCCGGTCAGTTCTAACGCCGCCGCGTCTCGCTCACCGTAAATGGGACCGGATCACCGCCCTCGCTCTTGGAAAACGCCAGGAAAGCTTGCTATAACGTATTACAGATATAAGTACTTGTGTTCTAGCTTACAAAATAGGAAGATCGATGCGCTCCATACCGGCCGGCGAGTGTCTCCGACATCCGGGTTCAACCATAGACTATTTCTCTCTTTGTTTTTGTGTTTTTGTGATGAAACTCGCGTAGTGGGACCCTGGGTTGGAAGCAGGTCACTTGCATGACTTGGTTTCTGTTTCGTTTCTTTTGGCGTGGCATACTTTTGCAAACTTACTATCTTCCCACTTTCCTCCTCTAATGGCTCGACCTGTCGTTCGTCGGTAACCCGGACACTCAGCAGTAACTACACGTTGCCGAAGGAACAGCTGCTGTAGAGACCGCTTGTCTTCCTCGCCGGATACTTGATTACCATACTCTCGAAAGACCCCGCTATGTTTCCTGTGCTACGGGACGAATGACTCGACCAATTCACACCGTGGTTTCCCCGAGAATTAACAGAGTGCGCCGTCTTGATGGCAAAACATATTTACAAGTGACCACCTAATTGGAATGTCATAATGTTTGTTGGGGGATGACATTGACAACCTGCACAGGTGGCACGTCCTGTGGATACAAGTTGGCGAACCCATCTAGCCAATACGAAATCAAAATGATCAAGAGATATCACAAGAAATCACAGAATGACATCAACGAAGGTCTGTACGTTCCCAGCGGAGTGTCAATCATGCTTCAATGATTGCTATGAGATATTACCTCCTCTTGGGCCCGATCCTGGCACTGCTCCATTCCAGATATCCTTCTTCTTTCTCACCAGACATAGCTGGTACGCACCAAACAGTGTTTGAGCAATGCAACGCTTTAACAAAACGAGTGGACCTCCAACGCCAATGATGAAAGGTGGCTGCCAGATACTATAACCGCCAGGAGACCAGCCTGTCTCTCATTCCTCTGCGACCTTACCAAATCAATGCAAAAGAGGCTGCACGAAAGCCATGAAAATAGGCACATCTGAAATCAGATATACACACCGAATATTTGCCTGTAGAATGGTATCTCCAAAACCGCTACAAAAATCAAACAAGGGGTATCTCGCGTACAATTACAATAGAGTACGTTTGGAAAGAGATGCCGTGGGCTCAAGGTCAAACCCAGAGCCGAACACGGTTGATGACCAACATATTATCGACTCCGGTAGATTCTAGTGTGAAACAAAGCTCCGAGACAGCTTGCAAGTCTGGGCTAAAAAAAATTTGCTCATGGTACGCGGCGTGCTGGATCAGGTCGATCTATCAATCCACCAATATCGACACGGCCAACACGAGGATCAACAGGAGGGGCTGGCTGGCCTTGACTTCGAATTGGTGGAAGCTGATATCCAGGTTGCGCTGGTGCTCGAGTAGAGCTTAGTTCGCTTCGTGGAATTTGATACGAAGGGCCAGCCGGATGTTCGAAACGGCCAGAAGTTGCTGCATACGAAGGAACATTTGGGCTCACGCCAGGGCTGAGAACGCCACGCGCTTGGGCGGCCATAGCAGTTGATCGTGGTGCTTGAGCCACACCTCTTTGATCTCGAGGATCGCCGAATCTGACTCGGTTCGTCTCAAATGATGCCGAGACTGGAGTAGGCTGGGGTGCATATGGCTGTGCTTGATATGGATATGGGACATCCCTAGCATGTGGAGAAGGAGTTGGGTGCGGGTAAGTCTGAGGATGCATGATGAGCACCAAAACAACGAAGTAGATGGAGTTTTCTTTGACAAGGCCAATGCGGATCGGGTACTGCCTGCCTTGCCCCTGGGTTGATAGGAAGGTGAAGACGTCATGTCTATCCAGGGGAAGTCTAGACACAAATTCTGCATCATGCGGAAGCGAGTGCACAACTCTGTCCATGTCTTGTCTTCCGAAGATAGGTGGCAAATAGTTTGGCTCTTTCCGACCCTGTTCTTCCTGCAATGCCCGTTGGAGCGCTGCCACCCTATCTCGTTCTTGAGGGGCGATAATATCTTCTAGTTTCCTTGCCAGGATTGACTGTGCATGGCCAGCGCCGATTGCCTCAACAAAAATACTCGTCACTCTAGCAATCTCGAGATCAACAGTCAAGAAAGCCAGGGGCTCAGGAGGTCGCGATTGCATCATGAATGGAGCAGGAAAAATATTTGCGTCATTGGTAGATCCTCGCTCGAGATACCGCGGTGGGATGGGTTCAGTTGGCTGCGACTTCAGTATCCGATACGACTGACTGCGTCGAAGAGGGTCGTCGAATGGAACCGCAGGAGCGCTGACAGGCGCATAAAGAGATACTGGTCGCCTCAGTACTGGATCGTGTTGAAATCGAGACGCGTCGAATCTCGTTTCCCTATCATCGCGTAGTCGCGGTCGGCCACGTTTCTTGTGCTGTACATCAACGCAAGCGTCCTCTTTGCCATTGCTTAAGCATCTTGAGCATGGTCTTTGGGCTGTTCGAATGATTGCGTTAGTCAAGTAACAAAAGTATTGCAAAGTGTATTCGCGGGCGTTCAAGTAACTTCGAGTACCAATGATTGCTCATTTTCGACTCCTTTCGGTCATGAGGTCAACTTTGACCTTAGCCGATTGACTGCCTGGCTCATCTTCTCCCGATAAGTTACGAGGCAAAAAGCTCATGTCACCAGCAGAAGCTTTCAGCCATGACTTAAGAACATTCTGTGCAGTCTTTCAAATCTCATGCTACTACGCAATCAACAAGCTACTGCTTCAGTCTTCGAGGTCCTCGATGAATAAGTGTGCCTTTCTTTGTAAGATGCCTTGGTTTAGTGGCATTGCTCTTGAAAAGGGCTGATGCTGCTTGGATGAAAAATCGAGACATCGCGACAATGTATGGAAGGACGAGGAATTTGGAAGCATTTACATACCGTCACATCTGCAGAAAGTTAGCACATTCTGTCCGAGTTCTGTACAGAAGAATGATGTATGCGGCCTCACCTCAAATGTGCTCGCTTGCATGGAACGCAAGCTGAAGCAACATGCCCCTTGGTTTTCCTTTGCGACTTTGGTGACGCATAAGGCCCACCTTCTGACGTTGGTGGCCTCGGGGGTAAAGAATACGGAGAAGCTGTTGGCATCGGTCCTGCTACAGGAGGAAGAGAGTACTGCCGCTGTTGAGGACCGGATATGCCCGGTAGAGAAAGAGGAGGGCCAAATCTCTCCTCAGGTCGGCCACCTACATGGGCTAGACGCTCTGGTGGTTCTGGCGGGTATGGTCGTGTGCCGGCTGCGGTGGTATGCGATGGATGCGGTTGCATTGGTGTTGATACTGGATGCGCATATGCTGCTCCCGTGTCGGTCCCGTGCGCAGTCGAGACAGGGTGATATACATCGTGGGAAGTCGCCTGAAAGCTACTTTGGCCTCGAGTACCGGCCTCCTGAACTGGCTTGGGCGGGAACGTGGGAGATCCTCCTGACATGGGCGGAGAAGGATATGCCCTTGTGCCAGGATGGCACTCCGTCTCTATGCTGGCCCAGGTCAGGTTGCCAGCGAAGCGCGCCAGGTCAGATACGCCTCGGCGATGACCAAGTCGTACGTACGTCTGTTCACCGGTCTGACGGTAAGCCTGCATGGATACTACTGAAGACGATGAGGGTAAAGCTTGCAGGCGTAGACCCTCTCCTTCTAGATGGCACCCAGGATCCCGGAGTCTGCATCAAAGACCTCTCTCGAGGAAGTCCAATTCAATTCTCGACCTAGAATTGCATGCTAGGGTCGGCCGATAATCCCGAAACTGCTATCCTTTGCCTCCCTAATCCTAACAAGAAGCCCGCCGCCTTGGATCTTCTTGTTCACCAGCGACAGCCGTGCCGACCTGGGGAATAGGAGAAACGACGAAAATAGTCGTGGAAATCTTTTGGAAATCCAGTTGAAGGTCTCTTCGATACGCAAAGGGAAGGATGCTCGATGGATGAAGTTGTGAGAGGCAATCTGATGATAGTGTGAAAACTCCAGCGGTGACTTGTGGGCAACCTCAAAGGACAGGCGTGGGACAGAGTGTGTTCGGTGATACTTGTTCAAAGAAGTTTAGAAACCAGTGATACCGTTGGTGATCTCGTTGTATCATAGAACTGGGCAAAACACCGGGGAGCTGCAGCACTGTTGCGAGACCTTCTATCCCGCAACATCCACGAGCTTGTAACTTGGTCAGTCGTTCGGATCCGGGTAGTGGGATACAACTCGACTTCTCGACTCCCTCGTCTTTGGTCGTCGAAAACTCACGCTACCTGGAGTCTCGGGTCAGGTGAACAATAGGTATCGAAAACCTTTGTTCACTATCATAGTGGGATGACGGAGGTTTTTGTGCCACTTAATAGAAGATTGGCTCAATATTGGACAGACAAGGATGACTTGGTACATGGACTCATGGGGCGCATCACCGCTGCACGGACAGAGTCTGGGATTTGCTGGTCAACCATGGGACAGGCACTGACGCTGTGCTGCCACCAACGACAAAGGAGCTACCTGGAACCATTGACATGGGCTCTTGAGTTAGGGGGGACAAGATGGAGAGGTACATGGCGAGCATGGGGGCATGGCGGGCATGGGGATGCGGTGATGATGGTGGTGGGAAGTGGGTATCCCAATCCCAGGGGGTACAAGACTCAAGTTAGAAGGGAAGCACCAACCGTGCTGAAAAAATGAGCAACAAGATGGTGGGGAACAGGGGCCATCGAGGTGGAGAATAGCGTGTGGACTAGGTACTTGGTAGTTTTCCCAGGGGGCCACCCTAGTCCTCCAACGGGCAGCAAGCAGAAAAACAGTTCCAGATCATACCTCTGTAGTCTGATGTCTGAATGAGTAAGATGCCAAAAAATTTACTTGTGAGTCTTTGTCAGCCCATACCCAGTATGTTAATTACTAGGTCCCGCTTCGACAACGAGCCGGCTACGCTTGATCAGTAGTGTTATGTCATGTGGGTGAGACAATAAGTTTTCCTATGCTTTCTAACCTAGCAAAATCTCCGATTATGTTGGTTGAGACAGGGAATGCAGAACGGAACATAGATACTGAGACATGGCAAGGAGGAACAGAAGCGCGAACGAGTAACGCGGGGCTGAGCTGTTCAACGGCACGATGAATGTCATGTGCATGTCTTACTGTTTCTAATCCCATCAACCCCATTCCAGGCCTCTGCCCGACCTTGTTTGGCTTCAATCAGGAGATGGAAGGCAGAGAGCAGCGTGGATGGCCAATTGGATGTGAGGGCAGAGGATTACCTCAGTCCCGATGGCACACGCCATTGCTGACCATGAGGCACATCACTATACATGGAACGGAATGCAAAGTCCCTAGGTTCATGAAGAGATATGTCCGCTTCGAGTTCGGAAACAAGTGGACAAGTCATGAAGAAATTGAGGATGAAGACTTCATACGCGCCATGTGAGAGAAAAGACCCAACCGCCAGCGTGTAAGACCCCCGATAAGGTTGACCGTTCCGCGGCTGCATGACGGTCCCAGGTAAGGCTAGGCCGTGTTCGGCTTGCCAAGTTTGCTCAAGGGTCTAGTATATGACATGCACTAGTCGATCCCGTGTCATCGTGCACGGGTGATTGCCATATCTAGACAGGATGGACATAGTAACTAACGCAAGCATCTTTGGACCCTATATTTTGGAACCCTGGAAGTGTTGAGTGCTGCTGGATGAGCCTTTTGGTAAGCCGAGCTGCTCTTGATGTCACAGATGTTGCAAATCCATGCACAGATCTCTTGTGCCTGGTAAATGATAGTTCGCCTGCATGCAGGCTCATCAAGTGCCAGGTCCTGCCGGTGCGCAAGATATCCGAAATTCGCGGGGAACATGGGCGGCTCCTGAGAAACGCCAAAAGGCCATATGGTCTGTAGTCGACATGGCGTCCGGTGCGCTCAGGCACTTCTAGCCCAGATGTAGGAAATCATCGTATTCATCAGCCTCTTAGCTCCCTCCCAAGGTTGAGTACGTTCGGCACTCCTCCAAGGGACAAGCCTTGATAGTAAAGATGACAACAACAGCAGCAGCAGCAGAAACCATGTAGAGCCCGGCTCCAAGTAAATTGGAATTTCAGCCATAGTTCTCTTCGACAACCACACATAGCCTTGAATATCATTGTAGCCCACATTGACTTACAAACCAATGGAGATTCACATATAGTTTGGGGTGACGTAAATACGGGTATGCAGGGCAGCGTGGCTTCCCCACACTTGAAAGCAATAATGCCTTAGTCTAGTGGAAGCTATTTATACTCAAAACATTGGTAATGCTGGAGTTGTCCCAGGCATATTTGCGCCTCTTCAGAAAACAAGTGAGAACCTCCAGGATGCCTCATCAAAAAGGTCACCTAATATTGTCGTTGTTGGTTGGTTCACGTAGTAACTGGCTTGAGAATTGCAGAGTGCATGAACTTCTGTTGTGATGACTGTCTGTGCGGAGGGCCCTCGTGCTGTGGCCCCAGTGGGTGACCACAGCACAATTCCAGATCGACACCACGGTAAGTTCTGTGCACGCCGGAGTTTTGTACACTGTAGATACATAGGTCGCATCTATGTACTGACTTGTTGCTTAGGTATGCTTCTTAGCATGCGGCTCAAGTGGATCTTTAGCTTCAATGTGCTGGATTATTGAATGGCGGGCAGCGGGGCGTCTGTGTGAGCGCAGCGGCCATGTGATGTGGTCAATAGCGACTGGGCAACATAGATGCGTAGTGCTAGAGTTGCTAAACTTCATGCTAAGGCATCTATCGGCCACTATTGGATACCAATGCTAAAAACTACCGACGCCAATGGCTTCGACTTTCGGGCAACGGTGTTGCTATTCCTCCAGACCCGCTTCTTCTGTTTGGTGACAAACTGGACAGAGTCCTGAAAATCACCCGCAAGATGAGAGGGGTGGAACCAAAAGACTCGACGTAAACTGTAGCATGCCACAACAATTCCATGCAAAATACTCAATACGCATGCCCGTACTCATCCATCGAATCCAACATGGATATTTCTCGCGTAAGATAACTGATAAGGTCAGCTGCAGGAACATCCTACGGCTTAGAACAAACCCTGGCAATTATTACACGGCAAGTCCCATAGCTCGGTCCATTATGCCGGGATACGCTAAAGCATGCACAGATACATTCAGATGCTGCCAGACTTTTGAGCCTCATAGCGCGTGACAAAGGTGGCCAACATCCCTTCAAGTCGCTCAAGTGCTTATGCCTATGGTTGATATTGCCTGGACAGTCACTTTGATGAAATATTATTGCAATATACTCATTGTCAATCGCATCAGAAGTGTTGAAGAGTTTGTTTCCCACCCTGTCCCATTAGTGTATGAGGGTCGTCTGTGGGCATTAATGCGTTGCTGAAGATCTAAAGGCGACAGCAATCAATTCCCATATTGGACCTCTCCCATAGCTGCCACTCCGTCCCATCGTCAATAAAGTTTGACAGAAATCCTCCGACTGATCACTTGTGCCCTGCAACCAGCAGGTGACAGGCTCTTGATTTCCCTCACTGCGAAGATGAGACGGACTAGGATGATAACAAGGATACATCGGACGAAATAGTAAATGCCCGACAATCCTGCCAACTCCAACTATTGTATACATATACTCCAACACTTGCACTTCCATTACAGCTATTCAAATGCGCACTGAACTATTCAATCGACAAACATATGTGCATGCTCTATAAGATGGGATTCGAGAATCAGCACAAACCTGTGCCTGGGCTGTGCATGTATGGCCGGCTATCGCAACATTTACGATGTGCTTCCTCAAATTCGATTAAGTCACATCCATCAAAAACGCAAGGTGCAGACGGGCATGCATCTGAAAATCGATTGCCCCTGGTCCCTGTTCTCGTCTAATTTTTGTTAACCACTGGCGTTGTAGTGTGTAGCTTGGGGGGTGCAGCAAGGTGGCCTCGGCTACGCAAGCTCTTTGACAGCTCAAGGATCAACGATATTTTACCTCTAATCGGTGTCATTGCGTGTGTCAGAGAACTGCTCTCCAGTGAGTGAGACGAATGTGCGTTGCATCCGGTTTCAAGCAAAACAAAGAGCTCCGATCCGCTTTCATAACGGGTTGGACCCCGTAGCAAGGCATTTTGTCTTTCTCGGTTTTCCACGTATGCTCGATAGCATTGTCGTCATGTACTACAAGTTTTAATCACATTGCCTCTAAGCAATTGATGAATTTAAGATTATAGCTCAAAGATCCCCACATGGAGTGGTACATCGACTGCATGAGGTGTCCCGGTAGGTGCAAGAGTTCCCCCTAGCCCTCCCGCAAGCCAAGCTGAGCTGGTACTGACAATCCCTGAATATCACTCGCCTACGTACGGACTTACGAGTGATGGTTGCATCATCTAAATCCCTGACCAAGGTGCTTGGTGGTATCGTTATCAGCTACATACGGCCTTGTCAGCCGAGGAAGCAGATACGGCAAGACACTTCGATTTCGAGAAACGCGCGCGAGAGGCAGCATTCGAGAGCAACGAACCTACCTGTAGCGCCCAAATACACTTTCAATGCTGGTATGCCTGGAGTTCGGAACTGAGTGACCCTTCTGCCGAGTTCCGACAGCGCTTACCAGGGCGACT